CTCGTTCTTGTACATGCAAATGTGTATAATAAAAAAAAAAAAAAAAAAAAAAAAAAAAGAAAAAAGAAGAAAAAAAAAAGGTCTTTTCCACTGACGTCAAGATAGTCTGCATTGAATCCGGTGCTGTCTCTGGCTGGCAGAAGCTCGACGGAGGCGACTCGTTCGAAGGCGCTCAGATCATCAAGTCGGTGCTGTAAATTGTGATCCTCACAAATAGCAACGAGCACATCTATGTCTTACCAACACTGACCTGCCTCCTTTCTGACGAGAAGGAGACTAATCTCGACGATATCTATATCCCGTTTTCCCCCTCCTTTTTCTATTTATTTTTCCCCCCACCTTGCATTCCATTGCTTCCTTAGCCTGCCATAGACAGACCTGCTTTGCACTTTTTTTCTTTTGCCTCACAGACCTGTCACTCGGCTTCGCCTTTGGTCCCGAGGGGAAAAAGAGAAGATGACATTATGCGATACGAACAAATCAACTCATGCTTGACGTTTTAAAATAAAAATACGAATATAGATGAATCAACCAAGGCTCTTCAAATTTGCTCAAAGGAATACAGACGTGAATGTATCGACGATTCGCATCTCCAATTCACTTGCTTTGACCTCTGAAACTAAATACGACCGAGTGTTTACGCTATCAAGATGACCAAGAAAAAAAAATCACATTCCTTAACATAATTCTAAATCCTACCCTAATCATAATAGCTGCCAAGCCGGTACACACACGCCTTGACCCGAAAGGAAAAAAAAAACCAAATGTATAAATTTACGCCTGCTGAAACGGTCAAAAGGAGAGGATAATAGGGTATAGTATACACGCGCCATGTGCACGTACCTCTCCGTACATGCAGTCTTCTAGTAGAGTAGTAGAAAAATCTAAATGTTAAATGGCAATTTTTTTACATGGGGGCATCTCGCTGAAACTAAAGTAAATCAAGCCCCTTTTGAGAAAACAAAAAAAAATCTTTTAGAAAACCGAGGGAGAAAGAAGGGAGGGAGGGAAAAGGGGATCAAAAAGAAGAAACTAGTGGGTATGAATCACGAGATAATTTCCCGCCCTCCAAAGCCATGATCAAATTGAATCGCATGCACCCGGTCTTCTTCCTCTTCGTTCAGCAGGTCGCCAATCTCGATACTCTCCCGGAGGATGCGCCGGGCTTGCTCATCACTACTTTCGTTGTCCCTGGTGTCTTTGTCATTGTCCCTGTCGCCGTTGTCGTTGGACTGGGAGTTGGAGTTGAAGTTGGAATGAGAGGTGGAGTTGGAGCTGTTGTTGGAGTTGGAGTTGGAATAGGAGTTGGAGTTGGAGTTGTTGGGGCGGTCAGGTATGTGCATGTCTTCTTTGACCAACATGACGGCGAGCTCGGGCACGAGGACGGCCTGGACGAAGCCCGAGGGGCCGCCAAAGGCCGCGACGCGGTCGGAACTGACGGCTTTGCGGATCTGCGGGGCGAAGTGCGTCATGATGTGGTCCATCCTGAGGATGTTGGTTAGTTGCACTGTGGGATTATAGGATTGTAGAATTATAGGGTTGTAGGGTTGTAAGAAGAGTAGATATAAATACGAGTCCTGTGGGATGATGGTACGATTTTACCTCAAGAAGGAAACAAATAGAAAATAAAAACAATGTGAAGATGAAATTACGAGCAAAAGAGAGGGAACGAAAATGAAGATATAAATATGAGCAAAAGAAGAGGGAAGAAGTAAAAGAATGAGGGAGTAAGGCAGGATAAGAGAGGAAGACCAGAAAATAAAATTAAAAATAAAGAGAAAAAGTAGAAAACAGTAGGAAAAGAAAAACGTACATGACACGGGCCCCCCGGGAGCCATAATACCCCGGCGTCAGCTCATGAAACGTACTCGCCATGATACTCTGCGCGAGGGTGCGGTTCTTGCCCGACTTCATCGTTGTCTCGAGCACGTTTCGATAATACGACGGCTGGGAATTCTCCAGCACGGCAAGGATGCGGGGATGGTATTTCTCCAGACGGGCAGGGAGGCGGGCCCAGTCGATGGTGGGGTAGCCCTTGGCGGCCCATTCGAGTTTGGAGGACTGTTCTTTATGCATTCGGCAGAAGCGCATTTGGTTTTTTAACTTTGCCATGTTCATGCCTTCGCCGTGGGTCTCCCAGAAGGCCGTGTCGACGGGGGTGCGGCAAAAGGGGCAGCGGGGCGACGGGGAAGAGGAGCGGGTGTTGCGATGGTTAGGAGGGTGCGTGGGTGGAGAAGTTCTAGAGTATTTGGGACGGGGAGTGTCGTCGTTGTCGTCGTTGTTGTCAAAAGATACTGCGCTAGGGGAACTGGGGAGAGAACTTAGTGCAATTGAGGAACTGCGGGAGAAGAAGGGATATGCATCGCCGGCGGAGGAGTCGTAGTTGTTGTTGGCTTGGGAATTGGGTTGTGATGATGATGGCGGTGAGTTTGTTGAGTCCTGGAACAGGCTTTCGATATCTTTTGTATGCTTTTTGTCGGTGAGAATCTTCCCAGCTAGAGCATCAACGTCGAAATGTTTGAATGTAGCGCGTGGGAGTTTAGGAGAGTTGTTTGATGGCTGAGAATCCTTGGATCTAATTTGAGACTTGTGCCACGGAGTATCAGTAAGCGGTGGCATGGTGAATTCTGGTTTATTTATTGGGGTGTCGGATGGCTCGTGGCGCTGTTCATATTTTGGCATGCGGAACTGGGCCTTTGACGAAGTATTATCATCTTCTTCGTCCCCGTTTCCGGACGTCTGGAGTCGCTTTTGTAAAGCGTAGTGCTTTTCTAATGGATCTACAAATTTGTGATCGTTTGGTTTTGACCCTATATAAAAATCAGGTTATTAGCTTCAACAACACTTATATCACAATGGACAATGGCACAATTCGTCTTACCCGTTTGACCATTTGAGGCCCCAGAAGAGTTTCCCTCGGAACCTAGGTTTATCCAAATAAGCAGTCCATCCTCAGCACTCAAAACATACACACAATACACAACGACGGTGTTGCATGTAAAATGCTGAAAGGTTAAAAATACCTGTAGACTGTTCTCTAGATTTTGACCGCCCTTCCTTTCCATATTTTTGGGCTCTGCCTGTTTGCGAACTCTTGGTATGAATATTCGACACCGAACCAGAATACCTCAATCTTTTCTGCCGCGCTCGTCCGGAGGACTGCGAGGATATGATCCATCCATACTCGTCTGTTAATTCGTCTCCCGCGCCATCTGTTGCCGCGCTTGGCCGCTTCCCTCCACTTTTCTGAGACGGAAGCCCAGAAGACGCCGCGGAGGAGGATGACGACGATTGGCTTCCATTCGCCTTGCCTTCAGACGCAACGGTAGTTTCTCCGTTCTCGCCAGCTTTGTCCTCCTCTGAATCCTCGGGCTCGCCGAATCTTCTATACTTTCCTCCAAACCGGGGCGGTCTTATAGACCTTGTAAGCTGGCCACGTGTTTGTGGGTATCCGCGCCCTCGTTGTCCCCGTTGTCCCTGTTGTTCCCGCTTCTGCTGCTGCTGTTCTTGTTGTTGACTTTGCGAAAGCTCGTCATCGCTCGAACTCATAGGTTCGTCATTGACTCCAGGACTCTGGCGCTGTGCTCGAGGCATTGACGCCCCATGAAATTTGGCCGAAACTGTTTGGGACTTTTGCGATTGCGAGTTGTTCCTTGCACGGAGCTCCGACTGGGACGCCAATTCGTCATCGGAGCTCAAAGGCTCAGCGTCAACCGGCGGACTCGGGCCACGTTTTCGAGCCGCTACTCTTGCCAGCTCCAGAGCTCCATCCTGTGCTGATCCTGGAGCTGCTGATGCTGCTGCTGCCGCTGTCTTTTCTGTCTTTTCTGTCCTTCCTGTCGTTGCTGCCGCTGTCCTTGCTGTCGCTGTCCTTGCTGTCGCTGTCCTTGCTGTCGCTGTCGCTGTCATTGATTTCGTTTCTTTCGTTGCCGTCGTTGTTGCACCTCCAGATCTATTATGAAACGTCGAAAGAAGTGATCTACCAGGTCCATTGCGTTTCGTCAGGACCGTAGTCGCATTCCCCGTCTTTGGTCGACCACTTCCCGCCATTTCCCTATCTCAGATCTTTTCCCTCCAGGCTCGGGCATTCATGGGCAGCAAGACAAGCAAAAGTCGTTTTGAGCTGCTGTGTTAGGACTTGGGTGTTAGCCCCGGTGACGGAGTAAATTGACATCGAGTTCGGAGTTCCCCCCGCAACCGAGATTCACTCTCCGGCCTGCCCGGTACCTTCAAACGGAGTAGAATACGCGACTTTTCCAAAAGAGACGCGTTAACAGGGAAGAAAGGTGAGTTCGCGTTAATTGGTATTTAAGGTAAGGTTTACAGCTTACATTTGGGATTAATAAATCCAGAAGTAGATTCGATTTTGCATTCCTTTAAAACTTGGATAATAACGTACTTGGATATATAGTAATTGTCATGTTCAGATACGCCCTTGTAAAAGCTTAGCTGCCCGATAGAGCCATGTGTTTATAGATCAAACCCATATTATCATGACGTGGAGAAAAAAAAAAAATCCTGTGTGATAAATCAACACCAAGCAATTACAATCTCTCAATAATATACCTAGAAAATCTAGATGCCTAATCTGTAAAGTATCTAACTAACTCGAATAAAAAAGTTAGAAAATAATGCAGAATATGAAAGATATTTTTAAACCCGGTGATTAACACCCATTTTGCTTTGGTTTAAATCATCAACCAAGGCTATCATTAATATGCTACCTGATCAATTTAAACAAACAATTGACATTGGAACTAACCAATCATCTAACAGTTATATTCAACTAGAACTTCATTCTGTGTTTAGTGCCTTTCAGCGCGGAACGAAATGCAAATAATGAATTCAAACGTCGAGCATTGAAAATTTGAAATAGATACAGGAAATGGAACAAGTGTAGACGATATGCACATACACTTTATGTAACAAACAAGGATATTTGAAGGGAAAAAAAGTGAAAAAGAAAAGTTCGGAAAATGTAATCAGAAAGGTAAATATGATGCCACACCTCAACGCCCCTGTAATGCAACCATAAAGTGCTAAATAGATGCAGAGCAAAATTGATAAGAGAATGCAAGGGGAAAGAAAAACACGCCATAACATGTTCGAGAAAAGCCTGACAATGCCCCAAATCTTCTCTAGTGCCATTTGTGTATAAATTCTGTAACGGAAAAATAAATATCAAGCCAGGTATTTATTCAAAGCTGAGTTGAATTTCCTTTTCATGGCCAAATTCGTCGTGCTCATCGTCGGCCCACGCGTCTTGTTCTGCAACACCAAACGTCGCCGGCATCGTCACTGATGATCGTAATTCTGGTCTAAGCGGCGGCTGAGATGACACGTCCGAAAAAGTCGGCAGAGTAGTGGTGGTAGTAGACCTAGACAGCGGAGATGGATTTGAACTACCCCCGGCCGGAGGCTCAAACGACATTTGTATGTTGCTACTTTCTCCATGGAGAAAGTTATCATCGTCATAGTCAAAATACGACTCCTTCAAAATGCGGTGACTGTCTTGACTTGCTGAGGCAGCTTCAGTGGTCCCACCGGGACTGCTGTTAAACGTTGGAGGCAAGGGAGGTAGAGGTGACGCAGCTTCGGATCTCGAGCGTTGTGCTAGGCCTGAGTCATAGCTCATTGACTCCTTGAGACCTGAAACTGGCCGAGACGGCAAGCCAGTGCTAGCAGCCTTTGGTGGACTAAGATCGAGCTTCATAGGTGGTAAAGTCGATTCAAGTTGTCTCACTTCAACTTGCTCGCTGGCCAATTCGGCCCGAATAGCATCGATATCAAATAATACCGGATCGTAACCTTGATGCTGCCCCTCAGCGCTAGACCTTGCAGTGGAACCACCGCCGCCCGTTCGGACGGTGTCATCATAGGTTTCCCAGCCCTTCTTTTCGGCCATCTTTTTGCGATTGAATAGCCCAAATATTTTCTTGCTGGGTTTGTCGTCAAGCTTTTTACGCGCTTCATCGATTTCTGCAATGAGTTCTCGTTGCCGAGCTTGATGGTTTTCAGGGTCCTAGACAAGAAAAAATGGTCAGCATGATCTCCAAGGGGAAAAAAAGGGGGCAAATGGTATCTAACAGGGTCTTCAATTTCGGCAAATTCATCACTTTCGACAAGCCATCCGACTTCCCTCAGCAGTCGAGGCATAGCAGAACGATAGGCCATATGTCCAGGAACGATCGTCGTGACATCTATATTTTCCAGCCTTGGAACATCGAGAACTGGAGCCAACCCTGCTACACGCATTATACCACCACTGGTGGCGCGAAACAGATAGCCTTTTATCAAATGTTAGACATCAAGGCACTGCCATTCGGAAAATTAGATATGCTCTTACCCAGAATCCAGTCATTTGTTGCATAGCCGTTGACGAATCTCCCAGACACTATAGCCCTTGCGCGAAGATATTCGTCCCTCTTTGCCACAATTGGCGAGCCAAAGAGATAGACGTTCTGAATCAGGCCGTAGGCGCCCCGGCTTGCCAGCTCTCTTAGGCAAGAAAAGATGACCCTGGCACCCAATGAGAATCCAACCAGAGTGATAGGACGAACGCCGAGGTTTCGGTCAATGAGCGAGTCAGCGAGAATAAGGCCGGCCGCATTGGCTCTGTCAAGAGAGACTGTCCATGGATTATCAATGAGATACGACAGCTTGGTCAAAACAATGGGGAGCTGCAACGAAGCCATAAGAGCAACCAAGACGGTGCTGCCCAGCACTTGTTGCAATCCTTGCGTGAGAGCCTTGCAGTCCAGTCAGCGAACGATCAGATTTTGAAAGTAATATGTGCGGACGGGCTTACCTCCGTGGCTAAAATATTTATAGTATCACCCATGCTCTGAAGCATCTCCGGTTCCCACAAAACCGAATAGAGATCACCCATGATGGGGTCCACCGTACTATAGGGTAATCTGACATCGTCAACCTTTCCATTCATCCATCCAGCGACCGTTATTATTAGATTAACGCGCTTGTTGTTGTGCAGTGGCCGGTATTCGAATGTCTTGACAGCCCCCATTCTTCTATGGGATGCTCTGACGGCAATGGCACCACCTGACAAGGCGGCAGTCGTGGTAATGAGAGCTGCGCCGCCTGTACCGGCAAGAAAGGTACCGGTACCGGCAACACCAATGGTCGTGAAACCGGCGGCAAGTCCAGCACCAATGACCGGAGCCAGAAGACCAGCAGAGAGGCCGATTACGAGACCACCTCCTACAGTGGCAAGACCCATCATGACCATTCGTCGCTTCATTCCAGCTTTCTTGCGCGCTGCCATATGCTCTTCCTCGGTCCAATTTTCCTTCTGCGCAGCTGCCGCTTCTTCCATTTCTAGCGCATCGGTGACTCGTTTCTCAAATCTGCAGATATCTATCCAAGGAATACTCAAGTAATTGCCAACCCGCTCGAGAAGGACACGAGAACGCGAGTCGTAGATTGAATCGGAGATCAAAACCAGGAAAAGATCGCAAAGAACGGTCCAGCGGAGGTCAATGTCGATATTCTTTGTCGAGGGCAGCTGGTTAGGGGTCCGGACTTCTGGCAGGTCATCTCCCTCGTGCTCTTGGTATGGAGGTGGAGGAGGAGTCTCAGAATACCCTTCAAAGTAGGATGACGGAGTGGAGGATTTGCGCTCCAGCTCAGTACTAGACGGTCTGGGTGACACGCTTGACGGAGGTTTTGACGGGATTTTTTCAGCCATGGGATTCTTTACACGTGAGTTTTGCAGAAGCGTGGGCGTGAGATCCGCTGCAACAACCCCGTGCTCTGCCAACTGTTCGATCATGATTTGCTCTAGAATTACAGCTTAGTATTTTTCGAAGATGCAGATGTTGGCTAAAACAAAGGGGAGCCGTACCTTCAGAGCTGATATCCATGTGTGTGTATAGCCGTAGAGTCATCTTTTGACTCCACATTTTGATCGACTCAGTGGCAATAACCAGTTCTGATTTTGTAGACTTTCTTTGCGGCATTGCTTCGAGCTCTTTAACCATCTCAATCATTGCAAGTCTGGTCAGTCCAACATATGCAATCTTCTGTCCTTCTGTAAGCAAATCTTTTGTGACCTGCATCTGAGACAGAGCATCTCGTAAGTCTTCATCTTCATCTGCCACGTTGGTGCCATTTTCCTTAAAGAGATATTTCGTATTTTCGTCCATGCTGGTAGTCGATTTTGCGTCCTCATCTATCTGCACGCGCGTGTACCCTCTGCCACCAGGGCCGTAATTGCCTTCATTGTCAGACTCCGCCGCCTCTTTGGCAATGAGTTTCCCATCATCATTGTAGATATCGTATGGCGCGTAAGCGGGCATTTCTTGCCAGTCATCCTCGTCTATATTATATTTCTCTTCTGGTTCGTGAGATGCAGCGACCTGCTGATGAGACCATTCCGATACATGGCCTGTGCTAGCTTTATGACTATGACCTGGAACCTCAATATTTGTATCATCGTGGGCTTGGTCATCCTTTTGCTTTTCCTCTTGCTTTTCCTCTGGCCTAATCTCCACTTCCGAGGCTTCGGGAACTTGTTCTCGAAAAGTGTCGGTTGTCTTTGTCGGCAGGATCTCGGCAGGGGCGTGCGTGTAGTCTGGAGGAGTCGAATCACTGGGATATGTGTGTTCCTCCTTGGGTGTTTCGAGCTTTCCGCCCACCTCCGTTTGGGAAAATGCTTCCGAATTCGTAGCAGCATTCTTCCTCTCTGGGTTTTCTTCCTGCACATTGCTAGATCCCTCCGTTATATTCGTCTCATTGACAACATCTGTTGTGATGTTTCCCTCTTCAATCTCCGGCTTGGCATCATGATGATTGGACCGACTATCCGTATCTTGGTCTTTCCTGGCCGAGAGAGAGCTGTGAGAAGGTAGAAGGGGAAGACCAAATTCATCCCTGTCCAAAGCCGCTGAAGGAGCTTGTGTGGCTGTCACATTCGTCTCTGTATCGCCTTGATCCGTATCACGATTGATCTCTAGATGTGTTGCAATCGGATGCTGCTGATTCTTCGGGGAATCGTCACCCGCATCGATCTCATGCTGGGGCATTATGGAGTGAGGTCCGCCGTAGAATGGATCGACACTGCCTGCACGGAAAGACACGCACAGACTAGAATTATATGATAATGAATGCTTTTAAGTTAAATCCAAGTAGCTCCTCCAAGTAGGAAGCCCCTTCAAGGCCTTCATCCCACAGATACGGAGTGCTGGAATTATCGTTGGATATTGCCGGCGGTGAAGGTGAGCTTCGGACATGATTCCTGCCCCCTGGTGGGAAGTGGGACAAATGGGCCCACTGTGGCTTGCTCAAAGTACTCTAAGAGTTTAGCTAAGTACCTTATCACCAAAATAACCAGCGAAAGATTAGACCGATAGCAGCCCAAATACAGTAAACATACTGAATAGTACTTCTACCTCCCGGAAGCGATCAAAGCCCCACGGATCATTTCTCTCTGTTTTCGGCTTCCCCAGATCGGACTTTGCGCCTTCGAACTTTTCCGACCTTCTGAACTTTTTCCGTTCCAAAACACCAAAAACACGGACCTCCTCTGACGCCGTTACAAGAAGGCAGATACTTTACTTTCCGCAATTGGCCTCCATAAGACAAACTGCAGAGGCCAAAACTTCACAATGGCGACGTCTTCTCTCCCTCCGCGCTCCACCTTGTCCGAGATCCTCTCATCCCCCAGCTCTACGACGGATTTACACCCACCATATCTTACCCACCTGGCGCTTCAAGTCCAGCATAATCTCGAGCATCAACACAATTGGACTTCTCTCACACTCCACACACACTCCCCCGTAACACCAAATGCGCCCTTACCGCGGCCTATGATCTCTGGTGTACCTGCGCAGAAGCTATACATTCACCCGGACGAACAAATCGAACTGATCAAAGCTGGTATCAACGAAAAGGATGTCCAGCCTGAACGCATGTGGGTGCTGCCGGCACACCTGAAGGAGAAATGGACACTTCGAAGACTTGCCGAGGTATTCGGTGCGATCACCAAGGTGCCGCCAAGCGCTGAGACGGCGGATGAACAGTTGGACGAGTCGCTGGCGGCCGAAAAGAGAAAGGAACAAAACGCACCCGAGGAGGGATCCAGCCACGATCAAGAAAATGCCAACGAGACTGAGGGTGAGCGAGTGGAGGAGGACCAACATAGCCAGACAGCGCAAAACAATACTCCAAGCCAAACCGAAGCTCAAAAACAGTCCCAAATCGAACGAAATCTGAAGCGCATCCTCCTCGCGACAGTCGAAGACGATAGTACAGTAGTCTACTATATTATTCACGACGGACTCGTCAAGCCGAGACAGAACTAAGCATCTTTGAGCTTATTTCAACCACGTGTGCCCAATAACACGCAACTCCAAACAGGCTCACTATGCCGAGCTCTACATACCAGCAATATCATCCTTACTCCATTCTTCGTACCTCTCCTCCGAGCCCAACGCTGGAGTACCAGGGACAAATTGACTGGAAACTCCCTTTCAGCACAGACTGTCTTTTGCTATCACCGCTGGTGTTTCGCACAAAGTGCTGCTTTGTTCGTCTTGGTGTCAAAAGCACAGCTCCTCCAAGTGCTGTGGCAAAAGAATGTTTTGCCTGTGGCTAATGCAGTCACCCATATAACACAGTGCCCCAATGGCTGCCCTTTCGAAGTCTTAGAAATGAGAGATGACGTATAACTGATAGTAAACGAGGTGGTTGCCAAAGCCTGTGCACTGTCAAACCTTGCCCTAGATCAAATCACACAATGCAAGGCTCTCATAGTCTTCTCTATCAACACAGAACAAAATCAAAAATTAACATTAAATATCCACGCTAAATTGAAGAAAAAGGTATTACTTCTTTACATGGCTTGCGCTGGTTTTTATCCGCTCCAATTATAAAACCGAGTTGCGACGAGACAAAATAGACGCAATATCAGCGACACAAAAGCCAAGGGAGCAGAATTCTAGCAAAACGGTGATAGCAAGGCATTGACTCTCATCTTCCAAATGTCCTGGTATCCTCTGACCGCAAGATAACCGCATCAAGACCTGAATCGCCCTGTCTCAGAAAACAATGGGTAGAAGAAGCAAAGAAGAAGCAAAGAGTATACATTAGGGTGAAAATACGAGCCAGATTGGCTGCCGATATAGGGGGTAATTAACATGAACGAAGAAGAATAAGTCTGACGGAAAGAGAACGAAATGGAGAATACAATTTCAAGCGACCTGGTATCTTCAACTCGTGGCAAACTTGGCCGGAAATAAACAGTAGAGAACGAAATTGAAAATTATGGGATAGAAAAATTGCGGAAACAATGGAAAGCAAGCTGATAAGGTATCGGCGATAAAAGGAAGGAGCGCAAACAATCTGAAGCATCAAAAACTCTTGAGTAATTGCGCTTGATATTGCTTTAGGCAAATGACACAATCATCATGATAAATTCCGAGCAACGGTCGGCGAAGATTTCCAAGCTAAAGAGCGACTGAAGGCAAGGGTTGAACCTCAAAGGAAATTTGAATCCTAAGTAGCTAGCCAACATTAACGTCTTGGGATTTCGTAGGGATCCATGTTACCCGTGAGCTCTGCTACACGAGCTTTGATTCGGGCCACTCGAGATTCAATAGCTATAATTCGTTTAGTGGATATCTCAAGCGTGATGATAATGAGAACCTACTTTCTTCTCCACTAGTTTCATCCTCATCCGTTCGGGCGCTGTTGCTCGGTCTGGATTGATCTTCGCTCTGTCTCGCCGCACGCTCCGCGGCGTTCTTTCTGATTTGAGCCCAGCGATCTTGTGCAGACGAGGCCTGTTGGCTGAGGTCCTCGTGGGAGATTTCTGAAATACTGGCTTGTGGAGGTCCTTGCTCACTCGGCGTCACAAACTCGTATTCAGGCTCTTTTTCGGAAGCAGGCGTTTCATCGGGAATAAAAGCAGGTACATCCTGCAGAGGGCCTTCGGTGAAATTCGCAGTTGGGCGCTCCTGGCTATTGCTGTGAGTCTCTTCCGAGTCTACCCCAGAGAGGCTGGCCTGGTAATCTTGCGAGGGAACGGGTCCAAGCTCAGGCTCTGTGGCAGCGGTAGGAGCAGCAACCAAAGATTCATCCGTGGGGTTAGCCCTAGGTTCGGCTGCCGGCGAAGGCTCAGCAGGCCGCTCAAGCGGCTCATTAGTGGCAGCATCAGAGGTAGCAACAGATGGCGAAGACCCGGCGGAGTGCTTCCCAAGAGCAGAAAGCCGGCGTCCCAATTTGACCTGCTCAGAGGATTGCACTGGAAATCGGGTATCAGGCGTACGCCCAGTTTGTTTGTCCTTTGCTTCGGGCTTCTTTTTTCCGAAAACTTTCTTCAATCCACCGCCGCCGTGATGGCTCTTTTTGAGCTTGTTTTGGCGAATTTTCTTCTCTAGTGAGTTATTGGTGTCCCTGGTATCTGAGGATTGCGCTGGCGCTTGCAAAGCACCATTGACAGGGAGGTTGGGGTCACTACCCTTTTTCGTAGGGGGATCAATCGCCTCGGGCGCACGCGCTTGCTTTTCTGGCGACTCACGACGACTTGACGGTAGCGAAGATGGAAGATTTGAATCTTCTTTAGATAATCCCTCATTGGCGGGCTCGACGGCAGGGACAGAACTGATCGGTGTTTCAGTCGGCGCGTGGGAATCCTCTTCTTCCGGAGGCAAAGCCGGCAGGTCTCGTTCGTCCTTCCTCGTCCAAACTGATACTGTGTCAGCCGTGCTGGAAGCCACTCGTGCGAGACCATCCTGCCTGCCAATAACGTGAGTGGAGTATCCCCGTCCATGATAATTATCGCCGAGGTACGCGGCGCGTAAGGCCTCTTTATCAAATCTATTAGTCCACTTCATCGCGTCGGCAGCTTCACTCATGATCAACGGCTGCAAAGTGAAAATACTACTTGTCTTCATGGACACTCCATCGCCCTTTCTCGTGCGCCTTGTGTCCCTTGAATCCGTCAGCTCCAGCCCATTCTGCCGCTGCCTTTGTTGCAAAGCTGCTGCCGCAGCGTGGATTCGAGCATGCTGGTCCGGTGCAATGTTTGTTCGGCTTTGTGGGGTGCTTGCGTTTGTACGATTGTAGGGCTCCGGCATAGTGGGCGCCGACGCCTTTCGACTCTTTGATTTACTTTGAGCGGATTTTCCACGCTTGGTGAACCCAAAACGGCCCTTTTTCTCAACAATATAAGCGCCTTCTTCTTCCACAGGTGCTGCTCCTTTGACTTTTTCCTCAATCACAAGCCATCTTGCCCCCGCAATGTCCGTCTCGATGAGCGCACAACGTCCAAACACTGATTTTCGCTCTGTCGTCTCCTCGTCTGCCAGACTCGTCATCCATACCCACCAAAAAGAGTCGTCAAGATTGAGCTTATTGACGCTCGCAAGTTCACCAGGTTCCTGATACAGATCCTCTTCTAGTCGGGTTGAATTGAGAGTGGAGCTGGTTGAGGTATCGATGGGAGGAAGAATCTTGTCAGGCGGAAGCAGTAGCGGCACAGCAGTTCGACTGTTGGCCTCATCTCCGAACCCAGAAGAGAGGAAATCGGCCCAGGATGGAGTGGTTGGGCGACCGCCACGACCGTGCGAACGAGACTGAGGAGCGCTTCTCAAGCCCTCCGGTGAACGATGTCGGCTGGAAATTGCTGAGCGTTCTGAATCGCCTGCTGATTTCGGGTCGTCTAAAAGACCTGAAAAGCCAATGTCCTCAAAACGAGACCAAGACGCATCTGGCGAGCTGATGGCATCCTTTGGACTCGAAATGTCAGACTGGTTTGTCGATGAGATAGCTCTTAGAACCCTGCGGCACTCTTCAGTCAAGGCCTGCACTGGGTCATCATATTCTGAAAATTGGTGCAAGGCTTCATCTTCATCTCGAAACTCGAAATTTCTAGCGCGGCGCAGAAGAGAAAATGGGGTAGGGGAGACGGAGTCTACAATCATGACCAATTTCGGTATCGGCTCCTGAACATGCGGAGCGGACTGTGGAGGATATTCGGTCGTCTCGAGAAGGTTTTGCAGCGATAAAGGCAATGCCGATATTCCATTGATGCCTCTAACTGAGTCCGGAGACAACGATCGAAGATATGCAAAAAAGAGATGGCTCGTGGCATCAGCAGCACTGAGAGACTCTATTAGCGTGTGATGGAATGATCAGCTTCTCAAAGGATTCTATACCTTTGCCAGGACCTATAACCACCGTCAAATCCTTCTTGAAGGTCCGTGTGCTCAAAGGCCCACCATCCAGCCAAGCGAGCGAGTTTGCGACCACTCAGCCCATTCCATTTCGCATGAGCTGCCGTAGCAGCCATGAGATCGAAAAAGTCGAAGACAATCTTGGCTCGGGCGTCAGTGTCAACACTAAGGGGAATAAAGGTTGCAAAAGCGTCTCGGGCCCAGTCGGAGTCTGGAAAGAGATTTAGTTTTCGTTTTACTGGTAATACTGAGAAAATCCATTACCTTGCTCGCCGATGCGAAAAAGTTCATATGCCTCCCAAGTAACCACACCCCCTGGGATTCTACTCCAGCACCACTTCAACACACTGCAGATCACCTGTACACCTTAGAATACATATTTTATTATTGGCTTGACGGTAAATACTCACGATTGGCTCCGTTAATCGTAGCTCCTGCTGAAGTGATTCTCCACGAAGCACTGGTGCATTCTTGTTGATACTCGATTTGAAGTAGTTTCGAATGAAGTTTTTGGCGCCACTGGGGTCTGTGTTGGGTCGAAAAGGAAGAAGAAGGAAGGGCATGTCGATAGCTGAAAAGGGAAGATTAGATTGTTTTAGCTTACCGCAAACTGTCGTCCACTGTCCAGTACTCACCTCTTGCTTTCAATTCATTCGTGCACTCTCTAATCAGTTCTTGCACTTCCTCTGGCTCCACCTGCTTCCTGAGCCACGCATCTTCCCACTTTGGCTTTGGCGGAGGAGTAACTGGCGGTACACCATTGGTAGCCTTCTTCGGCCTGGATGGTGCTCCTGTGCCATCTTTGCTTTTGAACACCTTTGAAAGAATGGAGGGCATTCTGAACTACCCTCCTGATAATAATATACGATAAATTGTATGATGAAAAGTATCTCGAAGCACCTGGTTTGTCATATAGATGGAGGTCGTCTGTCGCAAGGTGGAATTCTCAGTAGGATTTCACAATAGGCCCCATAAACCCAAAGTTGCATTAACCAGACACAGTCAAGTAGATGAACTGAGGTGCGCCACCCCCAATTATCGCGTCTCCGCGCGATAGAGAGCTTGGATGGAAGCGGCGGGCAATGGGCGGGTTCTGCCGAAGGCGGTGAGCAAGCGTCGGCTGGAGAGGTTTTAGGTCGAGGCCGATCCGTGTGCAATGAAAACTTGAAGAAAACCAGACGGACTCAAATCATCTTGAATGGAAAGCAACGTCTTGAGAGCAGACAGGGAAATTATCATGATTTACTGCAGTTTAAGCGTGTCTCTGACCTGGCAAGCGACGTGGGATATGCAGCAGATAATTTAAAGCTGGGCGGCCTAATCAAGTCTAGTGGGGGTCCCTTGAGGCAGACCCTGGCTACGGTAGTGGAGAGGAAAGCAAATAGCTCTGCAACAACCATCCGTCTGATGGCCGGCAAATAATTTTCCTACACCCCTGCGCCCTGACCATGCAGGTACTGGGTCTGGGTACAATACCATCAAGTCCACTTTTGCGCGGTCGTCAGTCATCCACGGTTTGTTTCCAGACCCTCCAAATATTGTTGGGGGAAAAGAAGAAGAGCTGCCATATGGGCTGTCGCTCTAAGCAATTGTTCAAGGACGATTGGTGTTAGCGCACAGAAAGGGGCCACTGGCAGAATATCGGCTCGCCAAGTTTGATAAAGGAGATTGGATGTTCCTCTCACTCTGTCTTATAGGTTCCTCGGCAACGACGCGACAGCGACAACAGTGCACACTACTGGCGGAAAAGATGAGCTTAAAGCCTCTAGGCTTCTGGTTGGTTTGAAAGGACCCCTGGTAGCTCCGAAAGAGAGAGAGAGAGTATAAACCCCCTTGTCCCTTCCTCGTTCCTACGGAGTCCTCGGTTGCAATTTTCGGTTAGGGGAGCAAAGGGACAGAACTGAAACTCTTTGCGCCCCCTCGATTGAAACTGTGCTTGTAGTAGAGTGCCTGATCCGTTTCGTTGCTCTTCAATATCGAGTTTGTGAAAAAATTTTTTTTGGAATAAAATTTCTGGGGGTTCAAGAAATGGCGACCTGCCAAGATCTCGTACAAATAAGCATTCGTAAACGGACAGATGTTGATTCTTTCCATTCGTCGCGTTGTCTCGGAATATAACCTGAGCTTGTCCTACCATGCTCCCATGTGGTAAAGAGCGTGTTCCAGACAATGGCAGGAGATTGGCCTTTCGGACTTTGCCAGGGTGGCTCCAGCCGCTGTTACATCGAGAAACGGCGGAAACGACCGTCTTTCAAACAGTCAGTAAAGTAACACACAAGTGAGACTTAGCCTCAGTGGGTAAACGGCCAGTGATAGGTCCCACGTGAAGGCATGTTGCAGATGGTGAACCGAGATTGAAGGCAGAAATCTGTACCCCCCGTTTATGCCTTTCAAGAGTAGAAGTCAGGCCATTTGTTGTAGAAGACGTCGGACGTCGTCCTCATGTATATTGCCTAGCCAAATGTCCAACTGACGCGATTCCATCTTGGTGAGGTTCGGGCGCACTAACCGAATAAGAAAATTGGTCCTTTTCAAGATCCAGTCAAGCCCGACAGCAACGATGGGAACAGGAGCTTAACTATATGTACGACGCAAACCAACAGCCAGAAAAGAGCTGAGGTTGGACACCCGTCCAAATGCAGTAGTCTTCGGTCATCGTGCCATTATGACAGACTGAATGCTGCGAACAGCGATGCAATCGATGAAGCTTCACCTTGCACACCGCTGCCAGTTCTCCGCTCTTTCCATCTTGTGGTCCTTAGACCCAGAGTCATGACGTATTGCATATTATTCTTGCGTTCTCTTTGCCGTAAAATGGATGTCGTTGAATAAATATACCACTTGAATATCATGAACAGTTGAATATTTCTCTCGAATGAAACGTCTCCTCTTCTGCACAACCAACTTCTGTATCGCCCATCCGAATCGATCCAAAAGCGTCAAGATGGTGAAAGACAACGAGACTGTCATCAAGTACGAATCCTATGCCTGATATATATTTTTGACTGCGCACAGCTAAGGAAAATCATCAGAGAATTCAATGAATTAGTTAATATGTCAGCTGGTGAGCTCAAGGACTGGCTAGGCAGCGACGAGTCCGTGGGCAGCGGCTGGAGTAAGGACGACGGTTCTGGCGAGACTATCGGCCACGAGAGGTATGTCATCAAGCCAAGGATCTTTAGAAGCCCCATTACGCCCAGCAGCTGACGTTATTAGTGGTCGTAAAATCATCCAGATTTTAGAGAAGAATCCTTCCAAGGACCCATCCAAGTATGACCAGGATGATATCGACCACATGCGCAGAGTTGTAGCTTACAACAAGCGTCACCTCGCGCAAGAAGAAACTGCAAAGCAAAACACTGACAGCAAGAGTTACAAATCGTTGAAAAATTGGGGTCACGATGCACAGATGGCTTGAGGCTGGATTCCAAGCTTCATTTTATAAACCGCCAGATGAGAACATCCTTACCTGTGGATACTGTCTGTGATATATCACTGATAGGTCATATATTGAATCGAATTTCGAGTCATAGCCATCCATAACATATCGTTTAATCAACCATAGATAAAGTTATGGCCAAAGCGCTGGCTTTCGTTTAATCTAGACAATCCATGCCATTTTTGATAGTGTGAATAATGTTCGGATAAAAAAGTGTGTTATCCATTGCATTGTCGAAAGGCTTAAGAGCTGGGGTTGTATACCTCGACCCTTCGAATGAATGCCAAAAAGACATTGATATAGAGTATATGGAAGAAGCCCGATTGTAGTCATGTCCATTGGCAATCCACGTGCTGAGGGTTGCGGGGTGATTCTCCATTACAAAAGGTCACTTCGGCCGCTGAAGAGGGATTTGTGGAGCCAGCAGCACTAAGAATAACCACCTGCAAGGCGAAGCGAGAGCCCTTGATGTGGAGAATTCTCCGTGCTCCAGTACATGGTACCGTAAGAACTGCATCGCACAATGTCTGCTAGTCAAAGTCCCTTGCATGCGCGGTAAGCAAGCAACAAGCACTTTGTCTCATCACATCCAATTGAGAGCAGTAAGCTGGGGTCAAAGAAGACGTCTCTCGAAGGTGATCAGCTTTACAATGTGACGTGGAAACAAGGCATCAGGCTGGTGAAGCTTGACATTGGAAAGCCTCAGATTTTGCAATATGCTGTAGTGTTTCATGGTCCGAGCATGTAGACTTGTCGTCTATATATGCGATCTGGTCAGAAGTTACAGCAAGATTGGTCCATGAGAGCTTGAAGCAGGCTACGAAGTCGATGCGGGGGGCGAGAGGTAGGGATCGATGTGCCGCTGAGCTGGTAAAATAAACCAAACTACGATATGCACATTCAAATCACACCGTTGGGATTTGATCGTAGTGTCATCGAGATTATGGACGACGAGTCGCAAGGCTTACAATGGTAAAATCTAAAAAATATGCCAGCCGACCCGTGTGCTTGATTATCCTGGACATCAATCTCCAAGATTGTGAATGAGCTGCAGGTACAAAAGATCGTCCATGTTTTGGAAGGGCACGTTTCTTTTGCAGGGGAGGTGCAGCATTTATCTCCTGGAAAACGCTGTGATTGCTGGGAAAACGTGCCGACGGCGCCTAAACGCCTGAAATAGCACGGGGAACGAGATGGAGCAAATTAACACCAGCTGGATGAAAAGCGTTTTACCTGATTAGGAAGTCAAATTACCCGCAAATCCCGCTATATTTAGCTCGAATCGGCTGCACAAGTGGAGAGTTCGAATGTTCCACGCGAAGGCCTACACCAGCGGATCGAATCTTTCGACTCGGTCGGTGCATGCTTTGCAATACTTATATTACCGTCTTCTAGTATCTCAGCATTGTCGCGTTGTGGACGATCTGTTTCAGGCTGTCGCGAGCACCACAAGCTGAGTGTGGCCTGTCACTCCGCCACCACACTGCCGTGAAGCGATCGCGAACCTCTCCACCCCATTAGCGCTTCGATCCTCCGCTTGGCCTCCTTCTCGGGTCGCATTTTGCCACTGATCGAGAAACGCTTGTTGCTCGAGACAAATTTTGGCCTCATTCCACCATGGGCCGGCGGAAGATTGAGATCAAGGCGATCAAAGATGATAGAAATCGATCAGTGTAAGTGACTTTTGCGTTGTGGCTTTGTCTGGCTAGACCACCATTGAAACTTGTTCTTGGGCTAATTTTGTCGCGCGCATTACCCTTTAGAACATTTCTCAAGCGCAAGGGCGGTCTCTTCAAGAAGGCACATGAACTGTCCGTATTATGCTCGGTCGATGTCGCCGTCATCATTTTCGGTCACAATAAAAAGCTCTATGAGTTCTCCTCTGGTGATATTAACGAGACCATTGGTAGATATCAATATGTGTGTGGGCATCATGTAATTTCAGAGACGAAGTCTTTGCTGACAGATGGTCTTAGTATGGGACTCCCCATGAGCACAAAGGTCCAGCGGATTTTGCAGGAAAGAAAGTCGTCGATGATGATGATGACGATGATGCCCCGACTCCTCCTGGCTCGCATTCTTCCCAAGACCAACAACATATGCAAGCACCGCCAATTCAAAATCAACCCGGATATCAACATATAGCTCACCAGACGCCCTCAGTGTCTCCACCTGTTTCGAATGGTATTCCCTATCATCAACGACATGGTACTCCGCAACCGCAGGTTTCATCACGACCTTCATCTCGGAATGCTATTCGTCGATCAAGTTCAAATCTTGTTCCCCATGCGCAAGCGCCCCCGCCTCCGCCTCCTCCGCCACCACCTCCTCCCCAAGGGCAAAATGGTTATGCTTATATGGCGAATCCTCCTATTTTCAATCCACAAGCAGGCACAGGGATGCCGATGGCGCCGCAGCCTGGTCAACAAACCCCATATCAATATCCGCACCCCCGACCTCCACCATCTCAAGCGCAGCAAGTGTATTTGCAAGATCAAAGAAGGCAATCGATGCCCCCAGCTTTTCCACAACAAGAGCGGTTGCAGCCGGTGCAGGCTACTACCTCGCCTCCCCAACCTCCACGTCCCGCTGATCACCCACCCACGCTTCCAGCTTTAGAGACCAAACTGGTTCCTGCAAAGTCACGAAGTATATTCACTCCAATAGATGATAGTCGGTCATTACTTGCTCAGCATTGGGGAATCGGCACAACCGCAGCGGAGCCGCCGCGACCAGAAGCTCTAGTCAAAGCAGAAGGGGGTCCTCGGGCTCAATCCGTCGATGTCGGAAGCGTTTCGCGAAACAATGCTACCGTTCGACCACCTGCTCCTCCTGCCCCTCCCCCAAAGAGACCACCGCCAATTTCTCAGCGCACTCTTCCAACACCGGCCGAAATCTCTGCACCTGTTCGCCCCGCTAGCACACAATCTCAGGGCGCAAAACGACCTCGACTAAAGGTTCAGATCCCCGAAGAGCAATCTGAGGGCGGTAGCGCTACCGCCGAATCGTCTCCGCGCGTTTCCGGTGGGGGCGCAGGAGGTACACCCCTGAAGACAAGTCACGATCTCGGCCCTGCATCTGGGGTTGTTCTCCCTCCTCCATCTCCCAGTGCAAGTGCGCTTCTCAGTGCCGGGGCCACTGGCCCGCCCAATCCCTTCGCGCGCCCGCCTCCGCCAGCCCCGAATGTGGGCAACACGGCCGGCAGCAGTGGGCCCTACGGTAGTGCCAACATCGAGACGCCGATATCTGCTCTTCCCAGCCGCTTCGTTGCTGATGGACTCCTGCCGTCACCATCCAGTTTCTATCCCGAATGGGGTTTTGGTCGCAGCGGTGGCGATAGCAACATGTTACCCAGTCCTCTCAATTTCCAAACTCCAATAGCAGCTACAGGTCCTAGCTTCCTCCGAGATGACGAAGCGGATCGAAAGCGAAAGAGTCCTGAAGGACAAAGCTCCGAGGGCGAAAGCAGTAAAAGAATCAAGACGTAGCGAGAAAATGGTTACCATGCTCCTCGCTGCAATGAATTCTTTACGTTTCTCCTTTTTTTTCCCTTCTCATCCTTCCTTCTGAACTTCTCTTATTCTTTTTCTTTCCTTTCTACAGTGTACATGTTTTATACTTTGAATGCGGATACCCGATGGGCCTCACGCTCACTTTCGGATTGGGTTATATTTTTTCATTTTCTCTTCTTCTTTCTCCTCTTTTTCTTTATCTTTCCTTTTTTCCACTTCTCCATTGGCGCATGTGCGCATTACCTTGACGGGCCAAATTCTTTTTTTTTCCCCTGATAACGCCCTTTTCTTTTATTCACTTGGGTATACTGTCTGACCTGCGTTGCCCCTTTTTCATGTTTCAATCTGTGCCGGTGGTTATCTGCTTTGCTTGTTGCTACTACAATACGTTATGACCTTGTCTGACAGTGAGGATTCTACCATTCAATCGAGGAATATGTACTGCCTTTTTTCTTCTGATGATATTGCCATGACACTCGACCATGTATCCCTGCAAATATGATGGAACTACCTATCTTGGTCTATAGATGACATTTGTCCGAGTCGTTCTTGTTGCGTCAATTAATTGTGTTTTGGATCCGCCAACCTGTGTCCAAAATATTTTGGTTGATTAAGATAGTTAATCTGGATACGCGAATATGAGGTACAAGGTTTTGTCTTGAGGATATTTCAATAAGTGGAGGTTAGGTACAGAGTAGTTGTCAAATGATCGGCGCTCGGGACGGCGACTGTAGATGCCGAGGATAGCAGCCGATGATCTGATAAGAGCGATTCCAACGCAAAAGGGACTGGTGAATGAGTCAAGCGCATTCGCCCTTGGCCTGCCAAAGCTTAGCGCCGCGATCCATTAGTTTTATGACATGGGTCTCTGCAATTACGACACTTTATTATTGGCGCACGTTTTCGCTGCTAGCGCGCATGAATTTTAATCCCGAGGTTACGCCCGAAATAATACACGGCGAGCAAGAAAAGTACCTGCAGTTACTGGTAAAGAAGTAAAGGTATTCTGACTTGTCGGTCTCGCTCAAAGAGGACAAGCCAGGCCGCGTTTTCTGCAGATCCCTGAAGGTCATCAGCCAGCACCATCTATCAATCTAGAGCTTAATGGGCCTTTTCATAACAAAATCCGCATTCGATGGCTTTTGATGGGTACGGTCCGCCTGTACACGGCCTGCCAACACTAAACTTAGGGATAGCAACTTACGCTAGGCTCCCCTAAGCACCTTTCCGTCCTCATGGCAGGATGGATTACTCGTCCTTCCTCTTTTTTCCCCACACTAATTCATCGGCGGATTATTACGACCGAATCTCCGTTCTCCAGGACCGAAATGGGCTGAAGTTAGGTGATTTATAAGTCAATTGTGAAATCCGTTTCTCTTTTCTTCGTCTCCCCTTTGGTCGCACGTTTGTTTACGCTGCGCTGGAATTTCCTTTGTCCTCCCCGCATTTCGATATCTGCATATATTCCTTTTGTATGTGTATATATGCAAGCGCCACTTAATAGACGGACTGTTGCATAAGTTTTATCGATATCATTTGTGCTACTTGAATTTATAAAAAAAAATAATACTTGGTTGCCACGCCACAGCTCAAGACACTATGGCTGCGGATGAGGAGTCAACCTCTAGAGTCCACCCGGTCGACTCTCGAGGTGTCTCGGAGGGCGAAGCGGGTATCGGAGCAGACAATACTGGATCCACGCCGGTCAATGTTCGCCTTGAGGTGCCTGAAGAGAGCCAGCAACCCGCCCCTAAAGATGACGATGGTATGACCGGAGGCCGCAGCGTTGGCAAAATCGTCCTGATTATGGGGGCACTCTGCGTATGTCTTTTGCTACAAGAACTGTCATTTGATCTTGAAGCTTGATGTCCGTGCTGACTGAATTTTTAGATGGCAGTCTTCCTTGCTGCGTTGGACACGGTGAGTCCCTCTATGTATGATACCGATCGAAAGCAAAGAAACTAAGTGTTATTCTAGACCATCGTCACAACGGCTCTTCCCACGATTACACAACACTTTCACTCCTCCGCAGCGTATACATGGGTTGGTTCAGCATATTTGCTTGCTAATGCAGCATCGACTCCATCTTGGGGCAAGTTCAGCGACATTTTCGGTCGGAAGCCTGTCTTGCTGGTAGCAAACGTTGTCTTCATGATTGGTTCCCTCATCACCGCTCTCTCCGTGAATGTGAGCATGTTGATTGTGGGACGGGCAATCCAGGGCGTTGGTGGAGGAGGACTTATCATTTTAGTGAACATTTGCATTAGTGATTTGTTCAGTATGAGGTGTGTTTAATGCACAGGTGACTTGGTGTAGTTTTCCACAACTGACCGTTTTGATAGGCATCGCGGCGCTTACTTTGGAATGATTGGTATGGTTTGGGCCTTGGCCAGCGCCCTCGGCCCCGTTCTAGGTGGAGTCTTCACCGAAAAGGTATCTTGGCGTTGGTGCTTCTACATCAATTGTACGTGTTCCAGAACAAGATTCAAACGCAAGGATGTCTAATGCCGATGTTAATAATGTTACAGTGCCCTTGGACGGAGCTGCTTTTATCATCATTTTCCTTTTCCTCGATATTCACACTCCCAAGACCCCGTTCCTTGCTGGCCTCAAGGCTATCGACTGGTTGGGCTCTCTGAGTATCATTGGCGGAACGCTCATGTTCCTTCTTGGTCTCGAGTTTGGCGGCGTGACGTTTCCATGGTCTTCCGCCACTGTCATTTGTTTGATAGTGTTTGGTCTCGTGGTCGCCGTATTCTTCGTTTTGAACGAATGGAAATTGGCCAAGTATCCGGTCATGCCTGTGCGGCTTTTCAAGCACCGTTCCAACGTTGCTGCACTTTGCGTCTGCTTCGTCCATGGCATGGTTTTTATCTCGGCCTCCTACTATCTCCCCATGTATTTCCAGGCAGTGAAGAATGCGACTCCGCTCATGTCCGGTGTTGAAATCCTTCCAATTGCGGTTTCGCTTTCTCTCGTCTCAGCTGCCACGGGTATCTTCATTCGCAAAACAGGTCGCTACCGAGAGCCAATCTGGTTTGGAATGACGCTCATCACCCTGGGATGGGGTCTCATTATCAACATCGACGCCGGCAGCAACTGGGCAAAATTAGTTTTGTATCAAATTGTCGCCGGTATTGGTGTGGGCCCCAACTTCCAGTCACCTTTAATTGCGCTCCAGTCGTTGGTGGAAAAGAAAGACATTGCAGTCGCAACCGCGACTTTTGGATTCACTCGAAACCTGGCGACTTCCATCTCCGTCGTCATTGGCGGTGTCGTCTTCCAAAACCGTATGAAATCACATGCTGACGAGCTGAGTCGAGTTCTCGGACCAGAGCTCGCGGCCAAACTCAGTGGTGGAGACGCTGGTGCCAACGTTCTGATTGTGGATCAGTTGCATGGTGCCCAGCGCGACGTCGCTCGGCATGCTTTTGCGAGCAGTCTTCAATCTCTATGGATTATGTACACCTGCTTTGCTGCCTTTGGTCTCTTGATCAGTTTCCTCATCAGTAAGTCTTGATCTTTGAATGAGGACCACGATGGGCCTCTCCTCGTCCGATTATGTCTCTTAACGTACTAACGCCATTTCAACAGCCGAACAAAAGCTCAGCAAAGAGCACAAGGAAACCGAGACTGGTCTGCATGTTGAGGAAGCAAAGAGACGAGAGACTCTTGCAGCACAGGCCGATCAGCGAGCACATTCGATTTCGGAAGCCGAAAAGGATAAGGAGCAGGTCTAATTATTCTTCATCCGGCCAGCTCTTTCGTAAAAGAGCACGTCATTCCGACCTTTTTAATTTTTATAGTGCCGTGCCCAGGTTTTGGCATGTGCTCAGCGACATTTGATTTACAAATTTGATCAGTTGCAACCCATACGGGACATTGATCAACCATTTTTACAACTGAGATTTTTGGCCCGCCGTCGAGATCATTTTTCTGGATAGAATCGATTTTTGTCGGACTTCTCGAGCGAAATATATCATCAGTTATTTCGATATCAGCCATCTCGGTTTTGGGACTTTCTTTTAGGAAAATCTCTAATTCGACCCCATAACTGGGCACAATGAAGAACACATCTCGAATATCGGTGTTTCGGCATGACATTGATCGGCGTCATTCGGCATGAAAAGCATAGCATAGCATGGTACGATACAGCATTGTAAAATGTGTCGTTTAATATATCCAACATCACTTTTCGTGGAGCATGAAAAGAGCTATTGGTTCTTGCACGGAAAATTTTTCAGGCTGCACATATTCACCTTCAAGATATTTTTTTATTGTATAGCTACCTCGCTCGCTGCAGCATTAGGATATTCCTACGAGTAGATGGCCGTATAAATACAACGCACAAGCAGGTCTAAGCATTATCAAATTAATGTTTTGATAACCATAATTTGAATTTTTGACACTTACGTATGATCGCTCTCTTTGTACTCCGTAGTATTAAGCCATGTGCATTGACCACTGACAATCGCCAACATCTTATTTCTGTTGCGTATCCTCATCGCTTACCCTGGCCAGATGGAGTAAGTCTCCAGGCAGCAGCCATCACACAGCGATATCGGTCCACTGTTATGTTTCGCCCTTCTGCGGCAGCGGGGGCTTTTCGGGCTTCTCAGGCCTCTCAGGCCTTTCGTGTTCATCGGCCGCGCCACCTTAATCGGTCTACTCCACGCGTCAACCCTCCTCCTGCTGCATCGGGCGCTATTATTCGGGTCTGATAAGCATCTCTCTAGCTGTTGCATGGCTTATTAAGGTTTGATGGCATATTATGATACCTTGTTAGCTCATACATAAATATTAGGCATTGCCGCAACGTTCTGCTCCTTGCTTTCTTCATGACTCACAACATTGCTAGTGCTCTTGCTTTCCTGAAAATCTGATTTTGCAGCTCAGAAGTTTTGGTGTTGTCTTCGTGTTCTTGGACAGTGTTATATGGCCTCCTCGTTCAAACAATGAAGTTTAGAGCGGTCTTGTTTTCTACTATTGCATGTCTTTTGCATAAAGCATGTGGTAAGGCTATCGTCGCACAGGGAGCTGCCGGACACTCGCAGCTCACTCCCGCATGTGCGCAGTCAGGCCAGAACCACGGTACGACTCCAAGTTCACTTACAAGTCAAAACGCCAACCATATATTTAACGCTATCCACTATTCGATGCGACAATGGGGCTCTTCTTTGCACCACAATGGCATGTCATACTTTATAGCGACGGTGCCGGCTGGTACTGAATTTTACCATGGCACTTGGACATCCGAACCAGTCCAGGGGATAGAGTGGTTGGCGTTTGAGCCGGAGCATGCCATGTTGTTTGCTGTATCTCGCAGGTCAAGGCGAAAGCCACCGCCGGGAGACAAGCCAGGTAATAATAGACCGCCTAGCAGAAGCGACGATGATACCCGATCTCATGGACGGAATAAAATGGCTAGCCCACCAAAATGGAACGAGCGTGATGAGCCTTTTTTATTGCGACATCACCAAGATCTACAGGAATCTCTGTGGAGACAGAAACCACTTAGCATGAATTTCGACGCTGCTGGCAGCATCGACAATAATGATGATGACTACGACAATGACCACGAAAAAGATAGCATGCAAAGCGAAATCGACGCAGGCTTCCTGCACACCTACGGCGCAAAAAAAAACCTTCGGCTCCTCTACTTGGATGGCATGTCGGCGGCCAAATCGGACAAAGGCACCCTCGATACCCAAGATGTCGTTCTCTTAAATATAACAAATGGTGGATTAATGAATGAACTGGAACGAGCACGCGGCATGTGTGCCCTAGCAGAGAAAGAGTGGGGTAATCAGATTGACGGCATCCTTCGCATGGAAGGCGGATTCGAAATCATTCTTTGCTCCTTCGCCAAGAACCTGAACACTATCCGGGTAACGCAGGCAAAAGAACGTCCAAGAAGAGGTGGCATGCACATGGGACTCACGAACGAGGCTTTCTTCTCGTATTATCAAGCCATTACCTCACGATATCACGGTATCGGCGGAAACAGAGTTTCCCTAGACTATGAAAATTTTGTTACGGCCTATGATTATCCTCACTTCGACTTGTTTCCGGGAAATGAGAAGCTGCCGCGTTTACAACATCTTCCAGACGATGTCATTACCACTCTTCGGGAAGCGGTGCAGAACCTTGCACTGGCATCATCATCATCATCATCATCATCATCATCATCAAGAGTTGGTTTTTCAGAAACACCTTCTTCTTCAGCGGCACCATTTGACTGGCAGGCTGTCACAGACTTGATTGTCGCCAGGTATGCGCCGCGATTGAGTTATATTCGCTCCGGCGCCTTTCCTACAGCAGAGTCTCTCAGAGACGAGCTTGAGAGGACATTGCAGCCCTTTATTGATTTTGAGTTTCGCAATGAGACGCTCGAGATCAACCGATGCGCGAAGTACTTTCTAACATCCACTCCAGATCCAGCGGTTACGCTTGCTGGACGCGCAATTAGTCAAGTCTCGTACCAGATATGCTCTACAATTAGCTCAATTGCTAGCGGACTGAACGAGAGTGAAGATGAAGGAAATGCCGGGAGTCTAGACCATGCAACGGCCATGAAACAAGTTGAAGAATTGATGGACTACTTAAATTGGCCCGAGTGGAAGGAGTGTAGAGGATGCAAGGACGATGAGGTATGCGTGGTTCCTGTTTGGCCATGGGGTGCAAAGAAGGACTGGGAGTCGCCAAGCTGTGGTAATGCGAGCAGTATACTATCTAGACGGGGCTACTGGTGAGTAATTAAGGATTGAAGAGGACGAGATGGTTTCAATGTAGTGGCTGTCTCTATCTCCTTCCCTATAGGGCTATGGGGCATATCCATAAGTCGACATGGGGAATTTTATCGTTTTTTCGATATGCAGTCACTTCTAGAGTACAGGTAGCAAACAAGGGCTTTGTTCGGTTGATCAGCAGGGGCTAAACCGCTTTGAGAAAGGATTTGACACTCCCGTGTCGGAAACTCCACATGCGGGTGGGGAGAGAGACAAAAGGCGACAGAAGCTTAATGTGGAGAGGGAACGCCTGGAACCCCCTTCGTATCTGCCCGCTGTCCCGCTCAAGATCCAAACCAGTGTCCGAAACTCTGTCTGAGCAAATACAGCTTCGTAGAAGAGGATGGTTTCATAGTATAATGTATGCTCATAGGGACGATGGGACATGTCTACTGCTTGGAAAGGGTCGAAAAGGCATCAAATCACTCCACAATTATTTAATCTTACTCTACGGAGTAGGTACCTACCAAGCCTTCTGGCTAGCAGAAGTACCTCTCTGGTTGTGCTTGGGCCTTTTTGAGCTGCTTTGGCGGGTGGTAGGACATGTCCTGTTCCTTTCGCCTGCAAACCCTGTGAGAGGTCCACCCGGTCTAGAATCGATTTGGGTCAGAGAGAACGCTACTACTTTACCGTCTTCCCACACGCACACACAAACCTGCACCCCCCCTCCCCCCCATTACTTGGCCCCTCCTTGTTGCCCTGCTCTCGTCGCAAACACCCGAGCTACAGGATTCGTTTCTTTCTTTCCCTTTCCCTCACTTCCTCTTCCTTTTTTTTTCTTTCACTCGTCTCTTTCATCTATCACCTCATCACGCCTTTTTCATCTTCACCTCCTACCTTCGACCTCTCACGGATTGGAGCAGGTGCAACTTTCGTAGTTGTCACATTTTTCCGTCACTTTCGCCTTTTTCCATCCCTGCTCATCTGAAGCTTTTGCGTGGAGTTTATCTACGACAATCGATACCCATCTTGAGAAGTGTGTTCCGTTGCTTTTGATTCTTCACAGCTCACTCGTCGCTTCGTCATTCAATCTCCATCTCACCGCCAACCAAACATGTCTTGCCTCTATGTATCTCTGCCTCTTTTGCGTCCGCTCTCGCCCGACCAGTCCATGCCCGATGTGATGAAACTTGCGGTTGTAATGTGTCCAGACTGAACTTTTGGAGAAGAAACACCTTTGTTCCTATACGCAACATGTCGAAGCTCTTTATTGGGTAAGAAGTCTCCTTAATCCTCTACTATTACACAAGGACCAAGCTAATTCTCTACTTGCAGAGGCCTCTCTTGGCACACCGACGACCAGGCCCTTCGCGTCAAGTTCGAAGAGTTTGGCCAGGTTGAAGAAGCGGTGAGGCTAATCCACGACTATCTGTCTATCAAGAAGAATAACCTGCTGATAATATGTGAAAAGGTCGTTGTAAAGGACCGTGATACTGGACGCAGCCGTGGCTTCGGCTTCGTCCGTTTCGCCAATGAGACCGATGCCAATTCCGCCATTTCGGCCATGAACAACGTTGAGTACGTCTTCTCCCCTCTACAAATTTCTTCAAAACGATGGATAATTGATTGTTACAATGCAGGTTCGATGGACGCACCATTCGTGTCGACAAGGCCTCTGAGCGCACCGGTGGTGCCGGCGGCAGCGGTGGTTACGGTGGCCGTGGTGGCTACAACCGTCCCTCTGGTGGCTATGGTTTGTCCTCCATCATTTCGCTCGCAACAGTATCATTCACTAACCTCCTTTCTAGGCGGCGGTGGCTACGGTGGTGGTCGCGAGGGTAAGCGCTGATGAGACCGATGAAATTGCACGTTGACACTTGATGCTTACAATCTACTTTAGGCGGCTACTCTGGCGGTGGCTCTCGCGGCTGGGGTGGTAACTCGTATGGAGGTGGTCAGTCGTATGCTGGTGGCCAGAGCTACGAGGGCCAGGGTTCCGGCCAAGGCAGCGGCTGGTAAACGGAGACCTGCCCCGTTTCCACGATACCGAATCCTCTTTTCGTGCGTGATTAGATGCGTTGAGAATGGTGCTGTCAGATCTGTGTGACTGGTGACGTTGAATTTCTTTCCCTCGGAGAGACACTGGCTCCTTATCTTTCGGGAGCTGGTATTTTTCCTTGAATGGTTTCAAAATCATCAGGTTTGCGGGTTGAGCTCAAGTCCTCTTGGTGTCGTTTGAACTCTTTTTTTCCTTCTGCATTGATGATTCCCCGACGCGGCTCATCGATGTGGACGGCCTTGGGAGCGCGCAGATTCGGTGGTCGTCGGTCTTCATACCTTTGCTGTTAAATCGTTTCTAAAATCTTTTTGTCCTCGTCAAACATTTGAGGGCCTTTTGTCTTTTTGATTTGCGGCTATTTGTGCTAAATGGTTCTTGCAATGTTGCAACTCTTGAAAGGTCATTGTGGGCTGATGTTTGCACTCTCGTGGGGATCATATATACCGCACAATTACGGAGAACAAAAGTGCTTTTGAAAGTGTTTTTTCCTCTTATTTTCTGATTTGTATTATTGCTGAGATGCTTTCTCAACCTCTTCTTGCTCATCCGTGGTGCCCACTCTATTGAGTTCATTATCTACAGCAAATGCCTCTTCAACCTCGGGCGGCGCTGTGACACCAGGCGTACACTGGGCCTCTAATTTCCTTAGCCTCGTAGCCAGGTCCAGAATATGCTCGTCACCGCTGTCGATGGCTAATTCCTCCAATGCTCGCTCCAACATTAACAAGTATTCCTTGTTCTCGCCACTCGGTCCTTTGCTGCGAAGGATATGCTCGGCGAGTCTCTCGGGGTCCTGCGAACCGACAAACTGCGGGTTATTGGGGAGACCAATGTAGACCATGCATCGTATTGTTGGTATTTCCCGGTCTGCCGGATAAAAGGGTGTGTAGTGGATCGAGTAGCCGTTGATTTCTCGAATGTCTAGATACTGCTGTACCTCTTCGACCTTGTCTGGTCGAATGCGGTACGCCACGCCCCAGACTTTGTCGTCGCTCACGCTATGCTATTTTATTTCGTCAGGTCGTGATGTTTTTCTTTGAAGATTATCGAAGTCAAGGAAGGTACGGGTGTAACAGAAAGGGGAACAAACCACATCCTCAAGCGTCTCCCAGAATGGACGCTCTATCAGCGTCACAACACGGCCTGGTGCTTCGGGTGTGCCACGATGATCTTCACTATTGCACAATGTCCTCTTAGAATGGTAAATCGATGCAGTGTTTGTATTGATCCAATGATGATTACTTTCAAAGAGGTGGGAAACAAGGGGATTACATTTACAGCTGGTAAACTCACCTGGCCTGCCAAAATCTTCGGACATAGCCTTTTATAAATCCCGGAATGCGCTGATCTGAGAATTGTCAACGATAGGAATAGGAATATTTACTGTCAGTGAGTTTATCAAAAATACCATAATGTGGCGGGGGCTTCCAGATTAAGCTCCTACAAGTGATGGAATTGTCGTCAGCACTCCAACGCAGAATTGTGGTACATACAGCTTAGCGGTATAACCTGCGTCACAACTTGGAAAGGGAAAGTGACAGGCTCGACTTACCCGTAACCAAAGAGCCAAAATTCTCCCGGTGCACCGCCTTCACCCATGGTGTTTGATGATGTCGATGTCGACGTCCTCTAAGGGTTGCTGTCGGAAATTATGATTAAGTTAAGGTGCAACATCACGTAATGAATCTGGTCCCAACTTACTGGTCCCTGAGTGGATCTGCGAGCGGGATAATCTCGGAACCTTAGCAGCCAGGAAGGCAGGCAGCCCCACCATGATGAAAGTCGATGGAGAAGCTAATTCAACCGGCTCTGCCCCGCCACAGGGACGAGATATTACGGTGAACGATGAGAGGACGGAGTATCCTGTCTCATTATGCCGATCAAGATATAGATCCTCGCTGTGTTTCCAAAGGGGAAATTCAAGAATTTTTTTCCTTCATCCATTCTCGTCCCGACTGCCTGCACTGTCCTGTATATACTGTACCTGGTATATAACTTAGTCTGCGACCAAGTCGATATCTACAAAGAGCTGTCAAGGGACAGACTGCCATCCAATAACAACAACGCCAGGTAAGTCGTGGTCTGTGTTGGTGGAGCTGCGCCATTGCGACACAAAGAACCCGAGAAAATATATATGTATGCCAGAATCTGAATTGACAAGCTCTTCTTTTTGCTTATTAGACATTGTCCTCTCCCTGGTTTGGTTCGAATCGTGACCGCCCACGTCTCCGGTTTAAGCTCAAGCTCAGCCTCACCGGTGTCTCTCCCTCGCGCAGCCTTGTGACTCGGCCGCAGCTCTTTCTCCCCCCCTGCGCCCTTCACGGCTCAGAAAGAAACGCATATATTCTCTTCCAAAGTCATTGAGCTTTGTGTCCATTGATCGCCCAGTAATTCCCACCATACCAGAATATGGCTTATCAGAAGCGATATAATCCAGATGCGCTGCCTGCGTATGTCTTCCCTTTTCCCTTTCACTCTTGCGCTGCGACAAGTCGCAATGATTTCTCCTGACTTGTCAGTGTCTTGTAAGGCAGCAGCAATTATGTTAGATGATGCTAACGCTCAGCACAGGCATGCGGAACCAGACCAGGTACATTCCCTCCTCGTTTCCCGCTCACGTATTCAGTCGCAACCATTTAATCTAAACAACTATTCTTTCTGGCATCAATAGGCCGCACAGATGCTCAGTAACCGCCCGCATTCCAATTCGCAGCCTGCGCCCCCGCCACAGCAACAGAGCGGGCCTCCCAACTACAACAAACCTCATCCGCCGCTGCGACCATCAATGCAGCAAGGCCCGCCGTCAAACGGTGGGCGTGGCAGAGGAAGTGGATACGGCAGTGCTGGATATTCCCAAGGTCCTCCTCCTGCTGGCGCTGTTCCTCCAACGGCCGGGGGCCCGCCGCCTCATGCGCGATATGGCTCGGTCAGTTCCCCGCCATTGCAGCCCGAAGACTTTTCTCGACCCCCTCCGCAGCAGCGGTACAACAATTACGGATTTTCTCCACCGCCCCAGCACCAAGCGTTCGGTGCTCCTCCTCCACCGCCACAGGGCTACCACAATCGACCGCCAGTCTCGTCTCGGCCCCCGTCCAGTCCGATTGTGGCGCGAGACGCGTCTGAAGCCTCGCTCATTCCACTGTTCCAAGCCGTTGACAAAAACGGTGAGTAGGGAACCATGAAAGGACGAATCATGAGAAAAGACCTGGAGTTTTGTTCGAGATGATAGATTACTAATGCCGAATTGCGTGTAGGCTCTGGCGAGTTGAGCGAGCGCGAGCTCGGAGCCGCGTTAATCAATGGCGATTGGACACCGTTTGATCCGCACACGGTCAGGATGATGATAAGGTTTGGATATACCTGTTTGCGCGTAATGGGATAACATGCTTATCAAATTTTGGTTTAGAATGTTTGACAGTGATCGCGATGGCACAATTGGTTTCAGCGAGTTCTGGTATGTAATTATTATGGTCTTCATCCTTGCTAACATTTAGAATCATCTTGCAAAGCGCAGTGATTATTGACATGGGTATAGTGGTCTATGGAACTTTCTCGCTTCATGGCGCGCGCTGTTTGACCGCTTTGACGAAGATCGTAGCGGAAACATTAGCTTCGATGAGTATTCCAAAGCTCTTGTCGGTACGTTCGCCTCGAAGACACCCTGTTTTCAACACTCAGCGATATTGTAATGGTGTGTTTTGTGTTTCAGATATCGTACTGACGTCCTTTAGCATTCGGATACCGCCTCACTCCGCAATTCGTACAAACGCTCTTCCGAACATATGACAAACGCGGTATGTATCTGTTTACTCCTCTATGCTATTCTTTCCGTACTTGGAATCCAATCCATTCGTCGCTAACACGTTCATATCGGGACCACAGGAGCAAATGCCATTTCCTTTGACGTCTTTGTCCAGTCCTGCATCAGCCTCAAGCGCATGACAGACGTGTTTAAAAAGTATGACGACGACCGTGACGGGTATATCACGCTGAGCTTGTACGTTTCCCTTCCCAGTCCTTTGAATAAGTTTTACCTCATCTTTTGCTTGCCAACGATGGTGATTCCCTTCACCCTTGTCTTTCCTGTGGATGCTGGTCGTCTATTCGAGACGATCTTGATTTACTCGCGCCATTTTTTTTCTTGTCATACTATACTCGTCATCCTGTATCATCAAGCATACCTTAGCTAACATATGTCCCCTTTACAGCGAGGAGTTCCTCACAGGTACGTTCAACAATCATATCCAGTCCTCTTTTGTTCTACATTTCCATGGACTAATGGCCAGTTTTCCAATTACACAGAAATCATTCGCCAGCGATAATGTGATGGCATTTGGTCTTCAAGCGTTCTCGACTATCAATTTGTCTTTGGTCTATCCGCTTGCCTTTCGACTGGACTCGACTATCTGCAACTAAGATCATTCATAAGTCTTCCGTATTCAAACAGTTGACGCCAGCGGCACTGCGCTCTGCTTGGCACTTATGTAATCGGAGATTATCCAGCGAGACCAGCACAAACTAGTGATGGACGTTTTCTATCTGTTGTCCTTTTTATTTTTGTTTTATTTTCATTTTTTATCTCTTTTTTTTTTCCCGCCTCTACCACCTTCCACCCTTTTTGGGGTCTATGCTCCTTGTTCCAAGTTTTTTTTCGGTCATATGTTTAAACAGATATTGTTCTGTACTATATACATAGTACTACGACATGTCGATACAGTACAGGGCAGGGCAGGAGAGGACGGGACAGGACAGTTTATATATCTGTAGAAAGATAAAGATACCCTTTTATTTACATTACATTATTATATTATTACTTTTTTTCCCCCTCATTTTTATATTATATTACATTATTACATTATTATCGTCATCACATTATCATATCATCATCATCATCATCATTATTATTACTATCACCAGTACTATATCAGTAGTAAGCTCAGTCTACCTTACCGCTCGAGTCAAGAGAAGAGAGTCTAAGCTCGAATTCTTTAATTTCAATTTGAGTTTCAATATCGATTTCAATACGGAAAAAAATATGGATATTGATATCGATAAATGTAATTATTCCATGCTATTTGTCGTTGCTATACTATCCATTACTATGTGATGTGATGGGATGTATGCTATGCTATGCCATGCCATGCCATGCCTGCAACGCCGTACAATCCAGCATTTCGTAGAAAGCAACACTTGCGTATGCTATATGCGCCCATATTCTCCTCAAATAACACCTTTGTTTGATAAGAAAAAGGAAAAAGGAATGACATTGTATGGTTGGGGAAAAGAAGGATTGGGGGTATCATTGTGTAAAGAGAAGAAGAAGAAGAAGAAGAAGAGCAAAGAAAACGGGAAGGGAAGAGTGCAAGTAAGGTAAGGAGGAGATGGGACAAGGTTAGAAGACATCGTCCATGTTGATGTCTCCTCCTCCCGCCCCCGCCGCCTCCGCAGCAGCAGTGGTGGCCACCTCCCCAGAAGATGCCTTCTCCCGCGCGGCTACCTCGTCCCCGACAAAACAGCACAGACCCGAAAACGCCTCAAACATGGTCCGTGCATAATACTCATGCACATCGTACCCGCCTGCGAGAAACTGAGGTTTGCTACGGACATCATCGAGCCAGGGATGCTCATAGGTATCCTTGAGAACATAGTACTCTCTATGCTCCGTGTAGCCGCCAAACGGATCATACGGCTTCTCCGGCTCGACAGGAAGAGTGGGTTTGAGGCCCTTGATGACAAACGTATCATTATCAGCCAAGGCTGCGGACCCATTATCTGCGCCCGCTGCAAGACCACTAGCCGCAGCACCGCCAGCACCAGCCATACCCGCTCTGGGTTTGAGCAGCGACTCCATCTGCTGTCTCTGTTTGCGGGCCGTGCTCTTCTTCAGCACAATCTTTTGCATTTCGTGCGCGATGCGATCTGCTTCGCCCTGGTTGCCTGCCGCCAGACGGGTCAATGCTTCTCTGCGCAACTCCTCCCGCTCTTCGCGCTCTTCTTCCTCTTCTCTGCGCGCCGCCTCGCGACGGAGTCGGGCCGCCTCACGCTCTGCTGCCTGTTGTGCCGACAGCGACGCCGCCTCGCGCGAGGCCCGCGACGCGTTGGCCGATATGGCCTGCGCATTCTGCGCGGCATAGTTGGCCAGTTTCTTCTCCGTGGCAGATAAGTCGATCCCGTTGAGCAGGTTGAACGTGATCGTCTCCACTTCTTCGAGGTAGTTGTTGTAGTCGAGCAGCGTTTCGAATTCTTCTTCGCGTCGATTAAATGTCGCCGCGACCCTTCGGCGGATGTCTACTTCTCGCTCCACTTGGATGTCTTCAAAGGTTTGGGCCCGGAATCGCGCTTTCCGCAGCGTGCGGTGGCACCCTGCCACGGGACATGGGGCGGGTCCCGCGCTGAAGATCCGGTCCACGCATGCGGAGCACATTTTGTGGTAGCATTCTGGGTTCACCAGGAACTTCATGTTCGGGTTCAGGTACCGAGATGTTTTGCAGATGGGACATGTTTCTGATGCGTAGGTTAGCATGGGATGTAATTGTATGGTGTGGTCGGTACGAGGAAGGAGGGTGGTGAAGAGGTTTGGAAATTCTGAAAAGCAAGAGGACTTACCTTGATCATCTGCTGGCCGCATGCCGTTGCGCTGAGTGAGCTTGGACATCTTGACAGCGTTTAGAGGCGGCGCTGGTGAGACGGGCTCGAGCTTGTACAGCTATGATATGAGATGGCAATGCGGTTGTTTAGTTCTTGGTAACTTCATGAGCTCCGTGCTTTGGGTTGCGTTGGTTGAAGATCGTACCGTAGCTTACCCGGCTTACTTTAATGCTGCGGAGCTCAGGCACAGCTGATGTTGGCGGTAATGCCCTGTATGGTCACATGACTGGATTACCTGGCTTGTTATAAGTCACTACTAAAGTGTCAATATAATACTATATTTTGATATTATACCTTTATTTACATATTTTAATGACTATATTTACATCTGTTTCGACTCCTTCCACCACCAATAAGGTACCTATAGTTGACATATATAGATTTTATTTAGTCATATATCAGCCATCCTGTATATATCTTCTACTAGCTAGCTATACACAAGCCTCTGGCATGCTATGATGCCTGCTCGCCACTTCTATGCTCTCTGAGGTGGCTTCATGGTAAATATTCCTGTCAGGTAGCCCCTACATCATAATGAAGTAGCTATCCGGCATATGGATCGATGAATCGGTGACACTGGCGCCTCACCGGCTAGATGAGATGTTTGCTTTGAGTGGCAAAAGCGTGATTCACGTCGAGAGGCTGGCACTCTTCATCTTTGTTGCCCCCAGTGCCGTGAGCAAAATGTAGAGTGATAGAAGGTTTAATAAGAGTCTGTGTTCAGAGAAAGGAATCGAGGTCGAGAGCTCTCATAGTAATTACACCGTCCTTCGATCGACATTTGCACCATAAGCAATCGTGTCCATAGCCCAAAATTGCAATAGCACATGCAGACCATGTATCATGAGAGGAGTTGCTTTGTTTGTTGACATGTGGATGGATGAGACAGCCTTGCAAAATTCCGATATTTCCAACCGACTACTATATTACTAGTCAACAAACACCATTTAACCAGCCTACCCCGTACTATGTATCAGTGCTTTTTATATATGCCAAGCCCGAGAAAATCCCATTAAAATAGATTGCAAATGAGATGTCTCTATTTGTCCTTACCAATGCCAGCTTTCCAGCAATGCCGTCTTCTGTAGTGACAGAATATCTCTATTTGGTATCCCACTCGTGAATGGGCAATGAAATCACCCTGAGACCCTGTAATTCTGGGACTTGAGAATGATAAATTTGTTCAAACAATGGTGCTGCTTGTGCAAACTTTCTCCTTGTGCCACGATCCACATACTGATATATCTTCTCCCAAAGCTCAATAGGAAACGGATAGTATTTAAACATAAGCTGCTTGTTTGCTCTCCAGTGAACCGATGTAAAAATATTCTTCAGGAGGTGCAGACCATCTGTCATTGTGTCAAATGCCCTTGAATGATCAAATTCAGTGTCTTGAAATGATATTAGCAGCGGAAATGGCTTGGAGCATTGAACGTGTAATGAGTTTATGGTTACAACCACAATACTCGGAAGGGAGAATAGGATGACTTTTCCCGAGGTGCCTTTCAAGTATACTTTTGCAGCTTGTAATGCTTGTGTTCCTGCCTGCTCATCTGCTGCGTCGGGACACAGCACGATCAGAAGTTGGTGATACCAGAAGATATTTGCAGGATTTGCTTTCCACCCAGGACAAGCAATGTGCGAGGTAGGTAAATCATGGCAGGAGGAAGGGAGATCATCAGAGATATCAAAATCCAGAGCAGCAACCCGAAGAAGTGCATTGCACAATGTCTTATATAGCAGCAGTGACGAGCCCCATGCATCATGATCATCGAAGAATGACTTCCACTGGTGGACAATATCAAGCATCAGCTGCTCATGAAAGAGCCCGAGTGGTGTGGGATAGTGCAAGGTTGCCAGCTCCTTGTCCAGCGTGTCGGAGTGTAAGCTGAATATCGTTGGTATTTCCGGAAGGGGGCGATTTTGGTCCAGTGTGTCGGATTGCAGGTTGCAAATTGGTGGTTTCCCCAGAGGATGACAACTATTTTGGTATTTGTCACAGAACTCTGAATCCGGGAGACTTGTGAGACTGAGGGTTGGTGGATTGCCATTGATACGGAAACGTGTAATGCGAATGGTAAGCATGCCTCCATCGTTTGGACCTAGTCCTCGTGTATCAATCCATGTTTTTGCCTTTAATGTTCGTTTATCAAGGTCAAGTGTATTGACACATGATGACATAGCATGCAACGCGAATGGCAAGGGCTTTATGTTTTCTTTACACTGGAATGTTGGTGATGGGCCCTTGAGTAATTCGTTCAGCCAAAAGATCACATCTTCCTCGTCTTGAGGATCACATATACGGTGGCCATGTGCGACATATCGGTATAAGATCCATTCGTCAGTCAGTTAGCTATTGTCTGAAAAGTACAGAACACTGCTCCCAAACCTTCGTGGATGATGTTCCAACATCCTCGATAACCCATGGTCGATACTGGGGGAGCATGAGGGTCATGAAAATGAAAGATGAAAGAGTTTAAGCTATGAGTAATTTAGAAGCAGTCTCCGATCAGGTAATACTATAAGGCAAAAACGTGGGGTCGTGCTATACATGGAGAGTATTACCATAGGGGAAAAACCGGGGTTTTCAATACCTTAGCTACATGGGCCCAGCGACTAAACTGTTGTACAACTGGAATTTTAGGAAAATATAGACCTGTAACCTTCAATTAAATGTGATTGTATTGTACTTATGTTACTAAATCCTGTTCAAACTGTAGTAAAGTATATTTGTTTACCAAGTGCTCCGTAGATAACACTGACAACTATAGCGTCCTGTGAATAAGTTAAAAATAACCTGTCCGAATCAAGTTTCTTCCTTTATTTACACTAAAATTAAGGCATCTGCAGCTGACAGCTAAGGCGTTTGATGACTAATCTACTAGAATGTTCGGCACGTCGCCCTAAGCTTTTTCGAGCGACGGATTTCAACCTCAGTCCATTCGGCCAATTTTTATTCCCCTTGAACGCATGGGACGATACAATGGCTGAACCGGTCAAAGATAGTTTTGGCGACCTGGAGCGCCACCGCGCGCGTCTGGAGGAGAATGTGGAGAAACTCCGAAAGTCCTTGCAACACTGGCAAACGTGGGAAGCAGAATACGAGGGGCTGAAGGAGGAAATCCTTGCATTCAATGGAGAGCCTTCTAGGGAGCAGTTTGTATGATTAGGGCATCATTGAACTGGCGCGGAGTAAAAGGTGCTAATATTGGGCGCAGCTTGCTATTGGCAATGATTTTGGGGGAGATCTTGTGAATGAGCAGGGTATGTGTTGCATCATTCCTATATTATTGAGCGCACTGCTAATGAGGTGAAGAGATCAAGGCTCTGCTTGGAGATGACAAGGGTATAGTGCGCACAAAGCGTCAGGTTGTGGATTTAGTAGGCCGCAGAATAGACTGTGAGTTGCGCTGTGATATAAAATAGGAGAATTGGAAATGCTAACAGAGTCTGTAGATGTCCAACAAAATGTAAAGTCCGTAGAGAAGCAATTACATACCGCGGAGGAAAAGGTCGATGCCGTAATGGTCCTGTATCAGCCTGAAGTCATGAATGAAGACGGCTTACCTGTGACGGAAATTCGAGAAGAGCTGGACGAAGAGGGCAATGTCATTTCGAGCAGCACGTCCCGAGCTTCGGACACGGCGCCGCAGGTTTTGGAAGCGTTGCGCAAAGCTGGTGTGGACATTCCTTCTGGGAAGCCATCGAATGAGCCGCAATCTGAGGGTTCGTCTAAGATGGCGCCCAAAGAGCCTTCTGGAGAAAAGACCCAGAAGCCTGACACCGACGCCGCACAGCCTGTGCAGCCCCAATCAGAGGCGAAAAAGACTTCTGGCAAGCCAGCGAAGAAAAGCGTCAGCTTTGCCGAAAATGTTGAAGAGAAACCTACCGAAAAGCCTACCTCCGCTCCAACGCAAAAGCTGAACTTCGCTCAACTTCGACCAGATCAGAGAATCATCGAAATCAATGATAGCGATGATGATGACGAAGATGAACGTGATCCTCCAGTCATCCCAGAAAACGAGTCCTCAGAAGATGCACAACTTCGTCGAGAGATGCTAGAATACGGCCTGAATGAAGTTGGTTCTGTAGTTGCGGAGCTCGACCTTGATGAGAGCGGCAGTCAGTTCTCCGACGGTGATGACTATGATGAATACGGAGAGGACGAAGAGGATGAAGATAAGTATGGTAGAAGCACGAGGCGCGAGATAAGCGACGATTACCGGCAAGAAATGCTTGAGCTTGAGAAACAGCTCAATGCACGAATGATGCAAAATGCTGGCCCAGGTGGAGAGATCCCTCCTGACCTTAGGGCTACAGGAGCAGCTCAATTCCACATCAAAGACGAGGAAGTTGAGGATGTTTCAGAAAAACCAAAGCAAAAGTCAGAAGAAGGCAAAAAGGGCGTTCGCTTTGCAGAAGCGCTTGACATTGCGCCGCCTTCAAAACCTGTGGCTAAAGAGCCACCAGCGCCAGTATCCGTAGACAAGGATGCGCCACCTGCTATTCAAGACTCAATCATCGAGCGGAAAGCGCCTGCGACTTCTGCTCCAGGACCGGCGGCTCCGGCCCCTCGGAGGGTATCCAAGTTCAAGAGTGCGCGGCAGGCGGCGGACACCAGCCCAGCATCATCCAAAGAAACACCTCAACCTACCAAGGTAGCCAACGGGCCTCTTGCGAATGGTATCGTCGAGCGAAATAACCGGTCAAGTGGCTCTTCGCTGCCGCTCTTCCCGGCATCAGGGTCCAAGCCTAAGCAATTCATGGGACCGATCAAGATGGCGGATGAGGAACGGACGCGTAAAGTGCCTGAAGGGCCTTCTGGGAAAACACTCGCCAACGCTGTTGTTGAGAACGACCCTTCCGCACTCGCACCGCCGTTTGACCCCGACGAGTTCGACCCCGCGCTTCTAGAACACCAAGTCGCCGTCGAGTATCACAAGATGCGTAACCGTATGGTGCAGAGACAGGGTGGATTCTTACCACAAGACGAAGAGGAGGAAATTGTCCCTTTGGCACCAGAGGAAGGCGGTTCTGGAGAAAAGAAGATGAGTAGGTTTAAAGCGGCGCGTTTGGCAAAGCTAGGCCAGTCATAGTAAGTGTTGCTGTTGAGAGCTTGCAATCTTTAGATTCCTTCTTGTCCATATATTCTCAGGGTAAAAATGGGAACTTTTTTCCTTTTTACTTACAAAGAACTTCCGCTGTACCGTGGCATCGATTCGTGCGTCGAAGTTTGTGTCGAACTGTTGTGGCCGAAGCGTTGACGTGAGTGGGTGTTACGATTTACGCGTTGTTGCCTTGCCCTGACACGTATGAGATGCTCGGTGACGGTGAAGATGACGATGATGCTGATGATATGTGGGACGGTGATGATGAAAGGCGACGTTCGACATTGAACTGTTTGGCCTCAAACTCACAATACCAGCCTCGAGAGCTACGGTTCGCGCTGACTTGAGAGGATAGCTACGGTACGTCTTGCCGGGAGGACCTACCGCTTCCTATTGCCCGTTTTGTTTGGGATTTCCAAGGTTATATTTGGTTTTTTCGTCCTCTCTAATAACCGGACGGCCCGTGTGGTCGTAAGTGGCTAACCCCGCTTACGTCCACCCGGACCTGAAGTTCCTGAAACCTCTATTCGTGTTCGACCCCCGCGTGGGTCGTACTGGCTGGGGATTATTTGTGAGAACGGGGTACATAGAGATGTAGCACGCCTTAACCAGTACCGAATGAGGTCCTGGGGCGTGTGAACTCTTTTGTTTCCGTGATGTACGACATTTTATTTTTTTATCCCTGTTTCCTTATTGCTATCTTCTTTTCTTGCGTGCCCTTCTTCTTTCATGGATATTAGAATTTTGTCTGCATCTGATGAATTTTGCTACATTTGGAAGTAAAGGGGCGTGCTAGGACAGAAAGATGATCGTGATGATTTATGCTGCTTAACTTTATGGAGCTTTTGCCTTTTGAATTGCCAGGAAAATTCCTACGAGCGCGTACACAATTACAGTTCATGGGATTTTGGCTGCGCAACTCCCGGAAACAGGATCTTTACCGCAAACTTATTCTCAAGGGCAAGCTACGTCTATGCCTGTGGAGCAGCTATGAAGCATGCCAGGAGAAGGTCTAAGATTCCCAATTGCGGGTTTCAGCCTGCAAAGCGCACGAGTTGATGCATTTCACATTGAATGCTGGCTTCTATATGAAATCTTCTATGACTGATATCTAGGAACGCTAGCTACATCAGTGCGATCAAACGTTTCTCCGAGAACGCCCTGGCCAAATGCAATTTGGAGATATGTCTCTGTGACGGCTTTGTCTTGTGCCGAAGTACAAATGCCTATCTGTCGTCGATCCTTGCGCATGGCCCCTTTGCCGCAATGAGGAGCAGAGTCTGCCCAAGCCAACGCAGTATTACTCCAGCCGCCTCCACGCAATATGTTCAGAATGACATGCCGCGGCTTGACGTCTTCGTTGGGCCTCAATCTGACTGTTCCGAATCATACTCAGACAAATGCATCGCTAACCATGCAGTCAACCTACGCGCTCGATCACTGTCAACAGGGCTGGGGGACATCGCGGCAGTCTTACCTCCATACACGTCGTCATGATTCCTCCTTCTTGACTCTCATCAACACCTTTCTCATAATCTGGCCGTCGCATAGTTCCTCCTAATCCGTGCGAACTCGCCCTGCTCCAATCCTCCAGTGAATACCGAACCCTCATCGACTTACCCGGTCTCCCCAAACCCCCTCCTCCTCCGGCATCGCGGGATTCCATGGCATTCTCTCGGCCGAGCACATTCACCTGCGCTCCTTCTATATCCAGCCTCGCTCCTTCTACAACCGACGATATTCACCGACCCCACGCGTCACCGTTGGTCCAGCCTCCTCCAAATCCTCCCCCTCAGGTTCAATTCATGGGTTACCCGGCTCCGTGATTTTCAGATAACTCGCCCCTTCCCTCCGTCTATAAAACCCCCCCACTCTCCCCCCTCCCCAGCTTCCTTCCTCTTCTTCTTTTCTTTTCTTTCTTTCCTCACGGACTTCACATATTTGCCTTGACAGCCTTTTCACCACTCCCTTCCTTTCTCCCGCCTCCTCTCCACCTCGCTTCCGACTTTTGCTCCACCTTTTTGCTCCACCTCTGTAAATCTTTCTTATTTTGTCCGTTTCTCGCCTCTTACCTTGTTGACGACGGCTTCTCCCCTTCTCTCCAAAGTCCCAACATCCCCGGGGGAGAGACAGCCGCGTAGCAAAGGGGATGTGGGCGGCTCCTTCCCCCTCTCTCTCCTTTCCTCCTTTACCTGACTCAAGAAGCGATCACAGAAGAAGGCGAGTCCAAAAAAACTAACATATGACTCTAGAAACGATTACAGAATAACGAGTCGAGAAAAAAAAAACTGGCTTTTTTCCGGATCTTAGCTCGCGAAGAAGACTTCTCTTTACTTCAATGAGATGGTTCTGCTTTTTCGCGTAGCAATTTTCTTTTCTAAAGAAGATCCTAGATCAATGTTTTCTGTTTTTAGCAGTTAGTTTTCAGCAATAGGGCTCTCTGACGCCGGCCTCTACTTCAATGGGCTCTGGCGATTCGTTTCACCCTATACATATGAAGTTTTACTTTAGCTTTTAGTCTTTTTCTTTTCACTCTAGCATTTGTTGGATTAAATAAATACGTCATACTTATTCCTACTTTGTGCGTTACTTTAAGTCACCGAGCGGTTCGTAAATAATCCTATCAATATATTCTGGCTTTCGCTATTTTGGCTGAACCGCTTAAACGCCGGGCTTTATGTACAGTTCTACCAGAAGAAACAAGGGCGAAAGGATATTGGGATAATTCATCGTAGTTCTACTCAACTTGTAGACTCATTCCACAACGCTCTTGAACCCTCCCCTTCGTTTGTTGTCCGGTCTGTTGGCCAGTAAGACATTCTGGGACTAGAGATGAGGCACAATGTCATCCCTTCCACTAACGACAGCAGTATTGCCCGGCCCTGTTCTTCAATCGCAAATCATACGACTAGTCTACCTCATAATTGAATTGATTACCACAGAGACACGAAAGCACATCCCACCATACTATCATCGGTGCTCCCGAAGCTCTTACATCTTCTTTCGCTTTCAGGAATCAAAATTTCATTATCAAAGATGAAGCACAATACGCTAATCTGCTTATATCCTTAAACGCGATGCTTTAGAACCCCCTTCTGAATGCATTGCCAAAAGTAAATAGTCCAAAAAGCGCCAATCCGCTCAGACCAATGGGAAGCGGTTTCTGCGTCTTGATGGCGCGGGGAATCGACGAGCCGGCCAACACGACGGAGGCAAGAAGAGCGAGCTCGATGCCGTACGTTTGGCGGTTCTGGATACGGTAGCCTCCGAGACCGTACTATAGGGAGAAACGTGTTAGCCATGATGTTCCCCTTTGCTGTTCTTTTCGCTGGTTCTTTTCCAAAGTTTTGTTGTATGCGGAAAATTGTCAAAAAGCGTATCGAGAATTGTGGCGTTAAGTGGAATACTGAACATGAAGCGGACTGAACGGCTCTGGCAGAAAAAATCTGGAAGGGAAATGAATGGAGAATAGTGAAAGGGAATGTCGTACCAAAGTACCGACAGCAACACCGGCAATGATAGAAGGCACGGAGCCGGTGCGGACGTAGCCCGTGATGCCGCCGCCAGCGGTCAGGGCGGCGAGAATGTATGCGGGGAGTTCGTTGCCCTAGAATTGAGGAAATACGGGTTAGTTACTGGTCATTTCTCTTCTGGGCTCTCATGGCTGTTATTGCAAGCGTATAAATCTTGAAGAGTGAGGAAACAGAGGGGTGGAGGGAGGCAGAAAGGCGGTGTTGGTTTGGCATCGATTGAGATGCATCGCAGGCGCTAAGAAGCACTCACCATGATGTTTACTGAAATATCACTTCAAAGAAGCTGGTATGTGAAGTATAATGACGCTGTTAAACAAGGTGGAAAGTTGTATGGCGAGCTTGAGCTCCCTTGCTCTCACATCATCTCGGTTCGGAGTTAGGACTCTCCGTGGTGGCCCGTGCGTGATCAGTCAATCGGCATATCAGGACCCTGAATCGGGCTTGTATGGGGTGCTCTTATGGCTATAAAGTAGGTATGTTTTGACCACCGAATAATGCATCAGGGAATCAACCCAGCTTTATAGAACCCGCGAAGATCCCTTGGACAGATGCGAATACATGCGGTAAAGAGAAAATGGGGAGGTTGAGCAGAGCTGCAGAGAACGGGTATCCAACCACTGGTATGTTGACAGCAAACAATTGTATGTCACAGTCCATCCAGCCTTCTTGTTAATGAGACGTGGTCAAAATTATATATGCCTTCGAAGACGATGATGGACAAAGTTTCATATTGCATATGCCTATATCGTACCGTGACCACAAACAAAATAAATGTCTAGGGTAATTTGCTAGTTGAAGTTCACCAAAATGACTTTCTCAGCCATATCAAGGCAGCCGTTGCAACACTCATGATGCACCTCCAATACTGTTTAAATGAGTGAACAGCTTTTCTAAAGATTGTATGATCTGGATTCACCACCTTTGTCTGCAAAAGCTGATTAGCTGAGCCCTGCACAAAATGTCGGAAGTCTTACTGCTTTGTCAGGGGATGTTTGGTCCAAATCAATTGCGGCTAAAATGGTTGATAATTCCCAGGTGTCCTTGAATGATTTTTCGCTCCAGCATCTATCGATTATATCGCCTAGCCAGAGACTTTTTGTTGCGGGCAAGCGCTCTCGGCTGGGCCATTGAGCCCTTCGAGATTCGGCGTCTTCATGTAGATTGAATTGACATTTTGTTCCAGTAATCACCTCATACATGACTGTGCCAAACTGACCTATATCTGTATGAATGGAATAGCCGCTGTCATCAGCTTGAGACATGTCCGTATCCAGCGGAAGAATTGACGATTCTGTAAAATCTGAGAATTTGATCGAGAGGTCCGTTGCGAGCAAAAGATTTCGACTAGAAATATCTGCTACAATGACACGTCTGCCATGTATCAGAGCTAATGTGTGAGCCATTTTTTTGAACCAGGAAAGTTGGAGAAGCTTTGACGGTCGATGTTGTTGGAGATATTCGCGAAGGTTCCCAAGCTCCATGAGTTCCATTTGGATGCCTGGACCAGAAAGATCGAGGCATGAGACCACACCGTCACATTCACCAAGGCGACGATAGACATCCTTCTCGCGCTCAATTATCTCGACGGCCCACCCATTTCTTGTGCTCTCATCTTCTGTGCAGATAAGGGGAAGCTTGACGGCAATGTTTTCCTGCCTGATTACCACCCCAGACCCGCCCATGCCAATGATAGGATCACGTATTGGGGTGCCATCCTGATGTATGAACATAGCGATTATCTTGCAAGTTCCTGACAAAGTTGTTATGGGCAAAAGTGGGAGATTGTAGGATTCAAATAATTCATGGGCCACGGCACGGTAGATCACTGGTTTGGGTAGCTTGCACAAGACTGGCCGAGCTAGTAGAATATGATTGCAAAAAAGGCAAGCAAGGGACTCGAATCATTTGCTAGCTACTGAATTGAATGTGCGGGCAGAATCACCAACGTCCATGCATTCTGATCATCCCTGAATTATGTTCGTGTTATGTAATCCTCGCCTCGGATACGTTAGCCGCCAAGTGTCACTGTAATGGCTAACGCCGCACTTTGGGACCAGCTATTATACCAAAGGGGATTCCTCACTCGTTAGCTAACTACTTTAACTACGCGCGATCAATTAGCCTCCGAAGATTAGGGATTTTATATGTGTGTTTTACATGGAACCCCACATGCATGGATATTATAAACTGATATAAGTTCAATCTTAACTCTTTTCCTTGAAGAGGTCTCGCCTCTTAGCATACCAATTTCATGAAGCTCAGCAGTAATATTTCGATAGCACCCGCTCGTCAATCCCGTTCTATGCACCAACTCGAAGACCTGGAGCCTGCACGCCCAGACTATAATTGCCAGCTCCTCCGGCTCCTGCGGCTCCCGCACCTCCTGCAGCTCCCGAAGATCCCGAATTGGGTGTCGATCCAGGAAGTCGATGCTTTGGACAATTTATTTTCCTCCTTGTAGAGCTTCCTTGAGACGTTTGTGTGATAGGATCGCAATAAGAAGTTGACCCACGTCTCGCGTCACATTGTTGTACATGGTCATGATCGGGCTCGAATTTCGTACATTCGTTCCGTGGACCGGTACAGTCTGGGTAATTGACTGGAGTTTTCCACCGTTTGTAGCACATTCTGATGATGCTGAAATCATAAGATAGTGTTCGAAACGAACGTGATACTCTTACCTGTTCTCAGATTTGGGTGTGAAGGTATTGTAGATTCCTAGTGAGCATGAGAGCCGTGACAGTAGTTTGGAGTAGATCGTTGGTCTACAGAGATTTCCCCCCAGTCAAGCATGATATATGGTGAGCTTTCAGCCTCGTACAATATAATCCTACACCTACCCCGCAGGGCTCGCACAGCAATAACGCAGACCCCTGTATTAAAGCCTTGTCTGATGAGACCCTATCAGTGACTCAGAACATTTTGGTCACCAATCAGAATTCTAGCTGCTCAGAAGTAAACCTGCCAAGATCGCGTCAAACAATAGATGAAGTTTACCTCGCTCTTAAAGCTTGCCTTTTGAGAGGGTTTCTCTGTGCTGGTGGCGGTGCCTGGGCCCGCCAACACATTTGATATAAGTTGGAGCAAAATCTGTATATCCAACTCAATAATGTGCCCATGAGAAAAAGAAACGAGCTTTATATACGGTATATGGCACACTTTTGGCAAAGTTCCATTTGTTGATCTAGTTGTCTCCAACCAAGAACTAGCAAAAGGCTACGGGAGCAGCCTAAGTACCCGCGTGCTTCAGGAGCTCTCATGCCAAAGTATACGCCGCGCGTAAGTACAAGCGATATCGACTGCGTAACGGGCATAACATACACCTGGCGATTTCAATATATCACGAGCTTACAGCTTCAGCTTCAATTCAACACCAGCCCACGCGTCAATTGGACGGCTTGCTTCCAATTCTTCCTATTAACAATCCCGAAAAGACCAACATACTTCTCTTCCGACTAAATACGAGCCCGCGACTGTCACACTCCCTCTCTCCGCATCACTGTCTCGCATCCAGTGTCCAGCACTCAATCGACAGCCTACGTCCATCTCCGCAATTGAACCACAACCTACGTCCTTCTCACCGTTTTATTCTTCAGATAAACGCGCTACTGTACACGCATCATCAAATCCTTCCTCAACTTCGTTACGTGCCGTCCATAATCGATCGACCAACCCTACCTCCGCAAACCTACCACTAAACCCACCATGGCACCCAAACGCTCCGGCCCTTCCACACCGACCAGCAGCAGCGCGAACCTGAAATCGCTCTCGTCATCATCTTCAAATTCCCCTTCCACTTCCGCAGGCTCTTCCCTCTCCGGCAGTGCCGCAAGTAACACCGACGCAACCGTCATCTTGAACCACGTCTGGAACCGCTACGTACAGAACACGCCGCAGCGGACGAAGCTACTGGATGCATTCCTCGGCTTTCTTGTAGCCGTTGGTGTCGTGCAGTTTGCGTACTGCGTTTTGGCGGGCAACTATGTACGTCCGTCCTTTTCTTTTACCTCTTATTACTCTCTGGCATTTGTTTCGTTTGCCGTCTCTGTCTTTTGCAATCCATTTGTTGCATTGCGGTCTCTGCTTCTCGCAATCAACCAGCCCTTCTCTTTGAACCCTCTTGTATCGCTTGTGTATCTTACATTCCATATTCGGGCTCGCCCTTCTCTCACACACTGTACTAATCTGACTCCTCATCTAGCCCTTCAATGCCTTTCTTTCCGGCTTCTCTGCTACCGTCGGCCAATTCGTCCTGACGACAAGTTTGCGCATGCAAACGAACAAGGAGAATGAAAAAGAATTCTCGAGCGTTTCTGACGAAAGGTGTGCTTTTTTTTTTCCTTTTTTCTTCATTCTTCTTCTGCCTATTCTCATCAGCGGCTACCATCTCCGCCCATACAATATCCAATTCCAAAAACCTCAGCATATCAGAACGATGACTAACCATCTAAACCGCAGAGCATTCGCCGACTACGTTTTCGGCAGCCTCTTACTGCACTTTTTCTGCGTCAATTTCATCAACTAAATCTCTATCTACACTTACATCACTTACATCTTCTATACCTTTACTCCCTTCCACATCCTCTCGCATTTCCTAGCTTGGTAGCATCATCTCTAGTGTTCATCTCCTCGAAAATAAAAAAGACCCGCAGCCAGAACATATCCTGCAACGTCCTAACTACTTGCTCGATATATCATAAATTATTGCATTAACAGTATTTTATTATACGTGCGGCCTTCGCTCTGCGCTTGACTTGGCTTACGTGCTCGTGCGTTGTTCTTATCGACCGTTTAGGCTTGTCAGACTGTCAAGCATTCTTTGGGTCGATCCCGTGGGACCTATACCCGAGCGAAACATCAATCATGTCGCCCAGTTTCGATTTACTTCGCATAAGAATAAAAAGATATCAATGGTATATCATTATATATATTTTCATCTTTCCCTCCGCGCAGGAGAGACGAGAAAAGTATACAATCTATAAAAGTAAATAGACTCCCAAAGATAATGTGCATATACTAGCCCATCAAAGAGAAGGCATGTCACTGCACAAACCCCCCGCTCTATATATAAACAAAAGTCGAGAAAGGGGAAATTGATGGCAGATATCGAATTGGATGATCAGCAAAATCGAAACAAGCTCCCTACCATTTTCGCTCTTGTAAGAGGTCGAAGAGAGGGAAAAATAAGGAAATTTTCTGGTCTTTTGAAGAACCCCAAAATGACCAATGCACATAATGACTTGGCACTTTTCATGTTACCGAAAAAATCCGTGCATGCGTCCAGGCACGCAGCTCACTCCAAATGTTCAAAGGAGAAATCTATGCCTTGGTATGACGTTCTCATTCATCATAAGATTTTCCACGTGGCCCCTGTCGATAGTGACGATAGTTGTAAATGACTGCTGTCAGCAAGGTGTATGTTGCACTCTAGTGCAAGCCAAATGAAGCCCGGATGGCTTCGCCCAACCGCTTGATGGCCTCAGACATCTTGTCAAAAGGCGCCGAAGCAAAGGTGGCGCGGAGGAAGAGCTCGGTGGGCTCAATGGACTTTTCGGCAAGGAACCAGCTTCCAGGGACAAGGAGCACTCCCTTGTCAATGCATGTCTCGAGGATCTCTTCCTCGATGCCGCGAACACCCTTGGTGGAGGCGTGCGGGTGTTGCTTCCAGTCCAGCTTAATCCAGTGCTGCGATTGGACGTTAGTACATTATATATATCGCTGCAAATGCAGGCAGAGGCAAAGAGCTAGAGATAGAATATAGGAAATGAGGAAAACTCACAAACATGCCGGCGGCAGGAGGTGTCCACGAGGCAATCTCACCAGGAAGATAAGCCTCGCAAGCATGCAGCAGGACATCACGACGCTTGGTATACTCTACACGAATGTGAATGAGCCAATCCAAGTAGCCACCGTGTCCCCAGGTCTCGTCAAGGAGCTTGAAGAGAATCATTTGAGACATGCCGCTTGCGGTCTGGACGGACACCTCGGACAAGCGGACAAACTTATCGACAATGTGGTCGGGAGCAACTATCCAACCGACACGAGCTCCAGGGGCGATGACCTTGGAGAAGGAATCCAGACGGATGACGCGACCGTCGGTATCGATGCTCAGGAATGAGGGCACGAGTGCCTTGACAAACTCCTCGTGCGAGGCTGGCGGCGGTGCCTGCGGCGCATCAGGGCCTTGGTAAGGTTGCATCTGAAGATAATAGTATGGCTCGTCCTCGAAGATAATCAGGTCATGCTTCTGTGCGACCTTGTAGACTTGCTTTCTACGCTCGAAGCTCATGGTGGCACCAGTGGGGTTCTGGCCGGTGGGTACCAGGTAAAGAACGAAAGGCTTCTTGGCTCCGCGCTCCTCCTCATTCCAGTTGTTCAGAGTCTCCTCGAGGTCCTCAGCAATCAAACCCTCCGAATCCATCTTGATGCCGGCGATCTTGACACCCATGGGGTGCAAGGCTTCGGCCGCAGTGGCAAACATGTATTCCTCGGACAAGACGTAGTCTCCGCGGCGGACGAACATTCTATAGAGCATATCCAGAGAAGAAGTGCTTCCGACGCTGAGGGCGCATTGCCAGTTGCTGTAGGGAGGGTCATGGATGATCTGCAAAGCACGATATCAGCAGTTGAGGCTTACGGGAGTCGTATGTATGTAGCAGGATTTTACCTCCGTGTGCTCGGTGACATATCGAAGCATCTGAGCAGAGCCGGTGCCCTGGGCGTAGTTCAAGGCAATCGAGAGATCTGAAATTCATATTAGCAACCCATATGGCCGGTACGACCGTAGGAATTATTCCAAGGGTGACCCACCAAAGACGCTCTTGTCTTCGATAACATCATGTTTTCCAGCATGAACTTGAACACCCGACTCTCTCGTCTCTTGCTCGGAGAACTGGCCTACTTGAGGGACCTTGATATCTATACTCTCAAAAGGAAAGAATTCGCTCGAAGGGAGACCTCCACCAAGAGATAGAATGCCTAATCGCAAAGTATGTTAGTCTGTATAGCCATTATCATCGCATGCATTATGCTCCTCTTCCATACCGGGCTTGGAAAGGTATTTGGCCAATCCCTTGAGACTAGGGGCCTGTCCGAGGAACGTCAGTTTCTTGCCGTCTTGAAATTGTCAGGCGCGGGGTTCGCTTTACCGCTCTGGAAGCAGCTTCCTCGGTCAGACGGTCTAAAAATAAAAATTGTGTCAATTCCTATTTGCTCAAACCATTCAACGTACGGGAGTCGTTATACTCACGTTCAAAATTCTTCGATTTGGGCTTGAATTGGCAGCTCTGCACGGTTTCGTGAGTTATTTATCCCTCTTCTTTGCCAAACCGTCGCTTCATTCCGATGAAGCAACAGCGCAATATTTGTGTTGGACACGCACTGTGCTCTTAAAGAAATCACTGCTTGTACCAGCGGCAACGCCAGCCACCAACTTGCCCGACTTGGCACGCTTGACCGGGACTCCGTTGACGGTCAATGGTTCGGTGACAACAACCGCAGAGGTATCTGTAACACCTTCGATATCGACAGCAGAGGGAGGAGCCATTTTCGATTTGTCGGTGTGTTGTTTAAATGAGGACTATGTGTTGTAATGGTCAAACAATGCCGTCTCTTGGGTGTTGTAAGAGTGTCGACCTGCACAAAGAAACTGTGGAAAAGTTGAAATCGAAGAAAAAAAGACGTATGAATGAGACGTCTCGGGGCTGAACAAATTGAAAGAAATAAAAGAAGGGAAATTGAGGGTCGGAAGGCTGATCAAAGACAGGGCGGGGGAGGGACGGTAGGAATGACTCCGACACTTTTAGAGATAATTGCAAGGGAAAGTTAGTAAGTTAGTGAGTGACTGTATCTTTTGGCGGCGAATCTCAATTTCAATTGGCTGATCGGGTTATGCCGATGTTAAGCGGGAGTGCCTATCAATTCCCCGATAAGAAACCTATTCTCCGGCAAATGCCACCATTACTGTTCTGTCATAAACAGGGACTCTTGGGCCTCTGATTGTGTCGATTTCTCCCCCGCATCTTACTTCTCGACAAATTGTAGGTCGGATCAGAACTCCACCGTTTGTTTTCGCCCCTGAAACTCACCTCAATCTGTTCGCATTCTGGCCGATATACGATGAATCTGCTTGGGGTCAATCCAATCATAACAGGCGTTGTTCGCTTGTCACTCTGTCCGCCCTAAGCATGACATACACCACTAAACTAGATTTGTTACACGTGGTTTTGGCCGAACGTCGGAGTCGGCTGGGATTTCCATTCTCGTTTCATCTTTGGCCCGATCTGTCAGATATCGAAGAGATATCGGATCTCTCCCCCCTTGCTTTTCCCGAACACGGTGACCCCTTGCTTCATCACTTTTATTCTGCGAAGTATGGCATAGTATCTCCGTACCTACGTCGTGTACCTCCTCACTGTATTGTAGTGCCGCGGACTTCTTACGAGGGACTAGCGGCGTTGGTGGTTTCCCCAGCTGTCGGTCAAGCTACACGTGATCAGTAATCATAAATAAGCCCAAGTCTTCTGGAACAAGCGGATTTGATACGACAGCTCTCCAAGTATACGAAGATAACGATGAATAAGCTTGTTTGTCATTCGTCTCTAGTCCTTAAGAAGCGGCCGGTGTTTGTAGATCTGAAGATTACCACCTTGAGTTGCAATTTTAACGAGGACACTAACTGATAACGAAGTCGATATTGATCATCACATTGACTCATGGGTCCCAAAGTACTCCTAGTGCTCGCAACTTATTATTCTGTGGTATCATACAAGGGGGAAGTTTAAGAGAAAAGAAGAAGAAAGAAACAGTCCAGCTAGCCCATTGCCTTTGACCATCCAATTCCAACCGTATTGGGTAGTCCCCCGACCCGGGCATGCCTGCGCATAAAAGTCTAATAGAGATAATCTGCAATTTAGGAATTTAAACAGAAATAAAGAGAGCTAATACCCCGCCATCAGACTCAGAGGGAAAACCACTCCAGACTGCGGCGGGCTTGCAAAAGCCCTGTGAAGGAAAGTTGACGGCGGGGAAACTGTTTATCCCTAATTGTCGATGTCCGATTCCAATCAAAAATATGGCTCCGTGTCGTTGATTTTGTCCTCTCGGAGCCCAAGAAAAGCCAAAAGCCCTTGAGGCGGTATAAAAGTTTTATTGTTGACCGGTCGGGTAGAACTCCAATCGAATTGATCCATCCCTTAGCATCATGACCTTGCTCATGATGATTGCAACAATCTGAGATGGCGATCCTCAGTATTCGAGATTGTTGACAACCATTTGGCGAAAGATAAGTAGACCGGCTGAGAAGCGCAGGGATGTCCCTGATGGTGCGAAGCGCTAGCGGGACTCATCTAGTACTGGTCAGGCCCGGAGCCATTATGATTGGCGCCCACAACGGTCTGGTAGACGTTGCCATAGGGTCCTGCTTCATGTTCCGGGGCCTCCATCGATGTAGGGCTCAAGATATTGTTGGCGCCATCTGAAGCGCCCTGATAGTTGGCTGAGGCGGAGGAATTTGCCTCGCCAGGTACCCCTGGTGCGCCGTATCCAGGGCGATTCTGGTTCTCTCCACGCGCAGATTGGGTCTTTGTGTCAATTGTTAGCACATGGCGGGAAAAGGCTGGCAAGTCTTTTAATTGAATGGGCAAAGTCCTTCAATAGAATTTGTGACCAAAGTATTCTGTTCGACTTACTTCACGGTATTTGGAGAGATAGATCTTGAGCGCTTCCGCGTAGTTTTCAAATCCAAGCGACGTCATGGCAAATAAAATGTCCTCGCCATTGACCGTTTTTCGCTTCTCCTGCTGGCATTTTTCCGAAGCTGTTCCGAGTTAGTCGAATATCAAGCTAAGATGAGAACATTCGGGCGGAGAGCAGACTCACCCTCACTGGTGATGAAGGAGATGAATTCGCTGACGCATTCTTGCATGCACTCCTTTGCTTCCTTTGCGATTTTGGCATTCTCGGGCAAAGCCAACTTCATGATGCGCGCCACTGGAGCAAAGTTACGAATGTTAGCATCCGATGTCCGATTGCGGCCTGAGATACTGAAAGCGGACGGCGGTGAAATGGATTGGGGAGAAGCGCGCGACATAATGCAGAGACTCTCAACTGAGCTAGTTCCGACGGACGGCCGATCCAGCGCCGGCAGAGGAAGAAACAAAAGATTCTGATTTGGCCAGGAAACGACGAAGACAAAGAAAGACGCGCGGAAGCTGGGGTGCAAGGTCGAGAGAAGCGACGCGATTCACGACATTGGTCCAGAAGGTGCAATACAAGGGCAACTGGGCGCAAACCGAAGAGATGCGAGCGCTTCAAAGGGGGACAAAACACCAACCATTTGCTATAGGCAGCCATCGGTCCTGTTCCTTCACCTCGAACTCGTAGCCGAGTCCTTGCGCGTGTGCTTCTTGGGGATCCCTTTCCATGTGCTCGGCTTCATCAGGCGATTGCGCTCCTGGTTCCACATCTACCTCCTTTGGGTTGGGGGAAGCCGACATGATGTAGTGCTTCGTTTCGGGAATCCCGCAGGTGAGGGATTCACGGTTGGGGTGGGTTTCGTTGGCGGATTCTGCTGGCGTGCAGTGCTGGCGAACACGTCAGATTGGGCACCGGGCTCGGACCTCTCTGCAGGTCTGCGTAAAGATGCGTCAACTGGAGACGCAAAAGAAAAGTCAGGGCGAAAGACGCCCAAGGATACTGCAGGCGAGGGCGCGCGGCGGCAGGCCTCTTTAGCCCCAAATGCGAGATGCGGAAGTGGGAGAGCAATCTGGGGGAAGCTGTCCTAGTCGGATTTGAGGGGTTGCTCTGATTGGCGAGGTGACACGCTGATGATGCGCGGGTAGGGGTGTTGCAATTGAATGGTACAGTTCAATGGCGAGCGCAGCAGGATGCTAGTTGGCCTGCTGCAAGATCGCGGATGATCAATGATGACGAAAAAGATTAAGTGAAAAGGGAAGATGAGAAGCGCTGGCAGCACCTGTTGAGCCGGACAAACGCTTTGATCAAGAGACGAGTTGTCGATCCGAGCAGGGCTGATCGGGTCGTCGCGTTTGGATGAGCCTCACTAAATCCGACGTGTTCAAGGTCCGCTCTGTGTAAGCTTTGCGAGTGACGTTCCAAACGGGACAGCTGGATGGAGCAATTGTTGTACAACTTCAGAGAGAGTCATGCAATAATGATCAGACCAGGGTGCGGTAAATTGGACGGCGGGCGGTTAGATTATTATTCTCCTCTGCTCTTTGTTTGATTCTAGTACTTATTGCTTCTGGCGCTGGTCTTGGTCTGGTCTAGTCCTACCGCCAACCCGCCCTCGTTAGAAGCGAAGCAACCTCAGATGTCTCAAGCCAAGGGTACGAACATTACCTGTCCCTGCACAACTTCACATCGTTCCGTGGTTGTCAAGCAACTCGTTCAGCTTCATTTGCCATTCTTCTATTCGTATTAATTGTGTGTGACGAACGCCTCGATCGCTGCTGTCAATAAAGCAGCGAATGGCCGAACGTCACAACTAGTCGCTTTCTCTGCCTCTTCCACTTCCCTGCGACATATATATGTGGTGCTGTTGCACAAGTTTTATCCTTGAATCGAAGAAAGTTCGGTACATGGCAATATAAAACATGGGAATATTGAACCAAACACCGTAAAGGGCACAGGGATATACTCGTAGTACGACAAGAGATGGAGCTCAGCGTTAGACATGCCAAGTCGCAGTTTCATGGACAGAATGCAGGTTTCCAATGTACAATCGGAGAATGAAGTGCGTCAGTGACATGGCCTTGCCAAGACAGTAGAGAATCCATCAGCGTCACGGGTTCGCTGTTGATTGTGAAGCGGTAATATTCAGAAACAGCCGTAGTAACGTTCAACCACGACATACCAAGCCTACCATTCCACGCGGGAAAATGGGCGAGTAGTGCTGAAGAGATGGTCAATTTTGGTGGTTAGGAGTGAGACAAGGGTTAGACATAGAATATAGAGACCCAATCGAAGCTTCTTGTTGCAGCAAGGAATCAGCCAAGTCCAACGGTCCAGGTACTTCAAGTTGGTTTAAAACGAATATTCCGTGCCCAATTGTCACCTGCTTGTGCCTCGCCCTCACTTCTGAGGTGAGAGAGCGGCACAGTTCAGCCAGCATTCGCAAAAGGGTCATATGGCAAGAATTGACCAATTGCGCAGATGGCCAAGTATGCAAACTAATATTATTGACAGCCTCGCCGCAACCCAAAAAGAAATATATTTTTCTAAAGGAATCATTACTTCTGCAGTAATGAAGGCAAAGACGAGCGGCACGCAGATTAGTTCCCAGCCAGTATATTTCCTAGCTTGTCAATGACACACAGACTGCTTTCCTCGGGCATTATAATTTCATAATCGGCCTTATTACATTTCAGCGAAAATGAATGATTAAATTATCATCGTAGTGACACATCACTGTCATGGTTTCGATCAATGAATTATCTGCAAACAGGTCGTCCAGCGGGCCAGTCACGGAAGAGTGTCACGATGAGTACCTTGCGCAGCCTAATGCGAGGCGTGGCCCTATCGGGATGATGTCCAAACCATCGGCTTCCAACGGTATCGGTATCTGTGTCCCGTGGCGGCTGCAAGACAATGCACACTGTGCCAAGACAATTGGGTGCTGTCCGATTGGGGTGTGGTCTGAAGCCAGAGCCGTTCAGCATTGTCCCTTACCTTTCTGTGACCTTAGACTGCCGGTTTCCTGATACCTTGAGGTGTTTATTGGCGTCTTGCCCCCTGGCCTGTATGATGGAAATCAATATTTATCATAAACATGCGGCTCGTCTGCGACACATAGGGCGAGTTGGCACATATAGGGCGAGCGATATTATGCGGAGCTTCGGGGAAAAAAAGACTCGGTAATTGCATACTCAAGTATGTGACACACGAGGCACTTCGCGACGTCAGCCAGGTCATCACACCTCGTACAGCCCAAAAGCTCCATCAGCAAAGCCTAAACCGCCAACTACCAACATACGGGTCAACGTCTCGATTCTCTGGCGTTAGTAGCGTTCTTAATGGGCTCTACCACATGCAACTTCTTATTCCCGGCCAGCGCAGTTCCTAGCTGGACATGATAAAACTCTGAAACCAAAAAGTACCCAGTCTGGCAGTGAGAACATGCAATATCTCGTCGACATGGCTGACAAAGTTGACCCGTAACCCGTTAATGATTTTCATTCGACCCAAAACAAAGTCCGTAGGATGCAAGGCATGTGGTCGCAAAGCCGACACGTCGTGATAAGCATACACAAAAAGTGATAACACAGATTATCAACTGAACTTGTTCGAACATCGGTGTGCTGTCCATGTTCTGATGTGTCGACGATTTCATCACATTGTTAAAGTCTTCGCTGAGAGATACTTCAAGCATTTGCGAGTATCGACGCTAGTTTCTATTTTGCAGGCCAGATATTCTTCTATTCCATCTTCATGGAAATGTAGCACAAGCATTGAAATTTTAATTCGCATTTATCCAACTCCTTATACGCCGAGATCGTGAACCGGGAAATGCTGCAGAGGCGCTGGTTGCGTTTACTGCTGTACGACCTGAACATTGTTCTTCTTCTGTATAATTGGAAAATATCATCAGTCAAAGTCATTCCTGCTGAAAAATGGACAAGGGAATATGTGCTTGACATCAAACACTTGGAATCAGACGGAGCGACTGCTCGCTGTTCTTCGATGGCGGAGCAACGGATTCAATCATACCTTCCATTTGTCCATCTCTTCCTGCTTCGTCTTGTATTGCTTCAACAGCTCTTCCAGCACTTTTTTGAGGCCCTCAGAGTTTGTTTGTAGTGCAGGAATGACATCTTTGACGGTTCGTTCGACGAGCACCCCGTTTACCATTCGGAAACATTTTCTGTCCGGCGGTGCTTGGGCAAGACTTTCAAGAACGACCCTAAAGTGTACAAAAGTATGAACCTCATGAAACAGTCAAGCCCAAGAATTGCAATTTCACCTACTTGTGTTCTTCAGTCTCCTGCTCAATATCACCGATTTTCTGCGCTATCTGTTGCAAATTATTTTTGTAGGTCGTGTACTGCGCCTGCAGCTCTGTCAAAATATTAGACACGTTCCGAGAAGATGAACAGCTTATACTGCAATAGCCTTTCCCTATATTACCTTGCTGCTTTTTCAATGAGACTTGCTGTTGCGCTGCCATTATCGTTGAATCCGCCAAAATATCAGGATCAGAGTCCAAAAACAGCTGGGTTCAACTGTGAATGAAGCTCTCGAGGCTTCTTAGGCCCCTCCATCCATCCAGATATCGGGACGGCAAGTTCCGCCACCGCCGCCAACCTTCGCGCAAGCAGTTCTGGAAGCCAAAAAGGTCGCCGCTTGAATTGCTCCAAGTCAGTCAGCCGGTCAACCTGTGAATCTAGAGGGCACTCAGTCAAATCCAACATCCCGGTGACGTGGCCATTCACTCAAAATGCATCCTCATCTCCATACCAAGGACAACTCAAGTAAGGATCCCCTACAGAAGTGCGGTATCAGTACGAAGCCGACTAATTCAATTTCCACGCTAGGCTGCGAAGAAGTCATGGCTATGCTGGATGAATGCCATGCGCGAGGATTCCTCTTCAAAGCTACCGGCGGTTGCAACGATGCTAAAACTGCCGTTAACAAGTGCTTGCGCGCAGCCCGAGCCGAGCGCACAAAGCAGAATCGCGCCGATTCCGGTGATCAAAAGACACGAATTCGAGCCAAGTGGGCTGAAATTGACGCCAATTCATGATCACGGACACACATTCGTCAAAGAACTGTATCAATTTGCGCATAGGATCTCGGCCTATTGCATTGGGAAACCGGCGTTGTATTTTTCTTTAGCCTTCTGTGCTAGGAGAACAAGGAGTGCGTTCAGATGGGATTATCAATAGATTTTTCAAACAAAAGGGAGAGCGAGATGTCAGAATATCATTCTTGTTTCAATTTTATCTGAATTTTCCTTGTAATATGATGCAAGAGGGCGAAAATTCGTCATCAGACGAGGGTGTGTAATAACAACAACCTGAAAGAGGGAACCTCATGTAAATATGTCTATTCTCTGCCCTCAGGGCCAAGGAAATCATTTAAAATTCTAACCCAAAAAACTTGACCGGTATTCCCGAGGTCCAATAAGCTTTTTTATCCGCCAAACTCCTGTACGCGCAAGAAAGCAATATTAACAACAATAACCATGCAAGCCTCTATGCATACAGACAACAGCTAATCCTCTTCAGCGGCGCCGGCTCCTTCTGCAGACGCTGATGGCGCATCATGAGCCTCACTTTCGGGGCCGTTCGAATCAGCGCCTTTTCCAGACTTGTGAGATCGCTTTCTCTTCCGTTTTTGCGCGGCAGGTGTTCCATCTTCGTTTATGGTTGCGGCAGGGTTTGATGTGCCACCTTCTCCACTGTCTTTCTTGCCCACACCCTTGTTGTTTTCCTGAGCAGGCCGCTTCTTTGCCTTTTTGACACTAAGTGGATTGGGGCCCTTGGGGCCCTTGCGCTTCTTCTTTTTGGAGGCTTCCTCTTGAGACTGCGCGCCAGACCTAGCTCTTCCCTCTTCTTGCTCGCTTCCGCTCCCGCTCTGCTCCTCTTCGTCGTCTCGCTTCCTCTTCAGCGTATCTGTGATGGCGCCTCTTGCACCCTTTAAGCCAGCCCGGAATTTAGATTTCTCGTCCTTATCCCTGACATGCTCTGTTGCGTGTGCCATAGGCTCCATAATCATAACACTTCGGTGGACGTAAATGAGCGGCACACCGGGGATAGAGCGAAGATAAGACCGCACTTCGTTATCCTGGCACGCAACCACATAGCGGTGTTTATTGGTACGGCTACCTTTGGGATCGACAACGCTAGAGAGACACTCGAGTGTGGACAGAGGCTGTTCAAGAGTGTGGTGATTGCAACGCCGGCGCTCATATGTCTTGGTTTTGTCAACAATCGCGGGGGGCGTTTCTTTGGAGGCGTAAAGATGGCGCATGGAACACTGCGTAATCACTTAAGAGCAGGTACAAGTTAGCTTATGTTCATAATTCAAGCTGACCATCAGTTGATAAGCAATGTTCTGGGGTCGAAATATCGATAAAGAACGTAGGATTTTCGCAGTGAGCGAGGGAGAGGCTTACTCGGCTTGACTTTTCCGTGCAATGTTCGTTCTAATGCGGGCCAGAGATCCATCTTAAACCTAGCGGCATCTTGCACCATCTGCGCATCGACTGTAAAAGCATTGTAAATGTCAGCATCGGCTCCTGCAATGATGGAAGAGATTCGTTGAAAAAGGAGACGGAAGGTGTTTGAGAGAAAATATTCGAAACTGTCATACCCAGGACTTGGTAGGGCTCGCGAAATCCAAATGTCATGCCATACTGATGCATGAGCTTGCGATACTGCTTCGACCTTTTTCCACGCATCTTGATTGTCGGTGGTAGGCGTTACTTTGCACGTTTTGTTGTAGCTTGCCTGTGCCGGAACACAAGTCGGAGTTTTGGTAGTTGAGGTGAAATTCTGGCGACCGAAAATTAAGCGGTGGTCTGTGCGCAGAGAGGCCTTTTAGCGAGGCGGCAGCGCTCCACTTCAAATGATGGCTGCGCTAATCCCACATGCCATCGAGCGGCATGCGAAGCCAGCACGACATTCAAGAGAAGCTCAAGTTCTAGATTCGCCTTTAGTCTTGATTATATTATTATTTCGATCTATCTAGGTTTCACTTCAGGCAACCATCACTTCAATATCTTTCTGACAGCTAACTTTCTTCGACACATGGTAAGATTTCTTGCTAAAATGTATAATGCTTCTCTATGTACATTTAGAAGTATGAGTAAGCCGGGACCAGCAATTACAAAGGCCAGTTTGGTCTCCTATTGTCTGGACAATCAAGGCAACTAAGCTGCCAATGTCGATGAATGACATTCCATTCATAGAGTAGGTCATACTGATGGGTTGGAAGTCGCTACAGTGAGGGGATTAGTTCAATTGTCATTGTTGTTCAGATGTAGTCATTCTGATTGCAACTTGAGTGAATGAATTCATGCATCTAAAAACAACACATCAGAGGGGTCCGTCCAACGAGCCTGGTTGTGTTGACAAAACACTGATAGCCAGTGCAATATTTGATATCATCGCCTTTTGCACAAACCAGCCACCACGCTGATATCATCGAGTTTTCCTATCCATCTCGTCAGTGAAATTTCTTGACAGATTTGGCGCAATGATTATGCAAACCTCCTTCCATAGCCAGCCCTTCTTCAACGGCTCTCTCCATGAAAGGGCTTTCAGCAAAGGGGTCTTGTGCAATTTTTCTGGCTGCTTTCATCAACTCTTTTGCCACAAATTGCATGCCTGCTCCGGGCTCGTTTTCGTAATCTTCCGGATCGCTGTCTTGCGCTCTTGCATCCCACCTTCGAAGGCTGTCGATGACGCTTTCAAGGACTTCATGCTGCCAAAGATTGTCCACGACACCATCGGATAGGGCTAAGACTACGTCACCCTCTTCAATTTCTATTTTATCCATGACGGCGTTCTCCCGAGGTGTATCTGGACTGTTAGTGCCGAGTTGTCGCGGACAGTCAAACCAGTGCCACTGCTCTATAGTCTTGAAAATGATTTTCTTTTCGCGCGGGCGGATTACCAGAATTTGTGAGTCCCCCAAGTTTGTGATATATAGCACAGGTTTTGGCAGATCACTGCCGATAGAGTGGTGTAGAAGCGCCGCACAAGCCGTTGTGGTACCGAACCATTGATTGGGCGGAGAGGTGGCTTGTATCGTCTGTTCATAAGCTTTTTGAAGGTATTCCACCGGGTCTGGCTCGACATGGCTATCAGGGGCCGAAGTGACGGCAACATCCCTTTCTACCTCGAGTGCCCAGAAATGAAGGATCAGGCGGGACCAGAGTCTGCAATTTGTAAAGAAGAATTAATATAAATCCATGTCATTGGACCACAGCTGAGGCCTACGCAGCATGTCCCCGTGGGCGTGTAGCCCAAGCTCCCACTCCATCATTAGCCCCGACGAAGTTTTCCTGAACGAGAACAGCGTCATCCCCATTGGTAATTCCCCTAATCATCTCCCCGTCCACATAGGACCTTCGATCTCTGCTTCTATGGTGTGTGCTAAGTGGGTCCGAGAAGGACCCTGACGGGAGCGACAAAAAAGGGGGTGGGAAAGGACGAGATGGTCGCTTGGCGAAGAGAGCATAGCCCGTCTGGAAATGAAAAGGGGACTTTGACTTCGGGGTCTCGGTATCATCGGGAAGAGGAGTCGTCTTGCCCGACTGCGAAGCTTGTTCAGAAGTTGAAACTAATCTGCAAAATATTGGAGAATACTGGATACCGGTCACCCGCAGTAGGGTCCGATGCGTGAGGCTGTTACTGCGAGCAAGCATGCCAAACATGCAAATGGCAGGATGTGGGCGAGGGGTCACATAGGCTGATTGCAAACCGCTGACGCCCTTTTACCGCACAATCAAATAAAAATATAGTCAGTATCAAAGACTGACATGAATATCATGATTTAATAAAGAAAAATAAACTATACTGCCGCGATTCAACGCATGGCACCATATCCTGCGGTGATTCCACGGAGCATCGGAAGCCAAGGGCAGTCCGTCATCATTCCACCAACCCTTCCCTCTAAAAAGTAATCAATCGAGAAATCAGACGACCAATAGATCAGATAAGATTATTCTACTCGCATAAAGATAAATCACATGACTTGCTCTTGCCCCCGTACCAAAAACGGTAGCGACCCGGCTCCTTGGCTTCCTCACACGTGCGTCGGTACAGATTCCGGAATCCCACTCAAATCATGAATTAAGACACGCAGCTCGTTCGTCAAGCAGGAAGATTTACGGCGTAGCTCTCGCTCTTGTAAACCATGCCACCGAAATGTGTTTCTTACGAATTATCTTGCTTAATTTCATGAAGAACGCTTGGCTTAGAATTTAGAGGACGAACTTGGATGAGTGATGGTCGCTGGTCATGTATGGAAGCATGCAACGGGGCGGTTCCAAATGTCTGAAAACGTCCGTGGGTAGGAAGTTGTGGCTAGATTGGAAACATTGGACACTCTGCAGTGGAACCCTTTTTCAGATTCAACGTCTCCTATTTCGGGGTCTTTTATAACCATTGGTCGATTCCGAGTCTATCCGCAAAAGGATTAAATCCTTAATAATGACCGGAAATTACATAACTTCCGTTAATGTGGTTGTAAGGGTTTAGGGGAAGGGGTAAGAGGAGTTAAGATTACGACAGCGCTAAAGGAAAGAAAAGATACTCCTAAAGGCACGTCGCATGGAGGGGTAAAACGCGAGATGGACACAGGGGGGCAGAAACTCCTTTTGAACAATGCGAAAGGAGTAACAAAGCACAGGGCATTATTCTGCTACGAGGAAGTCGTGGAAATCCAATTTTAGATTTGCAGGGGCCCGACACGGCGCCTGGGGGGCTAAGGAGAGATCGAAAAGCGGGTGACGTTAAATGGGATGGAACGTTGCGACACCAAGGGACTGGACAGACACGAGAAAACCCTGGGTCTGTATCCTGCACAGTACTACGTACCTACCTCTACCAAGCGGCTACGGATGTTGGGGATGCCTCCAAAGAGCATCCATTGGACTTATACGCCGAACAAGTAAAGATTCTAAAATGCTGTACTAAACCTAGGCCAACACTGCATTTCATTATTTTGCAAAGCTCAACTTATGTATAGAAGGAAAAAATTGAAAACGTACCCCTTACAATACCATGCTTTTGAGATCCACGGTGGAGTAGGTATGTTAGGGTTGTGGAGACAAACCCACCCAAGGTACCTACCAGTGGGTATTCAGATAAGGTACTCTTCTCTGTTTGTACTCGTGTTCACATTCGCTCACTACCCTGCCTTTACAGAGTACTGTACAGCATACTCGTGGTCAGGGTTGAGGATTACCGGTTCCAGATGCCAAGTCCAGTGTAGATCCCATGATTCGTGCATTCTGTTGATGATCGGTCGGGGCGGAAGCGAAGCTTCACCAACCTCCGACAGAGGAACAAGTTACTGGGCATTTCGGTAGACGCTTGGGGCCCTCGGGGGGGCAGGTGAGCAGTCGGGGCTGACAGAAGGACCGCCAGCTCCTTTTCGCCTTTGCGAATACCTCCGTACCGACCTAGGTAGGTAAGGTACCTAGTTTCCTCAATCTCCTTAATCTCCTCACTGCTGGATTCTGTATAATTTGAGAATTGAAAGTGACTAAAAATCATACAGTAGCTTCCTGCCTAGTTTGTTATAACTGAACTGGACTTTGGATGCGGATAAGAAAAGGAGCTAGAGTGACCGAATGCGAAAACCTTTGGGACTTTCTGCAATGGGAACTTGGGGCAAGATGGCCTAGGGAGGCCGCTCAGTTCGGCGCTACTTGGCAATTAGCGGGACTAACTTAGTACGTTCAAGTACCCGCTCGTATGACGCTCAGTTAAAGTCCGGCGCTGACGCTGCTGCATTCACTTTACGTTACCGCTTCAGACGGGACCAGAGGAGCAGCACAACTCCAACCTACTACGCCATCTCCTTCCCTGATTTCTCGGAGTTCCTCTCCTCACTATCTGCTCACCTCCCTCCTCGTCCTCTCTTTTTCCCCCTCCCGGTCAGAGTGGTAGATATCTCATTCTTTGTGCACTTTCACGCTTCGGCCTCTACCAATCTGTTTGGGATCACTATCGGAGTCGGAGGTGAGCGTTCGCCGTCCGGATAATTCGGGCCTGTCTATCAGTGCCGGCCACACGTAACCCAGTCGCTTGTTCACGGAGGAAAACATTTCACTTTGTGTGTAGCCACAATGCCGCGCTCACGAGGTATGTTAACTGTTCCTTTTGTGTTTCTGGCTCACCAGTTTGCTTCCTGTCCAGTTGATGCTGACTTGCCATGCTTTCCTCGGGATAGTGATGTCGTTTATGTCCCAATTTGGGACCCCTCCACGGTCACCAACTTCTAGCACTCCAGTAACGACTTCACAAGCAGAACCCGCTCCTTCAATGCAGCAGACATCTTCTGCCCCTGTACTTGATTCGCCTACGCCGATTAGAACACGGACAGACCGGACTCCGTCTCGTCCAGTGTCTATGGTGCAGACATATCAGCCTCCGTTGATGGAGGTAGCACAGGATACCCTTCCGGAACTACAGCCAATTTTTACCTTTTTAAACAGCCATTCAAACAAGCTTTATCAAGAGGGTTACTTTCTCAAGTACCAAGATCTTGAGACCCGTAAGTGGCTTTCGCGTCAATGACTGGGTGGGAAAATAAACTAAGGTTGCAATCTAGATGGCAAAGCAGCTTCACCGCTAGAGCGTAGGTGGAAAGAAGTCTTTGCTCAGCTCGTCGGTCCTATTCTTTCATTGTGGGATGCTGCAGCACTTGATGCGGCGGGTCAAGATGGGGAAGTGGTGCCATCTTTTATCAACCTTTCTGATGCCTCCATCAAGATGGTAAGAGCAGTTGTATTCTATCGTGTCGAAGGCAGCTAATACTGACCGGAAACGCAGCTCAATAAACTTCCGCTTGAAAATGGTTCTTTGGAAAATGTCCTCAGCGTGTCAACTGCAGGGTCGAATCGTTACCTTTTCCACTTTAGCTCCCTCCATTCCCTGACCCAATGGACAGCTGGCATTCGTCTGGCAATGTTTGAGCATTCCACCCTTCAAGAGGCTTACACTGGAGCTCTTATTGCAGGCAAAGGCAAAACACTCAATAACATTAGATCAATTATGGATCGTACAAGGTGGAAAACGGAAGACTGGGCACGTGTTCGTTTTGGGCCGGGAACGCCTTGGCGACGCTGCTGGTGCGTGATTGAGCCGCCCGATGAGAAACTCTACCAAAAGCAGCAAAAGTCTCTGAAGAAGCGGTCGGCCTATGACCGTCCTCCGCCACCGCTGAAAGGCGAGATCAAGTTTTATGATTCCAAAAAGACCAAGAAGGCTCGTCCAGTCGCGATCGTCAAGGATGCGTTCTCCGCGTACGCAATCTATCCTCAGTCGAAGCCTCTGATTGACCAATCCACTCTGGTCAAGGTTGAAGGCACCATCATCATCAACTCCGAGCCCGCATCCACGCGGGAGGGTTTTGTGTTTGTCATGCCAGAATTGCACCCCGCTGTGAGCGGTTTTGAAATGATGCTTCGCTGGCTTTTCCCCGTCTTTGACACGTTTGGTCTCTATGGGCGCCCAACGAGATTGATTGCCGACACGCTCGATCAGCGCTGTCTCATGTTTGCCATGCCCAAAGAAAGGCGTTACGGCTATCTTGAGCTTTTGGACGTGGCTGGCCTCATCCACACTGAAGGTAGCGGCACGTGGACCGAACGCGAATGGCGGAAGAAGATGAAGGAAACAACTGCCAAGCGAATTACCACTTTGCAATCCTCTGGTGGCAGGTTGAGTGGCAGCGTGCGTCGCCACGGTACGCGAGCCAGCTTGCCATCTCGCACCGGGCTCGGATCTCTGCGATTTGACGACGGCGCTTCGACACGATCTTCTTATTCTGGAAAGAATCATTATACTGCCGCGGTTGATGAATTGGCGTATTCGGGACCCCAACGGGTCGACTCGGCCCCGCCTGCGGTGAATGGTTCAGCTCCCGCTCGGCACCAGCGCTCCGTGTCTGAGGCTCAGGGCTACAAGCGCTTTCTAAATGAGACACCTTCTCGTCTCTCGTACGAGTCGGCGCCTCGCATGTCTCTTGATGCCACACCACCTCCAGTACCGCCCCACGGAACCCCCATCACTGCTGGATATGGATCCGCCAATATCGTTGATGAGAGATCGGAATTGGCATATGAAGCTGGCGAGAAGAGTGATTCCGACAGCGATGGGCAGCTACCTGCTCCAGCTCAGCCGGATCTCTACGGCTCCCCTCCCACGGCCCTGCCTGAGTCTATAAGCACCCCACCTGCGTTTTCCCATGGACCGAGTGAGAAGCCTGCCAACAAGCCGAGCCAGGATCCCGAGTTGAGAAAGGCCAAACACCGGATGTCATCGACAACCCTTTCCCAAATAGCTGGCGTCAACAAGATGGCTTCGTCCGGAGCTGCCAGTGCATGGAGAGCCAGTCCTGATGGAATCAAGTCCGCTGGACCCAAACAGCAACGACCTTTGGGAGACGAAGAACAAAAGCCGGTATTTACGAACGCGGATCCGAGCTTCCCTGGAACGAATGCTAACAATTATGGTGTTAAAGGGAGTATGAAGTGGGCGGAGGGGCAGGCGATTGGTGCTCATTCCAATGCGGCTCATTCCGCTTTTCCCAACATTCCTCCGAACAGGGTCCAATCAACGTCATCCACCGCTACACTCGGCCCCTCACAACAAAACCTGCCGGGATCCCCAAAGGCTTCTGAATGGACCAATGCATCAGAAAATATCGCGATACAATCTAACACCTTTCCTATGGCCGCTTCTTTGGTTCAGAACCCTCAAGATCTTCCAGTGTCGTCTATTAGCGAAAACTCGTCTCAAGACATCCATGGAACCAATGTGCGCGCGGGCAATTCTGACGAGCTGAGGACGAGTGTTCAATCTTACCCGACACAAGCCGCGTCTGAAATCACTCGGAAGCCGGTGCCAACTCGTTCGCAGACTGTCCTGAGTGCCCACTCCGATAATGCGGATAGGGCGTCTAGCCTAGGGAGCCTGCAGGAACATATCTTTGATCAGGCTGCACTTGACCGACTCTTGGCTGGTCCACGGACACCGACACCTGATCAGGACACCACCCACCGGCCGTCAGATGCCAGTAGTGCTTATGAAAATGATTCCAATCTTTCGCCCGACTACGCCAGTACTCGTGAATCTGTTGAAGCCAGTCCCGAAGTCGAAAGACCTAGAACTGGGGTACTGCGCACAGTCGGGACCGCGGAGGTGAAGCCTAAGGAATTGGTCGTCGGAGATGTCCACTATCGCGCCGAACCTTCAGCGCCGCCTGTCAGCGTTGACTTGCCCAATATCAACTTTGGGCCTACGCATGCTTATACTCCGGAGATTGGGCATCCCTCACAGGCAGATGAGTCTGCAATTTATTCAAATAATGTCATGTCTAAGAGTGCTGAGAAACTTGCCAGCGATCTTGATTTTGCCTTCGGCAATGAAACAAATACAGGAGAAGATGCTCCAAACAATCACCACGGAGGCAATCTCGATCAAATGGCGCCGCCCACAAGTCATTCCCGTTCGGCCAGTCGAGTGACAATAAGCCAGGAAGCTCGACCTTCTCAAACACGCTCATCGCGGGCGACCGGTGATGGGCGGAGAAGCGTTGCTTGGAAACCTGCAATGGCGCGGATGAGCAGCACTGGTGATGAGACGCGAAGGAGCTTGACACCGGAACAATATGTGCAACAACTCGCCAGTGCTGGTTCACAGCAACAGCCTCGTGCCGTACCCATTTATGCGCATCGGCGGAGCCCTTCGAGTCAGAGCAAGACTCCTCCCCTTGCAAGGCTGCCATCTGGGGACTGGTCATCACAACAGCAACAGCGCTCCAGAACTCCATCGGGGGACTGGACTCAGCAACCTTTTGGATCTGGAGTTCGTGACGTTCCGCCCCGGCCGAAGTCGCAAGGTCCGTTGTTGCTGCTGGGATCCCGAGGCGAAGGCGTTGGATCTTCTGCCAACTATTCTGCTCATCTGTCTGCTCGCGAACAGGAACATGTTGCTCGCATGACGGGAACTCCTCTGATCCAGGTCGACAGACGGACCAAGGATAACGAAGCAGCTGAAAGTGGGCTTGTTGGTGCAATTGGGGTACGTGAACGAGAGAAGCGGGAACTTAGACAAGGCCTGAGCGGTCAGATGGTACAGCAAGCCATTCATCGTCAACAGCAATATCAAAATCAAGTCAGAGCGTCTCAGTCTACACCTCATCTTGGAAGCATGATGTCAATGACACCCAATTATGGTCAGGCTCAGTCTCCCTATGGAATGCCGCAGCAATTCTTTGCTGGGTCCCAGGCTCAAATTCAACCAACGCCGCCATATCATGCGGATCCGCAACTCTACCAACCGCAGGCCGGGCATTGGGTGTCTCCGCAGGCGCAGATTTATGCTCAAGGAGGGGGGTGGAGCAACCCAGGGACGCCTTATTTGACGCCTCCCCAATACTCCCAGCAGCAAACCCCGCAGCAATATGGGCAGTACTTTGACATCAATCCACATGGTCGCAGTGCTGGTGCTAAGCGTTCGCCATGAGATATGAATTGGGCCAATAAGTAGCTAGATTCCTTTTTGTTTTTGTTTTTTTCTCTTGTTGAAACCGGTCTAGACTTTGTCGTATTTGTTTTTTCTTCTTTGCTGCATTGCGAGGAGTCGTGCTTTGGGCGCAAGGAATGGCTATACAGTCGCATTTGCAAGGCATCTTCAATTTTTTCCCTCGATAATGTTTGTCCGTACAATGAATTTTTAAAGCTTCCTGTGTTTCTGTTCATTGGTTTGTGGTTTGCTCGCAACTCATCGACATTTTTTAATTCCTTTGATTATAATTGTCTCATACTTTGATTCTCTCGAGGGATAGGTCTGAAGTCCTGTCGGCCATGTACATGTGTTGTTGATTTTGCTGTGAATATTTTGTGTTTTCCTGCCTATTCAGCGACGTGAATATTTGTTAGAGTAGACGCACATACAGACAAAGACTAGTCTATACACTATCAACTTGGACAGATTTATGATCCACTTGGTCTTCTTGAACACGGTGAAACTGATTTTCACATGTATTTTTGCAAATATTCATGCCAGTAGAGAACAAATTAAAATCCAAAAATGATGCCGTTCCATATGATCAATCCCTGAATAGTCACTTGAGAGAATAGACTTCTTGGGATCAAAAACCCCCCAAGCATGTTTAATCAATTCATCGATCCTTATACCATCATCCGTACGGTCAATCTTGGATGGATTGGGGTTTGTTCCGGGTCAGATTTCATACTAAGTAAGCTCAACACTGAAGTAAAGTTTTAGCCTTGACTAATTCAACAACTAGCCGGGGTAGCTCAATCGGTAGAGCGTGTGGCTCTTATTTCACTAATGAGATCACCTCAAGGTCGCGGGTTCGAGCCCCGCCTTCGGCTTATTATTTTTGCGTTTTTGCCATCCCACATGATTGTGGTGAGTTCAATTGCTCTCTTCTCTGTTATATCTTTTATAATTTTATTTTTATTGTTTCAGCTTTATTATTGTGATATAACCTAGAAGAGCCCAAAAAAACCCCCACAGTATAGAGTCCACCAGACGATAGCTTAAAGACTCCGAAAAGGGAGGAAGGACTGAGGTACGACCGTACAGGATATCACTGGAGATTGTGGATTCGTGACATCCTGGCATGGGATTTAAACATTTCTGGAGAATGGTGGTTCTGGTTACAGAGTATACCGCACGATATAGAGCGGTTCCCTCGTTCCCATTGACGTTTTATTGCTTATTGCTTATTGCTTTCAGTCCAAGTAATAACTAGCTGTCATTGGCATTCCTTGCAGTGGTAAATCACCACAAAGAGATGCTGTTGTTACTTGTCTGTGGAACCAACCTTGGCTCAAAACATTTTTATTAAGAAAAAGAAAAAAAAAAAAAAGATACTGGAGAAGACTGTTAGCTTCACTTCATCGGTATCCATGTTCGTGTTCGTGTTTACAATCTTTAGAAGCCCGTTGACAAGACTTCCTTTTTTCCCCTCCTTTTTTTGACGCAATCAGTATCGTAGGCTTTCAATTTTAAAACATCTCATAGTCTCACAGTCTCACAGAGTCACAGTTCACCCGTTGGCCAGCGACTCAGCATATTGATGAGACAAAGGTCTGAATTGAGTTTTAGATCGAACAACCCAAGTGTTGGAGCTTTTTGGTACTTTGTAAATTCAGTGGAATCGAGAATGGAAACAAAAGGGATTGGATAAGTAAGAAAAGATATCGTATATTGACGACCACCAGAGAGGGCAAAAAAAATAAATAAAATAAAATAAAATGAAGCGCCAGCTACAACCCTGGGGTTATCCACCTCGGCCAAACACACTCCAGCCCTCTTGCCTCATATACTCCCTGAGGGAAAATTTCCGGCGATTGTCGCAGAAAGTCAGGCGTGTTCGTATGACACGAAATTACTAGAAGATTGATTGTAGCAATTATAGTTCCACGTCCACTACTGAAAACGTGCAAGTACAGTCAAGACTTCAAGACTTCTCTCTCCAAATCTCTTCGCTAGGGGAAACCTTTCACCCTACAACAAAAATGATGAACGGAAAAAAAAGAAAGGTTCACGAAGAGAAAAAAAGGAGGTCTCGAAGGGGAGAGAGGGCAAAAAAGCAAGCCGAAGGCGGGGCTCGAACCCGCGACCTTGAGGTGATCTCTTAGTGGAATAAGAGCCACACGCTCTACCGATTGAGCTACCCCGGCTATTAGCTAGTTGTTGGTGCAGCTTCGCCTTATTGGGATATATGAACCAAAAGTCTTTTTTCTGAGCAACTCGCTGAAAGTAATGAGAGGAAATGGAACGAAGGAAAATTAATGAGAGGATATGGGAACGAAAGGAAAATCGATGATGGAAGGTAGCCTCGGTAGAAAGTTGATCGGACATCAATCGGTCAAAAAATAAGAGAGAAAAAGTAAATATAATTTCAACAAAATGATTACAAATTATTTAGAATGACGTTGAAGAATAAAATTTTTTTTTTTTTTTAGAAAAAGAAAGAGTAAAGAAAGAGTACGGTTGTTAGATATAAGAGCTTAGATAGGGTAAGTAATCGAGTGGGAAAGAGGGAACAAGTTCGTGGGTAGATGAGGGAGAAAGAGGTAGAGAGATGATGGGGATAGTGAAATGGGATACGTACATGTAAAGGGAGGAGGGGAAAAAAGAGAAGAGGGGTAAAGCAAATGGAAATGGAAAGAAGGGGGAGAAATGGGTGGTGAAATAGGGGGGTATCGAACGGTAGAAAAAGTATATCTCGTCAGGAAACGAAGATATGAGCCCGGAGGAACAGAAACACGGGGAAAGAAAAAGCGGAGTTGCGGAGAAGGAAAGAAACTTCATCGCTTGAAGAAAAAGCATATCTCAATTGTCCATTGCTAGAACGCTCATCGCTTTCCCTCAGGAGGAATGGCATTCTCTGGACCAGATCCAGGCGAACAATCCGCTGGGCCACCCCGGATAACAGACGCAGTCTCAGTCGAGGCCGACGCGGCACTACTACTTCGGGAGCGGGACTTGTGCAGGCCAAGTTTATTCATAAGTCTTGTTGTATGGCTGTGTTGTTCTTTCAGCTCCTGTGTTTTTTTCTCGATTTCTTCGTCATGTTCTCTTTGGACTTGACGCTCCCTTTCTGCGCTTTTGCTCTTATCCTTGAGAAGTTCTTCGCGTTGACGCACAGCGTCTGGGTGGAGAGCTTTGTCTTTATGATAGACGAGGGCGGTGCTGGCGCCATGGACCTTTTGGCGCGTTTTCATATAGGCTTCGAGCCCGATGAGGACGGCATAGGACTTGGAAATGGTCAGATGCGACATGTCGACTCCGCTGTCGCGCAGATTATGGATAAAAGCGCGGAAATTCGCCGCCGGCGGACGGTAGTGGCCACTGCGAGGTTCAAGGGCTAGTGTGAGCGACGATGGTCCATGTCAGAATGATTCTAGGTGGGGTACGAAAAAACCCAAAACGCAAGGGTACCTTAGGGGAGAGAGACTTCTTAGTTGGCCATCTCTGATCTTGATAAGACCTGCTGCAGAAATGCGAGCCCCGCGGAGAAAAGACGAGTGCTGGAATGCGCCCGACTGCTTGATGCCGACGTAGAGTCGAAACGAAGTGTCTGTTACCTGTCGTCCATTTGGTTAGTGATTGGTCTATTGTAGGGATGTGGTGGCTGTAGTAGAGTAGAGCAAAGAAAACAGTGGCAAGGGCTTACAAATATCCAAGTACCGTTCCTGACCGTCTTGCGAAGCAGTCGATTAAAGATGGTAGCAGCGGAGACGTGCTTGATTTTCTTGGGCCCCTTTGCTTCCTTGAGGTCATGGTTCACGTAATGGTTGGCTTTTGCGGCGTCGTCTGATTCCGAATCTGAGGAGCTTGAGGAGTCCGAGGACGCAGACTGGTGTCGTTGGAGACGTTCCCCGTCAGCAGGCGAGAATGGGGGTGTCTTGTCTCCAACTGGGACGATTCCGTGTATGCTGTCTTTGTAATGCTCGCTGGTGTCAATTCTCGCTCCATTTTTGGCCCAGCAGAGCTTTCCTTCGTGATCAATCTTTACGAGATAGTCCATTCGCTCTTCTCGCGACAGGTACCGTACTTGTTCACGGTCCAATCGCTCTCGCGGGCAAAGTGGTATGTCGAGCAATTTGCCCTCGCCATGGTCCAGCCAAAAGAAGAAATTCTCGTTTGTTTCGGCATTCTTCCATTCGTTGTGGTATGCGCGCAAGTTGGATCCATATCGATGTTTGACGTCTACCATTTCAAGAAAATACTGCAGATCCATTACTTTGGCACTCTGGTCTCGCTCATGCTTCGCCTCTAAACGCTTTCGCTTGAGCTCTTCTTTTTGGTCTTCGTTCATATTCTCATCGTAGTCTGACGGTTCGCTCAGATCATCACCACCGGCGCGCCGAGCAATATGCCCAATTCGCTTCCAACTCTGGCGAGCAGCCACGGAGCGTTCGCGCTGGTCGCCCAGGTTGTTCTTCTCAACATGTTGACTGGCACGATGACTTCGTGAGACAGGTTTTGTCATATTCCGATACTGTGCCTCTTTGATTGCCTGGTCGGAGTTCCTTAGCCGCGCCTTCTCAAAGAAATTTGAAATAATTAGAGTAAATACCTCTGTCCATCGTGTAGACGGATCGAGTCTTAAGCCTTCAAGCTGCCTCCGTTCTCTGTATCCTCGATAGTTGCGCTGCGAATTTCAGCTTCTACAAATTCTGCTCGTGCGGTGCACAGCAAAGGAGATAATTCCTATGACGCAATGTCGCATACCTGGATCAGGCCCGCCGCCTGCTGCTCCTCTTGGGTACCCTCATTCGGGGCCTGACTCCCTTGACTTTGCCTCTGCACAAGCTGATGTCGTTTTTCTTCCTGTCTGGCAGAAATCTCAGCCATTACTTCCTTCGAGGGCATGGATAAATTTTGAATGTAGGCGAGATGAGCTGCATCTCGTTCTTGGGCGGTAAGCCTTCGGCGACGCGGCCGTGGGGCTACTCCTACAAGCGGTGGAGTATCGTTGGTAATACTTGATGGACTTGGTCCGATCGCACCAGAGTTAAACCCTGGTTCCTGAGCGGGCCGAGGGCACAGGGGTAGAACCATGACATGACTTCATTGCCGATTGGCACGGAGAATTGTCTTGGTAAAGTCTACAAGGTTGAGAACATGAAATCCTAATTCACTGCCTCATTTATAACATCAATTCCCTTGACTCCGGATTGCGTAAGACTCTGGCGCTCCGCATTCAGAATCAAGGAGGCGAGCGATTGAGGTATTTAAGATAGCTACCTACCTACCTAGGCCACCCGAAGACGCTCACTGCTAATGTACAGTACAATACAGATGTACTTCTCCGCTCCAGGGTTCGGCATCAGTTCCAGGCCAACAAGATAGGTACAAGTACCGTATAAACAGCCAGAACACAAATCATCTGCTGCATCTTGTCGTGTCAAAGGCAACTAAATCTGTCACTCGAAAAGGGTGCGTGGACGCTGCCTGTCGCAGGCTGAGCGCTCATTTGATAGACTACAGGAATATCCGGTAGTTACCCACCTAGAATCATACGAGTAGATGTTGTCTCCCGTGGCTGTTTACCCCCGCACCAGGTTCATGTGATTTCAGCCATTGGTTGGCTCTCATTCGCCGTTACTCAGACCTCTCAGCATCTTGTGCATCTGTTATCAAGTCTTCCACAGAGCCAACAACACGGATATCAAAATCATTCATGTGAAATATTTCCTTACGTATCTCAAAATTGTACCATTGCCTTTTTATTATTTCGATCCTTGAACAGACCAGGATCATTAACCAGATACGTGGCATGAACCAAATACAAGACCCCGCCCAAACCCAATGCCTAGCGCCATGCCTAGAATGCGTGTAATGCATGCTCATGGAGAAAATTAAAAGGAGTGTAGTGTAAAAACCCAAAAAGAAGCGACTAAGAAGAGAATTGCGAAATGCTGCACTTGAGCGGAGCAAGCTTCAAATGAACGAGAACCGCCACTCAATTATTGTGCAAAGCCCAGAGTTCGAAAAGACTCAAATAAGCTCTCTTACAGGAGGAGGGCAAAGCCGGCCACGATACCAGTGGTAAGGATGCCCAGCCCATAAGCTTGTCCAATCTTCAGAATGGCAGCACCACTGTCATGTTTGGAGTGGCCGCTTGCAGCCGTGGTCGTGGCGGCAGGGCCACCCAGGCCGGTTCCTGTGTCCATGGCAGCGTTCGATGTCTTGGAAGCAGCGGCGCTCGAGGAAGTTGTTGTGATGTTCACACGCTTCGGATCCTGTGCACCACATGGGTGCTGGGTGCGACAGTCGCTCTGGCATTGGGAGTTTCCACCACAGTTATTGACGCACTGGTTGCCCCATTCAGTGCAGATGAAGTAAGGTAGAGTCAGGGAATATTGGGAAGCGTTTGGCGAAGCGCCATTCGAGCAGACACACGAGTAGGTCAGAGCATCCTGGTCTGATCAGCCAATCTACTTCTAGCCTGAGACGGAGGAACAGCAGTCTGGGTGACTTACGGCTTGACAGTTGTTTTCCTCAGTGTCTGACGAATTTGAAATTTGCAGACAAAGAAGCGGACATGTCGACGTCTCCGATGAACACCATGATTCTGAAGCTGTTAGTATTCCGCCTGGGACGCGTAGCAATGATTTCATTTCCAGCTCATACCTCGGGTCGAGAGCGGTACCGAGTTGGGATCGATGGAGGTCTGCGCAGAAGCAGCTCCCGCCAGCGCAAGGGCCGAAACAACGGTGAGAAGTCGGTACATTATTGGAAGTGTAGCTTTAAGGTCTTTGTACTTTCTGGTGATGAAACTGGTCAGCGAGCGTCGATAGAGAAGACGAAGAAGAATGAGTGAATGAAGCTGGATTTGGACTAACATATACACGATAACTCGTGACAGTCGTTCCTTCCTTAACTGCCAAGTTCTTTTTCGTATACACAGACTACCCAACACGGAGATATTAACGAGCGTGGGACGAAGAATCCGCTTTCCAACGAATGTGAGGAAAACAATGTGAGGAATGTAACGTCTTGTTTAAAAAAAGGACGACGAAGAAAAAGGGAGGGTCCATTGTTAATTTATGGGGACGGTGGCCAAGGGTCTTGGAAAACGGCCAAAAAGAGGTGAGGCGATATCAGTTGCACGGGGGGGGGGGGTCTTGGATTGGAAGATTTGTTCCGAAACCCAGCCTACCATCCAGGCGAGCCGAGAGCTTGACTAGATCCAAGACGGATTCCAAAGTGGAGATGCCTTCTACCTCTGTACAGTAATGCCAATATGCAGCTGATTCGGATCATGGACGCCCGTCGAGCATGGGTCATGGTTCTTCCATGGACAGCAAACATGCTGTTATCATAAAAAGGGGGCCGGACGTCGTCCAATATGGCCAGCGTGCCTACATGTGAAGCTATAGTATATGACTTGGACCGAGCTTTGAATCTAGTCATGGACTTGGCTGGTGGATCACTCTCACTACGGCAATAGCTAGATTATTTTGCATTGACAAAGGAAACGACTGCTTTGTCTCGCCACTCTATCTCTCGTACCGAGCTCGAATGGAGCCGAAGACCCATGATGGGTTTCTACGCAGGGATCAGTTGCCGACTCTTTTTTTTTTTTTTGGTGGGTGGTCGATTCCCATTTACCAGCATGTGCAACTACTGTCGAGTTACGATAGAAATATCGGATTGCTAAAAGTAGTATCATCCTCACCGTCACCGGCACCATGCCCTCCGGGGGCTTGCGCCGAGGGAATGCATAAGTTTACTGTTGACTCCATGCTCTCTTTCTCTGCCCCTTGCTCAATGTAGATAAGTGAGCAGCCACCGACTGCAAGCCAACGGGGGTCCGAGGATGGGCCTCGAGTCAAGACAGCCATCTGTTGTGCGTTTGGTGAACCCCTTGAATCCTTGCTCGCGTGGCAAATCGCACAGTCGCCGCAATTGGTGGGCAATTGGTGGGCAATTGGTGGGCAATTGGCAGAGTATCTTCAGCGATTTCATAGGTTTGGCCTCTTCCACTTGTCCCCATTGTGATTTTCCCCATTGCACTTTGCTGGGATGATCCACTCTCATCTGGTTGAGTCGAGTGGAGTTTTGACAGGAAGGAACGTCGACGCGACGAAGCGAAAGAAGCCTAAAGTCGCTCTTGCCCAAAGAGGGACAAGTTTGCAGTCATCTCTCTGACCCGTGATGGATTAATTCCCCAGGGGGCAATTTCACCCTCTGACCTTGGATGAGCCGCATGGCGCGCCAACCGGAAAGTCATAGTAGAACCACACACTCTGTACTATCCACACAAAGCACGCTTAGCTACTGTAACTACCTAGTCGACCAGACAAAAGGCATCTTGCTATCAAACACATTCTAACACAGAAGAATAAGTAACAGCTCACTATTCTTTTTCCCCCACCCCGCCCTCCACATCCGCGCTCGTAAGCCCCCGGTGGAGATCTTCGTACATCAGGTAAATGGATGGAGGAAAGCACCCTTGTGCCCCCGTATTGGCAAGCCCATCAGAGGACGGACTCCAGTGGTTCCGTCGATAACTCACCTGCACACCCGCCACCCATCACCCTAGAAGACCACACGGAGCATTCGTGCGAGCAGAGTAGCGCATTATGGGCCAAAAGTGTGACGATCCAGGACTATGCCATTATTCGCGGAAGTAGAACTGGGGTCGGTGCATATGTTGTCTGGAATTGTTCGATTGAGACGCTCGACGTAAGTCGTCCTCTTCTACGTCTACAACGAAAATGTGACGAGCAAGTTACTCATCACGTCGCGATGTAGGGCGGTCCGATGATGATTCGCAAAAGGCAAGAATGCCTCATTGGTCCTTGTGCTATCATTACACCTGTTGACTCTTTGGCATCGTAGGTATTCGGAATTTGATGAGCTCCGCCGCAAGTTGCTGGAGACGTTTCCAACCTCAGAGGCAGCCTTGCCGCCACTACCTCCGAAAAGCGTAATCTGTATGCCGATGCACTCTAACCTCTTCCCAGCATCTAGAGAACTTTAACTCATGTTTCATTTCAGCAAGGTTCCAGCCGAAATTTCTCCAGGCACGTCGAGAGGGCCTATCCTATTTCCTCAAGTACGTGGCAAAAAGAACTGTTGCAGGCTTCAATGTTGCTAATGGCTTGTCGTGTAGTTGCGTGCTGCTCAACCCGGAATTCGCGGGCTCGCCTGTTCTCAAAGAGTTTGTCTTTTCTTGATGACGGTAATGATGCACTCATGTTTAGATCAAAAGCGCTAGGCATCTGGTGTTAGCATTCACATCCATGTATTACTGCTTCTTTTTTCCCTAGCATCTTCTACAAACGAGCATACATTTTCCAAGAAGCTCATCTCGGCATGGTATGCTTCACGCCCAGGCATTAATTATAATTGCTCTGGTATTCTCTGTTACTCTTTCTTGAGTTGTTGTTATAACGGCCGGCAAATGGGGTGCGACTCTGTATATAGGTATTAATTCTAGTCCTCTAGTTTGGCCTGTCAACTATTATATTTAAACACCCCACCAACGTCATTAATTTCTCGAGCTGGTCGAACCCAGAGCTATCATGCTAATGTGTATGATTTGTGACAGGAACCAGCAACAATCTATGGCAGCCTACAATTTCTGTGAAGCTAGAGCATTTTTAGATATCCTTTGTTGTCGTGAAGTAGCTGCGGAGTGAATTCATTTCATTGTTTGCTGGTTAGTCGTTGGGCTCCTTCCGTATTCCTTACCCAAATGACTTTCGCGTAGTTACGGGATGACTGCCACTTGGGAGCGAGGAGGAAGCGACTTGGAAGGGAATGACGGATTCAACCCGAACGTGAAAGCTCATCCTCATCGCGCGATCAGTCTGGTCAACAATAAGACACGGGGAAGATGCGCGCCTTCATCGCGGATGACAATGGTTGTTTCTTCTCGCCCTTCTTTGCGCTCTTCTAGTCGTCTCGCTGAGTTCCCAGCGACCGTGGCCAACAAACCGAGCGGAAGCGCTGAGCCCGTCAGACGCGCAAAACGAACACGAAACACGTCAAATTACGAGGACGAAGCACCCCCATCTAAGAAGATCCGGACCCATACACTTGGAAACAATCAGGTTCGCCACCTGCCGCGGAACAAGTTATCAACGTCTGCGGCCGCTACTGTGCATCGCGCATCGGCCACCGGACGTGACCGCCCACCGGATAACTTGCATAGCGCGAAACACTTGAGAGAGCACGTCTCTCAGTCCCAGCAAGCCGCTCAAATCCCTAAAGTCAACAAACAGGATGAAGTTCAACTCAAGAATCCTCCTCAGAAACCAGAAACTCGAGATGAAAAGAGAAGTTTACGCTCCCAAGGGGCTTCGCGCTTCAAGAGCGACCTCTCTCTTTACTTTCCAAGCTACGATGAGATGATCAGCAATGAGCCGAAAGAGCCAGGTGATTTTGATCTCCCCTACAAGTCGAAATCCCATGCTAATCTGAGTAGAGTTCCTTACCGCAGATACCCCGATTGTCATTGTCGACAATCTTACCAATGCTTCAGGTCTGGACTCGCGATTATCTCACATAACAATGGAAAACCCACACAGTCGCGTTCAGACTCAGTTCTCGAAATTAAAACACGAAGATTCTTTAGTTGATAGCTCAGCATCAAAATCTATTCTAGCACAAAAAATAGACTTCTCTTCAATAGAAAAACACACGGGACATATCGCCGAGGATCCACTTACCGATGATCTGTATTACAAGGCACACCGTCGTGCCGAAAGGCAAGAGAAGCAGCTGCGAAATATCGAAAGAGAGCGCGCTCAACATGAGAAGCAGCATCTAGAAAGGCTTCTAGAAGGGCTCCGAGGACCGGATTGGCTCAAAGTCATGGGTGTCACCGGAATCACAGAGTCCGAGAAGAAAGCATACGAGCCGAAAAGGGATATGTTCATAGAGGAAGTGGGAGCATTAGTCGCTAAATTTAAGGCGTGGAAGGAGGAAGAGAAGCGGCGAAAGACTGAACGTCACCAGACGACCGCTGTTGAAGAACAGCCCAGCAAGAAAGAAAAAAGCCCCAGCAGTAGTTTTGAACATCGAAACGGCGAAGAGACTCCTGATTCCAGCGATGTTGATGCTTGGGCAGCCAGACAACTTCATCAGGAAGCGATCTCTGCAAGTGGTGCCCCTCAGACAGAGCACTCGGCGACTAAGAAGAAGGAGCCCCCGAAGGTGAAGAAACCTACTGTTCAAGAAAGGCCCTTCACCTCATTTTATTCCAAGCCGTATTTGCGCGCCGCAGCAGTTGGAAAGCATCGACGCAATAGGAGCAGAACTGCATTTGGCCTGCCTTTGCCTGAGGTGGCAGAGAAGGAGTTTGGGCTGCCTGAGCATATTCTCACACAGGAGGCAAAAACCTCGAGGGCTCGGAGCAGACGCCGGCGGATCAGGGGAACGAAAGGAAATTAGCTGTTTTCGAAATGCATTTTAGTCTACATAAATATTCCCAGATTAGCCTAGCTCAGTATATTATTTTTCACTTTTAATCCTGTTCCTTTGTTCCTTATTCATGTGAATTGTCCAATTAGATACTCATGTCAGATATCTGATTCATTACTGTCTCGGAATCCACCAGTAATAATTGTCCCGTGACGCCGGCCGCGTTGCGCGCTTGGCTGCGCGAGATTGCCGCGCTTCACGTGATCGCCCCGTACTAAGCTAATGTAAATGATGCATAGTAATTATGCCGTAGCAGCAATATTATTGTATAATCGCCAGCCTGGACGTCCTTTGGCTGCTTTTGAGGTCTCCTTTGGGTCGCATGCTCGCCGATATTCTGGCGCACACTTGAAGGTGAAATTTTCAAGTTGTCTCCCGCTCCGCGCTCGTCCTGGTTCAAATCAGGCAACGTGACTGGTTTTGCGAGGCATCTGAGTTAAGAAGTGCTCGAAGCATCTACTCACTTTTTGTGTTTTCCGGCGCAGATTTATCAGTCTGCGAGCTCCATTGCGTACGAGAACGGCTCGAGGCTCCGAGCTGCGAATTAATCCAAGGGGATGAAGCTCGCGGAGTAAGGCGACCAAGACCATTGTCGGCGGCAGTGGCGGTAGCCCACGATGGTAGGGCTTACAGAAATGTCGATGCTCCAGCCTCCAGGGCTCGGCTTTACTGTCTTACACCAGAAGGTTGAGTTGGATCTCGATTTCGCAACACGAAGGCTCAGAGGCAAGACGGAAATCACCATCAATCCCCTCTTCAAAGAGCTTAGGATAATCCGACTCAACTGCCGCCAATGCAAACTCAAGCGTCTCAATGTCAACGGTCGAGGGGTATCGGTCAAGTACAACGAACCATATTCGGGATACAAGCTGCACGGGTTATCGGAGGTTCACCAGTATCATCAGCTAAGACAGAAGATTGAGCCGCAATTACGGAATCCGCCTGAAGAAGAGCTTCTCATAACCCTGCCAAAGAGCTTGCGCATCGAGGAAATAGATCCCTTTTCGGCTGAAGCGCACAATATTCTTCTGTCTAGGAATAATGGATCTACCAAGAAGGAATCGGGAGATTCGTCCATGCTTGCCGGAACTCCGCTATCGAAACCAGGGGATGACCAAGCCGCTAGATTCACGCCGTTGACAATCTTCATCGAGTTCACCACCGATAACGTCAGAGACGGGCTACATTTCGTTGGATTGGAGGATGGCGATCTGCGATATCCTCATGCGTACACCCGTAACTCAATGTTTCCGGGAGCCGCATGCGCGCTGTTCCCTTGCGTAGACGACAGCTCATCAAGGTGCACCTGGGAGATCTCCATCAAATATCCCCGAACCCTAGGCGACGCTTTAGGCAAAGCTGAGTCGCAAATGAATGGGATCGTTAACGGTCTCAACGGAACCCAGCAGCCAAATGGCACTCAGCCTTCAGGAGGGAATCAGTCAGAGTTCAGTGTTGGGGCAGAAGACCAATCATTAGATATGTCGGTTATTTGTTCAGGTGATCTCACGGATGAAGTAAGATTATTGAATTGCACGATTTTCTGAGAAACATTTTGGGTTAACTTCCTCAGATCATTGATCCATCCAACTCTAGAAAGAAGATTGCTTCGTTTATCGTGGCCACAGCAATGGCCCCCCAGCACGTCGGGTTTGCTGTAGGACCTTTTGAGCATGTCAATCTTTCTGACCTTCGCGAAACCGACGAAGACGATAAGCTTGGATCAAATGCAATTCGAGTGCACGGTTTTTGTCTTCCCGGCAGAGCAGATGAAGTTAGAAATACATGCCTTCCAATGGCAAAGGTAGCTACATTCAGAAAGCCTTGTTTTAGAAGCAAACTGACAGATTGTGGCAGGCCATTGACTATTTCACGATGACCTTTGGATCCTATCCATTTTCGAGCTACAAGTTATGCTTCCTCGATGATCAGGTAGATGAGACCGTCAATCTTGCGTCAATGGCTCTCTGTAGCAACAGACTATTGTTCCCAGAAGACATCGTCGATCAAATGGACAACTCGACACGTGCATTGATACATGCGCTTGCAAGCCAATGGATCGGCGTGAACATTATTCCAAGAGAACCTACCGATCTTTGGGCGATAGTGGGCATTTCACATTTCATTACTGATATGTTCATGAAGAAGTTATGTGGAAATAATGAATACCGATATCGCCAAAAGCGAACAGCGGATAGAATTTGCCAGTTGGATGTAAATCGACCTTCGATCCACTCAATGGGAGCATTATTATCATTGGACCCCACTGAACTGGAATTCTTGTCCCTTAAGGCACCACTCGTTCTCTTCATTCTTGACCGCAGGCTTGCGAAGGCTAGCGGCTCATCCGGTCTCTCTCGAATCATATCCAGAATTTTTCTCAATGCAAAGGTCGGCGATCTGCCTAACGGCGCTCTGACGACTGCTTATTTCATGCGAACCTGCGAAAAACTGGGCCATGCCAAGCTTGATGTGTTCTTTCAACAGTGGGTCTATGGCGCTGGATGCCCCCGGTTCCTTATCACCCAGAGATTTAATAAAAAAAAGCTTGTGGTCGAGATGCTTATCAAGCAGGTACAGAGCGATCAGGCTCTGGATAGAAATCTTGAGGTCGACTACTTTATGAGAGACGTAAAAGAAGAGTTACATAATATCTACGCTGGGCCGGTGCAACCCGTATTCACAGTAAGGATCCTCATTTCTGGAACTCTCCTAGAGCTCTGAACAGCTAACTCACGACAGGGGCCTATGACGATCCGCATTCATGAGGCCGATGGCACGCCCTACGAACATATTGTTGAAATCAAAGAAGCCAACACCAAATTCGAGATTCCCTACAATACAAAATACAAGCGGCTAAAACGAAGTCGAAGGCAAAAGGAGCGAGCTGCAGCAGCAGCTGGCGTCGAAGTTTCGGCAGATGTTCAGGACGATGTTCTTCTCTACTGTTTAGGGGACGTGCTCCAGAGCGAAGAAGAAGTTGCAGACTGGCGCCTAGCGGACTGGACCAGAGAAGACGAGGAAAGAATGAGCCAGGAGTCGTATGAATGGATACGGATGGATGCAGACTTTGAATGGATCGGTAAAATGATAATAAATATGCCGGGCTACATGTTCTTGTCACAACTACAGCAAGATCGTGACGTTGTAGCGCAGTTCGAGGTAAGCCCATTTCCCAACATCTCCAGGCAGAACTTGCTAAAATGTCTTAGTCAATCCAATACATTGCAACTCAAAGGGAGCATCCCCTTATCTCGACAATCCTGGTACGGACGCTCATGGATCGCCGGTATTTCCATGGTATTCGGACTGCGGCCGCAGAAGCGTTGGTGAAAAACGCCAAGGATGAGCTTGACTGGATCGGTCTTTTCCACCTTGAAAAGGCATTCCAAGAACTTTTCTGTTTCCCGGATTCGCCAATGACGCGATCCAACGACTTTTCCGACCGAGCTGCTTATTATATCCAATGTGCCATACCAAAAGCGATCTCAGAAGTGAGGGACCATGGCGGAAAAGCACCTTTACGTGTGAAGAGGTTCCTTTACGACAAGCTGAAATTCAATGACAATGCAAACAACGAGTATTCTGATTGCTATTATGTTGCCACGCTCATGTCTGCGTTGGCGGAGACGTTGGTTACCAACGTTGAGCCTGGAGGCTTCAATTTCAGCTTCGAGGATGACGAGGATGAGGAAGAGAAATTCAAGAGAGACGTCGTTGACGAGATTGAAAGATATCGTCGCATGGATGAATGGATATCATCTTATCAGAATATCTATTCTACAACAGCTCTCGAATGCAAACAGCGACTTGCAGCCGCAAAGATTATTGACGCAAATCCTGCAGATTATATTCAATACGTACGCTACGGCACGTATGATCCTCTGCGATTGCATGCATTCAACTGCTTGATTCAACTCGGCGCTCTCAAGAATGCGGCTGTTCTGCAATACTTTTTCTTCGTCCTGGGATCCGATCCGTCTCCTTATGTCCGCGAGAACCTTGTCCATCTCTTCGGTCGAGCGCTAGCTCTCATAGCGATAGGAGAAACCTCTCAAACGCAGGAGAAGCCACAAACTGATGGTCTTGTCATTGAGCAAGAATCCTCGACGGAGGCAAGACAAGCTGAACTCGCTCGAACCCAAACCGTTCCGGGAGCACTTGCTGCGTTGAAGACGGAGCTGGGAGGATCAACAACTCTCCAAGAAGCTCTCTGGCACGCAATCACGTAAGTCCAACTACTAAATTCTGGAAGCAAAACCGCTCCCTGCAAGAAACACACATCCCAGCTAACAAGCATATCACGATTATAGTTCCCCTGTTGTAGGCTTATTCGAAATCCGCGAACTGCTCGACTTGTGCGCCATTCTCTATGAGCCCAGGACATCCCTCGTTGTGGTTCTCAAATACCCGCGCTACTGGGGTGTCCAACACCTTGGCAAGGTAACTTACATTTTCGTTCTCCCTTTTCCCTCTTCCCTTTTTTCCTTTCTTCTTTTTCCTTTATTTTCTCCCCCCTCTCTCTTTATATCTGCATTTCTTCCTCAAAAATTTCCAAATTTCCAAGAAACTAACAAGTCAATTTTACTAGGGCAAACTGGTGTTTCGCCAGACAAATAAGCCTCGAACAACACCCTTATCCAAACTCGCTTTGCCACGTGCACCTGCTCCTCCGCCACAACGAGAAGACTCGGCCGCAATGAGCACGCCCAAGATCGTCTTCAAACCCAAGAAGCCTGCGGCTGCTCCTCCTTCCGCTCCTTCTCCTGCTACTGCTGCACCATCCACTCCGTCATTGGACGAGAGACGCAAGTTGACTATAAAGCTCAAACTTGGCAGTGGCAGTGGTAGTCTTGGTGGCGGTGGTGGTCCCAGCGGCAGTCCTCTGTAACCATTCTACTTTTACACTCTTTACTCTCATACCTTTTTTTATCCCCTTTTTATTTTCTCGTCCTCCCCACCAATCATGCATCCAGTGGGGCTATAGTGTTGTTAGGACAGGCGCAATGATTGGCGCAGTAAGTTTTCTTTTTTTCTTCCATCGGCATATGGGCAGATTTATCGCGTATGGGATCAAGGGGCAGGAAAAAAAGCCACCGGCGTACCACTCTTCAACGTATCTTGAGAACTGGAGAAACGTCTTCGCATTTCTTCGCATTATTTTTCTTTCCCTTGGAGTTGTGAATTCTCCAAAGGGAGAATACGCTTTCATCTTATCTCGGGATATCATTTCCATCATGTAAATAGAGAAATTACAAAGAGTAAAAATAAGCCATAAGACCGAGAGATATTGAACTCCCGCTAAATCATCTGTCCTGCCATGTCCCTTAATATCATCAATATGCTATGCCTTTGTAGAAGTCCCGCCATATGTTCCAGTGTTAGATAACGTCGCTCGCCCATGAAACAATTCATACTGTACACCGTATCGGCACAAAAGGGAAAAAAATAAAAACGGATTTAACCCTCCCCTTTGGTATTTCCTATAGACCCTGATCTAGAGAGGCTGGGGGCCAAGCTACCCATGCTACCGAGGCGGTTATTGCAGCGGCGCGTCTGGTCAAGAACGATGTCGGTCACGAAATCGACGAAATGGGCGTATTTGAGCGGATTGGACGGACTAAGCCTGCTCGATCCTGTTGTACAATCCGAAGGCATCAGTCATGGGGAGCCTTTCCACAATCCTAGTTGCACCCGGCAGTGTTCATGCTCAAAGGAGGGCCGTGAGGGAGAAGGAAAGAATAAGAAGAAGTCTTCATACCTTCTTTTTCCCAGCAGAAGGAGACTCTGTCTATATCGTACCCGTCCCCGTACCCCTGCCTGTCTCCGTATCCAATTCTTATGACCGGTCGTACAGGACCCAGAGCTGAGTACTTCTTCCAGCCACGACACGACCTTATCCCGTACTCAAGATCTTTGGCCCAGCCCGATTCTCTCTTCCCGCGTTCGCACAATACGAGCCTTCTCGCCCGGCAGCGGTCTCAATTCGTCGTTTGGATCAATTGCTCCGTCCTTTGGCTTTGTGCGGCCACCATTGTTCTCGCGATTCCGGGCGTCTTCAAACGCAGCCACGTCTTCAGAGGTAAGTGTGATGGCGGTAGGTTTTCGGCGGAGCATTGTCGACGACAACAAAAACGACCTTTTCTTCAGGTAAAGACCGCCGGGGTTCTCGGTACCGTACGGGAGATGCGGAGCTTGAGTTCGCTCCGAAGCTAGTCAGGATTTTGCCAGGCTAAATTCTCTCTTTTCAAGGCTCGAAACTGAAAATATAGAGACAGACTATGGCAATGGTAAGATCAAGACTTTGTGAAGCTGGCACAGACTGGGCGACGAAAGGTGAGAGGCTGTAGATCGAGACCTTGATCCGGATTTCCAAACACGCCGGGCTAGAATCCCCTGAATTTGGGACTCGATAGCAAAGGCTAGCTTAGTGCACCTCTCGTAGGGAGAAAGGGAACGGATTGGGGAGGACGCTGTATTCGAGCCAACCAGGCAAAGGAAACGCGGGGTGAGTCTGGGGAGGAGGGATTGTGCCGCCAACAAACAACTCTAGATGCTGTGGCTATGAAATATTACGGCGAGGCAGAAGACATAATATAGCAGTTTGACTAACTAAGGTTAGACGGCTGGGCGAACTGATGCGCTAGTTCCAAAAGGGAAAATTACCCCAAACCATCCTAAGAAATCCGAACGAGAGAAGACATCGTGGGTCGGCGAGAGAGTTGCGTTCGTTTGTAGTACTGCAGCTTGGCCCGGCCTGATCAATTCGATTCCATCGGCGTCAATTGCACACGGCTGCAGCAATGCTCAAGTGGTGCGCCAACCCGGCCCTGCTCCGGGGCCGTCCCGTCTCGGCGGACATTGCGAGAGTGACCGACGGCATTGCAGCGTCGTTGAGGGAGTTTCACGTTTCTGCGCTTCGTGCAGATGAAGAGAGCGGTAGAAGTGAGTACAGACTTGAAATATCACAATCTCCCTCTTAGCAGGCATCTTGCAATAATGTGGTCTTCATAAAGGGAAGCGGCACGCTTTCAATTGCATTCGGCCTTTGGAGATATTAGGAGCAAAAGAACTATCAACTAATAACTCCGTACCAATAGACCGACCCAGACCATCCTCTACCCGAGGCCAACGCAGTGCAGCTGCAAACAATGAGATTCAATCATTTGGTCGATCCAACCAAGGCGTAAGACGCGAAGGAGAAACGTCGGCACCGCGCGGCCCTACAAGGCCTCGAGGCATCGATCTGCGAGCGCTTGGAGCAACGCCCAACCCAAAGACCAACGCAGACGGATCCAACCGTGATGGCTCCAGATCTCCCAACTTCAAGTTTGCCAAACGCGGCGGCGGTGGTGGTGCTGGTGCTGGCGGCGCAAATACTCGCGGCGGAGTACGCGGTGGTCGCGGAGCAGCAGGCAAACCTGGGGGCGGTCGTGGCGGTCAGCGCGGTTCAGCTCCTAGAAGAGGCGGTGGTAATAAGAAACCTGGGCAGAATCGGCGAAGAGATACTGATCAGGAGTTTCGCAAGACCAAGGAGGAGGATGAACCCATTTCGGAACGGCAGAGACTCTATTATGCGGAAAAGAAGGCCGCAGAGTGGAGAGACCGTCTGCCAAAGCCGGCGAAACTTCGCCACAATACTCCCGACGCGCTTCGGGAATCACTTGGCAATCATGCTCTTCCTCTGATCACAAGGAGTGGCTTTGGTGCGGCTGGTGCTGTCGAGCAGAAGCTAAGATTGCTCGCAGCAAGACGGCCAGATGAGGTCATTATCCCAGAAGAGCTTGCCAGAAGGCAGGTCAAGGGTAGCTATGTCTTCTTCGAGTCTGACGCCGAGAAGAATGCGGCTGCGGCTGAGGCGGAACGCTTGAGCGAGCGACATGCGACCAAGAAGACAGAGGAGAAGGGCGAATTGGTTAAGAAGGAGGATGTCAGCCTTGCTACTCGGAATGCTGAGTCTCGAAAAGAGATTGTCGACTCTCTGGTCAGAGGTGTATATCCTCCCGTGAAAAAGGGAGATGTGCTCAAGGAGACTGCCTTTGAGCGTGTCTCGCGTCTTACATGGAAGAACGGGACTTGCAGCCCTCAACAGGGCGCAGATATATTGGCCAAAGTTAAACGCATAGTACCTGCGCAGCAGAGCAAGCCCGGCAAGCCCGGCAAGCAGCATGCTCGCGCTTAGGCTTGCTTCAATCGCAGTGTTTTCCCACCCGTTTAGCACATTAGAGTGGTCCTTTCTTTGGACCTCCTTTTACCTTCTCCAGGCGCATGTATATTATAATGGACGGGTTTAAATAGAAACCGTTATTTCCAAATATATCTTTTTCATTTGAATGCTTTATCAAAAACATTGTATCTTTCTTATGCATCTCCAGAAAAATCTCTCTGGTCTTTTTTCTAGAATCAAACCCAAACGTACAATATCATATACTATACAATACAACACAGCAAACTGCTGCGCCTTGAAAATGTGAAAATGTGAACCATTTTTTCTATGTGAGCCACACACAAAAGGAACGCCTCATTGCTCAGTAATGACCTTCTTCGCCGCCTCGAAAATCTTCTTCACCTCCGCCGTTGCATTCGCTGCAACCTTCTCCATCTTGTCTCCCGCCTTGCGCAGATCATCAGGTCTCGCCGTCTTCTGCAGTGCACGCAGCTTCTTCTGCTGTGCCTGGCGAGCATTCTTGACCGCAGTATTCGTATGCTCGCTGGCCGCCTGGGCCGTCTTCAATATCTCCATGCGCGTCTCCTTTGTCAGCGGCGGAATGGGCACCGTGTATTTGCTGCTATTATCCTTATCGACGACCGGGTTCAGGGAATACTTGGAGCTTTGGATCGCAGAAACAACCGCTTTGATGTGCTAAAGGGAACAGGTAACTTTCGTCAGCATGATCAATTGGTCAAACGAGACACAAGCCCAGGCTGCCGGCCGCCAGGCCGCGCCACAAAACAAACAAAACAAAAAACTTACGTCTTTTTCCCAGATTTGGACGCCCAGGGCTCTCGGGCGGCCAACGACCTGCGCAAGGTCACCGAGACGATGCGTCTCGCCGGACTTCTTGTCCACGTGCACAGGAAGCGCCTCGATCACGGCGGGATCGAACCGTCCTCCGGTGCGAAGCTTGGACAGATCCGACTTGAGTCTCTCCAGAGCCTTCCCGAGGGCTTCCTCGAGAGAACTCATGTCGTGAGGGTCTGCCGCTGCACCAGAGCCCGCGTCTGCGCTGGCTTCGCTGCCGTGGTCATTGCCGCCCTTGGATGACTTTCCGCCTTTCCCGCTGGCCGCGGCTTTGTCTTTCTTCTTATAGAGAGGACATGTTGTGGAGAGCGGACGGCTCAAGATCTGATGTTGGAGTCCAGGCCTTGACCTGATAGAGATGTGGCATTGGGGTCTAGCGGCATTGGGGCATCGAGGGCTGTTTGTCTGCGTTTTAGCGCATCATGGGCCATATACAACTTGATGGAAGGTAACGCAACCGGTGGGCGCAGATGCGCTCCAATCAGACGGGACATACGGTGCAGAACAGAGGGAAGCCGCCAATTTCGAGGAGGTGCCTCGCCGAAGGCCAGTTTGAACCGTCTTAGTCGCCAACATTATGAAAAGTGTCGAAACCGGGTTTACGATATTTGGAGATCGTAATGGAAACGAAGCTGTCGATGTTTTCGGGTAAACAGTTTATCCGGCTAACTCTTAATTGCAGCAACCGTTCGTCACACTGGGCAGATATAACATATTTCAGAAAAATAGAAACCAAATCTTTCTTTAACATGAACAAGGTCGTGGAAGATATCTACGAAAATCATGCCCAAGTTTTGCCATAAAATCGCCCATTATGTTCCAGACATATTGAATCTCGTTTTAGGTCTACAGAAAGCTCATATGCCCTGAAGAAAAAGACCTTCCCTTATGGAAAAGAAATGCAAGATTGAAGAAAAAAACCAACATCAGCTTTTGTACTGAAAAGTAACGATCTACGGAGGTTGACAGAAATCAGTCATAAGTCATTGCGCCTCCTATTGTATCATCCACTCGAACTCCTCTAATGATTGATTTAGCGGGAGGACATGGCCTTGGTGACAACACGCTTGAGAGCAAGCTCCTTCTTCTTGAGGTCGTCAGAGTTGGCATCCTCAACCTCGAGCTGAGCCATGGCGTCGCTGAGAGCAGACTCGATTCTGTCCTTGCTGCCACGCTTGAGCTTGATGGACAAGGTGGGGTCAGAGACGAGCTCCTCAACGCGGGAGATGTAAGCCTCGAGCTGCTGGCGAGACTCGAAGCGCTTGCTGAAGGCCTCGTCGCTGCTCTTGAACTTGGCGGCATCTTTGAAGGAAATTAGTTCCATCCGATGAAATTGAAATTAGGGTGAAGCTTACCGTTGATCATGTTGTCAATGTCAGAGGACGAGAGCTTTCCAACAGCGTTGGAGATGGTAATGTTGGCGGTACGGCCAGAGGTCTTCTCGGTAGCAGTGACCTTGAGGATACCGTTGACGTCGACCTCGAAGACGACCTCAAGGACAGCCTCACCGGCGCGCATGGGGGGGATGGGGGCGAGAGTGAACTCTCCGAGAGAGGTGTTGTCCTCACAGTTGACACGCTCACCCTGGAAGACGGGGAACTGAACGGTCTGCTGGTTGTCGGCGACAGTGGTGAAGGTCCGCTTCTTCATGGTAGGGACGGTCTGGCCACGGGGGACGACAGGAGCGAAGATGTTACCCTCCATGGCAACACCAAGGGAGAGGGGAACAACGTCGAGAAGGAGGAGGTCAGAGGTCTCAGCAGAGGTGGCCTTGCCAGAGAGGATACCAGCCTGGACGGCAGCACCGTAGGCGACGGCCTCATCGGGGTTGATGCTCTGTATTGCTGTTAGATTATGCTAATGACAAGAAAAATATATGTGCCAACAAACCTTCTCGAGCTTCTTGCCGTCGAAGAAGTCGCTGAGGAGCTTCTGGATACGGGGAATACGAGTGGAGCCACCAACAAGGACAATCTCCTCGACCTTGCTCTTCTCAATGTTGGCGTCCTTGAGCACCTGCTGGACAGGGTCGATGGTGCCGTTGAAAGCCTTGGCGTTCAGGTCCTCGAAACGAGCACGAGTGATCTGAGAGTTGAAGTCCTCGCCATCGAAAAGAGAGTCGATCTCAACGGTGGTCTGGGTAGCGTTGGAAAGAGTACGCTTGGCACGCTCGCAAGCAGTCCGGAGACGGCGGAGAGCACGGGGGTCACCAGAAAGATCCTTCTTGGTCTTACGCTGGAATTCCTTCTTGAAGTGCTCAAGGAGGTTGGTATCGAAGTCCTGACCACCCAAGTGAGTGTCACCAGCAGTGGCCTTGACGGTGAAAACACCACCCTGGATGTTCAAAAGAGAGACATCGAAGGTACCACCACCAAGATCGTAGATGAGGACATTGCGCTCCTTCTCAGTCTTGCCGGAGCCAAGACCGTAGGCAATGGCAGCAGCAGTAGGCTCGTTGATGATACGGAGCACGTTAAGGCCGGCAATGGCACCAGCATCCTTGGTGGCCTGACGCTGGTTGTCGTTGAAGTAGGCGGGGACGGTAACGACAGCCTTGGAGACCTTCTTGCCGAGCTTGGTCTCAGCAACCTCTTTCATCTGGGCCGAAAGTCAGTATTCATCCTATCCTGAAAAAGTTTCTAACAAAGAGGTCATTACCTTCATGAGAACCATGGAAGAGATCTCCTGAGGAGTGAAGGTCTTGGTCTCGCCAAGGTACTCGACCTGGACAACGGGGCTACCGCCCTGGTCGACAACCTTGAAAGGCCAGGACTCGATGTCCTTCTTGACGGTGGGGTCGTCAAATCTCCGACCGATGAGACGCCTGAACTTGATCAGTACGAGTTCCATAAACATCTCAATCTCACAAATTGCTTCTTACTTGACATCGAAGACGGTGTTCTGAGGGTTCATGGCAGCCTGGTTCTTGGCGGCCTCACCGATCAAACGCTCCTGCTCGGTGAAGGAGACGAACGAGGGAGTGGTGAAGCTACCCTGCTCGTTGGCGACTGGAAACGGTCAGTCTGCGCAACACTGGACGCAGTAAGACACTTCAAGAAGTTTTACATACTGATCTCAACGTTGGTGCCCTCATAGTTGGCAACGCAAGAGTAGGTGGTACCTGCAAATGGTCAGCATTCAATGGGCACAAAGAAAATTTTTCAATGAGTATGGAGGAGAACATACCAAGATCGATACCGATCGCGCCCTCGTAAACCTCGTCAGCCATTTTGTTTAGACTTTGAATCTGAAATTGACGTTGTCTGAAACTGAAGGAATGGCCTTTTTAAGTCGGTGAACGAAGGAGAGGGTCTTGTTGGATTTTTTCTCCAGAATGGACTTATCGTTTCGGTGAGTCTATTCCCAAAAAGCACTGGTGTACAGTGCGCGGCACTATTACATAATCAGACTACTGCAAATTCGACTCGGTAGAAAAAGATAGCGCACAAAATTTGTTTGTTGGCGAAGAAAAGGATGAAGGTACTAGGTTAAAAGGTGGCAACAACAAGCAAAAGTTAAATTGGTATCTATCAGCGTTTCGCCGTGGCCAATTAGTGTACAAGTCGATCCATCAAATCTTGAAACTATGTCAAAAGTAGGTTTGACAAGCCATCTCGACCAAATATTTCGTACACCATCTACCTCCTTATCGGTCAGATATATCTCCGCTCACGTGACGGACCATTCCTCTTGACGCCTTTTATTTCCACGTGAACCGCATGGCTCCAGTTGAACACCAGACAATTAAAAGGGAAAATAAACGTGAGAGAAAATTTTTGAAATCATTTCAACTCCAACATGCAGTGTTTGCGCTATCAAAAAAGACAATGGCTTCATGCCTTCATCAAATTGGCGAACACCGTAATCTTCTCCAATTCGATATCTTGAGCCGTACTCGGCTTGGGTATACCTCTGGTAGGTCCGGCGATGATCTCCACTTCAATCCTATTTATTCCGGGTACCAACTTTGCTTCATACCAAGGACGTTTTGTGTCGGTCGTACCTGAGGCGTGTGGTACAGGATTCAATCTTTGATAATTTACCGTGACAAAGACCTTGCTGGGCCGAGTGTTCAAACTGGGCGCAATTATTGGTGCGATTTGGAGCATATAATGCATTGGTGCTAAGTTGATGGTGATTGACTGCTGAGACAGGCTGTCTGATGGTGGAATGTTTAATTGAAAGGGGCGAGGCAATCTAAGCCCAGGATGAGTGGATATACTCAGGTTGGAAATAAGTGCATCTGAGGCGTCTAGTCTGTTGTTAATCTCAAGAACCATCTCAAATTTTATCGTGTAGACTTACCTTTGCCAGGTGGCCTTAGCATCGACATTCCAGAGGGCGGCGCCGGAGGTGGTGGGGGAGGTATATGCACGGGAGGCGCTTGGGACTGCGGCGGATTTGGACTGCCATCGGCAAGGCGAGGAGTTGATCCAGAAGGAGGCGGCATGCTAGAGCTGTCAAGCCTGGGACTTTGCGTAGCTTTGATGGATTCATGACTCTCCCTCCTCATCTCTGACGCCTTCTCAGGGCCTGTACTGGAGACTCGTATCGCCCCAAGGCTCGGAGACCGTCCAGCTTGCGGCTCGCTCTTTACTGCAGCTGCCGAAGGCGCAGGCGAAGCAGTTGTGACAGCCTTTTGTGTATCGCCTTGTGAGGCCTTCCCCACCGCAGAGATGCCTGTGGAGACCGATCCAGACCGGGATACACCCGTGGTATCTTTTGCACTGGGTTGCGGCGTGGTCTGGTCCCTTGCGGGAGATGTGCGTGGGTGGGTCGATGGCTGCGATTGATTCTCTTCCTTTCCGGGCGATCCAGCATCTGGCACAGCCTCCGCTGGTACTGATTCTTTCCGTGCAGGAGTTTCCCTGGAAATGGATGATGGCGCGGGGCTGGCCTTCGGAGCGCCGATATGAAGCTTAACTCGAGGCCGCGACGGTTCTGGAGATTTAGGCGCAGGCATATTGAGCTTCAGTCGCGGTCCAGGTTCGGATACAACTCTTTTTGCCTCCGTGATTCGGTCTTTGAAATATTTCTAAAAATTGGTCAGCGTTTCATCTAAAAACGCTCGTGAAGAAGCTCGCATACCTCGAGTTCGCCAGCAAGATTGGAAATTTCACTTCCGTCTTCATTATATTCACGCGCGTTCCGCCAGAGAAAGCTAACTTCATCCTCAAATGCGTGCCACGTCTTGAATTCTGTAACGCCAGTTATGTCCTTTTTGCCGCGGACTCCTTTTACGCGTTTCATTATGCCATTTAAAGAAACTGGTTTCTTAATTAGAGCGTAATAGTCCTTGAGCGCTCGTGGTGGCAGGTTATGAAACGGATAAGACACTTCTTCACCACTACATCGAACAGATTCTTAGTAGTCGGTGCTAGCAGGATTTCAAAAGAACGACTTACCCTTTATCCTTTAAATCAATCAATTCAGTAATGATCATTTCTTGCGCTTGCTGAAAAGAAGTTCCTTCATATTTTTCTCCGTCTTTCCCATCGACCTGGAGACCATTGACGGGAGTTGGAGACACTGGGCGCTCAGCTCGTGACCTCTTCCTTTTCCGGCTTTCCGCTGATTCAGGCTCAAATTCTTCACCAGCAGCTGCTGGATTTTCTTCGCCTTCCGCATCAGCCAGTGCAGTCTCGGAGGTTATCGTCTCAGGCGCCTTTGGAAAGCGTCCAACACCTTTGCCCAGGTAGCTGGAAAGCATTTTCCGAATGCGCTCCGCATCGTTAAAAATTTCTGAATTGGTCTCATTATACGATTTTGCGTTTGCGACCATAAGCTTTACATCTGATTCGAAAGCAGATATGTCGGGGTATTTCTTCCTTGCCAGTTTCGCCTGAAATTTCGCGACGTTAGTGAAGAATGACACTGTAAATTGTGCAAACTCCCGTGTGGGGTGCTTAGACGGAATAAGACCGTCGTGTTACAGGATATGGATCAGAGACTTCCAGAGTTGTTGCTTGCAACAACTTTGCCAGCTAATGAAACATCGGAATATTCATACCTCTATTATATCTATGGCGATCGGGGTAGTTATTTCTTTATAGTAGTCCGGAAATAGTTTCTGCGAGTACGCAAAACAATAAGTATCGACGCTCAAGAATTACGCAAAGTAAGACTGAGAGGCAGTTATCTACCTTTTCCGGCAATTCGAGAAAGTTTGTTGCAATGTTCCGTCCTCTACAAATGGAGCATCAGTACCAGGTATGGAAGGGTTCGACAAGTTTCGCGATAGGTCGGGCAAGCTGAGTGCAAGCACAGAGGCATGACGACTTACCGTTTATCGACAGCTTGCTTAAGCTGTTCCAAGAAGCCGGTGCCGACTTCACCTGCTGTCGAAGCTTCTATACTCGGGGCATCGGCGGTCTGATCGCGAATAAGAGGTCAGTCTGGTGATGTCTGGTATGACAAAGTAATGTGCTCTTTGGCTGCAAATACTCGCGCAAACGGCGATGAATCCAGGCGCAAGTAGCAGCTGCAGGGCTCGGAGCGCATCATAGCTCGATGCCTCGTGGACAGTAGCGAAGCCCGTCGCGACTGTAGTCACTACCCTGAGCTCCTCGTTCGCCATCTTCAATCCATCACTCGGTCGCGCCTCACAACATCTCAAGCAACAACTTTCAAGCGTATCGTCAAACTCGAGACTTACCGGCAATTTTCTTCGCTTCGATGCTCGATCATCCATTTTTGTCGGATCCAAGCCAAAATTGATGCTGTGCCCCCTCGAACTACGCACTTCGAAGCTTTTGAAGGGGCGAGGAGACGATCGGAATAGTCGCAAAGGACGGGGCAACAGATGAGAAGCCTACTCCTAAAAATCCCAGAATTCGCAATGTAAGAACAATTCGTGCGCAGAAAGTCCGCGTTGTGTTGGGTATTTGGCCGCGTTTCTTCGAGGAAGCGTTAGGGGACCTTGGGAACTGATGGCGGGCGAGGTGATCAGCAAAGCTGTGTATACTTTACACTTGTACCTTTGCGCTCAGCAGACCGGATGCACCACTTGCACCACCACGCCCCAGCTGCTCGCCCGAATCGGGTACAGTACCTTCTAGACACGCGACCTATAGCATGAGATAGAAGTACCAGCATAACAATGGAAAGCCCATATGGAAAAGCTGACGCGAAAGGACCGAGGACCCTGATCAGAAAGCTTCTACCTCTGTACAAGTGACGCTAAATCTACAACCAGTGCAATCATCATAACCCTTCACGAGCCATCCTTCACTGCCCTTGAACTTTTTCAAACAATGTGTGATCTACTCCGTGTCCGCACTGAGACGCTCGATTTGGAAGCATGCACGTGATGTTCTGGCGTGGGAAAAGTCTCTTTGCCCTAATAGGAATTGTATTGTGGCTCGAGATAAACAACCCTCGGCGATGTGCTATCCCTCATTCCCTACGGTTTCTGTATAAATTTCGAGTATTTTGATCAATCTTTTCGCTGTGCTTTGCATTTATCTGTCTCAATCTCGGAGTTTCTGCGTCACTGCTCGATACTGCTTCCCGCCAGTAGATCTCATAGCATAAACATAGGCTACCCCGACCGTTACTCTTCCCCTGTCTGCCCCACCTTACCGGCCACCAGCGGGCCTGCAGCGCGCGGCTCGTGCAGAAGTTGCAGCGCGGCACTTCCTACGTACCTTAAAATCAAGAGGCCAAGGATCGCGCTTTTTGATCAAATCCAAAAGACCCCACCGAGCGACTGTGAAGACTCACCTTACCGCCACCGCTGCTTGTTTTCTCGTCAAATTCTTCCAAGTCCCATTCACCCCTCTCGCCTTGCCTATTCATTTCTCGCGAGCAAACGCGAGGCTCACTTCCTAGCTCGTGCCACCCACTGGGCGCCTCAACTTTAGCAAACAACTCAACCGCAAGGCTCATACTCCAGTCGCCATGGCCGACATGTACAGCAGACGAAACAAGAAGCCAAGACTACTCACCGAAGCAGAGAGAGAGCGGCTTGAGGAGTTCCTCGAACACATTCACTATTCCGCCAGGTACGACCGGTCGTTCGCGCTTTCTAGGACCCTCCATTTGCGATCCATCTCCGGCCTCACGATTCGCTAAACTGCTCACAGATATTCGGACGATGAAAATGAATACCGCCATGTGCAGTTACCGAAGCAGATGCTCAAAATTATTCCCAAGGACTACTTCGATCCTTCCACGGGCACGCTGAAATTGCTTTGGGAAGAGGAGTGGAGAGGCATTGGCATCACTCAAGTAGGTCCGCTCTTTCCGGATTCCTATTGCTTCTGCTAATATCCTCTGCCAGAGCCTAGGGTGGGAACACTACGAAGTTCACGAACCCGAACCACACATTCTCTTGTTCAAGTACGTCCGCTCTCTTCCACATCTGGACATATTATTGACAACGTTCCAGGCGACCAATCAACTATCAACCACCCGTTCACGATCAGTAATTCACTTTACCTTCTTCTCGAGTCTTTTACATTCCGAGCTTCGTTTATTTCGGCTTCTAGAATCTCATTGGCGTAACAAGAGGGATCGAAGGTACGGCTCATATTAGCTTTACGAGACTCCAATTGCTCTTCGTCTTGTAAATATCTGATTATATCGAAGAAATTCTCCCAACTGGCAAAAAACTCCACCGTTCTCTGCCTAGCCACGGGGCTGTGACGAAACGCAGATGAGCTGTATTTGCTTGATTTAATATCCAATTAGTCCGCCGCTCTCTCCTGCCTTGGTTGGCAGGTTAATGGCGGTGACGGTGTTGCCAATCTTTGCTTTCACCACGTCGAATTTGACCTTCACCTTTCCCCGCCATTCGTCGAGTACCGCAGTTATGTCTTTTGCGCAAAGTTGCTCGATCATCTCCGGGGATGGTGCTTCTAAAGTCCAACCAAGGCTAATATGAAAATGTGTTGAAAAATCTACTTCGTTTGGTTTGGGTTCTGTTGTAATTGGAACTTTTCTTCGTCCTCGATCTGCGCGTTGGGCGCGCCCCGGCCCAGAAGCTCGTGTTACTTCTAATCTTGACGTTTGCTTTGACTCAGAATAGAGAGGGGGCTGGCCAAATGAAGCCAGCGTTTTGTTTGTGATGTGAATCAAGCGATTCAGCCCATTGTTAGAAGGTCTAGTGAGCCTTAAAACAAGGAACCATCGAGTGTTTTCGTAATTAGCCACCCAGTCTAGAGCTGTGAACTCGACGTCAAACCTACAGAGGTCAATCAGCTCCACTTTTGTTGAAGCTCACCATCATACTTACGGGCGGGTGCCAGATGAGGCGATATCTTTGGCCAATTTCTCGACGAAAGAATGACGATGTTCAGTGATGAGAACAACCGGGCGAGAGAGACTTATGTGAAGCGGTAGCGGAGCACCTAGATCGCTCAAGAGAAGACTTCGAATGCTCCTTCCGGTCGCAGATGCCTTGTTTTGCACTAGTTTCAAGAGCAAAGAAAGCTGCTCGAATTCTGAATATGTGGGATGCCCTCATCTATTGTCAGTCTGTTTTGCGGAAGGAATTATTTTGCTTTCGTCTATTCGGACTATAGCCTGTATGACTGGCGATCGACAAAGAGTAACAGCACTTACACTCTAAATAGATATGAGTAGGCCAATTTCCCTCCACATGAGGGATCACACGCTTTCGACCACCATGCAAGCTGGGATCATCTTGTGTACTGACTCTGGATGTCGACGCGTAAAGGTCATGAAATTCGGCTGGTAAAGGGGGTAGCTTGGGCCCTATTGCTGAGCGGTCCGGCTCAGCAGAATGATCACTGCGTTTTCTCTTAAGTGTGGTCGTGTGCCGAGAGTTTGGAGAAGACGAGGCATCGTCAGATGGCTCCGAGTCAGAGTAATCTACTAGAGCCATTGCCGTCGAGAGCTGTGAAATATGGAAAGGGACGCCTTCGCAGCGTAAATCTAGTCGAGCAGTTCTGGCGATCGGTCCGGTTCCTGGATCGTGACGCCCGCGCGCGCGAGAAAGCTTACAGCTGAGCGAGAAAAGCGCTCGACAACATATCAAACTGCTGGTAGCGAGCAGCGTAGTCAAAATACTAGTGATTTAGCAATGAGCGCAAAGGCTTTGAAAGTGTTTTTGTTGCGAGGACGCGGTCATGCTGAACCCAAAATGTCATCCGATTTTAGAATTGAAGGTCGAGATACGACTTTCCTTTCGAGTTTCTTCCCCGTTTGCTGTGACCAACCGGTTTCTTTGCTTGGTCGGAGAGAGGGAGTCTACTCCAGCAAGGCTGCACAACTACAAGCACATGCAGGACATACCTTCGTCAAGTAGAGAGGGATAAATGACAGACAGTATGCTCCATTTAAAATCTGCAGGATGACGGAGTATGCTCCTACGTAAGGTATTTTATGGTTCTGCGGGAGGAATCGCTACGTATCTACCTAGCTACCGTAGTGAAGGGTTGTTGGGGTCAGAAAGAGATTTGATAATTGCGGAAATGACGTTGGTCCCTCGTTCTCCACTTAAAAGTTATGTGCAATGTTGCGGTGCAAATTTAGAATTACTTTGATCTTCAGCTTAGAATCTATTACTAGATTTGAAACGTGCGACACAGGTTAAACTGTCCATGATTTCTCAAGAGAGCGCCATTATGAATTGGCCCTAGACTTCACATCCTTTTGAAAATCATCACCAGCATGAGGTTCGTGACGACGTAAGTCGATTCATGTGTAGGTAGCATGGTACCTGGCATGGATGAGTGGGTTCCAGTGCTAAATACGCCGGTAGCCTCGCTCTAGCCAGACGACCAGGAACGGCTTAACCGGACGATATAGGTTAAAAGATGATAGTCGGAACGAGGGGAGGCATGATGATGAGACGTTATGCGAGAACGCTGAGGGCGCTAACTGCCAGGCAGCACCTTTGGGTACTATCAGAAGTATACGGAGTGCAGCAATTATCGGTATACCCCAGAGTTCTCCTAGAGCACATTATTAGGAACAAGACGGCACGGCTTGTTACTTGTACTCGTCTGGGTGGGCCTCACCCGAGGGGGCTGACGTATACAGTGCACATCGCATCCGGGGCTTGCGCCATGGCATACTTTTCCGGATGATGCTATCAGGAAAGGTCCCAACCCCCAGTAGTGCACCATGCCATACTTGTGGATTTCAATTTATACGGTCGTATCTCTCATTTCCCATGGCTGACGCCTGTTTCTTAAAAGCTGCCCGCCTCAGTCTCGTTCTTGTAAATTTATTCTTGCCGTGACGATTTTATATTAATGCACCACCGCAATTGATCGGAAATTAGCGCAGCGATTCATTTTTCAACGCAACATATTAAGTTGTAATTGATCATTATGGAGACGCAGGACAAGCACTGGGTAAGCGCTTCTAGCCTCATCTGCGACCTTCCCTTCGTACACTTTCCCTCCCCATAAATTGACTAACATGGAAGGTTTGAATCAGGCTTCCAAATATTTGTTCGACCCGCTTTTGGCTCCGGAGCCCAGCGCCGAGACGGGACCTGGCGTTCATCACGTTGCCGCTGCCAACTCTGTCCCTTCACCCCCAAGACCCTCCCGGAAAATGGACGGCACTTCTGTGCAAGTGACGAACGTGGCCGACAACGACAGAGGACCCTATCCCTCTCCACCTACCTCGGCGAGTCCTCGCAAGCACCGCACGCCTCCGTCTTACGACGCAGTCCAGCGTCCAGCACCACCCGCAGGATATGATGGCGGTAAAGCGCATCGTCGAAGCGTGGAGCAGCCAGGCCCTCACACTCACACCTCAACGGCGGGTCGACGCCGTGGCAGCTCTCTGACCTCGCGCTTTCCTGGAGATCAGACCCACCACCCGTTGGACATGCTCAAGAGAGAGAACAAACTTGCCCATCGAGCGCCTCATTTACAGAAGAGACATATTCCTGGGCCTGATACTGTTGACAGCCTTGATACGATTGGTGGCGCTTATCATCACGGCGGCCCTTATGACGCAACATTGTTGGCACGAAACACCTCTTTCACCAACAGTCCCTTGGAAGCAGTTGCGCGTAGTAACCAGGAAGCAATCAAAGCTACTCCGCCCGAGAAACTCCAAGACAGCCTTGAGAGACACCGGCCTTTGGACGGTGTGGCGCTGACGCCCCCAGGCATGGTGGACACTCTCGGCCACAGATACGATTACGAAGAGGGGACCAACATGATGATTGAAAATGGAGGCAACTACAAGAGATGGCCGGGTGTGGTAAGTAAATTTGAATCCCACATGATTTGCACGTCGAGTTGACCCGAGTTCAGGAGTACCTCCCGGAAGATCTCAAGGGCAAAGGAGAGCCATCATACTCGATTGAGAAGGCGCTAAAGGAGCATAAAAGTCATCGAAAGTTGTTGGGCACCGACGAGCCCGGAATTGAGATGGCAGCGCGACCGCATAGCTCTGGTGGTCCCCAGTCTGCCGGTACCAGTGGCCGTTACTCTGGGACCAATGATCTTGACGGTGATATTCAACGTCGCAACTCAACAGGACGGAGAGTCAGCGATGGTCTAAAGCGCAGGCTCGGCAGTTTGCGAAGAAAGCCCAGAGAATAATTGATTCACCTGGTATATCTATATTCACGGAACAGCTTTGTTGAAGGCTGTTGCAGTATATTCTTCACGCTCTGTCTACTATAGCCGGGGTGTGCTTTTAACAGGCTCTTTCCCTGTTTCCACTTTGTTTAGTTCTTCTTTCCCCTGTTTCTTTTCTTTCAGATTCTGGTAATGGTACGGAGGGATGGGCTTTTTATCGGATAGATTGGTTCTCTGGCGACACTGGGAAATGCACGACTTTCTATAGCAACACATGCACGCGCGATGATCTTCTTACCAGGTTTTCGAGCCTATCATCGATAGGCTGTAATTGATTATCCTTAACTGTACAACTTCAGCGACTTGGATGACCTTTGTGATGAAATGGTTTCTTTAGGTTTGAACCTCCGATGAGTTAAGCTTAGTAGCTAGACGCAAGACGATCAGTGAGGTTTCTTCGTACCGGCTGTGCCTTGCTTCGGCCAAGCCACGTTGAAAAGTTCCCGAGCCCATGGAAGCCGTTTCGTAAGTATCGGAGTAACTTAGAAGGGAGAGAGGGTGTCCCAAAATAATCCGACCGTTGCCACTTCCGTCTCCGCCTTTCCGCTTCCGCTTCCGCATTTGGTCTCGCTAACAGGTTTATGGGCGTGGCCTGGGCCTTGAAAGCCAACCCAAGCTGGATCAGCGACCAGGTTCCGCCGCCTGCGTCCGAAAATAAGGACACCTCGTGCTTTCTGAGCTCAATTCTGCCCCAGCAGACGCCTTCTGACCGACACGAGGCAAAGGTCGCATTGCGGTACAGCAAGAAGGGCATCTTATTCGTTTATACTTTGATTCTCGCCAACGACCGGGAGCGTGCAAGCTTTGTCTTGGTTAATCGCGGCGGTACCTTGTTCTAACTTGGCCGTGCTCACGCCACGCTTCGGCGCTCAGAGCCTGACTATCTTTCGGCCCGCTTACACAACTGGCCAAGTGTTCTCATTTCCTTTGTTTACAAACCATTTTCAGTCTTATTCAAAACGCGCAAAACCGTCCATGTTCTGCTGTCAATAATCCGACTTCCAGCTTTAAGGGGCCAAACCCCGCTTCGTTCGATTTACTGACCTGGGATTCCTGTTTGTGCTTGCTGATAAAGAGACTGGTCACAACTTCACCAAAATGCGGACTGCATCGCAACTATTCTATCTTGCGGTCTTTGGGCTGCTAGGTGCCTGTCATGCGGACAATCAGCAGCGTGCCACGCAGCTACAGAATTCCGGCCCTGAGCGGTGTCCAGTACGTGCCCGGATTTCTAGAGCCTCCCCCTAATCGATTTCAAAGTTTCTAATTGATACTGATATTGATCTTCTGCTACAGTTAGAGCCCAATGCGATTGTATCAGATGCCTGCGTATCATACAAGGCGCTCGACGACATCAACAAGGAATTAGCGCCAGTGATCACCTCAATCACTCATAACACCGACTTCTTTTCTTACTACCGTCTCAATCTCTTCAATCGAGCCTGTCCATTTTGGTCGGATGAGACAGCCATGTGTGGAAATATCGCTTGTGCTGTGCAAACTTTGGAAAATGAAGAGGACATTCCACCGGTATGGAGGGCGGAGGAACTTGGCAAGCTTGAAGGTCCAAAGGCAGAACACCCTGGGAGAAAGCAACAAGAAGAACACAAAAGCAAGCCTTTGATGGGCGGGCTTGGTGAAAACGTTGGTGAAAGCTGCGTTGTCGAGTACGATGATGAGTGCGACGAGCGCGACTACTGCGTGCCGGAGGACGAGAGCGCCACTGGAAATGGGGACTATGTTAGCTTACTAGACAACCCGGAGAGGTTCACTGGATACATTGGCGCATCCGCGCAGCAAGTTTGGGATACCGTCTACCGCGAAAATTGCTTCTCCAAGGGTCAAAAGACGGTCGACGTCGGCAAGTCTGAACTTGCGGCCTTTGATCTTCGAAGTGTCATGAAGGAGCATGGACGCCACCAGGCAGCTACCGAACAGGCAAGTCAGGGAACAGTCGATGACGGTCTAGAGTTTGATGACGAATGTCTCGAAAAGCGTGCCTTTTATCGGATTGTGAGTGGCATGCACAGCTCGATTTCGACGCACCTGTGCTGGGAACATCTCAACCAAACCACCGGAGAATGGGGTCCGAACCTCGTGTGCTATGAGAAGCGTCTGCATAATTTCCCAGACCGGATATCCAACCTCTACTTCAACTACGCACTTGTCCTTCGCACAGTTGGTAAACTTCGAAACCATTTGAAGGATTACACCTTTTGTTCCGGTGACCTGGACCAGGATCGACAAACCAAATACATGGTCCTGAGCCTGGTCGACCGAATTGCCGCCGGGCCAAAGATTTTCGATGAGACGGTAATGTTTCAAGATCCCAGTGCGATTGGACTCAAGGAGGATTTCCGCAACCGCTTCCGAAATGTCTCTCGACTTATGGATTGCGTGGGATGCGACAAGTGTAGGCTCTGGGGGAAACTTCAGACTTCTGGCTATGGCACCGCGCTCAAGGTACTCTTCGAGTTTGACGAGACGAACGATGCTCTCAATCCTCGGCTCCGTCGGACGGAGCTCGTCGCTCTTGTCAACACTCTCGGTCGTATCTCCCACAGCATGTCCGCCATCGTTAATTTTCAGAAGATGGTCGAGGCCCGTGACGCCGGCGTTCCGTTCAGCGCGGAGCAAAAGAGGAAGCTCTTCGAAGAGTCCGCTCAAGTCGAAGAGATCTTCGTGGATGCTGATGATGACTACGATGTCGATACAGACGAGAAACCCCACAATAACAGCAATGACGGCACTTGGTCTACGGCTTGGAACTCAGAAACTAAGGCCATTTATGATGCCTTTCTCATGGTTATTCGTAGCTGGATTTCCCTTCCCGGCACCATGTAAGTTTAATAGCTTCTCCTTGGCCTTTTGTGGATTTTACTCATGTCTAAATGCAGCTACGAAATCTTTGTTATTGAGCTTTCCCGATTATGGGATTACTGGATTGGGGTCCCAGTTCGGCCACGCACATGGGAGATTCGACCCTTCAACCATGAGGAACTGTAAAATATAGATATTCGGCCTACGCCCGATCCTATTGTAATTGGCAATCCTGCGCAAATGATTTTCCGACCAGGACTTATTCTTCTTTTTGAGTTGTTCACGTTAGACATTTCGATATCTGCGGTTGGCGTTTTGGCAATAAAGTCGACAAAATCCCGACACGCTTGATAAATAGGATACAATTGATAGACGACTATTATTAATTTCGGAGATAAAAGGTGCTAACGTCGAGTCCCTTTTCTCATTCAAACATGTCCTCGTATAATCATTCGACAGCAATGAAATTCCTACGAGAAAGCTTTGGATAAAATCTCGCATCATCCGACTAAGTTCGGTGGTACCCTGCTTAAACAATATTCTTTTCGAGCCATTCCTCCCACTGCTCCGGAGTGAAACTGCTGGAAATGCTATTCTCGACGATGCCCTAAACAATCGTCAGTAAAAAGAAAGAAAGTCAAGGATTTCCTCGCGGCTGCAAAGGATTTGAGCAACGACGAGAAGTTACGTAGGAGATCTTACATTGAAAATGACAGTGGGAGTGACATGGACACCCACAAGCCGGTTGGCCTAGACTTGTATCAATCATCCTCTTCCTCGGACCAACAGTAAAGCGAACAAGTTTAACAGCTTGGGGCGTCAGAATGAAAACATACCTTGACAAGAAGTTTGATATCATTGGTGACAGAATTTCCAACGTTCAACGAGCCGTCACTGGCCGGCTTGTCCGGCACCGCCAGTGCAGAATAGATTTCCGATTCGTTTATGCCTACAGATGCAGCCACCTTGGCGAGGCGCTCGTACGTCTTGTTACGAGGCTCGTTGACCACGTTTACGTCGAAAAACTCTGTCTGCTTGTCGAACAGAGCGGCGCTGAACGGGTAGAATTTGCCCGGCGAGACATGAAGCACTGCAACGCCAGCTTCATGGACCAGAGTCGAGGATGGGTGCCATGGTTGAATTTGCTGTCGGAAGATGATTTGGACTTTGCCGGGATATTTCTTTTCAATCAATGGGAACACGGAGTTGTATACCGTGTTGAACAATTTCTTGGAGAACTTTCATGGGTGTCAGCGATCATCTTTGTAATTACAACCTTGCCCTTGAGGCTTTTGCCTTGAGCCAAAAAAGCAAAAAGGCTTCCCAGCTATGATGCTGCAGGGATGATTGTATATTACGCTTCGGATTGTGACATCGTGGCTTCTTCAGAGGGTCGGTTACATACTGGGCAGACATAATCCAAGTCTACAGTCCGTTAGCACATTGCCAATGGAAAGCGGGACCAAAATGATATAAAAATCCCATATCATTTCCCGAGAAAATTCATGTCGCATGCAATATTGTGACAAGGGAGAGATTAAACCTACAGAGCTCAAGGGTGTGCACGGCCTTGGGCGAAACGCCAGCCGACAGCTTCTGGCCAGCAAACTTGGGAGCCAATGCCATGACGAAGATTACAAGCGGTCGTAAGGTAAGTTGAACTTTTTACAAAAGCCCTCAAGAGAAACTCGTTACAATAACGAAAGGTGTCTAATGGTAATTTTTCAAAACAAAAATGCTATCTGGATTCGGGGCTTTATATGTACTGGGCCCCCGCTCAAGCACAACGTTAGGATGATGTCGTCCTGGTTACAAAATCTACCCTGGAGTTGTCGCAATTCCGGTCCCCTTCAGCGCCCGAGCTCCCCGCTTGCAGGTTGCGAGTCTGGCCCAGGCCCCTCGCCCCCACGCGCCTTATCGATAAGCACTTCCAGCTCGCAACTCCGCAAATCGGGTGATTACTAATACGCGCTCCTTCCCCCCTTGATGGGCCCCTGGAGCGAGTCGTCGTCCTCGTTCCCGCCGCGAATCGAGCCCCCCTTTCATTCCCCCCTCATCATCTCCAAAGCTCATTGTTGTTCTCTACGATCACAGCGCATCTTTTCCTTCCCTTCGAGCCCTTCGAGGCCCCGGTCTTGCTTGAGTCACCTCACCGCGGCTGTCTCTGTCTCTGGAAAATAATGGGAAAGACGCAACTCAGTGCGCCAGGCCGGGGTCAGTACATCTGTCTGCGTTGGCCTTTGGAAGTGCCCATCTGGCCAGCTGGACAACAAGGTAGTTCTTGGGAAAGGAGTGGACTACGAGAGTCGGCCGCGCATATACACTTTTGAGCGGCACTGCTCTAACAAGAAGCCGGGGTAGCTCAATCGGTAGAGCGTGTGGCTCTTATTTCATTAATGAGATCACCTCAAGGTCGCGGGTTCGAGCCCCGCCTTCGGCTCATCTTTTTGTTCCCCTTACTGCACTCTTGACAAAAAGTGCAGAGCCCTTATCTTTTGAGGTCTATTTCTTTTGCTCCTTTTTTTTTTCCTGCAAAACTCCTTCAAGGACCCTCCATATACGATGAAATTGGGCCTGGGAGCATTTTATTTTCGAAATCCTTCTTGCAGGCTCATGGTTTATAGCTTTGATCCTTGCGAAGGAATACGGGAACCGCTTCTCACTAACACTTTCCACATGGGCTGTTTTCACTAATCACCCAGGCTTTCCCGTCAAGCGCAACACCGCAATAGCTAAATTGCACATGTCGCTATGCGCGAATATACCATTTTAAGATTCGCCGTCTCAACAACAAGCCGGGGTAGCTCAATCGGTAGAGCGTGTGGCTCTTATTTCACTAATGAGATCACCTCAAGGTCGCGGGTTCGAGCCCCGCCTTCGGCTTGACCTTATTGTTTTTGCTCCCTCTGTCTACTCAATCCCTTGCGGTTCCTTTGTTATTACTTTTTTTTGGGACCTTTCTGTTGCTCATATGCATGCTCGAACACCAAGAATATGACCAGCTAACAAAGGTAAGTATCCAAAATTTCTTTGCTTATTTGCGGTGCCTTGGTCGTTTAACCTTACCCTGCGCGGGTTGGCGGGATTCCGGCTTGACTTTCTTAAGTCGCTCGGCTACGTCATAGTTTGATCTCGTTAAGGCAGAACACCATAAAAGTTTTTTCTCCACGCAATATATTTGCCTCAAGCAGGCCACTATTCCAACGAAAGCCGGGGTAGCTCAATCGGTAGAGCGTGTGGCTCTTAGCACCTCTAGGAGATCACCTCAAGGTCGCGGGTTCGAGCCCCGCCTTCGGCTTAATCTTTTTGCTTTTTTGAAGTCTTTATGTGCGTCACGTTCGGGTTATCTACTTTGCATTTTTCTTTTCGTTTTGCCTTTGTCGGCATGTGTCCGTACGTTGGGCACAATCACCCTTGTGATGCGTTGCTATTCTCTTGTGGAAAGAAATGAGCAGTGGGGGCCCGTATAAATGCCAAGTTATACACTGTTGTCGGTCAAGGAGGCTGGTAAGACACTGAAGCATGTCTGTCCTACATGAAGATTCACGACATTTTAGTGATGCACGGAATACACTTGCATAGTTGGAACATTGATGGTCTGGATATTAACTGTGGCTATTCATTGACCGATAAGAGGTAGAGCTAGCGAAAATAATTACTGCTTGATATGCATTAGATTGATATGCCGAGAAATTTCATCTGCACATGTAAGTTGTTGCTGGGTAGTTGTCATTAGTGTTAACAGTAATGTATGGGCAGTCAGTGATGCATAGCACCAGCAATGGTCTTGGGGTAATTGGAAGAATTGCACGTGGATACAATCCCTCGTGAAGCGGCGCAGTCGTGTGTCCTGCATCTGACGGGGGAAGTCCCAACTAATCTATCTTTCAGAACACTCAAGTTAGCCCAAGGCGTTCCAAGCAAATAATTGAGTGGAGAAACGAAAGCATCGCAAGAATAAGAGGAAACGCAGACAAAAGCACGATACAACCGGCTCGGCGGGTCCAAAAAGAGACCAACTGCTCCAGTCCAAAATCGTATGTGTAACTCTTGCATCTGCAATTTTTTCCTCTTTGTGATTTCAGAGACCCAGGTATAAGCACCGACGGCCGTATTTGACGATACAGGCCATGCCTTTTCCGGCTCTTCCTAAATGCATTTATGGGTGTGTATTTCTCATCATATAGAATTATGTTTTCGATCGGATCTCGTAGTGAAAGTAAAATACAGCGAGCAAGATTGGTAGAAGGCAGCGTGAACGATCCACGTGCTTCACTACCTGCTTGCTCGTGTGTTGAAAGGAAATAGGAAGAAAAAATTGTAGAGGCTTACCTTTTATGATCTTCCCCTGGAGAATGTTGCGGGTCAGATAGCGTCTGGCTTTGTTAATCAGCGGGCGGCAAGACATTAAGTGCATATCCGGCCTTCACCGGGACTTGCTGTAGTCTTGACATGTTAAAGACGGGCTGCAACCCTTTAGATCAGGTCCGGGACCGCATGTATTGCACGACAGCAGGCCATTAGAAATGGCAAGTTCGCGTTTAAAGCATTTCCTCGAGCGCCGAAACCTATCCCTATCAAGGGGCCTAGAAACGGGTTTGAGCCTGCGAGCGTTTGTCCTAGACCAGTCATTCCAAGATTGCCTTTTCCGGCAGCATCGGCGTATGGTAGCTTAAGTGATGTACTGGGCGAGCTTTGGAACGCGTAGTGTGACCGACCGGTGACAATGCGGTTTAGGATGCGCGTAAAGCACTAGACATTGCTTATCTTTCTCGTGCACATATACGGCCCATTGTGGTACAGGTCTATGGGGTGTTGGTGTTCCAAGCAGAGAGTGATCCAGTGTGTTCAATGAAAAGGAATCATGTTGGGAAATTTTTGAGCTCCGACTGAAGGGAAGGTAGAAAAATCTCGGGTAGTCTGTTCGCTTCGCTGCAACGGCAGTTACCGGGCTGATGTTCCTGTCCTAGCGACGACTGTGGGTAGCGAATCAGTATAACACGAAACAGCTTCCGAACCGTAAGTTGATCATTTTCTAGCTACATGTTTTGGTTATGGTATGATTTGTGATTTTTTCACTTCTGTTGAAATAGTATACATTAAAGGAATTGGAGATGTTATATTATTATTCTCTTTACAAATATCTTCCGCTGCTCTGTATATTTTTTTTTTCTTTATTGATCATTTTTTATTAACATTTTCATAAAACAATGCAGATATAAGATGCTAACAAAACATAGAGTTGCAATTGACATGATTTCATACCCAAGTGCCAGAGAAGAAGCAGAAATTATCGTCTCTGTATATTTGATCTAGCTTGTTATCCCAACCTGGTACTCCAAGGATTATTTTGAAAAGTATTGTCACAGAATATCAATCTCATCCAGTAGAGAATGAAAGACATCATCATGGCAAAAGTATGTACAGCACCCAAAAAAAAAAAAAATAAAAAGAATAACCATAACCATACACATCAAAACCCTAGAGTCTTTACGAATCATATTACCGATGATAAAAAAAAGAAAAAAACCATCCCAGAAGACCTGCAGGGCAAAGTGAAAAGAGCAAAAAAGAAAGCCGAAGGCGGGGCTCGAACCCGCGACCTTGAGGTGATCTCATTAATGAAATAAGAGCCACACGCTCTACCGATTGAGCTACCCCGGCTTCTTGTTATTTGGAAACTACGCTTAAGCAAAATATAATCCTAACCATGACTATTTACGTCGGCGACCTACACAAGTATCGCAGTCATCCGTGAAGATGAACTCAGGCTTTATTCATTGAAACGCCCCCATTTGGGTACTATACGGGGTTCAAAGAATGATCCAATTTACTGCACTGTGCACATCGAGTTTTGCACACCAAAGATATTGATTGGACATAGACAGTAACAACGGTAGAGTGTAAACTAATGCTAAAGCTGCCATTTGAACACCAGTCAAGGCAAGCAAAGCAGACACTTTTATTATGGAGCCAGGAACTTATAGATTGACTGCTTCAGCGGCAGTTATGCAGCATTGAAAGTTTTATTTTGGCGCATAGATTTATTGCTAGTGCTGCATCTGTCACTCATTAAGTAGATGTGGCACAAAAATATAAGCATAAAAGTCAGGATGATGACAGAACAATCGAGGCCACTCGCCGAGCCAACGTCTGATGTCTTGGCAGGCACCTCAACTTACTTCACCATGTCCTCAATCATCTGTCAACTCAGGCACTGCATTAGGAAAAGGGACATTTGGCTCGGTCAACGCGTGGCCGAATGATTGGACACCTCTAGCCAAGACTGCCTAGAACGCCCTTGCGCTGAGCGATACGCAGAAATGTGCATGGACCATCACGAGATGACGATCGCGATGGGGGAGGAAAGAATGATCCAATGTATACGGAGTAATCTACCCATAAATAAATAAAAATGGACCACTAATTTAGTTCTGTTTCAAGTGGGAGTATCCATGCGGAAAGGTAAGGGAAGCTTCGTAAAATGTCGCGAAAAAAAAAAAAAAAAGTACCGATGGTACTCCAAGAAGTGATCGATGACGTCGATGACGGGAAGCAAACGGCACTCACTGGCTCCAACATATGATTGTGGCTGGAGCCCGTCTCTGATCACAATTGGGAAAACCAACTAACTTAGCCTTTTGAGCCACTGGCTCCTAATTCCCTCGGGCTCCCGCTGGCAAAGGATGCTTGTGGCACAGAATGCACATCGCGCGGGTTTTCCAGGCAAGGTCGCGTTTAAGAGGGAAAAAAAGATCCCGACCGGCTCGCAATGGTTTTGACGGGATGAAGGTGGGCCTAGAATGTATAAAGAATGTAAATGTGTAGGGGGCAGAAAAGCTAGCTCGATGAACCGAAAGGGAGGATCTTAGCATGATGCACCTTTAAAAATTATGGTGAGTGTTACGAAAGATGAACAGGCGAAAATGGCATCACTACGGGGAGAAATATCAGGGATCAAACCCACAGGAACGCGCAGCCGTTGCGCCACAGCAGAGAGTTTGGTCAAGAAAGTAAAGGCTAAAGTTGAACACCGGTTGCTTCACGACGGGGGTCTCAGGAAAAAAAGCTGGAGCCGTCGCATTGTCCATCTCCGCGCCACAGGGATCAAATCCGGATTTTTTGGCCATTGCGTCGCATTATTGGTCGATCGGCGGAGCTGGGGACATGGTGGAAGTGCTGAGCCGGAGTATTGTTGTCGTACCTCGCATGGAACGTAGGGCAGATGACTACATCATCGAGATGCCAACCACCTTCCATCATTCCCGGTAGATTTTGGCAAGCGCGCAAGTATCAGTACGAACAACAGGACCTCTGAGTACGATGAGAACACAGGAAGCTAATCAATTCAGAATCTGCTCCTCAAGCCGTTCCCGCTCTAAATGTGAAACCGGGAGCACACCTCTGGCTTATGCAACTTTCCTTTAAGTATTCTCAGACAAATTGCCGTAACGTACCCATTCCAAAATGCCCGATCAAATGAATCGGCTGGATTTGAGCCTCGGGCGTGAAATCCGTACCTTAGTTAGCATTACGTCGATAGCTCGCTAGAGGTGGTATTGGTACAGGATACCTGGAAATACTCAATGACCACATGGTGACTGCGAATCGGCAGAGGTACCGCCGTGTAGTGCGTTTCGACCGGGACTGGGACTGAGGGGGTAAAAACGAACAGACAAGAGACGTTTCTCTCTACTAAATTGGGGGATCGACGTGGGGACGAATCCCAGAGCTCCAAGCAGAAGCAGCAGGGACCATTTCCTGCTCCCCTTTAGCCCAACTGCGTAAGCGAACAGCACGCCGGCACAGAGACCATGGACAACCAAGGCAGCGTATCCGCGTCGACCTGGATGCTTCAAGACTGAACAATTCCCCACCCCCGCCACCGCAACCCTTGCCCGAGACTCTTTTTGTGTCCACTAGACAACCACCTTCCCAGTCGCGTCCAACCATCCTGCCCTCCATTGCCTTTCTTGCTCTCACTAGCCCTTACAGGAGGGCCACGCGATCCCGGGGCCCAGACAGCTTGGGAGCACAATTGATGATGATGCTGATGATGATGATGGATGTTACTGGTCTGGTAGCGCCCGTCCCGGCATTGGTCTGCGGTAAGCTTGCAGAGGGGAACCCCGAACTGATTATGAGTGACTTTGCCTGTACAAGCGGCCGGCCTGACGCAATGGTCCTCTGCCAAAAATTTACCGCCAAACTACACCCACGCTATGCCCGTTTACTTCACTTCCCAGTCCCCGAAACCTGCTTTGCAAGCCACAATTGGGGCAACGACGCTATCCAAAGCTACCCGGGCAGTCTTGAATTGGCACCCAGCAGTTGAAAGGCAAATGATGGCCAAATGGCATCAGCTCCCCCCATGCCCCCTCCTCCCCCAACCTTCTGGATCGTCATCCTGACAATTAGTTCCAGTCGGACCTTGCCCGGTAGCCCGATGCATTTTGAGGGCCCCATAGCTATGAGAGAGAGAGAGAGCTCCCCCCCTTGTAGCTGGTAACAGCTCTCGCAAGTCCCCCTTTCACCTTTTTTTTTTGGCAGTGACGTAGTGTGACACCATCTGTCCTACAGCGCTCCATTAGCAGTGCACGTACCCCCTCTTTGTCCCCCAAGGTCAGCTGTGAAGCCCATTTAATTACTTGCTCTGTCCTCTCAGGATCAGCTTCCTTTTCCCCTTCTTCTTTTTCTCTCTTCAGAAAACATTAGCGCGCTTGATCTATATGACAAGCAATTCATCTTCTTACGCATACTATTCCTTTCCCCCCACCCCAAGCAGATCATCGCCGCCTCGAACATCCCAAACCCCACCATCTAATCCGCGTACCCCACGAACATCGAAAAGCATGCCGTCTCCGGCGGCTGGAAGGGTCGAAAGACCCGAAGCTCCCAAAACCCCCACAAGGTCAGGCAAGAAGCCTGGATCAAACACAACATCCAAATTAGGGAGAGAAACAAAAGCATCACCCTCACCGTCTCCAAAGGCGCCAAGGTCCGCGCCTAAATTGGGCAAACCCAAAGCCGCTGCCGATCAAGCTGGCTCGCCCAAGCTTCCCCCAAGACCAACAAAGACTCCTGAGAAGCCCAAGATTGAGAAGCCTGAAGTTGAAGAACCTCAGGTTGAAGAACCTCAGGTCGAAGAGCCCGAAGAGGTGTCAGAGGCGACAGGAAAGGCCGGCGAGCAGGTCGAACTGAAAGATAACGAACCAGAAGGAATTGAAGGAGAGGAATCCCCTGAAGGAAAGGTCTCCCAAGCTGGTAATGAGACTGGCAACGAAAGCTCTGCTGTCTCGACCGGTGCCGGTGAGCTCGAGGAGAGAGCACCGGAGGCAGAGGCATCTGACGTGGAGGAGGCTGCCGAAGATACCAAAGCTGGAGCTGAGGAGACCGCCGAGGATGTGCCGGAAAAGGTGCAGGATACCACAAAAGGAGCCAAAAAGGCGGACGGAGGTCTCCTTGGTGGCGCCAAAGGCCTCGCTGGCAAGGCTGCCGGCGCGGTCGGTGATGTTGCCAAGGGACAGCCAGATAAAGCCGCGAAAGATGTCGCTGGTGGTGCCACTGGTGCCGTTGGCGACGTAACCGAGGGTGCCAAAGAGACAGTCGAGGACACCACCGGACAAGAGTTGCCAGTTGACCTTTCCATCCTCAAGGGCCTTGAGGTCGGAGAGGACGGAGATATTCTCGGCGAAGATGGCTCTCCTATCGGCCGATTAACCGAAGGCGATGCCGAGGATCTTGCTGGAATGACCATTGGTGACGATGGAGAGATCCTCGACGAAGACGGAGATGTCGTCGGCAGGGCCGAATTGCTCCCGGAGAAGGCAGGTGAATTGGCCGATGGCGCCAAAGAAACTGCCGAAGGTGCCGCAGACCAGTTACCACAGCTCCCTGACGTATCCATCCTGAAGGGTCTCGAAGTAACCAAGACGGGAGATATCCTTGACGACGACGGAAACTTCGTGGGCCAGCTTACTGAAGGCCAAGCTGGAGATCTTGCTGGAAAGACCGTCGACGAGAAAGGCGAAGTCGTCGACGAGGATGGTGAAGTACTCGGCAAGGTCAAGGTAGTTGAAGGTGCACTCGATTCCGAACTGGTTCAAGGCCTGAAGGAGACTGCCGAGGAAACCGCCGAGGAGACAACAGGAAAATTGCCCGGACTGGAAGCCCTGGAAGGCCTGGAAGTAAACGAATCAGGAGAAATCCTCGGTCAGGACGGAAAGCCCCTGGGAAGAATTACCGAGGGCGACCCTCAGGACCTCGCCGGCTTGACCGTCAATGACCAGGGAGAAATCCTCGATGATGACGGTGATGTGATTGGCAGAGCCGAAGTCATTGCTGGTGAGGCAGCAGATGAAGTTGAAGAAGCCGGTCAACCTGCCGGCATCCCTGGCGATGTTACTGACAATGTTAAAGAAACTGCCGAAGGTGCTGTCGAAGGTGCCGCTCCCGAAGTGCCTGGACTGGACATCCTTAACGGTCTGGAGGTCAATGAAGACGGCGACATCCTTGGCGACGACGGTAATGTCCTCGGACGGATCACTGAGGGCGATCCCAAGGATCTCGTCGGAAAGACCGTCAACGAAGACGGAGAAATTCTGGACGAAGATGGCGACGTCATCGGACGAGCTGAAGTCATTCCTGGTGAGGCGACAGACGAAATCGAAGAAGCTGGCATCCCTGGCGACGTTACTGACAATGTTAAAGAAGCTGCCAAAGGCGCTGTCGAAGGTGCCGCTCCCGAATTGCCTGGACTGGACATCCTCAACGGTCTTGAGGTCAACGAAGACGGCGAAATCCTTGGAGAAGATGGCAATGTCCTTGGCCGTATCACTGAGGGCGATCCTGAGGATCTAGCTGGAAAGACCGTCAACGAAAACGGAGAAATCCTTGATGAAGATGGCGACGTTATCGGCAGGGCTGAAGTTGTTACTGGTAAGGCTAAAGACAAAATTTGAAGCATCCGACAAACCCACCGTCGGTGTGCCTGATGAAGTTACTGACGAGACTCAAGAAGCTGCTAAAGCTGCCGAAGGCGCTGCTCCTGAACTGCCCGGACTGGACGTCCTCAATGGTCTGGAGGTCAACGAAGCCGGCGAAATTCTCGGAGCCGACGGAAATCTTCTAGGAAGAATCACTGAAGGTGATCCCAAGGACCTTGCCGGGAAAACTGTTAACGAAAAGGGCGAAATCCTGGATGACGATGGAAATGTCATCGGCAAGGCTGAGGTCGCTGCTGGTAAGGCCACAGATGAGCTCCCTGACACCAGCGAAGCACCGTCTGTCAAAACACCTCCTACTGAAGCCCCCTCTATCAAGTCTGCTTCTAAGGCCCCCTCTGTCAAGCCTACTTCCAAGGCACCCTCTGTCAAGCCTTCTTCCAAGGCCCCTTCTGTCAAGGCTCCCTCCAAGGCCCCCTCCAAGGCCCCCTCTGCAAAAACCCCTTCTGTTAAAGCACCTTCAGTTGGCGCTCCTAGTACAGTGACTGACAAAGCTAAAGAAGCCGCGGAAGGCCTTGCCCCTGAGGTCCCCGGACTGGACATTCTCAACGGCCTAGAGGTCAACGAAGACGGCGAAATCCTCGGAGATGATGGCAACGTCCTTGGCCGTATCACTGAGGGCGATCCTAAGGACCTAGCTGGAAAGACCGTCAACGATAAAGGAGAAATTCTGGACGAAGAAGGCAACGTCATCGGAAAAGCCGAAGTTGTTGCTGGTGAGGCCACAGGCAAGCCACAAGAAGCCGGCGAACTTCCTTCCGCCGGTGCTCCAAGTGACATCACTAACAAGGCTAAAGGAGCCGCTCCTTCCCTCCCTGGACTGGATGTCTTGGAAGGCCTCGAAGTCAAATCTTCCGGATCTATTCGCGACGATGATGGCAAAACTCTTGGAAGGATCGTCGAGGGCGACGTCGAGGACCTTGCTGGAAAGACTGTCAATGAAAACGGTGAAATTCTCGACGAAGAAGGAAACGTTATCGGCAAGGCTGAGATAATCCCTGGAGAGGCAGCAGAGAGGATCAAGAGCGGACTCCCTCTAAATATCGCAATCCTTAACGGCTTGAAGGTCAACAAGAAGGGCAACGTCCTGGACGAAGAAGGCGAGCAAATTGGCAAGCTCGTAGAGGGCGATCTAAAGGGTGCCGCTGGAAAGTTCATCAACGAGAAAGGAGAGGTCTTGGACAAGAACGGAAATGTCGTTGGCAGAGTTGAGGTCGTCCCTGGCGAAGCTGCTGATGCGGCCTTGCAATCTCTGAAGGAGCAAGTTCAGGAGGAGGCGGCGCCTCAAATTGAAGTGCCAGAACTTGCGATTTTGGAAGGCCTCAAGGTCAACAAGAAGGGAGAGATTCTTAACGAGGATGGAGAAGCCATCGGACGCCTCGTTGAGGGTGACCTCTCCGAAGTGGCCGGAAAGAAGGTCAACGACAAGGGTGAAGTCTTGGACAAAGACGGAAACGTCATCGGTAAAGTCGAGACTATCCCACAAGAAATTGAAGAGGAGGGTCCACAACTGCCACCGCTATCGATCCTCGAGGGATTGAAATGTAACAAGGCGGGCAAACTTGTGGATAACAATGGAAAGCCCGTTGGTGAACTTGTTGAGGGTGACCCCAAGAGGATCTTCCAGATGGGCATTACCTGCGACGCCGAAGGCCAATTCTGGGATAACAAGGGCCATATCATTGGAAAGGCGCAAACACTTCCGGAAGCCGATGAGTCCGAGGATGCTCTGTTCGCCGGTCTGTATGGCCTAGTCGTGGTTAAAGGCGGCAAGGTTGAAGACGAGAACGGAAACATTGTCGGCGAGCTTGTCGACGGAGATCCCAAGAAGCTTGTCGGCCGTGCTGTTGATGAAGACGGCGACGTTTTTGACAAGCACGGAAACGTTTGTGGCCACGCGGAACGATGGTCAGAACCCGAAACGCCTGAGCCTGAGAAGCCTGATCTCTCGATCTTGGCCGGCAAGATCTTGAACAAGCAAGGAAACGTCATTGGTGATGAAGGGATCCCCATCGGACGCTTGGTTGAAGGCGATGCCAAGAAACTTGCTGGCAAGAGATGTGATGCTGAGGGTCAGATTTGGAATGACCAGGGTAAAGTCATCGGCAGATGCGAGCTCATTCCCGATGCGGAGCGTGAATCGCGTCCCGAGGGCCCGTTCGCTGGTCTTGAAGGTCTTGTTGTCACCAAGGGCGGCAAGGTTGAGGATGAGAATGGCAACGTCGTCGGTGAGGTGATTGAGGGCAACCCCAAGAGACTTGTCGGCAATGCTGTGGATGAAGATGGCGATATTGTCGACAAATACGGTAACGTCAAGGGACACGCGATTCCTTGGGAAGAACCAGAGGAAGAGCCCGAAGATCTCTCGCCCTTGGCTGGCTGCACCGTCAACAAGCTTGGCAATGTTGTCGACAGCCATGGCGCCGTCATTGGCCGGATCACCTCTGGAGACCCCAAGGCCATGGCTGGCAAGAAGGTTGACGGAGAAGGCCAGATCTGGAACGACGCTGGCAAGGTCATTGGCAAGGCCGAGCTCATCCCCGGAGACTTGCGTGATGACCATGCCGAGGGCCCGTTCTCTGGCTGGGAGAACCTGGTTGTGGCCAAGGGCGGTGTTGTCCAAGACGCCAGTGGCCAGATTGTTGGACGCGTCATCTCTGGAGACCCCAAGATGTTGGTCGGCAGGAGAGTCGACGACGACGGTGACGTCCTTGACAAGAACGGCAACCCTCTTGGTCGGGCCGAACGGTGGGAGCCCGAAGAGAAGAAGAGGGAGATCAATCCCATGTCTGGTCGCAAAGTCAACAAGGAGGGTGAGGTCCGTGATGCGGATGGAAACCTCATCGGCAAGCTGACTGCCGGAAACCTCGCCACGTTGGTCGGAAAGGAAATTGACGACAATGGATACGTTGTTGACAATGACGGCAACAAGATTGGAGAGTGTACCCTGCTTGAAAACATCCAGGAAGAACCTGAGCCTGAAGGACCATCACCCGAGGAGCTCGAGGCCATGCGCCAGATGGAGCAGGACAAGGAACTGGCAAACAAGATGTCCAATGTGCTCCAGCAGACGCTTGACACCATCACGCCTGTCTGCAAGATGATCACCGAGGTAAGAAAAGCCCCTCTTTTTGTAATCCAATTTCTGAATCAGCATGCTAAATTATTATTCTTATAGCACATCGAGGCCGCCGATCGTAAGCCCAAGGAGGAACTGGACGAGGAAGAGCTTGTCCAGAAAGTCAAGCCTCTCATCGAGGAGGGCGGCCGCATCTTGCAAGAATGCAATGGTGCCATTCGCGGTCTTGATCCTGACGGCCGCATTGCTGGACGTGCCAAGGCCAGAGCTCAAAACCGTGAAGCCACACCTGAAGAATATCGTCTCGCAGACCTTCTCAAAGAGGTGAGTTTAACAAAACACCACCCACTTACCCTTTTTCTCGCTAAGAGAGACTCTCGGCTAACTTTAAATTTCCCCCTGTTTTTAGCTCACCACTACCGTTGTCAAGACTATTGACGACGCCCGCAAGAAGATTGCCGACATGCCCCACGCCAAGAAGGGTCTCAACCCGCTCTGGGGCTTGCTCACTGAGCCTCTCTTCCAGATCATTGCCGCCGTTGGTCTCCTGCTCAGCGGTGTCCTCGGTCTAGTCGGCAAACTGCTCAACGGCCTCGGTCTCGGCGGCCTCGTTAACGGCCTGCTTGGCGGCTTGGGCATTGACAAGTTGCTTAACGGACTCGGCTTGGCTGGCCTGCTTCAGCCGCTCACTGGCGGTGGAAAGAAGAAATAAGCGCTTAGCGCCCTTCTACTTTTCCCGTCTTTCGTGCATTGATGCGTTTGTACTTTGACAACACTCTTAATTGGTCATGATTTTCACGCATTACGACTTGCCATGATTGTTGAACACGATTTCTTCTTTCATGTTTTAAGTTGATATCATCTTTTTGCTGAAAAAATTGTTTTCTGTTTCTTGCGCTTCGAAAAAATTCCCTTTTCTTCTTTTCGCTGCCATTCTTCGGCTCTTCTTATTTTTTTTTTCTTTTTATCGAGTACCCTTTTAATGCAGCCTAGTTTTAATTTTGGTATTTCTATTTATGCAACAATCTTGTATAATTGTATCAATATATGATTGGTCTTATTCTTACATTGATAATCGAGTTGTAAAATGTGAAAGTCCAGAGAACACATACTGAAAATTTATGAATATCAAGCGTGAGACGCAAGAACTATTCTTCCTCAAAAGTGGCCTTTGGTTTTAATTGTTCTGCTTTATTACAATTCTGTATCTATAGTCTATCGAAAAAAATGCTATGGACAGTGTATTCAATGAAAATTTTAAACATGATCGATTCAAGGCGGAAGAGATGAATGGGCTACCATTTCTAGGACTGTAATGCCTGGGTGGAAAATAATGAGGCCGTCTCAATACATCCTATCCAATCTATCGATGTTTTTCAACTCAGTAATGAAACATGTAACCAATCTCCAGGACTCGGGTACATGAAGACGAAAAATGCGTTATTTTGGTATGGATTAAGGTGATCGTCTCATGGCGTCGTAACGTGTACTGTATGAAATGAATCGATCATCGTAGATGCCGACGGGCGTGAAGACGTGATAAAAGGATGATTAAACGTAGACTCGTTGAAAGACCAATAAGGAATAGCGTATGTTGAAAAAAAAGACATGTGGTGTACTTCCCGAGTTTCTGCCATAAAGGCGAGTTGAACATGAGGAAGAGGGGCGAAGGAGAAGAAGAATGGTGCTGCCGGCATGCAGAGCCGCAATGGCGGTTCCATTACGCCGGCGGAACGTTGCGAGGCGCAACAGCTGGCGGGTCGAGAAGGCAAGAGTTGAATCAATCCGCCTTGCGAACGCCATTGGCGCCATTTGCCACGAACTCGGGCTTTCCGTTGGCCGGCTTCTCATTCTGTCGCACCTGACCGGGAGCGGCCTTGTCACTGATGGTGAGACAGTTGATTCCAAGGTAGTTGCAGATGCTGTTAATCACAAGAACGGCCCATCGGAAATAAACAATAGCGGCGAAGACGAAGTAGGCACGGAGGTACCAAAGCTCCACCTTGGCACTCACAGCCGGGAGGCCGAGCAAGGGAAGGTTGCCCAGGATGGCACCGCCCACAAGAGGCGTCAGCATGACGGTCCAGTACGGGAAAGGCTGCCGAGTAAGGTGGGCCAGAATGATCTTGGTGGTCATGCGTCCGAAGACAAAGGACATGGTGAGGCAGAAGAGCACGATGCGGTTCTCCTTCATCAGCGTCGAGTGCGGAGAGTAGAGCCAGGAACCAGTGGCGAGGGTGAAGACGATAATAGGTGCCCACTCGAGGAAAACAGGCGCTACAGGCAGATTATTCTGGCGACGAGCGCGAATGACGTTGAAGACGCAAGCGGGAAGGTGAGCTGCACAGAAGGAGCATAGGAGGATCGGAACCCAAAGGTCGCGGAAGGAATAGGTTCCAAAGATCTCTTCGTGGCCCAGGAAATTCCTAATGGGAACACTCCAGATGCCAGGGCCGTAATAGCCCGACAAAATCATGAGAAGACAGGCCAGGATAAGTCCCTCTAAATTCCAGTCAGAAGAATATCCTTTTCATTGAGAGACTTGAAGCTGCGCCTTCAACATACCAGTAGGCCCGTTGAAGTATCCCAAATAGAGCGTATGCGTGTGGTACGTCTCCCAAGTGGAGAAGAACATGGGCAAGCACGGAATCAGAGCCGTGAAAACGCCGGCTTTTGTCGGACCGAGTCCCATGGCGCCCGCTTCGCAGAGACTGGCAAGTGTGCAATTCAAAGAATCGATCCCGTGACTGCAGCTCGATATTAACACTAAGAGAGCAGTACACCTCAGAGGTGGACGACTTACTCAAACAGTTCGCCTAGCCCGCTAGACGTGCCTGTTCTCCGAGCCTGTTTTCCATCGACATTGTCCAAGGTGGAGTACCTGGTCGAAGCCGCATGAGCAACCAAATGCTAGGCCGTTTACTACGATCAAAGCGGGTATGACTTACATCCACAGACCAAACGCGAAACTATAATAGAGCCAAGCAGGACCCTGCAGGAGAAGATGTTCAGTTTTTGTCCTACGAGCACAGCACTACCCACGAGCTTCAACTTACTGGGCCAACCAAATCAGGCATGAAGATTTCCAGACATGCTACATTGGTCAAAATGAAGGCGAAACCCAGAAGGGTAACCATGTTGGGCGCGAGCCACATGGGCAGCAATTCGACAAAGGCATTCCACTTCAGATTATTGTCAGACTAGCGTTCGTACACGCACAGGCAGCGAAAGACGTACGTAGTGCTTGAGGATGTATCGTGATATGTACGACTTGTCAACACTCGAATATTTGTAGGACTTGAGATGCACCAGTGCATCTTCGGAGAGGCACTCATGGGCTGGAGGGTCTGGGTTTTCCATTGTTAACCAAGCTGAAGTAAATGAACCGCAAAGAAAATAAAAGGAATATGGAGGCTCACTTTTGCCCATCTTCTGTGGTACGCCGTCTCTATATAAGGGGAGACTCATCGAGAAAGAAGACGAGTTTGACGGTGGTCAAACGCTACGGGAACGATTGGCGCGCGCCGATGCTGCAGCCAAGCCAGACCAATGCGCGATTGAGACCTGCTTGGCCGTCACAAAAATTGTCGGAGGTAGATGTCGAGGTTGATCTGGCCCGTGCAGCGAAGCAAAAGCCAAACCAAGCAAAAATGAAGAAGGGTGAGAGCGCAGTGATCACGAGGAGTCTATGATGGAGTTTCGATTGGTTGGACAGGAAGGGTCGGGCGAAAAATGATGATGATCAACACGGGGGGATCCTTTTGGAAAGTTGCGTTTGGGGACTCTGGGAAGATGAAATGGACCAAAACAGATTCGGAAAAGGGTCCTTTCAGCAGCCGAAGTCGGCTATTCAGAACGAGGGTACGAGGGTAGGTAGTGGCTTTGGTTGTCACTGGCCTTCCCTTAGGTAGTTCTTTCGACTCACCGTCATATCACCACGAGGTCTCTCCCTCGTCCCTCGCTACTCTTTTGCTCCCGACCGCCTCGGCGCCTTTCCGCTTAAGCTACTGCACTACTGCACTACACCTTACGTGACACCCTCACCTCCTTCTATAACTAGGCAGATAGGCATGTGAAAGTGCTCATTGCGTTCGATGCTGTCAAAGCAAAGCTGCATGATATTCCACCTTTGGGGGGTTACACCTGGAATTTTACGTTGTTTGTAGAATACACTTTGGGTCAGCTCGGCGATATTGAGGCGTTTCGGGGCAACATGGCGTCTGCTGTCCCCCTTCAGGTGCCCATGACGACCGAGGCAAGTCTATTGATGCTATCCTGTCAGCAGGTTCTCCAGACTGACCGTGTACTAGGAAGACCTCCAAAGATTTCACTACCGTCATTATGCTCCTAGTTGCACGACGTATTTCTCTCAGACCTTTGGCGTTCACGCTGGATTTCAGAGCAACGCCCAGCAAGAAGAAGAATATGGTGACGACGACGACGGCCTGGGATATTATTCCGATGGCACGAAGCGGACTTTGACTGATGAACAGATTGCCATGTTTAGACATAGCGAACTGCAAGCTCTGCTTCGAGAAAGAAGGAAACAAAAGCTCCAACAGGAAGAAACGTCGGATGTAATCGAACCCCTTGCGATCAGCAGTGCACCCGACAGATCCAATATCGAAGAAGATGAAGACGAAGAGGAATACGCACGTTTTCTAGCAGAAGAGCGCAAGAATTTGAGCAAATCTGCGAAGAAAAAGAGAAAGAAGAATAAAAAGGGAAAATCGGCGCGTGCATCTACCGACGGCGAGAAATGTCCCCGGAGAATCGCAAGAGAGATGGATGACAGCACAGGCGGCGCTGATGCTGCATTAGATTATGATGAAGCTCCACAGCCTTCGTATGCCGACAAAGAGCAAGAAAATGCCTTATATCATAAACCGGTTGCTGGAAGACGCACCGTGGAATATGGCGACGTTGAGGAGAACAGCCGGGACATATCACGGGAACCTCAAGCATCAAAGGCGGAAAAGGCATTTCAGTGGCCCAAGTTAGGCACAGTCTGAGCTGTCATTCTCCTCCACGACAGAACAAAAGCTATTCATACCCCAGTTGGTAAGCAATCAACTTCCTCTGATTTTAAAACACATCCAAATTGGCACTATGATGAAAACTTTGTTATCGTCATCCTTAGTCGGAATGTCTTGGTTTGTATCGTCACTTGGGTTACTCTTTCTGCTTTCTCGGAATGAGACTACCCAGTGGGATACTCTCCCGGATTCATGTCGAATTAATAATCTTCTCTCTGAAATCAATACCTCCTCTCCACACCTTGCCATTCCGGTTTTATTCTTCATGCTGACTAAATGTAGGATCTCTTTTTATGAACAGTGAAGGCTGGTATGCTGGCAGGACCTGAATGTGTGTGAATTCGCTATGCCGGCTCGCTTCTCTCTGGCATGCTATTACTCTCTCGTAGGGCGAGCCGCCCTGTCCCGTGCCTAGAGCATTATGACTTCATCCTGTCTTCAGAAGTACTCTGCGGCATATTGCTAATGCACTAGGCGCTGTCCTCGGGATGATTATCAGCACGCATTGCCAAAAATCTCTTCCGTTCCTTTCCCGGACGAGATCCCGTGGAAACCGGAATTTTGGACACGTCAGACCTGTTGCGAACCAGCTTACTTGCCTAGCAAAAGGTTTTGATTGGTTGATGTGTCATCTCCATGGACAGAAAAGCCATTGGTCCATTGCGGGATAGATCGACAACAATCCAAGTCTCCTTAGAGTGGCGGAACAATGATATCAGGGTAAAAAGGACCCCAATTTGTTACCGATATCTCCGAGTACAAAATCAATACGGTCCAGCTGATGCTTCGTGGATCATCCCTCATTTCCCGGAGGGAGCGGTGCCCGACCCATTATCGGGCTTGAGATCATGAGTGGAACGTCCTAAGATTCAGGTGACCTCATCTATTCAGACGTTAGGCAAATGAAGTGATCTCACAAAATAATCAAAAGAACCTAAATTCATGCTATCATGCTATCATGCTACCTCTTATGCTGTCATTATACATATTCGTCGGCATTCAGTTCCGCAGGCCGTTTGAAAGAATACTTGTACCAATGCCATTAATTACCTCGGCTCCGATATCGATGGCCCCATTCTCTTTGAAGCCGTTGACCTCGTGACTTTTGATGTCTGGTGCCAAAAAGTTCGTCTGGTTGACATACCATGTCAGGCCCTCGGCATCGACGTCTACATCTGCCATGGTCCATCCGTTGCCGAACCAACCGAAATCATTTCCATCAGCCGTCTCCATTTCAAAATCTTCCCATCGAACCTTCTCCAGAGCGCGCACTGCATGGATGCTGCTTCCAGGCCACAGTGCCGTGACTTTGGGCTGTCCGTTGGCGTCAACTGCGCTTCTGTACCAACTGCTGCATTGCGTAGTGAACACTGTCCGCTGGAAGTACTTGTCGCAGAATCTGCTGAAATTCTCGACCTGCTTCCTCTTCGGCTCAATGGTCCTTATGTTTCCCGTGGACAGTTTCTGAAGAATCTGCCCCACATACTTGTGCGTAGCTTCCATCTGAACGAGAAGGCTCCCTGCTCCCTGGAAAGCGTTGGGTCCAAGTGACTGGAAGAAATTGGGAAACCCGTCCGTGCAAAGGCCCAAATACGTCTCTGCGTTCTTCAAGTATCGATCAACGAGGTTGACTCCGTTACGACCGTAGATGGGAAATTTCCCTTTGCCACCAGGCCTCGTGTCAAAACCCGTTGCGCAGACAATGGCGTCCACGGGTCGGTGTGTCCCATCGACTGTGACGATTCCAGTCGCGTCGATATGTGAGATACGTGTTGGAACAACATCAACTTTAGGAGCCGCCAGAGCCTCGAGGTAGCCAGGACCCGGAGTCAGCCGTTTACACAGAGGCGGGAAATCAGGCAAAAGATGTTCAATCACTTCAGGCTTTCCCTTGAGCCTGTGGCGCATATCCTTCTCGTAGGTTAATCTGTCGCTCTCGTTCTGCTTTCCTCCTCGAATGACAGCTCGGTAATTGGATTGGATACCGAGCTCAAGCATCTTTCGGTAGTTAATATAGGCCGTCGGTTCCTTTGTCCAGGCTGCCTTCTCTTCTGGCGTGTAGTCGAAGTTACCCCCTTCTGTTGTCCGCTGTTTTACAAACTCGTCACCAATGGGTGTCGAGATCCATGTGCGTCCACGAACGTAATGGTCCATGGATTTGACCTTGGGTAAGAGAGCAGGTACAATTTGGATGCCGCTGCTTCCTCCACCAATGACAGCAACTGATTTACCCTGTTAAAATGTCAGCAGAGTTTCCTTTTTTAGTAGAAGGGAGGGTTGGGATGGGAAGTATACATCTGCAACAAAGTTCTCATCCCAATTGGCACTGTGCAGCAACTCTCCCTTGTAGTCGTGCAGTCCTTTGATGTCTGGCCACTTCCATTCATTCAAAACTCCAATTCCGGTCATGAACACATCCGCGGTATCGGTGAAGATGAGTCCCGTCTCCAGGTTCAGAATCTTAACCTGCCATTGCGAGGCAGTCTCCAGCCACCGCGCCTCGAGGCATTGATGACTTAGACGGATATACTTTCGAACGTCATATTTGTCTGCTACCCGTTGCCAGTATCTCAGGATCTCCGGCGCCTCAGCATAGAAACTACTCCAGTGCTCGGGGGAAGATTCGTAGCTGAGCTGGTAAGAGTGAGAGGGAATATCTTGCGAGAAGTAAGCTTAGAAACTAAATATGGCTGGTGTTGAATATAAACAACATACCGCATGCACATCCAGGATATCTAATATATGATGATATATGTCAGCTGTGATACCGTTGATTGAGATCCAATGAGACCAGGAAAAAGGAACACACCTGTTCTCGTACCAAGTCCCACCTATCTCGGGATTCTTCTCATAGATGACGAGGTCAAGATTGGGAACGTATTTCTGAAATTCAATTGCACCAATAATGCCTGAGACACCTGCTCCAATGTATATAACCTTAAGCGGCCGAGCGTCGTCGATGGCTCGCTCTGAAATTAAAGGATCACAGAAATCGCGTGAAGACGCGGTTACGGCCGCAGACATACTGTTCGTAGAAAAAAAGAAGTAACCAAGGAAGGGATTATGGACAATGTATTCTCTCGCAGGTTTTGAATTTCAATGAGGATATATCGAGTCTTTTTCGACAGATACAAGGACTGGTGAAGTTCAGACTGTAATTATATGTAACAAAGCAATGGCCTGGGTATCTTTCGATCTAGATAACAGTTATGAGAGCCAAAGGTCCTATTCTACATTATCTTCCACTTAGAGGTTACAGAGCTTCTGCTCTCCCGAGTTCCTCATCCCCACAGGTGACAAGATTGTCTTCGTTCGGCGATTGAGGGTAACGGCCAAATCTTTTGGCCACCCCGCTTTTGCCAACCATGGCTGCAGGCTGCTTAACATTTCCTATCGATAACTCTCTGATTGGCAACACCCGGTTGATAGATGCTGTCAAACCGACACTCTGGGGCTGACTCTGAACTTGGGATTGAAGGTTGAGGATAACCTACCCGAAGGTCGGGAAGATCGCCCGACGTTGTCCGAGGCATCCGCAGCGGCAACGTTCTCCGACTATTCGTTGTTTACTGTTATTATTATACTATTATCAAGGATACTGTTTGCCATTGTCCCGAGTATTCAGTCAGCTGAGCAATTCAATGCCATCCTAAATATCAAGATGAAATATGCCAAGATTGTTCGTTGACGGAAATATGATAATAAAGTTCGGTTCGTGCATACGAGCTCGCGGGGGCTCAGTTTCCAGGAATTCTGCTGCACTGCACTCCAAAATGAAAATTAAAGGCTGATCCTTGTCGTATCCTTACAACTACCATCGACAAATTTCATCAAAATTTGAGGCTCGTGACACTTCTAGGTTTAAACACATATTTCGAGAACTCAATACATAGATATTATACTACTCCTGCTACTAAAGACTTAAACTACCCTTTCATGATCTCAGATCCCTAGGGTTACATCAATTTCGTATCAAGTCGTAATGCTCTTGGCATCAACCTTGGCCTTCTTCCAGATTCTGGGCAGAGGGCCTGACTTGCCATAGATAGGATCCGAATCCGGAATTGGTAAATTTTCACACTTCTCTGCCAAAATCTTGGTCCTCTCAGGGGGTGCCTTGCCCATATTCATGTCGAACTGTTTGTCCTATCGACGGTATATGACATTAGTATCAGTCCTTATTTCTCACCTCAAACAGTGACTTACCTCCGGGGAATAAAGGCCGATAAACTCGTAGTCACCTTCCGAATCCAGCGAGCAATGGCTGACACCAGCCTTTTGTTCGTGAATTGAGTTAGCGCACAAGGAGCTAGATTTCTCCAACAATGGCAACAAAAGGCCAAAACCGCAGCGCCATCCATCTCAACGGATAGGAACTTACCGGCACAACAAAGACGTCACCAACTGAAACATGTAATTTCAAACCATTTTCCTGGCCCTGCTCGTTAAATTCCGGATCGAAGTCGGTTTTACCCATTGAATACGTGCTGGAGCCCCTGATAATGCCATAGGTCTCATGCACAGTCGTGTGGTAATGAGGAATCTTATATGTGGTCCACTGGCCACCCTTCTTCCAGCCATTGGGCTCAATGGTGTCCAAAATGTCCTCTGGCGCCGTATGCTTCAACACATTACGGTAGACAAGGAGAGGGAAGACCGAATTGGGAGAAGTAGGAGTCGGTGCAACGTAATAAATTTCGGGTTCGACTTGTGCCATGGTCGTTGATGAATGAATAACAGTCACGTTCTTGGGGAAATGACAAGGTGATATTGATAATGCCTGTTTTAAAGGTTGTGGTTTCTTTCCATTCTTCGTATGTTTATATGTTTTCGATTGCAGGAAGCATTAGTTAGTTGTAGAGAGAATGCAGAGAGCAGCACCAGCCTCGTATCGGATCTATTACCCCCATCATTCTCATTATCTACAATAAGAAGCATGTTTTGACGGCACATAGTCAAAATGTGAGTGCGGGGATGAGGATACTTGAAGTGGATTATATCTCCGAGGGAGCATCGGCTGAACAGCCCGAGGGTTATCGGCAGGCTAACCCGGGGTTGGCACCCCGGAAGAAATGTTGGTCACTCATTGCCTTTTCTTCTAGTCGAACCCTTGAGCCACCTTCGCAGACATTTCTATGCTCTCGCCTTGCAGAGCCCGAATTCGGTGAGATCATTGTCCAGACTGAAAGTATGACCGACGTATTGAAAGATAAGTGGCAAACCGGTTGTGGAGGAACTGGGGGGTTTGAGGCGGAGTCAATTCAGAGTTTCGCCTCGGGTAAGCGATATCTCCCTTAACTAAATTATAGGTAGCAAACTAGAAAAAATGTGACTAATGATAACGGGGCCTCGGGTGCAGGACCAGCCTAGTGATAGTAAACTATTTCCCTGGTCCAGTTACTCCCCCGCCAGGGCCATCCTTCATCAGCCAATGGCCCAGTGGGTATAGACCCGTAGTTTCCGGACTCGCCAGCACACCTACAGTATATCCTCGATATTCCCGAGGAAGACATCGAAGATTGTGACTCCTTTGAAAGGAATTCTGGCAGAATTTTTCTTGGATTCTTGTTTGAAAGATAAGGTCCCTTGCAGTATGCAACAATGATGCAGAATTGTGCCAGGTAAACAAACTAGAGGTCGGTAATATCGGACCTATCGAATTGACTATCATCATAACTGTAATTGAATGATTGGCTTGAAATATGGCTGCCATGACGCTTGGCTTTAGGTTTAGGCGTACGTAAGATGTATCACCTTGCACTTGGATGGCCACTATCTGCTCGTTCGAGACTGGGGTGGCGGCCCCTTATCATGACGCTGTCCATGCCTCTCCCTGCCCAGCCAACCCAGATCTATAACGCCCTTTATGCTTGGAGAATCGAGATTAGGGTACACTATCCGAAGTCTGCCAACCGCAGCATTGTGGCTGATATACCTATGAGAAGATCGTTCTGGCTTTCTAAATCACTCCCGTTCCTTCTGCCACACTGCAATTAACCATATATAAGGAGTGATGTCAAACAGGCGTGAATCTTAAACAGTCTCTGTTCAATTCTCTTACATCCCCCAACCGAATTAAAAATTTTTTCTATCCCACGTTGTGATCATCATCATGTCCATTCAGGGTGACCTACCCAAGAAGCAGGAGCCTATAGAGCTCCAGCAGCCGTTGGATGTTCAAGAGGCCGAGATAATTGAGTACAATGAAGATAGAAACGGCCAATTCCACCGTTCCTTCTCGCCGCGGCATGTCCATGTGAGTTAAAGTGCCAGCTTTGTTGATATTTTCAATTGCCAGTCCTATTTGAATTCAATCAGCCGTGAGTCAGATTGGATCTAACAAGCCATGCAAAGATTATTTCACTCGGGTCAAACATTGGAAGCGGTATTCTCATCGGTACGGGCCAAGCTCTGTCGCTGGCCGGCCCAGGAAACATGGTGATTGCGTATGCACTCGTCTGTTCAATGGTCTGGGCTGTTTTGCAGACCTTGTCTGAGATGACCATTGCATTTCCCACGCCGGGAAATTATATCGATTACGCTGAGCGCTGGGTGGATTCATCCTTGGCATTTGGAGCAGGCTTTGCAGAGTGGCTCGGTATGAATTTTAATTCTTTTAACTGATCTTCATTGACTCATGGCTGACTGGCATATTCAAATCAGCCTGGATAGCAACGGTTGGCGCAGAGGCAACATTCTTCAACGTGCTCATTCAGTACTGGGCACGTGGTAATTTGCCACTTGCAGCATCTTGTAAGGATGTCGATTTGGGGCTTGACTGTTCCCACTTTTCACTGACCTAACCCCTGCATTTAGTGGCCATTTTTCTGGCAGTTAACTCGGTCTTATTCCTTCTACCAAACAAGGCGTTTGCCTGGTTTGAATATGTCACCTCTTTAATCAAAATCACACTTCTTCTCATCATCATTACCGTGTCCTTGGCCATGGTATGTGGTGCTGGTCCCAGGGGATACGTCCACCATGGTGAATATTGGAAGGATCTTCCTGTTTTCAAAAATGGTTTCACTGTATGTCGTTTTCCGTTTCTTCGCAGGCTCACGCACCCCTATTACTGGCTAACACCATTCGAAGGGGTTTGCACATGCCGCTCTTCTCGCCTCCTGGGCCGTTGGTGATCAAATCTTTATCGGTATTATGGGCGGAGAAGCTCAGAGTCCTCGGTTCTCTCTGGGCCACGCAACCAAACTCGTCCCCTTCCGCGTCAATATCATCTATATGCTCTGTGTCATGTTCATCACGCTCCTCGTACCCTCAAACGACGATCGGCTTATGGGTGGATCAGGAGTAACTGCCTCTCCATTCATCATTGCTTTGAACGACGCGGGTATTCCGGTCCTGCCGCATATAATGAACGCTGCCATGATCGCTAGTGTCATGGCCATCTCAGCAGAGTCCATCTATCTCTCATCTAGAATTCTTCGAACCATGGCCCATAAAAGACTTATTCCCGAGGTCTTCGCCAAGGTCGATGACGCGGGTCGGCCTCGATGGGCATTGCTGATCACTTGCGCCGTTGCTGTGCTTTTGACCTTTATGAACTTGAGCTGTAAGTGAAGCTTGAATGCACCACTGCATTCCCGATTTCTTACCAAGACACAAGAAAGCATATCTTGCTAACAATTTGCGAACTTACGAACAGCTGGCGGTTCCAAAGCTTTCACCTGGTTGATTTCCATCAGCAGCGCTTGCTACTTTGTCAACTGGATCGTCATCAGCATTTCGTCCTGGCAGTTCCGTCGAGCCTTGAAGGCGCAGAATGACAATCTTTTCTCCCAGCCTTACGCCTGGAAGTCTTCATTGTGGCCTCTGGCACCCACTTGGCTCTTCGTCATTTCTCTACTGCTGATTGCCTGCTGTTTTATTGCTGGTATTAACCCGGTAAGTATTTGTCGAATGGTCCCCTCATCTTCTTCTCCTAATTTAACGTATTCCTTTTCCACTTTGGACATCTTATCTGACATTCTGTGAACAGGGTGGTGACGGCTTCGACGCTACAAACTTTTTCCAATACATTTTCGGTCTCCTCCTCATTTTCGGCTTTACCGCTATCCACAAAGCGATCTATCGGACGCCATTGCGGAATCCAAAGACCGCCGACTGCGTTACTGGCAGACACGAATTAAGTGCAGAAGAACTGATCGAACTTGACACCTACTCTCGGTTATCAAGGTGGCGGCGCTTTTTGACATATGTGCAGTTGTGGTAAAATATACGCGGATATGCCCTGGGATTCTGGGAAGCCCAAGTCGATTTGACAAACGAGACGAGTTACACTTGTGATGATTGCTTGCGTTGGATTTAAAAGAAAAAGGAAATGAAACCATATAAATTATACACTTCATACAGATTTCTAGCGCTTTTCAAAATATAGACTGCCTCACATTCCACTAGAATTAAATCAGCAGATATTATTATTCTGGCTGTGACATTTTGTCGTATAGATGCGTACTCTACTTTGTTGTCGTCCTTTGACAAGCAAATGTGTGGGATTCAGAAGTCACATGACGGACCCTGTCAGTAAGATTGAACCTCTCAGAGTTCGCCGAAGACAAAACTGCAGGTATGGGTGAAAAGGAGATAGCCACGAAATCGATCAATCAAGGATAGTGATGATTGATCGACTGCTTGATTGATTGTCGGCCATAACATCCTCTCGGCCACGCTTGCCGAATCATACATACCCCTACGTTAGCGATAACGCCCCTTATCAGACAAAAGCCGGAGAAACGGGTAACTAACAACCAACTCCACCATTGGACCAGCGCCCATTAGGAATCGAATCCAATATCAGTTGTATACATATACAGCTCCAGGCACAGCCCCGGACATTACAGATAAACTAGTAAACTTAACACTGACCGAGAGCCAGCCACTTGATAGCAGATGGGAGTTATCTAGCTATCTGCCAAGTGCCAATGACAAGAATGCATCCCTGTTATATATAGCGTTTATAGTATCACATAGAGGTACATTTAGAATTTGCCGCTAGATGAACTAAGATAAAGTAGGTAGGTATGCACGGAATATGGTTCTGTGAATGACTATGCCAGGGCATGCAAAGTGCAAATTACCACAAATAGATTACAATTTACATGCCAAGGACCTAGAGGGGCCTCGAGTGGCTCTAGAGCGGTTTTTGCCAAGCGTGAGGTAGGGGAAGTATCTTAATCTATGCAAGGTACGGCGTGCGTCTGATGGGATAACATGTCCAATACTGTTATCAAGGTTGTTTCGAAAGGCGGTTTCATGAGATTATTCATTTTGGATGTTTGGATGCTATGTTCGCTTTGAACAGCGAAACGATGCTTTGAAGGGGGGATAGCTGGAATCCTTTTCGGAACGAAATGTAAAAAAAGAAAAAAATAAAAAAATAAAAATAAAAAAGATTCTAGGAAAAAGGGGAAAGAAATTTAGGTAGAAACAAAGATAGTAAAAGCAGGCGCTCCAGTTACAGATAATTCAGTCCACCGCCAGAGACAATCTCCAGATCGCCTCGAATCTCCCACATCTCGCAGCCGATCCTCGAGCAAATCTCGCGTCGGCGCTGACTGCCTAATTCCCAGAACCGGGAAAGGAGCGAGCCGTCCAGGACGGAACGAGCCGCGATCGGGTCTGCTAGAGTATTGACGGCACGATATGCCCGGGGATTTAATCCGCAAGCGTGTTCGAGGCCGTTAGTTAGTTGCGTCTGCAGTGCAGATAAGCGGCGATACTGAGTTTCCGTTACAGGGGTGATAAGGCCGAGGGCACCAGACTGTGTTGTGACGAGCAATTGTTGCGCAGGGTGCTCGGGGGTGACATCGTCCATGGCGTCGTCGTCAGGCTCAGAGGGAGAGGAGGCGGATGGAAGGCTGGATGGCAGGAGCGTAAGAGAAGTAGGTAAATGTCCAATGTGGAAAGCGCTGCGGTGAAGCAGACGTTGTCCTGAAAGTGAGCGTGGATCTGTGTCCCTCAGATAGCCTATGTCAGCGAAATAACACATTTTTTTCTCTTTTACATTGACGAGGTAATAGATTACGTGTGACGGAGGGGAAGCTCTAAGAGAGGGGAAAATTCAGGAGAGGGAGGTAAGAAAAGACATACGTTCTGGGTCAAATTGAAGGATGTGGAAGTTGCAATCTCCGTCAGCTACAAGAATAAAAAGTTGATTCCCGTCAGGGAGAAAATCGGCTGTCAAGACCTCAAGATGCGTAGTATCTTTTCCAAAGAGGGTCATCTTATAGGGCTCCTCCTATTAAATGAGAAGAAGTCAATACTTTGAATACGGCTTGAATGTTATGATGGCAAAAGTAGTAAAAACTGCTTTCAATCACAAAGAACACATACCGAGTATCCGACAAACCATACTCCCTTGACTGCGTCTCCAAGAACGCAGAGGCCGGTGCCCTTCAGTTCTTTGGCGACGGAAACATAGCATTGCATATCCATGAAAGCAACAGGCAGTAAACTGCCGTCCTCCTTTAATCCGCGAACCATGCATTTCTGCCCCTGTGCGGCGAGCAGAAATCCTTGCGACCCAATCTCGGACAAAGCAGTCACAGCGCCCTTGACTTCCTCTTTCACCACAAGCTTAAGCTTTCGATTTGTCTCTGGCCTTCCAGGTTCGGGAACAACGGTGATAATTTCAAAGATGTAGATACAACCACGAGTCGAGAGATCCTCGCCTCGAATGATGGCTGTGCCTACGGCAACCAGCAACTGACGCTCATGCGTGGTCTCGTTTACTTCGAGATGCAATGTTTTGATGCAAAGTGGCACTTCTGAATGATCAAGAGGGTATCTGAATAAATAGTCAGCATTCAAACTCGAGTGCCCTTTGATATCTGAAATGAGCCTACGTGTCGACAACGGTGTAATTTATGGGGTTGAGGATTTTGATGAACCCATGTTGAACTTCAGGAAGGAAACTGGTGTCTTGAATAAATCAGCATGAGGCTCAGAGACAGTTTTACCCATTCCCATTTCAGGAGACTCACCTTCCTTCTTCCACTCGTGGTGGAAATCGTCATCATCGGGTAGTTTATATGGCACCTTTTCAGTAGTCCCAATAACGTAGGACTCCATAGGCGCGTGATAACACAGGCTTTGTACTTCCTCCCCGAGAGTAACCTTGTGGGAGGCCCAGCCCGTCTCGCCAAATTGAAAGCCGTTAGGAAACTGGGAGACACGAGCGATTCCCTATAACGGAGATTTCAGTATCCCATTGAGTTTTGTCGAGTTTGAAACAATTACCTCAATATCGACGTAGACCCATCCTCTTTCGCAACCAGCGGTATGGAAACCGCTCATCCCTCGAACCGCTTTCCCTCGGAGTTTTATGACCCTGGGCATACTGCACGCGCTCTTAAGGATGAAGCTGGGTGTACTCCCGGGCAAAAAGACTGCGCTATATCCACCTATATTCGAAACTGTGCGCAAAGGATTGGCCCTTTGCTCCATTAGGCCTTTTGCAGCATCTTGAGCCGACTCTGCAGGGCTTCGAGCAAAATGCTGATTTGGGATCTTGATAAAATGAAGAGCAGAGTTGGAGTCGCCAAGCGTTTGCGAAGAAGAATATTTATAGGGTTCGTAAATTACCAGATCGTCATTGGCGGTCCGAAGCTAAATATTGTAAGTACAGCAATTATATTTAGGAGAGTGACCTTACAATCATGTATGGTGATTTGGCAATCTGGTCTCCCAAGTCTGTAACCATTATTTCCATAAGAGTCTCACGAGCTGTTGAGCGCTTGACTGCATACTCTGCCGATAGAATAGGTGGAAGAAAGCTCAAGCTATCGGCAACGTAAATGGGCTTTGAGAGATTCGGCAGATTATAAATCTAATATTTAATGGGTCAATACTGGCTAAAGATACAGGCGAAGAGAGGAGAAGACCGACCTGTAAGGCGCCATCCACGCTCAGAAGAAATAACAGGACGTCGCTTGAAGAGCCACTACCATTCTCCGCCTGCGGAAGAAAGGCCTTTGAGTGATCTTTGTACAATGAGCCGGATAGCCACTTCGTAGCTAGTATTGAGTCTCCACGTTCGACCTCATCGATATCACCGCTATCGTCCGCTTCGAGTACGACAATACTAGAGTCGTCCCGTATTACCAAAAGGTACGGGTCTGCGAAGCTAGTGCCTACGGCCTTGGGCTCGGCACCAGTGAGATCATCAGTCATAGGGAAAATCTGGGCAAGGCCAAGCTCTGTGTAATCAAGTCAGCATTTCATCCCGGACATAAGTTGAACGCTGTGACTGGTACGACAACAAACAAGCACGAGCAATAAAGGATCGTAGTAAACAAAAGATGAGTGATCATATTTTTCTTATGCGACATTGGTCTTAGCCGTGAACGGCCATGCCTTAGCTTCGAAGATGCGGAGCCTGAAGAGATGCACCTCTTGACAACCACTTTCTGCTCAAAGTAGGTCGAGACATAGGAGTACAAATGAAGTAATGTGAACACAATGAAAACCCTCCGATAGCTGCCGCCATCCAGAGTGAAAACAAAGAAAACTTTTGAGTGAAGGGACCCAGCAGCATGCCCGCATAAGCCAAATAGATAAATGGGTGTAACATTTATGATATTTCCAAATATTGGATGCAAAAGGGGGCGTAAAATCGTACGCGACTGAGTAACCTGATTAAACTTACCTCCATCATAACTTCGAAGCTCACCGGGGAGAACTTGGACCACTCGAGTCTCGCCTGCGAGAGTCCCCACGTCAATCGTTCCGCCAGCGGCAGGGTCAAACTCTGTTCCTTTGATTTCTTCAAATCCAGTCGGCGTCAAAGCATATACTGCAGACTCTACTACCTCAGAAGCAGGAGCTTTTGAGACAATCATAAATCGGTGAAATTCGTTGTCCAAAGTATAACCATCGTTCTGCCCCGCCTGATCCTTGCTGGAAGACTGAGGGATGATTCCTTTCGCAAGCGGCCTCTTCGCACTTACAGACCAAACGCCTTGAGCCTCAGGAAATTCAAAGCGACCAATGACCTTTGGGTCTACCTCGTGCTTCAGTACCGATATGCCTCCAGCTCTGTCACGACCCGAAGGAACCACGAGCTCGAGATCTGCAACGACACCCCTAGAATTACGCTCCTCCTCGCTGCGAGGTAGGAAAGCGGGCTGCCCTAATGCCAATTCTCTCATGGGCGCTAGATTCATTATGGAGTCATTTACCTTGAAGCGGTAGTCTCCAGCTTGACTGCGATCAGTGTCTTTGAGGGTTTCGGAGCGATCCTTAGCGTCTTGAGGACCAGCAGAGTATATATCATCATGGTCTTCCAGGTCATCCAAATCAAGATCCTCTTCAGCGTCCGCGAGAATATTGGCGTCGGTGTCTTGTTTTGCTGGCAAACGAGACTTGCGCGACCAGCCAAGTATAACCGAGTCCGAATTCTCACTACCAATGAAGAGCTTACCACGGCCAAGAATGGCGGTGCATGACGCTCCAGCTTCCAAAACACTGCCCCCATTTTCCTCCGCTATGCGACGAATTGACAAACCGGATACGACGCGACCGTCCATTGCAAAGTCAAGAAGAGCAAGCTCACCCGTATTTAGCACGATCAGCATGTCACCGTTTCCAGACCCGAGCTGTTCAATAGCACAATTTTCAAGTCTCATAGCCAAACTCGATTGGTCGGCCATGGAGAACGACGAGCATTGCTTGGCAAACTCGTTGACCGCGACTCCGTTGGTCCTTCCGGACTGATCAACGTGTATCAATTCATTACCACCAACAAGTAGTGATCCGCCTACGGGAAGAGGAAGAGGAATAATCTTGAACAAATCATATGGGAGACCGCCGATAGAGAGAAGCTCAGTGGACTGGCGTTGTTCGAGTTCAAGAGTATAAACTCCATAGGAAAGAGTATCCCGACGTTGAGAAAGAAGAGACGCGGACGGAGCGACCTGAGAAGAAAGAATACCAAATGTAGGCTCGCGGTACTCATAAAGAAAAGTCAGATGGATCGGATACACGAGGCGCGGCTGTATAGACGAGAGAGACAAGACAAAGGATGATGCATATGGAGTGGACCGCGACGAAGATTCCCCATCTGGCTGCTTTGGTGCATCTGGCAGTTCTCCATCGAGGTCCGGATCATAATCATCCATTACCAAGTCATCTCCAGCTTGATGGAACGGAAGTATTGCCAGAGTACGCATGCCGAACTTTAAAACCGCACACCTGCTGCTTGGGTCCACCGTGATGTAGCTCTGGCATTGACTAAGTTCTGGCGCCCAAGGACTCCGTAAGATATCTTCGCTCTCATAATAATGAATTGATGTAGTTGAAATTCCATGGCGCTCGGGATCCCATTCGACCAAACTAAGTTTGGCATCCCGGAAAGCTATGAGTAAAGCGTCGCCGCCCGCCTTTGAATTTAATATTTTCACTCGCGCAAGTGAAGTTATAGTTCCGAAGAGGGAGTATTCGGAAACAAGAACCAATTTCGTGGTTTGAGATCGTTCAGAACGTTGAAGCACCAGGTCCGTGCCTATGAAAGACGTCTCGACATTTTCGTCCTGAAACTCCCGTCTTCCAGCAACCTGCGGATCGTCATAGTTTGGCTGCCGCCCTTCACGGTCCGGATCAACTTCAGTAGTGACTGTCTTCAACGAAAAGATTTGAAGGAGGGAGCTTTTGGCGACAATTAGGTTGTTGGAGTTCGGCGAGGTGAAGGATAGTGTGACCGCATTGGTTACCGCTGTAGGAGGAACAAGCTCATGGAAGCACTGCATATCGACTGGGTATTGGAGCAGCGCCCTTCTGAAAGCATTGTTGTATTGCTTACAACATGGGTTTCTTGGCGCTGGTGTCGGGGGAATCTGCAAGCTTCATATATAAACTCTTCGTCTGAAGTGAGCCCCAGCACCCAGAAATTCATAATACGCGAAGTCGCGAAGTACACTCTTTGAAGGGAACCGGGTAACCACGAGGGAGATCAAGTGACTGGTTATGACGATGATCTTCGTTTACACTACGCAACCAGGGTCCTCTAGCTTCAGCGCCTTGCACGAGATCCAAGGTCTCTGCTTCCGCAATCCTCACGCGCCACCTTGAGAAATTACGGCGGGTTGTCCTGCAATACCCTTCCAAACTACGACCTAATTGTCAATTTGTTTTCTAGGCTTGATATTATACATTACACTGCTCAGACCAAGGATTACTTAATCCAGCTCCGTTCGGGTAGCTGTGACGTCGCCGTGAGAGGTGTCTCCTCCTCAATCTAACACCCGTGGCAGGCCTAAGCCGAATTGTGTCCAATATGGCGGCCATACAGACCACATTGATCTGGATCGCGTATGTAGTTGCTGTTGTACTTCTGATGGCAATCGCATCCATTTTTGTTTTCATTTACCAAACCCCGAGGGATCGGTCTGCATCAGTAACTACCGTATGCATCTTCACACTGAGCGCGTTGTTAGCTACGATTCTTCTGCTCCCGGTCGACATAGCGTTAGTATCTTCCACTACGTCTTCAAAATGGGGCAACAAGAAGGACTGGGCGACACCAAACAGGGTTGATAACATTGTTTACACCCTGAAAATCGTCTACTATACACTTTATTCTCTAGATGCCCTACTCTGCTTGATCGTGGTACCTTTCACGTACTTCTGGTATGAGGAATACGATGAAGTCGCGGCGGAGGAGGGCAATCAAAGCTTTGGACAAAGACTGTGGGGTGCGCTGAAATATACCATAACGTTTATCCTACTAGTCGTCATCCTTTTCCTAGTTGGGTTTTTCGTCCCAGTGGCCAGAAATCGAAAGGGCGAGCATTTTGACCTGGATTATTTCAAAAACTTATTGGCAGAGAACCGTAAGTTCTAACGGCCATCGACGCATGAGCTAATTTTCCGTTGATTTCTAACGTGGTACAGACGGGGAGCGCGCCCTGACCTTTGCGCTCGGGCTTCTGATCACCATTGGAACGTTTATCTATATCCTGTATACAGGTGCCGGTACTGCACTGCTTCCCATCAGCTTGATAAAATCTGCACCGTCAATATCAGCTCCCACGCTGGCTGCAAACACAGCCTCAGAACTAGAACGAAATCGAGAGCGCCAACGGCAGTTGGAGGGCCGTAATGCCGGGCGACAAAATGGACTCGATGCAAAAGATCGGAGAGAATTAGAAGCTTTGGTCCGTGAGGAGAGAACGCTCGTCCGACGGGAGCGATTGGCTGCCGAAGCAAGCGGTGAAGGACGAAGCTGGCTGGTCAGAGCCTGGGTGAAGCTCGAAGCAGTCTTCAGGCCGGTAAAGCTACTTGGTGGTGTTCTGCTTGTGCTGATCTCGGTTATTGTTTGGGTTTCTATGCTCATTACAGGCATCGACAAGGCCAAAAACTCCATATGCAAACGCCACTGCGGATACGTTTTGGGACATATCAACATTTTCCAGCCTATTAACTGGATTTTTGTCCAGTCCTCGAAAGTATTTCCAGTGGACTATATCATCGTGGCGCTACTGGTTCTTTTCTTCTTTGCAAGCTCCGTCGTGGGCATTGCAAGCATCGGTATCCGCTTTTTGTGGGTTACAATTTTTCAGATCCGAAAGGGCCATACGTCACCCCAAGCGCTTCTTATGGCAACTGTCATGCTGACCCTGATGGGTTTGGCCATTAATTATTCTCTCGTCATGATGGTTGCACCTCAGTATGCCACATTCGGCCCTCAGACGTTCTGTGACAAAGCACCAAGGCACCCGGGGGAGCAGCCCGATTGTACTAATCACAGAAGTCTGATACGCCCCTGCTCAGAGGTGTCCGACAACCCTGCTGCGAAGGATGTCTGCACTCCAAGCGTAGTCAGCACATTCCTCAATCGCATGACCCTAAACTTCCCTTTCTTTGGAGGCGTCGACTTCTGGGCCCAATTTGCTTTCTTAGGTAAGTTTTCTCATTGATTTCTTCGTCCACGTATCCGAACCCCTCAATTGACCGGTAATGTTATCAGGGATTTTCTTGATTGTATTCGTCACGGCTCTCATTCGCACACCCAAAATAAACCAGGCACAACTCGACCAAGACGCAGAGGAGGACGAGGAGGAAGGCCTTCTTGCGAGCACCACCAGAAGGTTTGGTGCTACCTGGCAGGACATCACTGGCCGGGCGAGAAGGACGGGTGGTCAGACGAATGGCGCTGGAACCAGCAACCATGACGACTTGAACAGCGACTGAAGAGGATTGCATGCCGCGAACCTGAAGAGGGGAACCAGCTCTGCCTGCCCTGAATTCCCGAAAATGCCTATTCACATCATTTTCCATGTATTTTGCCGTTATTCCAGCGTTATTCCCTCTGAAATTTGCACGATACTGCCCGCTTTGATATCTTCCACGAGGAAATTTGTCGTATAATCTTGCAAATATAAATTGAAACGCTATGTAAAACCTTGAGATCGCGCGTACTTTGTCCATTTATGATGTCTTTCGTCAAAGCCTGCATCGGGTCCAGAGTGACCCTCCTGCCAACAGCTCTTGCAATACAAGTCTCCGTCGCAGCCAAGGCATCGAATAGTAGCATCTTCATTGCATATGACGCACCAGCTTTCGATATCTTCATCCGTGTACTGTGGTAGCGCATTGGTCTTTTTTAAAATCTTGGGCGGCTTCTGCGCCGGATGAAATTTGGGCGCAGAAGGAAGACCGAGGGACTGCAACCGTGCAGCCAAATCATCCCGCGCTTCTGGAAGTGCTGTCGGAACAACCGGAAGCTTCATAAACTCGTCTCTCTCACTGGGCTGCTCAATGCCCCCCTTATTCCAACTGCTTTCTGTCCGAGCTGCCGCAGGCAATACAGAGTCATTGTTGTTGTTTCCCGTGTCTGCTTCCTCATCGACCTTTTCAGTTTCAAGTTCTGCAAATACTTTTGCTACATATTCCGCAGCCTCCTCGTCTTCAGTAGGATGACGCGGATCCAGCGGGGGCGGCGGCATATGTAACGTCCTCCTGCCTGTGTCCGTTGCAGTTTGATTCGCAGGCTCTTCATGCTCAGCTCCTTGATCATACTTGCTTACTTCGGCGTCGGCTTTTGGCAATGCTGCTTCCGCTTCGGTTAATAGATTTTGTATATTCTTCTCCTCTGCAGGATCAAGCTGCCATTGCTCTTCGGGACCCAGGTCTTCTAAAAGCTCTTCTAACGTGCGTTCGTCTTCTGGGTCGTACCCTTGATTGCCGCTGAAAGAATCATCAGGCACTTTATTAGGCTGTCCAGCATGCCTAGTACCAGCAGCACTAGTGCTGGTGCTGCCATTGTTGCTGAGGCGGAGAAACCGCGAAGAAAGATCGAATGATGATGAGTCGCCAGCGCGGGCAAGTGATGGTGTGGAAGTAAGTTGCACATGGGAAGGCTTTAGCGCATTGAGACGCGCGAGCAGTCGGGCATCATCATTGTTATTATTGTTATTATTATCATCGGCAGAAGGTTCACTCATGCTGCTCTACTTTAGGTGATTAACGCGAGAGCTCCTCGTCAATTGAAGTTGGACGTTCCATTACTGTGGTGTGGAGATTGTGGATGGAGGCTTCCTCCGCGGCCAGGCAGGCCGGGTGGTCCCTGCGGTCCGTTGGTCGGCTCCACTAGTGATAACCGAGCCATCGAGACTTTTGGTCCGAGGTCTATCAACTTGAATTTGGAATTATTCTGGAAGGAAAAGGTTGTTCAAGCATGCTGCATATTATTTTGAGTCCGTTTATTAGCTTCTAATTAGATGTGAAATGAAGAGGCCAGTCAATGGAAGAATGTGAGCTTGAATGAAGCACAACGTAGCGCTTTCTGCTTTGTCCTAGGAAGATGTCAAAGGAAAAACACAAAGGTCTGATATTTGAAAAGAAACTCTTCGATGAGATTAATCCAAGGCTGAAAAGGATTTGGGAAAAAGAAATGTTCAACTCTCTCTACGGAGTACGCTGATTTCAGGTCGTTGTATCCTGTAATATCGCTTTCCAGTGGAGGGAAGCTGGGGTCTGCTCGAAACAAGGGTCTCTTAGAGAAAACGCTTTCTCTGTCTTCTCCGGCGCTAAGGAACTCGTCCCGGCGATTTTGCTGCAAAAGGGAGACCTAAATGCGTAGATCAATTGGTCGGCCACTCACTGAAAGAGGCATGTGTTTCCCCACGAATAGATAAGCGACTTGAGTTAAAGACTGTCATGGGACAATAGCCAACGAAAGGTGAAAAGCCATGTTCCCCCACCGAGGACAAGTCGATAAGGGGTGACACTATACAGGGGATTGATCCTAGAAAGGCATGTTCTTTTCCATGCATGATAAGACTCCACGCAACATGCATCGATCAAAGCCCTCCGTGTGGCGCTATATGCCTGAGAGATAGCCTTTGCAAAATGTTAAAGATGAGCATGAGCTCATATAGAGGCTATATGCAGGATTTGTGAGGTGTTTTTCATACCAGAAGCAAGGAAGGTTGTTTATTTCTATACGCTTTGCATTGATCCTCCATTAATCTTTTCAACTCAAGTCTGATGATACCCTTCTGAAGACAATGACTGAGAAAAAGGAGCCCATCAACTCGGAAGTGGTCTCAGCCACCGAGGTTGGGGCTACTGAGTTTGTTGACGATGGTGACGAGCTGCATAGAAACCTTTCAAATCGGCAGATTCAGTTGATTGCGATCGGGGGTTCCATTGGAACTGCACTCTTCGTCAGCATTGGATCAGGCCTGATGGAGGGAGGCCCGGCCAGCTTGTTCATCGCTTTCATTGTCTATGGCTGCCTGCTCGCAACAGTAAATAATTGCATGACTGAAATGGCCGTGTATATGCCTGTCAGCGCCTCTTTTACCCGATTCGCAGGAAAGTGGGTGGATGAGGCATTTGGTTTCATGGCCGGCTGGAACTTCTTCTTTTATGTCGCCGTCCTGATCCCTTGGGAGATTTCGGCCCTCAACCTTGTCCTTACTTTCTGGAGAGACGATATTCCGATTGCTGCAGTCTGTGCCGCCTGTATTGTTCTTTATGCGTAAGTATTTTCCTCCCAAGTCATTGGACGGCGGCTACGGGCCGATCTAAAAGCAAAGAAGAAATGCTCACACTATTTGAAGCGCAATTAACGTTTTCACGGTCAAATATTACGGCGAAGCAGAGTTCTGGCTATCAGGCGGCAAAGTAGTTCTGATCTTGATCGTCTTCTGCTTCACTTTTATCACCATGGTGGGCGGTAATCCAGACCGTGATGCCTACGGATTTCGCTACTGGAAACACCCAGTAAGTATTCCTTCAGTGAATCATCTCCTTCAGACCTCTGTGCCCTAACAGCTTTAGGGAGCCTTTGCGGAATACGTAACAACAGGATCGCTTGGGAGGTTCGAGGGATTCCTTGCGGCGTTATGGGAGGCGGCTTTCACCATGGTCGGCCCAGAATATGTTGCAATGGTTGCCGGAGAGACAAAATTTCCCCGCAGAAATCTTAAAGCCGCTTTCAACACCGTTTATATCCGATTCGGTGTCTTTTTCATCCTGAGCGCTCTGTGTGTCGGAATAGTCCTTCCCTATAACGACCCCACTCTTGTTCGCGTACTAGACGGTGGCTCTGGCGGTGGTACAGCTGCGGCATCGCCGTATGTTATAGCCATGCACAACATGCGCATCAGTGTGTTGCCGCACCTCACCAACGCTCTGATGGTGACCAGTATCTTCTCTGCTGGCAACACAAATGTGTATGCCGCCACACGCACTCTCTATGGACTGTCGCTCGAAGGTCAAGCGCCCAAATTCCTTCGAAAGTGTACCAACAACGGAATTCCAATTTATTGTTTTTGTGTGGTGATGTTTTTCCCTTTGCTATCCTTTCTTCAAATCAGCAGCGGCTCAGCGCAAGTCATCACATGGTCAGATCTCCCTTCTCCAGACAATCCGGTTGGGAAACTAACGCATCTTAGGCTTGCCAATATTACAGAGGCGGCCCAACTTATCGACTATATCGTCATGTGCATAACATATTTATGCTTCTACCAAGCACTGAAAGCGCAAGGCATTGATCGTCGCACGCTGCCTTATGTTGGATGGTTTCAGCCATATTGTGCGTGGATCGGACTTGTGGGAATGATATTCACCGTCTGTACCTATGGCTACACGACTTTCCTTCCTGGTTGGTGGGATGTCGGAACATTTTTCAGTTACTATACAATGGTGTTCGTCGGGGTCATTACTTTCGCTGGCTGGAAGGTGGTCAAACGCACCAAATTTGTGCGCCCGCACGAGGCTGATCTTGTATGGGAGCGACCAAAGATTGATGCGTACGAAGCAGCTTTTACCGAGAAGCATGTCAGCTTCTGGGTTGAGTTGCAGCAAATGATGGGGTTCAAAAGGAAGCCTATCTCCGAATCAGCTTGAAATTAATCATTAAATGCAATTGTTTCTGATTATATGTGCATAGACTTTATTAGTTGTTCAGACATAGATACCTCACATTTCGTTTTCTTCTTCCTCCCATTTTTTAGCAATTGAGGAGATTGTTTGATAGATCACGGCTACTTGACATCTCAATAGTATCATTATGTTTGATTACGCGTTCCGCTTGTTTCAGCCAGCTCACTATATGAGCACCTGGGGTTTTCTCGCGCTACCATTCACTGCTACTGTGGCAATCTGTTGGAAGAATAGCTGATACGATGAATCAACTGGAAAGATCTCGACGTTTGGGGATTTCAGTGTAGTCAGTACGTAAAACAGGCGCATACTGTCGTCGAGCATATATTATTGAAAGTGATCCTGAAGCGTGAAATAGATATGGTATGCAGAAAGGCAGTACATGGGTATTTAAAGCAAATATAAAGTCTGTCTAAATGCCACTGAGTAAGGCAAGTGCGTTTTCGAAAGCCTTGACAACCTTGATGTCTGAATTTGATGGTAAGCCGGTGAGATGTAACATATCGGGTGCAAAGCCTACAATGCTGTCTCTTCTCTTCCAGACTCCGTTCAGCCCGCTGAACATATCCAACACGCGTCTTTAGTCTGTGATATGTCAGTTAGATATTCTGAATGGTTGAATGGTAAAAACTCTTGTCTTACCGTTTATAAGAACGGTCATTGTCATGTACCGAGACTGTCTGCGCCCATTCTGCGAAAACCTAAACAAGCATTCAGCGCAAATTGCCAGAAAGGATATTTACAGTTCTCACAGTCATGAGTTGGTTGAATTGTATGTGTATCTCATGCTCTTTGCCCTCCCACTTCTTGATCTCCTCGTGATATCTCTTTTCAAGTTCTTCCCAGTCATGAGACCCGATTGGATCGCTAGGCTTTTCTTCAGCAACTGACCCAGGGTCTGTCAGAGGATCACCATTCCCATCTACTGACAAGCTGTCTTGCAAGTCTCTTCTAGACCCATCCGCCGGACCATCTGTGGGTTTGTACTCCACTTGCTCCTCGGGTCTAGCCATTTCACCATGCGACCGCTTTCGCGTCGACCCAGCCAAGTCTGTAACCTCTCGAAAAGGAAGGGTCAATGACCCTGGAGAAGTGGGAGGCGTTGTTGATGTCATGGACAATAAGATTTATCATATCATAGATATAAAACCATCCATATTACCTCTAAAAATGCGGAAGAAGCCTTCATGCTAGTTCTTGCTACAACGCGTCGTCGTTGTCCAACACGAATGCACGTGACCAATTATCTCTCTGGAGTGATAAGGGTACACTAAACCCAATGTAGCTGACAGGCACATGACGCTGCCTTAAGGAGCTCCCCTTCACTACCTCATCGTAGCCTGTACTTTCGCTGATTCAAGTTCCAGTAAAAAGACGAATTCATATTACTCAAGATCAGGATTCATTATCGCTTTCATGTTATATGGCAAATCACGTATGGACTGGAATAGCGTTACCTTCGACACGACAGGGGACGAACTGATCGATACATCTCATGATCTCCGATAAGGACGGACTTGGCACTGTACTATGCAGTGTGATATTTGTTTAAGGAACCCAAGCTCAAAATTGCCTTTTTATTGCACGACATGCGCACGCGCTGCAGTTTATGAAGTTCGCATAGAACATGCCCGGACACTCCTTCACAGAGAGGCGCTTGGTCATCAAATCGATAATATCGTTTCCGGAAAATCTGGGGAAGGGAACGCCAAGGGCGGTTTGAAAGACGTCAACAACGTTGAGCAAGGTTTAGAGAGCAATGCATCAGCTCGGTGGACCCTCGAGATAAATAAGACCGCTATACAGCAGTCTACTGGGCGGGTTCAAGAGCTCACTGACCATGCAGAAGTTCTGCGGAAAGAGATCTCAAATGGCCGAGCAGAAATCAATAGGCGGAGGGCAGCACTCGCGCGTCGTCGCTCTGATATCTCATCTATAACTCATGATATTGGTATTCGCCGAGAAGCGGCGGCTGCATCGGTCGAGAAAAGCATTAAACGAACCGGGTATAGATGGGATTCACTGCATAATAAGACCGTTGATGCTCGAGTGTTCCTTTGTCGAGAAGCGGCGAACCTGTATGGCCTTCGACAACGTCGACGGAGAAAAAATGGTGTCATTCGGGAGGACTATAGCATCGGAGGCGTTGGTATTGTTGATCTGAGAGACTTGAATGGTAGGTACTCGTTTCAAGATAGATCTAAGACAGTGTGCTAAACAATATGCAGGAGTGACACCAGCTCAGATAACTACGTCGATGACCAGCCTTGCGCATCTTCTTGTGCTAACCTCACATTACCTACTCCTCCGTCTGCCTGCCGAGATTGTTCTTCCTCACCGTGATTATCCGTTGCCGACGATCTTTTCACCAACTTCTTCTTATTCTTCGCGAGAAGTCCCGTTTCCTGGCTATCCTCTTCCGCAGTCCTCCATCTCAAGTCCACCAGAGTCACGCTCCGGTGAAATTAAACAGTTACCTCGACCGCGACCCTTGTTCCTTGATCGGCCTCTTCCTTTGTTGGCTAAGGAGGATCCCCAAGGATACTCGCTATTTATTGAAGGCGCCACACTTCTGGCATGGGACGTCGCATGGGTATGTCGGACACAGGGACTGCACGCTGGAACCAACACCTGGGAGGAGATATGCTCTCTAGGTAAAAATCTTTGGCAGCTGCTCGTTGCCCCTCCCTTTCAACCTTCCCCTAAGCCCTCAACAATGGCATTACCTCGGAGCCCTTCAAGCAAGGATATTCTCAACCGGCAAGAACCCGCCAAAGACCTTTCAACACCGCCAAAAGAGCAGACGTCCGCTGCCGCTGCCCCTTCAACTACCCCTTCTGCAGCCGTTTCCAAGAGGCTCTCACTTGGACATTACTCGCACGGCACATCCCATTCATTCCTCAACGGTGCAGAGGGCTCGGAGTATATGCGCACTTGGAAATTACAAAGCCCGATGAAAATTGTCGATCGGGTCAAGGCCGCTCTTTTGGGCGAACTAGCCGGTGCTGAGTGGGAGGTCCTTGATGAGCATGAATGGGAAGATAATCCTCTAGAGAGCGGTAATGGGGCAGAAGCAAAAGCGGCAATCCCAGCATCGGCTGCCGGCATTGAGAAGGGCGCTCGCCCTCTATCAAAAACTTCAGCTACTCACGATGTCCCGATTCAGTCCAAAGCGTCAACTGTAGCCACGCAAGGCTCGAACCAATCAAATCCACTGGTGCCAAAGCAAATCATAGGTGCTAACCAAGATCAAGCTGCGGAGCGGGCGGACGGGAGAGCAAAAGGCACCAGTGGGTGGACTAAATTAAAGAATAGATGATCATTCAATCGATTGTTGTTGGGAATTGAGCTCATCTAGACACGGTCGATTTAAAATGGAAACGCTTTCTCGGCGAACATGGAGTCTTCGGCTTGTTCTTTTGTCCGCATAGCATTTTCTGCTGTTATTCTTTCAGGACTTGTCGTTTCATAAACCTTGTTGGACACATGAAATATGGTGAATAGGAAGTTCAGGGGTTAGATTGGGAGCACATATTGGGATTTTTACTCATCTGGATGAATGATCTTCATGAACACATGCATGGCAGCATCTTCTCGAATGCGATCAAATGGCTGCGTGTGGAGAAACTGGGAGTTAGAGATTCGGCGTATTGTATTTCCGGTCCTTGAACATTATTTCCCTTCTCCGCTCCTCAGGGGATTTCCTTCCTCTTTTTCTACATTTTTATTTAAGTTTTATAATTCTACTCTATTGAATGGGCATTAAGAATTTTGCTTTCTCAATTGATCAACTGAACATTGGTCACTTGAAGAAATATGCACATTGCTTACTGGGTTGAATTTCTTCTGGCCCAACACAAGCAGTGTGACAAAGGTTTTCATGGGTATAAATGATCTGAGACAAAGACTGTCTCAAACTGGTGATTTGTTAGTCTTATTCCAAACAGGACCCAGGCATGGGGTGATCACACAAAATAGACCGACATGTGCTTTTAGCCTCGTGCAGCTCGGCCCCTCATTAATGACAAGCAGTCAAGCAGGTTGTCGAGGGAGCAGCAGCAGCAAGGAAAAGCCCTGTATCAAGAGGCGAAATAAAAATAGACACAGCACACTGTGTATTGTGGACAGTCAATCAGTTGGTGAGTGAACTTTCCTGTATGGCCCTAGCATCTTCCAGGCTCGTGCGCTTTCCTGCAAGGAGAAGAAGTAAGACACGAGATTTGCCTCGTTTACTACACATTGCACAGTGCTGTGTTTTTGCCTAATGCAGTGTTGCTGTATAAGACGGGAAAGTCTGACGCGCTTTTCGTAAAGGTAAGTTACGGGAAGTATAATGCTGGGTCTCTCCACCCATCTGGGGTAATCGCAGTGATATCATGTATCATGACGACATTTCCGCTCGTTACCTCTTGTCTCTGCGTCTGTTTTACAGCTTAACCTCTTACAGGTCACTTTTCAAATTTGGCTCGCCGTCCATAGACGAGTTCAAGGTAGGGACCGCTTGAAATTAGAGTTCTGTACATGCCAGAGGGTCAAAATTTCGCTTCAGATCGGACATCTATCCTACATTGATCCAAAGACGGATCCGAGCGCGTGCTCTAGGATTCAGAGCTATACTAATACGGAGTATTTCGTCTCAGGTATGATGAAATCGATCATAATGCGATCATTGGACGACCCTGTCCATAGGAAGACAAGGAAAGGGACGGCGGCAATCCTGACCTTGGTAGAGACAGGATTTAGAAGCTCGACGTCAAAGAACAGCGGGAAAGGCTAAAGTTTTCCCTTCTCGTCATCTTTCATTTCTTTCGGATCAAGTAATCGTGGAGCTCCTGTGCACGAGGTGCGCTGATAATAGAGTAATGCGGATTGTACCCACAGCATATAATTCTTGGTGGAGGTGTCTCCCGAGAAGTAATATCGGACCGTAGTCCGCACCGAACCGATATGACTTCTGCGCTCCGACCCGCGCTGGAATACCGTATCTCGCCATGTACCTCCGTACAGTTTAGCAATAATACAGAATTATCCAGTCATTACGGTCGCTATATCCAGAAGAGGAAAGAACTTAAATGCTTATGCAACTACGATGTCGCACCTGTGCTAGGAGCCAAAAACGCCTTGTTACCCTCCCTGACGATGCATCGCCGGAGAGCTGAGTGAGAGCTTTACTCACCGCCACAGGATGTGGGTTGAAGAGGTTGGTTGTACGCGTAAGTGCACGATCGACAGGAACCGAAGATTACACTCAGAAAACAAGTAATCTTCTTTGACAGGGATTGGATTCTCGGAATTACTTAAGACCATCTAAAAAGGCTTGCAAAAAAAAGTCCGGCGGACTTTTGGCAGTTGGACCGAGCGGGAAGAGCCACCGACTAAATCTATGTGCAAGGTACCGGTATGGTTCGGGTTCTGTACGGTACCTGCCTGAATAGTGCTTCCCTTATCCGTACCTCACAGCGTCATGACGAGAAAAAAGTGGTATACTTCGGGTATCGCCATAGAAACAATACCCACATTTCCCCAGTCATATCGTCGATGTGAAAAGTACCGATCCCCTCCTTCTACCACATCACTACCTACCTTATCAATGCTTCCATCGAATTTGGCGGAACGGTAAGTGATAGAGCACTTCAACTGCGTGGCAAGTCCAGCGCAACACGCGAATTCGCTTAACCTCAAGAACCAAGGAAACAAAGAACATTTTACATGGTATCGGCTTTTTTTTTGCGTTTTTGACGGTTGGAATGTCGACCAGAGCCCGCTTTCATTTTCACTGATGACGAAGAATGCAAAAATTTATGACTTTGGCGTACTGAAGAATTTTGATACGAAAACAAGAAATAGTGGTTGCATGAAGAAAGGAAGAACAGAGAAGCAGTGCGAAATTCTGCTTTCTCTTTTTTCCGCTGAATTTTCTTTTCTTTGGGTCGGGCCGTTGGTGGCTGCTTGACGAGAATTCTGTCAACGCGGCCCAGAGCGGCCCCACTCAGATCTCTCTCTCTCTCTCTTCTTGCTCCTCCCATTCGAACATTGCCTCTTCTTTTTTTTTTTGCCTCGAGAAGAATTTTCTTCGCTGGCACACCGCGAATGCGCCGTGATGGAGGTGTGGGCTACACAGAGTCTGGATAGTTTTTCTACTCTTACGTGGAAGACTTTTTATTTTCTCCTATCGGAAGCAGAGCTGTGTCTATAGTCTGAGCTGTGGGTTCCTTGTCGCAGCATTCTCCTTTCCGAGGAGAAGAAAAGGCTGCGCTTCTATACAGGCACACAGCTACAAGTACATGATGCGTCACAGTACGCGCCACGTTGGAACGCTGGGCCCAGTGGTTGTACTCTGCCAATGACGGCCAGGACCACGATCCCATGTGCGTCGGATGATGTGCAACAGGGTATTCGTTATGTTTGATAATGTGGAGTAAAGCCAAAAAGGTTAACTTGTGGCTGTCCTGATTAGCAGTTGTTGGCATCTGTGATTCGACCTAGGTGGCCCACTACAGCACCAGTAGATTGCTTGAGTTGTCATGAGGAGTAACACGATCGTACACTGTTCTACAGTCCTACAGTACTATAAGTACGTTACAGAGTACGAAAGTATACTCGGTAAGATGTGGAGAGTTGGCCGCGTTGTAACCTGATCATATAAACCCACAGAAAGAGAGAGGAGAGGAGAGGGAGTGAGTGAGTGATCCACCCTTGTCTGCGCCGGAAATTGGTGCGAGGTGTGTACTGCGTGGTCGGCACTAAACTAAATGATGGTGTTGTTACCCCTGAACGCTAAAAGAGACACAAACAACCCTCATTGGCGAGGATGTTATTGTGACCCCTGGCGGCCAATAGAGCCAAGCTGCCTCTGGTTCTCCCCGTTCGTCCTCGCAAAAAGCCCCCCCCGTGCGGACCGAAACAACGGTACAGTCTGGATATGGCCGACCAGCGCCTAGACTAAACCCTTCTTTACTCTCCCGCCCACATGTCTGCTACGCCTATGCATTAAGCTACATCCTTTAACCCCATCCTCTCCCTTTCTTCCCTTTTCAACCCTCTGTCGTCCCACCGTTCTGTCATTCCTTTGAACATCTTCGGCGCTCCGCAACTTCACCTTCCTTTGATTCACCCCAACTTCAGTCACTCCTTATTGATCGATCTGAGACGCTCTTTTGATCCCTTCTTCGTTCGTCGACAATCCAAAAGACAAGTCGTCGCTGCAACGAACCTTCTGTGCTCTCCGCGGTGCAGTACGATTGATCCAACATTCCAGTCGAACAAGACCTCTTCGACCCCGTGAAATCTTGATATCAACAAAGACCCATACATCCTTATCACTCACGATGCGCAACTTCCTCGCTGCTGGTGCAGTCATCGCGGCTGCCATCGCTGGCACTGCCGCCGACAACTGCAATGGTTCTGGGCAGAATATTAACGGCAACTGGTACTGTGAGGCCGTCAAGGCCATCACCTACCAGGGTGTTGGAGGTTCTGGATCCTACAAGAAAGTCACCAACATGGATTCCTCCAGTGGCAGCTGCTCCTCCGAAGACTACCAATACAGCGGTGCCATGGCTCCCTTGGATGAAGAGGTCAGCCCGACTCCAAACTGGGACAGAAGCCAGTCTGGGAAACCAAGTATGCTAACATTTCATCTTCACAGGTCTCTTTCCACTTCCGCGGCCCCCTTCAGCTGAAGCAATTCGCCGTCTACACTCCTAGCTCAAGCTCCAACAAGAAGAGAGACGTTGGCACCAGCGCGCACCACCGCCGCCATGGCCACCAGCACTTCCATGAGCACAACAAGGAGATCCGCCAAATTCAGGACGAGGCACAAAAGGAGAAACGTGAACAGATGGTGACCGCCACCATCGATAACAAGGTCGTTTCCTGGGTTAATAACTACATGGTCGCCTCGCCCACCTCTTCCGCCGAGCCCTCCGTTCGTGTTGATGCTGCGCAGCCCTCCTCCGCTTCTGCTTCCTCATCAGCCTCTTCATCTGCTTCTTCCAGCGCCAGCTCTTCCAGCGCCAGCGCCAGCGCATCATCGACCGGCAGCTCTGGCGGAAGCGGCTCTTGGAACCGCCAGGCCTATTACGACTCCTCTTCTGGAACTGCCGACGGCCTGGTCTTCTTGAACCACTTCGGTGGCTCCAAGGGTTCTGACGGCGACTCTTCTGGAGTTTGGGATACGTGAGTGTCTTTCTTGATGCGATTGCATAAGAGCTGTGCTGACCAATTCTTTTAGGAGCTTTGGCAATTCTCTTTCCTACGCCTCTTCTGATGGCAAGGGCGGTGCTGGTCACCCCCAGGTCCTTGAGGATACCACCCTTCCCTCCAACGCTGAGGTTGTCATCATGTCTGACAAGTCGTGCGACGACGGTAACTGCGGCTACTACCGTGATGGCACCGTTGCCTACCGTAAGCACATTTCCATTTCCGAGCAAGAGAAATTTTCAATATTAATTTTTTGATACAGACGGCTTTGACGGTGCCCAGAAGGCTTTTCTCTTTGAGTTTGGCATGCCTGATGACAACAGCGGCTCTGGTGATAACGCCAACATGCCCGCCATTTGGATGTTGAACGCCCTGATTCCCCGTACCCTGCAGTATGGCAAGGCTGAGTGCTCTTGCTGGGAATCTGGCTGCGGTGAATTCGACATCTTCGAGGTCCTTGACTCGGGCAACACTCGATGCAAGTCCACCTTCCACCCCGCTGGCGGCGACTCGGACTACTTTGAGCGTCCCACTCAGGGCACTATTAAGGCTGCCGTTGTCTTCACTGGCTCTGAGGAGACCGCGCACATCAAGATTCTCGACTACAGCACCAACTTTGACAGCAGCCTCGCCTCCTCGCTCATCCAGAGCTTCACTGATGACAACTCTGATGGCAACGGCTCTTCTCTCTTCAAGCTTGGATCCTAAGTGGCGGGTTTCTCGATAGTGTCGTGAGGATCGCGCAAAGCCATTGGAGAGAGTGTGTGAGAGAAAGCAATTGGCAAAGTTGGATTGGATACCTGTGCTTATAGTTCGGTCTTCTTTAGATGTAAAAATGGTGCTCCTATCGGCGAGTGGCGCTATACATACCCATGTACCTGCGCAGACTGCGACTTGATGGGCAGGTCTTGTCGTTTGATTATTCATTTCTCAAATTTACTACCATATCGCATTCCACTCACGGTGATTTATTTGCCTCTCTTCCACTTTGATAGTCAGATTTGTTGAGATTTCGCCTACAATGACAATCAATTTGCTTCGTAAATATTTTTCTTTATTTAGAGTTGACGATGCAATTCTATCTGTACAAGTGGAAGTGCTGTGACGCGAAGATGTGTATGGAGCGGCGTCTTGATCATCTAGGTAGGACATAACGTGGCGGATTTCACTACAAGCTGGTCCTAGCGGCCTGAGGCAGCAATCAGAACTTCAGCCGAACGGATTCCTTGTGATGCCGAGGTCTGGGCCCACTGGTTGATAATGATGGACCCAGTCTCTTGGGAAAAATGCATTTCTACTTGCAATTCCTCCTGACTTTTACACACCGACAAAACTTCTAGACTTGAGAAAAAGCAATGTGATAAATTTCCCACTTGACATATTTTCCGTATTGATTTCCGTATTGAGCAATACCTCCTGCAGCGATCTCGTTAGTCAGGCGCCTCGGGTTTATCGCGGCAAGTTTTTGCTGCAGATTCGGAGAATCCCGCTACAGATAGGGTCCACTCCAGTCCCGTAATCCCCCGCATCCGACAATCTCGTCACGAGATCCAAGTCGCCAGCACTTTTCCAAGTTCGCCGTCGACATTCAATATTGTCCTAAACTTCAGTCCCACCGCGCTCACCCCCTAATTATAATAACAAATCTCGTACCACATCTCCGGGGGCCTTGTCATTGAGCGGGAACGGCACGATGGCTTCGCCGTCTCCACCGAAACCCTGGGAGAGAGCCATGGCTGGAAGCTCCAAGGGTATGCGACTTGTCTTCCCTATTGATATACTGACTCAATTCCGTCCGCTGACGTCTTCCCAAAGTCCTTCCTAACACTGCTGTGACCACCAACGCCCCAACCAACTCTAACACATCAAATTCCATCATGGCTGCAGACAGACAACCTGCGACGGCCAATACTGCCGCCAAGGCTGTTTCGAGTCCTCCTCCACTTCCTTCCTCTCAGCCTCCCACCTCCGCCGCCACTCCCTCATCATCATCAGCGCTCTCATCGCTTTCTTCTGTCAACCGCATGAACAGCTCACCGTATGGTGGCTTTGGTGGATATGGCAGCTACTCATCACCATACTCCCGACTCGGCGGCTTCGGCGGGTCCATGTATGGTGGTATGGGTGGATATGGAGGCATGTATGGCGGCATGGGAGGTATGGGAAGCATGTACGGTGGGATGCCGGGCATGCCAGGCGATCCCAATGACCCCAACAGCTTGACCAACTCCTTCGGTCAAAGTACTCAAGCAACATTTCAAATCATTGAAAGTATCGTCGGTGCCTTTGGCGGATTCGCCCAGATGCTTGAGAGCACCTACATGGCGACGCACAGCTCCTTTTTCGGTACGTTTGGATGCTCATCACAACCTCTGCTCTTTCCAATATGTTTCGAAATGATTCCCGACTAACAAATCCGACAGCAATGGTCTCTGTGGCAGAGCAGCTCGGCAATCTGCGACAAACACTTGGATCTGTCCTCGGCATCTTTACTCTGCTGCGATGGCTCCGCACACTATTTGCCAAGGTGACTGGACGGCCGCTACCTGCATCAGCCACGGATCTGACGCCGTCCAACTTTGCCGCCTTCCAAGGCCAAGGGCCAAACGGCCAACAAGGCGCGTCTCGCCCCAGCCGAAAGCCTTTTATCATATTCGTTCTGGCCGTCTTCGGCCTGCCGTACCTAATGGGCAAATTCATTCGCGCTGTCGCAGCCAATCAAGAAGAGAACGAACGCAGACGCCTGAGCGCCATGCCGGCACAACAGCCCATCGACCCGAGCAAGCTCGACTTTTGCCGCGTGACGTACGACTGGAAGCCCGAGAATGTTGCCGAGGGCATTGATCTCGAGGTCAAGAAGGGCGACCTCGTTGCCGTCCTCACCAAATCTGACCCTATGGGAAACCCGTCCGACTGGTGGCGCTGCCGCGCCCGTGACGGCCGCGTCGGCTACCTTCCTTCCACCTACCTCGAGACTATTCAGCGAAAACAACCAGTGATGGACGCTCCGGCTACCCCCGCGATCGAGGCCGCGCCCAAGACCCTCACCGAGGGTCCCCAAAAAGCATCAGTCGAAGATGCGGATCCCAAGAAGATACCCGCGTAAACTCTGAGCGAAGCAGCTTCGAAAAGCGAAATCCAAAAAAAAGTTTTTGATCTCGAAGAAAGTGTCTACCACCGATGTCCCACCACTTCTACATCCAACGAGTTCAGCCAGAGGGACCAACCATCCTGGCTAGCTTGGTAATAAGAGCACTTTTCGCGATCTTCGTTGGTCTTGTCGCCTATCCAGGGCTCTCCCATATTCTCCTATCTCTTCCTATTAGAGACCTGCATCTTTTTCCCATCTTTTGTTTTATTTTCATCGTTCTGTATAGCCTTGACTTACGTTTTCGTATTTGTCTCGTCGTCTCGTTTATCGGAAGCGGGCGTGCATGGCGCCATTGGCCGGAGCAATCTTCTTTCTTGATATCACCTTTTTTTCTTCTCTCTCTGATTTCTCTTGCATTTGGAATTTTGATAAGAAAATTCGTCGGAGGATATAGCGTTTTCTTGATTGGGACTAAATTTCTATCGCGGGAAGAGGCCACACTCTAGGTATTATACTTTTTTATTTATTATACTCTTACTACTGCCGCTGCTACGACCCTGGAAGATTCGATCTTTTATTTTATTTTCCCCCCTGTTTCTTATCATCATGGGTCCTGTCTCTCTGCTAGGGTTGTAGATATTTTTTGTATTTATAAAACGGGTCGTACTTTGGAAATAATACAGGTCGTTGATGCACATTGTAAACTTTTTCGTGAAGAAACAGATAGATGGTTTCCGACGTGACTTCATCATCATCATCATGGCCCATGGTCATTGAGACAAGTCGAGTAACACAGGAAGTCATTGTTAATCGTTAACGCCGACATACATACATACATGCCATGCTAAAAGATCGAAAAAGTGATAGTTCATCGATAGTTCCATCTCCAATGCCAAACGAATCGTTATCAGAAACGCTTAAAATATAAGACATTCGTTTCAGATTCCGGAGCGCTTGCGAAATAGACCGTTGCTAGATACCAGGCAGGCTCCGTCTCCATGTCGCCGCAAAGTATGTAAGTGACGTGTTTGTGATTTTAGCTGTCTTTTATTATTCCTGTTTCTTCGCACGGGCGCAGTGCCCTTCTAAGGGGTTTTACCCTCATATCGCAACTTACTACAGTAGGAGTTGATAAGGAATCCGTCTTGTTGTGAGCCTGTGACACTTTCCCGTTTGATACCGCTCTGCTGATTCAATCTTCGGGTTTCCTTTAAAAAAAAAAAAAAGACAGAAAAGGGGAGAGAATGATAGGGAAAGGGAAGGAAAAGGCGAGTTAATCAGGTTCAGGACCCCTCGGCCGGAATATAGCCAACCATCTTTCCAAACGTATCTGGCATGCCCCGGCCCCCAGATACCAGAGGTCCAGAGGTCCAGAGGTCCAGAGCGCAAGCAAGCAAGCAAGCAAGAGAGCTGGACTGCTGGACTACCGTGTCTGGAATGATCGACAAAGAGATTCACGTCGACGGCGAAGTCACGAATATACCCTTTTTTGGAAGTCAGCATCTAAACAACTCTGGAAATCAACATCTAAACAACGTCTACGAGTAGTTACCTTGTATCAAAAATCTTCCTGCTGCTTCGGCTCCTGGCGCACAGGGCCCCACCGGCAGTTGGACATGGGTTGGGGCGTACTCCGTAGGCGCTATAGCCGGACCGAGGGACTCGGACCCCACGGGGCGCATCGCTTAAATAACTCTAAGAGACCCGCCTGCCCGCCGTCGGTCTGTGCATACCTACGTAGTATCAAAAGCAAAATCTCTCAAGGATTCGGAACAATCTCGTAGTATGTCAAAGACAGTGGACAGTATTATTTGAGAAAAAAATATTATGTGTATGATGTGGAAGTGAGCGTGTCTTAGGAGATGATAAATGATGTTAGAGAAAATCACCATTGCGTCCTATGTAAATGTCCCAAAAGTTCCCCTTCAGAGGCGGTGGTCCTTGTTATTAACCTTAACCTTAATTTACCACGAAGCCGCATCAACAATGTTCCAAACTCCATCGCTATGCATGGATGATAAAGAAAAAGAAAAAGAGAACAAACGAATATCACTATAAGCTTCTCCTTCCAGAGCTGCCAACGTTGCTAGCATGTGCAAGTAAGAATTTGCAACAAGTCAATGTATACTTGCAGGCCCTTGTCCAAGCTTCGTCCTGGTTGAAGCCTAGTTTGATGCTCGCATCTCCGATGCGGTCCTTTTTGATCTCATATGGAAGCCGCAATCCATGCCCTGAGCGTCCACTCTGAGCAGGTTCGTGTTCGACGAAATCGCCAAGCTGCCGTAGACATTCTAGAAAGGCGACCATAGCATTGTCGAACCGGCGATGGAGGAACATGCGTCCCAGAGGCAAATCTCCCGAAGAGAATAGCTCGAGAATGGCGATTTTGGGGGTTGGAGCGGCAGAAGGGTTTCCACCAGTTGACGCAGATTGCGGATATTCGATCCTTTCGATTCGTGACGTAGAACCCATGGGGCGCAGACGATAGCCCTCAAAAGCGAACCCGAGCTTTTCTGCAACCGTTTGAAGAAGCAGTAATGTCTGGCCCCAGGCTGCATTTATCTCTGTCCATTCCACCGGGGGGTTGGCAAGTCTACCCAGTCGTAATCCGTTGATGGTCCCAAAATAACCGTCATGTCCAATGCAAAAGGTGTCGTTGTACACGTTGGTCCGCTGAAGCCTCTCCAGCTGCCGTGAATCATGGTCATACTGAAGATTAAGACCATCTCGCTCATTTTGAAAATCGGATAGCGTCAACGCAAAAGCATTGCGATCTCTCCAGAACTGCTCTTCCTCGAGGTCCAACTGTCGTGCCTCTTCTTCAAGAGCCGCAATTTCCTCATCTACCGTCATCTTCTCCTGCTCAAGCTGTTGCAGCTCCTGGTACACAGCCTCTTCCTGCGCACGCATTGATTCAAGATCCTCAACGGCTTTTTGTCTTTCTTCGTCGGTTGGAATATCGGCGTTTACTTTCTTGAGAAAGTCAACGTACGCGTCCCGCTCTTTATTCGCATTATATAATCGCTTCTGAAGCCCATCGACCACGATCTCGGTACACTCGACACAGATAGGGTGATCGATGTCAGACCTTGAAGAGAGTATTTCAAAAAGCCTGGTTGTCATATCAACCCGCTGTGCAAATGAGTCTTTGTCCGTACTTTCGCCTTCTAGAACGCTGCCGCTGTGCCATCTTTGAGCGGCGACTCTTCCACCTCGAGGGTCCACGTAGGGTTTCCCACTTGCAGAGGATGGCGCAAGTTGAGATTCTGTTAGCATGACAAATGACATTGCAGAATTGTCCCGCGACCCTGCTCTTGAAAGCTCTGGGGGAACACCCTGTCCATTTTGGGGGTGACGTGGCGCTGGGATCGTACGCTTCGAGATCGGCGTCGGCGAATGACGAGAGACCTTCTCATATAGATCGCGTCGCTCTTGGGGAAGATTTGGTCGCTGTATGAGAAGAGGCTTGGGATGTTGCTGTAAAGATACACCAGTCGAGCCTGTATCCTGTGAGTTTGGCACGAGCAGGGCGTGTGGTGAACTCAGTAGACCTACCCACTAAGAGATCGAAAGAAGCCGGATTGAGCCCTTCCAGTGAGGCGTCAAGCTTCAAAGGCGTGCGGCACTTTTGGCAATACATCTTTGTTCTCGTAAGAAATGTTAGATTTACATCGAGCGAACGATAAGACGGCGATCCGGAATGACTATGTTGTAGAGGTATGAAGTCACAGAGCGATGATGCAGCTGGTTATATGATTGAGTTACAGTTAAGGTCCCGTTATCTAATCGCAGCTTGATAATAATAAGGTGGGCAGTAAGGTAGTTGGGGTCGCTTATTCGCGTGCTCAATGAAAATACACATTCTCGACACGCCCGGCAACTTTCCAGCTATGGGCTGTTGCGACGTTGCTCCAGCTTCAAGGACCCTCTCTGTTCAAACAAATTCTCTTCGTGGATATATGATTGAGTCAAGCCACTTACAATCAAAGTGTGGAATGTGCAATCAGCGGCATCAAGAAAGCAGGAACAGCTCTCACATCTTTCACAGTGGAAGCTTCCTCCCAAACAATGGATCGCCCAGCAAAACGAGTTCGACTTGAGGAACCAGCTGACGACGGCGAAATATCCGATGTTGAGCAAGCTAGAGTGAGGAACGACCAGCGGCTAAAGTCTGCATTTGAAGCTATTTTTGAAAAATACTCTCGCGACTTCTCGGGCGTCGGCGATGAAATTGATCTGGAGACCGGAGAAATCACCGTAAACAATGGCCATCTGCGGGACATGGAAAGTGAGCAGGACATGGGGCACGAGAACACACAAGAGCTCCTGGGTCAATTTGCGGTTGAGGATACGGAACCACCCGTCGAGGAAGACGACGACTGGGATGAGCTCGGCGATTCCATGGAAGTAATTCAGCCTCGTACACCCCTCGAAACTCCGCAACGCACAGTGAACAAAGAGCCGCGGATAGAGACTGTCGAGGACACTTCGTACCATGAGAGACCAAGATCTACTCCGGTAGCCAATGCAGTAGGGCGTGCAATCGAAACTTTATCAGAGAAAAGAGGGGAAGGACATACTGCTACTGAGAATGTCCCGGCCCCGCCGACCACCCCTGGCCCTCCTGCAGGCTTTCCCGGCCCAGCATTTTGGAAGGAATTTGGTGAGAATTTGGCATCAAAGATTGTCCATTCTTTGATTCATCTCACTACACCGAATAACGATGCTCATATTGAGCCTGCATGGAGGACGCCGGAGCTACCTTTCACAGATCAGACTCGTCGCCCTCACATTCGATCTGGTGGTGGCAATTCCCACCCGACATCAGCACCGCGTGCAACTTCTCGATCTGTATGGGCACACCTCACGCCGACCAGAACTCACAGGTCCCATGGCGCGGCACCTCCGCGAGCCTCAAAAAGTCATACTCGGTCAACTCTGCCTGCGATTGCGCCTAGTCACTTTACTACCGCTACCCCTAATAGCCTGCCGTCTCAGCTACCAAATCAATCTACAAGAAGAAACGCCACACCTTTTCCAAGGGCTAGCCAAACTCCTATTGGTAGGCAGGACCATGCGACAATTAGCAATCCATCACGCTTTACTGCAGATGAAGACCAGATGATCCTGGAGCTTCGAATCAATCGTCGCATGACATGGAAACACTTGTCGGAGCATTTCCCCACTTGGTCAACGGAATCGATTCGAAAACGCGGTTTAACTCTTCTAGCTGATATAGAACAGCCTCCAAATCATTCCAATGAGACTGACCATTCCGTAAGAAGCGCTGAGGACACTACTCATCATCCGAGAATCTCGAAAAGAACCCCCCAAAATAGCACAACCGCTACAGCAACCACGTCCTCTGGAAATCAGGGAAGGAATGATAGCGGCAGAAATGTGAAACGTTCGGATCCGGAGGTTTCAAAGGCGAGCGTGGATAGCACCCGTGTTACTGGTAGAAAAGATACGAATGACGCTACCGACAGCAATGCTCCACAAGATCGAAACGTCCAACAGAAGCCCAGGGTAAGGCCAGCGCAGCCTGCAGTAACAATTGCAAACGAGACCGTGAGTGGAGTCTATACCTCTTTCAATGGCCACGACTCAAAGCTAATTCAGCAGATTCCGTCGAATAAAAAGCCTCGTGCACGTCCACCAAAACAAAGCAAAGTGCAAGATGAAGTGCATCCTTTTGCTTCTCCACCTTCGGCTCCAGCGAGAAACCATGCTCACAGTGCGCCCCAGATTCATTCACATGATAAGCCCGGTGCTAAGAGTACATCATCTGACGGCGTCGGTTTACCATCGGTTCATAAAAAGGGACCTAAATCAAGCTCACAGCAAGAAAAAAGGCACTCCCAAAGATCCAATCAAATTAGCTTTGTGGTTGATAAAGACACCGAAGCCCCACTGCCCCCACCATCAAACCCCTCTGCAGATCCATTCAGATCAACCCAACGGAAAAAGGAGGTTGCACACGCGGCTCTGGCTAAAATTCCAGGGACTTGCCAAAGTAGAGAAGATGTTCCTGCAACTGGGTTGAGGAATGCCCCACCATCAGCTGAAAGAAGACTTAGGATTTCGGCAAGGCTATCACAGCGGGACACGGTCAGATCCAAGCAACATATGAGCACGAAACCCAATGCCGAGGGAGTAAATGAGAATCTCCCTAGCGTGCAGCACAGCGCGACCCCCACCTCTGGTTCTGTTCCTATTGTAAATGTTGAGAAGAAAAAGCGCGGAAGCCCGAAGTCGACCCATGAAATCGACCAGATTTTAACGAAAGATGTCGCCATCAAGACTCCTGAAATTGGTACGCCGAAAAATCGGCCGCAGAAAGAGGCCAATCACCCCTTTGGAATTGGCAATGGCATAGAGCACGAGAAGCACCATACGTCGAGCAAGGATCTGCCGACGAAGTCGAATATAACAACCACTGCAAAGTCAACTGCTCACACCCAAAGCCCGCATAGACATGCTGATGCCATCGATTCTACCCCTGTATCTAGTCTGCTCAAATCTCGTTCTGGCCGGAAGACCGGTTCTTCGACATTATCCAAGAAGCAGACCATGTCTGGACACGGTTCTCTAGGTTCTCCGCGCACGCAGACGCCGCTGGCGTCCACGCCAAATAGTGCCAGCCGTAAGTGCGGAACAGTTGGATATAAATGTCAACGCGTATTCTGTCTAAATTGCCAATGAGATTTACGAGCAGACAGTATAAATGAGTGGAAGAGGCCAAGTAGCCATCTCCCTCTAGTATAATCTGTAAGCTTGCAGAGGTATACCAATCATACTCTTGTGAGAACAAGTCTCGATTCGGGCATTAGGATGATTATGAGCTGGGTTCAATTCTCCGCACCGCCAACTGATACTGATTACGGTTGAAAGAAAAACTGAGCTTTGGTGTGAAGCTAGAGTATATATGACCTTTTAATTAGATAGTATCTTCTGTGGGCCCAACATTGAGCACATCTTCAAGCTTGGTATTGGCCTTTCCACCTATAGAACCTGCTTTTGCCCAGAACTTCGAAAGATGTCTGGCACCTGAGTCACACAGGATAGTCACGACCCGATGGCCGGGTCCAAGTTCAAGCGCTGTTCTCACCGCTGCCACGCCTACGCAAAATTTAGTCAGAGTTTGTCGAATAGAATAAATCCATGTATAGAAGAACACTTACAGTTGACGGAGCTGCTGCTTCCTACAAATATACCATCCTTCTCGACAAGCCATCGCGCCATAGCCTTGGCTTGCTCGTCATTCACCCTAACAGCGTCATCGACTAAATCTCTGCCAGCCTCAAAGTTTTGCGTTACTCGATTGATACCAATACCCTCCACAATGGTGTCAACCTGGTGTCTCCTCCTTGTGCCTTCTCTCTCCTTCGGATCAAACATGACTCCGTACTTGACGCGATTGAAAAGCCCACTTCCCTGAGGATCGGCGAGAACCACCTTCATGTCTGGTAGCCGCGGCTTGAGATATAACGCAACGCCAGATATTGTGCCTCCGGTGCCCGCCCCGGCTACAAATGCATCTACTCTTCCTCCAGTTTGCCGATAAATTTCTGGTCCAGTACCGGTGAAATGAGCTCTCCAATTCGCGCCATTCTCAAACTGGTCTGCAAAGAAACCTCGACCTGGTCGACTGGAATCTGCAGTATGCTCTTCCGCTCGGGCTCGAGCCTTGTTCACGAATTGGTTCTGATCGACAATAGGGGCAGGGCGGAGTCGCTCAACTTCTGCACCGAGTTTAAGCAGCAGGTCAGATTTTTCTGTTGCTTGATCGTTCGGCATACAGCTTTATTTTCACATTGTCAGCTATTAAACTTCATGGCAGAGGCATTTTGGATCCACGCACATATGTGCTAAATATCCTCGGGCTCTGCACAGAGTCGCCAAAGATATGCCCGTCGAACCAACGGTGCCTTCGTAGACTACATCACCGGCATGCGGTGTCAAGAGGCCTTCCTCCTCAGCCTACGTACAGTGAGCCTGAGCCTACCATGGTCCACACAGAATTAAAGGTGTAGAATATACCAATTGTATCATACTCAATGCAACCCGGTCTTTCGGGCTGCCGCCAGCGCCATTAAGAAACTAAAGCAATGTATCAGCATACCCGTGCCGATAATTTATAGATTCTATGGGTCCCTCTGACTTCTGCTTTTGCCAATATCTCGCATCCAGTTGCTTCTGAAAGTGATTTAATCTTGAATAAAGGCGTGTTGCCAATGCAGGCCTCAATGCCTTCTGGTATATGCGGCCCGTTGTCTCCACGAGCCTGAAGCGTGTGGTCTTCCAATTGCACCTGGCGGTCAGTCGTAGAGCGCGCTGCTGCCCGCGCATTGCTTCCTCTCCGCCATAGGAATCGTCGTTCAATATCCGGATAAAAGCCCTTGAAGCCGAGGGTGAGTATGACGCCAGCGGCGAAGGCCGCGACAGCATAAATACGATTATTGTCCCCCATTGCAAATTTAGGAGCTTCAATTACCGAATCAAGGCATGTTAGCCTGTTTCATGAGGCTTCAAAAGCTGGTGCGCGGAGCTTTGTGAGGTTTATGGCATGACGACGCCAGCTCGACCGAGGACTCAGCGCACGAACAACACTCCGTCGCTTCCTCCCAGCAGCAACCCCAAAACAACCCACCACCTTCCCACCTCCGAGATTCATCTCCGCATTCCACTCCACGACTCCAGCCTCATGGACTCGCCAATTGTGACTCAAGTTCTGAGGCGGCTGTTCAGTTGTTCGAGCTGCCGGTCGTCTCAGTCACGCGCTTTGCTTCCGCTTCGTATCAACGCCAGTCCCGGTTCCCAACGACGGCTTCACCGAAGGCATGGGGGAGATGACGCTCGTCAGCGTGAGAGCTATTGGCAGCAACGTACAGATGTGCTATCGGGAGATAAAACCGAAGAATTTCAGAAATATCCAATGGTGACAGCAGAAGAGCTCCAAAGCCGACGGGAGCGGCCGAGGCGGGTCAAAATGTTGTTGAGAGACTTTATAGATGGTGAGCATCCATCCCCGCTCCGCAGGATGCTTAGCTTGTATTCGGACAACTCTTTTTCTAATAACAATTTCAAACAGACAGCCTTTATAATCCGCATTACGGATACTTCTCTAAAGAAGCCGTCATTTTCAGCCCCGGTGACCCATTCGATTTCAACCGCATGAAAGACGAGCCCGAGTTCCATCGTCTGCTCGGGCAGCGCTACACAGAGTTTGAAGACAAGTTAGACCAGGAAGCATACAATCCTACAAGACAGCTCTGGCATACGCCTACGGAGCTATTTAGGCCATATTACGGAGAGGCCATTGCGCGCTATCTCGTGACCAACTACAAGCTATCGCTCTACCCGTACCACGATTTGATTATATACGAAATGGGCGCCGGAAATGGGACCATGATGCTCAACATTCTCGACTATATCCGAGATATAGATCCAGACGTATACGCAAGAACCCAATATCGTATCATTGAGATTTCGTCGGCGCTGGCGTCGATACAGCAGTCTCATTTGGCCAAGACGGCATCAAACCGAGGACATGCTTCCAAGGTAAACATTATAAACAAGTCCATTTTCTCCTGGAACCGATACGTCCAGTCGCCTTGCTTCTTTCTAGCACTCGAGGTTTTCGACAACTTTGCCCATGATGCCATCCGGTACGATCCTGTCACCGAGAGCCCACTGCAAGGAACCGTGCTTATCGACAACGATGGCGAATTCTACGAATTCTACTCCCCCATCACCGACCCTCTTGCGGCGCGTTTTCTCCACGTTCGTCGCACCGCATGTGATGGACATTATAATCATCCTCTAAGAGGGCCGCGCTTCCTCAGGAATCTGCGCCAGGGTCTGCCGTTTTCAGAAAACCTCTCTGTCGCCGAATACATCCCCACGCGGCTCCTCCAGTTCTTCGACATTTTAAATGATTATTTCCCTGCCCATCGTCTTATTGTCAGCGACTTTCACACTCTGCCGGATACCATCAGAGGTATCAACGCTCCAGTCGTGCAAACTCGCTATGAGCGACGAACTGTGCCAGTCACTACTCCATTGGTATGTTTGTTTAATTTTCATTCTATTTTATTGTTCAGTTTTAATTTTCTTGTTTTTTTCTTCTCTCCCTTTTTCTTCCCCCCCCCCCCCTTTTATTCCACCGAAAATAAGCCGATTGATCGATCCTTTACCTGTCTCTGTTCATTCCATTTTCAATGAACCAATATCAATCCTTTAAATCTGCAATGACTAATCCATGGTCCTACTTATTCAGGTCAAACAAGGCTACTTCGATATTCTCTTCCCGACCGATTTCAGCGTCATGGAGGACGTGTACCGCGCCGTGACGGGTAAACTCACCCGCATGAGTACCCACGAGGACTTTCTCCGCCGCTGGGCCTTTGTGGACGATACTACCACGCGGTCGGGAGAGAATCCCATGCTGTCATGGTATAAGAACGCCTCCGTTATGGCCACTTTGTAGATCCAAGATAACTTATCGTATATTCATTCATTCCATTTTATTGTCGCATCTATAGAGCTAGACGCAAAAAAATATGTGTGCAATGGTAGAGAGAGCAAGAAATGGCAATGTATTCCCGTATACTTTTACCTGACATATATATTTCCGGTCATATTTATTTTACCTACTTGGGCCATTATCTTTTCGAATCCAACCAATGATGAAAGTGATGTACGCGTAGCAGATGTGCAAAACAGAAGCGGCTTTAGGGTAAACCGCTCTGCAGGAACTATGTTAGAAGCTTGGCCTGAAGATTAGTCACGATCTCTTCAACATCTCAATATCCCCTCCAAGGGACGCATCTTCACGATCATGCAAAAGAAAAAAAATCGTCATCGCATTTACCTCCACAAAAGAGGAAAAAAGCAGTCTACCACCACCTCCAGCTCAAAGCAAGAATATTAAGAGAAAAATTGCCCATAAACTTTAAAGGATGATGACGGACTAGATGCGAAGAAGATACGGGCGGTAAGTGTGAAGATGGTTGGCAATTAAAAAAAAATGGAAAATAGGGCTTGCGCATGGGAAAGCGCCTTATTGCCGCAAATGATATTCAATTCCACAAGCCAGACAAGAAGAATGGAGAAAGAAAGAAACAGGTGGAAAAAAAAAAAAGAATCGCCAACAAGAGTATGACGAGTAGAAAGAGGACGCCAGGCCTGTAAAGCTCCCAAGGGGGAACACGTAATATGATCCACAGTCACAAACTCCCTAATAATGCCCTAGAATGGCACCATGAAAAAAAAGGGGGGGGGAATTGGGGGGGACGAGAGAATTGTAGTATACATGTGAAGAGGTCAGAGATTTTGGGGGGTGGGAAAGAAAAGAAAAAGAGAAGCGAAGGGGAGAAAGAAAAGGAGAAGGAGAAGGGGAAGAAATGAGACGTTATGCGCCACGAACATGTAATCTATAAAGAAAACAGATGAACGAGAGGGAAGAAGGCGATGCGCTGTGGAACATGTCACGAGAACTAGCAAGAGATGTCAGCGAAAACTGATGTGAACGAAGAGGGGGGTAGAAATAAAAGGGAGAAGAAAAGATATTGTACATACCTTCCAGCGGTTGCCACAGACGGTACACTCGCAGAAAGTAGTCATAGGTTCATCAGCCGAACGGGTCTGTGCTTGACTATAGCTGACCTTCTTCTGACCGCACTTTCCGCAAGTGAAACTGGTGGAGATACTTCGCTCAGCTTGAGCAACCATCGACTCATTCATCAGCTCCTTCTGGATCTTGGCATCTTCGGCCCGCTTTTCTGCAGACTTCAGTTCATCGCTGGACATTGAGACAAAGCGTGACGCAGAGAGTTCTCCCGTGAGAATGCGCTTCCGTAAGCCGGGATTGGACTTGTTCTTGAGGTTTTGGAAAAGTGACCGTATCTTTGCCCTGTAGTCCTGACTAACTCTACGATTGAATTCACCAAACGCAGCTTGCTCAACTTCCACTGCTCTCTCAATAATGCGTGAAGGAGCTAAATAAAAGGTTAGCAACCGTTGAGAGCCCATTACTCAAAAAGATAGTTAATATGCAAATTGCAAAAGAAAAACCTTACCATCTTCGGACATATACGCCAGTCCATTGTAGATAAGCACAAGACACTTATCTCTGACAGCATCTCCAGTGCGATCAGTGTTTACTTTATCAGTATCTGCAGTTCGCTTTTCAGGCGCTACTGTGAGAAATGGCTCTGCTGGCTTAGGTGAAGATCCCGTAGATCCTCCATTCGCTGACCTCGCAGGTGACCCGTTCGCCTTCTTTCCCGGTGAGGCTTTGGCTTTGTTGACGTCTGACCGCCATTTTGAAACAATTTCTGACGCTAGTCGCGCAACCGCTGGATCCTTGTGTTGTTTCGATCGGTTGACAATGATACCAATACGCGTTGACTAACACTCTGTAAGCTTGGCTGCGTGTTAAATTCCAGGGACGTATGAAACATACTCGGAGCAGATCCTCTGTAGCGGCAACATTCTTCTTCAAGTCTTCGAGCAAATCAATGATGACCGAGGCGGGTTCGCCATTGGCTCCTGCCTTTTGCAAAGCTTTTGCGCGAGTTTCAATCTCCTTTGCGTCCATTTTTGGATATGCGAATGCCGTTCGCTTGTATCCACTCCGGTCAAGCGCTGATGTGCCGTGAGCGCTGCTTTGACTTCGCGTAGGGCGAGAAAAATTGGGCAAATTCTCTAAAGGCCGGTAATTCTCGAAAAGCTTCTCGAGCGCCGCTTGAGCCCTTTCCTGCAAAACCTTCTGTGAAAGTAAACGCCTATTAGTCTCTCTGATGCTATGCGGAGTCGAATCAGAAACAACGGTGGTAAAGCAAGCTGGCAGTGTAGCAGAGTCTGGGAACGCTTCAGGGGCATAAATGAGGCAGTGACGCTTGCTGTTTTGTGCTTGGGCGGACGAGCAATCCGCATCTGCGGTTGGCAAGGTATCCTCTGCTTTTATGATCGCGCATCCGGTTTGAGTTTCCGAGTCGCCCCTGGTTGTCCTTGTCGCAACTTTATGTTCGGGAAACAGAGGCTTCTCCTCCTGTTTTGTCCATGAATCTGGCATCTTTATGTATTATGTGTCGAAATACCCTCGTCTCCTGTTGCTTCTTTCTCTTCCCAACGCCATGACCAAATAGGAGCAGTACCCGTTGGCGGAATATTGAGGATAATGCCTTGAATGAGACGGAAAGTCGTTTCTCCTAGCCCAAGCCTTGACGATAAATTACCGCGAGGAAATTCGTTGACTTGCAAGCCGTCTTCTTCGAAAGCGTGTTCGCGCCAATGTATCCAAGCTCGCGTCATTGCGCCCATTTTCAGTCGAGCCAATTCCAGTGTGAGTCGCGCCTTCCGTGTAGAGAACTGCCAGATCGAAGCGGAGCCGTAGGGGCACTCTGAACAGCGGGAGATTGTCTTCCCTTAAGTGGGAAGGAACGCTGGTGAAACTTGCAGGAGGGAACAGGCAAGAGCGAACAACAATACAGCAGCGATAACTATATAAAATGTTGCCAGACTTACCTATGAACGATCTAGAAAGAAAACCGAAAAGTAGACTGATAAGAGATCAATCAACTCGAGACTGACAAGACAAACGTCCGAAGCTGCGAAATAAGCAAAATCGTAAATTCAGAAAGATTGATTGATGGCACCTGAACAAACGAAAGTCAAACTATAGAAGGTGTCGCGCGACTTGGAGTATCCCAATCAGGAAATACTAGCGACGACGTTTAAGCTCCAACCCGGTGAATCCAACGGCGGGGCGGAACATCTGAAACCAACAATAGTACAGTACTAGCCCATAAATGACGGCAATTTCCACAAATGCCACCCCAACCATCCTCCGGACCACAAAATATATTCATGGATAACTCAATGAGAAATTGATATTAGAACTTGTATTTTGGCATATAAATAGAGTAGATAGTGACTTTAAAGAATATCAATTTATTATTGCTAAATCCTGGGTCAGTATTTTGTGTACCATCCACCTGCTGCAATTACTGCCTCGATCCGTCGGGGCATACTCTCCACTAAAGAAACAAATATTTCCTCACTAATTGCATCCCAGCCTGCCTTCAAAGCATCAAAAAGTCTTCTCTCAGCCCTCCAATCTACCGATGTATCGTCAAGGAGCTCTGGATGGTGCTTATAAAGCCATTCTTTAAGCATATGCCAGGCGTGCTCTATAGGGTTCAAATCTGGTGAGTACGGGGGCCATTCCATCACTGGTATTCCATGATCCTGAAGCCATTGTCGCGCAATTCTTGCCCGGTGTATTGAGGCATTATCATGCATGAAGGTGAGGCCTGGCTCATAGATCTGGGGGATCCCTTCTTCAAGAACTGAGATATATGATGCTGCACTAGAGCCACCCCGAGCGGAGAGGGGATCTCCTGGCATATCAATTAAATCAGTCCTCCCACCAGTGTAAAATCCACCCCAGACCATGATGGTTAAGTCCCTGCCCTTGCTGTATGGTTGAATCATAACTTTCTTCCATTTTTCATGTGGCTTTCGGAAGACCCAGCAGCGCTGTTTTCCTGCACCACGCTCCACCAAACACTCATCTGTCCATATGATGGAATACCACTCCTGAACCCAGTCGCGACGTGCCAAACACCATTCATATCTCTTCCGTGCAGCCTCAGGACCAAGCCGGGGCTTTTTTTGAGCGATCCATTTTGAAATTCCAGACTCTCCAAGCATTCTTTTGATGGTGTTGCAGGAGACATCAAGCTGAACTTCTTCGATCAATTGCTTATAATTTATAGTTGGGTCTTTGCGAATTAATCGCTCAATTAGTCGTATTGATCGATCGCTCAACTTTTTAGGCCGTCCAGGACGTTTTTCAGGGCTTGGATTGCCTGTATCATGGTAACTTTCCACCGTACGTTTGACAGTGGAGTATGGTATTTTGAACTGCTTAGAGATCTCAGCATTCGTATGCTTCAGTTTTGAGGCCGAACAAACTGCAACGCGTTCAGAGTTACTCAGCTCTCTCCGCCTAACAATATTGCTGGCAATTGGAGCCAGCGGCCTCCTCAGCATGTTGCTGTCTATTGTTGAATAAAAATGCTCATGATGGTGGACGCGACGCGTCGGAAGAATTGCCGTGATTTTTGGCGAGGTACTGTAATGAAACATTCAACCAGCCCGACATTGCAGGAGGGAAAATGCTTAAATGGAATCTCTACTCTATCATGAATAAAGTTGAATCGAATCTTGTCTATTGTGGCTGAATTGAAGTGAAGCAATCTCAATCTCTGGAGGTTGATCCTGTTCACCTCACTCAAATATAATCATCCTATTCTGGATAATAGCAACCGGGAAGTTTAATTGTGCACATATTATGTTCCAAGCTCGTCAATATCTATTTGTCCTGAAAAATACAGAAATGGCATGCTTAAACAGCATAATTATTTTTTCTTTTTAATATTTATCAGCGTACGGAGTAAAGTCATGCATTGATGACTTCCTCGTCTCAGACTGATGATGTCATGACTCTGGGAGTTGATGACAGAGACAATGCATATATGGAAATTATTGACATTATTAAAGACGGGTAGGATAGTGGTTTCTTCTCTTTGAATTGCTTTGGAATTTGCAATACGCAGCCATGGCAGAGGTTCACGCGTTGGATAATTATTATCTTGCCATTACCCTCCTGATAACAATAGGGTATCAAATGTTTTTCTTTACAATAGCTTATGCAAAACAATTCGACAAATTAACAGGTAATACCCTGACCCAAACTTCAATATAATCTGGCCTATTCTGATACATATTTCAGATTTTGCCGGCGGTTCAAATTTTGTTGTGCTCGCGGTCGTAACACTGGCATTTAGTGGTCATCATCACGCTCGCCAGATTGTTACTTCCCTATTCCTTATCGCCTGGGCTGTTCGATTGTCTGGTTTTCTTCTTTTCAGAATCATCAAGACAGGAAAGGATGACCGCTTCGACGACAAACGCGGGAAATTCTGGTCCTTTTTAGGCTTCTGGGTATTCCAGATGCTATGGGTCTGGACTGTCTCGCTGCCTGTGACAGTGCTGAATTCTCCAAATGTCACGCGCTATCCTCAACCCAAATTTGGCACAGGCCGTGATATTGCCGGAATAATCTTATACGCCCTCGGTTTTGGTTTTGAAAGTATCTCTGATATTCAAAAATACCGCTTCAAACGGAGACACTCTGAACCTGGCGCCTTCTGTAACGCTGGATTGTTTTCTTGGAGTCGCCATCCCAATTATTTCGGAGAGATTATCATTCAATTTTGTACGTTTCTTCAAAGTATTTCCCCCCGTCTTCTGCCTGCATTTTGCTGACATTCATTGCCAGCAATATACATGATAGCTGTGTCACCTGCAGCGTATGGGTATGTCCATGGCCAGGCCTATAACGCCTTGTATGCCACCATCCTGGGGCCCTTCTTCCTCACTATTCTTCTACTCTTCGTCTCCGGCCTACCACTGCAGGAAAGGCCTACGGCAAAGAAACGCTATGAGAAAGGGACCAACTGGGACGCTTATGCAGAGTATTTACGACGAACGAGTATCCTTTTGCCTTTCCCGCCTAGCATCTACGTTCATATGCCTACCTTTTTGAAGAGGACTATCTTTCTGGAATTTCCCATCTATGTATTCGACCCGGCAAAGCATGGAGACGGCGGGAAAGGTGTCGACTCATCCGCCCAGAGTGGTCATGGTCGTCTGTCCGGTGACGGTGAGGAGGATGGCCGCCGTCTAGTGCATGACGGACAGAATCAAGTTTAATACAAGTCTTTTGTACAACCTTCAAAACTGAATCAGAGGTCTTTCGAGTGATCGTCACTCGTAATCGGACTGGAAATGGACCGAACATTATTGTTTGTTTCTGGCGAAATTATGTCGTCTTTTTGCCAGGAGACGCTTCCAAAAAAAAAAATTGGAATTGTGACAAGAGAGGCCGTTAAATTTATTGATAAGTGCCATACAGAGTAGACTAGATTATTGTCTTCAAACCAGGCTTTAGGTTTATGGAACATACCTCGGTATTAATAGTACAGTCGCACCTCCTTAAGAGTGTAAGTTTTGCCTAAAACGAGCTTTTGGTTTATTAAGAGTTTTAGTGCCTAAATTTTTAACAACATCCGTAATGGTGTAGCGGTAACATCGGTCGCTCTCAAGCGATTTCCTCAGGCTTAGCCTGAATGTGGTCTCGTGTCCCGACCAGCCCGGGGTTCGACTCCCCGTTACGGAAATCATTTTTTGGCATTTTGTTTGCTTTTTGACGTTAATCATTTACTTTTTTACAAGTGGGAGGGAAGTGGGAGGGACAACTGAATTAGAATCCTTCATCTTCTTTCCTCCTTTTACTATGTGAGCAGCAGGTTGCTGGTAAAGAAACATGAACTGTTGCAAGCAAGTTTATATGAAAGGAATGTTTTGAAGGAGATAAAATAAAACGAATTTGGATATAGTCGTTGCTTCATCTGTTCTAAGTTTATCATCCGCTTGCGGTTGTAAAAGGAAATGCCTACATGCAACACAGTAACAGCAAGTAGAGGCAGACTTTAACTTAGATCTCACCAAACGTACGCAACAAAATTTAATGGTATAATGGCGACAAGGATGCAACGGTACATGAAAGAACTATATCTTTTATATATGCACGTAGTTTTTAAAGCATTGACTATTCACGGCACTGCAATAGCGTGCGAGTCTGTCGCAGAACGCACATCATGATAATGACACACGCTCTATCCTGCAACATATATGCTTCGAGGCCAGCAGTTGGGATGGAGCAGCTTGATACATCGCTCGAGAGATGAGATGCCCACGTCTGGGGAGGTGCGAGAAGGAATTATCCTAGGAATTGTAATGGTTGAAAGATTCCCCGGTCTGTTCGTTTCAGAAACCTTGCCTGGGACTGCAGCATTGGCCCAGGGCGTATGGCATCATGTGACTGTATCTCCGGTGCCTCGGGCAAGTAGATGTCTCTGCTTGCCAGTGATGGCAAGAGGAAGCCTCCGCTGTCTTGCCCAGGATGCCAGGTCAAGGACTCCGATGTGCCACGAAAAGACTGTGAGGCGCACGGAACGCTCAGAATCGAGGATGAATTCATCCTTTAGCAGTTTCCGTGACTTGCTGTATGGGGTTATTGCCAACTGTGGCGTCCAGCTTGGCTTTCTTCGCCTGTCTCTTCTGCTCTCGTTTAGACAGAGCTGGAGCAGGTTTGGCAAGTTTGGCAGCTTCAGCCTCGCCGCCTTGCAAGGCATCTGCTTTTCGCTTTTGGGCGCCATCCTTTTTGTTCTTTTGATCCTTCGGCGCCCTTTTCTCGCCTGCATCGACCACGTCAATCACACCTTTGTAGCTTCGCCTCTTCATCTGAGCTGCTACGACCACGCTCCTGGCTTCTCTTCCGACGGCATCGCGACCCTTTTCTTGCCCTAAGCCCCAGACAGCAGCTAAATTAATCACGTCCCAGGGTCCCCTACATCCTACTGATCTTGTTGCTCCGCTGCTGATGACCAGCCCTCGAGCTCGAGTGGCGCGGATTATTTGAATGGCATTGCTGATCAAATTGCGTCGAGCATTATTGTCAACGGCCAATATCCCAGGTGAATAGCAGAGCTCGAATTTAATGCCGCGTTGTAATGCAGAGGACAATGTCTTGAATTTGAAGTGGAATGGATGCCGCACCGTCAGGTCGAGAGAGATGAGGTCGCATTCTAGTGTTTGACACGCCTGCTGGAGGCACTTATCCGTTGTCGGACGAAGGGCGAGAATATCGTAAGAATTGGAAAGCGCTGATAGGCGGTGGTTCTGCGAAGGGTCCGAGAGGACAAGGGTACAGCGACGGTGAATTGTGAGATCTTCAGGCGTGGAAAAAGGTAGCTCCTTCGGAATTGGACATGTCTGCATATGCAGTGAGTAAGAAAATGATTTTTTTGCATTTCGCAGAAGTGAGGATAACGTACAACGTCTGCCGGAATTTTTCCCGACAACGTATGTGTTAAAGCGACTTCATTGTAGCCCACTGGCGAGAGGTTAGAAGCTCTGCTGAGGTGGAATTGTAGGCTTCTGGTGTGGTCTTACGTTCATGTAGAAAGGACAGTGTTCTTGGAACCTCTGGGTCATCAGCGCTCCAGGGAACATTCAAATCGTAAAACATTTTGAGAGGCGCATCGACCAGCGACAACAGAGAAGCTGTTGACATCGGAGCAATAATATTTCGACCCAGTTGAGACCAAAGAGCTTAGTCTAGAATTATGGAGGTTGCGGATGCTTAGTCAGCTGTTCTGGAGCGTCGCATCACTGTCCTTAGCGAGTGTAGGACGCACGCCCAGCCAAACTCTCCGAGATATCAAGCTTGTGAGCCTCAATTTCGAGATCTTACCCCGCCATCTACCCCGGTGGCTATAGTGGAGGTGAGAGCAAATCCACCTACTCTATAGCCTTTTGAGAGGCAACATACAGACATACCTTTTACCCTTTCGCTTTGTCGCTTTTGAGGGTAACCTTCCTCGGCCGCCAACATGGCGCGTGTCTACGCCGACGTCAATCAGCAGATGCCCCGGGCATACTGGGATTATGACAGTGTCAATATTTCGTGGGGTGTCCTAGAGAACTATGAAGTTGTGAGGAAAATAGGTGCGCAAAGTCCTTGCGTTGTTAGCCATGGAACGATACGCTGACTGTGGTTGGTGGTAAAATCTAGGACGGGGGAAATACTCGGAAGTCTTCGAAGGCATCAATGTCGTCAACTACCAGAAATGTGTCATCAAGGTGCTCAAGCCCGTCAAGAAGAAGAAGATCAAGCGAGAAATCAAGATCCTCCAGAATCTGTCTGGTGGCCCAAACGTGGTTGCTCTTTTGGACGTGGTCAGAGACAATCAGGTCAGTCGGTTTCATTGGCAAAATCATGATATTTGTGCTAATCATTCGCAGAGTAAGACGCCTTCTCTGATCTTTGAATACGTCAACAATACGGATTTCCGAAGCTTATACCCCAAATTTGTCGACTTTGATGTTCGGTACTATATATTCGAGTTGCTCAAGGTATGCTGCTGTGTCTACTGAGGAGTTTGAAAATGTCGCTTATAACCATGCTAGGCGCTGGATTTCTGCCATAGCAGAGGTATAATGCATCGTGATGTCAAGCCCCACAATGTAATGATTGACCACGAAAAGCGCAAGGTTAGTGTCCTGGATGTCCTTGAATGCCTTTTACTTTTTGGCTAATCAGGAGTAGCTGCGGTTGATCGACTGGGGTCTTGCTGAGTTCTACCATCAAGGCACAGAGTACAATGTCCGTGTGGCATCCAGATACTTCAAGGGACCAGAGCTTCTAGTGGATTTCCAGGAGTACGACTATTCCCTCGACATGTGGTCTCTGGGGGCTATGTTTGCCTCAATGATATTCAGAAAAGAGCCTTTCTTCCATGGAAACAGCAACTCCGACCAGCTGGTGAAGATAGCCAAGGTCCTTGGTACCGATGATCTCTTTGACTACCTGGAAAAGTATGACATCGAACTTGATGCTCAATATGAGGACATCCTGGGAAGATTCCCGAAGAAGAGCTGGCACAGCTTCATCAATTCTGAGAACCAGAGATTCGTCAGTAACGAAGCTATTGACTTCCTTGACAAGCTCCTGCGCTATGATCATCAGGTATATGATGCCTCCCGTCTCCTCTATTTGACTGGATTGCTGACTTTGCACAGGATCGCCTGACTGCCAAGGAGGCAATGGCCCATCCCTACTTCAACCCGGTGCGCAATGCGGCGGCACAAAATCACGCAACCTAGTCTCCACAATTATGTTTTGCTTCTTTTCACTATTTCTTCCATATTAATGGACCTGCTTTTCCCGCCTCATGATTTCACGGCCATAACCCTCCCGCTCGGAACACTCCGACTTGAATGCTTCCAATTCTTACCGAGGAGGACCACTCTTGAAAGACTTTACACCCTACCATTTCGACTTCAATGCATCAGGGGCCTTTGATACAAAAGATGGACTGGTTAGGATTTTAAGGTTCGGCAACACTCAGCGGTGGTTGATATGAATTAATTGCCGGTTTGCTCAGCGTGTCTCAGCCATGCGTTAGAGGGTCAGATTCATTTTTTTGTATATATATCTGATATCATGCCATTGTTATACCCATTACCTACTAGTCATCCAAATATGCTCATCAATGGTGTGAAGTTGTCGTAAGAATTTGATACAGACCACAGATGCTGGGTTTGCACCATGGCAAGCTATATGTGTTTGGGGCAACAGATTTAAAGATAAGGTGAGGCCCTGCGAGGGGTCCCTGCCTTGACATGGAACTAGCCGTTTTAGGGAATGAAACCTTTACGGTGGACGATTTATATCTGACGCACCAACCCAGGATTCAAGCGCATTGGATTCCAAACGCCCCGCATCCCAAAAATCTGAGTCATTGGCTTCTGTTTACACTGGCCAGAGACTCAGTTGGAGTCACTCACTTAAATAATCATTTTTTGCGTAGTCGTCCGTAAAGCGGTTCACACTCTAGTCCGCGTTTAGCGACAAATCCCGAGACCAGATATTCCGCGACCCTCAGTCATTGAGGGTGACTACACAAAATTCTTTCTAGAGCGCTATTGCTGCGCGCTCCTGTCTGGAAGAGGTTTCCTGCAATCAAATTTCGATACAGCATGGCTACAAATTCGGGTTCTAGCAATCCAAGTGAGTGAAGCCCCCGCCTACCTGCAGTCCCCAGATTCATGTTCTAGCTAATACTTAGAGCAATTAGTTGGAGAGAAGACAGGGCCTGTGACAGGACAGCCTCCCTCGGTGCCAGCTGAGACGAAAGCCGCCATTTCTAACGCCGCCCAGACGAACGACCCGACTGGACAGCACGTGTCTGGCAAAGACGGCGGTGACAAGAATGAGGGCAAGAAAGTGAAGTCGGAGAAAGAACGTACGGATACCATGTCCAGTATTTCCAGGCGCAGCTACGACTAAATGCTGACACTTTGTTAGTGGAGAAGGAGCGGAAGAAGGCCGAGAAGGCAAAGAAATTCGCCGAAAAGCAAGCCAAGGCCCTTAACGCTCCAACTGGCGGGGCGCCATCAAAAGCGAAGGAGAAGAAGGCAAAGGACAGCGCAAAGGAGGAGGCGCTTCCGCCTTACGTCGAGGAGACTCCTCTTGGAGAGAAGAAGAGTACGATGAATTCGGCCCTGTTTTGCGGCAAGAGCTTACGCCATTTGTTTAGTTCTCAAGTCTCTCGATGATCCCTATCACAAGGCCTATATTCCCGGGGTGGTAGAGTCGGCATGGTACGCATGGTGGGAAAAGGAGGGCTTCTTCAAGCCCGAATTTGGACCCGACGGAAAAGTAAAGAGCAAGGGCTATTTTGTCATTCCGGAACCGCCGCCGAACGTTACTGGAGCGCTCCATATGGGTCACGCACTCACTACAGCCCTCCAGGACAGTATGATCAGATGGTATGAAGAATACATTATGCTCAAAGCTCAAAGGTTCTAATCATCTTTTAGGGCTCGTATGAAGGGCCTGACGACGCTGTGGCTCCCGGGTTGCGATCACGCCGGTATTTCTACTCAGAGTGTCGTCGAAAACATGCTCTGGCGGCGACAGAAGAAGACGAGACACGACCTTGGCCGACCAAAATTCGTTGAGACTGTTTGGGACTGGAAGGAGGAGTACGTATTAATGAGTAACATCTTGAGTTTGTACACCATTTACTCACTGCGCGCGCAGGTATCATGCGAGAATCAACTCCGTCCTCCGCCGAATGGGCGGCTCCTTCGACTGGACTCGCGAAGCTTTCACCATGGACGAGAACCTCTCTGCGGCCGTCACGGAGACCTTCGTCCGACTTCACGAGGAAGGCATTATCTACCGTGCCAACCGTTTGGTGAACTGGTGTCACAAGCTCAACACTGCTCTCTCGAACCTTGAAGTCGATAACAAGGAGTTGACAGGACGAACTCTTCTCGACGTACCTGGCTATGAAAGAAAGGTCGAGTTCGGTGTCATCACGCACTTCCAGTACGAGCTGGAAGGGACGAATGAGAAGCTCGAGGTTGCCACCACCCGTCCGGAAACCATGCTTGGTGACACTGGTATTGCGGTTAATCCCAAGGATCCGCGGTACCAGCACCTGATTGGCAAGAAAGCCAAGCACCCGTTCGTTGATCGCCTGATGCCCATCGTTGCGGATGATCACGTCGAGATTGGCTTTGGTACTGGCGCTGTCAAAATCACCCCAGCCCATGACCCCAACGATTTTGCTATTGGTCAACGCCACAACCTTGAGTTTGTCAATATCCTCAATGATGATGGTACTTTGAATGCAAATGCTGGAAAGTACGAGGGTCAGAAGCGGTTCGATGTCAGGTACACGGTGGTGGAAGACCTTAAGGCGCTTGGCCTCTTTGTTAAAAAGGAGGACAACCCCATGAAGGTCCCTCTCTGCTCCAAGTCCAAGGACGTTATTGAGCCCATCATGAAGCCCCAGTGGTGGATGAAGATGCAGGGTCTTGCTGATGCTGCCGTTCAGGCGGTGAAGAACGGTGAAATCAAGATTCGTCCAGAGACCGCCGAGAAAGACTTCTACAGATGGCTTGGAAGCATCAACGACTGGTGTCTATCGAGACAATTGTGGTGGGGTCACCAGGCTCCCGCCTATTTCATCGAGATTGAAGGCGAGAAGGGCGACGACAGCAACAATGAGCTGTGGGTTACCGGTCGGACTGAGGAGGCGGCAGCTGAGAATGCCAAGGCCAAATTCCCTGGAAAGAAGTTCACTCTGCGTCGTGATCCCGATGTGCTAGACACTTGGTTCTCTTCTGGCCTGTGGCCTTTCTCGACTCTTGGATGGCCCAAGAAGACGCATGACTTCGAGAACCTCTACCCCACATCCGTGCTCGAGACTGGCTGGGACATTCTCTTCTTCTGGATTGCCCGTATGGTTATGCTGGGTATTAAGCTGACCGGTCAAGTGCCGTTCAAGGAAGTCTACTGTCACTCACTTGTTCGAGACTCGGAGGGCCGAAAGATGTCCAAGTCCCTTGGTAACGTCATCGATCCTCTGGATGTCATGCACGGCATTAGTCTCCAGGCTCTCCACGATAAGCTCCTTGTCGGTAACCTGGATCCCAAGGAGGTCGCTACCGCGACCAAGTTCCAGAATACCTCGTTCCCCGACGGTATTCCCGAGTGCGGTGCTGATGCTCTCCGGTTCTCCCTCGTCGCTTATACGACAGGTGGTAAGTTAACTTCAATCTATGAAAGTGTAATAACGCCCGAGGTAAACTGACGATTATCAGGTGGTGACATCAGCTTCGACATCAAGGTCATGCACGGCTACCGTCGTTTCTGCAACAAGATCTACCAAGCCACCAAATACGCCCTTGGCAAGCTCGGTGATGACTTTGTGCCTAAGCCCACCGCTGCAAAGACCGGCAAGGAGTCTCTCGCCGAGCGCTGGATCTTGCACAAGTTCACCACTGCCGCGAGGGACGTCAACAAGGCCCTCGCTGACCGCGAGTTCTCTCACTCCACCTCCATCATCTACCAATACTGGTACAACCAGCTTTGCGATGTTTACATTGTAAGTCCTCGGCCCCTTCTGGTCTATGGCCTGACCAGACCTTTCATCTAACACCTTTATTTTTAAGGAAAACTCCAAGGCGATCATTCAGGACGGCACCGAGGAGGAAAAGCGATCCGCCAAGGACACGCTGTATACCACCCTCGAGGGGGCTTTGACCTTGATCCACCCCTTCATGCCCTTCTTGACTGAAGAGCTCTGGCAGCGCCTCCCCCGTCGACCCGATGACAAGACTCCTTCCATCGTCAAGGCTGCTTACCCTGAATATGACGCCAGCCTCGACGACCCGGCTTCCGAAGACGCGTATGAACTCCTTCTTGGCGTGTCCAAGGGTGTCCGGTCGCTTATGGCCGAGTACTCCATCAAGGAAGAAGGCAAAGGTGAGTTTTTTCCCCCATTTTCCCATACTCGCCCATTCTTTTATTCCGGTTACCCTATTCAAAGAATTGTAACCGTTCAACGTACATCGGAAAAGCATAACTAACGATGACATCCCCAACTCAGCCTATGTCCAAACCTACGACGACACGAGCTACAAGACCGTCAGCGACGAGCTGCAGAGCATCCGCTCCCTCTCCGGCAAGGGCGTCAGCTCCATTGAGATTCTGTCAAAGGACGAGCCTCGTCCCGCCGGCTGCGTCGTCTTCGCCGTCTCTGCCCAGGCTGCGGTGTTCCTGCACGTCAAGGGCCGCGTCGACATTGACGCCGAGATCAAGAAGACTCAGACCAAGCTCAAGAAGGCGGCCGACGGAGTCTCCCGCCAGCGCAAGATCCTCGATGACCCTGCGTACCAGAAGAAGGTCAGCGCCGAACTGCAAGAGGTCGAGCGCAAGAAGCTTGCCGATTTCGAGGCCGAGCAGAGAGGCTACGAGGAGACTATTGAGCAGTTTGAGGCACTCAAGCTTGAGTAAGGTTACCGCTTCAATGAGCCAGAGTCTCGATTAGTGCATGGGGAAGGAAAAATATATGTGGAGACAGACGTGACAAATAGACAATCAAGGCAGGAAATGGATGTCTTATGCCTCACGAAAAGTGAAAATAAAGAAGGTAAAATTCAAGATATGCTGAAATCTAAAGACATATATAAAGTAGATTAGATTGCTTTGCAGATCTAAGAGAACCAAAAAAAATATATCAATTTCTCTCTTCGTTTAACCTTCATATTCTCACTTTTAACTTGTTTGCAAATTTCCAACTGTGAGTGGATGGGAGTAATGCAAAGTGCAAGGACTTTCATATTCAAAATGATCTACATGAACATTGGGCTGATAAAGACATGATACAAAATATAAAATTTAACATTGATATTTAACGCTTCTTCAGAGTCATAGAAATCCAGATAGCTCGTCAATTAAGATCTCAAAACGCCAAGCACGAGAAAGGGCATATATTACACCCAGTGACTGAGAAGAAGTACGGCAAGCGATTCAGATGCATTTTCTATACGTCAAGCGTCACCTTCTGGCCCTTGACACGGCCGATGACGACCTCAGGGGCGTACTTGGGAATGACTTCGTCATCGTGAAGCATTTCGAATTCTGCAGATTCATTCAGTTAGTCTCAAGTGGGTTGCAAGAGGAGCAACGAGATGGGGATGAAATGGCCATTAAGAGAATTCAGATTGAAAATGAAAACGATGATATGCGCGCTCACCTTCGCTTGCGTCTTTACCCATATGGGTATACAATGCCTGAGGACCGCCGGGGTGCTCATCGACCCAGTTCGTCAGGTCCAAGACGATACCCTTGACGGCAATCCATAGGTCTTCCTTTTTATTGTGTTTCTTGACTTCCTCCAGAGTGAACTCCTTGTCGGGGATCTTGAATTCCTTTGGTGCATTGGGCTTAGATACCTTTCCAGGATCCGAGCTATCTGCAGCGGAGCCCTTCAACACCGGAGCCGCTGATGTTTGGCTCTGTTGGGCGATTGTGCTATCACCTTGGACACCGGACTGGTTGCCCCATTCAACCGCAACTTTGCCTGGCTGCGAGGGGTCAATGTGCAGAGAGATCTGACCGAGACGCTGAGCAGCGGTTGATGTTCTGCCGGTCAACAGCTCCTGGAATAGATAGCGGGAGGCAGAGTCTCCGGCAACACGTCCGTAAACAACACATCCGAGCAGTGACGAACCACCAAGTCTGTTAGCGCCGTGCACACCGCCAGCAAGCTCACCACAGGCAAAGAGACCTTCAAAAGGCTTGCCTTCCGAGTTCAACACCTGCGCTTGGTCGTTGATCTCAATGCCGCCCATGGTGAAGTGCAGCACGGGCTCCATCAAAGCGACATGGAAGGTATCGCTGATATCTAAGGGCAGGTTGTGGAAGAAACGCTTGCCGTAGGGGTCCTTTTCCTTTCCCTCAGCGATGGCATTGTACGTTTTGAAGGTCTTTTGCAGCCTCTCCTCGCCGCAACCAATTTCCTTGGCCAGCTCTTTGCCGGTCATCTTCTTCATGAGACCACGCCCAGAGTAGTGGCGGGTGTGGAAGTCCAGTACATTCGATGCTTTGGAGTTGAGCACGAGGCGAATAGGCCACTTGCCCTTTTCCTTTTCCTTCCACATCTGACCAGAGACATAATCACGATGACCGAGTTCGTCAGAAAAGCGTTCACCGTCAGAGTTGAGAAGCAGACCGCCCTCTCCACGCAGCGCTGTAGTAGCATGTTAGCATTGAGCGTCAAGAGCAGTGAACACTATTAGGGCATACCTTCGGCTGCAAGGAATTTCCACTTTGAGCCAGGGTCTTTCGGATCGATCAAACCGGTGGGGTGAACTTGCACCTTGTCCAGATCGATTCCGTTTCCTCCAATCTCCATCAACATCTTGAGCCCGTCGCCTGTGGCGTGCTGTCCGTTTGTGCTGGAGAGGCCATAGGTATCTGGCCGATACTTCTTGAGCAATGAAGACTCGGAGAAGTCTGCTGCGTAGCCACCAGTAGCCAGGATAACGGGACCATCGACAACGTGATTTTCTCCGTTGTATTCATAAGTGACACCAGTCGCCTTATTTCCCTCCTTGTTGACTTTGACCACGCGAGCCTTTTTGATGAGCTGGACACGCTCCGGTTCCTTCTCGGAAAGCTCCTCGATGCGCTGCATCAGCGCATATGTGATTGCCATACCCGGGAATTTTGCATCATGACCACGATGGGTCCTCGGCTGCGAATGACCACTTCACAGAGTTAGCAAAGGAAGTGTTGACTGCCAAAGAGCAAAATGACTCACCCTAAGCGGGATACTAGAGTAAGGTCAAGGTTGAATACGTCTTGCAACCACTCCACCGCGGCAGCAGATTTATATGTCAACACCTTGATAAGGTCGGGCCGAGCTTTGTCTCTGGCCGACTTGAGGGTGTCATCATAAAATTGCTTCACGCTGTCTCTAATATTTTGGTCGACTTGGGTTCTTGTGAGAGCTCCATTAATACCAGAGGTCGCTTTGGTTGAGTTTCCTCCAAAGAAGTCTATAGATTTTTTAGGCACAGGTCGTGTGAGGAGCTTGCGAGGTACGACATACTGTTCTTATCAAGCAGCACTACATTTCCACCGGCAAGATAAAGCGTATGGGCAGCACTCAAGCCGGCCACTACACGAGAGTAATATGGTCAGCATATATTAATCTTCTCGATGAAGTCATTAAAAATGAAGTACTTACATCCACCACCGACGACTATTACCCTAGGAGCCATGTTTGCGAGGACAAGAAATAGACAATGTATGAAGAAAGGATTTGTGACGACCGCCGAAAAGGGCAAGGAAGTAAAATATATATAACTCCGAATCCTCTAAAAGACAGCTCATAAAAGGCCTAGGGAAGGTGTAAGAAAGGAGTCTTGGAATCATCAATGGAGGTCTTTCAGATGCTATTCGACCTGCGGCACCCCTCGGGCCACTGGAGGCCGAAATCCCATGATTCTGTGGGGAACAAGCCGAGGAACTTGAGAATAACCGACTAAGTCCAATTCAGGTACAGCGCAGCCGATAATTCAGCCAATGACACGCCTGCAGAAGTCAGCCGAACCTGGAACGATTTTGCGGAGAGCGCACCAGCTCCATGTTTCATCCCACGCTGAGATACACGCTTTCCCCCCTCATGTACCTGGGATCTCTAGCAAGGGCAGAGAGTGACATTTCTCCAGGGCGATGTGCATATCAATATCACCTAGAAAGCATGACTATGCGTCAACATCCTCTTCTGTTCTATTCATGTTTTTGGGGCAATACACCGTACTCATGCATCAAATCAATTATTTTCTTTCAAGCTCGTCATGGGTACATGTTGACAAGGTTCAGAGTACGGTATCCTGGAGCAAAAGCATGTGAAGGGAAGAGCACACTCGCACTGAAACCTTGCCTCGTCAGATGACTGCTGACCGTATAACAATCATCCGCAGCTATTGCAGTTGCCGCGGCAATTTCCGTATTGAGCGAAGGCCTTGTCGCTTGCGAGGCCTGAGAACGTGCCACCATCTCGCTTCAGAACTGAGAAGCCTTCGTTGGCTTCCAGGGTGGCTCTCTGACCAAGTAAAGTGCTCTAACCTTAATTGCTTATTTCATTGCCTGTCGCGCTGGGAGACCAGCTTTCTTGACCGCCCAGTGGCACTAGTCTTGCTTGGATGGTTCTGCCAGGGCTAAACCTACCCGTACTGTAACTGAGGTAGGTTTCTTATATAGTAGAACAGTACAAATGAGGACTTCACCTTGCGATGATACACAAAAGACCCTTTCGATATTTCCTCATCTGTGATGCTGCTTTTTTGCTTATGAACTCCTGCAAATCTGCAAATCAATTAAAAAATTTCTCACATCCTTTTAGGGTCATGCATCAATATTTGATCAGAGAAAGGGGGAGCTTGGACGTGTCAAATGGTGATTTCAAGTTCAAAATGGATTTCCATACAAAAGAATTTTGACTCATTTATAGGACTGTTAGTTTCGATTTAATTTACTTATTAGTCATTATCATTACTATTTTTTTTTATTTTTTTTAATTTTTTTTTTGTCAAATAAAAAACCATAAATTGCTTTATTGATTATCTAGCTGAATATTTGCAGTTTACCACGTACATTCTGAATATATGACCAAGTTCGCCAACAATATCGGAAATTTATTGGCCCTGGATGCCTGTGAAACAAGGGTTGCAATCTTTCACTTCATCACAGCGCGCTGCCATAACTGACTACACATTGATATAAAGGCGGATTCACTCTCCGCTGAGACCCGGGTAAAAAGGCTTCTGCATCGATAGAAGAATAGTGCAATGAGATAAAATCTCTAAATGTTCTTACTGCGGAATGAATTTCCTGGCAAATCGACTTCACAACGTGGCTAAACACATAAGTCTCGTAGATAACTTTCTGACAAAAGAGAATCTTTCAGTGTTAAAAGTTAGTATGTGTAACTATACAGTCGAATTAGCAGTCAACACGGTGGCATGCTAGAAAATCTCCAAGCGGAAAATAATTGCATCAGCAGTGAAGAATATATGAGCGTAGTATATCTAACCTTGTTTATGATTTTCTGTATGGAGGTACTTGTCTTTAAATTCTATTTGACTGGCGCTGGGCTTGACAACGCCAGACCACTCTAGTTTACTAAAAGCTCATTTTCATATATCTCACATAATTCAATCAAAATTTATTACGGTAGTTGACCGAACACGCTTGATATAGCTGTTTCCAGAGGTGGAGGCCCTAAATGATGATTTCTGATCTCTCGTTTGGATATCGTCATCTGTCATGATTGGGGAAGCGGAATCTTGCAGATGGTTTTACCGACGCCTGTAACAGCTTAGCGCGCCAAGACGGCATTCTCCAGCTCAGGGCCCGTCACCGATAGGTTTAGTGCGCTTGCTTGCTCTCACCAGTCTCCTTCGCACTCAGGGTGATGCGCTTTATGGCCGCGAGCATTTGATCTTTTTCTAAGCCTGGAGACACAAATGCATCTTCTAGGCGCAAGATCGATCATATTCATTTGATCACTCCGCACTCCTCCTCTTCCGGAACTCTTTCCTACCGTGGCGGGTAGATTCTGGCGCAGGAGGGCAAAAGCATCATCCATTGATCCGCGTCCGCAATTACAACATATCCGCGCACCTTTACGACTATTGTGATTTCATCTGGTGCGCTCCGCTGGTAGCCTGGTTTTCGGAGCTAAACACGCTCTTCTTTTCTAACCGTTGCAAGCGTATTTTTTCGACCAAAGTTAGGCTTCCTTGGCGCGTCGGCCTGAGGTTGTCGGACGCAATACACGATGAGCTCCAGTAAAGACAGTTGGCCGCCTTCAGCTGGCGCTGGCTCAACGGGGGCTCCTCAGCATACTGATGGCGGTCAACATCAGCACCAACGTCCACTGGGAGGATTTGGGTGAGTTGATTTCAGCTTTGCTACCTGACACTTTTCTGATCACAGGCGCTTCATGGGCGCCTCATTATTTTCAATCCTGCCTTTGCTCAAGGCATATCCTGAGCGCCAAAGAGCTGACAGATGCTAAAGTTCAAGTAGTTCTGGACAGCAGAATTCGCCTGGTCAGCCAGGTGTTCCAGTGCTTCCTCCTCCTTCTGGTAAGCAAGAGATCAAAAAGCTGTTCCATGTCACTACTGGAGCAAAGCTGACGGGACAATCATAGCATCGTTTTTCTCTCCCACTCAACCTAACCCGCACTCGTTGCCCACCATCGCGGGCTTGACCCAACCGCCCTCCGTATCTCCTAGCCAAGGCCCGTCACATACGCAGCAGCCGCAGCCGCAGCAACCGCCTCCACAACCATTAGGGGGTGCTCCTCATCACCCTGCGCAGCAGGGCCCCGGTTACTCTCTACCGGCCATTGGGCAAGCCGTCCAAGCACCACCTTCGACGCAAACGAGTATTGATCGTGAACGTGAAATGCGAGATCGGGAACTACGAGAGAGGGACGCCAGAGAGAGACAGCGCCAGCAAGAAGAGGCCGCAATGCGTGAGCGCGATATGAGAGAGAGGGAGCATAGAGAAAGGCAGCAGCGTGAACAGCATGTGCCTCAGCCACATCAAAATCATGCTGGATCTATCCCGATCCATCAACCCGTGGCTTCCAAAGTTCCGACTGTCATCCATGGGCCCAACGGGATACTCTCGAATTTGGGATCAAGCGCAGGGCCCACACACCCTAGCAGCCATCTTGGGGGGCCAAGCAGCCATGGTAGCGTGTTTGGGGGTCCGCCGCCTTCGCAGATGGGCGAAGGGGCTTCGCGGTCCATTATGCAACATCCTGGACAAGGGCCGCAACCAAATCAGCCCCAGCAACAACCGCCGCAGGCTCAAGGTCAGCCACAACCGCAAATGATGGGCATTGGCTCGGCTCAAGGTCCCCATCAAATGCCTGGTGGTGTTGCTGGTTTGCCGCAAGGGCAGCAGCCGATTCTTAACGTACATATCCAAGATTATTTGTGTGTCTCTTTGGCCTCGAGCTGACGCGTTTCGCAGGATGCATTGAGCTACCTTGATCAAGTCAAAGTTCAGTTCGTTGATCAGCCAGATGTTTATAATCGATTCCTTGATATTATGAAGGATTTTAAGAGTCAAGCGTAAGTACCATGCCAGTGATAAGACCTGGTCCTTTTTTTCTGACGCCTGTCAAAGGATCGACACGCCTGGAGTCATTGATCGCGTTTCAACTCTCTTTGCCGGCCATCCAAATCTAATTCAAGGATTCAACACTTTTCTCCCTCCGGGCTACAGAATCGAGTGCGGCACCGGAGATGACCCAAATGCGATCCGGGTTACCACTCCGATGGGGACGACGGTATCCTCAATGACGGCCGGGCTTCGGCCCCCATCGATACCTCCGTCAGGCAGTCTCGGCCCCGGCGCTGGCCCCCATGTGGCGAGACAAGCTTACTATGATCAGGTTCCTCGTAGTGCCAGCACCGCCTGGGGACAAGGGCCTCACGGGGCAGGCGCCCCTCCAGGAATTTTCGACCCGAGGGGACCAGAGCCAGTTTCTGCCTATGGATTAGTTGGTGGTCTCAGCCATGGCGGCCAACCCGAAAGCCAAACTCAGCGAGAGCAACAGATGATTGCCGGTCCCTCAGCGGGCATGTCTCACCAACAGGAACCCCGAGCAATCACGCAGCTGCAGAACGCTGCCGCCGCCGTGCCCGGCGGAGCAGGGCCGAGGCAGGCAGTTATGCAAGTTTCTCCTAACGGCGTGTCGGGAACCCCGCTACCTTCTTCTGTGGCAGGTGTTAATGGGATGAGCCCCGCTGGCCAAAGTGGGTTGCCCGGATCTGAGAAGAGAGGCCCAGTTGAATTCAATCATGCCATTAGTTACGTCAACAAGATCAAGGTGAAGAATTCTCCCATCATTACTCCAGTTAGCTCCGGCCTAGACCTCGACTGACAATCTTTCAGAATCGCTTCGCCTCTCAACCTGAGATATACAAACAGTTCCTAGAGATTCTTCAAACATACCAACGGGAATCGAAGCCTATTCAAGATGTCTATGCTCAAGTTACACACCTCTTCAACTCCGCTCCGGACTTGCTGGAAGATTTTAAACAGTTCCTGCCCGAGTCGGCGGCCCAGGCCAAGGCCCAGGCGGCGGCGAAGCAAGCTGCAGAAGATGCTGCCATTCTCAGCAATGTGCGCAATGATCCGTCTTACCTAGCTGGAGCGCATTCGCTTCCCGGCCAGCAGACACCGGGAGCCCAACGGGTCGAAGCTCGGATGCCGCCTGTTGGCAACTTTGCTCCGCCGCCAAGCGTGGGTAAGGAAAACAAAAAGCGTCGTGCTCCCGTCGGGGGCCAAGTGGCCGGTATTAGCACTGGAGGTGCTGCTCCCTCCCAACCAGCCGAACTTGTTGCAGGCGGGGCAAACCTCGCGGCGAAGTTTGGCAGTGTACAGGCTGGAAGCTTAAGCAAGCGAGCCAAGACACACCATAAGCCGAGCCAACCTGAAGCTCCAGCTGTATCACCAACTCTTACGCCTGCGCTTCCGGAGCCGTTACCACCAACGTCTAGCTCGGCAGCATCGACTGAAGAGATTGCTTTCTTTGACCGTGTCAAAAAGTTCATCGGCAACAAGCAGACGATGAATGAGTTCTTGAAGCTCTGCAATCTCTTCTCGCAGGACTTGATTGCGAAGAATGTACTAGTCCATAAAGTCTCAAGCTTCATCGGCGGAAATCCAGAGCTGATGACTTGGTTCAAGCGATTCGTAAGATACGAAGGAGGCGATGAAGTCATTGAGAATAAACCAAGGCCCGAAAGCGAACGGGTCACTCTCAGTAATTGTAGAGGCCTTGGCCCCAGCTACCGACTCCTTCCAAAACGAGAGCGGTTGCGGCCTTGTAGCGGACGGGACGAACTTTGCTGGCAAGTTTTGAATGACGAATGGGCTTCACATCCTACCTGGGCCTCCGAAGACTCCGGGTTTGTCGCTCACAGGAAGAACATTTTTGAAGAAGGACTTCATCGCATTGAAGAGGAGCGTCATGATTATGACTTCAACATTGAGACCTGCTTGAGGACTATACAACTTCTGGAGCCCATCGCACAACAAATTGCACTCATGTCCGAGGAAGAGAGGAAAACTTTTACTTTGCCCAAGGGTCTCGGTGGACAGAGCGAGACCATTCCTCAACGAGTGATCAAGAAAATTTATAACCGGGAGAGAGGCCAGCAAGTCATTGATGACATGTTTTTACGACCCTGCGCTGTCGTCCCTATTGTCCTTTTCAGGCTAAAACAAAAAGCGGAAGAATGGAAAGCCAGTCAGGTAGGTCGCAAAGATGGGGCTAAATATGATTTCAAAATTGAGAGACTAACCTGTCGATTCTATAGCGTGAGTGGGATAAGGTCTGGCGAGAGCAAACTCAAAAAATGTACTGGAGGAGCTTGGATCACCAAGGCATCCACGCTAAGCAAGCAGATAAAAAGCGTTTTCAAACGAAGACTCTGCGCGAAGAAATCTACACCAAGCTCGAGGAACAGAAGCGGCAACGGCTTATCCCATGGAGCACTGTCCCGAAATACCAATTCGCTTACACCTTTGAAGATACCGAAGTCATTCTAGACGCTGTGCACCTGCTCCTGACTCACTTGGAATATGCGCATCCAGGCAATGTTTCCGACCATCAAAAGTTGAAGAATGTCATTGAGGACTTTATTCCGGCTTTCTTCAGCCTTGACCCCGAAAAATTTCAGCAGCACATGAAAGACACCTATCTCAATGGCTCTCCAGCCAATGAAGATATGGAAGATGAGACCCCGGGCTCAGAGGAAGCACCGTCTTCGAGAAGTCGTCGTGGCCAGAATGCAAGCAAATCCGACCTTCTACGTGGAGTCCTCCAGCGAGGTCGCAACAGCAAATCTTCTCGCAAGGAAAAGGAGGGAAGTGCTATGTCTGGAAGTAAAGAATCCACTCCGGACATTAGCTCCGCCGTCGAAGATGAGATCAGCAGACCTGTCGAGAACGGAACAGGCTCTGTCACTCCTACTGAGACTACGGTTGAAAAATGGATTGAGCATCCTGTGTCTGGCAACATTCGCAGCAAAAGAAATGTTCCGCCGAATGGACCCTACAAACGAGACACGTACAATCTCTACTGCAACTTGAACGTTTATTGCTTCTTCAGAATGTTTCAAGTATTGTATGAGCGTCTATCCCAGATCAAGCAGTATGAAGACAATGTCCACGAGGACATTCGAAGAGCAATGCTTCCGAAACCGGCGCGTGACCTTAAGGCCATCGATAAGCTTCCTTCTGACTTCTTTGAGGACATAAGCCCTAGTGCAAACTATTATCACCAGGTACGGAGGATGTGCGAGGAAGTTGTGAAAGGAGAGATGGACATGAGCCACCTTGAGGACGCTCTGCGACGATATTATCGGCCGGTGGGTTGGCAACTTTACACGTTGGAGAAGCTCCTCAGCACGTTGACTAGGTTTGCTCTTGCAATCTTGATCAGTGATGCCAAGGATCGAAGCAACGATATAATTAATCTATTCCTGAAAGACCGAGAGAAGGAGGAGACCACTCACCAGACGGAATTGAATTATCGAAAGCAGGTTGAGAAGTTAACCAAAGATGGGGACATATTCCGCATTACTTATGTAAGGAGAACAACATTTCCACTCATTTTTCTGCCAACTAATATATGTAGAATGCCCCCACAACAAAAACTACTGTTCAAGTCTTCAAGAAGGATGATACGACCTTTGACACTGATGAGTTGACCGCGGAAGCGAAATGGTCCTACTACATCTCTTCGTATACTATGGTTGAACCGACCGAGGGTATTCCGCTTGAAAAGCTTCGCATGCCTTTCCTGAAGCGCAACCTCCCACCTCAATCGGATTCTGACACTGAACTTGCGGCACGATATACGCCACAAGAGACAAACGAGAACCTCGTCATCCGTGTCTGCGTAAACAGCTATAAAATCCTTTATGAGCCAAACACCACGGAGTGGTGGTATCACGCCCCGAAATCGGTCTCTGAAAACGCCGAAGTCTCCCAACAAGCCGAGCGAATCAAGGAGAAGCGGAATAGCAGGTTTCAAGAGAAGTTTATCATGAACAACGAATGGATGAAAGGACTCAGTCGTGATGAAGTCGATCGGAAGAACGAAGATTTTAATACTTGGATCAGGGACGGGGTGACTGCCAGCCAAAAGGACGGAAGTGGACCAGTCAAAGACGATGATGAGGCTATGGCGGATGTTTAGTTGTTTTTCGCTCGTGGTGTGCTGAACCTCCATTTGTCGACGAAACCCTGCAAATCAATGACTGTCTATTTCATTTTGAGTTGAGTGGCGTTTTGTGTCAGGTCGGGTAGGACACCCTTCAATCTGGATAATTGCGGTTTGTTTACTCTATTCGTCTTACCAAGGTGATGAGGGATACCTTCAAAAACTTTCCATGTATCATATATATAATTGTCAACTGCATCATGCCTTACAAACCCGAATTTTCCTTTATTGCTATCTATGCTTCACCCGAAGAGTGTTCGCCGTAATTATGAGGACAAGGTGTGACGTTAGTATGATACACGTGACTGCGCGTTGGTTTTCGCGTCGCGGAACTCCATTGCACTTCTTTCTCGTACTGGAGCAGCTATCAAGTAAATACACCGAAGGATGAGTGCGCAAAGTCTTTTGCAAACGCAGAACATATCGCCGAATGATTCAGGAGAGAATCTTTTAGAGATGTTCAAACCTAAATTCAACTTCGGAGATTGCAGCATCGGGTGGAAATGCCTATCCACGCACTCTCAACTGACGCGATTAGTACTATCAGTTCCTCGCAAGTTCTGACTGATTCCTCAAGCGTCGTTAAAGAGCTGTTGGAAAACTCGATAGATGCTTTGGCAACATCAATTGCGGTCGAAATTTCCGCCGATACTGTCAGCACCATTCAAGTTAATGACAATGGCCAAGGAATTTCCTTAGAGGACCGCCACCATCTGTGCAAGCGATACCATACGAGCAAGATCAGGGACCTGGCCGACCTTAAGCATGTTGGCTGTCGCTCACTCGGGTTTCGAGGAGAGGCTCTAGCCAGTGCTGCTGAAATGAGCGCGACTTTGCACATAACGACGCGCACTTCCAGAGATGTGGTGGCTACGAAAACGTCTTTCAAAAGAGACGGTCAAGTGGAAAGGTATGAGGATTCCCGATTAGCCACCCCAAAACAATCCTTCCATCAACACCTGTTGTGTGCTTGACAACTTATTTCTCCTAGCATGGTTCCAATCTCACACCCTGGGGGAACGACTGTCCGTATCGGCGGACTTTTTAAGCATTTGCCTGTGAGGAGACAGGCAGCTCTCAAATGTGCATCGAAGACTTTGACAAAGATAACGCGTCTAATGCAAGCTTATGCATTGGCTACACCATCTGTTAAGTTGTCTCTAAAAGTTCTCCAGGCAAAGAATGCAAAGGCCGATTGGAGCTACGTCCCTCAGTCAGACAAGACGACGGCTGAAGACTCAGTCCTGAGAATTTTTGGGAAGGACTTAGCACATCAATGTCAATACGTGGCTAGATCATGGGCCGTCATCAGAAATGGGTACTCTGAAAGACTAAGCTCCAGTCATTCAGAAGAGCAGCCACAATATGACTGTTTCAAAATTGCCGCCATTTTTCCCAAGCGTGGCGCTGGTGCGTTTCCTTTTACCATTTCCCAGAGAGTTTTCAATTTGATCCTAACATGCCTCTAAAGACTTTCGTGATATCAATGATAAGGGACAGTTTGTATCTGTAGATTCACGCCCAATGTCATGCGCAAGGGGTCCAATGAAACAGATTCTCTCGCTGTACAAACAATATCTCCATATGGAACTATCCGATAAAAGTAAAGCCAAGAATCCGTTTCTTTATTTGAGAATATTCTGTCCGGAGGGCATTTACGACCCAAATGTTGAACCAGCAAAAGATGATATTTTATTCGAGAACCCATCGCTCCTGCTTTCTGCCGTCGAGGAATTATTCCGAGCAGCGTACGAAACCCCACAAAATGCACCAATGAATGATCAATCTTCCATTGCTTTGAAAGATGGGGGAAAAGAAGCATCTTTGAATCTACCTGCGCCGAATACGAAAGTCGACAATAGTAATAATCCCGACAATTCGGACGTCCCGGCGTCACTTTTATTTGGACCATTCAATGATAACGCTGAAGCGGACCAGTCAAAGGCGTCAATCTTTCAATCAGGTTCATCTTACGAACCAGTGCGTTTTGGCAGCCAACCTATTCAACAAGAAGGAATCAGTCTCGATGGTGTGCTTGAGAAGGAACATCACTCTGCCTGGCATTTCAATATGTACGGCGGTGATGAAGACGAGGAAGACTCAGAGGCACACGTTTCTGCTGTGGAATCTGGTACTCTCAGCTGTGAGGTCGATCATGTTGAATCAGACTATGCATCGAAAAATATCAATCTCTCCAACCCCTGGATCATTGCGAAAATGAATGCACCAAAACGCCATCAGCCTATCACACTTGGAACACAGAGTTGGCCTAATAATGAGGATGACTCGAGGCCAATTTCTCCTGAGAAAAGTCAAAGCTTGACACCGCACAGGGCGTCCATGCCGTCCTCTCCGAAAGCTGCCTGCCTGGCCACACCGACAGAGCATAGAACCGTGCTACCTACACCGAGATATACTAAACAAAGGTCATGTTCACACGAGGATACTCTCTTTGATACGCCTATTTCGGCAGCAGCCAGAAGGGAACGAAGACGGGCTCGGGAACTATATGGAAGAGGTGCATTAGACACGCAAATCCAACGTATCCGCAATGGGCAACGCCAATATACGGAACAAGGTAGCACCTGTTCCCCTGCTTATGTCTCTGAATCAGAACCCTTGAGTCCGGAAATCTTACCTCAATCTAGCCCAAATCCTCCTATTGGCTTTGTTAGTGCGGGGTCCCTTCGACGGGATGCGCAGCTCCTGCCAAATACGTGTGAAGAAGTTCCAGATGATCCGAGGCAAGCATCATTTCAAACACGTTTAAGAAAGCCCTTCGTATCACCGCTGAAGTCGAAGCAAAAGGCGCCACACGAGATTCTTCGGATCCCACAGGACATTGGCCAACCGTTCTTTGAGCTTCCCAAGAGCACGAACAGCTCGCAAAGACGAAAACATATTGATGAATATTGTTTGCCGAGGGAAGATCTGAGTTCCGTCCAAGAATTTAGCGAAAGTCCAATCGCTGCAGATATTGAAGAATCGCTTGATTACGAACGACGCAAACAATTACTCATCCAGCAACGCAAACCTCTGCTTCGACCAGACAATCCATCGGAATCCCGTGATAAGGGCAACGCAGTCTTACAGGCTCCTTTATCTCAGGAAAGTTCCCCTCACATGAACAGATATCATGCTGCAGTAGCCAAGCTGTCAGGCGAACGCACCGCTTCCGTCGACATTGTCTCTAAAGGCTTCGCCATCGATGATCCCCGGGCATACCTGATTCGACTGCGGAAGAAAGGTGATCAGTCTGAGGCTTCGATAAGGCGCAGCGGCAGAAGACTGAAGACTACTATGCTTCCTTTTGAACGTATATCCAGTTTTAGTAAAACAAATGGTTTGTGCTTGAATATTTCCACCGAGACCGGAACGCTCGCCCGAATGCTTGAGTGGGACGAGCACACCTGGGGATTCGCAGAAAGCAAAGAAAAAGAACTAGGACTGTCAGTTCCGCTTGATGAAACACCCACTTTGAATGAACGCCTTGATCACCTCATGCAAAAGTGGTATCGTCACAAGACGGGAAAAGACACTAACGTCAAATTGAATGTTGCTCCTGCGCTAAAAAAGCATTTACAATTGCATATGTTTGCACCAGAAGATGGCTTCATTGCCTAATGACTTGGATGCGGGTGAGAATTTTGCATCAAATTCAAGTGCTTGCTTTTGGATTGAATTGGGCAACTTGGCGCGTCGAGCAAAAATTAGATAGTCAAACCTACATCATGAGCTTCACCAATTGCGCAGCATAGGATGAGCATCTAAGAAGGATAAAATATTTCTAAAAGAACATCTATCAGCATCTCCAAATTAAAATATATTAATTGAGCTATGCAAATCTATAATGCATTTGACAAGGCCAATATCGACACACTGCTCACAAAGCCTATAATGCACTAGAAACGAATCTTGGTATTTCAGCATGTGCAGGAAATGACCGATTTGAGATGATCGAGCAAAAATAGATTGTTATGGAAAATTTACGGAGAATATACAAAGCGTATCTAAGTTTATGGATGGCCTAAGCAAAGCATTCCTGGCCTTAAATATTTGTAGTTGGTTAGGGACATGTCATTGGGTAAGCGGAGCGAGGGTGACGCAGCGTGGTGGCGGAGCGGCTGGGAAATTCCGAAATCCGACCCAGATTGAGGACATTACGGTTCCTGTGTTATGTGGACATGTCACGAATGCGACTTTAACTGCCAATCTACATTTCCCCTTCAATTCTCGCATTATTTTGTTAGAGCTTTTGAACATTTTTCTGTTCCTAAGCTCTCCTGCCAGAATCCGAGCCTCGGTATTTGCACGAGGAACAACAAGTAGGCTATCAGCTACTAGCATTGGCGCGCTCCTGATTGCGCTTAGGTGCGCGAGCCCCACGACGCAGCTTGATTAAGGAGGGAGGGCATACAGTAGCACATCATGGTATGTTCAATATGTTATGACCGCATGTATCAGTGTGGACAATTGCTGTCGACAGTTTGGATAGTCGTTAATAATTTGTACAGGCCGTGACCAAGCGCGCGGGCCGCAAGAAGGATGCCGTCCCCGCAAAGGCGGCGAAGGGCGCCGCCGCTGGTGGAAAGCCCCAGGTGAAGAAGGCGGCATTTGAGACGTCAAAGAAGAAGGAAGTTGGTGTCTCGGATCTTACTCTAATCAGTAAGATCTCTAATGAGGCCATCAACGACAACTTGAAGAAGCGTTTCGAAAATGCGGAGATATATGTAGGTCCAGCTATCTCTTCAAGAAGAGAGTCAGCGCAGACAGCTGGCATTCGGTTTTCCGCATCAATTCTCTGATGACATTTTGCAGACGTACATTGGCCATGTGCTTGTCTCCGTCAATCCTTTTAGAGATTGTGAGTTTCCGACGGTTTCGAAGTCGTAATGTAACCATTACTTACGTTCTGCGCAGTGGGCATCTATACAGACCAAGTTCTCAATTCTTATCGGGGGAAGAATCGGTTAGAGGTATGTGAATGCGATTGCGCGCAAGCAATAGTATTGGATACTCATATAAATAGATGGCACCCCACGTTTTTGCTGTTGCGGAGTCGTCGTACTATAACATGAACGCATACAACGAGAATCAATGCGTTATCATTTCTGGAGAATCAGGTGCCGGAAAGACGGAGGCTGCAAAGCGAATCATGCAGTACATTGCAAGTGTCTCTGGAGGCCATAACTCGAACATTCAAAAGGTCAAAGACATGGTCTTGGCCACCAACCCTCTGCTCGAGTCCTTTGGAAATGCGAAGACGCTACGAAACAACAACTCGTCTCGGTTCGGAAAGTATCTGGAGTTGCAGTTCAATGCTCAAGGAGAACCCGTGGGAGCGAATATTACCAACTATCTTCTGGAGAAGTCAAGAGTCGTTGGGCAGATTACGAACGAACGTAATTTCCATATTTTTTATCAGTTTACAAAATCAGCGCCGCAGAAGTATAGAGGTAAGCGCTCAAGGCTCTGGAAGGATTTTCGCGGCCGTTACTGATCAATTCTCCAGAACTTTTTGGTCTCCAATCGCCCGAGTCGTATTATTACACTAGCCAGTCAAAATGCTATGATGTAAATGGCATCGACGACCACGCCGAGTTTCGAGATACATTAAACGCTATGAATGTTATCGGGTTGCCGCAGGCGGAACAAGACGATATTTTCCGAATGCTTGCTGCTATTCTGTGGCTGGGAAACATACAATTTGTTGAAGATGATAATGGCAACGCGGCGATTGCGGACCACTCAGTGGTTGATTTTGTCGCGTACCTGCTCGAGGTCGATGCTGCCCACGTGCTGAAAGCACTCAGTATCCGTGTCATGGAGACGAGCAGAGGAGGGCGCAGAGGCTCTGTTTACGATGTCCCTCTCAACCCAGCCCAAGCCGCCGCCGTTCGTGACGCTCTGTCCAAGGCCATCTACTACAACCTGTTCGACTGGATCGTTGACCGTGTGAATGCGTCTCTCAAGGCCAGGGGCGCGTTGGCTCATTCTATTGGAATCCTAGATATCTACGGCTTCGAGATTTTTGAGCGGAACAGTTTCGAGCAGCTCTGTATCAACTACGTGAACGAGAAACTCCAACAGATCTTCATTCAGTTGACGCTGAAGACTGAGCAGGAAGAATACGCTCGGGAACAGATTCAGTGGACGCCCATCAAATACTTTGATAACAAGGTCGTTTGTGAGCTCATCGAAGAGAAACGGCCACCAGGTGTTTTTGCGGCCCTGAATGACGCATGCGCAACAGCACATGCCGACCCCGGAGCTGCTGACAACACCTTTATGCAGAGACTCAACATGCTATCTTCAAACCCTCATTTCCAGAACAGACAGGGTCAATTCATTGTTAAGCACTATGCCGGTGATGTCACCTATGCCGTCCCTGGCATGACAGACAAGAACAAGGATGCTTTGCTCAAAGATCTTCTGATCCTGATGGGTCACAGCGGCAACTCTTTTGTTCATGCCCTATTCCCTCACCAAGTCGATACCGATAATAAGCGTCGTCCTCCCACAGCTGGTGACAAGATCAAAGCATCTGCGAATGACCTGGTTGCTACGTTGTCAAAGGCCTCTCCCTCGTATATCCGAACAATCAAGCCAAACGATAACAAATCGCCAACTGAGTATAACTCAGCCAATGTTCTGCATCAAATCAAATATTTGGGTTTGCAAGAAAACGTCCGGATCAGACGTGCTGGATTTGCCTACCGTCAAACCTTTGAGAAGTTTGTGGAACGATTCTACTTGCTGTCGCCAAAGACATCGTATGCTGGCGACTACATCTGGACAGGCGATGCCCTTTCGGGAACGAAGCAGATTTTGAAAGATACTAGCATTCCCACGGAGGAGTATCAAATGGGTGTCACGAAGGCATTTATCAAGACCCCTGAAACTCTCTTTGCGTTAGAGCACATGCGTGACCGCTACTGGCATAATATGGCTATCCGAATTCAGAGAGCTTGGCGGAACTATTTGAGATATAGGATTGAATGCGCCATTCGGATTCAGAGATTCTGGAGAAAGATGACCGGTGGCCGAGAGTTCATAGAGTGGAGGGATTACGGCAATAAGATCTTGCAAGGACGCAAGGAGCGTCGGAGATACAGTTTAGTTGGCTCGAGACGATTTATGGGCGACTATCTCGGAGTGGGCAACAAGGGTGGCCCTGGGGAGGTGATTCGGGACTCGATCCGGCTTGGAAGTGAGTTAGACTTTACAGACTTTGAAAAGGAAGAAGGTGCTAATTCAAATCATAAGGCTCTGAGCGTGTTCTGTTTTCTTGCAGATGCGAAATTTTGGTATCTAAGCTGGGACGGTCAAGTAAACCAAGCCCCCGGATACTGATATTGGTAAGATCTCCTCTGCTTGGATCTCCAGAATACAATCTAATAGCCAAACAGACCAACAAGAGCGTCTATATTGTCATTCAATCGATGGTCAACCACCAACTGTCAATTCATGCGGAGCGGACGATTCCCCTTGCATCGATTAAATTCGTTGGAACCTCCACCTTGAAGGACGATTGGTTTTCACTTGGCGTTGGATCTCCTCAGGAGCCCGATCCTTTAATTAGCTGCGTCTTCAAAACCGAATTCTTCACTCATCTGAAGATGGCTACACCAGGTGGTTTGAACCTTAAGATTGCCGACGTGTAGGTATATCCTTTTAGAGCAAAAACACAACAGATGCTAACGACACTAGAATCGAGTACAACAAGAAACCTGGCAAGCTCGCAGTTATCAAGACCATGAAGGACCCAGCCATTCCTCGGGACGATATGTACAAGAGTGGTACCATCCATACTTCGCAAGGCGAGCCTCCCAGTTCCGTCTCAAAACCGACTCCCAAGGGCAAGGCGATACCTGGAAAACCTATCACCTCAGGAAAACTGCTTCGTCCTGGCGGTCCCGGTGGTGGACCCTCAAAGCTTGCTTCCCGACCTGCTGCAGCACGGCCTGTCCCTCAACCCAGAGCTGTCCCTCAATCCCGACCTGTCCCTCAGCCAGTGCCGCAGCCAGTACCGCAGCAAGCTCCTCAGCCAACAATTGCACAGCCGCGACCCGTTCCTCAACCTGTCGCAGCGCTCAGTGCGGCAAACCACGCCCGCTCCGCCTCCGCTTCGTCGACTTCATCCGGTCGGACCCCGCCTCCCCCGCCACCAGCTCCTCCATCTGCTCCCGCAACCCCAGAACCAACCTATCGGGTCCTCTACGATTTTAGCGGCCAGAGCGAGAATGAATTGTCCATTGTCAAGAATGATCTTCTGATCATTGTGCGGAAAGAGAACAGCGGTAAGTTAGATTTCTATCCACGAATTTTCATCGGTGATTTGTACCTTGAACTCTTGAAGCTGATCTGGGTCTGCAACTTTAGGCTGGTGGCTTGCAAAGAGTTCAGATGGATCTCGTCAAGGCTGGGCACCTTCGGCATATCTTCAGGAAGAAACTCCTAGGCCGACCCCACCGCCGCCGCCTCCCGTCGCGCCCGCTTCTACACGCACGCCTCCAAACGGAGTCGCAGCCAATGGCGCCGCACGTCCACCTGTCAAGGCGAAGCCCGCGCCTCCAGCACCTCCTGCAAAGCGCCCTGCCACGCGAAAGCCAGCCCCGCCGCTCGCCCCGAGAGATAGCGGCACGAACCTTGCTGAACCGAATGGAAACACAAGTGGTCGTAACACTCCAAACTCGTCCAGCAACGTCAGTTTAGCAGGAGGTCTAGCTGAAGCTGTATGTAACACCCTATCCATTTTTGTCCCTCTTCTTCCTCTTCCTCTCCTCCTCCTCCCCCTCTTCGTTCTTCTTCGTTCTTCTTTTTCTCTCTCCACTCTAGGGCCATCTCATTTTTTTTTTTTTTTTGGCTTTCCATATCCCAATGCTAACAAATCACTTTCCACGTATAGCTACGACAACGACAAGCGTCCATGCAGGGCAAAAAGGCAGACGACGATGACGAGTGGTAGACGAATAGACACGTCTGAGCCGGGACGCCCCTTTTTTACTCCGCCTCAACCTTTGTCATCCAACATGATTATTTAGATCCTTCCCCTTTTCTTCTCACTTCCCTTTCCTTCCCCTAACTCCTCCTTCCCCCCACCAGGTGGTCGCGGCCAGTCGTCTCAATCCCCCCTGATTTATCCTTCTATATCCCCCCCTCGTTCGCAGAAACTTTTATATCCTTCTTCCTGCTATAACTTATTTTATTCTTCCTCGTCACACGCATCTGACATGCATGTAGACGTACACCCTGTCGAAGCCCCCTGTGTATAGGATTCTCTTATATATGCTAGCCCTACGTTGTTAGCTGTATCAAATTTGTTATATTACTTTATTATCTTCATCTTTCATCTAGAAATTAAATATATATTTTTTTATTTTTATAATCTTGCCATGTTTTGTCATATATGTCTGATCATCGTATCGTTTATAGTCGTGTCATGTCAAAATATTGCGTTTTTAAATACCCATAGTCCTGGGTCTCGTGAGGAGGCTGTATATGATGATTCGTGCGCAGGTATAGTATATTAACCATGGTAATCTGCGCGGGCAAAAACCTTTTTACCTTGTAGGTTGTCTCCTTCCCTGTGTCGCCTCCCCCTCCCCCTTACGGTCTCAACGCGGCAAATGCGTAAAAAGAGAGTGACGGTTCATGCCAGACGAGACAGCCGAACATACAAGAAATGCTATATGCTCTATGCTATATTCCTAACATAGCCAGGTGGTGTATCAGCCATGCTAATAATCTTACTTCAGCAGGTTACCGGTCTCCAAGGCTCCATCGAGACAAGCCATCAGACAATGCCGACTGCATGGCTGATGAAGGGGCAAAGAAAGAAAGAGAGCGAAACGATAATGCTAGATTCCTACTCAACTACCCATTCTTCAGCCCAGAATTCCTCGAGGGCCCGAGTTTCTTCTGGGCCAATATACGTTTCCATTTCGTGACGCCAGTGCCCGTGTGGTTCGTGTATTGCGCATGCTACGTCTGCAATGCAAGTATACAGGTCTGTGAGAATGTGCACGGTATGGTCGGATAAACTCTGCTGCGGGAAAGAACTTGTCATGAGGGGGAGAAGGGTGATTGGGTTAATGGCCTGGGTGTTGTTGTTGGTGTTGGGAGAAGTAGAGGAGGCAGCATGAATAGCATGACGAGGTGGAACAGGTGAGCGTGGAGAGGAGAAAGGTGAAGGTCGAGTCTGTCGTGTATGGTTTTGCGGGAAAAGTATAGATGGCTGGAGTTGAATTGGCGGAGGAAATGACGTTCCTTGATGAAAACGATGTTGGTGTTGGTTATGTGGTGTATAAGTATCATAAGATGTAAAAGGTCGTATATTTTGCTTATTCGGAATCTGTGGATTGAAAAAACGTCTGTGTGAAAAGTGTGCAGAACGTGAAGAATGTGGAGATTGCGAAAAGGAAAGTGATGAGAAGAGTTGACGTGTTTCAGGCTGTCGAGGTGTGTGATGCGTTGGCGAAGAAAATGACTGTTTCTGCGGCGACAAGATCTGCAAGTGACTTGCTTGTCGAGTGAATCGTGAAGATGAACAAGAAGAAGTTGGATGGTGAGTATGACGTCGCGGAGAAGACTGGATGGGTTGATGTTGATCTGTGCTAAACTTGGGTGCGAGGGTGAGAGATGGGTTGCGTCGCTTTGTTGGAAACGTCAGAGATATGATACGTGTAAGCTGAGAAATATCTGCTACTGGAATAATTGTTATGCGGAGATTGAGCTGTAAGAGCCTGAGAAGTGTCAGAATGTAAGAACCTCTCTACAAATAAGATAGAACAAATCAAAACAAAGAGAGCGGGTACAATGGAAAGGTGAAGATGATTAAATAAGTTTTATCATGCTGCTTGACATGTGGGATGAGTAAAGAATGGAAGGAAAGCATCACATACTCTGCTTGAAGTTGCATGTATGCGCATATGCCAGTGCCGCTTTCAGAGCCAGCTTGATCTCTGCCGTTTTGAACATCATGCCCAGCTGTAGTTGGAGTATTTTCTGTCTTGCGTTCGCATGGCTCTTCTAGAACAAAAAAGACGAATAGATTTTGCCCAAGGCCTGTAGATGAGAATTGAGCTATACGGCGGATGGTACTGGGTTTAGTCTCAGGGTCTATGCAAGGAGCGGAGAGGAGTAAGATGCGGTTCTCGATCGTGGTTGGGCTTGAGACAGGGCCAGAACTTGCGCAATTGGCCGACGTCCTTGCGTTGGATAATTCATTTTGAATGGTAATATCGTGCGTCTGGAGAAGCATCTCTAATAAATATTAAAACGAGGTCTGAAGTTAGCAGAGGCAGTTGGTAGTCTTCCTGTCGTGATAGAGCTCAGAGGGATGCGACCTGCCTTTTAAATTGAGAGTTTTTGGGGAAGACAGCTCTGGTATGAGCTGATACCACGGTGGCCGATGGCGAAGGGTGGTGCAGAACATTTGTGGGCTATACTGATGATGAGGTCAGGATTCTTGCAGAACGTTGTTCTGATGAATACTTTAAATATATGCTTCGGTTGGCGAGCGATATTATAGCTGGTGCAAAACAATCTTATGCCACGTTTTGAAAGCTTCCAGAACTAGTTGTATATGTTTACTGTATTTGATTGTGTGTGGAGATTCGTAGATGTAATCTACATCGAGACTAATGTTTAAGTAGGCGATTTGTAAGGAGCCTGTTAAGAATTGGAGGCCTTAAGGTTCTCCATTGCAAATCGAGGTAGATAAAAGATCCAAACATATATACAAAAATAAGTCTATGTCCACGTTATCTGCCGTTCCTTTCTATTGATTGTAGTGGAGTGAGGTGCAGTGTAATGTCGAAATCGAACGACGCTGGGCTACGAAAATGCAGCCTGGGTATTTTTTTTCAATCAAAATTAAACACGCCATTCGACTGAAGGATTGGTGCAAGGATTGTTTGTTCAAACCAGCAGATATTTATTTCTCTGTGGGCTCTTGAGATTGCGGCGTTGCTTTTGCAGGCGAAGTCTGTTCAGGCTGAACAGAAGCCTCTTGGCTGGGTTGTTGCCCCACTGTCTTTTGCGGCTTAGGCGTGGGCTCAGGAGGAGAGGAAGTAAAGGGACTTTTGAAGATCGAAGGAACCCAGGAAGGGGCGGGCTCTTCGGCTTGAGGTTCAATCTCAGGCTCGACGTCCCTAATATCCTCGGGGAGAATCCTTTTCGGTCGAGGATGGACGAGGATTCCCTGCTCAGCTCTCAACCTCATGACTTCCCTCTCCAAAAGAAGTAGGCCTCTCCTTGCGGCCTTTTCGCTCTCCTGCAGCTCGTTGATCTTATCGGCGACATCCTCTCTTCGAGTATTCTCTTTCCGACGAGATCGGAAGGATTCAAACAAAATCAACCCGCCACCAACAAGGAATAAGAAAGTTTCGCTGATGAAATTCGCCCCGGAATCGATAGCTTTGGCTTCCGATAAAGGTCGAATCCGTGGCGCAGGTGCAGGTTTTGGCTTCTCCTCCGTCTGACCCTTGGTTTTGGATTTTGCGGCGGCTGTTTCGTCCGCCTTGGTTTGCGCTTCCGTTTTTACCGTCGGTATTTCATGCTTGTGCTTCTTTGCCTGCGCTGCAGCTGCCTCCTTTGCTGCTTGTCTCTCAATGGCAGCGGTATCGCGTAAGAGTCCGAGCCGTAATCTCATGTCCAGCTGGTGGAGCGACTGCGCAAAGGAGACGCACACACGTCGAAAGCGCTCATGTTCCCTCGCTTGAGCCTTAATTTGATTCTGAATAGAGAGATGAGCAATTGGGACACGGGAGTCTGAATAAGATTGGGAAGTACCTACTGCAATTGGTTTGGACAAGGTCTTAACAATGAGCGAGGTCAACTTTAACGTGATGCTGGACATTATTGCTCCATCAGAGTCGAGTGCTTTGTATTATAACTCTAACGAGTGCGGTGAAGCTAAATTTGCCCAGGATGCTTCGGTATACAAAAATACTCTTGTCGGAATAAAGAGAAAACCCAATTGATAGGAAACAAGAATGATAAAGGGTCGCAGACAGATGCTGACACCAGGAAGAAGCACTTGATGAAGGTTCCGCTTTGGCCCTATGACATGGCTGAATTGAGGGTCGGCGGTGAAAGATGCCGACTGGCAAGGGGTAGGAGGGGCCTAATGAAGGTACAAAGGTACAAGAGCACCTAAGGCAACTGGCACGTGCTCACCTGCGACTGCCAGGTACGTACCGTCGACACGTCGTCCCTGGCAACGGCAGACTGAAAACAACCGAAGAGCTATTGTTTGCTAGAGAGTTACGGTGTACAAGGAGCTGAACATCTGTGTTGCTTGCCATCGTGATTCATCACTCGACTTCCCGCGTAAACAGGGTCCATCTATCATCGCGGAGCTCACGATGGCGATGGAGGCCTTGTCACCTCATCCTGTTAACATACCTGTTCGGGCTCCATCAAAGGGCGAGAAGGCAGTCTTAAAACCAGCACAGCCTGCGAAACCTATGAAAGAGAGAGACCATGCCGCAGCTCCGCCGACCCTGGTCGTGGAGCCTGATGCCCTCGATGGCGAACGTGGCGAACGATATGCGACCGGAGGATTCTTGGGCAAGGGTGGATTTGCGATATGTTATGAGGGTGAACTTCTTGACCGTACTTCTCGGCGGTCAGGCCATCGATTCGCTTTGAAGATTGTCAAAACTCAGATGGCACAGAGGAAAATGGAGGAGAAGGTAGGAATTTTTTGATTGTAATACTCTCATAGGCCTTAATTTTTGATGAAGTTTGTACAGTTTCGCACTGAGCTGCAAATCCATTCGAAAATGCACCATCCCAACATTGTTGAATTTCATCGAGCTTTCACCTTTCAATCGAGCACATATATTGTGCTTGAATTATGCTCTAATGGATCTGTCATGGACATGGTTCGACGAAGAAAATATTTGACCCCGCCGGAAATTCGTCGATACACCATTCAATTATGTGGCGCTATCAAATATATGCATCATCGCAATATCATCCACCGGGATCTGAAAATGGGCAACCTTTTCCTCGATGAACATATGAACATCAAAGTTGGCGATTTTGGATTAGCCGCCATTTTGATGACCGACAAAGAATCTCACTCTTACCAACGAAGAATGACACTCTGTGGCACGCCGAATTACATTGCGCCGGAGATTCTGGAAAAGGGTCGCAAAGGCCACGATCACAGGGTGGACTTCTGGAGTGTGGGTGTCATTATGTGAGAAGATGACACATTTATTATTTCACCTTGGAAGACGTTTGCTAATTTTTTAAAAGTTATGCCATGTTTTGCGGCTCGCCCCCTTTTCAATCACAAACGCAAGAGGAAATTTATCGAAAAGTTGCAAAGAGAGAATACGACTGGCCTCATCTTAGCAAGTGTCCCAACGACATCCCGAATGACGCAAGGAACCTGGTTAGCTCTCTGCTAGTTGATGCAGACAGTCGTCCGGATGCAGATGAGATTGTCAGTCATCCGTTCTTCACGCGAGGATATATTCCTGATCGCATCGATCCGTGCTGTCGGAAACTCCAACCAAAGTGGCCAGATAATCGTCCGCCAGCGGATGCAGCAACCCGAGCGAAGTACTATCGGAAGTGGGCGCAACTCTGTCAGGCATGTGGTGTCGGAATGATAGACGAATCTCAACGCTTCCCTCCCGTAGGCCGCGGACTCGGCAGGACAGTGTTTAAAGAATGCCAAAAGGAGGAGGCAGCCGGTCGCACACCAATTGTCCCATTCCCAGACGACGAGGTGTATCTTCCCTTTCCAACACCGTCGAACTGGCCATCGGCTCAGCCGATTGAGGAAACTCAACATTCATTCCAGACGACATACGAGAATACACTTCCCTCGCTACCACCAGAGAAGCGAGCTTTTCCTCCTGAAATGATGAGTTGCGCAGCCGCAATAAAAGCCATGAGTCTCAAAGAGACTGTTCAAGAAACCACCCCAATTTTGTCTGTTGCGGCAAGACGGCCGGATAAGAGAAGCCACGCTGCTAAACTTCGTCAAGACGCTCAGGTCGCCGCCTCGCCTCGCAGCACCGCCCATCGTGTACAGTCAACGCAGGGAATTCTCAGCGATGGACCCATCCGTGCCGTCAAAGCGACGGCGGAAAATATCAAGGTCAGAGGAGAATGGATTGAGGATGCCGTTGCTCCTAGTACGAATTCAAAGACGGATGCGAAGAAGGAAACATTGAGAGCTGGTGCCGTGCGACGAGCAGGAACCTCCAAGCAATTGAATTCGAAGAGCAGCGGCACGGCATTAGAGCAACCTCAACCATCTCAATCCAGCGAGCCTCTGCCGACAAGAGTGACAAGAGCCCGCACTGGGTTGAGAGCTGTGGAAAGTATCAGGGTTGAGTCAGCCTATCAGTCAAGCACCACCGCGGCGTCTCAGTCAAGACGCGCAGGCACAACATCAAGATCATCCTCGAGCCGGACCAGCTCGAGACAAGGGCTCATTGGCCCAGATGATTCGCAAGAGGTGCTGTCAAACACCCTTCCGAACCGTGTTCTGGCCCAACTTGCCAAGTTTCACCACAATGTCTCGGAAGCCTTAGCTAGCCAAAATGTGGAGACCCGGACGGCGGCGCGCAAGCCTGCAAGCATGAAGGAAGGTTCTATTGTCGTCAAATGGGTTGACTATACAAACAAATTTGGTATCGGCTATGTGCTCAATGATGGCAGCATTGGCTGTCTCATGAATGCTAGAGATGGCATGCCGCCTGGCTGCATTCTGGTACGGGACGGCGAGAAGCATATGAAGAGAAAAGCCTCACCATCCTACCCAGAGAAGGAGGAAATTGTGCCCCAATCGGGTGATCCTATCGAATTCCTCGAGAATCGAGGAGAGGAAGGGTTTGTTCGATCACGTGTGGACGCTGGAATGTTCAAGGTGACCTATGACGGAGAAGGTACCGGTCGACTTTACCCGGGTGTTGATACCTATGAGAATAGGAAGAAGGAGACAGTAATGATCTGGAAGAAATTTGCACACTACATGCATTCCACCCTTCGAGAGGACGAAGATGCTGCGTCGGAAGGCGAGGGCCCAGCTTCTGCTACCGGCAGCCAGTCAAAGCCCTGTGTTAAATTTTTCCAGCGCTTGGGTAACGTCGGAGTTTGGGGATTTGTAAATGGAACCTTTCAGGTATGAGCACTTTATCCACAACGTTTGCTCGGCGAGCACGGAACTCACAAGTTATTTTGCAGTTTAACTTTCCGGACCACACAAAGATTGTTATGTCCGAAGACGGAAAATGGTGCGACTTTTACCACCTCCAGCCAATTGCGGCACGTGCGCTTCAACACAATGATGTTGAATACCTCTCGAACGCGATGCTTGATGAGCGCGAGATTCTGTCGTATTCGGTCCGAGATATGCTGCGAGGCAGCCACGGCCGGCATCAATTTGGAGATGTCATCAAGGCCAATCAATTTGAGCGGAAGCTGTATTTCATCGAGAATGTTGTCCTGCAGTGGCTTGCCAATAAAGGCCTTGGCCGACAGGATCTGACGCAAAAGATCAAATGGGAAGGCATGCAAGAGAAGACTGCATCAGGAAAAAGGGGAAAGCTTGTGTGGGTCACGGTTGGGGCAAGAGGTGAAGATGTTCGTGTGACTGAGGAAACGTGAATTTACGAGCCCTGAAGCGTGGGCAGGATATGCTTAATCCAGAGCATCGGTTGGATGAACCCAACATCCCCCTTGATAGACTTCATCCATTGACGACGTTACGACCGCTATGACGCTTAGCATTTGCATTTTTAAAAACTCACACGCGCAAGAAAGTCAGGCATTGGGCTGGATTCGGCGTTTGGAACTTTGCCGTACAATTCTGTCCGATTCAGATATTTTCTTGTTTTAGCTTTGTCTCTGTTTCTGGGCTTGCAAGTCACAAACTCGATGGCATGCATCATTCAAAGTGCAGCATTGCTTTTCTTCAGCATTATGCTTTTGACGGAAAATATACCTGTGTAGTGTACATAATTAATGCTTAATGGAAATTATCCACTCAAAGCTACTACGCAACGTAATGACAGGTGTCAAGGGACAAAAGGACCCGTCCCTGGGAGAGAAAGTCAGAATCAGATGAGATTGTGGGCCAGGCCGGATAAGTTACTCGCGTGTTCCGTGCCTGGGAGCTGATCCGTGGGGCCAAAAGGCTTCGCTTGCTGTTGCCTGGAGGAATTTACCTAAGGTGGCAGGGTGGAACGACCAAGTGGATGTTGCTCAAGCACTCGTTTCGTCCGTCCGTCAACCTTGCCCTAAATGATCAACTAACTAATCGCTTCAAAAATATATGTAAGCGTTTTGTAAGTGAAAGAGACGTAGTGTTGTTCGACCAGGATTATTGTGATGAAGTAAAGCGTGCAATAATGTATTCATATCTAGGCGAAGAATGCCGGAGAGTCATGGCGAAGCGCTACGGCCGTACCAGCTTCCCTCGATCAACATCATTGTGGCTGCATACTTTCCTCTGTCTACTATGTCTACTCTGTACCATGAGACACATACAGCCAATGCAATTCTCTGACCGTTTCTCTTGTCGCCTGTCATTGATTGGCAGCATTGGCTATCGGCCAATCAGTGTAGGGCATCAGTACTTTATACCAATACCAATCTCTACTCTGTATGTGGGCGTCCGAACGGCAAATCGCAGCTAGGGCTAGCCTATACCGTGTAAGTTACCGAGCGAGACGGGAGGTAGCTCGGTATTCCGGTACGGTACCGTTGAGAGTCCCGTGGAGATTTAACCAGGAACGTCGCTGGTTTAGGTAAGAGGCACAGCAAACTTACGTTGCAGCGGAGCCCGGGGTTCACGGTTAGCAAATCGGGGGATCGTTGGGCCGATCGGACGTGAAGGTGAGTCCAGCGGGCACAGACATTGTCCCGTGGAAAGCGCAACGAATTCCCCTTCTTGAGGCGAACATGGCATAACTTATCTGCCTTACTGCGAGTTAACCTTCCCCTTAGCAAGGATGAGTGATGCTCTCTGCACTTGCTTCATCCCCCGATTCCGTGTCTCCTAGGGCATAATTTCTGACAGAAGGAGAATTAACTGCCTCTACTTTCTGACCCCCCGGACTCACTTTAGCCCTTTACTCCTTCCAGTCTTTTCAGCTTCGCAACCGTCGTCAATCCCGGACTATGGACTCTCTCCGCTCGGATAAATTCATCTGGAGATGATTGCGCGTTGATTATTCACTCCCTTTGAGCCTAATTCCACGTTTCAAACCTTCGACCATTAAAGTGACGAACATTTCCTGTCCATGTGCACTCTTTCTGTTTCTATCACACGGTCAATTGCTCTTTCCCAGATGATTCACCAATCTCTACCATAATTGCTTCTCTTCCATTTATCTTGCCTACCTGCTGTCGTCAACTTTCTTTTCGCATTTCATCATAGCAGAAGAACAAAAAAAAGTGGTGTTAGCTCGACAGCAAATTGCAGGTCCTACATCCTGTTCCAAACACTAGCGATCCTGAAGCTATATTGGCATTCTACATCAAAAGTACTTCCTACAGAGCAGTATGGCTGCTTCGCAAACCGATATAACAGCAGCCGTGGCAGACACAAGGGCCGAGAAAGTAAATACTAGGCAAGAAGAAACGTCGTCACCAACGCCATCTTCCAACCAGGATGGTCCCCCCAAGTTTCAGCCTGGCTGGAGATTTTATCTTGCCTTTGGTGCTCTCTTAATAGTCACCCTTATGGCTGCCTTGGATGCTACTTCTCTCTCCGTCGCTCTTCCGGTCAGTCGAATCTCTATCTTCTCCTCTAGGAGAGATGTGAATGTGCTGAATCAAGATTACAGATTATTGCTCGCAAGATCCATGGAACGGCCATTCAAGCCTTTTGGTCCGGGACGTCCTTTTTACTCACGTCCACAGTCTTCCAGCCTAGCTTTGCGTCTTTTTCGCATATCTTCGGCCGTAAACCTCTGATTTTAGTCTCAGTTGCTCTCTTCACCGTCGGAGCCATTGTTGCCGCCGTAGCCAACAACTTTACTGTCTTGCTCGTTGGCCGTTGTATTCAGGGTGTTGGAGGTGGTGGCATTATCGCCCTTACTGAGATTGTCGTCACGGACCTTGTCCCCTTGCGCGAACGTGGCAAATGGTTCGGTTTCATGGGTATGATGTGGGCTATTGGCAGTGTATCAGGGCCGGTTGTCGGTATGTCACGAATTCGCGACATTTCAAATCATGCACAGTCTGACTGTTATCCTCGCAGGCGGAGCACTTGCCCAAAAAGCTTCATGGGTAAGTCGCGAAAAATTTTTTTTTTTTTTTTCTTTTTCTCTATAAAAAAAAATGAGCCCTCCCATTGATAACGTCGCTAACAACTGCCATTTCAGCGCTGGATTTTCTGGATTAATCTCCCTTTTGCCGGCATATCCTTTATCATGATCCCGCTCTTTCTCCAGCTCCACTACCGCACAAGCTCTTTTTTCCAGAAACTTAAGCGTGTCGACTGGATTGGGTCGGTCGTTTTTGTCGCTTCCACCACTTCTTTCTTGATTCCTATCACGTGGGTATGTTTTGTCTTGACTACAGAATAGTAGGCTTTATCAAGAACTAACAGGTTTCAGGGTGGTATAATGTATCCTTGGGATCACTGGAGAACACTTGTCCCTCTGATCATTGGTGCTTGCGGCTTGATCTTTTTCGTCTTTTATGAGGAGTTTGTGGCCGCTGAACCCGTGATCCCCATGGATATTTTCAAGAACCGCACAGCCGCTTTGACATACTTTGGAGCATTTATCCACGGGATGGTTTTGTGGTGCATTCTTTACGTGAGTTTCTATGATGAAGTTGTCGGAGTATTTTTGAACCGGAGCTGAATAGTCTTCAATTTGCAGTACCTTCCCCTCTATTACGAAGCTGTCAAGGGAATGTCTCCTATCCTGGCAGGTGTAGCTGCGGTGAGTAAACTCTACATCCAACTTTCCATCCAAATGAATCAGATAGCCCTAACATTTATTAGTTCCCTGAAACTTTTACAGTTGCTCCCGCTTCTATAGCAGTTGGCATTGCAGTCAGCATCACCGGCCGCTACCTCGAGCTCGTCTGGGCTGGCTGGATCTTGACCACTCTCGGCATGGGTCTCCTGTACCTAATGGACGTGCACACGTCCACGGTTGCGTGGATTTTCCTGAACCTCGTCCCGGGTCTCGGTACTGGTATCCTTTTCCCGGGCATGACGTTTTCCATTCAAAGCCAGTCATCTGACGAGAAGCTCGCCTTTGCCGTTGCCATGTTCACCTTTTTCCGGACATTTGGCCAGGCCCTTGGTGTTGCCGTTGGTGGTGTCATCTTTCAAAACCAAATCAAGCACAAGCTCGAGCAATATCCGTCGTTGGCTCCACAGGCTGGCGAGCTTTCCAAGGACGCCTCCGGCCTCGTTCAGATTATCAAGAGCATGGCCGATTCGGTACCAGAAAAGGCACTGCTCATCAAGAGTTATACGGACTCGCTCAAGATTGTCTGGATCAGCATGTGTGCCTTTTCCGCTGTTGCAATGATTGCTTGCTTCTTCCTCAAGGCCTACAGCCTTGATCGTGCCCATGAAACCGAGCAGGGCTTCAGGCACGAAAGGGAACTTGGCGATGAGGAAAAGGTTGAGGAATGAAAACCTCTGACGACCCTTTCAAGTCCGCGTCCGAATTCGAAACACACCGACCCCACAGCCTGATATGAGCTGCGTTTGCACATATTTTGCCTGGCTGGTTCCACCCGGAACTTGTGTACCCAGCATCTTGCGACGAATACAATCTTCCGATTCTAATGTGACGCGTTAATAGACTAATAAGCATATACGGTGCCAGGCGTTGCAACATTTTCTTTTCTTCTGACTTGGAATTTTCCATCTCGCCATCTTCTCTCGCTCAACATTGATGCATATACAGATATTCATCATCTCTTTCTCTAATTTCTTTTGGTCGCTATCATATGGCTATACGGTATGAGGAGATAATTATTATTAATGGCTACGAATAATATTGTCCCAAGGCAACGAGCTAATGCCACGGACATGCAATCAGGAGAGCAAGGAATCATTCTGACTGATGATATTTTTCTTCCTCTGCTTCTTCTTCTTCTTCCTCTTCTTCTTCTTCTTTTTCATTTACGATATTTAATTATTTTTCTTTTCATGAAGCATTTAACATCTTGCATGATGGGAATGGGAACGATACATTCGTTTAGAACGGCATTAATTATACAATAGAATCTAATATAAACATGTACTTCTTATCTTAAAATTAACACCGTTACTTGGTTAATCTGCATTTCAATTCATTCATTATTCATTCATAGACTGTACTCTACTGTGGTAGTCACCATGGTGAGTACTCTGTGGTGCGAGGCTGAATGTAAGAGTGAGTCGAAACCCAGCTTGGCCTCCTCGCTATGACTCGTCTGCTACTTACCAAGTACACCGCTCCACATTGGCGTGCCTTCATCCAGCCCATGCTCTGCTTACTACTACGTAGGTAGGTAGGTAGGTAGGTAATTGACTGCTGCAAATGTTTTACATAAGAAGCTACTATACCTAACTCCGAGAGCAATTATTACCTTTAGCTGGAACTACCCGAGCTGAACTGCTATGCCTTTCTTGTGCCTGGCCTTGGCCAGGAGTGATATGAAGCTGTACTGGAAAATCCATTATAAGCAATTCCCATATATCGTTTATTACGGTATGGTAGTCCTCGGTCAATTTATCATGGTATGGTAAAATCTACAGAGGTATAATACTGTGGGACAAATCGAGTCAATTGCTGCCCTGAGCTTCATTCGGTGACAAGAAGCTCACAGGATGTAAACCAGCGGAGAGACCTCAAGCAGAGATGCAAAAACTGTCTAACATAACCCCGTGTAATTGGAGTATAAAGTAAGGTATCTTTTGGTAAAAGTCTGATTTACGGGATACGGGATGATAGGGTTATTCATACCCGTGCGTATAGGGCAACTAAGTACTCCGTAAAGGCCCCCTGAACTAGAACCCCACTTTGCCCTTGTGTCGTCCTCTTGTCCTTGGATGTCACACCGCCTACGTGGTCGCCTCGGTTTCGGGTCGTCATTAGCGAACCTGCCCCTCCTCGCCTCAGCCTTGCTGCTCTGCTGCTCAGCTGCTCCCCCACCGCTTCAATAGTCAATACTCAATCCATCGTTTTGTCACTTTCCTTTCAAATCGGCAAAACTCTCACCAGATTATCCTGGATTGTAAAGCTGAATCTACTGCATCTTTCAGACACCTTCTAACGGAGGTTCATTCTACGCGTAAACCGGTACGAAACTGCAACTCAGTAGTACACTAGGTAATTACGTCACTTAAGTTAGCTCAGGTACGGTACAGTACGTCAGCTCGCCCAAAACACAAACACCTTATCATGACGTCTCGATCGCGCTTGTCTGGAAGGACGATATATAACTGACGTTGGATGTACATTTTAGGAGCCTAGAAAACAAGAGTACACAAAGGAGAAAATCCCAGCAGCCTAAAAAATAAGAGCACCGAAAAGGGAGAGGAGAGAAAAGAAAACACAAATAAAAGACACCCGACCACTCATCCACGCTCACAACAACAACGCGTACGACAAAACACAGACAAAAGACACCCGACCACACCTTAACACATACAAACAAACCAATCATGTCTTACAACGACCAGTACGGCTACGGCTCTGGCTCCAATGACGGCGGATACGGCCGCCGCGGAGACGACTCTGAATACGGCGGCGGTGGAAACCGTGGCCGTGACAACTACTATGACTCGTCCAACGCTTTTGACGACCGGTCTGCTGCTACCGGACCCGACGGTCGGGGCGGATACAATAGCACCACGGACTCGAGCTACGGCAGGTCTGGCGGTGCTGGATCTGGTGGTCGAGGAGGCTACGATTCCCAGTACGATGAGCGGGACAGCTACAACGACAGAACATCGTATAACGACAGGTCCAATTACAATGACCGGAACAACTACGACGACCGGTCCAATTACAATGACAGGCCCAGTTACAACGACAGACCCAGTCACAACGACAGGTCCAACTACAATGACAGGCCCTCGTACAACGATATGCCTTCCAACACGGGCACATCCTACGGCTACCCTAGCCATCCCGGCTCAGGACCCTCGGACTACAACAATAACAACAACAATGATGACGACGACTTTAGCAGCGCCGCACAGCACGCGCAGCGCCACAGCGGTGGTGGCGGAGACAGCAGCAACTTGTTCAGCCAAGCGCTCTCGTTCTTGAACAACAACAAGCAGCATATTGCCAACTCGCCGCTCGATGAGCAACAAGCTGTCGAGCACCACCAGAATGTATACGGCGGTGGCAGTGGCGGCGGTGCCGGAGGTAGTGGCAGTAGTGCCGGTAGCAACGGCCTGGGCGCGGCAGCAGCCATGCAAGCCCTCAAAATGTTCACGTCGGGCCAGCAAGGGTCCAGCGGATCCAAGAACGAGTTTATCGGCATGGCCATGGCCCAGGCGGAGAAACTGTTTGAGCAGCAGAGCGCCCAGGGCAACGTCTCTGCGGGTACGGACAAGCAGAGCGTAATCACGTCTGCAGCGGAGATGGCGTTTAAAATGTACGCCAAGAACCAGATGGGCGCTGGCGGACAGGGCGGTGCGGGAGGATTGATGAGTCTGGCCAGTAAATTTTTGAGCTAGATTTAGCTACGGAGGAATGGCCGTGAGAGTTGCAGATTGCATGCGCATGGCTATCTAGTTGTCCAGTGTATTGCATTTCCTATTTAGTGTCTTTTACATATTTTCACAACCAAGCAAGAAAAACACTGCTGTATAACGAATCATCACTTTAAATTATCACTTTTAATTGAGCTGAAAAGGGAATGAAAATGATAGAAATATACATGTAGGTATATAAAATTATATTTAAAAATGAAAAATTAAAAAAACAGGGGTAATAAAGTTGTACCAAGAGCTACAAAAGTGTTACTCAATCTCCAAGTTTCGCAAGATTCAAGAGCACGAACACTGGTAGGACTGTTCGCTCTAGACGGCGAAACATGGACAGACGAGAACAGACTAACGTATAGCCGCAATCTATCCAAAGAGCGTGTGGCAGCCCCACGAACGCTCGACGCCAAACTCGCCCGGCTGCTTCCACATGTCGTTTCTAGTAAAAACAATGTTAGTCCGGTCTGATACTATGACGCAAGATGGGCCAGGGAGGGAGAGAAATGGAGAAATGGAGAAATGAGGGGGAAAAACTTACTCAAACGAAAACATGACACTCCTGCTTCCAGCGGCATTGGCAATGGCCGCAATGGCCGTCTTTTGCTCCTGCTCACCGGGGACGGCGGCGCCATTACTCGAGGTGCCGTACGAGGGCCAGCCAGTCTCGAGGTTATACGCGGGCTTATTGGGGCAGAGCTGCTCGAGGACGTGGAACTGGGAGGCGACGAAGCTGCCGGCCTTGTCGGCAGAGACCTGGGAGTTGAAAAAGGGGTGGAGGTTAGAGGAGATGACATCAACCGCATTGCAGAAGGTGTCGGCGTTGGACTGGAGGACATTGAGGGGCTCGGTGGTGGTGACGGGGCCCGAGTAGCCGGCGCGCTGGAACTGGGATTTGGTGGAGGTGATGAAGCCGGCGAGGTCGGAGGCGGAGACGTAGCCGTTAAACACGGCCTCGTTGCCGATGACGATGAGCTCGGTGAGGTCCCACTGGGCCCAGTCTTCGATGGCGGAGACCTGGTCGCCGGCGCCGGAGATGCCCGAGGATGAGATGAAGATGCCGAGGACCAGCTTGAGGCCGTTCTGGCGCGCGGCGGAGCCGACGTGGGCCAGCGTGCTGCAGTCGGTGCTGTAGACTCGCACAGAGGTGAAGCCGGCTTGCTTGACGGCGGAGATGTCGCTGGCGACGGTGCCAGCGTCCTTGCAGCCCCCGTTGGAGTCGTAGGGGGTGTAGGTGATGGCCCATTGGTTGCCGTTGGAGCTGATGGTGCCGGGGTTGGATGAGGCGGAGGGAGAAGAAGAGGATGAGGAGGAGGTGGTGGAAGTGGAGGTGGAGGCTGAAGTCACGGCCGATGAAGAGGCAGCAGATTTAGTGTAGCTGGTGGCGAACGAGGTCGGGCTGGGAGAAGCTACGTAGCTGGAAGAGGAGGACGAGGAAGAGGGGGTAGAGGAGGAGGAGCTAGAGCTGGCCTGAGAATCACCGGCAGCATTGAAGGCGGCCTTGGCGCCAGCGAAGCCGACGGAGGTGGAAGAAGACGCAGGGACGGAAGAGGAGAAAGAAGCGCTGCTGCTTGAAGAAGCTGGGCTGGAAGAAGCGGAAGACGATGCGGGAGCGGAGCTGGCGCTGGGACTCGAGGAGACGGCAGAGGAAGAAGAAGAAGAAGAATAAGCAGCAACCGCGGAGCTGGAGATAGAGGAATAAGAAGAAGAAGGAGCGACCGAGGAGCTGGCCGGGGCGCTGGAGGCGACAGAAGAGGAGGAAGAGAAGGAGCTGCTGCTCGCAGAGGACGCGGGGACAGACTGCGTCGAGGAAGGCGAGGCAGTGGAACTGTTGACAGGTCTGACCGTCACGGTGGCGGTGTAGTATGAAGTGCCAGTAGGCTTAAGAATGGTCGTGGTCAACGAGGAGGTCGTCTCTGTCACGGTGGAAGGCTGAACCACTATTGAAAATTCCATTAGTTTGTTGTCCTTAATTTTTTTCAATATCGGAAAATCCAAATCCAACATGAGCCATGTCAGACAATCCACTTACAGCCTGGTTCTCCATACCAGGTGGAGACAAAGGTGGTGTAAACATAGGAAACCTCCTCGGTAGCCGTGGCCACAGAAACAGCTTCCTCGGGGCTGCGATGGAAGTGCGCATGGTTGTGACGGCGCTCGTGAATAGAAGCAGCCGCAGAAGATCCCAGCAGCGCCGAGATGGCGAGACCGGCAAATGGAAGTCTCATCTTATCACGTCCGCTCAAATGGAGGCCCTTCGTTCAGCTTCTTTTTTTTTTTTTCTCGCTTTCGCTCAAATTCAATCGCGGGTGAATTGATACTGATTGACAGCAGCACAAAGCTTGTCACGGTCCGATATCGCACTCAAGAAAAACGATTGGATAAGGGAACGCCTGCCAAAAAAGAATGAGGGCAGTATATTCGACTAAGAATAATCACTGGATTAAAGAATGACTAGAGCTTGAATGCTGAAGAGCAACAGGCGCCCACAAAGGAGTGATGAGACGCGACGGAGTGCCAGTGAGTGTGAAAAAGCAGAAGGGAGAGGGAGAAAAAGGGTATGTATGGTCTTGGAGGTGGTGGAGGCACTGTCCACTGCCTGAGAAGCTAGCACCAACAGCAGCAGCAGCAGCTGCTGCTGCTTCCAAAGCCATAGAAGATTATCGGCCAAGCAAAAGGGCCTGTGAAGGTCTGAGGACCTATCATTCTAGCTCAGGGGCCGATCCATGACGGCGTAGGGCCGTGGTAGGGGAGTGCCGGGGCTAGAGGGGAAAAAAAGGAGGGGAAAGTCAGAAAGGTGCTCCATCAAGGGAAAAAAGCCACTCGCGTCAATTGCTGCCGTTGCGCTTTCCAAAAACTCATATCACCTCGCACCTCGCACCAACAGCGCGCACATCACAAACCAGAGAGTTCCTGCTGTTCAGCGACCCGAGCCGTCATCAAACACATAGTATCCAATTTGAAGAGGGGTGATTCTGTTCAATTCAGTCAGTGTGTCTGGTTCATAGAATACTGGCGCCATCAGGCCAGAAATCCAAGCGAGGCGTGGCGCCAAAGACATGAATGAGACATATGGTCGTGATCGTGTCACCAAAAGGCAAGCGCGACCAACGAGCTAATCCCATAGTTTGATGATCACTCTGCCGATGACAATTTTGCAATCCATGCCTAGCTGCCGAGCGAGCAAGTTTGGGCCAAGCAGCAGGTCTCAGCTCCGGCATCTAATCGCTTTCGTGAACAAAGCAAAGAAGCAGGGCCGATAAGAGGTATGGAGACGAAAGGATTCTTTCAATCCATCTTTGTGACATTCAGACGGCGTCTGGTTAGTTTGGCGGTTGGCTGAGCGAGGGAGATGAGCATGAGGTGCGGTTTTGCCTAATTGAGCTTAGTGAGGGCTTGGAGCAAGTGGATCAAATGAATCTAAAAGGAGAGCGTAATTTAACCTACACGAACCACAGCCTTTTTGAACTCATCCTGACTCAAGACGCCCTGGAAAAAAGCGCGCACCCCTCAAAGCTCTCATTGAGCATTGCCATCAGTTACAAGAATTAATTATGATCAAAGAAAAAAAAGACCACTCTAAGAGTGCTGCACAAGGGGGTGTGATGCTTCTTTCAAAATACTTCCTTCCGACATCATCTTCGGCAACGAGGTCATTATTGATGTAAATCGACGTCACGGTAGTTACCTTTTAGTAGACGAAAAGATAGACGAGCTCGCAGCCTGATCGGGACAGCTTTACAAGCTATCAACAACGTTACCCCTTATGTCCTTTGGCTGGATTTGTACCTGTAGCTGCTTAGTCTGTACACTATAAGAGGTCGATGCTCCATCGGATGTCGGCCAGATCCAGCAAGCGCAATTACAGTAAATGATTGCTTGCTGCACGGAACATGTGCACTATTATACCTTCCCCACATCAGGGGTCAATCATGCATGTGAGGTGTACCCCTATCGTTCCCACGTCGACTATGCATGTGGCGGATTTCCCGCGACTACTTCCTCCCAGTCAATACTTCAACGCAATACCAAACCCCGGGGAAAATCGTCAAAACCTCCCGTGACAGGGAGTTTCAATTTATGCCAGGTTACTTTGAATATTTTGCACATGATCATAAAGCATTAATCATAAAGTGTACTAGTTCTATCTTAAAGAACATGGACATAACATCATTTAAGATCTCAGCTCCCTTCGTTGCGCGTACTATATCCATTCGCAAATGCTGTACAGTCCATGGCAAGACAGGAATGATGCGGGAGAATAAAGAGAGAGAGAGAATGGGGAAGAGGGAGTAGTAAAAGGTGAAGAAGAAGATGAAAAGAGGCTCGGAGAGTGAGCTTGTTAGAGAATGAACAATAAACACCGATGAAAATAGGGGGAAATGGTGGCGCAAAACAGCAATAAATGTGCCGGCTTTTCCTAATCAGATAATCTCCAACAGCCGCAATTCGAAAGCAGTAGTGAGAGATCACAGACTACAAACGCCATAGTAGAGAGAAGCATGCCAATAGAGAAACGGCCGACCCGATCCGAAACCAACGAACCCCGCCCTAGATGAGCACAGAAGAAGGACGAAAAAGGGAAAAGTCATTGACTGTGACCGTAGAGAGGAATAAGACAAGAGGAACGAAGAAGGACGACAAAGGAAGACGGAGAAGTAAGAAAAAAAATAAAGGTAACCGAAATAGAAAAGTCTCTGAAATGAGCAGGTCTCGAATGAGACAGAATTGCATGCGCCCGTGGCTGCAAATGCCGAAATGATGGGAATTGAAGCTTGAACTCAACGATCCTCTTCGATAGTGTGAGATACATGTTCGAGAAGGGCTGTGATGGCGTGAGAAGCTGGGAACTAAAAAAAGATAAGACAAAGGAAAGCGTAAAAGTCGTGTAAAGCGTCATGCGATTGGGTATTTAATCTGCTCGTGATAAACATCAACATCTGTAATCGACCGATATACGCGATCGAAATTTTGTAAAGAAATGCGTCCAGCAACGCAAGAGTGTGCGACGGCGATTGAGAGCGTAAGGGGAGGTGGTGGGCCGGACGGCGGCAGAAATAGTGAAATTGCGAATCACCTCGCGCGGGCCCTAGTACACCAGGTTTCCTAGATCGAGGCCGCGACGGCTACGATGCGCACCAGCTCGCTTGACACGATCGTCGTCGGAGAGGGCATCGTCAGGGATCCATTCAAAGTCCTTTTCATCCCAGTATGCATCTCCGCAATCTTCAATTTCCCGCTGTCGTGTGTACTTCATGCCGTACTGTGCCCCGTAGCCAACACGCTCATACTCCATAATCCCGCCAAACTTTTCGTCCGTGTTCGCAACGAAGAACTCGGAACCATCTGGGGTGAAGCTGATGCCGCCAATCTCTCCAAACAGATCCAGTTTTTGCTTACTTGTAAAAGATTCTGCATCTACAACGGAAACGATATCGGCTGGCTCGGCCATGAGAAGAACACGCCGCCCGCCTCCGACCGGAGAGAAGCGGAGAGCACGAACCCCGGCCATTTCAGATGCAATTATCTGCAGAGGATGACGGAACATTCGAGCATCATAAATGTACACTTGCGTATCCTGATTCCCCGTGGCAACATGGATTCCATCATCGGCCCACGCGCAAGCAAAACCGTAATCACGGTGGCCCCGAAGTGCTTCAATCGTTTCGCCAGTCTCAGCATCGCTAATTGTCACAGCAGTGTCGTCTCCGACGACGACCCGCAAGCGGCCGTCTGGACTCGTTGCGGAGCAATTGATGGGATATCCGTAAGAATGCTCTCGAATGAATCTGTTGGAATAGCAATCAAGCACGCGAATCTTGCCATCATTCGAGGAGAAAACGGCATTCGGGTGTGAGTTGAAGCGATCAAGAAATGTATGAACGTGGTTTGTAATGCCCTTGTCATCCCGGCTCACGAGCCCTTCCACATGAGCTTCATCATAATTGGAATGCAAGGTGGTCATTGCATATTCACCACCAAACCCGCCGGCAATCAAAACTCCGTCACTCGCCGATATGGTCGAGATTCGAAGCCCGCCAGGGTAAATAGTACTGATAGAAGGTTTCGTAAGATCCATCACACAAGTTTCCTTTTGAATGCTCGGATTCATGCTATAGACTCTCGACTTGCCGGCGTAGTACACGTCATTTTTCGATGATGCACATATTAGGTTCCGAAGTTGAAAATGAGTCAGGGAAGGGTGCTTCGTGGTATCCATGCGCCGAAATTGGAAAAAGTTTTCTGTTTCAGGAAGATCTTGAGCATACTGCACCAAAACGATTCAGGTTAGCTTTGGCTCAGGATGAAGAATGCAAAATCCGTTGTAACAAACCTTGGACGGGTACACATTTCTAAGGTTCGTATAATTTGTGTAAAGCTTGCCGCGAGCTTGCCGGGCAGCACTTCTCGTTGTACCAAGTCTTTCCCAGTTGATGCCCTGAGCGTCAAATCGGTCGCCCTGTAGATCATCGCGAGTAATCTCAACTGGCCTTGTCCAATGTTTAGCATGTAAAGCATCTGGGCCGACTGGTGCAAAGTCCGGATGTCGAAGCCCATGGTGGACTCTCCAGGTTTCGAGGAACTTGCAAACGTCCGGGTTGCGCTCAAGATCTTCGAAAGGGTAAGCTTCGAGTTCTTGCTCTGCCCCATCATCATCGAGAATGCCTGTGGGCCAAGTGAGAGGAAGGTTGATCGAAGACTGCATTGCTATTGGGCCAAGAAAGGGGGCGATTGAAGCAGGCTCCGGCAGCGGCATGGCGGATGGTGAATCATATTCGACAGCACTGTCGCTCTCTGCATCACTCAATTCGGACGAAGATTCAAACTCGGCCATTGGGGTTGAAAATGAAAGGCCAGGAACCGCTTGATGAGTTATGCCAGCCATCACCCCAGGTATCGATGACTGTTCCAGAGGTTGTGAAAAAGAACTGTTTCCATGGCCCGGTCCATCAGAACTAGGATTGCTTGGAGGGAAGAAGAGTCCATTGTCAGCCATTGCCGAACCGGACGATACGTTGGGAGGGGTAAAGTTCCCAAGGGATGGGAGCGACGATAGTGAAGCCGCCTGAGCTGGGGCATCTGGGTCGAAATAGCGTTCGAGCTCGCGCTCGAGCTCCTCTGATGACAGGCTTTCGGACGTAGAGCTATACTGATCTCCCATCTCGTCACCCAAGAGCGACGCAAAAACAGGTTCTTGCTGCGCCAGCACTTGAGCCACGGACTGAAACGAAATCGCCTGAGATGACGGTGACGCAAATGACCTTTCGTCGCCATCGCTATCACCAGTGAAGAAGCCACCAAAACCGGCGCCCACGCCTCCACTCATCTCCACGTCCATGTCGACATCATCTAGAGATAGGGAGACACCACCCGCACCTTCATCTCCACTGCTCAGATAGCCTGCCAACTGATGATCGTGTTCATCGCATTCACTTTCAGAAGTGGAAAAGGAGCCCATATCTTCACAATCACGACTGCTCGGGTCGTTCGGGCGAGCACCAAGATCCATCACCGAGTTGTCAACTTGGTACTTTATTATCGAGTCATCTGGTCGCAGTTCACTGTTGGCTGGATGAGGATGCAACGTAGTCAAACGCGAGTTGTCTGGAGCGGCTCGAGGGTACTGCCCATTGGCGTTCAGATTGGTATGCGGGAAATCGATTTCTTGTAGATGACTATTCCGACGGCCAAAATTGTAGTTGATCTCCACCACTCTTGGTCGAGTGTTCTCCTGTGGCTGATCCTGCTGACGCTGGTATTGCTGTGCAGATGGCAAGATGGAACCCCCAGGGTAGTCTGGACAGCCGGGTGTCGCATTCGACATTTGCGCTATTCGGGTATCCTCAACGCTTTCGAATCGGCCTGAGGTAGGCCGCACACCAGGTGGAGAGCTGGACTCGCCAGCACTTCTCTGCGAGGAAACGCCCGAGTTTAGGGACTTATGGATGTCTGCAGACCAAGGACCAGCACGGAGACTAGACCGCCTGCAACGGTCGGGCATAGGACGATTGGATGTTATGATGACATGAGGCTGGGCGTGCACAGCGAGAGATTCAGAAGCAATATGACCCTATCAGCAACACTGAGCGATGGGTTCCCTGCGCGTGAGCCCAGGCGAAGCGATGTGAGTCAATGGGTGAAGCCTAGCAATGAGTGATCCACGCTTCCTTCTCCGGAGGGATCCACCCTGAAGGAGACGATTCGAGCCAGCCGAAGCAATGAGCTAAGAAGAGAATCGGTGAGCCTAAAATCTCAATGCAAATGCGCAAGCAAGCTAACAGAAGCAAAGCGATATTTGCAAAAAGCAAACGGACGTTTGAAGCTTGACAAAGGCTCCTTGGCCGTAGTCCAAGAGCGTTGAGATGAGGTGGGGTTTCGGGCTGGGCAAGGCGAAGCGGGAGCGAGTGCTGATACGAGAGGCGGCGCAAGCGATCTATCCGCGGGGCCACTCTTTCGAAGAGGTTCGAACAGAGCCGCTTGGGCTATGATTTACAAGGTGACAAAGGTAGAGGCCCGACTAGAGACGGGCTCTATAATCGGCGACGGTGCACGCGTGGGCCGCCGGCTGTCAGTTAAAATGGTGGGGGGTTCAGCAAGCGGGCAGTCTCGGGGGATAAAATGCCAATACTACAGCAGGCTCTTTCTCATGAGATTGGCCAGCCGGGCGGCGGAATATGCGAGCGATAGCCAGCCCTTTTTGGTTGTGGAGCAGTAAGGGGGGTGTATCAAGCAGCACGTGGCAAAGAACATGAAAAGAAACGGGCGTGATGTTTTCTTTTTTATTTTTGGATGGGGCGTTGTCAAGGTAAGGAGGAGGCGGGAAAAGAAAAGTGGAGGAATGATAATGGCAAAAGGGCCCAGGAAGACTCAGGTATTCACTGATTTTCTGGTTGTATCATAGAAGGTTGCCCGCTTCACGCTGTCAAAGTACGGCACATTTTTTTTTTCTTTCGGGGGGGAAGACGGGGAGGGGGGGGGGAAGACAGTTCAACGGGCCCTCATGGCGAGACACGCTTCTGTGCCCTTGTCTGCCACCTCACCCCAGTTTTTAACCTTCTTTTGCCTTTTACAGACGCTTTTGTATGCTGTATTTTCCCCTTTTCCCTAACTCACTGTCGTACTCACCTGAACTCGGCTGGCGAGAGCGTTCGCCTGTGTGTTGGCCGGGGGCCTGTCAGGGTGTTCGTGGCGTCATGTACAGAAAATGATACAGCTACAGTACATGGAAGTAGCTCTTGCATCATCTCTCATGCTCTTCAGCTGCTTGTCCCTGACAGCTGTACATCATGGTACCTTGCACTCTGGGTCGAAGCCCAATCACCTGGCCCAGAGTGGTTGCACAAAGGCCATGTCCCGGTTTTTCCCACAGGAACCTCCAACCCACAATAGCCAATGAATCTCAAGGGAGAAATCTTATTCCTCGGATGCGTGCACCCTTTCGGAATGAAATAACTGCAAAAGCAAAGCACACAAAAAGGTACTGCAAGGGCACTGCATAAGTGATATTTGACACATCTCATTTGACTCTCAATACAGAGGTAACATATACTAACCGAAAGATAATGTCCAAATAGTAACCGAGCACCAGGCATGCTTGCATAAAACCATGCCTAACTTAAACCTACAGCTCTATCAGCTTTCCAGCTCACATTTATGCTTGACCTTCCTTAAGGTAGTTATCATTACTTACGATTCTAGAAAGAAGGAATCTATATGCACTGTACTTACACAACGTTTACGAATGTACCGATGGGCATCATGCCTGCACTACCGCCCCTCGCAGACAACTCACTGACCATAAAAAGCGCAGTGGGCGCTTTCGAGCTGGAATTGCCATGAACGCAAATACGAAGAAACAATGAAATAAAATTTTCATGATTCGATATATGTGCATTTACTCGTCTAATTAATTACAAGGCTAAGAAAAATATGAGAGCTATGAGAACATATTAGGAAAATTTCTTATGTGCTGCGACAACAACATATGATAAGAATTGTAATGAGGAGTCGCTGAGACTTTCTTGTCCTTGTGCAAGAGTTTGCCGAATGCGAAGATGGCAGATGATACAAGCCCACAAAAGGAAACAGCAACCTAGAGATGCTCATGCTCTCGAATATAATGCAGACTGGGACGCCACTATGCATGTCGTAAGAAAATATTTTTCACATGAAAAAAAAAAAAGTCTTGTCGTAAGTCGAAAAGGTATTTAGTCGTAGCCGTGATGCTGCGAGGGCCAGCCTGAAGTCGAACCAGATGGCTGTGACCATCCAACGCTGGTCGTCGCTCGACTACGTCGCTCTGTAGTGAAAATCTCGGATTAGCAAAAGGGGTTTGGACTGCTGCTCCTCAGGCAATCCTCTCTCTCACTCACCTCGTTCATAGTCGGCCCATCGCTTCATTGTAATTTTGCTGCTGTCAAACTCGCCTTGAACAGTATCGTGACCATCCCCCTTCTTCGTCTCTCCCGCCGTCTTGCGGGTGTCTCCCCAACTGAAATCATCAAACTTCCAATAGGCATATGTCGGCAAGACAAAGTTCCAGATTGGTAAAGAAATCAAATAAATCAACATCCACAAGATGTAAGACAGCCGATGCGCTGTCAGTACAATCAGAATACCAGGAAGTCCAAGGATGAGTGCGAGGAGCGTAAGCGGAATGACAGGAACTGGCTTCCTCACAAAGGATATGACGACTGTGGACGGTCAGATCAGCAACATGGCACCTCAGAGACCTCGCCTGCATGTTGACTTACTCAGATACACGGTAAAGGAGATGGCAGCGGGTAGGACCAGCGTGCCAATCAATTCAATGAAGACGACAAATTGCATGCTAAAGCAAAACGTCCCGCACAGGTCCCTGACCAACACAAGTTCCATGAGGTTGTGCACCGTACTATTAATCCAGCGTCGGCGTTGAGAGAGAAGCACCATGAACTTGTCCGGTACGACAGTCTTACAGACGGCCTGAGGAAGAAAAATTTGCTTCCGCTTCGGGAATGTCTTCAACATCAGAGTCGAAAGATAACGATCCTCACCCAGAAGGAGAAGATTCTTCTTGTGAAGAGTGTCGACGACGTTCTCGGAATAATGCTCGACCACATCGGGGTTGGCCAAGATTGGAACCCAATAATTCTGGCCTCCTTTTGGCGCTTTGATGCGATACATGCAGAAACAGCCAGGCAAACAGGTGACACCACCAAACACTGACTCAAACGACTTCGCTTGGTGGTGAGAGATAAAGTACCTATATCCCAGTGTTAGCTTCTTCCACTTCTTCTTTTTTCCCCAAAGCCGCAAAAGAGTCAATACATACTCGAAAACCTGAATCATGGACACCCAACTCTGAGTCTTATTCGCAATCTTGGTCTCTCCACACAAACCCATAACCTCCGGGTCAGTAACCATAGCAGAAACCATATGCGTTAAGCAATCGGGGAAAACTTTGGTGTCCGCATCGACCATGAGCATAATTTCATAGAAATCAGGGCTGATACCGGTAATGCGCCAAAGACCATTGAACATTTCGTATTCAAGTTCCGTCATTCTTTCGTCGAACATGACCTTCTGAAGGAATGACATGATGATGATCTGGCTGTCACGCTTGCCTCGGTTTCCAGGCTTAGCTTGCTCAGCTTCCTGGGGCGTCCCGCATTTCACCACAACCATCATGGGAACTCTCTGTTGTCTGTCCGCAGGGACGACCGAATCCTCTCCGTAGTCATAAAAGCCAGCGTATACTTTTGCCATATTATGTCTCTTTGAACCACCAGCCACAGCAACGTAGGAATAAGGCTGCACTTCGTCCGGCAAAACAGCGTGATCTTTTAGCATACTCAACGCAGCATCGGGCGTAGACATTGTTTCTCCGTGGCCCTTGATGATGCCGTCGCAAATGATCAAGAGCGCTTTGTGGCTATTAGGATAATCGGTAGTGGCCAGCGAGTCAAGCGTCGTCCGTAAACCTTCAACACCCTCGGAATATGCGGTAACCAAACAAATGGTATGAGCCAGGGGATATCCAAATGGCTGCCATTCTGGAGGGGGTTGAGGTACGACGTTCTCGTGAATGAACCCTGTAGGGCCAACCGCATCCACATCGCTCATTAGAGCAGAGAATCTTGTTTCCGGAGCTTGTGAGAGCATAAGGCTGGACCTACTTGTGCCGTGAGAGAGCTTGCTAGTTGGATCGGACAAATTTCCTTGACTCCCATCCGTTTGGCTATACATTGGCTGATTGGCCAGGAGACGAGCTGTTGAGCTCTGGCTAGCCATCGTCGTTGGCGTAGGACGTTGTTTCTTTGCGACATTCTCAACAGCGTAAGGGCTGGTGAATCTTGACGTCTTCGGAAGTAAGGTACTGCCACGTTTGCCGCCCTTATCTGGCCCGCCAACCATAGTATCGCCATATCTGGGCGGAGGTTGGTAAATATCTTCAGTCCAGTCTTCAATTTCTTGATTTCGCTTTTTAGAAACACCCATCCCATTTGCGACATAGCGTCGACTGAGAAACCAGCCAAAGGCTACTGCGAGAACAAATTTTGATACGACGATTGAGAGAATAAAGATCAAAGACACATAAAGAACAACCTTGGATGCAATGCAGCCCACAGTCTCGGTGTCGATAGATCCCACTCTGATAATCTCTGTCAAGCAGCTGGCAAGATGCTTGTCGGTTGAGCTGGCCTGAAAAGCTCGAGTCACATCTGTCCCTCGGACGGCTGGATTCTTGCGCAGGTCATCAAACTGTGCCGGGTATGACACTTCAGATGTGTTGAACCATTGTAATAAATCAAGATCCAAAACATCACCAGAGTAAACCATCAAATTCCGACTGGAATTCTTTATATCATCCCACGTAAAGTAGACTTGCCCCGAGCTCTTGAGATCATAGAATGCTTTACGACTATTGGCTGTTGTATGGCAAGCGTACCCTAGGTAATATGGATCCGTCGTATTGGGTTTGCTGGAGCCGTCCTGATTGAATGTGTTGCAGGGGAAATACCAAGCCAGCTCGCCATTCGAATTCGAAGGAACGTCTGACCCCTTGGCTTTTGTAATCAGGCCCTTACAGGCTCCGTTGACGTTCTGGAAGAGAAAGCTGCCATCCTGCCCGCCGTGTTTCTCAGGAAGGTCGTAGAGCACGTTTGCATTTTCAGGGATTCCTCGAGCTGGAGGATGTTTCGACTTGGACAGATCATAGGCGCTGCCGTGGAAAATCATATATCCGGCTTCAACATGATTGACCTTCATACGTGCAGGCGCCGACCCGCAGACGACTTCAGTAAATCCGAAAGTAAGGAAGCCAACAAACGTGCCAATCAAGAGAATGATGCTGATCAGACCCATTTTCTCTCTCCATGCTCGTTTTTGCGCCTTTGCGGGCATTCCAAAGCAGCCTAGAACAACATCCGGACACCAGAAAGTGATCAAATGACAGTAGATGTTCCATAGGCTGGGCGGGGTTACCGCCTCCTGCTGTTTCTGCTGTTTTTTCCTCTCTCTTCTTTTCAATTTTCCAGGTGGAACAGGATCGCTTTCCCCTCTTTGATGCCCATAATCGCTTCTCGAAGGCGAGCTGTCGGAATAGGCCACGCCAACAGGAGCTGCTTGACCTGGACGATTGAGGCTTGCCATTTCAGTGCTTGTCGAACTCAGAGCTTCCTCCTCATGCTCATCGATTAAGGGATCATTACCGGTAGTGGAGGGCATAAAGTTCATATTTTGTGCGTGCTGGCGATAGTGATAATTGGGATGGTCACGGTCAATCCGGTTCCGCTCCGGTCGTATCAAGCTGCGTTTCCGGCCCAGCTCAACAGGCGGTCCTGATGAAGCCATCATAATAGGATCTCTGTCACCCGGAAGTGTGCCGGGAGAAGCAGGTTGGTAGGCATACGGGTCTCTTCGAGAGCCTCTCGGCGGCGAGTAACCGCCAGCTTCCACATCGTTACTGCGAGACCGTCCATGGGACAAGGCGGCGGAAGAGTGATGCCGATGATGATGGTGATGATGCTGCCGCCGGCGTGGTGAGGTCGGGTCAGGTTTCTGCGGGCTCGCCATTATTGATACCTTGAGGCGAAATCGTCAGCCACATTCCAAACCCACACGTGGAGACCAACGCTTGTCTGCAGCCACTCCACGCGAAGAATGCGATTTTCTTCTGCCTTTCAATACGCTCCTTGGCAATGATGTAAGAGCAGACATTCCACAGCACTTTGAGAAGAAATCCATCGGCCAGAATCAATTCTTTGTTTACTTACCGTCGACTTATTCTGATTTGTATCCACCCTTTCTCTAGCGTTCCCTTGTCCAAAATTATTTAGGGTAGCGTATGACTTGAATCACTGTTGTGGAGACCAGAAGTGAAGATGAAGAGACGCTGCCGCCGCAGGCGGCAGAAGTCAATGCAGACGACGAAGGACTCTTCAAAGTGCCGGAGGTTGAAACAGCAGATCAGGAAATATACAGTCTTTGAATAGCGCAAGGAGTATTCCCGTTTCGAATGTGGTCTAATGTCCGCCGACCGGTAATGCAATCATCGCAACAAAGGTCCGAACTCGTAAACGGCGATCGCTCTACCGTCAGTGCCTCCCAGAGGTCAATACCGGCGATGAGGACTAATGAGGCGTATCAGGCCAACAGGGAAAATGACTTGAGCTGCAGTCAAATCGCACGCCCAAGTGTTGGTAGACCGTTCGTGAGGATATTTTTTGACGCAAGTGTTTTGAGTCTGCTTAGATGCTCGCAGGGTGAGGGCAGGACGCAAATGGAAATGGCTTTCAGTCTGAGCCAATCGAAGATCACTGCGAGTGCACAGTGCAGTTTGTAGTGGCTCGAGGGGTTCAACGCTACGCCCTAGTTTGGGAAGTGTCCGATGGCTGAATATCCGCGGCACCAAAAGAAAGACTTCACTACGAGTACCTTACGTCCGAAGGCTCTATTCGGGTGGTCCTATCTCTACTGTACTCAGAAGTTCCTATTTTTTTTTCTAGGAAAAGGGCCTTTGTTGTGGGGGGAAAATTGGAAGACAACAGCGATGCGCGTCGGTCTCAGAACGAATGCCTCCAGCGGGCGGAACGAGGCATCGCCGCTCGGTCTAACTCGAATTAGGTATCTGTACGAGTGTAGTGGCCTTTTTGACCACTTTAGCAGAAGTCTCGCTACATCCATACGCCGCGCACCTGACCCATTTAAATCCACTAAAGTGGACGGGAAGAAATCTCGTAAGCCTGACTACTATATCAGGAAACATGACGTTGCCGAGGAAACTTCTCCCATCCTTGTAGCGTCGGCCAACCATTCACCAAAAAGCCCATCCATTTTGAGTGCTTTTCCCCAAACCCAGAGAAAGTTGGTGTTTGTTGACGCAGATCTGTCGCAGCTATATGATCTACGGGTATCCGTGCTCACGAAAGGCATGCCGCAAAGCAAGATGGCCGCCTTTCCGTCTTTTCCTGCTCTTGTCATGGAGAAATTGATTACAAGGCCATCGATGATAGCAGATAACAAGGGACATGCTGCTCCCTTTCATCGTTGGAGATGGCATGCTTCTCGAGTTGAAAATGCAAGGTAAATGGGCTAGGCTGAAAGTCTTAATACGTACAAATTTGTACAGAGGTACGCAATGGATTTAAAGAGAGGTTGAGGACCTTATGGTTAAATGTGCACAACTAAGGGGATACGAGGCTGGCGCTTCTCGCGTACAATCCGACTCATCCGGCAAGCTACTAGGTAAGTTACGGGTATAACTCTTTAAAATCGTCCAGTGACCCTTTCAAGCCCCATAAAAAAGTGTTAAGTACTATTGACATGATGTCTTCGCTAGATGGCTTATTTGCCCCTGTGAGGCTTCTGGTTCTGGATCATGGGTCTCAAACCGCCCTTGAGCGTCCAAATATTTTCCATGTGACTGGTATTGATTTGATTTGACGGGTCACGACGAGCAATATAAAGGCCCTATTCGGCAAGAACGTGGCGCGCTGAAAGAAGAGGGCCTTACGTAACAAGATGATGGATTATTGAGACCCTGGAGGCGGACGGGCTGGAAGGCTCAGGGTTTGAGTGAGAGAGGAGCCGGGTGGTTGGTTTCCGGTCGTGGTGAGCACGGTCTTCCAGCCCCAGAAAAAGAAGGACGAGGAAAAACGTGTGGCAGCCATGGGACGAGAGAGCGTGCTCATCGGCCCCTCGTCTTCTCGAAAAGTTTTCCCCTTGCACTAGCCCTTAGCTGGGAGAAGGTCCAAGGTACATTGACTCAAGTGGACGAACAATTTCAATCCCCAAACCAACATTAGGTAGTGATCTTTGACGAAATACTTGGACAAAAATGCACAGAAGAAAATTCATCAGCGCATAAAAGTTTAGAATAATGAGCACATGCGTGATCTAGTTTAGGTAAAGATTCACTGGCTGCAAAAGAGCACATTTGAAGTGTATGAAGTGCGTGCAAGCGTACAGGTACACGGTACAACTGTTGCCCATTATAGTAACCCTCCTTCTCGATCTTATGGGATCGCCGAGTGGCTCCCGCCCACACGCACGCACTCGCGCATTCTCACACCTACTTGGCGTCATCTCAGCACCGCGGTTCTTTGGCTTGTAGGGTAGGTGCGCTCTCAGTTCGTACCTACCCTAAAGGCTCTCTTGATCCAAATCTGTCTCATTGTCTCCCTTATGGCTGTGTTGTTATTCTGGTGCCACTCCTGAGCCAGCTACTTTGTTTAGTTTTTGGCTGGACAGGTCTCATTTTCCTACACCAGCCCCGTCTTGTACAAAACAGCCCCCCTCCGTATATACGCCCTTTTATCATCCTCTCCTTTGTCCGAACCGCTATTACGGTAAAGGTAGACGAAAGCCCCTCATCCGCAGAGAATCTCCCATGTCGTTTTGCTGACTAAAGGTTCACATTCGTCAGAAAGCCGTTTGATATCTAATAGATCAGCGTGTGGCCTAAGAGTCCCCGTCCGCTTTGTTTCCTGCCCCCCAATATCTTTCAACAAAAGCAGTTGCCTTCTCTCTCTTTTTGATCACGAGTTGATTCAACTTCTCAATCTGCTTTCTAGCTCACGCCGCATGTTGCGCTAGCACTTGGCTCGGCTGTCTATAAGTCTTTCGGGCCCATAATACTACTGCCCCAGGGTCCACCATTTACGGCTGCGCCTCGCGTCACTAATCAACCCTACACCTTGTCACCCACTCTTTATTCATTGATCACACTTGTGACAGTTTGGTAAAGGGTTGATCGGCCCCGAAAGCAATGGTTAGACTCTGTGGTTCCTGAATTGAAGAGACCAGGCAAATCCGCTTTTTCGCGGCGCTAAGATTCGGATGTCGGAGTTGATCTAGGTAGGTAGGCATACCTCTATACAGAGCATACGTCGTCACACCCTTGGTTTTACCCTGGGGTTCCGAGTGCAGATTATTTGACCCTTGCTGCACGCCTTTCCCAGCAAAGCGTGTTCCTCAGTAGACGGTGCACTTTTGCGTATGACTGCTGTTGAATTTACACCTGCGAGCCGCCAGGATTATTTGGCTGATTATATCCGCCACCAACAGTAGTCCGACTCGAGCTCCCAACGCAGAACCTATTTCAAATAGAGAAAGCGAAACCTCTGCCTGTTATCACGACGACTGCGAGGTACCCGAAATACTTCTGACCAGTAATCGTCTGAAAATGAACCAGAAAAGCGATTCAAATATCAAGGCTTCCCGGAGCTCCGTTTCTGGCGAAGGACAAGGCGCACACCAGAGCAAACGCCCGCTTTCATCTCCAACAAGGGACGTAGACTCAACAAAGGAAAACTTCACAGTGCAGGAACAGCAGGCATCTCCTTCCCGAAACGTTGGTAGGGTCCTCTCACCGAGCCGCATTCAAGCTCAGCCTCAATCGCCTCCGCGCAAAGAGTACCATTATGAAGTATCTCATTCGAGAACACCTTCTACAGGCTTCGATTCTCATGCGATGCGCAAAGCTCCGCGCCAGACAAATGGGAATACTATAGGCATTTATGGATCTCCACAAAGCGAAGTGTCGGAACATTTTGCAGGACCAACGAAATCTATTCCGCTCCGCCAAGGTGAGACGAGATATGTCTCAGGAAGTGTGCATGAGCCTCAATCCGCTGTCTTCTCTTCTGTTGACAGCCAGGGCTCAGAGTCTCCACGGGAATCTCGGGAAGATGCTGCTTCAGGCCAATCTATGCAATCTTCCCACGAAAGCATTAGAGAAAGGACGGACCCACCACAGATATACGTTCCACTCCAGTACCATCACCAGCAGAGTTCCACGGACAATACATCAAGCGCAGGAGCGCGCGGTCGGGCCGTACAGAGCGGAGCGAAGGGGAAAGCTCCTGAATCACCCGGGTCCTCTTCAAGTGAAAGAAGATCTCAGCAGAATCAACGGTTGGCACCATCGAGCACACAACAAGCGAGAGCCTCGCTGGCTCGCCCTGCATCAGTTGCTTCATTGGGCTCAAACCTGAGTGCGCATAGTCGCTCACGCTCTCCTCACCCCAAAGGATCTCCCAGTACCATAAGGGGTCTGTCCGACGGCTCTGCGAATAGCCGACCGGTCTCGTATATAGATTTACTGAATGGTTCCTACCCTCAACATGCCCCAGGTCCTGCCAGCCTGGATAATTCCCACCTTCGAAATGTGGTAGGGAAGAATGCCTCCTTACTGGACACCAAGAAGACGATTGAGATGTACCGCGCGAATGTAAAAAAGACGAACGAACCCTCGGTTCAATACGAATTTGCTCTTTTTCTAACTAATTCTGCTCAAGAGTTAGCTGCTCAGACCTCGACATCGACCACGAAGAGCACGGACAGCCAAGAGGCTGACAAATCCTCACCAGTAGCCACTAGGGCTGAATACCTCCGCGAAGCTCGCCAAATATTGCAGAAACTGTCTGATCGCAGCTATCCATTCGCTCAGTACTACTTGGCGGACGGCTATGCGTCTGGCATCTTTAATAAGGACCAAGAAGATTACGAGAAAGCCTTTCCGCTTTTTGTTGCCGCCAGCAAGCATGGACATGCTGAAGCCGGTTATCGAGCTGCTTTGTGCTATGAATTTGGATGGGGCTGTCGAAGAGATCCCGCCAAAGCCGAACAGTTCTATCGCCAATCTGCATCTAAATCCCATCCGGGCGCAATGTTACGGCTTGGCAAAGCGTGCTTGTCTGGCGACATGGGCCTTGGAAAACGCTATCGCGAAGGAATCAAATGGCTGAAAAGAGCGGCAGAATCCGCTGACGTGCAATATAACTCTGCACCCTACGAGTTGGCGATACTACATGAAACAGGCTATGGCCCCGATATTTTCAAGGACGAGGCATATGCGGCCCAGCTTTTCACCCAATCAGCGGATCTGGGTCACGCAGAAGCTGGGTTTCGGCTGGGCGAAGCCTATGAATATGGGCAACTTGGCTGCCCTCGCGATCCGGCGCTTAGCGTTCACTTTTACAACTGTGCCGCTCAACGAGGACATCCTCTGGCAATGATGGCTCTTTGTGCGTGGTATATGATCGGCGCAGAGCCTGTTCTAGACAAGGACGAGAATGAAGCATACGAATGGGCTAGAAAATCAGCTGAAACTGGTTAGTTCGCTCTGTCTGCCTTGTACTGAATGACGAAAGCTGACTTCCAATCCGTCTAGGACTGTACCCAAAAGCCGAGTATGCGGTCGGCTACTTTAAAGAAATGGGCATTGGATGCCGTCGAGACACACTTGACGCGAATGTATGGTATGTCAAGGCCGCAAGTCATGGGGATGAACGGGCAAAACAACGCCTAGCAATTATCCAAGCAGCGGCCTCTGGCGAGACGGACAAAGCTATGCCCAGTGCTGGAGACAAGAGTAAAAGTAAAGCAGGCGACGCAACCGGCACGGAACAGGTGGCCGATGGTAAGAATTGTATCATTATGTAAAAGTGATTTCCTTGTGGATATTTTTCTGGGAGGGGGTTGGCTGTTTTTGGCACGACAGCATTGCAGCGTTGGGTTCTCATTTGACTTTGAATATGTGTGCGTTGCGAGCGGTTTAATTTTTTTGTTGCGATGATGTTACGCAGTATGCGTTTGACTTGGATAGCAGGTTGCATTGCATTTCTTCGGGAATTTTGGCGTTGAAAGAGGGCGTTAGCATTTTCAACGCTCTTAGGGAGATGTTGTTCTTCTTTGGATCCAATTGGATTGGCAGCCTTAATTAGATTCTGACCTCATCCTATGCCGCTCATGTATAATTTTTTAGGGTCTATGCAGTGCCGAATGTCATGGGTCTGAATCGTTGACTGGCCCAATGGACGGTATTTTAACTATATAACATCTTTGACCGTTGACCTACATCTCCCCACCGGAGAAATCGGCCTTTGCTGGAACCCGATTGCCCCGGTTCTGCAGGAACATCCCGCATTTAAGCGAACTCGAGGGACGACATGTCCTCGATCATTCAAAAGTCCCTAGGTCTGATATTGCTGCTCAAAGGGTAAAAAGAAAAATATTTCACGTCTTCAGTCAGGCGGGACAGACCATTAGAGTCCTGGAACTTGATTATTCTTCCTGTTATCTCTTTCACTTTGTTGCAGGCTGGCGATGGTTGAGTAGCAAAGACAGTGGTGCAGCGAGCTCAAGGGAGCCGGAAGACGTCGGAGCTAGATCACTCTTGATGTCAACGCACAAACAATATCTTTACACAACTTTCAGCCATATCTTATTGCTGGCGTGAGACCGTTTGGGTGCTGGCACCTCGACTCCAAATTAAACATGGAGCTGCCACCACTCTCCAGCCTTGCCATACCCGGAGTATCTCTACTCATTGCATTTCTTGCGTACTCGTCGCAGATACTCTTTCACTATATTGAACCTGGACCCCTAGAAAAGGACCAATATGTGATTTTCAACTTAGTTGTGGCCTGTATCTGGGTATGCTACGCAAGAACTTGTTACATCGACCCTGGGAAAATTCCAAAGGATTGGCCCACGGCAGTCTTGTCCAAGGGTTTAAGTTCAACCGTAGCAGACGCGAAAGGTCCAAACACAACAAACCTGGAACCAGTGGATATGGGGGAAGTCAAATCCTCGCCAACTGGAACCTCAGATATACAAACTCGCAAAGGACGTTGGTGCAGGAAATGCGAAGCGCCGAAACCGCCGCGTGCTCACCATTGTAAGCAATGCAAACGGTACTTAATATTACTCCTCATCCACTCGCTGGTCCCTCAGCCGTTGGACTAATTGATTGTCATCTCAGATGCATTCCAAAAATGGATCATCACTGCCCGTGGACTTCAAACTGTGTCTCGCATACAACGATTCCTCATTTTATGCGATTCGTTTTCTACGCGGTGACATCCATGTCCTATTTGGAGTATTTCATCTGTATCAGAGCGAAATGGATATGGGATTCTAGAGATCTTCCGAGCGTAAGTGCTGTGAGTGAAACGTCATAATGCTCTGCGCTGATACAATGATTCCCTGCAGTATTTTGGCCCATCTATACTTCAGCTGTCCCATCTTCTTGTCCTTTTTTCCGTTAATTCGTTCACATTATTTGTCCTTACTATCCTATTATTTCGTGCAATATGGAGTCTCGGATCTAACACGACAACTATTGAGAGTTGGGAAAAGTCAAGACATGGCATCTTGCTACGTCGGGCCAAAGCTCTTGGCGGATACCTAGATGGGCCGGATGGCACCAAGATCAAGATTAAAAAACAGGAATTTCCATATGACATTGGAATCTGGAAAAACTTTAAGCAAAACATGGGAGGAACTTCAAATGTAACTCTGCTTCCACGGACGATGGTAACGTGACTAATGTAAAATGCACAGATACTCGCCTGGTTCTGGCCATTTTCCAGCACCCCTACTCTGGACAGCGGTCTGGAGTTTGAAGTAAATGGATTTGAAGGTATGAGTTTATGTTCGTGATATTATTAGGACTTTTACTTATCCTATTGTGCCATAGACCCTTCCGTTACATGGCCGCCGCCTGATCCTGATCGCATGCCTCGAACACCTATTCCGTCAAACCCACAAAACGCATTCACTTATAAGGATGAATCTGGAAGCTCGCTATCATTAGAAGCATTCAAGCAACGCCAAAGAGAGGACTTGGAAAGGAGAGAAAGCCCTGTGTATCGGCGGGCGCGATTCCACAAAAGGTATGACCGTAGTGGCAAGCGGAAAGAAGACCGGGATTCTCCTAGTGAGGACGAAAGTGGCGAGGAAGGCTGGCGAAACCGCGATGGGGATCGTCTAGCAGATTTCGGAGTGGACGAAGCGGCAGAGTTCTACGACGAGGACAATATTCCGCTGGCAGAATTGCTCAAAAAGCGCAAGAACGCGCAAAAGGCATCTTAGAGAGCGGGAGGGGGAAAATATCAGCCAATATGTAATCCAACAAATTTCAACAATGCAGACAAAGAGAAATAACTGCAACCATGATATCTTTCGCACAAGAGGAATCAACGGTTGATTGGAACAATGGAAGAAGCAGAATACTACCGCATTAAACTCGGTGTAATTCACCCAATTCATTTTACTGTCTTTGTAGCAAGTTCAAAACCAGATTTGATTGCGACAAGGGACATAGTGCAGAACAAGTGATCACCCCCTCGGTCTTCAGGGGCGGGAAAGAAAACAAAAGGAGAATCTGCGGAAGCCGCGCCACATTCAGTTGAAATAAACGCAAAGGGGGGGACTGGGGTAGTCATTGCGCAGCATCTCTACCCGCCTGTCCCAATCAGTATTATGAGACAGATCCAGGGTACCATCGGCAATGGACCAATGGGGATGATTTGTACCTTCTGCTCCAGAGAACATTTGAACTTGTCGAATGAGCTAGAAGCATTATGGACCTGGAGTCTGAGACATTATCTGGGATAATTGGACCTGATGGAGATACTTATGGGGCCTGTCAATGCGGGGTGGTAAGCTTTGTCACACAGACACCAATTGTTGGATTGTCACGGGCCACGAAGCAGGTCTCGTGGCGAAGTGCCTCAGTGATGTATTCCAGGGCATATGACAAAAGCATCAGGTAATGGTTGGAACGAAAATCAACGCAAAAAGCCAATGCGAAGATGAGAAAGAAATGCTAATAAAAAGGGAGCATCATTGCATTGTGGAAAATGTGCAGACAATGGGGAACATTAGGTAATTTGTTTGTTTTGCTCTTGTCATTTGGCTTGGGATGCAATTTTGTATATGATTACTCTGCAAGGATGGGCTGACAGCGCTATGCAGGTGAGATTGCGCATGGGTTGGATTCATTATTTGCATGTAGATTGATCGGGCTTTTGGACTCGGAGATAATACTTGTAACGAAAAAGCAGTGAGAGCGGGTCGTCGAGGTTCGGTTCGGTCCCTTCCAGCCCGAGGGGGTTTTATTTCCCCTTCTCCACGCTTGATGATGGGTTGAGTGTTTTAAGGTTCTTGGGGCAAAATTAAGGGCGGATCAGCGACGCCGGCATTATGCGAGTGAAACAGACGATGCGAGCACGAAGAAAGCATCTTCAATAGCACGGGATATAACTGAGAGGCCACGTTAGTGTATGAGGACGAGGGACAATGGGCGAATGCAGAATGTGTGATCGGTCATTCCGATTGAACAACCACGATAATGCTGCAGCTAGCCGCGATGACGCTGACCTGTGCAAAACGTCGGAGGCCTGGTGCAATGGCTGCTTGTGTGGGGACGCATTATGTGGAGGTGGCGCTGAGTGGGGGGCAATATGGCCCGAGAGAAACCCGCGGTATAAAGTGGTCGCTTCTGATCCGAATTGAGCAGTTGAATACGGAGATTGCTAATGAAAGGGCTCACGGCAGTATTATCCATAGGTGTGATTTGATGTGTCGTTGCGTCTAAGCATCATCATGATGACCAGGATATTCCTTCCAAAGTGGGATGCCCGGCTGACCCCTCGCCTTTGAAACGTCCTGAGCAACATCCATGGAATGAGAAGGCCCGAGTGCACGGAGAACCCTCCGGCAAAATCTGGGGCCCTTTTTGTGCAAATGTGATTAGAGATGCAAAGATTACGGGTATTATGGACCAGACCATTGATGTCCCCGGCATCAGAGAAAGCTACCTTATGGTTACGAAATTTGGCCCAAGCAGAATCATGGCATCCTTGCACTCCTCTTCTTTCAACTTACCCCCACATGTGGTTTACCCCCACGCTGGAAAGAGATGGGGGTTCTTACCAAGTAGGTACCGTAGTTAGCCGGTATATCTAACGACCCCTCCAGGTGGGGGAGGGTCAACGGGGTGAGATGGAGTTTAGAGGTTCATCCGTTTCCTTGTCCACGCGAGTCAGCTCCTCTTTTGTCGTCCTGCATGCCTTGTTTTCTTCCATCTTTTGCCACCAGGCACCCCCACTTCTTTGGACGGGCGAACATCCACCACCTTTGATTGATCTTTTTCCCATTGTTCTGGCTCTGGCGCCGAATTCCCGGGGTAGTGTGCCACTGACCCTGGGCCACGCGAAGGGTTATTCTAAACCGTCTTAGTTATGGTTTTTTTTTTTTTTTTTGCTTACTCCAGGGTCTGTTCCTGGTAACTCTATTCGAGAAACTCCAGCGTTCAGCTGGGCCGGACCCAAAGGACGCCCCCTAGAATGTCGCTTACCGGTGTGCCTTGATCACATGTGGCGCTGGATTCGGGCTGAATCTGTACGCTATTCTCAACACTCCGTGGCAGGAAAATGCCCGGTGTCTTCAGCCCCCAAAACAGAGAGAAACGATCAATCTAAAAGGGAGCAAGAGGGGAATGGGGAAGCGCTTGGGAGTGTGAGTGTGTTAAGAGACTAGTTGCTTCGGCCAGGCAGACAGATTCTTGGTATTTTGGTCTTCTTGACGATCTCCCCCAGAGCTAAACCCAAGAGGACTTGACGTTCATCATGTATTCTTTGACTAACCTAGCGGGCATGATCTGATGATCTAGGTCTTGACCAACCGTCGTCATACCGCTGCACAACTTTGGCTGGGGGCCTCGTGGCCCCGGTTTGTGAGAGATGAATGGCGAACCCAACTTCAGCCTCAATCAAAATACGATCCCTCCGTTTACTCTTCATCTGCTCTGCCACTCCGACACTCGTTTCTCTTACCTCATCCCTGCATCTCCATGGGAAGCCCTGTGCAGCTCGTATGGTTGAGTATTTAATCTCTCATCAATCCCGCAGTGGCAGCTTCTCTTCCTTTGACTCTTCTTTTTCTCTTTGTTACGCTCAGGTCTTTTCATCTTCTTTGTGATTTGGCTGTCCTTTTAGCTCTCAATTGGCTGCATTTCGCTTTCAATCTTCATTTCCAAATCCGTCCATTCCATTTTTTTGGTGTTTCATCCGTCTTCTATTTCTTGCTTTAAACTGTATTGGAGTGCACTGGGAAAAGGTTCGATTCTTTCGTCATGGCTCCCCACAAAGATACCTCGTCACCAGCTGGTGACTACACTCCAAGATTCCCCAACGGCTCTTCCTTGTCCCACGGGTCTCGAAACGGCAATAAGCCTGCCACCAATGGGTTTCCTTTATCTTCCTCTTCCTCATCTCCTTATACCCTAGCCTCGGCCTCCAAACTCAAACCCACTTACGACACCTCCACTACCACCACTTCATCAAAGCCTACCCTAGTCTCTCACTCCAGCCCAACGCGGCCCCTTGTTCTAGGCGCGTATGTGCCCACCGTCGTCTTCTTTGACCCTGTCACCGAAGACCTCGATATCCCAGTGATATCGCAGCACGCCGTCCGCCTCGCCCGGGCCGGCGTCGCAGGCATCACCACCCAGGGCTCCAACGGCGAGGCCGTGCATCTCACGCACTCTGAACGCCGCACCGTCACCCGCGTCACCCGTTCTGCTCTCGATGCTGCTGGGTTTTCTACATTACCCATTATCGTCGGCTGCGGCGCCCAATCTACCCGCGAGACCATCGAGCTGTGCCACGAAGCGCTCGAGTCCGGCGGCGACTATGCCCTGGTCTTGCCCCCATCATATTACAAGCCCTTTCTCTCAACAGACGCTCTCATTCAGTTTTTCACCGACGTCGCCACTGCTTCCCCAATCCCCATTCTCATATATAACTACCCCGGCGCAGTCAGCGGCACGGACCTTGACTCCGATGCCATTATCAGTCTCGCGAACCATCCTAACATTGTCGGATGTAAGCTGACCTGTGGAAATACGGGGAAGTTGCTCCGTATTGCCGAAGCCACGGGCGCTTGGAGTCCTTGCTCTTCTTCTTCTTTGTCTGCATCTCCATCATCATCACCAACATCGTCAACGCAAAAGTTCATGTGTCTCGGCGGCTCCGCCGATTTCACCCTCCAAGCGCTCATTGCCGGCGGGTCGGGCACCATCAGCGGGCTAGGCAACATTGCACCAAAAGCCTGCGCGCGACTCATTGATCTCTATGCGTCAGGCCAGATCCAAGAAGCGCGTAAACTCCAAGCCGTCGTAGCGCGCGGCGACTGGGCCGCAATCAGGGGCGGCATCATCGGTACCAAAGCCGCGCTGCAGACCTTCTTCGGCTATGGAGGATACGCGCGCCGGCCGCTGCCAAGGTGGGGCAAGGGTGAAGTGCGCGAGATTGTCGAGGCGTTTGAGGAACTGGTTGAGCTGGAGAAGAGTTTATAACGGCACCTTGGGTATCTAGGTAGGTATCTAGGTAGGTAGGTATTTTGAATACCTTAGGTTACAAATGTTTAGGGGGGAAGGGGTTTATGTCAAAGAGAGAGAGAAAGAGAGAGAGAGAGAGATTGCATGGGCAACCTGGCAACCTGATAACCTAGTGTCATGAGAAGCATACCTTAGATTAATGGCATTGAAAAAAAAACCGACGGGCAGTTTGTCCCGTTTTAAAACCGATTCAAACCCCTTTTGATACCGCTTGGTTCTACGTGATATTTGTATCCGTATCGATATTGTGAACGCTGATCGTGGTGTTCAAATACAGTGTCCCATGTCCAGAACCGTTGGTGTACAGTAGTTTATACACTTAAATCGCTGCATGAAGCAAATATCGGGATCGGTCATTTCTATAAAGGCAAGCTAATCTAAGAGAAATACGAAATAGTAAAAAAAGTAGAAGGGTGAAAAGTAAAGATAAATAAATCGATAAATCAAAAAAAAAAAAAAAAAAAAAAAAAACAAATGTAAGGATTAAAATAAAAAAAAGAGAGCGACATAAAAATATAATAAAACAAAATAAAAAAATAAATGAAGATAAAGATGAAAATATAAAAACAAAAACAAATAAATTTAGATAATCAGATTGAAAAGGACATCAACCTAATAATCGTCCGTTAACGACACAAATACCCGTACAAAAACCCGCAAACACTACCACCGCCGCCTACTCTTACTCCTAGCCCCAACCCCAGCGGCGACACGTCTTCTTCGCTCCACCCCGCGCTGCTTGATCCCCAGCATGATTGCATACCCGCGAAGATGTTCCTGAAAGAGCCACCCGTTTCCGCTTCCCGTGGCCACGGCTCCTCTTGCTCTTCCTGGTCCGCCTGCTCTGCTTCCTGATGCAACAGCAGCAGCAGCAGCAGCAGCAGCAGGTGCTGTTGACGAACCGGCACCGCCTTCGCCTGCATTCTTCGTGTTTCTATTCGTCCGAGTATTTCTCGAATGTCTAGCCGGTCTTGTTGAGCGACGGACAACACCGTCGGTGTTACTACCTGAGGTTATTCCAGCGCTTGTATTAACGACAGCGGGGTCAGTCGCGGGGTCAGTCGCGGGATCACCACCATCGCCACCGCGAATATGTGCCAGGAGTCTGATGCCCTGGGATCCGTTACGAAAGAAAGGACTTGTCTCTGCGAGTCTATCCTGCGTCGGAGCAGTAGTCGCATATGGGGACGTTCCTGTTCCAGATCCTGGCTGCAACCGCGACCCCGTTCCTGGCGCTGATGGCGTACGTAGAGTCGAGGGCGTACGTGTCAAGGTCCCACCGGGACTGCTGAATGCGTTTGGTGGGGTCTTTGGAACCTGGGCCGCTGGTCGAGATGGTGGGGTTTGCGGATTGTTGCTGTAGGCATGTAGACTGGGCTGACTTCGTGGCGTGTGATATGATGATGATGAAGATGTTGTTGTTATTGTGGTATCGGTGGATTGAGATGGGAACGTACTGCCCGGAATAGGAAGAAGCTGAGGTGTGGGAGTAACGACCCAATACCATTCATGCGAAGGGTTGGCGTCAGCGTATTCTTGGGCTTTGAGGAAATAGGTACGCAGATGCGCAAATTTCTCTTCATCGGTGAGTTTTTTAGTTGTCGTCTCAGGAGAACTTGTCTGATTTGGAGGGGTTTGCGGGGTTCGGGGTACGGACTTCACTGGCTGACGAGCTGCATCTCGAGTTTTTGGTTTCTTGGTGCTGGGTGTTGCTTGGCCATGGTCTTTCGAACGCTTCATAGGGACAACTAGTGGAGCACGATGATCAGTGCCTGCTGGAGCGAGAGAAGCAGAGGGCTGCTGTGATCCCGCGGTAAAGGCCACCAGCGTAGATGATGAAAACTCCAGGGCTGAGGGTACGCCAGAGGAGAGCAGATCGCCGGGTAGTGATCCCCGCCGTGGAGGCTGATTACTGTCTCGCCCCAGTAGTGGGTTCATATTGAGAAAGGCAGGCATAGTAAAATTAGAACGTTTGAGCGGCGACCTGGTGAAGTTCAAGAAGGAGGACAATAATGAACTTTTGCCGGAGTTCAACACAGACAAACCACCTTTCACAGGAGGGTTGCTGGGGGTAGTACTGGCAAAGGCTGCGCTAGACGCGGCGGCGGCCGCAGACAGTGCAGCGACAGGGGATTTAGGGCTTTTCCAAAGCCCTGAAGGAGTAACCCCTTTGCCGGGAGTGATGATCTGTTGTGAAGAGGGATCCAATGATTCCAAAAGTTGGAGAAACGGGGCCGGCCACTGAGACGCTGCCTCTTCGTATCCTAGTAATCGAAGCTGCATACCTGGATGAGCTGCTTTGACTGCTGCCACAGTTGCGACTATTTCACGTCGAATAAGTTGGGCATAGTGCGAAAAGTCAAAATTAGACTTCTGGTAAATGTCAAAAACATTGATGTTGGATTTGTCTTTGTCGTCTTGATGGTAGTTTTGCTCGAATTCAGATATATCTGGCACAAATGTATTTCCGAAGAGCCCAATGCAATGAACCTGTTGCAGATAGGGCAGGACAGTCGAGAGGTAAGACTACATAAATAATTAGTTGTGCAGTGTAAAGAGGTGATAATGATCACAGAGCATTAAATATTGGTAGACTGGATATGGAGGCCCAGTGTTTGCAACTGGTAACTTACTAGCAGAGCTTGTTCTCGCCCCGGTCCTGGCCACGCGGGTGTTGCACGAAATCGAAAGTCGATTAGACGCGGTGCGCAAAGTCCAATCTCCCTCATTTCCTCCACAGTAAACTGGGTAAACTCATAATTGAACCCATCAATGACGGAAAGCTGTTCCAACCATGGCAAATGTGCCTGAATTGCTGAAAATAGCTGCGCTTTCTGATTCAGTGCTCTCCAGCTCCATCCCTGACCCACGTTGTTGTCAATTTCTCCAATGTTGCCGGGGAGAAAGTTGTCAGAAGTAAATTGCCCACAGATTTGAAGCGCTTTCAGCCGGCATGTACCAGATCGGAGAAAGTTGCAAACGGCCATTTGGTCTTGTTTTTGCGGACCACGTTCAGTGTCGGGATAATCATGAATATCAGGCAAGTGAACGTCGAACCCGCCAAGATTTGCCGCCTTCCCAGTCAGAGGCTGAAGAATATGGCGCAAGACAACACAATGATCAATCTTCAAATCTATGAGATCCTGAGGAATAAGGGCCGAAACTATGTATTTTGCTGCAATGCCAAGGCCGACAAGGGAAAGCCGCTGGACGGATATAGTGCCGGGCGCTTGTATTTGACTTGGAGGCAAAGACAAATCGCTTTGACTGCGGGATGGGAGAGGCGTAGCATCGTCAGCGGCTCTCTGGCGGCCAGCATGGCTAAGGTCTCCAAAGATGCGGACATCGCGAACATTATCAAAGTACCTGCCTATTACTCTAGCAAGCCTAGACACATGCAAAGATGTCGCCTCCAAGAGCACAATATCGCTTAGAACAGAGAGCTTGCGTTTATCAGGACGCGATGTAGCCTTTGACGAACTCGGTTTCATCTCCTGGGCATCTTGTTCTTTATCGCCTATCAGAATATATTGGCCTTCGCACAATCTAGTCGCCATCGTCGAGTGAATAATAAATTGGCATTCTCGCAAACATGTCAGGTCGTCGCCAAGAGATTCTAGAAGTGCCGGGCTGAACGGGATCGTCGAATTCCATCTGTAGTAACAGGCGTTAGCACCAGCTTTGTATAGTAATCCTACTATAATAAAAAGGTGGAAATCTAGAATATTCTCCTACGTACGTAAAAGATCTGAGCGCCGAAAACTCTTTCACCAGGGCCCCAAATTTCCAGTTCCACGCGTGGATATTGTGAGCAGACAGTCTAGATCGTGCTGTCATTAGCGGACTATCATGGATTGAAATCTCTTGTATCCATTCCGGATGCCAGCTATCCGTCTTTCTCCTTGCTTCAATACTATCAAAGAAGGCCTCAAACTGGCCCTTTGCGCTCTGGCCCTCGAATATGGAATCGAATGATAAGTCAATGCGAGCCCACAACACTGGCTCAGCTGCAGCACGGGTATAACGGTTGAAGAGCAAGGATCGAATCTGAGCAACAGGCACCTAAGATATTAGAATTAGCAAAAAAGAAGTTCGAATTTGTGACGTCGACAGCGTTTTAATTGAGTTTCTGGGACTCCAGTACATAGTCGTTTAAAATCTGCATGAACAGCGGCCCCTGGTCTTCGCCATGAGGATAATAATTTTGAAGTTGCTCTATCAGGGTCATTTGCGGATTCTTATCCAGCAACTCTTGGAATTTCTCGCGGGCACGATCGCGAGGAAGCCGATTTCGGCGCCTTGTCTGAGGAGTTATGTTCATCTTCGTATAAATTACCCTACGTGTGCAAAGGTATCTCGACAAAAGAATTTGCAGGAGAGAAGTAATTCGCAAAACTTCAAGGAACTTCAGATCAAGAAGACTTCATCTATAGATGGAGAACCGGGAGGATGCTCGTTTGTGTAAGTCATGATGGAGGTTAGACCCCGATTAATTCCACGAACAAAGAAGGCAACGCCAGCTGAACCGAGAACAAAGAACATTTGGAGGACAGCAAAAGCAAGATAACTCAAAGGACGCGATCAAAGTGAACACACAAAGGGAGTCAGAGAAGGTAAATGTCAATTTCGGCGATGACTTTGGGAAAGGTGGGATCTCGCGGGCTTTGAGTCGAATGAATGCCAAAGGAGAACGCAGTAGCTGTGAGCTATGATCCCTGTGAAAGCTACGGCCGATTGAAAGTGGGCAAAAGGACCGCCTTCAACTCCTCTAATCATCGATAGAGAACGATGCCTCGCATCGCTGCCTATTATCACGGCCACGACTTTAGAAGCTACCGTACTATGGTGGATTCAACAATCTGGTATGTAGAATATGATCACTCCAAACCAGGACCACGCTTACTCATTGGGTCGATAGTGAGCTTCCGGGAGGCTTCTGGGACATCTCTCCGCGCTGCGTCTCCATGGTTGTGTCGGAACATCCACTGGGGGATGTGGCGGAAATAGGCTGTTCTTGGACAAACTGCACACTACTCACAACGTTTTGCCTATCCGACTGTATTATCGTCCAACAAACGCCACAGTTTCTCGATATCTTTCTGAGATATCGACGGGGCGTCAGCCGTTATCCTGTTACGTCCCAGATCGTCGTGGCACGTCAGCTTTCATTTGGTTCCGACAAGTGGTGCAGGAACTCCATAGGGCTCGCCGGGTGCTGACGGTGGTGCCTGGTTCCTGATGTTGAAAGAATCCAGACCCTATGATGGAGGGTGGTCGAGAGGGCAGCCTGGATCTCTGGCATTTTCCACCCGTCCAACTTCATGGGGAAACAAGCCTGTCGCCACAAGAACGAACGGCTACGCTAATATGACTTGACCTAGGTAGGTAAGTCTTTTCGTCTGCTTGGAACAGCGCTATCATTGCCATCCCACCAACAAAAAAGATCGTCAGGTTGAAAAGGGTGTGCACAATAAATGTGCATTAGACGAGGAGAAAACAATAGGGGTCTAATGAATTAGCAAAATCTTTCATGCGAATAGTGAATGGTGAAAATAGAATTCTCAGCCCGAAAACGGCGAAGAAACGAAGGATTCGAACAAGGCTCACAATTGTGCTCACTGGAGGCGTTCATGCCTGAGATTTGGAGAAATGTTTTGTTTTGTTCAGGTCAATTCCGCACTCAGCAAGCTTCTAGATGAGCATGGTTTCTTTCTTCTCGTCAAGCAGGATGAAATGATGCCAGAAAACAATGTTACCAGCGCAAATTTTAGGTCAAGGTCTGGTGGTATCATTGCGGGACAGGGGGAGGTCACTGAAGGGGACTCTACATCTGAATCATGAAGCTAACCCTGCTATTACTGGGGGGTCGCGGATCAAAGTCAGGATAGATCCTGGTGCAGATCTTGCACGCACGAACACGATACTAACTTGGCGCAGATCATGGACGGGCAAGTGTGGGGCGATGACGGCCGTGATGGTGTTGGCATCCATTTCTTTTCCGGCATCTGCACACGGCTTCATCGACCGATCAAAACCGACAAACCTGTTGAAAGTCTAAGTCAAGGTCACATGGATTGATTGGTGGAAATGGAACGATGCAGAGAAAGCGGAGGGAGGAATTCGAAGGGTTCGACTACTTGCCACACCCACCTTAATCTCCAAACCACGCGCTGGTCGGATCGCTCGACCGCCACCGCGCCATTGACCACAGAATCTGGGGTTCGCCCCGGAATTGTGGCGCGCTGTAGCGAGCAAGCGGCTGCAAAAGGGCGATTGCCTACTGAGTTAGTTGCCGAACGTTTGTGAGGCTTGGCAATACGGCTTCTCGCTTCAGACTCTGTAGGTTTGGGAGAACGAACTTTGGTTATCCCTTACAGCCGTGATGGTTTTGGAGCGCCAAAGGCCCGAATGCGCGTGATGCGGCAACCTACCTTTCTCTGCGCCGTGTCTCTCGCTGTGTGCCGTTCCATTATTGGTTTCTCCGCAGCGGCCCCCGTTGGTTTTAACTCTGCCAGGCAGACTTGTCTGCGTTATTGCTCGAACTACGCCAGAAAAGAGAACATTTGCTCTCCGCCACAGATAAAATTGCAATGAGGACCTATCATTAAAGATGGTGGGACCTGCAAATGCCGCCTTGTAATTCCTGAGGCTTTGGCAAATCAATTCTGTGCCCAGAAGGATATGCACAGCAATGGACCATTTGAAATTCCTGTTGCGAATATCATATTCGGCTCGTTGCGTAATCTGTCCCGCTCTCAGCAAAGTTCTCAGTCCGAGCCCAATGCCAGAAGAAGACAGTACCCCGATGAACTATTTGCGAGGTGAATCCGTTGAGCGAACGCATTCAGCGTTTGCTAGTCCACCTAACTACCTCGAGGAAGAAACGGTGCGTGGCATCCACATCCTCAGAAGACGGGGAGACGGATGGCACGTCTCTCATTCGCATGGTGATCCCTCAAACCTTTCCTGTTTCTGGACAGGCGTGTCTCGCGATCAAACCACCACATGGGCCTGGCCATAGCACTGGTCTGCCGATAATGGTTTACTAGCCTTCGTCGTCCGTGGTTGTTTTTCCTGCAGCCACCAACAGCAGCTCCAAACACGGAGATTTGCCTTTGGTTCGAAAGAACTAAGCTCTGGGACGAATTGGCTCTAAAGCTTCTGGGGTGATGATTTCGAGATGGTGTCGACTACCACCCTATGCCTCCTTGTGAGAGCTCTCAGAGTCGCCAACTTGACTGAAACGACACTAACTCTCAAATAAACTTTGACTCTAGATGTATATTAGGTTTAGGCAGCGAGACGGCTCCTCGACCGTCTCCTATCAACACATCTCCGGCCATGACCTGACGGAGTCGAGACTGGAGAAAGTCCATTTTGCAGTGATGTCCAGACTGACACTGTTCCGTTCCTTCTGCATCTATCGCAAGCGCGTCCCTTGGCAGCTTGCGGACTTGCTCCGATAGAGGCAGTTGGGAGTCCGTTGTGCCTTCCCCAGGTTTTTCTAATGGGTTCAGTCCAGGCCCCACTCCTCCACACAGTGGAAAGTACTTAAATAACACCACATCCCTGCGGAGATTGCTCCAATCATTCATCATCGTTGCTGCAGAAAAGTCAAGGACTTTCTCTCGTCGAGAGGGATTCCACTGCTGTCTTGACATACAACAACTGTGGCATTGTCTCATATACGCGCAAATCATAATTATCACTCTCCTTCACCCATAAAACTTGTCCCAGGACATTTGTCTTAAGGCTTCAAGATGGGTTTCATGCTTAAGAAGCCCGAGGGCTCGGCGGGCTCGGCTTTGCCGGCTATCTTAATCGGTCTCTTTGTTGCCTTTGGAGGTATCCTTTTTGGATATGATACCGGTACCATTGGCGGCATCCTTGCTATGGATGCATGGCGAAAGCAATTCTCCACTGGACACATCAATCCCAAGGACGGTCTTCCCGATGTTACGGCAAGCCAGTCTTCTGAAATTGTGTCTATTCTTTCTGCTGGCACTTTTTTCGGTGCCCTGACCGCCGCCCCATTTGCTGACTTCATGGGACGTCGTCTTGCGTTGATTGCATCCAGCTGGGTGTTTATCCTCGGTGTCATTCTTCAGACTGCCTCAACCGCTATCCCAATGTTCGTGGCTGGCCGATTCTTTGCTGGTTATGGTGTCGGTCTGGTATCTGCTTTAAGTACGTTCTTCATTTGCGAATCCCGCATGCTCTCACCCATTTCCAAAGATTCTCGTACTAACAACATTTTAGTTCCTCTATATCAGTCTGAGACTGCTCCCAAGTGGATCCGTGGCACAGTTGTGGGCGCCTATCAATGGGCCATTACTATTGGTCTTCTCCTCGCGTCTATTGTCGACAATGCCACAAAGAACCGTACAGACACCGGATCCTATCGGATCCCGATCGCTGTGCAGTTTGCCTGGGCTCTCATCATCATTAGTGGCATGCTGTTCCTCCCCGAGACCCCCAGGTTCCTCGTCAAGAAAGGCAAGCACACCAAGGCGTGCAAGGCACTTTCCAGACTCCGACGACTCGACATGGACCACCCCGCTCTTGTGGAGGAGCTTGGAGAAATCCAAGCCAACCACCAGTACGAAATGTCGCTGGGCAAGGCCACCTACCTCGACTGCTTCAAGGGCAATCTACGCAAGCGTCTCCTTACCGGTTGCAGTCTTCAAGCCCTCCAGCAGCTGACTGGTGTCAATTTTATCTTCTACTATGGCACTTCATTCTTCAAGAACTCGGGAATCCACAACCCTTTTATTATCAATCTGATTACATCCATTGTCAATGTCGTCTCCACCGTTCCTGGCCTGTACCTGGTCGAGAAATGGGGTCGTCGTCCTCTGTTGCTCTTTGGTGCCATTGGAATGTTTATCTGCCAGTTCATTATTGCCATTGTCGGCACGACGACGAGTTCACTTGTTGCCAACAAGGTGCTCATCGCCTTTGTCTGCATCTATATCTTCTTCTTTGCGTGTTCCTGGGGACCTTGCGCCTGGGTTGTGACTGGTGAGCTCTTCCCGCTCAAGGTGCGCGCCAAGTCGCTCTCCATGACCACCGCTTCGAACTGGCTGCTCAACTGGGCTATTGCCTATGCGACTCCTTACCTCGTTGATAGCGGTCCTGGCGATGCCGGGTTGGGTTCAAAGGTCTTCTTCATTTGGGGCAGTTGCTGCGGCGTTTGCATCGTCTTTGTCTGGTTCTTCATCTACGAGACCAAGGGCCTGTCGCTCGAGCAAGTTGACGAGCTCTACGCCAAGGTCGGCCACGCGTGGCACAGCAAAGGCTTCGTCCCTACCATCTCCTTCCAAGAAGTCCAGGACACCGGTGTCAATACCCGCACTCACACCCTTGCCGACATCGAGGCCGATGTCCAACGCAAGAAGTCAATTGCTCATACCGAGCATGTCGATGTTCCCGGCCTTTCCGAAAAGGTCTAATCGCCTCTCTCTTCTCTCCTTTTCTCTTTTATTGTTCACTTTTTTCTTTTCCGATAAGGGCACCTCGTCGACCCAAGTCTTCTTGGTGGTTGGTATACCCATATGTTTCCTTCCCACGTCCCGTCTGTCTTCCCTGTAAACTTATGTCTTGGCACTTGTCACACATGAACATCAGATAGCTACGACACGGCGCTTATGCGCTGAAAGTCTAGAGCGCGGAGTTTTTTGGTCTTTCTGCTTCTCACCTCTACTGGTTTGTTTTTTTGAGAAAACGATAGGAATTGGACAAGACAGAATTTTGGGGGCAGGCTTTTGGCATAGGTACTACTAGTCATGAATTGCAAACAATTTTTAACTTACCTTCTTCTCAGAACTTGTGACTTCGTCATGACTTCAGCTAAAAGGTGAACACAAGACGACAAAGTGTCCGCGCTGAATGTCCTCGTTGACAACTGGCCCGCTTGTGGTCGTGTGACGTTTGATTGGGGCCTTCCATCATCATGATGTGTGCTGCTAAACATGGTCCCATTAGCTTTCTTGTTCCCGCCGCTAAAATCAAAGCAAGAGAAAGGTTGCCAGGTATAATTTGCATGCATGCAAAAATCAAATAGTGTTTCATCAGACTCCCTGACCGATGCATGATGGTACTATTGTCAGAAGTGTAGATATAGATTATATGCTCTGGACAATAGTTGTGTCAGAATGCCATTTTATAGGGTATGTATACCTCAGTAATGATTAACCCAAATTATGAAGGGATAAGGTACTGCCCTACACATAATTTATTTAGGGTATAGGTAGCGCGGCATCAAAAGTGCAAAGTGTCAATTGACTTTGAAGTCCCTACTAACAAGAAAAAGAATGTGCGGGGAAGGGGGATCCAATCGATGTGGGGATGATTTATGCCCCACGTACCCCACGTATACCGCCATTGACCGCTACAGAGTACACCGTTTACCTCCGTACAGCTGCGGAAAATGCTGCCGAGCAAAGTGTACTGTAACTTGAGCTTTTGTTCTGAACGCTGTACTGTGTATACTGTGGCACAGTAGGAATAAACTACCATCAACCCCCCGCCGCCCCGGTTCCCCTCCCTCTCTACCCGTCCCCAGACTTTGCCAAGGTATACCTTGAGTTGGTTAAAAACCCGGGGAAGACAGCAACTGGCTCCAGCAGGAAATGCTCCGGTGACGAATTACGACACAAACTTGTCAGGCAGGCAGGGAGGCCAAATGCGGGAAGAGTCAGATAGAAAGAGGATAGGGGGAATAGAGTAGCTTAGGCCGTTTCTGGTTTGGGCTTGACTGTCAAGCGAGGTGAAGCGGGACAAGACAAGGATTTGTGCGGGGTTGATGAACGGGCGAGGGGGCTTGACCTAATGTTTATTCCAGAATGCAATGCATAGCCAGGAATATGGACGATAATAAGATGGATTTATATGATCCTTTAAATAATGACAGAACAGTGACAAAAAGAAAAGACAGATCGTCTTGGGACGGAGGCCACTGCCCCTACAGAGGCGTTTGCGAAATGACTAAGCAGACTCCGCGGGTGTGTCATAACTGAATCTAAGGAAATGTCAATGCCTATCTGAGATAGGATTCCAACCAAGCTATGTACGTCATATAATTTCTACTCCGTTGATAGCGGGGGCGGGACAAACGGAAAGCAACAATATGGAGGAATTGGCGACAGGGAATACGCCATTGATCAGCAACTTAAAAGAATATTTCCGACTTCGGGAATGGCCGGGGTCTTTCAGTATCAAATGTGCGGCGGAATGGCTCGGGGCTCGCGGGCTCGGGGCGCTTTTCCATGGCATTTCCGCGGGTACAGTCGGCTTTGACCCCATTTTCAGGGGTCAATAAGGCGGGTGGCTCAGGTACACACATACTGTTGACAATTTGCTTCTCACAACCCGAGCCTAGTGTAGGTCAAGACCTCAATGCTCGCCGGGATATCCCAACTCACAACGTTCCCGCACTCTACTCTTATCAAAAGACCCATGTCGAATTAGTGGAGAGCTCCCATGTGTGGAGTATGTTACACATTTACGAGGAGAATGGGAAAAAAGATGGAAGGTTTATGTACGGAGTTACCTGATGGAAGATCCAGGGGTGGAGACTGAAAGATGCCAACTTTGGCCGGGCCTGTTATAAATGCGTCCGAGGGGCAGACGGATGCGCTGTCATTAATTCAAGCTCTTCTCCCCATAAGTTCATTTCAACTCAATTTCCATGAGAAATTAACGCGATCAGTTCTTTTCTTGCGTGGGAAAAGTGTTGATAGAGGACAATGGCAACCGACTTGAAGAAGAATGCTCCTCCGCCGGGGAAAGAGGGTGACCCTGACAGCTTCGACCTGGGCTATATCGAAGATGGAACGCAATTGGAGAGCCAGCACCACAATAGTACCGAAGGCCTCCACCAGAAGCTCAATAGTCGTCACCTCACGTTCATCAGTCTGGGCTCGGTCATTGGCACAGGCATCTTCTTGGGCATTGGCTCAGCGCTTACTACTGCGGGACCTGTCGGTTTGGTTTTGGGTTATGTCGTGATATGCTCCGTCGTCTTCTGCGTCATGCTGTGCGTCGGCGAGATGGTGACATATCTGCCCGTCGTGGGCGCCCACCTGAGACTCTCCGGACGTTTTGTTGACCCGGCACTTTCTGCGGCCATGTCTTGGAACTACTGGTACTGCTGGGCGTTGATTGCAGCTGCCGAAACGTCAGCCGTCGCCGTGCTCGTCACGTACTGGACCCAATCCGTCCCTGGCGGCGTGTGGATAGCGCTCTGTCTCGCACTCGCTCTGGCAGTCAACCTCTGTGGTCCGCGGCTGTATGCAGAGGTCGAGTTCTACATGTCCACAATCAAGGTCATCACCATTGTCGGACTGATTATCCTGTCCATCGTTCTCGACGCCGGCGGAGGTCCAAGCCACGACTACATTGGCTTCAGGTACTGGAAAAACCCAGGCCCCTTTGTGCAGTATGAAGGGATAGGCGGCTCGCTGGGACGCTTCCTAGGTTTCTTTTCCGGCCTGACCACGGCCTCCTTCTCGTCGATTGGCGCTGAGATGCTGGCCCTGGCCTCGGCCGAGACCCGTAACCCTCGCAAGATCCTGCCCACCGCGTTGCGGGCGACGTGGATCCGTGTTCTCCTTTTTTACTTTTTGGGCGCCTTTTGCGTCAGCCTCATTGTGCCATCCGACGACTCTCGCCTGGGCTCATCTTCCACGGCCTCTGCCAGTCCCTATGTCATTGCGATTCAGCAGGCCGGCATCAAAGCACTCCCCAGTATCATAAACGCTTGCATCATCACGTCCGCCGTCTCTGCCACCGTGTCAGATATTTACACCGCTTCGCGAACTCTCCATTCCATGGCAGGCACGGGCTTCGCGCCGAACGTCTTTTCAAAGACTACCACTTGGGGATCCCCCTGGCTTGCTGTCCTGGCCACGTGGGCCATGAGCCTGCTAGCTTTTTTGGCAGTCGGGTCGAGTTCGACCAGCGTTTTCAACTTTTTCCTCCAACTCACCGCTCTAGCGGGAATCATTACTTGGCTCTGCATTGCCGTCACCTACCTCCGCTTCCGCGCGGGCATGAATGCCCAGGGCATCAGTCGCGCATCCTTACCCTTTAAGAATCGATTTACATGTGTTGGCGCCTACTGGATCATCGTCGTCATCTCCTCGGTGCTGCTGTTCAGCGGCTGGCCCGTCTTTAGAAAGGGCAAGTGGGACACTACCCAGTTCTTTGGCAATTATCTGCCCATTGGCGTGTTCGTTGTGGTCTTTACGGCCTTTAAAGTTGGCAAGAAGAGCAGGTTTGTCAGAGCGTCAGAGATGGATCTCACGACGGGATTGGATGAGATTGAGAGAAGAGCCGCCCAGGCCAATGAGGAGGAAGCGCCCCGGGAACGGAAACGGTGGTCGATCAGGATGAAGCATGTTTTCAAGAGGCTCGTCAGCTGAGTGGGCTCTATTGTTCATTGCAACGATATTGCTGTCCTCTTCTTTCCCGATTGCAGCATAGCCACGCAGCCTCGCAGGACCTTTACGCCAGTGCCAAACAAACCCTGGCCCTGACACTGAATCCCATCAACGCTGCGATACTGCAATGTATGCACGCCGTCTCATCAAAAGCGCCGACGCAGGCCATTACTGCCGGAGGCAATACGTCACGATATCCAGAGCTACTTCCACGCCACGATACACTCCAGCAGGTCATGGTCCTGATATGAGACCCCGTCCAGACCTAATGATCAGGCAGGACGAGAAAGAATTGAAGGAGGGGTTTTGTTAAATCTTGACGTCTCAACTCTGGGAGGAACAACCCAAAGCGACCTCTCGCATATAGAAATGCGGAAGCGGGAACGTGATTGGTACGCCAGGCATCAGCTAGAATAGCATTGTTCGATGTAAAGTACAGAGTAGATTATGCCGAAAAAGAGATGGGTAGATGAGCGCGAGTCATAGATTAGATTATGCATGTACTAAGCTAATCCTACTATGTGTCTGAGATGTTTGTTCATTTCGCTTTAGCGTTTTTGTTTGTCTGGTGTGAGTGGTATCATTGAATTACTTCGTACCTGAACTGGGTAACTTTCGAGAGTAAGGTAGGTAAGGTATGTTAAGGTATGTGACCTGGTTATATACTGGCCTGCAACCCTGGCTGGCTCCAAGTACGGAGTACTTCTTTGCCAGCTGCTTGCTACAAAACGTCACATGTTGCCTGTTGCTTGTTTCTTGGCATCATGGCATCATGGCATCATGGGGTCCTGGCTTCAGATTCCATCTTTTCGAGGTCACGGAGAAAAGTATGTATTAGAATTCAGGTAAAATCTGATAGAGGTAAAATTGACAGAAGTAAAGTATTGCTGTCGTAGCCTGTGATTGAGAGTATAGAAGATAAGGACATGAGATAGGACAGACGAAAAAGGAGAGGAAAAATAACAAAATAAAAAAGGAGGGGGGAAGAAAAGTTAATTGGGACTAAAGCAACGGAGCGTTGGAGAAGCTCGGCAAAGGGATATCTCAGCATATTTAGAAGGACAAGAAGAGAAAAGAAGAAGAGGAGAAGAGGAGAAGAGGAGGCAAGAATGAGATAACAGAATTTTCAGGAATTCGACATCCTGAAAGACTATGAGAGTGAGTCTAGACAGGTTCATGCCGTGTCGTATTATCATCGCTCATCATCGTTCGACATTAATATTTCCTTCTCCGGAAATGTAAATGATAAGAAAAAAGAGAATCGTTTTCGTCAGATGAACCATGGGTTCGTCGCAAAGACAACATTATTTGGACGTATAAAAAAAATAAGAATAAAAATAAGAATGAAAAAAAAAAGAGAAATAGGGTGGATTCGTCGAAATCCATGAGCCCGAGAAGGGCCTGATTTTCTGGTTAAGTCCAAGTCAGATCAGACGTAATACTGACGACGGGTGCTCCGGTGCGACGAGCGGCGGTCCGGATATGCGCCATAGTTGCTGCGGGAGTGGCTCCGGCGGTGACCATGACGGGAGACGCGTTCGCGCTTGACGACGACCTCCTCGCGGGCGCGGTTGTTGTCATGGAACAGCAGGGCAATCAGCGCCGTGACGAAAAAGAAGATGCAGTTCATGATGCCAAAGGCAAAACAGGCCTTGAGCATCGCGCACGACTTGTTGATGTGAAACGACCACGAATTGCCCGATTGCCGGCCATAGTATCCAAAGGGGCCCAGACTGAAATACAAGGGCCCGGACGTCCAGCTGTGGCAGCTCACGTGCGTGACGCCGCGCAGCAGATACACGCCGGCGATGAAGGTGCCTACGAAGCCAAGATCGATGATGCTGACGAAAAAGGGAGAATGGCTGGCCCGGTGATAGGCGAATAGTGTTGCAATCGCCCATGCGGTGGCCAGGACGCTGGCAATGAACAGCACCAGGATATAGTCTGGCGTGAGCTGGTTCGAGGCGACAAAGCCGTGCACGAACCAGGCTAGCATCCCCAAAGTGGGAATCAGAGTGATGATTTCTAGCAGCCGCCAGAAGGTGAATACAAGTCCGCGCAGCATTTTGGACGGTAATGTGTTGGATTAAGTGAGCTGGTCGGGAGGTTGAAGCGAAAATGTTTGGAGCTATCGCAGGGAAGATATTGTCGGAGCTTATCCAATTCTATTGTCCCAGTGCCTGCGTATTCGTTAGCTTATTTTCCTTCGGGTTATGAAAAATTCGTGCATTGCAATTTGATACGTACAATATATCGCTGGCGTTGGCAATGTTTGGATATGCACGTTCACCGGATCATATGCGAAAATGTATAACGAGACGATCAACGCAAAAGGGAAAGATGGGACAAAGAGGAAGAAGAGGAAAAATCAAGGAAGAAAAGGGAAAAGGGAAAAGGGAAAAGACGCCAGGGCTACATCCTGGCAGCTGTAAGTGACGCAGCAGCGTCAGCGCGCATGAGGGGAAATGAGAAGGCTGGCTGGGCGAGCAAGAAACAGGTGGTTGGGGTGGCTGGTCAATTCGCATCGTGGTTGGTCAAAACCACACGGGATGCAGATACTCGAGACCACGAACACCCATTATCATCATCATTATCGTCCCGGCTTGGGTTATACTTTTGATGTCGCATATAAAGTACATCGTAAGCTCATGCAAAAGTTAGTTACAGCGTAAACTTCTTGAGAAGTGATCGCGCAACGATGCTGTCCGAAAAGCTTGATGCTGTGAATATATCTACCCTTTCCTGTATTTATTCAAGCTGGCCCATGTTGCCGGAGTCTAATTGCTCAGCTTGTCTCTTGCTTGATCTTGAGGCTCTCCGAATTGAGGCGTAGAAGCTCTGTGATCAATCGACGATGCCAGTAACTTGTTTCTGTTCTGAACAGCTTGTGTACCAAATAGAGAAAACAAGGTTTCGGCGGGCAGCGCTCAGGCAGCGAACCGTGGGTCCATATCGATCGATCCCGCCATGACAGTTCTCTGCCTCCCTCACAAACCATAAGCTGACATAATACCGCGTCCAAGATAAGATGGAATCGGGGTAGCGCTGTTGTATCAATTATCACTGTGAAGCCAATGTTATACCTTAGCCAAAATTCGATTGGCAGTGCTGAAAGTTACCGCAGGATTCATCTGTAATATAACACTGTATAGTGAAGACTGTATAGTGAAGACAAGCGACAATGATTAACTAGATCAGGATCTATAGGGGAGAAAGCTATCCGAGTCGCGCTACCGCTTCACTGTCTGTAGTTAAAAGTCTGCCTGGCCCGCCAGGTGAATATTCACCTTCACCGTCCCACGATATATATTACCTCTCTGGAACGCCTCTCGAAAGAACAAGTAAACTATACCGATGGAGACCAATCCAGTATCATATACTAAGATCTCTTGTTATTCCGAGATGACACCTTTTAAACAATTTCCTATTCGATCTTGAAACTGTCTGAATCTCTTTCATCATTTCCTCTTATATCGGTTCAAAACGGAAATGAAATCCTTGACCGGGTCAAATCTCATATCATCATATGCTACTTCAAACAACCAAGATTGATAACTAATGAAGATTATTGCCATTTTTGTTTTCTAAGAAACGTAAACAAGTCCTGTGTGCTCTGGCCAACGTTCACCGTTCCTGCTAGACACCTGAGACGGGTATAAAAACCAGCAACTCTGCCTCATCGCTCGAGTATTATACACTATCTCTAACTAAACGATACTCAGCATAAACAACCATATTGCTCATCATCAGCAGAACTTCATGACAGCAGATACGCGGCATCCTAGATGTGCTCCGGGAGCTCACAACGGACATGAACAGAAAGTACAATGACCTGTCTGTCACCATGCCCGCATTGTCTACCTGGAAGGGGGCGATATATGCCGTGGGGAACTCACTCGGCGATATAGACGAGAAGTTCTTGTTACTACCACCATCTGCAACTTCTAGAGATTTACCGCAGCGGCGCAGGGAGCTTGCTCTTTGGAGCATGCAAGAAATCAACCAAATCTCATCTCCGAAAACGAGCCTGCTGGAGCAGAAATACAAAGCAGCGCCGTCCTGGAATCAGGAAATTCTTTCCCTCAGCCTTCTGAGAATCGCTTCGCAGCAGCTAGGAAGGAAGAGGCGAAAAAAACCATGGCGTCAACCATATGTGAGGATCAAAGCCGAGCTCGAAGATGGCTGGCTCCCACAATTTACGAATTGAAGGACTCGACGCTGGCAGCGAGGACTCCGTGTGCAAGTTGGACAACCAATTGATGATTTGGGACACGGGCGCCCGTTCAACTGTCATTACAGATGATCTGTTCCCGCAAGAATTCCGTGACTTTTTGAAGGAGGAACAAACATGATCCGTATCGTTCATTGGACAGGCTCCATGTGCAGATCCAGTCCGTTGTTGCCCTGAGCAACGAGGCAGTCGCGATTTTCGCGGTGGCAATGGTTGCATCGCAGGCAGCAATTCCAAATTTTCGAAGCGGCATCATCTTTGGCCAAAAAGTGTGTATTGATCACTTGGTATATATGAGTATGCCACGGAAATTTCTGTTGCTAAAGGGAGAAGACATCGGTGAGGATAAGGGGGGGACTTGATCGTGACGGAGTACGTTGATGAAAATGGTGAGCTGCATACCGTTTAGAAGATGATGGACTTTAATGATATGCTTCTATGGAGGAGGTTCTGTTAAAGGGGAAGGGCTAAACGCAGATCCTGGCATGCATAATTATCCCACATCAAGCTTATAATAATTGCTTGTTCCGTGAGAGCAGCTTCGTGCGGATGTCTGGTTGAGTCTTTGCACGTGGCAACTTATACATTAGCTCAACCGTCAGAGAGTACAGAGTAATTTATTCATCACTGCTGGTTCATGTCGCTGAAATCAATTAGTGTCCCGATGTATATACTGAATGTATAACTATACTGAATGTGTAATACCTATATAGTTTCTAGTTTTGGGAGAGCATGATCGTCTTATCGGCAAGGGAAATGTTTGTAGCAGGAAACAATGTCTCTATTTTAGTGAGCAACTAGATTACCTATAAAAAGGACCAGAATGGCTACATACCTAGCTCCTAGACTCTATCCAATACATCATCCATTCCTCAAAGCTTTTCTTTGTTCAATCGTTGTTCCCAATCTTTGCTGCATATCCGAAAGCGCCCCGTGCTTCTATGGCTGCCCTTACGGATCTTTCAGCCGACACCTGCCAATCGAGCCAAGGACTCCCCGACGGCGCTTTACCCCGGACCTTTGAACTTTCCACTATTCAATCCGCCGCCAGGCTTGTCAAGTTCGTTGATTGATGGTTTCGGCCAAAATGCAACACCTTAGAAGGGGGACTTAACTGAACGTTGTGGCTGCATAGCCATGTCGGCCCATCAAAGCTCTATGCCCTTTTCGTCTGAATCTTTTGTCGTCCTGATGGCCCCTGGTCTGATCTGCCCGATCATCAATAGCATCATTAGGGTACTGCAGCAGCGGCATCCTGGATTTCTTGGCCTTGAACCGAAAGGGTCAATTGTCCCAAGATGGACTCTGGGCTTGCTGGCTCATACTACAGATGCGGGAGGGTATGGCCCGAACCATGCGCGCCGGTGGGTGTTAGTAGGGATCCCGGTAGTCACCACAGCAGGCTGGACATGCAAGAGGTGAGAATGTTATTACCATGTATGAATTACTTCAATTTCCATCACATATTATTTGCATAATTTGCATTACTATTACAAAAAACCCCGTGTCAAAACTCTTGTGCGGTCTTCTCTGTTCAGGTTCTTTGCGTACAGCTTTTCATGCAGCAGTGAATATTTGGTGCTTGGTCATAGCCTTTGTTTTGAGCCTCCTAAGATCACTACTTGATGACCCCGACTCCCCGTGGCAACTGAGCTCAGCTTATACTCTCGCTCTTTGTTGTTATTTTTCACTCTTCTTCACTTTCAACACCCAACCCTTACCTTCTTTCTTCACCTCCGAGTTTTCTTCTTTCCCCTAGCGTTAGTCTTGCTTGCATCAACTACCAGTATCTGTTCTGTGTCTTTTCCTCCCTTCACCAGAACGGCTCTACGCAATGTCAGGTAGGAGCGCGTATGTGCGCAAGAAAAAGGCCGAAGTGAACGACGTGGGCCCAACTCCACTCGCTGGTGCTACCACAAGCTCAGCTGATCTATTGTTCGGATACGTCTCTGATGATGAGCTGGAGGCCCCTGGCTCTCTTCCTCAATTCTCAGAGCCGTTGAATTCACCAACGCACGCATCGTGGGTCCCAGCCCCATCAGGAGCAGGCTATGTGCTCAACAACGCCATTGTACCGACTCCGGCTGCCACCGTGAGCGGAAGAACGACTCACAAGAAAAGCAGACTGCGAGCTTTTATGGATGGCAACAGTGAAAAGATCAGACATAAGCTTGCGGCAACTTTTTCCGGAGGAAAGTCAAAGGAGAAAGCGGTTGAGATGTCTGTTCTCCGGTCAGAATCCAACCCTTTTCCGTCTCCGATGGCAGACGATTTTTCTTTTGAGCTTCAACGCACACTTACCAGACATAAATCATTTTATGAACGCCCGGATCTCATGGCTGACGAGTCTGATAATTTCTATGCGCGCTATAAAATCAAAAGATTTGGTCCCGATGGTGCTTGCAGCTTTTGGCAAAGCATGATAAAGGTAAGTAAAAGGATATCTATAGTTCTAGGGGTTAGCTTTCTAATCTGAGATAGGACCCTGAGCTATGGGATGAAACGGGTGACACCATAGTGTACTTGAGCTTCGACCGATTAGATGCGCGGGGCCCAGGACCCAGCTTTCGTCTACACTCCTCTGAGTTGAGAAAGCTCAATTCTCCTTTCTTCAATGCGTGCTTGGACGAAGGCTATAAGCATAATACTTACAATGATTTTGAAAATTTGCCGACCACGTTCTCATCTGCAACATTTGTATCGCGGAGCTCAATGGCCAGTTCTGCTTCGCCACGACGTCCACACAGCGGAGCTCTTCCAACTGGAGGACGGAATAGTCTTAACACCTCAACGCCGCACACATCCGTGGCGATAAGCAGTGACCATGAGCTGCAAGCAACCTATGAAATCTTCATATTTTGCGGGAGCAAACTGTCGCCAAAGGAAAAGATTAGCCAACATCTGACGACACGCAACGTTTTTGGCCTTCTTCAAGGAGTAAACTCCATGGTGGGTCTCAAATACAGCGACATCTTGCCTGGTCTTCTTGAGCGCCTTGACAATTACCTTCCTCCGACTGTTGAGATTCCAAATGCGAATGTGGCAAGAATAATTGATTGGCTAGAAAAAAGCAATCTAGACGATGTGAGGGCTGATTTTGGGAGAGCCGCAAGCTTCTTGAAATGGAGCGAAAGCGAGGAGATCTGCTACGTTTCTGGCTTCAGAGAGGCTTTTGTTCATTGTGTTGGCATGCATGACGACCAGAGCGAGCTCGTTCTGGCCAAACTGGGTGTTAATGCGTCCACAAGAAGACAAATTCAATACCGGGCTGATAAGCTTCGGATTCGTGTCAAGGAAGCTGCAAGGCTTTTGGAAGATTTTGACTATTCTGGAATGTGGATTGAAGAGCCAGAGAAAGACAAAAAGAGTGTAGCTGTCCAAAAGTCTCCCTCTCAATCAAAGGCCGCATATGAAAGGTGCAGAGAGTTCTTTCTCAAATACTATTCATCAGTCTATGGCGTCTGGCCGCCGATGAAGGAACGTGGAGCGATCAGCTGGCTCAACAGGCAGATAGTGCGACGCCTTCAAGCCGACTTTGGCGCATTGTTTGACTTTTTGGTGGATCGAGAAGTCGGATGGGATTGCGTAGAGGAGCGCAGTGGCCGCAAGTGGCAAATATTGCACAACAGCAAATATATGTTTCAGGCTGACAGCGAGGATCTGCCACTCACCGACATGTTGGTGAGATTCGATAATCTGAACAATTTCCCGCACATTCCGAACCCTTATCCATTGGTGCCTCCTCAGGCGAAACTGCTACCACCAGATGCCGGATCAAAGGGACGAATGGACATTGATGATGAACGAAGTCTGTCCAACTCACGCGCACTGTTGTCATACATCGAGGCAAGCAATATTGACCTCGTGCCGTCAAAAGTCATTTCTAATCCCCTGGTCGACGCTTTTATCAATTTCGAAAAGACAGACTACGCCACTGATCTGGATCCCCATGAGGCCCGCCGTGGAAGATGGGCCGCCATCTATGGAATATTGCAGACATTGGCTGCTGTGTCGGTCGACACGCCCGGTCTTCGCCATACTGAGGGCGTAAAATACTTTTTGAACGCATCGGTATATGGACTAGGGCAGTGGATGCCACAACAGCTTGAAGACGCTGTCCATCATATGAGTCATTGCTGGACTATTCAGTCCACCTGGCAGCCTCCGACAGAAGACACACGCAGCTGGCAAGACCCTCCTGGAAGCTTTCGCGCGCACAGCATCCGCACACAGAGTGTTTCAGGCCATAGGTCAAATGCTTCCAAGTCTTCCTTAGAGCGCCGGAATACTGTGAACCCGAGACCTTCGACCTCGCAATTGAAGCGACACGGCTTGATGGGTCAAACGGATGGGGTTCATGGTGGCGGCATGTTTGGTGGGTTCAACAATACGGGCCCACGATCATCCTTTGCTGCCTCCGACCGCAGTGGAGGGACCATGGGAAGGGTTCAACCTCCTACCATGAGTGGAGCAGATGTGCGGGAGTCGCCCAGCGAATATCGTGTCAATCACGGTGAAGAGATATTAAAGCAAGAAATACTTCGGAGCCAGGCCGAAACTTTTACATTCAAAGGTAAAAGTAAAACGCTTGCACTGCAGTCATTGAACAATTTGACTCCACAGAGCCCAAATTATGTTGAGGCTTCGATAACTCAGAACAGTGAGGAGGTTTTCAAATCTCCAAAAAAAGTAAAGGCTGCACCTTCTCAAACCTTTAATATTGAGAAGAATCAGACTGAGAGTAGTGCCTCTAATGGTCACAATGTCGCTGTTCACGCACCTCCAGCTCAAAATCAAATCGAGGATGAAGACTTTTCGTACGTTGATGAGCCTCACACGCTTATTCGCCGAAATACAGTCGCGACGTCAAATCCTTCGAGGCGTCCCTCTAATCGCTTTCCTGTGAATGTCGAATCCGACAATGTACCGCCTCGAAGACAACTAGCTCGGCCCACCCTGAACGATGTGGTTGAAGACACAGTTCCTATTCAAGAGCCTGAGAGCTCTGATTCTCAGGGGTACGATGGGACGTCCACCAACCAAGCTGATAGAGGAAAATCCCCAGTTAGATACGAATTGGAGGGCCATCCAGCGCTATCTAATCTCGACACGTCTACCAGCTTTGATGACTCTGCCTCCACCGTTGCTAGAGAAATTGTTGGGTCTCTTGGAATCGAGGACAGTGCGGAGCGGTCGGAGGCTCTATCGACAGTCAGAGACGTCATCGAGTCTATGGAACCAAATAGTAGCGTTCAGACTCCTGACTATTATGACTATTCTGAAAATTCACATAGTTCTGTGCCAACAACGCCCCACAAACAAGCTGGAGAACTTATTGATGAAGATGCTGTTGCGGAAATGAGCGCTGCTGAATATTACCCGCGCCGTCGGGTGCAGCGAGAGTCATTCCGTAAGCTGGCCAAGGTCCACAACGGCATTGGACGTAAAATGAACGAAATGCACGCAAACATGACCAGAACGACGGATTATTACAAGGTAAGTATTGATCAAACCACATACTGCTTGATTACCTCTAACCTTTCTGCCTATTACCCAGTTTAGCCAGCGTGATCAGTTCAACCAGGCAAATCCGGAACTCCCAGATCAAACTTAGATACTGCATGAGCAGATCCTCTTGGAAGCGTCGATGACCTGGAAGATTTATGCGAAACGAGTTTACGAATCAATGAGATTTGATACCACGTTCACGAGCGATGTCTTGTTTTGTTCGTCCATTTTTCTGCAACTACTCAACAGGTCATTCAGCACTGGCCTTGTTTGATCTGCTCTGATTCGACATCAACATGGTTCTTGCGTTCTGGTCTGAAATTTGAGCGTTGAAAACTTCCAGAATCTTCATGCATGCTGCCAACTCATGTTTGGCCAACAACCGGCCTATCACATCATTTGACGATTCTTGTTCGCAGCAGAAAGTACTTGGAAATTTTCAATTGTCTAATGTACCATTGGTGCCTGTTCATCTTTGTTGAGTTTGGTTACTCAACCGGGCAACCCGTTAACAAACTATCCGCAATGCACCACTCAAGCTGTCAGTGATAGCCTGTCAAGCTACTCTCAGGCAATAGATTCTACAATTTGATACATACTACACATCAGGATACTAAGATTGGGTCATGTTGAACATTGTCAAGGTTTTCTTGCACAGGCCAGCCTAGTCTAGTTTGCTGTCGTCATTCATCCTTTGTCCTTTCCGATGAGTGTCTATTTGTCAAAGAAATCCAAATTCAAGAACAGCTGCACATTTACACATGTCCCGTTTCTTGCATATGTATTCTCATTCAACTTGTCATTTTTCTTTTCTTATTTCTTTATCACACGTTTCTTTCTCCTCACTTCACCTTGCCTTTCCATGTCTTTGTTCTAGTCCATCTCACGACTCCATGTTCTCTCATCTTCCTTTTTTTCTCCCTCGCGTTATTTTCTCACGTAAAACATTCAACAAGCACATTTCCTTCCCAGTTCCTTTTTTCCCTTCCTTTGCCTCCCCTTCAACTTTGTCTTTGTCCATTTCTTATGTCTCTCGTCTCCCAGTCTCTTGCAAACTTCCCCCCGCTCCCAGTTCCCAGTAAAACTCAATAAAATGCTCTACCCCGTTTATTTGTTTTTCTCTCTCCCGTTTCCCCCTGGCCTACCACTTAACTTTAGGTAGACCACCCAAACGTCAATACAATACTCTTTTCCCCTTTGCCAGCCTGTTGACTCCGACAATTTACTTTTCGATAACTTCGCACCAAGGAATCTAATGCTACGTAGCCTTTAGTCCGCATGAAGGAGAAGTTCTTTTCGTCGAATCCAACGTTCCCGAGAAAGGTTTTTAGCAGGAGACTACTAGAGGGGTTCTTGTGTTGAATCAGTGATACTAGATACTACATAGGTAGGTAGGTAGCAAAAGTAAGTCGGTGATATTAAGTAATTGTCTCATGTCTATGGTTTCAGAAGTCTATGCAGTCTAATATGTAGTTTGTACGCTCAAAATTAGTTTGTGCCCTATAAATAAAAAGAGAGAAAAAAGAAAATTATGAAAGTGGTATGTCATCTATCAAAAATAAATCTATAGATTGCGCTGGATGAACACATGGTGAATACAACCCGTAATATGCCCTTGAGTACTTAACGCTAGGGAGATCGGATTAAATCAGGTTAACCGAGGGCTTCTTGATTATACAAAGGCGGTGAAGAAATGGAAGAGTAAAGGGATGGAAGCGGTCATGATCACAGCTTGACCGCGCCTCCACTGATCTCCTTCCACTGCCGCGCGCCAAAAGGAACATACGTCCCATCGCGAAGCCAGTAGAGTTGATCAGTAGACGGAACATTTGCGGGATCGACACCAACTTTACGCAAGACGTGCTTTTGATGTTTATTCGTGCCGGTAGTTTGGATTGAAGATGTGATGCGGAGGAAGAGAGGAACGGCATAGCGCGGGAGAGAGGAGAGATTATGTTCAGCGAGCGACGAGAGGAGTTTGGGGGACGGCGGTTCGGAGAGGACGAGAGCCGCGCAGCCTGCTCGGCCGTCGTGGTTGGGGAGAGCGACGCCGTAGACGCTGGCTTCGAGGACAGATGGGTGGTGGCCTAGGAGAGCGGAGACTTCCTATAAATGAAGGGGTTAGCGTGAGGCGAAAGAGGAGGGAATGGTAAGATGGGAATTAAATGATAAATGATTAATGATAAACGATAAGGCTGGTCTAAAGGAGAACTGTAACGTACGGTAGTTGAAACGTTTTCGCTCTTCCATCGGAATGTATCCCCTATTCGATCGTGAAAGTACCATCGTCCTTCGGCATCCCATCTGACGACATCACCCGTGCGGAACCACGCATCGCCTTCGTTCAGGACGTTGCGTAAAATCTTGCTATTGCTGGCTTTGGTGTCGTTGAAGTAGCCCTGGTATGTCTTGCCAATCTGCTTCGCTTTGACATAGTAGAGTAGCTCTCCGGGCTCGTTCGTGTCGGCTTTCCGGCACAGACCGGTTTTGGGGTCTCGCCAAGGCTGCTCCGTCTCCCAGTCTATTTTGACTACTGTCACGGTATATCCCAGAAGCATCAGAGCCAAGAGGCCGTTGCGCCCAATTGCGCCGCGGGTGAAGTCGTTTCGGGACAGGTTCCATGCGCCAGACATGCCTTCAGTCGCGGCATAGAATTCTCCAATGGCATCTATACCGAACCGGGTCTTGAATTTCTCCCAGACGTCAGGGCGCAGACCGTTGCCAAATGCTAATCGAACATTATTTTTCGAGTCCAGGCATTCGCCAGTTTCGGGATCAATCTCGGGAGGCGCAGCAAGGAGATATCGGCACGTTTCACCAACGTACTGTATGACGGTGGAGTTTGACTGTCGCACTTCCTTCCAAAACGTCCTGGTAGAGAATTTGCGGCCAATGCAAATGGAGGTGCCGGCGTGGAGGGTTGTGCCGAAGCCCAGCACGACGGCTGAGGAATGGTACAGAGGCATGCACTAGAGAGAATTGTCAGTTGACCATGCCAAGACGAAAAAGCAAAAGAAGAAGAACAGGAGGAAGAGTAACTGTATCGACAGGACATACTGTGTATATTCTATCATCTGCTCGTACGGTTGTCCATAGAGAGCAAAATGTGCCTCCCAGAATTAGCTTGTACCATCCTACCACAGCGGGCTTCGGTAATCCAGTGGTGCCGCTGGTATATATTAAAATAGCCATATCCTCTGGTTTTGCCCACTCACGAGCCTCGTCAGGCACTCTGATTCCCTGTGTGCTCTCAATTTCCGAGATCGCCGCAGCGTCAAAGAAGGCCACCTCGGTTGGGCCGCCGTTCTCACGAAAGGAGGGCGAAGAGAGTTCATCAAGAACATTTGGGGTGATTTTTTCTCGGACATTTTCATCCACCAGTAGCAATCGTGCCGTCGATGTTCTGACGCAGTGTAGGAGCGGCTGGCCGCCGAGATTGTAGTTGATGAACGCGGGTTGTGCGCCAATACTCCACAGTCCCAGCCAAAGGAAGATAAATTCGGGCGAGTTCATAAAGTCCATGGCCACAATCTCTCGAGGCTTTATGCCATGTTTATTTTTCAGCCATGTCCCATACTTTAATGTGATCTCGTACGTCTCCTTGTATGTCCATTCGCGGCCTTCAAAGCAGAAGAAAGTCTTATTTGCAGAACGTCGAGAGAGAGCGTGGCGTTCAAGAAGGTAAAACAAGTTTACACGGTTCTGAAGCTCCGCAAGACGCCATCGCAATGTTCCTCGGAGGAAAGAGGAGATAAGCACCAGGTCGTAGCTCAAGCCAATACGAGCATTTAGATATGCCAGGAATGCCGCAGCTGCCGGTGCAGCAAGGGCAAGAGGAACTGTGAGAAGTTAGCACAGATAAGAATCCATCCACATTTAGCATTGAAACAAACCTGGCATTGTCTGCTATATCCTACTAAATCAAGTATCCATTGATACTAAATAGCGATGCAATCAACGGGGAAAAGTATCAGAGGGTCAAATAACACATGGAGTCGCAGTATCACCTGTTTCGTCATGGCGTTGTTTTGCGGTAATTCTCCTCGGTTGTCGGAGACAATATTAGCCGAGACCGATACTGTAATGAGTCGCGTCGATTCTCAAGCGCAGCATCAGAGGTGGTAATCCCCAGGCAAATGAACAGAACATTTGGACAGGCCTGCCGTTGCTTACGAAGGCCGTGGAATTGCATTTGCATGCGGCATCATCTTTTGGTTAACGCATAGTCATGCACATTTGAACTTCTGAGACCCACGGGCTGAGACTCAGAGAAAGACGCGTTTTGTCGCGCGGTCACCTGACTAATATATGTTCTTGTTGCGGTAAGCAGCAGTTAGGTGCAGTAAGGCCACTCAAGCCAATTCAATATCCCAACTCCCCTGAGAGAGCCCGAACAATCTTCGGGCATGCATGAACTCAGATTCAACTACTAAAGCAGACAATATCTATTGGATGCCCATTTATATTACTTTGCAAGCATTGCGTGGGGAGCTCTAATCAATTGGTCCTTGTTTGATCGTGTTAGTAGCTGTTTAGAGTCAACATGGCGTCGGTCAAGGAGAATGAACCGCCTACAGCGACGCCGCAAGAAGAGAATGGGACGCCCAAAACTCTAAAAAGCATTGCATTTGCGAAGAAGACGCCTCCGCCCGAGAAAGCAGAGAGCGTTCGATTACGTGCCTTTGTCATTCTCTCTTTTTGGGCGGTGGTAATTTTTCTAGGGTTGCCCACATGGTGGATTACAACGAGCATATACCGAGCAGACTTGCCCTTGCAAGAGATGATGGAATGGGCGGATGGAAAGGTTCATCTCTCCCATCATGAATTGACAAATCTTCAAGAATTATTAGTCACTAACAACCAGGCGCGCAGGCTTGCAGACCTGTCTTTCCCCTCCAGATACTGATTGAAACGCCTTCTCTGGCGGAAGCAGATGCGCAACACCTGCTACGAACGACACAGCATGCTCTTGATGATCTCAATGAATTTTCTGCGCATCATCTACGCCTATCCTTGACTCAAGATTCTTTATCATCGCCGCCAGCCAGTGACTCGGACAACTTAACAGAGAATGATTCTCAAACGACCAACGAAGGTGAAGGGGATGTTGCGCTGCTTATTCGGCTGCTTCAAGGAGAAGCAGGATCTTCGCCTCGTGCAGAATTGCAGCCGGACTCCCCTACCCTTGATGTTTACTATACGAATAATCAGATTCCTCCAACCTCCTCTTCTTCTTCTCCTTTGGCCAGTTTCATTGCCGATACTCTGCAGAATATATTTGCGGAGGAACAAGCAACGATTGCATATATGCTTTCCGCAAACAGTGGGATTTCAGCTGGTGCTCCAGCTTCTGCGGCCAATTCTCCGCATTCACAATTCGGTTCTGCTACCAGTCGTGAGCAGCGACCTTCACTGATACGTTCTCTCTCGCCGAATCTTACCGCCAATATTGAGAGACGGTCAACGAGATCTTTCAAATCTTCTCCTACATATCACCTCACGCTCTCATTATTCTCTCCGAATTCTGTCCCATCGTCATGGGACATCGAGGCTGCTCTCGAGGAATACTTGTCACCTCTGCTCGAGGCTCTAGATCCCCTTAGCAATTTCACTATCGATACACAGGTCCAGTTATACGCGTCATTTTCCCCGTCTGTACAAGAGCCAAGATTTGATGCGGAGTTGGGAGCTTGGACCTTACGCCGAGAAGACTTGAGCGGCTTCATCAATGCTGCTGAATGGCCGCTCAGTCCAAGCATAGGCACAGGCCCTACTGTGAATTTTATCCTCTACGTTCCAGCGGAGGATAAGGCCCCCTTGGTGGTAGGAAATAACGGGGCAAGCAGTTGGCTGATTCCACAATGGGGAGGAGTTTCAATCTTGAATCCACCGACCGCCAACACTTCTCGGCCTCGCATCCCAGAGCACTTGACAAAGGAGGATTTGCGCCCTGCCTTAGCCGTCTTCTCTCATCAACTACTTTCTCTTTTAGGCAGCCCGCAGTCGCCGTCATCGCTACCACTCCGCCTATTGACAATGACAAGAGTGCAAACCGCGTCGCTCATCTTTTCGGCGTCCTCAACACTTGGCGCTTTAGCTCGTTTAACACAAGCTCTGCCGTCCATTGCGATTCCTGAGACTGTCGCATCCTCGGTCGAGTCTACAATTACCCACCTAAATAATGCCTGTGATGACCTTCGTGAGGGAAGATTTCGGGGCGCTTTACAGCATGGGCGAATTGCCGAGGCGGAAGCAGAGCGAGGCTTTTTCGAGAAAAGCATGGTCGGTCAGGTTTATTTTCCTGATGAACACAAAGTCGCCGTGTATTTACCTTTGCTCGGCCCAGTCGGTGTCCCATTGATAATGGGTGCTCTAAAAGAACTTAAAAGAGTTTTGCGCCAAAGGCGGCAAAGGCAAACGATTTGAGGGTTGAAAACACGTACCAATTCAATTTGCTCATTCCGGGAGCTTGCACCGACAGATATGAAGCAGATCATCTCGAATAGCCGACGAAGAATTAACTGCTGTCTTTGTTTCGCGAGGCAGCGCTAATCGCCAAAGTAGCTCGGAAAGTCGTAACCCGAACAAAGAAATTCTACGTACCCGATTGATTTGTCTTTGTCATAATTCAAGGGCCTGCCCAGGTTTGATTCCAATGTCATTCACCACTAATTGGCTACATGGATGTGGCCCTCAAAGCACTTCAGTCTCGCTGTGGTTGAAGTTGGAGTTTCTCGACAAAAATAATTGCTGGAGTCGCCAACCTCTCACCTTTTCTCAAGGGAACAGCTTCGACTGAACGAAGCACTTCACTGCCCAGTTTCGAATACGGGAGCAAACATGGATCCAGTAATCGATTTGTGGTATCTTTTTCCTCATCAAAAATACCCTGATGAATACAGGTTTCTCTTCAAGGATCCGGTCACGGCCGATCAGGCAGAATATCGAAATAAATTTCTAGTTGTACTCCGGATTCTGAGATTCCTGAGGCCAGAGCAGCCGCAACTCGCTCTAGTTCCTGACCCAGATGGCCGAAATCTGGACCTCCCAGAATTTCAACTGACCTTTGACTGGTTTCGGTCGTGGCTTAGCCTGCTTCACCGAGGATCGTTGCTTCCTCGCCTCCAGGAAAGAACGCAAGACATTCTAGATCTTCGGGGGAAGCTTGATGCCATCGCCATATTCGCTAGAAGACTTTGTGAAAACGAAAGGGAGCGTCTTCCAAAAGGCTATGATATTCTCCTCGTGAATGAGGATAATAGGATATTTGTGGAACTTTTCAAAGAACTAATTGTGCAACTTCGAAAGACGCTTGGTTGGGTCCAAATCTCTGAAATTCCTTCGGAGTACGACTCGTGGCGGCCATTGCTGCAGCTGTGCGAAGCGGAATTTTACTTTGAGCAAAAGATGCAGCGCACACATGTTGAAGATTGTGTCATCTGGAAAAGGATAAAGCTCAGCGAATTCTCTCGACAAGACTATGCGCTTGAAGTTATCCAATCCATCAACGAAGCGGAACGGAGCTCATTCTGGATACGGCAGCTACGGCAACATGGTTTCAAGCGTCCCTGGAAACAGCTTTTCCTTGTCCGCGACGACGGCGAGGGCGAGATTCGGCCGCTGATTACCGATCTTCTTGTCCAGTGGTGCGAAAGGGAAACAGTTAACCGGGCACTGGATGTTCGATTCAAGCGCGAAATCCATCTCAGCGGAGTTGATTGTGCCGGTGCTTGCTTGGAACCATTACTTCCCGGTGAATTAATCATGGAACTCCATTGTGGACATTTTGGCCATACGGAATGTCTGTTTGGGTACTGGGACTCTGACGAAAAAGTTTCGTTCCCGTGTCCCTTTTGTCGGCATGATCCAGGACCTATACTCAAGAAGATGATACTCGATGTCCCTGGCTCTAATATCAACAGAGAGTATCACAGAACCGAGAGACAACTGGATCATGATGCTTACGAAGATTTCATCAACATCCTAAATGTTGACATGCGGTACGTGAACACGCAGTATATCTTTCCGCCCGAACTCCGGCAAAGGGCATTACGCCACCAAGCCCGTCTCGATACCGAGGAAGAAGAGACACGGGAACGCCGCGCCAGTGCTGCCGCTGCGGGCGCTCTCTGGGCGACAGACCCATCTACGACTGAGGGCCGGCGATTTCGACTCTATCCGATGGAACAGGATAACGACCCGCCCGAAGCTGAGGAGGGATTCTGGTTCGATGATGCCTATACTTGGCTTGAAGGCAACTTTGATGAGTGGATTCGCAGTACAGATCACGAGTCGTGGTCGTCGGGTAGTGGTCCCACACAGGATGCGAGACCGCATGGGATGCCAGCTCATCTATGGCGTGTCTGGAGAGAGTATCGTCAAACAGTCGAACGCGACGACGATATTTTCATCTTTCTCTTCTTCTTTTTATCGAAGCGATTCGATGGCGAGCTCGACGATGTGACAATTGAAGACGTTCCTGGGAATCTCAGAGACTGGTGGCGGCAGTGGGATAATCCCTTGCAGACCATTTACGACCTTTTTGAGCGTGACGTTTATATTCCAGATACTCGAGACGAATTTGAGCAACGCTATGGCCCGCGTTGGGTCGCGCCACAGTATACCGAAAGCCCGTCTGATGACGAATCTTCTGCGGTTTCAACCGAGAGGTCTTCAGCCTACGATCCGAATGACCCGGACGTGGAAATGTCAAGTGACTCCGGGGACCAACTGCTCCCTATAGACCTTTCGGACGAGGAAATGCAGGATGTGGAAGCGCAAGAGGAAGAAGAGAGGGAGGAGCAAGAGCAACTTTCGCAGCAGCAATGGCGTCCATTTTTCAACGCCTTTTTTAAATCGGGATACCAACCTGTCAACCCGCTCTTTCTTCAGGAGCTCAGGGCTCTCACGACTTCAGAGGATGATGGTAGCTCAGCTGATTTTGCCAACGAAGTCGCCGAGTTTGCGGACGATGCAAAACCTCTTGTGACTTCTGCTGTGTCCGCTCAACGACGTCGTAACGCTCGCCGTAGCCGCCGCAGTGGCGATGAACATGTCCATTTCGCTAGCCCCATTGTGGACAATGATGGCCTTCCTGGTCGAAATCTTAGCCCCTCCAGCGTCAGCGACAGCGGCAGTAGTAGCAGCAAACGCGGATTCACGAAGTCGAGAGGTAATTTCTGGGATAGAACGGGGTATCTTCAGTACGGGTGGACAATCGAGGGCATATTACCAACCAGGGTAAGGTAAGCAATAGTTGGAATTCTTTTCGGGGGAGTGGTATCGATTGGGGAAGGGTAGAGGTGTTTGTTTTGCGTAGAGAGACCTTATTGATTTAATCAACACTGCAATTGATTTATTTTACTGGTTGTTAAAAAAGACAAAACATTAAATTTTTGAATGCCTATCGCAGGATTTCGAAAGAACGCCTCTAAATGCCAATACTTGTCCACGATCCTGTCCCTTTCCTAAATACATTGCGCGTTTAACCATTGAAATGGAAACAGATCTCTGGCTCTATTCCTGCAGTCGTGATCCAAGAGATCTCCTGTGCTGATTGATTATCGAGGCGCATATGTCTCAACCAGCTGCACACCACGAGAATGTTGATCACCAGATGATGTCCTCGCATGATGCGCTTGCGACAAGTCGGCCATGTCCGCTTCGTCCAGCGGACCGGGGTGAGGATGCGAAAAGGCAGTAGATTGCGCTTGGAGGACAGAAGGCGGGGAGGCTAATCTTGGCGGCGGCGGCGAAGAGACTTGCACAGTAGTGGCACCTAGTCCCGCACCAGCTGAGGAAGAGTGAGGCGGCGGGATGGGAGCTTGGGACTGGGAATGATACGCCGTATCGTCATGTTCCGGCACCTGGGAGAGTCGCGGATCATACGGGTTCGAACCGATATTATACTTTGCAAACGGGTTCTGAGGTTGCTGCATCTCATACGCCTCCCAGTTTGTACTGCCCTCTTCATCCTCCGAGGAAGAATAATCGTCAGACACAAATCGGTTGCGACGACTTGTTCCGCCTCCGCCGGCAACAGAGGAATACTCGGTATTAGACCGCGCAATGACGGATTGCGAGTAATTTGACGAGGGCATGCGCTGGGCCATTGCGGGAAGCTGAGCTTGGTTGCGTTTTCGCTGCGAGTCGCGAATCTGTTGACGGAAAACATTCTGCTCGGTGGGCGCGTCTGAAGTGATTGTAGGCACTGCAGTAGAGGAAGTGTATGGCCGTTCTTCGTCCGCGGGTTGGGTCACCGCGGGACGAAGGGGTTCGACGCCAACATTATCGTATCGTGTCGCAGGAGGGGATGCAAAGTTCGGGTCTTCGGGCTGAACGGGTTCCCGGCCCCAACTGCGAATGGGATAGGCGCGGCCTTTACGCCATGACTCCTTGAGAGGAGGGAAGTATTGCCGGTATGCACACCATGCGACGACGATACCGATGAGGCTGCCGGTGATGACGTCGAATGGATGGTGTCGAGCGTCCATGATGCGAGAGTCGGCGATCAGGGCGGCGCCGAGAGTAGGGATGAGTACGATGAGAGTCTTCCACACTTCGCCGCGGTTGTCGAGCACGTGGAGTTTGCCGGCGAGATAGAGGGATAGGAAGAACAGACCGGCGAAAGCAGCTTTTTGGAGGACTAGTATTAGTAAAGGGTTTAAAAGCGGAAAGGAAGGTGGGTTGGCCTGGCGGAGATATTAGGGTAGAATTGCGTACAGCTGCTGTGGCCGGAGGGAAAGCTCCTGAAGCCGTCTTTGAGGATGGCATGGTCGGTTTGGGTGCAGATGGTAATGTTGCTGAGTCCGAAGGGCTGCGGATCAGTCTGAACATTGGGCTTGCACCGATCAATGAGGTCAGGTCGAGGTTTGCCAGTGGCATTTTTCAATGCGCCGGTGATGGTGAAGGCCGCGGCTTCGGAGAGGAGCAAGCCGAGTACGCCGCAATTGAATTCCCATAACCGGTCCTTGAAGCGGTATTTGCCTCCGAGAAATCTTTTGCCGTTATTAGAAGGAGCAATGGATTTGTCGTGTGAGAAAAGACCGTCGATCACCAGAGTGATAATGGCGATAATGACAATTGGGCATACGATGGCGACCAAGACAACCAGCGGGACCGGCACGCGCTCGTGCACCGCGTAGGGGTATTGCAGGGTGTAATTTCGTAACGAAAAATGCTGGTGATATGGTTCGACTGCATCGAGAATATTGAAAGCTATTGCGAATACTCTAAAGTGTTGCAGTCAGGATTATGAAAAAAGGTTGATTTGTTTGTTTACATGTATCCAGACTCACATGATGATGACATAGTCGAGAATATACCTGAATCCCTCAATTTGGTAAGCGGTCGCGTGCAACTCTAACTTTCCACACAGCTCAAGCAGGGGAAAAACCCATGAACATACGATATGATGACTTTTTTCGGCAGCCTCTTCTTTGAGAAGGGCAATTTCTGAGGTAGCTGGTAATTGTCCATTTGCGGCTGATCAGACGTGGACCAGCACGTCCTTTGTTTGACTCTTGCAACTACTTCTCGGTGGTTGTGGTTCTCCGACAGCAATCAGTGGGATTGAATTTTGTCTGCCTCCACCGGATCAAGTATTGAAAGAGCTCGCTCGGCGAAAGGGAAAGATTGGGAAAAAATTGACGAAATTATACACAAAGAAAAATGAAGAAGAGTTAGAAAGTTTGGATCAAAGAAGTCAGCATGAGGCGGAGGACAAAGCCCAGGCGCTAGGCATGACTTTCTCCCCCACAACTGAGAGGACCAGACCAGCTGAATGCGATGTGCCGCGTGTGTGGGATTAGCTGACCTCCACTATTGTCTAAACAAGATTAATAACAACATGTTTCTTTTCATGGGTCAAGAATAGAGGGCGGCTGTGCAACCGTTTCTTGTCTGACCCTGCACTAACGGGAATCCGATAGCTGTTTGCAGTTATTGGTCGACGAGCGAAAGGAACGCGTCATCGCCAAGGCGCACATGAAAGCAATTCAGCAACTCATTATTATCATCATGAACCGGTTCAACTATAGTGACACTATATCTAAACCAATCTCTCTTTGAAGAGAGATTCGCGTGATATGACAGTTGTCTTTCAAAACAGTTTTCGCTTCTTTTTGGCTGGTCATCAGAAATCATCTCTTGCAGCATTGAGATCTCTCACAAAGAGGGCCGGCGCCATTACAAATCGCTGCCACAGCAACAATGATATCAACCGATTCAATGCTACCACTACTAACGCTCAGTTTCAATTGACATGTTCTGGCTATTGCATTGTGTATATGCATTCCCAAATTACCCCGGCCTTGAGATGCAATTGGCAAAAGAGTCGAAACGCCTGAAATGCAGACCGCGAATATACATACATGCGACTTGCCATTAATGTGCAGATCGGTCATAGCACCTGACGATTGATTGCAAATATTTAGGATGCTGATTTTTTTGCGTTTCTTCCCATCCATTAACTATTCATATGGGCTCTCCAGCAGGGGCCCGGTAGCATTATCCAACATCGTTGAGAACTCTGGATCACTGAGCAAACAGCGAGAATTTGCATGTTGATATATCCATCAACTGATATGCCGACGATATGGATCAGGATCCCGACTGCAAGGCTCATTTATAAAACAGCCCCCGCGTCGACTTCTCCTTCTTCACCTTCACTCATCTAGACAGATAAATTTCTTGTGGAAATACTTGCAATGGTTGAGGGTAAAAGAACTGCAATATTGCGGTCACTATACAGACAACAATGACCAGTTGCGACATCACCATTCAGTGCGGCCTTCTGTCTCCTGGGTCTACAATTTTCCCTCGGTATGTCGCAGAATTGCGTTGAAGACAGTTCATGGAGTCGGCGTGCTTGAGCCCTTCGCGATCTCAACTCCAGTTTTTTCTTCGAGCATTTTCGCAATTTTTAGGAGAAATGTATTGTCAAATATCATACGGATTCTTTGTTCATTATCATATCACTCAGGCTTTTCCGGATGCGTCATTTTGCCATAAATTGCCCTGATTATTTATTACCATGTTCTTTGTTCAATTTTCTTTGGGAGGTAGGTCTCTGAGATACAGAACTCTGAAGTTTTTTTCCATGACAAAGAGAAGCCTGGAAGGCAGTGTATTCTTCTATTTCTATCCATTAATAGGCGCGGGCTCAGTTTTTGGTCCCCTGGTTGTTACAAAAAAATTTCCTTCCCTTTCGCTCCTGTCTGTTGCATAACATTGCCGACGGCATTGCAGCAAAAGACTGGGCAGATCTACAGGATTTATTCTCCAACAATTCATATTCATCCTGATATTGCGACATGATTCGCCCTTTTCTAAGCTGGCTCTCCGAGCCGGTGTCAGCACCGGCGGAGGCTTCTCCCAACCATGCTCCGAGTCAATCGAAACCGGGGCGAAAGAGAAAAAAGGCCGGTCTCATTGCTCGCCGGAATGTATCGAAACTACCAAGCACTTTTCGAACGAGGAAAGGAACTTTGAGCCTTCCTTCGAGATCTCGACCCAAACGGCCCTCCTCCAAAATGGTACGCTTGGCTCGACGTGGGCGTCTGACTGGCTTTCTTGAGAAAGGCGTTATAGTCAGTGCGAAAGAGTTTGGGGAGAAGGCCAATCCCGCAACGGCGCGAATTCGCCTCAACAAAGATTTTGATTTTGAAACGGATCATCTCTCCGATGAAAGCGAGTCCATGGATGTTGAGGAGCGCAATCCTGACAATTTGTTTTATATATCTCTTGGTGATTCTGAGCTTCCAAGCTATCACTTTTGGAAGGGCCCTGAAGATGTTGATCCCATTGAGAATCAGAAGCCCTTTGACTGGGACGCTTACTTCAATCGCATCTTCCCTCAAGGCAAAACCGAAGCCCATGCAGATGTGGAAGAGCCTTGGCGACAGCTTATCAAGAACAACAACAAGTTCGAAGGAAACAACATTTGGAACCACGAGAAAAACGATTCCCGCCTATCCAAAATTGTTACCACCGAGAGTGAACTAGAATATTCATTGCCCTTGGACAATGCGGTTGACGGCGTAGCTAATGGTCTTGATTTCGAAAGAGGGGACGCTCGTTACTACACTGATAGAAGCTCTTTCGCTACTGAGAATGAAGTGGATGGCCCGGATTATGGCGGCATGCAGACAGTAGTGGACTCATCGGAGCTTTCAGGGCTGGATCAGTCATTATCAAATGGAGGGTCTGTTCATCGAAGTAGGTAGCATACTGTATGCGGTGCCAGACATGACAAGAAACTTACTCTTTTAAAGAACGCAAAAGGCACACAGCACCCGATTTCGTCGAATCGAGAGCTCCTTCTTCCGGTCGAAGCTCGTCCAGTTCAGGGCAAGCTTACTACGACCGGCTCATCCGGTCTTTGCCAAAAGACGCCATTCTAAGGAACCCTCGGAACCTGGCAGAGAAGACCCAAAGCCAAACTAAACATAGGGTGTTACTCCATAGTATGAAAGGAGGACTTTATCTCAAAGACGACGCATTCGAGACTTTCGTGTGTACTGCTGGGAAATTGCTGGGGATTCCTAAGATACCAACAGTTGAAGAGTTCTGGATATACATTTACGACCCAACGAGTGGTTACGAGGATAAATATTGGATAAGTAAAGCGACCGGTTTGGCAACTTTCGACAAAGATGTTAAACCAACCTTCAAATCTCCTGTTGCCGAATATCGATTGCGGCGCAAGGAAGTCGAGGATGAAGAGAATATGGAATATTTCTTTCCTGAACTCACTGGCCCTTGGGTGAAACTAGTCAACAACGATATTGGCTATGTATGGATTAAGCCTGACTACCAGAACGGTCCAATCGGTCAGAGAGCAATTGCGGATTTTATAGGCAATCTTGTTCGGTTTCTATTTCCCAGAAGTACTAGAAGGTACTTGTTTGAAATGAAAAGTTCAAATCGAGCGGTACAGTTGAATACAATGAACGAGTTCTCGTCTATACAGCGAATGTTGAAATCATTCATCTCTGCCATACCAAAATCTGACGAACAGCCCGCACCTGAGATCTCAATAACCCCGATGGAACCAGGAAATGTGGTAAGTCTCCATCCCGGCCCTTCTTGAGTAATTTTCTCATCTTCTAAAGGATAAAACCCAATCGAAAATTACATCTGGGCCTGAGATTGTTGTAAGCGGAAAGCCACCTGCAAAAGTGGTATGTCTCAATGCGATATAATGTTGGCATAATCTCACATTTCTTAGGAAATCCCGAAGCCTAAAGCTCCCATGGAAGCCCCTAAAAATGTTCCTAGGGTTCTGGAGCCTGGAAAGAACCAGAAAGAGGATGCTCAAGCGCGAGGGGTGCCACGAGTACCGGTGCCCCCAAGTGCAGCTCCCGGCCCTGCTTATGCGGGACAGACGCAGCGAATGCCTTCTTTAGCTGCTGGTTTGAGGCAAGCATCACAGCGCTCAAAGGTTGGTATTCAAAGCAGGATGAGCATCCCCAAGTATGCGTCTAGCATGGAACGGACAATTACTGGAGGTCCAAGGCTTCCTACGCTTTATGCCAGACTTCCCACCGCTTCTGAGATTGTGCAATTGGAGCGCCGACTTGTGAGGGCTGAAAACGAACTTTTGCAACGTGAAGAATCCTGCCGAGTTTGCGATAAGACTACGCCACACGGAGCGCCTGCGGTGAGTTCTCCTTGCTTGAAAATAAACAACGTTTCGCTGACTCCAAGAGCAGATGAGAGAGCATTATCAGGAACACAAGGATGAAAGGGTTCAGTTCTGTCCTCTATGTGAAATCAACTGGACAGAATGGAGCATGGAGGTAAGAAGTTTCCTTTCAATATTCTCTGCGGATCTTGTCGATTGCTGACTTGTCCTCCAACAGCGACGTCGTGAGCACTTGATCGTTGTGCATTCTCTGAACTCTATACGGGTAAGTTTCACCAGCACTTAACGCTGGTCGACTTCTCTAACCTCTCATACAGATCAGGAATGGAGTCCCCGCTCAACAATCTGCCAATGCACCATCAAGATCAGCACCAGGTGCAAATGATCAGCCTGCTCAGCAATCTCATGGGCCCCAGGGACCTCCGCAGCCTCAATGTTGCGATTACGTCGAAAGATGCAGAGTCTATATTGGAGGCATGACGCAGCAAGTAAGAGAAACGCTGTCCATCCCAAGCAAGATGAAGCGATATTAACAAGGATGTAGGAGATACAAGAGCATTATAAGTCTCATCATAAGCCTTTCGTTCAATTGCCTGTAAAGACTGCAGTGTCAGCTTCTGCTCAACCTCCAGCAGAATCTGTTTTACCGGTTCCTTCTCAAGCTGCCTCTCAAACCACTACTCAGACGACTGCTCAACAAGCTGATCATCCGACGGCTCAACCTAGCAGTCAGCTGCCCACTGGAGCTCCTATCCCTGCCCGGGCTCCTGCTCCTGTTCCTGCGCCTGTTCCTGCGCCTATTCCTGCTGCTGCCCCTGTCCCTGCTCGAGCCCCTGCTCCACCTCAAGCGGCCGAGCAACGGCCAGCTCAGGTCCCTGCTGCGCCCCAAGCCCAAGCTCCTGCTCCTGCTCCCCCAAAGCGTCCAATCAAGGAGGCTAAAGGCGTGCGAGGCAAGACACCGGCTCCAGAAATGAAGCCGGCAGCAAAGAAGACGGCCGTGAAAACTGGTTCTTCGTCTCCCAGGAAGCGCATAACCGAGACGCCTGCTTATTACAATTCAGAAGGGGAAATCTCCCATAGTCCCACTCCAGAGCCAGCACCGAAGAAATCGAAAAAGATGTATTTACATTGTCCGTCGTGCTTTACGAATATTAACAGCCTAAGTGGACAGGTACATGAAATCTGGTCTTCCAAAATATTTTGCAAAAGTATGCTAACAGCAAGCACAGAGAAAGAAAAAACACGCTGATGGATGCCAAGTCAAGGTGGAAGACTTTATTCGATTGGATGTTGAAGAAGGTAAGCGGAGAAAGAAGAAAAAGCAAAAGCCTGGCGATCCAAGTGGCCCAGAGGCAAATTATGTCCCGCCGCGAGAGGAGGAAGCCGATGAGGAGATTCAAGCTCAGCTAGAGGAGGGTGATTTGGAGGTGGCTGGACAAAATCCTGAAGGAAAAGGAGATGGTGGTCGATCTAAGGCGCGAAAGTAAGATGGATGATCCCTTACAGTTCTGTTTCTTTTTGTGGTGAATACGACTATTCCGTGGATGTATTTTTACTATTTTATTGCATTGATGGATTATTTATTGGTTCATTATTTTCGATGTGATCTGTATTGAGAAATTCCGAATTTTTTCTCTATTTAGAAATATTGTGAGTTGCCAGCCTTGCAAACGTCAAGCAATTGAACAAAAAATATCGGCTCTTCCAAAGGCCGAAAAAAAAAACATGCAACAGCGGGGATTCGCTGGTCGTCACCGACCCAACTACTAGTCCGCCGATCTGAGGCTTATGTATGGCAGAGCGGACGGGATGCCCAGTTCTCCTCAGTCTATGGTCGCATGTACTAGACACAGGTTCTGCTTGAATATACATACCACAATTGGCGTTCCTCAACCGGGATGATTGTTCATATATCCGCTCAGAGGAGACTATCGAGAAAAACCGCTCTCAGATTCGAGGTGGACAAATTAGAATGAAATTTATTAATCTTGTAATTTAATGACTTTACTCTGCTCGCCCAGGGTTTCAAATTTGAAGTCTACGAAAGGTTGAATGAAGGCCTAATGTGACGTTTGTATTTATGTTTCTAGGATTTTGTTGTTTACAATGCTAGTCCTAAGTCGTCCCCCCCCCGAACCGAACGTTTTTTGAACGAATTGGCGGATCGGAAAAAGCCGAATCCCCGAAGCACCAGGTCCGATAAAAATATCCCCAGATAACTTTAAGCTGGTTTGTCTGCGTCCAGCAATTGTCCTCGAATGTCACGGTGATGTTCGATACCGTCTGTACCCTCCCCCTTTCCTCCGACTTCTTCACGCAAGCGGTTCATCCCAGTGAGCCGCTTGTCGCTGTCGGACTCTATGGCGGCCATGTAGAGACCTTCCGCCTACCTGCTCCAGCCAGCGATGACAGCGATGAGGAAGCATCACATTCGCCCAATGGTTTTGGAAAGATAGACACATTATGGAGGACAAGGAGGCATAAGGGTAGTTGTCGGAGCGTTGGATTTGGCATTGACGGCGAAGGTGAGCTTTCTGTCCCAAGTAGCGCTCATGCCTGTAATTCTTTCTTTTCAGAAAGCTAACATCCTTTGTTTCTGATATATAGCTCTCTATTCTGCGGGCACAGACGGTCTTGTAAAGGCTGCATCTACCGAAACTGGCCAGGTCACATCCAAAATCGCAATTCCTTCTGGGTGAGCATCCCGTTGAATTTTTTTGGAGAGGAAGGATTCAGTATCTGGCTAACATTCTGTAAAGCTCTGGCCCGGACGCGGACGCGCCCTCTTTACTTCACGCGCTCTCACCTCAAACTCTTTTGTTGGCTACCGACTCTTCGGCACTCCATCTCTACGACCTTCGCGAGAACAACTTCACCAAATTGAAGCCCCAGCAAACGCATCATCCCCACGACGACTATGTCTCCTCATTGACACCTCTTCCGGCTTCCGATGCAAGTACGAGTGGTTTCAGCAAGCAATGGGTGACCACGGGAGGTACTACGATCGCGGTTACGGATCTTCGACGCGGAGTTCTGGTGCGAAGTGAGGACCAAGAAGAGGAATTACTTAGCTCTGTCTTTGTAGGAGGATTACCGGCTAAGCCTGGACGCAGCAAGGGTGAAAAGGTACTTGTCGGTGGTGCTGCCGGCGTTCTGACCCTTTGGGAACGCGGCGTTTGGGACGATCAGGACGAGAGAATCATTGTCGAGCGCGCTGGCAATCAGGGCGAAAGCTTGGATACTTTGACCCTCGTGCCTGATGAGATTGGTCCCTTTGGCAAGATTGTGGCAGTGGGAATGGGTGACGGACGGGTCAAGTTTGTAAAGCTTGGTCCTAATAAGGTCATTGGCGAAGTCCGACATGACGAGGTTGAGGGCGTTATGGGACTTGATTTCGACGTTGGGGGAAGAATGATTAGTGGCGGTGGCTCCATTCTCAAGGTCTGGCATGAAAAGGTGGAGGGACCTGGAGAGCTCGAGGAGGGGCCGACAGGCAAGGGATTCGGCAGTGATGATGATAGTGACGCAGACGATGCCAGTGATAGCAGTGACGATGAAGGATCTTCTCAGAAGCGTCGCAAGCGGAGAAAGAGAACCAAGGGAAAGCAGCAGGTTCAGCATGTGATGGCGTTCAAGGGTATGGATTAATTATAATGGCAACTTTCTGGATAACATCTGCAGCAAGATGCTTTAGTTGGAAAAATAAAAGTTTTTAGTTTGGTCCTAAAGGAATAGAATCGATATGTGTGGCTGGTGTCTTGTTCAGCTTTGAAGTTAAAAAAAGACTCATGATCCTTTATTTTTGTCAATTTTCTGCTTGCAAGGGTTGGTTCAAGGTCCCCAATTATTCGCATTTAGAAACCTAGATTTTTAAAAGGAATATATAATTCTACGTCAACAACAATGAAATTCTACGTAGAAAAAGGCAAATAAATCAATCAATCAATCAATAAATTTAAGTTTAAATTTTTTGGAACAAAAATTAAAGTCAAAGGAAGTTTTATTTCCTGGGCTATGAATTGTGTTTATCTTCGGAGCGCAGCGTTTGAGCGGAGAGTTTCCGTTGTGCACGGACCAATTAATATGCCCCTCCACACGCTAATCGCAAAAATAACGGGCAGTCCCTGTCGAAGACTCATACATCGAACAATTTTCGTGTGTCTCATCGGTACTCCTTCAGGCACGGTTCAATTAAGAGAAGGATATACACTTGCTTTAAATATGGCATTCTCTTCATTGGAAGCACCGCCGGTGCTTTCAACACCGGAAACACATATCTTCGAAGACCCTACGCCGACTACTTTCAACCCTTCGGAAGCCGCGCTTTCGCCCGAGGAAGTTTACACCCGCTACGAGATCAAACGAACTGTCCAGGAGATAAGGCAGGGAAAATGGCGGAGAATTGCGCTCCAATTTCCGGACGATATGCTGCAAGATGCACCAAAAGTGTTTGAAGCGCTAAGCTCCGGCTTAAAGGTCGCTCGAGAGACCGAGCCATCTGAGCCTAGTGATGCTTCCGACAAGGTCGATCAGTTAGCAGAGGAGGTGCAGGAGGTGGATATCTCAGCTACTCGTGCTTCTGCCGAGGCATCGCAAGAATCGGACGAGGAAAAACTATTCATACTGGCTGATACCTCTTATGGCGCCTGCTGCGTTGACGAAGTTGCCGCCGAGCACGTCAATGCCGACGTCGTTGTCCATTATGGCAGATCGTGCCTCTCTCCGACTGCAAGACTGCCTGTCATCTATGTCTTCACTCGCCGCGAACTGTCGATCGAGCACGTCCTACAAGCATTTAAGGGAACTTTCCCTGAGAAGGCCCAAAAGGTCATTCTCATGGCAGATGTAACCTACGCTCACCATATTACATCTATATACGAATTATTGAATAAGGACGGCTATACCTCTCTATATGCGACTTCTATAATTCATGACCCCTCGTCGCCTCTTCCAAATCGAACCATACCGAAAGAAGTTGTGGATGACCACACGCTCCTCCAGGAATACAAACTGTTCCACATATCTGATCCGCCGCAGTCGTTGCTAATGACTCTTTCTTCACGAGTTTCAGATGTCTTTATATACCCTACCAATACGCCGACTTCGTCTCCTCAGGCTTTACAAGCCTCGACATCACTTGCTCTTCGCCGCCGCTATGCAATTATAACGAAGCTGAGCACGGTACCGATATTTGGCATTCTGATAAATACCCTCAGTGTGAAAAATTACATTCACATTGTGGATCACGTCAAGGAGCGGATCGCCGCGGCTGGCAAGAAGAGCTACACTTTTGTCGTTGGCAAAGTTAATGCCGCCAAGGTCGCAAATTTCAGCGAGATTGGCGGTTGGGTGATTATCGGCTGTTGGGAGAGCTCATTAATTGAAAGCAAAGATTTTTGGAAGCCTATCATTACTCCTTACGAATTGGAGTTAGCGCTAAAAGATGATGAGGAAAGAATTTGGACAGGCGAATGGCGAGGAGACTTCCAAGGCGTACTTGACGAGGCCCAGTCGCAACGCGCCACTCAGCAGGCGAATGGCGTTTCCAAAGAGAAGGGGCTTCAGACGGGAACTGAAGAAACTGCCGCCCATGGCGAGGATCCAGATTCAGAGCCTGAGTCTGCACCTCCGGAGTTTGACCTTCGCACTGGACGCTATGTTTCTCACACCCGGCCTATGCAGTATATGCAGTACGCTTCCCCTTCGGATGGCGCTATTGGGAATGGCAGCGGTGGTACTTCTGCCCCCAAGAGCGTCAATGATGCTCGCGGACCCGGCGCATCCCTGGTCAAGCGGTTTGCTGGAGACTTGGCCACTGTAGGCGGGCAAGTGTCGCCCGGAGCCGAGTTCCTTCGCTCAAACAGGACGTGGAAGGGTCTCGGAAGCGATTTTGAAATCGCTTATGACGAGGAAGGAAGCAACGATATTCAAGGCGCCCCTGTCGAGGAGGGAAGGAGCGGCATTGCAAGAGGATATACTGTTGGTGATGACGCTCCAAAGCGATGATTTTACGTGTAGAGCAATCCGCAACAAAGACGGAGTAAAAAGCGGTTTCGTTTAGGTCTTTTTCATGTAATTAGAGGTTCAGAAGCTGGCACCATCAGATTCCCAGACAGCTTATTAAAAGAAATATTGGTTGGAGACACCGGCTAGACTATATGCGTGACTTATTTTGCATTTTGTTCTGAGATTGTTCTGAGAAGGGCCGTGTATAAATTCATGTTTTCAGATGTTATGTTCAGATGTAGGAAGTCCTCCCATAAATAAAATCGGGGGTTTTCTCTACATAAACGTGTTTCGCTATCTATTCAAGGACCCAAAAGCTTGCCTGTCCTCATCTTCTCTCTCAACTCAGATCTGACCTGGATACGTGGACATGGTGATTGTTTGTGCATTCCCTTATTGAGTTTAGACTGTTTGACATCCTTTGGCCAATCATAGCTCTTTATTCTGTGGCTGAAGTGCCATCTTTACCACAGGATGAAGATTTAGCGAATGAACCGCTTACGGGTAGGGATTCGGTGTGGCTGGTGCTTCCGACTGGCCGACCGCCTCTTCCCCCATCATCATCGCGAAGACATAAACAAACACCATCTTACCGCGCGCCCACATCTCTTTTTTTCTCCCGCGACAACCAACAACACCGGCAAGTAGCTAGGAGGAAGAAACATCGTACGCTCTTTGTTTGCATCTCATATATTGGAAAACGCGTAATTGTCAAATATACCTTTTCTCGATTCCATACCGAACTGTCCGATCAACTCTCACGCACCTCTGTGTGTGTGGACGCGACCGATCGCATGTCCGTCCCATCCTCACCTTCTCTGGCATCTCAGCCGGATGACTTTCAGCATCAAATTCGACAAATTCAGGAGATGTCCCGCGACTTTTCCCGTGCTTCGCTGAGCAGTGGTTTCAGCTCGAATCCCGAGATAGAAGAGAGCTCACTTTTCAAATTACCCAACATTCGTCAGCTGCGAGCAAGCGCGGAGAAGTACCGTCCCGGCGCGAGATATAGTCCAGACTCTTCGGTATTTGTGGATACATCTGCCATGGCAAACGCATTCCCTGACTTTTCTGGCGTCTTCGAGCACAAGTCGCCCTCAGTTAGATCGGTTAAAACAGCAGCTAGCCAACCACCCTCTGCCGACCTTCCTTCTCTAGAACTTCCTCGTGGAAATAGCAACGGGCAACAACAAATTAGAAGAATGACTCCGCGTATCGCTTCTGTGTCTGATCAGAATTGGGTCGATACTAGTTCCGAGGCAGTCACGCCAGACTACAAGGCTGATAGCCCGCCATCCCCTCCGAATGGTAACAGTTATATAAACCGAAGAACGCGTCCCTTTCAAAGCTCGACTAAGCCGCAAATGGCGAAGAATAACCTGAACAAGCCATCGAGTTCTGGCAGTGACAAGTCCAGCCCGCCACTTCATAAGCTAACTGATTTTGGATCAAACAACAGCCGGCCAAGCAGCGATGGGAACGGTCGACAACCTAGTCCCACTAATGATGTGGACTTTGATCGACCACCCACAGTCACTATAAATGGACGCAACAGCAGATTTGGTATCGGCGCCTCACGCAGCAGAGAAAGCACCGTAAATGACCTCGATAAGGTGCGCAACAAGCAAGTGCCGCTAGGTACGCTCGATGATACGTATTTGACAAACGGCACTCAATTCTCTTTACCGCCTCGTCCTTCAAACCCGGAGCCAGCCACTCCTCGCTATCTTCGCGGACTTGGAACTACTGGCACAATGACAAGTGCTAGTCTCAGTAATACCACGACGAGGAATTTCACACTCAAAGATGGACGCTCTTTTGTTGTGCCGCCGGCCCCTGAAATGTCTGAACTCGTTTCGGGCACGTTCAAGAATGGCACGCCCGTATTTGCTCGGGGCAGCCGCGCTGCTTCAAGATTTTCGCGACCCCCTGGCCCTGGAGATCACAGCCTACACGTCGAGGAGCTTGAAGACGACGGAAATATGGATGAACGGGCTATTGTTCTTTCACTGCGTCTTCTTCAGGAGCGTGTGGTCGAATTAGAACATGAAAAGGCTCAGGGGGAGCAGAAGAACGTCGAGCTCAAGCGCAAGAATAGTCTGCTCAAGACCGAAATTCAAGAACTGGAACTTGACAGACAGGAGCGTGCTACTCGAGACTATGACGAGCGATTGGAGACGCTCGTCTCAGAAAAAATTGGTGAGTAACGTGCGTGGCTACTGCATCCGCATATTTACTGGCTGACTCGGCTTCTGTCATAGAACTTCACAAGAGCGTCAAAACTCTTGAAGCAAAACTCGATGCTGCAGATCGAAAAGCCGCAGTTGCAGAAATCTCAGTCAAGAACCTTACCAATGAGCGCGACTCTGCGGTCCAGCAGTTGGGCGTTGCGTATTATAATTCCGTTGATCTTCAAAATGAAGTTGACGCGTTGACCAGTGAAAAAGAAAACTGGGAGAGCGCGAAAATTGACGAGCTTGAGAAGCAGGTCAAAAACTGGGAGACCAAAACGTCAACGGAAATTGAAGAACTAACCAACGAAAATCGTGAGCTCAGAAACAAACTTGAGAATACGTCGGATCTCGATCACGTGACCAAAGAAAATGCCGCCATAAGACAAGCTCTGGAAAACTACGAGAGTGAGAAAGTAACTTGGAGTCGCGTTAAGGCGGAGTTGGTCGGCGAAATCGAAAGGCTTAGGCATGAAGTTCAAGCAAAAGAAGCAGCCCTTAAGCATGAACAACGAGCTCGAGCGGTTGCTCAAGAGGTGCATGCGTCGAATAAAGAGGAGCGAAACGTTGCACAGTCGAAAGGCGACACCACGGTGCTCAGCTTTATTGAGGTGAAACATGACTCCTGGTATTGGCATCTTCTGCGAAGCTAACTATGAGACACAGCCCGATTTTATCGCAAATCTCAGAATGAAACTGGAAACTGAGCGTCTCCTTGCGAAGACTGGCAAGTCTGACGAGAACTCAGTAACTCGCCCTCAGGATAATGATCTTACGGGTCGTTTTGATGTGAACATTGGAGATTATCCTGCTAATGCCTCGGATGATGGGGCCACACACGCGGTACGTTGGCAGATGAAGCTACTCAAATTTCGCATTCTAATCCTGTTCATAGACTGAAGCCAGTAACGGGACAAACCATGTTCAAAGTAACACTAGACGCAACCCAGTCGACGACGTCACCGCCAATAGTTTCAAGGTATTTCCGCAATCCCTTTCTACGTAAGGACTCCTCTAACACTTTAATAGAGTACCGGCCGCAATTCCACTCAGAGGAGTTCCCACAGCCGCGCCAGTAGCTATTCAGGCACTATTCCCAATGAAAATGAAATTCAAGACTCTGTAAGTCGAGATTGATATTTCGGCCATTGGACTTCATCTAATTGACTTTGAAGATAAATTTGTCTCGACTGAATGGCGAGAATGAAACTGCTAAAAGCGAAATTCATTCTCAGGAGGTCTCGATGACTGGCGATGTGGAGGATTCTGTAAGAGGTCGATTCCAAACCTTGACACACAGTGTGCTAACCTGCCGTCAGATTAAGAAGATTCATAAGCAATTGTCTCACGAGAATCTGGAGCAAGCAAATAAAAAGGTATGTTTATCACATGCATTCTGACTCATTCCATTCTGACGCAACTGTAGAATACTCTGTCCAAACCGGCTAGGCGTTATTCAGATAACTCGATTCCGGCTGGATCAAAGCGGCGGCGGGGTGTAGAGGATGTGACCTCTGCATTCATTCTTCCGGACATTACCCTTGCAACAGCTCCAAGAGATATCGAGACGCTCTCAGAAGCCGGCCACGAAGCTTGCAATGGCCATGCACAGCATGATGCCAAGAACTGTACAATCTGTACGCGCGTCCTCACAACTGATGGAGAAGTGAAATACACCTCCACAGTAAAGATCCCCAAGCCGATTCCGGTATCGAAGCGGATGCCTGAACCGTCTAAGTCCTACCCTGACCCAACCGTACGGCCTGCGCAATCGCCAGCATATTCTCTAGCTACCGTTATCAAAATGCTGGAAGATGAATTGGCCCATCTGCGAGTAAAGCTTCAGAAGTATCAGGCTTTCTACAACGCACACGATGCCTCAATGTCAAAGCGACAAAGGAAATCAATTATGAAGAAAATCCGCATTCTCATGGAGACGGCTGAGCTGAAAGCTGACCAAATTTACAACTTGTATGATGTTGTCGAAACTCAAGCTTCCGAACTGGATGATCTCAATCTTGAGGAAACACTCAACTCCATCGGTCTAGATGTCAGCGTCTTGAGCGATGTAAGACCCAATGATAACAGTGATGCATCCAGCTCTACTGGTAGCGAATCGCTTCCTTGGGAAGGTCTCGACGAGTGAGTCCGTCGAAGTTGAGTTTGCTTTTCCAAACTTTCTTCCAGCGTTGGCAATCACCAGATCTTCTCTATTTCTAGATGTGCCCCCGCATTGACTGACTTCGGTGTATGTCTGCGGGTGTGGCTGCCAGATGGAATTTCATGGTGCTTGACTATTTTCACGTTGACTGCCTTTGGGGAATGTCCGTGAAGATATTACCCAACTCTGGGAGGAGAGGTCTGGAGAAGCTGACGATATTTGTTGGACGCTTCCCTTGGGTCGTTTTAAATTTTTTACTGCGGAACTTGTCTTCTTTCCTTTTTTGTTGATTTCGTTCTTTTTCTTGGGAGCGTTCCCGTTTTGGTTGAAGTAGAAGGCGGAAACGGCATAAGATACCCTGTTACGCTTTTGAAGAGTGAGAAGCGTGGAGCCAACTCTGAATTTGCTTTAACTTTTCTCCTTCACTCACATTCATAAATTGCATGCATACGTTGAAGGGTCTGTGTGGCGTGGGACTGGCGTCTTGTATGTTGTATGAGGTCTTGTTGTTTTCTTTCTCTTTCTCTTTGTTTATACTTTTCTCTCTTTCGATGTCATTGCTGCATCGGTCTATCTCTTCATAGAAGCGGGGATTCCGTTTCAAGGTCCGTTGGTAGATGAGTATTCGTGGTTCTATCCAATATTGGAGTTATAGGGAAGCTGGCAACGCCCAGGGCTTCCGATACTGTTGGAAAAGTGTTCTTCCTTTTTGTTCTTCTTCTTGCAGATTATTCTCTTTCTGTAGCATAACTTTGTCCCTTGCCTAGCAGTTTCTTAGGGATTAAAATAACTGCCATTCAGTCATTCAATTGCCGTTGTGTCAGGTTCTGGAAAATTCACTTTGAGTGAATTCAAGAACAGCCGACAAATTTCCACTGCCTTTTAAAACCGAAGAACCTTCTGCTCGAAATGCGTTCCGTCATTCCAAAGTTGATCATTCAAGATGGACAACAATATTATGCACTGGCTGTCCGAACTTGATCAGGGCAAGAATGTGCCGGTCGGACAAAGGAGAGCTGGCCATGGCCAACACGCACGCCGAGTCGACACTCAGCCTGAACATGATGTCGACAAGTTTACGTCCGCAGACTTGAATCACGGAACAGGAACAGTTCACCAAAAAGGTCAGAGCCATGGTAAGTATCAACACTGCAGAACATAGCCACGAACACCGATTCCGTAGCCATCTATCTCTTACAAGCTGCCTCAATACAAACCTAACGTCTCAAATCTTTTCTAGGTACTGCACACCAGCTCGAACACAGGAAGACGCAGAATGAGCGACATGCAGACAGTTTTTACACGAATATGAAGGAACGTGGCATGGAGGATACAGGTATAGGGAGAAAGAGAGCAGAGGTCCTATACTCATCTGAGAACCAAGCACACAACGGTCCATTTCCGGCACCACCTAGGCACAGAAGCGTGGGAGCTTATGATCCCAATCATGCACCTTCCTTCAACGAGTCAAAAAATATGTCAGGACTTGAGGGAACATCATCTACCATGCTGAATCCATCTGGAGCCGATCCTCATCATTATGAAGGGGGGAAGTATGACCGGAAGCCTCGCCACAAGACACGAGATGATCGCTACAACCTTAAGCAAAAAAGGAAGAATAAAAGAAGAAATGCTAGGACCAGGCAAACAAAGCATGAGAGCGTGCTTAGAGGTTCTGGACCCGCGGAAAAGGCATCGAAGCGTCTTACAGTGAGTCCTAAGCTTCAACATCTGGAAATATTAACATGGGCTAATGACTTGTGCCCCATTCTAGTTGAACCCTGTGAAGAATATTGGTCTTTTCGGAAAGGGACGGGCATCTTCTCCCGTGAGACGTAGGGGACGTAAGTACTGCTTTAGTTCCTGAGACATGCATAGAGTTGACAGACCTCTAGTTCCAGACTTGGTGTTTGCAGAGGACGAATTTCTTAAGCGTCGAAGACGAGGAAGGGAGAATGTCACCTATGAGAATGACGTCTATGGGAGTATGGACAGACGTGTGGGTCGAAACGATGGTGGTTCCTCTTTTCACAATGGACAAAGGGGTCCTATTCATGGCCATCTTGCGGGCAGTAAGAAGAATACACTTTCCAGCATCTCTTCTTGTACATTGAAAGGCGATGTTCGGAGTCATCGAAGCCGGACCGGCAGTCCATCAAAATATCAGCCTTCGCTTGGATCACAGAGGCATCCTAGATTGGTATCTCAGCATCATGCTATCCAGACCTCCTCTCCTAGAATCGCAGAGAGCAATATCCGAGGATATCGGCCGAAGAGCGAAGCGGCAAAATCCCGCGCAACTAGTTATTATACCTGGCCGACAAGTGCTGGGACACGCCAGGACCAATTGAGGAACATGGAGCAGCCGGATGAAAGAACAGCAGAGCAGATACTTATGCCTGAGATGATTGATACCAGAAACTCTGGCAGTGCCTTGTTGATGCACCATCCGCAGGAGACGCGTGGATATCTCGACAATCAAGAAGGAAGTCGAAGTGGACCAATGCGCGACTGCAACTTTCAAGAGCTTTTCGAGCAAGAAGCACATAGGGGAAACGTCTCTGCGGGAATCGCCTCGGCACAGTCAAAGGCGAGACAGTCAGTCCAGCGGCAAGCTGCGAATGACCGCTCACTCGAATGTTCAAAAAGGCTTAACCAGAATGTTGAACAAGAGCTTGCTCTGCTCACGGGGAATCATATACAAAGAGAGCGTATCGTGGACCAACCGTATTCTGACAGCAGGTGGAAGCGGAACAATGGCCATGCTCAGGGGAGTGACCCCCGTTTCAGAGAGATCGACAATCTTCTTCAAAAATGTGCAGAAGCTGTTGAAAGGTCCTCCAGACCCTTTCATATACCGGAAAGGCCTCCTCCTATCCATCTCTCAGCTGCTTCGGAAGCAGCTATACTGAATGCCGGAACCATACTGAATGCTGGAACCAAAAGCTCCCCTATTGACCTCGCAAATGAATACCATCAGCCAGCGCAGGTCCCGCAGATGACCATCGCTGAAAACATCCAGGAAGGAGGCAGGCCACCCGGCATTTTTACTAGTGATCGTGGAAACTACAATTCTGCGGGTTCACCTGAGATTCCGACATTCCCGGCTTTTGAACAGAATTATACGCAATTTGAAGATGTCAATCACGCACCTCCAATTCCACAGAGAAATGCGGCAGCTTCTTATTGTGGATATGACCCTGAAGAATTTCATTACGCGTCAGAATATTATGGCGCAGATAGTCCTTGGACCGAGACGTTTGATGGGAATCGACAACAAGAATATTTGATCGATCCGCCGCCTTTTAGAAGCTTTGAATCGCATCTCGAAAGGCGCATGCGATTTTCGCCCCAAGTCGTCGATTATCGCAATCTCAATCTCGCCGATCCAACATATCTTCCAGAGACCGAGAATGACCAAGTTCCTCATCGTGGCCAGTTATGGACATATAGACACCATGCTCCAGAGAATCTGTCACAGAAGGTAGATGATGGCTATGCAAATGCAAGGTACCAAAGGAGTAGTGTTGCACATATCCCCTATGACCTCTCGGAGAGAAACGATTTTTTGACCGCAACGGACAGTTTTCAACGGCTCCGTCCTGAGCTGTGGATCCCTGTTCAGCAAGAAGATCAAGGGTTTCGGCCGGCAAGTGTATGGGATGAAGAACAAAGAGAATGCATGCTCAACGAAACTTTCGAACAAGCCCCGAGCCACTTCTGGCGTCCGCATTGGCTCCATTGAACGAACCTCGGGATTGATTAACTATTATGGTTCATTCGTGATTCGATATGGTTTTGACTGAGATGAATCAGCCGGTGACCATTACGATTTCCGGAACACCTGGAAGTTCATTTTGTGATTGTTTCTGCGATTGCTTTTCTGATTATGCGGGCCAAATGCGTTGGACAATCGACAGGAATAGTAATTGTGGACGAGGATACAGGTTCTCGCATGAAATAAGACATTCAAGTCAACAGGAGAAATTACGGAGAATTCTATCGAGCAGATGACGGACTGGAAAGGTTCGAAATAGGCGTACAAATACTAGAAAGCAACATCAATACACTAGCTGTCTCAGTTAATGCAAGGTCTGGATGAATTGAACCGCGATGAAGTAATACAAAAATTACAAATCACGCAACTGATAAAGTACAGCTTGACGCCATAATTGGGATTTTGGGCAGGGACTGGATACGTCGATGTTGTTTGACCTCAGCTATATCGATATTGGATACCAATACGTGGACTCTCAGTCCTGCTTGCGACCTCCTGGATGAACTTGTGGAAGTTAAACTCTATTTGGGAGCCTAGAATCAAGGTGCCTACAACTTATGACAGGCCATAAAATACACTTACCATCCACGACATTGATAAGTTGCCAAATCTCCCGGCTTCAGGTGAGTCGAGCAATGATATAATATTAGTTTGCACTTTGGTCTTGTTTACCATATAACCACCATACAAGTCGTACATAATCTAATCAATGTACACAAATGTGACTTGTCGGTCAGATTTAGTGAAGAGATGGCCACTGATTGGTTTCAAATATTCATTTTGAGCTGCTGTGCTTCTTTGTAAATAGTGAGGGCCGCTGAATAGCGATGCCATACCACAACGACGTTGTACGGAGTAATGTCCGTGGGCTGCATCGGCGCTAGAGTTCCGCTCACCGAGAGGCAGAGGTCTAGACCAGATCGGGGGAGAGATCTTTGCTCCACCAAGAGACCCTGAAGGAGCGAAAAGACGTCGCATTTGACAGACCAAGAACCTCTTTTATCTCCGTGTTGCATGGGATTCGTTATCGACCGGCATTTTATGTAACATTTCTCTGTGACTCTCTCTAGCTTTAAAAAACACACCCCACACCAATTGGTCCGCCAACCCCGCTACCCCTCTGTCTTGCCCCTCGTTCAGTTGCGACTGTCAACAAATTTTCTCTCTTCCGACTTGTCTTGTCGATCCCAGCATTTTCTTTCGTCGCCAGCAGCTTCACCTCCAGTAATTTTACCGATTGCACTGTCGCTCCGTCGATAACATATTTCCATCATGTCGCAGCCAGACACACGCGCAATGTCCTTCAGCAAACGGGCGAACTTACCCAACACTCATCCTCTTGCTGCTTTCCTCCTCCACCTAATTGTTATCAAGCGCACCAATCTCTGTCTGTCGGCCGATGTGACGACTACTTCAGCTCTGTTGAACATTGCGGAAGAAGTTGGAGACTCGATATGCATGCTCAAGACGCATGTGGACATCATCAGCGATTTCGGAGAGAAGACGGTTCGAGGACTTCGAGACATTGCCCGGAGAAAGCGATTCTTAGTCTTTGAGGATCGCAAGTTTGGTGATATTGGAAGTACGTTCCCTTTCCTCAATCTACGACCCTGCAGCCTTCCCATATTGAGTTTGATGACTCTACATGTTTTCCTATCACAGCATTTCACTAACCTAGAAATCTCACAGGCACTGTACAGAAGCAATACACTGCTGGTCCCTTTTCCATTGTTCGCTGGGCAGCAATCACCAATGCGCACATCTTCCCCGGTCCGGCTATTGTGACCGCACTCAAGGCGGCTGCAGCCGACGCCATTGCGGCATTCAACCGCTCGGTCGAGACCGAAATCAGCGTTGGCACACCGCGGCCCTCGTCTGACGAGGATGACGGCAGCTTTGACGGCTCTTCTGAAGGAGTTTCCAACGATGGAGACACCACCAAGCTTCCCCTACGCAAGCGTAGCATTGTCGCGGCCACGACGATCGAATCGTCCACCGAATCAACTACCCTAGAACGCGGCGCACTTGACGAAGCCACCGCCCAAGCAGAAAACGACCGCGAAAAGGCGCTCGAGGCGCTGGGCAGCCCACCACTGGCTCGCGGCCTCTTGCTTCTTGCCGAGATGAGCTCCGAGGGCAACCTTTTGACTGGAGCGTACACCCAGAAATGCATCGATATTGCACGCGACCATAACGACTTTGTTATTGGATTTATTGCCCAGCATGATCTGAACAGCAAGCCCGGCGACAACTTTATCACGTGCACGCCTGGTATTTCACTGCCTCCGCCTGGTCAAGAGGGCCAGAAGGTCAGTGGCGACGGTCTCGGTCAGCAATATAACACCCCTCACAAGGCTATCGTCCAGGAGGGTTGCGACGTAGTTATTGTTGGAAGGGGTATTCTTTCGGCAAAGGACCGTGCTGCAGAGGCTGAACGTTACCGCCGTGAGGCCTGGAAGGCATACGAGGAGAGAGTAGGCGCCAACTAAGTTGACCCTGGGGAAAAAAGTTTTCTACATCGGATGGATTTGTTGGGTTTGGATTTGATTGCGATTTGAGCAGGGTAGATATACCAATAAATTATTTCGCTTCTTTTTTTTTTAAAGCTATAGTGGTATGGATGGACTAGCAATGGCACCGGATGACGGGGAAATAAGCAGATGATGCAGCTGGCTGTATGAAAGCACATGAAATAACGGATCTATAGATGGACTTGGAATAAGGATTAGATGGCTAAAAATTGTAAGATGCTTTTCTGAAATTAAACAGGACATGGTTATTTCGAGTGCCAAGTATTGCAATATGATTTCTCTTGCTACGTAGTCGGTGTAGGACGTATGGCGTCACATTTTGTCTTGTACAGTAGTCTGTTTGGGAACATGTTATAGCTTCGCTCTTCGCCGCACAAGCTTAACGCGCGAACCAAAGTACAATCGCGACTCAACCGAGCAGAAGAACCCCAAACAATAAACAACAAAAAGCAAGACGAGACCACAAAATGTCCACCGCAACGCCAGCTCGGCGTTCCGCCGTTCCACCACCTCCGCGTCCGCCTGTGAAAGTCTACCCTGGCGCAGTGTTTCCCGAGAGCAGTATCTTCATGATCGGCTACTATCCGTTGACAATTGAGCCACACGCCGTCGTACACCCTCGTGTCAGATTTACGACACTTCATGGACCTGTACGAATTGGACCGGGCGCGATCATCTCCGAGAAAAGCATGATCGGAGTACAATATACAGAGCAGAAACAGCAGAAGCAACAACAGCAACAGCCAGAGCAGATTCCTCCCGCCACAAGAACAACGGTACCAGGACAAGGCCAAGGCCAGGCGCAAGAACAAGGGGAAAGCTCAGAAGGAGAGAAATCTCAAGCTCGCAAAGTTGAAAGCGTGACGCTTGAGCGCGGTGTCATCATCGAGCCAGGCGCGTACGTCGAGGCAGAACTTGTTCGAGAAGGGACTGTAATCGAAGCTGGTGCGAAGATCGGCAGAGGTTGTCATATTGGACGGGTATGTTCTACTTCTCCCTCAATTTATTTATGCATTAATTATGCTTGATTTGCCTTCTTGTTGATGCGTATCATGATAACCCAAGCTGATATGAAATTATTTTGTCTAGTTTTGCAAGATATGCCCGTACATAACTATTCCTCCTGGGGAAAACTTGCCAGATTATACGGTCGTTTATGGCAATGGTGAGGGCGAGCGCCGCATCGACCATGCAGGCGCAACGGAGCCAGGTCTTGATGAGCTCAGGCTGCGCATGAGTAGCGTTCATGTTAATTTATTGAAGAAGTTGGTCCAAGTTCCACCGAAGAAGGGTTGATGGAGTATATTTGTATCTGATAGCCCGGGAGAGCGTGCTCTCAGAATGGGAGTTAATGATGCAGAGCAGATATTAATGAACATTATGCGGTGTTACGAGGAGTTGTTATTATGGAATCGAGTTCTTTGGCATTGACAATGGATGGATAGGCATTTTGCAAGGCGCAGGAAGGATTGGGAAAGGGGGCAAAGGCAATACGGTCTGCTTATTAGAAGAATATTCTTTGGAGATTTACTTCATACCCTCTGTTTAGTACATAGAGATTGCAATGGTTTTTAGTTGAATGTACATCCAACAGGGTCGTAGCTAGGTACGATGATCAAAGGAAGGGATTGGGATTTGGACACGATGATGATGATGATGATGATGATGATGATGATGATGATGATGATGTCGGTCTGGAGTGAGACCTCGCCAAAGTTCTAGTTAAAGTCCAAGAGCTTACTTAAAAGTCATTAGAATTGAGTTTCCGTCCCCTAACTGACTTAGCCCGTTATATAATAGCATTGGATGGTAGCGAGCACAACTGTTAAGTGTCAGGGTGTCAGGTTTAGTGTCGTGGTGTTCAGGGTCCAGGAGGAACTTCATCCTCCTTATCTTTGCCCCTTTTTATCGTTTAATTGGTCAACTACACGATAAATCACCCACAAACAACCCCCCGTCAAAGATACCAACGGGGCCGCGAGGAGAAAGGACAAGGCCGTCCTCGTGGGAAACTAAACCCTCACACCAAGCTACTCCGTCGTTTGCACCCAACTTTGTATATACGGTTCTCCGGGAGTTTGAAGCTACAGGGAGCAGATATTGGCAGCCCTGACAGTCGGCCCCATGCTCTCTTGATGCCACGAACCACTGTTACTACTGCCATCAACGGTTAATGTTACATCCAATATTCTAGCAATTGGCTGCCCCTAAACGGCGCAGCTGTGCAGTCCCTGACCTCCTCGCCGAGTCTCAACCTCCGCTCTCGACAACGCTATGCTAGGCTCGGGCTTTTTGTCTAGCAATCCGCAGCATCCAACACGGAGGTCTTCTCTGTCTCCGTCAAACTCGTCCTCGTCCGTTGTCACTATTCAACGAGCACCTTCTTTCCGTCTCCACTCCGACGGACGAAACATTGGTGACCATATACATAATCCAAGGGCTAGTCCGCCAGTTTCGCCTCGTTCAAACAGACGTTCAAGCGGGAGCTACATTCGCTCAAGCAGCATTGGCAAGATCAACGACGGTATAAGGAATCTAAACCGGTGGTCTCAATCAACCGCGTCGAGCGGTTCCCCTGAGACCGGGCCTCACGTTCAACGCTCCCGAAGGCGATCGAGTTTTGCCGGAACAGATCACTTTGCGTCTTTGGGGGAGATTGCAGCTGCAGGGCATTCGCAGGGCCAATATGGATTCGGAGGAGCTCTCATCAGCCCTACCTTGAGCTCATATAGCTCAGCAGCGCCCACATCCCCCCCTGAGTTTCCCGGGTCACCAGAAAGCAGACTCCCGAGGCTGCAGACGACATGGTACTCAGCGCGCAACGATGCAGACTCTTCGGCAACATCAACATACTTTCCTGGTTCGAATATTTCACATCAAGCCCAAATTTCCGCACAGCCGTGGCAAGCACATGGTCAGGATTTTGGGATGAATTACCATGATCGATCCACTCCTTCTATTTCTCCTGCCAAAAGTCGAAATGGCGATCGACCTCGCGCGGCGAAACCGCCTTCACAAAAGTTGATGCTCTCCAAAGCACTTCAAAAGGCAAATACTGCTGTCTTGCTCGACAATGCTCAGAACTTCGAAGGTGCAATCGATGCATATAGGGACGCTTGTGCCCTGCTTGGCCAGGTCATGCTCAAGAGTTCTGGCGAGGAGGATCGGCAAAAATTGGAAGCAATTGTAAGTAGGAAAAAGCGGGTTTATTTTGGAAATCATTTTGGCGAGTTCCTAACCACTAATATTTTTACGTCCGCATAGCAAGAGACATACCACGCGCGAATTGACGAGCTTCAGAGCCTGGATCCCTATTTTCAGGTCGCCGAAGGCAAAGAACTACCTGCTCGGCCACCCAGCGACTATTACGAGGACCAGGTTTCACCATCGGCGGCAAGCGCAGATGAGGAGGATCAAAACGAGCAAATATTGCAAACATCAAGAATGATGCACCTTGTGGATGACCCCAGCCTCGCTGTACCCGACACGCGCAGGTCCATGTCGACAATCCGGTCTCTCCATCCAGGAGACAGCCTCTTGCCCGCTTTTGAAGAAGTGGAACAAATTGTTTCTTCTACTCAAGGCGGGCGGCTCGCTGAAAGGACCCGTTGGTCGAGATCACCTCTGGCACGACGAATGGAAAATCAGCCTCTGAATTTAGCACCACCCATGGAGGAGGGTTATATGCCCCGACCATTGACTCCGCGTCGACCTTACGGAGACCAGCAGAATCCTGATTTCCTCCATCCGGATCATCTGCATCCCGGATCGGCAGACTCAGAAGCGATCAGACCCGGCAGTAGCGAATCGGTCTCGTGGTTGAATACGGTTGATGAAGACGGTAGTTCCTCTCCTCCGTCTATTCACTCGAAATCCTCTTTTGAGGATCTCCAACATGATCGCCTCCGCCCAACGAGCACTGCCACGGCAGCTGAATTTGATGCTGCGCTAGATGCTGCCGTTGAGGCAGCTTACGGTGACGCCTACGAGGCTGCTCCTAGACCGCCAACTCTTTCCGAGAATCTCACATCCACGGCTCGCCGCAATGTTGAGCTTGCGAAGGAGCGAGTTCGCGAAGCCGAGAGGGAAGTGGCCATACAGATGGCCCGTGAGAGAGAGAGGGAACGACTACTGCAGAAAGCACTCGGCAGCGATGTACGAGATAGCGTTGAGCTTGAGTATCGACAGGACGAGGCGGAAGAAGAGGAACGCATCCTCGAAGAAATGACCAGGGATTTTGTAATGGATGATGTTGAGTTTGGGGCGCAGTCAAAATCTGCGCTTCCGCGACAATCAGACTCTAGTGGTTTCTCGGGGAGAACATGGGGAAGCTCTACCGGTTCTTTCCCAACGACCTCTGTTGGTTCAACCAGCTTGTCCACCGTTGCTGAAGCCCCTATTCCGCCGTCATTTCACCTGCCGCCCCTTTCACCTCCGCCTCATCCGCCTCCTTCGGGCGCACTTCCAGCCCCGCCGGTGGCACCACAGAACACAAGCAATCATTCCACCAGTCTGGGGCCTGACGGACAGTCTCAAAGGCTAAGTGTAACCAGGGCGCCGGGACAAAGCGTGCGAGACAGAAGACTTTCCGGCAACAATACCAAACAACTTACCATCGAGACCGCCAGCAAGCCGTCTACCGCGTTCCCATCCCCAACAAATGTGTCTCCCGGTTTCCATGATCGGACACATGCACTATCCATTCCCAAATCAGCTTCAGGCATTCCAGACGAACGAGATGTTAGCAATTCTTCTGCCCTGCACCTTCCATTGGCGCCCAATGGAATGCGAATGAGTCGACAAGTTTCAGCACCGTTGCTTGGATCGGATACTTTGGCATCTTCATCTGACAGGCTAGCGGCCTCACCATATGATACCACACCTAAGAGTGACACTGAGGTGCAAGATATTCTCCCCCCGGGGAATCCACCAGAACTGCCAGAGAAACCACCAAGTTATGGAAATCTGAAAAAGAACCATTCATCATCGAGCTTGAAGAACCGAAGCTTCTCTATATCAAGTCCAGAATTTTCAGACACATCCCCGATAACGCCCATGAGCACCTCCTTTCCATCGATTTCACAACACCGCAAAGGTCTCGGGGCGCCCCTGCCCGCTCTACCTACGCCAACATTGGCAAGTCTGAGTTCTTATTCCCAGCCCTGGGGAGGCGTATACCTGTTCGAATCCGACTTTCATTCGACAGACACGCCAGGGTCTCCAAATGAGCTTGCCAAAGACCCACCCGCTCCTCTGGAACCTTGCCCAACTGCATACCTCTTGCGTCCCTTTTGGCTTATGCGATGTCTCTACCAGACCATTGCGCACCCACGAGGCGGCTATCTCTCGAACAAACTCTTTGTCCCAAGAGACATTTGGAACGTGAGGAATGTCAAGATTAAAAACATTGAAGAGAAAATTTCAAACTGCGACTTGCTCACGGCGGCTATGCTCAAACTCGCCAAAGTCGACACCACCGACGCCGATGCCCTCCTTGACGAAATGCAGGCCCTCGAAACCGTCCTTGATCAAACACAAGCCAACCTCACCAAGAAACTCGGAAACGATGTCGGTGTTTCGGGCACTTGGGCCTTTTTTAAAGACGCACCCTCAACCAATAACACCGATTCCACAGCCGGAGATAACCCATCCTCATCTTCCTCCTTGCTCTCTCACTCCTCCTCCAAGGGCGCTTTCGGCTCGAACTCCTCCGGTACCAGCGGCAGCGGCGGCAAATCATACTTGTCATCATGGCGGAAACTCAGCAGGAAACACCCCGCCGCGGGTTTCGCGCACGGCCTCTCGTCGTCCTCGTCTTCGTCCTCCACGTTGTCTAGAGACGTCCCCAAGGAAGCGCTCTCCATGGATACAGTCCCCACCACGTCCAGCCCCAGCGCGCACCCTTTTCCCCCGCGAAATATAAAGGCTTTTCAACCCACGGGGCCTAATGCAACTTATATGAGTTCGCTCGCGAGACTTTTTGACTCTGTTCAGATCTTAGGTATTTTTTCCCCTTGTTCTTTAAAATCCGTCTTTTCATTTCATCAATCCATCTTCTCTCCTCGTGTCTTGTGTCTTTCTCATTTTCTTTTACCTCCATCTCCCCAATTTTCTTTTACCCCCGTCTTTCCAAATTCTACCCTTTTCTTTTTCCACCTTTCTTGACCCTCCATATCCTATTCTATTCTATTTTACACCGTACAATATTGAGGGAGAATCTGGACGAAGATAAGAACAAAGGAAAAGTTTCCATCATGCTAACATAACTTCCAGACGACCTCGCGCGACAAATTGAAGATCCCGGTCTCAAACACAGCTCCCCCACGCACGTCGGGCTGGAACTAAGCACCCGGCACGCCGCAGAATTCTTTGCGTTTTATATATGTAGATTTGTTCTCATTGATATTGGCATGATGCTTGACAAGTTTATCAAGCGCGGTAGCGAATGGGCTTTTGTATAGGGTAAAGGGATATGTCAAAGGGTTATAGCGGTTCACTCTTCTGTCTTTTTTTTTTTTTTTTCGCTAGGAAATTGGGTCAGATTTTTGTTGTACATACCTGGGGTACTTATGTCATTGTCATTGTCATTGTCATTCATTACAGTGCGCTACTGAATTTTAATTGAACTGAACTGGACTGGACTGGTTGAATTGAATTGTAATATAACCTTGTGATATCGAAAAGGTTTTTGATTCAAGAGACTGGACACTTGACTGTTGGTCCACCATGTAAGATGAAATGGCACAGGAATGCATAGGTAAAAAGAAAGTCATGAACCATAAAAAGAAGCAAGGAAGGAAGAGAAGAAAAATAAGTTACAAAATAAAATTACATACTCAAATCGAGGGAATAGATTTAAAAAAAACCAAAGAGACGAGACGGTTACTAAACTTAATCATCCGGGTATTCATCCTTGATATTGCTCACAAAGACCCTGTTCTCCTTGTCCCAGCGCTTAAAGTACCGTCCTGCGAGCGGGAGCAAGGAATACGGCACTTCGGGTGTGATGATTTGCATATTTTCCTCGGCGACGTATCGCACGCTTTTGTCTTCCACTCTGTTGACATGAATTAGCTCGAGTCGTTATAAGATATGACTGAGATATGAAAAAAAAAAAAAAAAAAAAAAAAGGAGAAGAGATAGCCGGAGCGGACGAAAGAAAAAGGACGGGGTACGGGCCAAAGAGACGAGGAGAAAGGACGGGAAGAAACGGACGAGGAAGAACAGGTTGAAAGATAAGATGAGGAGGGAGAAAAAAAAAGTTATGAAGACTTAAGGGGACATACAAAACGTGATAAAAGCTCTGATAGCGACCTCTAGAAAGACGATCGATTTCCATTTCCTGCATCCAGTGTTCTGCTGCACGGCACTCGGCATCCCAGCCGGTAATGACGGCCTCGTAAGCGTAGCGCTTGTGTCTGAATACTTGTCCGACTTTATATCGGGGGAGCTTTAGCCCCTCGAGTCCTGATCGCGCAATGATCTTTTTGGGAATCAAGTCGCCTGCTCGCATGACTCGGGTGGCTTCGAGAAGTTGTTGATATTCGGACAAGTTTTGGAAAAGCGGAATGATGTAGCGCTCAAAGAGGGATACGTCGTGCGGGAAATGCGTGACGAAATGCTCAACAAAGTATGGCAAGTACTGTCGTCGACGGGAGGCTGCAGCGAGCTGTTGGGGACCGTCGGTCATGACGCCTAGTAATAAAGAGGCCCATAACGCGCTGTAGAATGCGCCTTCGAGGTCTGGAAATGGCTTCAAGTCTTCGGGTGGAGGAGGGGGAGTAAGATGATGATGTCGATGTGCGTGTTGTCGTGTGAGCGCCAGATGCTGGTTGTCCTGCACGGATTTCATAATGTTGCGCGCATTTCTTAGAACCATTTCAGAGTTGGTCGAGTCGCCGAGAAGTGATGGATAGGTTGACTGTTCAGCACCAATTGCCACGAGCTGACTCTCGAGTTCGCGGATATGCACCTCGGAGTCACTCCTGTAGGGATCCAGATACATTATTTGCTGATGCTGAGGCGCTGCTGAACTTCCGCCAGCGAGTAATGATGCTCCATCAAGCGTCTGTCCTGCTGATGGAGGGTAGACTCTCCATGGATCCTCGTACGTTGCTTGCTGCGTTGAGCTTGGGCTGGAGGGTATTTGTCTTCCATCAAGCGTCTGGCCGGCTGGAGGGAGAACCATTGCATGAACATGAAATGGAAATGAGCATGGTCGAGCATCCAATCCTATCCGCTGCGCCACGCAGCAGAACACCGCGACCGATATAAGTGGTAAAGAAGGATGGTCGTGTCCGAGTAGTGCTATACCGATAAATCTATTTTGCAGATCGTCGTAGCGGCCCTCTGGTACCTCTATAAATCCTCTAGCTCGTAAGAAAGATGCCAGCTGTGTTGCTTTGGCGCGGGGCGAGAGACTATCGAGGTCCGGTGTTTGTTCACGAAAGCGCTCGGCCAGTGCATCGAGGGCATGGGACACCTTCCTTTGCGTGAGTATGATTCAGCTTCATAGGGTAAAAGTATGCTCACTTACATCCTCAAGATCACCCTCCCTGTCTTCTAGCACGAACATGTCAAATGCGCCGAGGGCTCGGTCGAGAGTGACATGCTGACCCTCCTTGAGTTTACACCACTCCTGGATCGCAATATTCCGATGCAAGCATCCGAGGACCGCACTACTGTAATATCTGCGACGTTTATTTGTCAATATTTTTCATGGGATATAGCTTTTGTCTGATTTACCTTCTTGCGAGCACATCTTCGGCGGATTCGCTGACATGTAAGTGTTGTAACAAAGTGTCTTTGGCACCATATCCTAGGTTGACTATTGCCTGAAATTTATCAATCCGGCCTTTTTGACTGGCAAGGATGCTATCAAGTAGCTTCGTGGCCTTGCGGTCAAGCAAAGCACGCTCGACGAAAAGTTGTCTCCAGTCAACCTGAGCCACTGGACAAGCGCTTTTCTGTTTGATCAAATGCGTTGGGTCCCAGTATCGAAACCGAGTCAAGCAGAGATGTCGCCATAATATGGGTTCGATTGCAAGATAGCGAAATCGTTTGCAGACCGATTGAATTGAAGCAAGTGACTCCGCCGGCACGAACCAGAAAATGCTCTGGATGACCTCGTCAGGAAGGGACAAAAACAATCCATGTTGTTCTGACGACATGGCAAGACAACTATAACAGACTGTGTGCTAGGACACAAGAGGAGGATTGGTCCATTAGGTCAATGAATAGACCATGATTGTGGGGAAGGCTGGAGATTGTGGGTTATTATTTAGGTTGCACCTGGAGTTCATTAATGAGATTAAGGTGTCGAGTGGCGCCATGGCATCACCTCTTATCGATAAGCTAAGCGGGGACTAAACCGTTGGCAGTTGATGAGAGCCAAAGTAAATGATTTATCTAGCATTCGTCAGAACATACAAGAAGCAATAACAAGAATATAAAATGTAATCAAAATAAAGTGAGATCTTCTCTAACAATGATCTATCCAAGTACAATCATATAGCCATATCCTATACTAAGATGGCATTCAATAGTTTCACTTGCAACTTAAAAACAACATCACAATAGCAATACACCGTCCAAGCCCAAGTCATGTATCGACTCTTATTTTCTATTTTTCCCCTTCTCACTTGATTGATTTTGCAAGTGGCATCATACGTGTGAACAAAACTTTTCTTTCATAATCTTTCATGCAAATCGGCGGCTTTCGTCTAGCCGCAGCTAGGATATATCTTCAACGTCATATGGCTGAGCCAAGCAAAAAGAAATGACAGACCAATTACTCCACGCTCAGTTTCCATAGTCCATCACCAAGATAGTGTCCTTCATCCATAACCACTCCCTTCTTCTTCTCCTTCATTTCTTCCGTGCCCATCTTCAGGATACCAATCAGGCAAATCTCGTCTTTTCCTTCGGCGCCAACAGCTACGACCTCCCCAGGCTTCAAAGCCTCTTCAGCTGGCGGTAACCGTCCGCCAGGTGACGTCAAACCAGGAGCCATGAGCGCTGCGCCAGACAGGACAAAACGGATCGCGCCACGGTCAATCTGGACGCGCTTGAAACAGTGCGGAAAAGCATGAACGAGCTTCAGGTGAGGAAGGAAAATGTCGTCGGCGCCCTTTTTCTCAATCTCGACGAAAAGAGGATGTGATTCGAGGGAGTAGAGTGTTGCAAAGTCGGGGCTGCGGTTTCACAAGACGGGACGTGATTAGCTCAAACACGAACGGCGGCAAAGTATGGGTAGTCCAAGGCGCATTTCCATTAAACAACATGAAATATACGTGAGGAGAAAATGTCAAAATTATTGACGTACAGTTTCATCACATCAAGCTGTGACTTTTTCGGAATAATCTCATCGATATATGGCGCAAGAAGAGGATATGAGTCGCATAGTTTTGACCGGAGAGCACGCTGGGCCGAAGACTTGACCTTGGTCTTCTTCGCCGGATTGATACTATTTTGAGAGATTCATTAGATCTCAATACTTGTATGCGAATTGTGTCATATGAGGTGAGGTTTGTAGATCGTATCAGATAGAGCCTTTAGCTGGTGACTGGCAGACAGAACGAGACTTACTCCTTCTTGAACATGGTGAAAGATACAGTTCCCAGATAGCAAGAAAACGAGACAAATGAAAGCGGGTATCAATTCTATGACTTGGTGATTTTGTTATGGTTCGAGTGCTGTATACAATTTCACAAGGTTGCCCCACGATGAACAAAGGAAGAGTTGCGTAGTTGGCCATGTTCGCGCGCCGCGGGAGCTGCGCATAGCGGAAAATGCCGAGACACGACAAGGGTCCAGGAGCTACGACAGTCTGCCTTACGACGCAATTGCAACGGTAGCTTCATAATGAAACCTTCTGACGCCTAATCTGCAATAACATGACAATTTGAATCAGCTTCGCAACTTAGAATTTGATTTTACATAAGACGCCAGATCATTTTTCATTATCAACTATGGACAACCCGGCGCCTGGCACGCTGAGCTGGCGCCTCAGCTCGCATCCCATTACATTGTTATGTTTCCTAGGATTTAGAATAGGTATGTCGATTATGCATCTGCTTTGTATAGGCTTTTCTTCATCTCTTTTTGGTTTCTGGGTGGAGCGGGGGGTTGGATGAAGTGGCGGAATAAATGCGCGATTGAATCGGGATATGTGTACTTTCCCTGAATATCCGCTGACTGACTGTGTACGAATCATAGCAAGTGTATTGATTTACCTACTCGGACTATTATTTACGGATAATTTGTATGGTCACCTTCTGCTATTGCCGTCTTGCGCTTTCTTTGAGAGTTTCCGACTTTGAGATATTCATATATGAATCTCGAGCGACCCGTCTCGTGAAGAAAGATGCTCAAATATTCTAAAATCATCGCCAAATCCGTTGCATTAACTTTTCCTGCCCCCTACGCCATACAATACAAATCTGGAGCTTATACACATCAAATCTGCAACAAACCGAACTCCATTATAACTAACATATCTCCAATCTAGTGTTCTCGTTTTTATCTTATGCATCCTCGCGCTCGCCATGGACTTTTACTACCTCAAAAACATTGCGGGCCGACGGCTCGTGGGACTAAGATGGTGGAATGAAGTAGTTGCGTCGTCGGGCGACTCACATTGGGTCTTTGAAAGCTCTGATCCAAATGAACGACGGACGAATGCGACAGATAGCCGCTTTTTCTGGTGGGCGCTGTACCTCCAGCCCTTGGCGTGGGTAGCGCTGGCCATTGTGGCGATTGTCAAAGTTGAGGTTATCTGGTTGAGCTTAGTCGGTGAGAGCGCCCTTTATTTACTCTTTATTCTGGATTGTTTCTGGTTTCGCACGGCTGTGTTACTACACGATCTGTTTCAGGCTGCTTTCTATTATTTTGCCCTTTGCCAGCCAGTTCAAAACAAAGCAAACGAAAACATGCTAACAGTCTAAAATTAGTTATTGCTCTGGTCCTTACAATCACCAACACAGTTGCGTTCTCCCGCTGTGACAAGTTCAGTCAAGCATCGAATTTGGCCTCGACCGCGTTCAATACCGGCGGTCTGGCACGGAGCATCGCCGGCGGCATGTTCAGTCGGATGTTTAGGTGATAAACTCAAAGAGAGTGAGATTGGCAGAAAAGGGATTAAACTTGTGGAGTTTAACGGAATCTTCTTTTTCGCCTGCAATGTTTTTTGTTTACGTATATCATCTTGTTCGACGACGACAGCCTAGCTAGTACTTCAATGCTGGGACGAGTCCTCTATATCATCAACATTTTCCAAAACAAAAAAATGTCGTGTTGCATAATACATCGTATAACCTTCTAAGACAAGCGCCCTCAAATTCTTTATCAGGAGGCTCTATGACTGTCCCGCACATCTGCCCATCCAGCCCATTTGCCCGAGCTCCAACCTGTGGCCATGACGATGCGCTTAGCCGGGTAACCACACGTACGGAGGTATTAGCTCTAGTTATTCAAACTTAGTCCGTGCGTCCACCGCACCCTGCCGCGGAGCATCGAGCATCAACCACCTTTTCCTCCTCCGTCCTCAAGCTTGTCCTGTAGCTATCTTCTTCCTAACTCCATTGCTCCATACCTGTCCTATTTACCGTGAAGTTCTAACAAAATCCCACTATCGTTTCTTTCTTTTATCTCAACACTCTCAACGCACGACAGTGTTCCATATTTTCAATCGACAATGGCGACTTCCATCCGCTCCTCCATCCACTCCTCCGCCCGATCCGCCGCCGCAGCATCTCGCGGCGCGCCTTTTCTCGACTTTTTGTATCCCTCAACTATACATACCCTTCGCCGCCAACGCACGCGTACCTTTACATCTCTCTCCCACCTCAATGTCTCGTCATCGTTATCGTTCTCCTCTTCCTCCTCTTCCTCACATTCGGCTTCAACTCCACCAGAACCCGGTTCCCTCCCGCGCATCGCCCAGCCCTCAATCTGGACATCCCTGATCCCATCATTCCTGCGCCGTCGTCGTCATGATCAACCAGGAACCTCCACTGTCGGTCGTCACGCAACCGCAGCCTCCCAGAAAAAAGAATGGAATCCAGCGACGTTCTACATTGTGATATTCCTACTGATCGGGTCGCAAGCGATCCAAATGATTGCGTTGCGGAGAGAATATGCGACGATCACGCGCAGGTCGGAAGCGCGGATCGGGTTGCTCAGGGAAGTCATTGAGCGGGTGCAAAAGGGCGAAGAGGTGGATGTGGAAGGATTGTTGGGGACGGGGGATAAAGTCAAGGAGAGGGAGTGGGAGGAGGGTAAGTTTCTACTTTCTTTTCTTCCCCCGTGGGACACATGTCAGCGGAGTGGTGGAAGGGGGTCTGGGAAGGATAGAGAAGAAAAAGATTGCTAATGTTGATAAATAACAGTATTAAAAGAAATTGAACAAGAAGATGCGCTTTGGCGATCGAGGGCGAATAAGGCCGACGCAGAGGAAGAGGTAGAAGGTAAAGAGGCAGCGGCAGAAAAGAGGCAAGCAGCTGTTCGTGGAGATGCGGCGCAGGAGCAGCAGCAGGCCCAGCCGGTCGTCGGTGAGCAAGAGGCGAAAGCAATTGGATCAGCAGCACAGGCAAAGAAAGGCCGGAGGGAATATTTCTAGGTCAAAAACTTTGAAAGGGGAAAAAATGAATTTATTGTCATCGTTTATTTGGAATTAACAATTGCCTATTTGGACGAAATGACAGAAGGAAGTGCATTGCTTTTTGCAAAAGAGGAATATAAGTTACGTGTGATCAATCTTGTGCAAGCTGTAAAGAAAATCCATCGACTGGAAACCAGAAAACCTTGACTATTTGAATAAGCAAAAGGGGAGGAGATGGCCGCCAAATATACTGCTCGAGAGTACATGGTTGTTCAAAGCTGAGTCATGGTAAAGGCAAAGGAACGCTGACATGGATGGACCGGCAGAGAGACAGGAAGGGACAAAAAAATTGAAAGAGAAGAGTGTAGATTACAATTTGACGTGAATTGGCTGGGTATAAAAGTGAGAAAATGAAAACCACATGTCAGAGATGTAGAAAAATAAAAAGGCCAGTGATAAATCAAGCATATATAAATCGCCAATGAGGCTACACAAAAAAGGTTTGTTGCAGCGATTTCACCCTCGTCTCAACCTAAGACCTTGCATTGACAAAGGATTACCTCGCGCCGAGAGCTTTCAACGCCACACGCAGCTCCTTGACGGCAGTCGTTACGTCCTCAAAGTTCAAAGCAGAAATGGCCCATCGCGCATGTTTCTGCGCATTGCTAATGGCTTCTTCATCGGCAATAAATGTTTCCGGGCCAGAGCTTGCGGACGTCTGCGACTGAGCAGGCTGAGCTGCAGCTGCACCAGGTCCAGAACCATACGATCGATAGTAATCGGCAGAAGTCGGCGGAATGTGTTGCGGTGCCAAAGGCTGTGACAGAGAAGGTGCGCCAGGGACGGCATAGCCATGCTTTGGCGCAGGGACAGTGGTCGGGTCAAAGTCTGCAGGTCGCGCTGGAGGGAATGGTGCCGGAGCAGAGGTTGGACCACGACCCGAAGTCGGTGGAGCTGCAGAGAAGCCCGATGGTGGTTCAGGAAAAGGTGGTGCCGCGGAAGCTCCTGGTTTGCTTGCTGGTGCACTGGGCAGGTTTGGAGCAGCCGTCTCAGTGGGGACGGCAGGGAAATATCCATCTTGGCTGGTGTCCATTGTGTCATTTCCACCTTTCGATGGTGATTGCGCATTAGAGGCAGCCTCGGACGGATGAAGAGATTCATCGAGGTATGACTCAGCTGCAAGCTGCGGCTCAATTCGTTCGTTCTCGTCCTGAACTTCTTGAACCGAAGGGCCTGGTCCAGGTACAGGTGTTTGTGGCTTTGATGCATCGCGGGAGGGATGTAGAGATTCGTCTAGATATGATTCGGCCGCAAGTCGTGGCTCGATCCGCTCATTTTCGTCTTGGATTTCTTGGATAGAAGGTTGCCGGCCAGGAACGGGGGTTTGTGGCTTTGAAGCATCACGAGATGGATGAAGCGATTCATCGAGCACTGATTGAGCAGCAAGCTTAGGCTCAATGCGTTCGTTTTCGTCTTGGATTTCAACCACAGACGGTTGCCGCGGCTTGGTGGAGGAGGGTCCATTGATGAGTTGCACCTCTGGATCATTGGGGTCAAGCTCTGGTGCCTCGGCCTCTGGAGCCGGTTCTTGCGCCGGATTTGTTGCGTTAGGGTCCTCGCCAGCCTTGATAGCCTTGGCAATGCGCAGCGCATGATATTTGGCAAATTTGGATTTGGCCGCCATTTCAGGGTCGGCGGGACCCCAAATTTGGAGGAGGTCAAGGAAAGTCGCCGCGGCTTGGAAGGTGTCCGCCGTTTGTCTACAGAGACCAGCGAGTCAGTATATCTTTTCTGTATTATGAAACTGCATGTGTTGCGCACCGAGTGGCTTTGTCAGCTCTCATCGCATTATCCGCTCGGTGGAAGGTCTCGAGACCGAATTGCTCAACGTAGGCCTGGCCAGCGACATCGTCGGTAATTGCGTCATTTCCAGCATTTGCTTGTTTGGTCTGGAGCCCGTTAGTTAATGTTCCATTGCAGCAGCCTTTTTAATAGTGTGAATCGTACTTGTTCGAGCTTATCCATGAGCGTTGTCGTATAGGTTAAGCTCTCACTGTCGGCATTGTGCAGCTTCTTGGAGAGGATCTGATTGACGATCCAGTAATCGCCTTTTCACACTGAATTAGCTCATGTGAGAGATGAAGATATTCGATTGTACATACACCAATAAGAAACGACTGGCTTGACAGCTTCTAGCTGAGCTGCACGGTGGGCAAAGCGAGAAATATCGGCAGCTTTTAAGCTTTGGGGGATGTTGTTTGCCATTTTCTGGCGTGTTGTTGCCTGTACTATTGTACAAGCTGTAGAATAAATTCCTTTAATATACACGAAAAGATAAAAAAAGGAGTATCGTGAATTATTCAAGTAAAATTGTGTATAGAAGAGGGGAAATGAAGTCCGTGTGATAGAGTCCAGGGAAGCTCTTGGTATAGCTCGACGGGTATGACGCGGGGAGTCGGAGGCGCTACGGGGCACCAGCACCCCACTTTTTGCATTTTGGGCTGTCGCTCTCACCTTGGGAGCTTCAGATTGGACAGCCAACAGGAGACATAAACAGTAATAATTCGCCTTCTTCTTCTTGCCACATAAACCTCTTCTCACACGACCAGCACTAGTACATATTTGCACTCTTTACTATATCGAATTTTCTATTTTTGAGCTAGATATCTTTTTTGGTTTATTCTAATTAATTATACATTTTCTTAATTTTGTTCTTGGAGCTTCATTTTGCGCTCCTTCACTAAGCTAGCATAGCTCAGTTCTTGCTTGGTAGAGCGCCAACATGTTTGCAGGCCTCTCATGGACGGCCGCCGCCGCAGCTCTCCTGCTCGCACTGCCTGCTTCTGCTGATTCCTTGTACACAAAATCCTCACCCGTGCTTCGTGTTGATGCGAAAAATTACGATCAACTCATTGCCAGATCTAACCACACCTCTGTGAGCTTTCCCTTCCGGAATACCACTCTGCCTCCCTTGTACAAGTTAATTGCTAACCATTCTAATTGCAGATTATAGAGTAAGCTATTCATTTTTTCTCCGTCTCGATGCGACTACATATCAATGCTCATATGACAGATTCTACGCACCCTGGTGTGGACATTGCCAGAACCTCAAACCCGCATACGAAAAAGCTGCGCGCAACCTCCAAGGTCTCGCAAAGGTAGCAGCAGTGAACTGCGACGATGAATCGAATCAGGCATTTTGCGGAAGCATGGGAATCCAAGGTTTCCCCTCCCTAAAGATTGTGGTGCCATCAAAGAAGGCTGGCCGACCGTCAGTCGAAGACTACATGGGCGCACGAAGCGCCAAGGCCATCGTGGACGCCGTCGTGGATCGGATACCCAACCATGTGAAGAGAATAGGCGACAAGTCATTGGACAGCTGGCTCAAGGAGGGCAACTCATCCGCAAAGGCCATATTATTTACAGAAAAAGGCACCACCAGCGCTCTAATCCGAGCTCTGGCCGTCGACTTCCTGGGCAACATTAATTTTGCGCAGATTCGAAACAAGGGAAAGGGCGCAGTATCCACCTTTGGGGTGTCCTCTTTCCCTACCCTTGTTCTTCTCCCCGGCGGAGAACAAGATGCCATCGTATACAACGGCGAGATGAAAAAGGGCCCTATAACTGAATTCCTGAGCCAGATTGCCCAGCCGAATCCGGACCCTGCTCCAAAGAAAGCCAAGGCTTCGAACAAAGCCAAAGACGAGAGCAAAGCGAAAAAGAAGGCCTCTGAGGACTCCGCCGCGTATTCATCCGCATCGGCATCGCACCTTGCCGATGAAGTCGCAGGAGCCACGTCCATTACCCTGGAAGAGAGCAGTGTGCCAACAGAGTCTCCCGAACCGGGCGCGGCTCCCAGTGATGCTCCCAAGCCAGTAGACGTCCCAGACGCTCCAGAGCCTCTCCCTACACTTGAAACGTCAGAGCAATTGCGAAAGGCTTGTCTGGGGCCCAAGACCGGCACGTGCATCTTGGCTCTGGTGCCTGCTGTCAAGGATTCCGAGACCGTCTTGCCCGAAGCCGCAACAGTCGCTCTCGGAAGCTTGTCCGAAGTAGCGCACAAGCACAAGCAGAGACACGGGCATTTGTTTCCCTTTTATGCGCTGCCCGTTGACAATGCGGACGCAGTGAGAGTCAGGGATGCCCTCTCAGTAAACACCGACAGCGATGTTGAACTTATCGCGCTCAACGGACGACGGTCTTGGTTCCGCCGATATGTCGGCGAGGGCTATGGCCATGAAGAGGTCGAGAAGTGGGTAGACGCCATTCGTCTCGGAGAAGGCAAGAAGGAAAAATTACCCGAGGGACTGGTAGAGACTGAAGAACAGCCCGAGACTCACGACGAGCTGTGAGGAGTGAAAGAGGAGCGGTTATATAGGCTTTGGTTATATTTTTTTAGCATTGATCATTTATTAGGCATTTATTGTTTATTCCGAGCTTGGTTGTCATATTACATCTAGTTCATTCATTGACGCATTGGTTCTGCATGTCTCCTCGAAAAATAACCTCAATCTTCCTCTGTGCTGTAAAAAAGGCAGTAGTGCTATCGAGCTACCAACCATGCTGCATAGAGTAACATAAAATCTACATTGAAATCATACAAATATACATAAGTAACATTTTGACATGAGGGTTGAAACTAGCTGCACCGTTCAAAGATCCGCAACACCTTCATCATCTTCTCAGTTAGAGAATGGTTGTTAAATTTGTAAGAATCTTCAATACAAGAGCAGACTACAATATATTTCCAAAACGCCTAGTAAATGCAAATGGGAACATGAACTGTCAATCTCTCCAACGGGCCTAATTGAAAACGACACGGGAGAAAGAAAGTTGATAACAAGCTTGGCCCCGGGGGATTGCATAACGGAAGTAACCAATTTACATTTCAATGGGGACAAGAAAGAAAAAAAAAAAGTAACGAGAAATAAAAGGCGCAGGGAATTGGGAAAGAAAGAATGAAACACGATAGTTAGAGGCGGAGTGAGGAAGAGAGACTCAAGAAACAACTCAAGCCCAAGCCCCGACCAAAGCCATGAGGATCGCGCCACCGACAACCGATCCACAGGCTTCTAACCTGCGTCTTCCCTGCAAAGTGGTATAACTTTTATCCGAGAGAAAGTCTTCGGCAAGTAATTCAACGAGACCGGCGAAGAGCAAGAGGCCGCTGCTAATGGCATTCATGATGCCGACCATAAGCAGGCCCGTCTGACTGGCGGGGTCGTACAGATTGTGGACAACAAGCCCAATGGCTTGGCCAATGGGGGTCGTGGTACCGTACGCAAGGGCCATGAGCCATGGTTTTGGAGAGCGCAGGCTGAGTGCTTTGACCGCAGCGATTCGCGAACCAAGAGCGAGTCCTTCAAACGTTTCTGCATGAGATTGTCAATAACGTAATCGGCGTCGAAAACGAGAGCATAAGTGGAAAAGAAGGGCCGAAAAAAAATCCACGGGATGAGAGTGAGACATACGATGAAAGCTTATGGCAATTAGGAGAACAATAAATGGTGTGCCGGTAGCAACACTGAGAGCCATGCCGATAAACACACTGTGAAACAAGATCCCGGCTTCAAGCAAAAGGCATTGTAGCAGCATCTTTCGTTCTTCTTGCTCCTCTGCCGAATGCCCATGCCCATGTGCGACTTCGGGGCCAGAGCGGTTGTTATAAAATTGCCCATCGTCTTGGCCGTAATTGGAATAATTTAGCTGACCGCCGTTTCCTCGTCCAAGTCCCTGATGACCAGTATGGCCAGTCTCGCCAGCCAGAGGATCCAGCTCGCGAATGTCCAGGTCCGAGTCTTCTCCATCTTCTCCGTCTTCTTCATCATTTCCATCGTCTTCAGGATCATCGGTGTAGTACTGCCCACCAGAAGAAGAGGATTTCCTGTGCTTGGCGGGTTTGGGCTGCGACCTCGGCGGAGATGAGCTTGACATGTCCTCCAGCACGACAGCCTCACCGGGCTCTCCATTTTCTAAATCCGCCTCGCGATAAACATTTATGTTCGCATGATGATATTCTGTGGGCGTTGAGATACCATTTGAGAGCTTGTAAGCCAACTCTTCCCGGGTCTGGCCGGGAGGTAGAGAATCGTATTCGTCGCCGTGAACATGGCCTGCTCCTCGCGTTGCAAAGAACATTTCAATTCCCACCACAAGTAGCACCGATATCATCGCGATAAATCCAGGCATGGCAGGGTAGCCTTCATTCCAAAATTTTGGAAGGCATGGGTCCGTCATTGACTGGAAAGCAGTGGGCAGGAGGTGTACAAAGGCTGTTGCGATAAGCACGCCGGTGCCAAAGTGTCGTGACAGGAAAAGAAAACGGCGGGGGACATGAAGCTGAGGAAAATGGCGAACAATCAGTGGAAATGAGCATGCTGCCTGCATGTCAGCTTTGGACTCTCGGGTGGCTCAATGATACTGACCTCCAGTGCTGAGAACAAGAATGATGACCAGAGCAACCACATGCATTGGGAGATTGTATGCAGCCCGAGGCTCATTGGAGCCGCAGGACGGTCGATCGTCTGGTCCATCTCTTCTTAGAAGCTCTGCGCGCAATGCTGCGGTCGAGATTTCATTCCATAACAGGCCGTGTTCTGCGCACAAAGCAACACGTCAGCCTAGTGTTCACATGTACCACTCGGGCTGAAGCCACACGACATAAACATTACCTCGACTGACAAGTCCAGCCCCAATCGAGTTCATTGCGAATGGACGGTTTGATGTCTCATGAAGCTAAAGTCAATCCTTTTACTCCATCCTCGTGCCGTCAATTTTCCTTCTGTTGAATGCTGTGGCTTCGTTGATTTCGATTTTGTGTGTGCAGAAAGTGTTACCAATCGTCAAGCTACATCCGGGTGTTTTGAGGGGCGGACCGGAACCGAGGCCTTGGCCCCTTGAGCTTTCAGTTAAGTCACTTAACTGCGAGCAGTTATTCGGAGTACGTAAGGCAAATCAACTACCCAAACCAAAATCGTCATTCCCGCGCCGGGGATTTTCAATGAATGTGCTATTCCCTTTCGGGCGCCCATTAACCACGATACCTATTAGCTTGGCCTTCAAGGATACAGATATTCATCCAGCGAGCAGATCCATTTTAATCCTTATTTAAGTACTGTAACTCAATGGCTCAGTTATCTATGTGATATTTCATTCTCTACTGGTTGCAATCCTTGTTTATAAAGAACTGCGCTACCGTTATTCTTTTCTCATTCTCTAGTTTTTGGTACATGAAGATTTTTGACATTGCTAGCCCAATTATACGCGCCAATAACATGATGCCGTTCTTCTTTCTCTTTGCTTTTTCGTAGTTGCTGTATCGTCTCAAAGATGGAACAGGATGGTGTATGATGAAATAGAGTTAAAATAAACAAAATTACATTTCACCGCATTGAGCAATGGTCACGTCCTGAATGGGCCGGTCATCGCGTCCCGTCCGCGTGTGCTCAATCTTGCGGACAACGTCCATGCCATCAATGACACGGCCAAAGACGACGTGTTTCCCGTTGAGAAAGGGCGTGGGTGTTGTCGTGATGAAGAATTGGGAGCCGTTTGTGTTGGGACCGGAGTTCTATAACCCACTTGTATCAGCCTGAATTTCCTTTCTGCTTTTTTTTTTTCTTTTGGTGTTTGTCTACGGCGAAGGATAGAGGGGTTATAAGTAGTAAAATAAACTGAAGTACTTACCGCCATGCTCAACAATCCAGCAGTGTCATGCCGAAGCACGAAATTTTCATCAGCAAAAGACTTTGTGCCATAGATACATGTCGACCCGGTACCATTGCCATTCAAAAAGTCGCCCCCTTGGATCATAAAGTCTTTGATGACACGGTGAAACCGGGCACCCTTGTAGCCTTGCGGTCGGCCCATGGCGTTCTTGGTTTCGCCGGTGCAAAATTGTCGAAAGTTCTCAGCGGTGCGGGGCACAGTATCCGCGAAGAGTTCCATCTTGACGCGACCAAGAGGCTCGCCTTGCAAAGAAATTGTTGGTAAGTGAAATCATGCTGTTGGATGCCAAACAGGTTTACGCGGTGGGTAATTTTGAGGAAGTGTTTATGTGTAGTATTAAACAAAAAGAAGGGCAAAAAGTAATAAAAGAACCCGAAAGAAAAGGAGAGAGGCAAAATAAAAGGTGAAGGGAAAGGACAACGGATTAAAGGCGATAATGAATGAAAGAACCGGCTTAGAAGAAATGAGTTATATCAAGAGACTTGCGTTGAGTAACCGTAAAGGATATCAAGGGCGTAATAATATGGATCAATGGCATAAAAATAATAGTGCAAAATGCGATACAATTGTACACAGAAAACGTGACATACCACCTAGCGACATGTCGAAAAAGACAACCGGATTCGGAGTACCAGCGTTTGCCATATTTGCTGGCGTGTTTTGCTAATAAAGACCTGTGTGCTCAATAAATGGGTGAGTTTACATGATAATAGATACACATGAAACAATATGCAGAATGGAAGGTCAGTGTAGGATTGCAGAGGTGAGACAAGACGTACAGGCGTTGAGATGGTGGACAAAGTAGATTAGATTGTGTAACGTGTAAACTGGCAGAGAAAGTATTGCTACTGTAGGGATAAATATTTTAAGTTCGAAATGGGTAGGGTTCCTCTAGCGTTCGCAGTCGGAGATTCCGGTGTCTGAGAGCCAGATCCCAAGGTTTTAAGGTTGTAGTATGAAGCCTTGCGTTCGGGGTGCTAAAGTTTAGCTTTGAAGCTGATTCGGGCGAGGTAAATCCACATTCTTTATGCCATTAAGCGAAGGCGGTGTAGTGTATATATACTTTTTTGAGATGATCGATGCGATAATGGATAGGCATTGCTATTTACACGAGGAAATGTTAGTATATACACAAGGAGCGACATTAGCAGTGCATATTTAATACATGGTGAGTGAGGTGCGTTGGCAAACAATTGGGTCGGGGCTGACCTGTATGCAGAGTACAACACAGATCATTGGACCGGGGGGAAAAGAAAATATGATAGGGATACAAATGCAGGAAAAGTTTTACGAGATAAAAAAAATCTGATATGGCCTTGTGTAACGACAGTGTAATCCAACTTAAGCCTTGACCCGGCTCCCCGAGCTTCATCTTGCATGCAGGAGTCTTGGTGTGCAGGATGTGATGCATTACCATATGAATGGCAACGTACTGAAAGAGATATCTACAAGTCGTTCGAAGGCTGCCCTCTCGCGGAAATAGACAAGCAAAACTCAGAGCCCATTGTACTGAGGGATTGCACTCAGAAAAGACTTGGAGAGGATTTCAATGCAAATGCGACTGAGCAAGTTGTTAAGAGTGCACCATTGCCTACCATAGCTTAGCCCCAAGGGCAGCGAGGAGTAACAAGTAGGAAGTTAAGGAGAGTCAACTTTATACCTCTCCAGGTTAGCTCTCCTTTCCATCGTCCCTCGCCTCTGTGCTTCTTGGGCGGCCTCTTTGGGCTTTCTCATTGAGGCTTTTTGGAGCGTCGTCAAGTTGGCGACGCCAACTCTACTACTGCAGGCCCCGGAACATCAACCCGCGCTTGGAGCCCTCCTCAAATACTCGGGGAGATTGTAGTGAACTTTGCATGCAGAATAAGGAAACGATCTGAGAAATCTCACCATCGGTTTCAACCTTTTTTCTCCAGTCTGGAGAAAAGCCAAGCCATCTATTGTGGATTTCCCCACAATTTCCTTGGTCTCTGACGTCGAAGGTGGGAAGTTGAAGAAGCCATGGGTGCAGAATATGGCACTACGTTGTTGCTCCGGCGTGTTTTAGCCCCGAGGTTTCGGTGGAGCGGCTGAGCGAGAGCGAATACAATGCGACCGTAAGGTTGTTAGGGCAGGTGAGGGACGGAAGAGGAGGAGCAATAGCGCAAGGGAAATGGACAAGGTCTGGATCTACCTTCGTTACTAGAAGTGCTGCCACTGAATCATCCACCTTCCTATAGCGTTGGTACCCAATACCTTTGGTCTACGAAGCTTATCATGGACAAGTGAGCAGATATATTGTTGAGTCAAATTTGAACCGCATCATCAAGAGAGTTTCGAGATGACTTTTCCAACTGTGCTTCATAAAGTGCTGTAAGGTTGACGGACCCTCTCTCGGAGTGACTGGACGGACACTAATAAGATCATGTCCCTGATCGTCGTCGCTAGGGAACACGCGTGCGTGAAATGTGTGCCTTTTCATTCTCGACGGGCGCAGGCGAGATTTCGACTGTGACATCCGGTTTCGGTCATTACTTTCATGATGAACGCTCACCATCAGCAGATTAAGATAATTGTCATCATCGATGTGGTCCTTTTAAGGTTGCTGCCTATGTAATTGAATAAATTTCTTGATCAACAGCTCTCAACCGTTGAGGCCTGCCGTGCTTTTTGGAATAGACGGTCTTTATAAGTAACGTAAACCATAACGTCACTGTACTACTGTCCTACTGAGTAAATTGGCGTTACTGCAGTGGAGCGCGTGACCAAGAGACAGTGGAGAGAGATCAACCTCGTCCAAAGTAACTCTACCTTCTCCATTGAATACCACTCATTTTTATCATCATTCAAACGCATCTTCATCAACAGAATAAACAAAGATCAGGAGTCGCATCTTGTTCCCGCTCTTACACCAGGCGGTCCCCGGTTGCTACTGATACGCCTTTCATTGCTCGGCTGAAGGTTTGGTGTGTGTCTTCCCCCTTGAACAGACTGCAGCCATTCCCTTTTCTCACCCTCTGGCCCTAAATTAATGCTTCCTGCCCCCCTCCATCCGGCGCTCTCTTCCTCTATACTCCCTTTGGTAGGATCCTCTAGTCAGGTATCCAATACCTTTTCTCCTCACCTTAGAAATACGATTCTCTCTCCATATCGTCTTTCCATAGCCCTCCGACCGGCACAGACCCCACACCATCTCTTTCAATTCCCCCATTCAGCCACCCTTGGCCCTGACTTCGTCTGCTCCTTGGCGGTCTTACCTTACGCCCCTCGATCACAAATCTCCTTGGTCGGCTTCTGATCTGCTTTTGTTTTGCAGTCATTCATTATCCACGCCGGCATCTTTCACCGTTTCGTCGATTTTGCGTTGGGGAGAGTGGCCGATTGCTCATGGTTCTTCTCATCTAGAGAAGCTCTGCTCTACAGGGATCTGCTCGACTTCCGAGGTCTTGTGAGACTCAGCACTGCGGCGACTTTATCTCTTGCCATCGCCCCAAGTCGTAAGCCCTATCATCGCGGGTTTCCCATTCGACGCTCATGAACTCGACTGCGACGACTCTCAACTTGTCGATACTATACCGAGGGCATTCTTCAACGATTCAGCCATCACCGTTTGCCCCTTAGTCGCGCAATTCCCGGTGAAACAGGATAATCTTACTTATCACCCTTCTCGTTCTCCTACTTGAAGTGACTGTGACAATCACAACCATGTCGACTCCGACTTCGACGAACACACCGAGTCCCACCTCCACTGGTGGTAGTGGTGGTGGCGGCGGCGGAGGAGGTGGAAGCAGCTCTCCTCTGCTCTTCTTTGTCGCGCTGGGTTTCGGAGTCGTCTTTACAAACTTATGGTGAGTGGCAACGGCGGACGTGCTTGATTCGGCCAAGGAAGCATGCATCTGATACTTGGTGGTTTAGGATTATTGTCGGAGTCAAGTATTGCTTCCGATACAATCAGCGTAACCGTCAAGCCCGAGCCGATGAATTCGCCGATCCTATCGATATGGGCCCAGTTCCTCGCCCGCATCGCCGTCGGCGAGAGAAGAAGCTGATGACAATGGATGAAGTGAATGAGCGATTCCCTTTATCCAAATACAAGACTTGGCGTTCCTCTCGTGAGTCCGCTGGCCTGCCGTCTACTGGAGGCATCGACGCACCACCGAGCCGAGCTGGTAGCATCCGCAAAGAAGTCGGCACAGTCGGCGAGGTCCACGAGGACAATTCTCCTGCTCAAGAGCATGCGGCTCAACCAGCAGCACCACCGTCCATTTCCGAGAACCAAACGGCCAGGGGCGTTCCAGAGCCCTCGTCGTCCACGATACCGGTGGCTGATGGCCCATCAAAGACTGCAGACGCCCATTCGACCGAAGTGGCACTTGGTGAGAAGACAAATGCATTGGAGAGACAGGAAACTGTAGATAGCACTGGCGGAGACCTTCCTCGCGCGATTACCACTCAAGGCACTATTGAAGAAGATGATGACGACGACGAAGACGAGCATATCCACACCGCCCTCCCGCCCGACCTTGTAAATACTCCTGGCGACACTTGCGCCATCTGTCTCGATACTCTGAACGACGATGATGAGATTCGTGGTCTGACTTGCGGTCACGCTTTCCATGCGAGCTGCATTGATCCTTGGTTGACCTCGCGTCGGGCATGCTGTCCATTGTGCAAGGCCGATTATTACACTCCGAAACCTCGCCCCGAAGGTGAAGCGGCAGATTCTGATCGGTCTGGCCGGCGGCACCAAGGAACGAGCGGTTCGCGAATGAATATGCCGTTGCCGCCCCAGTCTGCTTGGATAGGTGCACGAGGAGCATTCTTCCGACCAACGTCCATGCCTGCTCGATACCCTGGGCAGCAGCAGCAGCAGCGACGTGGCCGAACCGGCTTCTTTACGCCAGAAGGTGGACCCAGACGAGCCCAACGGGTGCCCGGTACAGAGGCGCCTACCAACACCTCTCCAAATAATGTTGGCAGAGGCTGGATGCCTCGAGTGTCGAATCCTTTCAGAAACATGTCTCGACCGACCATGCCCCAGTTGCGTCTTCCTGGGCGGTCCAACCAGCACCAAAATAATGCCGGCGGCGAGTCAAGTGTTACACCAGGACAGCTTGAGGCCGGCAGTCGATGAAGCGGCCCTCTGAGAGATATCAACGATACCCTTGAGAATTTGCCATATTGACGATACTCGATTATGTGAATATGGGATTCATCGTTTATCGGAGTCCATTTATTCTCCTTTTTCTCCAGGCGGTGCATCGTTATCATTTGGGACTCTATCCAAGCTTCTGCATCTACCTATTTCTGAGCTGATTGTACCACGGGCTGATTTAGGGTGGCTTTTTCGCTGCTTGTTGAAGAGTTTCTTCTACCCTACGTTTCTCCATGCGATACGTACCGATCCTTAACTTTGTGGCACTCATACCATCTACTCTCCTTTCATTTACTGCTTTACATTGATATCGCGACTACCCCCTTACTCTATCTTTTGCTTCATCATTCGCTCATTTCTTCCCTTTCTTTGCTTTATATTCTATGTTATATTTTCGAATATCTGGTCCTTGTGTCTTACTGGCCAAAAGACCTTGCACACTCGGCGCATGCGCGTTTCTCTAGCTTTTACCAAGGCTTTCCTGTTTTTACGCATAAGGGTTTTTCTTTCAGCTTTTCCGTCTGCGTACGATGCAGATATAGGTGTCGGGTCGCCACAGTCATCGGGTTCTCAGAATCATACCATCTCACATTATTCCACTCTATCTCGGGAAGGCGGCGGTCAATGGTCAAGGTATCAATCGGACGAGAGTACAAAAGGTCAAGCTTGTACTTGGGGTTTACTTTCAGCACAGCACATGAGTGCGAAATGTCGCAGCGGTCACATGAGCTGCATGATATGGGGAAATCAGCGTGTTTCTTAGCTTTTGCTTTTGATATTTGTGGCTTGCGAGCTGGAGCTGGAAAGACTGTGTGTCCGGGATTTCTATATTGGAGTTTGGTGCTCTTTTACTTCTTCTTCTTCTTCATATCCTATATTTTATCTCACACAATTTTTTATCTTTTATTGAACCCCAGCTTCTCTGCTCTTGATATCTTTACTCCGTATCTATAACTTGCTTGTCGAGGTTTTTTTCTTTGGCCGCAGATGATATTGTAAACTCCTCTGGGGTAGCAATGGAGATCTCTTTGCTCTCTTCTCATTATTTTAGATCGTCTTGACAGCCAAGCACATTTGACCTTGATTCGCCCATCTGTGCCATATTAGATTTCTGACAATACTGCAACGAGCTAATATGCAACTGCAGCACACCTAATCCTGCTCTCGAGATATCCAGTGACATATCCATGCACATAACCCGCCACGTATGGTGCACCAAACGTTATGCCAACATTGATAAACGGATCCAGCCCCTTTGCTTCTGAGATATACAAGTATGCCTTGAGCCAGATGAAATGCACAGCAAGGCTCGCCAGAATAATGGGCATCCAGTCAGATCCGCTTGAAGTGGTTTGCGCAAAAGGGTTGGGAAATATCCATAGGATCAAGATGTGCAGATTGATGGCGAGGACAGCGCACAGGAGAAGAAGGACTGCGTGCTGGATCTTGCTCTGCAACATTTTTTTTATTATATTTATTTTCTTTTCTTTTTCTTTTCTTTTTCTTCCTTTTCTTCCTTTTCTTCTTTTTGTGTGTGTTTGGTTGTTGTTGTCGTTGTATCGACCTGGATTGTCTCGATTTTTTTGGTTGTCTCGACTGAGTAGAATGTTAATAGAAAGTTCGTTTGATGCTGAAGCAGGAAGCAGGAAAGTTCAATTGTTTACCTGTACCTGGACCCGAGGCTATATCACAAAAGCTCTTATGCGCTGTGAACTCGCGAACCTACTGCCGAAGAAGATATCTACGTAGTACATCAAGTCGCAAATCGCAAGTCGTAAGTCGCCTCCTTTCGATATACAGAGTAGAAGAAGTCAACCCCCTTTTCATACAAATGCAAGAAGCAGTTGCCCCCGATGACCTCAAGGTCCTCGGTCACCCCGCTTTTTCTTGCAACGGCACGCATCCCTGGCATTGTGCCCGGGACTTTGGTCGAGGTGTGGTGTTGTGGTGGGTCTCGCTGAGTAAATTGCTCCTGTATACGACCGTTGTCCTGACTGAGGGGACGTTCTATGCCAGGACCCCCTGCATGAACAGACATTGACGGGTCGGACTGTCGTGCTGGCTTTTACGGAGTATGTCTTCAATGAAGTTAACAATTGCAAAATGGACGAAAAAAAAATCAATTCTCGAGGCAGATGCTGCATTGCTGGTTGCCTAGATATCCATTTCCAATCGTGTATGGGTTGATCTCCCCGGTATCAACGCAATAGCTATCCTGGCTATCCTACAGGACTGGCTTGAGTAAATGATTCCTGACAATGTCAATGGCGACGACATGGACATATTTCCATGCTTTGATGGGTGTACTGGAGGCAGTAGATGGGTAGGAATACTGAGCAACAATAGAGATTGTATAACTATAATTTCTGTTGCAATGCGCTGGACATGGGGTCATGCATCTGTGCGGCTGCCTAAAGATTCTCGAATCTATATTTTCATCCTGACAAAACCACTTGTCAATGGGTTACTACGGGTTGATTCAAACAAGTTCGAGTTGTTTTGGGAGCAAGGGAAGGTGGGGTGTTTCGCTAGGGAGTCGGCCTGTCGGGGACCATTCCCTTCCACAATGAAAGTAAACCTCTTTTACACTCCACACTTCTAAAGAGCTATCTCAACTTAAATTTTTTTTAATTTTACAGGGACCAACACAGCGCTCTCTTACTCTCTATTCCCGACAACATTGAGCTAGATCAACATTTTAGACGTCGACACATCTCACTCTCGAATCACCTCCAAGATTTCTTTCTGCATACGGGAAAACCTTTCAACCTCAAGAAACACATACAAGCCTACCAACCATGTCAACACAATCTCTTGCAATTCCCGGCCAACCTCTTGGTCCGCTGTCCAAACACAAGCCTGGACCAGGAACCTACGTCTCGTCGTCCCAGCTTTTCGCCTCCATTGCCGGAATCCAAAGCGTGACGAGCTCCGATTCTGGCGACGCTTCAACCGTGACCATCTCCAGCGCACCCATTGCCGCAACGAATGTCCTTCCGTGCGTGGACGCAGAAGTCCTCGCCCGCGTCACGCGCATCACGCCGCGCCAGGCCACCGTTGCGATTCTCGTCATTGGTGAATCCGTCTGCGCGGATGAGTTCCAGGGCTTGATCCGCGTGCAGGATGTGCGGGCCACGGAAAAAGACCGCGTCAAGATTTTCGAGTCGTTCCGGCCGGGAGATATTGTCAGGGCTCAAGTGGTACGTTATTTGCATCATTACGCCTTTTATTATTCCATTGTTTTCAGATACCTTTGGTGTCTAGACGGAGCAGACCAGAAGTGGAACATAGAAAAGGTAGACGTGCTAACGAGTACCTCGATGAAACTATAGATTTCTCTCGGAGACCAATCAAACTACTACCTCTCCACAGCAAGCAACAAGCTCGGCGTCATAATGGCTACTTCAGAGGCAGGAAATGCCATGTATCCGACCAGCTGGAAGGAATTCAAGGATCCAGTAACGGGCCAGGCAGAGCCCAGGAAAGTTGCCAAGCCGTTTTAAGCGCACGTCCAAAGTTTTTATCGAAAGCAGGAATCGGCCCTGATGCAACCTTGGGACGTTTGTTGATTCAGCAGCGACAGCATTGGAGTACTCGCCTCCTTTGTTTGTGCAAGCCAGATCCTCTGCGGCGTGCTGCTCAAGGATCTCCTCCGCGGGTGTCGAGTCTATATGTACTGGGCGGGACTACATATCGGATCATGCCCAGCACTGCGGCCCCTATTCCCCTGATTTGCCTGAACGCAACTCGCACGGCCTGCGTGCCCGCCTGGGCATCAGCGAAAACAAACCAAACAGCCGAGTCTGTCTCAAGACGCTGTATGCAAAATCTGCCGGAAGGGAGATCATGCACCTTTTCCACCCGCGCCGTATGCGCATTGACGATGCTTGTGGAAGGGAAGGGAAGAAAGAGCACCACACCAACACATCCTTGATCCTTCTTGACACCTCTTCTCCTCTCTTATCTTCTCTATTCTTCTATTGCTCTCTGGACTTGGGCTCTGCTTCTTCCACCGACTTGGAGGCAGCAATGCAGCATCATTATCCATCCCTAATTCTTTACAATCAACCCCGGACGCGGCTCGGCTTCGATGAGGAAAATGTTTCTCAGGGCTAGGGTTTCTTTGTGTCCCAGTTATTTCACTTAACCCGGGCCCGCGCTTTGATTAGGGAAGATGACATATGACTATTAATAGACTTTACAATGATACCCGCAGCATTTACAATCAATAGTAGAAACAAATGTCGAGAATTAATTAGACTTTATACGCAATATCACGCGTGCATATATACCCTAACCCTTGGTGACTAGGGAATGCAGAAAAGAGTTAACGTGAGTTTAATTTTATCAAAATCATGTTGTTATTACGAAATCCAGAATGCAGAATGTAAAATGCAGAATGCGAGGCGTAAATCGTGAAGCGTGAAGCGTGAAGCAAGGGGTCCATGGCGGCGACGGCCAGGCTCATGCGGCCGAATCAAGGCGATGAGGAACAAGGATGAATACCGAAATGAAGAGGAATGTGTATAATACATCAAAAGATCAAAGCCCGTTTTGATTGCGATTTCTACTCGAATGATTTAATGCACTGGAACGGCTTGGACAGCTTGGACAGCTTGGACAGCCGCGGGGTCTGGATAGACAAAAGAAAAAGTGAGAAGTAAGAACTAGCGTCCGAACACAATTCAATAGACAATGCGGAAATTGTAATAAAACTATATGATATGAAATTCAATTTCCCAATGTAATATTATTTTTCTCTTCCGCCTTTTCGTACATGATGAGGGACAGGGGGAGGGGAAACTGTAACATAGTCGCGTCACATACGGAGAATATAATACTGTAACATAAAGCCTCACATACATAATACATCATCATAACTCAAAATGGATTTGGAAAAGTTGGAGAAAGATTTTTTTCAATAATGACTTTGATATTGTTTTTTAAGAAGAAAAAGAAAAGAAAAGAACCTTTCTGGTGGTAAAGTAAATCCGAAGTAAGTCATCTTACCAATTGGACAAAAGGGGGTAAAAAAAGATAAAAGGGGGAAAGGAAATATGAATAAAAAGTTGAAGAGAAATGGAGAAAATGAAAAAGATGAGAAAAAAAAAAGGGTAATTTAAATTGACAGCTTAGAAAGATATTCCTCCGCCTTGGAAAGAGCTTCGTCGACCTTGTCTGCCTGAGTGCCGTTGCCGATGCAGGTGGCGCCCTTGCCGCCAGCCTTGCCGCCGATAACGCCAGATACGGCAGAGGCCCACTCGTTGGCGGAAGCGCCCTTGGATGAGGCGTCCTAGGTGGTGAGAAAATGATTAGTATGTGATTTATGCATGGGGTGCTGGAGCGTGGGTAGAGCTTTGTAGTGAGGTGAATAGGACAAGATTTGAAGAGTGGGAGTATAAGGAGAGAGGATAGGGAGATAAGGAATGAAAATGAGAAAAAACGAGCGAAGCGAGCAAACTCAAAAAACTTACAGAAGAGACGTGGCATCCATGCACGACCTTGGACTCAGTTGAGTCAGCAGCAAAAAGGTAGACAGTCTTGTCGCTATTCTTTGACTTGACAAAGTTCAGAGCTTCACCGAGGGCCTTTGAGTTGGCGGAGATAGGAAGCTTGATGACAAGGTGTTTCTTGTCCTTGTTCTTCTCATCGGCAAAGTACTTGGTGATGGTGTCGACGGCCTCCTTGGCCTCGGCCTTTTGCTTGGCCTTTTGTTCATCGAGAACCTGCTTGGAAATCTTGGCGAAGCGGTCACGGAAAGAAGCCTTGGTAATGGCGGAAATGGACAACTGGTTGAGTTCCGTCTGGGTCTGCTTGACGGCCTGCTCCTTTTCGGAGCTGTGAGGCATCTTGGTAAGGTGGTCAAGACGGTCAGAGAACTCGTTGGCGATCCGTTGCACCTCATAGGCCTCCTCGCCGGTAACGGCAATAATTCGCCGAATGCCCTTGGCGATACCGCTCTCTTCGAGGATGACGAGACGCTTGATATCACCCGTCTTTTGGACGTGTGTACCACCGCAGAACTCAACACTGACATGCTCCCAGTCAGGGTTCTTGATGTTGTGGAGCAGAGTTTCAATGTCAACACCAACGGAGACGACGCGGACGGGGTCGGGGTATGTCTCGCCAAAGACGGCGCGCACGCCTTGAATCTCGCGGGCAGTGGCGAGCGGCACGTCCTTTGCATAGACTGTGTCGTTCCTCTCAATGTAGTCGGAGCAAATGTCCTCGATTCTGGCAAGCTCGGCGTCCGAGATGCTCGACTTGTGCGAAAAGTCGAACCGGAGCTTTTCTGCGGCGACGAGGGAGCCCTTCTGGTCAATGGCATCGCCGAGTACTTCACGGAGGGCGTAGTTGAGAATGTGCGTTCCAGTGTGGTTGTTCCGGATGGGCCACCGACGGAGCTTTACAGCAGCAAATGTTAGAAAAAAAGTCGAGAAGGGAAAAGAGCTTGATTAGACGTACCTCATCATACTCACAAATGACCTCGTTGCCAACAGTGAGGTTACCGTATTTCAAGTAACCAGTGTGCAAAACGTAGCCAGCATACGACTGGACATTCTGGACCTCAAGCTCAGCGTGGCCATCAATCAAAATCTTCCCGGTATCATATTCCTGGCCACCCTGTTCGGCGTAAAAGTTGGTTCGGTCCAGCAACACACCAAGTTGCTCGCCCTCGGGAATCTCTGAGGTGCTGTTCAAGAATTTCTTTGAGTGGAAAATAGCCTTGATCTGAGAGGTGATGTTGCCCTTGGCTGAATTGGTGAGTTAGCAGACACATCGCAACACTATATGAACAAATAAAAGGGAAACGTACCAAACTTGGCGCTATCGTCAGTCTTGGGAACCTCGTGCATCTTGTCCAAGTTGCCAAGGTCATGAACATCGAACTTGACCAAATCAGCAACGGCCTTCTTCTCACCCTTGCTGGCTTCCTTGGCTTTTGCCTGCGCTTCCTGGAACTCCTTCTCATCAATGTCGAGGCCGCGCTCCTCGGCCATCAATCTGGTAAGGTCAACAGGGAATCCGAATGTGTCGTAAAGACGCCACACGTCCGCACCGTGCAGCTTCTTGGAGTCATGGATCTTGCACTGCTGGGCATAGTGCTCGAACATGCGCTCGCCCCGGTCGAGGGTCTTGGAGAAGGACTCTTCTTCCTCATCCAAGATTTCCTTGACATCCTTCTCCTTCTTGGCGATTTCAGGGAACATGCCACCCATCTGCTCAACAAGCGTAGGGACGATCCTTGAGAAGAAGTTTCCAATATCCGTCTCGAAATACTTGCGAGCATAACGAGCGCCTCGGCGGAGAACTCTTCGCACTACGTAGCCACGGCCTTCATTGTTGGGAATGCCGCCATCGCTGATGGCAAAAGTCAATGTCCGCACATGGTCCGCACAGACACGGTAGGCAGTGTCAATGCCATCCGGATCCTCGCTTCCGAATTTGCCACGGTATTCCCGAGCGCCGGTGATCTCTTGGATCTTCTTGAAGAGGGGCGAGAAGACGTCGGTGTCGTAGTTCGACTCCTTGTTTTGAAGAACAGAGACGAGACGCTCAAAGCCCATACCCGTATCGACGTGCTTGTTGGGCAACGGTCGGAGAGACTTGTCGGCCTCACGGTTGTATTGAATGAAAACGTTGTTCCAAATCTCGAGGACGTTGGGGTCATCCTCGTTAACTAGGTGAGCGGCATTCCGACCGCCTATCCGGTCGTAATGAACTTCACTGCAAGGACCGCAAGGGCCTTGGTCACCCATTTCCCAGAAGTTGTCCTTCATGTTTCCAGGAAGGATATGGTCTTCCGGGACACCCACCGACTTCCAGAACTCCTTGGCCTCGAGATCCGGCTCGAGACCACCAGCCTCATATCCTTCAAAGTACGTAACGTATAATCGATCGGGGGCGATGCCAAAGACCTTGGTGAGAAGGTCCCATGAGTATTCAATTGCCTCTTTCTTGAAGTAATCGCCAAAACTCCAGTTGCCCAACATTTCGAAGAATGTCTTGAATCAATATTAGCACTCAACGCCACTTTGACATGTCTGCGCCGACTTACGTGGTGGTAGCTGTCCTTGCCAACATCGTCAAGATCCTAGAAATCGTGAGCATAGTGACTGAGAATTATCGTCCATGGATCCGTTACATTATGCTTTCCTCCCGCGCGAATACACTGTTAGATGTTAGCAAGTCATCTAGGTCTGAGTAGTTGATTTGGATGTTCACCTTTTGCGAATTTACTGCACGCTTGAGCTGGGCAAAGTCCGATTGAGGATCGACGGTACCCAAAAAGATTGACTTGTACTGGTTCATACCAGCATTGGTAAAGAGGAGTGTAGGGTCAGAAAGAGGGACGACAGAGGATGAGGGGACTATAGTAAACCCTTTGTCAGTATTCTTCACAAAAAAGTCGACTCTGTGGACAATGCCCCACCAAAGGTGTGTCCCTTCTTCTTAAAAAATTCCAAAAAGGCAGCGCGAACGCGCACCGCGCTCCATTCTGGCTCAGCCTCAATGATTGAAGGCATGGTGTAGGCCTTTGATGGGTTTGTTTGGAAGAAGCGGGTGTTCAGGCTTGGAGGGGCAAGAAATGGAAATTTTGGCGCGCCCCCAAAGGAGTTGAGATTCGAGAAGTTGCCGTGACTCAGACCACGTCCGCAATAGTTGAAGAACTTCAGACCCCGCATCAACGAGGCAGAGGTGATGTCTTTAATAGAGCTTCCACGGTCACGGCCGGCTCAAATATCCTAATTGACACGTTTCGCTTCTCTTTCTGGTCGATCGACAACCCTGCAGCAGAGCGAAAAGCTGAGAAATTGAGGGTCTGGATGACGAAACCGTAGCTGGGGGCCGAGATGGAGCCAAGACCACATGGAGTCAAACGACAGGCCGATTCAACCCCGGACAACGATCAGCGGCTGGCAAAGAGGTTTGAATTATTAGATATTGGTAAGACGAAAATCTCTTGTTCCCTGGTGAGCAAGGATCCGCTATTAACAATCTGTTCTCTTCCCGCAGAGCAAAATGGAAAGAAGAAACTCTACGTTCCCGTTCAGTCGCCATCCTCGGCTTACACTCCCAAACACTCGTCACCATCTAGTGATTCCATGCAATTAGATGACACCAAAGACAGAATTTATATTCACAATCTCGACGAAGAGCTTGCAGAAGTCGACTCGGATGATGACAAGGTCATTTTTCTTCCAGACATTGAGAGACGTTTGACCAAGATTCCCAAGTCAGTCTTAAGGTCTCAGAACCCTCCACCGATTGGAAACAATGAGCTTGTGCTCTACTCTGTACCCGAATCTTTATCAGTACCTGCGGAGCATGACAGTGTCCGCCGTGCAATTATTGAGGCACGACAACGCATCCGCGAGAAGCAGGTGCAGGAGCAAAATGAGACAGCAAGAGGAGGAATGCCAATTGGCCACGATGACCAAGAGCGCAGCAAAGCCGAGACTTATATGCAAACGTCTCAGCATACTCCAGAAACCATACCGTTAGACAATGACGGTGATGCCATGGAGTTGGAATAGACACCGCATAATGCATTAGAAGGAGTTCAGGATATTCAACGTCGTCAGCAACTTGGAAGCATATATCAGGCCACTTACACCTAAATAGCATAACGTTATCATCAATTTTGTGAGCGATCAATGAACTATTTGTATTTCATTACTTGAATAAGTACCAGTTGCCTCATATGTACCCGCGCCTCGAGTTCTATCTCGAACTCTGGTGATCTCAATTACGCATACTTCAGACAAAAGATGACGGTGAGCACCCAACCAATCGATGCGAAGGCGGAAATTGGAAAATCATATATAAAAGGCGAATCCTGCCGCATATAAGTCTGTTTGCTATGCAATCTCGGATCAGGGGCCCATCAGGGAAATAAAAATGCACAGTCAACTAGCTACGTGTATCCTCAATATATAAGTGTAGAGAACAAGATATTAATTTGCCCCACCTCGCTCGGAAGGTTGCCTCGATGGCTCAGGTCGCGCTGGTGACGAGTCACCAGCGCGAGATGACTCTCCAACATATACGGAAGGGACTTGGCGCTGCTGTGAAGGATCCACTTTTGATGCACCTAGTGGAGGCTGATATTGAGGTGGAGGGTCGAAATCCTGTCCATAAGCTGTCAAAGGTTAGCAGCGGAGATATAACAGGCTTGAAAGTATCATAAATCTTACCTGGTGGCGGGGGTGCTGGATACATAGGATACTCGTTGGACGCGCCATTACCCGATGGATGGTAATAATATGGTAGAGGCGGGGCATGGTCGATTGTCTGCCTCGGTGGCATGCGGTATGAGCGAGGTACCAGAAACTTGATGCCACTGTTAGCTTTTTGTTTATGCTTCTCTCTGGCTTGGATAATTACTCGGTGATATGCTAGCGGAGGGAGGCCTCTCCTCCGACGACGCTGAGCGTGGAGGGAACCACCAACCACCCAGGTTAAAAGCAGGACAACTATGGAAAGAAAAACAACCCATTTGACAACTTCGGCGGTCTGGTCACTTGATTAGAAAAGGCAAAAAATACTATGATGAAACAATGCTGACCGAAGAATACCACCAATCGGTATCGTCACCACCGCCGGACTGACCATCGCCGGACTGACCACCTTCATCTTGCCGTTTTTGTAGATCGAGATGCATCGTAGAGCGATTCTCGCGGTATGAGAGCTGAAGAACGGACTAGGTACAGAAAAACAGAGGGGGTATTTATCAATTCAATCAAGAGTATCCCCCGACCTGTCAACCGAGCCTGATCTGCAAGGGATCGATAACTAGCTGCGGCGATCGCACACTCGTACTGGATGACGAGTGTGCGTACTGCCAGTACGTGGCCTGATGAGTCGTGCCGGAAGATATGAGGGTGATCAGATATAATAATCAATGGGCCCTTTGCTTCAAAATTGATATGATGTATTTCGTGCTCGTTCGCAATTGAGAACAGAGCGGGTTACCCGATAGTCGGTCGAACACCTTGACGACCAAATAAAGGTAGTTGAAACTGTTCGTATAGTTGAAATAATCAAGCAAGGAAGCTGAACGCAATCAAACAAAAGGAGACTTGGAGAGCGCTCACAATTGCCCCGAACATTTAAACAACTCTTTAAAATCCAGAGAACAGGGCAGCTTTCCTTGCAGAGTTGTCAAAGAAAGTGAAAAATTAAGGAGGGTGACAAATAAAATGACATTGTTATTGGATCGGAATCTTTATTTTTTGGATCCTGCTACATCCCTTGTTCGCAGGCGGTAAGTGACGAGATGATAAACAACATCATCAGTCTCTCATCTTATAAAGTTGGACGGTTGCAGGCAACAGACCCCAGCCACACCAAACAGTTGTTCAGCCACCGCCAGACCTGCGCGTCTTTGACGGTAAACATGTGGCCAGAGGTACCGGATACCTTTCGATGTGTGCTAGGTACGACCATTCAGAAGTACCGGCACTTATTCCCTTGACAACTGTGTCCGCGCTCATTTCCCGCAGAATCTCACATGCTTTATTGTGCGATTAGCAACCTGATGAAGATGGATTCTTCTGGTCATCAACCACATAAATGGATGTTTTTTTTTTTCACCGTCAACACGATGCCTATCATAAATAACGCCCACCAGAGAATCTCGAGCCAAAATCCTTTGCTCGGTTCAACATTTCTCTTTTTTGTGTGAATCCTATCTTTTGCCCTCCCGCAATATCCTTTTCCCGATCGAACGCTCTCTTGCTTGGGTCATCCTCTTCTTCCTTGGTCGTTGATTTGCTGTGTTCATCGTACAACGACTTGTTGCGATATTTTTCCTGTATTACATGAGTCAATTGCTTGTGCGCCTAGGGAGATTTTAGGCAGAGACTCACATTATATTCCTGTATCCTCTTCGCTGCTTCCTTATCCTCGGTGCTGAGGATATTCTCACTGCTCCTACTGCCACCCTGGCTTGCTGGTTTGGAAACGCCCATGACTTCATTCTCCAGTCGCTTTCTTTTCTGCTCCGGTGTTTCGGTCCAAACACTACCAATCCCGCCAGACTTTTCTTGCGGAGCTCGTGCCCCCTTACCAGTATTGAATTTTCTATTTCGTAGTTTTGTAGGGTCGACTCTCGAGGACCAATCGTCGCCTGATGGCAGTAGCATCATCCACTCGTCCCGCTGTGGCTTTTCAGGTTCGGCAGCTTCCTGATAGGCGGCATTATCGAATACAGATGTTTGAGCGGTTGGACTGCCTTCATCTGTCTGCAGCGCCCAGTTAGTCCAAGTCGCATGAAATCCAGGAAGGGGCACGAGATAGTACATCGTAGAGTGGGCCTGAGGGAAGAGCAGGTCCAACTTCATCTTCACTGCTGTCTGTGTCATCGTCCGCATCTCCTGGCGGTCTTTCATCGAGAGGCGCGGGGGGAGGAGCAGGCCCCATTACCCGCCGAGGGCGGCTTTCCTCATGGCTGTTTGACCGTGAACGCGGCCTTTTCAAATCTCTAGCCGCATTGTCCTCTCCAGCTTGCGCTTCGGCTTCGGCTTCGCGTTTCCGCTTCGCCAATAAATGTGGCGGTAGCTCTGGACCTACTGAAGCCATTCTTTCTGCAGATTAGGGAAGAGTAGATACAGTTATGAGATAACGCCCTGAGAGACTTGGCGTCTTCCCCAGAAAGTGGCTCTCCGGGGGTAGCGGCATATTCCGTCATGGACGGGTTTCCTATCGTGGAAGCTCAGTTGAACTCCGCCGTAAGTTGTACCAACACAGTCAGGCTCAAAGGCTCTCGCGCCGTAGCAGGCAATATATAATTTATAATTGTAATCCAGTATTGCCAGAGAAACGAATCTTCACTGGACTTAAGTTTCAAACGGGATCCCGAACTTCAAGGTGCAGTATCGACCGGCACTCGGCAGTTCCAACATCGCAGCGTTGCATTCGAAGCTATAGATTCTGGTTCACAAGCTCCTCTCTGGGAGGGAATATTCTTACATCGTTATCATTTTGCGCGACAGAAGCTCAAAATTTACGAAAGCCTTTCGGGCCGAGAAACAACTGCATGGATGGTATGAGGCCTATCGCGTCACTCCGATGAGTTCGACGCCAACGGAAGAGGAGGCAAGTGCTGAGGACCATGTCCAAGCCGCCTTTGAATCTCCAGAGAATGTGGATGGCAGCAGCAATCAGGAAGTAGATTTGTCACAGGCGGAAGAAGACACAAGAATAGTAGACTGGCTTGAGGAAGAGAGGGAGAGGGACCTTGATAACGTTCCGAAATCTCGTCCAGACGCATTCCATGGCTATCCAAATGTTCAAGGGTCCCAAGCGGAAAACGACGATGGACTGACTCTGCCTTTAAGAGATACGGTTTCCAGATCACCCAGCCCAGCTGAAACGCTCTCGACACCAGACGATACGCCGTCTCCACATGTATGACAGTAATCTACCATAGACTTGCTCGTAGCCTTCTGTGCTAATTGCTTAGGGTTCCTTCACCTCCTCTCACGGCGGCAGTACCCTTACATTTGGGAGAAGCCCGACGCCATCTCTCCGACCTTTTGATCGCCGATTTCAATCAAGAATTGCGTCGTCTCCTCTAAGCACGCCACGTTCAATATCTCCTGCTTTTCTGAACTCACACTCGCGACAATCCTCATCATCTGGCCAGTTATTTCGTGATCAAGAAGATGTTGAAACTCCAACTTCACCATGGGAGGTTGTTCGTTGGACTCGGTTGAAGAGAATATCTGGACAGGCTTTGTCCGAAATTGGAAAACGGAGCTTTGGGCGCCCGACATGCATATCAGTCTTCTCCTCTATCGCAATAGGGACCTCGAAAGGCATTATATTGGTATTCGATTATCACCAAAATCTCAAGTCCATCATAGGACAAGGTTCCAAAGGTATTGTTCCTCACTAACTTCAGGTCTTGTCACATTACTAACTTGAGCAGCCATTGAATCTGGAGCGGTAACATCTCTGGCGATATCAGCGGATCAAACAACCATAGCCAGCGGGCACAAAAATGGCAACATTTTTACTTGGGAGCTTGCAAGGTCAGGAAAGCCATTTCTATACATTCCAGCTCTTGATGCTCTTCATTTGAGTCGTCAAGGTCACGGTCACGTATCCGGAGTGGCCGTAATCCATCTCGGATTCCTTGGAACAAGGCATACTGCACTCGTATCTGCAGACGACCGGGGCATGGCATTTTCGCACCTTGCCACAAGAGGATTCGGGGCTGTGTCTCGGACCGTAAAGACAACAAGAATTCTAGGAAGGTATCCTAATGATAGCGTCAACTTAGACCGGCCGCGTAAACCGAGTACTGTTCTGGCGTTTTCACCTCTACCACTGGGAAATGCCGAGCAGCCCACTGACTCTATGGGATTGGTGGCAATGCTTACGCCATACCTACTTGTTATTGTTTCGACAACGCCTGTGGCACACACTCAGCATAAGGCTGCTCGCCCTAAGGAAGTTACTCCCCACGGTGCTTTGAGTGGCTGTCTTGCATGGTTCCCGGCCGTGAAGCTGAAGTCAAAGGGAGACGGTTCGCCTGCAGCCGTGTCCCGAGCGAAATTGGTATACTGTTGGTCAAATGTCCTCACAGTCTTGGATATTTCTGAAGGGTCGACCTCAGACTCAACTGAGAAGGATGGGCCCCCGAATCTAGAATTTCGAGCTCGTAATCGATGGAAGCATGATGAATCGATTGTTGCGGTCCAATGGCTCAGCAGATCAGTAATTGGCGTACTTACCGTGACCCAAAGGCTTTTGATCATTGAGGACGGTTCACTTCGGGTAACCGAGTCATTTGATTTGATACACAGGCATATTCTTCACCAAGACCTCTTTTCGCAACAACTGCACGACCTAGTGGAGCGTTTGGAGGACGATGACGATAATGACAATGAAAACGACGCAAGCATGCATGGGGTGATCGCGGATGCCTTCTACATGAGCTTCAAGGCATATAAAGGCCGGATCTTCCTACTAGGCTTCGATGATGTCTCCGTCGGAACACTCTCAAATTGGGCAGATCGACTATTATCATTGATGGAGAATGGAGATTTCATCGGGGCAATTGAGCTTGCGACATCCTACTATACTGGCGAGACTGATAAGTTGACCGTCGGTTTACCTGAAGATGATTCACTACGACACTCCGTCGTGAAGGACAAGATGCTCGAAATGGTGTCTGCCTCTCTCAAATATGCCTTTGGCAGAAATCAAGAGGCCGGTTCAGAGAAAATTGAGCGAGATCAGCTCGAGAGACTAGCAAGTGCGTGTTTTAGTGCATGCATCTTCATGATGGATACCGAGTTCCTGTTCGATTCTGTGTACGATTGGTATGCGGATGGCTCTGCCGAAGATATTTTTCTAGAAACCCTTGAACCATACGTACTGGAAAGGGCGATAAGTTATGTTCCGCCAACGGTTGTCAAGGGTTTGGTGTCTCACTATACGTCGAGGGGCCTCGGGACACGGTTGGAAGAGATGATCTGCCATCTGGACACGGCCACAATTGACATTGACCAGATCACTACCTTATGCAAAAGACATGGCCTCTACGATGCATTGACTTACGTTTGGAATCAAGCGCTCGATGACTATATAACTCCACTTGTCGAGCTCCTGTCTCTGCTGAAGCCTGCAACTTCGGAGAGTAAAGAGGCCAATGGCATTCAAGAACGCACCATGGACGAGGTTAATGCCATAAAACTTTTCCCCTATCTCTCTTATACTCTCACCGGTAGAATATATCCGACTGCAGATCCCATTCCCGAAGACAAATCGACTTCAGCTAAGGCGCAGATATATTATTTTCTCTTTTCTGGCAAAAGCATATCATGGCCAAGAAATTCTGGTCATGTCATTCTAGCGACATCTGAGGCCCGGTCAGGATTGTCATTTCCATATTTGCGGGCAATTCTGTCATTCGACGCTCCCAGCTTGTTGAGCGTCCTAAACGAAGCCTTTGAGGATAATTTTTTGAATGGAACCACTTCTGGCTTAGACGATGGCGATGAGCCCACTCGAAATTCTGAAGAAGATCAAGCCCTGGGTAAATCGGTAAATCGTCAATATATTGTAAGCATGCTCCTCGAGGTCATGTCTCCTCCTTCATTTCCGCCGGAGGATACCATTTATCTCGACATGTTTCTCGCTAGAAATCTGCCAAAATTTCCTCAATTTATACTTTTGCCTGGCTCAGCCCTGACCAGGGTCTTGGTTGGTCTTTGCAACTATCCTAGTCCTGAAGTACGGGAGGATTGCCAGCTCAGCGTCGAGTATCTACTTTCGATCTACCGTCCTCCCGACGTTGATTCGTTGATACCACAATTTATCCGAGCTGGGTTCCATCGCGTGCTCAAATCCTTATACAAGGCAGAAAAGAAATATTCGGAGTTGCTGGAAACATGCTTTGATGATCCCGAAGATCGCGACAACATTTACGAATGTATCGAAGATTGCCTACGACCTCGCGCCGGTCTTACTGAAAAACAGATTCGTCAGGTGCGCTCAGTTATCACAAAACGGGCTCGTGAGCTTGGAGAGCTGGACGTGATTCGCACCGCAAAAACTATTGACACTTATGCACCGGATCTGCATGGGACATTGTTGGATGGGCTTGTTGACGATACCCAATCTCAATTTTTATATTTGCGAACAATTCTTGAGCCAAGTTATGGAGGCGCGGAAGTTCCAATAGGGCCGGCACGGCTACCTCAGTCAGAATTTATCGAGCTTTATGTTCGACTCATGTGTGAATACGATGCTTTTCACGTCGCCGACTATATTGGGTTGGTCAAAGCTGGCGAGCTCCGCCTGGAACAGGTTCTGCCTGCCATGGAGGATTACGGCGTTGTAGATGCCGCCGTTGTTCTCCTGGCTCGCGAAGGTCAAGTTCAGGCGGCTATGGAACGCCTCAGTTCTCATTTCACCACGCTTGAAGCGGCTCTACTGGGCTTGTGTAACGCCTTCAATGGTAACGGAGATTCTGCCAACAAATCGGATGCCGCCTCGGAAGTTGTGGATGCTGTGCAAAAGTATGCTCTTGTCGGGATTTGGCTCTGTCAAGGTCAGATGAAAACATCTCAGCAGATAAACGGAACACAATCGACGGCCACAAATCAGAGCAAGTCCGACTCCCGTGAACTGACTACTGAGGAGACTCTTTGGCTTGAACTTGTTGATGCGGTCGTGCGTGTGACCAAAAACGTATCGGCAGCACTACCTGAAGAGACAGTGGAGTCGGACTACTCAATCGACGGCAGATCCAACCACGAGCTTAGGCCGGCTGATATTCTCAATTCTCTCCGGAGCACAGTTCAGCAAACATTTACCGCTCTTCTGCGGAGCACGGCTACCAGAGGCTCTAAAGAGAGGGGCCGGCCCGACCATTCTTTCCTTCGTATCCTTCAGGCCTTTTTGGCTCGGGCATCTCTTGCATCGCCTTCATTATCAGATCTTCGCACCGTTTTGTCGACCATCTTTTCCGCTTACGCCTACGAAGAGTCACTTTTGTCGCTTGCCAATCGCCTCCTTGACCGAGATCTATTTGTTCAAGTAGCTGAGGCGAATCAGCTTCGACAGCGGGGTTGGAAGCCCCGCGGACCTACCTGCGAAGGGTGTGGACGGCGTGTCTGGGGTCCAGGTGTTGGGGGAGGTATCTGGAAGGCATGGCAGGAAAAGAGGGCGGAAGAAGAGCGGAGGAAGCAGGCCAGCCGTGCGGAGAGGAGCGATTCCAGTATCAGCCAGTCTCGAGATCGCGGGAAAGGGCGGGCAACGGTGGATAGGGAGGGCAGCCCTTTGCGAAGTGCTGCTCAGGAACCACATCCAGCCGAGGAAGGCGAAAAGGGAAATGGGATTGGCCATGGTGAAGCTGGCATCGCGGAGGATCTTGGACCCCTTATTGTGCAGTCGTGTGGGCATGTCATGCATCGTGTGTGTTTTCAGCGATTAACCAATCGTGCGGATGAAGAGGACGATCAAGCAGGAGGTGGAGAGCATGCTAGCAGATTTGATGATGGGCACTCGGACTTTGGCTGTCCAGCATGTAGATAGCGATTTGAGCGGAACCACCATAGCAAGGCGTTTCTTTTTCTTGTGAATTTTGAACTACGGCTTATTCAAATGGATACGCTTTGCTCCTCTTTACCTCATTTTGAGAATTCTTTGTCTTTTCTCTTTCTTTTCTTTATTTACTGGCATCTCGCGTGAGAGGGGGGATGTGCCAGGCTGCGTGGGTAACGTTATACCGCGACGTTCAGCAGGCCTGCCCAAAGCAAAAGTAAAAAACCACATGGGTGATGCATAGGGCTTAGGATGGGAAGGCTTCATGGAACGGAGAGTTTTAGGGACAATTCTGTTCATCAGCCAGATGGTCCTCCCAGCCAGTGAAACGATGAGAAGCAAGAAGGCGAATGACCTTGAGAAGGTTTCATGGATCTTGCATTTATCAGAATGATCGTTTGAATCCTGTGTTAACTTTATCGGAAAGGGTGCTGTATGAGTGGCTCCGGGGATGAAGATGTAGACGCAGGCGGAAAATCCCGCAAGGTATGATTTGAGGAGATGAAGAGCAAGGTGTGCGTTTGAGGCGCATGCAGAGCAGGTGCATGTTGCAGCCTCTGCCGCCGTGCAGGTCAGGCATCCCTAGTCACGCATGCAGCCTCACCGTTTGGGCTTTTCGGCGTGACTGTATGCCGCTGCACCACTACAGGAGAGTACGTACAGTACCATTGTATGCTCTGGATAAGCAGGGAAAATGTCTTATCGGTTGCGAAGTTGTCGCTCTTGGGGCTGGGCAGCAAGGGAACACTTACGATCTTCGTAAGTACTCAGGAAATGTATTATATGAGAAAAGGTAAGATATACCGATTAACCATTACGTGCGATTGGTATACCCGCATTATTAGCAGAGATTGCCCAAGGTTTAGTTAGGGGTCTACTTGGAAAGTACTCGAGTTCAGGTAGAGTACATGCCCTCATATGCTGATTTGTACCGTGGTCATCGTAGTAAAAAGTAGCATTCGCCACGAACCCCCCCCCCTTCCCTTTCAAGTTCCTTTATCTGCAGGTCAAGCTCTAAGTTGATTTCCTCCAGGTATGAAATATGTATGTAATAAAATTCGATCATGCCTGGGCCAAGGAACCAATGACCTTATTTTTTTTTTGTTCTTCGGGTTAATTCTTCCCAGTAGGCGAAGAAAAGAATCTAGATTTGATCTTGTGTTCATATCCTTCCTTCCTCGCCCGATGGCGGGACTCAGGAGTGTTTCGAATGACTTTACTGCATGTCTCCATGCTTTAGGTCTGGGTGGGGGAAGACTTAACTGAACAAGAGGGGTCGAGTATAACTAACTGGAACTGAGGTTTAGGCAACGGCTAAGGCGAGGCGGTGAGGCGGTTTCGGCTGGCAGAATAGAACCACAGTGGGATGGAGGGAGAACAGACCCCCCTCTTTTCTGCTCCACTGAGCTCGGTCACACGCGGGCCCCGATGGATAGCTGATGGCCGAAGAGAAAAGAGAAAGAGAAAGAGAGAGAGCGAGAGATTAGATGGATGAGTATCAAGGTGACACATTGGCACGATTGAGGCGTCGGCCCCTTGAAAGCCTCTCAAGCCTCTTCTCCCTTGGAACACTCGCGCTTTTCCTTCCTTTTCATCCGAGATGACGACAATTGTTGTCAGCCACCGGAATGGGGCCAATATCCCTCTCTTGATCACACAGACGCGTCGCCGTTTCGCGTTCTGATGAATGTTTGTGCTTTGGATTCGTCGACCTTCTGCCAATGTGATTGATATGGCTGCGTAAGACGATGCGCTCAATCACGTTGGTAGGAGGCACGGGGGTGTGCATAGGAGAGAGGGATAGAATAGAGGGGCACGAGTGGGTAAGAAAATAATTCAGACTAAAGGCGAGGAGAAAGGAAACTGAAACGAACATGAAAATAATGAGAGAGCAGATGCAAATCAGATAGCGGTGCGGCTTCAAAGAAGGCTCGATTACTCTAGTCTTAGCAGGCCACGAGACGTGTCTTAGTACATTATCTCTGACTAGAGTTGAATATGCGTTTGTCAGAGCACCACTGATTGAGGGTGCGAATCGTGCGCTATTTGCTGCATCACACCCCTACGGCCCCAAAATCCCCTCGTTTGGGGACATCTGGCATCTTTTTTGATCTTGATCCAACTCTTTCACTTTTTGATCGAAAATGATATTCTGTACCATCCAGGTGCGGCAGTTTTCCGCTTCACTTCGGAGCAACCGATTATCGAGATGAGACATCACTCGCCCTACCTTAATCTGCTTCATCAAAGTCATCAAAGCCTTGGAACAGGTGTCACTTTACACTGCTAAACTGTCGGCCTAGAGCCTGTTCGATTGTGGTCTTTCGGCGGACTCACTTTTCACCATGAACACACACACACAATTACCATTGTCCACTTGCAGCACCTCAATCAGGCCCGGGGTGTAGAACCCACGCCTGAGCCCATGACTAACGCGATGTTCATTCCTCGCCTCTTATTTTTTTCTGGGCGTGGCTTTGTCACTGCTTGGTGTTGAGGCTCTCACGGCCCCCCATTTTGGGGAGGACTGGCATGAAGCTGGCACTTGCGGGCACAATGACTACCTCTTGCCCCGATTCAGATGACAACCCTATTCGGACCATAACATGAGGTTCCAAGGGAGCATGTTTCATGCCGGGTCTTGATTGGGTCTCTTTGGCCGCGTCGGCCACACGGGACCCGTGCCCTCATTTTTTTTCTGGCTCCCCCTTTCTTCATATATCTGCCCGCTCGTGGCCGTTCCGACGCGCCCTTCTGTTGTGAAAGTTCTCGTCGTTGTTGCCGTCCGTGTCCGTCCCTTGTGTGTTGTTGCTGTGTGTATGTGTGTGTGCTCTGTTCGTCGGCATCCTGTCTTTTCAGGTGTTTCCCTCTGATATTGGAACATTGCGTGGTTCACTCTCATTGTCATAATGCTTTGGCAAACTGTCCTTCTCGCCTTGGGCCTCGCCCGCTTCACTCTTGCCGAGTTTGTTCTGGCCGACAACTATCCAATTGCTTCATTTTTTGACAAGTTTGATTTCTTCAATGTAAGCTTCGAATGCACACTTGGAGCCATACATGACGCGGTTAATTGTTCTAACGTGGGTAGGAATCGGATCCAACTCATGGAACTGTCGAGTAAGCAGATTTTTGATTTTTTTTTTTAACCTTCAACATTTTCCTCCCCCCAATCCTATCAGTCTCATTGATCAGAGCTGAACGCGTCAACAGATATGTAGAGGCGCAGACGGCCGTCTCAGAGGGTCTCGTCCGCACGGCAGGCAACTCCGTGTATATGGGTGTTGACTACTCCAACGTGATTCCCTCCGGTGGTGGACGCCCGAGTGTTCGTTTAGTGAGCAAGAATGTTTACAACCACGGTCTTTTTATCCTCGACCTTGCCCATATGCCGGGTGGCATCTGCGGTACATGGCCTGCATTGTAAGTGCACTCGTTTGGCAGCCAATTATGTCATTGATTACACTTTTCTTTTATTCTGGCTTGCTGACGCGCCACAAGTTGGATGGTTGGTCCAAACTGGCCATACAATGGTGAAATCGACATTATCGAGGGCGCCAACACGCAAAACCAAAACGACATGACCCTTCATACTGGGCCAAATTGCTCCATTACGGACAATGGAGAATTCACCGGAACTATGCCAAGCTGGTTAACCGATTGCAATGCTGCATATGGCGACTACAATGGCTGCCAGATCCAAGCCACGGCGACAAACTCGTATGGAGCGGGATTCAACCAAGCCGGCGGAGGTGTATATGCGACACTGTGGGACTCTGATGCCATTAGCATTTGGTTCTGGTCTCACTCTGGAACTGTTCCTGCAGACATCGTCAGCGGGGAACCTGACCCAACGAGCTGGGGAGAGCCATTGGCAATGTTCCAGGGAGGTTGCAATATCGACAATTCCTTTAAAGATATGCAAATTGTCAGTAAAGATGCTCGTTCACTAAATGAAAAGTCTTTCCCGATTAACAAATGCCAATAGGTTTTCGACACGACCTTTTGCGGAGACTGGGCAGGCAATACCTGGAGCGGCACATGGTATGTTTTCCATTCAAACCACTATCTTACTTTTCCTTCAATTCTGTAACCACCCTCTGTCTGCCAAAGAGACATTGATTTTCGCATTAACATTTCTCCCTTCTCCTCGCAAGAGCCAAAAGCCATTATTGCCCTGCATTATCATCATTTTACAAAGCTGACAAACTGTCTTCTATAGCTCTAACCTCGCCCCTACATGCACCGATTATGTCCTTAACAACCCCTCTGCCTTTACTGATGCCTACTGGATCATCAATTCCCTCAAAGTCTACGAAGACTATGGTACCAATTCATCTTCTCCTCATCACCCCCATCATCCCCTTCCACCCGTTGGGCCTGCATCTGACGAAATTTCACACAGCGTGCACGTAACCCTCCCTCCTCTCCAATCCTTTACCTTGACCACTACCACCACCATTGACCTCGACCCTTGCCTCTACTACGATTCCTATCCTTTCGATGATGATAATGATCACTACCCATCCGACGACTACCCCGAATCCTATACCCTCCCCGCATCTGCCACCCTCTCCGCCGCTTCCAATCTCCCGCTCGCAGACGAACCCGCAGCTAGTGGCAACTTTCCATTTTCACTCTCCTCTTCATTCTCCTATTCTTCTTCTTCGTCTTCGTCTTCTTCATATCCTTCCAGCTCAGCATCCATTACTTCTTCTCCTCCATCTTCCTCTCCCACCACTCATCGCACGCGCCCGACCCGCCCCTTGTCCTGTTCGTCATTTACTCGCACTAGTGGCCCTAGCCGTGGCCCACATCATTCTTCCGCGCTTCCTACCAGTGAGCTGTCCAATCCTTCCCATCACCATCATCAACATCCGCCTCCACTTTTCCCTGGTGTTCCGCATGGTGGCTTCCCCAAGGGTCTTCCTGGAGACCATCCTCCTTTTGAGTTTGGAAATCCTGGCACCCAAGGTCCCCAGAACCCTCAAGACCCTCAGGATACTCAAGATGATCCGCGAAACCCGCTCCAGCAAGAACACGATGGTCCCAATAACAGCGGTGGTGATGGAGGACGTGCTCCCGGACGCTCCTTTTACGACATGTTGCGCCAGTACGGACAGTCCAATGGACATGGCCCTGGCCACGAACAAGAAGGCGGACAAGATGAACATGGTGGATGGAAACCACGCATCAAGTCGCGCAAGCATAGGCGGCATCATGGCGAGAAGGTGCACAAGTCATGATCTTTCCTCCCTTTATCGGTTTCTTTTTTCTCCCACTTATCGTTCCGTTTTCCACTTTAACAGTTCCATTTTTTCATTTTCTTTTTCCCACCTTTCAACTTTTTCCATGTTCCTTTTTCCGCACTCTCTTTTCCACCACTTCCCTTCCTTCTTCCTGCGCTGACCATTATTCATCCCCGGTTGATTTTTTTATTTTCTTCGGCATGAGTGGGCATTGGACAGGTTTTAGACTTTTCTTTTCAATCCCCTTCCCCGTCCGCTTTTTGCTACCTTTTTTTTTTTTTATGTTTTTGGTGTCGATGTTTTCTTTTTCTCGGATCCCTTTATCACCGTCAGATATAAATCATAAATTACATACACCGTACACCGTACACCATACACACAAGCTTTGTTATGAGCCACACAAATTGAAATAAACTCCAATTGTTTTACTCTTGTGTTCTATTGTATCCCACCCTTGCTTTCTAGAATTCAACTACAAGTCTTATATAAAATTAATTCTACCCAATGTCTTTTTACTTCAATTAGGTTTTTTTTATTCATTTGTTTATTTTTTTCTTTGTTCACCCGTGAGTCGTCACTCTTTGCTGAAAAAAGTGGAATATGAATAAGAATACGAATATGAAACCATAAATCTTGTATTCCCATAGGCTAAAAAAAAATCTAAAAAATCCAGGAAGTCCATCGCACGTATGATGTATCCATTTCGCGTATGAAGAAAAATTCTTACTCCGTATCACAATAGCGTTGTAGGATTGTAGAAATGTAGAATTGTAAGAATTGTAAGATTGTAGGGAATTGCAGGGACGCCCGGAATTCCGAATGATATGCTAAAATGCACCATGCTAAATAATGAACACGGGAAAAATACTTGACGAGCAGAAAATGCTCCGAGAGAAGTGAAATGAGCTCAGCTTCGAGTCCGACTGAAACGCTAATGGCGCATATCCTGATACAACATGATGGAAATAGGGAAGTAGGAAGGAGGAAGGATGAAGAGGGATCTGGTGTGATGAGGAGATACGAGTCTACTGGAAATAATGACCCGAGATAAGATTTAAAAAGGGGAGAGAAAAAAAAAAAAAAAAAAAAAAAAAAAAAAAAAACAACAAAAAGATTCAGCATAATGTAACTTACTATCGTGGAATAGTAGACCAAATAAAATGAAAATGATAAACTAATTTAAAGTGGGGGGAAAAAAGAAAAAAGAAGAGGAAAAAAAGGGTAAAGTGGAAAATAAAGAAATGCTATATTCCCCCTAAGCTAAAATGAAAGAGAAAAGACCAAGTATAAGGAAAGGAAAAGAGAAAAGAAAAGAAGAATAAAGAAAAGGACAAGAAGACTCGCTGACCCTCCCGAATGCAAGATAAAAGGAGAAAAAGGACAAGGATAAGGAAAAGGGAAAAGAAAAGAAGAAGAAAGAAAAGGAAAAGAAACTATAATCCGCCGCGGGGCATCTGTTTCCGACGCGCCATTCTGCGCAGCTTCATATGCACGCTCGTATAGTTATTCTGCATGACGTTATACACGCCAAACACGTCCAGCACGACGGTCGCATGCTCGCCGTGGACTTCGACGAGGCCGGTGACGTGCACGGAGCCCGGGGTCGGCCATGTCTGCACGGGCCGCCATGTGCGTGCCAGTGTACGCTTGAATGCGGCAATGGACATGCTTGCTATGTGCCAGGAGTCTGGCCACTCTTCGCCGTCTGGGGGAGCAGGGGCGGCGTTATTGTTTGGAGATGAGTTGGAGTGGGAGGAGGAAGAGGAAGAAGGGGAAGGGTATGAGGAAGAAGAAGAAGAAGGAGGGAACCAGGGCGGACGGTCGTCGTCTTGGTCGTCTTGTTGAGATGATGATGTTGAGGGAGGTTTGGGAAAGGGGTTGAGAGGGGAAGAAGAAGGTGAAGAGGGATTTAGAGGAGGTAGTGATGGAGAGAGAAGGGGGTTTGTACTTGCGTCTGTTGAAGGAGGAGATGAGGATGAGGATGAGGGTGAAGATGAAGGAGAAGGAGATGGAGATGGAGAAGAAGTTGAAGATCCATGCTCGCTGAAAGGACTGGTATCGTTCGGGTGATGCTGCCGTATTCGTTGTTGGAGTTTGACAAGTTCTTGCTCGAACTCGTCCTGCGTGGGCTGATATGGACGGAAGAGATCCATGAAACGGTCATAGTGCATGGTGATGAGAGTGAAGCTGCTTGCGTAAAAAGACGCAAAGAGGGAAAAGGGAACGAGTGCTTGTTTTAGACGCATGTAGTTGTGCGGAGCCACGGGGCGGGTCGTCCATGATATGTTGTTGGGACTTATTTCTAGTCTGTGATTGTGTTAGATTGAAGACAAATAAACTGAGTAGGACAGTGAAGAGATTGGAAAAATAAGGAAAAGTAGAGAGAAAAAGGAGGAAATAATAGGCTGAATGGGTGGGAGACCAGATACATACCCACTGCGCTCAAATTCTGGCGGCGGACCATCCGGAAAGTCTACGTCTATCCAGAATCTGCCAAGTCTCGGAGGAGATTCTGTACCCATGAATGGTGCCAGGGTTTGATTCTGGCCAGCTGCTTTGAAAGCAAGGAGTGCTAGGTCGCCTGATCACGTAGACTTGGTCAGGAACATAGTTCCATAAAAAAAGGAATTCGGAGCGGAAGACTCACGTCGAAGCTTGTTCACTTTGGTAGGATCCCGGGACAACTTGGCAAATGCTTTCCACTCGGGATCGCTCGCCTTATAGAACCTTGGAGGCTTCTCCCGCGTCCATCCCAGGGGTATGAATATGGATCCATTCGCCCCAGCGCCATCATGACCTCCATCTTTTGACTTGTCCTTTTCTGCTGCTCCTATCGTGTGGGCCGATTTCTGCAGGGCTTCTTTATTCCGGGCCGAGTCGTTGTCGGACGGATTGGCGTCTAGAAAGTTGAGGACATCCGGAAGAAATACAAAAGTGCCGTAAATGACTCCAAAGTAGAAGAATATTGAGCGCCTCCGCCTATCATTTATGTGAGTATATCGCGGGCCAAGAGAGTCCCTCAAGTTTGTCAGTCAGACGTACCCTCTGCTAAGGACCGGCTCTATTATTCGCACACGCTTCACCTCATACTGGCCATTGTTGAGAAATTGATCGACGTGCGTGCGAATCGGTAGCCGACCGCGAGATAAGAAGCCACGAAAAGTTCCGAACATGAGCTGGTTGTGGGCAGCGCCTGTCTATCTGGTTTCAATGACTGCGCTATAAGGCTTTCGGTGAAAGAATGCCCGCCTCCGCAGAGGTTCTCGGGGTTAGATATTGGTGATAGCTGTGATCGAAATGCGTTGTCGTTGACTTGAAATGTCGATTATCTCTTCTCTAGTCTTAGATTGTCCTTTTTGCGTTCGGTGAAAGAGGTTCGCTCCGGGGATTTGTCAAGGATATTTCTTTGAGAAATGCGGCAGGACTGTAATCTTTGGGTGAAGTCGGTGATGAATGGCGGGCTATCGTTAATTAGTTAAAGCGGCACTAGAAGTCCGATGGCTCCGATGAGAGGGAAGACACTCCAACTCCAACCTTAAACTCAACTCGCCTGAATACCTAGCTTATCGATCCTCTCTACCTCGTCCCGAACACCTTCAAGCCACTTCAACACTGGGATTACCTCCACAATCCTAGTGATATCCATCATCCCAACAAGATGAAGCTGCGCTCCAGCTGGCTTCTCGCCAGCTCGCTGTGTGTCGCAGGTGCCGCGGCCACGTCTGCCCCAGTTTACACTTTCAATGTCGATTCGACCGAAGCTCCTGCTCACAAGAAACTGAGTCCTGAGACGGCAAGACTAGTACTGGCGCAAAGATTGGGACTCTCCGAATACCACAGTCTATCAGGGCTCACCGACGAGTCTGTACGCGATGTAAACGACTTTGGCGGCAAGCAGGCGTCGCTGTTCGATGACGTCGCCAAGGGTTCTCGGAAATCTCGATTACTGGTCATGGTGGAGGGCGTCAAGGACGTCAAAGGTAAGCTTGGACGGTGGCGTCAATTTTATTGTCTCCATGCTATAGGTGGAAATGACTTGTGTCTGACTAGAGCTTGCAGACCTCGTCCCCAGCGATACAGCTCCCGCATTCAGCATCAAACACGCGCAATGCTCAGATGTCAACGAGAGACTCATGTCAGATCTCTCCGCCCAGAACGTGGACAGTGGAAATGGAGAATACTGCAATCTGGAGAAGAAGGACTCTTTCTGGGGCCTTGAAGCTGTACGCCATCGCCCACTTGACTCTCAAAGCCATCTACTTTACCGCTAACCTCGTATATAGTCTTTTGCCAGATGTTCCGCTATTCCAGAGCGTCACCAAGATTTGGTGCTCGATGACACCACTACCGGAATCGAGGGCTTTCAGACATTAGTATCCGCTGATGTCTTTGGCATTGGCAACGGCGCCAAAACAAACACCATCATCCACCTCCGAAGTCTCGAGGTATGCATCACGAACAGCTCCCCGCCCACATTTCTTCAATTGCCCGCGTTTGCGCCAAATCTAACAAGCATCTGTAGACAATTGCCAAGAAGCACGGTGTCACTAGTCGCGCCTACAAGGACGCCGTTAAGCTCCTTTCGAAGGCCATCGCTTCCCTCCAGACGCAAGCCGAAGGCGGTCTGCTCGAGAGCACCATTGTCCTCAACCCTGAGACATCCGCCTGCAAAAAGACCTCGTCCAAGCCCTACGGCAGCTACGATGTTCCTACTCCCCAGAAGAAATCTGTAGCACATCACCAACGTCGGCAAAACCCCGAGGTCATTCTCTCCGAGGCCGCCGCCGCTCTCGCTGCCGCCGAAGCTCCCGCTTCCACCGCCCCTGCTACCTCTAAGAAAACTCGCCCAAGCCAGGCTCAGACTTTGAGATCGTCCGGTGCTGCCCCCAAAGGCATCCTGCCCGTCTGCCACAACTCCCTCGACTCCTGCATCTCCGCGACAAACAATTGCTCCGGCCACGGCAGCTGTTTTGCCAAGGGCGGCTCAAGCGACAAAACCGGCCCCGCATGCTACACCTGCGGCTGCGTTCCCACTGTGCGCAAAAACTCCGACGGCACCGTCAAGACGACTCACTGGGGCGGACCCGCTTGCCAGAAGAAGGACGTCAGCATGCCGTTTTTCCTCCTCGCCGGCTTCACTGTTACCATTATCGGCGTCATCTCATGGGGCATTGGCCTATTGTTTAGCATTGGCAACGAGGAATTACCGAGCGTTATTGGTGCAGGCGTCGTTGGTCCTCGTGCCAAGTAGACATGGGATTACCCTGTCCCTGTAATATTTCTCGCCCTCACTACCGTCCTAATACAATGAAATGACCATGGCGGGACGTGTTGTTCTTAGATGGCTGTATGGTTGTACGTTGCATGTTGTCGTATGCACTGGGCCCCTTTGTCAGCCCAAAATTCACGAAAGCTATAATCCGAAGGCGACAGAATTTCTTTTCTTAATCTCCAAGATGAACTCTTTTTTCCCTTTTCTTTCCGAGTCAAGGTTCATTTCCAGCCTCAAGATTCCGCCGAATTTGGCGTTTATCAGCTACTTTCTATTTCCTCTCTTGTCCCTTTTTTCTCCTTTTGTCTTTTCCCCAACTTATTTAAGACGTATATACCTTTTTTACGTACTGTACGTAGTCTTTATTACCGCAAAATTTATCATTTATCATTTCTCAATTCTCTTTTGTCGCATTTCAATAAAATCTTAGCTATGACCATTCGAGACCCGAGAGTTACGCTATAACATGAATGTATCCAAATGTACACTTGGAACAACAGAGAAATAGAGACCCAAAAAAAAGTCCTCAAGAAGAATAGGAAAAGGAAATGGGGAAAAGGGACAGGAGGGAAAAAAAACATCATCGCATAGAAGACCTTCGTTTCCCACCTCCATCTCTATTATTAGCCCCACCGCCAGCGCCAGCGCTACGCTGCTCATCAATCCCCAGCCCTGTCCCTAATCCGCTCGTCGTTCGCAAAGGCTGAGGCTGACTTGCTCTGCGTCTCCACGAGTCTGTCGCGTTTGTTGCGAGAGGGACGATTCGTCTCCGCCCGAGCTGTCCACCGATCAGAAACTCGTCGCGGTCTAGTTCGCGCAAACTGAGAGACATGACGCTGGGCCGGTGGCGGCGATCATCATGTTCGCTGGTGGAATCGGCGAAGGATACTGCTGGACCTGACCCTGTGGCCGTGGCTGTCCCTGTGGCTGTAGCTATAGCCGTGCCAGAAACGCTGCCAGGGTGAAGACCAGGACCAGGACCATGACCAGGAATGCTTCCTCTTCGTGTATCATCGTGGTCCTGTGAAAGATGGTCCTGTCCGACGACCTTCTCGACATGCTCAATGGCATCATTGTCATCCATTTCTCTGGATGAAGCTGAACCGGAACCTGAGCCACCGCCGGATGCGTCCTGGCGTACGGCCACGGGGCGCGTGACAGGTTCGCTGAACCAGCCAGACTTGGTTTCAGGCGAAAAGGGCGTCTCGGGTACACTGCCATCGCCATCGCCATCACGGCCGCGGCCGCGGCCAACGTTGAAAGCGCCGTCGTCGTCGTCGCGTGCAATAGTCATGGTGGGTGTGCGGATTGTGGTGTTTGCGTGCCGTGGACAATGTGCATTGACGCGAGTAAGATTTAATTCGGCGGCCGGGATGCTGTAATTGCGGCCTTTGCGGCGGATGGATACCCAGTCGAGGATCCAATCTGCCAGGACGACTGTGAAGTGGTGGTTGTCAGCTAAAATTTTACAAAGCATTGGATTGCACGAAATGCCATGATATTAAAACGGTGGAGGACATATAAAGTGAAGACGAGAGAGGGAATTAAAAAAGGGGATTGGGTTTGAAGGGGAAAGAATATAATAAAGAGGGAGAATGAGAAGCAAAGAGGAAATGGGAACAACTTACTGGCGAATAAAACCAGCATAAAAGTCGGCAGAATCATTAAACTTCCTACAAAATTCTCCATGGCCTGGTCATTGAAGCCCAACGCGGCAAGACCCAACATGAGAAATCCCATAACACCTCGTACCACTATCGCAATGTAGTCCAGAATATCCCGATTCGGGCGTCGGACGATAAACAAAAAAGCCATAAACGCAAAAAGGACAATGGCGGCTGCGATGAAAAAGTATGCATAACTCAAGAAGAAGACATGAAACACGGCGTCTACATCATCGATGTGTGTTCCTCCTTTGCCTGGAGGCTCGATGCCGTCTCGCTTGAAAAGCGCAACGACGGTGACGTCGGCAAACTTTTGCAACAGTGGCGTCAAATGCTGTGCTGCTTGCGGTGTGTCGGCGGAGCATCCGGAAGTCGTGTTTTGGATTTCGATGAGGATATCGTTGATGGCTTCCAGACCCTCTGGGTGAGGGTTGTCCTTGGTAGCAAAGTGGAAACTGGTTATGGTTTTATTGAGCGCATTGGCGAGCTGAACTCCGTTTTCGCCCCGCTCGAAACATGAGGATACTAGTACGTTGCTGAGCTTCTCGATTTGGTAGCTGATGTTAATGACAATGGAGAAATTTTGGATCCCTTCAAAGACGAGGGCAAGTGCTATGTGGAAAGGGAAATGTAAAAGTGCCCAGACTTGTTCCCCCAGAATACCTGATGTGACGATTGCGTGGCGGTCAAAGTAGAGTTGCCAGAGCAAATACTTGAGTAAGGCAAATGTTAGTGGAACATTACATCATGTTGGAGAGATGGGGACGCAGAGTTGTGCCCAAAGGAACGTGAAGTGTTTTTCAACGTACAATAGTCCCTGCAAACACAAGCACTTCCCAGAATACGTTCCAGTTCCACGCATTCTGTCCTGCCATCTTGGTCATGGTCTTTGTGACAGTAATAACGCCCTCGCCGAGCAGAATCAGTGTAAGTAGTGCCATCCGTTTCACCAGATGCGTTCCCTCGAAACTGAGTAAAGGGTATTTGATGGACACGAGGAAAACAGCTAGCGCTTCCGGTACAATGGCAATGTACCATAGATTGTAAATCTTCTGAGCCGAGTCATGTTCGAGAAATGGAGCAAGGAGCTATTATGGTATTGTCAGTATCACTCAAAGGGGGTCCAAAATGCTCTTTGGCAAGGCTGGAAGGGGCATACAGCAAGATAAAGGACTGCAGTCAATGCAAAGACGCAGACAGTGAAGATTAGTGGTTTGATAGAGGCCAGGTGTCTCCTTTTGACAAAATACATGAGTACAGAATATTGAAGGATGAACAATACTCTGCTGACAGCCAGCAATACTGTGATAACTGCAAAGGCTTTGTAGTTTTCATTTGTTATCGAAGTACTGAAATTCGAGCCCACAGCTGCAAAGCCAAGCATGATTGCCATTTGGACGAGTTTGTAAGCACGCTCAAGGTAGCAATCGAACGCGAAACGGACATCGTACAGAGCTATCTGGAGCCATGTTGCCCAGATAATAGCGATAAAGCCCATAAAGGAGAAGAGACCTTTGTGTCATATTAGTGAAGGTAGCGAAATCGTTTGCAAGCACTATCAAACGTAGAAAGGGTCTGGAGCAAGTGGATATTGGAAAACTCGCAAAATAGACTGGAATGTTCGCTATTGAGTTGTGTGTTGTTAAATGACAGAGTCTGGATGGATTCGCATACTTTCACGATCATTGATTTCATGGACACTTGAAAATGTTGTCAGGTTGGCGACGAAGAAGAGGTCAAAGAACAGCTCAATGTTTGTCGCATCTTCATGGCGCCGGAAAGCATAGTCATCGCCGCTGGTAAATTGCAACGGATCTACATAGAAGGGCACCCATTCCTTCCGCCGGCGATGTATTATCGCTCTGCGGAGTATTAGCATTATTGTCATAAAATCGATCCTCGAGCGGGCAACTTCACGGATACGGTATTTGGCTCACCTTTCAGACCCTGCGCGCTCCTCGGAAGAATCCCGTTCGAGGAATCGAAACCCCATGATGGGCTTTGCAATGCGCACCAGATATTGGGAACAATCAAGGCATTCGATGGTAACCACATCACCAGGTAGAACATCTTGGGGAGTTTTCTATTGAAATATGGCTTGTGATTGTGTCTTGGCCCAGACGGGGTCTGGACGCTCGACATTGCTAGCAAAAGGTTCTAGCTAGATTTTCATAGCTATCGAATGTGGTCGTTTCAGTCGAAAGTTACACCTTAGGTTCTCGAGCCAAGGATGAATTTGGTTTCGACCAGATGAACTTGTTGCTTAGAGTGGTCATAACATGCGCACTATTGCCACGAGAGGGAAGCTGGAAACCCCAGGTGCAATCCTCATCTGAACTGGCTAGGAAAGGATGGGATGAGCTATTCCCCGCGAGCTTCTTCGCTCCAAGAGCCAGATATAGTAGGCGGAGAGTCAGCCAGCCTTACTGAGAATAGACCCATTGGTAGCGGGGTCCGTGGTTAATATGGTTTGCCTTACGGCAAGTAAAATTCCCCGGTACCATTAGGCGGGAGAAACCCGCAAAGAGTCGATTGCATTCCCAGACGAGAAGATAATAGACTACCGAGGAGGAGGCGGCATTGGTGTAGAAGAGCGCCTATCCGCATCCGGCCAGCCCTGAGGTTATTAGAACCCCTTGAATGACTAAGCACTATCCACGAATTGAAGCAAATTGTGCTCGTCGTCGAAACTTCGCTCATGAATCATCAACAGGTTTTACAGGTGTTGTTCCCATACTCTCCAGACCTCGATGAATGATGACTTGCTCTGGCGGCATACCGTTTTGCCCGTCAGCGAGCAATCCGACTTCTGGACCCTTGCCAAGACCAGCCTCGATCCGTAATTTTTCGTATTTCTCTCCTGCCTCTTTGAGTAATTGTTGAATTTCCACTTCACGCGCGGCTATCTCGGCTTTTTGATGTTGCAGATCTTCCATCCGCTTAATCTTTTGCGTGTTTGAGGCCTCCATAGCTTGCAGCGTCGACTGTAGTCTTCCGAGCGCACCCTCCAAAGACGGTAGCGGGGTAATCTTAGGCGGTGTCTTCGGCCGCCGTGTTCGCCTTTCCAAATCTTTGTGGTCTGCATATGTGCCAGCACGAGTTTGCGCCGCATCGTATGCAGCTCTGCGATCGGCTTCTGAGTCATCAGAATCAGCATCGGAGCTGCCCTCTGCCTCATTGATGAGCTCTTGCATCTCTGTTCGCCTTCTTTCCTTCTGTTCACGTTCGGCTTTTTTCCCAAGAGAAATTCTGCCATCCTCCACAAACTCGTCAAACCCTTCTCCCAAGTCTTCATCCTCTCTCTGCAGCCTTGTATCCTTCTTGGATTTTCTGGGCAATAGCAGTATATCACCTGATTCTTGTTCCCCGTCTAATGAGACAAAATCTTTTTGGTGTGCCAGTCGTGCTCTGCGTTCCTTTTTCTCTCGGATTTCGGCTTCGGTTGGAATTATCGAATTGGTCGACTCCATAGCACTAGATCCAAATTTCGCAGCAATGTCAATCGCATTTTCCACCTCTTCTTGCTCCTTAGACAATGGCGTCAAATCTTTCGGCGTCGTTGGGGTAGAGCTTTTTAACTCATTCAAGTGTTCAGCACTGTAGCTCGGGCGCTCTTCCGACATTCCTGATCTAACTGGCAATCGTTCGGAAGGGACCGATCTTCCCAGTGCTTTCCGAGCGGCGTTCTTTTCGATTGCCTGTCGGCTCAATGTCGATTTCTTTGGCGTAAATATTTCCTCGTCCTCCTCCTGTGCATGACTTGATTCTCCAGGTCCGAACGATAGACGCATAGCTGACTTTTTCTTCTTGGGCCCTGTCGCATTGGACTTCTTTGTCCGACTGGATACATCTGTAGTAGTAATTAGCTTGTATTCAACCATGATATATAAGTCACGGATAAATGAAGCTCAATAAAGAACATATCTGACCTTGTTCAGAGCCGGACTCGGTGCTGGTTGGTGCTGGGCCGGTGTCCTCCTCATCATTTTGCCCGATCTTTTTGGGCTTGCGCCTGGCGGCAAATGAAGACTTCATGATCGCTATAGGGCTATCAATCCAAAACAACCAGCTTGTATGACTCAACTATGGGTCCGAAAATGCAGGTTTGATCATCGAGTCTCGAGAAATAGTAATTCTTTTGAAAAAGTTGCTAGGTCTGGGGTAAGCTCTCAGGAAATATTATGATACTGCTTTTACGATATTTGTAATCCGGGTAACCACTTGTGTCATGTCCGCTGCAACGCTCCAGTATACCGAGCGATTCAAACATCTCTGTCGCAGGAGCTAATCGACGTCAAAAGATACTCAACAGCTTCGCCATGCCTCCCGCACAGCCTGAACTCAAGAAGGTATGTGCGATTCTTATGGCATATTGCCGCAAATCCTCATCTGAGACACTTTTCAACTGTGCTCTGACAAACCCTCACAGTACTTGGATAAGCGGCTCTTCGTCCAACTAAACGGCAGCCGAAAGGTTCTCGGCGTCCTTAGAGGCTACGATGTATGTGCTTTCGAATCGCATTACGTGTACATAGATGTGCGACCGTAGATTTGTCGACTGATGGTTGGATTGTATGCAGGTCTTTCTAAACATCGTTCTCGATGACGCCGTAGAAGAGAAGGCTGGTGGAGAGAAAGTTAGATTGGGCATGGTGGTATGTTTCCTATCTTTTGGTTGGTTTTGATATAAGATGGCTAACGTTTCAATGATTTAGGTTATTCGAGGAAACTCTGTTGTCATGTTAGAGGTATGGATTCTCGTCCTGTCCAATTTCGTGAGTGGAAATGGCCCTCCTAACACATTTTCAGGCTCTCGAGCGTATCGACCGATAGACTTGTTGCAAATCATTTCCCGGCAGAGGAACAAACGATGGTTCGAGAAGCTCTGTCAAATTGATAATTTCTCAGTACGGGGAAGTTTTGGGTGCCCAAAAGTTTTGAGCAGTCATCATGGCGCATATGGTTCCATAAACAGATGATTAGGATTCTACACAATAATGAAATTTCTTTTCTCCGATTAAGAGCGCGAAGTGATGCAATCTTTTACTATATTACAATGGCCCTATTGGCGCAGGAGAGAATTATTGTATAAAAGTAAAATGTCCAGGTTTGTTGGTGCCGCAGGCGACAAATGCAGGACGCGGGGCTGCCCTGTTCTATGTAACAAAGTGCGCAACAAAGGCGATGATTAAACTGCTTTTAAAACTGTATGCTTACAGCAGAGACTCGACAATCATAGCAGAAGCACCGCCGCCACCGTTGCAGATACCGACGCAGCCAATCTTGCCGCCCTTCTCCTTGAGAACACCGAGCAGGGTAGCGACAATGCGAGCACCGCTGGCACCGAGCGGGTGACCAAGAGCGACCGCACCACCGTGTAGGTTGACCTTCTCCGCATCGAGGTTGAGGAGTTTCAAGTTTGCCAGAGCGACAACGCTGAAGGCCTCGTTGATCTCAAAGACGTCGACGGCGCTCTGCTCGACCTTGGCGTGCTTCAGAGCCTTGGGGATAGCAAGAGAGGGAGCGGTGGTGAAATCGGAGGGCGCGTGGGCAGCGTCACCCCAGCCCAGGATCTTGGCAATGGGCTTGAGGTTGAGCTCCTTCAGCTTGGCCTCAGAAACAAGGATGACGGCGCTGGCGCCGTCGGACATAGGAGAAGCATTGGGAGCGGTAACGGTTCCCTTGCCGGGGATGAAAGCGGGGCGGATAGCACGGAGCTTCTCAATGTTGAGCTAATCAAAAAGTTTGTCAGCGTCTTGTCCTACGCAGGCTGGTGCGTTTGAAATACGAACGTTCTTGCACTCGTCGTCCTTGTCAATGACGACGTTGGGCTTGCCACGGCCACCGCTGACCTCAATGGGAACAATCTCATTCTTGAACCAGCCATTCGCCTGGGCGGCCTGCGCCTTCTGATAAGAGCGGATGGCGTAGTCGTCCTGGCTCTCACGAGAGATTCCATGATCCTCAGCGCATTTCTCGGCATAGATACCCATGGAGCTCTTCTCGCCGTAAGCATCAGAGAGACCATCCCGCGACACACCGTCCACAAGTGTCTGGTTTCCAAACTTGGCACCAGTGCGCATGGTGGCGAGGTAGTGGGGGGCGTTGGACATGGACTCAGTGCCACCAGCCACGATAATATCGGCGTTACCGGTCATGATGGTCTGAGCACCGAGGGTGATGGCCTTGAGACCAGAAGCGCAGACCTTGTTAAGAGTTGTGGCAACGGTACTCTCGCCCAAGCCAGCACCAATGGCGCACTGGCGGGCAGGGTTCTGACCAAGGCTACAAGGAAGTCATTAGTTTCCCGGAATTTTAAGTGAAGGCGGGGTGTGGCGTACTTTGCAGACACGACGTTACCAAAGAAGACTTCCTCGACATCCTCAGGCTTGATCTCCGGGACCCGCGCAAGAGCACCTAGTAGAGGTTGGTGTTAGATTCGGGGCCTGACAATTAGGGATGCGGCGGCTGAGTCGGAATACCTTTGATGGCGTGCGTGCCCAACTCGACAGCGTTCACACTCGAGAGAGAACTAATACCCGCAAATTGGTTAACAAAACTGATTCAAACACCCGTCAGGTTAAAGTTGTCCTTACCCCAAGAAGGAGCCAAGAGGCGTCCGCACGGCGGAGACAATATAGACGGGGGGCAAGGAAGACATGATGAAGAAGATGTGATATTATTAAATCTCAAGGAAAGGCTGTAGAGATTAAATTATTAGAAGAAGAGGGGAGAAGAAGAATTAAAAGGATGGATGATGTGGAGTAGTAGAAGGGGAGAGAGATCGTGTCGGAGGTTATCTCTCGGAAGGAAATTTATCTTGTTGAGTGGTGGCAGCAGCAGGAGTAACAAATATTCCAGGGACAAGTTGAGGGGCGGGAACTAAAAGTGATCGGGGGGGGGGCTGTGGAATTATAGTAGACAGTTCAGGTACACGTACGCACGTCAAAATCAGGCCAGAAATACTGGAATAATTTGACAAAGGGACTCTACCAACAACGTTAATTGGTAGCTGAGAAAGATAATATTCAATGATTACTCGTTATCTCCCGCTTTTCCTCTCTCTGTGCGTCTGTGTCGTAATTAACTAATCTTCTCCGATTCTGCTCATTGTGGTAAAAGGTACTTGTACCTTTTTGCTGTGATTGCTGCAAAATGGTACCTTGCTTTACCGTGTCTGATGAAAGAGCTTGGACCACACCTTAACTCGCATTTTGAGCCTCAACACCAGTGTCCCGTAGTTAATTCCTTCCATCAAATTATACCGGATTCCATTCCGCTGGATTGCTCTGAACCCCGCCCTACACTTTGAGGAGGCGGTTTCTTGGGAGGACTTGTTTTCCTTCTTCTCAAGTGCAAACGCCCACCGGACATCATGGATGACCTATACGATGAGTATGCAGATTACCAGGTGGACCGTATCCATCAGCGAACCGAAACTAATACAATTGTGACTGCAGGTTCGGAAACTACATTGGGGAGGTGGAAGAGTCAGAAGGGGAATCGCAGCATGAGGCTGCCGGCACGGATGCGTACGTGTACGATGAAGAACCTGAGGAGGAAGCGCCCGCCAACGACCAACAGTTGATGGAGCTGGACGGTGAGGAAACCCTTAGCATTGGGAGATGGAGCCGCACCAAAAGCTGATGTTGTATATAGAGGAGGGTCCTTCAAATGCGGTGATTCTACACGAAGACAAGCAGTACTATCCGACGGCAGAGCAAGTGTACGGGCCTGATGTAGAGACCATGGTGCAGGAGGAGGATACGCAGCCGCTGACCCAGCCTATCGTTGCGCCGATCAAAGAGAAGAAATTTGCTGTCCAAGAAGCTGACCTTCCGCCAACCTATTTCTCGCGCGAGTTCATGACGGATTTGATGAACAACCCGGAACAGATTCGCAATGTCGCGTTTGCAGGTCATCTTCACCACGGCAAGACTGCGCTTATGGACATGCTGGTGTTGGAAACACATAATCTCAGCAAGCAGTTGGACAAGTTGACAGGAAAGAGACGGGATCAACAACTTCGGTATACTGATATTCACGTTATTGAACGAGAACGAGGTCTATCTACCAAATCGGCTCCGATGAGTCTCGTTTTGCAGAGCTCAAAGGGCAAATCCCATCTCGTCAACATCCTCGATACCCCCGGCCACGTCAACTTTGTCGATGAAGTGGCATCGTCCCTGCGATTGGCAGACGGTCTTGTTCTTGTCGTTGATATCGTCGAGGGCGTCCAGGTCAACACCGAGCAGATCATCAAACACGCGGTCCGGGAAGACATTCCTCTGACTTTGCTCATTAGCAAGATGGACCGTCTTATTCTGGAACTCAAACTCCCTCCCATGGATGCTTACTTCAAGCTTAAGCACGTCATCGAAGAAGTCAATACCGTCATCGAGAACACAATTCCTGGCCAGGGCGAGAAACGACGAGTAAGCCCTGAGAAGGGCAATGTCGCGTTTGCTTGTAGTACCATGGGCTGGTGCTTTACCCTCCAGTCATTCGCAAAGATGTACTCCGACTCATACCCTGGTGTCAATGCCGACGATTTTGCTGCCCGTCTCTGGGGCGATATCTTCTTCAACCCCAAGAAACGGAACTTTAGTCGCAAAGGTGTCGAGGAAGCGGCTAAACGATCGTTTGTGCACTTTGTGCTCGAGCCAATCTACAAGCTCTATTCCCATACGATCAGTGAAAGTCCAGAGGATCTCAAGGAAACTCTGGCCACCCTCGGTATCACCCTGAAGCCATCTCAATACAAGGCCGATGCCAAGGTGCTGCTCAAGCTGGTCTGTGAGCAATTTTTCGGACCGCCTACTGGACTTGTTGATATGGTGACCAAACACATTCCTTCGCCGGTTGAAGGGGCTAGAAGAAAGCTGGAGCGCTACTACACTGGCCCTCTCGATACGAAAATTGTCTCGTCAATGGAAAGGTGCGACCCGGACGGCCCGCTGGTCGTCCACGTCACGAAGCTTTTCAACACTGCCGACGCGGCGGCTTTCCACTCGTTCGGTCGCGTTATGAGCGGTACCGCTCGACCTGGACAGCAGGTGCGCGTTCTCGGTGAAGGTTATACAATTGATGACGAGGAGGACATGGTCAACGCAACTATCACGGATACCTTCATCGCAGAGACACGTTACAATGTCCCAACGAGCGGTGTGCCAGCCGGTAATTGGGTGCTTCTTGGAGGTGTTGACAATTCAATCGTTAAGACGGCAACGATTGTCGCACCTAAGCTGGAGGATGATGAAGATGCGTATATTTTCCGACCAATCAAACACTTTACCGAATCTGTCTTCAAAGTTGCCGTCGAGCCCATCAACCCATCAGAACTGCCGAAAATGTTGGACGGTCTGCGAAAGATTAACAAGACGTACCCATTGATCACGACCAAAGTTGAGGAGTCAGGAGAGCACGTCATTCTCGGTACCGGCGAGCTTTACATGGACTGCGTGCTTCACGACCTCAGACGGCAATACGCTGAAATGGAGCTCAAGGTTTCTGACCCAGTCACTCGTTTCTGCGAGACTGTCGTGGAGACCTCGGCGATCAAATGCTATGCTCTTACACCGAACAAGAAGAACAAGATTACCATGATCGCCGAGCCACTTGACACCGGCATTGCCGAGGACATTGAAGCCGGCAGAGTCAGCATCAAGGATCCAATCCGAAAAGTTGGCAAATTCTTTGAAGAGAACTACGGCTGGGACCTCTTAGCATCGAGAAGTATCTGGGCGTTTGGACCGGATGAGATGGGTCCCAACATTCTTCAAGACGACACACTTCCTTCTGAAGTAAGTACAAGGCTGAAGCATTTCATCTACCCTTTAACACTCCGCTCTGTGTTCCGCAATTCGAGACTAACCCATGCTCTGCAGGTTGACAAAAAGCTTCTCGGCACGGTCAGGGACACAATCCGGCAAGGATTCAACTGGGGTACTCGTGAAGGACCCCTGTGCGAAGAGCGTAAGTCACAACCTGCACCGGAAACGCAATCATAGAAGCTAACACATTCCCCCCCCTTTTCAGCTATTCGCAATGCTCGATTTAAGCTCACCGACGTGACTCTCGCGCCAGAGGCCATCTTCCGCGGTGGCGGCCAGATCATCCCCACTGCCCGCCGCGCATGTTATTCGTCTTTCCTCATGGCTTCGCCGCGTCTCATGGAACCCGTCTATTCTTGCTCCATGACAGGCCCTGCCGACAGTGTTTCCAGTCTCTATACCCTCCTTGCTCGCCGAAGAGGCCACGTCCTTGCCGATGGTCCCGTGGCCGGTACTCCGCTCTACCAACTCAAGGGACTGATTCCAGTCATTGACAGCTTTGGTTTCGAGACCGATGTTCGGGTACGTTTTGTCCCCCCTCGCCCTTCTTCTTTAATTGGTTCCTTGTTCCCTTTCTTTAATTAGTCCGTTGGCCACGAAATTCCTCCTCTTCTCTCGTTTTTTTTTTTTTCTCTTTTATTTCTTCTATTATTGCATGTCTTCTTCTTATTTTGCAGCTTAACACTTCCTACCGCCGCATCATACCAATTTCTAACTAATTGAAAAACAGATCCACACGCAAGGCCAAGCAGCCGTATCCCTCGTCTTCGACCGCTGGTCCATTGTCCCCGGCGATCCTCTCGATCGCGACATCAAGCTTCGACCCCTCGAGCCCGCCTCCGCACAGGCCACGGCCAGAGACTTTGTCCTCAAGACTCGTCGCCGCAAGGGTCTCAGCGAGGACGTCACCGTCAGCAAGTTCCTCGAGCCCGAGCTCTTCCGAGGTCTCAAGGAAGGCGGCTTGCTGGATGGATAATCTGTCCTTGTTATATCCATCTGTCATTCTTGCTTTTCAATTTTTGTCATTCTAACTTTCCCTTTTCTCTTTCGACATGCTTCCCTTTCTTTCTCCGCGTCGTATCTTCCAAACCCAATTTCTCCAATTTTTTCTTCTTCCCATGTCTCCCTTTTTTTGTCCCTCACACAATTCCTCTATCATCCCTCTTGGTTTCATTTTTTCGTACTTTGTTTCATCATCCTCTTTCCTTGATTTCATTCTCGTACTTTGTTTCATCATCCCCATCCCTTGGTTTCATATTTTCTTACTTTCATAATTTCAACTTTTCAGTTGGTTTAGTTGTGTGGCACATGTACATGTATATCCCTGGAATAACTGGGACCAATCAAACGGCGGGAAAATCCTGTTCTTCTTCTCCTTTTATTTATTTTTTTTTTCTTTGTTTTTTTCTTTTCAACTTTTCTGCTTTAAAAAAACAAAAGTATTTTTTCCAAACGTTCCATTATTTACCTTAGGATGGGGGCCGGAGTATGCGAATCTTTGCCGGTTTTTTTTTTTTTTTTTCCGTGGAGAAAGAGAAGCCGTTCTATATTTTTTGTCATTTAATGCATCAGGATACATATATAAGGACAATTGTACATTTCCCATGTCCCCATTCCAAGGCTCCCAAATTCTACAGTGCATTGGATAAAAAAGAAGAGATAAAGAGAAAAAAAAAAACAAAGGAATTGTATCCATTTCTATTGTGACGACTTGAATGTAAAAATAGAAAACCAAAAATGCAGACCATATTTTACATTCTGTCCCGCATTGCATCATAGAATACACAGTAGTATAGAGTACAGAGTAAACTTATACTAAATCCATCTAGCATCCAAATTCCCTCAAGGAAAAAACAAAAAAAGTCTTTTATATTTTCTTTTGCCACCAGAAAAACGCCAGGTATAGTGAGAATCTAAACCCTTGTCCTGAAATGTCAATACTGTTCCAGCTCCAGCTCCTGCTCCGACCCCAGTTCCTGCTCCAACCCTGATCCAGATTCATAAATCTAATCCTTGAAAGAAATGACGGCAAGTATAGTCCAACGCAAGAGAAAAAAAAGGAAAAAGAAAAAATAAGAATATAAGAATGAAATAAAAATGAAAGGCTTTTTAGACAAAAGAAGGAGCAATGTGAACGAGGGACGAGAGGGAAGAAGACCATGCTTTGCGTGAAAATGCTGATATCCCGGGGTGTAACTCCCAAAATGAGCAATGCTGCAATACTAATCCGGATAGCAGGCGCAATGGAATATGCTGCAAGTCCCTTCTCAAGCATTCCCGAAAGAAAAGGATATGAAAATTTAAAAGGGAAACCCCCCCCCCCCCCCAGTCTATAAAATGATGTTAAAGTGAGCAAATGAGCAAATGAGAAAATACACCAAAGACAAGAAAGAGCGGGAAAAAATGTGCACCAAGTATTTAACACGTAAAACACCACTTTTCCTTTGAAACTGTAAAGAGAGGAGCACCAAACTTAAATGACTCTGACTCCAGGCGAATGAGGGCGAGTACAAGCGCAAATGAGGTGTAACAAATTTGATGTGTGTGTCATCTGAGTTTCCTTTGGTCTTAGTGTAGATGGCTTTTGAAGTCGAGAGCGTTCTGCGCAGTCGTAATTGTTTCTTGGTGACGGATATTAAGTGTAAAATTTTGAGAAGTAGAAAAGTAATAAAACACAAGAGGCCCGTCCCAGCAGTTGTTATTCTTTGACCATTTGAATGACAGCCGTCGTTGAAAAGTGGAAAAATCTGAATGACGCTGACTTCAACCCTCTTGAGGCCCATTCCTCATCGTCTTCAAAGCTTATCGGCTTCTTTTAGAGGCCTGCTCGATTCCATCTACGCTGGCATCCCAACGCCTCTTTGTAGCATAGCCAGCTTCGTAAAGACTAGCAATGCTATCCTGCCACTGGCTGGGGCTGATAAATGCAGGACCAGCAGCTGCGTAGTTGACGGGAGGCACCATAGCTGTCTGATCCTGGCGAGTGGGACTCATTCCAGATGGACCCATTGCCTGCGGTATCACACTTGGAATGGTGGGGTATTCGATGCCTGAAGTGGAAGAGACACTTAGAGAGGGCGAGGAGTGGGAAGGGGCAGCAGCGTTGGGAGAAGTCGTACCAAAAGCGGTATTCCATTGACTACAACATTCAAGGTCAGCAAAAGTCCAACGTAGAATCATAAACATGGGCGACGAAAGGGGTAGATGGAAAAGCGGGAAAGCTTACTCAAAGACACGCGACGGATTCCAGCCCACTGGTTCCACCATTTGCATAGGCGCGTTAGTGATTGGAGTCTGTTGACTTGGATGCCGTTGGCCAGATGCCATCATCACCAGGGATTGGACAGCGGGTGATTCTCCTTCTCCCGCATGGCCGACATCCGCGGTAGAGATCGGTGGCGTTATTGGATGAGAAATGTATGATTGTCCTGATGGGGCCATCGTGGTGTGGACATTGGCGGTGGGATGACCGCTATAAGGAACACCGGCAGGTAGGGGATTTGTCGCTACCGGACCCGTTGGGCTGCCATAAGGGAAGCTGGGTTTCAGACTGAAAGGTTTTGTAACATCCGCTGAGAAGGCCACACGAAGTGCATCAATCTGAGTACGCATGTCGGGCATAGGCCAGGAGGTTGTGCATTGCTCGAGTATTCGCATGTGCCGAGTGAAAAAGTCTTTTGCATCACAATATATCTCAGGGTCAGGCGAGGTGAGCGCGACCTGAATATGAAATGTCAGCACAACAGGCTTAAGGAAACAGACTCGGAAATTTTGGCTGACCAGATGCAACATTGTGCACGTTAGAACGGCATATATCGTAAAGTTGATCCCTCGAAGCATAAATAGTAAGCCGTGCATACCATAATCCCTCAGTATCGCTTCTTGGAGCTTGCACAGGTTCTTAGCTGCGGAGTAGCACAGCAACATCTCATCCTTCCATGACTGGTCCGTAGGTCGGGCGCCCGGGGAGGCTAGCTGAGGTCGATGAAGCATGATGACGCTCAAGTTGTAATAGGAATGAAGGTTTCCAACGAAATGCGAGCGCAGCCACGGCGGAGAGCCATCGGCTGGGTAAACGACTTGAAGATCTTGTGGAAGTTCATCTATCCAGGCTGCAAATATCGGGTTCATTTGAACAAGCTCCGGATCATGGCCCCAGTCCTTCCTTTTTCGAATTCGCCCGTAAATGCTGATGATCCGGCGGACATTGTGAATGGCACGAACCAGGTATGTGAATTGGCGGGAAGTTTGTACTTCTGGATCTGCTATACCTCGTGCAGGGATCGTCACGCTCATATCAACGGTTTCGGGATCAATGGCAAAATCAAAGCGCCCTTGCAAAATTAGCATCAAAATTCATATGTTTTCGAAAGCCAATGCCTACCTTGTGGACCTCCTATCATGGTTTCCAGTCCAAACAAGGTCTGCCAAACGCGCGTGCCTGTGACGCAATCGCTGTAGCTGGAGGAACACGGTTCTCCAGCCTGATGGAGTTCGTAATGCTGATCAAGGCCAAGGTCCTTAGCCATCGCTATCAAGTTTACAATCGTCATCCAAGATCGATAGTAATATCCTCGTTTCGGAGTGGACTCCCGAGCTTTGAGAAGCAAGAGCAAAGCCTGCAAAGTGCTGAGCCGAGGAACATCCATAAAAGAATCGGCGTGTTCTGAAGAAAATTAGCCATAAGCCATTAGTGTGCACGTTAGGCTGTACAGACTTCCTGCAAGCGCAAGCCACTTGATGCCTTCGGATGCGTCCGCTGACATTCGTCCAGTGCATGCAAAAATTGCTTCTAATAAAAGGGGGGAGATCGTGTCCTTTCTAGTACGCCATTGCTGGTAAAAAAGAGGCCGATTAATGACAGGAATGTACGGGTGAATATTCTCGAAGAAAAATTCAAAATATTCCGATGCCTGCTCATCGGTAGGCATAAACTCGGACGGTATCTTGACAGTATCACCAGGGCTTGAGGGAAGCGTAGGTAAGTTCATTTCGTATTCTTCCAGCGCTGGCGCCTCAGCCAGACTCCGCTTTTGATGCGAGATGTATGGAGCTAAAGACACGTCAGCAATGACCTTATAGAAAGGTTTGGGTGTTTTAAGGGCAATCCCTACCAAGTCCGCTCTCATCAATCTTTAATTCCCCTAAAGCCTCGCTGAGATCACCAGAGCCATATCGCTCACCCGACCACGCGTCTGAGGCTTGACTAGATGGCAATGTCGGACCTGGCGGGGTCGGGAACATTGCTTGCGGCTGGTATGGTACTTCTTGAAAGCCCATACGAGAGACATCCACCCCAGCATATGGTATTCCTGGGGGCAAATCTGCTTGCTCAAGATACTGGGCGGTTTGATAGAGCCTTGGATCATCACCATAAGGAAGCTGGTCTGGATAACCGGGGTGTTCACTCCCACTGCTGAGTTGCTGGCTAATCGATGGCCGATGTTGACTGTCGTCATCTCCACTTCCACTAGAAGTTTCGAGATCTACGACTCTTTCAATGTCACTGGTTGGTGGGTGTGCAGTGTAGTCCTTTTCATAGACTACTGTAGGTGGAACGCATTGGAGTTTCAAACGAATGCATGCGGAACAAGGCCAGCTGTTCGTGGTCGCGGCATCACATTTGATTTTCCGTCGTCTGCAGCCCTCACACGCCCGCATTACTTTTGGTAATGGTTAGAATGCATGATCCGGTATTTAATGGGAAGGAACACACTTGCCTTTTAACCTCTTGTGACGATTATGCTCGTCAACAAAGACATAGTCTAATGATAACATAGTTGTCAGCTTTCCGACTTGTGGACACCTAAGTAATGTCAAGGATGGATGTATGGAACGGGAAAGAAACACTGCTTGCGACATACTCTTTTGGTTCTCTCGAGGCCCAAAATTTGGCGGGGCAAATGAAAACGTTCGCATTTGCGTGGTTTGAGGCAATAGCGGACGACCTCCAGGATCCCCCGCCATCAAGTTGACGTTAGAGAGATAAAAACAGACAAAGCTTCCGCTTGAATGCAAACAAAAGTAGGTGGTGGCGCAGAGACCAAGGAGCTCTGCGGCGCAACTTCCCGTCTGCCAGCAGACAACTACCGTCTTTCCAAAGCCTCGAGCCTCAGCAGACGCTCGTCTTAGCAGCTAGCAAGTTGATGAGGAAGAAAAGTGTATAGAGTTAATGGATCAGGTGTGACGAAGATGCCCCGCACCGCGTTCGTCTCAGTCGACCAATTTGGCAAAACCTCTGGGTCCCAAACAGATAAGTTTGGCCTTTTTCCTTGATACTCGAATAGTCAATTTACTTTTTCTTTCTTTCTTCCTTTCTCTCTTTCTCTCCCTGGGTAGCTTGGTGGCGATATTATACCGGACGCGTTCCGATTCTGCCGCGTCAATGGGGGTCGCTGTCCAATACCAAGTAACGATGATGCTACGATCAGGCAAAACCACAAGAACAATAACAACAACGAAGAAATCGGCCGCCCCTGTCGCAATCGCTTGGATTTGCCAATAAGGCAGTTGGCTCTCTAAGAATGAAGTCACGCGACCCGCTGATTGGAAATTCTCGTCGTGGAGAACGGAAATTCGGCGCAAAGAGCCCAGACTGAAAATGAAAAGGCGAAGGGCTTGGAAATAACAAACGGTCGGGAGGGTTAGCTCGGATGGTCGGGAGATCCGCGAAGCGGTAGGTTTAATGGATGGTTAAGTTAAGCGCAGACGAGAGAAAGTCAAGTGGAGCAGAGAGTTGACCCCGATAGTACGTCAGACGATGATGAAGAGCAGAGAGACGCTATGATTCGGAAGGGTCGCGCAGCAATCCTGTCCCGAGCGGATCTGGTGGGGGAGGGGAGGGGGGGCAAAATAGAGAAGGAGATGGAATTGTGGAAAGGTAGAAGGTCCAGTATTTCTGGATAGGTCTCGACTTTTTTTCAGTACGAATTGGGCTACGACTATGAATCGCAAAAAGCGTCCCACGCCGGCCCGGAAGGTTTCGTGGCATGTCATAGCACGGGCAGGGTCATGGAGAAGCATGCTTCAGTTTCAAAGTTGACCCAGCTAGTCTAGCAAGCAACGCCACACTGGAAAGCCGAGGCGGTAGGTGGGTTGTGGTAGCAATGGATAGTGGCACTGACAGTGGAGTTCAGCGATGACAGTTCAAGGGGCAAGATGGACGGCCGCCTTCCGCACCAAAAAGGGTGATGGAGGGATCTAGCATCTTTTCGTGCTCAACCACACCAGCTCGAATCAGCTGGGTCCTTCGGGCGAACCAGGAGAAAGTGCTCACAGCTTAATTCGCAAGATGGCAATTCCAAGCGCTCGCAACAGGAGGGAACAGGATGGGGCGTCATCTCTACCAAACTTTACCATGCATGATAACCAGAGCTCGGGGTTAAGAACAACAACGCCGTCAGCACACAAAAAGGCAAGGGAAAAAACCCGCTCAGCAACATCTCCAACCCATGGCTCAGCCCTTCTGGCCGCGCCCTTGGCGATGCATTGCGCTCTCTTTACTATATAAATTTAGGTAATGCGCGTGGTTGATACGGTACATACCTAGGTCACACAACTGTCCGAATCAGCGCTGTTACGTCAACTAAGGTGCTGAAAGATGCGTTGGGTGACGGTGCATTTTGGGTTCATCCAGTACCATTCAGGCACCCGTTGTTCAAAGGGTCTTGTCGATAAAGCACAAGATTCTCGTCTGTAGACGGGTGGGATCGAAAGGCCACCAGTGGCACAGGACTGTCAACGGAGTACTTCGGCATGTGCAAGTGGCAGTTGGACAACGACTAGCGATCCTAGGTGCTTTGCTGGGAGGGGCGTTAGTGCTCGGTGCAGATCGATGGATGTAGTGGAGAGGTATCCCACTACTTTTTGAACCAGGCGAACTTTTTTCGTCGCCCGGTATGACACGAAGAGACACTTGCGTGGGCGCCGATCGAAGATGAGCGCGCCATTGCGATCCCTGAGAACCGGTCTTTGGTTACTCTTTGGTTACTGCTAAGCTAGCCTGGGACGACCAAGTCTGTGCTTCCCATTGAGCGTGAGAACGTTTTCGTTCCCCTAAAGTCGACTGATACGATCTCCCACTGCTAGGAGGGTTTTGCTTTTCAGAGCGCCATCGATTCATTGCAATCGGACGTCTAAAATTCTTCTGGATCTTACGCACAGAGTGATGAACTTAACTTCGTTGCAAAGGAGAATTGCGCATAGCAGCCGCAAAGACTATCACACCTCTGTCTCCATTGTCTTTGATTGCAACGACATCGAAAAGACATTGGACTAGACATGACGCCAAACCATGGCCATTACATGAGGCACCAATGACGATGTTAGCTTTGTGTGTCAATCCTCCGCAACTTTTTGAGTTTTACTTCCAACTTTCCTTTTCCTCCTTCCTCCTGACAGATCCCTGAGCATAAATTTTTAGTTGGAAAATCGATCCAATGGGACTTCTTGTTTTCGAAACAGCGTGCATGGTTATACTGCACGTTATACATAACCAGCACGCAGCAAAGCCCAGCTCTTGTGATGAGTGCGTTTCCATGCAGGGCTGATCCCGCAGGACACAGTCAATGCAGGCCAGTTGAGTTTCAGTCTAAAGTTGCATTACTTGGAAGATTTTGGCTCTGGTCACATACCCGACTCGCGCTGTAGGGAGATACTCTCTAGGAAATTCCTGCATGTTTACGTGGGCCATCCGTGCCAAAACGTCCCGTACCTGCAGGGGCCAAAGTTTGGGAACGCAAGCTCGGCAGAAACAGTGTAAGATATGCAGCAAATTGAATGTTGAATCCATTCAACCTGTCATAGTGGCGAGGTTACGAGATAGGAGAACATGCTCAAGTGCGAGTCGTTCAATTCAGGAAAACGAGACAATTCTCGCGGGTTATAGGGTCCACTTAGGCATGGGGCCGCTGAATTTGAACCCCGTTCGCAATGGCCATTACGAGCGAGGGATCGTTGCTTTGCTTAGGTCGCGCGTTATCCCACGACGAACTCGAAGCCAAGCCTTTTCCCGACTTCCTAATGATGCGGGTCATCCATCAGTCCCCTCTTTTACCTTCCTCCCTCCCCCTTCCCCCCCGGCCATTCCGACTCCTCGCAGGCACCCATTCAGCAACACTTTCTGAACTCAGAGAAGTCATGGTGAAGGGCGCGCCCCAGGCCCTCTCTTCAGAAAGTGCTTTAATAGTGAGTTAGATGACCCTTCCCCTGCACCCATTTTCCAAGGATCGTGTCTACCAGGATACGGCGTGCGGGAGTTGCCGCGACATTGTGAAGGCTGAGAAAAGTCCTTGGATCACCACGTTTGTGGCGTGGGCGAATCAAAAAGCGTCATTGCATTTCATCTTCTTGGCCAGCTTGCATGTTGAACTTTGATTCCAATCGTTGAATGACTGGTGCTTACCATCTGTAATTTGCACAGAGGGTCTCGAATACTATAGGCAAAACCTGTGAGCGCATCATGCTGCTGTCGCTTTTGACTGATCCAACCAAGTGACCATTTACATTTGATTGCTATCACTGAATGCATAGGAAATGGAATGATTCTCGTCATCTCGTCAGGTCCCGTCTTAGGTTTCTTGAAACATCGAATTCGAGAATTCGATTTCGTTTGATTCTCGGTAAGGCCGGCAATAGCACCGTGAGACTCACAATGATATCCCATTATAGCTGACGTTGAGCGAGGCTTCATTCGCGTATTTGGCTGTGCCAGATGGCTTGGCTAATTTGGGTAGCTGCTTGGAACGTTCCATGGCCCTCCCATGATCCCCAACTTAAGCCGACGACCCGACGCTCATTTCATTTTTTACGACACTTGCACCACAAAGATCACATAAGCTTCATCTTTCATCAAAGATACACTTTCCATCAAAAATTGACTTCAGCTCTCGAAATTTCAAGTGAAACATTCCCACTGGTCTCATGTCAATCCACAGTCAATGAAACATGAATATGATGAATGTTCGGGGCCAATTGTCGTTGAAAACCCAGGGCGGTATATTCCGCTCATTCGCCCATTTCAGGGGAAGAAATGCCATCGTCTGGAGTTGCTGGTCAACTAAACGTTCCAATTACGACGATCTCGCGTCGAACCGGCTGGTGGACCTAGCTGTCATGATCGGCTGTATCCCCGCTCCGTAGAGCGTGATTACGATTGCTCTTGTCGCGGCCAGACGGCTCGGCCTCGCTCGGGATACATTTGCTAAGCGTCGGGTTTTGCTCTCTCAGACACGAAGCGCTAAAGTTTCGGAATTGATAGTTTTTCCATCAAATCGCGAACCATCGATCCCATCATACTCAGTCTTGGGAAGGAACATGGTTCTATCATAAAGGGTTCAAATTGACAGTGACAGCATCATGGATGATCTTGTTACAATATGATATTGAGGAAACAGGCAATATTTTAATTGTTGGCCTAGGCATGGAATATCAAAAGCAGTTGTCGATTTTCCTCGGGGCATCGAGAAGAGGTTTGGGGCTGCACTGAATGCCATCCCTCGCAATCTCAGATGATAATTTCTCAGTTTCGGGAATTTTTTCTTCAAAGTCACTCAGCTGCTGTCTCTAAAGCTACCGGGGATGTTGCCAATTGCCCCTGAATGATTTCCTCGGTACGAGTATCAGTGAATCACGACCGTGGAACTGGCTCAGTATCGAACGGCTTTACGTAGATGAAAGGGCAGGCTGTTTACGTTTTCCTTGTCAAGATGCAAGGGAATGAGGGTCGACCTAACCAGAACCGAGTTGTAGTCGGCAAATCATATGGCGGAACGACATCATGAAGGTGAAGAAGGATGATGCCTTGCACGGCTCGGACGTTCATCGTCAAATGACCATTTGTCCAGGTCAGGTAGGTGCGTCCTCGAGGCACTCCACTGGTTGACCGCTGGCGAATCCCGAGCCGAAAGCGAGTCTGGGTCTGGCGCGATGTGGGGAATCATCCAGCGCAGGGCACTACTCACTACAATACAGGGATGGTATTAGTCGTCGATTATTCATGATTACTATTCATTTAATTCTCAGTGTTGCTGAACCTCGGCCAAACGACAAGCAATCCAACAGGTGCAAAGGGCAATATTGACCAGATGAAACACAAGGATGATAATATCGCGCTCAGCATTTGGACATTAGACCAACCATTGCTCGTTTCCCAACAAAATTGATAAACGTCCATTGCTCATATTTCCTGTTCGACCAAGGTCTATGACCATCTTCCAATGCCAAACATGGGAAACAGATAGAGGACGAAGAAGAAGTGTTGTCTAAGGGCGCCGGGATGATATACGGGGTAACAATGACCCGGGACTGCGAGCATACATGAGTCGGTCCAAATTGTGACATTACTTTGCGGCCTGGTCGAGCAAAAAAAGCTTGATTCTCCACCCTCTACAGCTGCGATGGGTCAGGCCACACGCGGCCCCTTACACGGCCTTCTCTTGCGGTTTCGCCCTTCTTCGGCCAGCCGTTCGGTAATCCGCTCCATATTCCGGAGGGAGGATGGAGACGGAAAGCCGGGGATGAAGGATGAGTCCATTTAGCTAAGGTAGGTCATAAGGCTGGGCAAATAATTCGACACAAAGACACAGTTATCCCAGGTGGGATTTAGATGGAAACCCGGCAGAGTGGTATGCAACGGTTCTGTTTACTATCGTCGGGCCTGGACGCTACTCAAACCGCAGCAGATACTTTGATCATTCTGTGACTGACTTGAAAAAACTGGCTTTGAACAGATGCAACGTCACCCTTCAACCACGTGTGAAGAAGTATACATTACTGATGCAGCAATACCGACATTTTTGTCATTAAGGATTTTAGCATGGGAGTTGTCATTTGCCGGGTGCATCACAATTGTTCTCCGATGAGCTGAACGTAGCGAAACTTCTGGTATCTGGTCGATACCATTGGTTCTTGATTAGATGGAATTGCTTCATCGTGCATGCCGAAAACCTATTTTTCGACAATTTTAATCATTTAATGGATGATTCTCGGGGAATCCATGCATTCAAGGGGGGACCAAAAAAGGGTCAAGTCGGATCGGCCATGCCGACGGGCACGACCCAAGACATTAGCCGCAAGCTCAGCCTCAGCCACCGCCACTCAAGTCATTCTCACTAGCCGCAGAGCCCCACGTTCATTTTTCCTTGACTTTTCTCCGCGGCACTCCCAAAGTCCGACTAAAACACCCAAGCTTGCCCCTCCACCAACTTCCCACACCATCTTCAAAGTCCTCTTAGGCCCAAATTTGTCATTGCCCTTGACATTGCAAGCATCCAGTCTAGAGACGTTCCAGCCATTGGTCCTGATTACATATTTTAATTTTTCATCAATTTCTTGGCGCAAAGGGTAACGTCGGATATTCTTCACGCCGAAGTCCTGCACACACTGTCTCTTGATCTTTGACGTAACGTCAAGTCATCATACGACTCCAGAAAACATCGAAAGCAAGGGGACTTGACGAATTTCAGCTTCACTAGACACAAATTGTTCATAGCGACATGGCTGACAACGCGAATCCGACTATCCTGAACGCGGCAGACCTGCCTACGCGTCGCCGGCTTTCGTCGCATTCCGCCACTGGCAAGCCGCGTTCATTCCTCTTCGACGACATTGTCCCTGCCGATTACAATGATCCTTTTGCCACCGCTGCGACAGACAGCGGACTTTCACGCTCATTCAGCTCGTCTTCGTCGGACCTGAACTCGGACAGCGACGAGCTCGCAGAGCCCATTGATGAACAAGAGGTTTATGGTGAGTCATGCACTGAGCTGGTCTTAGCTAGCGTTGCGATGGACATGGTTCACGTTGCGTTGCTTCGCATATACTTTTTCTCCCCAAAATCTTTGCCAAATAGCACAGTCAGTTGACAGTTTTCCCTTTGGAACCAACAGATTTGATATCCACAATCTCGGATCCCGAACACCCACTTAGTCTGGGTTCCCTTGCCGTGGTCAACTTGCCCGACATCCACATTGTGCCAGCTGCTGGTTCCTCAGCTTCATCGCGCATGCGCACCGTCCTTGTCGAAATCACACCGACTATTACTCACTGCTCCTTGGCAACGGTGATTGGCCTGGGTGTCCGCGTCCGACTTGAACAAGCTTTACCACCTCGATTCCGAGTCGACGTTCGCATCAAGGAGGGCACGCACAGTACCGGCGACCAAGTCAACAAGCAGCTTGGCGACAAGGAACGTGTGGCCGCCGCTCTAGAAAATGGCACGTTGCTTGGCGTGCTGCGCAAGATGCTCGAAACCTGCCAATAAGCCAAGCTGAACTCTTTCATTCGAGAAATTTTTTTCTCCCCCAATGACTGATGCAGGGGTGGATAATTTTCCCTCCCAAAAAGTTCTGTCGTACCTCGGCACACCAGAATCAAATGCCGACTAAAAGCGAATTTGAGTCTCAAATGTCGTCCTTGAGAGCCCTGGTCCATGGTCACCGAATGGTCGATTCTGTTGATCAGGCATCAAGGAAATACGCAAATACGTAATGCTTTGACGCTCACGATACCGATCAGAGGATCCCTTGCAGCCACGTTGGCCTCGCCACAAAGGCCCGTCACCATTTCCTGCCACAGGGAAGTCCCGGAGCGCTTTTGAATAAAGATTATTTCGAAGCTTCGAGGCTCTTCAGGCACCATCCCCGAAAACTCGCGCGAGACGACAAAAACATTACTCCATGGGAAACAGGGTTCCCCTTGGGCTCTTGCAGATATGACTGCCCGGGACATGTGATATCGTTGACACATGTGTATTTCATCATTTGACAGCCCCCGCCGCCAGGGCCTGCTTCAGGAAAATTTGAGCATCCTTGATCCCTGCCAATTCCTGCCTTGGGCCACGCCTCGGAACTATCCGACGGCTCTACTTTTTTTTCTAATTCCCTTTTCTTTTCTCTTATTCTTACCTTGTCCGCTTTCTCTTTCTCGTTTACCCCCTCTGTGTTCTTCCCGCGGCCGTCAATACCCGCGATCCTTGTCCTAGATGCAGGTAGTTTACCATATATTTGGATGACATATGCCATGCTATCCTTGGCGACAATACAATTAAATTAATTTATTTCATTTTATTTCATAATTTTTTTTTTTTTCGTTTTTTCATCTTTTCATCTTTGAGTAGTCGCGAGATTGAGACTCGGAGATGGGTCCCATGCTGTAGTTAACTCCCGTGCCATGTCATTGTCCGCGCCAAGATACCGTGGTCCGTGGGTTTAGATAACTCTTTTAATTTACAATGTCGTATGATTTTGTACAGCAGACTCCGGATGACGTTTATTTTGTTTTCTTTTGTTTTCGCTTTTGCTTCGGATTTATATTTTTTTATTTTTTTATTTTTTTTTATTCTTATTTTATTATAAGCCCATTACAACACTATCAAAATACCGTATGTAATATGGTATATCTAATACTTCGTAGCATCTCCATCTCCATCTCCATCGTCTCTCCTTTCTCCTTTCTCCTTTAGACTCTTGAGTTTTTTAATTTTTAAGCCTCGCCGAGTCCGTCCCAATATCCCGCGAATGGAGAATGAATGTCTCTGTATTCTGTGACTCTGTAAGTCTGTGACTCTGTGACTCTGTGACTCTGTACACTTTTATTTATCATATTCTAATAATATTATTTGACATCTTGATTTGATTTGATTTGATATTTTTATCGAACGTATTATCCGTTCATTCATCCGTCCCTCGGACCCTCCTTTATTTTTGTATTCTATGGTTATTTGGCCGTTTGGTTCATAGTTTATAGGTCAGGCACCTATATACTGGACATTGTACGTTTTCTCTTTCACTTTTCACTTTTCTCTTTTTCTCTTCTTAGGGAGTAAATGTATATCTAGAACGCAGTAGTGCAGTACGAACCAACGAGACATCAAACAATTGATTCATTGAGGAAGGCAAACATCACGAAAGGCATACAACTTTACAAGGTTAAAGGTTGTGATTGAAGTCTAGTCGTATCATTTTCTAATGAATAATAAACATTGACTAATGAATCATGATATATAGAGAAGTTTATATGATTGTATCAACTATCTAGCATGCAACATGCCAAAAGAAAAGACATTCGAGAGGGGACAAAAGATAAAGGAGTCAGGACCCTCGACAGACGTCGGTACTAGGGACTAAAGAACTTGCCCAACAGTTCAAACGTAGATTGAAACGCCAGATAAATGACAAAATGACAAATTGAAAAACTGACAAAATAATCAAATAATCAAATAATAAAACAATACGATGATAATGAGTCGATGAATAGCACCAGCAGCAAAGCGGTAGTGCTTAATATGTGTCGATAAGCACAATACAATGCAAATAAAATTGTAAAACGCCCTCATTGAAGAAAAGTAAAAAGGAGAAAGAAAAAACGCCTTTTATTCTCAAACTTTTAAGGAGTCCCTTCCTCACTCCTATGCAGGCTTCTTTTTAGCTAATCATGACCAATGACCAATTTACCTCGACTTCTTCTTGCTCTTCTTCGAAGCATGCGTGTCTGCTTCCTGCGCGACTTGCGCAACGACATCGCCGGCCTTGCGCTTCGCAGCAGAGGAAGAGGCAGACGGTTTGCTAGACTTGACGCTGATAGTGGTGCTAGCGCCGTTGGCACCGCTGGCGCCGGTGCGACGGATCTGACGCTCGGCTTCGGCCCATGCAGGGTCGTCGTTGTTGGAGATTTCATACCTGGAGTTGGGGAAGGTAGATGTTAGAACGGGACTGGTATTATAACAAGAGAGGAGAGATGACCAGGGGAAGGGAGGAGAGATGAAGAATTAAATGAAGAGGCGAGACGACCAAGGGAAGAAAATGAACAGACAACTTACCGATCCAAAGGCAGAGAGTCAATCAGAGCACGTTGCTTCTCTCTCAATTCCCGGTTCACGGCATCGCCCTCGTCCTTGAGTTCTTGATCCAAGGACATTGCAAGAGGAGCGAAGCGCTCGTCGCCATCAATGGCCTGCTCGTCGTCATGCGCAGCGGACAAGCCGTCGCGAGTCTTGCCGGCTTCGGCATCTGGCAGGGTCTCTGCGACGGCGCCCTCGACGAGGGCACGGAAGTGAGAGGATATCTTGCGGACAATCTTGATGAACATGGCAAGTAGCTGAGATGAAGGGAGGTTCAGCTCCTTTTCGACATCCTCGAGGACTTTGCGCTGCAGACCGATAGCCAAGAGGATCGAAGTCTGCACGCCAGACAGCTTGAGGGATTGCTTGAGGCGGCCGGAGAAGTATAAGCCTGCAATGATGGGAACCATGTCGAGAATGACGTGGTAGTCGAGCATGTTGTTGGCGTAGCTGTCGAGACGTTTGAGGTCGAACGGAGAGAAGACGGCATCGAGCTCGGCCTTGGTGAGCGGCTGCACGAGGGTGGACTCGTCGAGTTTCTCGCCCGCAGAGGCGGACTCGTCGATGCTGAGCGCGAGAATCGAGGGGAAGTGTCGGAATTGGTAGGACAAAAGAGAGAGGAAACGCTTGTGGTAGTCCCGTGCAAAGGCACCCAGCCATGTCGGGTCTGCGCCATTCTCGAGAGTGCGCAGCATGACGCACGTGTGCTCGCCAGTCAGCTCGTTGGCGGTCTGGCGGAGATACACGGGCACAAAGGATGCGCGCTTCCAGAACCGGTGCAGCGAGCTGGTCAGGCCGTAGCTGACGCCAAGGTAGTCGAGGCCTTCGGGTTTGCGCTCTGAGAGCTTGGCAAAGAGAGGCGGCATCGTGTGAATGTCTCGGACCTTGACATTGTCGTCGAGCAGACTTGCGTTGGCCAATTCGTCGTCGGTGACACGCGGCATTTCTTCGTTGACGGGGGCGTCGTCTTCGGAAAGACTGGCAAATTTGCCGTCATAAAAGTCAATGAGAAGTTCCAGGGCGCGAGAGCCGTAACCCATGCCAATGTACTCGGGGTTGGTCGCGATGCGCACAACTCGAGCACCAGACAGACCGGCAAAATCCTCGTCCTGGAATTGCTGGCTGACAAGCCAGGGAATGAGATCACCGCCGGCGCGCTGTCCCCTGCTCAGGCTGCTGAGTACGCTCTCCTTGCTGATGCGGCCTTCCAGAGCGAGTTGGACAACGCAGAGAGGCTCGGGAAGACGAGGGCTGTTTTCTTCGACGGGGGGAACGAGGACGAACAGCTGGTGGGCTGGAGCGTCGGACATGAGCTGGAGGTCGTTGGGGGAGTTCTTGTAGTGACTAGCCACATAGAGTGCCATCATCTGTTGGAGGAACTTCTCAGAGACGGGGTGGAAGGAGAAGAGGGTGTCGCGGTTGACGTGGAGAAGCTGGCACTGCGATGGATGAGGGCAGCCTTGTGTATTTCTCTTGGCCTTGGGGAGAGTTGCATCCAGGCAGAGCAGTTTGTTGAGCCATCCTTCAACAGAATCGCCAGGCGCATATCGGATAGGCTCCGAAAGCGTAATCTCACGAAGGGATCGACCACCCGTAATGTTTTGGCTTCCATCCTTTGCAGGCTTTCCGGTCGATCTGTCGGCAACATCGCCGTCGTCGGCATTGCTGAGCTTCGCGCCGCCCCGAGCCTGCTCTCGGAGTTGCTGGATCAGCTTCAAGGATAGCGAACGACCGGTACCTTCATAACCGTTGATGGTAGAAGCCATGAAGACAAGGTAAGGACCCATCAGCTTTTTCACCAATGGAAGAGGGATTGCAGCTGCCTCATCGATAACAAGCAGCTCAGCTTGGCCCAATGTGTAAGCATCCTCAGGCTGGATGTATTGAATCGTCTGACGGTGCTGTCGGTGGACGTTGACGCGAACGATCGCCTTGTTGAAAGCGGGATTGGTGGATTGGATGATGGTATAGTCAACGTGGTCGAGGTAGCCCAGGGCGTCGAAACCCTTGAACACAAACTCGAACAGAGTCTTCAAATTTTCTGGGCTCGGAGATGTGATGAAAATGTTGCTGTAACCGTGCGCAATGGCAGCTGCAATTGAAACACCGAGGGCCGCAGACTTTCCTCGACCACGGGCTGCAGTCAATGTGACGGTGCTCCGCAACGTCTTCTCAGCGATGGCGTCCACAAATGTAAGCAACGCCTTTGCCTGGTCTGTCGTTTTCGCAAGCGTGAGCAGAGAGCCAACTGGCTGGGTATCGGCAAGACTCTCTTTGATGCTCTCAAGCTCCTTTTTCGAGGATGATGCTTTCTCTTCTTCAGGATCCGGAGGCGGAAGAGCCTTTACATTCTTGCCTCCGGAGATGGGCAGAACGTTCAACTCATCGTCCACCACAAGACAAGAGTCGCAGCTACCGAGCGAGAGAATAAACCGTTCATTGAATCGACCAACCACATCGTCGTGGGCCTCTGTCCGGTATCTTGAGTGAACATCCATCGACAGCGTGTAGAGTTGCTTCAAGCTGTTCATGCCCTTCAAGAGGAGGATGACTAGACCACCACCCTCTACAGTCTCCACTGTCCTCGCGAGCAGGTTGGGCGTCAGAGCCTCAAAGTCCTGCAGCACGCACATGCCGTACGTGTTACCGAGAATCTTGTCCGTCTCCTTGTAGTATACATAACGAATGTTGTGTAGCGAAACGAAAAGCTCGAATGGATCGTCGGTGTCGGCGTCACGGATACCTCGTTTGATCTCCTTCTTAATCTTCGCCTCCCGCTTCTTTCGGTGACTAGAATAATCGTCAGCGGGTGCTCATCAACCGCACGTTCTCCGAATGAAGGTTTAAAGTTGCGTACCTCGTGAACCCGAGAAGCTTGTTTTTGTAGGCCCACAGAACCGACTTGTTCTGCTTGACGTCCACGCTGGACATTATATAGTGCAAGTGAACAATGACATCCTTGGCACGATCTCCGACGACGACGAAGAAACTTCGCTTCTTCTCCTATGACACCAAAGCGCATTAACAAATGAATTCCTTCCGACGTCCTTAGAATTAACCGCTTACCTGTACGCCATTGCGGATCAGTGCCGGAATGCGAGAATCACTGGACAAAATCCATCAGTATCAACTCTCTCATATGCTAGTAGATGTAGATCGATAATAACATACATGGCCTTGCGCGGCATCTTCAAAGATTGATCCCACCACGAAGCGTCTTAGCGGGCGATAGAGGTTTATTCTTCTGGTAAAATGCGAATTGTCAAATAGAAGAGCAGCATACACAGGTAGTGCACAATGATTCGAAAGTTGTTTCGGCGTCACTCTCTCGTGGACAATGCGACAACTAGAGGCTGAAAAAGTTCTTATCGATTATCGAGAGTTGCAGCCGGTACAATCCTCGAATCAAGAACTTTTCGACCGTATTTTCGTGATAGGAAAACCGACACAGCGAAGTGTTGGCTTGTCTTTTCCGCGCTCTACCCAATAGACCGGCCGATCAGGCAGTGGAGCAAGATTACCGTCGAATGGGATGGAGATGCGGCGGATGAAGCAATTGAGAAGCAAAATAATCTGGAGACGCTAAACCCAAATCTGGTCGGCATCGGTGAATTGGTTTATCCGATCACCGGCGCATGTCCGCCTTCAACCCAAAACATTCTAGAAGCAGTCACGTCCCTATCGCCCGGTCCGGCTGCAGCTCGACGACGTTCTCGACGCCCCCAAAGTGTTGTCTTTCTCAATGGAGTCGATTTTAAGCAAGCGATAGTATATAATTGCATATTTCGTGTTCATTAAAAAGGTAAGCTTGTGCAATTGTCAAAGTGATCAACCAACTCTATTGTCCATCATCTGACTTCTCGTATTCGCAGCCCCGCCTGCCCGCCAATTGCTGCGCTCGCCTGGCGGCAGCTCCGATGCCATGGACACAACAACGCAGCTCTCCCTTGCGTTCGTCAAATCGTCTACATACTCAGTTTCTGCGGAAATGCTAATCGATTCTTCTCAAAAGGGGCCTCCTTTTTCTGACCTTGGCACTGTCTTTAACATTTGATCATCCGTTCTCGTTTGGTACCGCATGCGCCTCCAAACATTACCTCGGCGCAAAGCTAATATCGAGCAGATCGACCAGTGCATTCGTCCGCGATCCAGCTGGCAGTATGCTCTGCTGCAATATTTGGCATCAGCAAGTGTCGGCCCCGCTTCTTTGCCGCCGCTTCAGACGAGCAACACTACGATGCTATTCCCCTCGAAGATAGACGACCATCGTATGCCTCGAGAGAAATCTCGCCGGACTCGATCGACGGAGGACCTCACAATGAACATGGGAAGCGCCGCATACGACTATTGTTCCTCACAGCCGTCCTCGCAATCTGTCTACGAGTAGAGAGTTTACGGCGAACAGTCAGAGACTTCCAATGCTCTAAGCCGGGAATGGAGGTACGAATGAACCAGATCGCTCGTTTCTTTGTTCTTGGCTGAACATAATAGGCTTTGGTTCCGATATTATTGTCGTTCATACCGCACTGGAAACCGCCACGACCGCAGACGAGAAGAAGAACTCCCCTTAATGGACGGGCGGGCAATTTCCTCCTCACTGTCATAAATTTATGCGCCAGCAGTCGACTCGGAACGATACTTGCAGCGCTACTCGTCAGTGTTGGCAGTTATATAGGCGCAAGCATAAGCGCAGGGCCACGGTCCACTTATATCTGTTCGATCGAATCTGGCAACCGAAATTTTATACCCTTTTTGCAGATACTCTCTTGCATTCTAGACTGCTATATACTCTGGGCTTTTCACATCCTGATCCGGAGTCGAGGCAGGGAATCCTATGGCAGCTCTACGAGGGCTCCCTTAATTACTAGCTCAGCATTCTTGGTACGGCTTCCCTCAAACCCCTAATTTCACTTGCAATCCAAAGGCTAACCTTCGAATGGTAGATATCATCGATTCTTCTTTTCGTCAGCGGAGCAATTTGTTATATAATCAAACCGCCTCTTCGAGACTGGATCATCTCGCCTCCGCAAGAACCGGTCTGGAAATCCTTGTATAATCTTCTTTTGACTGCGTTGTTAGCGGTGTTTAGCGTTCAACTTGTAAGTTCCTCACTGTAAACGGCCTTACCTGACCTTCCTACTGATTTTTTTTCAACAGTTGCCGTATCTTGGTCCACTTGGAATTGCAGTTGCTCACACTTCAGCGTATGCATACGGAAAGGGCATGGAAACAGCGTTGATCAATATCCATCCCTTCCCGCCAGTTTCAACTCGAAAAGTCGTCTTCTCAGTCTTTCTTCTCTTCCTAGGCGTCGCACTTTTCTTTTACCGACTCTCGCGCGAGCATGGCGCAGAGATCTCTTCAGTAACCAGGAAATTCAAAATCATCAAAGTCCCTCGGCCCTCATGGCTCTATTACGTTCTCTTAGGATCCTGCTTTATTGGAATCCTGCTTGATTGCTTCAAGCGGACGCATATCAATTATCATCCTGTCGACTTACTCATGTATACGGCCAATCGAAGATACGACCACTGGCGCAATCAAAGCAGAACCAGCCGCACATTTCCTGAAGCGATCGACACCTACTTTAATCGATATGGCCGTCATCCTCCACCGTAAGTCTGCTTCTGCTCCTATTCATGCTAGATGATGTCTTAACCGCCTATCCTTCTTTTAGGAAATTTGATCACTGGTACCGCTTCGCCGCTGAACGCTCATCTCTCATCTATGACGACTTTGACAATATCGACCGAGACCTATCCCCCTTCTGGGCTGTTAGCCCCGCCGAGATCCGCTCACGGACATGGGAAATGATTTCCAACCCGTGGAACGAAATCTCAGGAATCAGCATTCGCAACGGCCACGCGGAACTTCCTCCCAACGTCCTGCCTACCCATCGCTGGATGCTCGAAGGTGTCGCCACCATGATCAACAAATTCGCCGAATTCCTTCCAGACATGGACCTCGCTTTCAACCTCAACGACGAATGCCGCGTTGCCGTTCCTTACACCGAAATTGAGACCATGCGCCATCAAGCCAGCCTCGTCGGTACCACCGGCCGTCAGCGGGCGCCCGAATGGAGCCCCAACCGCGTTAAACAATGGGAGCCCGTCACCCCAAACCCTCTTGGCAGGACGCGCTTCCACGACCGCTCCTTCACCAACACATTTACCGACTACTCTGCCATCACCTGCCCTGCTGGCTCCCCGGCCTTGTCCCACCATGTTGACAACACCCGGGATCTATGCGTCTGGTGCGCCGCGCCTCACTCGCTCGGGCTCTTCCTCGACAACTGGCTTCTCGCCGCAGACGTTTGTCACCAACCAGACATGGCGCATCTCCAGGGGATCTATCTCAGCCCTGCCGCCTTCAAAACCACTCACGAGCTCATGCCCGTATTCAGCCAGAGCAAACTCTCCGGGTACAACGACATTCTGTACCCCAGCGCATGGAACTACATGGACAAAGTCAAATACGATCCTACACCCGAGCACCCGGACGTCGCCTTTTTCGAGAAATCCAACACGCTCTTCTGGCGCGGCGCTACTTCTGAAGGCGTCTCTACGGGCACCAACTACGCCTTACCTCACGATTTCGACGTCAATCCCGAACTAGAGTCGCCCCACGTCAATCCCGAGCGCATCATCCCTTCTGGCGCAGGGACCTGGCAGGGCATGACACGCCAGCGCCTCGTGCATCTGGCCAACAACCTCACCGACTCAGAACCCCAGCTCGTGCTACTCCCCTCTTCTACCCAGCGTGGGAAATACATTTACGAATCCGTCTCCCCCTCGGACCTACGCCGCTTGTTAAACCTAGATGTCGCAGTCGTCGATAAGATCTCCCGCTGCGGCGGGGTCGACTGCGCCGTTGAGAAAGCCGAGTTCGGGCTCGTTGGCCCCTCGGACTTTCAACATCATTGGAGCCATAGATATCTGTTCGATCTCGACGGGGCAGGTTTCAGCGGCCGCTTCCTGCCCTTTTTGCAGAGCCATTCCCTGCCGTTCAAGACTGCGATGTTTAGAGAGTGGTACGATGATCGCATTTTCGCGTGGAGACATTTTGTCCCGATAGATCCAAGACTGCATGGTGTCTTTAGTACCCTTGCTTATTTTGCTGGCTTTGAGGGTCAGATTGGAAAAGGATCCGCCCGGAGAGACGTCTCTTGGTTTCCGCATGCAAAGGAGGGCGAACTCATTGCTGAGCAAGGGCGTGACTGGGCGGGCCAGGTCCTCAGGAAGGAGGACATGGAGATTTACTTTTTCAGGTTGTTGTTGGAGTGGGGACGCTTGACGGATGATAGGAGGGACGAGTTGGGGTTTGTCCTGTGATTCTTATCTGCAGTTATATATTGTCCCGTGATTACTTCGTCCCCTCATACTTTCATTTCGTTGGTGTGGTGGGATGAAAGGCGGAGAAGGGTCCGACGGTATATAGCACGGCAGCAGGGATTGGGGAAAGTGGGACAGTGGTTTGAATCTCGATTTTGAAGAGTGTTTACAGAGTATAGTATCTGGGATATCACTTCGTTGGCGTCGTATCATGCATATTGATTTGTAAATTATATCCAGCTATCATTATACCAATATCGATCCGTTTGACTTACAAATTGGGAACCCAAAAAAACAGACACGAGTTTCAAAAAGAGCAGGACGTGTTGTCAGATAGATCCTGTAAACAAACACAAGTGGAAAATGGTATATTATCTACCAAATTCTAGAGGTAAAATATTACTCCACATATGCAGAACCTTTTACTAATATGAATGAAACATCCCAACGTAGAAACTAACAGAGACAACTTTTATAGACCGTTGAAATCAAACCCCCGTTTTGGCTAGCGATAAACTAATCCTCATCCATGGACTCCCATCCATCGGGATTGCCCTCGCCATCTTCGTCCGAGTCCTCGTCATCATCATCATCGCTGCTTTCCTGATCTTCTGTCACGCCAACAGTTCGCTCCTTGACCTCAGCACCTTCCGTCGCAGCAGGGACACGCTCGGCAAAGACTCTTCTCACTGCCGCATTAGTAGAAGTATCCCAGATTTGCACGACGCCTTTGCTGCCAGCCACGGCGAGACGGAAACCGACTTCGGTATCGGGAGCAAACTTGGTCGAGAAGACCTTGCCGACACCGAGCTCCCGCGATACGACCATGCTGGGGCCGCCGCCGGATGATTGAACATTCCAGAGCTTGACAGTCTTGTCGGTCGAGCCAGTCACAAGGTAGCCGGGGATAATGGGGTTGACGTCGAATGAGGACACAGACTCATCGTGGGCCTGAAGTGTCCAGACAGGCTTGGAAGCGGCGGGACTAGAGGGAAGGTTTCGGGCGTCGTGGTAGTGGATGATGCCGGCTTCGGTAGAGATCTAACAATCTATGTTAGTAGGAAAGTAAAGGAGTGATGAAATTTGAACATACGTAGAAATAGTTGGGGTCGTGGGGGTCCCACTGCACGCTCTCGACGTCACTCTCGACACCCCAGCGGGGAGCCTTGGCGTCGGGCGCGCGCATGTCTGCCGCGACCACAGTACGGTCGTAGCTACCGCTCAACAGCACTGTGCTCTCGCGCGGGTGCCATGCCAGCGAGCAGACCTTGTCCGTATGGTAGGAGTATGACTTAGCGCACTTGGCGGTGTTGAGGTCCCAGAGCTTAACAGTCTTGTCGGCAGATCCAGAGGCCAGAAGGTTTCGGTGTTGTCGGTTTCCGGCTAGTGCAAGAACCGAGTCGACGTGATAGTTGTCGTTTGCAACCTTCTTGCCCTTCTTCTTCTTTTTCTTGTCCTTCTTTGAGCCGGCTGTGGCGGCTTCTGGGTTGGCCTCCTCGGCGCCTTGACCCAGGATGGCATTTGGGTACATCTGATCGACCGTGTCAAGGTCCCAGACTTCAATGTCCGGGTCAAATGTGCCGATTGCGACGGTGTTTCCTCGTGCGTCTGATCCATCACCTTCCTTGCCAACGGGCATATCGAGCCATTCGACGCAGAGAGGAATAGCTGGAAGCATTATGTCGTGGTGTACGTAAAGGTTGTCGGCTTCGTCCTCGTAGACGTACACTTCCAAGTGGGCAATTTCATCCTCAACCTTGGCAGCCAGCACCAGGTTGTCGTTTCCAAGAATCTGGAGGTCCTCGCGCTCCTCATTCTCCTCTTCATTCTCCTTGAGAGTAATGTACGGGTCTTCTTCATTCGAGTCGTGATATGCGAGTGACCGAACGTTACCGAATTGGGACATTGGATCGCCAGCGTCTTCATCCTCGGAATCGTCATCGTCGTAATGCTCCAAGTCAAATTCTTTGAGGACATCGTCATTGACATCACTAGAAAAAAAAGTATTCAATGTAAGTAACTTTTGCAGTCCTAGACGCACGTGAAGATCAAGGACGTAACTAACATCTTGTCTGACGAGGCGGCGTTTCCAGATTTTGACTTGCCCTCAGCAGGCACATCGTCCTTCATCTCATTCTCGCTTTCTTCATCCTCATCTTCATCTTTGGACGGCTTCTGCGCCTCCTTTAGATCATCTTTGGCGTCATCGAGTTGCAACTTTGCGAGCTTAGATATCCGTTCGAATTCTTCTTCGTTAAAATCGTATTTTGTGGGGAAAGGTGCCGCAAAGCCCCGCGGCACCCAAGTGGTTGCAGTAATCATGGACATGACGGGCTAAATTTATTACCGTCAAACAGCGTCCAGCGTTGAGACTTTTGTTGCTGGAACCGACAATTATTTTGCAACTTCAACACAGAAATTATTATCAGAAGAGACGAGCAACGGAGATCTCCGTTGGTAATCTTTTATCAGACCGCGCTAAGCCCACATACAGACTAGCGGCGAGAGATGTCCCTGGGACTTTATTGTTGTCGACTCTTCCGCTGTGACGTCTCGACATCTCTTTCCTGCAAATAAGTCTTCATCCATCTATTGCGCCTAGGGTGCTCTGTGTGTATTAGTCCAAACAGCAGCTGAAAGACAGAGCTTGCTGACAATTGAATACAAGAGGACGACTGCGACAATGGACAGCCCGAAGCGCAGAAAGCTCGATTCAGACCGGTTCGCGGTCCCACCGCGGCCATCGACAAGCAGACCGTTCCGCGGTTCCCAAACACCTATTCGGCCGCGGACAAATGCCACATCTTCTTCGAGGGCTTCTACGCCACGTACTTCTCGCTTTCCACCTCCGCACCAGCAAGAGTTTGACGGCCCCGAACCTCAAGTTGATATTGAGGACTCGAATGCTCTCGACCGCGACTGGTATGCCGGAGATGAATTTGGCTATACGTTTGGCGATGAGATGCACAACCCGTTTGGTGGAGCAGACAACAGCTGGGCTGATCAGAAGCGGGAGGCTGATTTGAGTGAGAAAAAGAATATGAAGCGCGTGAACTCGCGGGCCGTGCAGAGGCAGAAGGACAATGACGCATGGGAGACGAACCGAATGCTGACCTCGGGCGTGGCTCAGCGACGAGATTATGAGGGGGATTTTGAGGATGATGAAGAGGCTACACGAGTTCATCTTCTTGTCCATGACCTTAAGCCGCCGTTTTTGGATGGCCGGACCGTCTTCACGAAACAGTTGGAACCCGTACCGGCGGTCAGGGATCCACAGAGTGACATGGCCGTGTTTTCTCGGAAAGGAAGCAGGGTTGTGCGAGAAAAGCGCCAGCAAAGGGAGCGACAAAAGCAGGCGCAGGAAGCGACCAACGTTGCCGGAACGGCGCTTGGAAACCTCATGGGCGTGAAAGAAGACGAAGGAGACAGCGCGGCGCCGGCGCCGGGAGAAGAGGAGCAACAAAAGGGTGGCAGTAAATTTGCCGAACATTTGAAGAAGAGCGAGGGACAGAGCGCGTTTAGCAAGAGCAAGTCATTGAAAGAGCAGCGAGAGTATCTTCCTGCCTTTGCGGTGAGAGAAGAACTCTTGCGAGTGATCCGAGACAATCAAGTGATTATTGTCGTTGGACAGACTGGCTCCGGAAAGACGACACAGTTGACACAATTTCTCCACGAAGACGGCTATGCAAAGACGGGACTGATCGGGTGCACCCAGCCGCGACGTGTTGCTGCCATGAGTGTTGCCAAACGTGTTGCTGAAGAAATGGAAGTAAAACTGGGAGGTCTTGTCGGCTACGCCATTCGTTTTGAGGACTGTACTAGCGACGAGACCTCTATTAAGTACATGACGGACGGTGTCCTACTGCGAGAATCTCTCGTAGAACCGGACCTGGACAAGTACTCATGTATCATCATGGATGAAGCTCACGAGCGGGCGCTCAACACCGATGTTCTCATGGGCCTTATCAAAAAGGTTCTCACGCGAAGACGAGACCTCAAATTAATTGTCACGTCGGCTACGATGAATGCAGATCGCTTCTCTCGATTCTACGGTGGAGCACCTGAGTTTATCATTCCAGGACGGACATTCCCAGTCGACATCCAATTTTCTCGCTCGCCGTGCGAGGATTATGTCGACAGCGCCGTCAAGCAAGTTCTCGCGATCCACGTTTCTCAAGGTCCCGGTGACATTCTCGTGTTTATGACGGGCCAAGAAGACATTGAAGTCACCTGCGAACTGGTCGAGGAACGTCTGAGATTGCTCAATGATCCGCCAAAACTCAGCATCCTCCCAATCTACAGTCAAATGCCTGCGGACCTGCAAGCCAAAATCTTTGAACGAGCCGAGCCGGGCGTCAGAAAAGTCATTGTGGCGACAAACATTGCCGAGACCAGTCTTACCGTCGACGGCATCATGTACGTCGTTGATGCAGGGTACTCGAAACTCAAAGTGTACAATCCCAAAATGGGCATGGACACTCTACAAATCACGCCCATCTCACAAGCCAACGCGTCACAGCGGGCTGGACGTGCTGGCCGCACCGGACCAGGCAAAGCCTATCACCTGTTCACCGAAATGGCATTCAAAAACGAAATGTACATACAGACGATTCCCGAAATCCAGCGGACAAACTTGGCCAATACAATTCTCTTGATCAAATCACTTGGAGTCAAGGATCTGCTCGACTTTGATTTCATGGACCCGCCCCCTCAAGACACCATTACTACCTCTCTTTTCGATCTGTGGTCACTCGGCGCATTGGACAATCTCGGCGATCTCACACCCATGGGTCGCACCATGACCAGTTTCCCCATGGACCCGTCTCTGGCCAAGCTCATCATCACGTCCGAGGAGTATGGCTGCAGCGAAGAGATGCTGACAATTGTGTCCATGCTGTCCGTTCCCAACGTCTTTTACCGACCCAAGGAGCGCCAGGAAGAATCCGATGCCGCACGGGAAAAGTTTTTTGTCCCAGAATCAGACCATCTCACCCTGCTGCATGTGTACACGCAGTGGAGAGCCAACGGGTACTCGGACGGCTGGTGCATCCGGCATTTCCTGCATCCAAAATCCCTTCGACGCGCAAAGGAGATTCGCGACCAGCTTTTTGATATCATGAAGTTGCAAAAGATGACCATGACCAGCTGCGGCACCGACTGGGACGTTATTCGCAAATGCATCTGCTCGGGGTACTACCACCAGGCGGCCAAGGTCAAGGGTATTGGGGAGTATGTCAATTTGCGGACCAGCGTGACTGTGCAGTTGCATCCCACCAGTGCGTTGTACGGGTTGGGCTATCTTCCTGACTATGTCGGTATGTCACCTGTTGTGTTTTCCCCATTGGCAATTGCTCCTCTTTTGCTACTTTTCAAACGTTGTTCCTTTTTGCGCATTACCCTTTTACTTATTACATTGACTAACCAATGCCATTCGCATAGTCTACCACGAACTCATCCTTACCTCCAAGGAATACATGTCCACTGTCACTTCTGTTGATCCACACGTAAGTCCCCCTTTCTCTTTTCTTTCTCCTTTCTTTCTCCTTTCTTTCTATCTATACCATCCTAAACAACCAAACGTCTCCTCCCCTTCCTGCCCCCCACTTCTTTTATCAAAATCAAAAGCACAACCAACACCTCCCACACACAACCCCCGCCTTAATCCTCCCGAAACTAAACCACATAATCCCCGATACCACGACTAACATCATTCACCAATCCAGTGGCTCGCAGAACTCGGCGGCGTCTTCTACTCCGTCAAAGAAAAAGGCTACTCCGCGCGGGACAAACGCGTCACCGAATCCGAATTCAACCGCCGCATGGAAATCGAGACGCAAATGGCGCTCGACCGCGAACGTGACGCCCGCCGCCGCGCCGCAGAGGACGAACGCGCCCAGGTTGCTCGCGCCAAACGCCTCGGCGGCGCTGCTACTACTGTCGGGGCTTCATCCGCGGTTAGACGACCCACGACGTCCCTGACGAAGAATAATAGTGGTAGTGGTACTACTAGTAGTAATAGTAATAATCCGGCGCTGAGAAGGGTGGCTACGTCGGCGAGTGGAGCGGTTAAGAGGCCTATGACGCCTAGAGCGGGGCGGGGGTTTTAAAGTCTGTCTGTCTTACAGTAACTTGGAGCACCGATCTCACAGTAGAGAGAGCACTTTGTTCAAGTGGGTGGAGGATAATTGTACATATCACTGGAGAAGTTGAGACGAAAGTATAAAAAAGCAAATATCTTCCTCACTCGTGTTTATCACAGGAGTAAGATTAGAAGGAAGTTGAGAGAAATAACGTGAATTTAAAAAAATATATCCCATTAAAAGATTTCTCTCATTCTCTCTCTCTCTCTCTCTCTCTCGCAAATGTTTCCTAAGCCCGTATTCCCTTTTTATTGCACCCGATGAAATGAACCACGAAAATAGATAATGAACGAAGAAAAGGCCCCATGAACAAAGTAAAGTATAAAGAAGAAATAAAGCAGGAAAAAATGTGTGATAGACGAAAAAGACAGACAAGAAGATAGAGGCGTAAACAGCATGACGATTCGTTAAAGGAGTGGACGGGAGTTAAGCCACTTGTATAGAACAGTGGTGTGGGTATCGTGTCGCATTTTCTCAACTCCCAGAGTTGGTTTGGTAAGGAACGTGGGGCTTCTTTTTGGTCGTCGAGCAGCTTTTTCTGGCACCAGCCTAGAAAAGTGTCGGACAGACAAAAAAATGCGGACATGAAACAGCGGCGTACCGGGAAAAAAAAAAAAAGAGAACATAAAAACAAGAGATGAAAGGAAAAAAAGGGAAGAAAAGACCATCTATCCATTCGTCGTAGACCAAAGGTTGGAAATGGACGAGATGAAAGGAAATACCAAATACACAAGAAGAGAGACGGCAAGACGAAAACGAGGCGATTCAAAGCGCTGTTGCTTCTTCAGTTGAGCAAGAAGGAAACACTTGTTTGAAAACGAAAGCGTCGTCGTCGTAGCTGTCCTCATCGTCCACGAAGGGAAAAGAAAAATATGGACAGTTGTCGAAACAAAAGGAAGAAAAGACTCTCCAAAGTAAAAGTGGAAGGAAGAAGAAAAAGGGCAGCGAGATGATCGACGCGAGTGGTGTCTTTAGCAATGAAACAGGAACCGGTCCCGTTGTTCATTGCATGTTGAGAACTAAATCCAGGCAGGAGCCATGGCTTTATCGTCAAAGACACCGCCATACAGGCCGCCAATTTCAAACATGTATTCCTCGGCCGCGTACTTGCAGAGACCCTTTTGCTGGAAGATCCGGGCGTCTTCGTCGACGACGCTGTCGCGCACGCCAAATTCTTCAGCGACTTCATTCACCTGCTCGAGCTCACGGCTAAAAGGGTTGTTGTCGTACGACGCCGTGGAGAACATGTCGAGCGAGTCACGGGCCGCGGCCTGGTCGAGGCTGCTGTGCGAGCGGTGCTGGGAGATGGACCGGTGACGGGCAATAGCCGTGTGAGTTGCCTTGGTGTGGGACATGGCGCGGCGTGGAATGGCAGGGATGCCGTCTAGGTCAGAAGACGTAGAGATCTTGCTGCGGTGGATGGACTTGGCCTTCTTGGGAGAGCTCGTGGGCGACGCAAAGTAGCAGGACAGATGGTTTGGCTCGGGCCCCACGGGAGAGGCATCGTGCGAAGACGGCTCCGGGGACGAAATGGGCGTGGTATATCCGGGACGAGAGCTATTGTCCGAGTAGCTGTCCTCGTCATTGACCGACGCTGCAGAAGAAGAAGAGCCAGATGGAGTGGTCGGGCTGCCGCTGGCAATGTCGGGTGCGTTGAACGAGAGCATGTTGGTCGTCGAGATGAGCTGGACGGGGAGAGAAATCTTGTGTCGCAGAGTCTGCTGGTTGCCAGCTGAGCCCGGTCGACGAGTCGTGGCCGAACGCATGGGAAGATGGACTTCTTCAGTGGTACGCTTGACGCGCTTGGTGAAGGCTCGAGCAAGAGACATTTTGGACGTTTATGTAGTTGGTTTCGATTTCGATATTGAAAGGATCGTAGCTATGGTCGTTTTATTCGAATTGGTCTCAACAGTTGTGGTAGTTGATCGTTGCGTCAGACTGTCTAGCAGTCTAGTTGTAGTGTAGAGAAGGCGGCTGCAAGAGTTGCTGCAGCAAACGACGACGGAAGCAGTTCAAGAGACAAAAACACACAGACACAGCCCGTGTTTGTAGACCGAATGATCTCAGATCAAAAACGGACAAGGACAGTAGGGTAGTGGCCGTAAGAGCACGCGAAAGTATGGAAACAAACCCCGTTTGAAAAGAGTGAAACGGGGAGGAATCCAACGAGATAGCACGGTACGTAGGTGGCTATGCCTGGGGGTCCTTGCAAAAGGCGATTTGCAGGGTCAAAGGGAAAGGAAGTGATTCATTCAAGGGCAGGGAAATCAAAGGAAGGTAAAGCAAGGGAACGAAAGGCAGGGCAAAAAGGATGGAAAGTGTGGAGAGAAGAGAGTGGTGAGAGAGAGAAGGGGGAAGGGGACGGGGACGGGGACGGGGGACGGGGGACGAGGGAGTAGAAAAGCCCGGCGTCTCTCTTTACTGTAGTATAGAGAAGTACAACAGAGTAGTCACACACGCACAACGGGAGAGTTGCCGCACCATTGGGCCGTGCGGGAGGAGAAGGGAAAGAAAATGGCAAGATGATTGGCGATTGACTTACTACAGTACCATAGGATTCATCTAGTCTCCCCAGAAACAGTAAGGTTTCCGCTCGGAAGATATTCTCCACTCACCTAGTTCACAGTCTCTTCTGCTCTGTACGATTCTCTTCTCCTCAATTATAACAATAGCTCAATCGGACAATAACTTCAGATGCTGTATGATAGAGTCATGCCAAGGTCAATGCTCCGTCAGGTCAGACATGTTTCCACCTGACAGCGGTCATTGCAAGACACATGGGATAGCATCACGATGGTTAAAGTGGTGCCTGGTACCTGCTTCGATAACGTGACTTGGTCTGTGTGCTAAGCGAACTCATCAACCCCAAAAGGGAAAACAAGATTTTCATCTTTTCCCGGACTAAACTACTTTTACTCTAGTCAGTCGGTCCTATACACGTTGTGACTGCCAGAGATCTGGTAGACCATCCAATATACTATCCACCATTTCTTCATTTTTCTAGGTTCATTCTGATCATGTCCGGAGGCTGTCGGCAATCATGTCGGACATTGACAGAAGAACGTGGCTGATGAAATGCCGGCTCAATTTTGAATACAATCGTCTTACTCTACACGTTTAACACAATGACAGTATACGCGTGTCTTTTGTTGAGAGGGTAACAAGGAATCCTAAGCGCCACGCGGATCCTATCACATGTCGCCTCATCTATTATACCACAGGAGTACACCAAGTCTACTGTTAACATCTTGTGCACCCACAACCAATCACTTGCAATTCTGGGGAGTTATTCGACTAAGCCACACTGCTACAAATATTAATGTTTGTCAAACTCTGCCGTAGTATGCTTGGCAATTGTCTCGCCGAAATCCCCACAACAGTCTATTTGTTTCTCTTGTCCCTAGGCGAGGTACCCTCCACTGTATCTTTATATAGACCAAGACAAGAGACATGCGGTACAGTACATATCAACCTAAGACATAATGACGAAAGAGGTGATGGGAATGACTGCAACCGGGAAACCATAAGTATTTTATCCATGAGTTCATCAAAACAAAATAAATAAATAAAAATAATGAAGAAAGTTTGACAATGTTGGACATGAGTAAATTGATAGACTTGCAGCGTCATGTCCAAATGCTGCCCGTCTATCTGTTTGACGACCTGGTACGACTATATACCTTGAACAGCAGTGTACTCAAGTCTTGGGATGAGAAATGGTGTGGCACTACGTGCCCCTGTTGTTAACAAGACAGTGTCATGCTACCGAACCCAAGCACAACAGACCTGAATGATAACCCGGCATTTCCCTAGCAATAGGACGGTAACGGGAGCGTGCATAATGTACAGAGGCTTCTATCCAGCAGAGTGTGCACGAGTTGCTTGCCAGACGGGATCCCCGTTATGATCATCAGAACGTCTCAAAGCAGCGGGCGCCAGTGTGTGCTTCCATCAAGAGCTCTGCTAGGACTGTCGTGAAAAGATTTAATCTCGCTGGTACCGGGAGTATCTGGGCGGCTGTCGCGCTTGCGCTTGTTGTCGGGATCCAGAGCGGGTGGGGATGACTGAGGCCTGAAAAAAAGGCTCGAGAGCACTTTTTGGCAGCATTGCCGCTGTCATCGAACGAGGTGCGCCCGCTGTTTAGGCACGATTGCAGCAGGCGAAGCAGGAATGCAAGCGAAAGCTCCAACGCGGGGTTGGCTGGTGATCGACATCTTATTAGCACGATTGGATCTAGCTTTGCGACCATCTACGGAGTACTCCAATACACCGAAATCTTCCTCTACATATAAAGTATACCGCCCCATGTCTACAATCACTTCATGAGACTTTTGACGGTGACAAATATTGGCAGCATTTGTCCAAATGGGCTCAAGAGCCACGTATAAAGATGAGGATCTTTACCGCTACGACTACTTCATGCATCTCGCACTAGTGTCTATCAACCGGAATGATTCAGTACCAGGACAAGGGGCGGGAAATATGGGGTCCAATTTTCGATATCGGCCATTCAAATGTCCTGCTAAGGCATTTTGTACCCCTGTTAGGGTGTTGATCTACCCGTCAGACGTGGGCGGAGTGTGAAGCTCAAGAAGGCACATGTGGTGAAGATCATGTCAGCTGCATGCAATGTATTGGTGGATACTGAGCCATGCGTAGTCGCATACATGCAGTGAGTTGCACAAAATGAGCATACAGCTTCTTTTCAATTATAACTCTTACTAGATGCTATCCAAACTTCAGCACAAGGACGGGAAATATGGCAAACCTCCCAGTTCAGGCCAATCAAAGAACACTGTCAAACGCCTGAGGCCCTTGTAGATGCTCCAAACTGCTCACTAGCTGCATTTTCTACGACATCATCTTCTCTAGAATGAGAGCGAAGGAGGCACCTCAGCTGCACGAGAGCAGCTTAGGAAATATCCAGCTCTTGGCAGCTTGGCATTAAAATGCTTCTATTTACTTATACATTGCCAACCCGTTCACCCTCATGGACTGACAGCAGCAACTCCTGATATCACTGGCCCTGAATACAACTTTGGCCCTACCAAATTCCGCATGCACCAAAAATGAGTGTCGTGCAAAATCCACCAAAAAGGCTCATCTACTGCGTCGATGGCACTTGGTGCGGTCCGGATGGAGCTAGTCATGCCGGCAGCACCCTTACCAATGTCTATCAAATCTATGTGAGCATTCATGACAGTTCCAAGTCTGGCACATGTTCCCAGGACGGCTTTTTTCAGCAGCCAATGTACGAGCCTGGTATTGGCTCAGCTGATGATACACATTCCATGGAAAGGATAATGTCAGGGGTATTCGGCGAAGGATACTTGCAGCAGATTAAAAAGATATACGAAACATGCTGCAGGCTAAGCTCTGAAGATGAGGTTTGGCTCTTCGGCTTCAGTCGTGGTGCCTTTGTTGTGCGAGCAGTGGCAGGATTACTGCATTACCTGCGAGCAATCTCTTCGGCCGGCACCCCGCAATTCGCAGAAGACTACAAAACAGCCCTAAAAGTGTACGCCACATTTCAGAAGCAGAGCAAGCTTGGACCTGGTCAGGTACTTTTCGCTCGATGCTTGATTCGGCATCTCATGTCCTGGTGCTGACAGAACAGATACATTCGTATTTCTCTGCTACTACTCGAAAACCACCAAAGATCAAGTTCATTGGCGCCTTCGATACTGTCAAAGCAGTAAATGATCGATTCCTTTTCGACATTTCCTTTAACGACTCCATCTTGCATCTACGCCATGCTTTGGCGCTCCATGAGGATAGAAAGGCGATGACACCGGAATACATCTATCCAGATCTTAGAAATAGACTTGGTGAGCGAAGCATTGTGCAAGCCTGGTTCGCCGGTGCTCATATCGACATGGGTGGGTCTGCCGCGAAGGCTGGCCTATCTCTGTACCCGCTGCAATGGATGTTGCTCGAGAGCCAATCCCTTGGTTTAGCCTTGTCATTTCATGGCACATTTGGAGGAAGAGCCAGTATCGACAATCCACTACGACTCGTGTTTCCAGTCACGGAGGAGCAGGGCAAAGGAGCGGACATGTGGACCTGCAGGATGGAGAATGGCTTGGAGATCAAGATGCAGGACATTCGTCGGGTCCATGGCCTCGAGCGATACGAGGGTCGCTACAGTATAAAGCTCAACAGACATCACGCCACATTGTGGCCGAAGGAGAGACGCAAAGTGGTCAACAGTGAAGGCAGCTTGAATGGATGGAGCTTTTGTAAGTATACCAGATTCCAGTCATTGTATCTAATAATTGCTGAAACATACGGCAGTTCCCCAGGGTACCGTTATTCATCCCTCGGTGTTCCTCCTTATGGATGAGTCAATAAATATCAGCCTTGATACCAAGGACTTGAAGCTGCATAACAGTATCGAGCACTGCAGGAAACAGGTGATGGGTACAAAGAGTAATATTCTCAACACTGGTTTTTGGAATGATCAGCCGACTCCGGAATTTGATCACCTTGGAGCAATCCGCGTCCTGGTATGTGGTAATACTGGAGTCGGCAAGTCAACGTTGATCAACAAGGTCTTTGGAGTTCCGCTTGTAAGCCTACTGACGCACTCCAAGGTCATTGAACAAAGCTAATTGCATATGTAGACGGGGGAATCATCGCGGGAGAGGGGTATACACGATATCAGGAAGGAGATCAGATACGACGATCGACCTGACCTGATTGTACACGACTCTGGAGGGTTTGAGGCTGGCGCGACTGGAGAAATTAGCGTTGTGCAGAATTTCTTGAAGGAGAAGTCCACTACCGCTGAAATTGACGATCGGCTTCACGTTATATGGTAAGCTTCAAAAACATCATCCATCCCCTTCCAAGCCAGTGCGATGGGGAGACGGTAAAATCTAACCCAACATAGGTTTTGCATCGACATGCCAAGTCCACGAACCAAGCAAAACGCAACACTGGAGCTCTTCAAAGCCGTCTCCGAGTATGCGCAGGAAGTGCCCATCATTGTGGTGGTGACGAAGATGGATGAATTCTTCGGCGCCAAATTCTATGAGCGCCGTACACTACTAACAAGAAACCGTCAGCCAGTAGTCATGGAAGACTGCGATCGATATGCCGAAGATCAAGTGCGGGAGCGCGTGACCTTGATCAGGGCAGAAATGCTGGCCGTGCATAACGGTCGACTCGACGCTTGTGTACCAATTTCCCGAGGTGAGCTTATGTTGTCTCTTTCTCGTCAAACGGGCTCCCATGATATGGCGAACCATTCACAACCCCATGGGGACCCCAAAAAGACAATAAACGTTATACAGCTAGCACTGCACTGCAAAATTATCCTAGCTAACAAACAAACAACATAAAAAGACGACGAAGACTCCATCAAAAACCTCACAGACACCACCTCCCGCTGCTTCTCCTCGGAGAAAGTCCGCATCCTCTACATCCGGGCACAAGTCTCGCGGATCGAGCTGAAAATGGACCTCGCCATTGGCGAAGTCATGCGCACCTACAAGCGCTCCCTCCGCGGCGCGACCGCCGTCGCCGGCATCCCCATCCTGCCCACCACCACGCGCGCCAGCTCCGCCGTCGACGTCTGCCGGACCATCATTGCGTGTTTCGGCCTGCCCTTCCTCTCCGGCGAGACCGCGCTGCAGATTGTCAAGATCAACGTCTGGGACGACCTGACCAACAACATGATTGTCGTTCTGTCCGAGGGCATTGCGCTCGTCGGCGTCGGCGCCTCTGTGCTTCTGGGCGGCATGCCCGTCTTCCTTGCCTCCAGCGCGCTCAACATCCCCCTCGTGGTCCCTGCCACTGCCCGCCTCCTGCTCATGCTCGCGGCCGATCTGATTCTCATCCTGGCAAAGTCCTTTCGCGACGCCTCCGCCAAGAACATTGGCCAGCCGCTTGCGTCTGATCTGAGAGTCGCTGCCCGTGCGTATCGACCCGTCGTGGGAGAGGTCCATAGGAAGATTAAAAAACTCGTGCCCCGCCGTAATCTGGTCGCGTGTTACAGGACGGATAAAGTCCGGGAAGGGTTCGAAAATATTATTGAAGAGTATAAGAATAAAGTGGTCGATGATATCCCTGTCCCCTCGGCGGAGAGGTTCGACGAGTCTGATAATGCAAGTGAGTCGGACTTGGCTAGTACCGATACTCTCATTGATGACGCCAAGGATATTTTGGTAGAGGTGAAGAAAGACCAGCTGGGTGCTTGATGGTTTTGTACTGTTTTTTTTTTTTGTTATGTTATCTCATGTTATTTTTTATTAATTTTTTCTTATTTGATTTGATTTGATTTTTTTCACAGCCCTTTTCGGATGTTCATTGCTTGACCAATTTAATGATGTCTTTAATGCCTCCTTACTCAGCCTTACCAATTAAATGACATCTTCAATTACGTTTGACTTAGTCTTACCAATTCTTGAATTGAAAAATCCGAGAAACAATCATGATCCATGCGGAGGCTTGCAGCAGCACAGCAGCACAGAAGTTGGTAGCTTCACCTCAATATCATCCCGGCATCCCAGTAAAGGCCAAAGACGGTAGACCAGATATACAGACAACCTCATTCTCCGCTTTTATTAATCTTTTTCCATCCCATTCCCAACGCAAACACAAACGTGGCCACCGAAGCTCCCACAGCCAGATAAAATGTCCGATCAACACCTAAACTGTAGGCGCGCAAAACGCCTGTAATCTGCTCAGGAGCCACGGCCTGTCTGAATCCGGTCACACCCGCGGCAATTACGGCTGGCACGTTGACAGTCGAAGCATATTTGCGCAGGCCGGAGAGGAGGCCGTCATTGAAGACAATCTTGGCAAAGGCAAGGAACAGCGAGCCTCCAAAAGTCTGTCCAAAAACGGCGAGGGAAATTCCGAGAGCGCTCTGCTCCGGGGGAAGAGAGTTTTGGATGGCGATGATTGGCTGGTGGGTATGGAGAGACTGATGTCAGCGTATGGCCTTTTTCGGGGAAAAGAGAGGAGGGGGAAAGAAAAAGAAAAGGAAAGAAAAAGAAAAAGAAAAAAAAGGGAAAAAAAAAAAGAAAGAAATTTGAAATTTCGCATGGAGAGGGGGAAGGAGAGGAAAGATCGGGAGTAATAAAAGCTTACTGATTGCATCCCGCAGCCACGGCCAAACCCTCCGATGAATTGATACATTACCCATTTCACTGTAGACGTATAGACGTGGAAGGTGGATATTAGCCCTGCTGCTATAGAGACAAATATGGCGCTGGCTAATGCCCAGGGGACGTAGTATCCTGTTTTCCCGACTGTTGGGATTGACGTAGATGTTAGCAGATGATGTGAGTCTGTGACCAAAAAGACCTAATGACATTAAATTCCGGGGGAGGGGGGGTTGAGGGGTGGAAGAGAGGCACAAAAGAAATGAACCCGGAAGATTAGTTTGTGCGTTGTGTGTTTTGGAAGGGTGGGTAAATTGTAAGCGTACTTGCTACTCCGGATGTAATCGCCATAAGTATCTGTCCCAAAATTCCAGGCAACATATACACACCACTGAGGGTGGGAGAAACGTCTTTGACGGCTTGAAAGTAAATTGGTAGGTAATAGGAGAAGATGAGCAATGAGCCGGAAAAGAAGCCGAGAAAGACACAAGAGCACCAGACTTCTCGTTTACACGCCACCGAGTAGGGAATCATGGCCACGGAGTCGCCAACATGACGCTCCCATGCGGCGAATGCAATTAGGGCAACCCCTCCACCGCAAAAAAGACCGATGATGACGGAGCTTCGCCAGCTATAGTATGATCCACCCCATTCGAGTGCCAGAGAGATCATGACTGCGAAGGCTGCGAATATCACAAACCCTATGAGGTCGAGCTTGGGAAGTATGGTTCTGGCGGTGTTCTTTGTTTCGTTGGGCGAAGTTTGATCAACCGAGGACGTCAGTCGGTCAGGTATGCTGATGACGAGCAGAAGGATGGCTGCAGCAGCACCGATGGGGAGGTTGATATAGAAACCTGAATGGGGTGTGAGTACGTGGGCGGCAGTAGTTTAGTGGCCAAAAGTTGATAGCCAGACAGGGGGAAAAGCAAAAAATAAAAGGGCGCGAGTGTGCAAAAGGTCTACGTACACCATCGCCAAGTTGCATGTTGAGTGAAAGCACCTCCAAGCAGGGGCCCGCAAACAATGGCAATCTGGCCAACTAAAAACATTGTCAGATAAGTGGACAGGGCGCTGGGAATACAACTTGATGTCTTCTGATTGACTTACAGCCCATCATCACTCCTATCAAGACTTTGTGCTTCGTCAGCGCATCATGTTGCAATCAGAAATCTGGGTCGCTTACGTGGTTGCTGGCTTTTGGGAGCCGCCGCTGAGAGAATCGTGATGGCACCGTTGGTGAGGCCAGAGCCTCCCAGTCCAGCAACGGCGCGTCCGACTATCAACATCTTTGAGGATTGTGCGGCGCCACACAGGAGCGAACCAAGCTCGAAAATGCATAAAAATGCAAGGAAGGTGTACTTCAAAATCGAGTGCGTATACAATTTACCAGCCAATGGCTGAAGGGCACAGCTAATGACAGCGTTAGCTGGTCTGGTTCATGGAGGGGAACGCCGAGCTGGAAAAGGCCTGAGAAGACGTACTTTGCCAGAGGATAGGCACTGCCATACCATCCTACGTCAGCGAGGGAGTGGAAATCACTGGTGATTCGCGGAATGGCCTATGGATTTCCGTCAATATTCTCCCCCATACTGGGTGCTGACAGGCCCAGAAATCATCTTACAGTGACAATGATGGACATATCAAGAAGCATCAGAAATGCTATGAGAGTAACTGAAGCAACGACCAGCCAGAGCTTGATGCCCGAGATGTACTGTGGCTTTGATTCCGTCACTTCACCTCCAGCGGTTTCTTCTTCTTTTGCATTGTGCTGTGTTGATTCCACGTCCTTTGGACATGATGTTTGCGACATTGTCCGATGCAATTGAGTTGAAATGGTAGATTCCCTTGAACTGGCAAGAGTGATTCAACTTTTTTAAATCAAGTGACTAGCACCTCTGTAAATGTCGTCGAACCAATGTACATCTTTTTTCCAGCCAATGCCTTTGGTATCACCCGTCCCCTTTCATAAGCTGATCGTGCGGTTGACAGTCCATTCCAGCTGTGCTCTTTCCTTGTGCCGGGACATATTGTTGCCACGTAAGCCCCGTAACCTCGAAGCAGATAATATAACTAAGGTACCATGCTGCGATTGGTCATAGATACCTCTCTCATGGGTTTCCTTTGTCGGCCAGGGTTCATGAACGGGGGTGGTGGTTTCTTTAAGCAAGGAACCCCTTTGCTCTAGGGCGTGGGTTGCCGCCCAAGCGCCAATCGTTTTGTGTTCCGTTGGTGCGTATAATTAAAATCTCCGCTCCTGCGGGGTCAAGTGGTGGGCTTGCCGCGTTGCATTAGCTCTAATCATACCCTAAAACCCCACCGGGAACCCGCGGTTAACGGGGCTGTGCCGACCTCCCATATACGACGGCAGGTCCACTTGCCCGCGACTTCAATTTTCGTCTCGACCAATTGGGCCAGGTGAGATACTTTTTTTCTTTCATTACTATTTCTTTCAATGCCTTTTGATTGATATTATTAACAGCCAAATTATGAAATATATATATCTTTGAAAAAAAGTAGGGAAAAAAATATTACTCTGTTTCAGGACTTGAACGTTTAAAACTACTGCTAATCATTAACTAGATTTAGCTCAAAAGTCTAAAGAACCAATAACTAGTTTAGACACGTTTTAATCGGAGTTTCTAGATTCTGAGACAAGTAGAGTAAACAGAAAATGAAATATTTATTAATCTTGATTCTTGAGCAACAATTCCAAATTGTAATCGATTGAAAAAGTCAGGAAAACATGCGCGAAAAATAAAAATATTTTGCCTATTTATACCTAAGTATACTTTAGACATGTCTATTTAAAACGAAACCAGACAAACTCCACGTGAATACTGGTGCTCAGAATCTCAGATTGACATTCCTGGCGCCAGAGATGCAGTCGATACCTCTGGTCGCGTTGAGATTAAGATGAAGGGTACGAAGAAGCAGGTGAAAGAAGCGAAGCAACTCTTGGCTCTCTTCTCCACAATGGAAAATCGCCCTACTTTGAGCGAAGAGCATGTTCAGCTCCTCGTGTCTTCACCCAATCAAGCCAGTAACTCCCCAGCCCCGCAATCCAAAATCGACAGCCACCCTCGGTAGCCATCACCTTGCCTTGCTCTATACTTAATTTACCAAATTCCAAGTCGCCCATGTTAAGTAAAGAATCCGCAAGCGAAGACAGGATTGCCCTGGATGCGTGCCCATGGCCAAGAGGGAATTTCTGAACATAGTCAAGAGCTTCAGACCATTTTGCTTTCGCCTCGGCATATTGTGCCTGTGAGTGGTGAATCCGTGCTTGGAGAGTAAGTAGACGGAGCTGCGCCGCTCGTGGAAGCTTTCCCCAAGGATGTCCATCAAGAATATTCTGGGCTTCAGCAAGCCGTCCCTGTCCTTGTTGTAGCAGAGCTTCGACCAGGGACAACTTTAACTCCGAGACGTCTCGTGAGCTATACCCATCATAAGGACGCGCAAGTTCGCCAGTCAAGATTCTCTCGGCTTCTTCTCCTTTGTCGGACTCGCAGAGGGCATCCGCCAAGTTGCAAAAAAGCTCACGGCGAATGTCGAAATAGAGGTCCCCATGGTTCTCGACCTCCTGAAAAAGTTGCTTGAATTGTACCAAAGCAGCTTGAAAATGTCCTTGGTAGCGAAATATCTTACCCCTAAGGAGCTGCAATTGGTTGAGAACAACCCAATTTTTTCCAAGTAAACATAACATTCCCGTCTCGCCAGCAAATTTCCGGACGATCCATTCCCAACGGCGACCATAACACACCAATTTCTTAAATTTATTACTGACGCTCTTGGGATCCAAATTGCCTGGAAGTTGCAGGATCCGGGAGACACTAGCAGTATGAGACGTACGTATCGGATATTTCCTTGAAAGGGCCAGACAGTAGATTCGTTTCATGATTTGGCGTATGACAAGATTTGGCTCAAGTGAGGTAATAGCAAGATAGACGTGGACAATGGTATCAGTTTGGGGACAAGATAATAAATTGTCCTTGGCCAGCTGTTCCTTCAAATATTCCTGCGGCTGACGCACATTCTTCCAAAAGAATTCGAATTCTGTGTCTGGATAACTTTTGCTCAATATTTCGAGTCGTTCTTGCCGGGTATCTTTGCGAAATAATGAGGGGGCGATCCGATAAGTCTCATTGAGAAGTGTGCACTGTTCAAGTCAGTAAACTTGTATTAGATGAATGGATAAAATGCGTACTTCATCCGGTGTGATGGTGTCGTACGAACAAGAGCGCAACTTACTGCACAGGCAGGTCATTGTTGAATTTGCCTAATTTGCTTGAAAGATGATTAGTGTACGCATATTACGTAGTAAGTAATGATGACGATAAAGGCACCAAAGGGGTTTTAATGATGAGTGGTAGTGGCGTAGCACCACAACTCAGAGGGACTGGTAGACCCGTCTCCTCCGCAATCCAACCGGCGCTACCGGCCAATGGACGTCAAAAATAGGTGCCCGCGTGCCCGCGAAGGGCACCTGTCGCTTATCGCTTATCTAGGCGGGTTCAGGGGAAAGGTGCCCGCCGAGCACGTAATGTCTATGGCTAGTGGTTCAAGAATAATCATGAATTATTTCAGGTTTGCAGCATGCAGGGGTGAGTGTGTTCAAGGCATCAACGGTGGCTTGTTGCCTCATTTTTGTGTGGCATGCATGGTCTGATCGCTCAACTCATCAAGTCTCTACGTGTCCAGGGTGTTTCTCCTTTTTTTCTCCTTTTTTTCTAATTTTTCCTTTTTCTCTCTGCAAGTAGCTTTTCAACGTCATCCATGGTACATCCTTTGTACTTGCTTCTTTATGTAGGCGCCTAGATACCTAATCAATGCCATGCAAGGAATCCTATATTGTCCTCCCACTTGAGTATCTTTATGCCATGTATATGAATTGCCCATAAAAAGCAGAAATGTCCTTCTAATGAAGAACCCACTGCAACTTCTTACGTTGGGTCGTTAAACTATTTTGTCAAATATTTAATATCCATGCCAAAGGGCGTTTTTTCATCCAAATTGGAGACTTTATGTTTATTACATGGCTGTAAATGCTTCACGGGAGCTAGTAATGGACAATAGAAACTGCACAACAAGAATAATAAATAGAAATCGAATGAAAGCATATGCCCCTCGGTGCCTATATTTGTTTTTGGACTGGCAAAGTCTAGTCTTAGAGACTTAAGAAGTACTCTTGCGAAAAAGAAATTGCTGGCATAGTATATCTAACGAAAATGGCCTATCTACAAGGATTCAACAAAATCTGCAAGGATGGGACCTGCGAGGCGGCGAGGCTGCGAGACTGAATCCAAATATGCTTCAATCGGTGATATCTCTGCCATGTTGTGTCACAAGGCTTGGACATATCATAGGATCATACCCGGAGCAGCAAATCTCATACTTTGTGCATGAAAGTCAAACAGGAAGGAGCACATGTTATATTTATGACTTTTGTTCGATTGGTTGCCACATGAGGGGTAGATGAGAGCCTGTATAGAGATTGCAGCGATTGTCTCTTGATGGCTGTTCAGGAGTGACAACCCTTGAGCTGCGCCCGTGGAAATCATGTCCAAAATTTTCTCTATTTAATGAAGCCGATGGTTCCTCTCTTTTTTGCTCTTTCTGGATTTCCTCTCCGCACAGATATCCCTTCTCAACCTTTCTGCCGTTGTCAATGAACCTGTTAGCCTTTTCTTCTTGAACTTTCAAACATGTGTCAGGTTTACGAAACCCGCATCATTTATCAAGGCGGTGGTTGCATGATCGGAAAATGCGATAAAGTTGACCGGATCGTCGAAGAATGCACTTCCAAACCTTCCTCAGGTGTCGAATCCTGCGCGAACTACAAATACATCGTTGCAGGCTCGTCCAAGAGAGGCGGGCCTCATCCAGGACATGCACATGCTCCACCAGCGACCAACGCGAGCTCCAACAGTGGGTGATTGAATAATAACATTGAACATTCAGATTGAGTTAACACTTTCTGCACCGACAGCTGCCCCAAGTACCTAAACCGCTTCGATCTTACGGTGTGTAAACGTGGAAGATAGCCAGGGTAGAACCCTGGAAGGGATTCGAAACCATTGACGGACAGCTACTGATAGGTTGGAATATCGGGTGCTATTCAACATAGCTGCATCCATGATTGCACATTTGCTTCATGCCCTGTGCTTTTTAGTACTGCTTTTGTATTTAACAGCCAACAATCGAGCCCCGGGTTACTTTCGAGACTTTCGGATTAATATTTAAATTTGTAAACAAGAATTATATTCCTATATTGTAGAAAAGTTGACAAGCCGGAATTCTAAATGCATCATATCGTATTGTATTGATAATACTACGTCCTCTGAGCATTGATCCGTCATCAGCTTCTGTATTAAAATTAGATTGACATCTCATGACTCGTGAGTCGTGGGTTTTAAGGGGTTCGAGGGCGTCAGGCCTCAACAAAAGGTATTAAAATATAGCCTGCGCGAAACGGACCGTGCCGCCAGAAGCGAAAACCCTCTCCTGCGGGTATATAAAGGAGGTCAGGGCAGCTTTCCCGCCCTGGGATTTTTCGTGTTTCTGTCACAACTTGTATTACAAACAATTTGGGGATTGATCGATTTCCCGAGCACCAGGGCCTTTAACAATCTCTTGAGAGCATTAAGAAACTGTCACCATCATATTGCTTGGAAAATACACTGGATTTTTTCCAGCACGCATGGTATAAAAAATGGATAATACAACAAAACCCCAACTCCTAATGATTGGCATGGGCGCCATTACAACACGCACAGGCGACCGAGTATGTAAGAAGTACCGAATCCTCGACGACGACGCAGCCGTCACAAAGGACAATATCAGCGCCATGGAGCGAGAAGCCAACGTATATCTCATGCTCGGCACGCATCCACACGTGGCCGAATGTCTCTTTGTAGCGCCATCAAAGGAATATATCGAGCTGCGATACTACCCCAAGGGCAACCTCCGAGACTACAGGGCAATGCATGCCCATGACATCTCTGACGCGCGTTTGGAGCATTGGGCGTACCAAATGATTGACAGCATCGCATTTATCCATTCCAAGGGTGTCCGCCACGCAGATATCAGGCTTGACCAGTGGCTCGTAGACGAGCAGTTGAATGCTCGACTGTGCGACTTCAATGGGTGCGGCCATGATGGAGATGCGGGGCTGGGATTGCCAGGCGTGCGCTCCATGTCGCTTGAATCTTCCACGCATTTCCTTCCGCGGGATCCGCTGGAGATTAGCACTGTTGGAACAGATCTCTTCGCACTAGGATCGGCGCTATATGAGCTTGTCACCAATCACAAGCCATTTGTAGGTTTGTCAGACGACGAGATTGAGGTGCGATTTCGACAGAAACAGTTTCCCTGCACGGAGGGCCTGCTCATTGGCCGTACGATCAATGGCTGCTGGCAAGGTGCGTTTGCATCTGCGGTGGATGTGCTGGACTCAATTGGCGGGCAAGGAGAGTCTTTGCGTCCAAATGCTCGAGCAAAGTCTGGGTTCGCAGCGTTGGCAAAAGTGTACCAAATGTTACATACAGCTCTCCATTCTGTAATCTTCCGGATCCCGCGTCCTGTGCATTACATGCTCTTTCTAACTCTTGTGCCCTTTGTTTCATTTTCAACTGCCCGGTGGGTCAAGGCATACCAAAGATGAATCCTGTTTAATTCTTTTTCTAGAGGAATGGCTTTTATTGTCAAAAGTCATCATGATTTAATAAACTTTCATTGATCTAGTATCAAGTTATTCTCAGCGAGGTATCATCAAATGTAGATGAAATACATGCATGCATATGGCACAACAATCGCAGAGGCTAGTAAATCCGACGCCATCATCGTTTGATGGCGCGTATCGACGTAGAACATCGAATAAAGAAAATTAAACTCCCTCAGGGGAGGACGAGTAAAACGCAATGGAAGAAAAAAAAAGAAAAGAGAAAAAGACGAGTATGACGACGAAAAAGGAAAAAGTTGAGACCGTGCCCAAAATCGCGCCGTATTGCTCCATCACGCTTCCAGCCATGCATATAACTAATGCTCATCAAGAAGCTCGATTGAATAACATAGCAAGCCTGCGCCTTATCCTGCCGCGCCGTTCAGAGCTGCGAATAACTGTTGAAAAAAATACGCAAATCAAAGGAAATGAAGGGAAGTGGGGTTTCCCCGAAAGAAAAATCGCCATACTCCAATGATGCGCGACAAAAGTCTGCTCTTCATACGTTCCACGTTCCACCATCACCCACCTCCGGCATCGTCGTCATCATCGCCATCTCCTAATTCTCTCATTCCATATCGTCATTATCGTCCCCATAGTTCGAGACCGACGCGTTACTCGGCAATTCCACCTGGTCCATCTTCACCTCCACCATTTCCACGCTTCTTAGCCTCTCGCTGTGCAGCATGGGCTTGGATGAGCTCTCGAGTGATGCTCAGTCCAGCACGGAAATCGGTTAAAAGGCGAGTCAACTCCGTGGCGACTTGTTCGTTGCTGGCCCCTTCAAGGAGAGCTTCCATAGATGGTGGAGCGACGACCGGGAAAACAAATCGCTCGCCATTCGGGCCGTAGATGACGTCTTCGAGACCCTCGCCTTCGTCGTCCGCAGTCTCATCGGCACTTTCATTGCTGCCAAACGATTGACCAAGGAAGCCACTGCCTGCCATCGAAGACGCAGAAGATGCGACTCCGCCTCCGCTGGCCGAGGTTGCAACGTCGGTATTGAACGAGCTTCCAGCAGATCCAGTCATAGGCAAAACACTCGTGGCTGGACCGGCGGCGCGTATCCCGTTTGTGGGAATGCTCTTCAAGCCTTCAGACAATGGAAAGTCTGGATCGCCAATGCGAGTGGGAGGACGGAGACAATATCCCGGATGAAGTTCAGCGGGGTTGTCATTTGGTTCAAAGTTATCCCAGACAGTAGGATCGGTAGGGTTGGAGTCATCCTGGTTAATATCGCCGTTTGTTGGGCGCTGGCTTGCCGGTTCTTCTCCTCCCTCAAAGAATGGGTGCTCGCCCATCATGGTGCCAACCTTGCGGGTGCCGTATTTGCGGAGTGTACCCGAGCCAGTGCTAGATACGGACTCCTCACTCGAAATGCTAGGCTGACGCGAGCGGTGAGGGGTCTCGAAAGCGTGTGAGGCGGGAGTAGAAGAGAGACCAACGCCCAAGCCCGAACCAGAAACCATGGTGGCTTCAGTGTCAATTTCAACATCGGGGGCCGGGCCGCCTTGCTCGAGCAGGGCGGTATCGAAAGGCTCTGGGAATGGCTCAGACGAAGCCATGTCACCTCCATCAAGTGAAGCGAACTTGTTCTCAAGATGGAATGGGTCGCCAAGAGTGGTGGATGCAGAGTCCGCGGCTGAGCTGGAAGTTGAGGGACGTGGGACTTCAGCCAAGTCGAGATCAATGAGCGACCGACGAACCGGCGATTCAGGGCGCGAGACAGCTGGGCCCGGGTGCATGAAGCTAATATCACTACCCATCCCAACCGGCTCCGTAGCGGTATGAATGAGGCGAGGACGAAGAGGAAGACCGTCACCCATCGAGTCGGTCCCTGCAACAGCATCACCGGGTCCCATGTCAGAAAGGGGTGGTTGCATCATCATTGGAAATTTCCAGTCTTGGGTGCGTCGGTTGAGATTCTCCTCGGGGAGAGTGGTGGGGAACTTCCACTCTCGGGTGGCACGCCGGGGTTGGTCATCACGGAGATAGGCGTACTCGTCCTCTTCCTCCTCATTGTCCAAGTCTTTGAGGAAACGGTTGGCCGGGTTTGCTTTAAGGGTCGGAACATTGGCCAGGTCAAGGTTGATATCACCGAGTCCAGCACTGTCGGAATTGAAGCCGCCCAGGTCAATCTGAGATTCCTGAATGGAGGAGAAATCGGTCGGGTGGTTGCGGAAGGGCAAATCTGAGACAGGCTGAGGGCCCAGATCGTCAAGCTCGTCTCGGACAACGTACTCATAAGGAGCCGCCTTCTCGTCAAATAGTCTCATCATGGCAGCTTCGCCACGAGCCACGCGTTGCTCATTCTGATGCTTGAAGTTTTTATCCGATGCCATCTCCCGACGAGTCTTGGGCTTTTGGAGAACGGGCTCAGGCTCCTGAAGGGGTGATGTAAATTCCTGTTCCTCGGATTGGTCCATGTCTGCAAACCGCTGGTTGAATTCAGCAGTAGTACTGAAATTCCATCCGTCTTCTTCGTCGTTGAGTGATTCCGGGAAATTCAGTGCGGCAGCTCCGCTGGGTGCGAAGAGTGACTGGCGTAGACCACCTGACTGCTCCCAGACGTAGTAATTTTCAATGAGTTGCTTGAGGATATTGGTGGGGTAACGTTTTTGAGTGTTGAAGACGTAATAATGTTTCAAGATATTGTCCATAGACGGACGATCCTTTGGACGTTCTTCGAGACAGAACGCTACAAAATCACGCAGACCCTGAGTATAATTACCGCCTTCGAGACGAGGAGCTTTCTGAAGCAATTTACCCAGCTCATCAGGGTGGCGAACTCCGTGGTTTGGGGGATGACCCGACGCTATTTCGTAAATGGTGCAACCATAGGCCCAGCAGTCGACCTGTCACATTTACTTTTAGTTCACTGAATGATCAATTCACCACTTTCACCTCTCACACTCACCTCATTACCGTATCCAGCGCGAACAGCTGGTTCACCGTTTAACATTTCTGGAGGCATCCAATTAGGTGTACCAATAATAGTTGATCGCTTCTCAAGCTTGCTCTGAACAACAGCAGAGATACCAAAGTCACATAATTGAAGACGGCCATCCTCTGAAACAAGGATGTTTGCAGCTACACAATGCCATGTCAGTCAGGCTTCAAATAGTATGATTGATTTACACAGGACCAAACGGTGAATCTCTACCTTTAACATCTCGATGAATAATTCCAGCATCATGAACGCACTTCAAGGCTTCCGCCAGTTCACGAGCAATTGGAATAATAAACTTTTCTTCCAATCCAGGGCGATTGGTTGCTTTCAACTAGGATCTAGAGTTAGCTCCTCCGCGCTATTTGGCTTTGTGGGATAAGTCTCCAATGCATGATCATCTTACCAAGGTCGACAAGCTTCCACCAGGACAGTATTCGCTCACAATCCAGAGCTGGGAGTGGACACAGAAAGCATCCACAATCTTATTGATATTCTTGGCCTTGCTGTTCTTGAGCTGTAGCAGGACCGACGTCTCGTTCATGAAATCTTTGATAGTTTCATCTCGGAGTTTAGCGCTGGTCTTGTAGTCGGTGGAATCAACGTCGATAATTTTGATGGCCACGACATCGCTAGACGTGTTATGCTTTCTAAGTGAAACGTCAGTACGAGCTCTTACGCCATACACTGTGGAGACGGCAGAATCCCACTGCAGGCGCTTTTACAATACTTACCCCTTAAAGACGCGCCCAAACGACCCTTTACCGATCAGTTCAACAAATTGATATGGCGGAGGGGCAGTTCCACTGTTGAGAGCCTTTTCAGCTACAGCTTTTTGCAAATCCTGCGCCTCTCGCACGAGCTGGGCCTTGGGGCCTGTGGTGGCACGCGGATCTAGGTGTCTAGCACTCGACATGGCGGACGCCTCCCCAGCTGGATTTCCAAAGGAGTTTCCGCGCCCTCTGAATGGAAATGGAGACGGCGGACGTGGACCAAAATATGATCTAGCGCGCTGTCTTTTCGGCACTGGAGTAGGACTGAGCTGCTCGGCATAGGATCTTTGACTGATTCTTGACAGATTAAAACTCGAGGGAAGCCGGGCACGAGAAAAAAAGGATTTCTTTCGATTCGAAGACTTTCGATCCGACGAAGAGGGGGAGGAGACCTTAGCTCCGTCGACGAGGGTTTCAGTAACTTCTTTTCGATTTGAAGAGCGCTGCGAGCTCTTAGGACTCGGCCGGAACGCTCGCTCTGGAGTAGGCATCTTTGTTAGCTCCAGGAGCCACAACTTTACAAGAAGGACAAAACAATGAGGAATGGGGGGATGAAAATCAAGAGAGCTATCTGCAAACAGCCAAATGCAGGAGTCGAGCTCACTCGAGGCAAGTCGATTATCACAACGGGGAGGGAATTGAGATTTGACTGTTGCTGATGGCGAAGCAGATAGAGATGGCAGATTCAAAACAGAGTCAAGCTTACAGTCAACAGTTCAACGGGCAGTATTCCCTCGTTTGTGGGGCTCTTTGTGCACGTTGCTGAGGCGCCGAGTGAGTCGTGGATGTATTTTTGAAGCTCCAGAGATATGGACTATCCCGTCATTCTGCGAAGGCTACACCTGTCCCCAAACCGCGGCACCCACATTATAGGGGTATTAAGGGGAGACGACGCCGGTATGCATCTCGAAGCAAATCATAAAAAGATTAAAATAATTCTGAAGTCAGTCGAATATGTCGTCGTCGATATATAGGTTAATGAATATTTATCAGCGGCGGGTTGTTGGTGATCTTTATGCCTTTCTGATCAGCTTGTCGACCTCTGGACTCTGCAGACCCTGCAGTAACATTTAACCGAGGCGCTAATCAGAGTTGGTGCTAGCCGAGGGGAAGCTTTGCCCCACCGTTTCCTGTCCCGCCGTCGATCACCCGGGAGGGGAGAGCTGAAACGAGAGAAACATGTCGAGGCGAGTGCAGACGCTCACAGAGAAGAATGCAGCAAACCGAGAGTCTTCAGGTGGGAGCTGATAGGACAACAATATGATCGCAGACTAGGAGGAGAAGTATCGAGAATCAAATTTATTTGATCTTTGGCAGGGATGCTATCCAAAAACTGTACATTATTGTCGACTGGTCGCAATTAGCAAATCCTTTGATGGGACGATGCTCCTGCACGATATTTTGTCATGATGGCTTTGATAAATTACGCCTCAAGACAGCGGATAGTTATACTCCACAATCTAGTTCCTTTGATAGTCTCTTCCAAACTACAATGCTAGCCAATGGAGTCTCTTTCAGCACCAAAACCTACATATTTTATAAACATAGAGCACGACATACTGAAGAAAAGAGATGCAGTGACGAATAATCTTATCGTTAGAGTGGTCCTGAATAAAGAAATCATGCCATGCTAGCTACATAGATAAAAATTGAGGTACATGTCTAAGTCGTGCGCAACATGACTGGCTGAACTAACAAACTGAAACTCAAAAGAAATCTCACTTCTCCAGCACAAATATCTACCGTTATGAAGCTCAGCTTTCCATTATGTGTGCAGGAGTAAAAAGGGGAGCCAAACATTCATTGATCTTATCAACGATCCACCTCGCCGAAAACCAAGTCCATTGTGCCAATGATCGCCACGGCATCAGCAAGCAAATGACCTCGCGAAACTTGGTCAAAGCATCCCAGGTGTGCAAAGCCCGGTGCACGAATCTTGCACCTGTATGGTCTCTCTGAGCCATCGCTAACGAGAAATACGCCCATCTCGCCCTTTGGCGCCTCAATGGCAGAATAGGTTTCTCCAGGAGGAACAGCATAGCCCTTTGTAAAAAGCAAGAAATGATGAATAAGAGCCTCCATATTTTCCTTCATTGCCGCGCGAGGGGGCGGAGAAATTTTGTAATCTTCATATTTGACCGGTCCGGGAGGCATTTTGTTCAGACACTGGTGGATAATGCGTAGGGATTGTCGAAACTCCTCCATCCGGCACAAGTACCGGTCGTAGCAATCGCCATTGACGCCCACGGGAACGTCAAATTCTACTTGGTCGTACGCATCATAGGGTGAGGACTTCCGAATGTCCCAAGGCACTCCAGAGCCGCGGAGCATCACACCAGTGAAGGAGTAGTTGAGCGCGTCAGCAGCAGAGACAACGCCTATCCCCTGCGTACGACCTTTCCAAATACGATTGTCGGTCAGAAGTTCCTCGGTTTCGTCAATGCGGTCACCAAACTGTGTTGCCCATTGGTATATGTCGTCTAGCAGTCCGACAGGGAGATCTTTGAATACGCCGCCAGGACGGACGTATGCGGCGTGCAGACGAGCACCAGACACTCGTTCGTAAAATTCCTGATTGAACTTAGTATTCCTTACTCGATATGGAGACTGGGGAAAAGATCGTGAGAGAAGGGGAAAACAATTGTAATGAAGGGTAGGGAAAGGTACCATAAGCTTTTCTCGTTCTTCGAAACCCCACAGAAAAGGAGTCAATGCACCAACGTCCATAGCATGCGAGAGGACAGACATGAGGTGATTGAGGACGCGGGTGATCTCGCCAAACAGCGTTCGAATCCATTTCGCTCGCTCGGGAATTTCAATATTCAGCAGTTTCTCCACGGCCAGAGAGAAGCATTGCTCGTTTGTCATCATCGAGACATAATCCAATCGGTCAAAGTACGGCAATGCCTGCATGTATGTTTTGTATTCAATGAGCTTCTCGGTGCCACGGTGCAGCAATCCCACATGCGGGTCGGCTCGGACAATTTCCTCGCCATTGAGTTCGAGAATCAAACGCAGTACACCGTGCGCAGCTGGATGTTGTGGGCCAAAATTAACCGTGTAGTGTCTGATCTTGCGGTTCTCAGGGTTTGAGCCATCGTCAGGAGCGACGTTGAGATATTGAGGATCATCGGGATCAGTGGGGTGCCGAAAATCTGAGTCTACAGGGATAAGTTTGGTTCCTTCGTAGAAAGCCTCCGCATGACGAAGTGCGGTAGTAGAAATGCTGCGTATCGTCGGGCATGAAAATTGTGGTGCGCGTTTCGATCGTGAAAGAGAAATGCTTGGACGGGCACACAAGCACCTAGAGCTCCGCCCGGCTAACCGGGCCGCGAGGTTGGCCATTGCGCTCTGGTTGTTGATGCTGCTATAGGTCAGGAATTCAACAATAGAGCATTGGATTGCAAATTCGTGATTGAATGCACAAAGTAATACTGTGGCAATTAAGATATCGAATTGGCCTATGTGTAGCTCCTTCGATGACACTGACACTTCGGTCCAGCCTGATATCAAAGACGATGGGGAGACAAGTCTGGGGTTTGGGGTGCCCGTCACTTGTATTTACTGCATTTTGATTGGCTGCCACTCCCGCTCTCCGCATTTGCGGGTGAATTAGTGACTGATGAGTAAGCTTTAGTCTGTTTAGTGCATTTAGTGCGCTTTGATGCCCATTCGGTGCTAGTTCAGTGCATAGGTTTTATGAATCTGATTTATGCAACGACTGATCCAATGACTAAGCAAAATCCGTGCAGCATCCGATTCTCTTTGGGCAAAAATTATTTATCAATTATCGGCGAAATCAAACATTCTACAATAGTCACAACTGCCCGCCATGCCGGTTCCTGCTCTATCAGAGGCTGATCTTGATCGCCGAAAGGTGCGATTTGCAGGCTTATTTATCAAATTCAAAGGCCAATGCATGCTAACTTTCCCCCTAGAACGTCGGCATCAATCTTGAAACCGTCACCCATGTTCAGTCTACCGATTTTCCTGGCCATTATCCCGGAGAAGATCACTCTTGGAGCTTAGAGAAATTCCGGAATGTACGTGCATTGTCTCTTGCGGGGAAATAGAAGTAATTCAACTGTTCCGCGATACGTTGCTCACACTTTGCAGAACCTCCGTGTTGAATTCCACCACAACGATCAATACGACGCCAGCTTCTCCCTCATCGGGGTCGATGCCGCCATTGCCAATGCCTTTCGCCGTATTCTCATTTCCGAGGTTCCCTCTCTCGCCATTGAATATGTCTTCATTCACAACAACACCTCCATTATCCAGGATGAGGTGCTGGCGCACCGTCTCGGACTCGTCCCTTTGACCGGCGATAAGGCTGGTCTCAACTGGCTCAAATGGTTCAAGAAACCTACCGAGGAAGACCCCGAGGGTTCCGAGCCAAGCGATTACAATACCGTCGTGATGAAGCTGCAAGTTGCATGCTCGCGCAATCCGGCCGCCGCCAGGGGCGAGACGGATCCAACCAAGCTATTCCACAATGCTCACGGTATGTCGTACCTATTCTTTTTTCCTCGACGATCGGGCAAATTTCAAGGGCAACATTTAACTAATTATAATTGAAGTCTACGCTCACCAACTTACCTTCCACCCCGCCGGCCGTCAGCGTGATTACTTTTCCTCTCCCGAAGGCGCCATCCGCTCGTTCCACCCTAACATTCTCCTTGCCAAGCTGCGTCCTGGCCAGGAAATTGACCTTGAAATGCACTGCATCAAGGGTATTGGCGCCGATCACGCCAAATTCTCACCGGTAGCTACGGCCTCGTATCGACTTTTTCCCGACATTAAGATTATGCGGCCCATTCTTGGGGACGACGCAGTCAAGTTCCAGACATGCTTCCCCAAGGGCGTCATTGCGCTCGAAGACGTCACTGAAGAGGAGGCCTCGCGGGTGGGCTCCGGCTACGAGGGTCACGTAGGCGAGAAGAAGGCAGTCGTGGTGAACCCATACAAGGATACGGTCAGCCGAGAGTGTCTCCGACATGACGAGTTCAAGGACAAGGTCAAGCTTGGACGGGTTCGGGACCATTTTATTTTCCATGTTGAAAGCACGGGCCAGTATGACAGTGATGAGCTGTTCATTGAGAGCGTTAAGGTGTTGAAGGTCAAGTGCCAGCGGATGAAGCGGAGTCTTGCCAGCATGATGCGCTGAGCAGTGAGGATCCTACACTTAAGCCCTGCTTGTTTCTTTTCATTTTTTTACCTGAGCATTTTTCCCGGCGTTTTGTTGATTGGGGGTTGGACTTAGAGAAAAAGTAGTTCTTTTCATATTCTTCTTTACAATTTCCTTTACGAAGGATCTATTTATCATTGATCTCTGTTATCACAACAGGTGTATACATGTATTGTATATACTAAATAGTTCTGCAGGGATAAATATTAAAATATTCAATCGAATCTTTACATTATTTAAGTAATATGAGAAAATTTGAGTTAATTTGATTTGTTTTTTTTTTGTTTTTGTTTTTTTTTTTTTTTTGAGAAAAATATTGTAGTGAAAATGCAAATAGAAAAAATTACGACGAAACAAACAACAAATCCACATGCTGAAGTCCCTATGTTTCTCTCGCAGTCGTGATCCCTCTATGAAATGCACGCCCGGGCATCCATTTGTCGAGAGTCGAGACCACACTAGCTATACGTCACTGCCATGCCCACGCGGGGACTAGCTCGTGCGACATCCAAAACCCACACAAAACAAGCTTTCTCCAGCCCCTACGTAAGGCAGGTAAGGTATATAATATATTCCTATGCCATAAGAAATACAGTATTTTCCATCTTTCTCTCTCTCACCGTGCGCATTCAATGCCATCGAGTTCATCGATCCATTTGCCCATCTTGGAGTATAATAATTGTGGCTCCATCTCATGACGCCACGCAGCTATCGAGTCAACAATCGACTTGGCAACTGGAATATATTACGCCGTCAGATGAATCAATAAATCACCACCAATCTTCAATATTCAAGAATCTAAATCCAAGTTCAGTTTGCATAAGACGCACAGATAACGCAAGCCAGAAAAGGAACGGAAAAAGAAAAGAAATAAGTTGAATAACGACACAAAACCAAACGAGTCACAAAACCCGCCAATAACAACTACAATAATATAACGCAAGCCAAGGAAAGAAAGCCGCCCAAAAACAACAACACCCCCAAACAACAAAAAAAAACCAAATGTCCGACTCCCAAAACCCCATCGCGGCCGCTTTATACCGCGCCGCATCCGACATGGCCGCCGCCGCGGGCGACGCAGGGGGCAGCATCATGGACACGATCGGGACATCGATCACGCGGCAAGGGAACCGGTGGGACCGGTCGATCAACTCCGGGGCGGCATCGTACGGAGAATCCGTCAGCGGGGCGGCGAAGTCCTTCGGGCAGTCCATCAGCGGGTCATCTGCGGGGGCAGGACAGGGTATAAGTCGACGGGGGCGGGCCGCGGGGGGTTCGATCACGGAGTCATCGAGCGCGGCAGGGACAGGGATCACACGGAGCAGCGAGGCGACGGGGCGGAAGATCATTGAGGGGGCGCAGGCGGCGGACAAGCGGATCCGGAGCAGTGGACAGAGCGTGGGCGGCGGGGTGACGCGGCAAGGTGAATCAGCGGGGAAGAGCGTGACGAGGGGGGGCGTGAGGGCGGGGAATCGGGTGACGGAGGGCGGGAAGAGCGCGGGCGATAGTGTGACGAGGGGAGGGACGTATATGAGCGGCAGAGTAACGAGGAGTGGGAAATATATTGGCACGGGAGTGTCGGATACGATGCGTGGGTGGGGAGATCAGGGCAAAGATGCGGGGAACTGGGTGCGGGATGCGACGAAGGCGAGGGGGGCGAGAAGTCAGACGGCGCGGAATCCGCTGGGCTTGGAGAATACGCGGAGGAGAAATAGGACGGGAGGGAGGTTGCAGACGGCGAGGAACCCGTTGGGGTTGACGGATGGGTAATGGTAAAAGGTTGTGTATGTGTGGATGTGTTCGTTGAATGGCGTTTTAAATATTGGGGTGGACTTTTGACGGCTGTGTGATGAATGATGAGACGAGATCTTGAACAAGGAAACAAGCAATGGAACTAAGATATTGAAAATAAGTTAATCAATTATATGGTCGATTATCTACCCGAGAAGTAGAGTTCTTAAATCCAGAAGAGTACGTAGATCGATGTAGATGAAAGCAATGGGTAAACAAAAAGCCGTGACAATTAGAGCAAGGCAAAGGAGCGAGCTCATGTGACAGAAACATTAAACTTTTCTTTTGCCTTTCCAAACACCAGGCAAACTTTTTCCTTCGTGCTGTAGCAACTTTTAAGGGTGCCATGCAGTATGAAAACATTCAACGCCATGCTATGCCGTCCTAGCCAGAAAGATGCAATGCAGAGCAACTTTATCCTGACTGAGCATGAGAAGGTGTGAGAAGCGAATAAGCAAAAGAGACCCAAACACCAGGTCGAAAAAGAACACCAACGCCTCGCTAGAAAGCAGCACAGTAGAAATTCAATCCAGGATATCCAGCTGGAAGAGAGAAAAAAAATTTTAAAACATCGAGAGCATTGTACACAAAAACAGCTAGTACTCGCTCGCAGAGTCTGTTTGAGTGTCATGCTCCTCAACTTCTTCTTCGTCCACTTCTTCCTCGCTTTCAGAATCGCAGTCGTCCAGCCCATCGTCAAGACCGGGCACACCTTGCCATTCAATGTAATTGTCAACTACCCAACGCTTGCTGCGGGGCAGGTTGTACGGGTCAAATGGAAAATAGGCGTCCAGCTGGTGGTGGCTGTCATCCCGTCTTGCCGACAGCGCGGTTTCGCGTGTAGGCTGATTGTACGAAGCTCCAGATGCCGAAGAGTCCGCGTGGTTGGCCAGCATGATGCGTTTGTTGGTCTCCAACAAGGAGAATACATACATGAATCGCAAGTGGTTGGCGATGCGAGCGAATTCGTTGACAATCGGAGGCGAGCAGACCTTAAGCGGGTTAAACTTCGAGTAAACGGCGCGAGCAAAGACCTCCTTGACGCCAGGTGCCCAGATAATGTCACGTCCTTCAAAGTCGACAAAGTCATCATCGTCGACATAATCGTCCGCATTGGCGACAAGGTCCCTCCATCGGAAACAGAAGATGTAGAGTAGTGACTGGACCATGGCATAAAAGGTGCCGTACCGTCGAAGGTCAGGGCCGCGACAGCTGCCTTCATATTCGATACGGAAAGAGTCCAGGTGGGCACCGAGTATGTCAAAGACGTCCCGTACCACCTGCGGAGACACATAGGCGCCTCTGGCGATAAAGCTCGCCAGGTAGGCTGCGGCGGATTGTTTGAAGACCGCGGGCCGGCCTTTGTCAAAGATCAAGTGCATACAGACGCCCGCAAATTGGTCAATGAGAAGTGGCGAAGACTGCGCAAAGTTGAAAAGTAAGAATTGAGTATGCCTGGATCGATAGGTGGGCAGAATGATGGTCGTGAAGTGATTCAAGAGGAGTCCAAAGGTCTCATCGCTATCCTCGGGTGCGCCGGAGAAAAATGGAGTGTAATATGAGAAGAGCATGTCCAGAATGGAGTCCATCTTCTCGACATTCTCCTTGAGATCCTTGATGCGCTGCTCTTCGTCTGTCAGGCTCTCTTCGCTAGAGACAGAGCTGGCGTCGTCCTCATCCTCAGAGTCGTCCTCGTCATCCTCCTCCTCCTCGAGGAGACCACGCTCACGCCGAGCGACGACATCATCAACTAGGCCTTCTTCGATGTCTTCCTCGAGATCCTGCATGTCGACCTGAACTTGCACGTCAATTTTGACAAGTCGCTCAGTGATCAGAGCAAGAACCTCTGACTGTAGTTCTGGGGTGTAGCCGATGAGTCTGAGCAAATTTCGTACATAGTTGACATGAGCGACCTTGGAGTCGGAGGAATGAGGGAAGGCAGCAGACAGGATCGGAGACAGAGCACCACTGGCCGAGGGAATAAGCCGAAGTAAGTACTTCAGCACCATGTGAGCCCGTGTGTAGAGCTGAGGCTTTCGCACGACAGGATAACCAGGCAGGGAACCAGATCTGGGCGAGACTGGAGGAACGACAATTAGTCTGGGTCATCAAAGCTTGGCTCGACATGGGACCTACCATGACCAAGAGAATCAACAAGCATAGCCAGGATTGGCCGAACATAGCTGCCGTGTGCCGATGCCAGATTGCCCAGAAAACGAACGTAGATTGCCAAATACGACTCGTCTCGTCCTAACCAGTCGCAGCCCAAGGCTGCATGCACCAAACCGGAACAAGTTCTGTTCAGATGTGAAACGTTGCCTAGGAGAGCAATTGTATAATTCTTCACAGTCGTTGGCGACGGTGCATCATCTCCCGCGGATAACCTGGCGGTGGTGAATATCTCCTTGACTCGATCATATTCCGAAGAGTCGCCCACTGCATGACGCTCTAGCGCCCGACGAACTTCCTCACGGACCAGCTCAAGGCCCTTTTCCCATTCAGCCCCCAGAACCCGAACTTCAACATCCGGATCGAATGCGACCTTGGATCGCTTTATCGGGTTAGGGGCAGCAAATTCGCCATTCAAATCCATGTCTTCCGTCTCATCTCGTTTTCGAATCTTCCCAGCGAGCCCGGGTCGCGGAGGGACAATCTTTGCAACAGGCGGAGGCACAGTGGCCAAAGGCCTTAGTGCAGAGGGGGTGATGGAGACCATGAAGCCAAATATGCTATCATGGATAATTCAGCCCTAGGTATCGGCGAAACCAGGGTATCGGTGGGGGATAATGATCGATATTCCAGCTCTGGCCTCTACGGTCACAGAGTAGCGAAAGAACTTTCCACAACGCTGTAGCGCCAAGCGGCAAGACAGCAGTCTAACTTGTGTAGAATAAATAGGAAATGCCGCCGTGATTAAGCATGTAGTGCTTGCAACTGCAGATGCCAGATGCTGCAGTATGCGGATGACAGAAGAGACGAAAAGACGTCGTGGCGGATAAAGGTGAGAAAGATCTCTCTAGAGTGGGAGGAGAAGAGTACAGCAGCGACTGGGTTTGGCGGTCAAACGTAAAAGTTCAAAGTGCGCCTGGTCCGTGCTTTGCTCAATTGCACGCTAGCCTCTAATTGGCGAACACTATGACTCCACCTCTCGTCACCGGCATCACGACTTTGCCCAATCAGGTAATTGGTCACGAAAGCGCGTCGCGAGAAAAGATTCCAATGTACCTACGTACCTATTCCTACGTATCTGGGGCATCAGTCAATCCATGGAGAAGAGGGAGTCCTCCAAGTCAGTCAATCAATCGTTGATTCGAATTCATTATGCCCTGTTCCGATCCTGATCATAATCATACTCCGTGGCCCTCTACTGGGTCTTTCTCTATCCATCCCTGTGAAAGATACTGTGGCTATTGTACGGGGGAAGCTGCTGAAAGAAAGTGGTCTTCAGCAGGGGCGATGAGAAAACATGTTAAATTGCATCTAAGAAACTCTCCCGATCTAAAACTGCTTCCCGGTTCTGCAGGAAGACCCCAGATGTATGTGTTTATAAGCTTCTCTGATGAGTTGAAGGAGTTTTGCTAAGTGTACTAGAATGCCGCCGGTATTCGCAGAAGATGAATCGCCTCGGTAAAAGTAAGCTATACCTAATCTGGTTCGAAACTAGTTTACAACTTTATTGGGCGCTGACTGGTTTCTAAACAGACCCTGGGATACTGATCCAAATTACCGGTGTCATTCATGCTCAGAGCGAAAAGTAAAAGGTGGAGCAAAGAGGAAATCGGGTTGTTGGGAGAATAGATTTTGTGAAAGGACACTGGCATCGAATGAAACTCAAATGGCATCCGTTGATGGACAAGCACACACAGAACCGGCAACTGATTTAGATACCGAAATTGTCGACGCCAACTCCACCACTGAAGCGGACGCCTTCTTGATCGATGGCGCGGCCAATTCAGAATATTCGCCACGAGCATAAATGACCCAGAAAAAGAATAGAAAAGAAGGGGCATTCTGGCTCAAGATGGAATCTACTGTTTTGCTATTTCGAAGTATGACATGGATAAGCAGAAGCAACTGGCCTTAGCTTGCAATACGAGACCTCCTTTTTCAACAATGCGAAAAGATAATACAACCATCCCGTTCGTAGCGCCAATTTCAATCTTATTTCCCAGTGCGACCCTGCTTGCTCATACGAGAATCCGCTGTCCTCTTTTGATCATACAGCAGCCGAATCCATTCATTTGATAAGATGTAAATGCAGATTTTTAGGCGCCTAAAACGTGTACCTCTATTTGTCTCGGAAGAGAAGCCGGAATTTAAAGTCTATCTGGAAAGCAGGATCTGAAACAGCAATCTCCTCGCCATCGCTCACAAGATCAAACAGTTTCTTTCTAAGATTGGGCCGCGTGGCTTCCTCAAGTGCAGGTGGCGACTGATAATACAGAGAGGATTTTTCCGTCCGAAGAGTAGGCTTCTTGAGCTGACTAGACGTCATTGTAAGACGCGTCAGCAAATATATATCTTGAACAAGGATCGAATAAGAAGAGGAACAAAACTTACGCCTCTGCTCGTTCAGCAAGGCTGTCGATGAACTCCTGCAACGTCCAACGGGCATTAATCTCAAGATCCTTCGCGAGATTTCCACACACTGGACAGTCCTCCTTTCGCTGGTGTTCGAAAGTGTATGTATAGATGCTGTCGTCTCCGCTATACATCATGTAATTTGCAGTTTCAGGCACACCCAAGTAAGGATTGGTATTGGTGGCAATCTTGAAGGCCTCATTGCAGCAGCTGGCCGCTATAATGGCATTTGTAGATGCAATGGCAGGAATTATGTTCTTGACAACTCCTTGTGTTAGGGAATAAGTCACACCGCTAATGTTGAACTCCTTTGCTCTTGCGAGAGCCTTTTGATACAGCCATGTGATATGTTCGGGATCATCATTATCAAGTATGTCACCTAAAGCAAAGTTAGGAAACTCACGAAATATAACCAAGGACACGGGGTTTTACCTTTGCGCTCTTCCTCCCACGCGATAATATGCGCCCATTCAATGCAGTGCTGAGGCTGTCGCGGAATAGTTGCAAGCGTGCACAAGGGCACAGCTGCTCGTGGTGCATGCATATCTAATTGACACTCAAAGCAGGAAGTCATAGTGGGTAAAATGACTCGCGCTTGGCCCTTAAAGCCTGGAAAAGATCAGTTGCCGTCTGTTTTTTATGCGCAATATTTGCCTTGTCTCATACAGACCTTCTGTTCCACCGTCGATCAGTGGCTTCATGCTTTCTGGGTTCTCCATATCAACCATGCCAACTAGCATAGCATTTATCCACCGACGTGCTTCTATGCTATCCAGTCCACAGATGATCATGTTGAACTGCATATAGTAATCCTCATCTTTGTCTTGAATACGTCCGCAATACGGAGTGATCTTGACACCCTTTACACGGCGTTCAACAAAGCGAGCTGCAACTTCTGCCTTTGGCTTGCCCACGTCGGATTGCCGAAAGAGAAATTGCCGGTTGAGGTTCGAAACGTCGATTGTGTCTGACAATGTCAGAATAAATTCAGTCCATGAGATGGGAAAATATAGACCTACCCATGTCAATCACATGTATATCCTTGAAACCTGAAAGAGCTAGGTTCTTCAAGATTTCGCAACCCAATCCACCGGCACCGCTGCATTGTATCAGCCAAGTCCATTGTGAAATCTAGAGAAACGGACATTACTCTAGCCAATAAAATTAGCATAATCTTAAATAATCAGACATATTTAGCGGCTTACAAAACTTTGGCGCTTTCTAGAAAGCTGATCACTTCCTCGCCCGGTACCCAGTCCTCGTCTGTAAATGGTCCGGGCCGCGAAAGGACGCGGTCGAGATACTTCCTAAAGAGCCTTAGCTATGTGAATGAAACTCTGAATAGCCCAAGGACACCGCACCATCTCTGCCGGCTAGTCGTAACACCATTCATTTCTGACATTTTGTCGTGCTTTATTGGAAAACGAAGACGAAGCCGGCGGAGTTGTACGAGACCAAGTGAGCTATGACGCTGAAGCTTAGGCGCGATAGCTATCGCTAAGCGCTATCAACCGCGAACATTGGATTTTTAGCGCGGCAAGCCGTCACAAGACAATGCAGCAACATTGACATTATCAAAGAATGGCCATATATAGATACAGGCCAATATTTAATCATGGAGGACCTTTTAATGCCGGTGCAGACGACGTTGAAAATATCAGAAATCGAAGCAGATGAGGCCAAGGAAAGCCCACGCACTGAAGTTTCACAATCTGTCTCCTCGGCTCAGGAAGCTCTTGAACTGCTCAGATCCCAACCAAGTCAAAGCGCATTGACGCAAGTTTTGACATTTCTCGATCCAAAATCAAGCCACGGAGACGGTTTCAACATCAAAGCACCAACAGCGTTGAGCTCGCAACTTATCAATGTGCTCGTGGCATCGATCATACCCGACTTCTGGCCTTTACTAGAGCAGGATTTGCACCGGCAGCGTGATGCATTACTAAGATGCCTGCGAAGCATATCAGCTCTAGGAGCAATATGCGCTCAATTGAGATTACTGATTACTGCCTCAAAAACAGAAGGGCAAAAAGCGGACAGACGCGATGTACCGCAGCGCCTCTCTAATCTGCTGGCAGTGCTGATGCATTTGTTGGGAGACGAGTCTTTAACATTGGACATATGGACCAATGTCAATACAGTAGGGAAAGGATCCGCCCAAAAATCTGTTTTATGGAGAGAGCATGTTTCTGTCGTGGCCACAAGCAGGCTTGTGTCAACTGCCGCAGAGGCCGAAGACATTATTAGAAAGTCTGAGCAAGAGCCGACTCCAGCTCGTTGGATCTGCAGTGGAAGTAAATACGCTCAGTGGCTGGGCTGGAATATTAGAAACATGGCAGAAAATCTTGCCTTAGATGATGTGGAAGGATGGAGGTCATTATCAGGCCTTCTTGGCAAATCCCTAAGTCTCGGCTTTACAGGTAATAGAACTTTGTGGGCTTGTAGACATGTTCTAGCAGTTACTGACATGTGGAAATAGAGGACCTCCTTCTGCAACTGTGTCCTGGCCTTTTGTCGAAAGATGAGAAATCTTCATCACCCAGATTCCAGACTCTGATATCCCATTTACCTCAGCATCAGCAGCGGAATATTCTCTACACTCTCTGCCGAATAATTTCACGATCAATACCGCATTCAGCCCAAAATTCCATATCAACTTCAGGGCAAGAAGGTAGTAAAAAATCAATTTCCGGTTGTGCTGCACTCATTACAGAAATCATCGCTGGAAACTCCCATCTTTGCGAGGATGTCATTGGTTATCTAATTGGTCTTGCTGGCGGTGGAGCGGGTGAACCGGTTGGCATCCGGAGGGTCTTGATATCTGCCTTGTCCTCTGACGAGGGTATGCTCTTCTCATTTGTTGTTCTTATCTACATCTCCTGACGAATTGTAGACGCTATGCAAACGTTGCTCGACAAGTCGATGCAACAATTCGGTGACAAGCTTTACATAAAGCACACACCTACCCTCTATCAAGATGGTAAGCCCTCTCAGCTCCCAGGCAATCCAACGTGCACAAGACTTAACTTCCCTTGCAGCTCTCGCCCAAGTGGTTCTTCTTGTGGCTGGTTATATACACCGCTCAAATCCAATGCATCTATTTACCATGGCCCGATCCAGCATCCACATAAACAGCATATCCAACCGCTTGGCCGCCTCCTCGCTTCGAGCACGTTTTCTAGGAATGGTAGTTGGAGTATCTATTTCCGAACTTGTCGACAAGCCCGACAAGCAAATGAAATTCGGAACAGAGGAGCTTGAGACCGATGAAGCGAAATGGTATAAGAACCTTGTCCATGTTGACGACAAAATCGGGACTCTTGACGATCTCAAATCCACTCTTCACCCTCTTGTCACATCTTCTGCACCGAACTTTATCACCAGCGCCACTACAACTGCTCGTCCCGAAGACTCTAAGCCGGCTTCAGACGAGAAACCAAAGCCCCCCAAACCCTCTCGAAAAGCTCCTGCGTCGAAACCAGAACCAAAGAAAAGTCCAGGCATAATCGAAGTCCTCGACTCCTCCTCCTCTTCTGAACCTGAAGATGAAGATGATGACGAAGATGACGACCTAATACCATACGCCAAACCCGACTCCGACGCCGAAGACTCGGACGACGACCCTACGCTCGTGACGCGCAAGAAGCCCTCTGCACCCGTCTACATACGCGACCTGATCTCCGGTCTCCGCGACGTTGACAACTACGACCGCCAACGCATCTCCTTATCCTCCGCCTCGGCGCTGATTCGACGCAAAGCCGGATTCGGGACCGAGCTCTCCGAGCACTGCGAAGAACTCGCCTCCTTGCTCATCGGCCTCAGCGACAAATTCAGCATCGACCACTTCCAAGAATGGCGTCTGCAAGCCATGATTGCGCTGCTCGTTTCCCAGCCTCTCCAAATGGGCCAATGGTTCAGCCGGACATTCTTCCAGGGAGACTACTCTATCGGCCAACGAATCTCGATCCTCACCACCCTCGGCATGGGCGCCAGAGAAATCGCTGGGTATAAATCCGAAGACGCCCAACTTACCCAATCCCTCGACGTCAATCTTAATGCCCCTCCTCCTCATCCTCCTCATTCTCAATCCCATTCTCAGTCACACCATACGAGTCCCCCCAATCCATCTGACGCGCCTTTTCCATCAAAATATCTCCCCCACAAGCTGCATTCTCTGTACTCCTCTTCTTCCACATCCTCCCCCGTCAACGCTCTCACCGACCGCCTCCAACAATCCATGATCCAACCCATGGCCGCCACGGCCGCGGATTCCCTCTCGAGACCTAACGCGCTCAAAGTCCGCACTTTTTCATCACGCATGCAGGTCGAGAAACGCCGCGGCAAGCCCGTCGCGAACGAACTCGCCAAGATTGTTGCAGCGGGGTTCTTCTTGCCTTTGACGGGACTCTGGTGGGCGCAGCTGAATGCTTATTCCTCCTCTACTTCTCTTTCTTTTCTCTCCGGTGTTGGTGGTGGTGTTGGTCGTGGTGGTGGTCGCGGCAGCAGCAACATCAGCAACAGCAACAGCAACAACATCTACCTCTCCCCGCTCCTCTTGCCGTACTTTCTCAAAACTCTTGCCCTCATCCTGCACGCCTCGGGCCCGTCAAATCCCGCACTTCCCCAAATGACGTCTGAGTTCTGGGACTTATTGCTCAGCTTAAGGTCAAAGTCTCTCTTGATCTCCTCAGCATCAGCATCACCATCACCATCACCATCATTGTCAGAAGACCCGCTCGACTCGTCCGCGGGTAGTATCGCAGTGCTGGAATCTCTACTGTTTGCGTTCCTTACCCTGCTTGACATCAATGCCGAGTCGGAATCAAATGCGCGTCGCCTCGCGGAGGAACAGTCCCGCGAGTTGCTCGAGACGCAGGAATGGGCCGAGCATGTATTCGAGGTTACGAGGGGCGGGGATGAAGAAGGGGATAAAGTGAGAATGTTGGCGGCGAGCGTGCTCCTCCGAACGAGGGAAGTAGTGGAGCGGTATCAGCGGTTGTTGATGGGTGAGATGGTTGACTTTTAGGGCTATGGTTTTTTTTTTTTTTTTTTTTTATCTTGTACTTGGGGGGATTAGGGACTTGGTGTCTGAATTCATAGATAGCATTTTGATGGAAAATAGAGAGAGAATATTCAAGAATGGTTGATCCTGATCGTGACTTCATATACTGTAGCTGTATGGAAAGGAAATTGGGAAGTTGGAGACGATAGAGAAGACATGAAGTATAATAATTATGAACTTTCTTCGTTTGGATACAATAGTCTCCTTGCGTGAAAATATAACACGAGCAAAGATGCAATGCGTCTATACACTATAAACTGGTCTCGTCAAGCTCGTCAAGCTTGACTCCCCAAGAATGCGAGGTATCTGAGTTGTGCTCCCGCTGAAAGCACGCCTTGTGATGATTCAAAAATGTACGCAGAGCAGCATAATCAACTGGAACAGATGGAGATGATGTGATCCAAGAAGACATTAAATGTGTGGTATCATCTTCCCTATGCAGAAAAGGCATCACGAATCAGTCTGAGAGATCAGTTTTCATGATGGCAGTGATTGTTGGTGCGCGGTCATGATCCGTCTAGCTGCCATGAATAATGGGTTTCCGCCCACGCTGATTGGAAATTGCGATAAGGGCGAATCAGTGATATTTTGGGGCGTCAGTCCTGGCCGATGAAGCAAGACCTGGTATGTCAGACGTCGTTATCATGGTAGTAAAAATTGACGTCTCGCGGTCGCTTGGTATTTCTTGAGGAGAACTCTTCGTCATCCGGGGGTCTTTCGTTCTTGGTGTTACCCGTCAGCATGCTTTGGATGCTCATGCATACGCTTTCAACATTTTGGACAGGACTCCAGCCCTGCTTGCCAAGGAGGTCAAGGCAGATGAAGCCATTGGAGTAAATATGTGGGTGAATCGGAACTTTGAACCCTCCTGTCCGATTAAAAGTGACTTCTGGTGGTTCTGCACAAAGATCAGCAGCTGGATTATACGTCGGAGCAGGAAAAGCACGCGTGAAAAAGAGGACAAGGCGCAATAAAAGAGTAAGACGGACCTATGGGGTATTTACTGCTGAAATGAAAAGTCAAACGGTATGTTTCGTCGCGGTATAATGGGTTGTCATCAAGGACCTTAATGTCCATTTGCCATTCTTGTAGGTCCTCGGCTTTGGCAACGCTGATGCCTGGAGGTAACTTGTCGTGGATCTAAACACAATGAGACGTTAGCGGTTATTTCGTTTGTAGTTCTAATGGATATTGCGCAGCATTTTCGGCGGAAATAATCAAAATATGGGTTTGCGGGCGTTAGGGCTGAAAATAATCTGTGATGATTACCTTTGCTAGTTCCTGTATTAAGACGCAAGTCAGCCAGCCGTGTATTTAATTACTGCAGGCCGCAGTTGAAAATATTGAATTGAAATTCGAGCAAGGTAACAAATTGTAACTCCCCCACAACCCCGCTCAGTCTGTGTAATGTATCTTACCTTTCCTAGGCGCTTTGAGGCGAACATAATGTTTAATTGTATTCCCCCAACGTGGAACCCGCGTGAGCACCAACAAAAGTATCGTGAGCAAATGACCAGAGGAACTAGAGGAAATAAGAAAGATGCTAATGAATCAGAGGTCAATATTGGACGGAGTCAAAGTCAGAATGGCGGAGCGCAGGAAGGCTATATCACAATTTTGGCGGAATTAAGACAAGATGGACGCTATGACCGCCGTGGGGTAAGGTTAACGTTGAGCCTGCGACCTGATCCCAAAACGAAAATCCAAACTTATATGTTGAAAGCTCAAGGCAACAAACTCTCAGACGAGTGAGCAAATCAGTCCATCTGTCTCGTCTCTGTTCAAAAGTGGTCTGAATTAATTCGATTTCGTCCTGGGTCTTCGGTGACGATCACGGAGGGCCCAGCGGCAATCTCCGCAAGCATCAATGGCAAACTCGGCATCAGCCTCGTGCACAGCCTCGTGCACAGCCACAAATGGCTGGAATCCGTAGAGCCAGAACCCTGTTGCACGTCTTTTCCCAGCCAAGTGCTGGCAGACGTGTTCTTTGCTCTGAGTAATCGTGTTGGATTTCACTTTGAAGCTCAAGTTTGAAATTTTGAAAATGCTACAAGGTCATCGAGAAACATGTTATTTTTCTTTCCTACAGGACATAAAAGAAAATCAGTGAGACAATCAAAATATTGCTCTTAGTCTCGTAATTCCTAAGCGAACCCAAATGATGTTGTGCTCCATACTGGGACATTATGACATTTCCGCTTGCATTGCTTTTCCGATCAGATTTGCTTCATGGTGAAGAAGAAGATGAAGATGATGCCAAGTAAAATATTCATTAACCTCGAACGACCTTGTCAAGCCCTTCACCGAGGTTCTTTCCCAAGGGATTGTTGACTCCACCGCCGACTCCTTCAGCAATCCCACCTTGCAACTCATTGACATTCTTATCGTCAGTTATCTTCGCGTCTTTGATGTTTCCTATTCAATGTCAATCTTTGGACTTTTACACTGTTATCAATAGTAATGATTTACCCTTGACAAAGTAGGAGGCCTTGTTTTCGCCCATAGTTTCGAGAGCCTTTTCCTCAGCTTTGGCCTTGCCCTTAAAATAAAACTTCATAAGTCGCTTAATCAGAGGGTCCGCAGCACCACTGAAGTAGGCTACAGCGATAATGACCGCGATGACTGCGACTACGATTGAGGTGGTGACGGTCTTGTCGGCCATGATTCTTTGTGCTTTCGCTTTTTGATGGTAACTAACCCTAACTTGAATATAATAGGACGCAAGAATGGTGATATTTGAGGATAAGAGGTATGAGACCAAGAAAATGGTATAGCTACGGAAAAGGATTCAAGAGGACTAAAAAGTATTTATACTTTGGAACAAAAGCTCCAGGTAAAATGCCATATGTGGGGAAACAAGGAAGTGAGGCTACGATGACGTCTCTTGAGGCGGGAGAGCAAACCTGCTTGAAAGCTGGGGTTGATTGATCTGATAAGATTGAAAGGGGGGCTGTCCGGCTTTCAGAAATGGAAGGAGCGATTGACGGGGTCAAAGAAGAAGCGAGGGCGTGCGCGTTCAGGTTCCACCTCTTTCCTTTTCCTGAAACGAGCTCCAAGTTACTTTCAAACTTCCGCAATTGCTAAAAATAGATGTATCGAGAACCAACAACTAACGAGCGAAAGAACAAGCGTAAGGCAAAAATCATCTTGAAACTTTAGTAAATTGAACAATCACCGCTACAGAGTAGATTATTATACTTATGCAGGCAAAACTGCGCCTCCTCTTCCCCTTATTCTCTCCAAACTCCTTTTCGGTCTAGCATGGTGACGGCCAGGGTCCCTAGCTGGATCCCTTATCTCGGTTAACCAGATACAGTTGGGACCGACACGCATCGCCCCCCACCTAGGCACCTTCCAGGGCGGAGAGACAACGCACGCGGGTCGAAGGGACGAGGGGAAACTTTTTTGTATCGCTGTACGATTGTTCTCTGCAGTCAACCAAACAAATAATTTAAAGCAGAGTCCCCTAGACCCATCCCCCAAATCCACCTAATTAATAGTAGGAGATTTAAGGTGTCATTAATGTTTGCATCGTAGGCTGTTTAATTTTAGCTCCTCTACGGAGTAGCCAGTACAGTATCCGTTGGCCCCTGAAACTTTGATCGAGCCTTATTACTATTGAAACACGCCTGGTGCATCGACTTCGAGCTGGGACCCCACCGTGCCCTCTGCCGCTCTTGACTACCCACCACCACTACTTCATTCGCAGCCGCCAACCAATCTTCTCAGCCCCAAAATAATTCAGCCTGACACTGCCTTACCTTTCCGTCTGGTCAATTTGCAACTCTTTATTTCTGCTTTATAACTACCCACTCTCCGTTCACTCTCCACTCCTGTCTACCGCGCAGTCGCATTTTCCCCGAGACAAGCAATAAACCCTTTCCAAGAGAGATCGAACGTCTCTTCTTGAGACACCCAGCATTGACACCATGAGTTGTAAGTGCAAGGCTTTCCCGCTCTTTTCTACTTCAAGTCGCCGTTCCTGCCTCTTTGGGCCAGCTTTTAAGGCCGACCTCAGCTTCGCGCCTCTTCGTGAAGCTCTAAGAGCACCGCTCTAGTGGTGTTCCCTTCAAGAATTTCTCTTTCTACCCCCGTTTGCACTATTATTCTTATTTTATCAACTATCTGAGCGCTGCACCTTCATTTCACAATCTCAAGTCGGACGTTGTTGACCGAAAATCTTTCTACAGTCACAAACATGTTGAACAAGCTGCAAGGCCAGCCCGAGAGCTACGATAAAAAGTGCGTCCTACATTCGTGTCTTGACCCCATGCCAGCAATTCCGGCTAAGCTGTAGATGGTAGAGCAAAATACAAGTTTGGCAAAACGCTTGGAGCTGGCACATATGGTATTGTGCGGGAGGCGGACTGCACCGAAGGAAAGGTCGCTATCAAGATCATCCTGAAGAAGAACATTAAGGGCAACGAGCAAATGGTCTACGATGAGCTGGCTATGCTGCAGCGCATGCACCACCCCCACATTGTTCGCTTCCATGACTGGTTTGAGTCAAGGGTAGGATTCCTTGTATCATCCGATCTCTCAACGCGGTGACTTACATCCTTTGCAGGATAAATACTACATTGTGACCCAGCTGGCGACCGGCGGAGAGCTTTTTGATCGTATTTGTGAGCAAGGAAAGTTCACTGAAAAGGACGCTTCCCAGACTATCCGCCAGGTGTTGGAGGCTGTGGATTACCTGCACGTGAACAACGTCGTGCACAGAGGTGGGTACCAAGGCGCAGAATTGAGTAGCATGATGCTAATAAATACTCATAGATCTGAAGCCCGAAAATCTCTTGTACCTTGAGCCTGAACCCAGCTCTTCACTCGTGCTTGCCGACTTTGGCATTGCCAAGATGCTTGACTCCAAGGACGAAGTGCTGACGACCATGGCTGGATCGTTTGGTTATGCCGCTCCCGAGATTATGCTCAAGCAGGGCCATGGAAAGGCGGTGGATATGTGGTCGCTCGGTGTCATTACCTACACTCTGCTGTGCGGTTATTCGCCCTTTCGCAGCGACACCTTGGCTGGTTTGATCGACGAGTGCCAGAATGGACGTGTAATCTTCCATGAGCGTTACTGGAAAGACGTTAGTCAGGATGCCAAGGACTTTATTGGAACGCTGCTGCAACCAAACCCGGATGATCGAGCCACTAGCGAGGTAATGCATATGATGTACACAGAAAGATGCAAGGCATGGGCTGACACTTTTCTTCAGGAAGCACTGAAGCACGTCTGGCTTACTGGCCAGACGGCCACTGACCACAACTTGCTGCCTGAAATCCGCTCGTACATGGCCAAGGCCCGCCTTCGACGTGGCATCGAGCTCGTCAAGCTCGCCAATCGCATTGAAGCACTCAAGATGCAAGAAGACGAAGAGGAGGATGTCACCGGAGCGGCCGACATGCCGGCTAATGTCAAGGAAGCAGCGGGCGAGGCTTTGTCCTCTGCCTCGCCAAATAAAGGTTTGGCAACGAGCCCTGAGCCGCTTGGCCAAAAGAAGAGCTTGCACAAGGCTGTTCGAGGCGCCATCTTCAAAGAAGTCGTGCTTGCCAAGGTCCGCGAGGTTAAGGAAGAAGAAGAACGTAAGAGAATTGAGCGGGAAGCGACAGAGAGGGCCCAGTCCCCGAGATCGTAAACACCCAATTATACTCTGCGGACAAGGTACATATGCGACTTTTAAATTTTCTTTTTTTAGACTTGGTCTTTGCTCTTTTACCATTTTGAGCCTGTAACTCGCGGCTGCGAGGTCGGGTTATTATTATGATACCAAATTACAGCTTTCCCCTTTGTTGATTATTAAGTTGCTAATACTACCTGTTCATTTATTATGTTGATTAAAATGCTGCATTGTATTCAACGTACTGTTCTATTTTCTTCCGAAACCGACTTAGCTGATGAAAGTCGTGTATTTGCTTTCCATCTCATTTTCCATGATGTGCCCATAAGTTACCAGATATGATTGATGGAAAAGTAATATCGGGCCACAATGCCGCAAACGCCTTTGGCCTCTCCGACCTTTCCCTTTTATCATATCCATGTCACTGAGTTCAGCGCCCGGAGGCCTTGAGTTCTAATTACACCCAGAAACCACATATCATTCTTTGTCAAGTGAAAATTTGACCAACCAATGACCCAGTACTCGATAGCTTGCATATCCTCGCCGCTGGCCAGCTGGTCATATACATACTTGACGAAATCCTGTGACCAATGCTCCGAAACAATATAGATGTTTCTCGAACACACGGTTGTCTCATCGTCCCACGTGTCGACGCTTCTGCCAAAGAACTTGATCGTCTGGATCCATACGTCGTGTGTACTGAACCCTTTTTCGTATGCAACCGCGGTGGTAGTGTCCGATATGGAAAGCTTTCGCTCCGCAAGGCACCGCAGGACAAATTGCGTCAAGGCGGGCGTCCAATCGTTTGGCCGAACTTCAATACAGGATGGACCTTGATCCGGAGACGAAGGAAGAGAACAGCATGTGTTTGGAGGGCGTGTAGAAGAAGCCATCCAGTAGGTTGGAGGGGTGGAAGATAGTGAACGATTCGGCATGGTCCTGAAAAATCCAATAGAGCCTGTTTATATGAGCGTGCTGAGAAACTGACAGAGGAAAGATAAACGGCTTACAGGGTAATAGCACCTGCAGTAAGCACCCTCGGTGAAAAACTGGGTCTTTCAATTTGCAGCCAGGACGTTTCGATTTAGGCTTTCAAAGGGACAAGTGCAAAGCAGCACTCCGCCTTTGCCAAACAGAAAGATGATAAACCGAATGTCAGAGCGACTGAGAAAACTGGATGAGTAAAGCGACTTTGAGGATCCAAATATATATGCAAAATAAAAAAAGTAAAATGGTTACCTTGATTCCAAAAGTCAAAGGCAATGGCCATGTTCACCGCAGAGACTTTGCTCCCTTCTGAAGACTGACGCAGTGATGCAGTCGGGATAGTAAATCCTGTGATGACTTATCCAAATCCATTCAACCAGCTGAGCTGTTGTCTGAAACACTCACAAAGACTGAGAACTACAAAAATGAGCCATCAAGAAGGTGGGAGAAGGACACTGCATCTGTTGTCATGTTCTAATATGAGAAACTTAGAATCAGCGTTTGACTATTGAGAAATGAACGTTTCTCGAGGGACTGGACATATCAACGCCGAGGCAGCAAGAGCAGACCACAGCTGACGCATGGCAGCAATATCAGAAACTCGAGACAGCTTTCAACTACTGCAGCTCACAAAAGCGCAATTGATCAACTTGCTAAACTAGTGAAGAGGAATTGCCGTTATTTCTGTTTCTTTTTTTGGCTCATTCCTTTCAAGCCGCAGCTCCTTCAACCCGTGGAGTCAAATATTTTTGTAACCCAAAATTCATGATTGTGACACTGACATCCGAGAATAAGGCTTCACAAAACGGTTATTGGTGTTACCGCGGATTCCCGGGATTTATTGATACTCTGATATGTAAATCTGCTTAAGGCAGCTACCCGCGTTGAACTACGTTTTGCGTCACAGAGTACGGAGATCGCCTATGAAACATGTCAAGTTTTTATCCAATATCCTTGATGATTTGAAATTTTATTTTCCCTTTTCCCGTCTCTATTTTCCACTTTTGACTGGAGGATGAGGCTGTAATATCAAGACCAGACTGTAGCCTGATAGACTCGTGGAACCTCGTTTGTCTTTAGCTTCAACCTCCCGCTGGCCTACTGAGTGTAATTGTCTCAAGCTCATCAGGTAATTACATATAAAATAGAGCATTTAAAAATACCTTCGAAAATATCCGTACAAAGTATAACAATACTTGAAGCAACAAGAATCCACGGCTGTACACTTTGACTGCCTAACTACAATGCATTGTTTCTCTATCAAAGCAGCAAGTTCCCTTTCAAAATCCGCTCGAAAGGAAAACTCTTTCAAGACCATTATCGGGTATTGGCTCCGCTTCATTCTTTGTTCGTTCGCCTTTCATCGTTGTTTTGTGGACTGTATCTCCTTGTTCATCTCTAGAGTCGCTTTGTTCACGTAACAAAATCTTTTGTTATTTCATGTCCACCGCTCAAAGAAACTACCAACACAACTATCGAACAAAGCCATTTACAACTCGTCTCAAATCTCTATATATTTCGCGGTCTTAACCCAGAGAATGTTTCCCTCTCCACCAAGCTTCCCAAGCAATTCTACAACACAGCTTCGATCACAATACTTACACCTCACTTTAATACGCTATCCATATATCATCAACAATTACCAACAGAAAACATGATCAAGACATACCCTCCTCAGAACTGGTCGCACAAAGCGACTATGCTTGTGCTAGAAGGTGACGCCAACTTCCTCTCCGAGAAGACGCTAATTGAGCATCTAGACAAGAACCACCGTATCAAGGCTGATTCCTTTTGGATCCAGCACGTCATCAAGGTCGGATTCGCTGCCACATGGGAGCGCATTTACCTTGATACCGAGAATCCCGAAAACACCGAATATAGCCGTATCCGTGAAGAATTCGAGACATACCCCCCCAAGGGATGGTGCCATGATGCTACCTTGGCGGTATTTGTCCACGATGCAAAAGAACGCGTGAATAAGGATATTATTCGCATTTTGTACGCCCAGCAGCATATCCTCGCTGATGACTTTTGGATTAACCAGGTCAAGATACTGGGCTGGGGCGCGGATAATCATGAGCCAAGATTTAGACATTTGGATTGAAGCTGACTTGTTGCCATTAGGAAGCGGAATTTCATTTGTCGTCGAGATCTGAGATCAACGCAAACAATTGTAGCAGGTTTAGGGAAATCGAGAGGAGGATGCTATCAATGAAGATGATGATCGGTGAGTCAAGCATCATTCATTTAATGGCTAATTATAGGTAGATGAATTGAATCTATATCTCTTCCGCAAAACATGTTGGTGATATGTGTTTACATTATATTGGCTGAAGTTGAAGAAATTTGGAGCGTGACCGTGTATGTCGTGAATCTTGCTCTAACGTGTCTGTTTGACTGCCACCGGAACCTTGATTTTACTGTAATATCCATGGTTTGTGTTGACCTTCACATTGATGCATGACATTGAATGAGGATCTGCCTTCAAGCAGTCCACGCAGTCATATATATCACCAGACTGCCAGTGCAGAAGTGCAGTACTGTTAATGTCCCAAGTGTTCAGAAATTCTGTGATTCATTGTGCAAATGCAGTCTATATAACGCAGCGAAGCTGCAGCGTTTTTCCTTCTCCCTTTCCTGTCTCATAGATCGTGACAAGTCAGTTAAATAGCGTTCGCAGCATCCTTCTTCTGTTTCGTTTCCAGACCAAGTTCCGAACGTACCTTGACAAAAATTCTTGCTCCCGAGAAAGCTATTCTGATCTTCTGTTCAAGTAAGTGCACCACTGCACCATTGCACCAAACATGCCCTTCAACTTTAGCCACTGTACCCTCCCATGTTGTTGCCTCTAACATCCTCCTCCGGGAACGAACTCAGCAGAAATCTACTTACAAAAAACCACAAAATGTCTGGTCCTTTTGGCCACGTGAATCCAGCCCCCGAGCCCAAGGGTTGGAGTCTTTACCTCAGCACCCTAGTTCTGAATTCCTTCTTCGGCGTTGGCCAATACGTTACTTGTATCTGCCCCGACCACATCATGAAAAACTGTAATGGAAACAACCACTGCCTTCAACAGTACCATGCGTGGGTTCGAAACAAGGCTGAGGAAATGTGGAGGGACAATTGGGACCTGCGCACCCCGGATTCCAACAAGTACGCCATTGAAGGCTATATCGACTTTATCATCAAGCGGGAGATTGGTCGCCAGCTCAGCGGATGGTGAACCGTGAAAGTCTTCCAAGAAAAGCTTCAATGGCTTATTTCAATGCAGCAGTGCGGCTATGCGCCGCGGTGGGTTTGTGGCTGATCCTGCTGAGCATTTGAAACGGCTATTTTAGAAGCTTGGGAAGTTTTTGACAAAGGAGGAAGGAGGAAGTTTTGGAAATCGCATCTCAGCTTATTTGTGGTCGTCTTTTGACGCAAAGGGGTTTTCTTTTTTCGATTTTTAATATTGGGAATATTATGCGGTGGATTAATTATAGAGCTGAGATAGCATTTATGCAGAGGAGGAGAAATTAAAGCGATTGCGTTAACAATTCTGATCCTTAGCCCGTTTTACATAACAGGACTTTCTTCTGGTGACTGTTACCACCCTTGACGACAACCGATAGACCGTACCCCTGATTACCTCAGGTAGGTTTTGGGCCGGTCTTAGCGAAAGGGCCGGATGCTTAGTGAGCGACTTCAGCTAAGCCCTACCCGAAACTTTATGTAGAAGCATACAACATGTAGCATACACCCCCGGCGGCGCTAGAGCTTGCATAGCAGCAAGCATATCGAAACAAACACTTTCAAGGTAACTCTCAATTTGTAAAAGATAACAAGAAACTTTCAAAAATAGCAAGAAGCCTTATTCCAAGCGCACCCTTTGCCTACAGTATGCTACATATCAATCTACTACATATCATTGCTTTTACGCACTTGGTAAGCTACATCTTCGAACTCTGATTTCTGAGTCAAGGCTCACAGGCTTACGGCTTTACAAGAGAGAAATAGAAAGACGAAAATGCAAAGAGACAATCTATTTTATGACTTCCACTCTTCGAGGCCCAAGGATCCGAGCCTCCGAGGTCCCAAATATCTACAGAATACTGCGATGCGGGTCCATTAGTCAGAGCCATAAGCCCACGAGGTCATTTAGATGCTGCCTAATATATTCACGTTTCATATTGATGATATATTGAATATTACATTAACAGGTCTACTCTTCGTCACTCATGTATATAAATTAGGGTCATCTCCTTCAGTCCATGTGTCTGTTAACTCTTTTCATGGACTTTAGTTTCTTTCACAATGATGCTGAGAAACTCGATATATGCACCAAATATTTGAATGTTAGAGTTTGCAAATTATAACTACTTATTAACTTGCAGAGATTACTTTCAGTATTCATGCCTGCCTTTACTCTTCCCCAAAATGACAACAGAAGATATCAGGTAAATTGAATGCGGAATACAGAATCACTGAGTTCTAAAAGTTATATAAAACAGTCCAACATACGACATGGAACAGCTTTGGAATACTTGTTCTTCAGATTCGGATCCAACTCGATCTTCCACAATATTTCTCAAACCCTCAATATTCTTGTTATTTCATCTTCCACGGCGCGTTATCTTTGACATCCAACCACACAAACAAAAAGATTTTCTCAGACCGGTCTACGTTTCGTTCTCCACATCAAGTCTCCTCCCTCTCTATATAAAGGAAATAAAAATCTCTAACCAGAAGTGCAGCTAATACGAATCATCTAGGACACAAAAACCCGCGTACACGAGTCACAATGCCCAACTCATCTTTCCACAGTATTGGTCGTTTTGAAGGCGCCCCACTCAACTGGACGCAAGCTCTCTCCCGGTCTGTGATTGACGAATACATGGGCCTAAGAATCTGCGAGTGTGTGACGCCGCGAATCTTGTGCACTCGAACGTTTGCCTGCCAGAACAATTATGTAGATTGGGTCAAGCAAAAGGCGGCCTTTCTCAGCAGCTTGGGATTCGGAGGGCCAGCGGAGATTGAGGGATATATTGAATTTTTGATCCGGGAGCAAAAGGAGAAGATGGAAGCTCAGAATTTGGGATAACTTTGCGAAGGTATGCAAAGCACGGAGTTTTTTGTGGTGGAATATGGGGCAAATTAAAGTTTATTGGGCTGGAATAAGGACTTGATAGAGGAAGAGACTGGAGAAAGAGTCGCAATGCAATGGGGTAGTAATATTTCACATAGATCTGGAGTAATCTGATAATGGTAGAAGTGGGAAAGGAGGGTCAAATGCTTCGAAGACTTCAATGACATACCGCGTACTCGAGGCGTCATGATAGGTATCCAAAAAAACCCTAGCATAATTTTATTCAGAGAATCCAATCAGCACTTCCTTATCATGCGTGTCAAAAAGTCTTATATGTAGCTGCCGTCCTGCTGTCAGAGTCAGTACGTCATAACAAAACCCAGATCAGATCAAGTTTACGTACCCGTCTGACTTTCCAGCTCTTCCAGTCAAATACTTCTTTAGCATACCTCCGTACCAGACATGTTACCATCCTCCGTAAACAACTCGACTCCTCTTCCCGGGACCATTTGAATCCCAGATTATTAGCTGTCACCCCAGACCCCTACGCAGCCACGCTTAGCACCCAGTAAACCCTAATCTCACTTGACACTGACACCACAGACCGTATTCACTCCCGTCCAACCGACCTTGACGTAACGGCATACAAGCTTTCGATATCCACTCACCCTTCACTTTTCGTGAAAAGATGGCCAGAAGATATTCCATCATTCCTCGTCTTCGGGATTATCTGTATCCTGTACCACGTAGTACAAAAAGAAGAAAAATTATGAATAGAAACAGATGAACATGACACAACGGTAAGGGCCAACGATCAATCATCAACTCTCCAGTTAATTGGCGATTGACAAAACAGCAAGCAACAAATACGACTACAAAACGGGATATGGGAAAATGCCAATGGGAAAGAGTCGAGGGGTTTGGAATCTTGACTCCTGAGACTTGAATTCATCGAGTCTCTGACTCCGTGGGACACGTAGGGATCTAAGAACTGCGCAGCAAATGAAGAAGGGGAATAAAAAGAATTACCTTATCTTACCTACACCGTCACTTGCAAAATTGCGGCTTGCAATTCCCATACACTTCGTGCTCACCTCCTTCACCAATTCCTCTCGTGGCATTGGTAACCTCACTTCCCACTTCTGGTGAACCGCGCCGTCTCGTGGCCACGATTTTCAGTTACTTCAATTACTTCGCCTTCTTCACTTTCCTTCTGAATGCAGGCTTCGAACAGAACAGGTATATATAAACCCTTCTTTGCCCGTTGTACTTTTCTTCCACTCTCATCCTCTCTTCTTCGTCTTCCTTTTATCTTCACGATACATACTCCAACATTGGACATCATACACCAAACATCAGACATCCTTAGCTTCAGACTCCATACCTTACCTTTAACCTGCGTACCTCCCCTCTACATCCCCAACACTCCAACGCTCTTCCACGGGCTTCAGGTTCTGTCTGCCACACGAAAGTCTTGCTCTTCTCTCAAGAAACCTTCCAGAAACCTCTTTGTTACTCGTGAGTAATTCCTCTCAGTTTTTCTCTATTCCGAAAGCCAGTCCTCCAGGTCTCTATCTCAGGCTTCACATTCTGCACTTCTTTTTCCTTCTCTCTTCCTCTCCTCCTCACGCAGCTCATGAAACAGAACAAATACTCACAAGCAACAGACACAAATAACGCACAAAAATGCCTATTGCTACACCCACCACCAGCGTGTCCGTGCCCAAGGGCTGGACCAACCGTCACACCGATTGGGTTCTGGCCAAATGGAATATCCTCAAAACCAATTTCGGCCAGAATGGTGAAGAAATCCCCGAGTACCTCATCAACTCGTGGCTCAGCCTCACAATTCGTGCAGCAGCCTATGACTACAGTGTCACGGCCACTGAGGACTGGATCATGCTCGTTGTAGCTGATCCGGATAAAGCCAACATCATGGTCGCTGAGCAGGCTGCAGCTGCTTAGAGCAGCCAGTTTGTTTTGATCTTTCTCTTCATAAGACGTGCTTGGCTGAACCATATGGTATGTAAATACCTTGCCCTATACTGGAGCTCAACTGCAAAAAAAGACATGCAATATTGAGACAAATGGTGAAAATAACGCTGACAAGATAATTCATTTTGCAGTCTGACACACTCGCTGTCTCCTGTGAGCAGGACTCGTCAACTACTCAACTAGTTAGTCTCTGGTTCAGCAGCGTATGGAATTGTGAAGAAAAGTCAAGATTGCAAGTGGCATGAATTATCCATGCATAGGATAACAAAGGCGTTAAGACAATGGATTTAGTGGAGTTGCAGGATCTAAGCACATGCCATTCGGAAACATGTTGCCATTGGGACTGGGATCCTGGGTTCATTAGGCGTTCAGGATTTGTTTTCAACCAGATACTCATGACTATTGTGAATCATAAGACATTTAGCGAACCAATTAATTTTTTAATTCCCTCATAACCTGTATGCTGCTGATCCAATCAGTGATTGTTTTAACGTGAAAGTCCCTGCGTTGATAGACCATAGTAGACATGATTGATGTAGGAGCCAACGAGCACAGAAAGTGAAAACTAGCGAGAGTCCAAAGACAACCCAAACACTGGTTGTGGCATGCCTTGTGCATATCTGCAAGAAAAGTCGCCTAAACCCGGACCGCATTGCCAGAGTTTTGTTTTGGTTTCGGGTCACTCAACGCCAGGACTATAGTATAATTATTTGTAAATTGTATTATTAAGATTAATATCTGAGTAAAAACTGATTGATAATATCAGAAGACATGCCTCATGCACGTTAGTGCGTTACAAATATGAGCAGCATCCTAAACGCCAAAACCAACAGTTCAAAAGACATGACTATTTCCATGATGCTTTGATCTGCCGATTTGCCAATCAAATATTCCCAGTTCGGCAATCCTAGGTAATTCTCAGCAAAACCGAAGAGCGCGCTGAGACATCAAATTCTCCTCCCAAGAGAGCTGCTACAAAAAAGTGTCAACTTCCGTCCCAAGGAACAACAATCTCCATTCTCCACGCTCAAAATCGAAAGGAAATTCCAAACGCAAAACGGTTAAAAAGAGTGGCAAAAGCATGCTTACAAAACAAGAAAAACAAGGAAAGGAGTAGAGGCATGACAAAACTGAAACCAGAGACGGATAATGGCGAGCCGCAAGAAACAAGAAAGTCTCAAAACAATGAACAGAAAGAAAAAGAAAAGAAAAAGAAGAAAGAAAAAGAAAAGCCGGTGAAAAGACCTAGAGACAAGGCACCACGGAAATAGATTAGAAAAAAGTATTGGAGAAAGCAGAAAAAGAAGTTGGAGGAAAGAGACGGAAATAGAGAGAAAGAGAAAATGTCCTCCCCTTTCTCTCGCACACCGGACACCCTGCGATAATAGCATCAAAGCTCTTCCAAAACAGCCTGACAGAGCCGCTGGTATCTCTCCGCATCGAATCTAGGGCGCTGCCATCCCACAGCTCTCAAGCGCGCAATCCTCGATTCCTTATCTGTCTTCTTCGACTCACTATAAATTCGACAACGCGCTTGAGTCTCGCGATGAATGGCTTGCGCCTTGGTCGTCGCTTCCACAAGTTCCTCAACGGCATCAATATGGCGATGCAGCATTTCTGCAAAAGAAGTAAGATGCGAGTTGAATCGGTGGCGAGAACGCATGCGGAGCCAGGCGGTGCTCTCTTCGGTGAACGTGACCGAGGCGCGTTTGGGCGGAGAAGGGGCTGGACCTAGAGAAGATACAGATGCACGTTTGGAGTGCTCCTTGGTTGGTTGAAGGATAGGTTTCAACTTGGGACGCAGCGGTGAGGGGACCAACGGGTTGCGATTGCAAGTATGACTATGATTGTTGTTTTGATTGTCGACTTTGCGAATGGAAAGTGGTGAAGGTTTTAGACCACCAAATGGATCATGAACGTCGGTGTCGCTGTCATCCTCCTCTTCGTAGCTATCTTTGTCGAAGCTAGGCATGCTGTTTTCCTTGTTATGGCCGTCATTGTAAGTGTAATGGTGCACCTGTGGTTTAAATGGCAAAGGAGAAAAATGGGCTGACGCGGACGAAGCTCCTTTGAATGGCGGAGAGTTGAAAATAGCGTCCAACGAAGAGAAGCTTGCAACAGAAGAAGCTACAGAGTCTGAGTGCAACCGGCGAGGGGAAGACGCTGGAAAGTCTACACCGTTGCGACTTTTCGAGAAGTTGGCGACGTTGGTGTCAATTGAGCGCAGAAGCTTCTTGGGAGAAGAAAAGGTTGCAGAGGAAGAACAGCAAGTGTCCTCGGCATCCAGACCGGGAAGTATATCTGAAGCTTTGAGGTAATGCTCTCTAGCAGACTCGAGACGGCGAAGGCGGTCGGCGGACAGAATGTGTAAAGGTCGAGCGAGCAGCTCACAGCAGAGCGCGGCGTAGTAGTTTAAAGCACTCTCCTGAATTGGGTGAATGTAGGACTGGAGACATGGAGTGTTAGCGAAAAGCAATTCACTGGTTTTGTTGTTGTTTTGATTTGAAAGCTCAACTTCCCGGCCCAGAATGACGCGAACTTACAGATTGTTGATCCCGGACCGATTGCAAAAGATTGAGGCACCGAGTAAAGCATTCCCTGAATTTTCGATTCAAGAGAAGCTCCTTGATGGTGACGAGCACGGTTTTCCATTGCTGAAATGATTTTGGACTTTGTTGGTTTCCTGGGAATGAAGCCTGCACCAGGTTTGAGACAGCAATTCGTCTGCCTAAGGGCGCAAACTTCAACTTGCTTGGCAGCGTTGCCAGGTTTAAGTCTCTGGAGACGAAAGGGTCCTCCATCTTTTGATGAAATAGAACAACCCAAGCAGGAAACCGTATTGGTTGTGGCTTTCCGTTTGATGGGGAAGGGAACAAAGAGTGGTTGGAAGTTGGATCAAAACATGGCGACTTGGGAAGTCGTGATGCAAGATTCTCAGCGGGGGAAATAAAATAAAGGAAAAGAGTGTTTGTCCGACAAGTTGGAAATACAGAGGACGTCAGTGAGGCGGCATAGCAGCTAGTTCAAGTGTTCCCCGTCTGAGCGTGCAAGGAAAAGAAGGTGAACAGCAGCAGATGTAAACAAAAGGTTTTGTAATGAACACGTTCGACACCACTCACTAGACTTCACAAGGAGAGCAAAATAAACAAATGGCCCCGGCTACGACCTGCCACATGGCTTGTAGCCGAAGTAGGAGTTCAATGCGGTTTCGATCAATACGCCGACTATTCCATTTCCAGAATCATGGACTTTTGATAGTGTGGGCAAGACTAAGCCGACCAACAAATAGCCAAGAGTACGCGCTCACTTTGTTATGGGAAACTAGAATAGCAAAGTCCCGAATGAACTCGAAATGCGGATGCTGTACCAAGTATTTAGCTGAAATTTAAATATCTGACATTGGGTATAATGTGGATTAATGCTTATGCTGAACGGCCGCGTCCATGTGATATCTGCGCTAAAGGTAACATGATGACAGGAAATAATGAGAAGAACAAATGCATGCCACTAGCGATATCTCTGGTCATTGACCTTCCCAATGTTACACCTTTTTAAAGCTTGCTCTCTCGGTAGCGGCATCCATCATACGGTTACCACTAATAATTGATGTTGTGCAGATAATAATTTGTCTCCGGGCTGCGCAACGCGGTCAGTCTGCTATATCTCCGATGAGAAATGAAAATCATTGCTTACCTTCTTCCTGTTTGGCAATGTATCTTAGGGCAGCAATTTCTGCAAAGCTGATTCCTCCCAAAAAGAAGACCACAACAGTCTTGCGCTCATTTTGCCCATTAAGGATTTGTCTTGCTCGAACCGCCTTCTCCTCGCCTCTTTGAATCTCATCAACTGTTGCGCCTCTAATGCTTTTCAAAGCATCTTCGAATCCTCGCCATCCTTGAGAGGCACCCTGAGCAGTGGTAGAGCTGGCCGTAGAACCGCCCTTAGTAAGGGAAAGAAGATACTGCTTTTGCAGAAGACATTGCACAAGTCGCACACTGAGAGGAGCATATCCGCTGTAGACATAAGAGATGTCGTTTGGATCTTGTTCGTTGACCTCGTCGACGATGAGACGTAGGCTCTTTCTGAGAGAATTGTAGTTTGTCTTTGACCCTGCAGAGCCGGCACTTGCTGTGGTCGGGATCAACAAAGCATTTGCTGAAGAACGCGACTGGAGCAACTGAAGCTTTTCCAACGTATCGAGGGTCAGAATATGCTGAAAGCCGTATCCGTGCAGTATTTGGCGCTTAAAGTTCTCTAGATCCTTTGGTCTCACACCCCCACAGATACACGACTCAAGGCAAAGGAGTCGAAGAATATGAGCCAGAGGAACATCACGGGCTATCAATTCTTCGATACTTTCGTGCTGCGTCGAGGGATCTGCGCCAGCCGCAATATTTTGTTGGACCTCCAGAAGGCGGCTAAAGACGTCCGATCGAGTATATTTCATAATGTCCTCGGCTAATCCAGTATGAATCTTTAAACTTTGCTGTTCAGCTTGAAATCCGGGGAGCTTGTTCACAAACTCTCGAAGCTCCGAGGTAGTTCTAGCCACATGACGACTTTCGTAGTCGCTCTCTAGCCGGCGAGCCACTCTGTTCAGCAAGCTTCCGACAATGGCAAAATTGGAATCCCGGAGCTGCGAGTACAGTTTGTCGGAAGAATCTAGCTGAATCTTTCGTTTCATTCCCTTCTGGGTTGCAGCACTTCGTGAAGAGCCCTGGTTCGGCTGTGATGGATTGGCCGCTCCCACAATCGAAGTATCGACTTCTGCCTGATTGTCCTGGACACTGTAGAGTTCATCCAATAGACCTTCGTATGTCAATTGGGTGAGCAGAGGAGTCGCAAAGTCAACCTCGCGATCAATGACAATGAGACTTTCGATGGAGGAACTTGGCGTTAGACCAACCGTAGAGGCTGCGCTTTTTATGTCTTCTCCAGCCGCCACTTCGGATCGCATTCGAATCAAGAGATCTGCGAGGCGGCGAGAATTGTCTCCTTTACCTAAAATTCTAGGAAAGAGGCCATGTTGCTGCTGTATGAGCATAAGGGAGCGAGCGGCCATGAAAATGCAGGTTGGGTCACCGCGCTATGCAAAAGCTTTAGAAGCTACATCTTTCATATATCGAAGCCCACCAGCTTCCTTCCATGGATTACGCACCAGGTATAAATCACCAAAAGAGTCCGGCAACTCCAGAGAAAGCAGGTCGGTTTCCAACGGAATAAAATACAGGGGAAATTCAGCTGTAGAGACATCGCCGAGCACACCAGCATCTTCGAGCACTTGGTTGCAAACAAGAGTACGTCTAGGGAGCAAGAATATGTGAAAATCGTGATCTATTTGAGTAGTTCGTTGCAGGCGCTTAATCTGCTCTTAAATAGAAGCAATGTCAGCACGCACTGATGGTGTCTTTCCACGGGTGACAAGGAAGACCATAATGAGACAGTGCTAAGACTTTTGAGTATAAAGTTCTTTTCGATTTAGGGATTATGACAAATCACAGTAGTGTAGGTTTAAAATCTACGCGATTTACTGATAATCCCATATATGGCGCCGGTCGACCATAAAAGTGCATCACTGATATGAGCCATAGCGTCGAAACATTGTAGAGAATGAAAAGGGGAAACGGGGAAATGTATGGCCAGTAGCTGAGTTTGCGGAACGCCGGAGAGCTATGAAGATCCACGTACCGGCAACAGCCTGGACACTCTTAGTATGTTCACCCCGAGTCAAGAAGATGACATTCCGCTGCGATGAATCCACATTGTCATTCTCAAGGAAGAAAACCCGATCCACGCCGTAGTCTTGGAGTGTCGAAAATTTGACAAAGACACCAATAGGTCCGGCCAGGTCTTTCTCCAGCACAAGGTTCTTCTTTCCTCGAACCTATACAGTCGTTCAGTATGCCGGAAGTGAAGAGAGAAGATGCATCCAGAAAGCACGTACACCCTCAAGGAGGTTGAGCAAATCTTTGCGAGCTTTTTCCTGGATGTCAGTGACATTGACACCTGCAATTGGAGCCATCGCTGGACTCAATTGCAGGGTCAGAAGCAATGTTAAGTACGTAAAAAAATCAAAGTCGAAGCTGCACTCGAGTACAGAGATCAATTATCATTCAAGGCACCTCCAGAATCAATGGTGAGGCATGCACAAGAAAGCTGTTCAACGCGTCTCAACTGTGGGAAAGAGAATGAAAAGGTCGGCAAAGAGATGAAGAGGTAGAAATAAGCTTCGCTAGTCCGATGTCATTGTGCATTGTTTGGACTACCGTAGACCCCTCACGCTAAAGGTCTCTATGGACATCTGTAATTTTCAACGCCAATATCCATGTGAAGTAGCTAACTTTTGATGATACCGAAAGAAATTCCCCAGTATCCCACAATTTTCTAGAAGCGCTTGGCCTGTCAAGTAATCGTCTTGCTCAGAACCAGTCGCAAGTGTTTTTTTTCCTGGGTGAGATCTCGTGCATGCTTTTTGCACGTCTCTTCCGTACTTGGTCTGCACCACCAGTCCGCACAACTCGCTTCAACTGCCTGACTATCGTGAGTCAGGCGGGACGCTGCCGCAATCTTTCAATAACCACCAGACGTTTACAAGAAGAAGAAATGGGCAAAGACAAGGTTTCCTTCCAGCTCAAGACCCCTAAGGGGACCAAAGACTGTACGCGCTCTGGAGCAGTGTCAGAAACAGACGCTATCACTTTTTTACTTTTTAAATGATATGTTTTTGCTGATTGACGATAGGGGAGGGCAAGGACATGGTCATTCGCGAGCGGATATTCTCGAGCATCACAGACGTTTTTAAGCGCCACGGTGCTGTCACATTAGATACGTAAGAGCTATTTTCAAATGCGGCTGAATATACACAATGTTCAACGAGCTGACTTGAAACAGCCCAGTTTTCGAACTTCGAGAAATTCTTGCCGGCAAGTATGGTGAAGACAGCAAGCTCATTTATGATCTGGCCGACCAGGGCGGCGAAATCTGTTCACTGCGCTACGATCTGACTGTTCCCTTTGCCCGTTGGCTCGCCATGAACCCGTCTGTGCAGAATATCAAGCGGTACCACATCGCCAAGGTCTACCGTCGAGACCAGCCGGCCATGACCAAGGGACGGATGCGGGAGTTTTACCAATGCGATTTTGACATTGCCGGCACATACGACGCTATGCTTCCCGACGCAGAGATTCTCCGGATATTATACGAGGTGTTTGAAGGTCTTGGCTGGGACGGCAAGTACACGATTAAGCTCAACCACCGGAAAATCCTAGACGGCATCTTCTCCGTTTGCGGTGTGCCCGAGGAAAAGATTCGAACGATCAGCAGTGCAGTTGACAAGCTCGACAAGGTAAGGATATTGTCATCTCTTTAGGTTCTGGGCTTTCTGTTCGCAATTTTACTTGCTGACACGGTTTGTTTCTTCTCGCAGTCCCCCTGGGCCGAAGTCCGCCGCGAAATGACAGAAGAAAAGGGCCTTGACGGCGCCGTTGCCGACAAGATTGGAGAATACGTTGTCCGGAAAGGCAAAGGAGAACTGCTTGCCGCGCTGAAGGAAGATGCGATCCTGAGTGGCAACGAGTCTGCCAAAAAGGGTCTCGAGGACATGGAGCTTCTCTTCGAGTACCTCGAGGCGTACGGCGTGCTTGGTCAGATTTCATTTGACCTCAGCCTTGCCCGTGGTTTGGACTACTACACTGGTCTGATCTACGAGGTCATCACGGAGGGATCCGCACCTCAAGCCGCCGAGGCACAAAAGGCCACCAAGGCGGCCAAGAAGAGCAGCGGCAAGCCTCAAGGCGAGGACGACGACCGCTCCGCCGACCCCAATGTTGGCGTCGGCAGTGTCGCCGCCGGCGGTCGGTACGACAACCTGGTCGGCATGTTCTCTGGCAAAGCTCAGATCCCTTGTGTGGGTATCTCGTTTGGTATTGAGCGTATCTTCTCGATTACCAAGGCAAGAATGGAGGCGCAAAAGACTGCTGCCTCGGTCCGACTTAACGAGATTGACGTCTTTGTTATGGCGTTTGGTGGCAAGGGCTTCACCGGTTTGTTGAAGGAGCGCATGTCTATCGCAAAGACTCTTTGGGATGCCGGTATCAAGGTACTATTCATGTCTCCTCTTCATCTTTACTCCTCTCTCCCCATCAGCTTCCCATTCACCTCTCAACCTAGAAGCTACATCCCGCTAACACATTGTGAAATATACAGGCCGAACTAGCATACAAGGTCAAGCCTAAGCTTCCCCAACAATTCAAGTCTGCTGAGATTGGCGGTGTCCCATTTGCCGTGATTCTCGGCGAAGACGAACAAGCTCAAGGCAAGTGCAAGATCAAGGAGCTAGGCCTGCCCGAAGGCCACCCCGAAAAGGACGGCATCGTCGTCGATCTCGCCAATCTCGTTCCTGAGGTGAAGAAACGTCTCGCGGACAAGACCGGCATTGATGGCGTCACTGGCGGCAATCTCGTTCCTGAGGTGAAGAAACGTCTCGCGGACAAGACCGGCATTGATGGCGTCACTGGCGGTATTAACGGTCTATGAGTCATGTGCTTTAAGATCATATCAAAATACAATGTGCGAATCATATAGACATGAAAATTAGCAATATAGCCAACATCTCATACGAACCAAAATTACTCATAGTATTATAGCTGTTAAGTAGATGTATCAAGCAAATTATTCAATGTACGGCCATTTTTACATTGATTACAAGTTTACAGGAAGTTATGCCATGTTATTGGTTCGCATTTACCTTCTTGCTATAGCTAGCTCCATCATGCAAGCCTTGTCGATCCTACCAGCCAGCTTCCAGTGCTCTTCATACTCGTAGTCCACACCGGCAGTTGTTCCCTCGTTCCGCGCATCTGTGACGGTTCGGCTATCGGATCCCCTGTACTGGCTCCTCGCTCCAAATAGCGCGCTTCGTTGTTCCCTCGTTCCTGACATCGGCAGGTCGGAGGCCGGGGCTTACAATTATGCCGAAAAGCGCTTCTTCGGATAAATCATTTAACTATTACAGGGTTATTCCAGGGGTCGGGGGGGTCGGGTCCACGCCGGTGCACCAGGCAGCAGTTTTTTTGAGTCTTGGACCGAGGACTCTTTGCTTCCAAAAGCTTCGTAGACTTGTTGGGCTCTCGCACGAACGGAAGCAATACACTTTATGTTTTTTTGTGGGTATTATTACGAGTCTTGTATCGTTTGAAACATCCCAACAGATTTTGTCAAAAGACTTTTTTTCTTTTCTTTTTCATTTGTTGCTTTTACTTTACAGAGTGCAGTGCTACACTTGGACAGCGCTCCGGAGGCTGTAGAAAAACAGAAGCTCCTACGAAATGGTCTACATACCTGTACCTGCAATTCGAAAGTCTTGATACTGAAGTTTGAAATTCTTGCTACGCAAAAGAATGAGAGTGTTGGGCAACTAGGAACTTATAACATGCAAGCGTAAGGTGCATAACTTTGCGTATATCGTCACTCGTCACTGGTCAGTGATATTCATATTACCGCGTATAATTGATTATCCGAAGGACATAAGTGCACCGTTCATGCTAGAAGCAAAACCTTAGATTTTAAAATATAAAGTGAAAAAGACGAGAAAAATGGAATAAGAACCCATAAACCCCACATAGTAACAAATAGGAGTGAGTCTGAGACGGTCCTCAATTGCGTGAAACTGACAGCTCGACAGGTTAGATTCTTCAACGAATCAGCCTGCAAGATGTCAGCTGTAACATGCTGGACCTTGCAGTCATGACGTTTTTCAAACTACTTGTCTATTAAGCCTGGACTCTGGACTCGGCCCAACGTATATAGTAAGTTGTTGAGAAGAAAGCGTCCACAGCGTCCACAGCGTCCATCTAAATATGTTCAACAAATTCTAGCAGGCAGCACTGCAGTGGACCAGTGGCAACATTGGCAACAGTGGCAAGCGGTAAAACTGTTAGACCCTTACTGTCAAACCCTATGTGACGTGGTTGATCAAGCCCTGTAACCCTGAATCTCTTAACACGTATCCGGACCCAGATCTGGGCTGGATATAACCATTGAATAACTATACTACTATATCCTAAACTGTCAGGACTCAGGACTCAAGTCTTAACCATTATCGTTCTCTTTCAATTGAATATTCAATATATAGTCAAATCTCAAGTTTCAACAAGGACTCGACTTTCTCGACGACGCAACGACACTCAGAGTCATTGGCTCCTTTCATTGTTTTATCACATCAACAACAATGGCTCAGGTCAAGGCTCGCCGCGGCATCGATTCCGCAAACAAGGAAATCGACGACGGCACCAGAGACTACATCCCTCTCCGAAAACAACAACAGCATGGCAAAACTCCCAAAAAACACATCACCGAGTATCCCATCACATGGACCAATTGGTACAAACACGTCAACTGGCTGAGCAGCACCTTTGTCCTGTCGCTCCCGCTGCTGGGCTGCATCGGGGCGTGCTACGTGCCGTTGCGGCTGTACACGGCGGTTTTTGCGGTGGTGTATTATTTCCATACGGGGCTTGGTATAACTGCTGGTACGTATTTTCTTCATTTCATACGGAGTATGCATAATCCACATCCACATCCACATGCACGATCCTGTTGCATGTTCCATGTTCAATATTCATACTCCATATTCCACTATCAACGTTCCATTTTCCACAGTCCACAGTCCACAGTTTTCAGTGCCCTGTGCCCAGTGCACAATTGGTTTCATTGGACCATTGGCATTGGACCACGGATTATGGACCATGGACCATGGACAATAATCATTGATATCCAAGTCCAAGTCTTTTGATCTCCAAGAGGTGGGAGTCGACTGAATATCAAAAAAAGAACCCCGGTTCAACCTATTCAAACCCAATTGCACCCCAAAAAAGAAAAAAAAAAAAGAAAAAGGATTCTCATCGGACACATAACTAGAACCACAAAAACTAACCAACGGTCAACTTCACAGGCTACCACCGCCTCTGGGCGCACACCTCCTACCGCGCCTCCCTCCCCCTCAAAATCTACCTCGCGTCCGTCGGTTCGGGCGCCATCCAGGGGTCTATCAGGTGGTGGTCCACCAAACACCGCTCTCACCACCGCTACACCGACACCTCTCGGGACCCCTACTCCGTGTCCAAGGGCCTTTTATATTCCCACTTGGGGTGGATCATCATGAAACAGCACCCTTTGCGGGTCGGACGCACCGACATCTCCGACCTGAACGCCGACCCCGTCGTCGTTTTCCAGCACATGCACTATCTCAAATGCGTCTTATTCATGGCCCTTCTTTTCCCTGCACTAGTCTGCGGGATTGGCTGGGGCGACTGGTGGGGGGGTTTAGTCTACGCGGGGCTGCTACGGGGGTTTGTCGTGCAGCAGGCAACGTTCTGTGTGAATTCGCTGGCGCACTGGCTGGGCGAGCAGCCGTTTGACGACCGTAATTCGCCGCGGGATTCGATGGTGACGGCGCTGCTGACGCTCGGGGAAGGGTATCATAATTTCCATCATGAGTTTCCCTCGGATTACAGGAACACGGTGGCCTGGTGGCAGTATGATCCGACAAAGTGGTGTATCTGGACCTGGAAGCAGCTGGGGCTGGCGGCGGGGCTCAAGGAGTTTAGGAGGAATGAGATTGAGAAGGGCCGCGTGCAGCAGTTGCAGAAGAGGCTGGATAGGGAGAGGGAGCGCCTGGATTGGGGAATCCCGTTGCACGAGTTGCCGGTTGTGGAGTGGGATGAGTTTGTGGATGAGGCGAGGGGTGGCGGGGTGAGTGTGGGAAGAGGAGTGGAAAATGAAGCGGGGAGTGGTGGTGGACAACGGGGAGGAAGGGGAGAAAGGGGAGGAGAAAAAGAAGGGAGAAAGCTGGTAGCGGTGGCAGGTGTGATTCATGACGTGACAGACTTCATCAACGATCATCCTGGCGGTAAAGCGCTGATCGGGTCGGCGGTTGGAAAAGACGCAACGGCCATATTCAATGGCGGTGTGTATAACCATTCGAACGCTGCGCATAATTTGTTGGCGACGATGCGAGTCGGTGTTTTGCGCGGTGGGTGTGAGGTGGAGATTTGGAAACAAGCGCGGTCACAGGACAAGGACTTGATGTTGTAAACTATATTGACCGGAGAACGTTATTAGACGGTTGACGTATAGTACAGATAAATTTGACCTCTCTGATCTCAGTCCATCACTCCACCAACTTTAATGGTGATGGGTCCAGTCCATCGTGACGAGACTAGAATGGAGAAATAAGGGAACTAGACAAATGGAATAAAGTACGACAAAATAGCAGGAACGGACGTGGCGCCGAGTATATAACGTGAACAGCGACCAAAGTGGAACGGCACACGGAACGACATCAACTATGAACAGAAGAATAGTAGATGATGAATTGGCATAAGAGTGGATTGAAAAAGGTTGAGATAAAGATGAGTAGACAGAGAGCAGGATGAATAGTACATACAAAAAGCCAAAAAGACAAAAGACAAAAGCCACCGTGGTATAAAATGCCCTCTGACATGATTCTCAAACTTTGTTAAACTGTAGCATCGGATCGTATGGACAATAACGGAAAACTAAAAGGGAACTGGAGACAAACGAAGAATTGGATTGAAGGCGAGGTAGAGCCAGGGATGAAACACAAAGTGAAAAGCAGTAAATGAGGTAAAAATGCTTCCTATATGCCCGTCATCATGACAAAAAAATGCGTCTCCAAATGGAAGAGCAAATGTGAGCGAAGAAAGTCTAAGAAAATGGGTCAAAATCCTTGGAAACAAAAATATCAAGAGCTCCCGTCTTCCAAGCATTCATGTTCATTTTCCAAGGGGAAAAAAAAAAGAAAAGGCGATTGAATAGGTCAAAACAAATGCTTTTGATAATAGTCTGACAATGATGCGTAGATTGAGCCCATTTACATCAAACACACTCGTACGCCGACGAAATACACCCGTAGATGAATATAAAATAACTTTCTCTGCAACTATTGCAAGATATTGGACGTTCTCTTTCGCAGACTGAACCGATGCGAGCGATGTCGTTCGGGCTTCTCAGGCGTAGAGGGCTGTGACAGAGGCGGGGGCTGTGTTGTCGTCGAGGTCCTTGCTTCAGCTCGTTGCGTAGGACGATCAGTAGCCGCTGCGGTGGCGGCGGCGGCGGCGGCGGCGGCGGCAGGGGCAGGAACAGCGGAACCAGCAAAATCAGTAACAGAAACTGGCGGTTCACCGACCGACGACGGTGGCAGTGGACTGGTCACGGGCGGAGCCGTATCCGTCTCCATGGGCATGCCCTCATGAATGACGGGCTGTTTGGCATCGTCTCGGTCTCTGACAAGGCTACTAACACCGCTGCCACTGCCTCCTCCACTGCCCCAAAATTTCGACCGACTTCGGAAACTTCTGCTGCCATGGCGTAAGCGGTCAAGGCTACCACTCATTCCGCCTAGGTTACTCGGTGCTGGCGCGGGCGCGGCCCCATTCTCCTTGTTTTCGCCTGCAGGAGCAGCATTATCCCGTGAGACGCGCTGATCTTCTTCGGCCTTGTGCGACAACTTGCTTGCAGCAATCGCAGCCTTGATGTCTTCCTGCTGACGCTTTTCGTTTTCCTTTCGGCGAAGTGCTTCCTCTTTGATTCGTTGCTTTTCTTGCTTTTCCCGCTCCTTCTCAGCTGCCTTGCGTTCCTTCTCCTCCCGCGCACGCTCCTTTTTCGATTGCACGGGGGCCGCAGTCGTTACGCCCGGGCCAACCCGCGGAGGGAAGCTTGCGCTTACTTGGCTCGTCGGGCTAAGCGAACTGCCGAGCGCAGCTGAGAGGCCTCCTGGGGAGAGAGGGGTGCCATCTACTCCTGGGTGGGCCTTGGGCTCAATGACCCCGGCATGTGGAGACTCTGTTGGTGCCGTGGTCGCGTGGTGTAGTCTCGCAAAGTCTTCATGCTCAGGGTCCGGAGCACCGCCTGTCGTCAGAGCGTGCTGTAAGCCGTTGGGAAGATCGCCATTGGATCGGCCGGCGAGTAATTGTTCAGTCAATGCCGCCTGCGTTGTGGCCTGTGCTTGGGCAAGCCCTTCCAATTCTTGCTCGCGCTGTACCGCCTCTAGCGTTGTTTCTTGATAGAACAGGACATAGGCGCATGCTTGACCGGGCTTGTCACCGAAAAAGTTTTGAACGTAGCTCTTGTCGACGGGCTCCACCATCTCGTCGTCAAAGAGCAGCCAGCCACGATCTTGCGTCTTGACAATGGAAATGTAGTGACCATGGTAAGGGCCACCGCCAATGTGCACCACGACTGCGTATAGTTCGTAAAGGCGGTCCGGGTCCTCTGCATCATCGGTTGTATTGAAAAGGCGGAGGTGGAAAGGATATACGACTCGGTGAAATAACTTCTGCAATCGTTGCAGATCCTCGGTATATTTGAAGCGCTTCAGGTGGAGCGCTAGAATCCGCGGCAATCGCTTTATCTTCATACGCTTTTCTGCCTCTTGTAGCCCGCCGCAGTTGTCACAGTGAAACTTGTTGCGTTCGCACAGCATTTCCTCTTCTGAGAATTTTCGCAGACACGATGTGACCGATGAATGCTGCTCTAGATCCACAGACAGATCGAGAAACGGCTCGTCGCGCTGCGACACGTTTTCACAGGTCAAGCATTTCGTCTCGGAGGTAAGCGTCCCCTCAAAAAGCTCATGTACCCATCGGGTCGGGTTCGGCAGTCCATGCGAGATAGTGGGGGTCATGAAAGACTCTAGCATATCCGGGACAGGACTGCCAGCTTCCACGGCTTTTCGTTCCGTCTCCTCTTGAACCCTTTTCGCATTCGCTTCCACATCCGAGACGACTTCATTCAGTAAGAGGTTCAGGAATTCGTGGGCATCTTGGTGCATCGAGGACCGAAACATTTCGTTCTGATTACGCAAGACCTCGAGAAACCGTTGCGGACTAACGACGCCGATTCGGGACGAATGGGCGCGGACGGCCTCAAAAATGTCCTTGAGCGAGGTGAATAATGATTCCGTCATGCCGTACGTGGCCGCGTTGGCGTGCTCCATGGCCAAGATTGGTCCGGTAAGCATCGCCTGCTTCTTCTTGTACTCGGGTGAATCCTTGACGTCCTCGGGTCGGAGAGGTTGCTGCCCGCCAGGTCCAGCTGGCGCAGACATGGGTTTGCGAAAGGATACGGTGGTCGGCGACGACACGGAAGGGGGCCCTACTGAGGGGGCTCCTCGAGCGAGGGATGTGGGCGCATTCGGGATATTTATTGGGCTTGTTCCGTTGGTGTCGAATTGTGGTAGGATTTCGGACGAAGCGTCCGGTGTGCGATTCGGCGAGATTTGAGGGTAATTCATGACCTGTTCGCGGAAGGGCACGGAGAAGTAGAGACATTGCAGGATTGAATTACAGTAGCTGCGGAGAGTCAGCATTCATCAGAACTGGCCAAGATAATATCGGGGTTGGCGCAATTATCGTTTCCATACCAAGTATTTCCAAACTATATCCACGAATAAAATTGTCAGTCATGATCGGGGGGCAGCGCAGTCTCCGAAATAACAGTCCACTTACGTTCTCCATGCCAAAGAATTTGTCACTTCCATCGCTCCGGACGGGGCCAGCGTCAACGAGCAGTTTCTCGAGCGGAGTCAGTTGCGGGGCATTGGGGTCCCTCTTCATCGGCGAACTGCCAATATTGGGGCTGGTGCCTCCCTAGTACACCATCGCATGTCAGCTCCACGTTCATTGTTGAAATCAAATGCTCCCGTAGCGTTGAGGGTTGAGGCCATTTCATTCGTCTTTCACCCAGAATATTCGGGGGGGAATCAGTAGCAATTGGGGGATTCGACGCACCGCGCTGGACTTGAATCGGCCAAAAAAGGACGACATGGCGGGCTACGGACTGAATATATCTCGAGCGAGAGCGATAGAAAAGAAGGGTGTCGTAGGATATGAGAGAGGGGGGGAAAGGGCCTGAGGCCTCAGCGCCTCCACGCCTCTCGGCGATGGTATATCGGCAGGGAAATGGGATTCAACGGCGTTTCAATCGGATGCCGCATCGGTGGACGAAGTGCTAGCAAGACGTCACGGCGAGGCGCTTGGACGAGCACAGACCACAGACAGGATCTCGAGCTCGTCTCTGGTTATATGGAAGTATTGAGAGTCTTGGGGAAATGAGGGAATCAATGGCCTCCGAATAGAAATGATATTGATCGATGTTGCAAGAGGCGCAATTAGGCAGTCGTATATACCGACTCCAGCCGCGCAATGCCCGGCAGTGCTCTCAAAGACGCACTACTAAGTGAGCCTCGTCGACGGAGAAGAGAGGATTAGTCACGCAGATAAAAGAGGAGCGGTAATGTCAAAGTCAATCCCTTTCCTGATCAACAATGTCAAATGTCGATTCGTATAATAATAATAATACAACGAGTGATTCCACGAGGTTCGGAGGTTGTCTGGGTCGTAAGTGAGGCAGGCTGGGATGATTGCGGGACTTAGCGCGTGTGTGTGTGTGTGCGAGTTGGGTGGATCGGGGATAAGGAGATGCCGAGTCTGATAAATGGCGGAACTAAGAACTAAACAAATAGAACTCAATCCCCGCGAATGACGAGATTTACCCACTATATCTCATTTGACCGGGGGGAACATGATTTGAGAAATGAAAGGAACCACGAGATAAAAAGCCATGTCAATCTAGAGGAGAAGAGTATCTTCAACAACGGTCATTTCTTTAGACTTGTCATGATTGGACTAAATGTTAATATGGAGATGGAGGTTGGTTACCTCGAGGGGTTGCAGCCGATCCATTTGAGCCCCTGCTGACGGTCTCCGTCTGTCATTCGTCGGTATATCCGCCAAGATGCTTTTTGATCGATTCAGCAACTTTATGATTCGCTACCCAAAGAGAAAAAAGCAATCTAGTTGTAGAAATTCTTAATTACTCTGAGAACCATGACTCGTTACTGCTGTGGTCGCAGTACCTCATCATGCTTATCGTCGTCGCTTCCATGCCCCTACACTGTAACCAAATAGAAATGATCAATGCCTGTTGCTGGTGATAAAGGACAGGATACTGGATCAACAGCACTGTACGTTACGTGCACATATTACGCAATCGCATTCCTCCACGATAAACCGCCTCAAAAACCTCTCCACGGTCTCCTGTATCGTCAGCAAGATTTGGTATCTTTAAACGAAGCCTGCCCTCGGTAACGACTGGGTAATAGGAGAGGTGCAATCTAATTTGAAAATCGGGCCATCGGACAATTCCCCCAGAATGGCAATGTCCAGTCCGGGGAATCAAAGAGACAGCTTAAGCGCCACAAAGCTCATCATCTGCAGTCGAGGTTAGATGGGGGAAATGACAAACAATAATCAAAGTACGGAGTAATTTAGGAGTAATCGTTGATCGCGCCCTACTAGGCAGCTCGCATAACCCACGCCGCACACATGCGGGGAAAAGAGGAAACTCCCTTCCTCCGTAATGCCTTTGGGACACGGTATCAGGGTCGAATGGCAGATTCTCTTAGCTAAGAAATTGCATCAAACGGGTAAAGGACACAGTCTTCCCCGCTGTGCCAGTTGAGGCTGTCTCATCCCCATCCAGCACGTGGCGTCCTCTAGTGTCGGTGCTTCGGGCCATCTGATGACAAGCAACTACAAGTGACATCCCTGAGAGACACCACTAGAGAATGGGGATCAACATCCCAACGCCGCAGCAACTTTCACGCCTCAATGCAGATCACTACAATCGTTAAAATGTAAATCAGCAGCCACAAGAGAGATTCGTAGCTTACGCTATCATGTGCACCAACAATGGCAAAAAGAAAACGACTAATGAATCCATGATGACTCTCTTCGGGCTTAACAAGTCAAGTGTCAGATGCCGTCACGAGGTGGATAAATGCAAAAGTAAAACTTAACAAATAAATGGTTAGGGTCTTTTTTGGACCAAATAACATGAAAGCAGAATTCCACCTGGTATCATGCGCACCTAAAACCAGGCACTGACTATACTACACCGTACGAGACTGTACAATGAAGAGAAAATCCAAAGAAAAGTTGCATACTTGTCAATCGAACCAACCGGTTTGATGGCATGCTTCAAATGAGAGAACAAGAAAGGAAAGAGAGAAAATCAAATGAGACTAAAACACCAGCCGTCCCATATAGCGCCGAGGCCCCACCAGCCAACATAAGAAATACAACGGAGAATTTGAATGCACAATGGAACAGTTTACGTATCAAGGTCCATTTCGGTATCGGACACTTCTGCATATCCACTGATGCGTTTGGCCCGTCGCTCACTCGATCTGGCCGTGCCAACTTGTTCCCAGAGTCGATTTTCTTCTTCTCCAGCCTGGCTCGGGTGTTGCTGGCGATATTCCTGGCGGATACGCTCTGCGTCATGGTCCCATTGTTCCACACGTCTCTTAAAATCGGCCGCATATTCGCTATTAGCCTGCTTATTGCACGCCGTCTGTTCTAGGTACGGCTGCTTCTCCTCGGCGCTCGCATCTCTCCACATTTGGCCCAATGCAGCACGAATCTCGTCGCGGCCTGCTTTGGCCTGCGGATTGCGCGTTGCAACCCGACGCGCCTCATCACAGCGCGCTTTACACGGCGCCCAGTGATCTTTTTGATAGAGCAAGAATGGATTAGCTCCGGGCTTTCCGGGTTTCAGTGGACGTGGCCCGAGCTTGGTGAAAATCTCGGTTTGAATCGCCGCTTCGTAGTCTTCGAGACGGGCAATCTTCAACTCATGTGCCTGGCGCAAGGCAGAATTTTCTGCTTGTCGCTTCTGTCCGGCAACGCTGGACAGCGATTCCGCCTTTTGTTTGGGCGGAACCAAGGGGGTTGGAATCTGGATAGGACCAAGGATTGATTCGAGAACTTCAGAAGCAGCTCGTAGTCCGGAAAGATAGGCGCCGTGCACCGTAGCAGGGTGCGTGCCGCATGTGGCTTCTCCCGCGAAAAGCAGATTCCCAATGGGCCGTGCCATGACGTCGTAGTCGTCCGGTCGTGTTTCTGCAGCCACATACGAATAGCTGCCTCGCGCGAATGGGTCCTGACTCCATCTCGTTATGATGGTCTCACGCGGCTTAGGGATGGTCGTGGGTTTGAAGATTTTGGATAGCTCTAGCGTTACTTCGTCCAGGAGAACATGATCTTTGGTGGCTTCGGCCTGGTGCGCCGCGTCGCCTGCCATCAGGGCAATCAATGTAGGTTGACCACTGATCTTCGTGCAGTTCCAGAAGAGATAGAGGCGTCCTCGGCGGGAGACGTAGTCTTTTTGATCGAGACTATCTCGAGATTCGGGTTCTCGCAATAGTCCGAACATGTCTCTGCTAACGTCCCAGAACGGTTTGTCATACACAAGGACAATCTTAAAGGTCAGAATAGAAAGGTAGGATTTAGACCCAGAGAACTTACTTTATTTAAAACGCCAAATCCCATGCGCTCGATGACCCCGAGCTTCCAGTCTGGGAGCGAAGGTTCGAATTTGATGCTACCCTTCTTAAACACGCCCAGGGGAGCCGTGACCACAACCTTGTCGGCATCGATAATTTCACCATTGTCGCACTCGACTTTTGTGGTTCCTTTGCTATCGTCTTTGGAGTCTGTGTGATAATGTATAGATTTGACAGCATGCTTAAATCGGACGTCAAGAGGGCTAGGTGACCTCCATATGCCTCGTGGAACTTGAGTGTATCCTCCAATAATCTCTGCATGCTCACCCTCAAATTCATTGCCAATGTCCTGATCCCAGCCGCCGAGACTGAGCTGGCTGACATTGACTGCATTTGCATACTCCAAATTTGCAAAATGCCAATTAACAAGTCGCAGGTCTTGCGGCGTGAGCCCCAAAAGTTTCTGGTATTGTTTGACGGCCTCGTCCATCGTCGCGCCCAGGGTTGGATGCTTAACCGAAGTAACGGCATCCAAGTCGATTGACTGAGATTCTGGAACACCCACTCCCAGCGCCCAACCCAAGGATTTTGCAGTGGCTGCAGCGGGATCCTTGGATGCAGATCCGAATGCAACATGCGCTTTGCCTGTCATTTTGTCGATACCAGCAGGTACTTTTTGCTTGTCTTCTTCCTCCGCTGGTACTATTGTTGATTTGATGGAGCTGTTCTGGGCAAGAGCTTCTTCCACTTTACTCAATGATCTACCACCCTCACCAGTTGGATCACGTCCCATCTCGATCAGTTCTCGGTCACCCTCGGCCGTCTTTGGGATATTTGGCTTATGGCGGTAAACACTTGCGCGATCAAGGATATCATTGAAAAGTCTCTCGACCAGAATGTCCCTCTCCTTGTTGACCGGAGAACCATCTACATCGTGCAGAACAGAATTATCCCGCATGGGATGATAGTGAAGTGCAAGTTGTCCACGGACCAATATACTCAATGGATTACCATGATCAAAGCCCGTAATTATTTGTGCCCCCATTTCAGCCGTACATCTTAGCCTCTTCGAGATGCGCTCATTCTCCTGAGTCCGTAGTGGATGTGAATACACCCGTCCTCCTATGCGGCCTCGACCTTCAACGACTACCACTTTTGGTGGTTGTTTACCATGTGAGGTCCAGTAGTCTGCAAACTGTGTAAAGAGGCCCTCTAATTGCCGGGCGCAACCAAGGCCAGCCATACCTGCGCCAACTACGACTATCGTTTCACGTCTAGGTTTTGCGATGCCGTTGCTGCTGGGACTCGAACTGGTCGAGGGTATAGCCGGAACTTCAACGCAGCCAAAATTAATATAACCCCGGCGCACAAGCCACTCGTACGCAACTTCTGCCAAGCTATACCAACGGTAATCTTTGGCACAGCCAGCTGCCTCCTCCTTTGTAACGGCCACTAGGGGGTTTCGAACCCATAGTCGAAGAATTCCATTTCGAATATTGAGGTAGCTTGTGACTTGAAGGCCATTGATGTGTTCTCGCAGCATCTGATATTCATCGGGATGGAGCGCGAATGGATTGAGTCGCGAGGAATAAGCAGCATGAATGCACTGCTGCGCGTAATCTTCCGGCAAGATATTTGATGGTATTGAAGACCTTGGACGCACGTCTAGCTTAGTTGAAAGGGAGTGGGGCGCTAGGCTGGACCGCGCAGATGAAGGTGCCTGATCCTTCACCTCGGGGTCTACAGGAAACGGGGCTGGAGAATTGTGTGACACGAGCTGAGAAGGTGGCAGTGAGGGAATTGAAGAGGAAGTTGTAGGTGTTTGGGCTGCTAATAACGTGGCTGGATTGTTCTCTTTTGTAGCGGGCTGTAGCTTAAATGTGGCAGACGATTTTTGCGCTGTTCCGTCAGCGGTCTGACTTCTGGTCGTTGACTCCTCTTTGCCTAAATCCGAGGACCCAGCTCGAGCGTCAATGTCGTGATGATAGCCATCGATAAGAGCCGGCAGGCTCTGAGTTGGCTCTTGTTCACTGGCTTGATCATACCAAGCATTGATGCCTGCCGACGAGGGCGCGTAACCACTATCGCCACTATTAATGTCGCCATTTATGAGCGCCGACGCATCATTGAATTCCGAAAATGCATCTGTCGTTGGGTTGTTGGTGAGCTCTCCATAGATGTCATTGCTAGTGTTATTGCCGACACTGGACATGACCCCGGTATCGGTACCATTCGTACCGCCCAAGGATTCGTCCTGTGCTGCATGTGCCTGTGCCGCCAATGGGACTTTTAAATTATATCCGCTTGGATTTGTTTCGATATCGTCCAAGGGCCCGGGGCTCTTTTGCTTGTCATGGCGGGCGCTGTCGGTCATTTTTGGTGGTCAATCTCCTTGGTAACGTTCACATGAATATTGGGATCAATCATCTAGCCATGTCCCAAGGGCAAGCTGTCCCAAAATGCAATCTATCCGAGAACTGTTTTGTAAACATTAGAATTGACTTGTAGGAAAAAAACACCAGATACGTCGCGCGCATTTATCGGCCGAGGAAGGATCGCAATTGGGCCAGCGAGGCCAAGACAAGAGTTCAGTCCTTACATGTTGCTGTTCTTCTCCAATCCCTCCGGCAAGCTCGAGAAGCTACAAATCACTCCAATGAGACAAACCCAAGGGTCGCCAATTCTCGCACGCAAATATAAAAATTGATTATTTCGAAAATTAATGAATTGGTCTCAACGTGCTGCAGAATAAGCAATAACTTCATTATGGTGCGGCAAGTCTGGAATGGGGAAATCGAGAATCGTTGATCACGTGACTCGATTCCCGAGTTCATTTCAATGACCTGCACGACAATAGTCGATTTCCATGATTCAATCAAATCAATCGAGTGGTATTCTCTCTTACTATGATAATTCGAAAATGAGTCAAAAAACTTTCCTCCGTCGTATGTTGAAAGCGTAGGAGGGCCTTATTCTCTATGAAGACTTCAGCACTGTGATATTGTTCTGTGACACGTAACGAGTCGATGGAGCCTGACCGATGCCTTTCAACAAGTAGATTATCATCTTAATATTTTCTTGCTTGATCTACATTCAATTCCTTTTCTTCGAATCTCTCTTCCTGTTCAAATAACTGAAGAGCACTTGACTTGCCTCTATACGACGGAAATGACCCGGGAATTTCTCGGCGAATTAAGAGCCCGATCATCAGATAAGATTATCCCACTTAGCCGTTTGGAGTTCTCTATGACTAGAGACGTGTAGAGAGTGTATATAAATCCGAACAATAATTTCTGGTTTCTGCGAAATCGAGAGTCACATTAGAATTATTCATATAATAACAGGCTTTTTCTGCTTATAAGGAATGCAAGAGATATAGAATTTGTACAGTAATTGCATAGCATGTCTATTGAATGAGGCTAAAAGGCCGGAGTTATAACTGGGGCTATTTTTTCGGGTAAAAATGCGGCTATAGGTTCACTGCAACTTAACCGACATAGATGGGAAATGTTAAACAATCGGGTAGATGGCGGAAGTAAACGAGGCCAGCCCTGTCAGACGCTGCGTCATCAAACCATCCCAGCTTGTCCTCTCCCTTTCGCTGCAGTAACACCCTGTATACCAGATTCGAAACATACATCTTACAAGGCCACATCTCCTTCCCTGACGTCGACCGATCACACCCCTTTAGTCAGAGATAAATCTCACTTCCCGGAAAATCGACTTTTAAAGTTTCAGTGCAACCTAGACATTGGCGCATTACCAGGGCCTACAAACGACCGGGTTTAGAAGAAAGAAGACAGCGAAACGAGTCCCATCATCCTACCGTGCTGCCATCCAAGACACATGCGATAAACCCGGTGATCCCGACCTCAAAAAGGATAATAAATCTATCAGAAACGCGACCATGGCGCAATTCTTCCTCGATCTAGCCTATTCTTTGACCAATTGCATATGCTGCTTTCCTGGGTCTCCTCAGCTCAAGATCAACAATCGGAGTTTTCGCATGCTACGACTCCTTGGTGAGGTCAGTGGTTCGGCTTCCTAACATCTACAGCTAGGAAACGGCTTGACAGGATGGCGAGTTGAGTCTACTTTTCCATTACGGCGACTGACTTGCACAGGGCGGCTTCTCTTATGTATACCTTGTCCAAGACACATCGAACGAAGCGCTGTACGCTCTGAAGAAGATACGATGCCCCTTTGGCCAGGAGTCAGTCGCTCTCGCGCTCAAGGAGGTCGAAGCATACACACTCTTTTCGCCGCATCCGAACATCATTCATAGTGTCGACTACAGCGTAACGTCGGACAAGTCTGATCCAGGGGCCAAGACCGTCTACATTCTTCTGCCATACTACCGTCGCGGCAATCTGCAGGATATGATCAATGCGAACCTTGTCAACCACACCAAATTCCCTGAGCGACGGCTCATGGTTCTGTTCTTGGGCGTGTGCAAAGCGCTCAAGGCCATGCACCAATACCGAGTCAAAGGTCAGCCAGGCGGAGAGGAGAGCCAGGGCAAGGCGCGACGAGTGCGTCAACAAGCAGCCGAGGCTGATGATGAGGCATTGGACGAAGTTGTGTCCGCGTCGCGCAAAAGTCGAGGGAAACGCCGGAGCAGCGCTGCCAATGAAATCGATGATATTGAGCAGGAGCCACTGATGATGGAAGGTGAAGTGACGCGCAGCCAGGAGGGTGTCGAACCTGGACAAGAGCGCGCTTATGCCCACCGCGACATCAAGCCCGGAAACATTATGATCGGAGATGACGGAAAGAACCCTATTCTCATGGACCTTGGCTCGCTAGCTCCGTCACCAATCGCAATTACATCCAGATCCCTCGCTATTGCCGTGCAGGACACTGCCGCTGAGCACTCGACCATGCCGTACCGTGCACCGGAGCTTTTTGACGTCAAGACCGGCAGCGTCATTGATACCAAGGTGGATATTTGGTCGCTGGGGTGCACGCTCTACGCTTGTCTCATTGGCAAGAGTCCGTTCGAGGCTCGGTCCGAGGAGACTGGCGGCAGCTTAAGTTTATGCGTGCTCGGCGGCGACTGGAGATTTCCTGACGAGGCCTCATCTGCTGGTGCAGCAGGAAAGCAGAAGGCTTCCAATGGCACCCCCGAAGGTCCAAGCGAGGAAGTTCGCGATGTAGTTCGCCGATGTCTACATGTTGAACCAGCTGAACGGCCAGATATTGATGAACTCATCTTTATGGTTGAAGGAGTCATTGGACAGTTGCCTCACGATGGTGATTCTTGATTCAACGGAAAAATTTTCCTCTTTCCTTGATCCCAGCGCGAGCGTGAAGCAATTTTCCATTATTTTCTTTGAAATGCTTTTCTCTATCATTTTGGGCAACTGGCCATGGGCAGGTCTACAATATCTATCTCACATTCAGCACGGTAGGATAGAAATAATCAAGGTTTATGATATCATTTTCGGCTTTGTTACGGTTATTATCACTCTATGCGGTTATTATCATTATATGTCCTCCATCAACTCATACAGGAAAAAATTTCCAGAAAAGCAAGTCTATTATCGCTGTGTACTAACGAGATTATTAAGGTCGAATCTGAAATATCCAAACTAATGGTTCAACAAGCAAATCAAGCGGTCAATTCCACACTTACAACTTATTCTCGGCTGGGCTTATGCATTGTCGTTCACGAGTGTTGATCACCCTACTTGCGCTCTTTCCGCTCACGCTCCTTTTGGATTTGCTCTCTAAGCTCCTCTCTACCGCTGCTCGAGAAAAGGACTTTCAAGGGATTAATCGATGCCGGAAGGGCCGTCTTGCGTGAGCGACTACCATCGGCTTCAAATCCCCTGCGGTGTCGATTCTCATGCTTCGATCCCCTAGTAGAGGGGCGGTCACGATGGCTAAGGCCCTGATGATGTCTTTCAGCACGTCGCTCGACTCGCGCAGGGCAATGCCCATGGCATGATTGGCGACACAACTTACAGATATGGACTCTGCGTCCGCCATGTTCGCTCTCATGTGCAGCACGTTGCGCTTGCTGCCCTTGCTGCTGCTGCCCCTGCTGTTGTCGCTGTTGTTGTCCTGGCGCTGGCGGGGCCGGTGCCTCTTCAATTTCCACAATTTCAAGGTCGTCGTCATCAGAAAACTCCGCTCTGGCTGTATCGAAATCCTCTGGCTCTTCGATTTCTGGCTCATCACGCTTGTTCTTGCCATGCCTAGAGTTAGGACGCGGCGCCATGCTGCGTCTGACTCCCGAATCCCGCAAAGAAGTAAAAGTAGCAGTAGGAGTACTACGTCCCTTGCGCCTATTCCGAGCCGCAACTTCCGTCAGCTTCTTCTCCTCTACAAAAATCGACAGGCCGCTCGTCTTTCTGGTATGCCGGTACTCACCACGCACATACTCGCGCACCGAGTCCGACGAGACCACGGGCATCCCGTCCGCTCCGAGCGACGCATGGATCTCCACTCCGCCAGACACAATCACTACCTTGCGGTCTTTCCGCAGCGGTGTGATCACCGTGGGCATCACGCCCATGCCGTTGCCGTCGCGGGTATGTTCGCGCTCCTGGATACGCAGCAAGTGCATCTGAGTTCGTCTACCGGAGCTGCTGGTATCGTCTTTCAGCTTCGCAGTCGTGTGTGTGTCGATGCACGTCTTTGTCTTTGTTGCCTTTTGCGGGTCTTTATGATGGTTACAAGAATGGTTATGAGAATGAGATTTGGATGATCCAGAGGAACTGGACCCGGAGGCAGACTCACTTGCTGAAAAGGAAATATACCCCGACCCCGCATCGTCCGCCGGACAGGTCCGGTACATTTTCTCCGTGCCGTCCTGGTTTGCGACAATCTTGGTCCAGTGCCCGGACCCGTCGTCATCAGATGTAGACGGGCTCGCGCCAAAGAGGTTCCTGCGCCGGCTGCGCTTCTGCATTGCGGCCTTGGCTACCGGGTCAATCTCAGGCGTCCGTTCTGGCTTGCTGCTCGACTTACTCGACTTGTGGGTACTAGTATGGTGGTTTTTGTTGTCGCCACGGTCGTCCCCCTGCTCCGGTTCAATAACCCGCGGCGCGCTGGGCGGGTCCCAGAAGATGTTCCTAAAGGGCTCGTCGGCCGCGTCGTTGTGAGTGGGGTCGGCGGCTAGTGCGTCGAGGATCTCGCCCGGAGAGGGGAATTCCTTGATGTGGATGCTCGAGTGGATGTTGTTGTCTTCTTTTTCGACTTGGTAGATGATGTTGATCATGGGCTTGTCAGAGGTGTGTGTGTTTGCCATTTTATCTATTGTCTGTTTTCTTTTTGTCTTTTGGATTGTTTATTTATTGAGATTGTTTATTTCTTGGTTATATAAAGCTGGTAAGTGAGTTGCTAAGTTGCTAAGCTGCGGCTAGTTTTAGAGTTGAGTAAAGTTGAGCTGAGTTGATAGATTGTAAGTAAGAGCGTTGGAATGAAATGCTGCTACAGATGTTCTGTGAAGAAAAGAGAATCCAATTATGAAGCCAAAAGACTTGCTTATATGTTACGGGATATATAATGTTCAATGCATGTCCTTTGACATGTCCTGTATCTACCCTGTACCGCATCATGTCTGTGTATATCGAGTTCGTGTCTGTTCTGTATGTTGTCTTTTGCTGTTTTTCCCTCTAGTTGATTTGTGGTATAGGGTGAATGTCCTGTAATTGCGCTGTAACTGCGCTGTATCTCTTCTGTCCGGATTTTCTTTCTTTTTTCTTTTCCTTTCTTTCTTCCTTTTTCCCCTTTCGTCTTTCTTCTCGTCCGTCTTGTCATCTCTTTTTCCTCCATCTTATTCTTATGTGCTTTCTACTATTCATTGCGCACTGACACTCTATCATACCTCATTTCCTTGGTCGATTCGAGGAGTATATTGTATCATTTTCATCTCTAAAGTTAACCCTTTTCTGCCGTTTCGTAAACTTGTATTTCTACCCATCAAGGGTGGCTCGAGTTACGTAGCTTTGTTAAGCACACTTTGAAGTTTTGAATCGTCGAGTATTTGAGTCTTTGTGGTTATGCTCTGTTTTTGCTCTTTGTTATCAATTATCAATTTCCTAAAGCGTCGTAGTCTCCAGTCTCGAGTCTCCCAGTCTTTCAGTCTTGTAGATTAGTCCAAAAGTCTAAAAGTGGAATATAATCCCATTGCCACTATTGTTTACTTTGTCATTCATGCCCACGTTTGAATCTAAGCCTTTGTTCAAATCACAAACTCACAAACTCATAGATTTGTAGACCCGTAGACTTACTATTTCTTTGTTTGTCCTTCAGATCTTAGACCCTAGATCTTCGATCTTAGATCTTCAGAATCCAGAAGAATGATGATAATATTAGGTCCCGTCCAATCTCTTTATCTCTAAAAGACTAAAATGCATCGACACTGCGTAGTGTGTACAGAGCAAGCCAAAATATCATAATGTCAATAGTAAGACAGTCAGACTGAAGAACAATGAACAATAAACAATGAACAGCGAAACGGGCAATCGGGATAATTTCATTGTTGCTCAAGGACCTTTGTTCTTTCTTGGGTTCGAGTGTGTTGCTTGTTGCTGTCACTTATCGTTTGTCATTTGCGGTTTATTGTTTATTGTTTCAACTTATTTCCCCCCACGGTCCCCACCGGTTAAACGACGGCGGTACATGAGATATTAGCCATTAAATTAGATTCCTTTAGAAAATATGTCGGTCTACAGAGAGTTGTTTTGCGAATGGCATGAATCGATGATTGACAAAAAAGAGCGACTCGGGAGTCGGGAGTCTTGAGAAATGCTCGCTGCCCCCCTGCTTCGAGTCTTCGACAGCACGACGCCCACCTACACCCACAAAAAAAGAGATGTATAAGTTGAGGAGTCAATGTAAAATGAAGGGAAAAAAAAAGAAAGTAAATAAATAAATACAAAATAAAATAGAATAAGTAGACAAAAACTCCGGAACAAGAGGTGACAGATGACAGGTCAATAGATCATGGAATGATGGAATAATGGAATAATGGAATAATGGACAAAGAAAAACAAAGCAACAAAGGGATTGACCTGTTGATGTAATCATGTGGAGAAGGTCTAGAGTCTAGACACGGAACAAGAGTTACGAGATATTTCAACAAAACACAAAGAGTCAATGACAAAGATCAAAGAAAATAAATTCTTTATAACGAATAGAGTCTAGACTCTAGAGATTAGACAAGGTCACAAAGGGCATTGTATGCAAATTTAGCGTGCTGCGTACAGATCCATGAAAACTTTAACGACTCTTCAAGGCATCGATGGTTCACAAGCAGCACGGCTTTATATGAAGACTTGATGCCCGTATTCTTGTCTTCTGCCTCGACTTATTAACTCCTCGAGTATCGGAAACCCAGATAAGCTTTTTGAAAAGTATTTGATATTTTTGAGCTATATTTCGACGGATATTACAGTTATACTACTACTCCTTTGAAAAAAGAGAAGAGAAGGGAAGAAGGAAAAAAAAAAAGAAATAATCTACGGATATCGCAACAATAGGAATAGGAATTCTTAGGTCACACAAGTTCATAACGAACAATTACAGGGAGATATGGCGCATTCAGCGGGATCTGGAAATCCTCGTGATAATGGAAACAGCGGAAACAGAAGCGGCGAAGATGGAAAAGGAAATGGAAACAGTGGAAGTGGAAACAGAGATAGCGGAAATGGAAGCCGAAAAAGAAACACGAACGGAAAGAAATCTAAATCCAGACAATCACCTAAACAGTTCCGCTCGAGAATTAACAAGACCTTGTTCAATAGTACTTACCGGCGTCTTGAACGGAAAGCGTATCCCGCCATGAAGCTTGATCCGAGCAAGGAATTTGTTCTTGTGACTACTCCTAATGCCTCCTCCTCCTCCTCCTCCTCCACCGCCACCACCACCACGCCAACCCCCGTTCCCAGCTCCAGCACCAGGGGCTTCTACACCTTCGCCGCCACCGGATACTCCCTCAAACTGCAAGACATGTCCCGCGCCATCAGCCCCATCATGTCCATGGCGACATCGGCCGTGCATCCGGATTTCCCCAAGACGCTATTATCCTTTTGGCTGCTAACGGAGCAGCAACTTGACAGTCTGGCGGAATATTATCACCAGTCGAGCATATCAGAATGGAGCATGGCGTATCCGATGCCTGTTGTGCAAGAGTGGGTAGGCGCGCAGGAAGCCGCGAGGAGAGACGTTGGCGTCATTGTGTATGCAGATACTGATCTTGTTAATGTTAATGCTGATGACAAGCAGGCAGGCCAGATGAGCCGTGACAATAATGTGAACAACTCTGCCAATAAAACGAAAACGAATACAAGCCTGGACCGAAAATACGTTAGCCACGAGGTTCTTCCCGAGCAGGCCAAAGCATTAATCTTATATAAAGAGCGCGAGGCCGCGCTTGGTCAGGCGATTGGGCGCCTGATGCAAGGTGGCATCGAAGTCGAAGTGTCTGGGCAGAGGCTCGAGCCTGCTGCGACGGTAGCGGTTGAGTTTGTTTATTCTGACCCGGGTCAGTCCGCAATCGAGGGTACTGGTAACGGTGATGGAAATGGTAATATGAATAGCGCACACACTGAAGATAATGATGTGGAAGAGCAGGAAACGCCAGAAATAGATGTCGAGATGCAGGAGGAAGCAGAGCAAGGTACGTCGACATACGAAACGATTGACGACGAAGCAGAGGCATTTGCAGAAGCTAACGGCCTTGCAGGACTCGACTACACTTCGACTTCTTCTCCATTTGTACAGAGGCTCCTCGAGCAGGCTGGCTGCGAATTTGACGCCGCAGAGGCAGAGCATAGACGGGCCAAGCGTGCCAGAGAGTATGGTATTCCAGATACTATGCGAACTGGCTTTGAGGCGTACTCGCTGTGGAACAAGGACGTGAAAGATGACGGGGTAAAGTATTTCTTTGACACCACAGCTGAGCAAGGAGCAGTGGAAGAATCGGCCAAGTCTTTCTATGCGTCTGGTAAGCTCAGCGGCCAAGGACGGGAGAAGATACGAGCTTACACGCGATTTTTTAGTGCGACATTTCTGCAGAAGAAGATCTGGTTTGGACGATTTATTGGTCTGAGAGGCTGTGAGAGTCTTGTTGATGGGTCGTTTAATGCGTCTTCTTCAGCCCAATCCCGTGTGGCAGGATCGGCGACTGATACAGTAGTGTGTACAGGTATCCCAAGTTTAAACACCTGGAGCCAGGTTACTCAGATGACAGCGGATATCATGGCTGCAAGCGAAAAACAAGGAATCTCTGCCTCTGCCTTGGCGGAGTTGGGTGCTCTAGCCTCCACAGAGTCGATTGACGTGTATATGTGTGATGCTGACAGTATCAGGGACAAGAGCTGCACTGAGACAGGTCAGTACCAGAACGCAGAGCATAGTACGACAGGTCAAGCAAAAAACACGTCAGGAAGAAAGCGTAAGCACAGCACTAATGATGACAGTGAGCATGGCGACGAAATGCATGATCAAGCACAGAGTAAAAGCGCAAAGAAGGACAAGTAAGTTTGCTTGAAGATATCACATGTAAGCTTCATAAGGTAGATTTAAATCCACATAATGCTAGCTAAACAGATTTTTGACATGAAGCCTTCGATATATGCTGTGCATGTTTTGTGTCTACCGGTGATAATTCGTCATGCTCCATGAACCTTGGCAAAGAATATTCTGGTAGAAGTGCAGATGAAAGACATGTTCGGTGACATTGCGATTGCATGTTTACATGAATCTCAAAAAGACGCGTGCGAATCCATCCTTCTTGGCCATTTCGCGAGGAACCTTTTTACCTGACTTAAGGGTGTGGGCCCTGAGTGCCGCATAAGATTGGAAGACTCGAACCTTGGTTCCCTTGCGACGAGAGTCGATTAGATCAATCAAATTGACATGAATTGTCTGGAGGTACTATAAAGCATCAATCATGTTAGCTTTCAAGTTCTGTCATTTGATTGCAGTCACCAAAGACAGAATCATAATAAAGATATCCTCAGTGGCAAAGACCGCAATGAGTAGGGAAAGGAGGAGAATAAATAGAGAAGCTCAACGCTTACCTTCTTGCATTGAGTGATGCTAGTGAATTCTTTGCCTTCATGCCCAACCTCGCGGCAAAGAGATCTCCAGCTATCGAGCCGAGAAGTGTCCGTTCCGTACCAACGTCCAAACTCCGCGTCGTAGCACTCATAGCGGTGATGGTACCATTCCTTGGTGTGGGGCTGCCAGTTCATATACCATGCAAGTCGACGGAACTCGCCCCTAATACTCCCTTTCGGGTTCGGGACAAAGCCCTTGAAGCGGTTAAAATAGCTTGGCTTTAAGGTCTTGTTGCTGTTCACGGGCTTCGCGCCAGTTTGGTTGGCTCCAGTCTGAGGGCCGTTGGCTTGGTTGCCGCCGGCGTGCTTGCGACTGGTGTGTTTTCCAGCAGGCTGGGGAGCACAAACCTTGACACCACCCGCTGGCATATTCATGGTGCTCTCTGAATGCAGTATTGAATCTTGACAATGAGTAATTGAACCGACGACACCGGCTGAGTCGAAAATATCCTCAACTTGCGAACAAGAGTCTAGCACAATAGACAGCAGATTGGCTCTTTAATGCCGTGGGGGATTTGTGCAGTTTGAGAGAGCTTCAAGAAACGTTAGTAGTCACAGACCAGTATTGTGGTGTAGACTCACTGTATTGTGTAAGATAATATCTTGTTAGAGACAGACAGGGAGTCAGAATAACTGTGCGAAGGTGTGATGGGCTGAAGGTAAGCAGACTTCCAGAGCAAAGGCAGCTTTGGTCAACGATCAAGCAGGAATTCGAGAGTTCAAAAAATAACTCTTTCAGAACGGACGATACTGCTTATCGAAGCTGCAGCGGAGCAACTCTGTCTAGAAAGTGACGCGGCTGGAGAAATCAGGGTGGAAAAGAAAGTGTAAAAGACTGGGTTAAAGAGTGAGATTGAAGCGTAAACAAGAAGAAGATGAAAACAGAAGAGGCTGGAAGAAAAGAGAAGATATAGAGTTGTGAGGCTTCTATCCAATGGCGGGGCTGTTGCAGTGAATCTGAGCCAGCCTCGTGGCCAGACTTAGCTATGCCTGGTCATGCCGCAGTCAAGATTGCACCAACTGGTACATTTCTCTTCTTTGTCTTTCTTCAGATATCTTCCTCTTATAAGAAACAATGAGTGGACATATACATCCAGCCCTCTATCACTCATTACGGTTGCTTCCCGCTATTCGGGAATCTGCATTGCTCGAAATTGGGAATTTTCTAGACGTCTGCAGGCCTCCGTGTAAGCAAGCGCAGTGGTTAGGGCATACCCTACATCTGTCGAACCAGCCATGTCGTATATATAATATAGAACGAACACAATGGGAGGTATTGTCGGATAGTGTAGATAAGGATTGCTTGCTCTATTGTCTCAATCCAGCAAAGGATAAGCAAACCGGGGTATTGTCAGTACTTATAGGTAATGGTGGTCCAGCCCTAAATGATGCTTGAGACCCAATGGGATAAAAGAATCGTATAAGACAGAGAATGGCACGAATAATATAAATGGCAATTATCAAAACCAGGCGTTAAGAAACAGGGGTGAATTTTACAAAGCATTGCAAACCACAGCGGCAAAATCTAAAAATCTATGGGCAGTCAAAAGATCCGTGACTGATTACAAAGAAGAAGGATTTTGCGCTGTTTTTGATCTCAGTTCAGCACCAGAGTCTGCTAAGCGCAATGCAAGAGAGATGATGCGTAATGCAGCTGCTTGGCAAATGCTCAAGTAAACATTATGTCAGGCTGAGAGTTGCATGCGCTTACCGCAGTAGTGACTTAGCTGGACCCTTCGCGTCTAATTCCGCTCCGCTAGACCCCAACGGCTCGTTTGCTTATGGAATACGAAGATACATCTCCTCGCATGAAAAATTGCAGCATTTTCAAAGTACACACTGTTTGGGTCTATTATCGCCTTGCATCTCCCGTAAAATCCTCACAGGAATTTTATACGTGGGAGAAGTAAATTATGCCGTACAATGCAGTTACAGTGCACTTGGCTGCTAGTTATCAGACAATTGGACAAGACAAAAGGTCTCTCGGCACCCGTCCTTCGCTCGTTTAAGAGATCCAGAATGGGTTAAACTCAAATGGCCGGGGGGATTAGATACCCCACACGGGTCTTTTTAGCGGCAATGCATTGGATGGGATACTTTACTCGTACGAGTACCATGACATTGTTCGTGTTGTCAGTGCAACCCTTGCGGATCTACGACGTACAAGGGCACTCCTGGCCCAACAATGCCCTCTTATCGCATATCGCCAGAGACAACATTTATGATTTCGTTTTGCGAGGGTCAGTAATCACTGTGTCATCTGCTGTGGCGCAACATTTCAATAGAAAAAAGGAAAATGAGATAGCACTTACTTCTTGGCGCCAATTGGCAACAATCGGAGCGTTTCATCTAATTCAGCCTCGTAGAGTCCAGAACGAGGGCCCGCAATTGCAAAATAGTAGTTAGTGTGGTTATACTGCATCTTGTGCCTATACTTTATCTCGAATCAGTTCGTCCAAGCTGTACTGTACTTTCGCTATGACTTACGTTGACGATTCATTGTCAGCTAGCTGGTTATCAGCAGGAGCTTGATTGCATAATCGTAGCATTCAAACATCTAAAGATAATTCCGAAAAGGTTTATGAGTAGGGAATTTCTCTTTCCGCACCGCGTAGCCTCCGAATCAGCAGACTGTGTAGCCTCTCCAGGGCGTTTAGCATAGCATTTGTAAGCTATACTGCTCTAAAATAAGCTTCGAGAGCTCCCTCCCGCAGGGAAAGTAGAACCGGGCAGGACCAGTGCAAGACCAACCCACCACATATACATCCAAAAGTAACTCAAACGTTACCCATCTTGGACAATTCAAGACGCAACCAGATGTGTTTGTCATGCTTAGGGAAGCCACCACTCATGGTGAAAAATGCCCGACCATGTTTCGACAGTCGCTGTGGATACCCTTCCCTTGTATGGAAGGCACGCGTCCACCATGCAAGCCGTCGAGCTGTCTATTGTATAAATGAGGGGCTCGCCCCGATTCGAATCCCATCTATTTGCTCATTGATCCTCCGATATCCTCATTGCTGAGCTTTGAGAGTCCAGAAACCTTCTAATATTTTTGCTCTTTCTCTATATACCCAAGTTCAGTGGACATTGTTTGATTTCGTTGTCACAATGGCGCCCAAAGTTGCAATTATTTATGTAAGTTGCAAAAGTTCCATGTGAAAAGATCGAATTTAATGCCTGTCCAAGGCTGTTCTCAATTGATATCAATTTCATTATATATTTTGGTGCGATCACTAATAAAATCCGTCCATAGTATTCGATGTATGGCCACATCGTTAAAATGGCTGAGGCTGAGAAAGCTGGCATTGAAGCTGCTGGTGGTACTGTCGACATCTTCCAGTATGAAGTTCCACCCACAGCAGGATACCAACACCCCTTTTTTTCTGTTTTAGGACCTTGATCCAATCTGATATGTCTTTTTGAAGAGTGACTTCTGTAAACATTTCAATGTTGTTATTGGCTAATCATGTCGTTCCTTTGCAGGGTTGAGGAGACCCTTGATCAGGGAGCACTAAAAGCGATGAGCGCCCCTTCGAAGGCCGACTACCCCGTTGCTACTCCCGAATTTATCAAAAATCAATTCCCAACATACGACGCATTTTTGTTCGGAATTCCCACTCGATATGGGAACTTCCCTGCTCAATGGAAAGCATTCTGGGACCGAACCGGCGGGCTGTGGACATCAGGCGCCCTCTGGGGCAAATATGCTGGAGTCTTCATTTCCACTGGAACCCCTGGTGGTGGTCAGGAGTCTACCGCTATTGCCTCCATGAGCACTCTTGCTCACCACGGCATTATTTATGTGCCACTGGGTTATAAAACCGTTTTCCCAATCCTCGCCAACCTAGATGAGGTCCGAGGAGGTTCTCCTTGGGGTGCCGGAACCTTTGCAGTATGTTGAACACCACCCTATCTTTCTCACCGAGGTGAGGGACTGAGCTTTTCGCTGATAAATGTTCCTCTAGGGACCCATTGGCCAACGCCAGCCATCAAGCCTTGAACTCGAACTTGCAACTGAGCAAGGCAAGGCCTTCTATCAGGCGGTCTCCAAGGTCAACTTCCAATGACTACATGGTAGCGAGGCGGGGGCTGCCACGAATGGCGCGACTGAGACAGTCCCTGGCACTAAGGCGAAGCCTGCGGGTGAGGCCGCAAACACATCGGCTTCGACTGGCGGAGCATCAGGGCCTAACAAGGAGGAGAAGCGCGAGAAGGAAGGCCCGTGTGGTCTGCCCGCAAAGTGTTCTATCCTTTAAATAATAACGTTGAGTGAAATAAATGCCACAGATTGTTTGTCTTTGTTTATCCGAGACGTTATCGACCTTGGCCGTTATTGTAAAGTGAGACTACTATGGTTCATGCAATCACTAATCAAGATCAACATAACAGATTTCTCTGGATACCCCAACGACTTAGCTTTTTCAAGACCATCCGCGATGCAATTGCAGACTATCCTAGAGTCCGGTTTCAAGGACGGTGTGAACCCAAGAGACAGGCAAATTATGGCCAGCAACTCGCTTCCGGACGCGTGAAATATCCAGTTCGGTTTGGGGCCCACTAATCCTTCAATAGAGGAAATGGCAAGCTGGCCACGGGAAAGCATATCCAGGAGCGGGACTCGATACCATTTCCGATCGAATATTGCATCCACGGAGAAATTTGTGCTCCTCTCACACAAACTTGTATGTGATAAATCCGTCACGTGGTGTATATCGGGTTGAATGGAACGCACAACTTCGATAGGGCTCAATTCAACTCGGGAAATCCCTGCAAGTCGAATATTGAGGCAACATTTTCGAAGGTCACTTTCCCAACATGGTTCTATGTCACACCGTAGTCGATCGAGAGGAAAATATTCTACTATCCGAATATCGGTCAAGTGTTCACTCTGGTCAAGTTCAGCGGGAATAGCCTTTGAAGATCTCTTATAAGCTCCATCAATCACGATATCCTGATCTGTTGGGATATCCAAAAGCTGGCCATACTGATAATGATAGACAAAGCAAGCGGACGGTCGTAAGCTCGGGTATAACAAAAAGTCAGAAATGGCAGATATCCCGTATCCTTGTGCCCCGAACGGATGAGCAAGCACGTCTACATTCGCGCCGACAATAACCTTAACATCATTAGCCGTAGAGTAACAAAATCAACCGCACTTGACACACGTACCTGACAGACAAGCGCACCCCATTTATCACGAAGGTCACGAAGAGCAGACCCACGACTCTCCTGCCTCTCTCTCCTCCCAGCAGGTGCAAACGGCTGGTCTAACATAGTGAGATCGGGTCCAAAAATCGCCCTCAGCATGTAAAGAGCATCCCCTAGCCGTGATAACCATTGCGGCAAGGAAGGCTTATCAGGTCTAAGTGGGCTTCTTTTGTTTAGCATTTTAACATGCTCGAGTGTGATTGCATCGCCATAAGCTATTTCCATGTTCATTTCAGGACCCCACGCCTGCCGGTTGTAGTGTATACATAAAGACACAGCTCCGAGGACGCCGGCGAAGGCTATGTGTTGAAAAACAACATGCATTCTTTCCAAATTTTGGCAAATTTCAGGGTTCTAGATGAGAGAATTTAGTCTCAGAATCTCGAGCAACGTGGAATACATACCATATGTTTTAGCATCATTGGCCCAATCAATTTGTGGATCTCTGCCTGAGATTCTCCAGGGTTTGAGAAGAAGTCTTGCGAGCAATCGAACTCACTTTCTAGCCCTTTGGCATCTAAGTAGTGTTCCAAAAGCTCATAGTGAGGCATATCTTTGTTAAAATTTTCCATATCTGGTCGAGGCATCATTGATACCGGGATACCTACTGCCCGACAGAAGAGTGGCATCGTGCAAAGAGTTTTCCTTACATGCAAGTACGTCTCCGAAAATGCAGCTTCTAATCTTGCAAGATCAATCTGAACTCCCTCTGCGACGACTCTCGTGTACGCAATGGCAGGGATCGCCCGAATAGGCACCAGTCTTGGTGGAGGCTTTATCTCAGCATTGACACCGACTGTCGACATTATGGCTTCTTTGTCAGTCCGCCAGCCAGGGCTAAGGACTAATATCACCTCTGGAACATCCATGTAAGATCCATTATGAAAACAGGGAGAATCTGGCGGGGAATATGGAGTCGTGACCAGCTGATTCGAAGCTTCAACGTCAAAGCCCAATTTATGGAGCGCAGCAGCTAAAGCCCAAACTTTCAAGCTTTTGGTCGGATATGAAAAGTAACTTTTTGAATGATTAGGCTTGAGTATCCAGACCAAAAGTCCAATGACCTGCGCAGTATCCGCTCTTCCAGCCTTCAATACCTCGGCGAGCATGTCTGGGCCAACAACTGTTCTGACCCGAAAGTCCACTTCCTCGAGGATATGCCGACGTAGTGCGTCGACATTCTCTTCTCTAGCCACGGCAGTGACAAAGTGCAAAAGCGAGGCCAAAGAGGCTCCCTCCAGCGCAAATTCCACCCCTTCTTGCTCATAGTGAAGCAGAGTGCGAGGAAGTACTTCTTTTAGTATTGTAGATACTTGATCAGCCTCTGCAAAGCACAAAAGGGCAACCATTGCGGCGCGAAGGCACCTCATTCCTGGGTCACCTTCATTGGCCGTGCTTGCTTTTGGCAGTAGAATACGGACGAGAGTTCGGTCTCTTGTCAAAGCCGCTCCGTAGATGGCACCATGCTCTTGTCGAATTTTCGAATACCAATCACTTTTGAAAGAGGACGTTGTCGCCAATGAAACGCCCTTGGAACTCAAGGTTTGTTCGAATGTCAGCGCCCTATCTCTTCCCTTGTACCAACCCCATGCGGACGTTGCTAGGAAGACTGCAACGTCCAAACTGGCAATTTGCACGGAGAGTTGACTGAGCGGCCCTGCATTGTTCACATTGAAGCCAAGCTCCAATGCCATTTCGCAAAAGAAAAATTAAACCTCAAACGCACAAATCAGAGGAAAGCAAGGAAAGCACAGAGGCAAATATGCAACACAACAGATGTTCATGCGACGGGAGGACCAATTTGCTAAGAAAATATCATGAAGACGGACAGTAATGCAGCATTTCGACTAATATATCATCTTCATAGAATTGCTGTCAAACGCGCTCCAGCGGGGTCCAATCTCCTTGCAGTGCGCAGATCAGCAAAATCAGCCGTTTCGAGCCAGGCAAAGAGACCAGGATTTGGTAGCCTCAATTCGGGTTCCAATCCACTGGGTCACTGTAGAGCCCAACGAGATGGTAAGACATATTCAGTAATAATAACCTTAGACCATCTCATAAGAGTCCTGGGCCCAGAGGAGTATGAAGGCGACATTGGCTGATTTCGCATCTGCGGGCCCAATTGACGAGCGGCGCAGTCTTTCCTGCCTGGTTAGCAACAGGATATCGCGAAGCTGGCCATTCATCGCTGAGACTTTGTTAGCTGATGACAAGGGTGAGTGATAGAAAACATGCATCTTGGCGTTCGCCTGAGCCATACGGAGGTGCATGCATGGGTTTGGTGGGGAGTACTCAGATATACAACCCCGTCTCGAGCTGGGCGGCGGTAAGATGATGTATCAATTTCGCTCTGCCACGGTGCCCTTCATTTTGTTAGTTTTGTGGTACGAAATTGACCGTGTATGTGCAGCCTAACGCACGGTGTGCACTGCCCCACGGAGTTTTGATCCTGGAAGGAGAATCAGATAGCTTTGCTTTTTTTTTTGTGGCGGCACTGGGGTTCTAACTATTGCAGTGCACGCAATGCATTTATTGTGTATAACCCGAGAGCCCTCTTTGCCACGAATTGCAAGGGTATGAGACATGAACGAGGCGATGCTGCGAGGAATTCTGAGACAGGGGTCCTAAAGTATTCCCGGTGCCAGCCAACTCTCGCTAATGGTATAACCAAGCGTTAGGGGCCTCGGGGGTGTTAGAAACTCACAACGCGCAAATTGGTTAACACAAGCAGGACAATAATAATTATCATCAATGTCGTAGGCCAAGGATAACCCAATTAAAAGGTTCAAGCTACATGAATTTTAAGCAAGATTACCAAAGAAAAAAAGTGGTAGTTGGTGCTTTGCTCATCATTGACTTGCAATCACAATAAAATATCCATCAAACAACCTCAAATCCTCGACGCAGGAAAATTGATATAATATGCCACAGCAACGCCGGGGAATCATTCGACCGGAGATGTAGAAGAACGTAAAAATATGAAAAAGCAGAAAAGAAGGATAAGAAACAATAGGGAAAGGAAATTGCTGACCAGCCAGCCAACCATCAATGAAAATGCCATCCACGAACGCCAGTGATAAAAGTAAAGTATGCAAATGATGATGAACTGAAGACTGTGCCACTCGTGTTCATGAAAACGAGCAAACTCCAGCAAGATACATGATCGTCACGCACGATTCACAGATCGCTTGCGTCCAAACATGGTTCGGGTACGAGATTTATCACGACCAGCCTTGTCATTGTTATCTTTCTTGGTAGCTCGGCTTTGTCGATCGTCGTCATCGTCCTTGTATTTGTCCTTATAGATCCTGTTGAAACGGAAAAATCGGTTAACCATGATCTGCCAAATACAGCCCTAAAGGTTCAAGGAGACAGCACTAACCAACTATTGCCAACCATACTCATGCCCTTACTCTCAGCCATGCGGTAGAACTTGGCCGCCTTCTTCAGATCCTTTTTGCAGCCAACGCCTTTTGCATAGCAGAATCCAGCCTCAGCCAACGCATCAGCATCTCCCCAGGCTGTGCAGATTAACCAGTTAGCAACAACAAAGGATATCGGTGGAAAATAATATAAAATGAGAGCTCTTACTTCCTGCGATTTCAAAACAGCGAAGAGCAAGACCCTTGTCTTGTTCAATGCCCCAGCCATTCATATGGCTTATTCCCAACTCGTAAATACCTAGGGCGAGCTGGTTTCGGTGCGCTTTGCGCTCCATGATATCCGACGGTTTCGCATTCTTCGCAGGCGTCTCGTCATCGGCAACCTCAAGACCAGCAGAGTCCACGGCCTTTCTCAACCATTGGACCCCTTCCCTCTGATTGGGACGCATGCCCCAGCCATGACGACAAGCCAATGCATACAGAAGCATCGCTGTCGGGTGGTTCTTTCTGGCGGCAATACGCAGGTGATATGTGGACTCATTCAACGAGCCTTTCTGGTGGCACGCGATGCCCTTGGCGAGATGGTCTTCAGCAGTCAATTCCATCGAAGCCCCCAAGGACCGCCTTGAAGATCCGGCTTTAATCGTACTGTTCGAATCGACCGAGGGAGAAGCCGGGCGTCCCGGGGCGCTTGCTGCCAATTGTGGTGACGCAGCCGACTTTGGTTCCTCCTTAGCTTGCTCAGGCGTGGCCGGTCTCTGATCAGGCACCATGGTGGCGCGCGGCGGCGACTCTGGAGACGGCGGCCGGTTTTCAGCTGGTCGCTGGGAGACAAGCTGTGCTGAAGAATTTGATTCTTCCCAATGGAAATGATGTGTAGCTTTCTTCTGTATAACGGTAGAATCCTTTTCGAGCGTTCTCCCGCGGGGCAATGAGTATTTCGAGTAAACCAGGGCCGGTGCTGCACCTTGTTTCGGCTCATTCGGATCAAAGTAACCTTCTCCATTCATACTTTGTGGGGTATGAGCTGAGTCGTCGACAAAAAAGGATCTCTGACTCTCTGAGGAGGTTTGACGAGACGATACATCAAATGCTGGTCGCGGACCAGCACTGCTCCGCGGTCGAGAAAAGTTCATAGCCGGTCGCAAGTTTCGAGGTTGCGATGGTCCACCAACAGAATGCTCAGAACTAATCGAGGGAGAACGTGGAGGTGGACCATGGAAGGATTGCGGAGAATGAGGAGCGGAAAGTTGGCTACTCGATGACGCCTGCCGTTGAATTGAACCGAAAGAAGCGCTCATGCCAGACTCTTCCTCGACATCCGATTCAGGAGCGACAGATCGCATGCCGTTCGAGGCGCCAGCACGCATACTGGGCGACCTGGGAGCAGAAGTTGGTCCATAAGATCTTGGGGGGGCCAAACTGTCTGAAGACTCTTTACGTGCCAATGATTGTTGTCTCGTTGAAGAAAGACTCCTCTTGGGCCGGGGACTCGGACCACGGCTGCCTGTCGAGCTCTGACGGACCGCACCTCGTCGGCGAACTGAATCCAAGCTCGGTTGCGACCTGAGGGCTGGAGTCAGGCTGCTTGAAGACGCACTTCTAGAGACTTGCCCACTTCGGTACGAGTCCACGCTCGACTGGGGTTGCGGGCTCGGCCCGTGGCTGTCAGTAGACTCAGTTCGCGCTAGGTTTCGGGGGGGACCAGAGTTAAGATTCCTTTGCGGCTGAGGACTGGAAGCGGCACTTCGCCCTGTTTGCTCCTCTGGCACGTCGGGTAAAGGGTCAGGAGACTGGGTTCGAAGCGGACCCAAGATACCCATCTCCGATCCCACTGTCGCGGTAGAGTCCCTCCTTTGCATCCAGTCGGCATCCTCCATTTCATCTTCCAGAAGAGGTGTGCCGCTTAATCGAGGGTAGAATGACTTGGGGCGAAAAGGAATATCCTCTGTTTCTCGAACCATACCCAATCTCTCTAGAGGAGCAATGTCGTCTTCGGCCTCGTCGCTTTCGAGACCGGCACTCGCAGACTTAGAACGATAGAATCCAGGACGCACAAACGCATCCGCATGGAGTGGTGGAAGCCTGCTCATGCGGCGACCATTGCGTCGACTCTCTTCGAGTTGCTTGGCGAGCAAACGTCCTTGCTCGGCGAAAGCATCTAATGGTGACAAGGCAGGTGGAATATCGCCGTCGGTGTGGTTTAGCCTCGGGGAAAGAGCAGTTGGAGAACGGTAACCTGCCCATTGTGGTCGCCCATTGCCTTGCGAGTCCAGGTCAAGGTGGACTGAGCGAGACATTATGCTCTGAACCAATCCGACAGAGGTCAGTAGGTGTTGGGCGATAGAAGAAATATGCCAGTGAGCTGTGCCCAGATGTGAAGATTGGCGCTCAAGTCGGATCAGGGCCTTGCCGTGACCGAGGGGCGTCCGGTAAAGTGAAGCGCGCAAAAGTCGAATGCATGCAAGGCCGTTTTTGTAGCGTCAGTGCTCCAGTGCTGAAGCCAATACCGTGAATGTATCAACCGGGATCAGAACTGGACATGCGACGCCTCTTTCCGATCCACGCTCAAAGGCTGAGGCTTTGGTTGTTCTCGATATAAATTGTTACCAGTTTCCGGATTCGAGCAAAGGTTTTGTTCCTTCTATGGGTTAGCAGATTGGCGGCCAAGGAGGGCTCCCGTCAACGAGCGACAGTCGAGCCACAGAAGCAGTAGCCGTTTAAGATTGGGGGAGTGTGGTTGTGGCGACCAGGGGGGTTTGTGTGTGGATCTGTGTGAGGAGGACAACAACAATAGTCAGTTATGGTGGGTTCAAACTTTCAGGGGAGCATTAACTCTTAGCAGCGTGCGGGCAGGCAGTTCTTTCGGCTCAAGGTTTAGAACGTCAGTCCGTCAGGGTCCGGTGAGCGGAACCTGGTAAAGTGGGTAACGTAACTGTACTCCGTACAGCAGCAGACCGCAACACAACCAGTCCAAGCCTTGACTCCTTATAATAATCAGTGTTGCACGTACCTCTCTTCCTTAGATCAGGAGGTCAGGAGAGTAAATCGACTCCAGTTCACAAGCGAAGAGCATAAATGTGAATAACGAATGATGCGGTCCAGCACACCGCAAGATGATATATTAGGACGAGGGACGCGGCTTTCCAAAGAGGCAGAGATTGAGATAAAGTGTTTTTACGAGACACAAGGTTTATCAGGGGACGATGGTTAGGATAAAGTGAGGTTGAGATGATCCAAGAGCCGGACGCACGTCGGGGAAATTGGGGCCTTCGGAGGGGCGTCCAAATCGCCCAACACGCGTCCGAGTGGATAAACGAAGCATTGCGGTGGTTACAGTCCCCGTCGTAGTATTTGCGCCGTGGGAAACGGCTGGATGCCAAGCAGGTCAAGCACACTGTGGAGGGGAGGTACCTCGGCTCGCATGTTGATTGTTTGGTCAACGCAAGTATCAGTGCGCTACGGTAGTACTGTACCTGAATCCATACCTGAAAAAGCCCCATCATTTCGGTTAGGAACTCTTGGGAGAACACCAGGGACACCCGCCTCGGCCCAAGTGGCGAGGTCCCTTCCTCCTTCCTCCTTCCTCCTTCCTCCCCTAAGAATTACCCGAGTTCCCTTTGTCCTTCTCTTGTTATTTCTCGTGTTCGTGTCTGTGACCATGTGAGCCAGCCATCTTGTCCAATTTTCCAGCCAATCATATCCCCAAAATACTGAATGAAATGTAAGGAATTTCTAAAGACCAAGACCGAGATTTCCACTGCGCGAGTAGAGCCTGCTAAGGCGCAGACCAGGGGAACGAATCGATACTGTTGCTCACCCGAACCCCTGAGGCTGAACCAGTTTGCCAAGGCATTAGCACAACTTGCATATTTGTAGCATACTCTGCGTGATCGTGAATCAGCATCCAATCCTACAATAACGGAACCGAAAGGGGCCGCGTCGAATTTCCAGAACAAAGGTAGGTTTGCTGATCAATGGCCAAATATCGCAAAGTGGTTTGAGTCTACTACTCCGTACTTGTCGTATCTGCGTTATGATTCAAACTGAATTGAATCCTCTAGTAGTCTGGTCTAAGTCCTGATGCTGGAATGTCACCAAGAAACTTGTTTCAGCTGCCTGCGCATGGGCAATTCCTGTACGAGATCCTTCCTACAAACCAGAACATGATTTAGATAGCTTATGCATTTCTCATTCGATGCAACCATGCGTCACTGCATCATCGGGCAAGTACTGTCCCAGAGTCTTGGCAGATCCTGCAACCCCTCCAACCCTCCAAAGCCACACGAACGCCTCAGACGAGCTCGTTAAAACTATTGAGTAATTGCGAAAAGTCTTATATAAAACGAGAATCTCGTTAAAGAGATCAGGTGCTACAGAAGCAAAGAGTCGATCTTGGCACAGATGCCTAGAAGTAATAGTTATATAAAGTAGTACCGAGGATGTTCGGCTGTAATGTCGCAATTCGCCGTCGGGCGATCCTTTCTAATCTGTCATACGGAGTATGGTTCGGAAAGAACTGTCCGCTCGTAACCACGGCTCACGTCCGGATTGGCATGAACATTTCGATCATGTGCAAACTTTTCCAGTCCAAGCAAAACCAAAACAGAACAAAGGGAAAAGAAAAGAAAATAATATGAGGATGACGCGTGATTGTGATATTTTTATCTCGTCCTTTCCCTCTTCCGCTAGAACATCCACGTGGCGTAAGGATCATCCCGAACGGTGTGTACGAAGTACGGAGTATGAAGCCCCACCACCAAAGGAAACTACCTAGATTGTGGCACGCTCCGTCAAGAACTCATCCAATCGGACTTAATGCTAGTACTTTATCAATAGCAAGGCATCAAGCCAACACCAAATAAACAAATAAAGGTGCCAAACAAACCGGGTTGGAAAAAGTGATAAATACTCGATATTCGATATGATTATACAAAATGGAATCATCCACCCGGATGACATTGACGAGACTATTTCGACTTGATCGACTCATCCATAAAGACTATCTCGGCTCGTCCATTGACCTAGCGCCACCGCCGCCAAATCGGCTCCCAAAGGCGCCCATGTCACGCCGGAAAAATTTGCCAATGTTGCGCAAGTTGTCGTTGAGATTGGCAGTTACATGTCCCTCAAGTCCGTTGGGCGGCGACAATGTTCCAGACGGCGATTGTGTGCCAATTGCTCCCAATGCCGGTGAACCCAAACGGTCGACGCCATCTCGTGCAGCAGACATGAGTGCCGATCCAAACGTTGAAGGGTCGAAGCGTCCCGGTAGAGACGTTGTAGAAATAGCTGTGGCATTCCCGCCATGCGATGATTGCAGTTGAAGCGGTGTGAGGAGCGGTGACTGCTGTACCAGATTTTCCTGCGAAGCGCGATGAACCTGGAAGAGGTCCACCAAACGATTTTGATCCGCCTTGCGAATTCCTTTAAGATCGAGAATTTTCCGGAAGTTTGCATCGGATGAATCACCAATATGGATCAAATATGCTTGAACGAGTGCTTCAGGCGGGTTAGGCCGCACCTGAATCGTCTTCAGAAGAGGGTTTAGCTTCGACATGATCTGGTTAACTCTCTTCAAGTAGCTGTAGCAGTATCAGTTTCTGTGGTTTAAAGCGATCTAGATGAATAAGTTGAGTGCTTACCCAGCAGGTGCAGTAGTTGAGCCTTCGGTATGCAGTGTTGGCAACTCTTCAAATGCTTTCTTAAGCACATAGGAATCCAACAGCATCTACAGCTCATTAGCTCCACTTGGACGGGATGGGGACGGATCATAACAAACCTGTTCAGCCCCGACTTCTGTAATTGGCCTGCACTGGACAACATTGATGATGTAGGTATTTGTCAAAGACTCAACCAGGTTGTCACAGAAAGCCCGCGTATATTGCGATTTATGGATTAATTTCAGAACTTCGGTCGTTCCGATCTTGACATGTCCAAGCAATTCTGACACATATGGACTCTGGTCGCCAACACTTTCCATTTTCCCCCAGGGTAGATTGCGCATCTCTCGCCAGCTTGGCTCACAGCCCACTTCAACCCGCCGCACCAAGGCCCGGATTGCTGCACTCACAATACCCATAAACGCATCGGCCTGACTCTGAAGGTCTACTTTTGACTTGAGCTGCTCATCCACACGACTTTTTATCTTTTCTTCTAATTGCGTGCAGGTTGCATAACAGTAATCGGCGGTGTTGAGAACAAGTATGGCGTCTTCAAGGAAAGGTCCACGTCCACCTTGAGAGTCCCCCAGAAAGTGAAGCAGCACTTGCTGCGAATATTGGTCTAGATATTTGGCAAATACGTGCGAGAGCTCTATTAGACGAGATCCTGTAGACAGTTTTGCACATTGTGCAAGGCTATGGCGATAGAAGCTGAATAGTTCCGTTGATGACGGAGCAACGAGTTGAGAGGAAAACTCCTCGTCGGCGGGACGAATCGGCTGTTGTCGATACTTGGGTATCATTGTAGCAAGTTGCCTAGTTCCATAGATTAAATTTCGTAAATATATTAAGGACTCGTCTCACTTACTTGTCCTGAGATTCAATCCATACACTCAGATACGGTTCGAAGGCTTCCGAAATAGCCTGTCCAAAAACAGGCGTTCGTTCATCTTTTGAGGATAGGCTATCAATAGAGACCCGGGACTGTATCGCTTAGCAAGTGTCTTTTGACTATAAGGTTCAATATAAAGCATACCCCAGTCGCAAACCTTCTTTCGAGATTGTGTTCAAAGTCCAATGTCTCTTGTAAGCAGGAAAGCAGAAGATTAACGTCGAGATTTTGGCCGTCCGTCCTGCGCATTGCACGTGATAAGATCGACTTGAAATCCTCTCGAGTGCCTTCGCAGAAAGCGTTTGCAAGGACCTCATTTACTCTCCAAGATGAAGGGAAAATCATTGCATGTTCCTCGTCGTAAGTCTTCATCATCCTCCTGAACCAGGAATATCTTCGCGAAATGTTGTCCAAAGAACCAGCCTAAAAAGCAGAGGCAAGTACTTAGTAGGCTTATAAGCAAATGAATTAGCATAAACTTACCTCGTCGCTGCCACGGAAAACCTGACGGTACTCCCTCAACTGAGTATTGCAGTACCATGTGATCAACCGAGAACGTGCATGCTCCCCCAGACTATCCATTACCAGACATCCTTCAGCCAGCATTCCTCTCCGTTGAGCGATTTGACCCTTGGCAAAAGTAATTTCGAAATCCTCGCAGATTTGCTCCAGGAGCTCTCGCTGCAAATCAGCCACATGGCGGCTGAGTGTTGCGATCTGGTCAATTGAGCGGTATGATTTAAAATGTGTCATCAGTTGTAGGACCGCTTGCAGCAATTGTGCACAGTCCCCGTATTGACGTGACCGGCTCAAGCCGCGCAGTTGCTCATATGCAGTCGTCAACATTTGAAGCCGTTTCAAAGCCGTCATGGAAAGGGTCAGGTTTCGTTTGGTCCCATCGAGTCGTTTAATATCAGCGGTCATCTGCGTAATTGTTTGCTCTGTCTGAATTGCCCGCTCTCGAACACCGTCAATCTTGGAAAACAGCTCGGCCAGCTCGGCTTTAGCCTCCTGTATTCGGCGGACACTGTCCGCGTCCGAGGAGGACTGCTTGGCCACCAATTTCGCAATGTCAATATCGAGTCCATTTTGGTAAGTTTGAAGAGAGTCGGAAACGGTAGCAACGGAGGATAAAGTTGACGGGTGGGAGAAAATGGCGTTCAGATGTTCAATGGGATCATAATCCGCTGCGATTTAGGGCACTTGTAAGCACAAAGCTCCTGAGAGGGGTATGGGGAGGTAGCTACCCGTATCCAAGGGGTTGGCCAAGGAAGAAGGGCCGTTCGCCTGGGTCATGAGGAAACCTGGACCTCCCGCATCTATCGAGACACGAGAAAGTCTTTGGAAGTATGTCGAGATTGGTGAATCAGTAGGGGAAAAGGCGGATGGTTGACGTAGAGTCGGCTACAGCAGCATTTGTTATTGAGTGTCATCCAAGGTCCTCGCTAGAGCTGTTGCCCAAAGTGTCTCTCCGTCAGGCCTTCGGAGCGAGCTAAGGGGTTCACCGCATGGGAGACAATACCGTAATAACAACAGCATATCAATTGGCCCACCAAAACCTGTATCATACCATCACAGTCGACTGTGCTTTAATACAAATATTTCGCTGACCATCGATTACTGGCTGTCTGGTTGAGACAGTTTTGGCTTCACAACCTTGACATTAACGGACCACAGCTATATAAGATAGTTCCAGCGAAACCAAGCTGTATGTGAGGAAAGCAAGTTCACAGCACTCAATGACTTTGCTTTCTTTACTAAGCTCTATGTATAGTCCATTTCTTTCAACAAAACAAAAAAAGAGTACTAAATTTGGACAGATCCTCCAGACTCGCGCTTCTAGCGGCGAAAAGTCTACGCTGCAAGTCGGTTGCAGAGGAAACGAATGTGTCATGACAGATGCAAACGCCATGTACAGCGCAAGACAACCAAACTGTATATACGTTTGGAACGCCATCCTTATCCCAGTACGCCGGCAAGTTTTCCAATAATATTTTGCAGTCAATCAAATTGATGCAAAGTGGTGAAACCGGTCTGTATCAAACTTCGGGGACCTCTAACATCTGAAGTGCCAGGCCAGTAAAAGAGCCCGGCTAGACCTGTCTGCTTGACGAAGTTGGCCTTCATTTTCACAGTGGTGGGATTGTCATACGATACAAAGCCACCGGGACCACCTATAGCAAAAGCGGCTCCTAGTTCTTCATCGACAGCCTCACGAGCACCGGGACCCGGAAGGTCTTTGTATTCAAAAGTGCCGCTGTCCCCTTCTTGACCACTGTGCGACTGACCTACCCCTTCAGCACCTTTGAAGGATCGACCATATGTTGGTATTCCCAATAGTATCTTATTAGCTGGGACGTCTCGCGAAAGCATGTAGTTCACGGCTGATTGACAGGACATGTTTGCTGGATCAGCTGGCGGAAGGTTCTTCGGTGCGTATAGCTGGGCTTGATGTCCTGCTTTGTCTGTCCATGGTCCGTAGAAATCGTAAGCCATAAGGTTGATTAGATCAACGTAGCCGGCAGCGGCGACAAGATCAATGTGCTTTAGAGCCCACTCGCCCGCTGATAAGGCGGAGGTTAGAATGTACTGTCCCGAGGGTAGAAAGGACCGGATCGTAGCTAGAAGGAGGATGTAGTCATTGCCTTCCTCGACGCTCGAGGGGTATTCCCAGTCCACTAGCATGACAGGTCAGTTGCGGAGAAGCATCGGTATAGAAATCTTGAGCCTACCATCAATTCCATCGAAGCCAAATTGGTTAATTAAGGTTCTTGCTGATGTGGCAAACTGGGCACGTCCTGATGGCGATGACGCAGCCTGCGCAAATCCATCGCTTCCTTGATTTCCTCCGCCAATGGAAAGAATCAACTTAAGTTGCGAGTGTTTACGCTTGAGCGAAGCAAATGCTCGTAAGCAGCCCAGCTGTCCGTCAACTTCTATGCCTGAATCGGCCCACTCATCGCTCAGCTGGAAAAACGTCAGCAGGATGGCATCAAGCTTGCCTCATGTTGTTCGGGGGGCCTCACAAAAACAGTCCCATCTGTCTTTACCCTAAATATCAGAATTAGCCTGAGCCACTAGGTGGAAGTGCCATGAAAGAGCCTTATGGCTCGGCTTACCAAGCAGAAGCATAAAAGACATGCGAAATAGCATCCAGCATCAAGGAAGACGGTGGCTGATCGTGATGCACTCGCCAGTTGGGATAATAGACGCCATTCTTGTACATAACCAAGGGCGATCCGCCTCCATGTGGGACTGATGATCTCGCTCTCGGATTCCTGGTGGACTGAGTCCAACGATTTACCAAAGAAATATTGGGCCCAAAGGTTGCCGACATAATCTCCAGGCACCTCTTTTGATATGAAATCGAGAATGAAGTGATAAAGGGTTAAGCAAAGTTGAATTCCAGTAAAGGCTTGTCAAGCAGACACGATACAATAGAAAAACCGCTTCAAAGAAGTTTTCATACCAGATATAAAGAACATGGGCAACGAGTCTCAAACACAAAAATATCGGGTTGTCCGCGCTGAAAGCGGCCACTCAGGCAACACGCTCGTGATATATGACTGGGATATCATCTACCCACCCCCACCGGCTTGAAGGGCCGACTTAAGTGGGGTGAAAGATCAACAGGCGTCTTAGACAGTCGCGCGCCTGTCGGCGTGGACCATGGCACGAATGGGCTTGTAGGATGGTCCTTGCCTGGATCTCGTCAGTTAGCCCATTGACGACAAGGTCTGCAACTACGCTTGAATTGCCGATGAAGCTAGGATGTGCCCTGTTTGTTCATTTCTTCTTTCTTCTGTCTCACGCATTTTAGTGGCCACTATTCGAAGCACCAAAGCTTTAGACCTCGGAGGGTTATAGGCGATTCAATGGCCAAAGCATCCGTGCCTGCAGGAGCAGCGTCCGCCGCATTTCTCAACCATACTGCATGGCTGGTCCGCATCGACGCAAATGCACGCTGAAAGCTGAGGATCCGTCTCCAGCGTAGGCGGCACGAGGAATGTTTCGGGCAAGAACAAGGGCATTTTGGGCTTGAAATGAACTGAACATGGATCTTCAACACCACTCCGCTTCAGGCCGAGCTTGGACCCTTGTGGGGGCGCCGGCTTGACGGACGGAGCGGGTAAGGGTAAAGACCAATCTCAGTCTCTGAGAACAGCGGATCTACATGGTTTCGCTCTCTTCCTTGCCAGCCAAAGGGAGCTGAATGTCCAGAGCATGACGATAGACTTTTCGGTCAATTTTGGACATCATGCAATGAGGTTGGAGGATTTGTGTCCATTCTCAGAGGAAAAGAATGATAGATGCAGCAGGAACAAGGCACAACAGAGTGACAGACCAACAGCAGTGTCACAGCGGTCTATCACTTGCAGTAGCCTAAGGGGGCAACGACGTGCATAATTGCGCAACTACTCCATCAGTCAGGCCGAAATGAACCTCCTTTTGCTCAAAGCGGCATCGAAAGCAAGATTTATCACCCGCCCGTATGACAAAAATGGACTCAAATGGATCAGAAACCGGCAAAGAAAAGGAACAATACGAGTTGAATCGTGCTTGTTTTTTTACTGGAATATTTGCAACTATACCAAGAACAATCAAATTTTCGATCAAAATGACACTTTTCGCATTATAAAGTACGAGCTATTCGGTGCCACCTATCTTGCTGTGCCTTCTTCCTCAGTGAGCTAGAATAGACCAATGTCATCACGCGGGGTTGTCTCGTTTGGCTCGGACCGGGGCCCTTTCAAGACCCACAGTGAGCACATTGCGACCGTGCGAAGAAATGCTTGAAGGGAAACCAAAGGAAACGGAAATGGCACCACTGCCAGCTGCCCCAGACGATTCGGAGGCGGCGTGGCCGAGACCGTTGCAAAGCTGGCAGGCTCACAAGCCTAAGGGCGTTAGAGGGGAGTCGGGCAAGTTGGACCCATGAGACAATTGACTCGAGTCGGTGTCGCTCATGTCACATCTCACAATCAATCCTTGTGGCCCTGCCGACCTCTCAGCAGCAGAGAGACGAACGGGAAGGGTAGGCGGGGAAATTGTGGATGATATGCCAAATATACACAACAAGGCTCTTTGCCAAGTAGGCCACAGCAGTCGGGAAAGGCCACCTTCGACTCGATCCATTTACGATCGATTTTCAATTTCTCTCGAACCTCTAACTTTGGTCAAATTCCACACACTGCAAGTGAGCAAAAACAGCTTGAGCATGCTGGGCCGCTCAAATGACAAGATCCCAGCACTATAGCAGACTGAATTTACCTTCACAAGTTGCTGCTCTTGAGCTTTCTACTTGATGGTTCACCATATTTGCGGAACGGCAAAGGACCACACTCTTCAGGTGAACAGTTCCTCAGTATTGACGCCTTATGGTATTGAAACGCCCTTGCCCGCTCTTTCATGAAATATCAAATTATGATTTCCAATCAGTGCAGGCGCGGTTGATACCAATGCGATTGACAGTCATTGAGACTGGACTGAAATTTTTTTGACTTTCGCCTCTTGTCTCAGCAGTCCCTTCCAAGAATGTCCTCTTGTGTCATATATCATGGGTAAGGTAATAATGGTACAAATAATGGCATGGATATTTTCCGACGCGCAAACAGGGAAAGACAGGTAAGGCGATCATGCGTACTATAGTAGCTTAATGCTATACTACTAGCATCATAATTTCCTTTTAGTCGCTGTACATTCACTAGCTTGGGTTGGAGATTAATTAATAAATTGAAGCTCTCGAGAGACACAGTTATAATGCAGGTGCGAGAAACGCATGAGTGGCGGAGGTGAGAGAGGCTTGTTGAAGCTAGAGCAGATGGTGACCACATCAATCGATAGCTCTCCATTCTCGCTATTGACAGCCCATCATGATCGGCATTTGCCATCAACATCAACTATCTTCCACCCACGCATACCTGAAATATTGACGGAAAGGAAACCAAAATTCCCATTCGTGTCCACGGCGCCGCTGTGGAAGGTCCGCCACTGCATACACTACCTGACTTGGCCTTGTTTCCGTTTTCCCTTGCTCCGGTATTGATTGGTGGCGATCGCCTCGTCGATCAGCCAGGTCTGCTGCTTTCTACAGCAATTCTTGATTTCCAGGCCTGTGACTCTCAGCCTGCGTCGGTTTTCTCTTGGCCTTTGCGTGCGCATAATGTGAGTTCTCAATGATAAGTCTTGTCTTGTCTTGACTGCATGCACACACATGATCTCTTTTTACCTTCGCCATATGCTCACGTCAGATTATCAGATATCATCTCTCGCCGCTTGGGCCTTCGTGGTTTGTCCAAACACAATCAACCGCTTCTCCCGAAAACACCACCTCGGGTCTGAGGAGTTGATGATCGACCCTCTGATCGCCGCTTCACTACCTTGATTGCTTCCATAAAACTTCCATCACACCGCCCCTTAACGCCACCGATCTTTCAAGCCATGGTTGCGGAAGTCGATGCTCAGCCTAAGCTCGTCACGAGCCAAGCGGCCGCGCAGATACTCGATCCATCAGCAGCTCCCGCTTACAATTTCGGCTTCAGCGACTTTCTGAAACGCGAATACAGGTTCGGACTCGACCCGAACCGGCCGTTTTGCAAGGCGTTCATTCAAGGCCACTGCCCCCTGGGCAAGGACTGTCCAGACAAACATCATGTCTCATCGTCGTTCAACAAGTAAGTCACGGTCAATTTTACGTCCTGAACACTTTCGTTTGCTTCTTTTGCCCCGCTATCGTCGGCACTTATACCTTCTATTTGTTTCCTCTTTCCCTCGAAAACTTCTATTTCGGAAATCAGCAGTCAGCTAACGTCTATTATTCGCGCTCCTCCGAACAGTCTAGTATGCAAGCACTGGCTACGCGGGCTATGCAAAAAAGGAGACGCTTGCGAGTTCTTGCACGAGTACAACCTGTGAGTTCGACACGTCCATACCCCACAGCCATACCCAACCCCGTCCATCAGCCCACCCTAACGCGAGCCCCACATCCTTTTTGGTCACTGCCCGCATTATCTACCCCATGCACCACCGCCTGTCCGTCTTATGCAATGGGCAATGGCGCCCCAGTGGCGAGCTATACCCGGCAAAATACTCCGGGATTGTGCCAGACAAGCACCATTGACAGCGCAGCACCGTTGCAGCTGGTTCCCCGTCCTTATCACACATACTTAAAACATCTGCTAATATCGCTTACTCTTTCCCCCCACAGCCGACGCATGCCTGAATGCAACTTCTTCGCGCGAAACCTGTATTGCAGCAACGGCGACGAATGCTTGTACCTGCACATTGACCCAGCCTCACGCCTCCCGCCATGCCCCCACTACGATAAGGGATTCTGCCCGCTCGGTCCCCGTTGCTCCAAGAAACATGTGCGCAAGACGTTATGCCCTTACTACCTTGCTGGCTTTTGTCCAGACGGAAGGACTAACTGCAAGGTCGGCGCCCATCCTGGCTGGCCTGAAGACCTGCCTCCGCCAACGGTGAAAAAGGAAAAGGACCCAGAGGAGCTTCGTCGCGAACGCGAGAGAATCGAGGCTGAGGAGGAGCGAGAATGGAATGAGAGAAGCGCGAACAAGTTTGCACGAGGAGGTACGATGATGGGACGTGGAAGACGTGGTGCATTCAGAGCAAGAGGACGATGATACCCCGGCCCCCCTTTTATGCTCTGGACTTGCAGTTGTACGATTATTCTTGGTTGGAAAAAAGTTATCTTTGTACTATATTACTGTTTGTGGTCAAGGAAAACGGGGTTTACAAGCGGCATAGCATGGGTGGAGTATTGGGCGTGGATTTTGAGTCTTCTAGCTGACATGTTTGTCGGAGTATATCTTGGGAAGGCTATCTACATCTCCAAGGAGATATTGTAATCTTGAATCAATCACACGAGCATATATGTATCTGCCGATAGCACAAATCGATTGAAAGGAGTATAGATTACGAAACTAAATAGGAGTGGAACCACTACCTAGCTGACTTCTAGCCTAATCATACACATATATCATACCCAACCAGAGCACCAAAACCACAAAAAAAAAGTCCAGAAGGATTGCGTGAATTGAGTGAAGATAGATGTCAAAAAGAATAACGAGAGGGGGGATAAGGTGATCAGAACTCGTCAAAGAAACCCAATATCAAAGAACAACAAAAACTCCACGACTATCAACAGCCCTGACCGTCCTAGTCTCCAATTGCAGCATCCTTCAACTCCTCATTCGACCAACCGAGGAAATTCGAACCCAGAAGGTGATCCCCAAACAAAACAATCCCATCCAGCAGCTGATACCCAGACGGGGTCAATTCGAACCAAGAACATAATTCTCGCAGATGGCAAGTCGAGCAACAAAGAATTTGATAATCCAACATAACCTACCAGGCAGCACAACTGATATGACCAAGAAAAACAAACACACCTACATAACCAGCCAACCAAATAACGGCAACATAGATGACACAAATTCAAACCAGCTTATCAACCTTCTCCCACTCCACACTACCAGTTACATCTGGCACAAACGCCTCTTCGAGCTCTTCTCGAGAGACTCTCTTGACGCCCATCATCCACCCGACGAGGCCTCGGGGCGCCCACTTGCCCACCACATCGTAGACCAGACTTCCTCGTCCGACGCGCCAGAGCTGTTTGGGGCGGGATTGCGTCAGGGCGTCAAAGACGGCATTGTGCAATTCTCGTAGCGGGCTGCCCTTCAGACCGTTGCCGTTGCCGTTGCCGGTACAGCTCCTGTTTCCGGCGTGGGTCTGAGCGACGTAATTCTTGGCGTACGCAGCGCGGGCAGTGGCGGGCCAGGAAAGGACATCGGCGCGAGTAGAATGGATAGATGTCTGCAGGTGCTGGCGACCACCGACAGAGCCGCAGTCGAATGTGCCTAGTTTCAGCTGGCATACGTCGATGCCCATAGTGCCAAGTTCGGCACGGAGACTGGTGGTAAAGCCGTCGAGAGCGGCGACGACAGATGTTTCGACGCCGTGGAACGGTGGGCCAAGTGAGGGGATGATGCTGGGTGTCAGGAATAATAGACGGGCGTGGAAATCGCGAATCATGCGCAAAAAGACTTGAGTCGTCGCAATGGTTCCGAGGACCTTGATGTTGAGTGCGTCGGACCACAGGTCGGGCGATACCATCTCGATGGGTCCAGACGGATACGTCATGTCTGGGATGACGATGATGCCCGAGAGGTTGAGGTGGTGGGGCGTCGCGCCGGTGAAGGCAATTTGGGGGTTTACAAGGATGCGGTGGAATTGTTCAACGGCAGTTTGGGAACTTAGTGGCTGTTTATAGGTCAACTAGGTTAGTTGGGGATAAAGGAGGTAGTTGAATGTAGTGAGGCGCATACATCGACAATGTTCATATTCAAAGGACGAATGTCAACTCTGGACTCGTTCCGGACGAGTTGCTCTTCTTCAATGGTATTGACGACAATGTAGACGATGAAGCCGCGCCGCTCGAGGTCGAGCGCGAGCGACTTTGTAATGGGGTCAGATGGTGATCCCGCAATGACTATTAAAGATGGTCAGCGCTGTGAAGCTGAGGCCCTGGCTGGCCAGCGGTGAAACAAGAAGGTTATGAATATACCAACGACATCTTTGCGTGCGCCGTTGCTCGCGCGCCTCGCTCTCCGCTTCCGACTGTATGATTTCCGTTGTCGGTAGATGAGGAAGCTCCCTGTGCCGACGAATGCGATGATGGCCGCGGTCAATGCGGTATGCTTCATTACCCAGTCGTGTGCACGCTCATAGTAGCTTAGAGGTACTGGCGGAGGGGTGTAGACGGGCTTTGGAGCTGGTTTAGCTGCATCAGGAAGCCATTTTGACGATGTCAGAGCTTCGCGCAGAGATTTTGCCACCGATTCGAAATGCCGATCTATAGTGTCGGCGACTTCGTTGGAGTATTTTTTGATGTCATTCGGCACGTTTGCTAGCTGAAGTATATGCAAAAGCAAGGTTAATAAAGGCGTCACTTTTCAAGAATGGAGCTATGATGCAAGGAAAGAGCTTCAGGTCGTTGAAAAGAAGATGAGCTTCAGTAGGGTCTTACTTACAACGTCGAAGAAATGTTGATCATCACTCGTCATTATGGCAAGCTAGATGACAATTGATTCAAAGAGCTGATACTGGAGGAGAGTGGGAAGATGAAATGAAGAGACTGGGGGCAAAGGAAGGAGTTGTGAGTTGAGAATCTTGTGACTGTGGGGTAGATGTGACGGCTGTTCCGTCTCCCCGACCTCCGTTGGTCCCTGGTCTTTATCGATTAGATCTACCGCGTCATTTTGATCAATCTGAACCCTTTCACAACAGCGGGAGATTTAATCTTGTTATTACCCTTCACTGTTCATCCAATAAGTTGACAAGCTCCTGGAATTGCAGTGGCGTGGGATTGATATCCTTGGATCAGTCCAGAAAGGGAGAGAAACAGGATGGCTAATCAAATGTCTTAATCGACAAGCGTGCAGCTTACACGCTTCTCTGCTTGCGTGGCTTCTGCCTTACGCCTCGGCCATACTTTCGATATTGTTATATCTCCGTTCCTCTTCCTCTTCTTCTTGGACAATATATCTCTATTGGTTAAAGGCAACTCGTCGTTATGAAGGAAATCGATCCCTTGGTATCTGCCTATGAGCATCTCCGAGGCAAGACACGCGATGCAGAAGCTCTACGGATCCTTCAGAGGGTTGCCTCCTTGGTCAAGCCCATCATGCGCCAGCGCATGTGGAGGGTTGGCGTATTGACCGAGTTCTATCCGCCTGAACATAATCTACTAGGTAGGCGGTTACGCTCTTCGTCATAATAAACTATGAACTCACCGACATTCAGGACTCAACTGGAATCGTGGACAGAAAATATGCCTCCGGTTACGATATCCTCAAGACGAACGACAATTTCTTCCTATCGAACAGGTCATAGATACGATGCTACACGAGCAAGTTTTCCCTTCATGTCCTCCCACCGCTCCTGCCACCATATATATTAACATCTTCCTCTCCCAGGCTCTGCCATATCGTGCATGGCCCGCACAACGAACATTTTCACGCGCTATGGAACCAGCTTCGCGATGAACATGAAGAGCTCATCCGCAAGGGCTATACAGGCGAAGGCTTCCTCACCGAAGGCAAGCGTCTCGGCGGAAATCAGATCCCGCTCCATGAAGCACGTCGTCTCGCGCGCGTCGCTGCGGAACGAAGACGGACTCTCACAAAGGGGTCGGGCCAGAAGCTGGGTGGCGCTCCTGTCTCCGCTGGCAGCGACATGCGTCGTGTCATTGCGGATGCAACGTCACGAAGAATCAACGTAACGCAGGGCTGTGCCTCGAATACCAAGGAAAGCCAAGGAATTATGGAGCAAGCCACACGCAATGGATTCCGAACTCAAGCCGAGGAAGACGACGCCAACGAACGGGCCATTATTCAAGCATACATTGAACTTTTGCAAGAAGAGGAAAAAGAGAAATGGGGCGATGCTTATATTCCGCCCTCGGCGGACAATCCTGCTGGCAGCGCTGACAAAAACGGATATGACCAAGGCTTCTCAACGCAGTCAGGGGGGCCATCATCTTCCGCAAAACCTCCCTCTGTTCCTATGCAAACTCGGCCATCATCAGCAAGAATCCAAAGCAGACCTATTTCACGCCTTGTCGACAAAACTCCAGGCGGCGCTACGGCAAATACTTCTCCCATTCCCTCCACTGGTCCAGGCGAGGAACCTCCGCTGGTCGACCTAACAGACTCTCCGCCACGACAAACGACAACCCGCTCTAGACCTTCTCATCCGCTAGCGACCTTCGCGGACCAAGGGAAATGGACATGCACTATATGTACATGCGATAACCCCAGAGACTTTCTTATCTGCGATGCATGTGGGATAGAGCGATATCAAGACCCTTTTTCTCCGCCTACTTTTAGTAGCCTACCTCAAACCGCTAATTCATCAAAACCTGCTAACCCTTCAACCTCTTCCAACACCGTTTCTGCGCCGCCACCGCAACAACTTCTCCCTTCACGTCCTCCACCAGGCAAAGCCAAAACGAAAACGAAAATCAAATCAAAAGATCAAAAAGCAAAAGGCAAGACAGTAGATGCTGCCACATCCGGATCCAGATCAAATCTGTACACTCCCTATCCAGTATATCCCGCAAACAAACCTCTCGGATGGAACTGTCATAGCTGCGGCACATTTATGGAGACAGGTTGGTGGACATGCTCGCTTTGCGGGACTATGAAGCTTTCTTCATAACCCTTCTGCGACCTTTTTATGCGATTTCGCAAGTCGTTGGTCTACAGCCGGATCTATCAGGCATCGACTTCTGTCTGCTCTTTTTCTTCGCCGTTTTCTTCTCCTCTCCACATCCATTTCGCAATTTCTTTCGTCATTCACGGCGTAACTTCATCATCTACGGACTCATATGTGTTATTTCAGCGCGGCGTAATTCATCCCTTGGTACTAGCATGGTATCTCCTGGCGTAAGGTTGCGCAAAATAGTTTCTACACTGTGTTTAGGTGTGTACTCCAAGTTCGAGAGGCCTCCTTATTTTTTTCACATTTACAGGTAGCGTGGCACTGTATGTCTGGCATAGCATATGGAATAGGATAGCATAGCCCATTTGGTCTTAGATTTCAATAGTATCACAACGTCAATTTCGTTGGTCAATGTTTTTCGTATTGAGTTTGGAAGAAATGGGCATGAAAATATATACTTTCTAATCCGTGACAAGACGCCGAATGTGAATAATGGGTACCGTACAATATGAACGTAGGAACCCCGAAAAAATGGACAAATAAGACTTTTTGAAGACGAAAGGATAAGAAACGAGGTGACTCCCAACGAAGGATTGATTCGCAGTCCATTGCAGCCAAAGAAAAGGAAAAGTACGGGACTCGAATATGCCAAGAACAGAAAAAAAAGTAACCAGCAAAAAAAAAAAAGTGAGAACCCCGCTATTACATATGTACAAGCTATGCAATGATCCGGTTGAACTAGGACCTGCCCTTGCGCATTCTCTTTTCCCGCTCGTACGCATTCTTCTCGCGGCCTTCTTCGCCTTGGATCTCCGCGACAAGTCTCTTGTACTTTTGCTCGTACGCGCGGTCTGCCTCCTTCTTCTGGCGCAAGTTCTCGCGGGCAATGAAGCTTGCATCCTTGCGGAGTTCGCGAAGGGCGCCCTTGCGCTCGCGCTTGTGCTCGGCGCGCAGCTTGCTGGCTTCGGCGCGCTCGCGGTCGGGATCGTAATGCTTGTCTGGGTTGAAGGTCTCTTCGAACTTGGGGATGACGGACTTGATTGGCCGGGGCTTGTGGTGGTGGAGCTCGAGAGGTCTGCGTGCGAGACGAGCATGTTGGAGGACGCGCTGGAGCTTGGCGTGGGTTTTGCGGATGGTCTTGGACAGCACGGAATCTTGGGGAAGTTTTGCGCGAGAAGCCTTTGATTGGAGGAACTGTGTGGTTTGGAGGGCGGGTTCGAAGATTTCGAAAAAGGCAGATGTGCCGGTCCAGAGGTCGGCCGCGGTGTCGAGAAGGGAAATAAAAGTTGCGATGAGAGTCGATTTGAGAGACTCCGCGGCGTCCTTTTTGAGAGGGGCAGAGGGGGGTTGCGTATCGTAGAAGTGCATGGGTTTGGGTTCCGCTGAGGGAGCCTTTTGCAGACGGAGAGACATGGTGGGCTCGTGGTAGGGGATATTGGCTGGCAAATTCGATGATTCGGGTTTCGTGGGTGCCAGGACATAGAGCGCGTTGAGGACAAAGTTCATGAATTCGGGGTAATACCGTTTGGAGAGACGCTGGTATTGCAGACAGAGCGTGGCAAGGTAGGCCCCTGTTGCGAGATCATGGAGGGTTTGGGGGAATTTTTGTCCGAGATATCGTGCCATGCTGAGGCTGGCGGGTGTGACAACCTGGTGGAAGTGGTCGGAGGTAGGGAAGATGCAGCCGACAGCGGTGAGCACGATGAGGTCGCCGGCGGTAGGGGCGTTGGGGCGCGTTTCCTGGAAAGACTTGAGCTGCTGACGGAATGCGCGGCCAACCTCATCCGGGTAGGTTCTTGCCAGGGAGTGGACGTGGCGGACAAGAGTCTCGAGGACGGAAAAGGGCGGGTGGGAAGGTTGATTTGCGAGGTAGACAATGTGCTCAACGAGGACGGTGGAGAAGACGCCCAATTTGGCCTTGTTGTCTGCTGCCAATTTGGGGTTGTGCAGCGCACGTATCCGCTGCACGGCGGTGGGAAGGTCGACCAGAGCGACGGTCTTGGTGGCTTCTAGTAATTCCTCGTGCGTCTGTGGACATGGGAATGTGAATGCGAGCTCGCCGTTCGAAGAAGTAGCTGCGCCTGTAGAGGACGGAAGCTTGAATCCGAATTCAGGCATATCCTTTTCATCCTTGGAGAGAAGGCCGCCGATAAATTCTTCGTCGTCATCCTCGCGTTCTCCATCATCTTGGTCCTCTTCTTCAGAACCACTTTCGTCGCTACCCTCTTCAACCGCGTCCAGATCCAAGTCAGATCCACTCGCGACGAGATCGTCATCAATGAGAAAATCGTCTTCGTCCTCGACGTCAACTGGCGGTCTCCGTGAGGAGTAAGTGGGAAGGGGAGCGGAATCGAAACCAAAATCAGCTGCATCGTTTTGAAGATCGTCCGCATCATCTTCTAGCTCCTCTTCGTCGCGGGTAGGCGCTTCGTCCTCGCTCTCCTCTTCGCCCCTCATCCGGCGCTGGCGCTTCTCTTCGAGATCTCTGAGACGCTTCGCTTCCTCTTCGACTTTCTCCTCATCCGTCTTTGTTCTTTCGGTCGGTTTCGATCGCTTGTCGAAAGCCATCTGCCGTAATCTTTCGTCATATTCCTTGTCAACAGCCGGCTTGGCGGCGCCATTCATCAATGCTGCACGTTCGGGGTTGATATGCATGTTAGGGTCTTGTGTGGCTGGAGCAGGCGGCGCTGCAGGCTTGGCCGGATGTCCGTGCATGAGCGCAATGAGGGCTGGGAGTCCCTGGTCGAGCTCGTCCCGTAGCTCGTCATCGTCTTCCTTGGTCTTCTGACGTTCGTACTTGTGCAGCTTCGATTTCGCGATGACTTCCTTCATGACTTCGGCCTTTGATTTTTTGCGCTCTGGTTCTGGCTCCCCTTCTTCGCCGGAAACTTCCTCGTCTCCATCAGCCTCGGACGGCCGTCGCCGTTTGCGACCTCTCTTTTCTTCGCCATCCGATTCATCAGAGACACCAAGGTCGCCCTCCTCAAAGTCGTCCATCGGCGCATCGTCAAAAGACAAAGACTTGCCAAAATGCGTGAGTTGACCTTCTCCTCCGTCGTCGTCATCTTCGAGGTCGAACATGGAGCCGCGCTTATGCCGGCTCTGCTGCTCTCTTGTGAAACGCTCCATCATTTTCTCTTCGGGTGTCATGAACGGATCGTTTTCACCAAAACGACGGTCATTAATGCCTCCTACTTTGTTGCGTCGCTGCATTTCTAAGAGAAGAGTTTTCCGGCGCTGTACTACATTAGCATTTTGCTCTTGGCTCGAGATCCTGCCATCTTGAACTCACAGTCTCTTCTCCCAAGCCTCTGGTAACTCCAGGTCGAGCGACCGGGTCCTTTGACTTTCCAACAATGCTGTCATTGGCGGTTCCGAATTTCTTCCCTTTCGTAGTCGCCTTGACCTCGAATGGATTGAATTGCTCCCGAATGCTTTCCAGAGCAACATTGCGCTGTACTCTTCGGTCATTGTTCCTTCCTGTTGCCTTATTACTCTTTTTCTCTTTCTTGGATTGCTGAGGGCCAGTAATGCCCTGCTCCCGCAGTGACGCCTTCAGGCGCTTGAGCTGAGACGGGGGCATGCTGAATGCGCACGAAGTGGCTCAATCCGTTGCCGTCCGAGTCCTCCACAACGTTGGCACAATGTAGGGTATCAAGCACAAAAGAGTTCCCTGTAGACAATTATTTTGGATTGAGACGGCAAGATTTCATGTTTCCTCCAGATCGGGTTTAGTCTTATGGAATTTCCCGTCAGTCACCGCCTTCGCTGGCCAGCGGAATGATTATGTAATTCAAGTATACTGCCGTCCAAATCCCTTGACGAAATAGCAACTTTGGATATCACTGAACCACCAGAGCTCATCACGAGCATGTATACAAGATGCCGAATCTGACCGATGATAGGTGGCTTTGGCTAGGTCTTGGTATATCATCCTCATGAATGTCATATCACTTCAGGTCTAACCAGACAATAGGCGTTCTTTCATTCTTTGCCATCCGTGCCGTTAGCAGTCAGCTCGGTATAGTGCAGCGATTGACAGGGGTTAGCAGTGAGCAAAGACCGCCTCATGTCATCTGCCAAGATACAGAAGATGGTAATTTTGAAGGTTTTCCAAATGGCTTCTTTCTTCTGACAATTTCAGCACTCAACCTGGATACTTTACAAAAGCTCACGGAGGGGTCGAGCTATGACCTGAGGGGCGCGTGAGTGGTTCCGTCAGGAATTGACTTCTGGTTGAATTATTGCTAAATCTGTCTGATAGAGCTCTCAAGATAATATGCGAAAGAGCTGTGCGCAGTCCTTCTTTTGATCAATTGCTAGATGATCTAGCCGGTCCTGGCCCCGAACTGCGCGACCGAGCATTGACAGCCTTGAAATTCCTCTGTGAAAGCCGTTCGTTGCTTCGTCCCATCTTAAACTACCTATGCGGACATCTAACACTGCCTAGCCGTGCGATCGCAAATAACTACACTTGCAACATTCACAGCATTAATCACCTGTTTATGCAATCTCCTTCCGCACCCTGCGCCTACGCCCGCAAACCCGCGGTCGCCTACTGAGCGAGCCGCGATGAGCGTCCTCGTGCGCTTACTCCCACAGAATACATCTGATGCGATCCGTGCAGGGCTGGTCAAGCGATGGCTAGTAAAATATCCTCTTGGACACACTGAGGGCCAGAAACGACTTGCAATCCAGCAGTTGAAAACCTGGAGTACAGATGATTTCCTTCTCTCGGAGATCATCTGCATGATTGACAATACTCCAGAAGGTCGAAAACAGATGAGGCAGGCTGGTCTGATGGGTTCAGCAATGGGCGAAGACGAGGACGTTATTGACACTTGGATGATAGGTGGGGAAGACACTGCCGGAGATGCTGTTAGTATTTCACTTGCGCGCAGCAATCGGCGCGTTCGAGAGGAGAGCGCAGAGGAGCAAGCTTTGCGTCGGAGAAGGAGAGAGGCCATGGTCCTTAGCGAAGGTGGGCGGCCCTTGGGGAGGGAAGACATTATCCAGCGAGAAGATATTGCTACTTCAGATGAGGTTGAAAGACAACTGGAGAGCTTGATGGAGGAGGTAAATCGTGAGGATGAAGGCTTGGCCTAGCCCGAAGCTTCATCTAGTACGCTTGTGGACGCTTCAGGCACGTGTTTGTTTATTGAGAGTTTCGAATGTTGCGAACCAAAAATTCTTCATGGTCGCAGATCCCTTGCTCGCTCTTATCCTATAGCGCTCTTCTATTTTCTTGCATGTTTGGCGTATATGGGCGTTGCGAGAAAATGCTTCACGGTTGGCCACCTATTAGACACGATAATCATGATGAAAACAACTTAGGTAGCTATTATATTATTTCAAAGCTCCATGATAATCAAAATCAAAAGTTAGCTATAACAAAATCATTTGAGAAAAATGCAGCGCTTTGAGTTACATTATAGCTCTCACTTGTGCAGGTCGCCGAATACATTAATTCCCTTCTGCTTTTCTTATGATCTCTCATGTCCAATTACTAAGGCAGACAATAAAATCAAAACATCAAAGAAAAAAAGATAAAGCACCATCTGACGACGGAATTTCTTCTATTATATCTAATTGTGTATTTAGGACTCTGAGAATGGCTTATGAAAAAAATTAAGATTTAAATAAAAACTACATGCCTTGGTGTGCTGGACAAAAAAAAAGGCAAAAAAATAGTCCCAGCGGGATTCGAACCCGCGACGTTCGCATCACATAGATGGCGACTTGACCCATATTGATCCAATCCGAAACCAGATCCATATAAGAACGACACGCTAACCACTGCGTCATGGGACTTTCGTCTTTGCCATAGGCTAGCGATAGAGCGTTTATAAAGGTCGATTATTAGCACTGTGCTCGTCTTAATTGGACCTACTTTCCGTCGTCATACCTTAGCCAGGATTTAACTATTTTCTCTCGCAATTCTCTTACGATTAGAAATTATTTATATTTCTTTCTTTTTAAAGCTTTACCGAATTAGCTGGATTGTACCTTTGAAGGAACTCTTCTTAATTTCGCTTTGATCCCAGGAAAAGAAGCTCCAGAAGACGACACCCTCTTGAAGCTTTGAAGCAGGATCTCAGCATCTCTTACATATCTTGCGCGATTGTAATTGCAATTTCCTAAAGCAAAGCTTTATCTTCAATTCCAGCAGGGCAAGAAGCCAGTCGGGCAGAAAAAAATGCCACCTCCGCCGTCCTCTGGGGCCATGCCTCTAGCATCGAAACATGCAGACACAACATCAGCCAAAGCAGAACAGCCGCAAGTGGAAGAAGGAGAGGAAGAAGAAGAAGAAGACTACATGTCCATGGTGATTACAGAGCCAGAAAAGCCGCGAGAGAAAGAAACCTATACGCAGCGACGAATGCGCAAGCAGCGGGAAGTGCGTTTATCCATCTCCCCACCACACGTTCTTTGCCGGTGGACGCTATTTCCACACCGGATAGTCGATCCTTACTAACACTAATCTGCAAATCCAGGCCGAAGAAAAAGGACGTGTCAAGTCCAAAAAAGAGCGAGAAGCCGAAGAAAAAGCCGCGCGGGAAGCGGCGTTATCGCAGTCCCTTGACTCGAGCAACAAGGGCTTCAAAATGATGAAAATGATGGGCTTCAAAGAAGGCGGCACGCTGGGAAAGAACGAAGGTGAAGGGCGCACGGAGCCAATTATGCTCAGCATGAAAGAAGATCGCGGCGGTATTGGTCTGGATACGGAGCGCAAGCGCAAGTTTCGAGAGGAAGTGGAGGTGGAGGCGAAGCGGGTCAAGGCTGAAGAAGGCGACTACCGGGAACGCGTGAGACAAGAGAGAGAACAAAAGCGAATGGAAGGACAGATTATAGGCGCGCAGAAAGTCGCTGAGAAGTTCGACACGGAGGCTATGGAGAAGGGGGAGTATGGCTTTGAACAGGACGAGGCAGAAGCGAAGGGCGAGGGGAAGCCGCAAAAGGATGAAGGTTCTGCTGAGAAGGAAAGCGCAGAGGCCGGAGAAGAGGATGCAACGACACGAAGTGCTGAGGGACAGAAAGCGGTGCCGACGAGGAAGATAAATGTTCTTTGGAGAGGTCTTATACGGCATCAGGAGGAGAAAGAGCGCGAAAGAAGGATACGTTATGATCTACATCAGAGCTTGTCACGACTACCGACGTACAATGATCCGAATGAGGATGATGATGACAAGCGCGCCCTCGGAAGAGCGAATGGTCGGATACTAGAGGAAGATGTGGAAGAAGAAGATCCTGAGCTGGATGAATTTAATGCATTGGAGCCGGCGGAAAGATTGGCAAAACTTGTGGCGTATCTAAGGGAAAAGTATAAATATTGTTTCTGGTGCAAGTATCAATACCCGGATGAGAGCATGGATGGGTGTCCTGGCGTTACGGAAGAGGATCATGATTGATTTGGGCGGGCGTTGATACTGTTTTTATGGATCATGTGTGGCGTATATTGGGGCAGTACGTACGTACAAACTGGCATTGGATGTAAGGCAGCTGTCAAATAATATTTTGGAGTATGGACATCAAAGTGCACGACCTGATTGCCTTGGTTTAGCATGCAATATAGAATATCGTGCTCTGTAGCTCTGTCTCCAAGAGACACTCGAAGATAGATTGATGAGTAATTGTACAAAGTGGTGAGTGGACTGCTCTATGAGCTTATATACAAACGCCGGATAATGCTATGCTTGGGAGAATATAAATATATAAGGAAAGAAAACCGCAACAACAATCACGGTGACTCCGGTACAATTGGATATTGGAGAGGCTCGCCTAGAGATATTCCACCAACGCCCATATCCCATGCAATGCTTTGCAACCCTGCTTCAAGCATAGACGGTTCTTCCTCAGTCCTGACAAGAACGACACGTAAGAGTTCGGATATGAGACTTAAGGATTCATTCGCCTTTGTTTCGGGGTCCAGGTCATCGTACTCGATGCCCTGCTCGCTGAGGGCGCTCATTCGCCGCTTCGCAATGATGTCCAAGACCTTTGTCACATTACCAACATTGGCCTTACTATTCCTTCTCAGGTCTTTGGCTCGTGTGCGTCGGTTCCTGCGCGTCTCTGTCTCGGTGGGGCCCATGCGGGAGACCTGGAGAACCACCATCCGAGCAGTGTCTTGCGTGGCGTAGAGGTTGAAAGCGTGCTTCATCGCGTGCATCGCCACCAGAGTTCCTTTGAGGTCCTGTGAGAGGCCAAAGCAGCGGATAACCTGGTCGTAGAACTCCTGAGTCACTGCTTCCTGAGCTCCGTCGCGGAGTTTAGCTGGGAGATTGAGGTACCAAGATATCATGTCGAAGAAGAGGGCTCGAGGCGTAGGAAAACCGGTCAAGTCCCTGTTTTTGGCGGCGTCCAAGTGGAACTTCATGCAGTCCCACAGGCATGCAAACGACTCCATGTCGGGTTCAACGGTTCGTCTCATCTCTTGAAATCTGCGCCAGGCTCTCCGGTGATCATGGGCTCGCAGATCGGCAAAGAGTAAATGGTTCATGAAGTATGAGTTGGGCTTGGCTTCTGCCGGTTGCAGTAGCTCCTGTATGTAATTTACATGGGCCGTCATCTCGCGACGTGAGTAATGCAACAAAAGAATTGAGAATGTTTCAATTGTTGCGGCTGGAACAGCCCGCTCAAGGTGTGTTGGGATCTCGAGCCCATCCTTGGTGGTGACAGAGGTACTAGATTCTGAGTTGTCCAGATTCTGCGAAGCCCGCCGTTGTTGTACAAAATTGAGGCGCTCTTGAATCATCGACCAACCCATCCGTTCGGCTTTTTGACGGCTCTCGTTGTTCCCTACGCGCAGCCATGCCCCGATAATACCATTGACGTGCTTCGGATCGGGCTTAACTCCTCGTTCATACATGAGTTCCACTACCGCGGCAGCAGCATCAGGCTCACCCATGCCAATCAACTTCTTGATCCAGCTTCCGTAGAAGAATTTATTTTGGAATTTGCGGGGCAGGACGGTCATAGCTTGTAGAGACACTCGATTTGTTTCCTCTGCGGACACGCTCATTGATTGAAGTTTCCCCACGATGCCAAGAGACTTCTTGTATAGAGCCGACGAATCCTCTGGGGAAGCCTGGCCAGTAAGCATCATATCCTTGAAGACGCCTTGCGCAAGGTCCTTTCTGCCGGCGTTCAAAAAGCCCATACTAATGCGATCGTAATCCTCCATTGTGATTCTCGGGCCGAGATGGTCTCTAAGTCGCACGTAGATAGCCCAGGCATTGGAATAGCCAAGGGCGTCATTCTTTTGGGTCCAAGCTGTTATAACGGGTATGAGGATCCTGGCGTCTGCGTTTTCGTTACTTCCTAGCATTAGGGCTGCGATTTCTTGCGCCCGTAGAGGATTCCCTATTATTGAGAACATTCGAATTCCAAGACTCCAATATTCTTCCAGAATATCATCCTTTCCGGTGAACTTGTCTCCTATAGCTTCCCATTCTGCAATAGCCTGATCCCGTTCGCCTTCTACAAAAGTTGCCTCGACGCGTGCGAGCTTTTGTACCTCCGGAATGTCGCGGCCGATTGAGATTTGATCGTCTGCCAATGTTTTCAAATGGGACAGCCGATCCGGATTTGAGGATGAAAGATGGGACTGGGTTTTCCAAAGCAAATCCCAAGCGCTGTCCGGGACCAAGTGTAGGAAAGAAGGGAGATGCTGTTTGCATCGACTGTACCATCTCCATATTTCTCTTCTGATTATCGGGTTTGGTGCGTTCATCGAAGCGTGTCGTAAAGTGTCATTCAGGCGGTCAAGATACACTCTGCTTCTCTGCGGCGTTGCCATCTTTATTATGAAGCTGTCGTCTTGCGCTTCCATACGGGTTGCTACTCGCGCTGCGACCTCCTTTTTGAAAGCGGCTTCTCTTTCATTCCTCTCCTGTATCGCCTCGGTCATTTTGACTCTATCCTCTTCAGAGAGCTCTGAGAGCATCTCCGTTTCAGAATCTCCTAATAGCCTGCCCATTCTCAACTCTTTCAACTCTTCTTCTAATGCAGAAATTTTGGCCTTTATCTCTGCTGCCTCTGGATCTTCCCCCCCTTCCTCAACTCGTTGTCTTTTTGCGCGATGAATATCATCTTGTTCAAACCAATTGACCTTTATATCCGTCGGTTTCGGTTTCGATTTCGGTTTGGGTCGTTCCCTTAAGCAGGGCTGGTAGACACTGAACAGCCTTTGCGACGGACACTGTAATCGCGGTCGATGACGGCAGGCATAATGGAACTGCCGTTGGCAGGGCCGACCGGCATTTCGAGCCAACGGCTGCATGACGGCAGTGCCACTTTGATACCGCACGGAAACGTGATACGAATGATTGTGGTCGAATCAGTGTCTGGTTTGTTCGGTGTCAAGAAAAAGTTCTTGGAGTTGGACAATGTTTTTGTCTGGCGGACGGAGGAGAGACAACTCCGACCCCCGACACGAAATGTCTACAACCGCACCTGGCTTGTGATGGACAACAACAACCCATTTCTGAACTTTGATAGACAAGAGGATCATGGAGATTGAAGAGGATCAGCAGGCCTCTCAGAATGGCTTCTATGATCCATTAGATCATAAGGTACATGCACCTTTGCTTACTTGGTGGACCAATACAGCTAATAACGAGCTTCGCAACGTAGGCTTGCTATGTTTTTACTCCAGATTCCACCTCAGACCCAGCAAATTTACGCCCTACAAAAAGGCGCCGATTATCAAAGAAATCCGAAGGCAAAAATGAAGGGGACTCATTACCGCAAACGTCCTTTCGTCCGCTGCTAGACGGGAACGAAAACGCCAACAATGTCAAGCTCCGATATCAAACGTACCAGAGGACCTGGGAGGAACAGAAACAGCGCATAGAGGTGGGAGAATCGAAGCGTGCGCAAGACGAAAACTTGCTAATAAATTGAATAGTCAATACTTCATGCAGTAAATGCGAAGACTCTCCATGACGTGGGCTCTTTCGTCCGTGACGCGAGCAGCGAAGAGTAAGGTTCAATACAATTATCCGGACATTCCACAATCTAAATAAAACAAAAGGTACCAGGACAGGATCCCCACGGGTCTCATAGTTGCTGGGCCCAGTATTGCTTCTCACGGGTTGCTTTTCGAACAATTGGAAGCGCGAATAAAATCAGAAACTAGAAGTCCAATGGTTATCCTCACATCGAACGACGCTTCGAACCTCAAATCGATGCTCAAGAAGTTGATTAGAATCGCAACTAATGAGGAGAGCGGCATTGACGAGGACGAAACTGGCTCAGCACGTCAAAAGGTAAGGGAACATGCCAAGGGCACCGTCGGAACGGGCTGACAATCTGCCAGGGTCCACGTCTCCTCAACTACGATCTTCAACTACTCGCCAATTACGTCAAGGAAAAAGGCTGCTCAAAGGTAACCATTGCGTTTCAAGACAGTGATGCATTTGACGGCAACCTCATGACGGATCTGATTGAGCTTTTCAAGTATGGATATAAACTTCTCCGGATCACAAGTTAGACCGCTGACAAGACAAGCTCGTGGCTGGACCGCATTCCTTTCGTCCTGTTATTCGGCATAGCTACATCTGCCGAGATTTTCCATGAGAAGCTTCCCCGAGCTGCAATTCGATGCATGAGAGGCCAAAAATTTGATGTTGAACGGATCGAGCAATCCCTCGAGCTGGTGTTCAACGAAGCAACTAGTGACGATTCAGCCATTTTGCTGGGACCTAACCTTGCCAGCATGCTCCTGGACAGGCAGAGGAATCATGTCCAGAGCGTGCAATCATTTGTCTCATCCCTCCAGGTTGGTACTGCCGAGGTCTTTTGATCATACCTATATGCTGATCGGATTCAGTACGGATGGATGTCCCATTTTTACGCCAACGCGCTCAGCATTTTCCTGGCTCCGGATCTACAATTCGAGCAATTGCAACCAGAGCACTTTGAAGCTCTCCGGAATCTTACATCTTTCCGCAGGTAAGCTTTCCACGCCATCTCATCTTCCCTAGCCCATCAATCTCACAATGGGAAGACACGTCGAAAAGCTCCTCGAAGACGGCGACACGCAAACCGTCCGTGACCTCCTGGACGATAACAAAGCACTATTCTCGCATACCATTGAGCATCTCCATAAAGGCCGTCAAGAGCTATCACATCTTCTCCAAGCCGTCCGTCTTCTCGAAGTCATTCTCAAAACCATTCACGAAAATCGCCCAACTATTTCCTCGTCATCTATATCCCGACCAGAACTCTACATTCAAGCCATAGCCGGCGAACTCGACCAAGGCTCCGCAACGCTCCGCGAGGTTCTCTTATCGATCAAGAAAGCTTCATCAGACGTTCTGCGCTCTATACTTGATCGAATCATCTCCATACTCCCAAATCTTCCTTCTGATTCCTCATCGCAATCTTCCTCCCCTGCATCCCAAGATCCTTCCAACTCCCAACCATCCCCCTCCACCACCACTACCCCCACCAATCTCCGCACCACCCTGCACGCCATCCAGGCCGATCTCCTCGCCCTTCTTTCCTCCGACGATGCCGACACTCCCGGCCCTCTCCTCAGCGAGCACGATATCCATCACACTACACTACGCACCACCATCATCGCACAAAAAGTCTCCCTCAGCAAGCAGAAATCCAACCTATCCGCTCGCGACGCAGCATATTCGCGACTCCTCCACCGCGCACACGACGCCTTATCATCATACTTTTCCTCTACAATTTCCTCCATCCACCTGCGCCGCGACATTTTCGGTTCCGAAATCCTCATCCACGATCTCCGCCTTCCCCTACGCGATGTTGTCGCCCCCAAGACACGGTTCGCAATCGAGCGCGCCCTCGCCCGCCCGCACGACTATCTCGCCTGCTCGTGCTGCGTGGGCGCCGGCATGGGCGGCACAACCGGCAAGGAAGGCGCAGGCGGCGGAGCAGGTGCTTTGTCTGCCACCCAACCGCCCACGGCAATTCTCTATCAGTTGTATCTCGAGTCTGGCGCCCTGATCAATGTGAGTGATCTGTGGTCGGCTTTTTTCGCGATCATGGGGCCAGATACGGATGACAATGGCACCAATGGCGCTGCTGCTGACGATGGGACTGGCATCGATGGAGAAGGACTGGACGATGCTGCCGCTGCTGCACATGCCGAGAGAAGGACGCTGTAAGTCTTATCAATTTTTATTTTTATTTTATTTTATGTTATTATATTATATTTTTCGCATTTTGCGACAGCATCACGCTCATGGGACTACGTTCCGTTAACTGACACTTGCCGCTTTACAGAGCACTGTTCTATCGCTCACTCGCGGAACTCAAATGGATGGGTCTTGTCAAGCAGAGTCGTAAAAAGACGGATCATCTGGCAAAATTGCAATGGAGAGGGTTATAGACGGGATTTCATTCCCATTTTCGTATCCAAGCATTTTCTTTTTCATCACAAACACGTAGTGTAACAATACCAATTAGAGCAATCATTGTCATTCAGATCCCAATTGCATTTAAAAGAAACATCATATTATAAATAACATTTTGCAAAGTGTTGCTAGATTGTGATTGCTCATGTGCTCGCTAGTATTACAAAGAGATGCACTAGTGAAAGAGACTGTGCATAAGAATTGAAAAGGTGCAGTGGGGAGGATGACACAAGGGAGAAAGAGAAAGAAAAGAGGTATCATCGATATCAATATCATCAATTTCAAATTATGTACTTGCTGCTCATCATTAAAAGGGGCGCGAAAGAGAAGCAAAAGGGGGCGTGACTTCCATTTATGTGCCAAAACACCCCAAGCATGCATTAGTCCAAGAAGCAAATCCACCATTTTAAAAGGCCGGACGCGTGAACTTCAAAAAAAAAAAAAAAAAAAAAAAAAAAACCTGTGTTGAACTTAGAAAGTTGCAGAGTGAAAGCGGGAAAAGGGGGAAGAAGGAGAAGAAGACGAGGAGGAATAGAGACAAGAAGCAGGATTTCGTTACTCATCAATTTAGTTGACAGAAGAAAGGATGAGAGCGTACGGAGCCAGTGCGCTTGTGGGTGGAATTTATTTCACCAACTCACGCAGACGCTTCTCCAAAGTTTCTCTGCCGCTGAGTGTCTTCCAAACGGCGTGAGGCGCTTTGCTGACAATGTCCCAGGCAACTAGCTTGTCCGTAAGCGTGGTCAAATCATGCTGTTTCTTTTCCCACTCAGCGTTGCGTCGGACTTCAATGCCCGAGCTGACAACAACCAGCGGCGTGTCACGGCCTTGGATAGTCCGTGCAGAAGAGACCTCGCTCTTAGTGAGAGAATTGGCCACAAGACTCTCCTGAAGCTTCGCTTTGATAAACTTTCCGCCTTGGTAAGCACTGCCGCCGTAGACCCGGTCCTCACGGGTACGTCCTTTGAAAAGTGCACCGGCCAGCCTTGTAAAGCCCAAGGGGGAGATGATTCCACGTGCCCAGAGAACAAATCCACGTCCGGGAGCACCCACACGATAGAGCAGGTCTTCATGTAAAGGATCAATCAAGAGAATGCCAGTGACCTGCTGATAGTGGCGACTGGAGAAGATTCGGCTGTAAACACTACCGATTCCAGCAGAGACAAGGACCCAGGGGCCTTCTTCGCCCGCCTGGGCAAGCACCTCGGACAAAACGTCTGCGGTCATGCCAGCAGAGTGGGGCGACGGCGCATTGTCAGACCAACCAAACCCAGGGCGATCATAAAAGCAGTAGCGATCGATGGTGCCGTTCTTGTAGGCATTGGAGATGAAGGGAAGCAGATCGTATTCAACGGTGCCTTCGCCAGCTTCGACGAGCACTGTCGGGTTAGGCTCGCCATCGTCTGTGTAAGTCTGATTGCCGACGCAGGCGAGATGGATTTGATACTTGTCCGAGTCGACATAGTATCGGTCGCCTGCTGGTGCAAGAGAGGCGTCTCGGGAACGAAGGATAAGGGTCGCAGTGAGCAAGATTGCGACAATGATCAGAATAACGTTGATGACGGCCGAGGTGAAAACTGCACACCATTCACGCAGCGTGCGACGATTCTCAGCGCGTCCAGTAAGCCTCTCTTCCTCTTCCCGCTTACCCCAAGCAACGGCGCGGTCGGTGACGACTGTCCAAGCAGCAATTACAGTGGCCCAGACCACCGAGGCAATTCCAACCCAGCCTTCCTCGACCCGTATCCGACCAACGGCAAGGATAATTATCATATCAATGAGTAGGATTATTGCCAAGATCATGCAGCCGATCCTCAGAGCTCGCGAAGGATTTGCAAAGAATAATAGACCCATGAGCAGGTTACCGACAGTTAAGGTCGTGTAGGAGAAGTCGAAGAAACCAGAGCCACGGCTGTGCATTCCAGGTGGAGACACGAAAATGGAAACCAATAAAAGCACCCACCACAGGAAAGAAACGACAAGGAAGATGACAGAGAGATAGCGGAGAGCGCGAACAGTCCAGAGATTGTATGGCGAGACCTAGAGTCGCCCGTTAGCATCTATACCACTGATTTCCAATTTAGTATACTGAATTAAACCCACCGCCGGATCGTCTGGATCAAGATAACCATCGTGATGGGGAGGAGGATTTGGGTTTGAAGGTAGCAGACGCGTCCGCTCATCGGGCTCCTCCCTGGTTGTCCGACGGTGACCATTCTCAACGTCAGCCTCGCCCTCCTGAGGGGACGAGCTGCCACTGTGAGCCTCCTCGTCCCGGTTCTTTGATTTCCAAAGCGAGACCATGGTTGGTAATAGTGGGTGAGAGACGGGTTATTACTAGGAAACGGATATTTATTTCTCTAGTGTTGAGGTAGATGGGGGGCAAAATAAAAGAGAAGTCGAGGGTGAATAAATACAAGAACAACGGGACGACGAGAATTGGAAAAATGACCAAGTCAGGCAGGAATCCCGCCGAGCAAGATCGGAAAACTATCAACAATGAAAACTCGATAAGGGAAAGGCAAAGCGTAATAGAATTAGCAAATTCAAACAGTATGGAGCAATTGGAACTGGAAATCGACAAGTTCGATCGATTCGCGGATAATGTCGTCATCGTCGCAGCTACCCTTGTGGCTTTGACCTCTCGTCTGTGGCTGGTGCCGTCCCCAACTGTGGCTGAAACTTTCTCCCAACATGCAAGAACGATTCAAACGTTGAAAATAGATGGTTATATTCTTCTTTTCTGTTCATTGCACAATTCTCTATTTTCAGCAATTTGTATACGTGCAGACCCATTAATTTTATTCTGATCTGGCTACGTGTCATCCAGAACTCACCGACAATCAATTGTGCCCGCTATCGATTTCGAGACATTGCTGCCCCTCCCTCAGCCAGTGGAGAGGGCACATCGATATTCTCAACTGGCTTCAAGTGAATGCTGTCTGATCAAATACAAAGTTCTTTCAACGAGACTGAATTGCATTCATGAGTGACCTTCAGCGATCATTTGTCAAGGCCAAGCTCGCACGTCTCCCTCCGGAAGCGCCCATGTCTCCAGAGCCCTTAAGAGAAGGCCACGAGGACGGCGAATCACTTGACACGTTGGGAATACTACACCACGATCCTCACGACGACGATGCTTCATCGGCCTCATCGGCCTCTTCGACTGGTACTATCAAACCCTTAGCCAGCAGGAATCTTTTTGCACGACCTGGAGGGTATGTATATTTGCGTTTTATATTATATCCCGTTTAATCGCGCCGTCTGATTTAAATTTGAATTTAACAAAAGTATTGCCCCTTTTCTATATTTTGTCACAATGTCCATCTCTCTTTTGCTTTATCTCCTTTTCATTATTTTTATGTTTACATTTATTTGTCAATAATCGCTGGATTGTTTTACTGCTTCCTACCATGGGCAATGGCTCACGTTCTGTTTGACATTGTTCACACGAGTTGGGGAGTGTTCCAAAATTCTGTGAATCAGATACCATTACAAGAGCCAAAATTTCAACAATCCGGTGGGATGGCCGAGTTGGTTATGGCGCCAGGTTAAGGTCACCTTAACAGAGTTGCTTTCTTAGTAATTTCCTGGTTCGGGAAACTGAGCGTGGGTTCGAGTCCCACTCCCATCAACAATCTTTTTTGCATTTTTTTTTTGTCTCAATCGGAGAACATCATTTTTTGATTGTTTTTCGGTGAAATTTATGGCCTTATTTTAAATTGGATTTTTTTTTGTTGTTGTGTTACAAGATCGCAGCTCCACGCCGAAATCCTTTGTCCACTGCGATACTGACCAGATCAAGGGCTTCAAGCAAAAAGTCTCAGGACCAACTCCCTTGGAGCGACTTTTTCGAGCAAGAATTGTACCTCGAGGGCAGCTTTGATAAGGAAAATATCACCTATCATGTATATCTCACGCCTCCTGCAGCTTCTGGACCCCTCTTTGTTACCCATCATGGTGCTGGATCGTCCGGTTTGTCATTTGCTGTATTCGCATCGATAGTCCGCAAAATGTTACCCTCAGCTGGAATTTTATCCGTGGATGCACGAGGCCATGGTGAAACAGTGGTCCATACGAAAGTACCACGAGATCCTAGCCAGCCGCCAATTGATTACAGTTTGTCTACGCTGAGTAAGGATCTACTGCAAGTCTTGGAGCTATGCAAAGAAAAAATGGATTGGAAGGAGCAACCTTCCATGATCTTAGTGGGCCACAGTCTAGGAGGGGCGGTCGTCACCGATGTCGCCAAAACCGGAGAGTTGGGAGATAAACTACTGGGCTATGCTGTGCTTGACGTTGTTGAGGGTATGACCTAGGTAAAGGCTTTTTCATTGAACGGGGGCTAATATATCCAGGATCGGCAATGGATGCTCTTCAGAGTATGCAAACATATCTTTCTTCTCGGCCGCCAGCTTTCCCGTCAATAGCTTCCGGAATTGAGTGGCAGTACGTCATCTGGATTCCATTTGCGTTATATCATGTACTAAACAAATTTAGTACACGTTCTCGAACCATCCGCAATCCTACATCTGCACGTGTCTCTGTGCCATCGCTTCTTCGTCGAGATGCCGACCCTAATGCTCCTCGTCCTTGGATATGGCATACGGATCTTTCTGCTACACAGCCGTTTTGGGAGAATTGGTTCATCGGCCTGAGCAAGAAATTCCTCGAGGCCAAGGGCGGAAAACTTCTGTTACTGGCTGGTACTGACCGGCTCGACAAAGAACTTACGATTGGACAGATGCAAGGCAAGTATTCATTTTGTTGAATATCAATCGCGCTCTCGGCCACTTGCATCCCAAAAATACTGACATAGCCCAGGTAAATACCAACTTCAAGTCTTTCCTGAAGCAGGCCACTTTATTCAGGAAGATTTGCCAGAGCGGACAGCCGCTTTGGTGGTTGAGTTCTACAAGCGCAATGACCGCTCCACGCTTGTTTTGCCACCAAAGGTAGCCGATATTCTGAAAGCTAAACAGCAGCAGCAGCAGAAACAATAAGCATTATGGTGCCCTTATTAGTAAAGAGTATAATCTAGAAGTACCCCTGAAATTTCATTGCAAAACTCGTCGACTGTTAATAGTCGGAGATATCATTTCTTGCCCCAGCGGAGTTCTCTGGGTCTCCAAAATAGAAAGCTGCAGTTACAAGATGTATGAATCATGTTACTATAGAAAAAAATTCTACGCGCCTATTGTGGTAACTAAAACAAATGGATGAAAATAGACATTTGATTTGAAGACGTTGTATTTTGAGCTGAATATCTGTCGTGTAACTTTGGGCATGTCCACGCGAGAATGGGCGATCGACTGATCTGATCTGATGCGATAACTTTATCCGGTCTCACTACTCCAGTGAACCCTTCAGCTTCATGCCTCACAACACCATACCTTCTTTACAAAATAAATCTATCTCCCAGCAACGAGCTGGCCAAACGGCACATTCTCCACAGCCATGATCTAATCTATCATCAACACAGCAAAGCACATCAATATGTCCGTCGGATGCGGCGTAAGCTACGAGAAATGATCCAACCACATCGACAACCTCCCACAGCACACACTTCGATGGGCTACAACGCGATCTTGTCGACAATATCGACAGCAGAAAGCTGGAAATTTAAATCGCCAAAGTAAATCCGTTGCACGGCTGGTGTATACGAGCGGAAATGGACAACATGGACGGGGCGGGTGGACAGCTGTCATCGGACGCTCCTACAATAACAATGCCACACCGAGATACAGAGGAAGTCGAATCAATAACACCACGAAGTGAGGAGCGACAGCTGGAAATAAAATTACGGCAGAAAAAGCGCCTGGAATTTCTTGACGACCTGCTCCGCAATTTCGACATTGCAATATACTGCGAGCTTTCGATTGTGTATTACCTTGAGTAAGTGGACCCTACGTTGCCCACTGCCGCGCCATTCTCATATTCCAATCCTCGGAAGAAAGCCCTTCAACTTTGATTGACTACCTTTTTTTGGTACCATTAAAAACTACAACTAACGTTATATTCCAGCTGTTCATTCCTCCGCTTCTTTCTCCGCGCATTCACTCAATTCTTCTACCTTACGCCCAAACCAGCTATATTCCCAGAAGCGCCCAAGAACCGGCCCTATGTCGGCGCCATTCTCACGACAAATATACTGTGCATGGTATTACATATTCTGCTCACGCCTCCCGAGGCCGGCGAAGCCGCACGCGGCTACTTACACGGGGGACTTATCATCGATTTCATCGGACAGCTTGGTCCCTCGTCCAAGGTAGCACTTGTATTACTCGATTGTTTAATACTTCTTTTACAACTGTTCATGCTCTCAACTTTTGCCGAACAACAGCATTTCAAAGACTCCTCCTCGTCTTCTTCATCCTCGTCACCCTCCAGAATCACCACTACTTCGTCACCTACCCACCGACAGAGGACACGACTTCACCAAACTCTTGACGCCGAAGAACGCGGTCTATCAGCTTCCGATATCGAGATGCAAGCCTTAAGCGCACATTCATCCTCATCTTCTTCTCCTTCTTCCTCATCACCATCACCACCAGCAGCAGGCACGTCTTCTTCGCAAGCACAACACCACCCTGAAACATCGTCATCCTCAGCAGGCCGAACAGGCGGCGACCAAGACGGCGAGCGGGACGAATTATTAGCCGAGCCTTCTCCCGACGCAGGCACTTCTTCATCCTGGGACGCATACACTTCTGGCGAAGCGGTCATTGCAGATTTATATTTACTCGACACGATGCGCAATCCATGGCGGGCCTTTGAGGGCCAGGAACAAGGCGAAGCAGCTGTTTCTTCTTCGTCTGACTCGCCCTCTTCTTCCTTCCCGGCATTCAACGCAGGCGGTGTCCGAGGCTTGAGTTTCGCCGAGCGATTAGCCCGTGCAAGACAGCAGCGAACACGCTTGGGTATTCGAGTCCGGCTTGCGGGCAGGGATATAGCTACATTATAGCTTACACCTCTGTGTCGTGTACGTTTCTGCTTGATTGTTCTTTCTCCTTTGGCCACCCTGTTACCTTTTGGCTGCCTTTTTATCTCTTGACCGCCGTTTTATCCTTTAGTTACCTTTAGCTTTTGGCCATCTTATATTTTGGCCACTCATGCCTTGTATCCTTGATCAGCCCATTCTGATCATTTGAGAGACTTTGTATTTGTCTCTACAAGCAAAATCACGATTCACTCTATCTGAGCGTATTCCAGCGCCAATTTTCTCCCTCCCATTCTCTTCCCTACCGTGTCTACATTCACGCGTCCTACACCTTTTCAGTTCTCTCCCTCTCCCTCTCCTCTTCTCACCTTCCTACCCTACCTAGGTATATACATATAAAAGAATCCGACCACGAGTTTGAGGACAATCTTTCACATCTTGAAGAAAAGCATGTTCATGGTCATGCCCAACCGGAAATCGCTCAATGCTGAATGCCGAATTGAGTAAAATAAAACAAAATAACATTAATAAAATTTTTATCCTATCCTATTGCTATGCTTTTATCCTATCCTATCCTATCCTATTCTGCTGTGTGCGGCTATCCTATGTTATGTTATGTTATGCAATACCATGCTATGCTATGCAGACCCTTTGCTCCCAACGATAGACTATATCACCATATGTCTAAAAAAGAAGATATCTAATAGATGTATGAAAGATATGATAAATGTCAGAGGAGGTAAAAAAGATGTGTGATAAATGCCAAGGGAGAGAAAAAAAAAGACGTATGAAAAGATATGATAAATGTTAGGAAATAGAGAAGAAGAAAATATCCCAGGAAAAATAGAATTGACGCCCAATCCCGAAAGAGAAAAAGTAAAAGTCAAGAACCAGGATAAGAAAAAAGAGTCTTCTTTAACACTCTTAGCTTTTTCTGTCTTTCATCACAGTACAAACAATCAATCAAACTTCATCTGTCTCTAAAAAAAGACAAGATGCAATCATGCAAGAGGAGATGATAGTGAACCACGGGAAATGAGAAATGTATCCATGCCAAGTAAGACCAAGTCTGGAAAAGGGTGGCGAGAGAAAGACAATACGATGCGGCAGGACATGTCTATTCTCATTAGGTGATTTTGTCATCCCCGTTAAGCTTCGCAGCGGCACTGCCACCAAACAGCATTTTCTCGACCTCTTTCTCGCCCTGGGTCTCTGCCTCACGGACCTCCTTTTCTTCCGCACCGTAGCCGCTGACTCTGTCATCCAAGGCGAGCTTCGTCTCGCCGAGCGCATGAATCTGGACTTCAATCGTATCATTCGTGACGAGCCTGACGACGTCGACTTCACGTTTCTGGCCAACGCGATGGGCTCGGTTTTCCGCCTGGATGTCTTCCTGGGGATTAAACGAGGAATCGAAGATGATGACTTTGTTTGCACAAGCGAGGTTTATGCCCGAACCACCTGCTTTGGTGGAGAGCATGAAGACCGGGATATCGTCCGATTCGTAGAATTCATCAATCATGGTTTGGCGTTCTGAGATGGGGGTTGAGCCATCGAGACGGAAAAAGTCAAGACTGAGTGTGGCGAGGACTTGTTCGAGGATATCCAAAACGACAGTGAACTGCGAAAAGAGCAGAATGCGATTCTTGTCCCCGTTGGCATCGGGCTGGGAAGTGTAAGATTTGAGTAGTTGAGCGAGTTTTGCGACTTTGCCGGAATCCATCCATTCGTCCTTTTGGAGCGCATATTTGCCGAGCGTGGTTGGGTATTCTTCGCATAGACGATGGAGTTGAAAGTCTGCCATATACTGCATTTCTTCGTAGATGATATCCGGGTCACTGTCGACCAGCTTGTCTTCGCGGATACACTCGCGCGACATTTTGCGGATTTTGGAGTCTTCGTAGATTCGTCGGAAGAGGAGCGGGTGGATGGCTGCTTTGCGAAGCTGCATCATGATATTGTTGTTGGAGCTGTCTTGGTCGAGTTTCTCGCCCGCCGCCCGAGCGGCCATGACGGCGCGCACGCGGTCTTGTTCAGCAGAGTAGATGCTCGCTTGGGAAGGTAAAAGATCGCAGAATTCGACCCGGCAGGTTTTGCTAGGGAGATGCTTGAGGACTTGGTGCTTTTTGCGGCGAAGAACAAAGGGTGCCATCATGGACTTGGCACGGGCGATGCGTTGGGCCGAAAGAAGTGCGGCATGGCTTTGCGATTCATCCTTGGTTTTGGCCTTGTGTTTGAAAATGTATTTGAGATCTTCAGACCGGTCGTTGAAAACGAATGGTAGGATAAAGCCGAGAAGGGACGCGAGCTCTTCGAGATTATTTTGTAAAGGAGTTCCGGTCAAAAGGAGCCGGAATTGTGCTGGGATACGCATCAATTGGACATAACGGTTCGATTGGCTGTTCTTAAGCAAATGACCTTCGTCGTAGACGCAGACCTGGTGAAGGTTTTAGTTTGACCGGCCAAAATAAGAGAGCAGACATTGAAAAGTTATAGAACATACCACTGGCCGTTGATTTCGAAGAAACTTGCTATCGATCTTGTTGGTCGCCATGTCATAGGTGGTTACAATCACATTGATCTTGTCACGATTGCTCTCAATTCGGTCCCGGATTTCAATGCGTTCAGCCTGTGCACCTGAAACAATATTAGTTTTTCGGACATTTCAAAGGTGCATCTCATCAACTTTACCGTAGTATGGTTCCACAACAAGTTCTGGGCAAAACATTGCAAACTCCTTCAACCAGTTTTCGAGTGTAGACCCTGGAACAACAACCAGATGAGGTCCTGTGATGCCCTTCTCATACAAATGTGCAACGAAAGAGATGACCTGGCATGTTTTGCCCAACCCCATCTCATCGGCAAGAATACAACTCAGCTTCTTCTCATACAACAAGGCCAGCCAATTCAGACCAACAATCTGGTAATCTTTCATGACGATATTTGCGGGCATCACAGAAGGCTGTTGGATGAATTTGTTCTTCTTTCTTCCCACTCCAACAATCTTCACGTCGGCGTCATCGCCATCCAGTTCTCCAGAAGATGAGGCCCCGCTTGGAGTGCCGACACCAGAATCACGCACTGATTTTGAATCGTCCTTGGAACCATCCATGGACGTCATGCTGAGTTCCCCCTCCTTAGCTGCGCCAAAAACGTCAAAGCCCCATTTCGCCATCTCCTCAGCGACTGGCTTCCCCAGTGACTCGCACTTTGAGACGAGTTCGTCCACAGCTTCGTAGCCTGTCCACATTTCAAGACAAATGTCCACGACTTTGTCGCCAATGGTCTTTTTCGTTGTCCGGCGTTTACCAGTCTTGGTTGTCGTTGTCGTTTCGCTCGATATCTGCCGAACTTCGTCGAGATTGGAAAAGGGTCTTTGGGCCAATATTGTTCCAGCAACCTTTTCCGTTTGATTGGAAATGTCTGAGAGGTCCTTGACCGTACAGGTGTTGAAGAACTTGAGAACCTTGCCTTCAGTCACAGTATCCTCTTCTGAAAGTTCCGCAACCCCTGAATCCGAATCATCGTCAGAATAACTCGGCGAGCGAGGGCGACGCGATGATTGGGGCTTCGGATCCTCTTTCGCTGGCGATGAGGGCAGCGAAGGTTGCTTCCTACCCTGCACGAGCTTTCTTCTTGGTTTCGGCGGCGTTGTCGAAGCAGGCTTCTGTGGGGAATCCTGCTTGGCAAGGGCTTGTGTTGAAGACCATTTATCCTGAATCGATCGCAGAGGAGCCTTGACTTGTCTTCGTGCAGTGCTCTTTTTGGCAACAGGCGTTGTAGTGTCCTGGGAAAGCTCATCGTCCGAACCTGTCAAATCGACTGCTTGTTTGCGCTCTTCGAGAGCAACAATGGCATCCATGGCATCGTCGAAATTTCCCCTCTTCACGATTAAAGCGTTTCGACAGGCCGAAACCGATGCCGAGGGAAGAACATTGCGCATCTTCTGTATCTTCATGCGCATTCCATAATCAGCAATTGAATCCAGAGGGATATCGTCAATTGGCAGCGCTTTTGAAGGTCCATTTTGCCGCGCTTGCTTCGGTGGACGAGCATTTCCATATGAGTTGGCCATGACATCCGCAGAGCGCTTCGCCGGCGTTGCGAAGGTCGACGAAGTCCTTTCGTCCCGATTCCGAGCGTCGAACACAGACCCAGACAATGCAGAGCCGTGACCCTTTGCTGCCGGATCGTAAACGGAGCTGGACATTATTTCGCGGAATTTGTGCATGCCAGCCTGGGGGGATTCCTCAATCCTGTCAAGGTCGCTCCCGCTGACATTTCTGCCGCTGCGTCCAAAAGTCGATGGTTTGATGTCGGCACGCCTATCAGTATCCGCATCGTCCTCTGAAGACGAGCCACCTCGATATCTTGGGCCGTCGTCGTCGTCGCTCAAATGTATGACTTTTTGCTGTGGCGGAGCTCTTGCCACACCCATAGGCATGCGGAATGCCGTACCTGCAGGCGCCATTGAGCTTGCGAGAACGCCGCCCAAATGTGATGGTGGTCGCGGCGCAACCGGCGAGCTCGATGCTGGTGCGTGTACAGGAGAGGAGGCCACTACCTGAACGTCTGAAGGGTTTTTGTCGGCCGTTTTGTTGGCCGTATCCGGAATAGGACGGAGAGGCTGTGTTGGTTGGGTCACATACCCAGGAGACGGCGGTCGGTCTGGCGCTTGCGTCTTTTGTGATGTTTGTTCAGCGCCCAGGGGTACAGTGGCTACGGTATCGTATTCACCAAATAAATCATCGCCGCTGTCATCCTGGGAGTCGTAGACCTTACTGTCCTGTGTAGAAGCGTGCTGCATTATTCTTCTCTTAACTGCAGAAGTTCAATCCTGCAAACATATCCCGGCAGACAGTGTTTGAGACAAATTGTTTCAGATCATTCCAAAACATGTAGAGGGGATGTGAAAAGCAAACGGACTGTACGCGAGGCAAAATAATTGAAACAAGACTAAACGACTCAATCGCGAATGATGAAAGAAATGGAATAAAGTTGAGATTATTTCACCAACGGCGGCGATACGATAGGCGGTGGACAACGAACCGAGTTTCCCTTTTCGGCTAAATTCGCGTCTCCTTCCACTAAAACTAGACGCGTGCGAATTACGCGACGAGACGCGCTCTTCATTTACAGCCAAGATACAGTTATGAGCACCACCAACTTTTAGTTGAAAGCCACGCCTAATCCTACCTGGACTAAGCAGTAGGCTGAAGACCCTTTGCCGATGAACCTCAAGTTGATCAGCTCCACAACCCTTTTAGCGGAGAAATAGTGTGAGAAGCTTCAACGTCAAACTCATCAGCACAAAGAATCTCAACTCAATCTATCGCTGTCCATACCGAAGATTGCTGCTATCATTGACAACGCCAACATGTCCTCTCGTCGCATCGTCTCGAATGAGAAGACAGTACTTGACCAGGACTCCCACGAGAGAAATGGCGCAACCGATACGGGAAAATCGAACATTGCCCCTGCTGTGCCAGCGTACGTCATACCTCTCATAGTGCGATTCAATCAACAAGACTATACTGACAATTTCTCTAGATCTGTCATAATAAAGCTACTCGGCTTCACCCTTGCAATGATGATCGGACCGCTCGGCATCTACTATCTTTCATTGAACTCATTATTCAAAGGTATGTGTATGCGCGGGTTTGCCTTGATGCAAGCTCATTCAAAAGTCGCCCCGACGCACCTCTTTTTCGGTGTAAACCGACCGACCAAGCTATTGAGCTTTTACGGATATCCAGCCTCTGAACTTCGATGGGCAGGGGACCAAATCGGCTTTTTCGTCCGTAGTTGGCATGCACTTGGGGCGGAGGAACGGAGATTTCCTGATGTACTTTGGCCTGGACAATAGCTAATTAGATTGTTCCACAGGAAACTCGACATTTGCAGGAGCCACGGCAGCCATTACTGCGAACATTGTTCTGATTGCATACGTGGTAGTAGCATTCAAGGAGGACCAAAGTGAACGATTAGAAGCGAGTGAAGCTGAGAAGAAAAAGAAGTGAGATACATTAACAAAAGAAAAGCATATTTGTATTACTTCAATCCCATATATTATGTATTTTGCAGCAAAAAAGAGATTGGAACCTAATGCTTTGCTCAAGTTCTCTCCACATTACTAGACACCAATGAAGCAGGCTGGCAATTCCCCATTACAATAAGGTCCTTGATGTTTTCCCATACTCTCGCTGGCACAGCAATTTACCGGTATTGTACAAATTGTGGGTTTTGTGTGTGTATTGTAGAATAGGGCCTAGGAGGTTAATCCTAGGCTAGGGTATGGTGAGAAAAGGGCCCATGGAGAGGAAAAAACAAAAGGAATGAGACAACGCAGTCATCGAACAAATGAAATATTTGAAGGTGAAGAAGAGGAAGCAAAGGAAGAAGAAGTACCCCAGTTCGCGCCGTCCCGGATATATAACCGATGTCCCTGCCCTTGTCCTTGTCAAATTCCCTTGTTTTCAATCATGACATTAATGCTCCTTTTCTGATGTTGTCTCTCAACATTCGCGAGAAGAGGGGAATTTGAAAAATAACATGCCACGGTCGCACACATTATTTCTCCCTCAATAGAAGGGTGAAAAGCGTAGAGAAAAAGCCGACAAGAAACAGATCCGAATTTGAGTCATGTCCGACTCGTCCCATTTCAGAACCGCTAGCCATCATTAGAAACATCGTCGTCCGTCGTCAAGAAACAATGTGCTTTGAATCAAAGAGCAAAGCCTGCAGAAAGCCGAGAGAAGAAAAAAAATTGAAAGAAGAAAGTAGAAGAGAGACCAGCGAAAGGGAATAAAAGAATGTGTCCAGAGCTGTATAATATCCCGGCCTTTTCTCTGGCGAGCGCAAAAATTAGGCACATTCGCATGGGCTTTCAAGACTTTGCGATAATGCGTTGAAAAGGCTTAGCCTCGACTGAATCGCTTCTTTAGCCAACTCTTGGGACGGTCCTCCTTTGGTGACGATACTTTGGAGGAAGCTGCTTGCTTTCCAGTCGTGGTTATGGTTCCCGAAGAATTTGTTGATCCGCCCAACTTGATTACGGGACGAGGAGTCGTATTCTGACTTGTAGCTGGATCGGCTGGCAAATTTTTAGGAGGGCTTGCGGGAGGAGAGCCGGCATATGGGTATGAATTAAATCCAGAGTCTGAAATTGGAGGAGAACCGGCAAAGCCCCCAAATCCAAAGGCATCGCCCACGTCTGACTTGCTCGATGTTTGCATGCGGTCAATGGAGCTGTTTTCGCTGCTCGGATCAGTCGAATTGCCCCATGGCTCTGTCATCTGGCTGCTTCCCGAGGCACCAGTTGTAACGGTATCGTAAGATTGCTGATATCCATGAGTTGGGTACACGCCTTGGCCCGAGTTGTATTTTGCGAGCATGGGGTCGGAATTCATGCGTTGGCCATAGCGCGGCGATCGGCTAGGTCCCGCATACGGTGTGCCATACCCATCACCACCAAAACTGTCGGGACGTGAACCAGCTCGGTTGCCGTAGTAATACCCCGCGTCTTGCGAGTAGCGCCCACTGTTGTAGTTATTCAACCCTGCAAACCCATCAAAAGTTAGTTCAGGGTCCTTTTGCAGATTTACCCAGCCCATTGGGTAAATTAAAACGTTCGGCAACCACGAATCCCACAGAGGTCGAGTAGAGGGTGACAATAGAAAAGGAGGAAGTCTTATCCCACTGCGACCGTATTGGGCCTTTGTGCAAATATTGCACGGAGTTGGAGAGGGTGAAGTTTGGCTTATGGCTTACCTTGATGGGAGCTGTTACGTCGCGAATACATGCCATTCATTCCGTCCGAAGAATCTATCACCGAAAGATTTGTTAGCCAAGGCTCTCACGACGGGACTTTTTTTTTTTTTTAAAAAAGAACTGTGTCATACCAGCTCGAGGAACAGATTTACGCTGACTACCTTCAATGGCAGCTTCGAAAGATCGAATGGTGTCGAGCGGTCGCTCCCATCGACTACGTGTTGGGTTCGAGCGATCAGGCTCCGCTAACCATCCCCGAAACATTAGCCCACATGCTTTGTGTTTTCCTGGTTTTGTAAAAAGTAGCTCACCAATGACATTGCCATGCGAATCTCGCCAGGTCTGTCCGCGCAGAGATTCCAAACTATTTTCCTGTGTCTGGGCCAAGACAGCTAGGTTCACATGGTCAGTAAAGGAACGGATTCCAAGATGGATTGGGAGTTGGGCAATGCATCTCCGTCTGATACGCCCACTATGCTCTGCTCTCACTGCAGACTAAACAAAATATGAGTAAGAGGGACGTACCAGGTTCGGCCTCAGACATGGCCAGGGTAGGGTCGGCCTTGGTGTGCAGAACTGGAGTGGCCGTCTTTTTTTCCGGTGAGTGGACAGAACTTTGGGATTCATTGCTCTTGTGGCTCTTCTTGCTCCTGAAACTGACACCCGATTTTGATTCGGGGCGCTGTTGATGCGACATGATGCACGACTAGAGGTCGATCGAACGACCCAAAAAAACACAGGCTGTGGACGAGGAAAGTTGTTTGAGCGAACGATGCCGATGCCACGACCAGTCTGAATGCGTATGAAGATGCAGTGAATGAAGCAATCGCCAGTAAGGCCTAGGTGTTCCCCGGATTGAATATGAGAGATTTGCGAGGAAGGAGGAGCAGTGAAGAGAACGAGTGTTTGAAGAGGAGAGAAACGAACGATGCAGAGAAAGTAAAAAGAACACGCCGACAACGACAGGTAGGGAAAAAAGGAGAACCTGAAAAAGATTCAGATGCAGTGTCAATGCACAGCAGCTTGCTTCTACTTGAAGGAGCAAAATACGTTGAGAGCGCGAGCCGTGGTAGGGTTGCGTAACAAGCGACGGGCCCGGGGAAATCAGATCAGCGGCCAAGCTTACGCGGTCGAAGCGAACGCAGTGTTGTATATATACGTTGGTACTGATGGTGGGGGGGAAACAGTACAGCAGGAACGCACGGAGCAACTGAGGTAGTCGACAGGGTATTAACAAGAGAAAATGAGAAAGAGGTCCAATGCCCGTGAACCTCAAATGCAATCCAACAATGATTCAAATTATCCGTAGCGGAAACAATGCATGAAAAACGTGCAGATCATGAGGATTCGCAGTCAACAGAGGATGAAGGAGGAGGAAGGAACAGATTGGAGGAAAGTCAGAAAGTTGTTTTAGAGGGAGAGGGGATCGCAGGAAAGGGACATGGGTCAGTCAGGCATCGGATGGTGGGGGAACCGATTGGAATGGGCACAACTTGACGCCGTCCGCGAACGGAAGGCTCGACAAGCATCATCACCCATATAATACTTTTAATTATTAGGGTCAGCACTACCAACTTTCATGTTCCGCTCCGTACCTAGCATCTATTTCCATTCTTCAGAACTATTACATTTGCATCGACCCTGTTTCAGATTTGCCCTGTGATGGATGTAAGCTAGACAGAGTGCAGGGACATACAGTAGAGTACACACGGTACAGCACAGTGGGCATATCCAAGGTAACCATGTGTGGCTTGGCCTTGCAGTGTTCTTGGGCACCATTTTAACGTGTAACGAGGATTACGAGAGACGGGGACGAGAGGTACATGCGTACAATTCAAGTCAGAGGAGAGGTTACCAGAGTTTAGCAGCAGGCACGGCAGAGATAAAGATAGATAACTATCGAATCGGCCGGGCGAGAGCGACGGCGTGGTCGAGCCAGCGGGATAGAGCGACAAGAGATGGGTGTGGAGAAGAGAGGGAGAGGGACGAGAAGCGTGGGAAAAAGTGGGTTCGAGTGCAATTGTGTGGAGGAAGCAACGCATCATCCCACTTGTATCTGTCAGGCAATTCTCTGCTGACAGGTGACTTTGGACGCGTACAGGTACCTGGCATGTATCTCGATTGGGTTTAGACTTTCCGCCCTCTGACAAGGATCAGGGGCGAGAGACAGAAACAGACAGGAAAAGGGTCCTGGACAAAAGATCAGACAGGTACTGGTACTGCGTGATACTTGCACCCTCACCATCTTGTGAGCTCGAAAGGCTCTGCAGCAAGACCATGTGAAGAAAAGTCCAATACCAGTAATTCCGTTGCGTCCTTCTTTGCAAAAATCTCCGTGAAAGAGAGTCATTGGCTTGACGGTCGCTTCTATGTCAGGACCCTGCCGATCGACGACTATAGTTGATCGTCATCTTTTTGCCCAGCGCTATGCCAAGTGATCGTCTCGCTAGTTCAAGTTCCAGGCCGTCAAGCCGTTGATCAACATCTGCTTATTCCGAGTACCGCAGAGTACTAGGACTGTCCCATAACTCGGCCAGAAAATTTCCCCTTCTTTAGTTAAGTCGCTGGGGCGGTGCAAAAGGCCCAGACTGCTGCTCCCGTCGCTCTCTCCCTAAACGCGTAGAGGAAAAAGTTAACCAACGCTCTCTTCCCACTAGCTACGAACGGGCATTTTTATCAAGATCAACGCCGCCAGTACGATCATTAGTTTCTCGTAGTCGCACCAACCCCCTCCATTCCATCGGAACTTTCGATTCTTTTTTTAATGCAACTGCCCATCCACCGATCACTGTAAGAGTCCACTGCCGCACTGATACTGATTGCGACTGCAGGTGATGTTTATGCTGTTTCATCATGTCGATCCTCATAACCTGACGACTGCCAGTAGTCTAACCCCACCTCGTTGCTTAAAATGCATGTGCTTTCGATCGTCTCATAGACATAAAATTATTCCCCTTACCCCACTCCACTTAAACTCTTGTGTTTTCGCTTCCTCGGTACCCCAGATGCAATTTATTTCCTGTGCATTATTTTATGCAACTAGAATTGCATCCTAACTCGCCAAAAAAAAATGCCAGAGTACATCCAACTGATCAAGGGCGTCTGCATTCAGCGACGATATTAAGCGTCGCATATAAGGTGATTGACACTGAAACGATTCAACTCTGTACATGGACAACTACATCCCCAGGCTTGTCACCTTTAAGGTAGTTAAGATAGTTAGCTTGGAGCACGCAGTCTCTGTACTTACCGCATCGCCGTTTCCATCCCACAGCTATCGATTTCGCGACTACGGCATTCATACAGGCTCTGCAATTGCCGGCTGGCCTGCGCTCAACCATAATTTTTTCCCATCAACAGTTGCAAGGCGCTCCAAACTACCGCTTGCCACATCTACCTGATAGTCTACCAGAGTATTATTCCCGTATTCTTTCCCACGGTGATTTGGCGCGCCCTTCCCGTCCCACACCACTGGAGGTTGTGCTATTCATATACTGACCAAGCCACCTCGGCATCTTCGGCAATAAGTGTACCACAGCCTGCAACAGAGAAACGTGGGCAGATGCAAAGGCTTCGACTGAGCTACTTGCCTGTTTGTCCGCCCAATTGCATATTTCCCTCATCTGCTACCTTGCCCTCTTCAGTGGTGACCTGTAAACATTGCTTTCCTGTTTCCTTGCTTTGCCTGCCATTTTCTGCTTTTTCTGGGCAGGCAGTGAGTGATGTGGGGACACTACTACAGCGGTACTCCATAACACTATCACCCTCTGAACGAGAGGCAGGTTCCTCGTAGTCGTGCGGCGAGGTATTTGGCCCGTGCCGAGTATTTGCTACCTACCTTTGTACCTGGGTCTTATATTCTCTCCGCTCGAATATTGCACTAACACAGGGGGGCTCTGCTCATCTTTATATGGCGTGTTTCTAAACGGCAGCGAACAGAATAATGGCATGTGTAGTAAGTCACAGAATCACAGATTTAATGGATGAGACTAGTGTCAATTTAATGAGCCTCTCTGCGGGGTTCATCGAGACCGAAGCACTTGGAAGCCATGCGAGCGATAGAACCCCGCAATTCCCCGGCACAAATGAGGATAAACCTTGTTGCGAAATTAAACTCAAAGGTTTATACTTGTAGCGGGATCATTGGCAGACAGGAAGTGGAGACAATGTTCGCTGGAATCGAATGGTTTTCGATTTCGAAGCGGAGAAATGATATGATGTCCAGGGAGAGTAAACGTTATAAAAACGGATTTGGGGTTAGATGCCACGCAACATCACATAATCGAAACTTAAATCCTTGTTTCCCGGCGTTGGATTCACACAAGCTATTGCACATACACACGCATATCGAGCAGGTCTGTCATGGGGCGCAAATGGCGCACACGTCGGTCCACTGAAATGTTTATACAACCCAAATTGAACTCCGAATGTTTCTCAAAAGGTATTGTGCTTTGCTTTTTTGGTACAATCTATAGATGCTCGCAAAGTGAGAGCATCGGACAGCCTCACAGGGTCGGTCCCGATTGTGCCTGTTTCAACCACATCACAGCGCGGAGTCTGTCTCTGACCGTTTCCCCAATCAAGGATCGTCCAGCTTCCTTCGTAGCTAACCCGTACCAAATCCACACTCGCTCAATCCCTTTAGACGGAAGAGGGGTACAACATGACACGAACGGAAGCGCCGAAAGACCGGGGGGGAAGGTTGCGTCTGAACTGAGCGCGGACAACGCCGGAGTTGCCTAAATGATACCACCATATCAGAATCCGATATTCTAAGATATACCCTTCGGGAGGGATGTATCTTGCAAGAATCAAAACATACCGTGCGACCGGGTGATCTTGCCCCAGATGACGCGGATCTTAGAGCCGCGGATCTCCTTGTTGGTGCGGTAGACGAAAGCGACCTTCTTGCCCAGGTAGAACCTGCATTCTCTGTTAGTCCGTCGCAAAGATAACTGCCGGACGAGATTGTTTCATACTGAGCAGCCTTGGTGTCGTCAACACCGTCCAGCTTGAGCAAGCTGGTGTTGGGGTTGAGGTGGTGCTTGGACCGCTGGTAGCTCAGGTGGCGACCCCTGTTGCGCAAATATCCGTCAGTACCGGAGTCTCAAATATCCAATGAAGCGTTGTCGTGCGATTCTATGAGGAACGTGTTTTCGTTGTTCATTTGTCCACTCATCCATTCTCCGCCATATCTTTTGCCTGGTGTTTTGCATCGTGTGTATATTCCGGGTGTAGAAAATCAACTCACTTGACATAAACTGCATAAAAATTCCAGGAGTCAGCATGGCTTATTCTTCCAAAAAGTAGCGAATTTGTTGGTATGTTCATTGTAAATGGATTTCAAAATCGCAGGGGTTTTGATTCGACTGTCCATCGTTCTCGAATCGTTCTGAACAGATGTTGCGAAAAGGTTTGACTCACGGCGGTGACCGGCTTCCGTAGGCATCTTGAATATTTGATCCCTGACCTCAACTGTCGTAAACCGGAAGAGATGCGACCTGTCGGCTGGTGTGGTCGCTTTGTCGTTCGTTCGTCGTTCAACCTCTTGGTCGCTTTGCTATCACAATCGAATATCGGGTGTCCGTGGTCTCTTGGCTCGCTTAGCTCAACACTAAGGGTTGCGTCGCGGTTAGCCCTATGCGGAGGAACATCAAAACTTCCCATACCATGGAGTAACTAGTTGTTCGGCCAGTCTCCAATTGTGAAAATTCAGATTTACATTGAAGTACAAAATGAGCGAGTTCTTCATATGACTTTTCGAATTTGCAGTATCTTCGCATTCATGTCTTGTTGCGTGTATTGTCTCGGCCCATTCTTCGCTCGCAAGACAAAGTTTTCAAAATCATACAGCCAGGCCCCCAAAGTTCATTCATTACCTTTGGCCCATAAATTTCTGGACAATCAATGATTCAAATACTTTAACAGCCGGCACATTCGTCAATCCATCCGTAGATGCAAACTGCTTTGTCCTGGAATGTCAAAGTAAGGATATGGCCATTAACACGCTACATTGGTGGGCAGAAACTTGAAAACAAAACCAATCTTGATTTCAACCCCCAAAGACTTATACACGCTGTATTCTGGTAATACAAGCAGCGGAAGATCGAATTGGAGATGATCTCGATGCCGTGGTTATCAACAGATCACTCGTGTACAGTGGTAGTTGAGGCGTGAAAACGCTTGGCTCGGTAAAATCATCTGCCGATTACATGAGGTTGTCATCAAGGAGCGAAAACCTACGTGTAAGATCCCAGTGATTAACGCACTTCGCAGGGTTTGGTAGGTGAGGAAGCCGCCATTCTTGAGGGTATAACCAAGTCGTCTTCGGCTGACGACGATGAGTAATGAAAAGTATGCAATTATGATACCTGACAAAAATGACTTGCGAGCAACGTTTATGACTCCTGATGTCAACAATGCGTTCGAGCTTTAATGCGCACACATGCTTCATGTTCAATGGACACGCTTTTACCTTTGAACCCTGAGGGGAATGGCATATGGCCTCTTTATCCGAGGATGTCGTCCTTGTGTCTCGGAGATGGATCCGACGAACTACTCCAAAAGCCAAGGTACTACGCAGGTGCCAGGCCTGGTGCGTTGGTGCGAGGGTGGAAAGGCAGATAAACAGCTACGTTGGCCAGGAAGTATGGACTATGACATGCCCTCCAGGGCTACAAACTGTGCATCGTTTGGCAAACCCGTTTCCTCGCCAGGCTCGCTCAAGTATAACACTCCGGGTGGCCAGGCGCTCATAAATGGCGAATCAAGCCATTGCGTGACAGCAAATCAGCGGCCTTGATGGAGGCAAGCTTAGAGACGTGAGTGGATCCATGAGGGAGATTAAGCGTGAGTCGGCCCATGATGGAATAATGATAACACGGGCAACGGTCGCCGGTACCGGTGGCCCCTGTTGCAGTTACGATGCGGTTACTGTCGTCATGCATTTCATGTTTTATTCGATAACCGTAGATACTCAGCCATGAGCGAAGAGCTACTGTAGTTACCCCTCGCTAGCTCTTCGGCGATGACGTCGCCTCTCTATAGCACCGCAAAGGGACTCTGGCAGGGGAAAAATCCCAGCCATGACAGAAAACTAATGCAAAAGATACCCCAGTCAATCAGGTGATTATTACTACGAACGACCATTGACTTTCAATATTTCTTGGTATTTTATTCAATGCGGTGGATGCCATGCCATGGCAAAGCTCATTATACGACAAAAGGACGAGGCTGGGAAGAAGAGCATTTATGGATGCGTTCATGAAGTACTAGAGTACGTACTGGCTGTACTGTACCGTATTAGTGATCGGGCCTACCTACCGTAACCGAACAATTGGGTTGCCCCGCTGCACGACCGGGCACTGCCGTATGAAGTAATCAGCTTCTGCATCGACCTTCACAGACCCAGCGACGGTACCCGCCCGCCTACTTGTACCCACGAGTGCCGTCACCCAACGGATTAGCTGAGCCAAGTAGTGAAACTGCCCCACCACCACCTCTGCAAGATTGATCCGACTCCCACGGGCTCATCTTTGCAATCTTTCCCTTGTCTGCATCTTCATTCTTACTCCTCACGCTTTCTCGATACCCCTATCACGACCCTCACGACATCATGGCGGACACACTTGTTCACCAGGACGAGCCGTCCTCTGCTGGGTGAGTAGTAATTTCTTACCCCCTCAATTACTGCTCTCTCGACGTCACCAGAAAGGGACAATGGAAAAAAAGTATTACGGAAGTTAACAAACCGTGTCTTTTAGCAACTTTGAGTTGAAGGAGAACACCACCATCATCGTTCTCGGAGCTTCGGGTGATTTGGCGAAGAAGAAGACGGTTCGTAAAATACAAATCTTTCGTTTTGTCTCGAATGACAGCTAACCGTCTATTCTTATAGTTCCCCGCTTTGTTCGGTCTGGTATGCTAAATCAATGCCTATCAATGCTTCGTGCAATCAATTGACTTATTCTCTGCAGCACCGGAATAACTTCCTCCCCAAGGGAGTGAAGATTGTCGGATATGCGCGGACAAAGATGGACCCCGACGAGTTCCTGAAGCGGGCCGTTTCTTACATCAAGACTCCTGTCAAGGAGATGGAGGAACAGCTTCAGGACTTCCGCAAGATCCTTTCCTACCAGTCTGGTCAGTATGATCAGGCCGACTCCTTTGTTCAGCTCAACAAGCACCTTGAGGAGGTGGAGGGCGGTCGTGAGGAGCGGAACCGTGTCTTCTACATGGCCCTCCCCCCCAGCGTTTTCATCAGTGTCTCGGAGCAGCTCAAGAAGCACTGCTATCCTAAGAAGGGAATTGCTCGTATCATCGTCGAGAAGCCCTTCGGCAAGGACCTTGCTAGCTCGCGCGACTTGACAAAGGCTCTTGAGCCCAACTGGCGAGAGGATGAGATCTTCCGTATTGATCACTACCTCGGCAAGGAGATGGTCAAGAACCTTCTCATCCTTCGATTTGGTAACGAGTTCTTTGGTGCTACCTGGAACCGCCGACACATCGACAACGTGCAGGTACGTTTTTCAGAGAGAATCCAGTACCAGGCGAATCCCTCCAAGCTAATAAAACCAATAGATTTCGTTCAAAGAGCCTTTCGGTACCGAAGGCCGTGGTGGCTACTTCGACGAGTTTGGCATCATCCGTGACGTTATGCAGAACCGTGAGTGCCAGATGTCGCCATTGTTGTGTTCCGGACACTAATAAACTATCAAACAGACTTGCTTCAGGTCCTGACTCTGCTCGCTATGGAGAGACCGATCTCGTTTTCTGCTGAGGACATTCGTGACGAAAAGGTAGGCAATCCCATCTGATATTCTTCCTCGGCATGATTCATTAACATACGCAGGTCCGTGTTCTGCGAGGCATCCCCCCGATCGAGCCCAAGAACGTCATCATCGGCCAGTACGGGCGCTCGCTGGATGGCGACAAGCCTGGCTACAAGGAGGACGACACTGTCCCGAAGGAGTCCCGCTGCCCCACTTTCTGCGCCCTGGTGGCCTATATTAAAAACGAGCGGTGGGACGGTGTTCCTTTCATCCTCAAGGCTGGCAAGGGTATGTGCTTCCCATGTCGATTGCTCAATTTGCGAAATGCTAACTAGCCAAATAGCTTTGAACGAACAAAAGACTGAGATCCGTATCCAATTCAAGGATGTTACTTCTGGTATCTTCAAGGACATTCCCCGCAACGAGCTCGTCATCCGAGTCCAGCCCAACGAGAGTGTCTACATCAAGATGAACTCCAAGCTGCCCGGTCTCAGCATGCAGACAGTCGTGACGGAACTTGATTTGACTTACCGCCGCCGCTTCTCGGACCTGAAGATCCCCGAGGCCTACGAGTCGCTCATCCTTGACGCCTTGAAGGGTGATCACTCCAACTTCGTCCGTGACGACGAGCTCGACGCTAGCTGGAGAATCTTCACTCCTCTCCTCCACTATCTTGACGACAACCATGAGATTATCCCTATGGAATACCCCTATGGTAAGTTTCTCCACTCGCTATGGCATTATTTGGTTTTTGCCAAATGCTAATCAAAACCCAGGCTCCCGTGGCCCCGCTGTGCTTGACGACTTCACCTCGTCGTACGGCTATAAGTTCAGCGACGCCGCTGGCTACCAGTGGCCTGTTACTGACACGACCCCCAACAAGCTATGAGCGGAAGATAATAATAAATTTGGGGAAGCCGTTGACAGTTGCTTGAGACAATGAAAAGCGGCGGCACCACGGTCCATTGGTGGCCTGGAGCTCGCGGGTCGAACGTGTCCAGGAGTATGGTCTAGGGACTTGTGGGAGTAGAAATTCTTCTTTTTAGCGTATTATGATCCTACCATGTAACGAAGCGACTGTTACGTGGTGTCGCATGTATGTTTCTTTTTCCATATGTAGAAGACGAAAAGAGATATGAACTTTATTTTGTAAATCACAGCGTATCTCGCATCACATCTGGCCATGAGCAAAATTTCGTGTCGTGATGTCTTACGGAAGTAGTTTGAGGAGCAAATAATGGTAGAAGGCATGAGAAGCTCCCTTGAACAGAGCTTTGAGCCGATCACACACACGTGGACTGACCCTTGACGATCTGCATTTGCCTAAAAAAAATTAACCCTGAGGCGGAGGAAGACGGGCCTGAACTGATGGAAAGATTTGGTACTCGTAGGGTAGAATGAGGACACGCTGGGCACCCCTGAGAATCCGGGGGAAATCGGCTTAGCGCTCAGCGCTCCCTTGTTCAACCGTCATACAGCACTACTTTATTGCGCTTGCGTGTCCGTTCACTAACCCCAACTAATGGTCTCTCATCCCTTGTTTATATCATTGCTCTACATTTCACACGATCCTCCCTTCACTCGAACATCATCCTCGCGCATGTCCTCGTCAATTCCCTTCATGCCTTGACGCGAGATCCTTGTCGGTACGACGTCGGACGGAATTTGTGGTAGCTTTATGCTTGCTAGGGAACCCCGCGGAATCTCGAACTAATTCAATGCCTCTCGCCTGCCTATACATATAGACCCTCTTTACACCATTTCGTGTCGAGTCGACTTCTTCCTGTGAAAACAGAACCACAGGCCAATTGTGTAATATTTGTTGGAGAAGCTCGGCTTCTCGGGATTGAATAACAGCCGGAGAAATGCCTTCAACGGCGTCATGGTCAGGGACGCCGTCCATTAAGGGCTCCTCGGAGTCAATGCGCATGGCTCTTTTGACCTTTAGCCTTGTTGGTATTCAGTAAGTTCGAATCATGTGTTAGCTTCTGTTACTCAAGCTCACAGTGCACTTAGATTTACGTGGGGTATCGAAATGACTTGTACGTTCGCTCTACAATTACACTGAGCCAGTTTGAAGGTGGCATTAACAGATGGAACAGATTGCACGCCTTACCTGTTACAACTTGGCCTTACAAAAAGTCGCACGTCACTTGTGTGGGTGGCTGGGCCACTGTCGGGCTTAATAATGCAACCTGTGGTGGGCGTGCTGGCAGACAATTCCAAGTCAAGATGGGGCCGAAGACGGCCATACATGGTCGTCGGCGCGTTAATTGTGGCCGTGACATTGTTAGTATTGGGCTGGACATCAGAAGTTGTTGGACTATTTATTTCTGATCCGGAATTGGTACGCTCCAACTACGACAAATGCAATGAAGAGGTGTGTTTTGCTGAGTGTGGAGCAGCGGAGACCGATGACGATTGCGCTTGCTGTGCTTAGCATCTACGTAGTGGATTTTGCGATCAATGCTGGTGAGCGCGGTAAAACATACTGGTTCTGGGAGACCTTTTACTGACTCTGCGTCAAAGTCCAAGCGTCATGCCGAAGTCTCATTGTTGACACTCTCCCAATTTCGAAGCAACAAATGGGTTCTGCTTGGGGTATTTGCTCCAGACCCCGTCATGAGAGCGATATTCAGCTGACATCAGGAAGCAAGTAGAATGATCGGAATAGGTCATCTCCTGGGCTATGTTGCGGGCACTATCGATCTCATGGGAATTTTTGGGACAAGCCTAGGAGACAATCAGTTTAAGCAATTGACCGTCATTTCCTCCTTGGGTCTCCTCATTGCCGTTGGCATCACATGCTACAGCGTCCAGGAGCGAGTATTGATTTCTGGCCGGTACGAGCAAAAACAGAATGATTTCAGTAACACAGTATTTGGGACTGACACGAGGGAAATAGAGATACCGAAGACAGAGCCAGCGCTGTCAAGCTTTTTAGCCAAATTCTGCGAGCCACGCTTCATCTTCCTGCGCGAATTCAGGCTATCTGTTGGATCCAATTTTGGTCGTGGATTGGTCAGTTCTGATACCTTTGTCGATACAGCCTAATTAAACTAACATCATACTGGGCGATTGTAGGCTGGTTCCCCTTTCTCTTCTACAGCACGACGTGGGTTGGAGAAATCTATTTTCGGTACAATATGCCCGAGGGCGTCAAAGGGTCCTCAGATGTGCTGGGCGACGTGGGCCGCATCGGCAGTCTCTCCCTCGTTGTTTTCTCCGTCATCTCACTGGCCAGCTCAATTGTGCTGCCTTGGATAGTCAAGTCTCCTGATAATGAACGACCATCGTTTACACCTCGTCCGCCTGCGAGTATTGCCCCGATTGTCACTACAGCAAGTCGATTCAAGCCGGATCTCCTTGACACATGGACCTTTTCGCACCTTCTTTTCGCGGGCTCAATGATCCTGGCACCATTCGTTACTTCACTAGGTTTCGCGACGGTTCTGGTCTCCATCTGCGGAATGTATGTCCTCTCATATCCGTCTTTCCTTTTCCCCAAGTCAAATCGCTCATTTTGCAACCATCCCCAAACCAATGAATAAAACTCTAACCACGCCATTTTCGTTTTAGTCCATGGGCACTCTCCTGTTGGGCTCCATTCACATTCATGGGCATCGAAATCAACCGGCTCAGCGTCCCCGCATCTAGCTCCAACGGCAACGTCTCATATAATCGCCTCTCAACGGAATCCTCTGTCGAAATGTCCGAGGACCCCGCCACAACTCTCCGCCTCAATCATCATCCCGATGACGAAAAGGACGAAGGACCCGCGTCCAGTTCCACTGGCGAACTGGCAGGAGTGTATCTTGGCATCCTCAACCTTTTTACTACTCTGCCTCAATTCATCGGCACTTTTATCTCCACCGTTGCTTTTGCCCTGCTCGAACCCGGTAAAAGCCCGGAGCTCGCTCATGAAGCGCACCCCGATGAACATCATTCTACCGATGGCCCTAACGCCATCGGCGTTTGTCTCTTTATCGGCGCCGTGTCGGCCGTTGGAGCAGCGTATGCTACGAAGCGACTAGGCCACATTCAATAGAAAAAAATTTTTTTATTGTTTTCCTTTTTTTTTGGTGGTGGTGGGTTGGTTTGTTTTTTGATTTCCCGTTCCATTGTCTGGGCAGAACACATCTGCATTGTTTTAGAGTCTATTCTACGCATAGAATTTCTCTCTCTCCCTTTTCTTTTTTCCTTTCCTTCTCCTTTCAATTGGAGGTTTGACCCTGGCAGTGTCTATGTTTGCATCACTATCATCATCAAATTCATCATTATCGCTTCTGCATTCTGCATTATGGTTATCGGTGCAATGGTTTTGGTCATTTACTTTTTTTGTATTGTTATACTTACTCCTCCCCTTTTGCCTGTCTATCGGTTTGTTACGCGACTATACCATGTTTCACGTACACGTCCAACATCCAACATCTTATAACTTACATGCAATATCAGAAAATCAGATTCCATAAACTACAATCATTATTATCATTTATTTATTGTCCACTTCTCGTCATGTCGGCATAGCATTTGTGACCTTGTATGTATTATATTTTTATTTCTATACCCCAGTTTTTGGTAAGAGGCGGAGGGAAAATGAGACAGGAAAAAGTAAGGAGAAGAGAAGAGAGTGGAAAGGAAAAGAAGAAAAGTTACAATTCATCTCTTTTCCGCTCTTCGTACTTTTTCGCTTCGACATTTTCTTCCCACATGCGCTTCTTTGGGTTCGGCGCTGGCGCCGCCGGAGGTTGTTGCTGGTCGTTCTCATTCGAAGATGACGAGTCTTTGGTGTCCTGCGGGTGGTCCTTTGAGTCTTTATCTGAACCCTCGCCAGCGCCCGCAGCAGCAGCAGCAGCAGCAGCATCACCGCCAGGCGTACCGTGCACGCCCAAGCCAATAGTACCGCTGGGCACGCTTCTTATACTGCTACTGCTACTGCTACTGTCTACCATGTTTCCAATCTGGGCAGAAACAGGATACGCGCCGTTTGCACCGGGAGGGTTGTGATATCCCGCGGGCATACCATGATGGTGGCCGCCGCCGCCTCGTCCGACGGGGATATATGGGACGTAATTATCGCGTTGTTGGTCGGGATGGAATTTGGGGAAATTGCCAGAGGCACTGGGCTGGACGATTAGAGTAGATGGAGTGCTGGATGACCGTGAAGCAGCAGCAGCGGATGTGGCTGCGGACCCGGCAGCGCCGATTCCTACGGCGGTCAAGAGACTGACACTTGCGCGGTAGAGGAGTTTAATGGGTAGCCAGAGGAACCACCAAAGGGGTCCGTATAGGAGGCGGCGGAAGATGAGCCAGACAATGGTGCCCACGAGGACGTAGAATGCTGTCTCGAGGTACCATGTGTCTGACTTTTGGGAGCGGACGAGCGTGGACAAAAGATTCTTGGAGCTGGCGAGCATGGTATCGAGGGTGTTGTAGGATTCGGAGAGACTGGAGAGTGCATTGGTGGATTGTTCTTTGGAAAGGTAAGGTAACGTTAGTTTCGTGTGTTATCTGAGCTTGAGTTTGAGTTTGGGGTGTATGTGATTTGGAGAGTGACACAGGGTTTAATTGAAAGGGGACATACCTAATGTATCATGAGCGAATTGTGATCTTGAGAGTTCCGTCTCCATTAATTGATGCGTTCGACGCAGCGCGGCGGTCACGTCGCTCGAGGCATTGACCATGAGTTCGTCTGGAGATAGTTTGTCCTGCCCACGTCGTCGGCCGAGACCAGGTGATGCGGTTCCCTCGCGGACACCGGCAAAGAGTAACTCGCGCTCTTTACGTCGAGCAGTTTCGGCATTGCGCTTAGCTTGGAGTTGAGCTTTGCGGAACTGTGTTCTGGCACTGTATTTCAACAATCAATCAGCTTCTGCCAATTACAGACCCCCCCCAAGAGAACTGAGACATATAGATGGATTGCAGCGTACAATTTCAAGTCCTCTTCTAATCGTATAACATGCGCATCGAGCCGTGCTCGTTCACTGGCGGCTGCATTGCTCCCGGTCCGAGCACGACTATCCCGTCGCCGACCTGCAAGCCCTGCGATTCCGGCGCTGGTAGCAGACACAGGTGTCCCGGACCCGCTCGAGTTGATCTCTTCCACTTCTTGCTTTAGCAGTTCCAGCTCTTCTTCTTGCTCTTTCAAGCTCTGGTGGATTTCGCTGCTGAGTTCCACACGTGCGTCTGCGGGACCATCTTCGCTAACGGGGGACGCGGGGAGAGCGCCAGGGACACTTGGAAGCTTCGATAGACGTGTGATGAGTTGCACGGTAAATTTGTGGGCGTCAGAAAGGTTGTTCAGGCGAGTAGTGAGGGATTGTGTTGCTGGCGTCATTGTGGTGAGGTGGTGCTTGTCGTGATTATATTTTGGTCATTATTCGTATTTTATAATTAGCTCGTCGCTGGAAACTCGGGGACAGGTGAGATATGTCAATAAGAATAATTGATTATGTGTGAAAATGGATTTTGTTATTCGTAAATTCTGAGCAGCCATGTCCAAGTTGAATTGTCGAACGACACCCATGACCTCAGGGTCCTTGAGTCCGGCGGGTTTGAGCCAACCTGCCCAGGCGCGGAACATGCCGTCTCCAACTCCGAACTTCTTCGATTCTTTCCCTTGAGCCTTTGCGATTACGTCCAACAACGAACCCTCGCAGGCACCGCGACACATTTTGTATTCAGGTATGCTTGAGCATTTCTTTTCAAATTAAGTTTTTCAATCACAGTATACGGTTTTCGGAAGTGGTGCGGCCGTATCAATTGACGTCCCCCTGAAAAGCTTCCAGCGACTCTGTACGTTCATAGTCTAATCAGCCAACTTACAGGTCAAACAATTGCTCTGTTTGCAGAATATATCGTCCTAAAAGAATTCTTCGATTGAGAAATTTCGAAAATTAAAAACCTTTTGTATTCTGCGGACCGGCCTGAATAACACCGACACGGGGTTTAATTCAAAATGATTACGCGCTTCATCACCGACGTTTCCACCAAATTCAACCCCTTTGCGCCGCGGTCCAAGACCTGCCGTATCTTTCTATCTCTTCTCCCTCCTAATGCACGACAGACAATGAAGATCAACACCGTGCTGCTACCGCGGGAGAGCCGGGACCGCAGCGCCTTGAGTCTCAAGTTTAGTACGTTTTCCCTTGTCAGATATGCGCGAAGGTCATGGATTTTGTGGCCCGATTTACCGTTAACTGGTGCTAACATAAAGTAGAGGATGGCAAGGCCATGGAGCTCGACACGGAAAAGCTTGGCATCAAGGGAATTGTCGAGGAAGTTGACAGACATTCTCGTATGCTTGACCGCCAGGAGGAGCTGAACGGATAGAAGGCCAAAAGTCGGTTGCATTGAATCAATTTGAAGCGAAAAGACATTTTTGTTGCATGGAGCTGTTCATCCTGGCAGCAATGGATGGATACGCTCGGATAGACATGCTGTTTACCGGTCCGTGGTTATACCAGGGTCAGGTTTTTGTAACAACTAGAGTCACATGGGCGGCGTTATGAGGAGCGAATACGTATATGTCTTGGTGTCTGTTATGGCTGGTCACAATGACCAGAACACCGTTCTTCTATTTAATATATCTAGCAATTACCATCACGAATGATGGATCAATTGGTATTGTTTACGCTGCGCAATTCTGCCGCAAATCATATTTTCTTTTTTGTTCATATCTTTTTAAAATACTACCCCGAGCTCAGAATGGAGCTGCTTAGACGGCAGCGCCAGAGATGAAGAACCACTTGTCAATGGAGGGGTCAATGGGAGCGGGAGAGAGGTTCTCGCCCTTGGGGATGTGAGGGAGCTGAGAGGGCTCAACCTTGTGGGCGGAGTGAGGGACAGTGGTGTTGAGACTAGAGAGAATTAGCAAGAGCAGAAAAGGGTACTGGTATTTGGGAGATGAAAACGTACAGAGAGTTGTCGCCGGGGGAGGTCTTGCCAGCGATGAGACGCTCCCAAGCCTCGGCGCACTCACGGACAATGTCCATGGCGTACTTCTTGTTCTTGCACTCGCCAGAGAAGGCAAACTGGTTCTCAGGCTTGCCGTCGGGGATTTTGTAGATACGGAACCACTCGTTGGTGGCACGGAGAAGACCGGGCAGGTGACGCTCAACGTCTTCAACGTCGTTCAGCTTAGGAGCAAGGGGGTCGTTAACGTCAATGACGATAATCTTCCAGTCGGTCTCCTCCTCGTCAAGGAGGGCCATGACACCGAGGACCTTGACCTGCTTGATCTCGCCAACCTTGCCGACGAGCTCACCAATCTCGCAGACATCGAGAGGGTCGTTGTCACCCTTGGCCTTGGTCTCAGGGTGGACAACGTTGGGGTCTTCCCAGGTCTATTGACAGAGTAACAGTGAGCGATTTGTGCCATGGAGGTGGAGGCCGCAAAAAGGCGCGGAAATTTCCATCTTGCTAGGTCGCAATAACTCACCTGGGGGAAGGCACCATAGTTCCAGAGGTAACCCTTGTGGGGGAAGCAGTTCCGGACGAACCGGAGCTTGCCCTTCTTCACATCCTGCTTGATGGGGTTGAGGGGCTCCTCCTTGGAGATCTGTAGAATGGCAGTGGTTGTCAGTCTCGATTCATCCATGATGGCGGGGTAACGGGGATCATCGAAAAAAAAAAAACAGGAAAGCTTACCTCGAGCTTGCCATTGGTCCAGCGAGGGATCTCGACAATCATGTTAAGGATGGTCTGCTGCTCGTTGGCATACAGAGGAATGTCGTGCCACGGGGACCTGGGAACGCCATCCTTCTCAACGTAGACGCGGTGCTCAAGCGTGTTAGGCTGAGCAATCTTGCGGGCGCTGTAGGCAGAAGCGGCCTTGGAGCTGTAGCCCTTGCCGGAGACGGGAAGAGAAGCCATTGTGATTGATGATGGAGGAGATGAAGAGAGACGAGGGATAGAAGAAGAAGTTAAAGGAGATGAAGGTGAAAGATGTCCCTGAAGTAATGCCGTGCGGGACTTGAATTTAGTGGAGGCGGCGGTGGTAATGGTGGTGGTGGTGGGGGGGCCTGCGGTCTTAGCGTTGGGAGCCACTTTGGAGACTGGTGCAAACGATGCAAACACGTGATGTGTGAGAGAGAACGAGCGAGGGAGAGAAGAGACGGAGAGCAGGGGCGGTCGAGAGGAGCAACGAAGAGCAGACGGTCCGGATCTACCGACGACCAAGCAATTCGTTCTTGCAAAAGCCTGCATTCAAATGAATATCCTTTCTGGACTGCACCTTTGCACCTGTGCCCAATCGGGTTGGATCAGGGACAGGCGTGATAGAGACAAGGACAACCAAAGAGGGAAGGATAGTCACCGAATGGGATGATGGGAGAAGGGGAATGGGCTGGGTATAACTGGAATGGCGTCAAATGGACTGGCCCAAACAGGCGACGTGAGGAGGGGTAGCAGAGGGGTAATAGGGAATTAGAAAAGGGGATAACTAGCAACAGTCAATTGAATCCAATGGTCTGCTCTCTGCCGTTTCAGGATCAACAATGCAGTAGGAGTAAAAAGGAAGAAGGGTCTGGGCTATCACTCAATCAATCAAACTTTGAGACTACGAGCAGAGCTACATTAGACTCCCTATGAAAAGATACCAACCACAGAGGTATACGGACAGTAGTTCAACTTACACGATGATTGTGACTAATATGGAAATCAATAATATTGGAAATTTCTGATTCGCTCACAAAGTTTTCTTTCGGCAAAATTTAATCGCAACAAATTAAGCTTCAATTGCCTCTTGGCCCTTGTCCCTACAGAGTTAAATCCATATTATCCCAGCTTGCATAATTTGCACAATTACGGAATCCGGCTAAACCTCGGCCGGAGATTCCCTGTCCTCTCCGCCATTAATTTTCCCAAAACCACCAGAACCACAACCGTCATTAGAACAACCATTTCTCTCCAAATAAGCAATGAGAGCCTCATGTTACGCTCTCTCTTCTCTACGATCATGACGTCCGCTCCAAAGCGTGTCCCTATTCCCAAGAATGGCGTCGATTATCGCGGCAAGGTCGTGCTGGCCCCGATGGTGCGCAGCGGCGAGTTGCCATCACGGCTCATGGCCCTCAAATACGGTGCGGACCTAGTCTGGGGTATGCTTGACTCTCTCTCCTCGGCATTGCTCCACAATATCTATCCATGCTAACAATCCTCTCATGTTGTAGGCCCTGAAACTGTCGACCGAGCCATGATCGGCACCACTCGACGCATCAATCCCTTCACCTCGACGATCGAATACACCCGCATCCCATCCAACATTGCAAACAACCCCTCCCTGAGCGAGCCCGAGCGCACCTCTCTGGCCAATGTAATCTTCCGCATCGACCCAGCGCGGGAGTACAAACGACTCATATTCCAAATGGGCACCGCATCACCTGCCCGGGCCGTCGAAGCCGGCCACATCATCGGCGCCGACGTGGCCGGAATCGACGTCAACGCAGGCTGTCCGAAACCATTTAGCACATCGGGCGGGATGGGCGCGGCGCTACTGCGGACCCCCGACCTGCTCTGCTCCATTCTCGAATCCCTCGTGCGCGAAGTCGGAAGCAAATACGAGATCGGCATCAGTGTCAAGATCCGAATTCTCGAGACGCCCGAACTCACGGCGTCTCTTGTGCGGCGACTCTGCCAGACCGGCATCACGGGACTCACCGTCCATTGTCGCACAACTCCCATGCGGCCCCGCGAACGCGCCATTCGAGACCAGCTTTGCATGGTTGGGACGATATGCCGTGACCACGGCGTGGCATGTCTGGCCAACGGCGACGTTGAAGGGCGTGACCACGCACTAGAACTGGCTAAAGAATTCGACGTTGACGGCGCAATGATTGCTACAGCCGCAGAACGCAACCCAAGCATCTTCCGCGCTGACGTCGACGGCGGACCCGCACCCTGGACTACCGTCGTGCCGGAATACGTCCAGTGCGCTCTCGAAGTACACAACCGCTGGAACAACACAAAGTATCTCCTCAGCAACATGATCCCCGGCAAAGACGCAGCGTACAAGAAAATGTCCGCGTCCAAATGCTACTCCGACCTCGTGCAGGTGCTCGGATTGGAGAATCTCAAAGAACTCGCCGCCGAGGTAGACGAACGCTTAGGCATCTCCAACAAAGCCAATATCAACAAAGGCACCGCTGCCGCCGCCGCACCCTCGGGTGCTCCCGCAGTAGAAAAGGCTAAAAAGGCCAATCCTTCTGCCAAGGCCGCAGGTGGTGAACCAATTCTTCCTCACAAAGACGCACCTAAGCAAGAAGCACGCGAGGCCAAGCCGCCTGCTGCTACTACTGCTGCCACGGCTCTGGATCCCACTCTCAGTATCAACACCGAGCAATTGCAACCTCCAGCGCAAAGTTTCCTGGACACGAACAATGCTCCTACTCCTGCACCAATGCGACAGTCTGTTTCCGCCTAGTCTTTTCCATATCCACTCATCCACGCCTAGTCTCTTCACCATCCATTTCATCGGCGTTTCATTCTACCAACCTTTCCATCATACCAATAAGCATCATCCAGGCGCGCAGGTTATATCTGGAGTTTCGGATCTACATGCGGATTTCCATAATTCAGGTTCCAAGGTCCAGGAGAGAGAAATAAAAGACTGGGAGTTAGACCTCTTCGCTCCTCTTTACTTCACTTCACTTCTTTCGCTGCTCATGGCCTTTCCTTTTCCTTTTCCTTTTCCTTTTCCTTTTCCTTTTCCTTTTCCTTTTCCTTTTTCTTTTTTCTTTTCATATCACTACCAAGACATACCTGCTTTTATATACCACATTTCATGGTGCCACATGCAAACATCCAATAGAATGAAAAGTATATTCATTTCTTTTAAATTCCTATCCTTGATCCTGAAACGCCGGTCCGTGCAGATGAGCATGATAAATCCATGAGAAATACATAGGAAACGTATGATAATGTGACATTCTTTAAAAAAAAAAAAAAAGAGGGGGGGGGGTACAGTATGGAGACGTATCAAAACCCATTTGAACTCCATTCTTTTTGGCGCCCATAAAAGTCCACGGGGAAAAGTTTGAGAGAGAGAAAAGAAAGAGAAGAAGAGGGAGAGGGAGAATAAAGGAAGGAAAGAGGAGGGGGTGGGAATCACGACTCGGCCAAAATGACCGAAATGCGCAGTGCGAGGTCCAACACTACAAGATGTTCATCCGCACCATCGACCAGGCGCTTGTCGACTTCTGAAAAGACCATGACAATCTTATTCTTTTGCCGGTCGGGAATGGTGTCGTTGAAGACGACTTCCTGGTAGAGCTTTTGTAACAACGTTAGTATAAGTAAGAAACCAAGCTACATTGATTGAATGAATGAATGAATGGGGGGGGAAGAGAGAAGGAAAGAAAACAAAGCTGCATTGGTTGATTGAGCAGGGACGAACGAGAGAAGAAAAAGAGTCAAGTCACGATATGCAAAAAGCGGCGGAAAGACGGAATAATAAGGGGCAGCAGCAATGAGAGGGATAAGAGGGATAAAAGGGACAACTAGGAGAGTAATAAAGAGAAAACAAAGACGAATATGACCGGAATACCCACCTGAGACACGACCTGCGTGGCACTCCATCCATCGGCCACCATATCCGTAACTACCCTATCAACCGCAGCATACACGCTGCCCTTTTGGCTCGGCTGCATAGCGTCGACAAGGCTCTCGATTGTCCGGGTTGGGATAACACCCGCAATCTCTTCAATATTTCTCACCGTGACTGGACCTCCTGCCGCAGGTCCATCCACATCCATCGCACTGCCGTCCACACCATCTGCTTCCCCATTGCTTGCGGCGGAGGCGGCACCAGCGGGTTTCACAGCGCCCACTAGACGCGCCGCGCTCTGCAAAAAAGTAATTGCTTTTCTCAAATCGCCTTCACTGCATTTAATCAACGTATCCGCCACGCCGTCTTCGAGCTTGACGCTCTCGAGGGCGGCAATCTCTTCTAGTCTCTTCTTCGCGTTTCCCTGATCGAGGCTCTTGAAGCGGAACTTGCTACACCGACTGGCGAGCGGATCGATGATGCGCGTGACGTAGTTGCAGATTAAACAGAATCGGGTAATCTTGCTGTACGTTTCCATTGTTCGTCGGAGCGCGCTCTGGGCGTCTTGCGTCATTGAGTCTGCTTCGTCGAGGATGATAATCTTGTACGGCGGACATGGGTATTTCTGCTTGTACGAGGGCTGGGGGTTCGAGAGCTGCATGCGTGCAAAATCCTTGACTTTTTCTCGGACAATAGAAATGCCGCGCTCGTCGGAAGCGTTGAGTTCGAGGACTCGCGATTTCATGAGTTCGGGGCCGTATAGTTCCTTGGCAAGTGCCAGGACAGTCGAAGTCTTGCCTGTACCGGGCGGGCCATAGAAGAGCATGTGTGGTAGCTATATTCCCCATTTGTCTTTGGTCAATTTTTACTTCTCTTTTACAAAGATGAGAAGGGAGGGTGAGAGCGTTTCGCGTACGTTTGAGGATTGCAGTGTGCGTTGGAGAACAGTAATGGTATGGTCCTGAGCTGCTACGTCGCTGAGACTTTTGGGTCGGCTGGTGATTGTCAATTAGTATGGCAGTTGAAGTTGTACTTGAAGAGGGTTCTCTATAAAAGCGTACTATTTCTCGACCCAGGGTTGCAGTCTAGTGGTCTCCTTTGAGGGCTGCGTCTTTGAGGAAGAGCTTGAAGCTGCAGCCGCAGCCGCAGCCGCGCGGGCTCTATTGTCGAAAAAGCTGTTCATTATCGTGGGCAGTGTTCCACAATATTTAGCCAGATATGGAGCTGCTCACGGAACGCAGAAAAGGCAAAGGTCTTCAAGGTCGATAAGAATTGAAGCGCGAAATGCGTAGTGACGCTGGCGGGGAGACGCGTCGGGACCGCGACTTTCGCAGCGACTCGTAGATTGATCCCAATTGGGTAGTGGGTTTCGTCGGCAGTATATCCGGCATATTTTCAATATGACGCATAAACTCCTTGAGCTCAACCAAAGCACAACAATTAAAGTTTCAGACTCTTTTTCCTGGAAGTAATTCAGAAGTATTAAAATTATCTGTAAATTATTTATTTTTTATTCAGATAAGTTATTTTGACAACAAAATACTTTACGAATTTCGACTAGATTCGGAATTCTTTCACACATTAATGAATAAAAACAAGATATTTCAACACCATAAAGATCGGAAGTGCACACTTTTACCATACGCGTATTCCTTGGTTAGCACCAGGTTCCCTCAGGATAATCAATGACTAGGCACGAATTATAGCAAGTAATGAGTGGTGAGAGACGAGTTGGGAGCGCTTCAGTTGACTAGTGGGAATCTCTGAATACAAAAATTGCAAAAAGATCTCAAGCAAAGCGATAAGACACAGACGTCACACCAATCGCCCAAAGCTCTCCAATAAGGGGATATTAGAGCATTAGTCGAATTAGTTGTAAAAAAACGATAACAATCCACGATAATCATCGGACAACGTAATGAAAGCGAATCTCAAAGAGCAGGGAGAAATGGCAGCGCAGAGCGTATCGATAAAGACCTAAACTTCTGAAAACTTCTTGCTGCAAGCCGAGGAAATTGGAGCACAGACAAAAAGTCCTGCTTGCCTGAATGCGCCTTTGATGATAATCTTTGGAGCTCAGGTGCTTGAGCCGCCCTCTGTGTGGTGTTTTTTCCCGAAAAGCTTATACTTAAGCTTATCGGCCAGACCATCATGGGTCGGGGCGTTGCTCGGTCGGTGGATATTGCCCTCACCACCTCGCTGAAATGAAAGCCGGGTTAGCACGGAAATATGGTATGACAAATGCCCGCGGGCATGCTTTCCCCAATAGTAGGAGTAGAGGGGCCACAATAACGTACACCGACGTGATAACTTTCATCCCCTTCAGAGGTTCGGATGGCCGTTTCCGGGATAGCTTCAATGTCATTCCTGTGCGTCGCTTTGATCCCGGGCGAGCCGATGTTGCCTTCACCGCCGCGCTGGATAAAGAAATGTTAGCATCCAAGGATTTTAAAGACGACGCATTCCAATTCTTGAAGCGATTGGGTTGCACGTACGCCAGTAGAGAAAGCGCCATCGCTGGATTGACCAGTAGGACCCTCGCGGACGATTTCACCATCGGCGTAACTGAGAAACGAAAATGTTAGTAGATTCCAATATTTTAGAGTTGACGTTGCGATTTCATATGCGACCGCCACGCGCTGGTGGTTCAATCCTGATGGAAGCCAAGCCCCGTGACAACCGCACACACAGAAATATCTGCGATTCGTGAACTTTATAGAAAAAAGCTCTTAAGGAACACTTCTCCGGGTTGCGGGTAGACACCGATACCCCGCGCGGGTCAGGCTGCGCTCAGGACACTCTTGGAGTTGCCTGATCACCGTGCAAAGCTCGATTTCAAAGATTCCTAGCACAGCTCCCAGCGGAGGCATGATGATATTGGAGTGATGCAAAGGCTTTAAGCGCTGGTGTCATGGCAGAGGGGGGAGGCTTCGAGCTTGAGAGAAGACCAGCGCAAGCTTGGCGACGAGAGCGTAAATAATCCGATAAGGAGAGTGGGAGAGTTGGCAGATAATTAAAGAGTTCAAAATCCGACTTACGGCGTAGGGTCTTCGCCAATATTTCCCTGACCTAAATCAATTCATTAGCTTTCAATTCCACAGGCGCTTAGTTGCAGCGTCTCAGAGGTTCACTTGAGGTGCTCGATTGGGGATTGATAAGGGACAAATGATGAACGTACCGCCACGGCCATGCGACACAATGGGATCCGGCATGATGTATGAAGTAATTGTTGTGCTTTGAGCTAAGACTGTATATCTTGGTACAGAGGAAGAGTGTTAATTTGGGATAAAAGATGGAGAAGTAAAAATTGAGGAGATTTATGAGAAACCAGGTCGTGGAGGAAGCTTGCGAAGTAGAGCTTGGCTTGTTGACGGTCGCGCCAGTTGGGGCAACGGAGCCATGGTAGCGATGACGCCACTTTAGAACTAATCTATTCACGTCCGCGGAGTTGCTCTTATTCACCTACGATTCGGCTTGGATCTCATTTGTAAATTGCAAAGTAATAAGACGATAATGTATGATGAGATTATAATGAAGAATCAAGGGGCCCACAAATGTTATAGTCTCCATGGGATCATCCCTTGGACCCTTGTTTCGCAATTGCGTCTCATTCCGGGGATCTCACCGTTTAAAGCTGCGTCACTCGTACTCTTAACCAATCAGGCGTTGGTGCTTCGGATTCCGCTATGGTGATCTTCCCTCCACGAGAACTGCACGAGATAAGTGGAAATCACATTGTTTGCATATTCTTCAGCAACACAACATGATAGGCAGATATACAGTGTACTTTTCACCACACATCACATCGGCCATGGTATCCGATGAACCGCTGGAAAGGGCAAGGTTGGTCCTTTACTGGACCCTTCAAGGGCTATTCGACTGCATTGCATATCAATTCACTCTTTGTACAGCATTGTTTGCCGGTGTGCTAACGATCAAATACACGAGTGACTCAAAAGACGACAAAAGCCAAGACACCATACTGACTCTCTTGTATCTATCAGTCCGTCTCGCCGTCCCGCATCAATGATCTCATGAATTTGGAGCAGTGACGAGCCCACTACTTCTTCTCCGCAGGAGGAGCAGTTCCTCCCGTGGTAGGGAATCCCATGTAGATCTAGCATTGCAGAATTAGTATGTACCACCAAGTACAGAACATAATCGGAACTCACCTTGAAATAATCGTAAATCATCCATTGGAGACCTATTAGGTGGCACACAATCAGTATCTCTGTCGACGACTAACGATTACGGCATATCTTTCAACACGAAACTTACCAGTAAGGGTACCAATCATGACGATTCTGACCGGGAGACCGTTCCAAAGTCCAGCAAAGCCAATGTCGGCGTAGATGCGGCTAATAACAGCACCGAAAGCCTCGCCGGGTTGACGAACGGCATTAAGCTTGCTGACCATCACGTCGGCGGGGTGGGAGACAACGGCGCAGAGAATGCCAGCAAGATAACCGCCGGTAAAAGAGACACCTGCCTGCGCAGGCTTGCTGTAGTCGTCCTTTGTGCCAGGGAGGTAGTCGTAGATCATTGCCACAATGGTTTCAAACGAAGCAAACTTCATCATAGTGTAGGGAATCTGACGACCCCAGAGAGGATAAAGACCCTTGTAAAGCCTGATCATAATGTCAGCGTCTCCACGAAAGCCAAATGCTCGACTTCAGCTACGTACCCGCCAAAACCTTCCTTTCCAGTAATCTGACTTAGGCCATTGACAGTTCCGCTGGCAAACGGTGGAATGGTAGTCTGCATCCGGACTTTGACAGCCTCAAAGGGACAAAGAGCAACATCAGCGATAAACTCTGCCGAAGCACTGGCAGCAAGATAGATCCAAGTATTGTAACGATGAGCATAGTCGGGGCCAGCGAGATCGGAGTAGGTCTTCTTGAAGTATTCATAGCCTCCATATTTAAACGCTCCTTGGGCCTGAAGCACAATGTTAGCTCTCTTGAGACTTTGAAGAGAGTGGAGGAAGCGCTTACAGAGTAACCCCAAAAGGTAGGGCCCCAACCAGTATAGATGCCGCGGACACCTTCAGCCCGGGCGATTTTGCCCCAAGCCTCGAAGTTTCCTTTATACAACTTGGAGTCGACCTGACGGCGACATTTGACAAGATCCAACGGAGTGACGGCTGTGTGGGTGAGACCCTAACAAGTTTCCAGTCAGCAATTTTCTTACACGAGCAATGTAATTTTTTAGAAAAAGAGAAAAAACAAAAAAAAATTGAAAGACTTACACAAGCCAGCAGACCACCAGTGATACAGGCGAGGTAGTACTTGGTTGAATACATCTCAAGCTTGCCCGCCTTGGATTGGGCCTTCTGGCTCGCAATTTCAAGTTCTCTAGCGGCCTCCTTGCTCAACTGGCCAGCCTTTGATTTGACATCGTCCACGGCACTCCAGGCGGAGTAGAGATCCTGCCTAGCCTGGTATTTACTTGGCTTTTCAGGAGCAGGCTGGGCCATTGACAAGCCAAAGCCGGCCCGAGCCGCAAAGGTGTTGTCCAGCGTTGATTGAGATGGGAACATCATCGTGCTCGAATGGACATCTACCAAAAGCTGCATTAGATCTCAGCGTGCTTATCAGGATTGCATATGATTGAGAGGCCTCACCTGCCAGAGTCACAGCTTTATTTGCACAGATGTGTCTTGTTAAAAAAATATTGCAGAGGAGCGAAAACAGGTTCAGAAGATCTAACGTATGAATCTTGGTCGAGACGAGATAGAGCTCTCGGGCTGCGACCTTGAATTAACACAAGATATCACTCTTGGAGTCATGCACGAAGGTCAATGAAGACGTGAGCTCGGCTACGGGGGGGATGATTTGGGCGAGTGATAAAAAGGGGGGGGTGGGGGGGAATCTCTGGAGAGAGGGAGAGAGTCATTGGAGCTGTGCCGCAGTATGACATCTGGGGAGTGAAGTGGGTGAAGCAGAGGGATATGTATACCGTAAGCCACATTTGATGTACGGTTGGATACAGCCAATGAGTGGAGGTTATGGCGTATCCGCAGGTACTCGGAGATCGACAACCCGTACCCGAGACTAAACCCCGGACTCGCCAGGTTGCCACAGCCTTATTAGTTCGCTTGTCACCCACGAAGCTTCGGAATCAACGGATCCCGCTTTCCTCCGTGACGTAGTTGTAAGAACCCGTAATCGCTTCGGGGAATATCAACAAGGAGGCGGCAGAGAGAGCGAATCAAGGAATGAATGAACGAATGAACGAAACAAATATGTTATATTTTTGACATCAAGTCAACACCGATTTGAAACATAACATAAAATAAAATAAAATAATCCAGACCTCCCGTTATAAGAAACTGTCAAGAGTTGAATAGCCAAAAGAGCCAACTACCAACCACCCCATCGCCGTCTACTTGCATAACTATATGCTTCCTCTGAATAATCCATCCACGAACTATTTGTCTGCGGCGTGTTCCGACGTCTAAAGCCGGAAAATTTGACGCAACTTTTCACAAAAGAAATGTCTATTTGGCCGTGAAACGTCGCGCAAGTATCGTCCGTAAAGTCCAAATATCCAACGTTATCATTATCGTAGTCGAGCTGTATTTCACCCTCGCCGGTCTCTCTGCCTCTCCACTGGAGATATAGCCTTCGAGTGTTGGATGTCGTCTTGGCCTTCTTGGAAACCGCTGTAGCTGCCGTCTGTGCTTTGCGTTTGCCAGCAACCGGCTCGTCATCATAGCCTCCATTTTTACCATATTCTTCTTCTTCACGAACTTGCATCAGTTGCTCCTCCGTAAAGGCAAAAAGCATTGTACCCTCCAGGACGCCAAAATCCATATCCCCTTGGAAACATCCCTCCTTTTGGTGAGGGACAATAGACAGGTTCATGTCCTCGACATCCCACTGCTCTGTAATATCATCACATTCGATTGAATAATAACCTCGAACGGCACGTTTCCAATTATCCTTATCTTTTCCATTGGACAGCGGCTCGATGGGAATAAAGCCACTCTCTACGTTATCTTCGTTTTCTTCGACCTTCACTCGGGGTGCAGGCATAGAAAAGGGCTGAGACCTTCTCCCAGTTTGACGCTTTGGCTGAGAATCATCCTTCGAGGCTGCCTTGCTCTTTGAGTCTGCGTCAGTTTTATGACTTGTACTTTTTTTCGGTGCCTCAGCCTTCGTTTTCGATGCTTGAGGCGTCTGTTTTTGCCGTGACTTTTTCTCGTTATCGGCCTTAGGCTGGGAATTCGCCTGTGAGGCAGCCTTGGAAGCTTCGTCCCAGACAGCATTTCGATCCCAACCAATTGCTAGCACGCGGTGGGGGTCATTTCCTGCACTGTTTGTCTCAAGCCCTGGAACCCTTTCCGCAGCCGCAAGAATAGCAGCTCGCTCGTTGCTATTCAGACCTACGAGAACAATTGGTTTGCGAGACTTGGAGCGATTAGGTTTCCCTGAGATGCCAAGGTAATATTCAGAGATGAACAAGTTTGGATCTTGCTGGGCCGTTGACTTGGGGTTGCGCTGGCCAGCGGGTCCACCGCCCTGAGCTGTGTTCTTGCGATTGAACAAGTTGCGCAATTCAGCTTCCAGAGAAAGCATTGATGCCGGAACAGACGTGCACTAGATCGGCGATCAACATTTCCAAATATCACTAAGCAGAGCAGCAGTACTCACCAATCCTTGCTTCAAACTGTTTTGCAACTGCTCTTTAAGTTCGCCAACGGTGGCACTCGAGCGGGCTGGAAGTCCATAATGTTTCAGTTGCGCTATAAGCCATGATTTCTTTATCTTGTGATTTGCCTCCTCTGCGGCTTCCTTTACAGCTTGCTTCCCGCGCGCCGTTTCGGGAAAGAGAAGCACCTTCAATTTCTTCGGTTCCTCGCGATAATGGCCCTGGCAAACGAAGCCCCCGCTTCCGTACTCAAACACGTCGCCGGCGCCACCTTTGACGGGTTCCGAAGACGACTCTCCACGAACTGACATGGCATATGCAAGATTCTTTTCAGAGGCTGACACAATCCTAAAACACGGGAAATTTCGACGCGACAGGAAAATCAGAGGTTGAATTTCGCATTGGAAATTGGACGCGTTTAACTGTGTCCGTCAACAGAGTTCCTTACTCGGTCTCTTCCGAGGCTCGCTTCGGAATGGATCAACATTTCGCCGGAGGGTCCTAGAGAAACAGGCGATCATGACTTTGCAGTGAGGAGGGGAAGAGAAGAAGGTGATCGTGAACTTTCAACTTCTTCCCTCTCCATTAGATACTCTTTCAATTACTGCAACAATGGCCGCTGCTGGTACTGCTACTGCAACTGCGCCACCTGACATCGCCTCGCAGAATCAAGTGAAGTCACCATGGGCCAATAGATACCGTGGGGTACGTCGAAGGAAGTTGTATGAATCTTGCCCCTGCTAACGATACCTCATTTGCATTTCAGGCCACCGTTGAGGATCTCGATCCCCCTACCGCCCTCTCATGCAAACCAACCGACTCCATCTCTCATGCTCTAATGAGTGCCTACGAGCGTGACTATACCCACCTCACCGTCGTCTCCAAAGATACGCGTGCGCTGCTCGGATATCTCAGCATTCCCCGATTAAGGGAATTGTTGCAGGCCGGCTCCGTTCACGAGGACGATCCTGTGGAAAAGGCGATGATGCGATTCCGGCGCAAAGGGAAAACATATCATGTCATCACCATGGACACTCCGTTGGAGGAACTCGAGGACTTTTTCAATGGTGGCGGCGTGCATGAAAGTGGACCCCAAGACTTCGCTGTGGTTACAGATGAAAGCCGCAAGTTCGTTCTCGGTGTGGCCACAAGATCGGATCTCGAAGAGTTTGTCAAGAGGCGACCTGCTTGAGGCAAGCGATTTTGACCACGGGGGTTTGATCAAGGCGGATTTGTACCCTAAGTCCGGCCATGGACCGAGGAGGAGCCCACGCTCTGGAGCCGCAGCTGTCCCATCATGGACCATGTTCATTTCAAAGCGGCACTGGAATAGAGCATGGGTATAGAATTGCTCTCTTTGGAAAGCGCATCTCTTTCTAAACCTGTCGTGGAAGAGGACGCGCCGAGGAACAAAAAGGAAAAATTTCCTCAACACAAGGATATTAGGATATGTCAAATGGGAGTTTCGGGTAACAGATATTTTTGGATATTGATGAAGTAAATAAACTGGTACAAATGGACTTGGCTTGTGACAATGTTCTGTTGGGAGACCCTCAAGTAAATTTATGTTTGGCCTGAGAATTAATATATGCTCGATGCGTAGCTGGAACGTAACTTGTAGAGGGAAAGGATACAGTTAAAGAATACCTGCGCACGGGCCCAAACTGGGTTGCCAGGACCAAGGATCGAGGGTGCGGGAAGCAGAGGCGAAAGACCGCGAACCGGAGTCCTGCAGCTTCTCCGCGTCAATCGTTTCTTACCTGCCCTGAAAATTGAGGATCACCTCCCCTTCTGCAAATTCGATGACACAAAGTACCTCGAGCACCACTGAGCGAACTCTCCGATTGATTTTGTACGACCAGAAGCTTGCAAGCTGAGGAGCATCCACCTGGATTTCTAACTTCTAACCGCCGATCAAGGTAGTGGCTGCGACTGTTCACAACTCCGGTAAATCGACTTGTGCGATAGCTCCTGGGAATATTCACGAATCTCTAGTGGCGTCTGGATTTATTTTCACGTCGTGTCACGTGGAGTCGCATTTGCAGGTGTGAATATTTGTGAATTACGAGATTACGCGCTCTTTCTGTGGTAGTAAACAACCTTCGCTCTCCGAACCTATCAACCCCGCCTCAACAATAGTCATGAGCCCTGTGTCGAAACGAAAACGCAATGAGGTTGGCAGAGAAGATATCTCGACTCCTGCAGCACAACTAGCCAAGGAGAGCCAACGTCCTCCAAGTCCGCCCTCGACTGGCGCGGAATGTCCGTTTACGATCGAGTACCCAACTTCCGCACAATCTCGAAAGGCGAAGAGGCGAAAGGGAGTAGGTGGAAGTGCGGATGATGAAGACCTTGTGGCGCCGAAACTTGAGCATGTGGAAGATTTGAAGGGATTGGACATAACATATACAATCAGACCTCGAACGCTATGGGAAGATACGAAGAAGTATCGCAACTTTGTTGGTCAGTCCAGAACAATGCCTGCAGAGCACAGTCACCCCGAAAAGTGTTGTTGCTAACAGATTCAATCACAGTCGGAGATGAAACATTTCGTATTAACGATTTCATCTACATCAACCACTCCAATATCGCCCACGGAGCGACCTTGAAGAACACTGACGAAAGACAGTTCTGGGTGGCGCGTGTGCTTGAAGTTCGTGCCAAAGACCAACAACACGTGTATCTTCGTGTCTTCTGGGCTTATTGGCCAGATGAACTCCCAGGCGGCGCCCAGGAATACCATGGAAAACACGAACTTGTGGTTAGCAATCACATGGAGATTATCGACGCTATGACAGTGGCGGGGAAAGCTCCCGTGGTGCACTGGAAGGAAAGTGACGAAAAGGAGGACTTGGAGGGTCTTTACTGGAGACAAACATTCAATGTCTCGACAAACAGATTATCTGTAAGGTCGTAATTGCTCTGTTGAAAGACTGTATTCTGACAGGCTTCTCTAGCATGTGCGAAAGCATTGCATATGTCACCAGCCATACAATCCGGATCACACCTTGATAGGTTGCACAAACGCACTATGCAAGATTTGGCTTCACGACGAGTGCGTCATACGGGACGCGTTGCAGAAAACGTATAATCGAAAGAAGGATGACGGTTTAGATAGCCAGGAGAAGGAGCCAGAAATAGAAAAGCCCACAACCAACGGAAAGGGCAGACGGAAACAAAGGGGGAAAACAAAAAAAGATCCACAATCCAAGGATCCATGGGACGGTTTGTTCTCGGCTGAGATTGAGCTGAAACGGCTTAAAGAGGAAGACGCGAATAGCGAAGCAGAAACCGATGGGGATGGCGACAGCGAGGAACAGCCTGCTTGGATTGTCATTACCGATCATCGAGACAAGGACAAAGAACCGAGCGTTTGGAAAGAGTCGATTATTTGCCTGGCTTGCAAGAATGCCATCAAATAAAATTACATACGTCTACGGTCTTGCTCCCTTTACAACCAGCCATCGACATATCTGGAGCTGAAAGGGCTACAAGACCATACTTATCTTTCTATTGTTAATATTTTGAACAGACTTTTTGTTCCTGGACAATGAGCCGCGCGCAGCTCACTTGTCTGCCGGATCGCAGGCCGCTTTGAATTTGGCAGCTTTGGATGGCACATGATATTAAAGCGTTGGCGGTGGGCCACAGCACACCGGATTCGTCTTTCAGAAAACCAACAAGCAGACTGACACATGTGCATCTGCGCATTTTGAACTATTTTATTTTCCGTTTACATTTTTTTGAGTATTTCGACTTGTTTGTTCAGCGATATAACGAGGTTATGGCGTTTGGTCAGCGGATATATCCGAATTACAAATGGCATACACTGGCTTTTTTCCGTTCTGCTATATTTCAACTAGCCATTTTCTTTCAATTATCATACTCATGTATGCATCTCTCTTTGATCTTTGCCACAATCCTATGCATTCTTCACTACCTGTAAGGTTGGCAATCTTACTTTATTATAGCAAAGTATTGCACAGGCTACAGCCAGCGTGCCAATTATAATGCCGACACTTTCTCTACAACGATTATAACAAATGTGGTTCTCCAAGATAATCACTCTATCGTATAGTACCATTCGTCATCAAGGCTCGACGTGGTTTCCTGAAATGCTACGCCACACTGTGCTAATTGCGTCTATTCTACCGTCCTGCATGCTTCTGTCAAATATGTACTCCAGCAGTTGCAAACAAGTATGCAAGATCCAGCGATCGCTATATTCTAACAAAATCAAGTCTATGCCCTTTGCACCCGCGCAACCTTCTATTCTATATTAATTCAAAACGCCACTCTCATTACGAGGATATACACCAGAAGCTTCAAAAACTATCACCTCGATATTCACTGTTCGGGAACAGTGTACTGAAGATATACCGTATCGATCCTAGAACGGCGCCAGTCAGCCAATTGTTTGTCCTCCAAAACGGAAGAATGAAAATATGTATAGAAGGAAAAAAAAAAAACAAAAGAGAAGAAAAGACGACAGAAATCTCAAACAAGACTTACCATCGGCCCTTTTTGAACCCAGCACCCTTCAGTCTTCCTCTCTCAACGAATCCTCTTTGCTCGTACCAGCGCCGCAGTCCCTCGCCGCTGTCTTTGCCCTTTTCCGTATCCAACGACATACACGCAATGACGCTTCGAACAGGGACCCCGCCTTCTGGCGAGAAAATTTCGTGTTCTGGATGTCCAACATGTTCGCGCGCAAGGTGCTTCACACCATCGACTTTTGGAGAGCCATTGTATGGTCCAAGCAGCGAGAGCAATGTCGAGAGCAGCCGGGAGCCTGTCCCACTAGAGGTGTGCGAAGGATGGAGGAATATAGAAAGCTCTACTGTCGGTCCGTAGGACAGCATGCCGCCTCGAAACGGAGACAGATATGTGTATCCGATGACTTTGTCCGTGGGAGCGTTTGCGCCCCCGCGGTTTTCTGCGTCTCCATTGGTAAGACCCGTCTCGACGGCTACAAGAAAAGGCAGGCCCCGAGAGGTGATATCGTGGAATTTCGCGACGAGGGATGACAATGGCGGGGGATTCTGCGCAAATGTGACGACGGTTTCGCGGATATAGTACGTGTTGATATCCAGAACCTGTGCAAGGTCTTCTTCCACGGCTGGGCGAATTATGACAGCCATTGTGTGAAATCTCTAGATTTTTCGCAGGATAATTGTGGTGCTCTAGAGCTACACAGAGGGGTTTATTTTTTGTGAGAATTCACGACGGAATTGACTTGGATATTATAAGACCAATTTCTCGTCCCGCCCACTACACCTACGTAGGTCCATTGATAAGTCCGCGGAACGGCAAAAAAATAATTTCTAGAGGTTTATCTCGCCAACAGTCAGGATCCCCCCACCAAAAGACCCTGCTCTGCTCACCGCCTTTAGCCGAACATTTTGCCCCGCCAGTTATCCTCTTTACCTTAAGAGCTCACCAAAACATGCCACTTATTGAGTATCGTCATCAATCAATGGCCCCTTTTACTCAAATTCGGTCTTTCTGATATTTAAATTTAAAATTATTGGAGGAGAGAAGACTCTGTTCAAGCAGTTTGGGAGCTAGATAGAAGAATCACTTGATATTTCAAGCACATTTCATCTTGCAGCCCTTCTCTAAGTAGAGGAAAGTCGATCAAGATGAACCCCTCCGGTCTTTACGCCCATTATATCGATGAGCCAGAAACTCCGCGGCCAAGTCCACTTGTGCCACCGTTATGCTTCTCGATGGTGTCACCGGGAGTTTACAGGTATGACTTCTCTAAGATCATTTTGAGTTCTGATGTTTAGCATGATGTTTGATTGCTTTTTGTTGAGATTATACATTGATATTGCATTTTTCGTTGGTTTCATTTTCATTTTGACTTTAGGAGTGTCTGAAGCTTTTGTTGAATTGGGCGTTTATGCTTTCAAATATGCAGTCATTGTTTTGCTTTGCCAACATACTTGAACTTTTGATCTTCCCCGTGGCGATCGATTTGATTTGTTGTGCATGCTCAATCCCTCCTCAACCAAAGAAGAATTTTTAGTTTTTACATCCTCTCCTCACTCCTTTGCGCTAGAATTAATTCATCTTCTACATCTCAATTGTGTTTCAATCCATCATCATAATCAAATATCCTAAGCACTCCTCAGCAACTAACGAGCAGTCATCCCCAGATCCGGCTATCCACTCGAGATCAACTTCCCTATGCTCGAAAAACTCAAGCTTCGAACTATCATGTACGTTCTTTTGGCCCAAACCCTGCTACTTTTATCCCTATCCCTCAATTAACAACTCCCTACCGTTCTTGCCCTATTTTTTTTTTTTTTTACCCTACCTACCCTTCACCTTTTCGAACCTACAAAATCCTCTAACCGGACTCTATTCTATCCAGCTACCTCGCCGACACAGACTACCTCGACGAAAACATCACATGGTGCCAACGCCACGACATCACCGTGCACCACTACCGCGTTCCCAGCGTGCGGGAGCCATTCGTCGAGAACGACCCTGTGGCAATTGAATCCGCACTGCGCGTCCTTTCCGGTACGTTTCCTTTTTCTTTTCCCTAGCCCCTCCCTTTCCCTTCCCTTCCCTTACCCCTTCCACCCTACCTTCTTTCCCTCTCACATTTTCACTACGAGCGTCCAAGACTCCGAACAAAATCCCGACTAAATTCATAACCCCCAACAAGACCGCCGCAACTTCCCTCTCCTCGTCCACTCCAACAAAGGCAAGCACCGCGTCGGCGTCCTGATAGGGTGCATGCGCAAGCTCCTGCAGAAATGGAGCCTCACTGCCATCTACGCCGAATACATGCGCTTCGCAGGCGAAAAAGGCGATGCCGATCTCGAATTCATCGAGCTGTTTGAGCCCAAGTCCCTGGGTGACGTGCCTGAGGACTCGAGACAAGAATGGCTGGTTACTTGACGAGTGTGATGTGTCTTGTAACCTGTCCGTATAAAAACCCCCGAGGAACGTTGATTCTCTGTAGGGCGAATTGACGTTTAAAACAAGTGCAACATTCATAACGTCTTACTTGGATTGGGGGGGGGGGGACTTCTTCTCCGGATGAAATGTTTTTGGAGCTGGTATCTCCCCAGGTTCACACGAGAGCAACGTCTCATCCTTTTCCAGCTTTTTGCTTGGGGAACGAGGATTCATTGTGGAGCAGTGCTCCCGTTGGCCCACTTCAGGGAAAGGGTTGCATATGTCTATGTCCTCTGGAAGGATAGTCCAATCGAATACCAGGATACATGCTGAACCTGTACTCGCCGGGGTCCTTAACATGTCAGCGGGCAATTCATTGGTCTGGGATGGTGGCCTAGGTGCCATGGCTTAATCCGTGAGTAGGGTCCGTGGACTCGTCGGTAATGGCCAATTGGCCGACAAAAAAATCTCTCGAGATTTTACGTTACCATGTCAGACATATGTTAGGTGTCTAATGAGACTAAAAGCAACAAAGTGGAGCGGCAATAGGCAATGGGCAACGGAGCGTTCGAGCACTGTAGATGTCTGATAGGGGAAACAAACATTCAAAAGTCATCTAAACAACGATACTTTATTTCACTGTGACCAAAACTATGTATGATACATGGCTTCTAAACGTCCCATCATTTGGCAGCAGAATGTGAAGAAAACGCGCTGCATGCAACCCATCCAGTTCGTTTCTCTCGTACTACCCAGTCGCTTACTGCTCGGAGGCAGCGGCACCAGTAATAATCTCAACCAGTTCGCCAGTAATGACGGCTTGACGGGTACGGTTGAAGAGAATCTGGAACTTGTTAATCATGTCGGCGGCGTTGTTGGAGGCGTTCTGTAGTCTAGTGTTAGCTTCCAAATCATCTCTTCCCGGGGTATTATTTTTGAGCTACTCACATCCATGGCGTTGCGACGAGCAGACTGCTCGCAGGCGTGACCCTCAGCAAGAGCCTATTGTCCATTGTTAGCTCCATGAACTTTTTTTGCAAAGCTTTTTCATAAAAGATATGGCCATCGTTACTCACCCAGAAGAGAGAGTTGGCGAGGGCGTACTCGCGGAGGTTGGAGAGGACCTCGTCGTCAATCTCGAAGGCAGCGAAGTTGGCTATCGTGTAAATGTCAGTAATTTGTTTGATCCAGAAAAGGGCCATTTATATATATATGAAACATACGGGAGTTCTTGATAGCCTCCTCGGAGAAAGCCTCAACGGGAGTAGGCTCGTAGCTCTGAGCGTTGAGGAACTTGTTGTAGACAATCTGGATCGAGGCGTAGTCGGTGGGAAGCAGGCAAATCTGGTCGGCAATGGCCTGGGCATCGGCAAAGGTGGGGACGTCCTTGCCGACGTTGGCGAAGCTGAGAACAATGTTCTTGCCGTTGGAACGGCCGAGCTGAGCCTTGCACTTCTCACCGAGGACGACAATGTCGGCATCAGGCTTGTTGTGAAGCATGGCACGAGTGTACTTGGAGAGACCGGAATGAATACCACCGCAGAGACCCTTGTCGGAGCTGGCAACAACGATCAAGGTCTTCTTGCCCTCACCCTCCAAAGGCTTGGTCTCGGCCTTTTCAAAGACGGTGTTGGAAGCCTCTCCGTAGCTTCGGGACTCGGTCATGGCCTTCTGGGCACGGGTGAGCTTAGTCGAGGCGACAATCTTCATCGTCTTCGTGATCTTTTCGATGTTCCGAATGGACTTGAGACGACCCTCAATCTCACGAAGGGTAGCGAAGTTGGCGGCATTGGGGACAATGGGCCTGCAAACGGCAGAAACGCCACGAATATCAGTACTATCATCCAATTGATTGCGCTCCAAAAATATTCGACAATAGGAAAAGGCCCATCGATGAGACTTTGTTGGGCAATAGCAAGGTCGTTTCGATGGCAGCGAATGGAGTGAGGGCTTACCGGGCAGTGACCGCGGCGCCAGCCCGGAGAGCCGGACGAGCAGCTCTCGAGAGCATTATGTCGGATATAAGAGGACGAATTGAGCGGAGAGCGATCGACGGCGAAGGGATTGAGGCCGGATACACGAGCTAATCCGTGATGCCTTCAACTGATTGATGGTGGTCGAAGGGGACGTTGTCGGCAAAGCAGAAGCTGGTTTGCTTAGGTAAGCTACGAGCATTCTCTCATTCCCTCATATTAACCAGGTTACTTGCAGCACAAGGTGACGACCGTGCTGTGGAATACCCGCCCTTAGAGTGAACCGTACTACTCAAAAGAGGAACTGCCAAGGCGGCTTTTCTCGCTTCCCCTTCCAAATTCTCGCGCTGGCAGAAGGATCATCATCTCTTCAGCCAATCAGACGCGCCGATCGCATGCCACCCTCTGTCGTTCCTTCCCTTTCCTGCCAAATGCTGAGTGACATGCTTTTCGACTAAGTTCTGCTCTCTCTTGCCTATGTCCTCACTTCCTTCCTTCCTCTCTCTCACAATACGTCCTATTTTCAATCTTCGCACTACCCTTCCACTGGCCTTACTTGAACCTTCTCACACTCGTTGCAACAACCTCATCAATCTTTCTTCATTATCTTCTCCACACTCAGAGTCAGCTCCAGGTGTCTGTCAGGCCCTGCTCTGACTTTCAGATTACACAAACATCGATACGCTTCAAGTTGGCCCGACTTTCAACCTCGACTCCCACCCACGCGCTGCTTCATTCCTTCGCGTACCCTCGCCCTACCTGCAGCAACAGCGGAACACTCTTATTCTCTTGGCTCAGAGCCTCCATCCAAACGACTTGGGCGCATTTTCAGAATGAGCTCATCCGAGGATGACATTCCCCTCGTTGGGGGCGGCAAGCTCAATGGCAACAACAGAGGTAGGTCACATTTGATTACAGTCCTTGGAGCCCTCCTCGACAACTCGTACTCAGAAGAAACGACCTTCAAACTCATATCTTCTCATATACACCCCATTCAAAACTCGGCTTCTCGAATTTCTCTCAATTCTCACCGCGTCTCAATGTACAAGACTAACAATATTCCTGTGTAGCTCATTCGCCAAAGTCGAAGGAAACTATTTCTGCCGATGTTGATAGGGAGATGAATAAAGAGAATCCTCCCCATGGCAGGGGTATCCAACCCGGCATCACACTGCGCCACGGCCCGGTTGAAGAGATGGATGTCGATGAGCCTGCCACTAACGGCGTCACTACAAACGGTGATATGCAAGGCAAGCGTAAATCCAGGGCTAGTGTAAATGGCACGAAGAGCTATAAGGAGCAAAGCAGCGACGAAGACGAAGAGCCTCTGGTACGTCACTTCCTTACTATTTGTTGAGGTTGGTGGCATTGCTGCCCGACCGACGCGAAAAATCCCACTACTTTTGAAGAAAGGTACTGAATGCTTTTGCAACAGAGCAAACGTCGCAGAACTTCCGCCGCCAACCGAAAGGCCGAATCAGAATCTGACGACGAACCGATTATTGCGAAAAAGAAATCTGGCGCCGGTCTCCCTAAAAAGCCCCACAAAGTGACCAAGGAAGACCTTGGTCTCTCTGATGATTCTGATGCTCCAATTAGCGCGAAATTGACCAAGACCAAGGCCTCTATCGAAAAACAAGCCGAGAAGGAGGCCAAGAATTTGCGCAAGGAGGAAAAGAAGCCTGCAGCAAGTAAGCGAGCTGCCAAAAAGGAGGAAAGTGATGACGAGCCGATTCAGAAGAAACGCCGCGGCACGGCTACGAAGAAGACACCCGTCAAAAAGGAAGAGTCTGACGACGACGTCCCTCTGGCTCGGAAGGCCCCGGCGAAGAAAGCGACTGGAAAAGGCAAGACGGAGGCACCTGCACCTGCGAAAAGGCAGCCTAAATCCGATGCAAAAAGCAAGACGCCCAAGCGGGAGCAGACTGAGGAAGCTGGGGAAGACGACGAGGAAGAATTCAGATGGTGGGAGAATCCCATGAAGGGTGACGGCACCAAGAAATGGACCTCGCTCGAGCACAACGGTGTCATCTTCCCTCCGCCCTATGAGCCTTTGCCTGCGAACGTGAAGCTCCTTTATGATGGCACACCAGTCAAGCTCCACCCAGAAGCTGAAGAGGTAGCTGGCTTCTTTGGAATCATGCTCAATTCTACACACAACGTGGAGAATCCGACATTCCAGAAGAATTTTTTTGATGATTTTCAGAAAGTTCTCAAGAAAACCGGAGGTGCCACTGATAAGGATGGCAAAAAGGTCAACATCAAGGAGTTTTCGAAACTCGATTTCCGGCAAATTTTTGAATATTACGAGTCGAAGAAGATCGCCCGAAACTCCCGAGCGCCTGCCGAGAAGAAGGCCGAAAAGGCTGAAAAGGAGAAAGATGAGGCGCCCTATATGTTTTGTCTTTGGGATGGCCGAAAGCAGAAAGTTGGAAATTTTAGAGTTGAACCCCCCGGTCTTTTCCGTGGCCGCGGCGAGCACCCCAAGACCGGCAGAGTAAAGCAAAGAGTTTTGCCTGAACAGATTACGCTCAATATTGGCAAAGATGCTCAGGTCCCCGCTCCTCCAGAGGGACACCGCTGGAAGGAAGTCAAGCACGACCAGGAAGGTACATGGCTCGCTATGTGGACGGAAAACATCAACGGTGCCTATAAGTATGTCATGCTTGCGGCAAATTCAGACATCAAGGGTCAGAGCGATTTCAAGAAATTTGAGAAAGCAAGGGAGCTCAAGGTAAAAATAATTCCTCGCCTATCGCATCTCTGACACTTGCTGACCGGTCCTGGTAGAAACATATTGATCATATCCGAAAAGATTATCGCAAAAATCTTACTGCGAAGCTGATGGCTGACCGCCAATTGGCTACCGCTGTCTACTTGATTGATCAGTTCGCTCTGAGAGCCGGAAATGAGAAGGGAGAAGACGAGGCTGACACCGTTGGCTGTTGCTCACTGAAGTATGAGCATGTGACACTGAAGCCGCCGAACAAGGTTGTCTTTGATTTCCTCGGTAAAGACAGCATTCGCTTTTATGAAGAGTTTGATGTCGACCCTCTTGTGTTCACAAACCTTAAGATCTTCAAAAAGCCTCCGAAGGAGGAAGGTGACGAGATTTTCGATAGGCTGAATGTAAGTCAACCTCTCCATTTGCATTACCCATTGCTGATAACTTTTCAGACTTCGACGCTCAATAAGCACTTGTCGGGCTACATGCAGGGTCTTACAGCTAAGGTCTTCCGTACTTATAATGCTTCGTTCACCATGTCACAGCTCCTGCAAAAGATGAAGTCGGAGGGTTCTGTGGCCGAAAAAGTCAAAGACTACAACGAGGCCAATCGCGAAGTTGCGGTGCTTTGCAACCACAAGCGTACAGTCGCAGCTGGGCATGCCGGACAGATGGAGAAGATGGGTGATAGAATCAAGGGTCTCCAGTATCAAAGATGGCGAGTCAAACAAATGATGATTGATCTGGAAGGTGCCAAGATCAAGAAGAAGAAGGGCGCACAGTATTTTGAGTTGGACGAAGATCTTGACGAGGAATGGATCAAGGAGCATCAAGCGTTCCTTGTCCAGGAACAGCGCCAAAAAATCGAGAAGAAGTTCCAGAAGGACAATGAGAAGCTTGTTGCCGAGGGCGAGAAGGAGATGAAGACCAAAGAGCTGCAGGAACGTTTGAAGGCCGCGGATGAGCTCGCCGACAAATTCAAGAAGGAGAACAAGACGAAGAAGGTCGTTGCCGAAGGCAAGGGTGTGACGCTCGAAAAGCTCGAGGCGAATGTGGAGAAGCTCGATCAGCGAATTACGACGATGCAGGTACAAGCTCTAGACAAGGACAACAACAAAGAAGTGTCTCTCGGTACCTCTAAAATCGTAAGTTTCTTTGTCATTTCTCTTCCGGAATTCATTGCTGACGTCATTCCTTTCCAGAACTATATCGATCCCCGTCTCACGGTCGTCTTCTCGAAGAAGTTCAATGTCCCAATTGAGAAATTCTTCTCCAAGACACTGCGCGAGAAGTTCGATTGGGCGATCAAGTCGGCTGACGAGAACTGGGAGTTTTAAAGCGACTCTTTCCTTTAAGAAGAAATCATATGGCCAATTCAATCAAACGGCCCCTTACTTCACCTGTTACACGCTGTCAAAACCGATAGCTCTTTCAATTCCTCCTTTGCGGGCGACGAAAATTCTTTTCTATATTTGTTTTCGCCGCCACCGGCGTTTGAAGACAATTGCATTGTGCGCAAGTCGTTGCGCCATCAGAGCGACAATCAATATTTTACATGGAAAGGGTGGCAGATCCTTCGCTACTTTGGGGTTGGAGCTGGTTGCGAGATGCCGATAGCGCACGGTGGCATAAGTTTCTTCCCCAGCCAGGCGCAGACATTCTGGTGGGATTGCATAGCGTATTTTGAAGACCACTACAGAAAAGTAGTTCTTTTAAGCATAAGAATTCTAGACTCATTCTAACATATATTCACTCCTGGTATTTTTTATTCTTTTTTTTAAGTGACCGAATTCAGGTGCTGGAGGATTAGCTTGAAAAGAGTAACTGATGGGGAGTGCGATTAGCGGATCATGTAGAGGGGCTTCACCGCGCCGACTGTAATTGGTCAACGTGATAGCTTCTCTGAAGGGCAACAATCACCACAGCACAGAGAGAGGGAAGAATCATGTTACTGATTGGCTTGACAACACTTAGATTGCTTAGTATTTACGCTCACATCTAGGCTCAGTTTATTGCTCTCGTTATCTTGGCTACGGCAGCAGGGTGCGGGATTGTTTTAGCTCATTCGAAGCAATGAGATAGCAGGCGAGTCAGATAATTAAGAAAGATTGCCTAGTGGCCGTTGAGGACGTGAAATGCTGATAACATTGATGCGGAAGATGTCTATTGCTTCGGTCGATCGGCTTAGATCTCGGCATCTTGGAGCGGAGATGAAGACGTGCTCATTGATCCCTGTTCCTCCATTTCCTGCTTCATCTTATGAAAGAGAATATCGGGTTCGTCTGCACCTTCGGTCAATCCGACGATTAAGTCAATTGAGGACGTGGTATTACATTCAAGGCTGAGGTTTTGTTCTTGAAAATCTCATACAATCAATTTTACCGCCACCCGTGTCTTCTCCCTGCATCGAGAAAGCGAGACATTATCGGTTTGGCCGCTGAATATGTCGTCCCATTGTTGTACCAACGGCTGGTTCGCCGAAAAAATCCGAGCAACGGCCTCGCACCGGCGTATGTTTCTACACTACTGTAGGGGCTTTTAAAGGTTATTTCGCTACAATGCACAGCTGCATCATCTGCTCCAAATCTGTCATGGTGTGGTCGTGCTAAATATCTCTCATGAGGTCTAAACTGTTCGTTAAAGTGTGTTCTAGGGCATTCAGAACGCAGCCAGAACGAGATGCGTAGCGGTCTGCCTCGTGGGCTCCGCCACTCTAGGCTACATCACAGCAGCAAAGCAGCTACTGAATCTCCTTTAGTGGCCGAAAGGGTCCACGGCGTCCCTTTGGTGCAGGTGGACCTACCCACTCAGCTCATCAAACTGGAGCAGGGAGAGGCGCAAGGGGAAATCGGTCTGTCTAAAACGCCCCACTAATGTTCCTCGACCCCGTCCCTGAGCCAAGGTTGAATTGTATTGCTAACGGCGGCCGACCAGGACCGATCCCGCTTGGCCCTGTCTCCTCGTGTCTTGTGTTTTCATTTCGCACTCGCAAAACGAAGAAAGCACGGCGGAGCAATCGTCCCTTTTTCCTTTCTTCCTTTGAAGCGGATACAAGTGCTATTTCCAAGCAATTCTCTAACATTGGCGTAACATGGGAATGTACCATACGGCGAGAGAAGGCCATGATATGACCTCTTTGAGGGGCAGAGATTAGTGTCTGTCGCGTGCATCCTACGGTAATAATGCGACGGCAAATGTTCCATCCCCTGAATCTCTTGTCATTTTGAACCATGCGCTCGGAAAATCATACTACGAGGAAGATCGTCATCATCTGACCAGCAATTTTGACCGGATAGAGTAATATCGACCCGTCCCCTGTTGTAAGATCCCTTGCAGCAAAATGGCACCATCTAACTCCAAGAGATGATAGTGAGAAAGACAATTAATTTGCCGTACGGAGTGTGTGTCTGACATCAAGCCATGTGTATGGCTCATCTTTTTTTTTTTCTCTCTCTAATGCAAACCTGCAAGGCGGTCAGTGCTCCAACGACCGCTTCAATACCCGATATTTGCCCGCACCCTCTGTTATAATCACATTGTGGGCTCCGATAATAACAATCGGTCCCCTGTAAATTAATTCTTTATCGATCCGCTCTTCCCCTTCTCTCCTTTGCCTCTCTTCTCCTGCAATTTTTCCATCTAGCAAAGAATTGCGCCCAGTGTGCGGACACTTGGGTTTGCTTATCTATTTTGACTGTCTATTTGTGACTTGATAACAATCATTTGACAATCGTCTGTCAAAGGAAAGCGCTGTTCTCGGAGCCGTGCTCCGCTAAAAGTTTGAATTGTGCGAGAATTGAGGGGCAAATATATAATCCGCACCCCTAAATTTACCGTTGACCTACACACTTCTCCGACTCGAGCAGCAAGATTCGCAGCGAAACAAACAATAATTAGCATTTCTGCTATTTGGCCAAACCATGGCGACGACGGATGGAGCGGAGAAGCCTACCGTGTTGATTATTGGCGGATTAGGTACGCAGGATCTCCTAATGAAATCTTTACGATCTGCCTGGGCCACAGGCTACAGGCGGTAAAGAGAAAAATTGTTTTAACGAAAAGTCGTGAGGAATGGAAGCTTACATTGGTGACCCTCGCCTTGGGGGCTCTTCACAACAGGTTACATTGGTCGTTTCCTTGCATTGCATATCCACGAAAATAACCTCGCCTCAGAGGTGCGCCTTGTTGATAAGGTGCTCCCGCAATTGGCATGGCTGGGCCCAGAGTTTAAAGATGCTTGCGCGCAAGATAAGTTTATGCAGGCGGATGCGTCCCGAGAACGTACGCTGCCCCTTTTCCCGTGCTGACTCCTTGCGACGATGAGGGAAGAAGCGAGACTGATTTGGCTGACAATTGCTGTCTTTTTTGCAACCAACAGATTCACTTTCGCGTGTTTTCGATCGGCCGGACGGTAAACAATTTGATTATGTTTTCAATTGCGGCGGAGAAACACGATATTCACAGGATGATGAGGTGTACCGATTACGTACATACAATCTTTCAGTGGAGATTGGCAAGGAAGCCGCTCGGCGAAATGTGAAATGTTTTGTCGAATTGAGCTTAGGAAGCGTTTACAAGTCAGAGTCGAGTCCAAGAAAAGAGACGGATAAGACCAAGCCGTGGAAACGCGTTGCGAAATGGAAATTGTCCGCCGAGGAGGAACTCCAAAAAATCGAAGGCCTGAATCTGGTCATTCTGCGACTGGCATATGTCTATGGCGATTACTCTGCCAAGTTCGTCGGCACGGCGTTGAGCATGGCTCGCGTATATCAACATCTTGGCAAGGAACTCAAGTTCTTATGGAGCAAGGATACCCGTGTAAATACGGTGCACATCAACGATGTAGCCAGGGCCCTCTGGCGAGCAGCCGACTGGTATGCGCACGGAAAGGATGGTTGGGATGAAGCCAGTTTGGGCAAAACTCCGCTTTTTAACATTGTGGATCACGGAAATACTTGTAAGTCGTCGACTCACCCCGCCCTTCTAGATGCGCAAAATCACTCATCTCATCTTTCCAGCTCAAGGAATCATGTCCGAGCTAATTGCTCAGATCTTCAACATCCCTACCGGTTTCCAAAACAGCGTGATATCCTCATTTGCTCGTCTTAATCTCGACTATGTTGTTGATGATGTTAATGATGAGACGCTTGGCCCCTGGGCCGATCTCCTCGCTGCCGCCAACATTACCCGTCCAGGCCCACTAAATCCGTTCATGGAGAAGGAACTACTCAAGGACGCTCACCTCTCTCTGGACGGTAGCCGCTTCGAGAAAGTGACTGGCTTCACATACGAGAAACCGCGACTTACCAAAGAGGAGCTGGAAAAGGTTATTGAAAGCTATAAACGGATGAATTGGTGGCCTTGACGATGCTTTCGCCCATAACCTCTGCCAGATTGACGACCGAATTCACAAGTGCAGCTTGATTTCGACGAAAGAATTAGCATCTCATCTATCTCCCTACGACTGATGACGATTATGCATTATCAGGCGTCCTGCGATCTCTCTATTTTCGGGCTCTGCTCTAACAGCCAAGCAGGAAACGGGCGTATGTAACGAAATGCAACTGAGCATGTCAAAGAAGCTTAACTGCTTTACTCGACAAGCAAAGCTGCCATGCAATATATATCTCGACCGATCCAATTCACTGCTGGCTAGAAGAGGAGCAATTTCGGTACGACATGACCAGAAGATGTCTTTACTCTAATCATTTTGCAACCAAGGAAGCGTTTATTCTCGGCATTTCTGGCTCTTAGTTGCTTGCGGGAGGACACGGCGCTCGTTTGGGTTTTTTTTTATCCATGTCTCCATGTCTATACCATATTTCCGTTTTATGCATTAGCGTGGCTCCCAGTGATTTACTGGTTTATCACTTTTAATTCAGTTTATAGAATTCCTAGACCCATTCTCATTTGAGCTTTGTTTATCCATCAACTTGACAATCATCCTGCGTTTTCTAACACGTCTTTGTTTGAGCATATTGAAAAATCGATGCCAATGCCCATATTTAATTGGTAATTAATGTTTAACTGTTACTGTATTATAAGCAGTATATTTAGATGAGCCGCGGGGTGATCTTCTATATAGAGGAACCAAGCTTATGCGTCGGATCTTTATTTCGTCTCATTGCTTGTCACATTTATAGAAACGCATTGATTGAATATAATGAAGATTCTCGGCTCGGTCCGTTCGGGCCCCTGAAGCGATGCCCAATTGATAAGTGAGTAGTCACATGTGACGCAGTCCTTACAGTTGAAAGTGTACACAGCCAGTACACAGCGTCATCTAGCCCCAGAAAAATATTCTACATCAATGACAGCTCATTAGCTTTCCTCTACATCAGCCCTTCTCGATGGAGCTTATTCCAAGGTCTGAATAAGGTCCATCTGGAAGGATGCCTCTATTGTCATGATCAGCTCGCACGGAGCTCTTACTCTTCAACCTCAATTGATCCTCAATCGATCATTTATTTCAACGCAACGGGCTCAGACCCACACAGGTTCGCTCATTTCAAATTGAGAATTTTTCCAAAGACTCTAACAGGCTAATTGTCATTGCAGCGTGAGAATCCAGACTCACTGAAGCCACACGGCATCTGCTTCTCTCAAGATTCACGCCACAATGGATTTTACAAACCTTCCATTTGACGTCGTGATTGGGATAGTCCGACTACTTGAATTTGCGGACATCGCACGGTGTCGTCGTGTGTGTGCTTCATGGAGCAAAGCTTTTTCTCATCCAGAGCTGCTTCGTGACGTCCTTTTGTGGAGTGTGCCTCTAGCTAGAGAAGTAAAGTACTTGAAAAAGCTGGAACAGTCAGGGTTGCGTTCGGCTCTGGAGCGGCGCTGGTCTGAGATCTTTCAGGACGTAGCACCTCGTTGGGATGCTTTGAAGAAGGCGAGGCCTCGGTCTACCCAGCGCATCTCCTTTTATCGACCCTCAGCCTCGAACTCTCCATTAGTATACGACGTGGCTCCATGGCATCGCATTGATTCCAGTCGGAAGTTTTTCCCGGAATTTGACGAAGCGGATCGCCAATGGACTTACTCGGATGGCTTTCTAGTCTTCCCGGAGCCGACAAATGGAGACTACTTGGTTCTCGATTTGCACTCGAGGGGAATACTTGGAAAGGTCCCTTTCTTGAGAAAGGGAAAGACTGTTAGAAGAATTCGACTAAATGAAAATATCCTTGCAATTGAATGGGCAGAAGAACAGCCTTTCCATCAGCTCAGTCCCCTTCACCCAGAGGAGCTTGTGCATCGCCATTTTGTGTCTATTTTTCAACTCGAAACTGAGCCAGAAACAGAAGATGGGTCCCAGTCTGATTCGCCGGTCCGCTTGGACGTACAGCTCCGTTATGAATGGAAGTTACACTTCTTGGGACTGCCTCTGACTACTCGAGATCGATTTTTTACAGTACACACAGGTTCCTATTATGCGGCGTACTTCTGGCAACCGAATCGGAATGCGTGGGGTGAGGATGAACCGATTGAATCGTTGATAATCTGGGACATTACACCTGCAGGGCAGGCTCACTCTGATTCTGAATCTCCCCTTTCGTCAGCCAATGTTCACGGGCGTGACCACAAAGATCTCGGAGACGTGAAAAATAGTCCTACTGTTGTCAAACGTCTAAACTTTCGGGACCTGGAATTCTTCAACGTTAGGCAGGGCAACGAACCTAAGTTGAAACGCTTGGATATCGATAAAGGCGTGATCTATTTCCGCGAAGAAGTGAAAACCGGCCTTTTTGGTAATGATGTCACGGCAGGTCTTCCCTTACACCAAAAGTTTAAAGAGACTATCACTGCCCTTCCAGTTATCGGCAATGGCCCTATCCAGCGAAAAGAACATGATGATCCTGACCCGTTCTTTCAGGGCGGTGTTGCGAATTACCGCCTATTATATTACGCATCGAGATTTAGAAGTGGTTTCAAGGGTATAAGTCTCCGTAACAGGGTAAGCATCTTTGTTTTTTTTTCCTCCATCCGTGTTACTGGGTAGATTATGCCTCGGGAAGGGTGCTGCCTCTTTCTGCTCACCAATTTTGTGTGTTTAGATCCCAAACGACGACATAAGAGTTGCTTCTTTTAGTAAGAAACACAATGTTCTTTTCATCGGCGAATTGAAATCCACAGCAAGCTGCCCAATCCCGACCTGTTCAATCTGGTTCGGCTGTATGAAATCATATTATTTTGACGGCGATTGCGAAAATGATCAAAACTTACTTGATCGCAAGGTTGGAATGCAGCTTCTCGGCAGTAGTCAGGTCTATGTGGACGAGCGCTGGCTCATTGGTGAAGGTTTTGACGGGAAGATTACAATATGCAGGTTTGGTCTGGGATGACGATGATGCCTCCATGCCTCTATCACTTATTTTATCATATTGCATGTGCTCACAATTCTCCCGCAATATCCCTCTTTTCCTTTATTCTTTGTTAGCATCCGATTGACCGCGAATGTGTGGTCCCATTTTCTCATAACTACTTACCCAGGGCTCATCAGCTTTACACTTGACGAATTGATGACATAAAATGAACTACTATCTACTATATTCAAACTACATTTTCTTTTATCCGTATTTTTTTTTTTTTTTTTTTTTTTTTAAAAAAAAAAACACCCCCCCCCCCCCCCCCCCCCAACGCCGTATTAGCGTCGAAGCTCATAACTCTATAAAAGACGATAGTTAACGCTATAGAAACAATTTAAACACAAAATAATAAGCATATACACCCGCAAAAATGACCGGTCTCAGGAAAAAGTACAGCCAGGGATACTCATTTTGCAGCGCAAAGCCAAGCATCCTGAGGATCCACCGCTCAATCGTCGACCTCGGCGCTCCCGGCGTGAAGAAGAAATCATCCATGGCGCCATGCGAGACGGCCGACGTCCTGTACGCTCGCCGAAACATGTCCTCTTCGTAATCTTTGACTTGTCCGTCCAATCGACCCAGCATCTCCGCATGCCCTTGCCCGTCTTCCCCTTCTCCTTCTCCTTTTCTATCCGCCTGTCTCTCATCATGTTCTCGCGTCCCCCTCGAAGAATCCGTACCCTTTACAGCATCAACGATCCTCTTGGCGAGGCTCAGCGCATCTTCCATTGCTAAATTGACGCCCTCGCCCGCATACGGCGGCATCACGTGTGCTGCGTCGCCGAGCAGCGTCAATCCGGGCACATTCTCCCACTTGAATCCCACAGGAAGCACGTAGAGACCCTTGACGGGCACGACGGCGGCGTCGTCGGCCTTGTGTATAAAGTTGAGTAGATCCGGTGACCAGTCTTTGTATTCGGCGAGTAAGGCTTCTTTGGCTGCGCGGCCTTTTGTTGGGTCGAGAAAGTTGTTGTTGTTGTTGTTGTTGTCGTCGGCCCGTCTTGACCCTTTGGATCCTTGATCTTGACTCTGGCTGTTATCATTTCTGCGTTCATTGGTCGTGGAGTGGCTCGAGTCAAAATCTTCCCGGACACTGCTCACATACACGTTAATGCTCCCATCGCCCAGCTGCTGCGCCGTGAGGGATTGGCCGTCCGAATAAGCAAATACCGAGCCGCGGTTGACGAGCTTGTATACCTCTGGCGCGGTGACTTGCGCGTTCGGGATGGAGAGCGCAGTCCGGATGATGCCTGCGTAGTATGGTTTCGTATCTTGCGGTATAACGGGTTCCTGTTGATCATGTCGTCTCTGGTGCTCCGAAGAAGAATGGGCATGGGTTTGAGTTTGGGCAACAATGAATGATCGGACTTTACTCCACAGCCCCTCCGCGCCGACAATCAGATCGAATCCGCGCTCGACATGTTCGTTGCCGTGCCCGTCTCTGAATTTTAATGCGTAGTTTCTTTTCTTTGCTTTTGCTTTTCCTTCTTTGCCGCTTTCTGTATCCTCTGAGGATACTCCTTCTCCCCTTTCTTCTGGGGACACTGCGCTGGATGCTTCAGACACTTCACCCACTTCACCCACTTCCGCTTCCATTTCATCTAGTATAGCAATAAGCCGTCTATCCCACTTAATACACCCCTCCGGCAAACTCTCATACAAAATCCTACGCAGCTCGGCGCGATCAATTTCCGGCCTGGCTCCCGCACGGTCTGTCTGCGTACTATTTGCGCCAAGTACGTCGCCGCCACTCTGGCCATTGGCCTTGCCCGGGCCATGCTGGAGATACACTTTCCCTTGCTTATCGCAGAGCAGGAGCGCCTCGCCGTCATACCGCGCGTGTTGAAGGAATGCGTCGTACAGCCCGCATGCGCGCAGCGCGGCGATGCCCGTGTTGGTGTGCAGGTCGAGACTGCCTCCCTGGGAGCGGTAGTTTGGATGTGTGTCGGACTCGAAAATGGTGAATGATATGGATTGGCTGAAATTGGGGAGATTGGGGCCCTCTCGTCCAGAGGAGGTTTGTGGAGGAGAGGGGTCCTGGGAGGATTGAGATGCCTGGAGAGGTAAGACGTGCAGGAGCCGGGCGAGTGTGCATCCGGCTGGCCCGGCGCCGATGATGGCGATGTTGAGAGGCGGCATTGTTTGATGTTTGTAGTTGTAGTTGTAGATTGTTGGGTAGTACAGTACTTGTATATGACTTGGTTGGATTGGTTTGGATAGAGTGGCGGTCGAGTCTGCTTTGGTGGTTGATGGTGGTCGGGTGTTGAATGGGGATGGTATGTTTTGTTTATATTCTTTCTTTTCGTCTTCCTTGTCTTTCTGTTGATGAGATCTGTCTTCTCGTGCTTTCGTACTTTGGTTTCTTTGGTTCCTTTGGTTCAAAACAAAAGCAGTTTGTCAAATCAAGCCCAGACACAAGCGTAGAAACCAGATGGCAATCGTAGACACGCGACGATAGATAATAAACAACTGACAACTGACAATGAACAATTCTCCACAACTCGATATGCCCCTCAGTATTTTATCTATAGTCCTATAATCAATCAGTCAACGTCCTGTCCCTTATCAACAACTTCCATCCAACGCTTTATTAGCACATGCAGCATACATACCACAACAATATCCCAATTTTCTTTATGAAGCCGGATGCAAGTCCAAACTGTGTATCCCGCAATGTTGTAAGATATCGGCTTTCGAATCAAGTCTAGAAAGTGTAGGTTGTCAGGTTGTCAAGTTGAACACAATATATTCATGACACTCGGGCATTGGGAGTGTATTTATATACCGCTCAAAGTCCATAAAAGCCCTAACAGCACAAATTCCTCTTCACTTACATCACAAATTATTACGCTCCCAACTTACACATTGCATGTTGCATGTTGCAGGTCTGCCCTGACGCTCGCCCGTCGCATGTCGCTGTCGCAAAGCCCGAATCTCCTCAACCCCAGGGATCCCAATACTAGCGCAGCTGTCTAACATCAACCAAGCCCAGCCACAACTTGAACTAAACGGTAGTCTACGGCTTAGTTGTGTAACTAACGTCCGCGAACTGTAGTCTGTCTGTGTCCGGGTGGGCTTGGGTCCCCTTAGTCCTGCGCCCCAGGGCAGCCTACGGCTACTTAGGCTACTTAGGCGTCCTAGGCGTCCTAGGCTATTTCTTAGCCCCTTGCGCCGCGTGAAAATTGAGCGGCGGGACCGAGAGGGCGGCAGGACGGGATGGTGTTTATCCGGGATGTCGGCTGGGAACACCTAACGGATATGATGAAAGGTGACAGGGTGAGCTGGTACGGAGGAAGCGCTCTGCTAATATGCTAATTCAGATGAGAGATTGAGCGGTCTGTTACAGAGATGGCATGTCGAAAGTGTCATGGTGGAAAAAAATACGGTATAGCTTTGGAAAAGAAATAAATGTATATATATATATATATATTTTCGGTGTCCTTTTACACAGGAAAAAATATTTCAACTAAATAAAACTGTGATTTAACGAACAGATAGTCAATGGAATTAAAATAGTCAAACATGTTGGGCTTGCTCATTAATATCAATTTTAATCCTAGGAAACGCCTGCGCCCTACAGGATGCGGGGTACTATATAACGAAATATTTCAGACTTGTTAATTGTGCCAAAATCCCCCAAAGGAGTATTCAAGTTGATAGTATCAACACTTAATCATGCGTGGGCATGACGACGCTGGCTTTGGTGGCAAGGGCGTCCTCGGCTCTCCACAAGCTCGTGACAGTCTTGAGCTGAGTGTAAAAGTTCAATCCGGGCTTGCCGTAGAAATTGCTCGCGCCTCCACCGGCGATACTCTTCTTGTTGCCGGTGAAGGAGAACATGGGCAGAGGAACGGGAATGGGCACGTTGACTCCGACTTGGCCAGCTTCAACTTGGTGCTGGAACTTGGTAGCGGTGGAGCCGCTGTTGGTGAAAATCGCCGTGCCGTTGCCGTACGGGTTCTTGTTGATCAGTTCAATGGCTTCGTCAAGGGTGTCTACATTGAGGCACACGAGGACAGGGCCAAAGATTTCCTCTGTGTAGCATTTCATGTCTGCCGTGACGTTGGTGATGACGGTGGGGCCGACCTACGATTGGAGTAATTGGTTAGATTTAAATTTTGACAGAAGAGGGGTCGAAAGAAATGAGAAAGAAAAGAAAGGATAACAAGGTGAATAAAAGAACGACTTACCCAGTTTCCGTTGGGATACTTGGGAGGCTTGTAGCCACGACCATCGAGCAAGATGGTTGCTCCCTCGTCCTCTGCGCTCTTGATAAGCTCCTCAATGCGCTGCTTGCTCTGAGGGCTAATGACCGGTCCCAGTTCTGCACCCTCTTCGAATCCGCCATTAACACTCAGACCCTTGGCGCGCTCTGCAATCTCGGCGACCCAGTCTTTGGTCTCGCCGACCATGACTAGGGTGCTGAGAGCCATACATCTCTGTCCCGCGGCGCCAAAGGCAGCGCCCACAATAGCATTGAGCGCGTGGTTCTTGTTGCAGTCCGGAAGGACAGCGGCATGGTTTTTCGCGCCCAGGTTGGCCTGGACACGCTTGCCATTGGCGGACCCACGAGTATAGATATATTCTCCTGCGCGATTGCTACCGACGAAGCTGATTGCCTTGATGGCGGGCTCATCAATGATAAAGTCGACCGTTCTGGCCGCACCGTGCACAATGTTGACCACACCTGGTGGAAAGCCTGCCTTTTCCGCGAGCTCCGCAAGAATCATTGCCGCGCCAGGATCTCTTTCTGAGGGCTTGATGATGATGCAATTACCGGTAATGGTGGCAATGGGGAGGCACCACAGCGGAATCATAGCCGGAAAGTCTGAAGCAAATTATTAGATTGGCACCAGAATTGAAGCGCAAAGATTATTCAAATTTATAACTCACTGAACGGGCAAATGCCTGCCACAATACCAAGTGGCTCGCGGTAGGTTCGAGTCTCCATATCCTTGGACACCTCGAGCACCTCGCCCAGCATCTGCGTAGTGATGCCGCATGCAGTTTCCGCGACCTGAAGTCCACGAAGCACATCACCACGAGCGTCCGCAAATGTCTTGCCCTGCTCCATCACAATGCTGGCGGCAAGCCGATCCCAGTGCTCCCGGATCAAGGACACGAATTTGAACATGATTTGCTGCCGATGCAGCAGGCTCTTGGACTTCCATTCCGGGAACGCTTTCTCGGCGGATTCAACCGCCGCCTTGAGCTCCTCATCGGTGCTCTGCGGGACTCGCGTCACTAGATTGTTGGTGGCGGGGTCGTGGAGGTCGATCCATGTCGTGGCTTTGGATGGCACAAACTTATTGTCCAGAAAGTTATGCGTGTCAATGACAGTCTGCACCTGCTCGTGACTCGTAGGGTATTGCTCTGGAGTGCTCGCCGCAGAGGTGGTTGCTGGCTGCAGATACCGCGCACTAGCATGCAGCGCTCTCACTGGACTGCTTCTCAGCTTCGACAGTGAACAGCTGGGCGGTGTTCGCGCTGACAGTATTGCAGGTCTAGAGAGGGATACTCTGCCAGAGTTGAAGGGCACGGCCTTCAGAATTGTTCGTCGAGCTGCCATGTCCAAGAGTCGATCGGTGGAAGAAAGGATAAACAACGGCTCACACGTCACAAGGAGCAAAGAGGTGTCACGAAGGGAGGAGGAAGAATGGCAAATGAGAATATTCAATTGAATCACAAAAAGAACAGATAGCCGGTCCTGTACCCGGGATTACCTGAAAAGATCGCTGATTGCCACGAGGATCAATCGCTCGGTGGAGGAGGAGCTGGAGGAACTGGCAACACTACAATGATAATACTGCCCTCTACGCCGGGCCCTGCCACCGGACCGGTGACACAACCAACTTATCGCCCCTCGGGACTATGATGGTCCCTTAACTGTCTGCTTAAACTCAGTTAGGAAATCCCACGCTGGAATGCGGGGCTGGCGTGTTACCGATAGGCGGCCAGCGTCGGCACAATTGGCCAATCGACCAGTGCCGAAGACGAGTATCAGACTTGCCAAACACAATATCAGATAAACATAAGATCCATCAACAAAGACCGATCACGGTCAAGTCGTTATTGTATGATATTAAAAAATCCCAAAAAATAAGAATAATTGAGAAATGCACATGTGTAGCTCTCCATTCACGGCATAATTGGCATTTCATTGATTAGAAAAAGAATGCGTAAATTTTTTTTTTCCCGAGAGAAACTCAATAAAAGGTTTACAGCAGTTGTACAGAAAAAGGGATGCTGCCTCCGCCTGTGGGAAGAGCGCTCAGAGATATCATGACCAAAATTCATTCTTTCCTTCTTCCGCTTCCGGGTCCATCACCTCCAAGAGGTAGACCATGCATCTAATGCCCCTCCTATATAAAATGCTGTACATCTACTCCGACGCAGCAGCCGAAGAGCGCGTGGTGCGCTTGTTCACCTCAGTCTCCGACTTCTCGGTGCCAGTGCTCACGGCCTCGGCAGTCTTTGCCTTGGCATCCTGAGCAGTCTCCTTGGCCTTGGTGGCAGCCGCCTTGGCCTGTGGGGCCGCGGCGCTGCCGCCAGAGAAGATGGCGCCAACCAAGATGGAGAAAATGGTGACGGCGATGACACCAATACCACCAGCAATCTCAGGAACGAAGCGAATAGCCTCAATAGGGTCGGTCTTGGCAATGGCCAAAAAGAGGTCAAACTTCTCGCGAATGTAGTGGATCGGGTCATCAGCGAACTTGAGGTCCATGGGAGACTTGGGCTTCTCAGAGGGCTTGGGCCGGGTAGCCTCATCCTCAGCCTTCTCGACGGCGTATTTGACGTCAAAAGTCTCCTTTTGAAGCTTCTCAGCGTCCTCAATCGAGTGACCAACGTAGATGTTGTCAAAGAGAATGTCGTTTTGCATGGTCCAGATCTCGAAACCAATCTAAAATGGGGCGCTGATTAGTCATCTAATCCCACTTTACAGCAAGATGAAGAGAGATTCTCATCGAGGACGGCTACTTACAGCACCAATGGGCTCAAAGTTAGAAGGAGTCTTGTCCTCAAAGTAGTCGGGGTTGGCAATCTTGCGAGGCTTCCACACGCCCTTGTAGGCGGGGTTGTCGATGAACGGCGCGGTCCACTTGCCCTTGAAGGCCGGGTTCTTCTTCAAGGGAGGAGTCCACTTGCCGCAGCCAGAGACTTCGTCACACTTGGGGTTGGGCACGGTAGGAGGAACCCAGTCACCGTCTTCCTCATCATCCCAGTCCTCGGGCTTCTCAGCCTCAGGGTCAGGAACGAAGGCAGGCTCATCCTCGAGCCAGTCCTCGGGCTTGGTAGCTTCCTCGTCGACAATCTCAAAAGGCGCTTCCTCATCCCAGTCCTCGGGCTTGGTGGCCTCGGGGTCAGCAATGCGGGCCTCATCAACCCAGTCGGCAGGCTTCTTGTCCTTGGGGTCGTCAATCTCCTTCTCAGGGTTGACCGAGGGGCTGAAGTCCTCCAAGAGGCTGCCAGTCTTGACCGACTCGCCGTCAACCCGGATCTCAAAGGTCTGGTCCGGCTTGACAATAAGAGTATACAAAGCGGTGAGCTTGGTGTTACGAGGAATGGGCGGCGACTTGAGGTGCTTCTCCTCGTATTCACCAGTCTTGGGGTTCTTGTGCTTGAAGATGAAGTGAACCTAGAAATAATTAATACAAACTGCACACTGAGACTGACGGGGACGAAAACCTGCCTTGTTGGTGGAACCGCACTTGTCGGGACCGAACATGATCACGTAGGGAGAGGCGTTGGAGAACTCCTCGGCGTGAAGCGCCTTGTTGTCCTTGAGAAGCTTCATGTAGGCACCACCGCACTCCAGACCATCTGTGGGACAAGCTCAGTCAGCGAGTTTTCCCTCAAAGTTGGACAGGAAGCAATTCATGGGACTTACTTTGGAGCTTGACCTCATACTGAACGACAAGAGTCTTTCCCTTGTTGTTCAGGGCCTTGTCGAACTTGGCGGAGATGGCATGGTGAGCAGCCGGGTTCTTGACGACGAGACCCTTGTCACCCTCAATGCCTTTGAGCACATGAGGCTCCTCGACCGCCCAAGTACCAACGTAAGCCCACTCCTCCTCAGTTGCCTTGTCGTCGGCCTTCTTGGCGTGCGAGGGAGACCATCTGGACTCCCAGTCGTCGGTGAATTGCTCAAAGAAAGGAGCTTTGACCTCGGAGGGCTGATGCACCAAGCAGCTGTCAGTGTTCCGCACAAATGAAGCTCCTAGCTCGCCATTCCAACGACACGGAGAGGCAACAATGAATGACTTACAGTAAAGGTAGGCTTCTCAATCGACGAAGTGGTGGCCGATTCAGCGGCATCAGCGACGGCATCAGCGCGGACCTGACCCACGAGGACCGCGCTGGACCAGACCGCCGAAGCAAGGACGGCGTTAAGACGCATCGTGATTCAGTATCTGCACAATGCACCTAAGAAGTAAACAGGAATAAATTAGCAAGGCGGAATGGAGGTGGAAGCCACACTCTCACGCACTCAGTCGTTCTTCTGATTCAGAAAAGAAACGAAGGTGGTGTGCTCTCCGGGGAAGGAAGTAGAAGAAGGTGCTTTTGAAGAAGGGCGAGCTGATAATGCGGAGCTCGGGGAGTCGAAAAGGACACGCAGTTACTTTCCCTCGGGCTTGTCGACTTATCAAACTAAACCATTCAGGTCACCCAAGCGGCCCAAGAGCGAAACTTCCGAAGCAAATGGAAACATGGCCTTTTTACCATGTAATTCAATCCACATTATCGACGATCCAATTGGGTTTCTATTGATGACTTTCATACCCTGCACATTCATACATGTTTCATTACATTGTCTGATGTTGAATATCAATCTTTCATTGACATGTCTTGGCACCTGAAAGCACCTCTCAACATGTAAAGCTCGTGGCCGCCTGAGACCCCTCGCTACCGATGCTTCTGGAACATGATCCAAACAAGGTAATCAGCTCGAGATCACGTTGACTTTGTCCACCAAACATTCAATGTAAGATATTTTACTTTCTAGGCTCTACTCGCTATCTACTTTGTACTTCAATAGCATTTGCACTTACTAGCAAATAGCATACCTTAGGTGAGCACAGTAGGTCAATTCTGTACCTTAAGTAATGCACCGGTGATTGGTTGACAGTTATGTGGGGAAGAGAAGTACAGTGCTGTGTACCGGTACTGTCAACACGAGCCTGATCTGCAATTGATATACCGTCCAGATTCCATTCACACTGTTCGGCTGGCATCAGCTATCTAGTCTGTAAGTACGTAGATATGATCGTTTCATTTCTGGGTCTTCAATTTCACATCTCAGAAGCTCTGACCGTGCTATACTGCCACAAGCACACGTTTCCCCGTCCGAATGATGCAATTGGAGGAAATGGGATCGGCAAAATTATCGCCGACCAAAATAGTTTCAATGGGTGAGGGGTCCAGCATCATTCTCCGCGTACTCATTCCTGTTGTCGCTTTATTTTTCTTTATAGATACACTCGCTTTCATAGATAAAAATCAGCCGCCAAAATGGCTGAACAGGCTGGGCAGAACGATCATCTCATCATCAGCCATGATTCCCAACACCCCGCGAACCTAATCTGCGAACTGTGCCGAAAGTTTTACACCTTAGGATGGGTATTTCTTCTCATTCTCAACCGCTGAAACAGTTGCTCATTCTGCTGTAGGTTACTGGTACTGGAGGAGGCACCAGCATTCGTAAAGAGTGAGCAAAATAAATCTTTTGTCTAAGCTGTGCTCGATTGCTAACCCCTGTAACCTCCAAAAGTGATCACATTTTCCTTGCCCCCTCGGGCGTCCAGAAGGAGCTCATGCAACCCACTGATCTCTTCGTTCTCGATTACCCAACTCGAAATTACCTCAGAAAACCCCAGCAGCTGAAGCCGTCTGCCTGCACCCCGCTGTTTTTGGCCGCCTTCGACCGAGGCGCTGGATGCTGCATCCACTCACACTCTCAATGGGCCGTGCTAGTGACGCTTCTTGTCGAGAGAGACCTTGGCAAGGACGCATGCTTTGAGATCAGCAACATTGAACAGATCAAGGGAATTGGCAAGGGTAGAGGCAAAGCCGGAAACCTGGGCTACTTTGATACGCTGCGCATTCCCATTATTGAGAACACTGCACAGTAAGCCCCACTTGACCGAAGGTAATAATGGATTCTGGCTGACAAAATGCTAGCGAGGAGGATCTCACTGAAAGCCTCGAGGCTGCCATGGAGAAATACCCTGATGCATTTGCCATCCTCGTTCGGCGTCACGGAGTGTAAGTCTCCAATGTGATCCCAAAATTCCAACTGCTGCTGATACTCTGTGACAGTTATGTATGGGGCGATAATGTGCACAAGGCCAAGACTCAGGCCGAAAGGTGAGAGAAATTAGAGCCTACAAGTTGATCTGTATTTTTCTGACCTGGAAAATAGTTTGGATTATATATTCCAGCTTGCCGTGGAAATGCACAAGCTGGGATTGCCGTGGAAAGTATAATATTCAACATTTGACAAAAAATAAATATCAACCCGATAAAATTCAAAAACCCACCCGAAAACATTTTATGACTGTTGAAACACCGATCTGATCACCTTGACTCCGATCATCAATGAGATTGGTAACACCAACAAAGCCACGGTTTTCCAAGCCCATTCTTTCAATCTTCCTCAGGCGTTCTCGCCATGACTTACAGAGCAATGGCTGCAACAACTGCGCCGGCAAAGCCAGCAATCGGTACAACGACGACATGATGAGCAGCCGCGCCAGTAGCGGTGCTTGTGGCAAAAACCGCGGCGGAACTTGATGTCGCAACTGCTAAATGTGATCAATATGTTGACTTGAAAGGTGCTACATCCCAGACATACCATGACTAGAAGAAGTGGAGTGCTTAGGAGACGCCTCCGTTGGCTCTACCGTCTCCGTTACCTTGGAGACACGGTGGGTGGGAGTGGCAGAGCTATCTTGCCAATAGTAAGAGCTGGCACAGGATGACAGACATTCTCCATATTTCTTTGTGTCCTCAGGAGATCCCTTTGATGACGAAGTCAGCTCACAAGAACTTTTGTCTCTGATCAGAACTAGAAAGGCAGAATTCTTACATTCCCTTGGTCACAATTTTGCGCGCATTGCGTGTTCTTGTTCGCCTGTGAATTGTTTGGACTCGGAACGCCCACACACGCCGCTTGACAGTTGAGATCCGTCGGTGTACCTATATTCAATTAGCTCGGTCGGTCATGCGAGAGTAGCAATGGATAGCAAAACCAAGGTATGCGCGTACATTTGTTCAAGCAGGCTTGCTGCGATGCCGTTGTTCCGCTAGGGCTCTGTCCGGTCGATGTGGAGTTTCCCAGCGCCGAGACCGCGACGGTGAGACTGAGCGTGGCAATCACAGTGAAAAACCTCATTGCGGAAGATTTCCGATTTTGTGACTAGATGCGATATGATATGAGACCTTGAAAAAAGAGCTCTTTTAGGTCTGAATGTTAGGGAGAAAGGAGGAAAGAAGAGAGAGAGAAAAAGAGAGAAAAGGAAGAGTGAGCAGAAGTTGGTATGTAAGTTGCGAAAAGTTCAAGAAGAATAGGAGGGAGACAGCGGGGTCCTCGTATGTCGCGCAGGTAGATAAAGAGGGGTTTCTATCTTGCCCACTTGAGCTGAAGTCGATATTTGCGGGTTTGGTTTCATTGTTGACAGGTGTCATTGCATAGGCTAATCGAGGAATGCAGTACAGCTATGCTGGACGAATTTCCAACTCCATGACATGACGAAACACTACCCGTTTTCATTCAGATCGTCTATATAACTGCCCTGACCAAGGTGTCAGGTGCCACATTCTCTACAAATGAGATCGTCTGGCCGTTCAGTGTTCTGATTTAGACTTCAACAGTTCCTCTTTCGAGCTTTCCCGAAGGGTCTTTGGTAGATTCCATGTTTGACGCGTTTCCAGAACTTTTGCTGCCAATCAATAGGTTATTTGACTGCTGTTTAATTGAAGGTTCGATTGATATAATTATTTGACAGGAATACTCGTGACTTTTTTGCCTGCGCATCCATTTATTTTGGGTCTTTTGATTTGATAGCTTGTGGATCGTTCTCAACCTTGGTGGTTTGTTCTTTTTGAGATCTAGAAGCGGAAATGACTTGGTTCGTTTCTGATTGGCTGGGTCCCTGTACTTAGCGCTCTGGAGGGCGATCGCGGTCCAAGAAACGGCCGGGGCGCGTCCCTGTCGGTCGCGTCTCCCCGCTGCCCACCCGCGCGTATCCTCTCCGGCAGCTTTCATGACGACTGTTATCGCGATTAAACGCAATTTCTCCGACATGTTCAGCCGTCCGGATTCGGCGAAGGCCACATTTGTCTCCAATGTACAGCGACGATGGTGATGATGATGGATTTGGCGGATTTGCGGGAATTGATGACGAAGATCTTTTAAACGCTGCAACCCAATATGATCATTCGACAACTCGGACCACTGCGAGGCAAAAAGGAGGACAGACGGGCCGTGTCCATCAATCAAGCACTGTAAGAAGAAATTCTACGATTCTATAAATACTCTCTAATTATATCTGCAAAACTCAGACTCCGATTATAGCTGCAGCACAATCGCGCCCCGCTCTCCCAACTTCCCTCTACGTTCGAGCAGCCGAATCGAAACGACAAAGGCTGAATGTCGTGGAGAAAACCGGTTGTGAAGCCTCTGCAGGAGCGCCTTTAGCCCATCGTGGTGATGATCATGCTAGTCTTTCAGCACACCCCGCGGCATATTTGACAACAGATGATTACGGATCGGACGAGCTAGATGAAGCTGATGATACACGGCTTGATCCTCCGTCCTCTGCCACAAAAGCAGGAAGAACCCCATCCATATTCCTTTCCTCCCAATCATCAGCGCGCACACCCACTCATCGAACAATAACTTTGGGCCCACAGACAAATCTTCGCCAGACAACGTTGTGGGGCGGAGCATTGCAGACAAATGTTCAGAATTCCCAAGGTGCAGCGCCTCGTCGGGCCTGGCCACTGGCCAACCAAGACGAGCTCCCTACACATCACAAACTAGATCCAGAAGCGCTGAAGACATGGGTGTATCCGACGAATCTTGGCACGATTCGAGACTATCAGTTTAACATCACTCAAAGAGGACTTTATCACAACCTTCTGGTCGCATTGCCCACTGGGCTCGGGAAAACGTTCATCGCAGCAACAATCATGCTCAATTGGTTTCGCTGGGCCCCCGAGTCTCAAATCGTCTTTGTTGCCCCAACCAAACCATTGGTCACGCAACAGGTTGAGGCCTGTTTTGGCATTGCGGGTATACCAAAATCCCAGACCACATTGCTTACTGGCAGCACACCTCCAGGTGTCAGGGCAGAGGAGTGGTTAAAAAAACGCGTGTTCTTTATGACACCGCAGACAATCATCAATGACTTGAAATCAGGGACATGTGACCCAAAGAAAATCGTCTTAGTGGTCGTCGACGAAGCCCACCGCGCAACAGGGAATTATGCATACGTAGAGGTCGTGAACTTCTTACGACGCTTTAATCCTAGTTTTCGTGTCTTGGCTCTGACCGCGACTCCCGGTGCAACTGTCGATGCCGTTCAGCAGGTTATTGATGGTTTGGGCATAGCCCGTGTAGAAATCCGCACAGAAGAGTCACTTGATATTCGCCAATATGTTCACAGTCGAAATATTGAGACCTTTATATTTGATCCCTCCGAGGAGATGACCATGGTGATGGATCTCTTTTCCAAGGCATTGCAGCCTGTGTTGGACAAGCTCAACCAACAGAACGCCTATTGGAGCAAAGATCCTATGAATCTGACACCATACGGCTTGACGCAAGCGAGGCAAAAATGGATGCTCTCAGATGCGGGGAGAAGCGCGCCCATGGGTCTGAAAGGAATGATGTTTTCCATCTTCTCGATTCTTGCTACCCTTGCTCATGCTATTGACCTGCTCAAATTTCACGGTATTGGTCCCTTTTACCACAACCTCGTCGGGTTCAAAAACGACACAGGCGCTGGGGAAAAGGGTAGTAAATACCGGAAACAGATCATCGAGAGCACGCATTTTCAGCAAATGATGAATAGGGTACATTCGTGGGTTGGGAACGAAAATTTTGTTGGTCACCCGAAGCTCGAATATTTGCAGTCGGTAGTCTTGAATCATTTCTTGGATGCCGGAGAAGGGGGACCAGCTGCTAGTGGTGCCCCTCCTGCCCACACACGAGTCATGATTTTCGTGCACTATCGTGATAGTGCTGAAGAGGTTGTGCGCGTCTTGAAAAGAAACGAGCTTATTAGGCCTCATGTTTTCGTCGGCCAGGCACATTCCAGGGGATCAGAAGGAATGGATCAGAAGAAGCAATTAGACGTCGTTCATAAATTCAAAATTGGCGTATACAATACGCTGGTTGCGACGTCTATTGGAGAAGAAGGTCTGGACATAGGCGAAGTCGACTTGATAGTTTGTTATGACTCTTCAGCATCCCCAATACGAATGCTTCAACGGATGGGACGTACCGGCAGAAAACGCACCGGAAACATTGCGCTTTTGCTCATGCGGGGCAAGGAGGAAAACTCATTCGTTCAGGCCAAGGACAACTACGAGAAAATGCAACATATGATCGCGTCGGGGGCTTACTTCAACTACCACGAAGATAAGTCGTTTCGGATCGTGCCGAAGGAAATTCAACCGGTTGTCGACAAGAAAGCTATTGAGATACCAGTGGAAAATACACAGCCAGATTTGCCAGAACCGCGGAAACGGGCAGCTCCACCAAAACGGCCACCTAAGAAATTCCACATGCCTGACGGCGTCCGTGCAGGGTTTGTTAGGGCGTCAAGACTTCAGGGTGAAACCAACTCTGATGGCACTACCGAGGAAGAGGCTGCTTTCCAAGTTTCAAAACAGTCAAGGGCAGCTCAATTGGTTGAACTTGAAGCTCTGCCTGATCTGGATGAAGTATTGCTGAGTAACCGGGAGGAGACAGAGCTTAGCCAGAGATATCAGCAAGTTTCAGGCGGCGATGAGGTGCAAGTTGTGAGTATGCCCCGGCTGAATGCCTATCCAGCTCGACAAAGGATCAGCTCTTATACAAAGCTCCTGAAACATGGCCAAGTCACGAAACGAACTGTTCGCCTACTTCATAAAATGCATAGCATTGGGAAAGAACAAGTCGAGCAGCTGGAGGAGAATGTCCATATGGAGGATCTCGAAGGCGACCCTATCGAGCTTGACGGGCTTGCAGTCAAGCTCTCCCCAGAGCCCGAAGTCGAGGACGCACAAGCATTTCCTTCTCAGAAGCAACTGAGCTCGCAGTCTCTTCGAAGAAAACAGCATGGTTCATATCCGGGTTTACGGACGGAGCTTGTCTCTCTTGAAGCGGAATCCTCCACCGATGAGAGTGCCACGAGCGGTGCACATCGCGGTCAAGGGCCAACCCAAGAAACAGATACGGACATGGATGATTTCATTGTGCCTGACGAGGAAGACGTGATGCCAGCTGAGTCGGCTGCGTCCTCCCCGCCCTCTGTTTTAGGCTCCTCCAAGCATCCATACTCTTCACCACGGCAGATTCTCGGATGCACAACAGCTGCAGACTCAGAGGAAGACCTTCCGGACATTGACACACTGGTGAACTGCCCAACGGACGGAAGAGATCCTTCTCCCATTAGTTCAATAAGTAATGCGAAACTGTCGTCGAGCTCGCCGGTACGCAATTTGCACAGAAACAAGAGAGCTCGACGCAATATTGTGGATGACAGCGAGGACAGTGACGACTAGATATGGTTTTGGATATGGATTAACAAGCATGTCTTACGGCGTTTAATGGGCATTATCATTGACGGTTTAGGGTATTATCATAATTGAGGATTATTTATTGGAGAGATGGGAGAGTATTAGACCTATCTAGTACGTGTCACTTTTATAAGACGCGAATATATGAAATTTATCGAGTCACTTCGTAATTCATGCAAAATTATGGTTTCTTTCAGTCCTCCATATCTGACAACTCTGCTGGCTTGGGCAATGCCTTTGTTCAGGGTCCGAGTCAACGAATCCACCCTCCTGCTCTTCGCTTGCAGCGACCAACAGGGGTCCCTCAGAGAGCGAGGAGCAGCCCGTGCGCCTCACCGAACGTCGCATACCGTAAACACAGCAGTATCACCACGTTACTTCCTCCTTAATCCTGGCCAACCCCTCTTCCTCTGCATTACAACCATATATTTCTTGCGACTGCATTTGAAATTCGAAGATGTCAAGCGACGAACAGTTTGACAGCGCCCTGTACGTTCCGCTACACTTTGGTGCTTCATCTTCGGCGCAATTGGAGACGGGAAGGGGCTATGCAAAGATGGCACGTCAGATCATTTAAACGGCAATGGCTAACATTTTCCCTCTCAAATAAAAGGGACCTTCTCCGCCGGCTGAATCCCAAACATACTTCGCAGAATCTCCAGGCCATTTGCACACTTGTACCAGACCTCACCGAAGATCTACTCTCCTCCGTCGATCAACCGCTTGAAATCCGCCGCTGCAAAAAGACTGGCCGAGACTATCTGCTTTGTGACTATAATCGAGATGGCGATAGTCATCGGAGTCCGTGGAGCAATGAATTTGATCCCCCACTGAGCGATGGCACGATGCCGAGCGAAAAGGTTCGCAAGATGGAGATTGGTGCAAATGAGGCGTTTGATGTTTATCGGGAGCTGTAAGTTGGGCCACCCAGGAAGAGAGTTACTTGAATTTGGAAATTACCTGGAAGAAAGTTGCTAATATGCGCCTTTCACGTCATAGCTATTACGAGGGCGGTGTTTCCAGCGTTTACTTCTGGGATCTGGATGACGGATTCGCTGGCGTGGTTTTGCTGAAGAAGGGTATGTATATGTGATGCTCCTTTTATCAGAGCGGACTCAATGCCTCGGCTTGTAAATAGATTTGCTAACCTCTCGTTTTGTGTCTTAGCTGCCTCACCTGGAGGCAAGAGCCAAGGAGTATGGGACTCGATCCACGTCTTCGAAGCTGTCGACCGCGCACGCACCGCCCATTACAAGCTCACTAGCACCGTTATTCTTAATTTGAGCACAGATACTGAGGGACTTGGTGGCATGGATCTCAGTGGTAATATGACACGACAGGTTGAACAGGATCATCCCGTTGAGAATGACGCCTCACATATTGCCAATGTTGGCAAGGTGGGTTGCAAGATTTTATCATATAACAGGGCCTTGAATTTCTTACACATTTTTTATACAGATGGTCGAGGACATGGAGCTGAAAATGCGGAATTTATTGCGTGAGTCCAAACCCTAAATTTTATGTTGCGCTTGTTCTAATGAAATTCACAGAGGAGGTGTACTTTGGCAAGGGTAAGTCCCATTGGCAATGTTTCAGGAATAACATTCTCACAACTTGATAGCAAAGGATGTTGTAGGCGATCTGCGAAGTAGGTGCTTTCTGCTACATTTCGAGGAAGAGCATAATTGACTTTAGTATTGTAGGCATCCCCCCTCTGACTCAGGCCAACAAGGACCGCGCCACGCACCAGGAAATGATCAACGCTATGCGCCGATAAAGGAGCAGCCGGGTTTTATACTTACTTTGACTGTCTCAACGATGCATACGTTTTCACTCATCCATCAATCCAGTACTTCCTCTATGATTTTCCTCTTGGCCTCATTTCCCGTTCGGAAATTTTCATGGCCTTTGTTTCTTGAAGCAAAGCATTATACAGTCCAAATCACATACATACATGATATAGACTTTGATCGATTGGTCTTCATCCCTACAAATATGCAATTCGATATCATCGCAATGTCAGCTAAAACAGGTAGAATTCTGTTGAACTGATTGTGTTGGGCATTTACTCTTTCAGTTATACACGAATCAAGTGTAGCTTGACAGGTCAAGTCTTATCGATAAAGCTTCCCCGCCTAATTGCTGTCCCGTGCCGCGGCCCCACCAGTTACCCGGGCCCGAGGATCTTCAACTCGTACGAGCATTCGTAAACAAGCTCAATAACGCTCTCTAACGCATCTCAACATTATTCTTTGCGGTATTTGTTTCCCCTTTTTCATTCATTAGTATCAGGCTTTCAAAAGAAAATAATAAAGACTGCTTCATTGAGCTCTCTTATTTGGGCGCGAGTCGAACAAGATGGCTGCTCCGGATGCAACTACAATCAGAGATCTTTCTGGGACTTGGGTGATGGTATGACTCGTGAAATTTCCCGCATAAGCTGCTATCATGATTCTTTTTCAAGGCGTTCTTAGTTTGAAGCTTTCAGAAAATGAAGTGGAATGAAGTTATTGCTGCTTGCTAATGACGTATTTGCTGCTATAGAACAAGACTCTCTCGGATGATCCTGATCCTATTCTGCAACTGGTATGACCCAAGATGGGAGGCTTGGAATTGAAACGACGAGTTTATGGCTTTAGAAACTCTGTTACTGACATAGTATATAGCAAGGCATTGGCTGGTTCCTCCGCACTGCAATCGGACTCGCCACGATAACTCTTCACGCCAAGCAGTATGTGACAGAAGATGGTGTTACACACATTGACATTGACCAGACAGCAACTGGCGGTATCAAGGGTACATCTGAGAACCGAGAACTCGACTGGCAATTCCGGAAGCACTCGGACTACATTTTTGGTGCGGTACAGGGAAGGTCACGCTTCATTAAGCTGGAGGATGTGGAAGATGAATTCCTTAAATCTGGATGGCTTGACGAGATTAAGCAAGATGTTGCTATCCAGAATTACGTCGAGAGCTTGGATGCGGGTTGGATAGCCAATCAGGTATACCTTCCATGAATTTTGGATTTCGTCACGGAGACCCCTGACGGCGAGGGAAGTAGAGAGAAATCTCATGCTGACACGATTGTGCAACAGATCTGGGGATTTGAATTAATTGAAGGAAGACGCCATTATGTTCGACATGTAGTAGTTACGAAGGGCGACAAGCGGGAGCAGGCACGCTTGGTGTACGATTATGTCGAGGCTCAGGATGATACCCTTGATATTGCTTACTGATTTGAAAGATACGAGAAATCGTCGGTTCTCGATCTTCGGCAGTCTGTCTCAGAGTTCCAGAATTCGCATTCGCATTAAGAGAAGCACCGTCAATAGCGTCATTTTGGATAAATGTCGAAATATATTGGGAGTGCGAGAAACGAACCATTAATTTTGTCTTCTTATTTTTCTCCATATTTTGCTCAAATACGAGAAGGAGAATTCACGTATTGAAGCTTCTAAGCATCAATGTTGAAGTAAATGTTCGATCTCAAATGTGACGTATTGAGTTGGTCTCACATGCGCGTACCTGGCCAATCTCGCGTAAAGTGCAACTTAGACTGTCAGGGTCCAGAAGTCGGACATCTTAAACAAACAACAAACCCGAAACTTGTAGATACGGCCCACGAGCAGCAATGGCACTCAGCAGAAAATATGCTGGGCTCCCTGACTTGGTACGCTAACTATCTTTCCGATGCTACCCCATCACTGCTCAAACTGGTTATCTATTTTCGTAATGCGACGAACAAGAGCACTAACGCTCGCTGGAATCACAGGACCTTGCACCAGATGTCTACGAGACGCCTGCATTGACAGAAGGCTCCACTCACCCAGTAAGCCTATCTTCCCAGGGGCTCTCTAGTACTCCAATTTCTCTCAATGAGTCTTACCCAATGTGCTCCAGACCTCCGACACTGCCCGTTCAGACTCAGACTCTGGCGACGAAGCCGAAGCGATTGACCGGGCGCGGCTGCGCCTTGACAATGCACGACTACAATTTGAACCCGCACGGATAGACGCCCGAGATGTCGATTTCTCCGATCGTATCGCGCTCAAGCGCAAGTCATACCGAGCGAGCAGTCGGCGTCAGCGAGGAGGTCCTGACGGCGGCGACGACGATGACGATGACGCTTATAGCGACGAAGAGGAAAGCCTGGAACGAAAACTCGCACGACTACGCAGAGAAGTCGAAGAAGTGCGGCTAGACATGCAGAATAAACAAGCGGAACAAGTGGGCGAAAAGGAGATCTCCGCAGAAGACGAGGGACCCAGCCAAGATTCGCCGGAACAAGATATTAATGAGTTATGCAATATCCTGGACGATTTGGAAGCTACAGGACGCAATGGTGGGAAGAGTATAGGTCCCGAAGCAAGACTTTTACAAGCGCTCAAGTCGCGGATACCTAGCGCAGATGCGGCACTTGCTCGAGAGGTGAGTCTCGAATTTGTTCTGGTTATCTGGATCCTGCCATATATCGATTGCAATATGGATGCTGATGAACGGGCTTACTTCCATTTTTCAGCCTCCACCAGCCCCAGCAGCTCCGACCGATCCCACTCTCGAACGAACACATGCCCTCACCCGCGTGGCAGATTTCGAAACCCGTCTCGCGGCACTCGAGCAAGCTTTGGGCCTTGCAACCTCTTTGACCGGGGGTGTCGACGACCCATTCAATTCTCCGCCCGTCTTGCCCACTCTTGACAGACTAGACAGACAGCTGAGCGCGTTGCTGCAGAGTTCTCCTGCATCCCTCGAGGCCGTGAGTCGGCGAGTCCGCGACCTTGCGCGGGACGCGGAGAAACTGGAAGAGCTTACAAAACGGGCAAATACATCATCTGCTGCTGCTTCCGCTGCTACTTTTTCTGGCTATTCTGCATCTGAAGAACAACTCCCTTCCTCCTCAAGTACCCAACACGATGCAGCGCCTCTAGCTGGTTATACCGGCGGCGAGGAAGATGCAACTGCTGCTGCTTCTTCTTCCCCTTCAAAATTCGCTTCAGAGCAAGTCGCCAAAATCAATGCGCTCTATGGCACTCTTCCTTCCATTCAATCTATGGCTCCTGTTTTGCCGTCGCTGCTCAACCGTCTTCGCTCGCTACAGGTCATTCATGAACGCGCCGGGTCGGCAGTCTCGGATCTTGACGAGCTCGAGCGCAGTCAGGCGGACATGCAGACGGATTTGAAAAAGTGGGCAGAGGGCCTCGACAGGATCGAGGAGGCTATGTTCAAAGCGGAGACTACGACGGGTGGGAATGTCGAGGTCGTAGAGGGCTGGGTCAGAGGGTTGGAGGAACGCATGAAGTGTTTGGGCGTATGATGGGTAGATTATTTTTCCATTTTTGATTTCGTCTTTCCTTTTTCATTTTGTTTTATCTTTATTTTTCTTTTCTTTTCTATTCATTTGATTTGAAAAGATTTCGTCTTTCGCCAATTTCTGTCGTCGGGCTTGTAATATAGCGGTAGATATCACTGTATTGGATTCCATTTTCACCAAGCATTTCAAGCATGAATTGTGTCTGTGAGTGTCTCTTGCATTCCAACATGTTGCTGGATCATAATTTTATTATTCTTTGCACAGCTTTTTTTCTAATACGGTTTACTTGACTCATGGTTAATTACTTTTTTTACAATCCTGGATATCTATATAAACTTGACAGTATATATGCACAAGCCATTACTCTTCCATCCCCCACCCCCTACGCTTCCAGAACATCTTACACTTGCACTTCCGCAGGGACTCGCGTCTGGCGCTTGAGAATATATATCATCGGGCGCATCTTGACTTCGACCCAGTATCCCCTTGTGACTTTTGTCCTGAGGAACTTCTCCGCCTTTCGCCAGGCCTTGTACAGCATATGTTCCAATGGTTTTGCACGTGATGCCTGCACGTCATTCTGCTTCTCAACATCCTCTTCTCCCAAAGGCCCAGTCTCGTCCCCTTCGCAAGACCCGATTGTATCATCCCGTATGGCATGACAATCCCTGGTCAACCCGATCCCGGCAAACCCGTGGATTTGGTCGACTTCTTCCCACATGCCAATGACTCGTTCCGGGTGCTCGGCGAGAACGTAGTCGAATTCTAACCAGAAGAGCGGATCGAGGAGGTTGGCCTCGTCGTTGGATTTGTCGTAGATCCATGAGTGGGAGATGCCACCTTCTGAAAGTAAACGTGATTTGGAAGTCTGTCGGCTGTCATCGGACGTGGTGAATGTTGGTAATACTAGCTCTATAGGCCGCGATGCCCCCGGTTGCATCTCGGGATCGTCAAGTTGTAAGAAGCGCGTAATGCCCGTTTTGCAACTGAGGTCGTCGAGATGGACTTTGACCACGTCGGTGGTCGGGATGCCTCCGCCTATGTCCGTGTGTGCGCCATCTGGTAACGCTGATGGCGAAGCTGATGATGAAAATAAAGATGAAGATGATGAAGAAGATGAAGGGGATGAAGCAACGATATGATGAAGTCTCTGCAGCGCGACGGCACCAGGATAATTCAGTGACGAAATGGTCAACATGGCTGTACTTGCCGCGAAGCTTGCGAGAACGGATCCCACGAGCGCTAGCGCCAGGAATACGTACAACATGCTTTTGGCACGACGGTTCCAGATCCAAGCCGCGCCGAGGCTCGCAGCCGCAGTAAGTGCCGGCACGACATACACGATGAAGCGCCACTCCTTGTGCGGCTGGATACTGTATATGCCGACAAACGCGAGATTGGGGATCAAGATGTCCATACTGGCCGAGCGGGTCGAAATGTTTGCCAGCGCGAGAGGAATGCAGAGGAGAAACGTCAAGGGGTTTAGCAGAAGTCGCGGAAGGGCGTTGAAGAGGTAGAACCACCATGGACTGGTTCCCCAGTCGGACGATTTGCCTTGTACGGCGTTGAAGTAGAAGCCGGCGAGCTCGGCCCACGTGGGGAAGTATTGCGAGAAAAAAGAATCAATGGGGACAGCTACAGCAAGGCCGATGACGAGGCCGCTGAGTCCGGCGGGGATGATTTCGTGACGGAGAGAGAGACGGTGCCGGATCAGGTACAGGTAGATGGTGTGAGTGCCTAGTAAGAGAGCGATTTCGCTGCGGAATATGACCCCGGAGATGGTCAGGAGGTAGAGTGCCAAGCGGGAGCGTTGTGGCGGGTTGAGGCCGCCGCCAGAGGTGGCTTGGTTGGAGGGAAGAAGAGCAGCGAGGGCAAGGGTGGCTGAATGAGTTAGTGGGGGTTTTGGACGACTGCGGGTGTCAAGGAAGATGGAACAGAGGACGGGGAGGAGATGAAAAGACGTACTCAGCCCAAAGGCAAACATGTTAGGCAGCGTGCGCGAGGCATAGTAGATGATGTGGAACTGGCTGGCTTGAAACAGCAGATACCATCTTCCTGCTGTTTTGCCGAATGATTTGGAGACTGCGCGGGCAAAGACAGCTAATGCGGCGGAGTTGAGCAGGCCGAGAATACCGCGAACTTGCAGACTGTCAGCATGCAACTCTGAACAGATTGATATGCTAGCATAAAACAAGTACTGAACGGAAAGAGCATTTCACGCCCAGACAAACGCAAGAGGTTGCTCAAGAGAGAAATAACTTGTCTGTGATGACGTAAAACAGAGATAAGATCAGAGCACTTACCAAGCATCTGCCTGTCCACCCATTCAAACGCTGTCAAAGGATGAGCCAGTCCCGCCAGTAACAGGGCGCCTACAAACGTCCTGGGCACTGGACTAGGAAACGTAAAGTGGTCATAATGAGCCTGCAGCTTAGACTCTGCATTCGTCAGGGGCACGCCATATGCCAGGATATCATGCGTGGCTTGGATATTGAACGACTCCTCGACTTTGGTGTACGGAGCAACAATGAGATGAAGAAGAATTAAACTTGGTATGAGAAGATAAAAGAGAGTATCTATTATCTGATTAGTACATGTGGCTAGGATGTGACTTGATATATATATTTACCGCAGAGCTTCATTTTTTGGTCAGATGCACGTGAAATGGTATGGTGTTGAGTGTTTAGCTAGGGTATCAAGGCGCACATAGCTCCGTTGACATTGATGACATCCAGGAAACTGCCGTACGGTTTTCCCTATACTTTTTGTCTTTTAGTTCCTTTTAATTGAAACAAGTATAAAAAAGAGGAAATCAAGAGCATACAATCCGTGAGTAGAATACCGTATTATTTCCAGACACATGTCAACAGAACCCTCCACTAGGTCTGCTGGATCGTCTCCGTGATTCTACACCTACCAGTCCCGCAAAAGTCCCTCGAGCTCTACGGCAAAGCACAACTACCATTTAAGCTACGACTTGGCCGACGCGCGACGACAACCAGGCAGTTGCAGTTACATACGATTATATCCATTTGACGCCCTGACGCTTCAACATTTAGAACCCTCTCGACTCTATTTCCCAAATAATCCAAGAAGCGCCAACATCACCTGCGCACACGTAACTTCTCTCCAATCACCGGTCGTCTACAATACGCCTTTCTTCGCAAGCAAGCGGACCTTGAACGCCGTCTCCGTCTCCGTCTCTATCCCTCCTAGACTTCGTTCCGCATACCATATCAGATACCTACAACTCTCCACATCTGCGCCAAGATGATGCTCTTTGCATTTGGATCGTTATTCTACGGTGCGCATTCTTTATTCCCTTCTCAAGCGTCCCATCAACATGGCCGGCGGACCATCAATTCCCTGCCTTTCATGTTGCGCAAAATACCATATTACATTTCCCTACATATTACATCCCCCCAAAGCGCACAGAAGCTAACATATGGATGTGTAGCCTCCATACTAATAATCAACGCCATTGCGATCCTTTCCGAAGACCGATTTCTTGCCAGAAGTACGTTCTCTCGAACCCGATGGTCTTTCATATCCGCTACACACTTCCTCCGTCATACTTTGGGCGTTCCTGCCCTTCATTCATATCTTGGCATGCTGCACCGCTTTCTCTCCTCTCAAGTCTTCTTCAGGCGCCATTGGAAATTTCCACATCTACATCAAATTGTCTACCGCATCCACCAGCAGTGCCGCTGCGCTACCTATATACAAAGACCCCCACGGCTTCCCCAACACAACACCCTACCATTACCCCACATATACCAGTTACACCGTCACAGTACCAAGTCTCAACGTAACATATCATGCTAACACTTTACACAGTCGGGTGGGGCACGACGACCGATCCCGGCTTCGGCGGATCCGCAGACTCGACGAGCGTCAAAGCCAAGATTATCAACCTGATTGCATCTGTGCGGACACTGATGAGGAGTATGTATTTATCTATTTGTCAACATTTGTAAATGTTCAATCCCTGCTGCTCCCTATCACCCTTCCTTTTCCCCTTTGCCTTTTTTTTTTATTTCCCTTTTCTCTTTGTGTCCCGTTTCAACACCTTCCTTTTTTTTTTATTCGTCTCTTCAAATCTGCTATTATTTTCGTATTCCTTCTTCCAAATCCGCTGTCATTTTCCATTCGTCCTTTCCAAATCCGCCGCTATTTTCGTACTCATCCTCTCCAAACCCGCTGTTTTTTTTGGTATTCCTTTCCTCCAAATTCCCCTCCAAGAGAAAAAAAAGTGTTGGGAAAAGGAGGCATGGATGGATGGAAGGGAGCAAAACAAAACCGAAACGAAACGAAACAAAACAAAAGGTCACGTAATCAACTAACTCATTTCCAACACATATAGTACCGCTCATTGCAATAAACTCGCTCGTCATAATCTACGAACTCGTCCTAGGCTGACCTTACTCCTTACTCCTTACTCCTTGTTATCGAACGATGGATACGAAAGAAAAAAGAGAATTCAAGGATAAAGATAACATACCTTACCTTACTTTATATATTACTACCTACCTATGTTTAGATACATTGTATACCTGTACTACGCCCCGGCCTCTTCGCATTTCCAGCATGAACTGGGCTTTCTTTTCTTAAGGCATCTCGTCTCAGCAAAGTCACAACATGGGCGTTTGATTGGAGTTAACTACCTTTCTGTTACTATTTTGATATTTTTTCTCCTCTTGTGGCATAATTTCCGTATCAAATATTTGATGATGCCAAAAAGAAATGTAATTCGCCATTCGCTTCAAACTTCAGATTCAAAGGAGAAGAGATGAGAAGAGAAAAAATAAATAAAGATGAGAAATTTTAAAAGATGAAATTGAAACGAGTCATGTGTGTCATGATAAGTTAATGGTACTTTGATATGCAATACTATACTTTGCTACTCTTGCTACCCTTGCTCATATGGAGATGAAGTGTAGAATGAAATGGAAGAAGAGGAGAACAAACAAAAAAAAACTTGAAGGGAAATGCTAAACCTCTTCCAGACAGCACATGAGATTCAAAGCCCTGATGCATTTCTATTGCAACCTAGTGTAGCACAGAAACTACAACTCTACACCTTGAGATCCTGCATCTTTTTTATCGGCTCGTTCACTTCATACCCGCCATTGTTCTCCTTATACGGCGGCAGGCCAGCAAACTTGTTAATCCAGTTCAAGACGACGGTATGCCACTGGAGCGAATTCTCGGGTTTGAGGACCCAGTGGTTTTCATCGGGAAAGGTGAGGTACATGCTCGGCACGCCACGTTTCTGGAGGACATTAAACGCTGCGAGGCCTTCGCTGACGGGCAGTCGATAGTCGAGTTCATTGTGGATAATCAGATGCGGGGTCTCCCAGTTGCCCGAGAGACGCGAAGGATCCCAGCGCTCCCACTGGGCGCGCTTGTCCCACAGGGTGCCGCCCAGATCGTGAAAGGGGAAATAGAGCTCGTCGCTGGAGATCTGGTTGGCCATGCTGAAGACGCCGTCGTGCGTGACGAGGGCTTTGAATTTGCGTCCGAGCGGGTTGCCTTGGATCCAGTTCATCATGTAGCCGCCGTAACTGGCGCCGAGGGCGACGGCACGGTCCGTGTCAACGTATGACAGGTTGTCGCGAATGTATTCGAACCCTTTGACAATGTCGGTGTACGGACGACCGCCCCATTCTTCCTGGATGGCGTCGACAAAATCTTGTCCGTAGCTGGTGCTGCCAGTGGGGTTGGGCGTAATGACGACATAGCCTTGCTCGGCGAACACGGCGGGGTTCCAGCGCGTGCTCCAGCTTTCGGCCCAAGCGCCCTGTGGGCCACCGTGGATGAGATAGGCTAGTGGGTATTTCTTGCTGGAGTCAAAGTTGGACGGCTTGACGACCCATGCGTGGACCTTGTAGTCGCCTGCACCGGGAAACCAAATGTCGGAAACTTGGTCTTGGGAGAGTCCAAAGGTTTTGCCGCCCTTGGAGCTGGATGAGATGAGTTTGAGTTCGCCGGGCTTGGCAGGGTCAAGGATGCTGTAGTAGCTATTGTCCACCAGGCTGGTGCTCGAGATGAAGAGCTCATTGGATGATTTGGATGCTGCGGCAATGTCTGAGACGGTGCCCGTGGTGGTCAGTTTCTTCGGTAGCCCCTTGATGTCGGCAGGGTTAGAAGGCAAGGAAAAGAGAATGCCGCGGCCAGTAGCTTCTGCAACCAGATAGAGCGTGTTTCCGTCATTACTCCACGAGACACTGGAAGGACTGGAATCCCAGGCACCTTTGCCATTCTCGGATGCTAATAATTCAACAGTCTGAAAGGGATTTGTAAGATCCGGAATGAGAATGACTCGGTTCTTGTCACTTTCGTAGCCGTTCTTCTTCATCTGCAGGAAGACTGCCTTTGTTCCGTCTGGCGATATCACTGGCGAGGTGCACGCGCCCTCGAGGCCATCTACCACAACCTTGATCGGTTCTGGCGTAGACAGGCCCGTAAAGGTCTTGATTGGAATAAAATAGAAATGAGCTTTGGTGTTCGTTGCAGGGTTCTCATCCGGGTCCTTTGCAACAAAGGCAATGCCACTTGAGCTCAGGTCAAAATGGTCAGTGCCACCAAAGGGTGGGATAGGAGATTCGATGCCAGTACCCTTGAGACTGTTGGTGAGTTTGGACAAGGTGTATTTGTCACTGCTATTTGTGACATGGGAAGGTTCCAAGGTCAGCCGGCCGTAGAAGATGGAGTTTCGCTGAGGCGATAGGTAGTAGTCCCAATGACGGACAAAAAGCGACGTATACACTTTGCCTGTGGATTGTTGTTTTGGAGCCTTTTCGGGGTTGTAAAGTGCACCATCGGGAGTAGCTTGGCCGACCACTGCAACGGCAAATGCGTCGTCGGAGATTTTGGCAAGTTTGATATTGGACACGGGGCCGTCAATGACACCAGCAGAATAGGAGTGTATTTTGGAGGTATCACTAAGATTGGCTACAACAAGTGTTGTTTTGCCATCACTTCCCGATTTCAACCAAACGACGTCATTGCCGTCGCCAATCCAATTTGGATCACTCGCCTTCTCGTCGTCGGTGACCAGATGCGACTGACTAGAAGCAATGTCAAGTACTCTGATCTCGGACTTGCGCGAATGTGACTCGAATGAATAGGTTGTGACGCTGAATAGTGCAAGAGTGCCCCGAGCATTGGGCTTGCCAGATGACCGACGCGGCGCCGAGAGGAGGACTCTGCATCACAAGTCAGCCACCGTATTCATTCAACAACTGTGACTTGATCGCTGGCACCAGTGTAATGGAGCACCGCTCGTGAGGTTGGTTTGGTAAAGGGGAAATGCAAAACATACTCTGGAGTAAATTTCGATGCTCTCACAGTCATATTGAGCTCCCTTTGTCTCACTGAGCTCGGAATATGAACTGATTACCTAGGTAGATTGATCAATCTCTCCTTGTCAATGCTTGGTTGTGTACTATCTAATAATGCGTTCGTATCAATCGTATCGCGGAATTAGAGCCTTTCTTTCACGACCGCCTGACAAGAAGACAGGTGTTGAAAGTGAGTGTGGAACAAGTGCGAAAATGCAATGAGGGAGCTTGATGGTGCAATTGTGTCAGTTACAGCAACATGCAGCCGCAGCAACAACGGCGGGGGAGCTCGGAAAGGGACCATTGCAGGGGAACAGACAGTCACCTTGACGACGCGGGGGGGGAGCTTGGATAAGCTACCTGCCAGGTTGGGCCAAGTGTGTCCGGGGGGGCCACGCCCGATAAGTCAAGTGGAGAGATACTCGTACGTAGTAATTCTCGCTATGATGTGGCCTAAGCTCTCCCTAAATCATCACTAATCCTTGAGGGAACCCTGTACACCTATCCTTATTCCATGGCTACACATTACTGCTGCCATAACTACAAAGTCTACGATACAGATTTTACCAGCGGGACGGTCGCAGATATAGCCGGGTTTAAACGAAGAGCAAAAATACCGATGTGAATTGTAATTATTTTGAAAAAACATAGACCACTTCTTATCTCTTTTCGACTCTTCGTATTAGGAGTATTTCAAGTGTGAACAAGTAAATTGGAATTTGCTAGGAGAATGATCGTTTTGCGTGCAGGATATTGGAGCTCATCTTGATCCAACGGGTTACGACCCAATTAATGCCTTGCGGACCTTCAATGCCGCCAGCTCGACAGTCGCCACAGCAGTGGGCGACTTCCGTGTCGCTTCAAGCATAGCAAAATCATGTACCTGGCCATCTGCGCGGAATATGGCCGTCTCAACACCGGCCTTCTGTAATTCGTGACCAAAATTCTCTCCTTCGCCGCGCAGAGGATCTACGCCTGCCACAATGATCAAGCTCGGAGGCTGACGAGCAGCTTGCGCTTTTGACATGAGAATTGGCGACAGTAGATAGTGTTGAACGTCGCTTCCTTTGGGGACAAACGCATCTTTCATCCACAACATCGTCTTGCGCGTTAAATATGGCCCATTCTCAAAGCTTTTGTAGGTATCCGACTCGCGAGACAAGTCTGAGACTGGATAGAAGAGAACTTGGTAGGCCACCTTGGGCCCACCACGTTCAGCCACGAGGTTCGACATGGCAAGAGTCATGTGGCCTGATGTTTGAAAATGTCAGGAAATGATCGCTATTACAACAGTGCTGAAAGCTTACCTCCAACGCTGTCTCCGAGAAAGACTGTCTTATCTGCCTTCACGCCCAAGGTGCTACTGTTGGCGACAATGTAGGCAATTGTGGCGTAAGCTTCTTCGAATTGCACCGGAAACTGCGCCTCTGGACCAGGTGTATAGTATGGAAAGGCAATGGCACAGCCAGACTCCCTGACTAGGTCGCGTACGAGGTTATCGTGCGTGTTTGGACTACACATGATGATATTAGGATCAATTGACGCCAAGAGCCTTGCGAAAAGACGCGCCTTCCCAGAATCCAACCTCCCCCATGGAAGTAAAATGCCAATGGGAGTGGACCCTGTGCATTGGCTGGCTTGAACAAGTACGCTCTGATCTTTCCCTTGGTGAATTCAACGGGGACATCGAATCCCACAACGGATACATCTGACGCAGCTGTATGCTTTTGCGCGTTCTCCAAGAACTCGCGCGCATCTTTATACGCTAGTTCGTAAAGAGGGGGGCCACCAGCTTTGGTGAGGACATCGACAAATCCCTGATTGACAGGGTCGAGGTATGGAGTAGCCATGACAACAAAATCCTAGTATCGTTCAAGATTCCAAGCAATTACTGCAAATCTCGGGCGTGGTCCACGGTGCAAAGGCGACGTCCTGCGCTTTAAATGCCATGACGGTCAAAGCCGGACATGTAGCTGATGGGCGGATTCGAGAGTAATCCAAATAACCTTCGATGAATAGCCGCAAACATAGGCATGCTTCGCCCAAATGCGACCGCAATGTTTTAGTTCATTCACATGTTATGCTCGTAGCACGTCAGTTTCGATGATTATCAGCGAAGATACGTGGGGCAATTTGTGTAGGTTATGCCGGTGCATTTTGGTGATCAGTCCGGTCCCAGCCACAACACAGTTTTAAGTTAGTTCACTGGTACCCTTTGCCGAATGGTAACCTTCCCCCAATGTTAAGTCGACGCTTTACTCTTCCAGCTCCACCTGCATGTCTTGTTCTGGATGGCCCGGTCAGCACGTTTCTTTAATTCGTCTTAAGGCTGTAAGCAGTAATCGCCATACCATAAAGTCGTTGTGCGGAGTGTATAATAATCTCGGCTTTCATAATGAGTTTCTTCTGATATTTGTCTTCTTCCTCGGCATCCCGCAGGGACACTTTTCTTGGTTGAGCCTGATAATGCGCCATTAGAATTTCGAATACATTCAAGTAGTACAACTTAATCACCTACTTGTAATAATATTGGAATGAGTTCCTTTGGCTCGCTATCTGCCAGCATCCTCACACTCCTGATGCCATTCTCCCAAAAGACGCGCGCAGTCCGGCTTTTGACAAATGTAACACGGGCTAGATCAAGCAGATCCGCTCGAGCACCTGAATCCTGTCAGCTCATGATGCGGAATTCAAATGACACTCTAATTTTACCTGCACTCAATCTGTCGCTCATGTGGTCCAAAACTGCCGCCAACATCCCCCAACCCATCCGCTGACAGAACTTAATCATACCCGCCGCAAACCCCTGACAAGTCTGGGCTAGATTTTGAACCATTCCTCGCGGAACGTCGTACTTTTTCGCCACAGCATACACTGGCATCTCATTACAAATGTCTCGAAGCTGGAAAGCGGCGTAAAAGCGACGGTATATGCGAGCTTCTGCCTGTTCTTCTTGTGTTCTTTCCTTCAGGGACGCGCCAAGATTTGCACTAAGTTCAGTTGATCAGTCGAATTGCCCCAGGATATCCAGGATAGCCAATTTCAATTGCTCACCATCGATTGACCACGCCAGGCTTAACTCCAACATATTGAAGAACACGTAAGCCGCTTTCATCCAACTTGTCAACCTCGTCCCGGAAGACGGCCCAATTGACATCTGCTAGACCTGCCGTCTGTATGGGGGTGAACATGTAAAAAACGTGCATTTCGCCGTCCATTACGAATGCGCGAAGCGCTCTTTGAATCTCCGCATGCACGAAGAGACCATCCTCGGGCGCAAGTGAAGATGCAACTGTAGCTTGGCCTAGTTGCGTTGCATTGAATGTACCGTCCGGCTCCATTGCAATTAATGCAGCCTCGACAAGCTCATCAAGTGTTGAACCGATGAATTTGTCTAAGCCACCATTCTCATCTTCGTGATATAGTAGGGTACGCCGGACGTATTCGTTCAAAGCTTCAGGGTCTGTTGCTAGGCGCGTGGTAATCACTTCAAGCAGTGCTCTTCGCCATGAATTAGTGCTAATTTGACTTTGCATTGCGTGATGGGGGACTAACCTTTTTATTCCACGCCTATCAGCTTTCAAACAGCTCTTCAAGACTGGAAGATTAGCCTCCATGAGCTGCGCGACGGTTTCAATGTCACGACTGCGACAACAAATGTACGCCTCCCCAAGTTCGTCTTTGCCTTTTCGTCCAGCTCTTCCTCTCATCTGTCGTCTAGATACATGTTAATATAGAGCTAGCATCTCAGTCTTATATGATGACGTACAGCATAGCAGGGCCAATAAAGTCGCGTCCCATTCTCGCACCGTGCAGAATGACCCTTCGCGCTGGGAGATTTACACCTGCTGCCAAACTGCAGGTAGCCACAATTACTTTTATGACACCTTGATCGTAGGCATTGGCGATAATGTCTCGTTCCTCCGTTGTCAATCCAGCATCTGCGGGGCTATTAGCGCGAAGATATCTCTGATTCAAGCATTCAAACTTACGGTGGAATCCTACACCTCGCGGGATCGTTTTCTCCAGGCACATATCTAGTCCAGCTGCAGTATTACGCAAATCATGAATGACATCCGTCCTTTTGTTGAGAATGTCCTCGGACACTTCCTCGATCGGCATAGCCTCGCTGATAAGTGCAGCATCCGTCTCACAGCCTTTACGGCTCCCGCAGAAGACTAACACACCATATCCGGCTTGGACAGTTTCCAACGCCAGCGCAACAACGGCATTGTTAACTGGATCCTTGAGCTCAATGTGCTCGGAGGGCTGGATTATTCGACATTGCTCCAGCGACACGTTAACCCCACTTTTGCTAAGCTGACTTGCGGTCTTGAGGAAATTGCTTGAGGTAGAGGCCGGATAAATCGCGTTATCGTAGACTAGATATTCCTCAATCGGAATCGGTCTATATCTCGACTGGTAAAACTTAGAGCCAAGCCATCTTGCCAAGAGCTCGGTGTTCTTCCAAGTCATCGAAGAGTCAGCGGACGGTAATTCTAAAACAAATGTATTCTTGATGTACAACCTACCGGCAAAGTAGCACTCATTCCAATGATTTGCACATTTTGTCCCATGGTGAGCAATTTTGTAGCCATAAGCTCCAATAGATAGCCACGGTGATCATCGTCAATCATGTGCAACTCGTCCATGACGACGACGCCCAGTCGGTCCGCAGTACATTCTTCTACAATAGAATTGACCAGCGAATTTGCCTTCGTCTACGATTAGATTTTTGCGCCTTTTTTCTCATTCATGGGGTTAAGGATGGTTTGCCTAACCTTTTCTATGGTACAAACGGCAATATCCATATCGTCCCAAGTAGACTTTATGACACTCCCTCCGAACAGTCCGACTACCCTTATAGATTCCTCGTCGCCCCTTCTGCGCCATCTACGACGGGAGAGGTCTTCTTGGGAGCCATTTTTAGAGGTCTTTTCTACCCCTTCAACTAAGTTTCTGAGCCAGCGTGATTTCTCTTGCACCAGAGCCACATACGGCAGCACAAGAATTGCCTTTTGCCCAGGATTGTCAATTATTCGTTTGAGCATTAGCACGTCTGCTACTAAAGATTTGCCTCCACCTGTAGGAGCAGTGTAAACGAGATTTTTTTCTCCTTCCAGTAAACCGCGTCCCATTAGACAAGACATTTGCCAAGGGTAGATGCTTCTTACTCCGAGAGTGTAAAAATTTTGAACAAGGCGCTCCGGTAGTCCGTAGCGTGAATGACTTAGGGAGAGAAGAGGGTTCTGTGACGGTCCTGGGGTGGATGAATAACCTCTTCTCTGGGAGTACTCAGTAATTCCCTGTAAATCCTGTGATAACATGTGCGAAGTGAGAAGGATGTTGCTCGCACGGAGACGGTTTTTTTCTTTTGGTACCACTTCAGGCCGTCTGAATCCATTTCTTTGAAGATTTGGCTTCTTTAAGTTTCTCATCGATGTGGAGGTGTCAGGGTGAAAAGCATGAGGTTTTGTTCCAACGCCAGCCGATGATGGTTTGGAGGTTAGTATATCATTCGAGCTAGGTAGGTCATTATCCCTACTCTGCGGCAGTCCAAGGCGCGAGGTTCGATGGACAGGATTTTCGATTTGATCATAAGTTCTCTTGTCTCCTGCTCTTACCGGTGACAAGGTCGTGTTACGGATTTCGGCATTTGCTCGCACGAGCTCTATTGAGGTTGGAGCACCATAAGATTGCCAGCTTGTGCTTTCAGCCTTCATCCTGTTCTGGACTTATTACTTTACTCCTCATGCCTCCTATCAGCAAGCATCAAATTGGTCTAACAAACAGACAATATGCTTGCGTGTTCGTGACACCTCAGATGCTGATGCTCATGAAATAGCAGCAAGAGATGCAATACTCAATGGAAATTTCTCTGAGTCGCACAAAAAGCCAAGGAGAATGTTCAATTTGTGAAGGAAAGCCTAATCGAAAATAACGTGAGCAGCTCCAAGCATTATAGTAGCAAAGCAGAAAGGTCGTCCGAATCGATAAACATCACTTACATAAGGCAGGGTCCAAGTCTAGGTCGGTGTCGTACAGTAATTGTTGATTGGCTCGCTTGTAAGCCTTGCACGCGAGAAAGGGAGCTTAGCAGCCGATCCAGGATACGCGCTTCAACGCGTCATCGGGCCTGCCGGCGTATTCCCCGAGCTCTGGCGATCGGTTGCCTGTCACATTGAGGATCCAAAGGTCCAAAAAAGTTACAGCATCAATTTATTTGCTTTTGACATCAAGTGTACCCATTCAATAGACAAGGATTATTAGTTGACCCTTGCCCCTTTCTATCAGATATATTTCTCTCTTTTTTCCTGCTCATATCTTTTTAACCCAGTTTCGTCTCTACTTTGTTTTGATGATGTATGATTGAAGCTCAGTAGCTGAATCAGAGTAAAAGTAATGCAATCTGGGTGAGGAATATCAGCCAATATACAACTGACGCAGCATATAATAACAGAATCTATATCTGCGGCACAGGACGATCGCAGACACAGGGAATGAGTATGCCGCAGGATCCGAGAGACGGGAGGTGCCGCAAAACCATCCATGTTATCGCTGACGTGGTCCAAGGCAGAAATGGCCGCAACCGGATTGGTTTCATGTTGCCGATGGCAGAAGTAAAAAGGGCCGAGCATTGCAGTATACTCCGGGGGCAGATTCAGCGCGATTGCAGTGCAAACCCTGGTAAATAACCTGTCCGTGGATTAAGAGGAAGTACTGTATGTACGGGGCAATAGACAGTCATCGCAGGGCTATGATACCAGAAGCGACCCTTTTTGATCGATTGTCTTATGAGCAAAGTCAAATGTGCGCTTTCAGCTTGTCGAGTGGTGCTCTCAAACTGTACCTAAGGTATTCAATTTGGCTTTAGAAGGTACATCTTGGTCCTTTAGGTGTCTTGTGCAGTGCTAAAGGCGGATTCGGAGAAATGCGGTACACCGAAGCAGCAACCGGCAATGCAATTTTATCCCCTGGGCAGAGATAATTCGAGCATAATACTCTGCCTCAGGTCGAGCAGTCTTCCTGCGACAGTCAAAAATGTTTGATTCTTCGGAAATGCTACATATGCTGCGGGCGAGAGAGTGGGCAAGAGGTGAGGTGATGTCCAGACTACCGAATAGGGAGAGGCCAGGGCGCAGGGTTTCCGAGGAGCAACGGGGTCCGCGCCACAAGTTCCCCTTAGCACGGGGCGACCGCCACACACTCACTGCAGGGTTATTGGAACCGATAGCCAAGCTAAGGTACTGTATAGCGACCACAGCCTATAAAAATTAAGCCTATCACGACGACTTTGCTACCTTGCCTCCCGTCATCAGATCAGCGACCTGAAGAGAACACCAATTTTTCCGTTTCTCCCAATAATCAATGGTGGAAAATGGATAGCAAAGCTAGAAAAATCGTTCAAATGGGCAGATGGATTGATTGCAGGTGGAAAGAATTGCTCGTTTAAGGGCGAACAACAGAATGTCAGCTTATGACACAGATTTTGTTCACCCACCCACAAGTCTGCTAACTCACTATTGCGGCGAGTCACAGGCGATCAGTAGGCCTCTCATCGTCATCTGCCTAGGGGAGCGAATCCACAAATTCTCTGTTCGATTGCTGAGCAGCCATGGCCAAAATACGTGGCGTATTAGATGAAGGCGACCTTTAATGGTCGCATGCGCCTAAGGCTCGATTGATAAATCAGATGGAATTTTGTTTCGCTCGATCGGTCGCACTTTCTCCCAAGCATTGGCGGGAAGACGGAAGATCACATTAAATGATGCCACCTCATTTGCATTGTCAAAACTTAATACTGATATTGGCGTTCTACAAAAACACCCTGACTGGGTTTATTTCGCGTGTTAGAACGACTCGTCGAAAGTTCCTTGATCATGATAATTCGATGATACCGCTGATGCAGGTGATATCGGCCTGAGCCTAGCACGTTGAATGTGGGCGCAACGTGGGTAAAGGTTCGATGGTGATGATAGATGATGAAGCGGGTCGTTCGTAGTGCGACCAAAACCTTCCTAGTATAGGCGATACCTTTTCCCTTTTTGGGCCTTAGGGTGGCCCCATCCGCTAAGGGGCGAATGGGGCACAGGGAGCCTGAGGGCCTGAGGGGTCAGTAATAATCTAACGGAGTACCTACAACTGACAGCCGAGTGGCCCTTTGAGGTTAAGTTCCTCAACTGTAGCCCTGCCATATACTGTAGCACCCCGGACTACGTACCTAGGTAGGCATCGACCTTAACTACCAACAGCCATCATAAACCACTTTCCGCTGCTTTGTCCGAACTCAACGTTAAGATCGATCTCATCCTGGCAATCTCAGATGATGGAGTGCTTGGCACGAAAGCCGTGAAAATAATCATTGTGAATACTTCATATTATTGTCTGAGCTCTACAAATATGCTATAGCTAGGTAGTTCGATCATGCTATCGAAATTCAAGAAAAATTTACTCTACCGCTAAGACAGTTGGGGTCGTCCTGCTACGGTCTGGTGAAGCAACACTTCTAGGCAATCATTTATCCATAAATCATCAAATGCGTTCAAATCAGACGCATTCACATTGTTGTTATATACAAGGTGTCATTTGCCGGTCGAGGGGGCTTGTCTGCATTTGGGGAGAAGGCGACAAGGGCAGAAGCGAGCGAGGAGAGTGACGTGTACTCTTTCAAAATCCTATAAAGTCACATTGTTCTGTGTAAGCCGAAGTCTAGCCGGTTAGGTTCCAAAACCACATTCAGATGTAGTAACTAGACGCCTCATCGTTGGGTTTTGCCCCTCAGAGATTTAGATTCTCTGCAAGGGTTTCGGGACTAAACACATGCCTTTGAATTTTTGGACAATCCCGGGACGATGATGATCCGAGGAGGCAAGAATCAAACTGACAGAACACCAAGCGTGCACTGCCACAGATGCTTCAGCCCCATGACTGAGTCCCTGGAGAGGCCGACAACTTGGGTTTTGGAAATCGGCAAGAGTGGATAGCATGAAATTGAATCAATGAGAAGTATCGGGTATGTACAAGAAAACGAAGACGCTGATCTCTGCGTATGCAGTCGAGAGGAAACCTAATGATAGGAAGGAGAGACGAGGGCAAGCTCTGAATATATGGCCGTCATGGACAGCCTTAGGTCTTTGAGTGATCTGGAGAGCATCTTTACATCTGCGCTTGCCTTCAAATGCGAATCTACGTTCTTTCCGCTTTGTTCGTGTTCTCTTCGTTGTTTCATCTGCTTATGGAAAGACGATGCTTCAGTTTTTGTGTCTTTTGCTTAATTTTTCATCGATGTTTTGGATTGTGAAGGAAGGAACGACACCAGAAGCGAGCTGCTTGACGCTCCTGCAGGCTCCTTCCTGGCAATGGCGGCACTACGTCCAACGCGCCTTCCAGGTCCGGTCCTACCTTTGACCCAGACAATGATGGTTATTCGATGTCTAGTGAGCTGGACTAAGCATGGATGCACCAATCAGAGTTTGGAACAGTGGTGATCTGGATGGTCAAGGGATAGGATATAAATACGGAAGATTACGGGCGCGATGACAGCGGAAAAGTGTCAGCAGCCATGGCCTTTGCATTCAGTACATGTCAAGAGAAGATCGCCAGGGATGCCAAAGAGTCAGTGTTGTATAAGCCTTCCTGCGAACCGAAACCAGACGGCCAGTATGTCAAGAGCACTAGCATGGTAAGTGGGTTCTCGGGGAGCAACATGCATGTGTTTGAAGCGGAACATTTTTATGGGCAGTAGCCCGGCTATCGATGGCACAGAACGCGAAACAGCAACCTATAAATGTAGCATCTACTTAAGCTACCATATAATGAAAAATTTCCATTGCTCCTGTAGTGTCCAGTATCCTACGGTCTGATCAGCTATGTAGCAACCATCGAGCAAATTGCGACTTTGAAAATGATGTACTCTAGCAACTCGGAGCAATTCTCCTCAAATTATAGATTGATAGCCAAGGTAGGTAAGACAGCAAGCATTGAATCGGATGGGAGAGAGGATATAGGACTCTATATATAGACAAAATATTCTGGAAGGTTGAAGGTGACCCTTTCTTTTTACGACTTTTAAGAATCCTATCGCATAACAAGTAAAGTTTAGTATTCGATTCAAAACGGACAATTCAAGAGAATCAAATCAAGTTTGGCATGGATCATCATATCCACAGGTATGCAAAGATATTATATTGAATTTGAAAGTATTCCAGGCAGCGATGACGCACAAGAAGGGCCTTGCCCAAGAGGCGTCTTTGGTGGGAGCGAACATGAACGTTGAAATTTCCCTTTTGAGTCTGACTCCGTTCGAGGTACCGACGAGGGTCAAGCGAGAGACTAACTGTAGTCTAGTACAGACGGCATCTCACAAGCCAAGAGAGCACTAGTCTAACAGATGATATTAATTCCCTGTTAAACGCGAAGACAGAGAGGGAGAAGGAGAGGAAGGAGGAGATGAAGAGACAGACACGGCATCAGTATTTAGGTAGACCAAGGCCAAGATTTCTTGTAGGAGGAGTGGCAATAGGCACGCAGCCAAACGACGCCAAAATTCCCCAATCTGTGATATCTACAAAGGTACTTGATATGATTCTTTCTCGCCGCCCATGGTTCACTTGCCTTTTAATTCTTCGCTCATACCAATGACCTCTTTGCTTGATATGACAGGCGCCTTGCAGTCAGATTGATACCCTCTACGTACCTTGCCCTTTTTTCCTCTCCTCCAATCTAAGAATTAGCCAACAAACTCCCCTCTCTCCCCACCCTCCCTCCCCCTTGTGACCTTTTTCGGCAGTCTAGATATTCGGCAAGAGTTGCTGGGCGTCTCGAAACTGTTCTAACCGTGGGATCGGCGCAAATCTCATCGTGGCGGTTCCTGCTTGTCTGCTTCTGCTGCCCTGCTGCTAACACGGCTTCCCATTAAAACTGTCGTCTATCATACCCTCGTCTAGCTCCCCATTCTTCTGATACCCGCTCTTCTCTCCCACTCTCTTCTCTATTCTTCTCCATTCTCCCTCACTCCCCCACATATTCTTCCTGGATCTTATTTCCCTATTTTTCTTACTGGCATACTCATCGATAGCATTGGTATAGGATTCCAAATAGATGACGCATGGCATCGCCGGGTAATTTATCCATACGCTATTAGTTGAACTCCCTGTCTCACGAGAGGTGCCAAACGGCGCTTTTTGGGCGCCTACTCACCGAGGCACACTTTCTCTTGAGCCCTTTTAGGTCTATCAGAGGCCCTTTTGGGCACCAAGCCTTCCTCATCGTGCATCGCATTCGCTCGGCAAGGCTCGAGGAGAGCACTCGGCGGCACCTACATGCTCTGTGAGCTGCTTCGTGTTCCTGGCTTTCCTCCTTCACTACAGACACAATTACCCGCCGCCTGTAGATACGGAAACGAGGCTACGACATTGAATTCGCGACCAATCTTTTGCTGCCATCTTCGGCTCAAATTCACCAGGGAATATTAACGCTCATGGCCGAGATTAACGGCCAATCTTCCTCCGAAGCGGCTTCTACCCCGGCGCCAGCCACGGATCTTGCGGGACCAGCACCTCACCAAGCCCCGGCGACTCCAGATGTACGTACGCAGTCCAGCGAGCCAGACGGACCAGACTCGGCAAGACACGCATCAACGGAATCACCATCGGCTTATGAGAAGCCCCCGGAATCTCAGCCCATGACTGCTTCTTCGTCGTCATCCGGGTCGAATGCTGTCAGCAAGGGTACCACCAAAGAATTAGCGGCTCCATATGGGACGCGCTCGCGCAATCGGGTAGGAACCGCTCGCCCCAATTATGCAGAGGACAACGAAGGGGATTTGGATTTTGAGTACTCGACGTCTGCTGCACCGCCTTCATCATCGGCGAGAAAGTCCAATGCGAACAAAGAATCGACGGCTGCCACAACCCCGCAGACCACGGGATCAGAGGGGGTCCGCTCGCGAGGACCCAGTTCTCGACGTGCCCCTGTGGCACCGGATGCGCAGTCGAACGCGGCGGCACGCCCTATTCCATCGGCGGCACCTAAGGAACCTGCACCTAAAGAACATGCAATGGGAAATCCAGGCGCGACGACAGTCCCCGCCAGCCACAACCAAGCGCCGTCGCGGAAAAGAAAGGCTGGTGGCGCAACAAGCACAGGGCAATCAACCGCTGCATCAACACCAACAAGCGCTCACACATCTACGAGACGAGGTGGTGCCGTTACCACGTCGACAACGCAACCGGCTCTGCGGGAGACTGCAATGCCAAGCTTCGAGCTCAGCCAAAAGTACGTGAAGCATGGGAAACTCAAGGCGGATGACGGCACACTCTATGGTCCAAATGGTAAGTCTCTTCTGTTGCCCCCTCCTCTGTTGCGCTCCGCACTCTTGCCGTTAGTCCAGCCTTGCATCAGAGATCCTTTGTCGAATAAGGAGCGTGTCGATACTTGTTTGCTTAGACAGTCGCTGATACGCCGCAAAACTTCTAGACCACGTATACCTCGTCTGTGAGCCGCCTGGAGAGCCTTATTACCTTGCTCGAATTATGGAGTTTCTTCACGTTGACAACAACCCCAGCCGTCCTGTGGAGGCTATTCGTGTCAATTGGTTCTATCGTCCCCGAGACATTCAACGCAAAATCACCGATACTCGACTTGTTTTCGCCAGTATGCATTCGGACATCTCTCCCGTGACTTCTCTTCGCGGCAAGTGTCAAATTCGGCACAAGAATGAAGTGGAAGACTTCGAAGAATATCGCAAGCAGAGGGACTCTTTTTGGTTTGAAAAGATGTACGATCGATACATTCAACGACATTACGAAGTCATCCCGGTCAATCAGGTGATCAACGTCCCTGCAAAGGTAAAAAAGGTGCTGCAGGAGCGGTGGAAGTTTGTCATTGTCGAGATTGGGCGTGGCAAAGAATTGACCAGCGCTGTCAAGCTCTGCAAACGATGCGGCGCATACTGTGCTAGGTAGGATACCATCTGAGGTCTCCGTCCGTGATGCCGATTACGATGCTAACCACGTGATTATGCAGCAACAATTCGGTCGAGTGTGCTGTCTGCCATAACACGTACCACATGAACTGTGTGCGACCACCATTGCAGAAGAAGCCCTCGCGAGGGTTTGGCTGGTCCTGCGGCCCTTGTAGTCGCGCGCAGGAACGAAAGCTCGAGGCCCGCAACACCCCCATCATTGGAAGCATTAACGAGCATGAAGAAGAGGAAATCTTTGAAGAGGAGGAAGACGAGGGTCCAGGCCTTGCTGGCGAGACCGGAACCAGTACCCCTTCGCTGGAAGACAGCCAAGACTTGACGCTCCATCCTGCAACGGCGGATCAGATTGCACAGACCAAGTTGTGGCCATATCGCTATCTCGGAGTCCATTGCCATGTGGAAGATGCACTAGATTATGACGACCGCATCTACCCCCGAGCCAGTTCTCGACTTGGACCTCGTCATCAGGCCAACGTCATTGCTTGGCCTGGTCGACCTATTGAGTTTGTGAAACCTGCTGAAATCAGGCGCAAATATGGCCGTGGCAATACCACCAAAAAGGACCCTAAGCTTCCCAAGGACGTCGCTGCGGCATTGGAAGCTGACAAGGCAGCACGGGAAAAGCGCCCAAAGTGGGTGTTGGATGAACCGCCCGGTTACGTTCCCCGTGGTGAGGATAGGCCGAATGGCGACCCAGAAAACACGGCTCAGTTGCTCTTTAAGCTCCCCGACGAGGACGACATGGAAGCCAACCAGACGTACATTCGAGGTGACGATGAGATGGCGATAGATATGAAGCCGGAGGAAAGAGAAGAACGCGTCGACTCGTACATGCAAAAGGCCAAGCGGCTCGCCAAGGAGGTTGGCGTGAAGGAATACAATACCAATTTCCTGGACAAGGCGTTACAACTGTTTTACGAAAATCGCTTTTCTGAGGGACCAGCATTGGAGAAGCTAAAGCTGGTCAATCGGAAAAAGGATTTAAAGGAACCCGAGCTTAACCGAGAAGAGTTGAAACGGTTTGAAGAAGCTGTTTTGAAGTATGGTTCAGAGCATCGAAACCTTCGTGAACATGTGCGAACCGTTAAACACCCAGACATTGTGCGCTTTTATTACACCTGGAAGAAGACGGAACGTGGAAAGCAGGTGTGGGGAAGTTACGAAGGCCGAAAGGCCAAAACGGGCGTCAAGCGCGGTGAAGCTCACCCAGCGAAGCTTGTGGACGAGCTTGCCGATGACCACGATGATTCTGCGTTTGACAAGGACAAGGCAGCGGGCCACAAATGCGGGTTTGAATGCAAGTTTTGTGGCACGCGAAAATCGAGACAATGGCGTCGCGCACCGGGCGTCGCACCTGGTACAAAAGTTCCTCTGGACCCTAATCAAAAAGGCAAAGACAAGGGACCCTACTTGGCCTTGGCCCTCTGCTTGAGATGCGCTGGCCTATGGAGAAGGTATGGTATCCAGTGGGAGAACATTGATGAGGTGGCCAAGAAGGTCGCTCAGGGAGGCGGGAAAGCGTGGAAGCGGAGAATTGATGAAGAGCTCTACAATGAGCTGCTCGCCGCCAATGAATCTGCCGCACGTACAAAAGAAGTTGAGGCCAGTTCCTCCAGAGCGTCTCCGGCAACGGTGGCATCATCTCAGGCTGGGCAAGAGCCGGCGAAGAAGAGGGCTAGGACCACGGCTCAAGAAAAGCAAGAAAAGGAATCAGCTGCGGCTGCAGAACCTGGACCAGTGGCTGCGCCCGCAGCTCCAAAGAAGAAGGCTCCTCCGAAGCCTCCAAGTCCACCGCCTGCGCCTGAGCTTCCCAAACCGCGAACGCTTCCTTGCTTTGTCTGTAATCAAGTGGAACCCAAGGGTGATCAGTTGCTGACGTGCCGGGAGTGCCGCATGTCTGTCCACCGCAATTGTTATGGAGTTTCCGAGGGGCGAAATGCTGCGAAATGGGTCTGCGATCCTTGCACCAATGACAAGAACCCCCAAGTGTCAACTGTAAGTGATCTTTTTGTGTGAATTTATCTGCTTGAGTTGTGATTCCTCTAACATTGATTAGTCTTACGAATGTGTCCTCTGTCCTGTCAAGTTCACGGAACGCGATTTTGTAGAACCTCCCAAGGCGGCTGCGGGGAACAAGAAGAAGAATGACAAGGAGCGTTTGGAACGTGAGTTGGCCATTGAGGCGGCCAAATTTTACCGACAAAAGCAAGAAGAGATGCATAAGCCAGTTGATCCATGTGAGCCGTTGAAACGGACTGCTGGTAACAATTGGGTTCACGTCTTCTGCGCTGTTTGGACGCCAGAAATGCGATTTGGGAGTGCAAAGGCGTTGGAGCCCTCTGAAGGCATTGGCACAATTCCATCAGCACGCTACGAACAAGTTTGCAAAATCTGCAAATCCAGCAAAGGTGCTTGTGTTGCCTGCCATTACTGCCATGCAACAGTTCACATTGGCTGTGCGCACCAAGCTGGGTATATCCTGGGCTTTGATGTGACTCCAGTCAAGGGTTCTCGACGTGACATTGTCAACACTGTCACTTTAGGCGAAGAATCCGGTCTTTTGACTGCTGCAGTTTGGTGCAAGGATCATCCTGTCAAGACCATTATGCACCCGATCAGCGAGATTGACCAGGAGACTGGATTGAATGCCTTGCAACTTTTTGTTCGGAACTACAAGCAAGCCGATTTGACGTTGACTGGAACTGTGCGGAAAGCAAATCTAGTCAATCAATCAACCAAGCTTCTTGCACATGGCATGGGTGCTTCGCCTTTGACTCACCGGGGATCAGTCAGCCACGCCACCAATGGAATTACAGCAAGTGGATGGTCCCGGAGAGGCTCAAGACCGTCTCCCTCTGAACCGATCAAGTCTGAAGACACAGATTTCCCTGACAGACGTTCCTCGGGAGTTGATGGCAGCAATGCAAAGAAGGTCATTTGTGTGACATGTGGCATCGATGTCAGCCCCAAATGGTGGCCATCTGAACACGCTAAACCATCCAAGGGATTATTGGTAGATGGACAGCCAAAGGCAAAGTCAGTTGAGCTCTCTCCAGCAGCAAGTGATGGACTATTGCGCAATGGCGACATGATGAGCAATGCGGACAGCAACACATCGACCCCTGATGTCGAAATGAAAGATGATTCGGTGCCCCCGGCAGCGGCAAGTCTTGCTGCTGGCAAATCGACACGGCGAAAATCATCGGCAGGCACACCGATGCAATGTCACAAATGTCACTGGAAACGGCTACGTGAACCGTCTCCTGTTGCGCCTCCCAAGACCACGCCAGCTTCCACCGCTGCGTCACCATTCCGAGCGCAGCCGCTGCCACCATTTGTACAATCAACGACGGCCACCCCGCCGGCTGCAACACATCAGGCACCGCGGCCGCCTCCACCAGCTCAACTACCTTGGCCACCTGCTCCTGGACCAGGTCTCTGGAGAGATCATCCGCAGCCACCACAGCAGCCGCCGGCCGCATCACTACCGCCAGCCCAGAATGGACTTCGTCCAGTGAATGGATTCTCACCGCAACGCCCGCCTGCTGCTTTGGCATATTCTCATAGTCCTCCGCAACCTATCCCTCCTCCGCCTGCCGCATTGCCGATCGTTCCTCCGGCGGTTGTACCACCTCCACCTCCACCTCCACCTCCTCCAACCCATCATCACCATCATCATCATCCTCCTCCTCCTGTTCATCACCATCATCATGCTCCGCCTCCACCGGCCCAAGCCAACGGTTATAGTCCACGACCGCCGCCTCCGCATGCGCTTCCAATCTTCGAGCAACCGCACCACGGAATGCCGCACCTTACTCATGCTGGTCCGGGTCCCATAACAGGCCCAGGATCGATTCCTGTCTCACACTATACTACCGCTCCTCCACCTCCACCGCTGCCTCCTCATCCTGCTGCTTCTACTCAGCATGTACACCCTCCACCGCATACTGTGCCAATTCATCATCACCACCACCACCACCATCATCATCATCGGCCTCATCATCCCACCGCTAGTCCAGCTGGGCCTCCTCATATTCCACCTCCGCCACATGATGCCCGCTCTCCACATACGGTACATCTCTCGCCATTAGCGCCTCCAACTCGCTCGCTTGTGTCAGAGAATAGTCCTTTCTCGTCTACCACTGCTCCTTCCCCACGTCTCGCAACTTTTATGACGCCCGGCGGAGGGGTGGCCGGCCAAGCGGGCAGCCCGCCGATTCCGAAGCGTGAGACACCTACAACGCCGTCAATGCAATCGGTCGGACCCGCTACGACTGGATCTGGATCTGATAGTCGAGCAGCGGGCGGTGCAAGCGCGAGTCCATCGTTGAAGAATCTTTTGTCTTGATTGAGCATCTCAACGGACTGGCTCAGAGATTCTGGTGCTAGGCAGCTGCAACGAGGCGAGACCATTGTATAGGAACCAATTGCGGAGTTGCATTTTTTTCGAAATTTCTTGTTTATTTTCGCATTTTCATCGCCAAAAAGAGCGGTTGACTTGCATGTCTTTTTTTTTCTTTTTTTTTCTGGGCGCCCCCATTACCATTGTCATTGAAGCTTTCATCTTCATCATCATTGTCGCCATCATATCCCTTTTTTTTTGTGTACCATCATCATCGTCATCATCATCATCATCATCTTCGTGGTCATTATCGTCGTCATTATTCCCACTGTTGACAACATCATCATTATCCAATTTCACTATAATCGTCAATTCATCAAATGTATTCTATTCACGAATTGTATTCTACTGGTCCTATTTTTTTCCACCTCTCTTTTTCTTTTATTCTTCTCGATTTTTACTTTTCTTTTCCCATCTTGTCAATTCAGTGGTCACGCGACTTGTTGTTAAAAAAAAGACACGGAGTTTAGGATGGGCATGTCCCTTGATTTTCACTTTTACTATCACTTTCAATTTTCCGTTTGTTTTCTTCTTCTTCTTTTTTTTTTTTTTCCTTTTCCCCTTGATTTCATCTTTCTTTTTTCTTTTTTCCATTTTTTTCCCTTTGATCCCTTGGTTCCTACTCCCCCTGGTTCTCCTGGTTCTTCCTTAGCAAATAAATGACCATATATCATGATTGATGCATTATCCATTTCATCACCATTTGAAATATTTGAATTTGAATTTAAAATTTCGATTCCATTAATTAAGTGTTTAGATGTATCAAAAAGATTTTAAGATTTGAAGATTTGGAGATTTGAACTCAGAGGGGGATATAAGTGACTTATAAGATGATCAATGCACCACCACATGGTACGAAGCTGTAGTACACCGAACAAAAATGCAAAGCGCTGGGCATGAGGGTTGAGGGTTGATGATCCTCTTTCTTTCGATTGGAGCAGGCGTTGTCGTCCGGGGGTTGGGGGGGAAGCTGGCTGGAGAGAGGGACTGGTCCTTGGAGCAAGAGGTGTGAACAACGGATTCTTCGCCTTCCCAAACTCAAACCCAGAAAATAAAAAGAAATAGTTGACAGTTAGAGATGGAGGTGATGAATGTAGATATGAAATAAATACCTGTTAAAAAAAACCAAATGGACGACGTATGAATGGACGACGAATAAAAGATGGATAAACAAATGGAAGATCGATTCGAAAAACGGACGATGTGGGAATGGATGAGTAGACAAATGGACGAATAAAAAAACAAATGGATGGACGAATGATAAATGGGCAAATAGAAAAGAAAAAAAATAAATAAATAAATAAATAGATGAATAAATAATGAATAAACAAAAAAAAAAGATAAGAAAGGCATGACATGGGCCTCAGACCTTGGACCGAGACCTTAGACAGGCAGCTAAGCAAACGCGTCTTCGAGAGGACAATCGACGCTCTCGTGCCCGTCCTGCTCGCACAGTGCGCACCATTTGTCCGGGTTGATCACGCCGCTGGATTTGCCCGCGACCATGCCCGACGAGTCGACGACATGGTGGTCTGCATGCGGTGAGCCTGCCGGTGCTTGTGCAGGTACTGCGGATGTAGCTGGTGCTGCAGCTGCAGAAGCAGAAGCAAAAGGAGCAGAAGGAGAAGCAGAAACAGAAGCAGAGGGAGCGCGTTGTTTCTTAGGACTTATAGAAAGTGGCGCGACGTCGGCTTCGGCGCGGTGCTCGGTCGTGGAGTCGGCCTCGGATTTGTCGATGGGTCGAAGACCGGGATCACGCTCGCCAAGAGACGAAGAACGAGGCGGATGCTGCTGGTGGTGGTGGTGGTGGTGCTGCTGCTGAGGGTGAAGAGCGTGAAGAGGGTGGGAAGGGTGGGATTGGTCTCGCGACAAAGAAGCCGGAGGATGAGAAGGAGGGTGAGGAAGAGGGGGAGAAAGGGCCAGTCCGCGCAAGCCTTCGACCACGGCGGCCATGCCGTTGCGCTGACCAGGACCAGAACCTGAACCTGAACTATTTCTGGGAGTTCGAGAAGAAGAAGAGGAAGTAGAAGACAAAGGTCTTGGGGTGGTTTGGCGAACATCGTCACCACGCTTGCTGCCAAAGACATTGGTGCATGTGAGGATATCGTGTCCGGCTGTTTCGCAAATCTCGCACCACAGGGCGTCGTTGTCCATTGGTCTTGGCCTGCGTGTACTGTCGACGTCGTTGTCGTTGTTGTCGTCGTCCTCTGCTTCTTCATGGTACTGGATGTGAACAGGCTGACTTGGACGTTTCGCACTTGACGCAGGTGCAGGCGCAGGAGCAGGAGCAGGAGTGGATGCGGATGCGAATTCTGGGACAAGCGTCTCATTGTGGACGTGACTCGATGCTGGTAGTCCCTGGGTTTGCGCCTTGGCATCGGACCCCGCCTGCTCAAGAGCAAGCTCGAGCTCTTCTTCGCGGTGGCTCGTGTGCTCAAATAGTCCTCGCAGCTCGACGAGTTCATGCTCGAGCCGATCTCGCGCGGCGCGTTCTTCATCGAGTTGCTCTTGTAGTCGGAGATTGTGCTCACGCTCCTGCGAACTAGCCGCCTCTCCATCTCCAAATTGTGGAGACCGCGCTTCGGTCGAAGACATGACGGAATCCCGACTCAGCGAGTGGATAATGGCCTTCAACCCGCGAATCTCATCATCCTTTTGCTCAACTTCTTTCGAGTCCCGCGCGCTGATGCGGCCATCGATGGCTGCTGCTGGGCCTGCGCCTGGGACTGCGCCCCCGCTCTTCAGTGCCGTAGCTGCCTTGTCGCGTTCTCGTCGCAGTTCGGAACGGCCGCGCTCGACTTCGCCTCGAAGAAATTCGACTTCGCCACGTGCTTCTGCTTCGCCGCGTCGTGCGTCTTCAAGTCCTTCTTCGAGTTCCTGCACAAGTTCCTCGAGCTGTTTGAGCTGAAGGGCAACGCTTTCCACATCTTCATTGCGCTCGTTCAGCTCCCGAACTTCTTGAAGCAATTCTTCGACGCGTTTTTCGTAGACCCGTTCCGTCTCGGCGCTCGCAAGCTCGAGAGTGTCAATGGTACTCCTAAAGTCGGCGCGATGTGCGTCAAATTCAGCCGTGATGAGAGCAATCTTTTCATTCTTTTCTCTCAGTATGGCACGCAGCTGCGCAACGTCGGCATTTTTAGCCTCGTTGTCGCCCGGCCCGACGCCCATTACCATGTCTGAATCTTGAGTAGGAAGCAAGGATTGCAGCTCGATAAGGCTGCTTTCCATTTCTGCAAGAGTGGATGACTGCTCTTTTAGTTGCCGGTCTCGCTCTTCCAGCTTCAACTTCATTCGAGCTAGCTCGTCTGCTGTGTGAGTTGAAGTGCGTGTCAACCGGTTGCTGAGCGCAGAAGCTGACCGGGCAGCAGCGCTGTCGTTCGTTCGAGCAACGCCAATGGGAGTACCTTCAAAGTCGTCTTCAAATGCAAACCCTTCGCTCTGCCGCGACGTACTCTGTGATGCTCGCGATGCCCGTGACACGCTGCGAGAACTTGCCTGCGGAGGCGGAGGGCTCATAATCGATCTCGGACCCGCCTTGGGGGTTACTGTCGGTCTCTTGCTCGGGTCCGCGGAATTTGATTCTCGTCTCCCTCGCACAGAAGCGCCAAACCTGCCCGGCGTTGGACTAGGTGCATATCGAGGCCCACGGATCCCACTGTTGGATGAAACAGATGCACCGAGAGAAGGCTGACGAGGGGTAGGGAGAAGATTTTGTTGTTGACGCAACGGCGACTCTGGCCGTGGAAGCGACAAGCGCCGGGACTTTGGTTTGAACTGCGGACTAGGTCCACGGCCAGGTCCGACAGACTGACTGAATTTTGGTACTGAAGGTGTAGACTGGGACAATAACTCGGCATTGTTTGGCGCATTGAAGCCAGGCACGGACGGGGTGGTCGGGGTTCCCAGGAAAGATCTCGTCGAAGCGGTGGGAGAAGCACGTTTGGTGGCACGACTCAAGGGCAAAAAGATGCCCGCGCCTCGGACAGATGTCGTAAAATATCGGGTACTTTAAAAAGAATCACATTGTTAACAAATTCTCCAACTTCTCGTAGCCTTGAGAAAATGATGACATACCCATCCACGGCTCCGTCATTCTTCCCTCGGGATGCCCATTCGCGGCTCAGCTCGACGCCAGCAAACACACCATTCTTCCCTTTGACCGCTCCAATAAATTTGATCGTCCCGTACATGCCTCCAGGGACATTGACTGTATCGCCGACCTCAATATCTCCATCCCCATTTGTAGGTACCACTCGTGTGGTCGGAGTTTTTGGTGTCCCTCGTGCAGATCTCTGCGAGTCTCCAAGTCCGTAACTGTCACTATTGTCCGGAACTGATGCTAGCGAACCAGCGGTAAGCTGATTAAATGATGCTTTTCGTGCCATAATCGCGCTGGCGCTGAGCGGACTAGGCATCGGCGGTCGCTGGTACGATGCAGCCAGATTGGGCGAGGACGTCGCAGAGAGGTTATGGTTTCCAAGGGAAGGGCCGCGCATATACGGCCGCCGCGGAGTATGGATAGACATAATGGGAGTATAACTTTGGTCGAAATATATGTTTTGATTGGGTGATTTCGTGGGGAGACTTTAAACTTCGTGATGCGCGCGGCGTAGGTGGAACGAGCGTGGTCAGATTCGAAAAAGCTCTCTCCCCCGTCGATGCGCGAAGAACAGGGAACAATAATCCGCACTGAAACAAATTTTCTCTCTCTATAACAGGAGTTTCTAGTAAAGATAATGTCAGGACAAAGGTTTTGGAAAGGGGGAATGAATTGTCGTACAATGTGCGACTCCCTGCCAAGCGGCAAGATATGTATCTAGACGCGACGAAGATCCCGCGAGTTGACGATCCCCAGCGCGAGGTAGGTCAGAGCATGCCCCTATAATGATGGAAAGATTTAGGGTCTTTGAAAGGAGAAGGGAGAGACTAGGAAGCCGGTTGTTGGAAGAATGGAGTCGTTAAAGGGAAGGCCGCTGAATGTTTATCGTGTTTGTATTTGCCGATCTTCATCGGTGAGTCGGGCCGCAGTAACTTAGTTTAGCTGCAGCAACGTGCAACGTGCGTGTCAAGACCTAAACTCTGTCTGTTCCTACCGCCCCTTGTGCTGCTTGGCATTCTTCTAATAATTGAGATATCTCTACGCGGCGAACAATCATCTTTCAACACTGTGGAAGTTGCCAGTCACGAGCGAAACAGTTCTCTACGGCGCATAGAAAAGGAGGGATTGTTTTCCTATCGCGTAATCCCAATCGGGATTGTGACTGCGTCAGATCAATAGAGATACATGTGGACATTCAACTAATGGTACATGAATTCTTCACACAGACACGTGGCATAATGCAACAAGATGCAGTATCAGATTTTTGAGCAGCGAATGAATGCATGATATGGAATATTTGATTCATGTATTGGCTTTGTTGACGTTGTGATGCAAATCCCTGAAATCCCAGGGAGTCAGGGACTAGGGAAAAGCCACCTCCCGTTGGTGCCGCTTTGACTCTGGTACCGAGCGGGGCGCGTCATGAGTCTGGTCTGAGTCTCAACTACTAACACCAAAATAAACAACTAACTGATACTCTCAAGGGTCATCATGGCATTTATTGTCACGTTATTATAAGAGCCAACAAAGGTCGAAAGAAGCTGCTAATTCAAATTCTAGCATACATGGGTTCCATTGATGGTGCATAACATGCACCAAACAAATACAAACACCTGTGAACAAATGAACATGCACAAAGATGGGTTGATCCGCTATGCACAGAACAAACTCCCAATGTTCAGTGCTGGAGTTATGGACTAACCACATGTACCCAGAATTCAATATCAAATCCTCTCTCATCCAACGAAACATGAATTTGACCCTCCCTATTTCGAAGCTGAAATATTCGGCAGCTGAACTGTACTGAATAAAGAACAGGCAGTGCCTAACTGTCCTGCAATTATGCTTATTTTGCCAAATCTCTTTGATCCACAGGCTTCTTGTAGTCAAGAAATCGCTAGATCCAATTATGCATGCTGTTAAAGTCTCGCTCAAAGATGCTGATACAGTATTCAAGTTCGTCACAGACATGCATAGATTTATCGTCGATGAAGAAGTCGCTTGAGCAGGCGTTTCCATTTTGAACCAACTAAAGTAGAGAAGTGTTAGGCAACATATTAATGAAAGGATGAGTGTCAAATCATCGGCCAAGGAACGAAGGCTGTTTGAGAGCTGAGCATTGACTTACGGGACAAATTCGAGTTTGACTTGGTCGGTTTCGTAGAGCTCACAGACTCGTGTGAATGACTGAAAGTCCGAAAAGTACGCCATGTTCCGTTCCTGCTGGACTTGCGAGTTTCTTTGGCTTGCTCTTCGGCGGCTTCGAGAGCGTCTTCCTCCTGTCGTCGCCGATGCGCGTATTGGAGATAACTAACATAATCCTCATAATCGCATTGCCCAAACATGTAGCGAACCAGACGTGCCTGGATGGAGGCTAGTTAGTTTGTGCTCGACACATAAGAGAGAGGAATCAACAGAATGGAATTGAAGGTGTGATGCCGAAGGGGTGAGAAGGCAAAGGATCGGTTGCAAGAATACAAGATATGTTCGAATTAGGGGAGGGGAATGCAAACCTCGCGATTTTGGCTGAATGATCTGGGGATAGAGTCTCTGGCGTCTTGAGACCAATTTGCTGCTGCAGATCCAATGCTGGGCATCTCTTCGAGACTTGGAAGTAAAGGTTGCATGACCAATCGGGTGTAAGCCATGGCGTTCACTTGGCAGTGTCAGGCTTCACGTAAAAAAAATGGCGGCAATAGGCAAAGTATGAGAATTTTTGTCGCAGTGGCTGGTGATTATCGATGCAACTGTGTGGAAGAGTGAACTCGAGGTAGAGACCGGTGCTAGAATTGGAGCTTTAATTCAGTTGCCAATTCAGAAACGGGTCGAGTGGATCAAGGAGGCTGGGGTGTAAGCTGTGCAAAATAATCAAAACACTGCACACGTCCAGAGAGCTGTGGCAATGAGAGCGAGAAGAAAAGATGGCTGAAAGAGTTCAGAGATGTACAAATGATGCATGATGCAAAGAGGTCTGGGAAGAGGGGAAGAATTTAAATGGGCGTGAAAAGGACAACAGCCAAAGACATCTGTATTTTCAGATATTGACAGATGTCGAATGTGAAGTTTGGTTTGTATTTGTATTAGCATGGAGAACCAGAGTCGCTTTCATAGCCCAAATATGGTCTGGTCTGTCGGTGGGAGCACTTTTTTTTCTTGCCCACTTGCTGTTTTCACACTCTTAATTCGGTCTGGTAAAAGATTTCTCGTTGCCCTGGAGTCACTCTCATTGTCCACTGGTGGTTTTCCGATTTGGGAAAGAGTGATGCATGCGCATTTGAGAAGAAGCCTGCAAACTAGACTAGATTCTGCAAATCGGTAAGCAGTAGGCAAACATCAAAACGTACAATAATAGGAAGACCGAGAATTGATAACTTAGCCAGAGCTCAAGCAGTTCAGAGCATCCACACTATTCTGAATATAGATAGATTAGTGAAAATGTCTGGAGCTTTCACGTTTCCCGACGCTATATCAGGCTGTAGCTTTGCTTTCAGCCCCTCCCCCGCCGCGGATGAAAATAGCAGGTAAATGAAGCCTCGTCAAGTCAAGATAAAATTGTTTGATCGAATGCCTGGCGTAAGTTTCAACATATGATCCCCATTTTGTCGAGTTTGGAAACAAATTCAACACGTGAACGCAAAGCAAGTTCGCAACACAAGTCAAGGCAACACAGAGAACAGAGTCGATTCCCACAACAAACGATGCAAAGGGTTCAAGGAAACATTTTAAAATAGAGCGTAAACTATACAAGCGCCACGATGAAATGCAAAAGACGATGCTGAAGGTCTCCAAATCCAGACTTTTAAACTTGTCGCCGAATACGCCCGTACCAAACTTTTCTCCTAATGTAAAACCCGGTGACCGTTGAATTTCGAATGAGCTCGGGAATATGGCATCGAAAAGAAAAAGCAAATATTGGAGGACTGAATCATGCAATCTTCCTTCCCACATTGCCAAATCCACTTCCAACGATGCTGACAATTAAATCCTCTCCTTCAGCATCTGCGTCCCGAACGCCCCATCCGCTCGCACCTAATTGACTGAGGTCTCTGCCAAGGTCAATGATCTCTTCAGTGGCAAAGACCTTCTTTCCCACTCGCAGCCTACCGACGTCCTCGGACCCCATGGCCATGAGGACAAGCATCGTCTGAGCTGCAGCTGGAGATACACAGCCTCCAAGAGAGATAGTTTCAAGCAGTTGATATGCACACTGCCGGCCAATGTCCTCGGGCGGTACACCGCCCTCAGGCGGGGAAGCAACATCGGCGGAATAGAAGGCACCGGTTGAACTTTCCGCCACCAGGGAGAGACCAAAACCGATGCCCAATTTTCGCTTTGCGTTCGGATCGGCTTTTGTTGCGGAGGGAATCAATGGCGCAGAGGAGACATCGGAAAAGACATATGTGTCGCTCACGAGAGGGTTTAGGATGCCTCTGGCAACATCAATCATGCGAGCGTTGTTGGAAGCGGAAACGCCCACGCAATATGCAACACCACGGATCCGCTTTACTCGCCCCGGATTCATCATATGTATCGTCTTCGGTACGCGCACTTGATGTCCAAACATCAGCTGCACTTCGCCGGCGCCGCCTTTGCCCCCAGGACCCGGACATGACCGTCTGAGGATTCGAAGCTCGATGTTGTTGAAGATGCCGAATTGCTCGTAAAGGGGGAGGATAGCTGTCCGCACGCTGTCGACTGAAATATCGCCCATGGGAGTCGCTGATGTAATGACGCCAGGTCCCGTAAACAGGACATTGATGGGCGCCTTTGAGAACGGCGCGAGCAAGCAGAGCGGGATCAAGAAATAGCTCAAGCCGCGAGGGCAGCCTTCAGGCAATTCGTGGCGGATAACGCCTCCACTGGCGCCACGACCCGGTGCACAACCAGTTATTAGACCGGGTTTGTACGCGATTGTCGTACCGGTATAAGAGATTTCCATGGCTGAGCCATTTGTGACTGCTTCAAGCAGGCGGATGAAAGAAATCTCATAGTTTGCAAGACCAGGATTGGTCGACGACGGACGGATATTTGATACGCGTATTGTTTTGCCAGTGAGCGTCGCAAGAACTAGACGCAAGGCAAAAGATCTTTGCGTCTCGAATTTCACGAGACGGGGTCTTGGGTCAGCCATAATTGTCGCGGGCAGTTGGCCGTGACCTGACAAAAATGCAAACGACGCCAAAAAAACATTTGAGGATTTCAAGGTGGAAGCGGAGATCGGCACATTGATGATCCGGAAAGATAAGATTGTAGATAAAAATTCTCCCCGATCCCCGATTGGTTTCAGAAACAATGGCGCAGCCAAGCAAGTAAATGATATTTCTAGACACAAAATTGGTTACGATTCTTCATGACCTTGGACTGAGCTCACGGATATTATCACTTGTATCATATAGATCAGGCAATTGCATGTGAGGGGTAGAACATATTTTATGTCAAGTTCTGTTTGGAAAATTTCTGCCGCAATTAGATACTTTGAACGCATTGATTGTGGCACTAATGACGTGAAGGAGTTTGCCGCTTGAAACAGAGCTGTAGAATTGAGCTTCATATTTGTTTTACGACACGTTCTATGCAAAAGGGATGTCATTGGTACTGAAATACCGAATAGGCGCTGAAACGATTACTTTACAGTCCCTCGGGTTACCACACAAGCCGAGGCTTGGCGGAGTCGGAGGATCAGACAGACATTTTGTCCGAGAGTGAAGAGTCGGAGCATCGTTGACTTGGCTGACGGGGACATGGTTACGGGGCGATTTCCTGAACGGGACAATACAGCTTATATACCCTGTCGACTGTCGGTCATGTTCGGGGACTTCCTACTTCCCCTCGGACCTTCGGCGATTCGGACAATCAGGCATCACTCTAAACACTTATTGTTGAGACTCTTGTAATCCGCCGTCTATGTTACTTTTACAGAAGTAGAATCCGATGAGTCGTTAACGTAGGGTGAGATGAGCAGAGATTTGTGTCGTTAATTTCCTTCCTACTTGCCCAATTTACGGTACCTACCTACCTACCTACGTAGTACGAGGGCCAGAGAGGTCCCGCCGCTGACCTCAGCCATTACTGGCGTGCTAACCCAATTTCTTACATCCCTCATAGCCTCAATTGCTGGATAATATCGAGATAATTGTACTGTCTACTGTCTATCGCAGACTAAACCAAGCAGTGTCTGTGCTGGAATGTTTTCATACTACTCGTACTCTCGGTCGCGTGCTCGATGGTTAGAGTGTTTAACTACGAAAGGCACTGCAATTGATGGTACACAGCCCTGCTTTCTGCTCCCTCGGTCGCCTCGGCTATTTGGCGGATCGACGGTGGCTCCCGTTCGACCTTTGGCCGCAAAAACGTGGGTCGCTTTGGTCAAGCTGCCAGGTCTGCCCTGTGCTATGCAAACCTTAGTTTGAATAGAGTCCCTAGCGCCGTCTTAACCCTACTCGAACCAATCACCTACGGAGTACCAGAGAAGTCGCGTGCCCAAACTTGGGAGAGAATGTGTCTATGAATCCACACTGAGTAAGCCGGGATAATCCTGTTTCGCTCCTATCAAAAAGAAAATTTGATTTCCTCTTACTCGTAGTAGGTACTGATACATCTGCCCCCGTGAGGAAAAAGAAATGCTTGACGTGTGGTGGTAGACCATGTCATTTGCCGGTCTGATCGCTAAACGCTCTCGGGCCAACGCTCCAGCCAATTCACGTCATCGACCAAGATTGAACTCTATATACCTTAGTGAAGACTTACAGCTCGCCAACGGATACATGATAAGTTTGCGTTTGTCATATCATTTTCTTTCTATATTGTGCCATTGCGGATGCAATAACGTGTCAATGAGAGGAAGAAAGCGACTTGTACCGGAAAGCTGACAGGCCGTCGGAAGTCGCATGTTCCGTAACTCCGTGTGGTGGTTGGTTAATGGAGGAGCCGGGAGGACTGTGCCTCTTTAGGTAGGTTCCACACAACACTCAGATGGTTCCTCGTCCCGGGCGAATCTGACGCTTTCGATGGGCTTATGCTTTTTACCTTTTTTTTTTGCTCCACTACCTCTTACGGAGTACAGTAAGCGATCCATTGCACCTTATCGTTCTTTCCCTTGTTTGCCGGGGTTTCCCTTGCGTAGTGGCAGCTAAATGGATGGCCGGCGCTTTTGATTGATTTTCCCCCCGTTGTCTTTGTCTGCCACTTTTGCACACGCCACTGACCAGCGCCTCTGGAGGACCCTCATCCATCACAATCTCTTAATCATGGTTGGTCCCTGGAACAAATGAAATGACTGACCCTCTCTAGTCCTCTTCTTCCTTGTTCACACACAATCTCTCTCACTACTCTCTCACACACATACCTTGCTACCCATTTGATTATTGTCCTCTTAACAGTATTTCTGTTTCGCATCGCATAACTCAGCATACTCCGCTAATAGCATCTTGCCCCACTACATACATAGCCTTAGCATAGCATTCACTGCTCCTGCTTCTGTCTTTGTTGTCTGCCTGGAGAGTGTCCTCTTCAGCCACACCACAACAATCACAATCCTCTCTCTTTTTCACTGGCATTCACCTCTACCTCACTCATCTGTCTTGGAAAGACGTTCTATCACTGTTACAAGAAGCATCAGTGAGCTGAACTTAATACCATCAATTACTTCCCCCAGAGCTTCCTGTGAGGAATCAGCTTTGCTACAGTCAACCTGGATACGCTACTAAGCTAAACACTGTCGGTCAAGAGAGGCAGACACGTTCAGAATGGGGGTTGGTGCATTTGTGGAACCTTTTGTTGTCGTCTTCCTCCTTTTTGGCGGCACTTGGATCAATCGCGACTTTGATGGCCCGTCCACACGTCCTGGTCGATGGACCCAAGACCGAGAATCTGCCGTGAGCCGCGATGACTCTCCTGATAGCATTTCGTCAGGATCATCTGGCGCCGTTGAAGAAGATACTCTGCTTGGTGATTCACCCACTCGCTCAGCCTCACCCTCTCTGCTCGTCGACCAAGAATCAAAATGGCGGAAGCGACACATTGGGCTTTTCGGACTCAAGCACCAAATTTCAACTCCCAACACACGTGTTTTCCAAGGCCGTTTGCTGAGTCGCCTTCTTCAAAAGCTTCCATTTCTAGTTGAGTGTTGGTATTGGGCTCTGGTCTACTGGGTACGTGTCTCTACGGTGATAAGCACATAAAACACGAGATTAACCTTTGTCCTTACAGATATATCAGTTGGGTCGTGCATTTAGTGCACTCACTCTCAAAGACACCACGGTCGATGTGGCTCGAAACCATGCTCTGCAGGTCATCCATCTCGAACAGAAGCTCCATATCTTCTGGGAACTGCCCATTCAACATTTCTTTCTCAAGCATCCTTTTCTCTTAACTTGGATCAACCGCATCTATTCTTTTATCCATATTCCGGGCACCATTCTATTCCTTGTTTGGCTCTACTATTACACCACCACACGAAACCGCCTGGAAGAGCGGCAATCCAGCAAAAAGTTTGGAGAAGTGAGCGGCTCGCCTGCAGGTCCTGGTTTATATCAAGCGCGCCGGAGGACCATGGCCGTATGCAATCTGCTGGCCTTCATTGTTTTCACCCTTTGGCCCTGCATGCCACCTCGCCTCCTCAGCGATAAACATGTCAAGGGTCCAGTTGGTGATGAGGCTCGTAGCTACGGCTTTGTCGATACCGTGCACGGGAAGGGCGGCGAGAGCAGCGTTTGGACGCAGAATAAATTTTGCAACCAATACGGTACGTTTCTCGAAATCCTTTTCTAAACCCAAATGAATGACCAAGGCTGACTTTATTCGCGCCTCCTAGCTGCAATGCCATCTCTTCACTTTGGGTATTCGTTGATGATTGGTCTCACGGTCGTTTTGGTTCCGCTCCCACCACATCACCGCCGTTCTATGGCCATAAAGCTTCCTTACATTCCGTCCATTCGACTTCCCTCTTGGCGCCGGCTCCTCTGTGTCATCATTGGCATGCTTTATCCGTTGACGATTCTCATTGCGATTATTGCTACGGCTAACCACTTCATCCTGGATGCGGTCGCGGGCGCTATCGTGTGTGGTCTCGGCTGGTGGGGCAATTCGGTCTTGCTGAACCTCTTGCCCATTGAGGACTGCTTCCTCTGGTGTCTGAGAATTCACAAGCCTGAGCCACGGACAATCGATGTCCTCGAGGGCGACTTTGACGAGAATGGCCAATGGGTGGTGGGAAAGGGGGTTGTTGTCTAGAGGCGAGCCATGTCTTCCCTCACGGCTCGCTCGGTCGATGCAAAGCATCATTCCGACAAGCCATGCAAGGATTACGGACATGACCTTCTCCTTCCATCTTTTTTCTCCTGTTTATGGCCGCCCAGGTCAGGCTGGCCGCTCATATTCGAAAACTAAAGATGCTGAGCATCCTCTGCTAGTAGTGATGGGCTTTTCTACCAAACTTCAGGAAAGTCTCGTGAGATAGCATCCGTTGAGCGTTCTCCGTTTCTCCCTTTTTTTTTCTTCTTTCATGATGCCACGACTAACATCAGGCACACGTCTTCTTTCCGGACAGGAGTTTCCATGGGTGCTCTCTCCTTCGTTCAGAGCATATCTTGGCGTACGGCAGAAGCGGGTTTGGTTTACTGGGCTGTTTTGCCCTATTCATGTAATTAAGAACCAGATTTTAATTCATTAATGAGATCGCCGCGCCTTTGGGTGTCCCGCTCCCTCCCCTCTACTGATATCCATTATTCTCTGTTTCAAGCATTTAAACAATTCTTGATTGTTGCCTAGGTGGCTGGCTATTGTTCTTGTTGTCGGGGGCTGGGGAGTTCCAGAAGAAGCAATTCAATAGGCTATTACATTGTATTCACATCTCGTCTGCGGCTTATGCTCGAACTTCCCAAGGTATATAAATTGTCCGCTCTCCCCCAGCTGTTTGGCCATTTCAATACTTCCCACCAAAGCGAATCATCTGCGCCCCAAACCAATTACTGTACGCTTCTTTTCCGATTCCGTGGAAAAACGCGAAAAAAAAGCAAGACGACTAGCCTTGTGCATCAGCGTAAGAGCCTAAAAGGTTCTTTTTTGGAAGGCTGATCGAATGTATCACTGACTCTGATAGCTATCAGTTGACGCTGGCAATCGAGCCGAAGCAAGCTTCCCAAAAACCGGACAAGGCTGCTTAATAGGAAAGCAACTGTTCTGTTTCTTGATTTCTTTTTCTTCTTTTATTTCAATCTCATAATCTGAAAGAATTCTCATTTCTCTGATTCGGTAGGGTTTTTATTCATTTTCTCATTCATTTCTGTTCCGATCAGTGCAGTACTTATTGTCTCACCCATTATCCGACGTCATTCCCTTTTCGTCTCCCACAGCTACCGCACTAAGCAAGCTGCGACAGCACGTGACCGCGACGGTCGGCTTCTCGTTCAATTGCCTTCCTCGCGCTCTTCTCTATCACGTACCCATTACATGGAAGCTTTGACTCGATAATTTCCACTTCCATCTCCTGTCGCAGTATTTCTTCTAGTATTTTCTTGTTGATTCCTTTTCCTTACCTATTGATTGGATTCAGATTGGCCGCCGTGATCTTTCATAATTTTCCAATTTCTAGCGTGTTGACACGCGTTCTGCAGTCCACTCGCACTCACGCCGGTCGCGATCTCACTCGTTGAGCTTCAACTTCCGATTACAATGGCTGAGGAAAAGCCCACGACTTCTCCTATTCTGCCTGAGGCTGACCCAGACTCTGCATCTGCGGCCGTGGAGACCACTACTGAGGCAAAGTCGGCCGACTCAAAGCCAGAAGCGCCTCAGGCGGCCACTGAAAAGAGCTCGGAACAGGAGAAAGCTGAGAGCGCCAACCAAGGTTCGCCACAATTTTCTTTCTTTCCTATGTGAATATTTGATCTTTATTTTCGCGAATTCCAAATCCGAGCTGACAATTTGGCGCAGAGCCCGCAGCAGACGGTGAAGGAGCTAAGGAAACTGATGCTCCTGCCGACAAGCCCGCCAAGGACAAGATCACCTCTGGCGGCGAGGAACCTGATGCTGAGAAGGTTGAGGGCTCGATAGAGTCTGCAGCCCCGGCTGCCGAGGCCAACGGAACCCCTGCGTCTAATAAGAAACAAGCCAAGCGAAGGTCCTCTGTTGGGGTACCTGAACACAAGACGAAGAGGTTGAACAAGAAGAAGTCTCAGGTTCTCACCAACCCGGATGCCAAGGCTGGTGACTACTACTTTGCCCGCATGAAGGGATATGCTCCGTGGCCATCGATCATCTGTGATGAGGAAATGCTACCCTCCAGCCTCCTCAACTCCCGGCCTGTGACGGCTCGTCGCGTGGACGGAAGCTGGCGCGAGGATCTTGAAGATGGCGGAAAGCGAGTTATGGATCGAACTTTCCCAGTCATGTTCTTGCATACTAATGAATTGTAAGTTGACTACAAAAGCTTTTTACGCCTGAAATTGGCGTTGGCGCTGCAATGTTTGCTAATGCATCGACAGTGCTTGGATGTCCAACACGGATCTCACTCCCCTTGACCCGGAGACCATATTGGAGAGCGGCGAGAAAGGAAAAGGAAAGCAGCTGTGGGCAGCTTATGGCGTTGCTGCGCAGAAGAATGATTTGGACCATTTTAAGGAGTTGCTCGCTGACCATCAGCGTGCGCTTCAAGAAGATGAAGACGCAAAGGCATCTCGAAAGGGAAAGTCAAAGCGCAAGTCGCAGATTGTGGAGCCCGAGGAAGCTCCAGAGGATGTGGAAATGGATGATGCAGGCGAAGCCGAAGTTGAGGAGGACGCCGACAGCTCTTCCAAGAAGAACAAGTCCAAGAAGAGAAAGAAGGACGCAGATAGCGATGTGGAGTCGGCAAAGGTAAGTTCTAGGCGCGCTTCGCTGGTTTGTCGAGGAATTCACTGGCTAACTACATGGTATTTACCGACTCAGCCCACCAAGACTCCCAAGACCTCTCAGAAGCTCAAGCTTAGCACACCAAAGACTCCGAACGGCACTGCTACTCCGTCCAAGGCCAAAGCCTCCACGAAGAAGGAGAAGGCTTCTACCACGAAAAAGACGCCCGCCAAATCTAAGGACGCCGACGAAGAGATGACCGACGCCCCGAAGACTGTTGAGAAGGCTCTATCGCCGGCTGAGGCAAAGAAGAAGAAGGAGAAGGAAGGTGGGTGTCTTGCCAACGAATGGAAAGAAAAAAAATTTTATGGTCTGAAAACTGACGATGATTTGATAGTGCTCTATCTCCGCTACAAGCTCCAGAAGGGATTTGTTACTCGTGATGTGCCTCCTAAGGAGGAAGAAATGACCACCATGGCCGATTACTTTGGCAAGCTCGAAAAGTTTGCCGATCTTGAAGTCAGCATCATCCGCCAGACGAAGATTCACCGCGTGCTCAAGGCCATTATCAAGCTCGGCACTATTCCGCGGGATAACGAATTCCACTTCAAGCAGCGCGCTCAAGACCTGCTCGGAATATGGAACAAGGTCCTCGCTGCTGAGCCTGAGACTCCATCAGCCGCGGCTGCCGATAAGGAAGCTTCTGCCACTAACGGACTTGACAAGAAGGACGAAAAAGATGTCCGGGAACAAGTCGAGAAGGAAGAAAAAGAGGAGAAGGAGGAAGAGAAGGAGGCTGAGAAGAAGGAGGCCGAAAAGGAGCCCGCTGAGACTGAGACCGAGACTGCCAAGGAGCCCGAGAAGCCCGCCGCCGCCACCGAGGAGCAGACTGAAAACAAGGAAGAGGCTAAGCCCGAGGAACCAAAGCCCGCAGATGAGCCCAAGGGCGAGGAACCCAAGCCGGCTGAAGAGGCAAAGTCAGAGGAGCCCAAGCCAGAAGACGCCAAGCCCGAAGAGTCCAAGCCAGCTGAAGGCGAGAACGAGACTGCTTAAGCTTTTTTTCTTCTCGTCGATTTACATACGCTATGCGGGGACCGAGTTTGGCCGTTGAACGAGATAACTCACTGGAGATATCAAGGATTTTATTCCATTCTTCACGGCTTCTTGCCTTGTTTCTCCAATCGATTCAGGCACCCTGCATTCAAATCCTCCCCAAGTTCCGGCTCTTTCCTCATTTTCCTTTTTTTTTTCTTTATTTCCATTTCCCCCTTTCTTCTCAGGCTACGTCCCTGCTTAAACTATTTTTTTTTATCGTTCTTCCTCTATCTTATTTCCCTCTTAAATTTATCGAATTACAGATCGGGGGCAACTTTTATGTTGCAAAAGCGTCTGAGCAAAGGGATGACTCAACGCGCGGCTAACACTTGCGGGGCGGATATGGCAAGATAACTTGGGTGGATACATGTTGTTGCTCTTTTTTATTTCTTTATATTTTTAAACGCAGGGGTTAACTATTTTCTTTTTTTATCTTTTGATCTTTTTTTAACTTTTTATTTATTAAAATATATGTTATAGCGAAAAATGGAATGAATGGAATGGTTTAAATGAAATGTTGCTCTGTGTAAAGTGACGCCACTAAAATATTCGGGTCCCAACGCTGTAAATGAGGTATCGACTTTCTTTCTACAATTATTTATTTATTTATTTATTTATTTATCTCTTTCTTTCTTCTTTCTACTTTTTAGAGGGGGAAGGGTTTGGGGGAGCCACAGCTGCAGCTTCACAAAACTGCGTAGTAAGACGTGTATGCCACAGTCCACTGGATGACATGTGAAGCAGTACTTCGTTTGGCCGCCACCTTTGTTGTTGTTCTCCCTAGAAGTGGGTGTCGTCAATGAACCAAAATGTCAAAAAAAAGCATAAGCATTGTGTCATCTGTGTCAAAATATTGAATGGCAACATAGTGCCACCCCTACCATACCGATCCTCTGCACGGCATCACACTGCATCCCACTGCCAAAAAAAAAAAAAAAAAAACATCTGAGTTAACTGAGGTGGTTACTGGTCACTGGTTACTGGTTAAGCACTATGTGCTGTGTGAAGGTTGCATTGATGTATGGATAGTAAGACATCAGTAGGATGGGATTGCACAGGTGACGGCTGCCAATTAAACTGTAGGAGTGTCATATCATATCATTTTATTTCATGTTATTTCGTGGCAGTGTGGTAATAGAAACGTGGTAATTGAAACAGGATGGGCGAGAGAGAGGGTGAGCGAGAGCAGTGGACAACGGGGAAGAAAGAAGAAGGAAAGATAAATAATTTAAAAAATAAAATAAAATAAAAAATAAAATAAACATTGGCAGGATATACAACTTTCTTTCCCATAATCCAGATTAACACAAACTACGACAAAAACCACGCACGGTGGAAGAGTAAAATAGTGCTGATAATTTTGATATATTTTAAATACATACAAGATCGAATTGAACAAAGTTGTTGTTTTTTTTGAACAAACTGTATCAAAGAGACCAAAGCCCGGAAAATATAAGACGCATATGGAACGCCATAGTCCATCCGTGTAAAAAACGCCCAAAAGCAGGGTAAGGGAGGTGAGAAAGGCGTAAAATGAAAACAAAAAAGGAAAAAAGAAAACACACACAGCAAAAAGGAAATTGAAAAAGGAAATAGAGAAGAAAAGAAAAGAAGGGGCTAAATGGAATCTTGTGGTGCAAGAGCACGCGAGAATGGAAACGAGTCTGAGCCAGCGAGGCTAAAAGTAATTGTAATGCAAAGGATTTGACTATTGGATATTGGGATATGATGCAGAGAAGAAGAGAAAGAAGAAAAAGTGTTCCGAGAACGATGCGAGTAAAAACCAATTGGATATTTGAGTTGTAGAGTGTGAGGGGCAAACTAAAAGTAATGTTTGATATAAGACAGTAAGGGATATTCCTTCTGAGAGAGGATAGACTGAATCGGCGGGAGAAAGGCGAGCAAGAGAGCGTGAGTAGCAGGCTAGTTCAAGAGGAAGGCTACTGTGCAAAGTCTGCGTTATATGCCTTGCATGAATGCATTAGGAGGCAGCATTTCCTAGACGAGAAAACATGAGTTAGCATTACATTTCCAAAGTTGACAATTGTAGCCCAAATGTTGTTCACAGAACATACCTTTGCGCTCTCATAAGCCGCCAAAGCGCTGTCAAAATTCCATCCAGTCTGCTCAAGACACATTCGCGAGTACTCGAGTGTCATGTTCGTCCGTTTGCTCATCTCGGCGAGCATCAATTCCTGCTGTAGTTGTTCTTCTGATTTTCCGGGAACAGCCACGGCGAAATTCTCTGGTATTTGTGGGGCAGTCGGCGTCAGTGCACTGGGCTGTGCCTGACCGTCGGAAGTCGTCTGCGCTGGCGCGGTGCCCTCTGGTAACCAAGCGGTATTTCCTCCGTAGGCGCGTAGTACGAGAACATCGCTGATGACGCGGATGCCGCCAATACCGGCACCTGGCCCCAGGACAAAAGTTCGATCGAAGCTGCGAGTCATAATGGTCTGACCGGTAGCCACGTTGAGCTCGTCAAACTCGCCATGCACCATGACAATCAGACCGCCGACACCGCCGGGCGACTGGCCTGACGGGTCCGGCAGACCGGGTAGGGAATGGCATTCGACGAGCCACTTGAGCGGTTCGGCGGTTATGTTAGCGTGTCTCGTGGCGGGCAGCGATGTCCAGCAGCTGAGAATGCTCTCGGGACCCGTGTACACGCGGGCCATTCTCGCAGGGAGATGGCTAATCTTGGATAGATTTCTGCTCTTTTTAATATAGGCATCCCATGTCTGAGATTTAATGTCTTGTCCCTGTTGCGGGGCGCGCGGTGCCGAGGTATTGACGCTGAGCGAGAATTGGGACTTTGCGTCATAGTAGCCATTGGCTAATGCCGCACGGTCAGTGTCGAAGCCTAGGAAAAACTGCTTGATAAAATTCTCTCCGATCTGTGCTTCGTCACGAAAGTCGGCTGCTTGAACCGGCAGAGGCAGAACACCCCGGACGGCGTTGGCACGCTTCTGTGCAATAGCAGCTACTTCCTCATCGGATCGGACCTGTTGGCCATTGAGGATGCGAAGTGTCGGATACCATTTCAGAATGGACTCTTTATAATTCGGCTCTTGTGTCTCGAGCGGGTTGTCTGTGAGCACAAGGTGGTCGAGAAAAGGGAAGCGTCGGCGCCAATTCTCCATCGCGCGAAGGTCTTTGAATTTGTTGTGAGAAAGGTCGAGGTTCTGGATGTCGGGAAAAGTTTGTGAGAGTGTGGTGACGGACATGACGTTGGGGAGTTCGTTATTCGCGAGAGACACACTGTGGACGGCTTCGCGTTTCTGTTGTGCTGACGAGAAAAAAGTATCGCACACCTTCATCAAAGCCGGGAAGAATTTCGATTCGGTGGACACGCTCTGGAAAAGACCCATGGAAACAAGCTCTTCATCATGACCTAATGCGGAGAGGTTGAGCAGCTTTAGCGCCGGGTCGTATCGGCGGCTCAGCACACTGGTCATCTTTTGTTTGATATCCACAACCTGGGGTGATTCAGTTGGAGCGGCAGCCCCTGTCCCAGAAGTTTCCGGTCCATTGTATTTTTCGATGGTAAGCGGCACTCCGGCAAAAGTATACGAACTAATTCTCAAGAGTTTGGGCACGTCCTCTGGACGCACCGACACAATGACCGCTTCACCCTCCGTTCGTGACTAGCGCATGTTAGTCAGACATAAGTGACACGATGGGTCGAACAGGAATTCATCGCCCCGGGAGATCGATGCGAAAGAAAAGAAAATTTAAAGAGGTAGAAGAATGAAAAGCAGAGTGTAGTAGCAGCTATGTCTTGTAACACTCGAAGCATAAACTCGTTCGCGGTCGTCGTCCTTTTGAGCTTGACATGGTAAAACGAAGGCGGACCGCGGAAGGCGAGATTGGAGAGTAATAATAATAGGTCTGAAGCAGTCGATAGAGCGTCGTGGTGGTTAGACATACCTTTCTGATCCTCACGGCTTCTCGTGCTGGTGTATCCGGTCCAGTGGCTTTGCGCTCCAGGAAGGCGAGGAGGTCCTTCAGGCCCCCATCAGGATTTGATGCGGCCTTGCTTTGTTTCAATCCGCGCACTGAAACTTGATCCAAGCGGTGATCTTGTTTGTCGCGTCCTCTTGCTTTTCCTCCAGTCATCTCCTTGAGTACTCCATCAACTCCAACTTCCCGTGGGCCTCGAACTTTGGCATCGCCGGTAGCCATTCCGCGGAGAATTGCTTTTTGCAAGCCTGCACCGCTCAACGGACCTCGCTGGGGTGCGCTTTTCAGAACATCCCGGCCTGCATTGCCCGTCTTCTCGGCACCTCTCCCACGACCAGCACCCGACTTGCCGCCTGCAACATCCATATCCAAATCTCCATCTCGATCAAGACGAACCGGGCCCGTGCGGCGTTTTGAAATGCCTCCCCGCGCGGGTCCCTTGTTCCGCGAACCGGCGTTCCGACGTTGACTCATGGCGATGAGAGACCTGAAGAGCGGAACTAGCAGGAGCTGTCTTCTAAGATGGAATTATGGGGACGCAGGTTTGAATGTTGAACGCCGCGTCTGTATGTCTCCCTCCGCCACCTGTGTATGCGTGGAAAACACAAGGGTTCAGTCAACTCGCCTGCCACCAAAAGGGTAAAGTGGTTGCGAGAAGTGGAGGGAAAGAGAACGAAGATTGAACGGTTGGAACAAACTCAGCCAGGATGGTGCTGCTGAGCGTTGGTGGTGACGGAGTGGTAATTGATCGATGCTTCTTTCGGAGGGAAAGAGTACGACTTTTGAATTGTAGGGAAAGCTAAAGAAGTAAAACTCAGGGTTGTTGCCTTAAGCGGAATGACGTCCAGGGCGGCCCAAAGCAGCCTGGTTTGGTCTGTGCTGCACGGAAATTACTGCACAATAACACCTTTAGAGGCGTAATATAATTTCTATTGACAATAGTAAGCTTTCTCCAATGTCGATAATGGCATTTATTGTACTATTGATATATATTCACAATTGGTGAAAAGAAATAATAACGAGAGCCAGACAATTCATTTATAGTTGTCCACGTTTTAACCAATATCTATCCCAGTCCTGCAGATCTACCCCCGGCCACAAGCGAGCCAATCATCGACAAGTACCTGTCTTGTCTCCATGTGGCCTCAAGTCAACACACTGTGAAGGAACACTGTCAATAACACCAAAGGAACTCATCTTTGTTTTTCCTGTATGATCCCGGCCTGTCTCAAGGGATCTATCCACCAAAGGGCCATTTCGATTCAATCCTATCTCCTCATGTGCACTTGACTGGCTGAATTGCGGTGGAAATCATTGTTCCGCCGCCTCCTCACAGCTCTAGGCTGCCAGGCTCCAACAGCTAGAGCTGCCTTAGCTACAATTTGAGCTGCCTAAGCAGACCACGTCGAGAAGCTAGGGTGAAGCTAGTTTGGAGAGTGAGGTGACAGAGGACGAGACGACAAACCGCAAATATGCCCGCAAAATCACGGTTCACCCGCCTAGACGCCTTTACGAAGACAGTTGAGGATGCGCGGATTCGCACCACATCTGGAGGCATCGTCACGCTTGCCTCACTGTTTATCATTTTCTGGCTAATATGGGGAGAATGGGCCGACTACCGGCGGATTGAAGTACACCCGGAACTGATTGTGGATAAGGGCCGAGGTGGGTAGACAATCAATTGCTGCAAAGGCCGTATCTTGAGAAATGGTACTAACACCTGCGGTTTTACCATTCCCTAGGCGAAAGAATGGAGATTCACCTAAACGTTTCCTTTCCGCGAGTCCCTTGCGAGCTATTGACATTAGACGTCATGGACGTCTCGGGCGAGCAGCAGACCGGCGTCATGCACGGTGTCAGCAAGGTCCGCTTGTCGTCCGTGTCAGAGGGAAGCAGAGTGATTGAGAGTAGCGCACTTGATTTGTACGGCTCAGACCCTACCTTATTTCCCTTATTCTAGAACCCACCAGCCGTATAACTTACGCTGAGGCTACAGACACTCGGACTCGACAAAAGCGGCTCACCTGGAGCCCGACTACTGCGGTAGCTGCTACATGGCTCCGGCCCCCGCAAATGCCCAGAAACCCGGATGCTGTCAGACCTGCGACGAGGTGCGCGAAGCATACGCCACCAAATCATGGGCCTTTGGCAGAGGCGAGAATGTTGAGCAATGCGAGCGGGAAGGATACGCGCAGCGTCTGGACGCCCAGAGACAAGAAGGATGCAGAATTGAAGGCGGTTTGCGTGTGAACAAAGTCGTGGGCAACTTCCACATTGCTCCCGGCCGCAGCTTCAGCAACGCAAACATGCATCTGCATGATCTGCAAAACTATCTCGCTGACCAAGGCATTCACACGTTTTCGCATCACATCCATCATCTGCGGTTTGGCCCGCAGCTGCCCGACTCGTTGACGATCGGAAGCGGCGTAAACATGCCTTGGACGAACCACCATCTGAATCCGCTTGACGACACTGAGCAAGTCACCGATGACTCGCTGTTCAACTACATGTACTTCGTCAAGGTCGTTTCCACTGCATATCTTCCCCTTGGATGGGAGCGCCAAGCCCGTGTCATGTCTTCAGCCGATAATGCCGCTCTTGGTGCCTATGGCCAGGGCACCGATGGCAGCATTGAGACGCATCAATACTCTGTGACTAGTCACAAGCGTAGTCTTAATGGCGGTGATGATGCCAAGGAGGGGCATCAAGAACGTATCCATGCCCGGGGCGGTATTCCCGGCGTTTTCTTCTCTTACGTATGTTACCTTCTTCTTACCTTTGACTCGACTGTTTTACTTCCATTTTTATGAATGCAGTATACTGACTGCTCAACTTAGGACATATCTCCGATGAAAGTCATCAACCGTGAAACTCGAAGCAAGTCTTTCACCGGCTTCCTCACAGGCGTATGCGCCATTATTGGCGGTACCTTGACCGTCGCCGCTGCCGTCGACAGAGGACTCTATGAGGGCGCCATTCGCGTGAAGAAGTTACACAAGGGATGAACGATACAGCAGAGTATTCTGGCTTCTCCCACCTGTCTCTCGACTGTTTTCAAACTCCACATTATCGCTGCAACCCACAGTTTCCCTCCACCATCACAAACATCTCAGCAGCACGCTCAATATTTTGAGAATCCCTACGTCTCTCTCCATTTTTTTTTTCATCTTGGACGATATCCGAATATATCTGTATTGGTGATAGCCAGCCTCGTCCTGTCATTGTTTCAGATCATTTTGTTGGTGTCTTTATACCGGTCAGGTGAATGTATATACAGAGCGGAGTTATAAACTGGTTCAACATTTTAACAATTAAAGAAGTTTTTTTCTCCCCGGAATCGATAACAATGTGGTCGAGAAGGGGTATCTCAAATTGAATATTTTGAAATGACAGCAAAATCGCTTTTAAAGAAGTTTAAATGAGCTAATACGCTCGCTGGTGCTCTTGCTTGTATTGGGAATCATGCTGCTCATCATTAGTTTCTGGTGGTTCTAGTCGGGTAAATTCCTTGTCCTGTGGTGTTGCATCAAGATTTCGCTGGTGAAGTGACTCGAGCACCTGACTCGCTGTGTCGATTGCGCTTTGAGGGAGACCTTCAACCACACATATACGCGTAAGTTCTTCACTGGCTTTCAAAATTTCTCCGAAGGAATATCAAAGCTTACCAGCCATCAAGGCGACTTTCAAAGCATGGCTCTGCCTGTTGACACCGCGGCGGACACGATGTATAAAAGAAAACGCTCCGTTACTGCCCTCACGCACATCGGTGCAATAACAGCCCACCTTGTCCATGCCTGCGGCCGCAGCCATATTAGCTAGGACGTGAAAGTGAGTGGCGAACAAGGTACGGCATTGGTTCGTGTGGTACAGGTGGTGTAGACAGGCGAAGCTCACGGCGATGCCGTCTTCGGGAGTCGTTCCGCGACCAACTTCGTCCATTATCACCTGTTGATTTTGTCAGTCCAGTCCACGGATTCAGATTCTTCGTCGAGGACCAACTTCCAATAACAACGACAAGGACAATGACACAGAAAAAAAAAAGAAGAAGACCAAAACAAAAACAAATACTTACAAACGACCGCGGAGTTGCGCGTTTCAGTATCTCTGCCGTTTCAACCATTTCAACCATGAATGTCGATTGGTCTTGAGAGAGATTATCTGCTGAGCCGACCTATGGCAGAGAAAACAAACATTAATTGGGAACTTAAAGGGAAAAAAGCCGATGATCAAAGTCATAGATATATCCGGGCAGAGCAAGGCAATTATAATTGAAAAAAAAAAAAAGGACTTCTTCGCAGAGGAAAGACATACCCGACTAAATATCTGATCTACTATACCAATCTCCGCATACGCCGCAGGGACGTAAGACCCGACTTGAGCGAGAATAGATATCAATGCGTTTTGTCGGAGGAAAGTGCTCTTGCCGGCCATATTGGGCCTGTATATGCTTATCGTCAGACGAGAAATTCTCCCACAACTTTGCTACGGTCCAGACATACCCGGTCAGAAGCCATACACGTTCCTGCAGACCGACAGAGCAGTCATTGCTCGTGAAACCGCGGCCTTGCTCCTGTAGGCTCCATGCCACTGTAGGATGACGACCGCCGATAATTTTGTGGCTCAAGCTATCTTCATTAGTATCTGGCGAGATCGTGAGCGCTCGGGGCGACATACCCGAGGTTCAAGATCGGTCTGACTAGATTTTGCTCCTCCGCGAGCGCGGCAAAAGAGCAAGCTACATCCAGTTCATCAAGAACGGCAGCATTCCGGCGGAGTTTCACAATATTAAGAATGACCTATCGGCAAGAGATTAACATGGTGAAAACTGAGAAGATGGTCGAAACAGGATATACCTGCTCCCTGAGGCCTTGAAAGACGTTTTGTTCCTCCCCCTTGATTTGTAACTTCACTTGGTCGATTCTCGAACCCAGCTCTGTCCATTCATGAAGGTGGAATGAACGCGTAGACTTACTAGAACTGATACTGCGCGCAGCACTGAGCTTATTCTGTGTGGACTTTAGATCTTTGCCCCGGATGTGGCAAATATACCCTAGACCAGGGGTCCAACGGAGAGTTAAAGTTGAAGCGCCTTTGACCATAATTAGCTTGTCACGCCATCATTCATTCGCTGCAGCCTACCGTGCTCCTCTCTGAGAGTTTCAGCTAAAGTAACCTTTTCCTCACGCAACTCGTCCAAGTGTTGATGTAGCTTCTCAAGCAGGCGACTCGCGCTGGCAACAGATCAGCAAATACTTTTGCACCATTCGCAAATACCTACGTTCGTCGCATTATCCATGCTTCCTGCTCAATTGAGTCTTCATCCCTGGCAGTAGGAAATTTAGGCTGCCTTTTGGATCCGATCCTTTTTCGTTTTGGGTCTACTTGCTCCGCAAGTTGCCCTTCATCAAACATGCCTTGAGCCATTGTGGCAAGGCCAAACGCCTCGCTCTCTTCAAGCTCATGCTGAAATGTCAAGCCATCCTCATCAATAGCTTCTGTGATCTGTGCTGAAAGTGAAAGAGGTCCGTCAAGATCCAAGCGCTTCAAAATAGAGGCGAGACACGCGTCCGACGTTTGGGCATTCTCTGTGGAGTATCGATCTCCCTTGTCTCCTTTACGAGAATCAAGTTCTGGCGTAAGTTTCGCACTCAAAGATGCGGCAATTTTGGAGGTCGCATCGATAGTCCGGGCTAGGCTGACCAGATCGTCTGCATCGCCTCTACCCAGTGCAAATTTCTGCACGAGCCTTTGCGAATCGTAACTTCCTTTCAAAAGTATTACTATTCTCTCGCGTATCACCTTGTAGTCGATGAAAAAAGAGACCAAATCGAGCCGGCTGTTGATGACGTTAAGAGATGTAGATGGCGAGCCTTTGCAGATTAAGAAATCAAGTCAGAAATTTCTCGGCGGGCAATTCAGGAGGGTTTATGGCATCGCCCAGGAGAACTCACTCAACCACTGCCTTAATAATCTCGCTCCGCTGTTGGTAACAGTCCTACGAATGGCATGAAGCAAGCTGCCTTTGAAAAAGCCTTCTCTCATAGTCGCCTTAATTTCCAACGCCCTCATGCTGCTTCTATCGATTGCCATATTTTCCAGCTCTTGCCGTCTTAGCGGAGGTTGTAGTTTCATCCTCAAGCCTTGTAACTGTATTGTTACATAGTCAAGAAGTTGGTTTCCAGCAGCAATCTCTTCCCGGGTAAATTCATTTTCGGCCACAAGTGGCTGACCTTCTAGGAGAGGTGCCCAGTCGGCAGTTGAAGAAACATATCCTGTGCCGGCATGGTAGCTGAAAAGTTTACCGTCCTCTCCAAGCAATCGCGGGATCTCTCCGGTTGGAAGGCCTTGTAATGCCTGGTCAAGGATAACCTCTCTCGGGCCTATACGAGAAATAGCAGAAGGCAAAGATAACAGAGATGTTGTCTGCGTAAAGAAATCGCCGGTCGAGAGATCTAGCCAAGCAAGACCGACTGGAAAGTTCACCCACTCGTCACGCTCAATACTGATGTTTGCATGGTCTAGACCTTCTCCATAGACGGCAAGAGTAGTCAATGGTCCCGGAAAATGCAAGGACAAAAGAAAATTATTTTCAAAGGGATCAAGAAACCTTTCATCGATCAAGGTTCCAGGGGTCACAATTCTTGTTACTTTTCTGTCGAACATAAGCCCACCTGACTTTACTTTTCCGGAAGCATTGTTTGGAAACTCTTCGCTAATGGCAACGGAGCAATTGAGATCTTGGACGAGCATTTTTAGAAATCGATCAAGTTGAAAGAACGGAAATCCAGCCTATCCCAATGAGCGTAGTTCTTCGATAGGGCTTGTAAGCAAGTACAAATAAACCCTTACCATTGGTACCAACCCTGCACTCGTTTTCTTCTGAGCCACTTTCAAGTTCAATAATGGCCCAAACTCTTTGGCATGCTCAAAATACAACTAAAAAGTCGTAAGCAGCAGTCTAATATTTCGGAATTGCAAATGCAAATATCATTTCAAGAAATACAGGGCCATCAAAATCTTAGTCATTTTTGATAGATATATCACAATGAAGCTGAGAAAAATAGTGTTCAGAAAAGGTGCCTCGCAACAGCATGACGATTACATGGTGTAATATTCCAGAACAAACGTGTGAGCATATCATGGGGATATTGAAAACAGGCTCAAAAGCAGTCGTTTCGTGTAAAAAAAATAAATTCCTACCTCATAAAACCCTCCGACCCTCGTTAATAAAACACAATTCTCAAATTTTCGCATGTTATTCCAGGCTTGCTGGACGACGGTGGGGTATCGAGGCAGTTCCGTATCTTCAACGTCCTGCACGGGTTGAGACCCGAATAGAGTAACTGTCTCATGCTCATTCTTATGCCCAGTAATAACATCGAATTCCTGCTCGGCTCTGTTGTAAATCTTTGGGTGGTCACCTTCAGTCACACTGGCGGTTTTCTTTCCGCGGCGAGATTTTGCTGAGGCACCATGCCGTAAAGTGACATCGGAATCAAGCCCGGGAAGTGGCCCTTGTGGAAGGTCTTTCAATTGAATTGTAGACTTTGTTTTGGCGCCTCGACGACACCTAATTCCGGAAGACTGCTGTCCAATGTTGTAGCGGGTTGGGCATGTTCTGGGCCGCAAGGGCAGACAACCAAGGCTTGAAGGTGAAGTGTGAAATTGAGCAACCAACGTTTTCGATTGCTTAGTGCCATAGATGGAAACCTTGAACCCAAAAGTCTTCAGCCATTGGCAGCGCATGAGCATAATTATTGCTGCTTCATAGGGCTTGTGAAGCGGGAGCTTCGTTCGTGTTTGCGCACGCGTTTGTGTTAGAAGTATTAAGATGTGCTATCACGTGATCAATCTTATACTGTATTTGCAGTAGGTTACAGCAAGACTCGCAGCGACAACATTGTTTCCATTTCAATGACGAAGCATTATGTTTTCCACGATTGCTGCCAGAAGACACATGAGGACACATGAGGACCAGGTTCAGATATACGACGCATGCAAACACCTTACGGGAGAACAGGTATGAATGATGACAATAAATGTATATCAAATACTATGACCGCTTTGATCTTAAAATAATAGAAATCAAAGCAATATGCCAGGCAATGGAAGAAATAAGATCAAGACACCGATCCAGGCAAATCTATGAGCTCTCGCATTGAAACATGTGTCAGGTAAGAACCGCGAAAGGGAAACTAAAGGAGAAAAAGAAAACTATGAAGCGACCCGTACTTGCTTCCCAAACCATTGCAATGCTTGGAGAAAATGGAAAATGAAATCCAGCTTCGAGAATCGGGGTTCTCGAGGGGAAGTGCAGAATTGCAAGATGATCTGGGTTCTAGGAACTGCGGAAAATCGCACCATTAAAATGCGCCCGACGAGAAGGAAATTGCATCAGATGAGACGGCACTAAGCCCCGGAAAAAAACAACCACAACACACACCACTTCAATGCTTAATCATGTCGCATCAGTCGTCGAACGCCATCACCTCTCAACCACTTTTTCAGGTGTTTTTTTTTTGGAACCTTTTACTGCGAAGCGCATTGCACCCGCTCACCACCAGCTGGGATGTCATCGTCATCGTCCTCCATGGCAACGCCATCAGCGCGAGCCTGCTGATGGGCATCGACATCCTCAACGACGAAATCCTCAGTCATAGCGTGGGCCGGCGGTACAGCGGCAGGTTCACGGGGTCCGAGGATCTTCTCGAGCTGGGCAAACTCTTCGGGAGTTTTGGCGAATGGCTTCTTGGGGAACCTGACATCGAATCGGATATAAAGGTTTCCGAAATCATGGTGACGGTATGTAGGCATACCCTGACCACGAATGACCTTGACATCACCTTGTAAACCGTTAGCGGTGTTGTTGGATGCGGAAGGGGATGGAAATTAAACTTACCAGGACTGATGACCTCGCCAGGGATGAGCTCAACGGTCAACCATCGGTCGTCAAGGTGCTCAATGTGGAGCTGGCCACCGGCGAGCGCCGTCACCAGGTCGATTTCAGTATGGTAGAAGAGGTCATCTCCCTTGCGCTGGAAGCGAGCGTGAGGCTTCTGCTCAATCTCGAACTGAACGTCGCCGGCAAGAACACCGGGCATCTGGTCGCCCTCGCCGCGGAAGTCGATCTTGGTGCCGCTTTGGACACCACGGTCGACGTGGACGTGCAGAACCTTTCGCTCAATGATAGTCTTCTTACCGTGGCACTGCTTGCAACGGTCCTTCTCGCGGATAATCTCGCCCTCTCCCTGGCAATCGGGACAGACGGTCTGGAAGCGCTGAATCATAGGACCCATCTGGCGCATCATAGTCTTCATACCGTGACCATCACATCCCGTACACTTCTTGACAGCACCTTCCTTTCCACCACGTCCCTCGCACTTGGGGCAAATGACAGACTTCTGCAAAGCGAGCTTCGAAGTCTTTCCGCGATAGATATCCTCGAGGGAAACCTTGTGAACATGGTGGATAGTCCGAGCCTTCTTTGGGCCGGTGTCGCGCATGCCGCCGCCAAACATGCCACCGAAAGCAGAACCGCCGCCGAAGAATTGCGAAAAGAGATCCTCTGCGGACATGCCGCCAGCGCCACCGCCCGATTCAAGACCCTCTTCACCATACTGGTCGTACAGCTGTCGCTTTTCGGAATCGGAAAGGACCTCATAGGCATGCGAGAGATCCTTGAACTTCTCTTCAGTTTCTGGGTTGGACGCATTCTTGTCTATGATACATTGTCAGAGAGTTTTCATGGGCGAAGCAAATGTATGCGTAGCTTAAGCGTACCAGGGTGATACTTCAAGGCTCCCTTCTTGTAAGCGGACCTCAGCTGCTGCTCGGTCGCATCGGGGGATACCTGTTTTGTACGTGAGCGAGTCGCCTTCATATCAAAATTGAAGAGAACTACTAACCCCCAGAACGTCGTAATACTTGGTTTCCTTCACCATCTTGAAAATTTTGGTATCAAAGGGGACACGCTACGAGTTTTGGCGATAAGTCCCAACGAGGACGAAAAGAACAGAAAAATCTCAAATTTGTCTGCTTTTGGTTTTCTCAGTTACAGATGTCCCAGTGTGAAAGTCAAAGACTTTGGACTGCTGGCTGGAAGCCTTGATCATATTTCTGACATACCTGAAATCAAAGACTTTTCAAGGAGAATTTTGAAACTGGAATAAACTGATAAAAGTAGAAGAAAAATCGAGAGCGAAGGCCTCGAGGGGAAGGAAGAGGGTAAGAGGATGAAACAGGGCTAAAGATGGACAGCGTGAAGAAGTACCAGAGCGTCCTCGACAGAGCGGAGTGGAATCGCTATCACGGAGGTGAGGGTCTTGTGTCAAACTAAAGTGACCTTTGTAGGCGGCAAAGTCTCACGCTTGGGTTCCAAAAAATCCGCCGCCCCATGAGGTGGAAGCGAGATCGAACTTTACCCTTTCGGTTCCGTTATCTTCGTCGGGCTTCTGGCAGATTCCACAGCCTCACCCTCGTCTTTTCCATGGAATCAAGGTGGCACTTCGGTCCGAGTGATGGATGAAATTTTAATCCTTTTTTTTTTTCGGGGTTAGTGGCGAAAGATTAACCTAAAACGCTTCAAAACATGATGGTATCAACATTCATCATGTTCATTTTGATCCAGAATTTAAAAAGACCGTGATGGGTTTGGGTCCTACTACTTGATGACGACAGAGCTAATAATAACAGGGGGAGAAAAATGCGTTCATTCATCTCCTTTGTACCGAGTACGTACCTACCTACCTTACCTAGCAGATACTCTTTTCGCCTGGAAAATTGGGTTTCTTATCCCCGTCCCCGCGCATTTTTTTCGAGGCTGCTGCAGGTTCAAATGACTCGTCTGCCGCTCGGCTGATTACCCAATCATATTTTGCGCTAGGTAGAATGATATTCCAGATGTCCAATGAAAACATGATTTACATTTCACGACGTCCTCCGCTATGGGATGATCGATTAAGCATGTGCTAGTAGTGTGGAGATTTGTTGTCGTGCCTATCGTAAGGCAGTTTCGCCCCTCTTAGAAACCCGCGCAATAACCTCTGGACTGATTCTTGTCTCAAGGAATTGATGAACCAGGGAAATGGAGAATGATATAGGTTTTGTAGCCGCTGTAGAGGAAGCAAAAGCCGGCGCTCAGGAAGGTGGTGTTCCCATTGGAGCTGCTTTGGTTTCAAAAGATGGAAAGATATTGGGCCGTGGGCACAATATGAGATATCAAAATGGTAGTGCCATCCTTCACGTGAGTTGGAACACAATATGCAGCATATTTATATGCAAAATTCGATCAGCAATTGTGTTTATTGACTGGGATCAGGGTGAAATGTCGGCGCTTGAAAATGCTGGCAGACTACCGGGCTCAGCGTACAAGGGATCCACCATGTATACCACCCTCTCACCATGCGACATGTGCACCGGCGCCTGTATCATGTATGGCGTAGCGCGAGTTGTTATCGGAGAGAACGAAACGTTCCTTGGCGGTGAAGACTACCTCAAAAAGCGAGGCATCGAGGTCATCAACCTCAACAATTCAGAGTGTAAGCAGTTGATGGCCCAATTCATTCACGATAAGCCCCAGCTCTGGTATGATCTAGGCCATCCACTTTAAATACTTCGTCTTTAGCTGATTAGTATAATTACAGGTATGAAGATATTGGCGAATAAGCATAACGCGTTCAAGTATATGTCCGCTGAACAGCATCTCAGATGTGTAGTGAGTGGAATGTATTTAAATAGACCGTTTTCATTCCCGAATGATGATTTTTTATATGGAATGGCAGCTCCTTGTGTAGTGTACACCACAAATGGTGCAATGTCCGCTCTCGTATATCGTTTATGCACTCGAAGTCAAACGGTGAATCTCTTCAAAGTAAAACTTCAATTGCTCTGGGTCGACAAATGGTGTGATACCTGGTAACCATGAGTCAAGTGATCTTGATGGCAGGGTTCAAACTAGCTTACCGTGGCCAAGATTTGCGATCCATCCTTTCTTTCCTCCTCCGAAGCCGTGGACCATCTCCTTGACAGTCTGAGAGATAGCAGCTCGGTCTCCGTAAAGAATTCCGGGGTCCGCATTTCCCTGCAATACGACTCTCCCTTTGGCTATCTTGACGGCTGCGGCCGGATCCTGCAGCCAGTCTAATCCAACGACATCGTACCCGGACTCGCAGAGATCGTCCAGCGCATACCAAGCGCCCTTGGCGAAAATTGTCATCGGAACTGGTTTATGACCAAGCTCCTCCAAGCGCCTCGGAAGATTGGCAGCGATATATCGAAGATAAGGAAGCGAGAAGACCTTGAAAGTCGACGGAGACAGCTCAGACGCCCATGAATCAAACACTTGGATCATCTATACTCCTATGTTAGACATGTTTCTCTTATTCAAGGCATTGTTATAACTAACCTGGGCTCCGGCAAGTACCTGTAAGGCGAGATACTCAACGCAGAGTTGTGAGATCTTCAATAGCAACGCCTTACTCTCCTCTGGGTATTTATAAATCCACGTCTTGGCCTGGATGAAGAGTTTACTTCCACCGCCCTCAACCATATAGCTCATGAGTGTCCAAGGAGCGCCACAGAAACCTAGTAAAGGTACCCTTCCCTTTAATTTCTGTCTTGTCAGGGTGATAGCCTTGTAGACGTAGTCCAACTCTTCCTTCACATCAACTTTTCGGTCCATGATCTCTTGGTATTGCCCATCGGTCGGTGACTTTAGCGGGTTAGGGAAGTGTGGCCCCTTCTTATCAACCATTTCCACAAGCATTCCCATGGCCTGGGGAATAACAAGGATGTCGGAAAAAATAATGGCGGCATCAATGAGTCCCTCATACCGCTCGATGGGCTGCAACGTCAGAGTCGAAGCTACCTCAGGGTCACGACAACAGGCAAAAAAGTCACGGTTTCCTTTCGCTTTGTGATATTCGGGAAGATAACGACCGGCTGCGGCAATGGTCAATCGGTCGTAACAAATGTAGTTTTAGGAATAAACAACCTACCTTGTCGCATCACCCACTTAGGCGCCCTTTCCACCTTCTCCCCTACCCGGATTGTCAGACTTTATACCAGAAATCTTTAATTCGTTTTACTCGCCTCTTGCTGTTCGAAGCAACAAATCATTCTTCAAAGGTTCAAAAGACGGAGACATCTTTGCTGCTGGCGAAGACAAAAAGGTGATCTGCTCTTGAACTTCCCCACCGTCGCCGCCGTCAATGGGTGTCTGCAGAGGTACAGGGTGCCGGAAAAATCAATACCCGAATCTCCGGGCTACGATCTCGGATCTGGCGCTCTGGTCCACCAGACTCAACCGCCCCTCTGAGGTGCACAACCACCACTTATGACTAGATATCGGAGTAGGCGAACGGGGTAGGAGCCATTTTCACGTGTCATTGAATCTCCCGGTCATACTCATACAGTATTATTGGATATGCGATATTCATTGAGGAGACCATTTTACATTTATTAATGCTTACTTCGTTCTACTTATTCCTCATATCCGCGTTTCCTGAGATTCTCAATCCCATATATGAGTTCCCGTATCTTTTTGGGATTCGGAGACACTTCTGTTCCAGGTCCATTGGATCCATTGATCGTCTCAAGAATGTTGTTGAATTTTGAGGTTTTTGTCCACGCGTTATTCTGGGCCGACCAGCCAAAGGCTTTCAATCCAGGAACAGTTTCATCTTCCCGTAATTCAGTAAGAGACGAGGCTTTATGTGAGGAATCGATGGTAATGAATATAGAGGAATCGTTCGGCAGGACGGCAACATCCAAAATGTTACCTTCGACGTTAAGAAATTGAGGAGGTTCAGCAATCCCTTCGCCAATCCACGAGAAACTGAATAGAACCGGGACGCTTAAGAATATAGTTAGCATCTTTGCATGCGAGCATCTTCACCGGATTTTCTTACCCTTCGCAAGCCACCAAGATAAGGCGCACTGGAGATTCAATCTCCTCGCTCTTGCCACTTGTCGCATTTGAGATGCTGACATCCCAGATTCCAGAGACAGCAATATTCGATTTTTGTTGCAAGGGTTCTCCTTTGGTGTTTTTGCTCTCTCCGTCGGATTGTAAGGCGGTTGCAACCTCTGGACGAAGGTCAATCCTTTGTTTGAGCTTTCCATTGAGCCAATCCCAGACAAAAAGGCAATCGTCACCCCCACCAGAAACTAGGCGAGTAGGTTGCCATCTAGGCAGACAAAGCTTGCTCACAAACTCACGATGGCCAAAACAGAACTTTTCAATGATGTGAGCTTGCGGTGGCGCACGAGATATTCTAATGTGCTCATCCCGGTCCGCGGTGAGTATATAGTTCCGCCGTTTACCGTCCTCGGCTTCCAACGTCACGAACGTCATATCGGTAAGCATGGAGACATGTCCAATGATAGGATCATGAGCAAAGGAAGGACCAGTCTTCTCCACTTGTTTGTTCGCCATCCGCATTTGGTTTTCCAATGCCATACGATTGCGTGCAGTATGCACGGTCAGGTGCGTAGCGGCGGGAACATATACTTCTTCCCGGGATTCCGAAATATCGCCTTCCTTTTCAGCTTCGCTGTTCGAAACGGCTTTGATCTCTGATTCGAGCAGAGGGAGAGAATAAACATCGCCGAATTTATCTGCGCAAAGAATCGTGCTATCTGAAGTCACAATTACAGAGGAGGGTCGTTTCGGCATGCACCTAAACACCACGCCAATCAGCCATCAATGTACTGAATCTGCGTCGCTCACAAGCTCACCTTGTGCTTAAGGCATTCAATGTTGATCCATCAAGCAGCTCAAATACTCGGATCGCTTTATCCTCGCTAGTAACCACAACAACATATTTCCCATCGGGACTCTGTGATACAATAGATACTGCTGGAAGTTCCGTAGCGGGCGGACTCTTCGCCTTCCGATCTGCATCCTCCACCTTTGCATCAGCCGACGATGAGACTTTTCTTCGTTTTCCGGGCGGCCCTTCCTCACTCTCCGGAGCTTCTCGCTTTGCGCCTTGTTCTAACGCAGCTTCGGGAGAAAACTCAGCATTTTTGCCGTCTGTTGATGGAGAAATTTCTGGCCAAGAGCAGAGCAATGCGCCGTCATCCACATTGTAGAGGTAAATTCGAGGACCCGCCGCTGCCAGAAGAAGCGAACCACCGGTGTCCGAGCGCTGGTGGCAGAGCTGAATGCATTGCAAGGGATGGCGCATTCTCTATTCAGTTCGAAAAGCTGCAATATCTTGGTGTCGGAAAGCGCGCTCTTGGCTGAGTCGCGATCCGTAGCGTCCTCGCAGGAGCTCATCGCTGGGTCAAGCAGGGTAACTCTATTCGGGGTTTGCTTGCTCGCTTGCCCTAGCGCACTAGTGCATTAGCGGTTCGGTTGCGCTACACACAATGCGATGGAGCCGAAAGGGACTTGGATAGAATTCGAGCGAGAAGTGACCACCAAATCCACCAACGAGCGGATAACTCGACAACTTCAGATCATCAACACTTGACCCTTAAACATCCTAACTTCGCATCAAAGAAGATATGGGGGGCAAGTCAGCTACCAAGGCCGTCTACTTCGATAGACTCAAGGCCCTGCTCGAGGAGTACCGCTCTGTTTTCATTGTCACCATCGACAATGTCAGCTCCCAGCAGATGCACGAGATCCGTATCTCCATGCGTGGAGAGGGTGCTGTCCTGATGGGCAAGAACACCATGGTCCGTCGTGCCATCAAGGGATTCATCAGCGAATTCCCCGAGTACGAGCGTCTCCTTCCCTTCGTCAGGGGTACGATTCTATATTTACAATTGAATGATTGATTGGGAACGAATAAGCTAATTATTTGGTTAGGCAACGTTGGTTTCGTTTTCACCAACGGTGACCTCAAGGCGACCCGTGACAAGATCTTGGGCAACAAGGTCGCTGCTCCTGCTCGTGCTGGTGCCGTCGCCCCGGCCGATGTCTTCATTCCTGCCGGAAACACTGGTATGGAACCCGGCAAGACTTCTTTCTTCCAGGCCCTCGGTGTTCCCACCAAGATTGCTCGTGGTACCATTGAAATTGTTTCCGACCTGAAGTTGGTCGAGGCCGGCTCCAAGGTCGGTGCCTCTGAGGCCACTCTTCTTAACATGCTCAACATCTCTCCCTTCACCTACGGTATGGGCATTACCCAGATCTACGACCAGGGTCAGACCTTCCCTTCGGACATTCTCGACATCTCCGAGGAGCACCTCCTTGGCGCTCTTACCTCTGCCATCAAGACCGTTGCCTGCGTTTCGCTTGCGGCTAACTACCCCACTCTGCCTTCCGTTATGCACTCTCTCGTCAACGGCTACAAGAAGGTTCTCGCTGTTGCCATCTCTAGCGAGTACAGCTGGCCCGAGATTGAGGAGCTCAAGGACCGCATTGCCAACCCTGACGCCTACGCTGCTGCTGCGCCGGTCGCTACTGAGGCTCCGGCTGAGGAGACCAAGGCTGAGGAGAAGAAGGAGGAAGAGGAGGAGGAGAGTGGTGACGAGGGTAAGTCTTGTTTCGAGCCTTTGATTAAAATCCGGCTGCTAACGTTTTATCAGGCTTCGGTGGTCTCTTCGACTAAGGTAGTTCACCTTCTGTCGTTTTATAGTACATAGGATATCGGCGAATAACCGATAATCTTAATGAAAATAGAGATCAAGCCGATCATATCTTTGAATAAATACGCGTGTGTGACTTGATGTAATGTACATCATGTTACGATCAAAATGATAAGGTTAGTTAATATCTCTTTTTCTTAGTATATGAAATAGCACATCCCTGGAAGGACATTGGCGAAAGATTAAAGATTTTTAACCCCGATTACATCATGAAGATGAAAAACAGCAACAACCAAACACTCTAATTTTTTCATGACGCCCTTTTTCAATTTTCAAGTTTTCAAATTGAAGTCTTTGCAAGAATTATGCGCTGACATTTTGAAAGTGTTTTCTAGTGTTTTGATATGTTCGTTCCAAGGAAAGAGCAATCACAATATCGCCTTATATCGTGAACTGGATCGCTCAGAGAATCCCGACCCCTGCGTAGATGTAGCTTATTACATTGAGTGATTTCCGTGCCTTGTGATAGTTTGATGCTGCAGTTTAATGTTGCGCAATACGCTGTTGTTTGACACTATCATAGCTTTAGACTACGGTTATCAATGGAGAGAATATCAATCACATACAGAACAATTTCATCTAAAGTTCCTTTGACGTGTTCTTCGCTGCAATTTGATTTATATGTACTCCGTAGATGCACAGATCATCGACTTCGCAAACAGCTACTCTACACATAACCGTCGTTCTCTGGGCTTGGCAGACGACCAAAGGGCCGAGCGGCGCTTCGGTCTTCTCGGCAGTGATTCCCCGACGACCTCGGACGCGGATCGAGGGGCAGCAACAGGCATACTACAGTATGCCTTTCTCCGCACTTCCTCATCTGATGAGTGTATTTGCTAATCCTTGGCTCTCCTTTGAAGAGGAAAGTTTTAGGTAAAAGGTTCGTCCTAAATGGTTATAATACGACTTATTTTAAAATCACAACGCTCCGCGTGACTAAATCACTTCAAATGACACTTGGCATTGCCAATCATATCAATGCTTCTTCAATCCTTCCATGCGTCATTCTGATCCTTTTGAGTTTTGCACAACTGTAGTTTGTGAGCATACTTTTGCTCAGCAGCTAAATATGACTGACTTGCTTTCTATACAAAAGCCTTGATGCTTTAGCCATGCATTTGTTTATCTGCCCTTCGTGTTTTCTCTACTCAACGTGATGGTTTAAATTATGAGCTGCTCTTGCTATGTTCCACTCTGCCCGTCATGATCTCCTCTCTCCCAAACGAACTTCTCTCCACCATTCTTCTAGAGGCGACAAATTTGAATTCTCAGAATTGTTGCAAGTTCAGTTATGGAATCACGCAAGCTCCGCAGCCGATGCAAGATGTGAAAGCTCCGCAAATGTATATCACTGGGTTCACGCCTCCAGATGTATTGCGTTGGAACTCTGCATCCTCCATCCGGCAAGTCAGTGGACGGTGGCACGAATGGGCAGTAAGATACTCTCTCAGGGAGCTTCTTATCCGTAAGTGGAGAGGTAGCGAAAGATGGCTCGAGTCGGCCTATCTCGCAGACCCGAACGTCACAGTCTCAGGCACAGTGGTATATCAGGATCCGTTCCGGTCTTTGCGGCTCACGGCAGAGCTACTTTCACGGTATCCACATCTTGCCGGGCATGTTCGAAGGCTGTGGTTTGACAACATCGTCGCTCCAGAGACGGACGAGTTTATCTTCAGTATCATCCGCTCATGCGGAAGTTTACGTTCAGCTAAAGTCCCATGGCCAGTCATGAGCCGTGCGTCTCAAGCTGAATGGTCCAATACTTTGAGGACTGTGGCGCCGGTGCCGCTGTCCTCGTTGGAATTGCACCTAACCAGTCTGAAGAAGGCTGGTTCAAACGATGTAGATCCCGATCTCTGCGTTCATGCTTTCAACCCACAGCTAGTAGACTTTGGGAGGCTCACCCGGTTAAAGCTAGTTGGAGAGGCTCATGAGCTGCCTCTTACGGATGAAGACGTCGCCGACATTGCCCGCACCGCGAGGAATCTCGAAGAGATTCATATCGTTGATGTCTCTACTGTGTCTATTCATGGTATATTATACCCTCGCCGGTCTTGCTGTTTGTTATTTGCTACACTTTATGATGTTGCAGCCTTTTTATTTATTTTATTATTTTTTATTCCACTTATCATTGTACCGCGTGGCTGAAATCTGTTCTCTACTTTAACATTTACCTGCGTTACTGGACGTACTGACAAACCCATCCAGGCGTAATGACTCTAGCTCTCGCATCAAAAAACACGCTCCGTATCCTTGAATACTGGCCTTCAAGTCACACAGGACATGCACTTACTCTGCACATTGACGAATCCAACTACATTTCTCTCTGTCCGGAAGATAATGTCCGTTCCACACATGAGCTTCCACATCCTTCTCTGCCAGGCGAGCACGCCCCTACCAGCACACAACATATCTGCCACGAGCTTCGCCAATTATCTAAATTGGAAGATCTCTCGATTACCTTGCCATCCGTCTGTCATGAACTTTTCTCAACTTTCGGTCCAGGAAACGTACCCTCCTGCGACCATTTCTCGTGGTCAGGCGTTTCAAAGGATATCCTGATTCGCGCCAATGGATTCTGTCATACTGGTAAGACCACCGGTAGCGGTCGCGATAGCAGTAGCAGTAGCAGCAGCAGCAGCCATACTTCTAACGCTCAGGTTCCTGCTGCCCTGTCCGCCGAGTCCAGCCAGCCTCAGGACCAGGTAGATGAGCTTGTGTCTCATGAGGGCGAACCTCTTCGCCAATTGATCGACGCAGCGCGGTCCTTTGTCGCAGTACGCCAATGGAGATATCCGTCGGCGCGCCAGACGCAAGACGTGCGCATCGACGATTCGGAGACGTTTGAGCCTGGGGTTGAGGTTTCGTTATGCTAATTCTGGCAGTTTTTGATCCTTTCGCAAAAGTAAAAGCTTTCAATACTTACGGAAATTGTATTATATTATGCATTGTCGCTCGGCTTTTATTCATTTTAATTTATTTATTTACTTATTTATTTTTATTTTATTTTTTTCTTGTGAAAAAGTACACATATTTCCAATACATGAACCAACATGCAGACCCGCTCTAGAACAGAGCTGTGAACTGTCTCATCCCACTCTGTACCCCGAAGTAGCTCAAAGAAACCCCAGCTCTCGTTTTATCCCATGGATAATATTCTATAATTTTACAAATGTACTGCATAACATATCATCAAGTTCTTCTGACCCGTCGGTGCCTCTCCTATGAATCCAATAAATAACACCTCTTATGATTATATGTAAATTAGAAGGGAAAACAAAAGCGAACAAAGGACAGACAAAGATGTAAAAAGAACAAAAAAAATCCGCTAAGTCTTATAATTCGCGGTCTATATAGAAGACTTCTTGTAAAACGGTAGAGTACTAAACAACAGACTCTATACCTTATAATCAGATCCGTTCAAGATCAACCTCGGCCCAATATACTGTCCAGCAGTACACCCCTCCAAGGCTTCTCGCCACGCGAATACTCGTCTCGTTATCAAAGGTGACATCCGAATGCCCAAACGGCTCGTCGCCAAACGTGCTCATCTTCTGGCTGATCAAATTTACTGTCAGCGCTTTGGCGAGACCACGGCCCCGATACGCTTTCTCGGTAGTGAGTGACATTATGGAGGAATCTGGGCCGAGGAAGGCCCATGCAACTAGTGGTGAATTTTCGGTCGATTCCTCAGAGGGAGAATGCTTCTCATAAACCCCCAAGCTTTGACATATCCTCAGGGTCCGATCCAGTCGCGCAATCGCCGTCCGACTGCGCACTTGAGGGAAGAATTGCTCCCGAACAGGCCCGAATTCGAGATTGTCTGGAAGAGCCCTTGCGGCGCGAAGAGATGGAATGTGGAATAGGTATTTGTGGTTGGGGACAGTGTACCGCGTGAAAATCCCCGTGGGTTTCAAGGCGGCAATGTTCCGGGCATGGATTGCGCCAACGAGAATAATTGGATAGTCTCGTAATGGAGGTTGCTCTGCTTGTGGGTTCTCCTGAGAGGTGTCGTTGGGGGAAGAGATGTGCACGCCATCTGCTTCAAGAGTTGCGGAGGCTGCAGCCTTTTCCGCTTCGACGTCAGGCTTAGTAGATGGAGGAAGGTCACGGACGATTTTGAATAGAGATAGGAGCTGGCTTCTGACAATCTGTGCGGCTTCTTCGTCGGAAGTGTTGTTCGAGTCTGCGTTCAGCAGGGGCCGTTGTGTTTCCGCAGCGGCGGCACCATTTGATAGACCATTTGATTGACTCTGACGAATTTCATGGTCGTGATACAAATCGTCCCACTTGCCATCCTCGTTCCCCAGACCCCAGACGCCTCCGCGTCCGAGTCCGATCCCGCCATCTTCGTTTGTAGCAGCGGATTCACTAAGCCCCGCTCTGGCGAGGATATCGTCCCATGATCCAAGAGATTCCGTGCTGTCTATTCTGTCCTTCCACCCCTCGGGCAACTCCAATGAGGTGAAGAACCACATTTCCGTCTCCGGCCCGCGGGACCGATCAACGAAAGCAATAACAAAATGCGATGGTAATGATTTTGGGGTCAGTGGGAACGTAGTAGACGCGACCTCTGTCGTAAGCGTCCTGCCAATCAGCGGCGGAGGGAAAGATGCAAGAATGTAGGAATGCGGAGATCGCGCATGGAATTGAATTCGGCGCAGAAGAGTTAGTGAGTATGGGAGTAAGGGTTTCAGCAGAGGCAAAACGGAACTGCCTGAGGGAGGATGGAAATATATGCGGGGCAGTGATGATGGCCCCGCGGGTGAAGGTTCTGGTGTTGTAGCTGCCATTGTTGTTGAGATCTGTATGTATGATTACTTCTCGGATAGGAAATGAAAATATATAAATACAATTCTAATTAGACAGAAGACTTAATTGATTGACTCAGTATGAATTGGACGTGACTGTTGACAAGTTGCCGAACAGAGACGGGAATTATATTGAGTCATGGTTGGCCCGTATCGGAGGAGAGTCCGCCGAGCTCCACCGATAAGGGGTTTGGTAGTGGATATGAACCCCAACTTTGTGCAAGTACCGCGAAGCGCTGTGTAGCAAATCTAAAGGACATGCAATTTTCTGCTAAGATTGTGTCATTTACGAATAAGCTGCTGAGGGGACGGATAGCTGAATAAATTCAGAAATAGTGGGTTGAAACAAGCATCTAATGCTGGCATGTTTTAGCTCTAATGCAAGCACGGCACGGGCTAGCGCCTTAACTAGGAGTGGGATAATACAGTGGTCTGTACAGGGGAGAGCTAGCCATGGATTTATCTAACCAAAGCACTGGCTCTATTCCACGTTTCAGCTATACTACGATAAAGCTATGCCTACGCAGTAAGCGTATTTTAACTGTAATTCCACACATTGCCCTTAACTACAGTAAGGAAAATTTCCAGATAATGACCACATCAAATTAACGGGAAAAACAATCGCCGCTTCATGACAGACATCAGGCCACGGATACAAAGGGTTCATGGCGTGAAGAGGGTTCGCAAATATAGATTTATGCAGATTTGGATTGCTGTGGGAAGAAAAAGTATAAAATATCTACACTGGAAAATAGAGGAAACCATAAAATCGAAGCCTAAATGATATGAGAAAACCCAAAAGACACAAGTAACGCGCCTTTCACCTTTAAATGCTTCATTCATTTCTTGCCCTTCTTCTTCTTTCCGGCTTTCGCGCCACCTCCGGCAGCGGAGTCTGCCCCAATAGTAGGCCCGCCGGATTCAACAAGTACGGCGTCTTCTTCACTACCAGCAGTATTTCCAGTTTGAGGAGCAGCGGCAGCGGCAGCCGCGGGGGCCTCGGGTGCACTGGGGTTCGCAGTCACACTACCGCTGGCCGGAGACTCCGTAGGCTTAGCCTTTGGTGTGCTTGGTTTCTCACTCTCGAGTTCCTTCATGAATTGGGCCTGAGTGTTCTCGCGCTTCTTGTCCCACCATTGGCGCTCGGTAGCAGCCTGCGATTGGATCTCCTCGATCCGCTTGCGCACAGTCTGGTTGTTGTGAATCTCATTGGCACTTTGGAAGATTGTTGCGCCCCAGCCGGGAGTAAATGCGTTGGCCTGTGCGAACGAAGTTGTCAGTTGAGTTGGACATGGAAAGCGTTATGTGAGAGGTCCAGCCCCTAATCGTGCAATGGAACTTCTGCCACGGCAAACATACCTCCTGAATAACATCCCGCAGCTCCTCTTCAATTTCCTTTTCCGCGCGCAAAAACCGCTGCCATAGATCGTCACCGACGCTGCCCCTCTGCAGCAATGTGGTCAGTGCAGGCTTGGCGTTGCGGACCGCTATCACGCGTTGTACATCTTCTGTAGCTCGTCGCAGAAGCGCAGCCTTCAAAACCGTCTCCGGAACAGCAGGTCCTTTCTTCTCGCCGGTGCTCTCAGGCTCGAGATGCAGAAGTGTGAGATAGATGTTGCGCTGGAGATGAGGGCCAAACCATGGCGCTAACGAGGCAGCTTTGTCTGTCAAATGTAAGCTTATGAAGCCATGACCCGGACAAGAATATCATACTTGCTTTCCTCTGTCTGTAGAGGTAGGAAAATGTTGCAAGAGATCCAACTAGAATGCCGAGGTAGGCAAATGGGATCGCCAAGCTCACCCAGTCCACCATGTTGGAGATGTGCGGTCCTTCACCTGCGAGGCTTCTGCGCAAGGAGTCTCAGCATATGACGGAGGTGAACTTTAGTCCCGTCAAAGAGAAGGAGAGGACGTAGCCGGGTAGGGGACACAATCGAGTCTTTGTTGTTGTCGTCGTCAACTGTCCGTTTCACCTCGAACTTTCAAGAAGACAAATGGCATTGAACCCTAATGTGGTTTAGCGCGGAGACTCGACTGCTGTACCTAATGTTCCACGAATTGTTACCCGGTGCGGCATCCGCCCGGATTACTGACGTCGAGGTCGCTGTGAATTCCGTCAGCTTCTCAAGCTATCGAAGCTCCAAGCAGCACTTTCTACTCCACGCCACAACGCGCCGCTGGGCGAAACTCTCTAAAGACTGGATATATAAGAAGGAACTTGGCTTCTCAACTGACTGTCGAGCAAGGAGAGACGCCCGACGACCATGTTACTCAGATTTCAAGGCCGAGACGGTCAGTTTCGGCTCACAGTCAACCCCTCCGACCACTTCACTTCTTTACTCCCAGGCGTGAGTACATTCTTGATTGACTTGGATCTACCTGTGCTCTAGCTCACATCGTCGTACAGATACTTGAGAAGCTTCCCAAGAATGTCGACGCTGCCTCGATATCCCTTTCTAATCGGCCAGCCAACGGCGACGAAAGACTTCTGAACACTCTCGAGGGAGTGTCGATAGAACGGGTTGGCTTAAAGTCAGTTCGATACGCTCTTGTTACTGGTTCAACAATTCTAACACTTGCAGACATGGCGACCAGTTATTCCTCAGCTACAAATCCCAGGACAAGCAGACTAATGGCGATGCTGCCTCCCATCCTCTTGCCTCGTCAAACCGACTCAGTGGCCAACCGATTCGTCCGACAGAAGACTATCCCATAGATCCGCCACCTCTTGCCTCGTCAAAGACGATCATAAAGAACCCTTGGGAGGTTGTGAAGCAGTCACCATTAGATGATGCGCTGGATAAGCTAGATGGCAAGATTCCGAGACCAAGGGACGTCAAAATGTGCCGGCATGGTCCAAAGGGAATGTGTGACTACTGCATGCCACTAGAGCCGTATGCGCCCGAGTATATGGCAGACAAAAAAATCAAGCATCTATCATTCCACTCTCACCTCCGGAAAATCAACACGGCGACAAATAAGCCAGAGTTGAAATCATCGTACATGCCGCCGCTTAGCGAACCATATTACAGAGTTAAGCACGATTGTCCCTCTGGACATCCTCCGTGGCCAGAGGGTATCTGTACCAAATGCCAGCCAAGCGCCATTACCTTGCAACAGCAACAATTCCGAATGGTTGACCACGTCGAGTTTTCATCACCTGATCTGATCAACACGCTGCTTGATTTCTGGAGACGGTCAGGCTCACAAAGAGTGGGATATTTATACGGCCGGTACGAGCAGTATACAGAGGTCCCTCTTGGAGTGAAAGCTGTTGTCGAGACGATATATGAACCACCACAGATTTGCGAGGCGGATGGTGTCACTTTACGCGAGTGGGAGAATGAAGCCGAGGTGGATGAGATGGCTAGATCATGCGGTCTAGAAAAAGTTGGAGTGATTTTTACGGACCTCATCGATGCTGGCCAAGGGGATGGAACGGTTATCTGCAAGCGTCACGTCGACTCATACTTTCTCGCCTCGCTGGAGATTGTCTTTGCCGCGCGGTTACAAGCTCAACATCCAAAGCCCACCAAGTGGAGTGAAACTGGCCGCTTTGGATCTAACTTTGTGACGTGCTATTTGAGCGGTGATGAGGATGGCGCCATTGCCGTTTCCGCATTCCAAGTGTCCAACTCTGCGGTAGAGATGGTCCGAGCAGAAATTGTCGAACCATCCGCCGAGCCGTCTGTGATGCTGATCCGCGACGAAGAAGAGGATGATGGGTCCGTCAGCCGCACACGCTATATTCCCGAGGTCTTTTACCGTCGTATAAACGAGTACGGCGTCAGCGTGCAGGAGAATGCGAAGCCGAGTTTCCCAGCCGAATATTTGCTTGTAACGCTTACCCACGGTTTCCCCACCGAGTCCAAGCCTCTCTTTAACGCCGGTGGTTTCCCTGTCGAAAACCGAGAAGCAGTCGGCGAGAGCCAAGAGCTCAAGTCGCTTGCAAAGAAGCTCGGCGTCTCCGGGTCCACCGTGTCCGGCAACGAAGGCATCAATGCAGTTTCCGACTTTCATCTGCTCTGCTACATTCACAGCCTTGGTATTCTGAGCAAGGTTTGTCTTAATCCTTTTTTTACCTCTCTCTCTCTCCCTCTCTCTTGATTTGCCATTGACATTCATCCGTAAATACGGCTCGGGACTAACACGTCTACACACTATAGGACGAAGAGAGTCTTCTCTGCAGAGTTGCGCGGACACATGATGTCTCGGATGGAATCCAGCTGCTTCACACACCGGGATGGGCCACACTGTTGACAATTCTTCAGGAGAGCGGTGAGCGACCCCCTAAGCGTCCTTCATCCGCATCTTTAGACCAGCAAGGATTTACCTGGGACAGCGAACGGCTTGCTAAGAGGGTCAAGGGATTTAGCCTGACATAGCGACACTTCGACGCGAACTAACCCGTGCGAACTGAGAAATATCCGGCTGCGATATGTACATTTCTTCGGAATGCCTAAACCCAGAAGCATGGTGTCGGAAAAAAAAACACACTTCTGACCATAGTTTCCCTTCTCGCTTCCTCTTCTATCGAAACGATATTTGGTGATATAAGGCTTTTTACTGCGGAAGATTTGTTATATTCAAGCATCATCTTATTTTCTTTTTCATCGATTGGGCAGGTGCATGTGGGCGGAGGCGACTTGCGAAATTTATCAATTTTTTTTTTCTCCCTTTGTTTCATTTCTTGCCTGGCGTGCGAAGAAGGGAGGTTAGCCAGCTGTCACTTATATTCGGCTTGATTTGGTATGACACACAGTACAGTACAGTAAGCACATTGAACGATACAGTACAGCACTATACTAAGCAATGCGTTTCAAAAGCTCATAAAAGCGAAGCGCTACAATCAATTATATTGTCCTCATGGCAATAAATACCGAAATATTAATTCCTTGGCCTTCATGTCATAAAACTCTTTCCGGAACCAAAACCCTGTAAAATGGCACAAAGCCTTCCTTTGTAAAATATAAATCCTTGCATGTCAAGCTTCACGACGATCACGACGATCACGACGACGACCGCGCAGCGCTCTGCGCCGCAGCGAATGCTCTAGCATACACATCTGCGTGCGGCAAGAACCCAATTCGCTTTGGCTCCCAGCCAAGCAACTGCTTCGCTCTACTTGCATCCAGGACCATCTTCGAGCTCAGGGCCTCGAGGAAGGGATGGCCTCCGGGCCCTGTATATTCAATCTTGCCCTTGTACCCAAACTCCCGCGCGGCCGCTTCCACAATCGTGGTCATCTTCTCCGTGCTCGTGAGGAGGTCGAAGACGGGATAGACGCCCGTGCCGGCAATCAGGGGCAGCTTCTCCACAGCCGCATGCAGTCCGGACGCCGTGTCGTCCACATGCAGCAAGCCCGACACCGCATCTTTGTCCAGCGGCACCTGAATCGTGTTATTTTCGGTTCCCATCTTCGTCTTGCCTCCTCCCGCAACCGCCGCTTCGAGAATCGGCCCAAACAGAGGCACCAAGCTCCACGACGAGCGGCCATAGACCAGCGCAGGCCGCACCACTATCGTATCCAGCACGCCTTCGAACGCCGCCGGGCTCGACCCGGGTGACTGCGAGCCCGAATGCGACGAGCCCGCGGCCAGCACGGCCTGCTCGATGGCAGGTCGGAAGGCGACGATCTTCGACGGCGGAGCAGGCGCATCGTCTGTCCCAACGGGCGTCAGGTCGCTCACGGGCTCCAGCGTGGATCCATGAACCCACGCTCCCGAGCAGTACACGAAGCCCAGCTTAGGGCCCCGTGTCCGGTTCCGCTCGTAGCTCGCCAGCCGCTCTTTGCCGGCCCGCACGAGGTCGGACAGGATCTTGGCGCTGTCTTGGTACGTCCCTGCTACGTCGACGACAATGTCGATCCGCTCGTCCCGGATCACGGACAGGTAGGCTTCTGGGGAATTGACTGGGTCAGGGCATTCGACGGGAGTGATTTCCTCGAGAGCGAGTTGCCGGGCTTTTTCACTGGTGCGGGCAATGCCCCATACTTTGTAGCCCCCGGACCGCAGCAGAGATTGGGAGAGCGCGAGTCCGAGGTAGCCCGTAGCGCCGATGATGAGGACTTTGACCATTTTGGAGAACAGTGCACCTTGACTTTAGGGAGAATAGATAGTGTATAAAAGTTGATTGATTGGAGTTGTAGGCTGGACGTGGGATTTTTAGAACCAAAGTTGTTTGTTGATAGCTACCACTCCGTAGGGTGGGTAGGTAAGAGCTTGAAGCTTGGAATGCTTGTGATGCGGGGTAACCGTTTTGTTTTGGCTGATTCGTTTTTGGGATAGAACTGTACAAGTACATTGCTTAGTTAGGATTTAAAACTTTTTGTATGCGTAGACGACAGTTATTCAGTGTACCCGAGGATGTTAGAAGAGGGGACTTACAGTATGAATCCCGTTCACTGATATTGTAGCTCGAAACCACAGCTGATGCTTTTCTTCTCAATATATTGATCCAATGGTGGGAAGATTTGCAATTGTGGAATTGCACAGGTGTATTTATACTAACACCATGTCCATTTATTTCCCCTCTCTTTGAAAGTCATTCCGTATATAGCGTCATCGAATCCTTGGAAATGGCTTAGCAATCTACGTTCCCAAACACAGTCAGCATCATGTTTTCTAGCTCTAGCAGCCTAGCTGGGCTGAGCTCCACACCTTTTAGCCCCTCTTTGTTAGTTCATAGCTTTTCGTAAGCTCTGTACGGGTACTTTGTACAATATGCCGATAAACGTATGATCTTACTCGTACGGCTGTAGTGTTCTCTCTCTCTCTCTCTGTGGTGATGTATAATCCAGTTAGTCATGCTGTGTGTTGGTGGAAAACTTGACCTCAGGCACAACGAGAAGATGGACGGTTCGCTGCTCTATAGGAGTAAGTGGACGGTATAGTGCGGCGCGGCAAGGCGGCCGCTCCAAAGTTCAACTAAACCCCGGTTAAACCATCGCTGGCTCCACTTAATACGGGCAGCGGGTTTAACGCCGATGGCTTAGCTGAGCCATACCTGCTTAACGCCGAACGGTCAACAGATGGATATCAGAATACGTGTGCACGATTATAATAGTATAACGGCATAAAGTAAAACATACCAGTTATGGTATAATGGATTATAATGGCAGGTAGTTTAGAAACAATGGAAGCTTGAAAACTTGATTATCAAACTCTTTGGGGTATAACTAATGTCCAGGGCTGAATATTATAAATGTTTACAAAGAATAAGTAGTATAATTACAAAGGTCTACAACATTTAATTACTCGTACCATTGAAACAACACTACAGTAAAAGATAATAAGATTCTCAATGTAAAAAATGATACTCAATTCCTCTTACATCTCAATCTTTCAGCCAACTCCGTAAACTTTGAGTCTTTGATCACAACTCGATATATTGTAGTCTACTCTTCCACAAAGTCCAAACTCGGACTAATGCTCTAACCCAGGCATTCTAGCATATTCCAATTTGTAATAACAGTATAAACAGAATGAATAGTATATCTAAAAAATTAATCTACGCTTATAATGAAGATCACTGTTACACCGAGCTTCTATGACCTTTGTCCACTGAACTGATCGACTAGCCCCGGGTAAACCCGCCTAGCTCCAGCATTGCCTGACGGTCTACCTACCCACCCTTCTACCGACGTCATATTTGCATCCTCAAGCGCTACCCCACAAATAAGTTTACTGCTTCTCAAATCAATTTATATTTTCTTCAATTGACCTTACCATCTCACCTCATTTTCTTTTTTATATATCATCGAATCCTACAGTCCTACTCAATTGAATCATCCCATTCTAGAATTCTCAATTGACCCAATCAGTAACCATACATCTTCAATAAGCGGAAACCAAAACAAAATGACCTCTCCAACGGCGGCAAACACGTCCCTCACTTCCCGCACCGCCCAACTTCGCGCCCGCGCACATAGTTTCTGCCAGGCTTTTCTCGAGGGGAGATCCCCCTCCGAGACGCTCTCTACGCACTTCGTCCGGGGGAGTCCGAAAATCACCGAGCACGGTCCGGCGATAGAGCAATTGCCCTTTTTGGGGAGGACGTTTGTGGGGCGCTCGTCTGGTGGATCTCCTGAGAGCGGTAAGACCTAGATATCACAAAATCCCCTCTTTCTTCCCGCCGGCCAAACCTCCCTTCTTTTTTTTTGCGAAGTCGGAATCGGATACTGGTTTGGAGCTGAAGCAAGATTCGGCGGATTCGGCGGATCGACGGATTGATGGATTGATGGAAAGATGGGATTGGACACACATGGACATGGACAAATTCAAGAAAACAGTTTCACTAACTCAACGACAAAAAACAGTAGGAAATTCGTGCGACGACTACTTCACTCTACTATCCGAGACGCTGCGGTTTCACCCGCACGAGCACACCTTCCCGTCGCAGCCGGGCGGGTACATTGTGGACGCGGGATCAGATAATGGGAACGGAACGGTAAATGTCGTGGGAACTGCGCGGTTCGAGAGCATCAAGACGGGCAAGTCGTGGGAGGAGACGTTTATTTATCGACTCAGTGGGTTCGATGACGATGGCTTGATTGGGCATTGGGAGATTTGGGCAGATCCGCTTAGTGCGTGGTTGGCTGTCGAGGGTAAAGCGGCTTGAGCATTGATGACGGGTGTGGGCTTTGTTTTTTGGTTTTTGGTTAGTTTCGAGCTGGATGGGCGTCAAGGCGCTGTGATTGAAAGTAAGCGCTGCAGTGGTTTCTAAAAGTCTGTTTCTATGGAATCTCCGATGGTAAATGGAATCGGGCGTTGGTTTTCTGGCTTGTATGATGATGATGACGACAAATCGACAAATTGAACGAAATTAAATGCATTGTATCTATACGCGACATTATGCTTTTACATTTCCATGATTGGGCTAAACAAGACTTGAAGAGTGAAACGAACAAAAGACGCCAAATCGACTGGTGTTTATCAGCTTCATAATACAAAACGCCGCCAAAAAGAGCAAAAGAGAAGAAAAGAAAAAATATGATACAGATATCATTTCACAAGAGTTTTTCCCATCTGTCTCCACTCAGGAACTTCATCTCAATCTACTCTTCGTCTTCCTCCTCCTCTTCGTCTTCCTCGTCTTCATCCATGCCTTCAGCAGCAGTGACCTTGAAGGACGGATCCTGATCGACGCCTACGTAGCTGTCGCTCATCAAGTACAAGGCCAGGTTATGCTCGCCGGGGCTGGGCACGACAAACTCCAGACGCATGCTGAGCTTCTTAGCAATGGTGACTCGCTTGATGGCCAAAAGGCTCTTGGTTGACTCATCTCCCACAACGAGCCACCAATTCTCCATCTTCGTTTGCGGGTAGAAAGGCGCATGGACAGTCGTGTCCGGCTCCTCATCCTCTTCCACTTCACGCTCAATGTTAATCTTGAGGTACGAAGGAGAGCCGGCAACAATGTTCTCCGGGTCGAGGACTTCAAACTCGAGGTCGATGTTCGGGTACTTGTCGTTGGTGAAATTGGCTGCCTGGGCCAGTTGTTTATTGTCAAGCCCGAGACGCTTAATGAGCTGATCGTAATCCTTGTTCTCCGAGGGATCCATGGCTTCCATGAACTCGAAGATGTCGTTGATTCTGTTCCATTCGTTAGTATTGATTTTATTAGTTTTGGTCTGGACATGCAGTGGTACATACCCAAACTCATTCGCAACTTTAACAATGTCGGGCGAGAAGTGAGGAATTTGCTTCAATGGGCTGTCGCGATCCCACATGGCTTGCACAACCATTTGAGACATCTCCATGGCACTCATGGCATTGAGGTGGCCCTCTGAAGACAGGACATCAACTGATGCGCTCAGGAGATTGAGAATCTTGGTCAGGATGGTTTCCTGGTCCTTGGCGAGATCCACGGGCAGCTGCATTCTCGAAAAGTGCGCCTGGAGAAGCACAAATGCCTTGAAGTGCGGCGACTCGTAGTTCACCTCGGCCATCTTGACGGGAATGCGGTCATAGATGCGACGCAGGATGTGATCCTCGTGACGCCGGATCTGAATCGACTCGAATTCAGTTGCTGAGGTGACAATTTCAAGAATACCCTTGAGCTTAGTGCGGCCGGTAAGAGAGAGAAGGAACGTCTGCATGGTGATGAATGAAATGTTGTAGTAGGCAGCAATCATGGCAGCGTTCAGAGGTGTCACGGTATCGTCTTCCTCGTCGAGATCAATAATCTTCGCCTCGGTGAGATCCTTCAAAGTCGTTTCGACCAGCTCCGAAAGATGTGTGCTGAGACCCTCGTGAGAAATGTCTGTAAGACCATAGTAGCTCGGGTTAGCCAACAGACGCCTATAAAAGTACGTGTAAGTCGACCAGTCCACAGCGTCCTGCGTCGAAGCGATGGTCTTGGTGCTGATTTCAGACACAAAGGCATCGTGAAGGTAGACTTGAAGATGACTTTCGATGGGCAGAGCCTCATTCAGGAATTTCTTATAGTATTCTCGCTTGACGGCCGGGACCATGAGCACACCTCTGCTGACCTTGTCTTCCTGGGGTCGGCTTGCTTTTCCAAACATTTGAAGGATCTCGCTGATGGGATAGTCAATGTAGCGATGTTCTCTGCCTTCGAAGAATTGGGTTCCCATGACCACGACCAAATGAGCCGTACAGTCAAGCTCCCAGCAGACGTCGCGCGAGGCCAGCATGACCTGAATGGCACCAACGTCGAAAAGATGCTTGACGATTCGCTTATCGCTTGAGCTCAGCGCTTCGTGGAAATAGCCAATGCCGTGCGAGATTGACTCTGCCAGTGCCTTTTCGTTGACGCGGTTAAGCAGCGGGGCAATCTCCTCAATGCTAGCATGTAGAAATCTGTCCTCATCCTCGTCTGCAATGCATGCAGAAAGAATGTCCAAAGCTGTCGCGCGCGCTTGCTTTCGGGTCGGTACAAAAACAAGGGCAGGTTTGTTTGGTGACAGTTGGAGAATCGAATGATATGTGGGTTTGGCCATGGCGAGCATGAGCGATGGGAAGTGAGGAATGGTAAATGACTGCAAATGAAGCTCTAATGGAACCGGACGAGTGTGAGGACTGAAGTTGTAAATGGTATGCTTCGTAGCTCCGATCCATTCGCCAATGTCTCGTGCATTCGAGAGAGAAACACTCAGACCAACAATTCTCATGTCGTTTTCGGTCTGCAGAGCAATGTAGTGCATACGAGAAACCACAACTTCATAGACGTATCCGCCTTGTCCTCCAACCATGTGGAGTTCGTCGGCAATGAACAGCTGGACGGTCTGAATGTTCTTCCTCCTCTGCCATTGCCGCGAGAGGACATCCCATTGGGTCGGAGTAGCAAGGATCAAATCTCCTCTCTCGAGCAACTTCAAATCGGCAGTGGTCTCGCCAGTGAGCTTGACAATCTCCTTACCACCACCAATATTGCTGAGTCTCTTTTGCCAATCGGCATGGCGCAGATCCACTAGTTCTTGGAAAGGAGCAATATAGACAGCCCGTCCAACATCTCGCTTCGACCAGTGTCTGAGAAGCGCAAATTCGGCGCACACAGTCTTGCCGCTTCCAGTTGGCGAGCCAAGGAAGACATTATCGTCAGTCGCGTAAAGTGAGTTAAACACCTGAGTCTGGATTTTGTTGAATCGATCCCAATCCGGATAGAGATCCTCGGCCTCCTTCCTCTTCAATGCAGAAACAGGAAGCGGCTGGAGATCCAGTAGTGGCGTATGGGGAGGGAACTTTTCTGGGAGTACCAGCTTCTGGAACGACACGGCCAACTTGGTCTCTGCATGCATCCATCGATCCGAGACCAGCGAGATGAAATAGTTCGGAGGCATCGGCTCAGTGATAGGGACGGTGAACTCGACAATATGCTCGTTCATCTCGGAAAGGGCGTAATTACGACGCAAAACGAACTGGTCATGGAACAGAACGTCTTCACCGTCGCAGTCCTCCACAATGATCCAAAAGCTCTCTGCTGCACCGTGTATCTCGTCGTCCCATTCAAAGTTGGGCGAAATTGTCAGCTCAACTCTCAGCATTGACCGAGTCATTGGTTGAACCTGCGCCTGAACTTCTAGACGAGGAAACTTTTGCACAAGACCACACACAATCTTGCCTGCTCTTGGCATGCCGAGCAACTCGCCCATCCGTGGAGGGTCGAGATCAAAGTAGCTCGACCAAGGAACATCAATTCTCTCAGCTTTCTGGATAATGTCTCTTGGACAAGAGTGAAATTGTCGCAAGGGCGTCATAGTAGGCCACATGCGCTTTTCGGCCGTCTTGCAGAGCTCGAGTGCGGTCTTGGCAACAGAAGCCCAACCTTTCTTCAAGCATATCTCAAAGATGGCACGGAGGATACGGCCGGCAGACTGTGTGACATAGACAAGATCCGCCATCAAAGCAAGACCCTCGAGCTTGAGGCGGGAGATGTACGCTTGCAACAGTACGTTGATCTTGGCCTGGGGTTCTTCCAGACCTTCCTTCACAGGGACTGGGACACGTCCGAGCAGCTTGGCAAGCTCAAGCTTCTCGTCCTGTCGAACCGGAATATACTTGAACTCTTCACTAAGAGCAAAGATACGGAAGAGTTCAATCGGCGTGACAGAAGGTTGAATGTGCTGGTTATAAGTCATCATCGAGGTATGACTGATGTAGTAGTGAGAGGCAATCCGACCAAGCTCAGTGGTTTGGAGCTTTCCAGACTTCTTGTCGTATTTTACAAGGTTGCATCTCTCAAGTACAGTTGCGGCCGAATGGATGAGGTCAACACGCTTTTGTTCCAGGGCATCGTCGTCTTCGTATTCAGCACCAACGCTGTACAGTCCAGGGGATCGAAGCATCCGAACAAACAGGTAAGTGTAACCAAGCCATTCGACACCTTCGTCTCTTGTCCTAATGTTGCCCAAGACGATCTCAGCATTGAGATTATCAGCAAGCTTGGCAGCAAACTGACTTTCAATTGGCAGTTGCTGGTTCATCAAGGACAAGTAGTACTGCAGCTCGCTCTGAGTCGTGATGATGATACCCTCACCAAACGTATCATATTGCGGGCGTCCAGCACGACCCAACATCTGCAGGACATCCTGAGGGCTCAACTCAACCCAGCTACCCTTTTCAGGAGAGTAGACTTGTGTGCCCTTGATAATGACGGTATGGGCTGGAAGGTTGACACCCCAAGCAAGAGTAGCAGTGCAAACGAGGACCTGGAGCATCCCGTCCGCAAACAGGTCTTCCACCGATGTACGATCTGCTCGACTCATACCGGCATGGTGAATGCCGAAGCCGTAGGGCATCAAGTCTTTAAGATCGCGATCAGTCACACCGTCGGCTTCTTCCGTCAAGACTTCCCTACTGGCAGCATCGCTTCTGAGAATTTGCCCAATTGTCTCCATCTCAAGGGCTTTGTCTCTAATGTACTTTGCTGTCTTGGCGGTTTCTTTTCTCGAGTGTACGAAAATGAGCATTTGATTTTTATTTTGACCAACCTGCTCCATGACTTTCGTATAACAGACGTCATTCATGGTCTTGAGCTGCTTGATCGCTTTCTTGTCGGTGACTCCAATAAACTCCTGACGGAGGGGGCAGGGCCTGAAAGATCCATCGAAATGAAAAACTCCCTTGATTGGGTCGACCCGCAAGAAACTTGCAACATCGCGATAGTTTGGCAATGTAGCACTGAGACCGACAATCCGAACGGGATCGCCCGTCTGCTCGGTTTTGCGTATCGTTCTGCTGACAATACTTTCCAGGACCGGGCCACGGTCATCGTGTAGCAAATGAATCTCGTCGATGATGATTAGTCGAACGAGGTTGGTATAGCTCATGTCGGTAGCCTTGCGAGTGATAACATCCCACTTCTCTGGAGTGGTGACGATGATCTGGGTGTCTGCGATTTGCTGCTTTGTCAACTGGCGGTCACCAGTCAGCTCCGATACTCTAATTCCAAATGGCTCCAAGCGCTTTCCGAAGTTTCCCACTTGTTCCTGCACCAAAGCCTTAAGCGGAGCAATGTAGACTATCTTGAAATCGTCAAGATTGATCTCTCCTGTCTCGGGGTTCCGGTTCTTGCCGATTTCACGAAGAATAGTGAGCATGGCAACGTTGGTCTTTCCGGATCCTGTAGGAGCGCAGACAAGCATGTTGCCATCATCGTTGAATGCCGTTGGGTAGCATTTCGTCTGAATCCGATTAAGTTCCTTGGATGTACCAAATCCTTGACGAGCCCAGTCTGGCATCTCGCTGGTCGGCATATTCCGCTCACCAGCATCCCTCTTTGCTTTTGGAGCCGGGACATGAATTTCTTCATAACCTTTAAAGGTCCGCTTCGTTGAGCCTTGTGGCAGCTTTACGTTGGGGTTAGTCATGAGATGGTTTCCTTGTTCAAAAACAAGATTTTCAAGGTTGATCAGACGGCGAGGCTGAAGGCCGCCGACAAGAGCGCCATCCCTAGCGCCATCGGCCTTGGCTTCGCCTTCCTTTGCAGTCCCAGGAACATCGATATCCATAAGGTCTACCTTGAGCTTCTTAGCCTTTGGTCCGGCGGCGTCGGTTCCAGCCTCTCCTCTCGAAATAAGCTCGTCCAGGATGGCGCGATGGCCCTCAGTGACCATTTCACGCTCTACTGCAGCTCTCGCTTCACCGTCCTCTGCGGCAAGTCGCCACCTTGTCACCCACACGACCTTATCTCTATTCGCAACGAGCTTGCCAACAAGCTCGTGGTGCTCATAATCGAATAGGTCCATGAGTTCGTTTTCAACCTCGCGCAAAGGCTTCTCCTCGCCATCTTCTGAAGGTGCAGACATTATCTGCAAAGCATCCTGGGTCTTTCTCTGTTGGATATGTGCGTCCGTATAAATTTGACCAATCTGACGTTGCAGCCAGTAGGCATCAATCTCATGGGCGGGGACAATGTTCTTATCCTTCTTCTTGCCTTCATCTGCTGCAGCAGATGAATCGATAATCATTGCCTCAGTATCCACAGGTTGTTCGCCATCTTCGGCAGCTGCTTCGCCGTCAGGCTGCTCGGCAGCCTCTTCATCTGCGGGCTCCTCATCCGATGAATCTTCGTCTCTGACCTCGAATGTTCTGCCTCCGCCCTCCTCGTCTTCGTCTGACTCGTCAAAGACAACGGCAACACCTTGCCGTTCATCGAGGGCAGCACCGCCCTCGCCTTCGGCGGCCATGGCCTCATCATTTTCATCCTCGTCTTGTGCGTCGTAGTCTGTGATCTTTTTACCGAGGTTGACCAATTCATTGAATTCTTTCGACCCCATTGTGGTACCAAGTAGATCATCAATGTCCTTCTTCTTGTCAAAATCCTTCATCTCCTCTTCCTTAAGAGTTTCCAAGACTGCGTCTGCGGCGCTTCGAACGACTTCGTGCGGGACATCGCCAAGATTGTTTGCAACAGTTGTCACAATCAGATCAAAAATCGCTCTTGTCGCGGGGGTCCTTGGTCGATACCGAATACCTTCGACGAGAGCATCGGCAGCGGAAAGGATACCGGTGCCGCGTAGTTGCGCGGGCTCGCCTCGTTTCCTCTTCTTTTGTTCCCGCTCAAGAACATCTTGCCCTTCTCGAATATCACCTCTTTCGACGTCTAAGCCGCTAGGCTTCTTCTTTTGCTTTGGTAGATCATCATGCGCGACACGCCCTCCCATGTCCTTGATGTTGATGCGGCCCGCCAGCGACTCAGGGTCTCCGGTAGCCTCATCCGTTCGGCGAGTGATGAATCGACGGTCCGCCTGGAGTACCAGGTTGGACATCGCCGAATACTTGTATTGCGAAACATTATTGGGGTCCGCCATGGTGACGACTTGGAATTACTGCGGATGATTTGGAGGTGGGTGTTGACCGGCGCGGTCAGTTCGGTGACTGTTTAGACAATCATAGAGGAGCCAAGCCGGCTGGCCAAATGACGAAATTTGCAGCTCCGTCGTTTGAATATGAAGCAGGTCGACACCTCAAGTTTAGCCCCGCTGATGGCTGAGAGGTTGTCTTCCCCGATGATTGAGTTAGAGTGGCGTTGATGGGAGCTCCCTCTTGTTGCTAGAGATTCTCTCTCGCTCAATCGACTTGTCTGTTTCGTCAAAGTCGCGAAATTTGGGAGCCGCAACACTAGCCGAAATTATGCACAATCTTATGCACTGAATAAAATTATCGTTGGTTTTCACCGGGTAGTTCATTGTGGTGGCGGGTTGACGCTTGCGGAATACAGTTAGTTCAGTTGATTAGCCCGATTATCGATGGCGATAAGTCTTTGCGGATAGCCATTACTGCCCATAGTGCAATTTGGCCCTGAGAGAGAGGTTGGACCAACTTCAAAGAAAACTGTTCGCCAGACCCTTCTTCTCCGCTTTCATGCAAGACAGTTTGGGCTTCATGCGAGATGGATGAGTGACTTTCAGGCGCTGCTTCCTTATCACAGATACACATGTGCGCCTGCTCGGATCATATCCCGCACTTCTTCAATACTGTCAGCTGGCCCACCTGTTTCGCCTAGGCACGGACACTCCCCTTGATTCGGTATCCTGGGTCTCGGGGGTTCAAACCAAGGGCCACGTTTCAAGCCCAAATCATTTAACGAAGAAAGGGCGAGAGAAACCTTTGCAGTCTCTTTACTGACCGAGCGAGAGACACTCTCTGGCCTAGGAAAGGCTTGTGGCTTTCGAAATTGAGGTGGAATGCTGGACGATAGATCATTTCACGCTCTCCAGTAATGCGCCTGCTAGTGCAGTTCGCCTTGCTCGCTCTGGCTTGCACGGCGGAAGCCTCGAGTCACATACGACGCAGTTATGAGACTCATGATTACTATGCCTTGCATCTCGATACGTCCGCCTCACCCTCTGAAGTCGCCGCATTGCTCGGGTTAGATCACGAAGGCCCATTGGGAGAGCTGAAGGACCACCATATCTTCTCGTCGCTGAAGCACGAAGGTGATCGCGTCGACGAAGCAAAACAGGAACTTCGGCGGCGTCGGCGAAAACGAGAGGAGAGTGTCGGGCTAGAGCTTCTTGATAGTGTTTCCTTTTCACAGAAACAAGAAGCTCGGAAGCGTTTGCATAAGAGGGCCATCCCCCCTATATTGGAAAGAAATGCTGCACCACCAGTGGACCTCAATCAGGGCCCACCAAAGGATTCTTCGCTCGCCGAATTAGACAATCTTGCCACAGCTTTGGATATCAAAGATCCAATTTTCAAGGACCAGTGGCATCTGTTCAATCCCGCGCAAAAAGGCCACGATGTAAACGTGACGGGGGTCTGGAAGCAGGGGATTACAGGCCACAATGCCACTGTAGCCATCATTGATGATGGCCTCGATATGTATAGTGACGACTTGAAAGACAATTATTTCGCGGCTGGCTCCTACGATTTTAATGATCAGACCGCAGAGCCGAAACCGCGTTTATCCGACGATCGGCATGGCACGCGCTGCGCCGGAGAAATTGCGGCCGTCAAGAACAATGTCTGCGGAGTTGGAGTGGCCTGGGACTCAAAGGTTGCTGGCATTCGCATCCTCTCCAAGCAAATCAGCGATGCGGATGAGGCGGCAGCAATGAACTACGCCTACCAAGAAAATCAAATCTATTCGTGTTCATGGGGTCCTGCAGATGACGGGCGGTCGATGGACGCGCCGGGAATACTGATCAAGCGTGCAATGGTAAATGCAGTTCAAAACGGTCGTCATGGATTAGGTTCAATCTATGTCTTTGCATCTGGCAACGGCGCCGCCAATCAAGACAATTGTAACTTTGATGGCTACACAAACAGCATATACAGTATTACAGTGGGCGCCATTGATCGAAAGGGACTACACCCGTATTATTCGGAAAAGTGCTCGGCACAGCTCGTTGTCACATACAGTAGTGGCAGCGGCGACGCAATTGTAAGTGTTTACTTTGCAAATCCAACCTGGAGCTTGAGGTCCTAATTTTCGAATAGCACACGACAGATGTTGGCCAAAATCAGTGCTACGCTCAACACGGAGGTACTTCAGCTGCAGCACCACTTGCAGCTGGCATTTTTGCGCTGGTGCTTTCTGTGCGGCCAGACCTTACTTGGCGAGACATGCAATATCTTGCATTGGACACGGCTGTCCCTGTCAACGAAGAAGACGGTTCGTGGCAGGATACTCCGAATGGGAAGAAATTCAGTCACACCTTTGGTTATGGAAAAATCGATGCCTATGCAATTGTAGAAGCTGCAAAGACATTCGAATCTGTCAAGCCACAAGCGTGGCTCAACTCGCCGTGGATGCACGTTAAGCATCCCATTCCTCAGGGCGACCAGGGTCTGGCGAGCACTTTCGAAATTACCAAGGAGATGCTTGGAGAAGCCAATCTTGAGACGCTCGAGCACGTCACTGTGACAATGAACGTGGAGCACCGGCGTCGCGGGGATTTGAGTGTCGAACTGCGCAGTCCTAGCGGTGTCGTAAGCCACCTGAGTGCTACGCGCAAAGGCGATACAGCCGAAGTAGGATACGTCGATTGGACTTTTATGTCTGTCGCTCATTGGTAAGTCATCCAACTTCAATTCCACAAATCATTTATTCTCCTACTGACAATATCTCGAAGGGGCGAATCTGGAATCGGCACATGGACTGTTGTCGTCAAAGACACTGTAGAAAACGAATTCAGCGGCAACTTCACCGACTGGAAACTCACCCTCTGGGGTCAATCCATTGATCCCGCAAAGCAAGACTTGCTTCCATTTCCCACATCTCACGACGACGATGACCACGACGTCATCTCTTCCGTCCCTGTTTCAACCGCAAGCGTGCCCGTAACGACGCAAAGTGCACTCCCGACGGGCAATCCAACAGATCATATCAATCGCCCTATCAACTCCAAGATTGGAGCAGAATCGTCTTCTACGCCTTCTTCTTCGCTAGCATCAACTACACCATCTGCATCTCCCACAGCTTCTGTCCCAGCTACCTCAACAGCTACTCCTGTCCCCGCTGAAGGCGACAAGCAAGACGAGGTGGAAGACGACAAAGACAAGGACAAGGGCGAAAGCAATCACTTCCTTCCATCCCTTTCCTTTCTTCCCACATTTGGCGTCTCAAAACGCACTCAAATCTGGATCTACGCCTCTCTTGTTCTGATCATCATCTTCTGTACCGCATTGGCCACCTACTTCTTCCTGGTCCGGCGTAAGCGACGCATGACCATGGCTGGGGATAGTTCTCGCCGCGACGACTACGAGTTCGCCATGCTCGACAACCGCGACGACTTGGACGATGATGATCATGGCGGTATTTATCGCGACAACGACTATCACGGCAATGGGCGCGCGAATGGCGCAAATGGCGCCGCCAAAGATAAAGGAAAGAAGCGAGGCGGAGAACTCTATGATGCCTTTGCCGGCGAGAGCGACGAAGACGGCGTCATGTTCAGCGACGAAGAAGAAGACGAAGATGCACACAGTCGAGGATATCGCGATCATGATGATGACGACCATACTCACATTCAAGAAACGCGCAGCGATGAGCATGATGGGGATAACGACGACGACGACGACGACGACGACGACGAAAAACAGCGTCTCACTCATTGAGTTTCCTCTTCGTCATTTTTTTGCGATAGATGTTCTTCTTTTCGTCCCCAGCTTTTCCCTCACCAAGCATTTTACGCAACTTCGCGATTTGCATTTTGTCCTCTACTTGGCATTGAGTACATGGTACACCATTTTCTGAAGCAATCCGAACAAAGTCTTGGATATGGATACAACATCACCTCCCCTCGGCACTTCTTCTCCCTTCTCTCGACTTCCTCTCTTCCAGTCTTGACTCCAATGCATCTCACCTGCCCGCTTCAGATCCCGTCACCCATACCGTCGTACGCATCATTGGCAGAACCAGTGATTTTGGAACTTGTATATATGAATAAACTTGCTCTCTTGTTCTTTTCCTTCCCTTTAATCATGAGTTACTCTTTCATATATAACCCATATGTTTGAGCCCTCATCTCTTCAACACGCTTTTGTCATGCTATCCTGCTTTTATCGTGAACTTCCCACCTGACCGCAGTTTCATCGTAGTACTTCATAGCTAGTATTCCGGTCATTCCTCTCCAATGTCCAGTGGGCGAGGGGCTCGTATACCAGTACTTCTTCTCCAAATGTCCACTGTCCTAGGGGTCCAGCTGTTTTGCCGTCCCTTCCTTGCTCTGTAAACATTATGCAATATCGACCAGACGCTCAGCCTGTCAGCCTCTCAGTGGATGTACCAGATGCCGTCATGAGCCGGCACTGCACCTTCTGTTCAATTTATGGAAATACAAGCGACCGTCGTCCGACGTAGTTATATACCTTCACGACTTTTTGATAGCTACCGAGTTACTATCACGCTTCACAATCGAGGCGAAACCAAGATTTTCGAGTCCGTACTGTTTCATATTTCTCGTGTGGAGTACACAAGTATATCTGCCGGCTTACGGCGCTGACGGAGTATTAACTTAATTAGAACTGACCGCCAGACGGATAGGGGATTATATATCATCATCCCGCCGAGGAAATCGATATCATTGGTCCAATGGTCTAGTGGTATGATTGTCGCTTCGGGTTTGGCATCTTTTGCCACCAGGTTATCTCAGATAACCGATAATCTAAATGTGACAGGCCCCGGGTTCGAGTCCCGGTTGGACCCTTTACATACTCCTTTTTTTTCGGTTTCTTTTTTATATATCAGGTATTTGACATTGGACAATATTATCAAATACTTTTTACGAAATGAATAGAGCAAAAGTATTATCAAGTTGGTTCGATTGAGAGTATGATGTGACTACATAGTAACATTGCTTGTGCAGATATATTAAAACAAAATAGATAGATTGAACTACGGATGAGAAGAAAAGAAAAGAGATAATTGGACAAGGGGATCAAAAAGAAAAGGAGAAAAAAAAAAAAAAAAAATCTGTAGAGGCAGAAAAAGGGTAGGGGGAATAGAAATTTAGAGACAGGTGATGAGAAAACGCCATCAACACCAAAAGATTTAAATGTCGTATCGTCTTGGTTTGAACGGTCTGACAGTGTGGCAAAAGAGACAGGAGCATGAAGAGGACACCCCACGACATGGCGCCGTCGCTTTTGCTTCGAAAAAGGCGGAATCCATGTGCCGCGCCGAGAGCTGGACAGCATCCGGATCAAACTGTTGACTAGCCAAGGCAAATGCTACAGCCGCTATGATACAGACACACCGTCGCGTTCAATGTCCTTGAGAAACCGCTCCCAGGTATCAATTGTGCCCGAATAGAAATTGATATGCGCGTCGGCAAGGTCGCCGAGGGTATCCTGGAACTCAGACGCCTTGATGCGTTCAAAATCAGCCACTTCTCGAACAACCTCCTCATCAAAGGCTTCCGTCGTGCGTTTCGCATCCTCCACTTCGCGGGATAACTTCTCAATCTGCAACTCGAGCTTGCGGACCCGCTCACGGCGAGCCTGCTCGTGGTCTACGCCACGGACATCTTCAATCTTACTGCGCAAAAACCCGCCAGGGCCGCCCAGTCCCGAAGAGCCGTGCGAAGATGCCAGCGTATCACGGTCTGACGCTGCCTTGTTGAGATAGTCTGTTAGGCCTTCAAAGTCGAGCTGTTTCTGCTCGCGCACTTTGAGCAGCGATTTAATCGACACAATGTACGCCTCCATGTCACGCAGTGAGCCCAGGTAGTTCTGATCCATGTGCTCCTTTAGCTCCTTGAACCCGCCAGAGCTCTCCTCGACGTTGGCGGCGAAAAGCTGCAGAGGACCCTGTACGCCTGGCTCAAGATTGACAAGCTTGTGGAATTGAGTACCCAGATCCGCATAATCGGCTTCAAGGTCACCCGTTCGGCGGGCTACTCGGGCCATAATCTTCTCGACGTGTCCGAGATCATCATCGAGCTTATCGGCACGCTCGCGAACTTCAATAAACCGCTTGTCCGGCTTGTGCACTTTGCTAAAGGCATTGAGAAATGTATCGGTAAAGTTGTCGAATACGCCGCCCCCGCCTTGCTCCGAAATAGAAGACCCTCGCGTTGGGCGAATGCGCATGTGGGCGTTCCATTCGGAGCTCTCAAGGAAAATGATCAGGATGCTGCTGCGGCGAAGTACCGGGTGAAGTGTCAATCGCTTGAGAAAGCGGTGCAACGAGTATGCTCGTCGTTGGGTGAAGTCGGGACCAAAACGGTCACCCCGAACATATTCCATCTTGTGCTTATCCGGAAGTGGAGGTACCGCACTGGCGGGGTATTCGCGGCACAGAGTTTTGTAGAGGAATAGAAAATCAGTAAAACGTCGCCGAGCCGTAAAGTCGGCGCGCTGAAAGGATTTGAAGTCGGTCTAGAATGACATTGTCAATACTCGCAGCAAAGATCAACTCAAGAGGAATAATTGCAAAGTTGTAATCGAGTACTCGAACGGGGAGACTCACATGCGTTGTCACAAGATACGAGACAAATGCATCCTTGGTGCCATCATTTTCTTTCTGAGGTTTGTCTACAGTGCATTCAAGAGTGCCTTCACCAAGTCCGGTGGGATCCCTGGCTTGGGCATGGTCCGATTGCTGCTCCTGTTCCTCAGCGGCGCTCATGCGTCGTTTGCCATGAGGATCGTGTGAAGAATCGCCGTGACCTTCAGTGCCTGTGCTCACTGCAGATGCAGGTCGCTCAGCATCGCTCTCGGGGTCATTGTGCCAGGGAACAGCATTGAAGTCGTTCTGCTCCATCATGAATCTCTACTGCTTCGTCCTTGTTCTGGGTCACCGAAGCTCACACGCAGTATCACACAATGGTATGATACAGTAGCTCTATTGAAGCTTCTAAATCTCCAACGATGAGCATACAAACAAGGCACGAAGCGACAACAAGAATTTGAAGACCACAGGTGAGGGGGGGAGTGCGGTTGAATAATGAGAGGGCTGGATAAAGGCGGTGATGGAGGAGGTTGTTGCTCGATATAGCTCCTAGTGACATGATGCTGCTGCTATCGGCCCTCGTCATCCGGCAATGCGAGCAACAAGTACAGAAGGGAACTAGGTACTTTTATATGTCAGCGCTGAACAAGTCTAATGTAGTACTGATACATTCTAAATACTTGGCCCTTCCGCAAGCTAACTTATACCCCACGATCAAAGAGACCCACCGTTTCCGAGATTGATCATCGTCACCATCATCATAATCATCCACAGTAAACAGTCAAATTGATAGAGCCAGTGAAAGAGATTCAAGTCAAATGTACATCCATCAATAGTAATTCTACCATAAACCGTATATCCTCGTATAAATAACCCAATCCAAAAGCGCACATGCCGTCCAGTCTATGTTTGATTGCGCCCAAAGAAAATCACCGCTCCGCTCCCGCCAACGCCATGTGAACGGTATATACTTTATGCTACAATCACTAATTTTCTAGGCCAAAGCTTATAGACGTATTTGACCATTCGTCCCGGGACTATTCGATCGATCAAGATTTCCCATTCCGACTCTGTGCTCTTCGTCATCACTCCCGTCCCCATGACGAAAAACATCGTCGTCGTTGTCGTCGTCGTTGTCATCTTCTTCTTCGTCACGATAATGATCAGCATCATGATCTTGTGTTGCCAGACTAATCTCGTCGCCTCGGCGCAAGGCCTCAGCTGCAAATCGTTCTTCCGGATCATCCGAATACGTTTGCAAACCATCCTCGTCAGCAGCACGCTGGACATTTGCTGCTTCCTCAGCTTCGAGCTGTTTTGCACGGGCAACCGTCCTAGCAGGAAAAATACGATTAGAAACATCTTGGCAATTGTTCATTTTGGTCTTCCATACCTCTGATAGATTAACCAGCCTGTAACGGCGCCAAGGACCAGACCGCCCGCAATGCTGGCGTAATTAATTGCCTTTGTTCCCAAATCCATCTTCCCTCCACTTTCAGCCAAATCCGCCAGCCGTGTGCCAATGAACACGTGAATCATGAGCTTGGGCGACGCCAAAGCGGTGGCCAAGGCGAACTTGAGTGGGTGAACAGTGGGAAAGGTAGCAATTGCTCCATTGGAAATGGCGTAGGGCAGAGGGCACAGCCGGATCATGCAAAGCAATTTCAATCCGTCGTGCTTGAGGGTCAACGAAAGTGCAGCGAAGCGCTTGTCATGAGCAACTAGCCGATGCACAAAGCCGGAGAGCAAAGTCCGAGATGCTAGGAAGGCACATGTAGAGCCGATGATGGTGGCCGAGGCTCCAATGAACCAACTACCGAAACTGTCAGTATATTCAGATTCTTGCAGGTAAAAAGAGTAATTATGACTGGGATCGCACCCATTGGGAAATCCGTAGACAAAGCCCGCAATGGTCACTGAGAGCGAGTGACCAATGAGTGGTGGAAATGCAGTCACAAAAGCCATGAACCAGACGATCAGCCAACCAGCTGGAATGGTACGCCACTTATGAGCCATGGGAGCAAGCCAGCCAAATATTCGCTCATTGTAGATTAGAATCAGTATACCCAATACTAATGCCACAATACCGGCCAAAACAGCGAAGAATCTCTGGACCGGAGTCAAGCGTCGAATGGCTTTCGAAAGACGCCGGTGGACCAACTCAGCATTACGGCGCATCCGGCTCTTCAAGTTTGGCGGTGTGGGCGAGGAGGGACTGGTGCGATGCGAAGACCGAGAACGTGAGCGAACCCATGATCCTCGGGGCTGATCCAGCAATGATGGTGATCGAGAAGGCGATGGAGGAGAGACTGGAAATGCAAGCGCCCTTGCGGTCGAAACATAATCGGCTGACATTCTGCCAAGCTCAGAAGAGGGGAACAAGCGACGAGCGACGACGTGAGCGACGAAAGAAAGGGAAGAGGAAGGTATGTAAAGATGATAAATATGAAATCTAAGGATGATTGGAATTAATTCAATGGTCCCTTGGAAGCAGTCATTGTTTCGTTGGTCAAAAAATGGGAGTTGACAATGGCTGTGGTTGTGAGGCTTGAGGTTGATGCTCGCAGTTGTTTAGGCATCGGCTATAACCAGCTCCGCCGCCATAGCTCCGAGCTGACGTTATGTATTTGGCTAATTCCCCATGCAAAATGACCTGACTCCCAATGGTCACATCTCTACTGAGTATATCGTTCTCCTATCAAGAAAAGGAGTCGGTGCAAAAAAGTCAATATAGTAGTTTTTGGTTCTCTACTCAATGATTGAAACGTTAATGCTGAGGTTGGTGAATATGTAGAGAGTGACCCTTTTGGACCCTGATACTGTATAGGGCTACGGGACTGATAATGAGCTCAGAGACAATTGATAACTACTCCTCTTCATCTAATGTGACGAAATATCAACACTGGTGGATCTTCTTGTCACATTTCTAGATATGAATCTTTTGAATTGGAATTCATGAATTGATCTTTTCTCAATATCTCATCGGCATCTCTTTCTCTGTGTTGCCTTCACCGCCCCCGAACTGGTCACGCATTTCTCGGCCAATCAGCTTTGACGCCGGAAGCAGAGCAGCACAACACCAAGACAAAGGCCAGCGGATAACGGCCGACCAACCTCTCCCCACCACGTTCCCACCCATCGCGGGTGCACAAGCTGACGCGAGTGATACGGCAAAGTGTCGTTGTCTCCGTTTTCGCTCATTATTTCTTTGGCAGCGAGAACATCTTCCTTGTTCCTTTCCTGTCTACACCCCGCTCCCACTCCCCACTCGGGGACTCTGACGCTACCCTCCACTAGTGGCGGTTCGCTCATATATAGGTGACAACAAAGGAGCTCTTGCGACGCGCACATTGGTGCTCTCCTATAGGATCACAGGGGTGATCATGGTCTCCGACAGTCTTTACGAGCAGTGCCTGCCCATCCTGCGTGACTCGGCTCTCGAGGATGAAGACAAGACCGAGAAACTTGAAGAGCTCCTGCGCAAGCAGACACCATTAACTGGCCCTTTGCTCGAGAATACCATTCTCGACGTACTATGGCGCTTTCGAGACTCCTCAACGCCTTCGGCCTCGCCTCCCGTACGGCATACTGTTGTCCGCCGCGCATCGCCTGCGCCATGGCAAATTCCACGTGCCACTACCCCCCGGGCGTCGTCCCCCTTGGCGGTTTCAGCGACGTTGGCAGGAACGAGTCCGTTATTCCCACCAGGTCTGGGTATTCCGCCTCCACCAGGTCTGAGTCGAACGAGATCATCTAATATGTCACCATTCACTTCTCCGCGGCCCTCGCCGCGCTTGGCGTTTTCTACGCCTTCGATTCCGCATAGTCCGAATCTCAATACATACGAATTCAGCGAACCCGCTATCACCCCAGACATTTATGGCGACTACGGCAGTGACACCGTAGATTGGCTAGTAAATGATGATGCGATGAGCAACGCGTCTTCAGCCGGTGGCTATACCGGAGAAAGTACCTTGAACGGCGGCGCAGCCACCTGGATACAACCCACACAGACCAATATGAGCCCCTATGACATGCTGCGGTCTGTTTTGGGAGATGGAAAGACTGACGAGGAGATTGAGCAAGCTCTCGAAGCGAATGGATATGACTTTACTGCTACGGTTATGAGTCTCATGGAAGAACAACAAGCCCGGCCTCAGTCGGAGAGCAACTCGCAATTCGACAACGCCGTGGTAGTGGGCAAGTCGATGAGTCCTGGTCAGAGACCGGCAACCCCATCGAATAATAACCATCATAATCATCATCAAGGGGGACGCAATGGCGTTGTATGTCGGTTTTGGCTTTCGACAGGCACGTGTCTTCGGGCGGACTGCCGGTTCAGTCACGACCTCAGCTCACACATTTGCAAGTATGTTTTCATTCTGCCCGCTTCTTTCCCTCTTGGCTGTGTAATTGACATTCTCCTGCTTTTTACTTTCCAGGTATTGGGTTATGGGTAATTGTCTTGCTGGTGATACCTGTGTCTTCTCTCATGATCCGGCCAATCTGGTTAACCGCCTTGCCCTGGACGACCACGGCAGCACGTCTTCTTCACCATCTCTTCATGGCTCGCAGTCAAATGTCTCACTGCAAGACCACAGCGCGTTTCCTGCTCTGCGCAGCAAGGGCTCTGACCAGTGGTCGACTGGATATACACCTGGCAGCTCTCCTGGCCATTACGTCTCTGGACATGCAATGCATCCTCCACCGGGTCTGAGACGCCCACCTGGCCTGGGCGATAGCCCGTATCTCAGCTCCCATTCGCGACCCAGTAGCCGGCCGCAGTCGCGGCAATCGGCCTCTGTGCCAGCGGTGGATGATACCGAGGCATTTCCAACATTAGGATCTGCAAGCATGAAGGGTAGCAAGAAGCATCACCACGGAAAGAGGGGCAGCCATGGCCATTCCCATCACGATAGTCGAGAGAATGTTCCGAGCTCTTTGGCCGACATTGTTCGCATGACGCCCTCACCAGGGCCTGCGCAGAACCGGAGACAGAACAGGTCCGGCAAGGGCGGAGGTGCCAATGCCAGTCGCGAGAACAGCGCAGCTGCACTTGCGATTCCCCCACCTCAGCACGTACCTTGGTTAGAAACCGGCGCGGGCGCCAACCAAGCCTACCTGAAAATTCGCCAAGAAGCAATCAAGCACGGCGGTCTACGAAACAAGTATTTGCAAAGGTGAGACCACCCTTCCCGACCTCTACACTCCATCTAGATACCTTTCTCCATAAAGTCTTGCAACGCAACAGTATCATAAGTAGAATCTCTCATTGCTAACAATCCCCTCTCGCTCCAACAGCGCCGCCCAGGCATGGAATCGAAACGACGCGCGAGCCGCCAAAGCCCTTAGTCTCCGCGGCCAGAGCGAAAACGATCTCATGCGAAAAGCCCACCGCGAAGCCGCGCGACAACTATACGAAGAGCGCAACAAGAATGCCAATTCCGGCGGCGAACTCTACGTCGACTTGCACGGTATTTCCCTTCTTTTCTAATCTTTTCTTTCTTTTATTTCCTTCCCCTTCTTTTCTCTCTTTTCTATGTCCTTTGCCCCCTTTCCTCAGTATCCCAGCCATGATATTAACATGCAAAAAGGCCTACACCCCGACGAAGCAATCGAATACCTCGAACGCGTTCTCCTCGAACAAGCCTCCTCTCCGACCCCCATCTACGCCATCACCGGCACAGGCCACCACTCCAAGAACGGCAAAGACAAAATCGGCAAAGCCGTCCGCATATTCCTCAACGAATGGCGCTACGCGTACCGCGAGTTTTCTGTCCCCGGGGACCGCAACAATGTCGGCGGCATCCTCGGCATCGATCCCCAGAGCTACGACAAGTCTCTTCTCAACAATAACAACCACAACAACAAACCTGATACCCATAGTACTTCTGATACTACCACTACTACTTCTGCTTCTAATAATCGTAATCCTCATAAATCCTCTTCTCCTTCATCATCTACTACAGCTACAGCTACCGCCCGATCTGCTGCGGCGGCTGTCCCCAACACAGCTCATGATGACGACGCCGAAGACGTCGCGACGATTCCGTCCCGGCCGACTGCCTTGTTGGACATTGCCAAAGTCACAACCAAGTCTACTTCTACTTCTACTTCTTCTTCGGCCGGCGGCGCTCCTTCTACCAGAAAACGGTCCTCACCGACTGCTGGTGGTGGTGGCGGCGGTGGCGGTAGTGCTGCTGTTGCTGCTGCTGCCCCGTCATCTGGTAAATCATGACAAGTATAGCTTTTTAAAACCAGTTTAAATATAAAGAAATAAACAGTTGAAATCATCACATCACATCATCGTCATCTTTGCCTTGTCTCTATTATCATCTTTTGCCTTTTCTGCATTACCATCTCTCCCTTGTCTGCATTATCATCTTTGCTTTAAGATGTATTTTCATCGCTGCTCATCGTGAATCATCATCATCATCATTGCTCCATGTACGACCATGTGTCTTACAGCACCTCCATCTGCCCACGTACTTGCGGACACGTACACCCGCATTATCCTCAGCGTAGTATCTTTACCTACTGTATGATTCACAGAAAGAGCCATAAATATAGAGAAAGCACGCTGTATCACCAACATAAGATAGCAATCACAAAATTCATTCAACGACAAAGGAACTACTGGTCTCCACATAACACATTGATAGTCAACTCACCTTCACCTCAAGAAAAAGGCGGCAGTGAAGGAAAGAAAATAAAAGAATGGAGCGATAATTAAGTTGTAAAACAAAGAATATCAATTTTATCCATCAGTCTATATATACAAGTAACAAGTCTGGTGTATCCGCCACAACTATAGAAAAAAAAATATAGATGATTTGAGCAGAAATACACAGACCAAACAGAGAAAAGAGAGAGAGAGCGATGGCGGGAAAAGGGGGAAAACCGTTCCAAACCCATATCTGCTTCTCATTAAATAATTTATGTTTGTGTAAGCGTGGGAACCACGAGGAGAGGAGGGAGGGGGGAGAAAAGGGAGAAAAGGGAGAAAAGGGAAAATATATAAAGAAAAAAGATACAACAAAGAGCCGAAAAGATCACTGAACCGATCAAAATAATAAGAATTTTAAGCGTCCACCCTTTCTTTCCGGGAAAATTCTGGGACAAGACGGACAGGCTCCCTTACAATTTCTCCATCACACCCCTTTGATTTCGCTTTTTGACTTTTGTGTAGCAAGGAATGGGAAAAAAAGAACATTCCTCGTCTATAAAACTTTCAACTTGTCGTCTTTTCAGTCGCCAGCGGAGGCTGTCATTGTTTACAATGGCTTGCCGCCAATAAACTCTGACCAGCGGCGGACTTCACTGGGGATGCCCTCCTTGCGGGGCAGCTTCTCGTTCATGCACTGAGCAAAGAGCACAGAGGTCTAGTAATTACTCCATTAGTTATATGATCACAAAACGAAAATAAAAGGATAGAAACTCACCTTGGGCTCCATGAACAAGGGAACACCAAAGTCGACGGCATTTCTTCTCATGACATAGTCCTCGTCAAGAAGAGAAGAGGCACGAACGGCAGCCAAGTTGAAAACACCACGAATGTCGTACTTCTGGAAGACCTCACGGAGGGCACGCTTGTCCTCCTTGGGAAACTCAATGACCTCGACTTCGACGTGCTCAGCAGAAGTCTCCTCAAGGTGCTTCTTGACCTCGGGGCTGGCGGCGAAGAACTTGTACTTGAGAGGGCTGAGGTAGTCGACAATCTTGGAGAGCTGGGGCTTGGTGATGTCACCGCCAAAGAGCAGACCCTCACCAGGTTCGGGCAGACGGAAGTTCATGGTAGACTGCAAGCTGGTCCAGTAGGCCTCAACGAGGTCCTTACCAAAGCAAGCAATCTCACCGGTACTGGCCATCTCGACGCCCAAGAAGGGGTCGGCACCAGCGAGACGGGTCCAAGAGAACTGGGGAACCTTGGTAGCAAGGTAGTCACGCTTCTCAGCCATGAGGTCAACCGGCTCGGGAACATCACGTCCAACAAGGGCCTTGGTGGCAACCTCGATGAAGTTGGTACCGAGAACCTTGCTGACAAAGGGGAAGGAACGGGAAGCACGGAGGTTACACTCAATGACCTTGAGAGCGGATTCACCGCCGCTGGGGTCATCAGCCTTGATGATCTGCATGTTGAAGGGTCCAGTGATTTTCCAGGCCTTGGCAACCTTCTCGGCGATGCCCTTGACACGCTGGACAGTGTTCTCGTCGAGACCGGCAGGGGGAAGAACCAGGGTGGCATCACCAGAGTGAACACCAGCAGCCTCAACGTGCTCGCTGACGGCGTGAACGAGGAGCTTGCCAGCAGACGCAACAGCGTCCACATCAATCTCCTGAGCGCCCTCGATGAACTTGGTGATGACGACGGGGTGGTCAGGGGAGACTTCGCTAGCAGAGAGGAGCTTGTCCTTGAGCTCGGCCTCGCTGTGGATGACATTCATGGCAGCGCCAGACAAGACGTAACTGGGACGGACGAGGACGGGGTAGCCAACCTGCTCAGCAAAGGTCTGAGCCTCGGCAACAGAGGTAAGTTCCTTCCAGGCGGGCTGGTCGACACCAATGCTGTCCAAGATTTGAGAGAACTTGTGACGGTCCTCAGCCTTGTCAATGTCAACCGGATCAGTACCAAGAACGTGAGCACCACCAGTCTCCTGAAGACGGAGAGCAATGTTTTGAGGCAGCTGACCACCGACGGAGACGACAACACCGCTAGCAGACTCGAGTTCGTAAATATCCATGACACGCTCGTAGCTCAGCTCCTCAAAGTAGAGCTTGTCAGCAGTGTCAAAGTCGGTGGAGTAGGTCTCGGGGTTGTAGTTGATCATGACAGTCTTCTTGCCCATCTCCTTGAGGGAGAGGGTAGCGTTGACAGCGCACCAGTCGAACTCGACGGAGCTACCGATACGGTAGACACCGCTACCAAGAATGATCACACCGTGATCGTCAAAGGTGACATCGTGCGAAGAAGCATTGTAAGTCGTGTACAGGTAGTTGGTATCAGCGGGGAATTCAGCGGCCAGAGTGTCGATTCTCTTGACAAAGGGACGGATGCCAAAGCCCTTGCGGCGGTCGCGAACCTCATTCTCGGTGCTGCCAACGCAGAGAGCAATCTGCTTGTCAGAGAAACCAAGCTTCTTGGCACGAGTGAGGAGCTCCTTCTTGAGACCAAAGAGGCTGCCCACATCGACAATGTCGCGCTGGCAGTCAACAATGTTCTGAAGCTTGTACAGGAACCACTTGTCAATCTTGGTGAGCTCGTGGACACGGTCGACCGAGTAGTTTTCGTGGAGCATAGCCTGACCAACGGCGAGCCAGCGCCGATCAGTGGGGTTCTGCAACGCCTCGTCGAGGTCGTCGAACTTGTCTCCCTGGAAACCAAGGAAGCGGGGGTCAACCATACGAATAGCCTTTTGGATGGACTCTTCAAACGTTCTGCCAATGGCCATGACCTCACCGACGGACTTCATGGCGCTACCAATATCACGCTTGACGTGCTGGAACTTGCTCAAGTCCCAACGAGGGATCTTGGTGACAATGTAGTCCAAACTGGGTTCAAAGTTGGCGGTAGTCGTCTTGGTGACGGCATTGGGGAGTTCCGGGAGAGTGTGACCGAGACCAATCTTGGCGGCGGTGTAGGCAAGCGGGTAACCGGTGGCCTTGGACGCCAAAGCAGAGGATCGAGAGAGACGGGCGTTGACTTCAATGACACGGTAATCCAAACCATCGGGCTGCAAGGCGTACTGGACATTGCACTCGCCAACGACCTTCAAGTGACGGATAATCTTAATGGCAGCAGTACGGAGCATGTGATACTCCTCGTCGCTCAGAGTCTGACTCGGGGCCACGACGATACTGTCACCAGTGTGAATACCAAGGGGATCAAAGTTTTCCATGTTGCAGACAGTGATACAGTTGTTGCTGGCATCGCGAACGACCTCATACTCGACTTCTTTCCAGCCCTTGAGCGATTTCTCGACCAAGATTTGGGGAGACAGAGTGAGCGAGCGAGAGGACAAGTCCCTCAACTCCTCGGCGTTGTTGGCAAAACCGGAACCGAGACCACCAAGTGCGAAGGCAGACCGAACGATGATGGGATAACCGACTTGCTCAGCAGCATCAAGCGCCTCGTCCACGGTGTTGACAGCGATGGATTCAGCAATTGGGATATCGATTTCTGCATAGATTCAATCAAAGTCAGGAATTGTTTCATTATTCATGGCTCGGGGGTAAAAGAAGGAGGTATTCATGACTCACCCTTGAGAGCTTGGGCGAATAGGTCACGGTCCTCACTGGTCTCGAGAGTCTCAATGCTGGTACCCAGGACCTTGACGCCGTAGCGATCAAAGATGCCCATCTTGTCCATCTTGACACCCAAGTTAAGACCAGTTTGACCACCGAAGCTGAGGAAGATACCGTCGGGCCTCTCGCGCTCAATGACGTAGGTAACATATTCAGGAGTAACGGGGAGGTAGTACACCTCGTCCGCAAGAACGTGAGCCGTTTGGATAGTAGCAATGTTGGGGTTGATCAAGACCGATTGGACACCGGCCTCCTTCAAGGCCTTGAGGGCTTGAGAGCCTATTGTGGATTTGTCCGTCAGCCGATAAGCTCAATTGCGTATCAAAATGTAGCAAATTCGCAGATGCGCGGGGTATAATTGAATAGGCAATGTCCGAAGAAGTGCGATTCGATATGATTTGCAAGATTGACGGCCTGGCGGGCAAGGCTGCGAAAGGAAAGGAGAGCAAAGCAACTCGTAGCTATCTGACTCACCAGAGTAGTCAAACTCTCCAGCTTGACCAATGCTCAAACCACCACTTCCAATGACGAGAACCTTCTTCACATCGACGAGTTCTCTGCCACCGGCAATCATTCCACTGTCAAGGAAAGCCTGGGCATTGGGGGCTTCCTGGCTGCTGACCCGACGAGAGACAGAGGTCGAGAAAGGACGAGCTTTCTGGGAAAGCTTGGGCTTTTGCGAGCGAACGGCCGGCTGCATCCAGGCAGCACGGGTCGCAAAGCGGCGAGCAGTCACGGCGGGAGCAGCATTGCGGGACTGGCGAAAGAGCACAGAGGCTCTTGATGCTACACGACCGGAGATAGCCATAGTGGAGGAAGGCACGGGCTATAGCCACCGGCCAATGGCTCCACACAGCAGCTCTTCGACGGATTCGACGTCTAAGACGGTCAATAAGACCTTCTGTTTTTGACGACGATCGAGGGAAAGAGTTGCTTGATTTGCGGCGTTGTTTGGTGTGAAAGAGGAAAAAAGAGAAAGGGACTGGAGGGAAAGCGAGATTGAAAGATAAGTGGCTCTCTCACAGGTTTGTGTGACTCTTTCGACTAGTCACCTCCGGTGCAAAGTTCAGTATGAGTCTTAATGGGGGGGAGGGTCCCCTCCGGTGCACGGCGACCAAGAAGAACCTACAGTTGAAAGTACCAACACTACAGTAGAAGCCGCGCTCTCTAGAATGACTTTGGTCAACCGCTTTCACTACTCCGCTATGTTGGTTGGTGGGTTTTTCATCGTCGTGTGTCGCTCTTTCCCCCAAACGAAAAATTAAAGTGAAGCTAGATCGAGCGTGTGATTGGTTGATGGTCTGTAGATGGGGCTATCGGCGACCCTGGGAAATTAGCCGAAGCGATTCGGGCGGAAAATGTCGACGATGATTCAAGAGAGATACACAACCCCAAATTATTCAAACGTAAAAATTTCATCCCGATAAGACAAATTTACATCTCCGTGGTATGCATGAGGATCACAATTTTATCATGCCACAATAAGCCCAAAAAATATTTCAAAGGCGCGTGATAATAATGAGACGCAGAAGATCAACAGGAAAAATTTCTACTCCTCAAGATCCTTGCGCACTTATGCATGACCTGAACCAGGTCTTAATTTTTTTTCGGCGGATGTTGCCGTCTCTCGAATTCTTGTTCACTCCCGACCTCCATCTCCACCGGCTGCTCAAGTAGAGTAGAAGTACTCCCTACTGAACTGGGAACACCTGGGACAACCACACTAGAACCTGTTCCCATGTGGGTACCTGGCGCACATAAGCCCGAGATCATCCAGTGGAGAACTTCCCGCCCAGCTGACGATTTTCGTGGCTTCGTAGGAGTTCTCCGATGTCTCCCGGCTTGCCCAAGTACCGTAAATGATCTGTATGGCCCTGAAGCGAACGGGTTACTCATTATTCCCCGGTTGCGGGGTCAGATGTGAGGTGTCAAGGTCATATACCTTCGTAGTATTTGCTATTATTGTTGCAACGTGCAGATGGGTAGATGCTAGTCAATTGCAAATTGCGCCCCTCCCAATGCATTCAAAATGAAAGAATATAGTGCAAAATCACTTCAATGACGGTATTTCTATGTGCCACGCCCAATGACTCCAATCTGGCCATTAATGCCCCGCCATTGCCCGTCCGAGGACGTTTCTGCCCCACGTCGTCTTTGCTGCCAATGTCCTTGACGCTTCTTGCCTGCATTCATCGCATCGGCAGTCCAAATATCTCCGAGATCCGTCAAGGCAGGAGCAGTCGCCTGGAACCCTTCATCCTCACCTTCTTCACCCAGTAGCTCTTTCATGGTAGCGAGCCTATCTTGCGCAGAGTTTATTGTAGTCTGACCTTGTTGAAGCGCACGCTCAACAGTCTCCATAGTATTGATGCCAGAAGCATCCGCTGCAAAAGCCCACGCCCGAGCTGGCTCAATGTGACCGTATGCCCCATAAGGCCCCGAAGCAGCCTCCTCGGCGAGCGCAGCCTCTCGTTGGACTGCTCGAGAGGCAAGCACTGCCGCGGCATGTTTGAATCGGGGTTGATTGACCAGAAGCGGATATGCCGGCAGCAGGTGGCTTTCATCACTGAGCCGTTCTAGCGCCTGGCTGGCCGTTTTGTGCTCCTTAGCTAGAGCAGACTCGACATGGGTCCTTGATTGCAGCATTGATCTCTGGAAATCCTGAAAGGGAAGCAGATGCTCTCGCGCATACTGAAGAGCAATAATGGAGGAGCTTTGAGCATGCGGATCGATCCTTTCTTCCTGCAGAAGTGAATTGTCTGCGCTTTGAGCCAGGATTTTCCGAGGTTCCTCATTCGGTGAAGTATCTGCATGCGAATCTGCTAGAAGCGATTTGCGACTCTCCATGTATGCCTTATACAGTTCCATAATTTCTGTTGATCGTTGATCAATGTACGCTCGATCTGTCTCGGAGCGTTCATTGTCAGCCATGCTAACTGACGTGTCGGCCTCGGTCATGGAATTTGTGGCTTTGGATAGTTCAGTTTCAACCCACCCTATCAGGGTATTCCTGGTATTTTCCAGAGCTTTGACCTTTTCCTTCATATGGTACGGGTTTGAACCAACTTGAGCATGTTTGATGCTGTCATATTTTTCCTGTGCCTCTGCGAGACGCATTTTCTCGGCTTCAAGAAGATGGCTCGCTTTCAGGACAGATTTCTCAAGCCGACTGATCAATGCATTCATGTGAGCACGTTTTGATATTTGTCTTTCTTTGTCGCTTTCCTGGATGATCGTGGCTGGCGGGTGCGGAGGTTGAGACAGCTGGCTTGATATCTGCTTGACATCAAGAAAGTCCGGGGAAGCGGGTGGCTTCTGTGCGAGAAGTTCGAGATAGTCTTGCAGAATTCGAAGGCGCTCATATCTGTGCCGTTGACGCAACAATAACAGATACTCATGCAAATGCTCCTCTGATGCGACCCGAGAGCTTGATTCCAAAGACCCTTTGGAATCATCTCCCGAGATTCCACCAGATGTCAAAGAAGCATACTCTTTCTGTGCTTTTACATTCGCATTGACTGCCCGCAGATATTCTTTTCTCATATGTCCCAGTTCCAAGGGAACTTTGACTCCCTGCTGTCGCCCATCAGGGCACAAGATATGCTGAGTCGAATTATGTTGGCTGGAAGTGGGGTCCAAAGTGGATGCAACAAATAAAGTCAATACTTGACGGACTTTTTGTGCCTCCTGCCGGCTTTTAATGTATGGAGATAAGCTTGAGTGCACTTGAGGTAAGGGAAAGTCAATGACAGGAACAGGTCCCATTGCGACAATAGAAGCGCGTGCAAAGAAGAGTAAACAAGAGAATTAAGTTAGCGATTACATAGCTTAGTCGAATGGTGCAAGACGAAACCAGAAATCTGTTGACACCCGACGGTTACAGCACTACCCCCAGAATTGATAGGCGGGTGATCAGATAACGCCCGATAAAACTGTCAAACTTTCATAAAACGACATAAATGTACAGCAACTAACATAAGTAACCACGATGATGATGATAATATGGAGAATCATATCAATCCCAACCATTTCAAGTCACTTGTCTCAGGTGAAAATAACTACAGTTCCATTAATTTCAATTGCGAAAGGCCTTTTCAACTTCCTTGACTGCATCTGCTAGCTCTCTTGATGATTGTCGATGATTTTTATTGGTGACAGCATGGGGGTTAACGATTGCCTTGATTGGGCTCAGAACCCCAGCCATGGCCACCTGTTAATGGTTCGGTGATTCCCAATCACCAGCCACCCCCAATTTATTCCTTCCAACTCTCCTTTAGCCTGCTCATGAGGACCTTTTCTTGAATCGCTTCGGTCGTCTTCATTTCCTTTGAAATATAATGTTCTTCCTCGTTTGATGCAACTGCTTGTTGTTGTTCTACCTTAAGCCAAAGCTCTAGGAGCCAATCACGCAAGGCGAGCTCAGTTGTGTATTGCGATTATGCATTGGTGCCACACAGCATACCGCCTTTCGTATAATTTCCAACATGCTGATTTGGGGTAGAACTCGATAATTAGACGTTCAACTTGCTGAATTCTCTCAAACCAGTCACCTCGCTCCTTACTGAATAGAATATCTTGGGTGCTGAGAATCGATATCCTTACCCTGTATATATCTACAAACCAACTGTACGTGCAAATCACTTGTCATTCGGACGACTTTGATTTCATCTTCAAGCACTTGGTCTAACTTTATTCTCTATGTAGACGAGTCATCAAATAAAGCGTCAGCTTTCCCGCGGCGGACTTGGATAATTGAGTCTTATTTTTGGATCGGATCCCACAGACACTGTCATGGCAAACCGGCGTGAAACGGCGCTCGGCCAGAGTTCATCCTCCCGCCGCGCCGAACCCCCTCTAAAAATCTCGACCAAAGATGCCATTCGGTCTCAGTCTGCCTCATATCGGAGATCATCAGCAGATGCTCGTGATCCCTCCTTCTCCACGGCAAGTCCGTTCTACTCGCCTGTCTCGTCCCGTTTTGCGCCTGAAGGAGGTTTGGATCCAAGGCCATCTTCTTTCTCGTATAGCGGACCCGATAGGCCGGTGGACAACCGTAAAGCTGGCTCGCGCGGGAGGCGGACGAGCCACGATCCGCCAGTCTTCGACACTGAGAAGCCGCTGCCTCCAGAGCCTCAGATGGTCTCCCCGAATTCAACCCGCCGAATGCAAAAACCTTACGGTGACGCCAGTCTCAATGGACGTGGATCCAAGGAGTACTCAGCCAAGCCAAGATCGTTTTCAGCAAGGGCCGGGCCACTGCCAGCGGATTCCGGGTCTCCGACTGCAATGTCCCCAACGATATCGCAAAGTTCGCAGACCAGATCCCGAAGGCGCCACAGTGTGACTTCCCCGGATCGCGCAACAGACGACCTGGATCCTGAGCAGCAGGCGCAACGAGCAAAGTGGGCACACGATCGTTCCCCGCTGCAAAAACTTGAATTAACGCTAAATGATTTCAGCAAGGAGGAGAAACGCGCAAGGGTTGAGGAAGCGGAGATGTTGGCGAGGGAGGCAAGATCTGGACGCGGTCGCCGAAGTGCAGAGGAGAATACCACACCAACTACTCTTCCCGAGGCGGGGCTTGTTAGGAGCCTGAGCCAAAAGCAGAAGCACAGGCTACAGCAGAGCGTAAACATGGATCTACGGAAGCCACCTGCGCGTGGCCCGACTGGTGGGCCAGCGAGCTTCGATTATGAGGATACGAAAGTGTCAAGGAAATATGAAGAGCCGTACGATTCAGACGCAGCCTACAACGAAAGGAGAGGGCCAGATCTGGCCCATGCATCTACATTCTATCGAATGCATGATGGATCCTCGCCGGGCGATTATACAATGAATTCGCGAGGTATTCATCAGAGAATCAGTCCTGATCATGGAGTCCAATTTGCCGAGGATGTCGAGGAAGTACCGCCACAGCCGCGGCAACGGCGCGGAAGCATCTTGGGGAAATTTTTTAAATTAGGACGCGGTTCTAGTTTTCGAGGCCGCGAATCCAATCCAGTCCCAACTGACACTGCACCACTTAAAAATAAAAAGGGTCCCAATTATGAAACCCCGCCGCAGACAGAAAGCGCGCAGCAAGCCAGAGAAGATGTTGACTTTGGGCACCAATCCGAGCGGGCCCCTGATGAAACTCACCCTTTGCGCCAGCACAAAGTCAGTGAAATTTTGCACCGTGGCTGGAAAGGCCATGGTTATCACGAGCAAGACTACCAGCCGCAAAAATGGTTGGATGAATGGCGCAACGCAGAAACCGCCAGGTTGGTTGCTTCTGATTTCACAGCAGACGGGCCATCGGACAACAAAGATACCACCTGGTGGGAACGACAAGGATCAAAATCGCGACGGAGAAGCTCTGGATCGAGAAGCGCCGAGCATGGCTCACCCAGGTCCCTTGACGGAGGCTTTGATATTCCGTCATCAGAAAATACGTCATTTAACCCGCCATTATATCTGAAGTGTGGTCCACTCTTACGATACACTGGCTTGAAAAGGGAGCGGGTGTCTGGGGTTCACGGTCGTGGTGGGCAACTTGAGCGGGAAATCTGGAGGGGATCTGTCATGATTGTAACAGAGGATGCGCATTCGTCCTATAAAGTCGTACCAACTCTCCGTCTATTCTTCCAACCAATGGATCTTCTGCCACCGCCTCCAGCAAAAGTCACACTTAATTCGGACGAGCCCCTTGCGGCGGAGTACGTGGATCCAATTGCAGGCCTCCCCAAAGTCTCGCGGACAGGCAAGACACTCTATGTGAAGCCCGTTGAGCTACTTGATGAAGAAGTAGACGTTTCAAGGGTTGAAAATGACAATGGACTTTATGAACTGAAAAGGACCATTGTCAGCCAAAACCCTGGTTCTGCGCCTGGTAGTCGCGCCATGCCATCGCCTATAGCCGGGAGGATACGAGGAAAAGATGGTGAAATGCGGGGAAAGTTTCGTGATGTAAAAGCTCATAGGCTCCACACCGAACGAGGCGTCACATTTTGGAGATTCAATATAGAAGTGGAGCTTGGCGAGAAACAGGCTAGAATCGCGTATCGCATCAATCGTGGTCCGGTAAGTTTTCTCTTTGCTCTCGTATGGAATATCTTGCTCAGTATTCGATTACAGGCAATAGGGTTTTGGGTTCCTGCGCATGGCCAGACAATGAATATCATGTTTCATAGCTGCAACGGATTCAGTTCGAGCGTTAACCCAGACAAATTCTCTGGCCCAGATCCTTTGTGGAGGCACGTCTAATCCTTCTCATGGCTCATATATCAATGCTAACGCTAATTTTAGAGATGTCCTTAATTCTCATCAAACCCGTCCTTTTCACGTCATGATTGGGGGAGGAGATCAGATATATAACGATGCAGTAATGCGGCAGACGACGCTTTTCCAAGAATGGCTGGGCATCAAGAACCCAGTGCAGAAGAACTCGGCGCCTTTCACACCCGAGATGCAGGATGAGCTGGAAGGCTTCTACTTGGATCGCTATGCTATGTGGTATTCGCAAGGCTTGTTTGCCATGGCTAACTGCCAGATCCCCATGATCAACATTTGGGATGATCGTAAGTCGCCGCGCCAGCTCTGCGGGTTTCTTAGTTACTTATTTTAGCAGATGATATTATCGACGGGTATGGGTCATATCCTCATCATTTCATGCGGTCCCCGATATTTACTGGACTTGGCGCTGTTGCTTTCAAGTACTACATGTTGTTTCAGCACCAGTCGGTGGTGGACGAGACACAAGCGAATGAGCCAAGCTGGCTCCTTGGCGCATCTCCTGGGCCATACATCAATGAATTGAGCAGAAGTGTCTTCATGCATCTGGGAAGAAAGGTCGCTTTCCTCGGGCTTGATTGTCGCACTGAACGCATGGTATGGTCTTACTCGTGTCTGTTCTTTCCCTTGCTAATTTCAGTAGAGAGACGAAATCTTCTGCGAAGAGACATACGATATTATCTTTGATCGATGTCACCAAGAGATTATCAAAGGGGAAACAAAACATCTCATCGTGTTGCTTGGTAAGAAGTCTGCTTATAAGATTTTTTTCCCTGCTAACATCAATATTAGGTGTGCCAATTGCATACCCCCGTCTCAACTTCCTCGAAAATATCTTAACCTCACGGCTTATGGATCCCGTCAAGGCAATTGGCCGCACTGGCGTTCTTGGTGGGTTTGTCAATAAATTCGACGGAGGCGTAGAGATCCTAGACGACCTAGATGATCACTGGACCGCAAAGGAACACAAACGGGAAAGAAATTGGTTTATACAAGAATTACAAGAGTTGGCGGCTGAAAAGTCCGTTCGCGTCACTATTCTAGGTGGCGACGTTCACTTGGCTGCTGTGGGTCAATTTTACTCTAATCCGAAACTCAGTATACCCAAGGATCAAGACCACAGATATATGCCGAATGTCATTTCTTCCGCCATTGTCAATACGTAAGTCACCCAGTTTTCCGAGCCTTCTCAGTCATATACTTATCTCGTCGCAACAGGCCCCCTCCTGAGCTCATGGCAGACACCATAAACAAGCGAAACCGTGTCCATCATCTCGATCATGACACGGATGAGGATATGATTCCAATGTTCACCCATGACGTTGACGGAAAGCCAAGAAACAACAAGCATCTCCTGCCGCGCCGTAATTGGGCTTCAATTCGTGAATACCACCCTGGAACCACGCCGCCTCCGACACCGCCCATGTCTGAGCCCGACCATTCGCCTAGTCGTCCTCAGCAGCCCGGCGGGCTTATGCGAAGGCTGTCTTTGACAAAAAGAGACGGAACAGGCGGAGGTCTCTTTCGGCGTAACTCATCTCGTCGAGGGTCTCTAGCTGTGGAGAACCCCTCTCATCCATATGGCCCATATTCATCTGAGCCCAGACAACCTCCTCTTTCGAATCCTCCTCATCAGCCGCACGCAGACAACTATTTCACTGCACAACATCATGCGGGGCACCAAGGCAATCACTCACACGATGCAAGTGCTATTGTTCCTAGAAATGGACATCCCGAGCGGCCAAACCTTTTCCTTCGTCGACCAACAGATCTCAGCGAACGAGCTGCACGCAAAGGCGGCGCACAAGCCAACAACGACGGGGGCATCAACGACCATATCAACCTCGAGTGTGGCCTCGATGTAGTCATCAATTGCGAAGTCAGCCAGAAAGACCCCGCAGGAATCACGACTCCATACCGCTTGCTCGTTCCCGCTCTGTGGTATCAAGGCCCGGGCGACGAGAACGTTGCGCGCCTCAAGAGCCGGAAAAATACACTCTTCAATTGGGTCCGCAGACGCAAGCCCCAGCGAGGAGCCTCCTCCGTTGATTCTGCCTCGCGCTCCGGCTCGTCGTTGGCAGGCAGTGCCCGCGGGAGCGCAGAGTATGTCCATGATCGTGGCGTCGTCGGTCATGACCATCCCCACCCTGGAAGCCGAGACGTTGTAAATCACGACTACCGCGTCCACCCTGACGACCGACTCCCTACGCCATCGGAGCATCTTTATCCTCCTCAGCGACGTGCATCTTCTAATGACAGGCGACGGTCTTATTATTAGTCTCGGTTGCATTCCTGGTGTTTTGATTCTAAGAGTCTCGAAACTCAACGTTACAAAGTCCTTTTTCCTTTTCTCCGCTCCTGCTTTTCATTCCTTTTTTTTTTCTCTGCTCCCTTTTTCCATCCCTCATCAAAATAATCCCATCACACGAGTAACGACCATTTGAAGTCTTTTCCTCTCTTTCGTTAGTATACCTCGAAACTTCCTTTTTCTTCGCGATCGTCTGTCCTTTTCGTTTGATAAACCTTACACCGCGGCCTCTCACCGTTTTACGGTAGATAATTACTCTTGCGATTGCCACATCGCGACATCGTGACATCCTGCCTTAACTATAACGCACTTTTCGGGGTTTCATTATTCTCTTTTTCCTTCCGACCTTGGTCACTGAACGAAAGCGCGGAACAACATAATGAGTTACGAACGAATACACACACGAAGAATTATGACTACCGTATCATTATCTTTATATCCTTATATACCTATCTCAATCGATGTGATATTTCACAGATTCAAAACATCCCGCTCCTCTCGGACTACAAACGTAAAACCTGCGAGACTTTTCTCGTCTCGTTCCTCCATGCCACCAACACTGCTTTCTGGCTTCTGGCTTCTGATGAATAAGAAAACTTTAGAAGTCTATTTTGGCTTTATATATTGGGTATCTGTAAAATGCAAAATAAACAAACGTACATCTTAATCTTGTAAGTGTACTTTGATTAAGGAAATGAAAAAAGACGTCATGGTAGCATGCACGAGGGGTTTAAAGGACGTGCGTTGTAACGACCAGCCTCCTTTGTGCCCTGACATAGTCTCAATCCCCGAAAAGAAAAAGAAAACGCCTAGTCTTTCCCGTCCATAATAACGCCTCTGCTTCTCAAAACTGCCCAAGAGAAGCGAACGCTGATCCACTGCCGGTAGGAGAAAGCGCGGGGAAAAAATTAAAGCAAGAAATAGTTGTGACGAAAATAGGAGACAAGAGATATCAATCTCTCCCATAACTAATCTTCATTCGTTTCGTGGCTTTCCCGCCTTCTTCGTCATCAGTCGCTGCGGCAGCAGCTGCAGCTGCAGCAGAAGAAGAAGCGTTGGCACCTCCACCACCGGTGTTCTTTTTTGACTTCTTCACCGTCGAGCCTCCTCCGACTGCAGCGCTCCCGCCTCTTCCGCTAGCCGTGCTTGCAGGTGTGCCGTGTGCACTATCCCTTGCAGCACCGGCGCCAGAACCCGCATTCACGCCTGCAGATGGCGTCGGTGTTGGTGTCCCGCCAGCTGTGTTTTCCTATAGTTACGAAAAGGGGGAAATATTAGCAAAAACAGAAACTACATGCGTGCAGTCATCGAGAGGGAAAGAATTAAGCTTGTGCATAAAGCAGGCTTTGAAAAGAGGGGAGAGGGGGAAGGGAGGGCTTTAAATTACATACCCCAGTGTACGAAACACTACTCCGGCTAAACACTCGATCCGCATCGTTGATACCGCCCGCCGCCCTCCGTCTTCCGGCCCCAGCACCACCGGCGCTCCCTGCGCCTCCAGGACCAGTGGCAGATGTGGCTTTGATGTAATTGTCGAAACCGCGAATAATGTTGCCCACGCCGGAAGTGTCGTCCAGATATGACGTTTCGAAACGGTAGATGCTGTCTTCTAGTGTACTCTAGACAGATATCTTAGCATGGTTTTCGAGATAGATGGGTGTTCAATGCCAAACTTCCTCCCCCTCCTCCCCCGCCCCCCCCCATAACACTAGAGAAAACAGAATCAAACCATATCCTTCGATATCGCATTTCCCAGCATCCTCCTTGACGGGTGGTTCGACTCCAATATACTGAGGGGAAAAGGGCAAATTGCGCCCAAAAGTTTCCTACTCACCATGTTTTTATCCAGCAGTCTCTTCTTTTGTAGGGTCTCGCGCAGGTCACGTCGCAGTTTCTCATAATATGGCAACCCGCGCGTAGAGTCGGCAGCAGGATGAGGAAGGGAGTCTACTCCCGCTGCTGTAGTCGATGGGACCAAGTTCTCGGCCATGTTGAAGACAAGAAGTCTCTGATAATTCTTGGCGCGTCTCCGCTGAGGTAAATATAACACTGAAGTTATCCAAGCAGCCAAAGGAGAGAGAGAGAGAGGATAAACGGCCGGTATGCGTCAGTAAGTTGGATAGCAATTGAACTCGCCTGTTTGACGTGTTTGTTCGCGATCTCGGCGGCTCCTGGACCCCTACGGCACGTGACACAGCCAACTACGAAATGGTGCAGGATGGTGTAAACAATGCGATCAAAAATTCAAGGAGGTCATAAACATAATTTCAGAATGACTCCATTGCCCCTGAGAGACTCATATGAATTATGCTGCTAAATTCCGCAGCGTCAGAGATTCTTGAACGTTTTCTTATTTGATGACTATTGCTTCCATCTCGCTATGAAGAGCATATGACAATCCCGAGAAAGGGTGGAATAAGTTCCAGAGAAGGGGGCTTAATGTATCAGGAGAAAGGTAGAGAGTATTTTATGGAACAAGATATTTTGATCGGTACCTTGTAAACAGATGGAGGTTTGTACATAACCTTTGCCATTGAAATATGATAGTGACTGCTCAGATCACGTACGTAATTATTCTGGTTGTATTCGTGCTAATATTTCTACCTAAATCCTAAAATTTGTGTATCCATTTTGAAGCTACAAGCATATCCGAAATGTGTAGATACTACGATGCAATGGAATGCGTCCTTTTGTCCTTGAATGCAATAGATTGGTCCCTATGGACCTTTAACGAGTCATTTCATAATTTGACTTGCGTAAGATTATGGTGCAGCGCTGGGTGTCGTGGTGTTACCGGAATGTCGAAGTGCCCACACCTTTTCTCTTAGGAGCTTTTCCTTCAGAACGTTGTTTACTGAAGGCTTGTGTGCTTGTGCTCCATTCTGCAGAAAAGGTGAGTCAGAAGACCGTGGTTCAAATGACTTTCAGCAATTAAAACAGCCCAGCAGACCCTCAAGAGTCTGAATCTCTACCCACCTCTTGTGCTGCCTCTTCGCGGCGAGATGCAGGTCTATCCTGACGCCGAGTCTCAGGTGAGAATAGTCGTGGGGATTGTTCATGCCTGTTTGGTCGGTGGGAGGTAGAGTCAGCCCTTCTGCGCCGTTTTTCATCAGACGAAGAAACAGAAGACGAGCTGTGCCTCCGTTTTCCCACAGGTTCATATCTCTCAATTGAGCGGTGCCTACGCTCCTTTCGACGATCTGGGTTTTGATCTCGGCTTCGGCTTCGGCTCCGACTGACACTACGGAAGCGTCCACGATCATGTCTCCGGGCCTTGCGAGCATCAGCGCGTGTGTTATCAGGGGATTCACTGGTACGAGAAGGTGGGGAAAGTCGGGCCCTGTCTGCCTTTTCATAGCGGCCCCTGCGTGGGCTTATGGATCGGGAGCGAGACCGGGACCGGGAAACGTTAGAATATCTTCGGCGAACATGTCTCGATCGTGGCGGAGGAGAACGGCTGCGAGATGCAGTTGAAGGAGATCTCCTTCGATATCTTCTAGGTGAACGTGAGCGTGAGGATTCTGGAGTAATGGACCTGGCCCGATCATCACCGCGATCTAGCGTTCTGCTACTTCTTGCATCTCTTGGACGGGATGTGGAGCGACGGCGGTCCGAGTATCGGCGTCTCTTTTGCCGCCCGTCTTCATGATCTGAGTCTCTCCTTCTTCGGGGAGGTGTTATGGAGCGTGACCGTGACCTCGGCTGGGGCGAGCGAGGACGCCAGTTGTCCTCCCTCCGGGTGCGAGGATTCCGACCGCCAGGAACATATGTATCTCCTCCGCGCCTAGGTTGAGGTCCCCGATAATTACTTGTCTCTGGCGAGCCGCGTCGGCGAGCTGGCGGAGATCGAGAATCTCGCCGCGGACGACGGTCAAAGTCACGCCCTCCCCGTGCACCACCCCGAGTGCGAGCACGGCCGCGGTCTCCGCGTTCCCTTTGACGAACGGTGTCAATCTCTCTGTCTCGAGCTCGCTCTTGCTCTTTCCTGCGGCGGGCCTCTTCGGCCGCATTTTCTGCTTGTATCTTTTACGGTCTCAGTATTGTCATGTAGAAAAATAACGACGCTTCCCTTTAAAACTTACCTTTTCTTGGATCAGCTCTAGTTTCTTCGCTTCAAGAAGTTCCTTCGGAACACCCTGAGGGTTCGATTGTGCGCTGAGACAGAGATTCCACAAGTCTTTGCAAAACTTTGGCGTATCCTTATCCAAGAAACCAGTGAGTTGTATCTGCAGAACTTTGATATCCGGCTGCGATGGGAGTTAGTGATCATTGCGGTGTCGTATTGGGGTTATGGGGGCGACCAACGAAACGCGAACCCTCCAGTAAATTGAAGCAAAGCTCTATCACTACATCATCCTCGCTGCCCAAAATCTCTGAGATCTTTCCTGCAATCCATCTATAAAACTTGTCAGTTCGTCTATGGCATGATGGTGGATGGTAAGGGAGTAAAGCTTACTTTTTCATAACCTCAATGTTAACCTTCCGCATATCAACTTTTTGGCTGAATTCTGGGGGAAACTTTGTTTGCTTAAGCAGCTTGGCATCCACACTGGTAGCCATATTGACGGAGCAAGCCAGCACTTTGACGTCCGTGATCACTGCGCCTGGCAATCGAGGGTATGTTTGAGCTGGGACTCCTTCCGCGGTCTCAATCACTTCCGCCTGGTCCACGGAGTTGATTTCTTACGGTGACCAAGTCATTCCACTTGCGCACAACGTGCCTGCCCAAAAAAGTAACTCCAGTTCGAGCTATGTTTACACCCAGATACAGATAGATGAAGCGCTTTATATAATGATATATGCTGAACAATAAATATTTCTGATGAAATTCAAAGCTATTTGATGCATATTTTCATCTTGTGACGCAGAAAACACTACCATAAATTTTAAAGCTTTATTAGTGGACATTCCATCTCGCGCAGGAAATCGGTCTGGATTTTATTTGTAAAGCGCATGTTCACCCTTCAAGATCGAAGATTCATCATGCCAAAACAGCCAACAAGCCCGTATACAAGCCAGGCCGGTACGAGGAAAATCCACATAAGTCATGACCGACGAATAACGGCAGCAGATATTATCCCAGAAAAGTTTGATCGTACAGACTCTGTCTGGGTCCAACGAGGAAAAGGCAGCTTTGATCAGGCAATATTACCAGTGGTTCAGGAGCTTCGAGATAATGATCCATATGACTCGCAAACTTCAAGCGATTATTCGGATAACGAAGAGCAAATCAGACATGACGGGCTGTCTGCCATAGAAGAGGGGACCGATGAGGACGAACCTCAGAGTAATCTTGAGGGTAAGAAACCCCTAGGAAGACCTGGAAAGGACAGCAATGTCTCTGAGACTCGATCACGAGGAAAGTCGAAATCGGACAAGATAACTTCCGCCCACCCATCAGATGCAAGTCTCGAAGAACGTCTGACTAACAACAATGGTTCAATAGCTTCAAGATCTGATCAGCTAATGCAAGAAGAGTTATCCTTGCAAGAAGCTCCGCGCGCTCCACCCAAGAGGCTTCGAAGGATAGAGGGAAGAAATTCTCTAGATGCAAGCCTAGTAGCCGATCAATGGTCTCTAAGGAGAGGCAGCAAAACTGAAGCTCCGGGAGGAAGCGTAAAGGAACGTGCCGCATCATTTGCCTCGCTGTCGAGTGTTATACCTTCATCTGCAGAATCCACAGAAAGACCAGCTCGGCCACTGAGAAGTAGCACAAGTCGATCCTCCATACAACCCCTCATCGAATTTTGGGATTCCCATCAAAATGCGACAGAACGAACGTCCGATGAAGGCTCAGCGAGATTACCAGCTGATATATCCAAAATTGGCATGTCCCAGCCAAACATTGTCTTGGGCTGCGAAAACCAAAAAGCTCCATCGAGCTCCTCATCGGAATCCTCTGAGTCATTAAAGTTGTCAGATTTGACAGAGATATTTGAGGCTGAGGAAGTAGATGCTACTAAGCCCAGCTCTGACGTGGCAGAGGTGACGAGAGGATGTTCGACCAACAAAGCTGCTAAAACGGATGACAAGTCACAGCCTCTCCACCGACCATCCATCATGTGCACAACGGATCGCCCTTTGGAAAGTCCAAAGCCCAGCAGGAGGCAATTGTTCGTGCGGAAGGTGCGCAACGTAGCCCTTCCGATGGCTCTGTTAAAGATTTTGTTAGGTCGACAATTGGCTGAGCGGACAAAACCCGGGTTGGAAATACTGGCAAGAGGCGAGCCACTGAAACCATTGAAGACCGTTCGGGTATGTGTTTGAGGATGAAATGTTTTGATGCCAACTCAGGGGTCTGCATATCTTTATCGTTATTGCTATTTATATTATTTTCATTCTTCCAACCGACGGCCACGGTCAGCATTTGCTGACAGTAAGTGAGTAGGACAATTTCTTATGGAACCCGGTATCGGAGATTATCCTCTCTCCCGGCAGAATAGTCCATATTCGTATTCCGATGTGGTTCACACCATTCTGGTAATGTTGCTCCAGTGATCACGTTTATCAGTGGTTCTGAATCAACATTGCGATATGCTCTGCCACTCAGACATGGCTCGTTGTAAGGCTACTCAGGATGCGCCGCACATCTGCTCGGCTTCTCTGCAATGCCTCATCCACGCCATGAGAATGTTTGAGTTTGACCGCGGCATGCAGCTCCATCACATCGTTGGCTCGTTGAAGGTCTGGGTCGTCACGTGGATCCAGCATTTGTGTCTGATTTTCTATTTTCTCGGCTTTTGCATTTCCAAGGGTCTTGTGCGCATTCACTAAGGCAGATGCTTCATCATGGCCCTGGCATCTCAATCAGTTTTCTAGAGTCTTAACTTCAACCAATTCCACAAATAACGTACACAAACTTGCAAGGATGTCAAATCAGACAATATTTCTGCGACCTGCATCCTGTCGAACCTGAGATATAGACACAATGGATACTAATTTCTTTCCAAGTCTTTATATTTGTCACTGTGTTACAAACAATTGACTGATGATGTTGATATCGTTCCCCTGGTGACGTTTAATCATAGATGACGTTGAGCTGGAAAGTCACGACCCTTGGACTGGAGTTGGGTTCGGCTCTTTCGGAACTTCCAGCCGAGTCTCGGCAAAATGTGAATATTTGCCGAAGCCAGGTCACCGACATCGCACTTGCGGGCGCTATCAGTCCCGATAACCAACTAGTCCGCAACTCGCAATGAGGATGGCGCGAGAGGGTCTGTGACTCTAGGTGTGACTTACGAGTGTAATTTGGTTTCTTTACCCTTAAGCAATCAGGCCTTCAAGTTTACAATTGTAATATTCTGCTGCATTGAGCTTAATCACAATGGCTTCATCCATTCGAAGCAACTGCCGTAAAATCGTCGCCATTGGTCGTAATTACGCGTACGTGATTTCGCATTCAGCTGTTTGCATTATGATCATAAATCGATTGATCAAGTTCAATTGAATCCTTCAACGCCATTGTGCTAATTTAAATCTTCCTCAGAGATCACATCAAGGAGCTGAACAATGCGGCACCAAAACAGCCCTTTTTCTTTTTGAAGCCTCCCAGTTCGATCCTTCTTCCCGGGCAGGGCCCGATATTGCGGCCGTCTGGCGTCAGCCTACACTACGAGGTCGAGTTGGGATTGGTGATGGGCAAGGGTTTGCGGAACCTGGACCCTCAGGACGAAGAGACAGCCCTCAGTTCGATTGGCGGTATGAGATCCCTTTGGACCACCAGTTTCAGAAATTCCTATGCCGCGTGTTGAGCGGTCTGCTTGAACCCAAGCTAAACCAATTTATTAATTAGGTTACCTTGTCAGCATTGATATGACTGCGCGTAATGTGCAAGACGAAGCAAAGAAAAAGGGTCTTCCTTGGTCAATTGCTAAGGGTTTCGACACCTTCCTGCCGGTCAGCTCATACATTCCTAAAGCAAAAATTCCCAACCCGCACAAGGCCGACCTATGGCTGTCTCTCAACGACCAGCTCCGTCAAAATGATAGCACCGAGCTCATGATATTCCGCATCCCGCGCATCTTGAGCGACATTTCTCGCGTCATGTCCTTAGAACCAGGCGACATTGTCCTGACTGGAACACCGAAGGGTGTCGGTGAGGTCAAGACTGGGGACAAGTTGAAGGCCGGCATCCGGGTGGATGGCAAAGACATCAACGAGGGCGCGATAGACGTAACAGTAGCTGACAGCCCAAGTGCTTACAAATTCGGAGAGTGGTAAAAATGAGCGAAGATGTAGATAAATTTATGCCCTTCTTTCTGACTCTTTGATGTGCTCAAAAAAGGACAAGGAGTAGCCAATACATGTAAAACAGTACTTTAAAAAGTACATCATCTCTATATATACAATATATAATGAAATAGAAAAGCCCCGATGCTACCCAATATGGCAATGATGATCATGAATGGATCAAGACAAACGCCTGCGTTCTGCGCCCCAATGTTTTCCTCGCCTTCCCAGTTAATGACTCTTTTGAGTGGCATCAAAAACGACAAATCTATTGTTGCTGACTTCTCTTCTGGTCGCGTTGGTCGACTTCATGAGCCTCTCGCTCCGCGTCAATGGCTTCAGCCGCCTGTTCCTTGGTAGCAGCAATAGCGTCGCGTTTACGGAGGTCTTCCTTCTCATCGATATCCTTGTCGTCCTTTGGAGTTGTGCGTCCAACGCTCGAGTGTTCCTGATTCTGCTCGTTCTCCTCATCAATGAGTTCTTGCTGCTCCTTGAGAACTTCGAGACGTTGTTTGTTTGTAGCTGCGCCCTCAGCAGTATGAACCTCGAGCTCAATCTCGTGGAAGAGTTCCTCAGGGATACTAGACAACACAGACTGCAGAGCATCAATCTGGGATGCCATTTCGGCGTCCTTGCCCTGAGCGTACATGAAAGCATTGCTCAGCACGAGCAAAGTTGATGGGACACCCGATTTAAGGCGAAGGTCAAGCCACATCTGCAGGTCATCCCGGAGACGTCCAGGGCTCAAACCGTGGGTACGAAGGCCACGAGACATGCAGGCATTCTGCAGCTCAGTAACCGAAAGAGACTCGACTCCTTCGTAGGAAATAGCCCGATCGTCGCGCTTAATCTGTCGCATTCTGTGTCTGATTTGGTAGCGGAGCATCATGTCGGTTCCGAAACTGTTAAGATTCATATAACGACACATGGCAACCAGCTGAGGTCGAGAGAGGTTATCAAGCGTAAGGTCGTCCTTGAAGATCTTGCAGACCTTGATAACATCCGCGTGGGTGGGTTGTTCGCCGGTAGCCCGAACCTGCAAGACAAACATTTTTTTAGTTTTACATTTGACTAGGGTCAATTGAACGAAAGCCAGTAGAAGACCAACCTTGCGGAAAAATTCTGTGAACTCGTCGCTCTGAGCGTTAGCAGAGCTAACGGGAAGGCCTGTCTCTTTCAGCGTCTGCCGCAGGAAACTGCTAACTTCCTTTCTAGTCGCCCGTAGATTGGTGACCTTAGCATCCTTGGACTTTTGCCCCTCATAAGTGCTGGGTAAGAGGTTAGGGAAGAGTTTCAAGGCGACAGGGAGCAGCAGCTCCGCAAATGGGACGATGAGAAAGACTGAAAAGGGGACCAGACGGCCTAGATCCTGAACAGTACGTTGTAACTATTTGATCTCAAGTGTCAGTAAAGCCCGTTTAGATAATACTGAACGAGGGACGAACCTGTCTGTTTTCTCGTCTAGTAAGTTCATACCCGGCAGCCATTTTGACCACGAGTTTAGTGCTGATTTTGACCTCGGTTGCAAGCAACTTGGTACCATCCCAATAATGCATCACCTCCTTCTTAATCTTCTGTCCCAATGTCAATTTTTTAGTCTCTTCTTTCTTCGATTCCACCGCCTTCTTCTCTTCTGTCTTCTCTGCAGATGATTTCTCCGCTGCCAGCTCAGTCAAAGTTTTGTCTTCTTCGGCTTTGTTTTTGCCAGGGCCAGATGTGACTTCCCCATCAAGCTGGACATCGTGAGCTTTTTCTCCAGACTTCGCTGCCGCGCCTTCAGATGCTTTCGCATGTTCTCCCTCTTTCTTGGGGGCTTTTTTTGCCTGCTCGGCATTAAAGCCGGGAGGAGGAAATGATGAACCGCCACCAGTCTGCGTTGATGTTTCGGTTGAGTAGCCACGTCGAATCGCAGAAACGGCCATGGCAGACCGCATAATGGATGGGTTTTGGCCCGAAAGGCGGACCAGTGCAGGATGAAAGGTGGACGAGAGAGCCCGCTGGCTCATCGAGACTGACATACTTTTAGCAAACTGGCCATTTGGCACTCTGGAAAACATCCAAATGTGATATGAACTTACCATTGATGAGCGGCCGCCTAATTGAGGCATTGCGTACGAGTCTGGTAGAGGCACTCATAGCGACGTAAGTGATTGAAAGAATGCTAAGGATCTCGCACAAGTAGCGAGTGTGAAAGAATTATGAAAAGCAATAATAGCACAGAATTCTTGGGATAGATGAATGAAAAAAAAAAACCACTATGCGTCTGGTTGGTTCAGAAAGAGTTTCAGAAACGAGAGATGTGTTGTATGGTCGAGGCTTAACGTAAGTAGGGAGCGAGGGAGGCAAGACTTCATCGATTGTCGGCGTTTCGTAACTCCGGAGCGAAACACGTGCAATTTGATACGGCATGGTATAGGATCATTTACGCAATTTGGCAATTGTTGGAGTTTCTTTTCCACGGGTAGTTATATTCCTCTCAACGTCATCAAAAACTTGTACGAGAATTCTAGAGAACAAGTATAAGATGCTGTGAACAAGATATTATTTGTCATAACCTTGAGTTGAGAGAGTACACAACGGCCAGCAAAGGGTTCTGGCAAACGTTGTCCTCTTGACGCTGACGAATCAAATGGTTGCGAAAGTAATGTCTGTGGAATTACACCTTACGACGAGACTAGATGCAGATATAGTTGACATCTTAACATATGTCTGGGCAAATAAATCAATCATTGGATACTCTGCTATGAACGTAGAGCCGCTCCTCCGAGAGCATTTGAATTTCTGCTGTGGTGATAGGAGCGAGGAGTAGTTGAATCAATGCACATGCGTGTATCTGATACTCCCCTTCTCCCGGGTTCCTCGGCCTTCGCACAGCGAATGACCTGAGTACCGGAGAGCGAAAGGCGAGAGTCGTCACGCAACGCCAAAAGCCCCAGCATCCTCGCATGATTGGCTCCATGGACCGGGAGAACATGCATCTTCTCCGCGTGGTAGGAGCGAGGGGAGAACGATCGTAGGCGCAGAGTAAGCTTAGTTGGCTCGTTCCAATCATTTTTACTCTTCTGCCCAGCACTTTGGGAAGGTTGTAACTCGCTCCTGCTTTTACCCCAGCCCTTCCCGGCTCATTCCTCCCCAACATAAATCACGTAGCCTATCTCGTAGAAAGCCTTCCATGCCATACCTGTTATATAATAGCACGAGCCGCAACCGATAGCTTACAACGTCCTACTTTCATCTTTCTCCAGAACCTCATTCTTTTCTTCCATTGTTCTTGATCTTTGTCTTTTGTGGCGTTGGAAATCATCTTTCGTCTTTACCCCACACACACATATATATATACCGAACAATTCTATTGTTGTAGCCTGGTCGGCTCCCTTGTTCTCAACAATATACATTTTCTGCGCGGGCCCGTCCGGCGCGACATTACGCCGCGCCGCCCATGGGGCTCCAGCGGTCTGCACGCATAATTTTGATCGGGGCTCCTGGTGTGGGTAAAGGAACGCAGACAGAGCGTCTGCTTAAACGGTTTCCTCAGATATCTGCCCTCAGCTCCGGTGATCTCCTTCGAGACAATGTCAAGAGGCGAACTCCCCTCGGTAAGCCTTTCTGTGCCGCCGCTTTCCATATGACCTTTTATTCCGGTCGATTGCTTTGTACTTTTGAAGAATTACCGCTAATCAAGTTATTTGTAGGCTTGAAAGTCGAGGAAAATCTGAAAGCTGGAGCGCTCGTCCCAGACAGCCTCATGCTGAATTTGATCGCATCTGAATTATCCAGTCGTAACTGGCTTCCCACAGTCGCATCTAAAGCTGCCGACCACCCATCACGACCCGGCGTTCGTGACTATCACGCCTCTGCGACGGCTCCGACAGAGCCCCCACCATCATTTATCTTGGATGGATTTCCTCGAACGTCTAGCCAGGCAAGCCAATTGGATGAGCTTGTCCCGATTAATTTGGTCGTCAATATATACACACCACCGTCCGTTATAATCAACCGCATCACCGACCGATGGGTGCATGCTCCCTCTGGTAGGGTATATAATACATCATTTCGTGCACCAAAGGTGCCTGGAAAGGACGATATAACCGGTGAACCATTGACGCGCCGGGCGGACGATGATCCGGACACTTGGCAAACACGTCTCAAGAATTTTGAAGAGACAAGCCGCCCGCTGTTGGATTATTATCAGCGCAGAGGGTTGCTGTGGACTGTAGAGGGCCAGAGCAGTGATGAAATCAGTCCAAAATTGTTCGCCGAACTTCTGAAGCGGTTCGGCACACCGCAATGATTCGGGACCTGTATGAATGAAAATTAGACGGAAGGTGCCATAGGCAGTTGCTATATCGGCACTTGCGCACTTAGACCGTTCTTCAAGGCGTTCTTTAGGAGGCCTTGGGATTTCATATCATTGGCCTAGGATTTGATAGGTCTTTTGCAATTGCGCATTTTTGTTATACTGCTCCTTTCTCGAAATGTTTTTTGGTAGCGCTTGCGAATGTTTACGACAAGGCCAGCAGTGGCTCAAACACTCTCTATACACTGTAGTAATAACGAAAGCGTCACGGTGAAACCTTTCCCTGTACGAAGTATTAATAGTTTTTTAACCACTATCACTGCAAGTCAATTCAAAAAAAAATTGAAAGTCATTTGAAAGAAGGAGAAAATATAAAGTTCAATTTGAATCTTTTGTATATTTTATACATGTTCAAACACATGAACAAGAGGCAAAAAATAAAAACAAAATAGATAACGTACAACAGCGGGGATTCGCTGGTCGTCACCGACCCAACTACTAGTCCGCCGATCTGAGGCTTATGTATGGCAGAGCGGACGGGATGCCCAGTTCTCCTCAGTCTATGGTCGTACGTGAAAGAATTTGCTTTAATAGCAGTTTTTATAGCAAAGCAGGGACAAATTAAATGGCCGCCGAATATCAGCTGTCGGGGGTATTGTAGTCAACACGAGATGAAGGAGGCAGTGTCGGCCAGATCGCCAGGGCCCAAACATAAAGTTTCTTTATTAGGTAAAGCGCGGTGGCCACCCGCCCCTCGCGCCCCCCCATGGTGCAGAGCCCCCCTACTCGGGCCGTTACCCCGTCTGTTGCCTCCATTAATCTATCTGCCTACACCGTTACTGCGAACATCCATTCTTGAAAAGTCAACCTCCACGCTGATTGACCTTTCTCAATTCTTTCAATCTTTTTGACTCTTACTCCCTCATTACCAGTCTCTCCTTCTTTTCTTGCCCATCATGGGTAAACTATTCGCCAAAAAGGATGCCGATAACGATTCGGGATCGAGCCGCCGGGGTCTATTCTCTCGCTCAAAGTCAAAGTCGCCTGCCCCTACTCCTGCCCCGGCATGGAATCCATACGCAAATCTGCAAGGCTCCCAGTCAAACCCATACGCTCAGATGCCGCCTGAGGAAAAGCCAGATCCCTATGTTCAGGACGTGAAGCCGGTCAGTTTTGGGCGAGCGCCCGTTGGCCGAGCGTCGTCCACCCCGTCAGTCGGAGGTTACGGAGAACCTGCACCTCCTCCATACCAGGAACATACTCCCTCCTCTGCGATGAATGGAAGTGCCAGTCGATACGGGGCCAACCCCTATGGTGCCACCCAGTCAGGGTACGGTTCGGACAGATATGGCACATCAAACGATGCCGCTGGACCTTCTCGATTGGGTCCCGGTGGTTATGGTGGACTTGGCCGAACGCTCAGCAATGAGACGGCCGCAACGGAGGACAATCGCAATGCTTTGTTCGGGAATGCCAAAGAGCGGTCTCAAGCCCAGCCTCCATCACAGGCACGAAACCCATATGCCGCTCCGTCAGGCAGTGCAGGCGGGTATGGAGGGCTAGGCGATTCGCACGGAGGAGATGAGGGCCGAGCGGCGCTATTTGGCGATGCACAGGAACGAGCCCAGGCTCAAACTTCGAAAACTGACGGATACGGAGGCATTGGCACGGGCGACGATAGCCAAGACTACGGCGCCGGGCGGGAGCTTACAGCCGAGGAATTGGAAGATCAGGATGTGGACGCCACAAAATCAGAAATCCGGTTGATCAAGCAGCAAGACGTGTCAGCTACTCGGAATGCCCTTGCTATCGCGGCCTCGGCGGAGGAGACTGGTCGTGGTACGCTGGCGCGGCTGGCGGGTCAAGGAGATCGAATCCACAATACCGAGAGAAACCTGGACGTTGCGGCCAACTACAACCGAAGAGCTGCAGAGCAAGCTAAAGAGTTGAAGACTCTGAATCGAAGCATGTTTGCGATGCACGTGCAGAACCCGTTTACGAAGAATCAGCGACGACGGGATGAAGAGGAGCGCGTCATCAATGAGCGCAAGGACGAACGTGATGTGCGTGAGGCTACTCGTGCTGCAGCATATGATTCAAAATCCAGTCAGGCCCAGCATGCACGCAGCTTGGAACGCCAAGCTGGATACCAGCGCAGCAAGGGCAAAGCCAGCCTTGCCGAGCGCGCCAAATACCAATTTGAAGCGGACAGCGAAGACGACGCCATGGAAGATGAGATTCATGATAATCTCGACCTCTTATCTCACGCCGTTGGTCGATTGCATACCGTCGCAGGAGCCACTGGTGATGAACTTGATCGGCAGAACAAGGTGCTCGCCAGGAATATCGTCAAGGTAAGTCAATGCCGTGCCATCCCCTTCTTTTCCCAACCCTCCATCTTTTGCGTGTGCTAACATGGCCATTATAGACCGACAGTGTGGACGACCAGATTACTATGAACCACGCTCGCATCAAGCGGATCCATTAATAGTTTATCTGTCATTTGCCCCTTGCCCCTTTTTTTACCTCAAATATTTCAAACTCTGCAGTCCGGTCATTGCTAAAATGAAATTACTGACAAAACCGATCCACATACCCGCCTGATCCACCTCTACGTAACCACTCCTTGTTTACCTGTCCCCCTATCCGTCTTTTCGTACGACTCATAAATGGCGTTTTCGGGCTTTTTTTTTTATTGTTATGTGTTCATTTTCGGTTATTCATATATGTTCATGTTCGTTCATTCATTTCATTTATTTCATTTTTGCTGATCTAATTCATTTCCATCTCTTTTCACAATCTCATCAATCCATTGTCCTTTTTCACGGGTAATACTCTTTTCACCCATAATATCTACTATCTCATCCGCTATATCTATTATCTATTCTCTATGACACTAGGACACGCAGGCCATTGACTGCACCAATCATATCAGAACAACCATTACTTTTTTTGCTGGATTGGAATTTGGAAAGTTGAGATCAAGATTAGATAATGCAATTCCTCTCTCTCTCTCTCTCTCTCTCTCTCTCTCTCTCTCTCTCTCTCTGGGTGTGTGTGTGTGTCTGTCTGTCTGTCTGTCTGTCCGCTTCCTTTCCCTCTCTCAGTCTCTCTTCTTTCCCTCTTAGTCCGCTTCCTTTTCAGTCCTAATATCTAAACCGACGTGATAACAAGCAAACACATAATGTCTTTTTTTTTTTTTTTCAAATAAAGATTAAAATCTCTCTCTCTCTATATATATTATATACGCAGTACCGTGTACGTTCTGGGGCTAGAGCTAGAGCTAGAGCTAGAGCTAGGCCGCTAGATATAATCGGATCAGTCGGGACAGAATCGGCTGAGAATCGGATCGGAATGGACAGGTGTAAAGAAAGAAAGAAAGAAAGGTCTAAAAGGCCTGTACTACGGACATTATACCTACCTACTTACCTCTCTTCCCTCGTTTATGGACCTACCTATTTATTAGGTGCCTTAGATTTTTTTTTTTTTTTTTTTCATCCAGGGAGGGACTAGAGACTCGAGATACGGGGGCTATAAGACACGAACAAGAATAAGAATAAGAACAAGAACGAGGGCCAAGAGACAATAGACAAGGCAGGCCAAGGCAGGACAAGGCAAGACAAATTGAGTCCGGGTCTTCCATGTGACTGTCACTGTCACTGTCCATGCCGCTGTCCCTGGTGACTCAAGGACATAGAGTCAATGTGTTGCGAGCCGTCCCTGGAAAGGGGGTACACATCTCCATCTCTATACATCTGCATGTCTACACATCTACAGGCCGTACAAGTAAAGTGTAAATTTGCAATGCAATACTCTGCACATATATTCCAAACACTCATATCAATCACGACAACTGACAAACAGCCCAATTACTTAACTCAGCATTTCATCTGATACATCATTTCATCTAACACTAGTCAATTGTAAGAAGCAGCAGATGATAATAAGTACAGAGTGATAAAAAGAGTTTTCTATTAGACATACACAGAGTGCAAATATAAGCAATGTATGCAAGTGCTGTTTAAACTTCAAGACCAGATAAAAAACAAGACCAAAAAAAAAAGAAAAAAGAAAAAAGAAAAAGAAAATGTAAAAAAAAAAAAGGAAATATAATCAAAGGTCAAGGAAAAACCATAGATAACCATAGATACACAAGAAACCACAATCCAAAATAGACACATACAATAAAAATATAGAACAAAAAAAGAAACCGAACCAAACCAAACCAAACCAGACCAGATCAGGGATAACAATGATAATGTATTCTATAGTACAATTCAAGTAGACAAGTGTATCGTCCACAAGATATAAAAAAAAAGCTTGAGGTAGATGAAATCCTTGAGCGGCAAGGCGGGCGGGCCGGGCGGGACACGCCAGAATACCTGCACGACTCGATCCCGGCGTCTTTTGGAACCCCGGACAAAAAGAGACAACCGGACGGTGACCTGCATTGTTGAAATGAAAACGAGAAGAAAAAAAATGATGCACTCAACGACGCTGGAGTGGCTGCAGTTGAAATGGGATATACACACACAAAAAAAACAATGCATAAAAGAACAAGATGACCCCTTTACAAGCACGAGACAAAGAACCAAAAGAAAATTCGTAATCGTGAGTGTAAGCACGCTTTCTCTTTCCCTCTTTGAACCTTCTTTCCAAAACCAGTAGTGCTGTCATGTGTGTAATGGACGGAGAGAAAATAAGGATATTGACCATTCCGATAGGGGATTTTCTTCTTTTTTTTTTTTCAAAAACGCCAATAGGAGCAGCAGCGGATGATGGTACATCCTCACATGCATCCTTTCAAGCCATCAACCGGCGCAACGCCGCCAAAAAAAGGACAAAGAGATATAAGAGATGGTCATGTCCATGAATCGGACATGACAATGGAAACGGTTCAAAACTCCTTAACCTCGAAAAGTCCCCATGTTTCGGGAATAGCCTTTGTTTGGCCGCATGCTAGGAAGACGTGACCGCATAAGGCCAATTATGCAAGCGATAAAAAGACAGGGCTTGGAAAAAGCGCATTGAAACAGCTTCTACCAAAAAAGGGGCGGTCCAGCCACCAGAAAACTTTGTAGTGACATCCAGCATCGGTGTAATGTATATCCGGGATTGAACATGCTTCATGACCAACGAAACAAGAATATTTTGGCTTCAACCATGGTTGCGCAAAGTATGACAGACCTTTATAAGAAATAGGAGACAACCTTGAGCCAGGGGAACAAAAGGCTCCTCTCGACTTATTCGGGGGAAGGTCGGTGGTCCCGGGCTCCAGAGTGCACCTTGCGATGGCGTCGGAGGTTGGAGACGACAGAAAAGTGGCGTCCGCAGCCTTCAACTTCGCAGCAGAATGCTATTTTCATCTCAATTAGAATGGGGCTCGTCATAGTGGACAATTCAGCAATGAGCAGCACTTACGCTTTTCGCCAGTATGACTGTACATGTGCGTTTGCAACGAGCTGGGTCTGGTGAACCGCTTGTCGCAGATCTTGCACTTGTGCTTCTTCTGAGAGCTCGAAGCTACTTTGGAGCTAAATTGGGTCATCATCGACTGTGGTGCTGGAGGCACGGCCACGTTGCTTCCGACCAAGCCAGAAGGACGAGGAAGGGTTCGCGAGGAGAGGGGCTCCAACGGGTCCGAAGTCGAGCTGTAGTCGGTCACAGACGAGTCGACGGAACCATAGTACGAAGGATATGTGCTCGCCGAGGAGATGGAGGAGCTGGGAGAGTGACTGGGAAAGCCATACGAGTCATTCGAGCCGCGGCCAGCGCGAGGACCATAGATGTTTCTCGGCGTGATATCTTGGCTCATGGCAACCATGCCGCGACCCGCGTCGAGGGCGTCACTGAACGTGCTCCGCGGGGGCTGTTGCGATGAGGATGTGGTGCCTCTGTCATTAAAGTCAACCAAGGAGCTCTGTCGTTGACGGTATGGGCCAGCAGGAGCTCCCAAAAAGGTGCTAGAAGGGACTGACGGTTGTGATAAGCGGCGAGAGTGATCCTGATATTGATTCGGTTGCGGTGCGGTCGGGTAGTGTGCCTTTGTGTAGTCCATCTGAGCAAAGGGCTCAGTGGGGTTTGGTGCATAGGCATGCGAAGTGGATGAGGGCTCGGTCGAGTAAGTCGGTTGAGCGGCATATGAGCGAGGTGCATTCAGGAGATCTTGCGAGATGCCTTGGAGGTCGGGCTGGGCGTACGAGGCCATGGACAGACCGTTGCCGGCAGTGGCACCCAGGGTCGTTGGGGCGGTGACGGGGACGGAGCTATAAGGCATGGAGGCATTGTGAGTGCGGGCAGCCTGCTGCTTTGCAATGGCATCCAAGCCAAGGTTGGCTGAACCTAATGATGTCGGAAAATAGTGGCTCGAGGAGTTGGCAGCGGTTGTGGCGGTGGCCCATGGGTTTGTAAAATGAGGAGCGCCAGAGTATGCGAGGTTGTCGAAACCAAAGGACCCAAGAGTCCGATGTTGACTATCCACAGCCATGGTCATCTTGGTCAGCAGATGGAAAGGGGGATTTGGTTATTTTGTTGCGTTTGGTGGGGACCTTGTGTCTTCTTCGAAGCCAGGTCGTAGAAGTGTGGTCGGTATAGGGCGAAAAATGCTCAAGTCAGCGGTGGGAATTGAGACGAGAGGAGCAAAGGTGGGTGGTCAAAGTCGTATTGAACGTTGCGCAGACAAATCCGCATTCGAAACGCCCTTGAGGTGTGATGTGCCTGTCAAGCACGATATTGACCAACTAGATCGTTGGGTTTTATGCGAATTGCCCTTGCAGAGAGTGCCACCGACTAGATGGTCGTTCTCCCGTCAAGAGAAGGGTGATGGGATAAATGCCAACGAAACTGTGTCAGGCTGGGTTCACCGAGTTGGCCCACTTCTAGAGATGATCGACAGTGTTTGCGAATTCCAGAGGGGGAAGATGAGAGAGTAGATGAGCTGGGCAGAAGTGATCCTCGCTCGTTGCGATTTCTGAGTGGACACAGAAGACGATCTTTTTTAAACGCTGGGTAATGATGGCGGGTATAAGAGGGGCGGGTTTTGTGTCCACGTCGTCAAAAGAAAAAATGGGAATTTGGGTTGCCACGGAAAGGTGAGTGGTAGAGAGTGTCCAAAAAGCAAGTAACTGGCAGTTTGGAGCTTGATGGGTAGATAAGCGGGTGAGATGGAGATTAAAGTTTGCTTCCCTGAGAGCTGGGAGAAGACCAGAATAATAATCTGAAGGGGGAGCAAAAAGTCTAGAGAAGGGGGAGGGATGAGCAGGGCGCCGCGTCAGTAATGAATGGTCAAGCTAATGACGAGACGACAGGGAAGTTGAGTAGATTGAAGAGCGCGGGCAAGATGGAGAGATCCGGGGGGGGTTGCAGGGAAGACGATGAGGAGGAGGAGGAGCAGGAGAGGAGAGAGCAGGAGGTGTGTGCGGATAATAGTGGGAAAAATAATACACCGGAGTGACGAGTGACGGAATTGATTTTTGGAAAAGTGACGGATGACGGATGACGGATGGCGGGATGACGAAGGAGGATGAGGAGGGGAATGAATGAATGTATGAATGAATGGGGGTCGCCCCAAAGGAAAAGCGAAAGGGAAGGAGAAAAAGGGTTTGGGTTGGCTGTTTCTGTCGAACAAACGACCACGACGGATTGGAAAAAAATGGGATTTCCGGCACCGGACTGGACTGGCTCGTAACCAAGTGGAGGGACGATACCCATCGCACCATACGTAGTAGCTCCTCCTGGGGCAAACAACGAGGTGGGGACTCCAAATGCAAATGGAAGACGAGATGCGCACTGCATTCTGTAAACAAAAATTACGATTTCGGGACCTTTCTACGAATACAAAACGGGAGATGTTGGAAAGCTCTCAGCTCGCATTAAACACCTTAGTATTGGTGGTTTGCCATCATCTACTCCTACTATAACTCATATGAAAAGAATTATGCAAACCAATCAGTGAGGACCCGCGCAGTGAAAAGAAACAACGGAGAGGACAGTCCTGCGTCAGAGGTGGGTGACACGGGACAACTAGACAAGTGAAAATAAGAGACGATGATGTTGGCGATGGTAGTAGTGGAGGTGACAATAATAATAATGATGATGATGATGATGATGATGGTGGTGGTGGTGGTGTTGTTGGTTGGTTGGTTGCGGGTGATGGGAGAATCTGGTGAGGGAAAAAAGAGCCGACGTCGTTGACGACGAGGAATGGGGGCAGAAAGCAAGCTGAAGGTTTGTGTGCGAGTGAGGACAGAAAGTAATGTGAACGAGAAAGAGGAGAGAGAAGAGAACAGAGAGCAAGCACAGAATTGAGTTGAGCAAAAGGTGGATAATTTTTTGTGGGACGGGCATCCCGGGACCATCGACGTCAAATTGAGGGTCTTAGCGGGAAAGTTGGCGGGCGCCACCAAAAAAGCCACCTGCCGAGTGGGAAAAGGGTGCTGATGACGACGATGACGACGATGACGATGGTTGAATGTGGGTGTGGGTGGGTAGGCGGTGGCATCTCCCGTTTGGGTGGAGAGAGAGGGAGAGACAGAGAAAAGGGAAAGAGACCTCTCTTCCCTCGTTCTTGACTTGTCTCGCTAGTTACCTCCAGTTTAGCCTGCCCAGTGATAATGGCACTAATGAGGGGATCCAACCACCTAAAACGGAGCCCACTAAGCTAAAAGCGCCCTTTTGTGCCCATACCACTTGCAGTGGATCCTCCGTTCTTTAACTATCTAAGGTACCTACTAGTAATGAAAGGCTCCTAGTATTCCGTACTCCGTAGTCATCAAGCACTCCGATAAGTCGTCCCTTCTTCTCGGTAGCAACCACAACAAAAAACAAAACGAAGATGAAAATTGTCCCTTTATTGCTGACCTATTGCACGACCCTGTTCAGAAAAGAATACAGTGCTGACGAGCAGCTGATCACAGGGCTCATGATTGAACACTTAACTTCCTCTGTGTGAATTTCCTATGCAAGCCAATTCATGTTCGAGTCCAACTGTAGCCGCCCTTTTTGCTCGGCGGCTTGTGCCGTCCTCATCATTATTGCATTGCTGAATCTTCACCATCCATGTCAAGAAAAGAAAGGCTAACTAACCCGTCCCTGTCATCCGCGCTACAGGTGCCATCCCGGACCCTAGCAATTTATTTTCTTTTTCCGTGGCCCATTTTGGTCAGATCTGATGAAGCGCCGATATTTTTCCCGCCGTGCCCTGCGTACTACTGAGTACTCCCGATATAATCTTCTGGATACTCTAGTTCTGTAGCTTACATTTCGCCTTCATCTTAAAATCCCTATCATCATTGATAGGAAAGTTTTTTTTCACTCTCTCTGTGTTTCGCACCTACGCTAGGAGCATGCGCACGTGCATATACCTTAGGTACATTACAGTGGTGGCAATGAACCTCCCGAGAGGAAGCACTCTTTTCTCTTCCTTTTTCTTGGACTCTTGATTGCTCCTACCCTTCGTAGCAAAGTACCGTATACCGAACTGTACATTTCCTACTGAAGCCGCCCTCGCAGTTGTCAACACAACTCTACGGCCCGTTTGTCTGTGGGGAAGTCAAGGGGTGATGGTGGGTGACAAAAACATGGCGACAAGAGCAAGCCCGCCAGTTGGACGGGCGCTTTTCTCCTCAGTCATTCCAATGAGATCCACCAGCTAAGATCCTGCCGTTGCCCCCCTCCCCCCTTTTATCCCTACTCCGTAGGCCCTAAAGCATCCGCGCCGCGGCGCTTGCAGGGCCCGTGGAGCGGAACCAGCGTTCAAGTTTCTTGGGAATATTGGTCACCACGAAGCCGATTCTCATCACCGCGTGGGGGTTTTCCAAGCTTCTTCTCGACATGGGACAGGCTCTCTCAATAATGGGGCCCCTGACACATCTCAAAAGCACAAGCAAGTAATCTAGTGGGCCCTTCAGGGGCTCTCCCTCTACCGTCACCCTTTGTCTGCTCTGTGGTTTCGTACCTGCTTTGGGCCCGACCGTAGCAGCTTAGCTAAAGGTTGTTGACTGGATTCGCGTTATTTGTCTCCGCGTGGATCATCTCCCGTGCACTATTATACTGATCCACGAGCTGCTTCTGCTTCTAATGGACCGACTGCCTTGTGCAACCCACCGGGTCAACTTTGACTGGGGCAAGAAAAGAGACAGATTCAAATGCTTACCATTCTCCTGGGCCATCGCCGTAACGAATAGCCCTCGGGGCGGGTGTCTCCTTGTGCAAAACTTCGCCTTTTTTTCTCTCTCCCCCCAACCATTCCGTAGTATACGAGAGACGCGTCGCTGAAATAGAAAGAAAGAGGGTATTTCTTTTCGGAGCCCACAAGGAGCCAATCAATCAAGCAGGTCTAAGGAGGACCTTCTTCGCTCTAAGAGAGGTAGCAATATCCCGAACCAAGATGAGCAGCATGTCCGAAGGCATGGCGCACCTTTCCAGATGAGGCTACATACAGTTTCAACGTTTTCGTTGCTCCATTTTCCATTTTTCTCCTCCAAAAGACATTTATCGTTCTTTTAGGACTGGCTTGTCGTCGTAACCAAAGTCTTGGCATTTCCCATGCTGTCCTGTGTCCAAAAGAACTTCTGTCTGTACGCATGCGTCCCTTGATGCCGCGAGCCAGGGGTCGTCGCTGCACAGAGCTCGACCAGGCAGATTGCTCACGCTAGTACCAGTCTCTGACGCTGGCGGCTCGCTACCTTTGGCGCCGCTTTGGTTGGCCATCGTCTCTGACCAGCGTTCAAGACCCTCTCGGCCTCACTGGGGCTCAATTATTTCCCTCTGAGCTCTGAGCCTGCCAACTATTCCATATAATCATTACAGTCTTTGCTCTCAACACATCTCCTAGGCGGATCGCGTGTAAGGAATTAGCACAAGTTCTCATTCAATTCCAACCCTCCTATTCATCCAACCAACCCCCTTTTCTTTAAGCATTCGGCGGCTTACCCTTTCTTGCTCGAGCAGAATATTACTACGTTACGCCCGAAATTTTTAACTCTGTCGAGCATGGTAAATCAGTTAGTTTGGATTTGGCCAAATGGATGCTAAAAGCTCGTGCTGGCTTTCTGTTTGTCAACCTCCGTACAGAGATACTGTCAAGCTTATGCGGTAACGCATTCCTCGATAACGACACAACTGTATACCGTGTCGAAAGGGCCATCGTCATCTATACCTCCACCCTAAGCTATGAGGTCTGCGTAAGATTCTCAATTGGAGCAGCAGCTTCATTTGCCACAGCACGAGAAATGTCGACGTAGCGTTGGGTGGCATTCTTGCTTCAAATGTCGTCATAGGAGGGTCAAATCCATGATGGGCCTCACTGTTCTCAGTCGATCAAGCCGCTGTTGAATCGATTCTGGATGCTCTCAGCAAAAGAGCACTGATGCCAACTTGACCTAACATCGGCCACGCAAAGCTTGTGCATACATTGTCACTGCCAAGACGAGCCGTTAGCCTTCGGGGGCACGCTTGGGTAGAGCTTGGTCAAGACCCAATCTCACTTGAATCCCAAAACTGCCGCATCGCCGTCCATGATCGTCGTCCCCTACCCGCTGCAAAGCCGTGTTTAACATGCAAATCAGGGTTGCATATAAATGTACGGAGTATGCGGAGCGATAAGTATGCTCCTCTCCCTATGCATGCAAAGACCTTAAGATCAAGCACCCCCCATCAAGATGATGTTTGCGCGTCATGTAAATTCCCGTGGTTTCAAATTGAGTCGAAACAGGATGCAGAAACACAATCCCCCAGAGAGCGCCCTGCATAGCGTGTCCGGAAGCATTGGTTAGAGAGGACGTGAAAGCGGTATCCAAATCTTAGTCCACAAACCAACGCACCCGTAGAATGCGACCGGAGTTACAGAGTGCTTCGGTCTCAATTATCGCAGATTATCTAGTGAGAAAGGACGGTTCAAATCTCAATTGGCTTTGCCCGTCCCTTTGGGCGGGCCCTTTCCTCCATCAGTATCATCATTTTGGTGCCGGGCTTGACAAGTGACCTAGCGATATCTTGCGCGTTATTCAACGGCAATTGAACTGAATTAGCTGCTCTCTGTACAATCTCCATAGCTCAACACGTTCATGGGAGGTAACGATACATGTCTTCTCCGTCAAAGACAGTTTTCCAAGACGACGAGGCCTGGGAAGCGTCCCGGGACTCCGAAAACCTTGTCACGTAGTTTGGTAAAAAGCAAATATATGTCATCGTGCAGATAGAGCTAGCGCTATCAGGACACTACCAAAGCGCTAGCCCCTCCGGGCGTCTCTCTTGTAAGTGGCTTTAGCAGCTCCAAGACGCAAGATCAGTGTACGAAGTACCACGCAGGTATTCCCTACTAACCGGAGCATGAAAAGCCCTCCGCACGCCTTCAAGCTAAGGTAAGTCGCTCAAAACCTGTCCACGAGCCTTCTTCCCAACCATCACTTGCAGTCAATTGTTCAGCCAACCCGCTCAATGTGGTCAAAGTGCAGCTCCCTACACCACTATTGTGACTGCAGCTAGGTGAAAGAGCGCCACTACCGTCGGCTTAACATGGTAAACTACTGTAATGTTAAGGGGAAATGGTGTTGCTCCGTATAGACTTGCCGGAGAGAGATTGCACGGACCCAGAACTGCACCACTCAAGAAGTCTCTTTTTTGACGGACTGTTTCTCTTTTCGATAACGCAGGTTAAGTGCCGCATCTTGGCATGCGCTCAGGCCGCCCAAGGTACAATTTTGCTTCGCGTCCCGGCCGATGCCATTAGCAACTATTTGGTTACGAAGTGCAAGACCAGATATCCGGTGGCTAAAAAGGAGGCGTGAAAAAAAACAACCAAGAGTTTTCAGACCGCTTCAAACTTTGCTTGAGCCTTGGACCCTTTGAACCAAGCATACGGAGATGGAATGCTCCACTTGAGGCGCTTTGGATGCCCGCAAGCCCACAAATGTCCCACAGTGGGAAGCTCTGCTGTTCCAGTTTATTTGTGCTAACCTTTAGTGCACGCTGTAGACGGGAGGAGCTGACGAGGCGACGGCCACTTGGTTCCATGCAACGTTTTGGACCCTGAAAATCGAGGTTGATCAATAATAGTAGAGCCCAGGAGCTTGCGTTGCCTGCCGAATGAAGCAGCATATTCTCGTAGCGAGCACGTGATTCGTCCCGTCCCTTCCTCTTTCGTCGCCTGATTTCCCTTTTGAGCCTGGCATACAATCGCCTCGGTATTTTCGGGCCGCTCACGTGAGCGTTATTGTATACGACGAGTTCACAGTGCATCAACCTTTTCGAATTACGAATGGAATGGCACAAACTGAGTGCTCCTCACTTTGATGTACTCGTGATATGGCGTTTCGGTGCTCTTGTCTGGGAGTAATGCTCCAGACCGGGTACATTGATGAATATTGCAGCAATGCAATAATACAATACAAGTAATGAATTTTGAAGTTTATATGGCGAGTTAACTAGTTATCAAAAAAAAAAAAAAAAAAAAAAAAAAAGGAAAAAACTATTTGTTAAGTAATAAATTCATTCGACAAAACGTATTCATCATTTCCCTTGGTTTATTATAAAATATGGCTCAACCCATGTCTCAGTCATCGTGCTAGAACAGTGTTGATTTTTCCCATTGTTCCTTCCTCTATTGGAAATGTGACGATGTCCTAAGCTCCTTCTTAATCGGGCTCTCTCCTACAAGAGAAGCTGGGACAATCCTCGTGTTTTCCCTTTATACTACTAGTAGCTCTCTTAGAAAACTCATCAGTCTTGCCAGATCTCTGTTTTTCGTCTTCTGGGGAGACCATTTCATTCTTGATTTCAATTATTTGAAGCATATATAGGCAAAGGTTCCATTATTGAGAACCGGGAAAGCTGCGAGGAGATATCGTCGAGGCCAAAACACCCTCGCCATCGTATGTGCGGAAGAATGGCCCCTCCATAGCTAAGCTCTCAGTCCGTCCCTCCCAGCTGCTCAGAAAGTTCAATGTTACGCGTCCCCAGTGACCAGGGTCCAGGCTTCTAGCCGTGCTCACCTGGCCTTATAGAAAACACATATACCTGAGTTCAGGACTATTCGATGACATGTCACTTATGCTAATGATCATCTTGCAGACAGAAATTGTCAAGGACGGCAAACCTACTTGCTCAGCAATACGTGCTATAGCCGTTCAGCTGTGACAGTTTTATTCGGCAGTTGCAGAACTCGATGACGATGACTCCTTGGAGGATCTCTGTCTCGTTTTGAGCCAAAGCAGAAATAAATGCTGGACGCCCGAGTAAATTCGGTGACCATTCAATGTATACCAAATAATCTGCCTATTCTTTAAAAACCATGCGGCCCAAAGGTTAATAATGGCAGAGGCCCAACTTGCTTTCGCCAGTAAGATCCAGGACTTCGCAAGCAGGCAACTGCTCATTTAGAACCCTGATTTATATCAAGTCTCTTATATCAAAGAGCTCTCTGACAAGTCCCCTTGATGGCGAACCTGGAGTCATACACTGTGCACCATGGAAGGTCAGCAACTTTCCCGTTATAGAATTTCGAGACTCCATTGTCGAATGTGGCAAGAAATTACCAAAGAATATACATCCGGCTGTCTGGTGGTCAGTGCAACAACTCCTTTCAAGGCTCGCATTCAGACTTACAATTCCATAAACGAATACGGAAGATTACAGCATCAGTATAAAAATCGCATAATTCCGCGAAAAAGGAAAGGCGTCGATGACGCACCGTTGGTGTGGATATCATCAACACCTACCAGAGAATCCATTACAACTGTTGCCAGTTTTTATCTGAAAGTGTTCCAGGCCTTATGGTCGTTCAATCCTCAATTTTCATTATAACCGGAGAGGTACCGCACTGGGTATCCGAAGAAAATGCAAAGAGAAAAACAATCTGACACAACTGAAATTTGGATTCTTTTTTCTTAATAGCCGCAAAGAGCGGTAGAGACTTAGAGGAGCAGCGACGGTCGCTTTTCAGCTCTACCGGTCTTATTCTTTTTTCTCAAGATACCTTTCGGCCAGTGATTCGTGCGGCTTTGATAAACTGCTCCTGGAATTGCATAGACATTTTCAAATAGACGAAGGGAATCTCAACTTCTCCAGGAAAGGGTATCCTATTCCAACCAGTCTATGAAGCTCATAAAATTACACCTCAACTAGGCATTTGGAGTTGGTCGGTTATTTTGGGAGTTAACGGAAAAATTGGCTGCTCGATTATTTTTCTGGTAGCGAGCAACTTCGCCGTTGGGCATTTCCTCTCAGAGAGTGCCAGGGGCCCCTCGATATAGCCGTTCCTTATAGGAGCAGCCATTATCGGGAGCGCGGTCCCCTGGCGGCTCTGGAGGAGATACGCAATGGCGAAGTTCTCGAGAAGAAAGCCAATTAAGGGTATCGAGGGAAGCGAAGTCAAGCACGGTGGATTTGCTTGCTTTTTTCTTTTTTCTTTTCAAGTCATTGTTATATAAATGGGACTCGGACTCGTTGTGGGCGGAAATGAGCTAGGATCTGATACTGAATTTTCCCGGCAACCTGTTGCCGTCAAACCTCAAAGCAATTATTGATTTCAACTTCTGTGGCCCCTGTGGTTGCTGCATAGGCGATGATGTTGGACTTTGGAAAATCCTGGAGGGCTAGTTGAATCATTGATATTTTGGCTTCGCAGTCATCTCTTTCCAGAGCTTGTTGTGAGCCAGAAGAGACTGCATATTTCTTTTGTTGAATCGTTTCCATGTTTCCAACTCAGTTCGTGGTATTAAGAGATGACGCGGATTGAACGTTGTTCACTTTCACATGTCATTTCCCCGTAGGCATTACCGGATGGAGCTTCACGTATATATTCAGTTGTCTTGGCATTAATTGTTGTCTTTTGTTACTACATCTCTTACTCTCTCATTGACCGTTTGAAGGCTACATGGTACATACTCTTATCAAAAAAGGAAGAAAGGGGAAACAAGTAATAATGAAAGATAAAAAAGATAATAAACCGGAAAGTATCCGAAAACAGCTACAAACAGTGGGGAAAATTAAACGCCATACCCGAGAACCCGAGAACCCCTTTAGAAAAAGAAAATAATTGCAATCTTTTTTCCCCCGCTCCTCCCAAGCCAAGCAGATGATTCGCAAAGTGCAATCAAATGATGATTCCTAGTTCGTGCCGCGCTAATTTGTCGTCATCGAAAGTCGGATAGTAAGGAACCATGGAATCCGCGCCCTGTACATAAGCATCATTGTAGAGACGCCAGTATGGCTGGCGGACTTTGCGAGCAGGGTGGAAAAGGCCTGCCCAGACGTAGTTGAGAACCAGCCCAGAGCCGACTGCCATACGGATAGCCTCGATGGCTTCAATGATACGGTCGATGACGTGAGGGCTCGTTTCGAACAGATTGGGATAGAGCAGGTTGAGCAGGTGGACCATGGCGTCTTCGCAGCCTAGACCGACAACACCGAGCGCAACATGCTTGACCACAGAGGCGGCCGTCTGGCGGTGGACTTGGTCTCGGTCGATAAGGGCGTCCTCGAGCAAGGGAGTGACTGCGTAGACGTAGTCCTTGGCCATTTCGCCGATATATTCGAAGAGGAAAGAGAGTGATTTCAACACTCCGTTCTGGACGTTGAGTTCGGGAACACGGTACTCGTTCATCAGGGCCGGTAGGACAGTAAATGGCGCGCAAGTTTCTGCGACAATACCGATGGCCACGGCCGTGCAGACACGCGACTGACGTTCCTGGACTCGCAGGTTGTTCAGTAGCGTGGCGAGGACATCTTGCGGACCGATAGCTTTGGCAATGAAGCCAAAGGTGTTGTTGGCTGCACGACGAATGCCCTTCTTGTGAGCCTTGAGCATGTCGAGAAGCTCGAAGCAGATTCTCATCCATTCTCTCGCATTAACACTTTCGGGTCCGCGGTCGGCAATACGACCCACAAGATCGATGGTGTTCTCTTGGACCTTCTCGTGACGGTTTCGTAAAATGGGTGTCAGTCTGGGCAAGAGGTCCTTGATTGGCGGCTGCATGGAATTGATACCAACAACGGTGACAATGGATCGAAGAGCACCGAGGATAGATCCAAGGACTTCGGGATATTCTTCTCCGAGATATTCGTAGAGAACGATACCCAGTTTTCCCATGAGAGCGTCCTCGCCGCACTGCTTCATGACCATGGCAATACGAGAGATGAGGTCGGCTGCTTGCTGTCGCACAGTAGCTGACTTGTTGTTCAGCCGCCAGAGAATCGTACTGACAATTTGTGGGAGGTAAGGCTTGCATCGCGTTCCAAGTGCGTTGACAACGGTGCCGAAACCGTTCAACATGACAATGTCCTCGACGCTTTGCTCCTGGAAAGCGTGCAGTATACCGTCAATGAGACGCTCTTCCAGTCTCTCGCCAATATCAGCGGCGCCCAAACTGGCGACGACCTTCTCGACAGTCTCTACTGTCATTTTGCGATATGCTTCGCTTTCGTCTTTCAGGTTATTCACGATTCTCTCGATGATCTCTCCGACTCCGACCTTTTGGCCCAGGTCAACTGTGGTCTCAACTACCTGACGATAGTTGCGTTTGTCTAGGGCCATCCTCCGTACCCAGAAGCTCTTGAAGAATTCCTGCAGGACATTTTCTTTCAAGTAGCCAGCTGTGACACCGTCGGTGCTGGCACACTGCGAGACCACCTTAAGGACAACCTTCTTCATTTCCTCATCAGGTGACGAAAACTCTCGAAGAAGAATCTCCATGATTTGGCTAGTGTAGTAGTTGGCATATTCTTCGTCCATGAGAGGAATAATATATCCAACCGCTTTGAGGAAACCAGCGAGACCCTTTCCTCGTTGCTTCCGAGCACCGGTCCATAGAGGGTTCAGAATATCATCAAAGCTCTCAATACCGTATGGATTCGCAGCTTCAGCAAGTGCAGCAATAGCCAAACTGGTGACAGTGCGAACTTTAGCTTGCTCATCATTCAAATTATCCCCAATGCAGTCTACCAAGCCCTTCAGATGTGGAAGAATGGCACAACCCATCAAGATTGGGATCTGCTGCACAATCTTGACACCCGTGTGACGAGCTTGCCAGGACTTTTTGCTCCTACAGACGGCCCGTAGGAATGGCAGCAAAGCCGGAATTCCCAGAGCAGAAGCGACTACGGCGAAAGCACGCGCAGTTGTGTTCCGAACATATTCGTCGACATGGTCAATATCGGGACGCATCGTACTAATCATGTGTGCGAGACCGGCGGCTTTACTCAAATTGGAGATAATTTCGCGTCCTTCAACACGGGCGTAGTAGTCTTGGTCGATAAGGAGAGGCTCGATAACGACGAGAATTTTATGGACATATGGCCGGACTAGATCATCGAGCTTGTAAAGAATACGGTCAATGACTTTGACAAGCAAATGCCGTTCTTGGTCCTCCAGGGTCTTCTCCATAAGTAATGGCAAAATTTGGTTGAAGAGCGGACCAGCACCGAATTGGCGAGCATTGTCTGTAAGTTGACGCAACGCAGTCTTTCGCATAGGTGGTGTTCCATTCTTGACCTTGAGAAGTAATCGCATAATCTTGCGTTCCTTCAATTCGTCCACAGACAAGGAATTCTCATCAGCACCATCTACCAACTTTGCAAAGTAAGTCATGTCCTCGGCCTTGAAGAATTGCAGGTCTCCGACTCCAGGAATGTCCGTCGGCATCTGCTTTCCAAGCATGCGGGCACTTTCAGGCTCCTGCATCATGAAGCCGCCCAAGCCACCCGCACCACCCATGGGAGCAGGAGTGCTCATAAGCTTTCTAGCAGGGGTACGAATAGGCTCATAGCCAGGCGGGGGATCGAGTATCTTGTAGCCCTCAGAAGGAAGCATCAGGTCAAGTTCCTCATCAGAAAGTGGCGCGTTACGAGAGGATATATCGGTTCCAAAAGCAGTGGGGAGCATTGGAGCACCGCCCGCTTGAGAGGGATGCATTGGGGTGGCAAGCCCTTGATTGCCAACGGGCGTTGCGCCGGTAAGAGTTGGAGCCTGGTCCCATCGCGAACGTCGCTTGGGGCCCTCCTCTGCGCCGGGAACCGGAGTTTGATCCCATCGTGATCGTTTTGGTTTTTCTTCCGTTGCACCGGCGGCATCCGCGGAAGGCGTCTCTGAGCTAACGTCCCACCTCTGCTTTCGCTTTCTGCTCGTCGCCACAGAGACTGTCGATCCGGCTTCATTGTTCTCTTTATCGCTCGTGTCTTCTTTTTTCAAAGTAGCTTCATGGTGGACAACGTCATCCTCTCCCTTCGCTTGCTTGTCTGAAATTAATCTTCGGACTCGCTCCTCCTCCTTTTCCAGCTCCCTAGCGGCCATGACCTCTCGATAGCTCTGGCCTTCAGCTTCAACGCCAGCTTGGCTATTAGCCGCAAACGGGTCCGCGCGAGTGGGTGTGAGAGCACCGCGATTAAAGCGTCGCTTTTGATAATCAGTCTCGCGATCTGCAATGGCGGCCTTCTTCTCCCGTCCGAGAAGAATATCTTCCTCCTCTACTCCAGCGCCAGAGGAAAACTCGTTCATTTGGTCGCGCGATGCCGTATACTGTCCCACGAGTCGTCTGGTGTTATCGTCGCCATCTTCCATATCCTCATCATCACCATCGGCCGCGATTGAAGTATTATAGCCCGCATATTTGTCAACGCCTTCGCGCTCGTAGAGGTCGTTATCGAAGCTCTCAGTCAAGGATGCCTTGGTCGACACGTCAGTGCGCTGGTTGGAAGCATCGAAGGTCTTTGAACCTTTCGTCCCGCCAGCCAAAGCATTGCGCTCTGCCTGCAGGCGCCTGATGGTTTCAAAATCGGCTATAAGAGAAGGTGTTGGTAAGTAAATCCCTTGATATAGACAGCTTTTTGCCTTACCGTCAGACATGGTGTTATCTGCTATCGCTGAAGTTCAAATTCTGCTCTCACAAACAACGAGGCGAAACCGCGGCGAATACGCGTCTGCGCTACATGCAGAAGCAATTTGTTTGCTGTTGAAGGTACGAAGCTCAAGTCCGAGGTGAGCGGCGAATCTCGTGTGAAGCTAGATCATCAGATGTCTGAGGGGGAAGGAGAATTTCCAGATGAGGCGAGTCGAGATATATCGTTACGTAAGCGGAGATGGTGTTGCATCTCTCTTACGGGCAATAAATGTTGCATGAAAATTTGCCCGAGATATTCGATGTTTCAATCCTAGACTTTCTGCCCCACTTGTTGTGGCTCGCTGTGCACCTAGGTAGCTTAAGAAGTGCACGTTGTATTTTGACAGATTATCCATTCTATATGAAGCTTGGATTGCAATTATGCATAGTGATTTATTTTTGGAGAAATTCGGACTTTACTGAAGAAATCACCAAGTATGTCGGCCTCTCAAAAAGCGGCTATATTGTGGCTTTTATCCTAGGCCAATGATACTGCACGATTATCAGCTGAGATGATAGAGCTGAGTTACCGCATCTTCCACTGTTTAATTCACCATGCGGACGCTTCTCAGAACCAAGACGATGTCAATGAAATTTGAGATATGAGGATGGCTAGTTTAAATACAGCCCAAGTTGATGAAAGAGGTATTTCTAGACATCTTCAATTCGCAAAGATAATAATTTTGAAGTTAGTGGCCGAGTGCCAAGAGTGATGTGGAAAGCATAAATAATGCCCAGCGCTATGCGCCAGACAGTCGAGGTGCAGCACCAGTAACTGCAGCTGCCAAGCCACTTGAGCAGCTGAAGAATATGCGATATTGGCTTAGTTAGTTATACCTAAAGTTGCTCCATCCTTCAGCCGAACAGCCAAAAATGAGGTCGAGTTAGAATCTTCTAAGATCCAGAAAGCGCCTTCTTATATCGTCCCCAACTAAGCTAAAGGAGTCCCCAGCCCTTACAGCTCCGCAGATGTTTAACTTCCTATCGAGTTAGTAGCTCACAGAGCACGACGAAGTCTATAACTAAACTGCTAAGGCTATGACTCAGCTTACCAACGTTTTGAACCCCATGCGCAGCTGAGTCGCGCATTCCGCGGCAGACCCCAGTTTTGAAAAAGGTTTCAGCCTCCTTAGCGTCGCCTGATGGCTTGACAATTTATATATTGCACTAAATGTAAAAGATGAGGAGAGAATTACTCTGCGCAGATATCCTCGGGCTTAGAAAATCGGCAGCTCATTTAAATTCAGCATGATTTCTCCCTCACGATTCATATAAATTTAAGGGGAAATAACTAACAGCAGCCTCACCTCGCATAGTTCTTAGCTTTCTGAGTCTCGCAAGCATGATTGTTGACGATAAGCCAGCTACTGAAATATGCCAGCCAATTGTTGATTCCAGAATCAAAGAGCTGAGATCGTGTTTGAAATCCTCGAATCTGGTAACCCCAGGCTGCTCGGCCTACGGAAACAGTATTCAGCGCTGGGCCAAATCCAGTGAAAAGAGAGCAGTTCGTTACCCTTTATCTGGCATGTTGACATATGAATTTATCATTAATAAAAATTGGGCAGGGTTGTATCGTGTATGCCGAATCGGCCGAAGATGTTTCTGCAACTGTCCTGTTTGCTCGGAAGCATAACCTGGACTTAGCAGTCAAAGGCGGCGGTCATTCAACAAGTGGAAGTTCTTCCACTGAAGGCGGAATTGTCATTGATCTTTCCAGGATGAGCCAAGTCCAGGTCTTTCCAGAGTCCAAGCAAATTGCCATTCAAGGAGGCGCCCTTTGGGCGGACGTTGACCGCGTCGCTGGAGAATATGGTCTGGCCACGGTGGGAGGGACCGTCAACCATACTGGCGTTGGCGGCCTGACCCTCGGTGGAGGCTACGGTTGGCTGTCTGGCATGTACGGCTTAGTGATCGATAATCTTGTCAAGGCCAACATAGTCCTTGCAGACGGTCGTATCATGTCAGCTTCTGCAGATGAGAATCCTGACCTCTTCTGGGCCGTGAGGGGCGCCGGGCAAAATTTTGGCATCGTTGTGGAATTCACCCTTCAAGCATATGATCAGCCAAATCCGGTGTGGGCCGGCTTGCTCGGCTTCGCACCAGATAAACTCGAAGCAATCATCGAGTTTACGAATCACCTTTCTACGGTCAATCAGGGGAACTCCGGATTGCTTGTGGTTTTGGCGACCCCACCTGGCATGGTCATGCCAATTGTTATGACAGCCATCTACTATAACGGATCCACGGAGGAAGGAACCAGACAATTTGCTCCTTTATTGGCATTGGGTCCTATCCTCAATACAGTGGCTGAAATTCCCTATCACCAACTGAATGGGATTCTGAGCGAAGCAGGGAAGCCCGGAGACCGAGTCTCTACAAAGGGACCGGTCTTTCATGCCCCGATAAGCCCCCACTTTGTCCGAGGCATATACAATGACCTCGCTCAGTACATACATGAACAGCCGGACGCCACCGCAACAGCAATCTTTTTTGAGTTTCATGCACCCTCGAAAATATGTGAAGTCGCACAGACTGCAACGTCCTTCGCGGGCCGTGACAAGCACAACAACGCCATGATCCTAGGGAAATGGAGCCAGCCCGAGAACGACAAAACGTGCCGCGATTGGGTTCGCAAGATGGCTCGTAAAATTACGGATGAGACAACAAAGCTCAACCGAGGACAGAATGAGATTCCGAAGGAATACGTGAATTATGATTGTAAGCCTAAGTTTGACATGCAGTCATGCGAGCTGGAGCTGACAGATGGCATTGCAGCGCTCGGTGCCAAAGCTGAGGACGTATATGGTGCCAACTATGATCGATTGCGGCAGCTCAAATCGGCGTACGATCCGCAAAACGTCTTCAACAAGTCTCATCCTATTGTGCCGGCGCCAGTAAGTTAACATTCCTGCCTGGATGAACGACTCTACGTGAAATCGCAATTTCATTAAATCATTCATGTAATCCTCCAACAAATTGCGCCCTGGGAAAAGGACGACATGGGTCATAATCTTGGTGAACTGAGGACACTGTAGTAGTTTGAAGGACCACGTAGTTAATCTTATCTATATTCCGTTAAATAGCGTAATTAATAGCCCAATAAATACACCATCTTCTCATTTTCCAATAAGCTTCGTCATGAACTATGTTCCGCGTATATTCTAAAACCATTTTTCACACAAATAGAGGCACAGAATACAAAGGACAAGGAGTCCAATTCTCAACTATATGAAGCTGTATTTTGTGTCTCGCAGTGGTGTCGATCACTTTCCGTATTAGGGAGAAGGATTGAAACGAGATCGCGTCCAGGCAAATGTCGTTTACGCGACGCGATCCTCCCCCACACATTTCGCGTGTCCTTTCTCTTGGTCCGCCAAACCAGCAGAAACCCAGCCCTGGGCACTTGTTCCCCCGTACTCCGTAGACCACTTTCTTTTCTTCAAATACATCATACTGTAGAATGTCACCTATTTCACGCCCAACTACTCCTCCTCCCACCTCTTCATCGACCGAGACTACCACCACAAAGTCAAAGACCGAATCTCATCCTCCTCCATCCCTGCCCGGCTCACCCGTAACCAAGCGCGTAAAGCAAACGACAAACTCCACCTCAGGACAAGAAGAAGCCTCCGAATCAACATCCACCATGACTGTCCCCGCTACTACCAAGGTCGAGAACTCGCCGCCATTGCTCATCAAGAAGCTCTCCGAGCATGGCCGCACGCCGACCCGCGGCAGCGCTTTTGCCGCTGGATATGATCTCTACAGGTGTGTTCCCCCTTCTCTCCTCACTTCGCTCGCCGGCGTCCTATGGCTTCGCCGTCATTACGGCATCTCTAAGCTATGGGTTGAGTAAATTGACTGATGATTGATTTCTGAAATAGTGCACACAAGACGATCATCCCTGCAAGAGGGAAGGCGCTCGTCGATACGGCATTGGCTATTGCTGTCCCGGCAGGAACTTGTATGTTGAACTTGCAATCTCTTTCAAACCTCGAACCACCCACACGTCATGGGTAGTATCTACCATGAACCGTGTCACAAGATGCTGGATACTGACAAGATTGGGTTTTATACAGATGGTCGGATAGCTCCTCGTAGTGGCTTGGCGGCGAAGCACTTTATTGACACGGGTGCTGGTGTTATTGACGCAGACTACCGTGGTGAAGTCAAGGTTCTTCTCTTCAATCACAGCGACAAAGATTTTGAGAGTAAGTGGAGTTCATCAATGTCCATGGCGGCATTCCTACCTTCCCCATCAGCCGGGTTGCAGAGGCTAATATATTGTCAACAGTTGCGGAGGGCGATCGCGTTGCTCAATTGGTGCTTGAACGGGTAAGTAGAAAGAATATTTGTTGCTTTGAATCGGCAGCGGCAAGGTGATCACAAGACTAACTTTTTTGCCATAGATATATACCCCAGAAGTCGTTGAGGTCGAGCAGCTTGAGGAGAGCGTTCGAGGCGCCGGTGGATTTGGAAGCACCGGTTCTTCATAAATTTCTTTACAAAAATCTCATTTTATCTAGTATTTGCAACTCATATATCTCGGGAGCATTCAACGGTCAGGCATTAAAGACCAAGCATATTCTGATCTGTAGCTGCAAGAAAGGTAGCGCAGTGAAAGATAATTATTCTATAGAAAATATTACAGGATATCAATGACTCTGTGCGATGCTACGCTACATGTTACGTGCTAGTATACCATGCAAAGTGGAATGCGTAAAATGCTCATGATGAGATGAGAAAAAAAAAAAAAAAAAAAAAAAAAAGGATAGGCGGGTGTACATGTCTCAAACATCCAATGGCACGGCTGAAACCTTCACCTCGGGTTCCCTCAGATATTTGACGTTTCGTACCAGTCTGATCTCCGCGGCCTTTGTATGTCTCAAATGTAACCGCTTTTCGCTATCCTTTTCACGTTCGAGCGCACCCAGTGGGCCTCCGAGCTCTTCCAGTTCCTTGTCTCGTGCAATCTTTGTCTTCTCCAACACGGACTGCATACTCGAGAGCACCTTTTCTGCCGCCTTCGCAAGCGGCAGCTCCACCTGCTCGACGTCATCCGGGCTGATCCAGGACTTTTTATGCGTCAGACCTGCCGCCGTGGCAGCCTCGCGTAACCGCACGACCATCAGCGCCGCAAACATGTCGCCGGTGCCGCTGAAAAAACAGTCGATTGCTGGAACGTCGATGCGGAATATCCGCGGCGACCGATCCGAGCGCAGAGTCGACCCGACGACGGACAGCACGGGCGAAGAGCTGTCAAACGAAATGGACGTCACGACTACATGCGGCACCATGTATTGGAAGTGAAGCACGGAAATGGCTTCTTTCAGAGAGCTGAAGTCGGTGATTTTGATCCCGGATATGATTCTATACAGATTCATTAGATACGGCCAGTTGAGCACACTCAATGCTGAGAGGATGTTGAAGGGTTTTGGGGATAATGAGACGAGGTTTTCATAGGATAGGTCGAGGGGAATTGCTCACTCTGCTTCGAATTGGTTGGGCAGTATTAGGTCTGCGTCGCGCAGAATGTTCTTGTACGCTGGTAGGACGTCGTTGCCCACGTAGAGCTTTCCTTGGTCACCCATGACTGGGTCAAGTACTGTATTTGGTGTTTGTGTCAGCAACGTTTACTCCTTGGCCCTAGGAGCTTCTATGTCGTCCATGCGCGCAATTAAGAACCGCGGAAAGAAGAGATTCAGTGCTTGGGGAAGAGAGATAGGAAAAACACACCCCAGAAAAAACCACCGGGTTTCGTGGAAAACTTCAATCGCAGATCCCTTGCGATTGCGCCAACCGTCATGACTGCCTCCGCGCCGGGAACGTACCCGGAGAGCATCATGTCGAACTCGTTGAGGTAGTTGTGTTTCAGACCATCGTAGATATCGCGCATTTCTTCCGCCGTTGCTCGGGTTCCTCGAAAGTGTCTGTAGCCTGTATGATTGCCTGTAGAATGCATAAAGAACACCGTTTCGTCAGCGACGATAAGTAATGAAAAAGATGTGTCGTTCAAAAACGCTATAAGTCACAGTTGCAACAAGGCTGCTTATTGCGCCAAAGCCCCTCTATCATCGCCCCGGGCAGAGTTTTGTCTCAAATCTCAATGTATAAGAAAAAATCAATACTTACTGAAATGTACAGTGTTCAGAGCAGCGACCTCGCAGCCCAGCGACTGCATGACGAACGTGGCCATTGTATTCCCCACATATCTAAACCTGGTGTGAGCTTTCAAGTTTTCTCGGAACTTTGGGATCTGTGGGACACGGGAAATGCGACTTACCCAAACACGACCTGGACTTGAGTCAGAAACAGTCGCGCGAGCAAAATATGGAAAAGCTTCATGAACTTACATGGCTGGCGACAGCCAACACGCGTGTGTCTGGCACAGCGAATTCGTCATGGTCATGGTCATGGTGGTTGATATCTTTTGCGACTGCTTGAGCTTCTGGCGCGGGGCTGTCGGGCTCCGAGTCAGAGCGCGCTTCTTCCGCACCCATATCCAAAGTAGAATTTTCTACCCTCGGTCGCAATAACTGTTGTAGCTTCAAAAGAACATGTCGGATATAGCTGGAAATATCGTAGGCAAAATTGACAAGTGCACTGCGCCAACGAAGTGTTTCTGTGTGAATCATTTACTTCTTTAGCTGACTGATGAGGCCATACTCCTTATCTTTCGACCATTGGCGGATTTATCTATGGTGGGGCAGCGGAAGTTCCGCCGTTAAGCGGGGCGCTCAACACCGTGTACAAGTCGAATTTACTCGTAGTTAGGTACGTTGTGCATAATTTACGAGAATTGGTGCGACACAATGTAGGTAGAACGGATATTTACTTAATTGACTCTATTTGATGTACTGCCCGAAAAAATTGAAAATGGAGTATTATTGTAATACCAGACGCCCGGCAGTCAGTAGCTTTTTTTTTAAGTAACTGTGCCTATGAACCCATATGGTCCCATTGTAAATAAATTTTGAAACTTCGCTTTCAGAAAAATAAAATAAATAATTCTCCTTTCATGATCCATGTCAAACAAAACAGCGTACTTTACTCCTCATCACCAATCTGTACAATATGTTAGCAAATGTCCCTAAAAGCAGGCGATGTTTGAGAATGCTCACCTTGGGTGCAAGGTAGAAGCGCAAGTAGCTGCTTCCGGCCAGAGCATATTCAACCAGCAGTGGGACTTCGTTTGAGAGGCAGAGCTTCACGGTGCCAGACAGGCCGCTTGCCTTGCAGAAGTTCACGAGGTACTTGAGCGAAAATGTAAGAGCGACTGGCTCTGAAAGATCAATGTTAACGTTCAGGTCAGGGTTGTCGACGTTGCTGTGGCTGCGAAGCGTCACGGATCCACTGCCGATGTCGCCAGTGCAGGCAAACTTGACTCCCTCCTTGGTGGCTTCGATCGAAACTGTAAAAGCATAAAAGTCAGCCTCCGTGTTCCATATGAATGGTGGCAAGCCAACATACCAGATTCGGACAGCGCCATCAAATCCCTGCAAATTCTCTGGAACTCGACAGAAGGCATGGAAATAGTAGCGGCATATTCAGTCTCAGGAATGCCCAGGTGCTCCTGGTCAATGTCCATCAACTTTATGTCATACTCGCTGATCCTGTCGCTCTCGCTGCTCTCGAAGACAAGGTTGACAACATCAGGAGCATCCTCGGCTTTGAGGGTCAAGATGTCTTCATTCTGGGCGCATCGGAGCACCTTGGTAAGGGAGGTCAGGTTGATACCGAGGGCAATGTTTCGGTCGCAGCGGAATGGGGAGAAGCTCTCTGCCTTGAGCATCATCGAGACCAGCGCGACGTGGGAGTTGTCCATAGCCTGCAATGCGATTCCAGAGTCATTGCAATCGAAGTTGCAGTCTTGGACGAGGTCTTTAATGGCATCGACCACCTAACGCATTGTGAGTATTTAACCCGTATAGCAGTATATGGTCGATACGAACCTTTTTCAAAAGGTTGGCCTGTTCAAGTCGAGCTTCAAGCACTGTTTCACAGTTAGATTGCCATACTTTCGAGCTTGACAAGAGCTGTCTTACTTTTGATTCACTTATTGCGACAAAGAGGGACAAACTTGTTCGATTGTGTAGGACACCTGATTGTGGCAATACTGTTTATGAATAGGAAAATGAGATGCGCAAGGCTGGTCGTCGAGGGGCAAGGAGAAGTAAAGCTTGTGTGTTAAGTGACGAGCTGCGATGGATGGAAAACGGTGGGTGATTTATCTTACGCGAAGACGACGCGTCGATTACAGAGAACTCCAGGTCGCGCTCGTGTTCGCGCTAGTCGAGACCAATTATGCCCCGTTCGGGTAATAATCTGATCATGGCCACAGGCTTCAGTTTTGATTCCACTTCAAATTTCTGTATGTTTGTTAAATAGAAATCCATGTTGAATGAAGCATCCAGGTGACAGGCTTGATTGAGATTTACCGCCCATTCTCAGAGAGATATAGATTGTTAGCTGACCACCTTAATTTACTTGAGAAGAGCCCCGAAATTGACAAAGCTTAATCCCCGATCTGCAGTTTTCGCAACTGGCTTGAACATTTGTCGTAAGAATAATGCTATCATTTACTACATTTCTAAACAAGACCCGTATGCTATGCTGCCAAGATGAATTATTTGATAAGGAAATGGGGTATCACGCCTCAGAATATAGTTTCAGATAAAGGAAAGCATTCAAACAGAGTGGCAAAGAAAAGAAATACAGCTTTCACACATTGCAGAAAGCTTAGGTGCGGCCTCAGATGGAAGTTATTCGCCCGCCTACCCGCACTTTGGGCCGCAATCTTATTACCGTTTCCAGTTCACGGAGCATCCGAGTATTCGCTTCGGCCTTTTCACGGACAGATGATTGTCGAACGCGCTCTTCTTTCATTTTTGCAATACGTTGATCGCGAGTCAGGCTGCTCCTTTGTCGTGGCATCGCTATAGCCTCGAATATCTCCTCATCGGAGCTGTAAGTGTCCGAGACAGAGCGCGACGGAATGTCATCGCCATTGAGCGCACGAAGCGCGTCAGCCGGGCTCCCTTCCACAGCAGTAACACCTCCAAGGCTAGGCACGGGCGATCTCACGCCATTCGAAGCCATTGATATTCGTCTTTCGTTCCGATCAATGTTTAGCGCCAGTGCTGTCTTTCCATTTTCCCATTCCTCCATCAAGGCACGAAGGTCGGCCCCAATCGACTCATACTGGCTCATGAGTCGACCGCCCAGCTCTGTCACGTCCTCTGATTCATTTAAGCTCCGATCACTCTCTTCACGCAGAACCTGCATTTTCGCTTGGAGACCCCGGATACCTTGTGAAAGAGAGCCGAGCTTCCGCAACTGCACCCTCACTTTTTCTCGTTCTGGTGTGAAAGGAACCTTGGGAGTTGCAGGAATAAAAAAGGCTGACACTTTAAATCAGCAAGAAGAATCGGGGATTCAGATGTTCGTACTTACATTCGTCTTCTGCGAGAATTCTCCTGATGTTATCACTTGATTCCTCGGTGATAAGGGTCAGTCGCTCCATTTCTGTCACGGCCTTTTCCCACCGGGGAAGATCTGATTTGGTGCCGTCTGTGCGCAAGGCCAAAAGGCAACATAGGAAAACTTTCCTAATTGTATAGATACGGAAAAATAAAGTCTTGATGGTTCTTAGCGACTCCGGATCGTCAATTTGTTGTTCCGACAACCCGGCCGCCAGCTCCTCCAAATCAACAGAGCTTATATCATAAATATCATAGTATTTCTCGAGGTCTATGATGTCTGTCATCGCTTCCAACGTGTGAAAGGCTTCGAGATGAGGTGGCATCATTGCGGAAACACAAGCGTTTAGGGTACGACGGAGACGAGCACATCGGCGGGTCTGGGACTTTTCTTCGAGCCGAGATACAGGGGGCAGTGGCGAGCTTCTGCATTGGTTGAGCATATACTGGAAAACCGTCTATAGAGCATCGACACATACATTCTATACCCTCGAGACACGAGCTCCACCTCTTGAATCAAATTGATCGCAGTAGCACCTGCAGCATCAAATTCTTGCGAGCGATCCACATAGTCAGAAGCAGAATTGAGAGCTCGCGTACGTAAATACTGCAGCCACTGGCGGGCCAAGTAGGCATATGCAAGGAACGTGAGTAGGCCAATCAGTATGGTGGTCACGGCAAGCGGTCCTTTGCTCCAAGAAACTTTTCTGCCGCCAAGCGTCTGGTGCAGAAACAAGACCAACGAAAAGGCAGTAATAGCGGTGATAAGAACACCCGTCAAATTGGAGGAAGCCTTTTCCCCGCTAGCAGAAATGTTCCGATTTTGGGACGATCTGTCCTTCAGGGTAGAGAGGTTGTATGCTGGTTTAACATTTTCATTCAGGAGTTGCGATGCGACTATGATGTATCGAAATCTCTCCAAAAAGCGCGAATTTTCATGTCGGCTCAAGGTAGAGCTGACGGCATACTTTTCGGGAAATAATGGTCAGCGCTGCTCTATCGCGGAGGATAGGGACATGACGTACTGAACAAGAGGTCCTGAGCCTGGCAACGGTGTCATTTGATGTTACCCGTAGAGCACTGGATTCCAAAAATTTCTTTCGAAATGATGATTGAATATTTGACGTGCCACGAGGTGCAAAAGAGTCGGCCGTAATCGTTGATTTATCTTGAGGTTCCTGACGAACGGTGTCTTCACCCTCTCCTGTTTCATTGGTCAGTGTCAAGCTAGTGAGAATGGACAGACACAAAGATAATAAAAAAAAGTTTACAATTACCTTCTAAATATTCTGCGAGCGGAGAGTCGCTGAATACGACTGGTTCCATATTGCCGGCGTAATCAGCAAACGGTTTCCATGGCGCCAGCCCTGGAGAAATTGCCCAGATCTGAGAAGGCGACCCTGTCAAGACTGAAGAATGTTTGTATAAGTAGAAATTGCAGCAAAATTCAGTATATTGGAAAAGAATCTTCCTAGAGACTGAGCGTGTGCATTGGAATTGAATGGGAATCTCAGGAGTGACAGGAGACGGTCAACTATCATACACCTCCGATAATCGTGGGAGTAAGCGAATCAAAGTCCGCGTGGCTTCACCGCCTAGTAACGGAAGCACTGAACAGATCTCAGGGATGGCGTTACCCCGTGATCAACAGAGCAATCAAAACATAATTTGACTTGCATCACTAGCGCATGATCTCTGTTTATGAAATCAAGCCAACATGACACCTGGCGCATGTCGACGTGAATCACAATGGCATTTAAAATTGGACATGGTCTCTCCACACAAGCCATGTTGAACGAGTGAGTTCAGTACTTCGGGTATTCTTTCCTGCGGGTGGTGCCATCCTAAGGCTGAAAGAGGGAGGCTGGTGCTGTAAACATTAAGGAACCCCTACTTTGATAGACGGACACAGACTCTCGGGAATCTATCTCAACAGAATTCGAAACATTTGAAATTCTGGAAGTAATCCATTCATTTTCTATAGTGCACCTTTTGTATGGTAACAGAACTCAAATGGACCATTGAGTCGCTGCTCTGTGTTTGAATTGCATCGTATCTGATACCTTCTAGCAAATGCACATATTTGCAAATATGTGCAGCTGATCTTAGCTTCCCTGCAGATTGATATATGGATGAGATATCTCATATTTCCATAGTGTATCTTCTCTATCATATCGTGCATTGCTTGCTTTGATGAACTTGTCAGTCTCGGACCCTTAAACCCACTCGTTCCGGCAATTGCCGGCCGCGCGAGAGTGACGCTTGACAACCTCAAAGCTATCAAATCACGGTGACATTCAAAGCTAATATCTGAACAATCAGCAAATACGCCCGCAAAACTCATAATCTTGCTATACGGTCCTACATACACGGATTAGCAAGCCCGATTTGAAAACTCCGCATATCTACTGCTCAACAACTCCTGTAGCTGCTAGGAGCCAGCTTCCACAACATCAGCATACCAAAAGCACCTAGGGTTGCAGAAAGCTCCTTTCCTTGGATTACTCTTCAAATCCCATCAACTAGCAAACCTGGAAAGTCAGGGTCAAAGATCGGAGCAACATGATTGACGAAAAGGATCTCGCAATCCACCCCCTCGTTCCCGAAAGCATTCAACACAATAACCTTGTTAGTATCCCCATTTCATATAGCAACATCTCCTCTCGATATTCTTGCACCTCACTGAAGAAGCTTTCTAAGCTTTGGGATGGAATAATACCTCTCCTAAAGTTTGTCGCATGCAATAAGCTTTTCTCTTCGTTGCAATTTCTCGGGAATTCCCTGGCTAATGCGTGTCCTCGTCATTATATAGACTCTCTCCCAGCTACGAAATCTCAGCGCATCTCTTTTCGGCGTTGCCGCTGGCATCCTGGGCCTTGAGTCCTACCCCGGCTTCATCTTCTACTTAGTCGGCACTTTGCTGGTGTCGGCTCTGGTTTACCTCTTTCCTGCTAAGCGTGAACCGAAGAGATACTTCCAAGGCGGTCTTTGGGAGCTGATTGAGAAGGATGTACTCAACGGCTTGATGAGCTTTGTACTTACCTGGACATTGTTCTTTGGTTTGGTCAGCGCTTAAAGAATCTTTGTATTATGGGTTTTATTCTGTCTCGGTTGAATGGCTGAGGTGCATTCATGGGCGTTGGGCTGAATCTGTTGCTTTTGGCATATGTAGAGTACTCATCTGCACTGTGAGCAGCTCTCTTGACGATACATATATCCGGGGCTATGCGCCGCTTCTATATCTTCTTATTTGATAACTTCGTCCTCTTGATTCTCCATCGCTTTCTTCTTTTCCTCTTTTTCTTTGATTCGATTGTTGACTCCAAGCGCCTTCTACTCGCAGCTCGAATTAATAGTCATATATATATCGAGACACATACCGGCGAATTTATTTCACAGAATCTAGTATATATTCGGGTAATGCTATCGCTCAAAGCATGAAATTCGCAGCTTTTGTACGCCGTTTCCCAACCCTTGTCCACAGCGAAAATGTAATCTATACTACAGAGGCCCGATGCCACAAAGCAGATAATGCACGTGGGTGTAAGAAAATTATGGAAACCTAAGCAACGTTGACGAATCCTCTCTTTCTCTTACCGCGCTCAGGCTCCTCGGTCACCTCGGTCTCGTCAATGAAGTCGCTTACGCCCTTATCATGTACGCGACCCGAGACAAATCGCAATGCTGCCAGGTTGAAGCCCATCTCATCCTTCTGGCGGTTGAGTGATTGACGCAAATGCTCCCGGATCGCATCGAGCATGGGGCGAAGAGCTTTGCTGGCGACGATTTGCCTATGGTGCGTCTTCAACATGAAGAACAGGATGCGACAGGTGAGTGGCATGTTTCGCTCTTGAGTGGCCCAGATATCGAGGAAGGTAAACAACGCATGCAGTTTGGAGAAAGGCAGGACCAAGAGAGCGTCTTGGAGTGCCGCAGCTGGGATGCGTTGAACAACTGACAAGACGTGGTCTTCGGCAGAGATATTCCCAAGCGCCATGTAAAGCGGGTTACGTGCAGGCGGCGCGGCATTTGGATTTTCTGCCTTTGCCGCGCGGTAGATACGCATGACCTCGAGGTCGGCAAGGCCCAGATCGAGCGCTTCAGCTATCTTCTCACCAGCCATGAGCGTCTCGGCAGTTTGTTTTCCTGCAGCGACAGCCTCGCGTTGCTCGCCACCTTCCTCGTTTCCTTCCTCTTGTTCGAGCGAGGTCGTTAGCGTGTTCTCGTATAATTCTTCAAGCTCCTTTTCCCGCTCCTCTTCAAGGAAAATCAATTCGTCGGTTTGTCGCCAGGTACGGATGCTTTTGTCATGACTGGCTGTCACGATAAATTCGCCCGTACGACTAGGTACTAGCGCCCAAACCTCGCCGTGGTGGCCATCAATCTTCTGAATCTGCTCGAATTTGTCACCATCCCAATACTTGATAAGGTGATCCTTTGACACGGAAAAGAAGTGATGTCCGTTTCCGTCGTGATTGTGTGGCACGAATGCGACGGCCATAATGCTGTCTTGGTGGGCAAAGAAAGCCTTATGACAGTCACCGAAATCGAGACCCCATAGTCGGACATTCTTATCAGCTGAACATGTGACGATGAGCTTGCTATCGTAAGATATATCCATGTTGAGCACAGGAAGCTTGTGACCGTAGAGATTTAAGAAGAGTTTAAGCGAGTCGACGAAAAAGACCTTGACTGTGTTGTCCAGCAATGCAACGGCAAGAAGCCGAGCGTCTGGGGAAAAGCGGAGGCTTAGAATATCATCTGATACCTTGAGGGTCCGTGTGTGAACAAGTCGAAGGCGAGGCGTTGTCCGTTTGGTGCCAGGAATTTCTTCCTGGACAACTTCAAAGTTCCAGAATTTGGCCGATTTGTCTGCGCTTCCTGTCACAACGGATCTGCCATCAGGATGGACATGCAGCGTCCAAATGGCACCCTCATGAGCTTGAACCGTGTCGATCAGGGTAGAAGAAGCTATATCGAACAACTCAAGTTGACCAGTCTTCGTGCCAACGACCACCTGTATCTGTTAGTAAGTTGCAATATTAGCCTGAAGAGGGGACTCATACAATTTTATCACCGGGAAGGAAGGAAGAGCAAAGAGCATAACCGCACTCCAAGGTTCGAATACAGCTTTGCGTTTTGACGTTCCAAATCTTCAGCGCACCAGTCGAGGCTGAGGCCAACATTCGGTCATCAGAGCTGAGGGCCAAGGTTCTAATGTCGGTTCGATGGCCGGGCATATCGACGGCAAATACACGATTGTAATCGGCCATCTCCTCGTCTTTCGTCTTCTTGCTCTTATCTCTCACGTCCACGCTGTAAACTTCTAGCTGATTATTGGTTGCAGCGACTAGCAGTTGAAGCGCTTTGCTTGGTCTCCCACCGGCCCAGTCCATTGAACGCACTTTTCCGCCGGTCCGGACAATCACATATGAGACAAAAATCTCGGAAACGTCGGCGGATGTGATATCGTCGGCATTTTCCTTCTCTTCTGCCATTGCGATGTCATCACTTTGGCCACTCTCTTTTGCGATTGCTAAGGCTTTCTCCCGTCTGCGTCTTCTTTTGCGGGCTAGACTTTTCCGAACCTCGTTATCCGAACGAATTCTCCAAATTTCAACTGCCTTCTCAGATCCGTGAACAGCGATGAAATCAGCGCGAGGATGGAAATGCACTCCGAGTGTGCGATCCTTGCCCTGCCGATATATGACACCCCTTTCATGAAGAACATCCTTCTCTATGCCTTCATTAACCTGCGACGCAATCTCACGCAGTCCCAGCAAATCTATCGACCAAATCTTCAGCTCTCCGTCATTGCCTGCCGTGATACAGCCACTATTATCTGGAGCAACTCCCATGGTCCAACATTCGCCATTGGTTTGAGCAACATGTGTCTCGATACAATGTTGTGAAGCAATATCCCAGAGCTTTATCAGGGAGTCTTTGCCGGTTGTTAAAAGAAAACCCTCATGTTCTTCGTCCACGCCCATAGCGGATGAGGTGCCCTCTTCGCCATTAACTGCGTCTGCGGTGTCCAATTGAGATGGCGGCTGTAGGAAATGAAGCGCTGTAATCTGGTCCTTGTGACCACGTAGTTTGAAAAGACCAACTTCACCGACAAGGTCCCAAAGAATTACATCCGTATCCTTTGCTCCACTGGCCAGACGGGCACCGGAGTGGTCGAAAGCCAGGCATGTGATTGCTGATCGGTGTCCATTAAAACGGATAATTACGGTCGCGATTCTCGAGTCCCAAAGCCGAATGCTTCCATCAGCATATCTAATGCATTGCACTCTTGGTCAGTAAATGAAGACTCGGGCTTTGAGTGTCTTACGCACCCAACGGCATAAATATCAGGGTCGCTTTTGCTCTGCACGACGGCCGTGACCTCCGCATTGCAGTCATTATCACGCCATCTGCTAAGAAGCTCTCCCTTCTTCACATCCCATTGTAGGACTTCCTCGTTCGCGCCAACTATCGCTCTTCCAGCACCAGTTTGCCGCGAGGACGGTTCGACCGCATTCTCGTCGGCGGTCCAAACAACATTCGCAGAGGCCGAGTTCACCAACCCAAAGGTATGGGAATGCTCATACTTGCTGTGTTATAACTTTATTAGCCACGATTCCAGAGCAATTTCTTCAATAGATCGACTTACTAGTATGACTTCACCATTTTTCTTCGTGCTTGTGATGTTTTTGGACTTTGTCCAAAACTTTTTGAGCGGCTTGTCGGCGTTTTGGATTGCGATGCGCCGTGGAGTGACATCGATAAGCGATGTAGCGTATATCTCATCACTGACCCATCATCAGACCCCCTGCTCAGCCCCAAGGTAGCTAGCTGCCCGACGGTTGTTGCTTGCTGTTGCTACTACGAGGGGTGCTCGACGTCGTTACGAAGCCACTCCACGGCAGCACTTACTCTGAAACATTTCACTTTTATTTGTATCATACCCAGAGCTTTCACTGATCATCATGCTGCTGCTCGACTACCACAATGTTCTCATCCACACGTTACTCACTGAACGTTTCTCTGGGTAGGTTACGGTCTGGCACGTATATGGGACGGTGTGGACTGATAGGCATATGCAGCTCTCCACCTGTGTCAATTGACCAAATAGTCTCTGACTTCGATGGCGTTACTTTTCACTTGTCTACTCCGGAATCCAAGTCGAAGATTTTGATCTCCATCTCCGTGAAATGCTTCAATGATTTGGTCAAATACGGCGCCCAAGATGTCCTTGCACGCGAATACGGTCCATACATCGTCTCCCCAGAGCCCGGCTTCGACTTTTCTATCCAAGTGGACCTGGAAAACCTTCCCGAGGACCCGGGTAATTCTTTTTCCATTTCGCCTGAAAATACAGAAGGTTGCTGACCACTCCTGGCGTCTCCAGCTGCTCGCGATGAGCTCGTACGGAAGATTTCCCTCATGAGACGAAATGCTATGGCCGCGCCTTTCGAGAGAGCCTTCGAGGAACACGCGAAATTTGCCGAAGAGGCATCCAAATTCTCATCAGAATCTGCCCCTGAAGGCGTTCGGGAAGGAGGAGAGGTTATGGCGATCCATTATCGAGACGAAGAAGCCATCTATGTCAAGGCCAGCCACGACAGAGTCACGGTCATTTTCAGCACAATCTTCAGAGAAGAAACCGACAGAGTATACGGGAAGGTGTTCTTGCAAGTCGGTGTCTCCGCGGTCTTCACCTCTCACGAACCACCTAACATCATCTAGGAATTTGTCGACGCTCGTAGAAGAGCAATCCAGAATGCACCTCAAGTTCTTTTCAGACAAGATCCGCCTCTGGAGCTGCATGGTGTACCTGGTCTGTCTGACCCAGGAACGGGCGAGATTGGCTACGTTACCTTTGGTAAGCTAGGAGAACTTAAAAGTCTGATGACCTTGCTGATTATTCATCTCCAAAAGTCCTTTTTCCGAGACATTTAACGCTCCAGCGCCGAGACGAAGTCATTTCACATATTCAGACATTCCGTGATTACTTCCATTACCATATCAAAGCGTCGAAGGTACGTATAAATAATTCGCACCCTCCAATCCAGAAGACATGAACCATGATTGATCCTCTTTCTAGGCATATATCCACTCCAGAATGCGACGGCGGACAGCGGATTTCCTACAAGGTGAGCGATGGCAAACACCTCCATGTGTCTGCACTGCTAATTTGTTACAGTGCTCCGTAGAGCTCGCCCAGAGAATGAGGAAAAGGAAAGAAAGACCGCCAGCGGAAGAACCTTCAGGGTGCAATAAGTCCTGGCTTCTCACTTGTCCATCTAAGTCCTCATCCCAAAGCGCCCGAGAGTCCCGTTGTCAAAATGCTATTTCCGAGGTACAGAGCGTGAAAGTCCCACTGCCGCTTACATTATCATGATGAAATTTACCATGCATGGCTGTCTTGTCGAACCTGCTTTTATCGAATCTCATTTAGTTCAGGGATCGGTCTGAGAGAAGGACTCCACATATTTAAGATATTCTTGTCAAATTGATAACTTTTTAGACCATACACAACTCCATGGCGCTATTCAAATTAATCATCCACGATAATACACGGTATTGCTGACACTAAGGTTTGGGTTTCCAATGAACTTGATGCTTTTCTTCAATTGCTCTCTTCGTCTTTCATCTTTACTTTTCAGAATTCCTTTTCCGGCGCTCGCCAAGACGCCTCCAATATACTGTGAACTCGCGTACACGGCAGAGAGCATGTCCGTTTTTGCGTGAGAATCTTTTGAATCCTGTCTATTATCATTCACCTTCGACCCATACCTCTGAGCCTTGAGTTCCGAGATTGATGGCGGTGCAAGTGACGTCGAGGAATAACTAGGATAGATGATATAGTGGCCTTTCCTGATGGCTTCCCTTCGCTCTCGAGCTGACGGCCAAACGACGCCTTGGTAGTCATTCCCGCTCGAACGGCGTGGCGAGGGAATAAACTTGAATCGTTGCTTGCTCTCACTCGTCGTGTCGGACTTCCGCTGCTCAGTCTTGGGCGACCCCCTGCGTAAACGAGACATTATCGAGCTGCGAAGTGAAGCAGACCCTTCGTCATCTTCAGAGTCAGATTCGAAAAAGCTGCCTTGATCATGAGGTTTCGATGACTCTTTATGCTCGTCTGAAAACGAGTACGAACGAATTGTTTTTGAAGCGTTTGGCACAAAGGTAGTCTTAGGTTTCTGGTCCTTCGTGCTCGTCACTGATGCGACCTCTTCAGCTGAATTTGCAGAGAGCCGCAAAGAGAGAGACGCAGATGGGATGTGCTGATCGAGAAGTGGTCTTTTCCCTTTAAGATCGCTTTTGTTCAAAGATCCTCCATTGAGGTTTCGCTCACTATTCGTGGCTTGCCTCACCGCACTGATTCGCGGGCTTCGACGAGGAACAGACTGTCGCGGAGAGGCAACATATGAACAACCCTCTCCTTTGTTCCTGCCATAAGCAGAGGACGCATCGACGTGCATGTACATCCCGACATCTGACTTTTGCTGGAGATACCCGGCGCTCGGGTTACGCATACTGGACTGTGTAGAGCTCTTGTCTAGCTCTGGTGGTTCTTCAGACACCGAAGGGTTCAAATAAAAATCAATTATATCTTCCTCTTCACTATATATGCTTGACGACCTTCGAGGTACCGATGGAAGAGGTCTTTTGACGTAACTGAGCGAGTGGTTTGAGAATGATCGGAAAGATGGAACACTGCCGTCCATTTTATTTTTTCTTTCTGCCCCAAAAAACAAACCTGGATAGAAATGGGAGGTTTGGCCCTCTTGATATAGACAATTTACCTTGAGGTGCTCACAAGTGAGAAATATATCTCGAGGGCTCACAATAAAAGGGGAAATGTTTTCGTGCAACCATGCAGAGCAGGAGAAACAGGAGAATTTGGAATCTATGAAAAGTGCATTCCGCCACATGACGGTCTATATATGAGCCGGACATCTTGGGTTATTCTCGTCGCTTTGTCTACATGAATCCTCTAGATATCCACATAAAGGCCATCCCTCGTGCAGTAAACACAAAGAAACGGAGCCACTCAGCTAGCCCGGTTCCGGTGTTTTCCTCATGTCACACGCGGCAGGGTCGTTAAAATTTCCCGGCCGATCGGGCGGTTACACCGAGGCCACACCAGAATAGCAACGGCCCCCGTCCTCTCGGTCATACATCATGCATCTAGTTAAGCGAAGATGACGCTCTCAACAAAGATCATCAAGAGGATAAAGGGTTCGTAGGGTAAGGCAAATGCCTTTGTTTAATGTATATTGTGAGAGGAGAGCGTGTAATAAGCTCCGTAAAAAAATACTGTGGAGTTGTTTTGTCCGATCCAAGTCGTGTTTACATGACGGAACCAACATCGATGGCTGATCTGGTCCGTGCGAGAGATCCAACCCCGAGCCCCGTCGGCCCCGAGGGATGAACTCGCGCCAATGCAAGCCCCCGCTTCACAAACGCCCCTCCCCCCGGGCCCCAGGCTCTTCCCGCTCGTGCAGATCGGCCAAGACATTCCGCAGCGGTTTTATTTCAACGTCACTTGATGCGCTTACGGGGTACGCTAGCATCGCCCTCACCTTTTCAATCTTTCAATGTTGGAAGAAGACGCACGATTGTCGTAGGTAGATTTTGAACAAAGATGGTACTCTTGTCGGCAATATCAGCGGTTCGTTTCTCTCCCCCCCCAAATCTCCATTAAATCATGAGGCCCCCGTTTCATTGGTTGTCGGCTAATGTTTTTATGCGCAGCAAGCTATAAGTCGGTTGCGTGGTTATGTTCCTCCACCAACGTCGTATAGCTCGGTGCCTCTCTCGAGACGGGCGGCAGTACTGATATTACTGTTTGCTGATCGAAGAGGGGATTTAAAAGTCGTGCTGACTCTGCGTGCGAGCACATTAAAATCGTGTAATATCTTCCCCGCCCCCCCTGATTTTTTTAATTGGATTGTTTATTTTTATTTTGGTTATATTTTCGTTGAATGTTTTATTTCCTAAGCTCGAAAAAATTTATTTGACTCTCAAAAATATAAGAGAGTCGATGGCCTCGAAATTATCATTGTTAAATGTTCAAATAATAAAGTAACGCTGCTGTTAAGATGATTATTCGTTTCCATTTTATATATCGATACTATTCAGTTATCGTGACATGCTGACGTATTGGCAAGATCCTGGCCAGGTCGCCTTACCAGGAGGTTAGTCCTACCGACAGCGTGCGAGACTATCTGGTCTAATGGTCAAGCAGGAAAAGCGGATACACTCTCAGAGACACCGTTCCAAACTGCGCGGCGGGAAGCCTTTGAGGAAATTGGTCTTCCTGACACCGATATGGGGTTACCCAAACAATTCCGCGTGGAGCATCTCTGCGAGCTGCCGGCTACTCTGGCAAGGTCTGAGTTGGTGGTTCGACCTTGTGTAGCCTTTTTACATGCAGAAGATCGCGGCGTTTCTGTCGCGAACGCTGAAGAGACATTAATCCCTAGACTAGATGCAAAGGAAGTGGCTGCAGTTTTCACCGCACCGTTGCAAAAGTTTCTTGATCAGTCAAGTGGAGATGATTCTAATAATCACAATTCTCCATGGTACGAGGGAAATTGGACGAAATGGCATGGTAAAAAATGGAGAATCCATAATTTTAATGTCCCAATTCGGACACAAGCTGGATCCAGGGCAAGATCTGATGAGACACAGCAAACGAATGTAGCGGATCTTCATCCTTCAAGCGGAGGATCCGCTGTGACTCGCTATCGGGTCTGGGGAATGACGGCTCGCCTGCTGGTAGACGCGGCGAGACTGGCATATGATCGAGAACCCGCCTTCGATCATGACAGCACTTTTGGGGCTGAGGATGTCATCGGAAAGCTTCTGGCGTCGGGACGCCTGGGTGACGGACGAAGCCAGGACGATGAGCTTGCGCGCGAAGAACTGAGCAAGGCACCAAAGCTGTAGAAGCAAGCCAATCCTTTTTGAAACCTGACGTGCAACCATTCGATAGATCAAACACCTAACCCTCCGCACAAACCATGGTACTCCTCGCGTCCTGATATTTGCCTAGAGCTGTTAGGTACCATTGCGAACAGGCAGTCGTTGCTAGCTTCCGCTCCTTCCCCATAGGTCCCCACATGGAAGTTTACTCGTAGGGCTCCTTCTGAATTTGAGATCCGTCTTCGAAAACAAACTCCAGACATGGATACGTGCTTTGCAATTGCCAACCAATCTTGAGCGGGACTTCCTCAGGATCAACCTTTCTCTGAAGCCCTATATAAACAGTAGATTTCCCCAAACCCCAGATTCCTTCTCCTCTTTTTTCTCCCCTTACGTACCGCGTACAGCTCACATACCGCTCACATACCGTTCACAGCTCTCACAGCTCTCACACAGCGCACACATCTTTCTCATTACCCTTCTCTTCTTCTTTCTTTTCTTCTCCAACTCACTTACGGTACTCAGTTCGTGAGTTATCACCATGGTCTTCTCTGGTCTCTGCCAAGCTATTACCAGCGTCGACTGGGCGACCGTCGGCTCTATGGCCTTGGACGCGGCTTGCCTCGGTGCCGGACTGGCATACTGGCGCGCGATGGGTTACCCCCATCCCAGTGTTTCAGTCCGGGCCAGGCAGGCTAAGCCCAAGGTCAAGGGCATCCGCAACCCGAAGAGGGGCAGAGCTCCCAGAGCCAACCGGGACACGTTTGACGTTCCGGTTGGAACCCGCGGCATGGCGGCACCGCGCGCAAGGCGGTTCCGTCAGGTCGATTTTCAGGTCCCGAAGCAGCCTTGCTTCGGAGGCCCCAAGCGCAGGGTGGAAGTTCCCGCCCCTAAGGCTTTGGCTCCCGTCAAGACCCAGCCAAAGCCTCAGAAGCGGGTAAGTGTTTTATCTCCTTGAGCGCGTTGATCTCTCTTTTGGCTGACTTGCTTTAGGTGGCTTTCGCCGAGGGAGGCCCTCAGGTCAAGGTGGTCGAACGTTGGTTCGACCCCGAGATCCACCTCCACCGTCCGCTCTTCCGGCGCCTTCGGTTCGGAGTGGTTGAGCAGCGGGAGGTATTCCGGTACATTGTGCCAGACCCTGCCCCCAAACTCAACTTCCCCCGCACCAAGTGGGTGGCCCCGCTCCCGGATGTTGAGGACGAGGAAGGTGACATGGACATGTCTGGCTAGTACTTAGCCTTACACTGTCGTTGCCTCTCCTCTCCTCTTCTGAAGGCAGGTCACCCGTGCGTGAGCACCGCTTGGGGCACTCTGGGTCTCTGGGTCTCTGGCTCTCCAAGGGGCTTTTTTTTTTCTCGGTCGACCGCCACACCCGGCCGTCACGGTAGGTCCTCTCCCCTCCCCCAGAAAATCGAAAACAATCTCAAAAAAAGAATGAAAATAAAAACCAATCACCAAAAAATTGCTTTTTCGCGTATGTATTTCCTTAGCCTGTATATACTTATTTTGCGGGTCGTGTGGTCGGAGTGGCACGACCCATTTTCTTTTTTCTTTTCTGGGGCCGTGTGGTCGGAGTGGCACGGCCCATTTTCCTTTGTTTGTTGAGGGCGTTTTTGCTTTTGACCTTGGGGGAGCGAACAGGCCTTTTTCGCCTGTTCGCTGGGCGAAGGGCTTAGGCTGGACTGCACCACCAGCTATGAGCCTTTCGCTCGCGCTAACGAGCTCATAGGTTTCGCGGTCGACCTTCAGCGCGCTGGTCCGACGCACCTTCGGACTTCCTAGCCAGGTTCTCGGACGCGAGACCTGGCACAAGTCGGCCTCTCGACGGGGAGGCCGCAATTTTTGGAACCTTTTTCTGCCTCGTGCGGATTTTTTGTTTTTAACTTTTTTTTCTTCCTTTCTTTCTCTCCTTTTCTCTTCTCAAACTTCGCATCGCTTTGCTGAGGCTTGTGATAGAAGAAAAGAAAACAATAAAAGGAAGATGAGGTCGATGAGAGTTAGTCGAGACCTTTGGGTGAGAAGTTCGATTGTCGCTGTGGTACGAGGTGGATGAGTACAAATAGATGCCCTTGTGTATGTAGACGCGTCATTGATTTCATGTAGAGGTCGTCAATAAAAGTAGATGAGTCCTTGCATAGAGATAGCTTAAGTAGATATCTTTAAGATAATTTCGAATCTAACTTTGCGCTCTTGGTACAACGTCAGCCAGAGAGCCACATTTCTTGCATTTTCTCTTCTCGTCGTCGTTCCGGAAGGCATTCACGGCATCCTTGACCTGAGTTCCAAGATCGGTGCAGTGAAAGGAGGCCTCGTGGACTACTGAACCACAATCCTGGCAGTACCATCTGAGGCGGTCTACCGAATCGGCTGGCCGCGGCTGCTCGAGAACAATGCCGACTGTATTGGCAAAGCGGACAGGATTGTGAGGAGTGTTTGGGGGCAGAAGGAACATGTCCCCTTCCTCGATGTAAATGTCCCTGAAAACATCTCCCTCGTCGACGACCTTCAGCAACATCCGACCTTTGTACTGGTAAAACCATTCGGCTGTGGTATTGATGTGGTAATCCGTTCGTGCATTAGGACCACCAACAATCTGAATTATGTGTTGTTAGAAATATTATTCTTTTTAGATAGGTCACGTGAATGGTAGGGAGCGATATGGAAGGGGATTGATGCTCATGATATATTGCGAGAACATGCTTGAAATACTGACCATTACTGTGACATTTTCGTTGTAGACACAGTAATTGTTGATCGGTGGCTGTAGCAGGTGAGAGTTCTCCTGCAGCCTAAGATTTAAGCAAGAAAATGGGTCAATATCCATCGACGAATTTGAGTATTTTGGTAGTGGGGGGAACCTGATGTTTCATACCATTTTGGCAAATTTAGCGGAGAAGAGAGCATTGTTAATGGCTTGCCTGGTCGAGTGAAGCCGCTACGTAAAGTGCAATTAGAAGATACAAAATATGAGGAAACTGAGGGAACGGCACGGTTTATGTTTGATTTGGGATTATTTTACAAAGATGAGCGGTTGCCGGTCTGAATTTATCGAGAATGTAAGCTCTTGCTCATAACTGCAAAGCGGGTCCGCTGATAATTGATTTTTGCTTATCAATTACGACAATCGACCAAGTCCGCGTGAGCTAACACGTGACCGTAAACGTCAATACCCTCACTATTTGGCCTTCAGTGCTGACCACCTTACTTGCCCGACTAACCTCAGGTATCTGGCTACGTGGATCGTTACATTATTTCAATACCTGCGTCTAGTGCTTAGGTTATTTAGATAGCTTCAAAATAATTTTCTCTCATTCGTGCGAAAGCATACACTTTAAAGGCACACTATACAAGGCAGAAAGCAAGCACCAGCATGATGGACCATGGCACCCACGGCGACATGCCTATGGACCACGCTCACCGTTGCAGCATGAATGTTAGTACTCTCTCTGCCGCCGTCATAGATTGCCCTAGCGGAAGAATGAACGACAAAAATTCCTAATCCTTTTTTGCAGATGCTGTTTACTTGGAACACAAAGGATCTCTGCATTGTGTTTTATTCATGGCACGTTCATTCTACTCTAACCCTACTTGGCTCACTTGTGGCTATCGTTGCCCTTGGGGCGGGGTATGAATATGTCCGCGAGATCTCCCGCCGCTATGAGCAAAGGTGCGCTGCGCATGCGGCCACTCTTCCACGTAAGTAGCAACTAATACAACGTGCTATTCATTCCGCTTTGCCCTTTGGCTCCAATACCCACGCTCTTTCTCTTTCGCATCAGGATTCTCTTGTGAATGAATGCGAAGCTGAACAGCTGTCCCTGCTATCCACAGCAAACGACCGTCCTGAGGAAGTGAGCTCATTACTTTGGCCAGGGAGGAACGCTGCAGAGCTTGACAGAAAGTCCAAGGTCATCAAGGCGCTTCTATACGCGATACAGGTCTTTTATAGCTTCTTCATCATGTGAGTAATTTCCCGCGCTCGATGTATTCGGACTTATGTTGGTTTCTTGGACATAAATCTAAATCATCTGGTAGGCTTTTGTTTATGACGTATAACGGCTGGATTATGATTGCCGTAGCAGTCGGGGCGTTTGTGGGTTATTTGATCTGGGGCGGTTCGAGCGCGACGAAGAGCGTGGCATGTCACTAAGCCTATCATCCAGAATGTGGAGAAAGGTGGCGATTGCAGCATCACAGCTAATGCATGGTTGAAATTTAATCTTTTTTCAGCGGAAGGCATCTAAGCTGCGGCGATACTTCTAACTGCTTTATCATCCGCGCCTATTTTAAGTTTTAGCGGCATGGCGATATCCAAGTGCCCGAAGATCATATATCGGAACCTTCCAGCGACATCTTGTTTTGACGATCTCGATATAGCATTAGTTCAAATCAAATAAAGCGCTCTTCAAGGTATTTCTTCATCATCGTCACCTCCAAACCCAAAGCTAAATCCTCCGCCATTTTCGCCGCTGTCTCCGCTGTCATTCTTCACAACCTCGTCCCATTTCCGCTTCTTCTTCTCTCTGAGCTTTTCTAGCTCCTGCAGCCCTTCTTCTAGGACTTCAGGATGTCTCTCACGCATTTTCTGCACAAATGTCTCAAATGGATCTGAGACGTCAGTTTTAAAGCCCGACACCTGATCAGCTTTATCTTTAAGAAAGCCAAGTGCGGCTGACAGGTGAGCGCGTGGAATGAAATTTTGTGTGATGGCGATAGATGGTGTTAAATTGACGACGAGGTGCCACCATCCTGATACAGGTCAGTGGAAGGAAGATAACATTGACTCTTTTGGACCGACTTACCGGATGGGACGTGGAGAACCTCCCCTTCCTGACAAATTCCCTCGAGACATCCCTTGGTCCTGCGCGCTTCGGCGTGAAAACTCAAGAGCCATTCAGCGATACTCAAAGGGCTTGTCACCTCGCTCTGGTCCTCAGAAACAAACACGCCAGGAGGTGGAGGGAGTGTTGAGGTGTTAGGGAACATGATCCAGTATTTGGAGCCTCTGATCACGGCATTCCAAGCGCTGCGAGAAAAGTCAATGAGAATATGCACTTGCGAATTTTTTTTATTGCACCATTACCTTGTGGCATTCGGGTCTTTGTGGAATGTGCTACCGCTCCTCTCCGGTCCGACAATCAGCCATCTGCTATCTGGCCTTTGGTCGCCCAGCACCGCAAAGAGATCTTCTCCGAAACATCCAGGAATCCAGTAATCAGCGCCCTCCTCTTTTCCAACCTTCAGCTTCATCTTCTCGACGAATCCTCTGTCAAAAAGATATAGTGGGCTTTCATCACTGCTATTTTTCATGTACTCGATGTAACTTCGCATCGGCCAATCCACCGCTTCGGCTCGGAATTCAACGTCGCCATATTGCTCATTCAGTCCATCCACTGACCAGCGATGATACACAGGCCATTCCCGAACAGGCTCCGTTAGGATAAATGGCCGGTCTGTCCATTCAGCTGAAAATTCAGCCGCGGTGAGATTGGATAGACGAGCAATTTGATTGCGCGCGGGTATGTTGGACACGTATGGTGTCAATGGCGTATGGGCACAGAAGAAAGGTCGATGAAGAGCGTCAGAGAAGAGATAAGAACAATCAACAGGGTATTTTGCAAAGAGGGAATTAGCAAAGTAAGTCGCACGCCAAGTGCCATGCCATTGAATTTGCTCCCGTGGTGACCTATTCCAGATAATCTTAGCACGTGCCCGAAACAGATACACATATGCAGATGAAATTTTGCAGTAGAAAATTTAAATTGGACCTCTAGAGTATGAAAAACACAAAGCCTTTTGCAGGCCGCAAGTTGTCACCAAACATTGCAAGATAGGGGAATTCATTATACCAAAAACGAACACAGAAAACAATGAACAATAAGTAGCATAGCATGCGCAGCAATATCAACCTGTATATAAAACTCAAAAATGAAAGATCTGAACATTTAAGGAGAGAAAATTCGAGAAACACAAAATAGGGTTCGTACTCAATGAAGAGAGTCTTCCACAATTCCTCAAAGGTGGAAAAAGCATAAAGTGCTTTACAAGTTGCTCCAAGCCGTGTCAAGGACTTGGCATCCAAATTTTCCAATATTTGGATGATTAATTCGTCTGCGAGTGAGTAGAAGTTGCCACATGCTGTCTTCATATCATAGCGGGCGACATAGGCGTTACCCGCAGGTTTAATCCCCAAAGGGTGCTGGGGTATCGTGACTGGCTTTTCGCCAGACTCATCAGGCTCATCAATCAAGTCCTGTCGCATATGGCTGGGTAGATTGATTATCTTGCCATTTAAGGCCTGGTTTTGGATTTCCGGAGAAATCACCGACGGTGACATCTGGTTCACTTCCAAACAGTCGATTTCTGACAACGGTGAAACTTGTGACACTAGTAAATCCGTGAAAACCACGTTTGGCCACTCGGGAAACATGAAATCTTCGCTTAGCAAACACCAGCACACAACTATCATATGAGCCCTGGCAGTGAATTTTGTAGGAAGTTCTCCACCGACATTCCATTTATAACTACAACTTCAAAAATTCATAGCTTGCAGTACAACAGTATCATCTTGACGTGATAAAGTAATTGAATTTTAGATATTATCTGTCCTAGTGAAGAATTTAATCACGTAAATTCACTCAAGCAGTGACGGCGAATGGTGAGGGGCTGCTGAAAAGATTCTTGTTCCGAATGTCCCAAAACAGTTTAGTGTCATACTCTTTCTCGCCCGCACTAGTAGGAAACAATTTTTGAGATCATCTTGCGCTCTTCCGATCCTCTTCTCTTCTCCTCATCAACTTTGATACACCAGAACAAAGCATACATTTACCACCCACTAGATCCGATCGACTCTCATAAACGGGAGTCTTGGTATCTAGTTTTTTAAGTTCAATCTTAACTTTGCTCGTCGCGGTGCCCTACTGAGGACACCGTTCAACCGCTTTACGCGCAGTTCCATTTAGATCGCAAAGGCACACCTTGCGATCTTTTTCCATTCATCGCAATCATGGCTACCGACAAAGGTCTTGAGGAGCTCCCCGAGGGTATGAATCCTTTTCATCGATAAAATGGCTCAATGTTGGGTGCAAGTGGCGATATTCGCCCATGTCTGCACTGATAACGTAAAATTCGAACGAGATACTGACGGGATACTTCTTTAGGTACCATCGAATCCAACTACGATGAGACCGTCGACTCCTTCGACAACATGAACCTGAAGCCTGAGCTTCTGCGCGGTAAGCTTTTTGCCCGGATTGCATTTTCAAGAGCATTGCTAATCGAATCATGAAGGTGTCTACGCTTATGGTTTCGAGCGTCCCTCCGCCATTCAGCAGCGTGCTATTATGCCTGTCATCAAGGGTAAGCCAGCATCAAGTCCTTTTCATCCCCGCTCCTAGCCAACTAAAACTCGTGCAGGCCACGATGTCATTGCCCAGGCCCAGTCCGGTACCGGAAAGACCGCTACTTTCTCCATCTCTGTTCTCCAGAAGATCGACCCCAACGTCAAGGCCTGCCAGGCTCTCATCCTTGCTCCTACTCGTGAGCTTGCCCAGCAGATCCAGAAGGTCGTTGTTGCCATTGGCGACTACATGAACATTGAGTGCCACGCCTGCATTGGTGGTACCAGTGTCCGTGATGACATGAAGGCCCTTCAGGACGGCCCTCAGGTCGTCGTCGGTACCCCTGGTCGTGTCCACGACATGATCCAGCGTCGTGTCCTCAAGACCGACTCCATGAAGATGTTCGTCCTCGACGAGGCCGACGAGATGCTTTCTGTATGCAAACCCTTTCTTCTCGCTTATTGGAGCCCAAATCTGACCTTTTCCACAGCGTGGTTTTACCGAGCAGATCTATGATGTCTTCCAGCTCTTGCCTCAGTCCACCCAGGTCGTCCTTCTCTCGGCTACCATGCCCCAGGACGTCCTTGAGGTTACCACCAAGTTCATGCGTGACCCCGTCCGTATCTTGGTCAAGAAGGCCGAGCTTACCCTTGAGGGTATCAAGCAGTTCTACATCGCCGTCGAGAAGGAGGACTGGAAGCTTGACACTCTCTCCGATCTGTACGAGACTGTTACCATCACCCAGGCTGTCATCTTCTGCAACACCCGGAGAAAGGTTGACTGGCTCACCGACAAGCTCACCGCCCGGGACTTCACCGTCTCTGCCATGCACGGTGACATGGACCAGACTCAGCGTGACCTCATCATGAAGGAGTTCCGCTCTGGTTCTTCCCGTGTTCTGATCGCCACTGACTTGCTTGCCCGTGGTATCGACGTTCAGCAGGTCTCTTTGGTCATCAACTATGACCTCCCCGCCAACCGTGAGAACTACATTCACCGTATCGGTCGTGGTGGTCGTTTCGGTCGTAAGGGTGTTGCCATCAACTTCGTCACTGCTGACGATGTCCGCATGATGAGAGAAATTGAGCAGTTTTACAGCACCCAGATCGAGGAGATGCCCATGAACGTTGCTGGTAAGTCCTATCTTGATGCGGTTATGCGCTGCTTCAAAATGCTGACTCTATCCCAGATCTCATCTAAGTTCACTTCTAATAATTTACGTTTGGTATATCACGTATTCTCGACATCATCTTTGACTTGGTAAAGCATCGAATAGATTGGTCGGGAATGTCCTCTTAACAGGAGGAAAAGTGATGGTGAGCAGAGCTGGTTCGCCCGGCCTGCGGGGAATTTATTTAGGGTTTACTAAAAGTAGGGAAGTCCTGGGGGTTTTCTAATTCTGGGATCTCTCGATTTCTAGTTGTCTTCTGCATACTTGTCTGCTGCTTTTTTATCCTGCATTCGGCTGTCGGCTGTGGGTCTTCTCTTGTTTCTATCCAATTTCTTCGTTAGATAGGTCATCGGTTCGGCCTGGGACCTGCTTGTGCCATTTGCTCTCTAGGTGGTGCTTATGATAACTCATCTGGAGATTCGGAGTTGACACGTTCAGATGACCAGGAATGCCGATGATAATGATGATGCTCTTTTTCCAACCTTTACCACGTTAGACCAATGCTATGATTTCTTTGATCTGATTCTCCCGTGTGCACTTAATATTCTATGTCCATTGTTAAAGACTAATTTCTCACTCGCTTACGCATGCTATGGTTATACCGTCATGGGATCCTCTGCTCGTTGCAGATACACATCACGACCACAAATGAATAAGCCTCTCCCTGTTTCTCTAAACATTTTCACAGGCATCAGCTCCTCCTAAAGCAGAGTGCTCCTTCACTGGGCCTCGTTTCTGCCTTCAAGTTGATTAATCTGCCCACTCTTTCACAGCAAAAATGCCTGCACCATCATCACCCACCTCTCTCCTCTGGGCCCATAAATTCCGCCTATCTCTTGCCGCATTTTCTGAGCGACTAGCTAGACTCGAGGCATCTACTGTCGAAAAGAATGCCGCACTTACATCCACCACAGCTGCAGCATCGTCTGCAGCCACAGATGCAACTTCTCTGGCAAAAGAACTGAGTGCTAAGCTCGACACAGGCCTCCAGGGCTTCCATGATACGCTGGATGCAACCCAAAAGGATGCCGCAGTTGCGCTCGAAGCTTGCATGTCTGTTCTCAAACACGAAAATGAAACGTTGCGGTCGAGAATCAGTCACCTGGAAGGAAAGATTGAGAGATGCACACTAGCAAGCAGCCAGCTGGAAGCTCAATGTAGGACTATTAAAACACAATGCATTCAAATGTCGAAAGACTGCCGTGGCAGATATATACAGGCAGAAAGGGACAGTCCAGTTGGAATTGCCCCGCCGCAAGTGCACAGACATCTGTCGAGCCCAAACAAAAATCATAGCACCAATTTCTGCATGGAATCTATGCAAGAGGCACAAGAGATGCAACTCGTGAAGTCGCAGGAAATGCATTTAGTTCTGCAAAATAACAGTGACGTGATGCTCAACGACGATTTACAAGCTGGGGTCAAGATATCAGCAGCCAAACAAAGGCATTATCCAACGAGTCGTCTGAGGCAGCCTAGACTCTCCTCTCGTTCTTCAACGCTTTCCAAGTCGTCAAATGCCAACGCAAATGCAAATCCAGGTCACAACGTGCCGTTAAGCCAGACAACAGTATCAAATTGCAGGATAACAAGTCCTCCACAACAAACAGACTCAAGTATCTCAACTGCCTCAGATCCAAAACCAAAACCAAAACCAAAGCCAGTGACATTTCCAACCAGCACTTCTACTGATACTCAACCGGACACAGTATCGGAACGTTCTGCTCCCCTAAGACATAATCTACGCCCGAGAAGAGCCCAGCCGGAGAGACAAGCAAAGCTACATGCCAAGAGAGAACTGTCTTTGAAAAGGACCAGCTCTGTCAAGGTTACAACTTCTAGCAAGAAAAATGCAACTCTGAACGATCAGTGCAGTGGTCAGGATCAAGACCAGATACCAACAAAAATACAATCGACAATCGACGGCGAGCATTATTCGTCTCCGCACAACAACCCGCCGGCAAAAGCGAAAGATGAAATGCGAAACGTAACGTTCTCTTCCAGGTCAGGACAGCCGGAGAGGCCGTCAGTTGGAAAAGATGTATCGTTGATTTCATCTGCGGCTTCAGCAGGCTCAAGTTCAAGTTCAAGTTCTCGTAAGCGTACAAGAATTACACAACGAGGTTTTGTTGGAGAAGAGGAGGTAGAAGAGGATCCAGAACCTCGGGTGGTGCAGCAGCAGCAGCAGCGCTATAGATCGTCGGGAGTGGCATGTTATTCGTCCCCTGCGAAAGAGCGCACAGGAAGTAGCAATGAAGCAAAGACTGGTGAGGACAGTGTGGGTAATACTAGCGAGGTAGGCCGGCAGAACGAAGGGATTGCATCGGCACCTTCGTCGACGCTGAAGCGCAAGAGATATATCTTGTCCCTGGAAGAAATGGTCACGGCGGGCTTGATTCAGTTGAAATAAATTCTGTTTACTCATGTAGCTGGTTGAGCATCTTTTAGATATTACAGGAAGACCTATACAAGCATAAATTCACTTGAAACTAATTCAACATAGAAAGAATAAGTTTTTGGGAGAAGATTGTTTGCATTAGATGACCAGAAAAGGCACTTAAATACTTTCAAGTGTGTCTTGAATAAGGACCTCTCCAAGATGTGGCCATCCAATCGGCTGTATTATATTTTTGTTTGATGATATAAGGTAGATGAAGGCCGCTAGAACGCTTCAGGTATATGTATATATGCCTTGAACCCAAAAAATTGGGGGAAGAGAAAAGGTAGAAAATGGTATGAGAAAGGGATATGTAGAAGAAGACAGGATGAAAAGGATATATAAGAATACAGAATGAAAGGGATATCAAAGATCAAGCAATGGGCTTCAGTTCCAAGTTGTTTGCTTGAAGCGACTTTGCCTCAGCATTGGCAATAGCACTCTGCAGCGCACTAGTGAGATCAATGTGGAAGAGTGGGCGGTTGATGCCGTGAACAACAGCCACCTTTGGATGAGGAACCTTCAAGGCCGTGCCGTAGCCTGCAGAGTCTTTGCCTTCCAACGAGCTTTGCGATTGAATGTGGATCTCATCCTTGTGCGCACTTTGCGACCGAGCAGACTCAGCATCCTGTGTACGTAGACGCTGGAGCTCCTTGATATTTTCGTCCTTCTCGGCGACCGCGGCGGCAGAGTCTTGGCCGCCAATCTCGGCAACGCTAAACACGGGTTTCCACCGGTGGAACTGACTATCAGAGGGAGTAGGGTAGCCGAAACCAGCGGATGCAAGAGCACGTTTTGTCCAGCGGTTGTTGATGCATGCAAAGTGCCAGTCTACCCGGTCGGGAGCCGCGTAGCGGTCGAGCTGATTGCGTACATCAATGAGTTGTTGAACGGAGGTGATATCGACGTTGTTAACCGAGGAGAAGTCAAGGACGATAGCCTTGAGTGTAGGCCGGTGGTCATCCACTTGAACTTCCTTGCCGCGGCGCGGGCCAGGGTCATTCCATGGACGGTCCTGCAAGGGTAAATATTAGCCAAACTGAAATGGTAAAAAAAAAAAAAAAAAAAGAAAACGAAAAACACAACGCTGAGATGACATACTCCTGGACGTCCATAGGTGAAGGGATCAGTCCGCTGGGTCTCCTTGAAGATGGTAGCCACCAGCTTGTCAAGGTAGTGATTGGCGTTGGGATAGTTGAATCCTTCAGAGAAGCGGTAGATGTAGATGCCAGGGTAAGGTCGCTCCACATCGATTTGAGGGTTGGAACCATCCTGGTGGTCAATGGGCAAAAAGATGTTTCGGACAGAGGCATCGTTGTTTCCCTTGAGAGGCTCCCGAGCATCATCTTTATCATCCTCCAGAACGTGGTCACCAACGACAGAGTGGATCTTGACCCGACCGAGGAATCGGCCACGGGCCTTAACGACACGGAACAGCAGCAAGGCAGCAGACACGCAAATCGTGGTGTAGATACCGTTTTCGATGCTGGAAAAGACGGTAATGATTACTCCTGCGAAGAAGATGAGTACCTCCAGTGGGGAGACACGCCAAAATTGGTAGACGGTGTTGGGAGGAGTAATCAAGTCGCCAACGGCGTGGATGATGACTCCAGCAAGCGTGGCATTTGGAATGTAGTAGAAGACAGCAGGGAGCGCGTAGATAGCAAGCAAGACCACGATAGCAGTGATGACACCTGCGAAAGGAGTTCGGACGCCTGCCTTGGACTTGATGGCTGTACGCGAGAAAGATCCGGTAGCAGGGTAACCTCCAAGGAACGGTCCGAGTAGGTTAGTGACACCAATAGCGACCAGCTCCTGGGATGGGTCGATTGTGTAGTTGTTGACCCGTCCAAATGACTTTGAAATGGCAATGTGCTCAATGAGGAGTACAATGACTGTAGCAGGCAATTGGCTTGCAAAAGCCTTGATGACGGTCTTGTTGACAGTGGGGACCCGGGCATGCTTAAAGCCTGCATTGCAATGTCAGTGAAAGGGTTGCAGAAAGATCATTTGAGAGGAAATAGGGCGAAGTGAAAGCATACCTCTAGGAACCTTGCCCAAGATCTTAAACGCATGATGAGACCTCCGGTGCCGGTTGACCAACCAGGAAATCAGGGTGTACAAAAGGATGACGAAAGCTGTCCGCAAAGTTGAGATGAAAAAGATGAGTTTCTCGTGCTTGGGGTACTTTCTCGCGGCATATTTGCAAGCCGATCGGATGATGTAGAGCATGGCCAAGGCTGTCAAGCCCATGGCAGCATTTAGATTCGATCGGCCAAGATGCTTGAGGGTGTTGATGACAACTAGATAGGTTGAGGCGCGAGTGGAAAACCCTGAGATGCCCATCATCGTAGGTACCTGACCCACAGCGATGTTGAGCGCCGAGCCAGTCATGAAAGCTGAAATGGATGCGAGCGAGATGAAATCTACGATCCAACCACAGCGCACCAAACCGATGAATACAATGATGGCCCCGGCAATGATTGCCAGAGCAGATGCCACTTCGTCTGGTGCAAGATCCGGATTGGTTTTTTTAACATTGAGGACAACGTTTCCCACGATTGTGGACATGACAGCAACAGGCTGAGGAATACGTCAGCACCCAGAACCTGTTGTTGCAACTTTATCAAGTACACTTACACCAATGGTGATATCTTTTGACGTGGCGAAGAACCAGTAGATGAGAACTCCCATGAAGGAAGAATACAGACCAAATTCAGGCTTTAGCTCTGCCAGACCGGCGTAGGCCATACCCTGTGGTACAACGACACACCCGACGGTGATACCTGAAGGGGTAAATCTTAATACGGTGTCATATCTTATATCACGGGGAAAAAAAAAGACTTACCAGCAACAAGATCTCCGAAAAGCCATTGGAGATTGTAACGAAGGATCCAATTGGTGAAGGGGAAAAGGCTGCGTGCATATTGAACGAGCTCATGACCAGATGGTAAGGTCTCGCGAACCCATTCTACCGCGGTCGGTTCTTCCTCAACAAACGTGTCCGTGGTGGAAACAGAAACAATAGATTCACCGCGGGTCACGACGGCTTGCTCGTTTTGCCTCTGGTCATCCAGCTTGATGCCAAGAACCTTAGCCAGGAGATGGCCAGTCTTGGAAGGAAGGGAAGCAGCCATGTCTATGGAAATGACAGGCGCAGTCGATGCTGGCCGGGATGCTTTGGTCTGAGGAGCTTAGTCCCTGCAGAAGGCGGCCAAACGGGATGGTAAGGGCCGTAAGCAAAGCAGAACCCGAATGCAAGATGACTATCCGAACACGAGGAGAAGGTGGGATGCTTTAATATAATAAAACAAAAGTGACTTAGGGAGGTAAGCCAAGCAGGACGCTAAGATCTCAAGGATCGTGAAAGGAATCAATTTTCCTTCAGATGCGATCTAGGCGACGCCGCACCGCAGATAAGACTCCCACAGCTTTTTTCAAACTCTTCTCTGCACAATGATGAGACGATGCGTATGACCCCGGAAAGATGAGGGCGATCAAGATGAGCAATGCACAAACATCGGACGAATAGTATCAAATGAACGGACCGAAAGGGGGTCCAGACTGCAAGCCTCTTATGGCGGGAGCTGGGAAAAAAACAATGAAAAGGAAAGCACAAGAGAAGAGAATTGGCACAGCAGTGGATGAACACATGAGCAATAAGACGACATGATGGGCGGGCGGTGGCTTTCCAGGGCTTTTTGCTTGTCTCAGCATCAACTTGGTGAACAACGGGCAGTGATGAGCGTATGGGTGTCGATGGCATCACTCAGACGGACCATCATTGGAGGAGAGAAATTCTAGTTCTGGGGCTCACTCGACGCGATCTGTACCTTTTTTCGCTTAGCCGAGAGCACGCCATACGCAACGACAGCCTTTAACTGAACCAAAGCCAAAGTCTAATCGATTTTCTGTCACGTAAGTCCCAGAGTTCGGAGCTTTGCATCAAATGAGAATATCCCATCTGGGTCCTCGGAAGCCGTCACATCATGTCCCAGGCGACATGATGATTCCAAAAGTGTAGATAAAGACCAATGTAATTTGTCACGTTTATTGAAGCATGAATCACATTGGTACGTAAAGCCAAGGCCGAGTCGGAGGCGAAAGACAGAGAGAGAGAATGAGAAGAAAAGAATTGCGCAATGTTCCTGGACCGCAGTAGCAGGTCGATGTCGTTTCAATGGATGACAGCGTAGTATGGAGCATAGCACATGTTTGGCATGTGCGAGGTGGAAGCTCTAAGTGTCGTAGGTGATTAGTATAGTTATGCCCCAGTCCCTCCCGAAGCGGGAGAAGGCAAATCTAATCTATGAAAAGATTTGAACGGAGCATTAGTTAGTTATAGCCGTCCTGGTCTACCCCGAATTTAGCCTGAGAAAATCTTCCCGGCCAATCATGTTCGGCCTACCGAAGACTGACTTTTCTCGAGTGGGTTGTCAAAAGGCAAAGACTGAGCACATCGCCGTCAGTACCTCAACCTCCGTCAAACTCAGTTCTGGCCCTTTCGCCCAAATTATCTATCCCCACCGTCCTGATATCATCCTTCATCACGGTAGAGTACTCCGTAAGACGGTACGATTCCCCGCTATGCGCGAGCCGCCCTTAGCGCGTTTCGGGCGACACGACAAGGAGTAGTTTGTAAACACCCACCGCCTGGCAATGTGTAGATTTTTATGTGGGGATCATCATGAGGACATTGATATTAAGAGTGTCTCGCATTGAGTACAGCCTTTGCTAGCATCTTGACAGGCAGTGATCACTGAGACCGCATGAGACCAACTAACGGATCATATGAGGCGGGATATACCAACATACAAATATAGTATAACAACCAAATAAACTCATCTCATATCAAGTACTACCGGATTAAATCCATCTACAAAGTTCTTATCAAATAGACTGATAAATCGCTCTCAACTGATCCCCACTTTTGTTAGGATTCTAGTCCCCACGTTCTACGGTTTTAAGTATGTTAAATTGGTCTATGGATTATCGTACCTGCTGTTCCGTAATGAGTTTATAGTAGTATGGGAGGCCTCATGTCTCAATTAAACCAAATCGATGATGACTGGGATCATCTAGGGGTGTGTTTTGAGCTAATGATCTGGGTCGCAGTTATAGCTGAAAATCTACCCCACATTGCACATGGTGGAGCCTCGAACAGGAGCTCACCGAGTTTTTACCTTGTGACTCTCCCGCTCTTCATTAGCAAACGGTGCAGGACCTAATATTCTAGAATGTTTTATGAAGTTTCGATGGAGCGAATTGCTGCTAACTCAATCATTGGGGCGAAATCCAAGTCACAGCTAGAGAACCACGTGATTAGCCTTGTTCCCTTGTTACCATTTTGCAACACCGCCAGGAGAATGGAGAGATTTCGGAGACGATTCCATACTCCTGTCATCTACATACTGACAATTACCTAAATATTTTTTCAAATACAGTTCGAGTCATAATGTTATCAAGGTGTTACCAGCGCCATGCTTAAAGGTTCTTAAGACAGTTACCTTGTACCATAGTGCACGCCAAACAACCGAAATTTGGGGGTTGTTTTTAGCTACGGAGTATGCGTGGCTGGGGAAGCACGCGCCGTGGCTGGTTGGCTATAGGGGAAAGAGGCTCAACTCCAAACCGCGACGACATCACCATCAGCACCGACCTTTCTCACGCTCGTTGTGGTCAATCACGAATTCTAACCTACTCATATCGTTCGCTCCTTTAACTACGAAATCTTTCTTTCCATTCAGTTCTCTCAGCTCATGTGGTCCTTTCAAGCATTGTGATCATATTTCCATTTCGACCCCTGATCTAACACCTAGGGGTCATACCTGAGAACCGTATCTTTAAAAGACATCTCTCCATTCCGCTCGCCGATGTGATGTCGTCCACATCGTCTAATCCGTCGATACCCAATATACCTCCTCCAACTGCCCCCTGGAATCCCACACCTGTCTCGCCAAAGCCGCGCGGTCTTCGCAAGTTGCACTCTACCCAAGCCTTGTCACAATCGGCCGCTCTGAACGTCCCGATTTCTGCACAGTCACGCCTTCGACAACAGCGCTCCGTATCTGCTTTCCATAAAGATTCCCTCAACAATCAATTGTCTGCAATTAGCTCGTCGCGACCGTTTGGCCGAGCCAGATCGAATAGCGATGCCTCTACGAAAGGTCCACCCACCGTCGCACTTCCAATTCGACGTGGCGCGGGGCAGAGTTCATTACCGACACCAACCACCACCCCAAAAAGCTTAGATATAATGTTAAGACATGTCCCGGCTAAAAATGAGATACCACTGGGTATTCAAGAAATAAAGACATTGGTTCTCGCTCACGGCGTTCCAAGTGACAGTGACGGAATGGTATACTCATCCAGCAATGCAATGGATAAGCACGAACTAATAAAGTCCAGTCTACCTCCCGGATCTACTTGTGGTTAATTTTTCTCAGCGCGCCTTCTCTACCTACCGATAACTACCTTGGTTTGATTCACCGCGGTCCCTCCCCGGCATATTCGAAAATCCGCAATGATACCTTTCGTACACTGGCGACTGATCCTCTTTTCCGAAGAAGAGTTAGCGAAGCGAGCTTGATCCGATTATTGAATGCCGTGGCTTGGAGGTTACATGATGCCAAGGAGGAACGCAACCTTAGCACCAAGAATCAATCTGCAATAACAACCCTGGCTGAAGCCAGTCCTGAGCTCCACCCGGTGTTCAACTTTATACCTTCAGCTAAGCATGCTCGCGGCCCGCCAACCGCAACCACGACCGAGGGCTCTGAAGCAGGAAGTGCTGAGCCAGGTACTTATGTGCAAGGGATGAACGTGCTTGCGGCTCCGTTCCTCTACGCTGCGCGCAGTGAAGTGGAGGCTTTCGTGGCCTTCCATCGCTTTCTAACAGAAGAGTGTCCTGGGTATGTGAGAGGTGCTATGGAGGGTGTTCATCGAGGCCTTTCCCTTGTTGATAGGGTGCTGGCCATTGTGGATCCAGCTCTATCAGCATATCTGCTGTCAAAAGGCATGCAGGCCAAGTTGTACGCCTTTCCATCTGTACTAACACTCTGCGCCTGCACTCCACCTCTTCCAGAAGTACTTCACCTCTGGGACTTTCTGTTCGCCTCCGGAGCACATATGAATGTCCTATGTATTGTGGCACAATTAATCATGACCCGAGATGCGATCCTCGAGAGCCCAAGGTTTGTTTTGCCCATGTCCTGTCACTCTCTGCGTCTGCTTACGGATTTGCAGCCCCATGAAAGTTTTAAGGTCATTCCCTCCACTACAAGCTTCCAAGATAAAGTGGCTTGCTATTAGTATCCTCGACCGAATCCCCAATGGTCTCTACGATGAGATTGTTGATCACGCCAAATAACCCCCAGACCGCTGGATTTTTCTTGTCTCTCCGAATCAGAGATGTTTCGTCCGTTCTGGTGCCCCTCATTCATGCGATGCTCATTTCCTTTTTTTACGAATGCCTCTCGTCGTACCATTAGTCCCCAGACGATGGTCTACGTCATGGCAATTTGGTTTAACTTGCTCGTCTTAGCGGGCTCGAAGCACGAGTAACGACAGTTATGTTTTGATGAAACCCAATAGTTTGATACGCACTGATGACATTTTCATTTGTCTATTTTTCCTTGGCTCTCTTTATAGATAGCACATTCACGAGTCATATAACAGAGCGCTCGAGTAATATGATCATTCATGATTCTTTTCATAGATTTGCCTTTGATTGGAATCCTTCGCGGACACGTTCGATCAAACTCCAGGCAAATTCTCCAAACGGTGCCATCTGCACAATGTATTCGTGCGCTTTGGCGCTACTGGCCTGCCTTCGTGCAGACCTTGCAGCAATTCCTTGCATGATAATTGACCCTCTGAAAATGCCAAAGGCATCTCCCCATGGCATCTCTATAGATGGATCCCATCCAGCCACTTCCCGATACCACTGAATACATTGGCCTCGATATGGAATTCCCGGAGTGACCCCAGGACGAAATTCAGGGTGATCCCGAATACCGCTGCCTTCTGGTACGTTTGCCAGGACGTACGGAGTTGAAAGATTGGCAAGATCTGAAAGCGGATGTCCTATCGTTGACATCTCCCAGCTATACAGAAAAAGAAAAGTCAGATAAATTATGAACGTGAAAACGCGAAGGACATGCAATACTCACTCCAGAATACCAATTACTATTGGTTTTGTTTTATGATATACCAAATTATCAATTTTGTAGTCTCCATGTATCAGCGTCCCGCGATCTCTAGGCTGCATTTTCGGATCTCGAAAGAATGCTTGCATATCATCAAAATGCGGAATCTTGCCGACAGGTTTTTTGGTGTCAATATCCTCAGTTTGAGCCTGGGAATTGGATATTGTGTTGAAAGTCTGCAGTTGCCGATTATAAAACCCTGACGCTTTCCCGTAGCTCTCCAGGCCTATGGAGGCGGGGTCGATACGATGTAGTTTTGCGAGCGTGCGTATGGCATCATGCCACCTGCCAGAAAGACTTATGTTAGCCAAAATAATCCTCACATGGGAAAGATATTTCTTATTCAAGAAACCAAAAAAAAAAAAAAAATCAACAGAAAATACATTTCGTATCTCTCGGCAGGCGAGACCCCAGGAAACGTCGGGTCTTCAAAGATTCGACCATCCAGAAAACTCATAACGTAGAAAGGTGTTCCAATAACACTGTCATCTTCGCAAAGACAGTACGCCCGCGGGACAGGCACGTCTGTTCCCTGGAGTGCATCTATGATTCTGTACTCGCGGTCCACCCGATGTGCGGTTCTTGAGAGAAGTTTCCCGGGAGGCTTTTTCCGTAGCACGTATCTCATTCCAGTACGGTCCGTGAGCTGGTAGGTTGGATTCGACTGGCCGAATCCAAACTGTGACGGGTGTCAGTGATAACTCTGTTCCCTGCGGTACGAGGCACAGAAGATGGCTGACCTGTTTGATTTTAACGGGTATAGCTATTTCCGGTACATGGTTGCTCAGATATGCGTTCAAAGATTCCACGTTAATGGGCTGTCGTACTTCTCCGGCCATGGTGAAGCTGCCCCTCTATAGATAAACAAAACATAACCCATCTTTCGCGGAGGTGCTTGTTCGTATGGGTGTGACAGTTGTGCTGTACTGCACCCTGCCCACGAGCCGAGGTTAAGAATCAACAGGGTCGTTAACTAATTGAAATCTGGGGTTGCGTGGCTCCCGGAGCTAGCAGTGCGACCCCGGTACCCTCATAGATTTCCAGTTGAGCCTTTACCTAAAAGTCAAACAACATTGAAATTGCTTAATTTGGTATATGTACAAGTGAGATAATATTTGACAATTCTTTGTAGTGGATCCATTATAAGTGTAGAATCATTTGTCTTGTTTGCCGTCACATATGTAAATGTATATATATCATGCTCGCATCAACATTGCATCGCTGGTTCGCCCAATTGTAAAACGATGCATAACTCAATTACTACCGAGAAGCCTTGACGGAACAAGCAAAAGGAGTGGATGTCAAGACTTAGGATCTTTTACATCCTCCAGCATGGACATTCTGGTCTTGAATTCTCGTGGGCTCTCAAAATCTGCCTTTTTGGCCGACCACATGCCCTTCCTCCTTTTCTTCGCCCACCATTCTGCGTTGCGATATTTAGCTTCGAGCTTCCCAAACTCTGCTCCACTTTTTGCCTCATATACAGTAGCAAGCCCTCTCTTTAGCATCTCCAAGCCGACATCTCTGCGTAAGAGCCATCGTCGTACATAAACTGTAGAAACAACACGGTCATATTGGTCGCGCTTGTAGATATAGGCTCGCACGCGGCGGTTCGATATGTACGATGTGAGCCAGTCTAAAGCTTGCTTGGAAAAAGGCTGAGCTGGCTTGCCAAAATGCGAAAGCTCGGGGGCGTCCACACCGGCCAGCCGAATGTGGATCTTCAAGTATAATTGCGTTAGCCAATATCAATCTTTGTACAGAATAGTCTTTCAGTGGATCTTTAATTACCGTCTTTCCTTTCAATTCTTCCTTCTTCACGGGCACTCGCCGACCGGGCATCCAACCCCATCCCGCAAGCCGTCCTCCAGGTGTATGGAAGAGACGGAAATTATCGCCATCGCCGACACTTGTGACCTGCCCAAATAGACTTCGTCGACGAAAGAAATCTGGATGAATGCTTGAGGCTGCTGGAATGCGACGCAGATACGATCGATAGATACGGACAAAGAAGAGAGTCGTCCCCGTTAGCAGAATCGTAGGGACGATTGTCCGCGGATCGGTGTAGTGCGACCAATCTGTAACATTGAGGGAGTTGGTCCAAGAAACAGAACGCTCACTATCATCGCGATCGTCTTGGGATTTGGAAGACCATGGTGGCCATTTCATGGCGGCGTGGGCTGAGGATGGTTATGGGCCAGCGGCTCCCGCCATGTCGAATTTGTATGGCGACGATACCACTATACTCCGTAGCCCGATAAACATCACACTGTACTAGTTCCCACTAGCGCGGAGGCTGATAGCGAGCAGCTCCATATCAACAAGTCAGCAACCAGGTGACATGAGAATACTACACTTGGGAGTATTAATATTGTTCCCCTGGAAATGGAGCAGAATAACTTTCACTACATGGTGCGTCACTATGTTACCTACCTACTATAAATGTGGAAATAGCTTGTCTATTTGCTTCGTAGAAAAGAAAGTCTGTTGGAACCATCCTTCCTCTGTATATTCTAGGTAGAGTTGCATTATGATTCAGAGAGGTATCTTGGACAATATCCTTCTAATTAGAAACTTGACAAGATCTCAAAAAGGAGAGAAAGCCAGCATCGACCTCTGTACAGTGGTGAAAGATCGGGTATTACGCCTAGGAGGTATAACTACATTGAATGAGAGATGGTTAAAGTGCTCGGCAAAAGTTCCCGCCGAGAGGAGTCGGGAGTGCCCTGGTCCCAGTTCAAGGGGTTGGTTCCCTTTCCAACCGACGCATTTCGGATCAGCCGAACTAACTTACGATAGTTGCGGACGGACCAATAATCATGAGTACCTCTTCTGATAAGCAACTTCCCCGCAATCCTGTGGTACCTACTGAGGTCATGACCCTCCAGGAGCTCCTCGTATCCTAGCTGGTCCCTTGCGCACGCAGCTTCTTCGATGTGCTTGTAAGGGATAGAGCTGTGTAGCCGAAGCTCCAATGCTCTCTCCACTTGCCCCGCTCGGCATTGTAAGCTTGAGATCCTTTTGAAGCTCATATAGAACATTATTATTTGACTTCGAGCTTTCGTCCTCTTTCAATCTCTACGGCTTGACGAGCAAACTAAAGAATATTGAACAATCATGGGCGGCGAGACGTCAAATAGAGCTCCAAGCTCATACCCGACGCTTGCCAAATACCCTGTAGGCCAAAAGATCCAGAGCATCTACAAGGATCGTCTCAGGCAATTTACAGATGGGGGCCAATATGGAGGCCAAAGTCTGCTCTCGTATGTTGATACTTCATAGGCGCAAATCTTTGGCGAAATAACTGACACCGGCTCCTTGATAGAGTGCTTTATGAAGGCCGAGCATCAGGTGATGATTTTGTAAAGCTGTCGGTTTACTCCGTTCCAAACCTTGAAAGGCCGCCATTCAAAGAAGCTGTGTCCCACGAATTCAAGCCTACTCGAGTTGGTGAATCGTTCGGACCCAGCTGGTCAACGCATTGGTTCAAGATCGAGCTACAAGTTCCTTCGGATCTGCAGCATAAAGAACGCTTAGAGTTTCACTGGGATGCGAGTAATGAAGGACTCATATGGACCGAAGATGGTACTCCTCTACAGGGTCTCACCGGTGGCGGAGAGCGCAACGAGTGGATCTTACCTAATGCATTCAGAGACGGTAAAAGGCATACCTTCTACATCGAAATGGCATGTAATGGCATGTTCGGAAATGCTCCTGGTGGAGATTCCATCCAGCCGCCTAATCCGGACAAGTATTTCCGGTTGAACCTGGCCGATATTGTCGCTGTGAACCTGGAAGCTAAAGCACTGTTCGTTGACTTTTGGATTATTGGCGGTAAGCCCTTCTTCTCAAAACTGTGTGACTCTAGATCTCTATAAATCCTAACTTTTTTTTAGATGCTGCACGGGAATTTCCTGGCGATTCCTGGCAATCTCATGAAGCTCTCCAGGTTGGCAATGCCATTATTGATGCTTTCATCGAAGGAAAGGGAAGTCAAGAGTCTGTCCTGGAGGGGCGAAAGATTGCGAAGAAATACCTCGGTGACAAGGTTAACTCGTCGAAAGTTTATGACACTGAGCATGAGCCGCTTGTTTATGCAATTGGTCATTGCCACATTGATACATGCTGGCTATGGCCTTGGGCCGAGACGAAAAGAAAGGTAGCCCGTTCATGGGCTAATCAGTGTGACTTGATGGACAGATACCCCGAGCATAGATTTTGTTGCTCTCAAGCCCAACAGTACAAGTGGCTGGAACAGCTCTACCCCGCGCTTTATGATCGTGTGAAGGACAAGGTGAAAAAGGGGACGTTTCAACCAATCGGTGGGAGCTGGGTTGAGCATGATACAAACATGCCTAGCGGCGAGTCACTTGTACGACAATTTCTGTACGGACAACGATTCTTTGAGAGCCATTTTGGCGACCGTTGCAGGACTTTTTGGCTTCCGGATACTTTCGGATACTCCAGCCAGCTGCCACAATTGTGCCGACTCGCTGGGATGAAGCGGTTTTTTACTCAAAAGCTAAGCTGGAACAATATCAATAATTTCCCGCATACCACCTTCAACTGGGTCGCTCTTGACGGCAGCCAAGTTATTTGTCATATGGCACCATCAGAGACATATACGGCCGACGCGCATTTTGGTGACGTTAAGCGCAGTATCACCCAACACAAGTCTATGGACCAGGATGCGACATCTCTGCTTGTCTTTGGAAAAGGTGACGGAGGCGGTGGCCCCACATATGAGCATTTAGAGAAGCTCAGGCGCTGTCGCGGCTTGAGTGACACCGTAGGGCTACTTCCGCGTGTTAAAATGGGGCATTCGGTGGAAGACTTCTTCGATAGGCTCGAAAAGCGGGCAGAGGATGGCACGGAGTTTGTGACTTGGTTTGGGGAACTCTATTTTGAACTCCATCGAGGCACCTACACCACGCAGGCAAATAACAAGCGCAACAATAGGAAGGCAGAAATCCTTCTGCACGATGTTGAGCTTTTAGCTACCTTTGCCAGTCTCAAAGATATTGCTCATAAAGGGGATTCTTACAAGTATCCCAAGAAAGAGATTGATGAAATGTGGGAGAAGGTTTTACTTTGTCAATTCCACGACTGTTTGCCCGGAAGTTCGATCGAAATGTGCTACGATGACTCAGATAAGGTGAGTCTCATAACTCTCTGATTCATGTTGTTTTCGTATATTAATGTGATTTGCAGCTTTATGCGGAAGTATTTGAGACGGGCGAGAAATTGCTCGAAGACATACTCTCTTTCCTTGGATTTTCGAAGCGTGTTTCGTCTGACTCCACTTTAACAGCGGTGAACACCCTGCCTTGGTCCCGTGCTGAGATACTTGAATTGCCCCATACAGAAAACGACTCTGGAGCTCCTCAATATTGCCTTATGGCTGGCGATACCGGTATTCTGAAGCACCAAACGCTGTCAGAAAAGTCTCCAGAATCCTCAGTGTCTGTAAAAGAGGTCAAGAAGGGTGTATTTCAAATTGCCAACAAAGACTACAAGATCGAAGTTGTAGGTGGAAGCATTACTTCACTCGTTGACCTTGCCGTCGATCGTGAACTTATTCCATCTGGGGAAAAAGCCAACCAACTCGTTATCTTTGACGACAAACCTCTTTACTGGCAGGCATGGGATGTTGAAGTATATCACTTAGAGTCCCGCCAAGAGCTTCCGGCTGGGAAGACTGAGATCTTGGAAAGTGGTCCACACAAAGCAAGCTTGGTGACCGAAACCCGGATCAGTGAGAATAGCTGGGTCAAGACAATTATAAGTCTCAAAGCCAGCGTCGAGGGACAAAAGTCCTACGTGGAGATGGAGAGTGAAGTCGAGTGGAGAGAAAAGATGAAATTCCTGAAGGTGGAATTCCCAGTCGACATCCGCAATACAGAAGCATCATACGAAACTCAGTATGGCATTGTCAAGAGGCCAACTCATTACAATACCAGGTATGATTGAATATCATGTGGCCATTTAACTGATGCTGACGAAGAGTAGCTGGGACATGGCAAAATTCGAAGTCTGCTGTCATAAATGGGCGGATCTCTCGGAAAATGGCTACGGAGTTTCAATCCTCAATGACTCGAAATATGGCTTCGCCACTTGTGGCAATTTGATGCGTCTCTCGCTTCTTCGTGCTCCGAAGGCGCCGGATGCTCATGCTGACATGGGTAAGCAGAGTGGTCCTCTTAAGATGACATCTTCAACTAACGTGCCATAGGTCGCCATCATATCCGATATGCAATCTTCCCGCATGCAGGACCACTCGATGCGCGAACAGTTCGTGCAGCGTATAACTTCAACCATCCTCTGAAATTGCGCTCGCATCTTTCATCCACAACCGCAACGGCGTCATTATTGCAAGCGGTCAAACTCGAGGGCTTCCCGTCGCTTGTGCTCGACACGATCAAAAGGGGCGAGGACGATGAAGATGTATCGAAGGGTGAATTACCCACTCGCAAGGGTCGAAGTGTGATTGTCAGAATCTACGAGGCTCTTGGTGGCAAGAGCCGAGGCACTATCAAGACCACCTTGCCGGTCAAGAAAGTGTGGAAATGTAACGTGCTTGAAGACGATGGCGAAGAACTTGGTATATCCGATGGCCAGGTGCAGGTTGAATTGCGACCGTTTGAGGTGGCCACCTTCCGTCTCCAGCTTGAATGAGCAGATGTGTAACTTTGCCTCATGCTGTAGCAACAATCTGTGAGCATGGCGAGTATACTTGACTATATACGTCCAAGAAAACTTTGATTTTAACATTTTACTCAAAATTCCTTTTTTTTTATTTGTTGGTTTTATTATTCACTTAAATAAAAAAATAAAATAAAATGCAATTGTTGCAGAAATGTTCATCTTGAAGAAATTAAGAAATATCCCTTGAAGGCTGCGATCTTGATCAGTGTTCTTTTTTAACTTTGGTCTAAGCCATTGAGGATATCACCGACGACGTTGACATCTTTGCTCTGTAAGGGCGGGCTACTGCCTAGACTACGACAAGGTAGGTAATTTGGGAGTCGGCATAGTTCCGACATCGTATTGTGAGAGAAGGAGACTATGCCACAAGGAGCAGGTAGACCCTGCACCAGTGGAGATAGTCCGTTCAGCCTTCCCCCACTCGGGTCTCCAATCACTAATGCCAAGCTCCAGCCAAGACACAGACGGAAAAAATTCATTTATTTTTGACAGGGACAGGCCAAGCCGCTGGCGCAATAATTGTTCAAAATAATGTCATTTGAAAATTCAGATTTTGTATTTCTAGGAAGTTATAAAGAGAACGTTGATGCAGGGTTCATCTTTTGCGGGGTTGAAGCCTTTAAGACTATAAAGAGTCCGGAAATAGCAAGGTACTGTACACTCCGATACGGCCAGTTGAATTGAGTCCCCTCCTATCATCTACCAGGCAGGCTCGTGAGACATTTGGCCCTGGATTTATTCAGGTGAGCTGTTTGAAAGTGCAATATATACGAAGATGTCCGTCTGATATCGAAGAAAGAAAACTTATAGACTCAGAACTGTTCAGCTCCTTGTAGCTTAAGATTGTATTATAACCATCTGTACGGAGTACTCGGTGGTCAGAGGCAGCACAGACCAAGCGAGGGAGATTAGCGACTGCATAACTGTAAGTGTAACTGTAATTGAAACTGATAGTGCAGCCCTTTTCGGTCCGTTCCTCCAGCACGCGATGTGGGGATCCCATGGCGAACTTGAGCCAAATCCCAACCAGTGCTCGTGCCCTCGCTGGCGTGCCCTCTGATTTCTTGCTGGTGGAGAAAGATGGCCCTAAATCTTCCTAGAAAACATGCATTCCTTCTGGCTCCCGAGCTCTCAGCTTTGTTCCCGTCTGAGAGCTACATAGGTGTCGATTGTCGCTCATTGCCTCCATTATCTGGTACCTGCTGGAGCCCTACTGGAGCCCTGCTGCTGTTGACGGCCTCTGATTACGACAGCAATGGCCACCAATAAGCAGGATGACCACGTGAGCATTCAGGCTGAAGAGCCAATCGTTGGAAGATCTCAAGTCGTTCACGATGAGGAGGAAAGATATCTGTCGCGGCAAATCGAACAGAGACATCTGTCTATGATTGCACTGGCAGGAGCAATTGTAAGTCAGACGTTTACGCGCTAGGTTCCTTTGCCTTTGCTTGAGCAACTGTGGACCAATACGGAATTTCCAACTACAATCAACTTGGACATTGCACGTCCACCATTTCGGCCTGTATCATGTCACTAATACGCCTATTCCGCGCTTCATAGGGAACTGGACTGTTTCTAGGACTAGGATCTTCCATTCAAACCGGCGGACCTCTCGGAGCATTGCTAGGATACGCACTCGTTGGCCTCGTCGTCTGCTCAGTTCAATTCGCCTTGGGAGAAGTATCAGCCTTTCTTCCCGTGACTGGCTCCTTTATCCGCCATGCAGAATTTCTCGTCGATCCAGCGCTCGGCTTTGCAGTCGGTTGGAATGTGGTGTACGGAGCATATATGTCGGTTCCCAGCGAGATATCCGCTGCCGTGGTTCTGATTCAGTATTGGACGGATTTAGACGCGGCTATTTGGATTACGATTTTGATCGTCATCACCTTCTTCGTCGCCATCGCCTTCATCAGGGTCTATGCGGAAATTGAGTTTTTCTTTGCATTGCTCAAGATTCTTCTTGTCATTGGTGTCATCATTCTTGGACTTGTGATAGACCTCGGTGGTGTTAGCGGCCAGGACCGGATTGGCTTTCGCTACTGGAAACACCCTGGACCCTTTGTTGAATATATTGCGAGCGGCTCTTGGGGCCAGTTCCTTGGATTCTGGGCTGTCATGAGCAATGCCGTGTATTCTTTTGCTGGAGTTGAGAGTCTGGCAATGGCTGCCGCCGAAACGAAAAATCCTCGTCAGAGTATCCCAAGAGCATGCAAGCGGGTATTCGCCCGAGTTACAATTTTCTATGTTCTTGCTGTATTGATTGTGGGAATGATTGTCCCCAGCGACGATCCTCACCTCTCTGATGAATCTGGAACGGCTACACAAAGCCCTTTTGTTACTGCAGCATCTCGCGCGGGGATCAAAGCGCTGCCGTCAATCGTCAATGCGGTGGTGCTGACTTCTGCCTGGTCAGCCGGAAATCAGAGCTTGCTGGCCGGCACACGAGCGCTATATGGACTGGCTATCAAACAGCAGGCACCAAAGATCTTCCTCCGGACGACTAGCTGGGGTACCCCCTATATGTGTGTGCTTTTGCAGACGCTGTTCATGCTGCTCGCCTACATGAGCGTCTCTAATAGTGCCTTGACGGTGTTCTTCTGGCTCCTGGATCTGACAGCTGCCGGTGTTCTTATTTCATGGATTGTCATCTGCTTCAACCACATTCGTTTGCTTCAGGCATTCAAGGCTCAAAATATCTCAACTGAGCTCCTACCTTGGAGGCATTGGTGGTCCAGTAAGTTTCACAGCAATTCGCTACCCCACCGGCCTTTTTTTTTTATCCTGCACTCTCACTAACAATATAAATAGTCTATAGCTCGTGGTTTTCCTTGATAACATGCGTCATCTTCCTCTTGACTGGAGGCTTTGTAAATTTCACCCGCGGCGATTTCAGCGCTCCTTCTTTTGTTTCCTCTTATCTGTATGTCATCTTTTCCAAGCTGTGCAATAGCACAAAAAAAAAGACAAGCTAACATTGTAAACTTAGGGATATTCCCCTCGTGCTCACAGCGTTTGTCGCTTGGAAAATCTATAAACGGACCCGTCTCGTGCCCCTCACCGAGATCCCCCTCCAAGCCGCCATTGATGAGATACGGCTCAATCCCGAAGTACCCATTCCGGAGCCTACCAAGTGGCAGAAACTCAACGTCCTGTGGGGATAGACTCGGACTTGCCGTATCATTTTTGATCGATCGCAGTACTAGAGAGTTGTAGTTGTTTACACATGATACCCTTTCAACATTTTTTTTCGCTCTGACAACAACAAGCTTAACGCACCGTCAGAGTACACGTGCATTGATTTGCATAAATATGCATAGAGATTTAGATTAATCTGTAGCTGTGTCGGCATTTCAAGGAGTTGGATTCATCGCTTTATTCATATAAAAGCCTTTTTTTCGGTTCATTAAAATACAAACTATATTGCAGGATATTAATTTCTTGAGTGTGTTCGAGAGATTTGAGGCTCCATAACTCCAGCCTTACAATGTCCAAAATGCCTTAGTCAATGAAGCGGCCGCAAGGAAAATCGCTTGCGTTGTTGCTCCGCCTGCGCCCAACTCTGTCGAATATGGGCCGCATCCACTGTACCGGTTCGGTTCGCCTGCTTCGATCTTCAGAGCTTGAACCCAAGATACCGTTGTCCAAGCAGGGATACTCTCTGAACTTGAGCACTTTTCTCCTTGTCGCGTCCATTGACCGAGAGCCCTTAGAAATGACAAGGACAAAATTCGAAATGAAGTATCCAAATCCCATAACGGTATGATGCACCGACATGTAGCCGTCAATGGGAGCTCTAGCCAACAGGATCAACCAAACGATCGTACACCTTCCACCATAACCCTATATTGGCAGCAACCAAAAGATCGAGCATTTTCGATCCTTCATTCTCGATAATGAGTTTTCCTAATTTGGCCTGTTTCCCGCCGAACCCACCGCCCGCGAGCTCCTGGCCGAGAGACAGGTCCAAGCGCTCAGACTCGTCCCTGTCTGCGGGGACGAGGGAAGAAGAATCAAGATGGCGGGAAATGCTAGGGTCATAGGAGTTGCTCTTGCGGTGTCGACGGGCCGAAAACAAGGAGGAGCGTTTCTGACTTGCGTCCGACGCGGTCATAGTAGATGGGAGAAAGGATTTGGTGGGCGAGGATAAATTTGATTTCGCTGCTGCTGCACTGGGAAGGTTGAAGCGTAATTCACTGACAATCGTAGAAGAAATGGGAACGCCCGTATTGCTTGCGACGAGGTCGTGGCGACACTAGAAAGGAAAGGAGAAGTGTTAGGTTATTGAGGTAGATTCTCGAGGGTTGAGTGGCTGGAGTACGAACCTTAAGGTTTCCTCCGCTTAGGCCGGTCGAGAACCTGCACCACCCATTCCATGGGCTCAGAAACGTGTAGCTCCTGCTGAAAGAACTAGAACGATCTCTTCGGGGTTCGCGAGCGTAGTCGTGGGAAAATCGGTTCTTGTTGGACACCACGTTTTCTAAACTCCTCGAGTCTCGAGGCGCGTAGGGATCCTCGCCATAAGTTGAGGGAAGAGAGAGAGAATTGCGTTGACTATTCGATCGTACCACGCTTGCTACTTTCTGCCTCCACGGTTCGGCCTCCTCGAGCTGAAGGGTCCGGTAGAAATTATTGCCTGGCGAGTCTCCCGGGGTTGGCATATTTACTGATCCGTCTGCGGCGGCAGCTCTAGGGATTGTGCCAGAGAGTCCTCGTTCCATGCTTGGTCTTGGGGATGCGAATCTATCGTCCTGATGGGCAAATTTGTTATACCCTGTATTGGTAATTTCAATTCCAATTGACTGTCGGGTCTCATTTCCTTCCTCGATGTTGTGTGCCAGGTTTTCACGTTTCGACTGACGAGATACTGATGGCACCGTCACCCTTCCCACATTCCATTGGCTGCCTGAGCCGGGGTCTCGGCGGATGAGAGTCAAGGAAATGCCGTTCTGTGGTCGACCTGATATGCTGCGTCTGATTGGGTACCGCGGAGCGACCTCTGGAGCATTAACATTTCTGGGCGGTAAACTTGGTGGCTGTGCAGCACGCAGCTCGTCCTGAAATCCTCTCGGGTCTTTTGATAGAAGAGCATCATCTTTCCCATTTTCAGTAAATGTGCTTAGAGGACCGCCTGCGGCATGATGATTGTCTTCTGACAGGGGACGCACGGGACGGCGCTGAATCCTTGGTGGAGAATCGGACGGCAATGGCGAGCTACTGGTCTCTGACTGAGAAAGAAACGGACGCGGCCCTAGAGGTCGCCTTGTCTGATTCTCGCCATGGGGCGCCAGGGGGCTTGGTTTACTCGGTGCAGGAGAGTTGGCTGAACCGCCAACAGGCTTTCGTTTTACTGGCGATCTTTGCTGATTCTGTATCGTTCCTTGGTCTCCTGAGGAGGAAGCGCCGCAGAATTCATAATAAAGCTCGTCTAGCTCTTCCTGGAGCTCTTCCAAGGGAGTTATTGGGTCTTTTTTCTTGTCCGTTTGCTCGTAAGGTTGTGAGAGTAATTCATCTTCCTCTCGGTCAACGTGGACATAGTACAGACAACTCTGTACATCTTCTGCGGATACAACCTTTTGGCGTGGTTTCAGAGGAGTCAAAAATATGTCTGGAGGAGTTAGAAGAGTGTGGTCAGGTACGATGATTTCAAAGCGAACTCATGAAAATAGAGAAGTAGATAAATATGCAGACCGAACATGTGACAAAGAAAAACTAGACGAGATAATATCGCCATGACGGTGTCCATCATGCTTCCTTGGCACAACAAAGACAAGAAAAGTAAACGAGAAGAAAAGAACTGAAGCGTAGCATAGCGTACCTTTGCTTCCAGGCACGCGAGCGATATAGAGGATTAGCGGTTGTTGCACTGCTTGGTTTGAGTTGCCTAAATATTTTGGTGGATTTGCTGCAAGCCATGTCACAGAAGCGAGCGACCTGGCTTGCACAGTAGCTGACATTGTGAGTAAGAGCACCTCCTTGTGCCTGCTAGCAGAGCTCGGATGAGACGTTCTTGGGATATTTGCTCGCAACAAGAGATGACAAGATAAAAATGAGTTCTCAGAAATCAATGCCGAAAATTGCTAAGTTCGTAAAACCATATGAAACGCATAACGTCGAATAGCTGTTTTAGTAAGAATATTTCTTGTCAATAATACATGTCAGACCCTGAGAAGAGCTGGAAATGCAGGCATTGCAGATCAGACGTCAGGATTATAGCCGGAGCGAGAGTGCACTGCCTCCGCGAAAGCTGTGCCGACGTAAGCCATTGATCAACCATTTCTCATGACGGGACCGCGATTGATGCTTCGACCACTTCAGACAGTGATCACATATCCAAAAGACAAAACCATCATATCAAAATATAATGTCTATAGGATTTTATGCCATGATTACCGGCGAAGACAGCCAGTTGATAATGAAGCGCCGTCATTACTTGAACGGCTAGTGTGATTCTGATTCGTCGGTGGTGGTGGAGACTCAACTCCTAGCACTAACCGCAAATAGTTATGTAGAACGTGCACAAAAATAATTATGAAGGTTTGATGCCATCGCATGGCTCGGGTCTTAGCGAGTGAAATCTTGGCGGCAATAATTCATTTTGGAAGGCACCAAAGCCATTCGCTTTAGATTTTTGATCGACCGACGTGATTTCTCTTGAGGTATTCTCAGCAAACTTTGCTATTCGAGTTTTGAGTCTGTTCGGCGGCAGGGGCGATCTGCACATTATTTGAGTCGTCTTTGCATTTTTCTTTCAGATTGAGTTTATTTTCTCGTGCCTTTTTTTCGGCATCATGAGCGACAGTCTCGAGGTATGTCTTCAACTGAGTATTCTTTGGATGGCAAGAGGGGCTAAATAGAGGTTTTTGCTACAGGAACGGCTGAAGAGCCATGCAAAGGCCTTTGACGGTCTACTTTCTTTGATTCCCGCAAAATATTACTATGGGGACGACAACAGTGTTAGTTGCATCCGCAGCACCCTCGAGGCCATAGATTTCCCTTGCATGATAGCGCTCCTGATTCTGGTAGTGTTTCATTACTGACTTTTTATGATATGGACACAGGATCAATGGCGGAAGAAGAAACAAACCAAGGACGAGGCCCAGAAAGCCAAGCGAGCAAAACTCGATCCTGACTCCGCCAAAAGCGCCAAGGACATTATGGATGAAAACGCACGAAAGCGAAAGCGGGAAGAGGAAGGCGGGGATGTCTTGGATGGTTTCGACGATGTTGAAGGAATTGAGCGCGAACAGCCCAAAGAGGGCTTGAAGAAGGGGAACAAGGGGGCAAAGAAACAGAAAAAAGATGCCAACTCCGAGTCTCACGAAGATGCAACACAGACAGAGGAACAACAGACATCGGACCCCACAGAGGAGAAAACTAACAAAGCTCTGAAGCGGAAGGAGAAGAAGGAGCGAAAGAAGTCGCGCGCTCAAGCCCAAACAGAGAAACAGGAGGCCAAAAAGGCCCGGAAAGAGGAAGAAAAATCTGTGCCGGAAAATGGAGATGACAAAGATGAAGTTGTCAACCACGAAGATGCAGAGGAACCTCATGATGACGATTCTGTTGCCGATATGGAGAGGATTGATATAGATGGACTAGCCGGCGAAGGGCAGACTCAGTCCACTGCTTCGTCTTCGCCAGCACCCGGTTCTCACGAATTTGACCAGTCGGTGCCGGGATCAACCGCATCCTCGACCTCGTCTGTTGTTCCGTCTACCGACAAGGATGAGCAGAGCAAGAGTGCGGCTGGAGAAAAGCAGGCAAAGCCAAAGGTCGCTCCCGAAGAGCTTAAATCACGACTACAGGCCCGGATTGACGCATTGCGCGCTGCTCGAAAGGCGGATGGAATCAATGGCGCTCCAGCAAAAAATCGTCAGGAATTGATGGAGGCAAGGCGGCGCAAGGAGGAGCAACGAAGGACTCATAAAAAAGAACTTCGCCAAAAGGCCAAAGAGGCAGAGCAATTGGCTAGAGAGGAAACACTCTCGCGCCTAAACTCGCCGACTACCGCGTCCAATGCAGGCAGTTTTGGAGCTGCAGACGATTCACAGGATCAGAATTTCTCATTTGGACGTATCGCGTTTGGCGAGGGACAACAGTTGGACCCAAGTGGATCTGGTATCGTGGACATTCGCAAGCGCAGGGGCCCGCAAGACCCGTACACTGCTCTGAAGGCAGCCCAGAGCAAGCAGGCTCGGGTGAACGGCTACGACGAAGATAAGCGTGCGGACATTGAAGAAAAGGACCTTTGGCTCAATGCGAAGAAGCGTGCTCATGGCGAGAAAATTCGAGACGACACTGCCTTACTTAAAAAGACTCTAAAGCGCAAGGAACAAGCCAAGAAGAAGAGTGAAAAGGCCTGGAATGAGCGCTTAGAAGGAGTCGAGAAGGGCAAGGAAATGCGGCAACGAAAGAGAGAAGAGAATTTACGCAAGAGGAAGGAAGAAAAGGGTAGCAAGGGAAAGGGAAAGAAGGCCGGCAAACCAGGGAAAAAGGTGAAGCGGCCTGGCTTTGAGGGAAGCTTCAAGGCTAAGTCAAGAGCTTGAACTATCCATTTCACCGATGGCATAACTTTTGTTAGGCATGGCGCTAAAAGTTTGGGGCATGGTTGCTTAATGCATTGAGACTTGCTTTGGGATTTCTTTCGCTGAATAACTTGCTTAATGCTAAAAGGAGTTTGCAGGGGCGATATATGAACATTGAAAATTGCCCTGTTTCCTGTTTCGAAGGCCTCCAGTTTATCTATATGGAGCATCCGCTCTCGCTACAGCAGCTAATTCGGGTTCCCATTTATCTCCATTTGCCAGCAATTTCTCCTTGTTGTAGAGAAGCTCTTCACGAGTCTCAGTCGCGTATTCGGCGTTTGGTGCTGAATAGTCATTAGCAAAAAAAAAAGTCATCACTGTTTTTAATTAGACGGAAAAGCCGCACATTCAACGATAGCGTCCACTGGACAACTTTCCTGGCAGTATCCGCAGTAGATACACTTGGTCATGTCAATGTCGTATCGGGTTGTTCGTCTACTGCCATCCTCTCTCTCCTCGGCTTCGATAGTGATAGCTTGCGCCGGGCAGATTGCTTCACACAACTTGCAGGCAATGCATCGCTCTTCACCGGTTGGATATCTTCGCAGCGCATGTTCGCCTCTGAAACGTGGTGAAATTGGCCCCTTCTCAAATGGATAGTAGATGGTGTAGCTATACTAAAATTAGAAATTCTGATAATATGAATTAACAATAACAACACCCGGCTGACTTACGGCGGCCTAAAAAATTGCTCCAACACGACATACATGCCTCTCAGCATCTCTGTCATAAGAAAATATGTGCCAGCTTTGTCTAGAGAGCTCTCTTTGCTTTGGTCCCATCGTTGTTTTGGCGCTAATCGGAACCCTGCTGGCGGAGGACCAGATGGGGTGGCACCACGCAATACGCTTGATGAGAAGAATGCAATCGGAGAAAGCCTGCTTGTTGAAATTGGAAATTTTGAAAACGTTGTAGATGACGGACGAAGCCGTGCTTCTAACAATGTTAAGGGTCTGCCAGATGCCATCGTTATCGAGGTGGCCCGTGGCTAGTGAGATGTGGGGAAAGCGATGGTTGAGACCGGTGATGTCGAGTAGGCCCAATAATGTAGATTCTCGATCATTTGATTGGCTCGAGAGATACAACGCCGACGAGCTTGTTTATCACGTGACCGACTATTCCTGGCGAATCTTCCCCGAGCCATCAGCATCATCGATTCTGCCCGCGGTAATTCTTGCATTCGTCAATTTGTCGTTCTTTTCCTCGAAACAATTCCTTAAAACCTTCATCATGTTCAGATCAGCTGTTCTACGGTCCGTTCGTGGCGTCTCGAAGCTTGCTGTTCGCAGCCAAAGCACTTTTGTCCGTCCCGTTTTCCAGGCCCCATCCGCCCTGTCTACCCGTTTCACTCCAGCTGTTTCATTCCAAGCTGTGCGATGCTATTCGGCACCAGCTGGTCTAGCAAAGGACGAAGTCGAGGGAAGAATTGTTGATCTGCTGAAAAACTTTGACAAGGTTTGTGCTACAGACTGAATTTGAGAAAGCAATTTCATTTCTAACCTCCGACTCAGGTCAAGGATGCATCGAAGGTACAATGACCTTTTGCCGGCTTTTTTCCACGATCGGAAACGAATTGACATTCCTAGATTACACCCACTTCTCACTTCGCAAACGATCTTGGGTTGGATAGCTTAGACACTGTGGAGGTTGTTATGGCAATTGAGGAGGTTTGTCGAAGCCGTCAAGCTTGTTTTTGACGGTGTATCTAATCGAGAATTCAACAGGAATTCAGCATTGAAATTCCCGACAAGGAGGCCGATGCCATCCACAGCAGTACGTTATGATTCCCCTCTTACCTTCCATCAATCAAGCTGCTGACATCGTTCAAGTTGATAATGCTGTTGGATATATCTTGTCTCAGCCGGACGGTAATTTTCTTACATCCATTTGTGCAGGATATCCACCAGCTAATCCTGATATAGCTCACTAAAATATATAATTTTCGGATAGCAAAGAGGTTAAGGGAGAATTTTTCTGGGTGCAAGCAGCGAATGAATGGCTATTTCCTGGGAATGGGACCATGTACATTTTTTATTTTGCTGCAGAAATCATTTGAGGAGTTCTGCAATCACTATCGTCATCGCATATTAAAACATTCTCTAAGATCACGCTGCTTATGTGCCTCGTGAGAATACAACGCTTGATTGCCTTAAGCCTTTGAGCACTTGTCCTTCTCTTGTCCTTCTCTTGTCCTTCTCTTGTCCTTTAATGAGCTCCCTTGCTCAGCGACCAATGAAATGCGGCGGCTCAAGCTTAGCGAAGTAGGCGATCTGTAGACTACCCTCGTAATGTCGCATATTCCAACCCCCGACCCCATGGGAAATCTCCCAGCAGGGTAATTTAGGAGCTTCAACTTGGTATAAACGGTTAACAACTACAGTGCTGTGATTTGCATTCTGAGGGAGATCACCTTGACTCGGCTTCGCCAAGATTTGGAAGCCAATACGACAACGGCAGTCTGCAGCGGTCGAAGTGTAGCTTTCCTGGCAGCTCCCGCGCGGCCTCGCTAGCGATTCAGCAACGAATACAGGGCCAGATTCCGCATGGCTTCAACTGGGTCAGGATTGACCCGCCGAAGGGGCGGTGGAGCTGCCGCAGCCACAGCAGAAAATGAAGAGCTCTCTGGCAGTAGGGTCGGCTCTCCTGCACCCAAAGGTGGCGCGTACGATGACCGGACTCCGGAGACGGCCTACGACAGTGGGGAGAATGGACACAAGATTGCCTACGACCCTCGGGACATTAATGAGAACGTGGAGAGGAGCAAGCAGCCAAAGCTCACTTTAATGGAAGAGATTCTATTACTCGGTCTGAAAGATAAGCAGGTGGGTAAAAGTTAAATGGAACTTCACTCCTGAAAATTGTTCTGACGTGTCTCTGGGATTAAGGGTTATCTTTCGTTCTGGAATGACAACATCTCATATGCGCTGCGAGGATGCATCGTAATCGAGCTGGCCTTCCGAGGCCGAATAAGCATGCAGAAAGACTCGTCTCGGCGACGCTTCCCGTTGGCAGATCGACTCATCGAGGTGATTGACGATAGTTTAACAGGCGAGGTCCTGCTAGATGAGGCATTGAAGATGATGAAGTCGAGCGAGCCCATGAGTGTGAGCTCGTGGGTTGATCTTATGAGCGGTGCGTGTGCCAATCAATTTGATAAAATGTTGAGACGAGGAGCTAACAGCGGCGTTCCGAGGATGCAGGTGAAACGTGGAATCTGATGAAGATCGGCTACCAATTGAAACAAGTCCGTGAGAGGCTTGCCAAGGGTCTTGTGGATAAGGGGATACTACGAACCGAGAAACGGAATTTCCTTCTATTCGACATGGCCACACATCCTGTAGCTGATGGCGGCGCGAAGGACGACATCCGACGGCGAGTGAGGAACATGTTGACAAGCCGGACAGTGGTGATACCCGGTACTCAATTATTCCCTGAGGAAATGGAATTTAGATACCTCAGGACGATTGCCATGGTGTGCGCAGCGTATGCGGCCAATGTACTCGAAAACGCTCTGGCAACTCTTAGTCACGAGGCACGAGAACGTGCTTTTGCGCAGGTGGACGAACTGCTGGCTGAATTTTCCCAATGGCCCTTTGGCAAGAAAACAGGCGTAACGGCAGGTATCGGGGCAAATCTTGGACAAGCCGTTGCGGATGAAGTTAACAACGCTAAGGATCGTGAACTTCAGCTAGAGGTACGTTGCTTTTTAAAGACCATCCATTTTTCAGGAGCTTCGTTTGGCGCGGACACTTACTTCGGAGTTAGGTTGTGGCAGCTTGTCTGAGTGTCTTTACCAGGCTCGACTCCCTCTTGTAAGAGACGATATCACCTTTGCAAAACGATTACGATTCCTCAATCTTGATCTTGGCGGGAGACCGAAATAACTGGAATTACCCTCGTGAGAAGAGAGCTTCAGCCATGGGCTCATGGGTTTGCGTTGCAATAACGCGACAATGGGTCCCGATCCGCTGAACGTCATACTATAAAAGCAATACATTTCTTTTTCGGACGTTTCTTGACGGATTTCTGCTTCATCCACAACACGGAGCGCCGGCCGTTCGTTTTGTGTTGTTCTATTAAGTTATACCGAAGATCAATATCTGATGTACACACATGGGAAAAGTCAATGAGATGGTCCGCTTACTTCTGGTAAGTAGACCAAAATCAGATATGTAATAGGCGACAATGCGAAGAGGCCCAGACCTATCTTATCATGCATTAAAACTTATCCCTTATGGCTCTCTCCATTTCACTTTTACTTCTTTCTCCTTGAATGAGCTTGCTTTATTGTTTCCAATCAACGCCTTATCTCGATTCTTCCAATTTGAAAGGCACTGGTCTTTTCTCTACCTATTTGTTCTCATCCATTTTCTTATTTTTCTTTTCTGATACTCACTTCTCTCTTAATAAATTATGACACCATTTTCCATTTCATAACTTCCATCACAATGGTTATCATTTTGCACTGGCTTAACGTGGCGCTTAACGGTATGCGACTTTCAGCCTTTCAAGTCTTGGTTCAAATTGTCTGTTTATGTTGGAAACCACGGGGGTTATCATCATGCGGAGGAAGGCATAGAACAATACAAAGCAGGAAGAAGGCGTAGCTTTACGAGGATCATGGATTCAAGATTTGCGACGCCGAAAATTGGAACACTCTGCCTTCTGGAACTGGCTAAAGCTTGTGACCGTATCCACTTTGTCTTGACTGTCTCCAATTGTCTTCAGGTGATGATCTGGATGCAGCCAATCTAAGACAGATTGGTTGATAATAAATTTGGCGGGTTTCAGCATTAAAGAAGTTGAGAATTGGAGGGGTGGAGAAACATCTCCCAGGGTCGGTCAGGATTGATCCGGAAGAGTGCTACGCGCCGTATGCGGATTCAAGTCAAAAGGACGATGTTATCATTAAATTGACACTTTAAAGCTAGTGAATTCTTTCTATTATTCGACTCTTTCACCGCACCTCAGTTACATCATAATTGAAACCCTTTGTTGTATGTGTAATGCAGCGTCAAAGCATTGCATAACAGCCACGCGTACAGGGAAAAAGAATTGGGATATTCCGCATTGGTGCAACGCAGTTGTTACTTTTCTGGGCTATCTCTTCCTTCCCACGTATGGTTGAAAGAGTCTAGACTTACGATGCAAGTCTTCCATTGGTCGGAGCCGGCTCCAATTTGCAGCAAAGCGGGGGGCGAAGCTTACCCCGTATTCTGGGCTCAATACCTACCTTAGGTACCTACCGTAGGGAACATTCTCCTCGGCCTTCAGTACCATGGGGATAAAAGATCGCTTCAGTAATACGCATTTCTAGCATGAATTCTGTCAGCAGGTGCAGAGAGATGGACGCAGTCTGGCTTCCATTATTTGGCCTACTCTATCATTTGCGTGCACCGGATCGCGGCGATGCTTTAGGTTTCCTGTACCAACTAATGGTCCCGTAAACCTTTTTTCCGTTGGACAAAAGCTGTCGTCTAGTCATCCTACGCTCCCCAATTTGCGAGCCGACGTGATGCAATAATATACTTTCCGGGCATCGCGCGCCCCGGCGTGGCAAAATGGCGTTTGGCAGGGTTAGACGAGATCTGAACGAGATTCGCGAGCCGTCAACGAAACTAGCCAGAAACCCCACACTTACTGGATCTGCAGACCAATGAGAGAAGAAAATTGTGAATCATAGACATCAATTGAATGGTCTAAGGCGCGGGATACAAGAAGGAGGAGGGCGGGTATGCTTCCGTCACCAGTGAACTAAGCTATCTAGCTAGACCACTTGCGTTGCATACTTCCGGAGCAGACGGATGGGCTAAGAGGATGGAAGCATCTCCGGGGGCCTTGAGTGTTACACGTATCAATATATGTGGATACGTTACCGCATGATCGCCGGGGTAATTAGTTTGCGATAGGTATCACAGTAATAAGAATCATATGGTCTCGAATAGATCTGAATAACATGGCTGAGGAGGCTGGACACGGTCCATGACAGTGTGGCTTGAAGCTTCGCAGATCTCGAAGCCTAAGCCACGGGATCGCTTGAGCTGACGAGCTGACGATGTCTTTCTCTATGGCATCCGTCTTGCTCGTAATTGGATTGAGGTGTTACCCGCAACGGAGAGTAAAATGATTCCACGTTGCTTTAAAATCATGCGTTTGCAACTGATTCAGTGGCATCTATATGTGAACCGTACGGCAGAAACAAATTGAGCTACGTCACCCCACTCGGGATTCGAGAAACCTCGATATGTCGCTCCAATCTGGAATGGTGGTTGCCCACCAGCATGGCTTCTAAGGAATATAACAATTATTCTCTTTCTTTTCTCTGATACTCAGCTTGAAGGCAGGTTTTCGAGGCGTGCAGTAAGCCTTAGGAGTAATGCAGTAGACATTAATCAGATGCATTCCCTTCTGAATGCGGGAGTTCCTATCATAAAGGAGCTGATGACCAAAGTAGCTGAACGTTCCTGTCTCATTGTGTTTGCATCGGATATTCTACCGCAGTCCACAGCCCCTGATTCACTAGCCGGACATTTTCATTCACTGTCAACCAAACGTTTAATACCAAGTCAATTACTACCCATCTGTACCAGAAGGGACGGTGGCAGAGTGGTAACAGCTCTGTCAACGTTCTGGAATTTCACGAGGTGAGTTCGAGTCGGGGTGTAGCCACAATCGCAGCTGGGAATTTATTTCCAACTGCCTGAGGGGCGCCCCTGGATGAGGCCGCACCGGGAAAGGGGTAGAGATGTAGGATGCCTCAACCGTTCTTCGAATGAGAAGACGGGGCATCCGAACTCTTTTGTCGCTCACGTTATTCTTATTATTATATTTTTATTTTTTTTTTGCTCGCACGTTGGAAGGATATGATCTTCACAATAATAGTGATGAGCCATTCCCTCATGTTGAAGCTGCTCTTAAAAAAGCACCCCGGTCCAAGGGTACTCGTATACAAACCGACTAAATCTACTAGATCGGTTCGATTCACTCGCACCGCTTATACAATGTGATGAACTGGTAAGATTTTCTCAGTATACTTAGTTTTCATGGCCACCTCAGAACCACTCTAGTCTTGTGATGTTCGGCAGGATGGCATAGGAGAAGAGCTGGCCAGGAAACTGGGCTCTGGTGTCGCTGCAGACTATCGATCCATTCGACGGCCTCGTCTTCATTCTCACTGACCGCTCAAACCAGGACTCTTTTCTGTTCATCCTCGAGGGTGAAAGGCGCTGGATTCGCATAGTATTCCTGTAAAAGTTGACCTATCTTGAGGCCTTGCACTTTATTGGCATGTGGTTGTTTTTGACAGGAATCCCGTTAGCAGGTTCAGGTGCCCTTGATGGGGCCTGAATAATTCCAGATGGGCGTAAACTTCGCATTGGAAGGCAGAGTACAGGCTCGAGGAAGATCTCGTCAAATAATGCGAGGTTTTAATCCTCTATTCTTGTTACAGCGGCCCACTACAGCCGACAAGACACCGGAGCTCGCCCGAAGTGGCCACGCGGACGAGAAGCAATCCTGCTAAAACATCCGTCCATTTGGCATTTGCTCCTTGCGACTGAGCCTAGGAAAGTTAGACCTATTCTAAGATGTATCCAGGCTAAGATGCGTACCAATGCCGAGGCCTTAGGGATGAATCCGTCACTTCCGATCGACCACAGGGTGTCTCGAATCCAATCTTGCTGTGACAGAGATAATTCCGATGCTTTGTAGCAGCAGCATAACGGCCAAACTACCAGTAAGCCACTTATCAAGGGCTTCATTGGTCTGTTGTCATAATCCTGGGTTTGGGCGGCGGTTCTATGAAGGACTCCAGGGACTGCGGCACGTATGCTTCGTGTTGCCTGGTGAATGATGCCATAGAGAATTGAGTATTCCTTGGACTTTTCAAAGCTTCCATTTGAATAGACATATCTCCCGGTCTCTACAAGCAAGTCGGAGGTGATTATTTGTAAACAGTGGTAGTCGTTCACCCGTGCCAATAGAAGATGCTTAGGCAAGAGTCAGTTCTCTGTCGGAATAATTGCAATGGGATCTTACGTTTCCCAATATATCATCAATATGCATCTCGGCAATGTCAAAATTCAGGCTCTGACAGATTTTTGGAAACAAGTTGAGGTTCCTTTGGATGTGTTTGATAGAGGCTCGAAGCTTTTGCACGTCTAATTTTCGCGGAGTCTTCACCTCTTGACACAAGTTTTCGAGATCCTCTGCCACCTGACGCAGACGAAGCATTGCGATGTCTAAGATTACAAAGGCTTTTGCGATATCTCCCATGTCGTGGCTTGCAAGTGCCTGAAACGGGTCACCTTCAGAATTAGCAATCTCAATTGCAAGCTGTACACTTTGAACTTGATCATCTCCTTGATATGAAGGTAGCTGGGATAAGATATTGAGAAGCCCTCCGAGGTGAATTTGCCATGTGTGGTCCTCTGAATCAATATTGACAATCATCTATACCCGTGATCAACATTTGCAGTTGCAGACGACAAATCAGAGCATACTTCATATAATGTAAAGAGAAATGCAGCGATTCCCAAGGTAGGTGAGTATGGGGATGAGGACATTGTCACTCTCAGATCTCGAGTTGCAGCTCCATACTTGGCAAGGAGGGCTCTTCGTTGTCCCGTGGACTGCTCGCGTCGGCCTAGCCATTGAAGGCACTCTTGAATCACATTTACGGTAGATAGTGCTTGATCACCTGAAATTTGCACCCTCGTCAGGGGGCTAATTAAGTGCTGGCATTCCGACTCGCTGGTTCCCATAAGCAATTCTTCCAGAAATGAAACGGCAGTTGTGGATGCCTTGATCAGGCCTGATCTGTCATAGACTTTGCGTGTGCCTTCTAGTGAATTAGGGGAAAACGTATTTAATTCTGTTGCGTTTATCGTCGAATTTTGAAACACTGCAGTCGGGTCCGTCTGTCTTGCTCCATATCCAAGACAAGCTCTGCCTGATTTCGTACAACGTCGACAAGCGGGGCGAGTCAGGTCACATTGAATTTTCCGCAGCTTGCAGGTCGTGCAACTCCTACTTGCATGACCAGGATTAACCATCATGACAAGTATTGCTCAGCGAGACCTATCGGAGTAACAATTCTGAGCAAATCCGGGTGAGATGTCACCGTTGAAGCTGGTCAATGGTCACGGCGCAAACGGGGCTCGCGCTAAATTTCTCGCAAGGACGGGCGCTATTCCTATTAGTGTTTTCCTATCTAACCGACTCTACCAAAACATGCATTGTTCAGTAATAATTCTTGATATCCTCTATTGGTTTATCAATTAGAATGAAATTTGATATCATGGCTGCTGATGCATCCATGTTTGAGTTCTGCTATTACAAAAATTTCTGATCGGTAATCATTCGTGGGCCGGTATTACTACGAAAATACTGTAATCCGGGAGAGAGTTCCAAAAGCCCCATTTTTCGATGAATTCTTTGCGCTAAAATCCTCGCAAAACATCTCCTTCAGGCAGGATTCAATGTAGATGACTTACTTTCCATGAGCCTCCTGCCCTTGGATATGTTGGACCCTGGTAAATCCTTGCAAGCGACGGACAGATGATTTCGAACCGCAACAATGATAGTCATATCTATCAATTTCTCTGTCTATATAAATGGGCCTGGCAATCCATCTGTAGCGTATCGTTCTAGTTCTCAAAAAAACAGAACCCAGTCTGCAGCATCACGAACTGCTCTGAGCCGAGATATTGCTACCCTCTATCTTGATTAAACATGTCCATGCAACCAATTAAAGTCTGGGGTCACTGGGGTGGCCCCAACCCATGGTCAGTTATAATGAGTTTCTGATCGAGCCATCCGTGGCATTGACCTGGGTATTAATAAACGAAACAGGAAAATCTGCATGTTACTCGAGGAGCTTGGAGTCACCTACAACCTCGAGATGGTCGAGTTCCAAGATGTCAAGAAGCCTGACTATCTCAAGGTGAACCCTAACGGCCGTCTCCCTGCTATTGAAGATCCGAACACTGGTATTATTCTTTGGGAGGTAAGCTAGGTATCTATCTTTATTTTCCGTGGCTGATCCACCGAAGCGAAGGAGCTAAAAGTCGATTGCCCTTTAGACCGCAGCCATCATACTCTACCTCATTGAACAATATGACGGAAAGGGCAGCCTTTCCTACGAAAGAAGCCCCGAAAAGCACCTGTGTCATCAATGGCTGGCGTTTCAGGTGTCTGGTAAGTAATAATTCTTCCTGCTCGATGTCAACCATGAAGCTGAGCATGGGAACAGGCCAAGGCCCCTACTTTGGCCAGGCAACTTATTTTGCCCGTTTCCACCCTGAAAACCTCCCATCTGCCATTGAGCGATATGTGAAAGAGATTCTGCGAGTGATTGGGGTTCTGGAGGAAGGGCTTGCACGCAATGGCACCGGATGGCTCGTCGGGGACAAATGTACCTATGCCGATCTGTCTTTTGTCACTTGGGCTGTCATCGGTGAAGGCTTGCTGCACGAAATTGGTCAAGCAGATAGGTTGGAAGAAAAATTCCCCAGGTATACGGCTTGGCTCAAGGCACTGAAAGGGAGAGAGAAGGTGGCTAAGTGCCTGGAGGTAATTGCAAAAGGCCGGGCTGCACATGGATTGAAGTGAGGGTATTTTGATGCTATGCAGGCAATCAAAGCCAGAGCTGTTTAGCACTCGTTAGTTGAATATAGAGTTATGAATCATAGCTAAGGGACAGCTAATGGACGATGGGTAGTGACGCGAAAGCAGTAAATAGATAACCGAAGTGCCACCCCACAATAGGGAGGTGCTTAGCTGAATTCATGGCTGTTTTGGCCCTTCGTAGTCCTTTCGACCTGTACTGAGTATAACGCTTCATTGTGATTATATTTACCCCGAAGCCCTCCAAGAACCTTTCCGCTTGTTAGCCGGGCAGTGGTACCGTGGGTTGACGATGACCTTGGTGGCCTTTTTCCCTGAAACCAATGACCTCGGCAAGCACAGGTCGGAGGAACTTCCTTCCGCTGCCCCGTCTCTTTAGCTCCGCTCCTCTTGTTATGAAGAGTGTCACCCCTGACCTCATCCTAATCGGCTTTATGTTTGACCGTAATCGAAGGTTCTGTAGGAAGACCCCGAAGGTCGGGATCGACGTCGATTGATCAAGTGAGCGTAGAAAGGGTTTAGCCCGGTCCTCGGCAATGCTGTCGGCATCTGGTTGTCTGACGTGCAGATGATGGGAGCAAAGGTCGAGGATGGTTTGGAACCCAGGAGAAACGTATTTTGGTATCGACAATTCCAAATTCCATTTCTAAAATTCCGCTATAGATGTGTGAAGAATAGTATGGTTCCATCTCCTTTACTAAGCACTGCGACACATATCTCGTACTGCGTGGTTACTTTTACTGAAAGTGCTAGCATTAACTGTGGCTAGGCACTGAATCCACATTATTTCGTTGCACCTACAGCCATACCCTAAGGCCATTGACGCAGCAAATCTCACAAGATGAATATTGTTCACATTGGATTTGGAAAATGACTACGACGTCATGATGAGTGAGAGATCCGATTATTTCTTCGGGGTTGATATGATTGCAACGTATTCACGGATCAGTCGGGCGGTATTGGCTGGTCATTTGATTGTCTGTGAACCATGGATCAAAGGTGCACCAAATACAATTCGAAGCTGGATTCAATAATTGAGGTACGTATGAATGTGCTTACGGAGAGTTTATGGGGGGCAACGGGCATCGTTAAGATCGCCATTCGAACGGTCAAGTTTCGATCGATGTGTCTCGGCGGCGCGGATCGACTGAGATTGGCGAGTTGCGTCAATCTGGCGCTAATTCCTCACTAACTGCGAGCTTTTCTTTGCTCGGATTAGCGAGTATTAAGAGGCTAATCTGTTTGGGGCCAGCCCGCAAAGCTAGCCATATCAGGACGTGCGGTTGGATTCATAAGCCGAATTGCTTTACCAAAGTGCCCATAGCATATGAACGAAGGTCGATATCAATTTTTGGCCCTGACACGGGATATTGAATTGACCATTGGCACATGAGTATTGTTTCTTTTCTGCCTTGTGTTTCCTCTTTCCCACCTTCCTTCCACTATTTCTGTGTTCTGATCAAAAAGGGCAGAGGGTGGACTCAATCAGGAATCGGGGAGGTCAGCTTACTTGGGCTAACTAATTAGCAACAACCTTTCCCGCCAATCTTGGACCCTTAGCGGGTCTGACAGTAACTCGAGACCTTTCCCCCGCCCACTAAAGATTCGTGCGCTATGTCATGGGTTCCGTTCCTTCTCTGCCATCGAAAAGAACGGTCCAATGTTTTGTGATGGCACTCGTACCATAAGTGTTCTTACTCTTTATTTCACGGTACGATCATGACGAATGGCTCAGAAATAGAAGAAGAAAATTGTCCGAAATAGGCATCAAAGGGGGTAAGCTACGAGCAAACAATGTCCCATCTACGGTTACCTCGGCTCAATCTTTTCTTTTTTTTTTTCTTTCCAATCAATTCTCCAATCATTCTTGTGCTGCGGCTATCCTACGGCTCCGGCCTTTTTTCCGGCAGCCTCCAAAGTTGGGCTTACCAGAATGACGGGATAACACAAGTTGAACGCAACTTACCTACGTCTCGGAGTCTGTACGGTTGTGCCCTGGGCCGGCCAGGGAACGAATAGGAAACAGGCCATGTCGAGCGCAACCGGTGAACCCTGGCCCTCTTTGATATTATTGGAGCGGCCTTGGAGCGCCCCTTTTGGTATCGGTACCTTGAAGTCCCCTCTGCCTTTCTGTTGTGTGTCTGCAGGCAGTGCGTGGCCCCCCTCCATCTGCCGTCTTCTCAAGCTAAGCTGGGTGGACTTTTGTGCTCCCCCCTTCTCCTCGGCCACGATGGCCCTCTGCGACAATGACACAGGCCATGTTAAGGCTCATGCTAAATGCGCATGCTGATGGTTTTTCCACAACATCTTCATGCTTGGGCCCTCATGTGCGTTAGCCTCACAGCCACCCTCCTCCTCCTCATTTCCCACCTCCACTTCCCGACGACCCCGTGCTCCCACAGACACAGTTACCTTTTCCTTTATCAATCCCTCCTCCCATCCCATCTCATCCCCTCCCGCATCCTGGGAAAGTCCAATCTGCCACAGCCTGGCCCTTCTCTTTCTGAAATCGACAAATCAGCAAAATACCATTTCTGCGTTCTTTTGCGGTTTTAAATATTCTGGGTGCATCTGGTTTGGTTATCTAAAGGGTTTACGATTTGCAACCAACGGATTTCTCGCCTCAGCTATTGCAAGGAGCAAGCAGATCTCATTTGCATTCATCGTTCTTCTATCAGTGGTACCTCGAGTACTGTACCGTGTTCCAGTTACCGAGAACGCGCAGTTGATCGGGTGGCGCATGCCACGGGCGGACCAAGTTTAGCCGTCGATTGCGGTCGCACCTTTTCTCTTTCTTTGCCTTCGTTCTTTTTTGCTTTCAACCATCCGGCTAAACTTAGCTGGAAACTCTTTTCCTTTTAGCAGGCGGCCGCTTTTCCTACTTCTACCAGCTGCCCCCCCTTCTGCCCCCCCTTCTGCCCCATCGAACCGCATCGCTTCTGAGAGTCCGATTCAGATCGATCCGACCTCCACCTTTGGCCCCGTCGAGCTTGGCATCGATCGAGTCTCTGTCAAATCGATTTCTAACTTTCCCATACTCACCCATCTCGACACAAATTTCCCAACTTTACGGAAAAAACCATTGCAGTTTCGCGCATTATTACGAACGTTTCTGCTTGCGTGGTTTTAATCTGGGCGATCGCTGACCCTTCTATTTGAACTCGGTCGCTGGTCGTCTTCACTGCTACCTTGCTGCTTCCTCTCCACTCGCCCTCGGCCTACGCCTACGGAGTACTTCAAAGCTCGCAACACTCTCAACCCACCGACTGGCACTCGCCCTCTCCCGCCACACAGAGTATCGTAATTACCTCTACTTCACACAAAGTTTCTCTACTCGTGTATTTGGATCTTTCGATCAGAACACTTGGTTAATCGGTTCATTCCGTTCCTGTTTTATTTATTTATTTTCTTTTTCCGTTGCGAAAGGTTTCAGATTCAACCTTTTCTGCCAGGAGCTGTTTGCCGCTATTATTTCTTCGAGCGACAAATTGCTGTGTGCCTCACGTTATATGTGTGATAGGTGCACCTCGGCATACTTTTACGTTTCGTGCTATATGCGAGCGCGACCATCAATTTATCTTTCTCATTTGATGTGTTTTCGTTCTTGAGATCTTCCCATCTCTGCCGCGAGCAAGTAAAATTGTTTTCTCGTATCATCGCTTATTATGCCTCCAATACGCACTACGCCGGCTGCAAAGGCCGTCAAGACCGAGAGAACTCATGAAGAGAATCAAGAGAGGTAGGAAAATATTCCCCTTCTTCCTCTCCCGAGAGACCACGCATGCTGCAATTTTCATCTCCAATTCGTCGAGCTGAATATACGTGTACTGTTTGCTAATCCCCCCATCTCAGGGCTTATATTGCCGCTTCTCGACGTAGCGACCGAAGCCTTGAGGCTCGTGTTGAGTCTGCCCGCCGTGCTTCCGAAATACACAAGCGACGAACCGGTCGTTCGCTGCGTGTCACCGAACAGGATGTGGTCAACGAAGAAATGTATGAGGAAGAAGACGACGGGTTTCCGTCTCAATATCGGCGCTTGACTGCGCATTTGCAGACAAGCTCCACCGATTTCAATCGTCGCCTGGCTGCCTATCTCACCAACCACGTTGCGATGAGGACAGCTCTTGAGCAAGCCGTCAGCCAGTCCTATGCGCAGCACTATCCCAAGGCTCCAAATTTTCCGCATAATAATCAACCCACGTATCCCTCTCCGATGATGTACCCTCCGTACTGGCAAGGTTTCAATCCCTCATACCAACCAGCGCCTCCTAATCCAGCTGTACCAGTCGCTGGATACCCCCATCAACAGCCTGCAGGTCGCTCCAGCTCTATTGCCAACCCACAATCAGCAGCGGCATCTCATCCTCCGACACCTGTGCTTGATCCGTCGGACAGCCGTCGTATGTCTATGCCCGCGCAGTTTACTTCTTCCGCGGCGACAACGCCCCGGCCTGTTCCCACCCAAGTACCCACTCCAGCTTCGATTCAGTCGCCCAAGTCGGAGCCTCAGCACACACCGTCCCAGCACCCGATGTTACCGCAGTACGGTGTTCCATATCCTTTTGGGAATGTTGATGCGGCCAACGACTATGGCCCGTTTACCCCAACTTTGCCTGCAGAGTCTCAGTTTATGCTCGGCCCTGCCTTTGGTCCAGCTGATCCGTACTCGGCCATGCTTATGGGTGGGTCTGCCTATATGCAGCAACCCTCTTACGGCTTCCCACCGCCGGTAGGCACCAACATGAAGGCACACTCCGAGAATGTTACTGCAACGCTCGCACCCAGCGATCTCACTCTGTCATCGGCATCCGACCAAGCGCAACTATCTGATTCATCCAACACAGAATCTTTGCCTACACCACTTCACCTCGGATTGGACACTAGTGGCGGCGATTTTTCCGTGCCCTCCAAAGCTCCGCCGACTTTGGGCGGTGAGCAAGTAAGCATGGGCTCGGGTACGCCAGGCATTGAAAAGGAATGGACATCATTCATTGACGATCACAACTGGGAAGAGACGATATCATGATGAAATTTCCTCTTGGTTGAATCGTATGAAGACGCTGAAACATGCGTTTTCCCTTTTATTGTTGCTTTCTTCACGTGGTGTATTGGGCGACGGAGCTTTTGCTGTCGGTGGCGTTTTTAGAGATACCATTACGGTTACGAACGAATAGTTGTAACGATCGGGGCAAGGTTTCAGGCAACAGTGTTCAATCTTGCTTGCTTTCTTTCTTAGTTTTTCTTTGTCTCAATCTTTTTCTTCTTCTGAAACTCACCAGCGCGATGTGTTGCGGTGTTTCGAGCGGTTCTGACTTTGGGAAACCCGACCATCAAGCTGTCAAAAGAGAGCTGATAATGGGCTACAAATAGTCAGTCTCACAAGAGATGACACGCAGATTTTGCCACTTTTGATGCGTTGTTCGTGTAGCGCGGCCAATTCCTTCACAACTTTTTCTCTGGTCGGCTTCGATTGTGGGCGAATCCAATAATCGGGTCGATAAAATCGGTTTCTGACGCCACGACTGCTTATCGGACAGCGCAATTTTGGCTCTTCTCGATATCTCCACTCTTCTATCTGTGAAATACTTATTTTATTGGCAGCGGGCGTTGAAAATAACTGCGTTTGACTTTGATGGGTTTTACTTCAACGTTGAGGCGGGGCTCCAATTATTATGAGCCACACCACCAAGGGCACGCATCGATAGATGCAACCTCTTTTCATTTGAGCTTTACCTTTGGGCGCTCACGTTTTCTTCTCCCCTTTGATTCTATCGGCAGTAATAACGCCTTTTTTTTTTTTTTTTTTTTTTTTTTTTTTTTTTTTTTTTTTTTTTTTTTGAGTCTGAACTTTTCCTTTTCAAACGCAGCATCCCCTGGATCAATTATTATTATATCTCGAATCTATCAGCAGGGGATGCATACTGATTTTATAGTCTACGTTTTTGCTTGTTTTAAAACATTCTCAGCCAGAGGATCTAATGGGGGGGTTGCCAGAAAGTACCCCACTGCACTTCTTTGTTTTGACTGTATAGCTTTGTAACTATCTCTCGCAGCCATCCCACCTATACTGTCGTCACTCGTCGTACTGATGGGAGGAGCGAAAGCTATAGTTGTATGCGACCACTGGATGCTCCTGGAAGATGGTGCAATCCATTGATTTGGCACCAAAGCAACTGTACCGTCTCTTTATTAAAATTAAAAAAAATAAAAGTCTTTTAAGACTTAACTATCTGTTTCCATGTGCGATGACTGTGTGTAGTGAACGTCTTCGTTGAGTCTCAATGAGGTGTGGGGCTCACATGCCTCCTTGTAGACCATCAGGGGTTGAGGGGGGAAATCGAGATATTTGCGCTAATAACATAGGACTTCGATCAGATAAATATGCTCCAACCAACAGCGAGAGCAATGATGATAGATGAAGGAGGCCGCGGCCATAGTTGGCATAGTGGGCATTTGCAGGTCAGATGAAACACCTTCCGAATTACCTGCTCGAAGATGCACAACCTCCATCTTTGGTCGAACTTGAACCCATCGGCAACTCCCCCGACCGGTCCGGTCAGGCCCCTCGGCCGCGTTATCAGATCGTGTAGCTCCGTACACTTATCATTTCATCCGGAGGTACTTGGTTACCACTGCACGCCTATCAATCATCTCCGTTTCCTTTCCACTTCCCCTGTTTCTCACATGGCTTTAACCACCTGCTCCGGTAAACCATGTATTCGTCGGCGAATATTACGAGTTAGCTTTAATTCACGATACCTTTATCGGACAAGACCTTGCATCATTGTTGATATCGTGCTGCTTATATGTACAGTATGCACAGTATCAGACGTTCCCCTTTCCCCTTAGCCCGTTGCCGGTTCCGCAACTTTACGCAAGTGGGGCTTCTCCTGACACGATAAGAGCAACGCCATATGATCCCCACATTCTTGGCTCCTTCGATAAGCTCGTCCTTTATGTGGCGTACTCTAATGCGATAGTTGCTGCATGTGCCTATCCGGTCCGGAGTCGGCGCTGCTTATCGGTCTCACTCCATTTGAAAGACGGTCGAATTATCGTCGTGTTGTTGTGACAGGCGGAGGCCGTACTTTGTGGGGTTTTGTATATATCAACATGTATGCAGCATTGATATGGCACTTTTGAAAAGGGCTTGCAATTGAACACGCAATAGCCTGCTTCTTGGGACTGCTCTGAACACAATCCAATCCACTATCCCAATTCATTATTCTAATCTCTCCATAAATCTATATATATATATATATATATTTTTCTCTATTACGGTTATCCCGTTAAAGGGTACTTTATCATTGAAATATATCAAAATGCCACACGTCGTATTCGACATTGTCGGCACATGCTTCACCTACGAGCGCTTCTTCGCCGCCATTGAGGCGCGTCTCGGCGACAAGATGCTCGCCGCGGGGATCAAACCACGTTTGTTTGGCTACACCTGGACCGAGGTCGCCGAGCGGGAATACACCTACCTGAGCATGACGGGGCGGTACCTGTCCTTCCAGCACGTTTTCAAATCGCTCTTCTACCGCATGTTGTGGTTCTCGGGCATCAAGGAGCCCCGCGCCTTCGCGACCGACGCGGACGTCGAGGCCTGTCTGGACGGCTGGCGCCACTTGGGCCCCCGCCAGGGACTGCAAGAGGCCATGCAGAAGCTCCGCGATGCCGGGTTCACGGTCTGGTGCTTCACTACGGGAGACGCGAAGCGCATTCTGGGATATTTCCAGGACGCGGGTGTCGAGATGGCGCCCGAGAGTATTCTCTCGTGTGATACCCTCGGTCTGTCCAAGCCCGCGCCGGAAGCGTATAAGAATATGCTCGGCCGCTTTGAAGGGCAAGAGGTCTGGTTTGCAGCGGCCCACAGCTGGGATGCGTCGGCTGCTAGGGAGTTTGGGTACGTTTTTTCCTCTTTCATTTCCCTCAGTTGTTAATTTGTGTTCTTTTATCTTGCATTTTCCGACGTTAAAGTGCCTTAAATGGGACGAAGAGCTGACCAATATGTTCATAGCTTCAAAACTGCATACTGCTCCGAGGGCGAAAAGGAGCCTTGCTACGACATCTTTGGAAAGTATGATGCAGAGGGTGTGACCATTGTCGAGATGGCAGACGCACTCATTGCAAAGTCAAAAGGCGCTACACAATAGATTATAGCGTTTGCATTATCGGCGTTTGTTGTTCGACTGGTTATGAGTTATTTGCATAGCTGTGTGTCTCAGCTGCATTTTGATAGTCATATAAGTATTTTAAAATGAATTTATCCAATCTCTTATTCCAATATGCCGTCCTGTAATGGGAAGTTCAGTGTATGTAGAATTTGTCTGAGACAGATTAGGCCAGGATGTATTGCGAAGCATGTTTTATATTTTTTGGTCTCGACAAGGAAGCTGCAAAGTGTCAGAATGATAATATTATGTCGAACAAGTGTATGCATCTAGAATGAATCAGATAAATTTGTCGACCGTACTATTCTATCTATCTTACATCTCATTCTACAAATGAACAAACCGTAAAACTATATCCAGAACAAAATAAACACAACCCGCCCCTGGTATGATGCCAAATAAATGCAAAAACTAAATAAACCAATGCCAACACATAAATTCTTTTCATAGTTCCAATGACCGATTAATTCTTCTTCTCGCCATTGTGCTTGTCGCCAGCCATATAGCTCTGGACCACACTCTCCGTGCTCCTGATTCGCTCCTCCGTCGCCCAGAACGGCCACGGGATATCCGTGTGGGACAGGTCGTCGACCTCGCCCTTCATGAGACCCGCGAGCGCCACCGAGGACAAGAGAATGCGGGGCATGCCGTGGCCGGTGAAGCCCGTGTTGAGCCAGATGCCCCTTTTGCCGGGCATTCGGCCAAGGAAGGGCATAAAGTCCTTGGAGTAGCCCATGATGCCTGTCCAGATCTTTGTCGTGGTGGCCCCGCTGTCCTCCCAGCCGTTGAAATGGCGCTGCATGTATCCGTCAAAATACTCGTCCGCGCCCTCAATCAGCTTCGAGTCGTCCGTCACGTTCTCCCAGTTGCTGTCGCTCAGCAGGACTTTCTGCTTGGCGCCCCCGACCACCACGCTGCCGTCGGCCCGCACGACCATGTAGTCGTACTGCTTCGGCCCGAACCGCACGGCGTACGAGTTGTTCAGGTGCGGCGGCCGCTGGCCCTCGGGCACCGCAATGTGCGCGGCGATTCCCCGAACAGGCACAATCTTGTCCTTGAACTCGGGCATGATGCCCGCCGTGTAGGCGTTGGTTGCAATCACCACGTTCTTTGCGCGGATCGTGCCCCGCGGTGTGGTCACCGTCCACCGCCCCTCGGCGTCGGGCTTCTCGGACAGAGTCGTCACCGGCGTGTTGGTCTGCAGGTTCGCGCCCCATTCGACGGCCCGTCGGAGGAGATGCATGATGAACTTGTACGGCCAGATGTGGCCTGCAGTGAACGAGAACGCGCACAGCGCGTCTTTCATGCCCGAGACCTGGATGAGATTTCCTGTCAGTCAATATCCCGTTTGGCTTTTTTTTTTTGTTCTCTTCTTTTTTTCTTCGTCCATTGAACACGCTTTATTTCTCAATGTGCAGGGGAGATGTCATACCTGCTCGGCTTCCTTGGGATTGGCCCAAAATTCAATGTCCGACGTATCGAGATAGCCGGCCTTGACCATTTCCCTGTACGCCTGAATGGTGGGCACCGAGACCCGCTCGTCCAGAAACACATCAATGGCTCGCGTGAGATGGAAGTCGCAGTCAATGTTCTCCTCCTCGACCAATTTCTTGATTTCCTTTAGGTGCTTAATCTCATGGTTGATTAATTGCGCTGCGGTCCGCGGCCCAAACATTTTCGCATACGTCCAGAATGAGAGATAGCAGTCTGGCTTCAAATGGCCGCCTATATTTTTACTGTCAGCCCATCCGTCATCATCATTTTTTTTTATTTACGATAGGTATAATAGAACGAACCATTTCGGGCGGTTGCACCAGAGCAAGCACTGCGGGCCTCGAGAATCACCGTCGAGGGACGGAACTTCTCGTCCTTGAGGAGATAATACGCCGACGTGGTTCCAGCATAGCCAGACCCGATCACGACATAGTCTGCCTCCTGGGGAAGCTCTTCGGTCGTTCGGTGGTTTGCAAGATCATCCTCGTGCGTCAACCAGTACGACTGAGTGGGCTCAGGGTGGGGGAAGAAGTCGGGAGCAGTCATCTTGACGGCGTGTAAACAAAAAAAGCGTCCCGAACAAGGAATCAACAGGTAGGGTATATACTGTTTGAATTGATTCTACGTAGAGGAGTCATTGCAATTATATACTACGTAGCTGAATGGGAAATGGGACGATTTCGGAGGAAATCATGGCTCGTCCTCCTCTTCCTCCAAGAGTCCCACGCCCATCGGTCCAGAGTGATACAGACCACTTCTCTTCCTTATCGATATTTGTCCAGATTTTGTTCAGGGTCCCAACTAACCAACCCCTTTCTGGCCGGACCTTATCAATCAGTCCCGCTCCCATCGATCTGATAACTGTGGAACTTCCGGTCGAACTCCCCGTCGAGCGTTCCGGCGTCGGCGAGAGCCCACGATAATGGCGTTTGCGAGAATGCTTCAATGGAATGAGAAAAACAAGTATGAGCATCCTGTAAACTAACGCAATCGATCGTTATTCCTATCTCGTTTCGTTATTCAATATCTTGTCCGGACCGGTCATACGCAATGAAAGCGGCCCGGGTGGAGGCTAACCGTTTGCCAAACCGCAAACAATTGGCTTCTTATCATCGCGGACCGAGTCTAAGGATGCTTAGCACCTGTCATCCATCGGACTCTGTTATCTGTTCAACCCCTTTTTGCATTATTGGACAGAGTGTACAACTATTGAATAGGACCGAACAAGAAAGGTCGCGACTGCATATTTTTGTGTCATCGTGCAGCCCGTCGGGCATCTAGATACCCTCACTCTCTCCCCATCACATGCAGTTGTTCTGTAATGTGTATACCCTTTGTATTTCTCCGGCCAGGTTGCCAGGGTTCATGGCGCTTGGCAAACCTGAGACTCCAATCTATCCTGGTCCATTACCTATCATGGGTCTCTACTGATGGCTTTAATTGGTCAATTTCCCCGTTTCTATCCTAGACATCTTCCGGACTTATGGGGTACAGTAGTCCATCTACGCCTGTATCTGAAATCCCAACCGGCATCGTCTCGCGCACTCTGCTTCCACCTGGAGACGGACCGGGGGCCCTCACATACCATTGATTCATGTTTAGACTCGTACCGGCCTATCAATCAGAGTTTACGCAATAGAGTTTCCGTTGCATCAATTGAGTGATAGTAATTCCAAGATATCTCGTGGCAATTATGAACCCCATACAATGCTTGGCATGACATATATCTGTCCCCCCTCATCCCAACAGTGAGTGAACGGGACGCAAACAATAGAAAACAAAACATTTCTGGTACTTTAAAAAGACCGTACACATCTCTTGACCGCATACCCACGCCTTGGTCGCTGCAAGACCCCGCCATGGCCGCTGTGGAAATGTCCATGTCCACAAAGGACGAGAAGGCGATCGGCACCTCATCACCACCCGACGTCGAAGTGGAAGCCGGTCAATTGGTAGAGGACCACGGAGGTGATTCGGAGCTGCAGCGTCGACTGACCACCCGCCACTTGGTCATGGTTGCCATAGGATCTTCCATTGGAATGGGTCTTTGGCTAGGTTCGGGCACCTCACTTACACGCGGAGGTCCCCTCGGTATCTTCATTGGTTATGTCCTTTCAGGAACCATTGTTTGGGCTGTCAATCAGTCGATTGGAGAATTGGCCGTCATGTATCCTGTGCCTTCAGCATTTGTGTCATGGAGTGGTCAATTCATCGATAAATCTGCCGCATTTGCCCTCGGATGGGCTTATTACTTTAGTTATCCAATCAATGTCGCCAACGAACTCCAGGTAAGCCTCATCCCTTCACACTGGAAAGGACCGAAGATCTGACAAGTTTTCGGGCGGTAGGGAATCTGCACGGTTCTTTCTTTCTGGACAGACAAGGTTCCCATCCCAGCATGGATCAGTATTTTCCTCGTCGTGGTTATTTTGGTTAATATCGGAGCTGTCAATTGGTTCGGAGAGTTTGAAGTGACAGCATCCATGATCAAGTTCTTCTGGATTATTGTCGTCATCATCTCTTGCATTGGTAAGAAGCCCACAGACTACCTCCATTTGTTTCATGCTTCCTAGCTAACCATGCATCAAGTCATCTCCGCTGGAGGAGGCCCCAAGGGAGGCGCTATTGGATTTCGCTACTGGAATGAGGAACCCATTCGTCATGGTTTCAAGGGTTTCCTCAGAGTCATGCCCACTTGTATCTTCGCCATGAGCGGTGCTGAAGCCAGTGGTTTGGTGGCAGCGGAGACGGCAAACCCCTTGAAGTCGGTCCCGGCGGCTGTCAAATCCATTTGGATCCGGCTCACCCTCTTCTACCTCTTGGGTGCGCTCATGGTCACGATCACCGTCTCCCCCAACGACCCTAACCTCTTTGGTGGTGACGGCAGCAATGCTTCTCCGTTTGTCATTGCTTTCCGCAACGCTGGTATCGAGCCTCTGGCGCATATGATGAACGCAGTCATATTTGTCTCTGTGCTCTCGTCTGGTACTATCTCGGCCTATGCAGGATCGCGTTTGCCGATCGGTCTGGCTAATCTGGGCATGGCCCCTAAGGCAAGTTCCCTACTGCACTTTGAATGATCGAAGCCTCTCCCAGCTAACATTTGAGGTTTTTAGTTTTTCAAAAAATGCGATCGCCAGGGCAGACCTTGGGCTGGCTTGCTCAGTGTCTTCATCGTCGGTGGAGGTCTCGCCTATCTCAACGTAAACCACTCTGGCGCTGAAGTCTTCAACTGGCTCTCGAATCTGACATCCCTGTTCACTCTCTTTGGATGGGGTTTGATTTGTCTCGCCCATATTCGTTTTCGACACGCCTGGAAGGCCCAAGGGTTTTCTCCGAATGACCTTCCATGGAAGACTTGGACATATCCCTTTGCAGCATATTGGGGCCTGTTCTGGTCTGTCTTGCTCATCATTGTCGAGTTCTATCTTTCCGTCTGGCCGTTAGGCGCCAAGGCAACTGCTGAGAGCTTCTTCGCCAACTATGTCTCTGTCCCAGCGATCATTGTCCTTTACCTGGGCGCCAGGTGCTACTACAGGGGCTCTTGGTATATCAAGGCAAAGGATATTGACCTTTACAGAGGAAGACGGTACTATGGCACCCAGAAGCTTGCCGAGGCGGATCAGGCCAAGAAGGGCAACAAGGTCGTTGGAATCTTCCGGAAGGGATTCGGGGCCTTCTTTGGCGACTCTGGGTACTGAGAGTCGCACAATTTAGTGATCTGCCTTTCCTCAGATACCCCGTCTTCCCCCAGATGCCAGTTGAGACCTTCTGATTTCTTTTGCTTGCTCAGCGCTTTCCCTTTTCCTTTTGTATTAGAGCGTCCGACTCTCCTCGGCCTCTCTATCCACCATATATGTCTTATCCCTGAATGACGTTCTGAGTTGTAAAATTTTAGCGAAGATCTTTGGATACCCATGCTCGTTGTATATCAGACAAGAATTAGAAATAAAATGGCTGGTCAACGTACAAAAAGCTTCCCTTTTCTTAGGCATGAAAGATGCCACAATTCGACTGGAGACAGTCATGGTGAACATTCTAAACGTGTATGACGCACTCTAGACGTGGCGAAGTTCCTTTGCGACAGCGTTGCACAATTCTACCTCCACGCCTGCACCGGTCAAGACATGAATCCAAAGCCGTTGTGTATCACTCAGGCGGTCATTCTCCGACTTCACCTCGGAGAACATGACCTTCTTCTCCACAGGGTGCCAAAGAAAAAGGTCTGGAACCCCGCCGCCTCGTTTCTGGTAGTCTTGCGCCATCTGTCAAGGTCAGAGATTGTCATCGCCTCAGTTCATTACCCATTCACTTACCACTTTGCATATTGTCGCAAGGGCTTCGCCTTCAAAACACTTTTGATAATCAATATTTGCAATCGTTCACGTATTGTTCACTGTAACGCCTGATCCACTTACTTTCGCAATTTCAACAAGATCGTCCAAAGCAAAAGCCCAGTCTAACCCAACAACACATGTCTTCTTCTCGCAATGCTTGGCGTGCACTGCCTTAATGATTCTTTCCGATTCTCCGTTGGCGATTTCCATCAATCGATGATTGATTTCAGACATTCGCGTCGGAAAAAATGCGTCGGTATGGAGGTCTAGCGGACAAGTCTGATATGCTGTTTGAAAGACGTTCGGGATATAAAGGAAGAGAATTTCGAAAAAGAGATAGCCGAACTGTGCGCGAAATGAGTATAAATCTCGCGCTGGGATGAAACGGTAAGACTCACCAAAGTACGAATGACGCCACCTTCCGAATGATATCCCTTCCAACCCTGGGTCCGATACCAGCTGAGGCACATTTCTTCAACCGAGCAAAAACCCCCATTTTCGTATTCGTCGATCCATACAGTTTTCCCGCCCTTTCCAGTCTCACTAGTTCTTCGATTTAGAACCTCATCCTTCTCGATTCTAATGCCCTCGACTACCCGTTCTTTCGGTTTGATAAGTCTGACATGGCTGAAATCGTGTTGTTCTCGTTTAGCAACTTTCAAGCTCTTCTCTAATTTCATGATTCGTTTCTGGAGATCGTAATGATAGATGATGTGACAGTCTCTGTCTTGCAGTCCTTCTTCGCAAGTCTGTAATGCTATTCTTTTCCAGTGCTTTTTTTGCGCTTCCGGGTTCCGTCCTTGATCGGGTTCAATTGCCGCCATATAATGTTCTTCGAGGAGAGCCTTTCTGATATACCAATCACCTCTTCTAGCCAGGTGAAAAAGTCTCTGATTCAATAATTCGGTCAATACTGAATGCTCCCGTTTGTGATATTTTAGTCTTCCCAGGACATGGGCACCCTTGTGCACTATCCTGGTATAAACCCACGCCGGAGAGAAACGGCGAAGATAAGCTCCCTCACCCAGATCATATTGAGATCGATCTTTATATTCTTCGTCCCGAAGTAGTGCATTCCATCGAGGATATATTTTGTCAAAGACATCAAGAACTCTCTGCAGGTCATCCTTTCTTGGTGTCCCGCCAAACTCCAGGATGGAATCGACATAATGCTGTGTTCGAATGGACGCCTCGAACTCAAGGAGGGCAGACCGAGACGTAAATATGTTGAGCGAGCGCGACACCAAGTATTCCGGAAACGTCCGGCGGGATATCTTTGCAAGGATGACAGTAATCAAGGACTTCTCTGTCCATTCAGTGGAACGATAGAATACTAAATGCACTCTTTCGAAGAGCTGAAGCGCAGGCAATGAGAGTCGAATACATGGCCCAGTGATCTCCATGATTTTTCCAAGAAAGTGCCCATCTCGGGTTTCCTTTGATCGCCTGATCGCGGGTGTGTCTGCCGTGACACCATTCGGCGGAGGCTCTCCGAGATGAGAAACATCTGATCTTGGTCTTTGCCATCCGCTCGAGAGCAGGCTACTTTGGTTCTGGCTGTTACGCTGCAGCGCCGCAATAAGCTCCGCTTTATTCTTCCCCTGGATCCTTGCGTCCTTGGCAATCGATTTGAGTTCGTCCAGCCTGAGAAGATTTAATGCCTCTTCCAGCGATCCAATCTCCTCGTTGGAGTCATCTGCAAATGTAAAACTCTCCTTAAGCTGCAGTGCTTCTTGGGAGTCGCCCGCTTCATAGGTGAAATCTGGTAGATGTGTACTAGAAGGAATATCGCGGGGAGTCTGAAGCTGTTCAACCGCTGCCGGAAGATCAGCGATGTCACTGTGGTACTTGATCTCGTTCACTCGATGCCATGCCGAAGTCTTCCTCAGAAAAAGTCTCACATATCTGTAGCCAGATGTCAGCAACATTATTCAGAGAACTTGCTAGGAAAATGCATACAGATATTGAGCTTCATAGCCAAGACTTCGCCAGTGTTCGAACAAAGCGAGCTCAGCTCGGTCAAAAAGATGAGCTTCTTCTTCAAGCACTGTTTCCAGAGCTAAGTTAAAAGCATCAACATATATCGAACTTTTCCCTCTTGCCCATTTGCCGGACTCCAGACGTGCTGCGAAGTTGGAAGCTTCGTTGCGATCATCGGCTGTTCTTCTCAGTTCATATTCCGCAATGGCTTCCTGGTCATTGGAGATGTGCGGCAAAGCACTCTCAAGTTCCGTTTCTTTCAAATCGTCTTGGAAATAAATCCCAATACTTCCATCGTCACTGTCAGAGACCGCAGTAGGCCGATCAATCAATCCAAAAGCTTCCGGCGAATTCTCGGGGCTATCAGCGGATGAGCTCTCAATGCTGTCGAAAGTTTTGAGTCGTTTTGAAGGACGAGACAAATCCTCTTCTTTTGAAGGTTTGATAAGGTACCCCAACATCTAGAAAAGTAAATTTTGAGGCAGAAATTGCTGCAAACTCGAGCATGTTGGCTGTGACGTCGAGAGACAGGCATGCCTTTCGTCCCCGTCGCGAGTTTGACGCGCTGGCACGTGCCGAGCTGGTGATCCATTAACTTATCCCAATTCCTGAAGGGCGCAACAAATCATCCATTCAGTCCGTGGAGCTTAAGGTTGCAGGTCACCACAATGGCAGACAATAATTCTACAAGCATGTCAGCTGCTGCGCAGCAATACCAAGCCAACCTAAAATATCAGTCACAGAACCCTCCGGGCACATCAGAAACACCGGCCCTCGCAAATTCACCAGAGGATGCCCCAGACGCAGTTATGAAGGATCTGCCCGCTGAAACCGTCCAGGTACTCAAAGAAAGCCGACCGCCGTGTTCTCGCTGTTAACTTCTTTTCTAGAGTCCTGCTCCGCAGCCACAATCGACAGGCTCAACACCAGTCCCTCAATCTCAACCTCGCACATCAACGCCTGGTCGCACCACCAACGGACTAGAGCAAACATCGCGACCAGGTTCAATGCACCCCGACGGTACAGAATTGCCCGCACAGGCTGCGTCGCATGGAGCTCCAGCAAGGAAATATTTAAACGAGAAGGTAACCGGGGTTCTCATGGAAGGAATGAAGATGATAGCAAAGGAGCAGTAAGTCTAAACTGAAACCCAGCACACCAATATTATCCCATTGCCATTGGCATGACTACTAACATCTCCAAGGCCAAATGACCCTCTACGAGTTTTAGGAGAATACCTTCTACAGAGAAGTAGGGAATTAGAATCCAAGTAACTATCATGGATGGGAAAGGCGGAATCGCATGAACCTTGCATGGAAAACTGGCATTTGGCGTTTTGAACGGAACCGCGAGTCTCTTCGCTACTGGGTGTTTACAATGGGTGTGATATCATTGGCGTTTCACAAAAATGCATGAAGAAACAAATTAAATGGAATACTCCTAATTCGAGAGAAAATTATGGCTTTTCATTCTTTTTTAAAAAGGCGTCATGGTATCTGCTGAGACATCCATTTCTGCACGTCTTCTAAAACACACCACAACTAGCCACAATCCACGCTCCACCGCTAATTTAGGCAACAAGGGTGCTGGCGGTGGCGCTCTCGTATCTCCAGGTGGGGGGGAGGACACCGACGGACTTGTAGTATCTGGAGAGACGGTGGATACGGGACTCGATCAAGATAAGACGGAACTTGGAGTCCTTGTCCTTGCGGTTACGCTCAAGGTGCTTGCGGACGGCAACGGCCTGAAAGAAAACCATGTTAATAATCCACGAGAGCGCACAAGAGGCTCTGGCTCATCACATACCTTCTTGATAAGCATGTAAAGATCCTCAGGGATCTCGGGCGCAAGGCCTGTTTACATGAAAAATCTCTCCGTCAGTCTCATGACCAATCAGAGGCATAATAAGGGGATATTGGAAAAAGGGAAAATTCTATTTTCCCAATTCATATTCATATTCAGTGTGGTGCAATCGTACCGTTGGACTTAAGGATCCGGAGGATCTTGTTACCTGGAAAAATGTTAGGATCCTGGCTTTCTATATATATGCAATCAAAATTGCAGCGCAAACTTACCAGTGACGACCTTGACCTGGGCGACTCCGTGAGAGTCACGGAGGACGACACCGATCTGAGAGGGAGTGGCACCCTTCTTGGCCAACTTGCAGATCTGGTCAACGACCTGCTCGGGGGTGGTCTTGAGCCACGCGGGGGGAGTGCGCGAGTAGGGGATGGCGCTGGACGAAATGCCCTTTCCTTTGCTGTGAAGACGACCCATGGCGGCGGTTTGTCGAGGTTGAAGACCGTTGATGTGTTTCGAAGGTCGCTGATCGGTGTGCTCAAACTATCGCAAATTGGAAGAAATTGAAGATGTTTGAATTGGCGAAAGAATGTGGGTCACGTGAGAGTACGCTAGCGTCTCTAGGGCAGAGTTGGCAGCAATTTTGCTGTTGCGCTCTTAGTCAGCCTAACACTAAGCGAATCCAAGGATTTTGCTGGAGCCATGTTTTCATCCCAAGGAGACCGCTTCATCTTTTGCAACGAAACTTTTGCGACACTCATATGACGCTCTGAGATACAAAATATTTGACCTTTGTGGTCAAATGGACCTTTCTCGTTTGTTTTGTATAAGGTATGTTCTTTACAAACCCTTTATTACTGCAATTTGTTTGTACCTTTTGCCGCAGCGCCTTTGTGATGATACCCCATTTTTACTTATTTCTGGTACCTCTTATGTGAGGGGATCTTTTGATCACCCATGACCTAATTGGACTTCTGAATATTTGCTGCCCTCATTACCTCGCAGTCTTCTGTCTTTGTATTCATTGAAACAGCATCGCTAATGTTTCAACAGATTTATAAGCTTGCCTAAGATAGATATACCAATGACATTCCTATTATCTCCTGATCTCAAAACCAAATTCGTTTGCTATCATGACTGCTTTTCTCAACGTCTAGCCAACCGCAGCATTGTGAATGAGCATTGGTCATGATTGTGTCAGCTTGTCCTTTGAAATATCCAATGAAACGCATACCATGCACACCTTTGCCAAAATCATGTGCAAACGCTGGATCAGAGCGAAAGTCAGATAAATGCCTTACACATCTCTAAGCCTGCCACCTTACAGTCACTTGGAATCGGCTCACGGCGTCTCCGAAGAGACTCTGCCCGCTTCTGGAAGGCTTCCGATCCCCAATGGCTTTGTTGCCTCATTAAATCCTTGCGAGGCATCCGATCTCTACGATCCTGTACCCCTCCCTGATATGCATGCGGAACAGACGTTCTTTTGGGAACAATGAAACAAACCCAAGCCACCAAAGCAAGCCAAACCGCGGGAAGTCGGCCTTACCCTAGACCCCGTCGGGTAAACCTTCCCGGTTTCCTTCTCCAATTCCTTCCCAATTCCTTCCCAATTTCTTCCTGATTGTTGATACATTCACTTTCATTATGCCTGCAAATATCCCACGTCGATCCCATCATATGTTCATCAACAAAGCGGCTGCCGATCTCCCATCGACGTCACGATGTCACATTGCAGATTGGATTCCCAGTGCAAAGGTAAGGATCAACTTGATGCGGGGGATGTTACCCTTCCTGCATGACGGAATAATGTCTGCTTCGACCACGAGGTGCCCCTGTTCTTCGCAAAATTGCAACGTAACGCACTATTCAAGCACATCGGAAAAAGGGTGAGTGTCATCCGTGTGAAATACGCTGTCGGCTGCCAACCTGCAGCGTCGCAATGGTATTCTTCATCTCGCCCCGCGTTCTGAAGAAACACCTTTTTTCTATCGGCTTGATCCCTAGAAAATTACTACTTTGACTTACCTCCCTTAGTGTCAGCACCTCCGTGGTACTGGTAGCAAAAGGATAGCAACTTGTGTGGTTTTTTGGACCTTCCGGAAAAGGTTCCGAGGACGTAATGGACGACGGGTCGGAAAGTGACCTCCTGAAACGGGCAATTTCTCCGTTGTCGACGCGGCCCAATCTTGGCTGGGGCGTTGGGGGAAAACAGATTCCAGGACGATGATGACTGTAGTCCCAAAAATTTGAAACGATCGGGACTAATTGCCATTCCCATTTCAAGTCACTTACTACGTAGGAACGTTATCATGCTGGTGGAGTACGGAGTAATATAATTTTAATTTAGTTCAGTTTGACTTACTAATATAACAGGGAAGTTAGTAAACCAAAATACAAACTCCCGGGGCTGGGGTAGTAAACAAACTTTTGGACACGCTCGTCTTACGCTTTGCGCTTTTCCTCTTTTTCTTATGGTTACTGATTCCCGGTATGAGTGTAGTGTATTTAAATACTAATTACTGTCGAGGACAAAAGCCACAACGGTCCCAACCGACTAAATTATTCTATGTCTAGCTTTCCCGAGAGTAACTTCATCAATCTCAAACCACCAATAAATATAATGTACCCTCAATCATTTTTGCGACAATGTATTTCAAACAGTACACTGGTGCTTAGATCTCTCTTAGATCGTAGAGTATCTAGCCCAGTATTGTAATCGCTGGCTGAAATAAGGAGGCACGCTAGATGCGCCCTTCAACTTTCTATTGTATATGTGGTTCATAGACTGGATAGTTGAACCACGCGCTGATCCTAACACGTCAGGCACTTGCATTCGCATGCCAAATATATTTTAGTCGGACATTTAAATCCTCCAAGGCCGCCGAGCGTGTACTATCAAGAGTCCAAATTCTGGAGCTGCAGAATAGATGTGTGCACTCTCCGCTGATAAAAGATCGCTCCAATATACTCCTTCCTAAACACCAAATAAAGGTAACCTGTATCTCCTCACTGAATAAAAAAAGAAAGAAAGAAGAAAGAATGCAATCAGGAAATCGGATATAATTCCTCGCCTGTAACGCCGACATTCGCCTTCGCTAATAATTCGCCTTCAAGGGGCTGATCAGGGGTAATAAACAAAAAGAATAATTATTTACGGCTTTTGCTGCAGTCTTTAACCCATACTTTTGCTTGAGTTATTTTGGCGCAAAAGTAGAGCGTGGGTCCCAATCCCGCTGCATAACTGACTGCGGCGCTTTCGGAGAAGAGAACGACGAGACCGGAGAACTGTAATTCGCGTCCCGGCCAAAGTAATCCGGCGAATTTCCTTGGTCCGTATGATGTATTGAGTCAATCGGGCTGATGACTGATGTATCTGGTGTCTTTAAATGCGGACGTGGTGTGGATGAGAGCATTTCGTAGGTGCGCGCATCCTGAGGGAGACGCCGTGCATCGACGCTTACAAACTCCCTCTTTTTTCGTAATCGTTTTCTTAAAACATCGAACCAGCCAGTCACCATAGTCCAACGACCAACAAGTAAGGTAATCCAATACCCATTCCACTAGAGAAACCAATTAGTGTCGAGAAATTCACATATCGAATAACTACCAGACATACCGAAAGCAATACCAACACGGCCATGACAGTGGCTTCATTGACCACTAGGTGCGACGCAAGGTCAAGACATTTGTTCTTGTCTCCGCCATTCTCGACAAGGCATTCTAGCCAGGCTTCCATTTTTTCCGGGTGTTTCATGTTATTTTGGGTCTGAGCATCCATGCTCAAGAATATCACCGAGAAAAAGACCAAGTCGACAATGATAATCAAAATTAGTGCAATTCCCCGCCATTGCAGAGCAATGACTCTCCGAACTTTTCGATATGCCGCCCGGGCGGTGGCTGCAGTCACGCTACCATTGTGCGAAGGAAGTCCAGAGCTGTTGCCGCTCCCTGTCCCTTCCGCCATTAGAGACTTGAGATAGACGTGAATACAGTATCCAAAACTAATCGCCGATCAGTCAGATTCTTCACAAAAAGGAACAAAACATACGTTATGAATTGCAGAATTGAAGCGGCAGCAGCTATGGCAAGAAGAGGTCCCCAGAAATCGCCATTGCTCTTGTCATGGTTGATATGACATGTTTTCCCAAAACGATAAGAGACCCCGGTCAGCGACAAGGCGATGGAGAGTAAAATGGCGGGAATAAACCATCCTGCAAACAGGGATCCAAAGAAGAAGACATGCCCTGGAACGATATCCCAGCAAACCTGGAGATGCATCGAAAGTACCCGTATAAAAACTGAACATTGGTAAGTAAGTGGCGTGCAAAAGTGATGGAACACGCATTCCTACCCCAGAGCATTGTGGCAAACCCTCCAGCGAGGAGAAATGAGCCAGAGAGAGCACAACTGGTATCCGATCGCATGTCATGCGGAGTGATGGCATCATAGCATTCCCCCGGATTGGCACCGAGCGGTATCACAAAACCCAACTGCCAACGCCATCAGAAAAAGCTCATTATATTGTGTTGATCGGATCAGACCTGCCTGCAAAAGTATAATAGCACCGATTAAGCAGATGCTGAGGTAATGCCGCCGCGTCTTCTCAACGGGCAAGGCCGCAAATGAAAGCAGAAGGAATAAACACAAGATTAGGCCACCGACGTTGAGCCAGTTTGAGATCAAACTCAGACGTGAAAAGTCTATTTGGCGGTTAACAAGGGTTGACAAACCACGGATGACAGGCAGATCGTACTGTCAGGATATACCCAGTCTGTCATCGGACATGGCAGACAACATGTAATATTGGTAGGGAGTGATTGACATGCTCGACCTTGGATAACTAGTCGACATTAGCGACAACAGGCCTTTGTATGTTTATTGACGACAGACGTACAGCCTCCGGTGGCAGGGTAGTCTGACTCCAGCTTGAACGGGGCCGGACAACCCGGTATATTAAGCAGAGGAGCAGACATTGCGATGAATCAATGTGAAGAGCGAATGACGTGAAATGACGGAGGCGGGTTAGAGCTTCGGCCTGCGTCTGTCCACCATCAGGTATCCTCAGGAGCGGAACAGCATTCGCAAATCTATGGAAGCGGGGTCAAGCAGGCCGAGACCGAGTGGCAGAAACAAATGTCTAGGAATTGACGTATTCGCAAAAGGCCCTATAGCATGCAGAGACGATGCCGGGAAAGCAACAGCTTGCGGATGTCACGGTCTGCGAGACGAAAAGGGATAGCTTTGAAAGCAATGGGGGGAGGGGCCCGCAGAGATGACGATTAAGAAGATTTATAAATTATACAATATAGAAATGAAGACCAACGAGGCAAAAGAAGAGAAAGGAACTATAAGAGACAGGCAGGTTTCGGAAAAATCTGGGTCGCGAAGTGATAAATAGACCGTGGCAGGCTTGATTCAGGGCTGTGGGGCAAAAGAGCAAGAGAGAAAAACGTCCGTGGGAAGAATTGGCTCTCTCTCTCTCTCTCTCCCATCGTGAATGGGGACTCCTTACTAGAGTAGACGCACCAAGGGACCGGATCGCACGAATAAACCAAACTTCCCCTGGTCCCGGACAGACCTTAAGCTAGTTGTTAGCCATTTGGGGGAGAGGGGGAAAGGGAAATCTTTGAGGACACAGCAGGCTGGTGTAACGCCTGTAATGGGCCACATCCGGCCCCCGAGGTTGCACTAAGTCACGCCCAGCGCATCATGAGCAAATCGAGATAACCAGCGAGGCTGATGACCAAAAGCCCAAAGAGACCGCTTTAATGGCCAAAGAGGACGACAGGACGACAGAACGCGTTCTATGGGCTGGGCCGACTGGAGCAGTGGTCTGAGCGACACGGTCCTGAAGAGGGGGAAAATCGTTGTTGGTTGAGGCAGCAAATATCAATGAGTGGACTAAAGGCAATAGACTCGGATGACTATGCGAAATAGGACATTAGTGAGGTACCTATTACCGCTCTTACTGGGACCCCCAATCCCTCTACAGTACGGTCAAGGGACCCTGGGGGACCCTCAGGGCCCTTTAGTTGTCCGAACCCGCGGGGGGTTAGTGGGAAGGCCCGAAACGATAGTACCTAAGGTATGTACAAAGTACTCTGTGGTGAGGCTCTTCATGCTGCTCGCTACAGTGTACAACGATTTTCCTTGGTGGAGTCAGGGAGTCCTCTGTAAGGTACGGATACTCGTTCTCTGTGATCCTCGGTCTAACCCTCACCCATGGCTTGGCTGCTGCTGGTATTTTATTCTGATAACTTGGTAGCACTTCCCTGCTCTTTTTTGTTTTTAATCTCTGCCCCAAGCGGCCCTTTTGTGTGGATCGTGCTCAAATTGACTCCAAATGATTTCTGATTGATTTCGCAAATCATTGTGTTGCTGCTTACACTTGACTCTTCCCAGAGCAACACCGTGGCGCCCTCTCTTGTAGCCAATGGAGCAGTTGCCGTGCCCGTATCTGCTGCTGACTGTCGATGCGGGCGCGATGATGGGTGTGTGACCTTTAGATTTGGATGAAGGCTTCTTGTTATTGGATCCTTTAGTATTCTCACGTTCGCTTTCTTCCTCTGTGTGTGTGATCCGCATCGTGCTTACGGAGTACCCTACCCCAAGCAAAAGTCCCCCCCCCCCCAATAGCGATGAGGAGCCCGGCGATGGCTCACAGCGCCATCAAGTCATCAGCCGTCAATCAATGTGCGCAACGACCCGAAGGATCCATGATTGGTTGCACGTTACATGGAGGGCACGAGACTGTACCCTTTTGATCAGAACCTGGCTGGTGGGTTCTGTGGTTGAAGAAGGCGTTATACCAGGAGGAGAGTGGGTAAGGGAGAAGGAAACGGGCGTGCTAGCGCGGCCCGATATTCCTAGACTCAGCGTGGAGCCCATGCTACTATTTCCCCTATGTCCCCATGTCCGCCATCAGGGAAATGCACGTCCAGAACGCGAATGACAAGCGGGCCCGAACCGTAGACGGGTGGCCGAGGGATGGGCCGCCTTCGTTGGCGTTGTTGCCGATACCCTTTTTCTTGTCCCAAATTCGCCTTCCAAATTAGGTTGTCCCTCCCCTCCCCCAATTTTCTAGGCTCTCCAATAACATGGGACAATCGACAACAATCAGTGATGGGATTTCGAATTGGTCACTTCCCCCCCCCCCTCTTACCTCATTCAACGTCTGCTATCGAGCCATTCATTGGGCGGCCTGCCGCTTTGCGCCTGAGCGGATCATTTTCCAGCGTCGCCCTCCCTCCCTTTTACTATTGTTCTAGAGGTTCTATGGCATTTGGGACGGTTACCATCATTTGTCCTCGCTAATCTGAACTAGATTTCGGATATGACTGGCACAATAGTGAATAACTACGTAGTCCGTTGGCTGAAGAATGATGGTGCGACCCTTGATCAATCCAATAATCATCTTCAGCATGCTGTTTCTCATCTGCAAACGGCAACGAAATCGTAAACGGTTCTCAGCATCTATCCAGGTAACGGATTATCATAGCGGGTCCAGAAAAACAATGCATGATAAGTCATTAATATTATTCAGGCAGATGCTTCGAGATAATTACATCTAACCAGATAGCTTGCCCAGATAACCAGTGAGAACCCTTTAAAGGAGATGAAGGAGTGACAGGATGTAATTTCGGGAACCCCCAGTGGTGGTAGTTTCCGACTCAAGTAATGAGTAAATGAATGTATGGCAATTCATGAAAGCAGAGAAATATAAACATTAGAAGAGCAATAGATGGCGCTTGAACATGGTATCTCGAGAAAAAGGGGAGAGGGATTGAGCTTAACCGGAGAATTCACCTGAAGCCACGGATTTTAGAGCCACAACTGTCCAAGAAAAGCAGTCGTGGACTGTAGCATTGAATGGCAGCGGAATGATGCTCTAGGCTCGACGTGATGAGGAACATGTTGCTGGATGACAAACTTGAAGAGTATTGACCGAAAACTTTTCGTTTGAATAATTCGCAAAACGCCGAAGGGAAGGCATAGGCCATCAAATCATCGGCGCATCGCCCGGCCCGCGAGCACCCCGGCCTAGATTGCCAAACAAGTGCTCTGGGGGAATTCGATCCATATTACTGTGTTTGTCAAACATCTGGGTGGGAGCCGGCACGTAACCTTCCCTCTTGCGACGCAGACGTTCAGCGACGATGCCAATCACAACAAGAACAAAGATGAGTGCAAGTGCAATCGCTAGCGCGATAAGGACAACGAAGCCTACAGCCAAGTGTCCACCTAAAACGGGCATTAGCGCCATCCATCATGCAAAAGGGATTAGCTTCACTTACCACCCGATTTGAAATAATTCTGCTTCTGGGAAAATATCTGAGAAAGGCTTCCAGGCTGGTTGTCCGCTTTGTTTGCGAGAATGAACGGGGAGAAAGCGGTGCCATTAAAGAGGGCTGCAGAAGCGTTGCCGAAGTTCGGGAGACTTAGCTGGCCTGTAATGAGGAGGACTTGATCAGCGTCAACCAGGTCGCTTCCAGCATGATTCTTTGACAGCGAAAGAATCTGCAATCCCCGAATAACTGTGGACTGCCCAAAAGTCTCTTGGACAACTCTCCACTTAGAGCCATCGTATTTGGAAAGGAACGTTGAACCGTTAGAAGCTTGTCCAGCCGCCCAAAAATTGGTTTGCGCATTGTTCGCCGCGGTTAATGCGCTGATGGGTCCAGGCAGGGTGTTGGCTTGGTCAAAAGAAGTCCATGTCTGCTGATTTGCGTCATAGACAGCCATGGTTGTCGAGTTGCCATTGACGTTCAGCGAGCCGCTAGCGATCAACCTGTTCTTTCCAGACCATGTCAACGCGGTAACAGTCCCGGTGAGACCAGAGCCAGGCGTATTCCACTGCGAAGCTGAAGTGGTAAAAATGCAGACGCTTGGGCAACCCAGTGACCCAGCCGATTCAAAGTTGCCGCCCACATATACATCTCCGGAACCGGGGCGCGTCGCTATAGCGTTGACTGCAACATTCGAACCTGCAAAAGCTGGGGGTTGCGGATCAACAAAGGTAGACTGTGCCAGGTCGTACAAAATCAAGCCATTAACGTCATTCCCGTCCACTTCACCTGTGAGCGTCCCTCCAGCAAAGAGAACGCTGCCCTGGGTCTCAAGTGCTAAAACCGCGGAATCTGAGTTGATTCCGGCACCAAGCCCCGTGACTTTATCTGAGTTCGAGCCATTGATGAAGGCTAAATTGTGAATGAGAGACCCATTGGACGCACGGGCTGCGAAGTGTCCTCCAAGTACAGTAACGTTCACACCTCCGGACTCGTAGAAAAATCCTGTCACAGCGCCACTGACATTCTGTGCAGTAGACGCTCGCTTCTGCAGCGATGTAGAACTGAGTTCATGGGGCTCAATATCGATTGGAAGTTGACTTAGGCCCAGGGCGCCGGATGTGGAGAGCTCAACAGCACCACTCACCCCAAGGCCTTGTGACGCGACAGCACCGGCAAAGAGAGGAGGACCATTGGGGAGATTGGTACCTGCGGTCAGACGCCCGCTTATCGACACCGCTTGGGTTCCCAGGTTCTGTAACCAGTTCTTTTGTGATGGTACCCAAACGGCCAGGCCAGAAACCGCCCTTGACAAGTTCTTATCAAAAGGCAGGATCTCGTCAAAGTCGCCACTTATTGAGATGACAAGTTCAGGTTTGTTGGCTGTAACATTAAGAGTAAGCGGCACAATTGCATCCACTCTTCCGTTAACACCAGCACCCAAAGGTTGCCATGCTTTCTCTTGAGTGGAGAAGACCGCAATGTGGTTGAGGTCGGCAGTGTTGGCTTTACTAGTATTGTTGAAAACGCCGCCAACATAGAGCGAATTGCCAGTTAGGTACGTCGTGAGTACTTGGCCGTTCAAACCGCCGTGGGGCAGCGAAGTTGCATTGCCTTGACTGATGGCGAAGACGTTATCGAAATTGGAATTTGAGAAATTTCCGGCCACGTAAATGGTATCTTGAGAGGCAGAGAGAGAGGTTATTGATGCATTTGAGTCGAGGTCCATTCCGGCTCTGTCTACGGTTGAGTTGGAGTAATCGGTGGTGGCAGAGGCTTGGTTGGGGTCAAATTCATAGAGGCCATTAAGGCCATCAGTGGAGGAGACGAGTTCGAAGCGCACACGCTGGGCAACGATGTATAAATTGTCGCCCTGATTCGCGCTCGGCGTGAGAGTGATGCTTGGCTGAAACGAATCGCTACCGGCATCAACATGACCGTAATAGACCTGGTCATACTTGTCGTAATTGTTGGTCTGATATATTTCCGTCTGTACGGGTGCACTTTGGCGTGTTTGCGATGCCATGGTTCCCGTAATGTTTACTCTGCCTCGCTGAGCGCAGCTATCATCTTGAAGGCACCCCGGGGTCCAAACAGTGACAGAATAGTTTCCTGACTGTCTAATATCCGGTCTGAATACAACCGACGCTGATGAGGAATCGATGGAAGGACCAGTCAAATTAGCACTCAGATATTCGGAACTGCTTTGTCTAGATGGCGTAACGGCCCAAGGACCAGTTACGGTGGCGTTTGAAGGCTGAGATATCCCTGCGCATGAAGCCTCATTGAAGTCCTCAATGGCAAAGGCATAAATGTCTAATAATTTTTAGTCAATCCTCAATTTGTAATGGTAGACCTGGACATCGCTTACCATCTTGAAAGAGCTGTATTCCATTCAAACCGCCACCTCCTCCGTACCAATCGAGAATATCCAATCGGAAGCTGCTCATTCCGATGACATTAACAAAGTGAAAATCTTGATAGCCTTCCTCGGTTTCGCTTGCAAGAGGGCACCAGGCATCGCAGCTTTCATTGCGACCTGTCTTGGGATCGGTGTATGTGAGATTTAGGATGCCATTGATCGGGAATGCGTTGAACCGAAAGATTTTTGTGCCTCTCCCATCCTGTCGAGTATTCCATAGCCTAAGCTTAGTCGGGCGGAAACCGAATCCAAAGTCCGCTTTCCACCATCCAGGCGCATTGTCGGCAAGAAGCCAAGTGTGACCCGAGCCATCTTGCCCATCAGAGCCACAGGCAATGTTTTTGGGGTCGCTGAAACCGGCAGTGGTGGTCGAAGTAGCTGTCGAGATGTTTGCCTTCGAGATGTTGATGATTTGTTCATCCTTTTTATTTGGAGCGGTGGAGGCATTGCCTAAGCCATCGAATGATCCACCAAATATGATGTTGCCTCCAGGTGCTTGGATGATTGATGACACTGGGCCATTGAAACCAGCGAAAGGGAGATTGGCCCATCCTGTCATTCCCACCCAGGCGATCGCATTGGTCGAATTTCCGCCTTTAAAATCACCGCCGACATAGACGGTATTGGATTTCTGATCACACAAAACGGCGGAGACACGGCCAGTAAGTCCAGGTAGGGGGGTCACTTTTGTCGTATTTGGATCAAATAATGCGATGCCTTGTGCTTCGACCCCGCCAAGGCTCGTGAAATTTCCACCGGCTACCACACCTGCAAAGGTTCCATCTTTCAGGATGAATGGACACATTGTCTGTATTCCAGCATCTGCAGAAGTGAGGCTTGCCAATGTCCCATCTGGCAACTGAGTGAAAAGGGACTGGCTTCCGTTGGTACTGAATCCATCTTCGTTCTGGAGATTATACGTGTACAAGGAAATCGAGTCAAAATCTCCTGTGAGTGCGACGCGGCCAAGTTGAGAAAGATCGAGGTTGGGTGATGGAACGGGTTCTACGCTGAGCGCTTGAGCTATGCCGAAAAATGGGGCTTGGAAACACCAGGACGTGAGGGTGGAAAGCACGAACGCCGTCGCAGGGCTGAGCAACGAAGGCCCCATTGCTGAAAGCAGAGCGTTCGGCTCGAATCGATCGAGGATAAAAGTTTAACGCGGATATGATGAGTAGCTATTCGAGTTTCCTTGTAATTTGAGAAGCGGTCGAGTGTCGCGTCTTAAGTGAAGTGTATGCGATAACAAAGAAGTAAAGAACGACTAAGAATTAATTCATCCAGAATAAACGATTGACCGATGAAAAGGAAAAAAGACAGTAGAATATCAAAAGGGCGAAGACTCCTCCAGCTCAAACTGACGAGTTGGTCACCACTGAGCGACTCGTGGTGATGAGTTTCAGGAAATAACGAGAAGGGGGTAAATGGTGATTGTCTCCATGGCCAGGTACCCAGTGTACGTATAGCGTACTTCTGAGGACGGGAGCAAAGCGAAACCATCGTCATGCTGTACCAGGAGAACATGCGGGTAGGCTTGTCGACTTTGGGTATAGCCTTGCTTTTGCAATAAGCGAGGGAGGACCTAGCAACTGCCAGGAAGGGGCATTTTGACTCTTTTTACAAAGTACTTACCCAACTTGGCCTGGTGTTTGTTTTGCCTCTCTTGGAATCTTGGTTCAAAGACATCATGTCAATTCGAGGAATCCTGATAAGGAGCAATCGATGGTGACGAGGCAGTACTCAAATTGAAGATGTTCTTGACAGATAGCTTGTTCAGCAACACTCTTTTCAGAGGTTTTTTTTGTTTTTATTTTCTTTGTTTTTTCTCAAGAACAACAATATAAATTAATAATTTGTTTTGGCAAATATCTAATCTGAACATGCAGGAGCTTGAGATGGACGTGATGATGTTATCCCGCAACCCTATTCCCAGATCTAATATCTTATAACATTATTGACGATTCTTCATCTAGCAATTGCAGGAGTAGGAGGGGTTTCAAGCTAACCACCACGACATCCCTGAGTTCACACGTTCTCGTGTATTGTCATTTTGAGTTTCTTGAGCACGCAAGAGCAGGATCCTCGATGAACAGAAAATGCATTGATGTAAATATTCTGCAATACTATTGTTTGTGATGCAGATGAAATGCTCATAGCATAGAAAATACAATTAGAAAAATTTACCAGGATCCAAGCATAACTAAAAAAGAAAAGACTGTCCCATGTTTTACCGGACGTGCTGATCGGAATCATAGAATGTAAAAAAAAAAAAAAGAAAGAGGGAAAGGAATTCTAACGCCCACAATCCTGTCCTTTGCCGTGAAAATTATGACCAAGATATCCAAGGATGACCCAAAAAGAAAATCCCTTTAAAAATGACCGTAATAGTACACGCTTAACTGAACATAAGGTATCTCGTAAAAATTGAATGAAAGCACCTAACTCGGCTCATTAATCCGAGGGACAAGCTCATTGTTTGAGTCGCTCGCCTCATTGGAATCACTTTCTTTCCGGTATCGCTTCTCGAGCTTTGCGATGGCCTGGCTCGTCAGTTCCTGGCGGAACAACTTTTCAATGACTTCCCGCTTGCGAGTGCGGTGGTCACCGACAGAAATCAGGACGCCAGCCGTAATGTTACAGGCAATCGAACAGCAAAGAATGACAGTAGTGAGAGCGAATGGCCGGACTTTGTAGGAAATAGACCAAGTGCAGGTGCCTAGCGCGATCTGGAAGAGCGAATGGCAGTCCAACAAAACCACAATCGCAACAAGCAGTCGCAGCGGGAAAGCATGATGGGTCAAAACCTCGTGCGGCTTGTAAAATGTATGAGCCTTGGCAAATTTTCGTTGATGATGTTGGAGACGCAGTTGCTGGCGCGGCGTTAAAACAGTGAACTCTGCCTCTTCCGCAGTCCCTGTCTCTGCAGCGGTCGCCGCCATATTTTCCAAGTCCACGTCGGGATTCATGGTATTTGTCTTGCGCTCTGCTGGCAAATCGTTCTTGTCTTGTAGCTTTGGCAGCTCCCATTCTTTGCGCTTCCGCCAGGTTAGATGGTGGTAGTGAGCAATGAATATCATATGATACGTGTCCACGGCACGAAATGGAGCGAGACCGTCGCCCATGACGGCAAACAAGGCGACAAGGACATTGTCGATAACGTTGATGACATAAAGTTGTCGACCGCCAACGTTAACCCAACCTGAATGATGTTAGAATTTTGTCTGCTCACAGCATCATGCCAGAAAGTTCAATCTGAAAATCAATGTAGAGCCAGCCGAGACCTGATCGAGTCTTTCTCGTTGCATGGTTGCTTCGGATAGTGGATGGAGAGTAGTCTGAACCTACCAATCAAGAACAAAACCCACGCAAGTCCAAAGAGAGTAATTAAGGTTGCGTACAAGGTCACAAAAAAACCAAGGGCTTGATAAAATCAGCACATGGCAAGTTGAAAAGAGGAAGAGACATCTATTAAACTTACGCCGGCGCACATATTGACCGAAACCTTTCAAACCACGCTTGATCTTGGCGCGTCGTGAATGTAACATGTGGCGGACCAGGTCGTCGAGCTCAGCCTTGTTGGCTTTGGTCCATCCTTCAAGAGTAACACCCTCTGGTAGAATGGCGTATCGGCCCTCGCTGATGGTAGACGCGATTGTGCTCAAGGACCTCGTCCGTTCGGCTTGCGGTGGCTCTTTGGGTGTCTCTGCGCCTTCTTCCCGTGCAAGGTCTTCGTCATCTCGAGGACTTTCGACCTCTGGGATATCTGATGGGTGACGTGTAAGGGTATATGTTGGCTGGCGATTGATCCAGCGGCCGAGATCGGGAATAAAGAGCGAATTTTGAACATTGGTTAATGTTGAGAGAGTGGAAACTTCTGGGTCTGAAGTTGCAAAATCAGTACTGAACACATTCACTTCAAATCAAGATACAAGCAGCCATACCGATTACGTCGAGAAGATTAACAATTTCAGAATCATATTGTTGCCTTGGAGCAAGTGGGACAGGAGGCGGTCGTCGTGGAGCAGCATCCAAACCACCTCCTGTGGTCGCTGAGCGTTTCATTCCCAGTGCTGACCGTGCACTCATGCGACGTAGTCGTCCAGATCCCGCTCGTGGACGGGTGGGGGGTGGAGGTTCCAGGGCATTGAGCTCGACAGGGGCCCCCACACTCTGGGCATGAGGACGGGCATGGCGTCGTTGTCCAAGATCCGCCTGATGTGTATCCAATCCATGCATCCTCTGTGGCTCAGAGCTGCTTCGTCGCCTCCCCGACTGAGCAAGATAATCAGTTGGCTCTCCATCGTGAGCGCGGTTTTGATTAATCGGTGGCGTTCTAGCTGCGGTGCGTGTCGATGCTGTCGAGGTGGTTGAAGGCAAACGTAATATTTGGATGCTGGGCTGCCTTGGTCCTGATATAGTCGTTCTTGAGTCCAGCCGACGCGTGATAGTTGGCCTTGGCGCTGGGCGCTGGGGCTTGGGATTGGGATTGGGATTGGGATTTGCGCTCCCTGAGGGGCCGACATTCAAGTCGCCATCATGACGAGCCGTTGGCTCAATTCGGTCCATTTGTGCAGGCGGAGATCATAAGAAAATTGGACCTGCTGTCGTAAGAAGAAAAGAAAAGGGGATCCCCGCCTGAAAAATGTGGGCGCCCGGGGAGAGTATGAACTTTTTTTTCGTCTTGGTAGAGGCTTATCAAGAATATAGGATTTTGGGGGATGAACAAGGTGGGTGCCCTCATTTCCGGTTGACAAGCGGGAAAGTGCGGGAGAGCATGTGATGGGGTTGATGGGTGGTTGGCAGTAGACCTGCCAACTCGTTCAACAATGACATAATTATGTGGAATTACCAACCGGAGACAGCCCCGATACTCCGTACCTCGCCATACAAGTATGTGCCACAAGACTTTGAGTTTGGGATACATCTTTCTGCTGCACAGATCAAGATCTCTAGTAAATTCACTACGGGTGAAATTTTTGAGGTGCTAGAACAAGAACGGAAAGTATGATGCAAGAGGAGCAATAAGCTGAGTGAGAAACGCTCCCATCCATCCCAAAGCAGTAATACTCTACCCCAAAACGGCCACTTTTCTTTAGAACTATGTAGACTAATTTCGTGTTACTTCCCCTTCAACATTACGGGGAAAAGACAGTAAATTCCGGTGAAAATATTAGCAACTGGGAAAATTATAACTCGTGCGGTTTAGAAAGATTCGTGCCTATACCTATTATGGCAGTGAAATATGCTTAGTAACTCACAAGGATCAGCGAATCATAATTTTTTTATTTTTATTTTCATTTTCATTTACCGTTTTATCCTTAATATTCTGCATTGCTATAACTCTCTAGAGTAATACTTCTGTATCTCAATTGTTTATATGATCTCAGATATCTCAGAGCATATAGGATGAATAGAAAGCCACGTAAAGGTATTGAAGTACGGCCGTGAAACTTTCTGAACCGTACAAGCACTTCAACCAAGCATAAAATACCTGAGTGGATCTGATCCAGGTACTGCAGGGTTTGTCACAAGCATGACACAACCACTAGTCATAGATTGGTTAGTCCTCCCGCAACACCAAGATTTGTTCACGCGTCGCCCGCCAGGGCCGCGCGACTCCCCTTTCCCTTGGAGTCAGGAGCATTAATGCAAGTACAAAGGTAAATTGTCAAGTTTACTGAAGAGGTCCCTTCGGGGGTCTATTTTTTTCCTTCTTTCGCTGCGTGTAGTCCTTCACTTCAAGCCGTCCCAATTGCCGTCTTGATTGTCGCCTCTGTTTTGCACGGAGTGGAACTCGGAACGCCCTTCTTGCATCGAGCAGCCTCCCTTAGCGGATACTAGTATGTTTCTTCCCCTTATCCCTGTCATTCTGTGAGATAGGCTACCTCGAGCCTTTCGTTTCCGACCTTTCGATCCAACGACCATTCCACCACGAAATCACAATGTCGAACAAGAAGAGCGAGGATCTAGAGATGAATGGGATGGATGGGAAGGAGTTTGGTGAGCAGGAGAGTTTCCTGCTGAAGCCTGCGCCCCATGACTGGGCTCCCGTCGATAGCAGCATGGGTAGCGCTCTCTCCCAACTCAAGAACACTCCTGGTGCTGCTGTCCTTGCCTACTGCTTCTCCTCGATTAGTATGACGGTCGTGAACAAGTATGTCGTTTCAGGTTCGTCCTGGAATTTGAACTTCCTTTATCTGGCCATTCAGGTACGCGCGCCCGCGACACCCTGGCACCACATCAAGACTCTACAGCTGACACCTATTCGACAGGCTGTTCTTTGCACGGCTGCAATTCTGGTCTTGAAGCGAGCGGGTTTTATCACTGACCTCGCTGCCTTGGAAAGCGGCAAGGTCAAGAGATGTATGTCCAGCCAATTGACGCTTGTGCAATTCCTCGTGCTAATACAGAACCAGGGTTCCCCGTGTCTGTGTTCTTCGTTGGCATGATCTACACCAGCACCAAGTCTCTTCAATTTCTATCGGTACCCGTGTACACTATCTTCAAGAACTTGACCATCATCGTCATCGCCTATGGCGAGGTCCTGTGGTTTGGCGGCAGCCTCACCCCGCTGCTTCTGCTGTCGTTCGGCTTCATGGTGCTCAGCTCCGTCGTAGCTGCGTGGGCTGATATCCAGGCTGCCCTCAATGGCACTGGGCACTCAGGGGAGACTGCCGCCGCTATCTCAAACTTGAACGCTGGGTATGCGTGGATGGGGCTCAACGTTGTCTGTACTGCCTCATACGTCTTGGGCACGCGCAAGTTCATCACTTCGCTGAACTTCAAGGACTGGGACAGTAAGTTTTAAATCAACCACTCAGGATTTGCAATGCAAACTGACCCGGAATCGACCAGCTATGTTCTATAACAACTTGCTCTCCCTCCCCATCATGATTATCTGCTCCCTGGTAACCGAGGACTGGTCCTCGGCCAACCTGGCCAAGAATTTCCCTGCCGAGTCGCGCTACAGCCTCTTGATTGGCATGCTCTACTCGGGCCTGGGTGCCATCTTTATCTCGTACTCGTCTGCCTGGTGCATTCGAAAGACTTCGTCGACTACGTACTCGTTCGTCGGTTATCTGAACAAGCTCCCGCTCGCCATCAGCGGCATCGTCTTTTTCGATGCTCCCATCACCTTTAGTAGCGTCTCGGCTATCCTCCTGGGATTCTTCAGCGGCCTTATCTACGGTTATGGCAAGATGAAGCAGAAGGAACAGAAGAATCAGGTCCTCCCCACCGCCCGACCGGCCATGAGCGCCAGTTCTCAGAGCCAGAAGGATGCATCGAACTCATAAGCCAATACCGGCCCGGCTAGTCGAGTAAGCAGAGAGGATTCGAAGAAATGGGGAGGCAAGGAGCCCTCCCCCAAAACGGCGATTTTTATTTTGAACTATGCGACTGTTTTCCGATTACTTTCCCTTCAACATTAGGGGGAAAGGCAGTAAATTCTGGTGAAAATATTAACAACTTGGAGATTATAGAATTTATCGTCAAGACGTCTTGAGCTTTATAACCCATCCCTGCATCGACAACTACCTTCCTAGCATAACCATAACACCATCTTGTCAGGACAAGAACTTTCCATAGACCGTTTGCGGTGAAACATTTCCAAGAGAAGCAGTCACATGTATGCGTCTTTAGATATTATCACTTGTCACAGCATCGACAAGTACAGCAGAGCATCTGGTAGTGCAAATTCTCTTTTCGGGAACCCTGCAGTGCAATTAATTCATAATGCCGAAAAGGCCGATTCCATTTTACCTGGGCTCATCGGAGATATCTGCATCGTTGAAACCTTAAAGCAATATACATGGGCGTGTCACGGAGAGCATATAATGTTTTGAAAGAAGAGTCGCCAAGCCAGGAGACTCTTCCAAAAAAGTTCATAGCCAATAAAAATCAATTCTATATGCGCCGGAGTCATCTATTTACAAGTATTAAAAAGGAAACCGAAGAAAGACAAGTCTATGAGTAACGAAAAAAGAGTGTCAAAGGAAATTCGTGGCACGCCAAGATGATGGCGCCGAGCTTCGCGTCAATTTAATAGCCCTTCATCTAAAATTTCAACTGGCTGAAAGGCAGATCAGGCTGCTCAATGAGAGCGCGCACAGTGTTGGCGGTCTGGTCAACAATGAGTTGGGCGCGATCCTCCTCAATGTCGGTCGTAAGTCGGAAATCGTAGCCATCACCATTGGCTTGAGCCTCCATCATGGAGAACTCTGTCTGGGAGATTTGTCTCGGTCCGTGCTGCTTGAAGACCTCCTTTTGGAAGTCGGGGTCCTCAGTGTCACGGACCAAGATGTTGATCAAGGTGTCAATGTGTCCCTGTTTATGACCAGCTGCTGCCAGAGACTCGGTCAGACCAACACGGCCGTGCTTGAGAACTTCCCAGAAATCAGTGGAGACGGCCTGCATGATTTCCCTGAGCGTGGTGTTTGTGTCAACCTTGAGACGCTGGGGAATGACAAGGAGAGCAGGTCCATTGACTCTTTCGACGTCCTTGACAGGCACATCGCGGCCCGAGATAAGCATAGACCAAGTGACATCGGTCTGGCCGGTGTGGTGCGTGAGCACAAGGGCCCAGGCAGTGTCAATGAGAGTTGCAGTAGTGAGACCAAGAGGTGCAGCAGCCTTGTCAAGGTTGATTGGGAGGTGCTGTCCGGTCCAGCGGCGGCCAGCAGGAGGAGCGTGGTTCAAGATGGTTGGAGGTGCTTCGGCCAAGTATGGCTTCCAGAAGGCGTCCTCTGCCTCCTTGTCGACCTGCTGGTGGTGGTGGATCAGATTTGTATATGCCGGTCTGGGAACGAGGTCAAGACCGCTGTAGAGTCTTGCAACATCCTCATAGAGGAAACGGTGGGCCCAGAAGTCGAAGATTGTGTGATGCATAGACACCACTAGAGTTTCGCGGTTGATGAGGGCCATGCGGAACATCAGGCTGCCTAGCTCAACTGGAATGCTACGATCCAGGTCTTCGTATTCGGGCAAAGACATTTCATATTCTTTCCAAGGCAGAGTCACGTCTCGTCTGGCGGTCTGAATGAGACCGGCTTCCGTCTGGATCACCGTCGTGCGGTAGATGGGATAGAGCGAGAAGACCATCTTGAAGGCCAGCTTAAGTCGGTCAATGTCCAAGTGGCTCACGTTCCAGAAACGGCGGTAAAGGTAGATCTGGTTTCCGCGGAGAATGGCAGAGAAGAATTCTTCCTGCAGAGCTGTGAGGGGGTAGGCGTCCTCAATGTTGCGGTCAGAGCTCAACGATGCAGCCACAGATTCATCCTTGATCAGAGAGAAAGGAGCCACGCGGACCGGGCCATCGTCATCGACACTGTCAGGATCAACCAGATTGACACGGCCACGAATCTGTGATAGGTTGTTCGGACCAAGGAGGTCGGGCAGCTCCAGCAAAATACCAACGCGACGGAGGTCGTTGATGATACGAATGGCCTGGATAGAGCTGCCACCGAGATGGATAAAAGTGTCTTGCCGACCAATCGACTCGGCAGCCATGCCGAGAACTTCGGACCAAGCATCCCGGATTTGCACTTCGACCTCCTCAACCACACGGTCTTCCTCCGACAACGAATGGTGGGCTGCACGTCCCAGCATGTCCATCTTGGGCGTCTCTTCTGCCGCCTTGGTGATCAAGGCAGGGACTACTTTGCCGTTGGGGTTGGTGGGGAGGGCATCCAAGTGAAGCCAGTAGCTCGGAACCATGTATGAGGGCAATGCCGCGCGGGCCTGCTCACGAAGTTCCTTGACCAATGCGCTCCATTCAACATCCTCAGCGGGGACAATAGCCGCAACAAGCGACTTCTCGCCGTCAACGACGGCGGCCACGACTCCGGAAGCAACAACTCCATGGTTCTTCGCCAGAACCGCTGAAACCTCACCAGGTTCGAGTCTCTGACCGTAGATCTTGATTTGGTTATCGATTCGGCCGACGATCTCAAAAGTGCCGTTCTCGTGCTGAAGCGCAAGATCACCGGTACGGTACATGCGACCCTCGCCAAATGGGTTCTTAATGAAGCGTTCGGCAGTCTGCTCCGGCCGCTTGAGGTAGCCATCTGCAAGTTGTGGACCGGCCAAGCACAATTCTCCCTTCTCACCCTGAGCAACAAGCTCGGTGGTGCCTGGCTGCAAAAGATAGGCGGTGGTGGTATCCGACGGCTTTCCGACGTTGCGGGGGTTGCTTCCCTTGTGCACTTGTGTGGAGAAGTTGAGCTGAGCGCATTCGCTCAAACCGTATGAGACACGGAGGACAACCTTGTCCGCCCACAAGTCGATCAAAGTTGAGCTAGCAGGCTCGCCAACGGTGGTAATTTGCCGAAGCGAGCGAGGCACGTCATCCGCAGGCAGAAGGGCCAGAGTTGAGGGCGTAATTCCAAGAGCATCAATCTGCATCTTTTCAATGGTGTCTTTCAGAGAAGTCGTCAATCGGTCCCGTCTGGCCAAGCAAAGGCAACCTCCCTTGGAGAGAGTGGCCAAAATGGTGCGCTGCGCCGCAGAAAAGATAGGATTGAAGAAAAGCAGCCAGCGAGCTTTGCCATTGAGCGAGAAAGACTGGATGCCAGCCAAAGCTGCACCGTGGGTGACGACGACACCTTTCGGGGTGCCTGTTGATCCGGAAGTGTAGACAATGTAGGCTCTGCTCGATCTGTCGATATATGGCTTGTTGCGAGCTTCGCCAGTGATTTGTTCCGCGGAGATCTTTGCAATTATTGATTCAATGGACACTGCTTGCTCGAAGGGGGCCGCGTATCTCTCATCCACAATAACGACCTCAGAATCACCTTCAGCGGCGATGAACCGGTTTCTGTCAGGAGCTCCAGCAGGATCAAGAATGGTGTAGGCAGCCCCGGACTTGAGGACCGCAATGACAGTAGCGGCAAACTCGACAGAGGGGTCCATGCAGATTGGCACAATGGTCCCGGCGCGCAGGGACAAAGCCTCGACGATCTGATTCACGAGCTTGTTGAAGTCCGCGAAGCTCTGAGGCTCACTGTGCTCATGGTGGACTGCGGGTGCATGAGGTGTCTGCTCGACCTGACTCTCGAATAGATCAATAATAGAGCTCGCGGCCGATGAGGTCGCCTGCTTGGGTTCAACGGCGGCAGGCTTTGCAGCCGAAAGAGGCAGGAAGAAGTTCTCAAGGCCTTTTTCAGCTTCCCCAAAGCCTTCCCAGGTACTGGCAGCAGGTCTTTCCAATAGCATGGGCGCCATGATGATTGACTATTGGGATATCAGCTTCAAATCCCAAGAAGATATTGTAGGAACGATGAACTGGAACGTACTCTAGATCAAGTAGTCGTCAAAGCAAGTTTACACCTCTGCTGTTTCGAAGGAGCTTGACTGATGATGAGAGATCTGAGCGGTCGAAGCAGCATTCTTATACACAGATGTTCAACATTGTTAGGCCTCGTCGATGAGGTGCAAAAAACATCTCTTTGCCGTTTTCATCCGTTCCTCGGGTGTTTTCGTAAGTCGTGAGACCTAAAGTCAGAAACATCAAGATCCGCTAAGTGAAGATGCATTAGCTCTTTCGAATAATGACACGGTAACTTGGGTAAGGTTGATCCCCGGCTGCGTCGTTGTCGGGTGCATGTTAGTTTCCCCAAGACTAGTGGATTCAGGACCAAGGATTATGCTGCGTCAGAACCCTCCTCCTGGGTATCCCAATTCAGCTGGAGGATCACGACTTGAGAGAGTCAAATCGTTCGAGCAGGCCATTGCTCTCAAAATGGCGCAACCACTCAGGTGGCAGGATAGCGTACATGGGGCCAACAGCCGTCCATCAGAGCTTCACGGACTGGAAACCCAGCCAGTCGCGTATCGGAGGTAGATTGATAGAACGTTTGCTTTTCCTTATCGAACCCCATGATTTGCAGCTACGAATTCACCCGAAAGGCTCTGATATCTGCCGTCGAACTAGAGCACCAGTTCCCGCAGTGAGTGGCGATGGATCTAGCAGCCTATCTGGTGCATTGTGCGGAGCATATGAAAATTTGGCGAGCTTGAAACCTTGAAAGCGTGTAAGTCTTCCGGTAACGAGGACGTGCATGCGCGGTTTCCACGCGAGTATGCTTGTTGCCCCAGGCGCTCAGGTACTCGCGGAGAGCGCAAACCTCTGAAAGGCCGCAAGCTGCATCTCCACTCTCGTGGGCTGGGGTTCGATCAGCGATCGCAGCTCGTCTGATGGGAAAGAGAAGCCATTCACCTGCTAACATTCATTCGAAAAGGCCTGATCGACGGGCTATCCGCGGGCTGATATCAGACCGATAGCCCCACCGCGGGAGTGAGCAAGGGGCCACCCGTTCCGTGACGCTGGTGGAGAGCTTATGTTGCTTGACGAAGCCACACGTCTTGCCAAGCCCGCTTCAGAAGACACCTAACCTCCCCAATGCAAAGCATTCGAGAACGCGCGGCAAGCCGATGCTATTGGATTTATTGAAAGGAGAAGCAATAAAAAAAAATGATCCCATCTACATCTTGATGCCACGTAAGATAGCGTACATGTATCGAAAGAGCCGCTCACCATGAGCAGGTGATATGAGGATGAGGGAATCCCAGGAGCCTCGAACAGCGTTCGACTCTAACGGAATCAGTCAAAGTGCGCGCCAGATCTTCACGCCGTTTGTCGATTGCGCTGACCCTGAAGTCAGAGGGTAGTGGCGCCAACCCTGCGTTAGCTAATATTTGGTGTGCAGAATCCATGCCATGAGCAAGCCACATTGAACCGTGAAAGGCATGTCGTTACTCGTAGTTGCTCACTCCGACCCATACATGATCGGAAGCGACGTGGAGTGGGCCCTGCAGCTGGTCTACAGAAAGATTGGGAAGCGTTGACGAAACCCGTGCCGGCTGGCATACCATCCAGGCGGACGACCATGAAAATCGCAGTTATTTTTGTTCCTTTTGCTGATGTATCTGTGCTGTAAGCAAAGGTCCGCGGTCAGTGGCCATCCTCAGAGCGAAGAGTGACGGTTGGGAGAGCCAATCAGCGTTTGGCAAGTTTGGCGGAATTTGCCTTTCTTGGGACAGTTGACCCCGTAATTGCGGGACGACACTCATCCCAGGTTCCGGGAATCCCGAGAATACGTTGAGGACCCTGCGAGAGAGCTTGTTGACGACATTACCACAATGCGCGGAAAGGGGTCTCGGGCCAGCGATCCCGCATATCACGCGCTGCGTCAGGACAGTACAGGTACTGATGTTAGAGTTGAAGGGCTAAAGGTAATCGTTGCGTCGAATAGCTCATCTTCGATCATTGGGCCCGAGCAGATGTCAACTCCCTGTTGCTCCCTGTTGCAAACCGCTCTTGCCGGCTAAATTGATCCGGCAGAAAGTGATGAGGGCAAGAGAAAGCGATAAGGCAAAACCTGCGTGTCAGAGACTTCGTGTCCTCCAAGGATCATCGATGGGAACGTCATGTTCAGAGCCCAGAACATCACCGTTCCTGAATGAGAGCTAGGATTAGTTGCATGTGGTTGAAAGGGTCAACCCCGACCCGTTTCAACCAGGGTTTGGAAGGTTACAGCCCAGTCTCGCATTCTGTAGATTTGCTTCCATAGGACTTCTGTGCCCGGGAAGTCTCATCCCACGGGAAGAAATAGTGGAATTCCCGCAGCTTTTATTCTGCCGCCGTTCGCCCGGGTAAACCCTAAGTGACTGAAGCTGTCTCAATCTAATCGGAACTTCGGTCCGCCATAACTGTCAAGAACGTCATCCTGAGTTCCGCAACATTCTCGTCGCGGGGCTCTTATGCCCAACTTTCCAACGGCGCGCAAGTGGTGATCTAGTCATTAAACTTGAGAAAAAACAAAAACACAGTATATTCTAGTCTGCCCTATTCCACTCTAGAAGAATTAGGCGGCATGCCAAGAACCGTGATCTCTCGATGATGTTGTTGTTGTTCTTCTTCTTCTTCTTCTTCTTAGCATTGATGTAAACAGATCGCAATGCTGAGGTTGATGATGACCAATGAGACCCATCTTGGTGGTAAATCCACGCGTGGACGGCGTTTGTTTGGCCCGAGCTCTCGGACAGCTTGAGTAAGGGAGTTTTCGTCCTAAGGTACAGAGGTACCCAACTCCTTCCTTCCTAAAGGTAGCCCCAAGTACCTCTCACCTCGGATTCGGCAGACGAGTACTTCTCTTGAAAATCCACCGTGGACGGTGCCGAAGATCCGAGCGGTTCCCACATCCGCCTTACAGCGGGCATTTGTAAGCCCATTGTCCGAAGCGCGAGATGCTGTGTTTCTTGGCGCCATTCATTAATATTATTCGTATTTTCTGCCCACGAGATGGACTTGCGAGGAAAAAAGCTTTGGCTGGCGTGATGGAGATCCAGCGGGAGAATAAGAGCATATTACTCTTAGGGGGCGCACATCCATGTCGCAGAAGATAATTTGCATTTTCTTTTGTATTTGCGTGTTGGCTCTTGTTGTGCGTGTTGTGACGCGAGAGATCCAACCCTTTCCATTCGTTGCTATACTACGTCCTGCTTCGGACTGGACTTTTGACAGAGAATTTTTGTCAGTCTCATAGTCGAATCTAAAATATCTCTCTTTCAATCATGGCTGAAAGAAACCCTGACCACACCGTGATAACGTTAAACGACCAGCCGACTCAAGGTGTTGCATGGTCCTCGTCCTCAAGTGACCGTGCAACCCCCGACGAGAAATCCGAAGTCCTGCCCAGCGACACCGAGATCAGCGCCTCTCAGACAAAGGAGGCTGAGGCTGCAGCGGTAGCGAATATCAATAATGCCATTCCAAATGGCGGATTGCAAGCGTGGCTCCAAGTACTTGGGGCCTTCTTTCTGTTCTTCAACTCCTGGTTAGTGACTTTCCTTGGAGCATCAAGATCCGTTGGCTGACAATCTCACCCTTTCAACAACATCCAGGGGCATCATCAACACTTTTGGCGCGTTCGAATCTTACTACCAAAGCACAACCCTCAAGGGTTATTCCTCGGGAACCATATCCTGGATTGGCACCGTGCAAGGGTTCCTGCTGGTTGCTGGTGGGATCGTAACCGGCCCGCTCTATGACCGTGGTTATCTCCGCCACCTTCTCATCGGTGGAAATTTCTTAGTCTCATTTGGCATGATGATGACTAGCTTGGGCAAGAATTACTGGGAAATCTTTCTGGCGCAGGCGCTGTGTGTCGGTATTGGAGCAGCGGTAACATTGACGTTTTCCTTTTCTACATATTCTCTTTTTCGACCAGATTTACTGACGATTGATTGATTTATTCAGTGTTTATTCGTACCCAGCGTGGCGATTGTGGCCACCTATTTCAGTACCAAGCGAGCGGTAGCAATTGGTATCTCGGCTGCGGGCGGTAGCGTTGGTTCGTGCACCCCATTCCCCCTCGTTCCCCTCTCGCCCCCTCCTTTCACGTTTTTCTGCTCCCGTGGGTAAATCAAGGACTAGTCAGCGCTAATTGGGACCCTGAGTTAGGCGGTGTCATCTACCCCATCGTTTTTCGACGGTTGACGCCAGAGATTGGCGCTCCCTGGGCGACAAGAATTATTGGATTTATTGCTTTTGCCACCCTTTGCATTTCGACCGTTGTCATGAAGCCTCGGATCCTTCCCAGCGGACCGCGGGCTTTGCTTGATCTTCCCGCGTTCAAAGAGGCCCCCTTCACCTTTTTTAGTATTGGTCTCTTTTGTTGTTTCATGGGCATCTATATCCCCTTCTTTGATATTCCCATTTTTGGTGCTGTCAAGATCGGCACTTCGGTCGATTTTTCATTTTATCTCCTCTCGATCATGAATGCAGCCTCTGCACTCGGACGTATTATTCCGAACCTCATCGCCGACCGATTAGGTTACCTGAATGTCTTGATACCCTTTTCCGTCGCTTCCGCCATTGTCGCGCTAGCATGGATTCGGATTGACAATGACCCGGGCACTATTGTTTTTTCAGCGCTATTTGGATTCCTTTCGGGTGCCATTGTTTCGTTGCCTCCGACCGTTGCAGCTTCATTGTCCCCTGACCTGAAAAAGGTCGGTACTCGCATGGGTATGTGCTTCTGCTTTGCTGCGCTTGGTCTGCTGATCGGCAATCCTATCGGCGATGTTCTTCTCAACATCCCAGAAAAGAAATTTTACGGCGCGCAAGCTTTCTCTGGGTCGATGATTCTTGGTGGAGCTGGCTTCTACATTATTGCACGGCTGTTTAGGCGGAGGGAGTACGAACACTGGAAGGCTTGAAGATGATTAATATGGATACCCAATAATGTCCGGCTTCCAATTGCTGGCTTTCTCTTTCAAGATATTACTTTCTTACTTATGTACACATTCTTAGTCGACCAGAAAGGGTAAAATTGGCTTAAACGCAAACTGTCTTCAGCACCTATCATGAAGAATCTGATCTAATGTATATAGAGATTACAAATGAAAGTGGCTCCAAGGGAGGGGCGAGAATCTTTCTATTTCTTGATACTTTTGACGAGACTCAATTCGTGGTTGACGTGACGGCGATGATTTATCGAACCGCTATAATCATTGCTGAGTCATACTTCGTGGAGCCATCATTGAAGACTAAAAGCCATTTTAAACCCTTCAATTAACACTTCAAGCATGACAGTTCGCGCTTCAAAAATATACCGCAATACAATAAGATGACCGAACCAACCCAAGAAAGACAGAATACTCTGTACAGAGAAAAGGTTCGGTGCGTTTTCGCTTGTCTCGAAAGGACGCCCTTGACGGGCTTGACAGTGAGCGTGACGTCATTAACGTTGCTGGACAAATCAAGGCTGAGATTGGCATCATCGGAATTACATGTCACAACTTTACTGGATATTGTGACTGTGTTTCTTTGGGGTTGAGGCGGCCGACAACGCAATCAAAGACGCCATCACGACCCTCTGCTTCATCGATGATAGCCGATCGTACCTTGTGGAGAGAAGGATATTCTGGAGTGACCACGTTCCCAATAAAGTTGAAAATGGACATGATCACATACGGACAACAATGAGACCATAAGCGGTATAATCATACTCATCATTTTGCTTGCTCCGCGCCTCGCAGAGCTTGAATGACGCAAATAGAGCTTGTACAATGGAAGCGGCCGCTTTGGCAAAGTTGGAATCGCGTCGCAATAGAAATGACAAAACTACTTCGAGCCCGCTATCAACGAGTGTCTCTCTGGGGACGGATCGAACTGTAGCAGTATGGAGAACATAATTGGTATATATGACCGGCAAAAGAGCGGTGAAGATCGGTAAGAGCAACAGGAGGGCCGAGGAAAAGCAAAAGGGAGACAACGAACCGGACACTCATGATGCTGGCTCGTATACGACCTCTGGAATCATTGCCATGATAAGCACGGCTTTTCGAAGAAAGTCTCACAAAGAAGAGCTTTCAAGACAAGGAGAGAAGCCAATACCATTCAGGTACGGATGGATGTACCAGTATTACACGCAAAAAGAAGGAAAAATCAATCTGCTGGTCATTGGCAGCGGCAGTGATAATGTACTTGTTCTGTCATTTTTGAATTCCTAGATTTGACCTGTTCAGCTACCCCAAAGGTTCAGGTCTCCAGGCGTTCGATCTCATCAAGGACTACAGTATTGTATGCTCTCGCCTCTCGAGTGTTTCACTTGGCTAGGGCTATGCCATGTACAACCGCATTGAGCTTACTTGTTTGATTTGTCATGGACAGGGGGATATACGCAATGAGCAATTTCCATTCGCTCGTCCTCGCCTCATCATTACCAGCATGGCCAAGCCACGCCGCAAAGAGCTGTCACTCACATCGAGAACTTTGGTCACCCACCCCTTCGGGCAAACACCCTCTATCTAGGTATCATGGCCAGCGTCTCCCGGCTACACGTCTTATCTGGGACAGTCCGAGACCTTAGCCGTGGCGCCAATGTACGTAATTATACCTTGAGACCGCTCTTATTTCCCAATTGAGCTCCAGGCCCACCAATTAACTAGGAGTAATGGTCCTAACTTTTAATACCTACCTACGTTTCCGATGATGGCCGCAGATCAAGTTGATCATTTAGAAAAGGATCGTCAAGTGTCTGCCTGCCGAAACGTGGCAACGCACATTCTGTACGCCGGGTTCAATTCCCCCTGCCCAGTCATGGTTGACCTGGTTGCGTTCATCTATGACCTACGCGGGCCGACCCGACCCTATTTTAAAGCTTAACTCCCATAGCTTAAAATGATCACCGTAGACTAAATTTACAACGTCGGTGGAGCATCCCCGTTTGAAATAGCATGACGCCAACAAAGACACCATAACCCTAGCCCTACAACCTGGCCCTATCATATGGATATTTCTTTCTGAGTGAATTCTTTAATCGCTCATTCAGATGCCATATATCATTGAGAGTCCAACTACATCTTTTGATCGATTTTCTCTCTTCAAAAAACCACGCTTGATAGAGGAATATATGCTTTAATTTCTTCCGCTGCTTGAATTCCATAATTGCAATAGATAAAGAGAATACACTTGACATTGCCTGAATAGAGATCTACCCAAATCTTGGGTTCCCGATTCTAATCCCTGGGTGTGCGTAGACAAGTAATGAGTGGATCCGGACCAACAGATCCAAGATTATAATGTCTGAGCCAAAGGTACTACAATTGTAGTAGTAATAATGGATGGAACAGTAATACCAACAGAAGCGCCGCCCAGACCAATGCCAACATTTATCTTATCGCTCGCAACAGGTGGAAGAGTTACAGGACCGCTAACGGAGACCTTAAGGGAAGTAGTTAGAATCGCGGGGACGGTCACGCCGAGCTGTGCATAGGTTTTTGTTCCTGATGAACTAAGGCCTACACTGAGTATATTCCCGCCATTGACAGAGGAGGTTGGAGCGACAGTTGGAAGCGTCGTAACGGTGCTTGGTAACGTTGTCACTACCGAAGGTGCAGAGGTTGTGGTAGTTGTTGTTGGAGTCGAGGTACTCGGTGTGGCAGCTAATGGAACAACAATTGTTGTTGTTAGAATCTGCGGAACGGTAACTCCAACTGATACGCCATTGAGTCCGACCCCCACGTTGATTCGATCACTTGCTGCAGGCGGGAGCGTTACTGGTCCCTGGAGGGCTACTGCGAGTGAGGTTGTAAGGACCGCTGGAACAGTCACTCCGACTGATGCAATGGTCTGTGTACCACTAGTCCCAAGAGCAACATTCAGAATATTGCCTCCGTTATCTGCTGTTGATGTTGTCGTCGTAGGATTCGCTGTCGGCGTCGGGGTTGAAGTGGTGAGGGCAACGACTATAGTTGTGGTTATAATACCGGGTACAGTAACACCAACTGACGCACCACCAAGACCAACTCCAACATTGATTCGATCATTTGCAACTGGTGGTAAAGTGACAGGACCGTCAAAAGCAACTGCCAAAGATGTTGTCAGAATCGCCGGCACAGTTACTCCGATGGATGCATAAGTCTTTGTCCCTGACGAACTTAAGCCCACGTCAAGGATATTGTTGCCGTTAGACCCTGCTGAGGTGGAAGTTGTGCTCGTAGTAGTTGGTAAAGCAACAACTAGTGTTGTAGTGAGTATTCCTGGAACTGTCACTCCGACAGATGCACTGCTTGAGCCAAGGCTGACGCTTATTTTGTCGCTGGCTGTTGGTGGAAGTGTGGCAGACCCATCAACAGCAACGGACAGTGAAGTGGTAAGGATAGCAGGAACGGTGACTCCAACGGAAGCATATGTCTGGGTTCCAGATACACCAAGACCAACGTCCAGGATGTTACTTGGTGAGGCTGTAGGTGGGGGCGTTGTTGTTGTTGTTGTTGTTGGAGTCTGGGTAAGGGCAGCCACCAATGTCGTAGTAATGATCCCAGGAACTGTAACTCCAATGTCAACGCCACCTAATCCGATTCCAACATTGATCTTGTCGCTGGCCACAGGGGGAAGGGTGACTGGTCCCTGCACACCGACGGACAAGGATGTTGTAAGTATAGCAGGGACTGTTACTCCAATTTCTACATATGTCTGCGTTCCTGATAGTCCGAGCCCAACACTCAGAATATTCCCACCATTATCGCCTGTACCTGATGTTGAAGAGGTTGAGATGGTGCTCGCTGAGATGGTTGTAGAGAAACTTCCACTGAAACTTGGGAGAGATGTCACAGATGACAATGTGCTCACAGATATAGTTGCGGTGGAAGACGAGCTCGCAGTTGCAATCGGGCTTGAAGAAGCCCCGCTTATGCTCGACAGTATACCGATCGAGCTCGAAGGGAGACCGGATGGTGATACAGATGAACCCCCAGATGAACCCCCAGATGGAAGTCGAGACGACACCGATAAGATCCCGGAGATCCCAGACGTCAGACTCGCTGAGAGGCTCGACTCTAGGCTTGAAAGAAAGCTGGAAAGAGCGCTTGAGGGCAAAATGATCGAGGTCGTGATAGATGAAAGACTGGAAGAGGCCGCAGAGGGTAAGCTGGAAGGGTTTATGGACGAAGAGCCCAAAGATGAAATAGAAGAGAGACTAGATAGGAGGGAAGAAGCTGCGTTTGATGACGGGCTAGAACTGAAGCTAGGAAGGCCCGATGAAGAAACCGACACGGGAGTAGATTGTAAACTGGTGGGTACTGTGATGCTGGCCGTTTGGCTTGTTGAGAAGCTGGAAATGGGTGTAAGGCTTGATAATGAGCTTGACAAAGCTGAGAATGAACCTGATGTGTGGCTAGATGATGCGCCAGATGCCAAGCTTGTCGAGCCAATCGGTGGAGAACTGGTGCTAGAGCCTGTCGTGTTCGTTGGGCATTGTGACTCTAGCAGGGATAAGTAAACCGAGATTAGTGATTGGTATTAAAGTGAAGCTCAAAAATCAACTTACCTGGCAGCGCGACGAGTGCAACCAAATTACAACTTAAAGGAGTGCTCCCATTCAGGACAGCAAATGCTTGGCCCTCATTTGAGTAAGCACAGAATTCAGCAACGCCGAGCTGAAATGCTGGATTGGACCAGATGAGGATATCTGCGACCATGCTCCATGTTTGGGCAATAGATCCAGCCGGGTCAAGGGGGATAAGAAGCTGGCTATCTGTTCCGGGGTTGGTTGAAATTGAACCACCTGCACCTATCAGTTGCCCATCGTTTATGGAATATCTTGCGGCATCATTGCAGCTTTCAACTGTACTGCCATTGTCACCGAGATATGCCAGAGAGATTTCTTGACGTTTTCGCAAGCTATTGACTTCCACCGTTGGAGAAACTAGCACGTAGAAAGTGCCACTAACACTGGATTGAATGGTGCTGCTGGCAGATATGGTGGAGCTAGAATGTGCATTTGATGCTGCCGAGGAAGCCGAAATGGTTGAGTGGCTGAAAGAAGAGAGTGAGGAGATGCTCGCACTCGCTTGAGTTCCACTCGAGCTGCTGCTTGGTATCACAACAGAATGACTCGAGGAACTTTGAACCGTACTACTGGAGGTAATAGCGCTGATGCTTAAGCTGCTGACACTGCTCAGAGCACTGCTGGAAGAGCCTCCGGAGATGCTTGCTGAAGAAATAGAACTGCTACCCAAGCTGGTGCTGGGCTCTAACGTGCTTCCGGAGCTGCTCAAGCTACTTACGGAGGAGGTTTCGCTTGAGATAGTGCTAAGGCTTGTTGCACGCGTGCTGCTGATGAGTGACTTGGAGCTTTGTGGGATGCTATTACTGGAAGCAGTGGTTGGAGCTTGGCTACTGCTGTTACTGAAGGGCGCTCGTGAGCTAAAGCTGCTTATAGAAAATAAACTACTGCTGCTGAGGCTCCTACTCAAGCTTTTGCTAGTGAAGCCGTTGCTAGAACTTGAAACGGAAGTGCTTCCAGTAGATATGCCCGAGCTGATTGAGGTGCTACTGAATAGATTGCTTGAGCTAGATGAGGCGCTGGGAATACTTGAAGTTGCAAGACTTGAGGTGGATGTCGAAAATGATGTAGGTGAGCTTAAGGGCTCCGATTGGCTGCTTGAAAATGTATTGATGGAAGAGCTGGGTGATGTCGAAAACGTTGCGCTCGATGATGAAACAGTCGCTATTGACGAGCTAGCAACACTCGAGCTAGTGACATTGCCACATGAAGATGCTAGAGAGCAAGTAAGTACGTGCCTAAAGCTTTCTTTTCCTTAACTTACTGGGTAAAAAGTTGAGGGAGACCTCAACTGCATCAGCAGGAGAATTTCCATCCTCAAAGGCTGCATATACTTTACCCTCGGACAGGTAGAATGTCGCGAAAAAGCTTGAGAAAGCAGGATTTGACCACGTGAGCGAAATTACACCAAGAGAAAAGGTGGTGGTGTACTGGCCACCCTGATCAATAGCAAAAAGTGCGTAACCATCGCCGTCAGCAGATATTATTTTCCCTTCGCTAAATAATTGCCCATCCATGAGGGTAAAAATTCCTGCCGCAGTGCAGTCATCCGTTGTGTCCCCAGAACTCATGACATAGTTGCTCGTTGTCCCTTGTCTCTTGTGTAAAGCTGACCCAGTTGGGTTAGCACTCAGGAGAAAGCTCGTTGAACTTGCAGAGCTGAGAGAGGACGAGCTGGACGAGGCTGTCTGACTTGAAAAAATGGTACTGGATGAGACCTGTGTACTGGACACACTGGATAGACTGGAACTCAGGCTCAGTGAAGTTGATGATGCTTGGCTTGAAAATATTGGCGACGAGGAACTGGTGATGACGGAGGAAATGCTACTCAATGAGCTTGACACTGTAGACACAGAGCTCGACGAGCTTAACGGCAGGGATGATATACTGCTAGAAGAGCTGGAGCCCGATGAGCTTGAAGAGCCAAGACTTGAACTCTGTATGGCACTGGATCTGGAGATACTTGAACTCAGCGATGAGCTGATACTTGTCGATACGGATGAAACAGAAGATAGCTCGCTAGAGATACCGGAACTGGATGAAATCGACGCCACGCTGCTTGAATGTGAGGATAAGCTAGAGAAGTGACTGCTGAAAGAGCTAGATGAACTTGGAACGGCGCTGCTGGATGAAAAGACCGAACTGGAGGTCGAACTACTGGAAGAGCTAGATGAACTTGGAACGGCGCTGCTTGATGAAAAGACCGAACTGGAGGTTGAACTGCTGCCAAAACTTGATGTACTTTCAATGCTGCTGCTTGAAAGGCTCGATGCTGAGGTCTTTGATGAAGACTGGATTGGGCTTGATGTACTCGAAGAAACGGTCGAGGACTGCAAAGATGAAATCGAGGATGTTTGAGGGCATGAAGCCGCTGAAAATTCCATCAGTGAATGATTCCCATGAGGGCTGAACGACTACTTACGATCAAAATACACCAGAGAACCAGCTACAAAATCTTCTGGTACACTTCCCTGGAATGATGCGAAGACGTCAAGAGATGGCGAGAGATAAAAGGATGCATAGAGGTTTGCGAATGCAATATTACTCCAAATGATATTCGACGCGGTTGCGGAAAAGGTTGTGCTGTATTGTGCACCCAAGCCAATTGAGAATATGGAATAGCTCGTTGCATTGGTTGAAATATAACCTCCATTTGAAAACAATTGTCCACCAATGATCTGAAAAATGCTGGCACCGCGGCAGTCCGAAGTAGTGGACCCATCCGCTCGAATGTATGTATTAACTGTCGCCTGTCGCCGTCGAACCTGTCTTGCGGGTACTGCTGTTTCGATAGCAAGGATAAAAGTTTCGGCCGAGGCGCTGGAGGCCGATGAGCTAGAGACTGTGCTAACACTGACGCTTATTGAGCTTGGAAGAGTCGACGTGCTGACCGAGCCGGGCACAGTTGTGGTACTAACTGATCCGGAGATGCTCGAGGTGCTGACCGAGCCGGGCACAGTTGTGGTACTAACTGATCCGGAGATGGTTGAGGTGCTGACTGAAACAGACGCAGTTGAAGCACTTGTTAGGGTACTAGAGGAGCCTGAGATGGTGGTCGTGCTGACCGACTCTGAAATGGTAGAGACCGAAGTAGTGGTTACAGTGGATCCGGAGAGTGTAACAGTAGTGGCTGATCCCGAAATGCTTGTCGTCAGGGTAGAGCCGGATACTGTCGTTGTAGTTGTTTCGCTCGAAGTTTCGATTTCGGTTTGTGGAACAGATGTAGTAGTAGTTCTGCTTCACGTTAGCAGTCGCCCTTCCCTCTAATTCTCAGACATAAGCCTCCAACGTACACGGTATATGTCTTGGTCTCGGTGTATGTTGCCCAAACATTGGTGATAAATGTGGTAGGTTTGTAAATGTTATACGTAGGACCATTCCAAATGTTGATAATTGTAGGAGCATTAATCACGGTGCTGACATAGACCGGGTACTCGATAATTTGACTAGACACATGAACCTGCACAGTAGATTGGCCATTTGGACAGAAATCCCGTCTCTCGATCTCGCCTGCGCTGGTTAGTGCTGCACTTAGCAAGGGAAGCGCCTTCAGAGCTTTGAAAAGCCTCATAATCAGATAAACAAAATAAGAATTGGAAGATTAAAGAGAGAGAGAAGAAGAAGAAGAAGAAGAAGAAGAAGAAGAAAAACAAAGAAAAAAGCAGGAAAGTTTCAAGCCTCCCAGGGGCGACACCAAAAGAACTATGTTAATTTGGAAAAGAAAGTATGCTGTTATATCCTCAACATGGGGCTGGATACAAATTAAATATCCAAGTGCAACATATATAGTTTGCCCTTCATCACAGGTTCCAAACGGAGTGTATAACGCAGGATAGTCTCAATTCGATGAATAAAAGCTTCAAGGGCTGCGCAATGCCATGGATGAGTACGATTAATATTACTCAAACTGCCGTAAATGAAATATTCTCATACCTATGAGCCGTCCTTCATTCCCATGTGCCCCTCCTGTCAGGAAGATCGAATTAACGGTGGTCGGTGGGGGTGAGTTTGTAGGTCTCCAACATCCTTGGTAATTTCGAAATAGGAATTTGACATTTCAGGTCAGACATATGGGGATCTGCAACCGCAAGCCGATGAGTAAAATCTCAATGTATCAAAGTACTGGGCCGGGCATGACTGCTGAACGAGGGCGAGAAATGTTGGAGGCGTCATCTCCTCCTAGTATAGATCGGAGATTTTGGTTTTCAGGAGAATGTTTGAAGACCTCAATCAAACCGGATTTGATGAATGTCACAAATATGATTCAACAGGGCTTGTATGTCTCCGATGCGGGGATAAAACATATGGCTCGTAAAGTTCTAATAAAATCAGCATGAAGATTGACAACACCTTGTGCACAATAATGTATAAAAAGAAAGTGGTCTAGATACCTTTGCAGCTGTTCAGCATGTAAAAGTCTGGATCAGGGAAAGTATAGTAAGCAGAAGATTCTTCTCCTCGTGCAAATGCAAGGAAAGGAGACAATAAGTGGATAGGTGAATACTAACTTCTACCTTTTTGCTAGGGGCGAGGAACGGTTCTCTTGGCACGATAGTCTTTGTGGGTCCCTCGCTATGAATCCTTGAGAGCCCGAGGATTTTGCGTGGAGCCCATGGCACGATACAATGTCTTTCCCCCCTCCCTTTGTCCGCAACAGCACTTGCTCCATTCCAACCATATCAACGTGAACCGTTCAAAGATTTTTATTTAGCCTGTATCTTGGCGACAGGCCGCAGAGCGGTAATGGTTTTTGGTCGCTCAGTCGTTACATCTACAGCAAAGCCAGCATTGGCAGCCAGTAGGTGGAATATCGTTAAAGGCTCAAGAAGAGGGCCATGGTCTCTGTGTAGATTGCATTATTCCCTGGGGCTGAACTGACAGGATGTATCAGCACACCGAACCTTTTGGATTTTCAGCCATTTTGTCGTAAGAGAAAAGCCCAAAAAGAAATTCCTTACTGTTGTAGGGTCAGAATCTTGCAAAGCTTGTGCGAATGGTCGTTGTGGCGCTCTCAATCTATTGGTAAACCAATGCCAGAAAGCCACTCATTTTAGGAAGGGTTCGCGAGAATGACAGCCTTGTCGATGTCTGCCTTGACATTGTATATAATTGTAGGCTATGAATATGCGGCAGTTATTCCAAGGGGATGGAAATTAGGTTTCAGTTTTGAGGAGGCGCCTTTCAAGCTGAATTTTTCACGCAGAACCACTGCCAAGCCACAAGTGTCACGGCACAGGTCTATCTTGACAGGGCCGGCTAGCTGTAAGCAACTTCTGTTTACCAGGATTAACAGCATTCTACAGGCGGCTGTAATGGGACGTTGGGCTTACAAGGAGTTTCAGGAAGAACCACGTCCTGCTCGAGGTCTCGGCGCTCACTTTAACAGCCACATTGTACAAATCCTGTTTATCAAGTACTAACATCTGGTATCACTATACTTATGATGTCAATTTTGTGGTGAACGACAATGAGATGAAGCATGCAAACAATTGTGTTTCAAGAGAATACATAATTTTCAATATTCAAACCCCTTTGGTCCGGAATAACAGCACCCATTACGACCAAGAGCGACGGTTCCCAGTATGGGAAGTTAGCGAAACTTACCTCTACCTTAGCAACGAGACAGGGGCTTCAGTAAGCATTTTCCCAAGTTGTGGAACCAAAAGACCAACTGGACGCTGAATCATGTAGGATGAGCTCGCCAGTGACAATCCTTGTCAGGATTGAACTGTCGTTTGACAGTAGCAACTAATTCTGAAAGGATTTGCCGGTTATTGGCATGTCCCCTGTTCAGCTTTCAACCCCCACTGAGATGCTCCTCTCTCCCCGCGACTCCCCACGCCTTCCGGAGTCTGGAATCTCGGTTTCGGGGAAAGGAGATCCAAACGGTGGGCTAAAGGTAATTTCAACCTGTCTCTTGGCCTGTCAGTTCTCTGCTGCGTCTTTTGATTTGAGAGGTACCCATTCCAGTACTCTTGTTGGGGATAATATGGAAACTTAATCAGGTTACATAAGTATATCAGAATTGGATAGTATAAGCGGCACGGTATAGCCCCTGCCACATTTCGGCTTATTCAAAAACCAATGTACAGTTGTCAGTGTAGCTTTTCATCTTTTCGATTGGTTTCAAGGTTGTTCTACCAGAAATAGTCCTCAGCATCATGTACCGATGGCTTACGGAATTGATTTGTTTGGGTTGCAGCCTACCCTTTTACAATTCGAAATTATGTAAAGGTCCCACCCGGACATGGGTGATGTTGCCCCCTGAAGAGAGGACAAGCACCTGTATTCTCCTTTAGTATTGGTCTAGACGAAATGATCCTGGTGATGCAAGATGTTCCCGACTTCATGGCGATGAAAGTAAAGATCCACAGCATCGTCGTCTCCATCTGTGATTGCGTGAGTGAAACTGGGTCCCCCAAAGTTAAAGGGTTTAGTATGCTTCTACCTCCTCACATGGCGCCTCAAAAAGCATTCGGTTAAACGGGCCGAGTTCGTTGCCAATCACAGTCGCCATGTCTCGCAAGGCAACCAAAGGCAAACATGCACGTGTGTTAGCACAACTTGCCGGCGCTCCGAATCACATTGCAGTACAACCACCAACCATTGCAGTACACCCATATGTGCACCACTGCAGCAATTCCTCAAATCCAATCAGGTAAGGGGGAAATGTGACCTGTCTGCTAATTAGGGCTCGCTTTAATCTCCCAAAGTGGACAGGGATACTTGTTCGGGCAAACGAAGAAAGGCTGTTTGTTTCCTCGACTTGCGAAACCCACACACCGTGTATATCGAGTGGCGCGAAGACAAAGTAGGGGGCTCCAGATATCGGGAGGGGCGTTTGGTTCAACGGTAGCAAGCCACACAGTATATCTATTACTGCCAAGACATGCTTGCTTTGATTATTAAAATGTGTAACCTGGTCATAATTTACAGTCATCCCCAGAGCATGTCGTCCCCTTAAAAGTAGTTCTGACTGATGAGCAACTAATACTAATCTATGCACGTGGATCAAACTCAAAGTTAGTGAAATCCAAAAACTCAAAATACCTTAATCCAAACTTAAAAGATCCGATATCCGAACAAGTGCCAATCTGTAACGACATTAGGAACCGTTTATGGTCGTCAATCATTGAATGGAAGGAATCATAACTAAAAGACGGCTATTCAAAGTAAAAAGACCGCTTTGTGGTTGGAAAATGCTAAGGAATGTGCAGGACATATGGATGATCTCATGACTTAAAAAGGCGGGACTGTGTCCATTGGGGCGGAACAGTTCCGCAGTGACATGAGTACTGCCGCATTCACCCCTTTCAAAATCGCCCTGGCTTACATTCAGAACCCATATGCTCCCAAGATCGAAGTGAAATCGGTAGACAAGACTTCAACACAAAGGGTGGAAAGGAGCGAGAAGTGGCTCGCCGTATAGATTGCTTTCGCGGGGGTTCGAAGTAGTATCAAAACCCCCACGATTGTATCCCTTGTATCGTCTGCAATTGCACTTACAATCACATTGCATCGCATAGTGTTCGTAAGTGGAAGGAATGGGATTCATCTCTCAAAGGATACGTACTTTCCTGCAGTTCGCCAGAGTCTCGAACAAGGGCCTAATTCCATCGGTTTCATGATGATATCTTGCACTTGCAATTGGCTGGCAATGTTCTAGGCAAGCTGAATTTTCTTGTAATACCGACAGAAAGACATGACTAACCGGAAAAGTAAGTCCAACAGCATAGTTCTGAATTCTACAAATTATTGACGTTGATTCACAGACAAATAAATCACTTGTTAGATCCTATAAAATGCCAAATTAGGCTCGTAGCATAGATTCCCTTTGTTCAATAGACCCCAGAACTAGATGAAGAGCAACCCCCTACTTTTTACGCTCTTGCCTGACTTCTGCGGTTGTGACACAAAGCTGTATGACGACTATGCTGGTTCGATGATCAAGGCTGAAAGGCCACCTAGGGTGTCTGCCGTAGACCAACCCTGCAAGAAGAGCCCCCAAAATCGAAGAAAACACCCTTCTCTGTTTACGACAGACGAAAACGAACAAGATGTTTAGTAGACGCTAATGTAACCAAGGGTAATCTGCGCAGGCCGGTCCTAGACAGAACGACAAGGTGATGACGGGTAAAGCGACAGAAGTGACGAAGCGTGTCGACACAGAAGTCTTTCACGGTTTATTATCACTGTTTATTTTGAGGGTGTTCTGGATGCTTTGAATATGTGAGGACTGTGATTTCTCTAGCCGATTATTTTAACGTGAAACAAGGTATGTAACAGATTTTTTTTTTCTTGCCGAATCATGAAGCCCATTAGAAAATAAAACCGAGGAGAAATTTATTCCCATGATACGCCATTCGCTTAGGCTCTGCTCAGCTTCTCACCAGACTCCTCCTTCATCAGACCGTATTTCTTCAGTCTGATGGCCTGAATACCAATGAAACCGGTGGTATCGACAGGGCTGAAGTCTTCCAGGGTGTCCATGCTGCTCTCCTCAGCGCTGTACAACTTCTCCGTGTCACTGCTTCTGCCAAGAACACTGGCGCTGCCCTTGTAAACCCGCAACCGCACACTGCCATTGACGCGGTCCTGGCTGGCAACGATGCTCTTCTCGATGAACTCACGTTCAGGCGAGAAGTACAGACCATTGTACAGAAGCTTAGACCAGGTGAAAGTGACAAACTGGTCGCGAAGAGCACGAACCTCACGGTCCATCACCAGACCTTCCAAGTCCAAATGGGCCAGACGAAGGATGGTCATAGTAGGGGAGTCGTAGCATCCACGGCTCTTGAGACCAATGTAACGGTTCTCGACAATGTCAATACGGCCAACTCCGTGCTTACGACCAAGAGCATTGAGCGCAAGGAAAATCTCCACCGAGTCGGTAACAGTCTTGCCGGAAGGAAGAACAAGCTTGCTTGGCAAGCCTTGGCTGAAAGCGATGGTAAAGTCCTCGGGGGTGTCGGGAGCTTTAAGAGGAGAGTCGGTCATCTTCCACATATCCTCCGGAGGGGTGTGGTCAGGATCCTCCTACGAGAAATATCAGCAAAACATCCCACACAGCGACAGTTGCAGTCCTTACCAGGATGCCTGCCTCATAAGAGCAGTGGGCCAGGTTCTCGTCCATACTCCAGGGCTTGCTTCGTTACAATCAGCTTAATGCGGGCGGACAAATGTAGCGGGCAAATCTTACGCCTTGGTGGAGGTTACAGGAATGTCCATCTTTGCAGCATAGTCGAGGAGGTCGTTTCGTCCGGCAAACCGGTTGAAGAACTCGGGAAGTCTCCAAGGAGCAATGACTCTGATCGAAGGCTACAATTGTTTACATGTGAGTCCGCCTGCAGCCAAACAGCAGTTCAGTAAGCTGCGAAACGTACCTGAATAGCGTAGAATGCCAATTCAAACCGAACCTGGTCATTTCCCTTGCCGGTGCAACCGTGGCTAACAGCCACGCATCCTTCTCTCTGAGCGACTCTCATCTGAGCTCGAGCGATGACGGGTCTAGCCAAGGAAGTGCCCAAAAGGTATCGGTCTTCCCAAATGGCGTTACATTGGACCGCACGCCACAGGATCTCATCAACAAACTCCCGCTGCAAGTCTTCAACGACAAGCTTCGTGGCACCGATCTTCAAAGCCTTTTGCTCGGCGGCCTTCCAGTCCTCATTCTGACCAACATCGGCCTAGAAATTGTGTTAGGTCAGGAGTATTTGAGCAAGAGCCTTTGTTTATCATACCGAAAAGCAGACAACCTCATAACCCTGCTCAATGAGCCATGCTATGAAGGCAATTAGCAATTGATCATCGATCCCGAGGGCAGTACTGGCAATGTACCGAGAATGATAGAGGTATCCAAACCGCCGGAGTAGGCTATTTTTTGTCAGTCAATAGAGTCGCTCAGAGAGATGGTATATGCATCTTACCGAGGCAAACCTTTTCCTTCGCCATTGTTCTTATGATGTGAAGACAAATGTGAAAATTGACCGTTCTTTAAAATCTGTGCAGTTAATTTAGAGCTGGAACCCAGATAAAAAAGGTCCCTAACCATAAAGTTCACCTTGTATCTCTGAGTCAGCGCCCTGCACGTGACCTTATCTTTCGAGCTGCGAATTCGGCGAGAAGACCCGATAAACGTTAATCATTCGGGTGACTAACAATTAGAGGACGCTTCTACCAACCCCTCAGGCAAATGTTACGGAATCATGCAGCTTTCTTTTTAGAGATGATCTGTAGGCAAATGTAGATTGAGTTTTCCAGATCAATTCTGGTGACATATCTGGACAAATTTATTAGATCTCGCACAACTTTCATAGTAATTCTGAGCCATTTTCAGTTGAATGCTTTATTTCCCTCGCTAATCTGATAATTAGTCTGAATCAATAAAAAAAAAAAAAAAAAAAAAAAAAAAAAAAAAAAGAAGAGAGAAAATCGATTTCAAATTTTTTATGATTACTGTGATAAAGTTGTCAATTGTTATAGCAGTGATATTGGAAAGGGAAGCAACGCTAATGGCTTGGATATGAGGACAGCACCTAGGCAGCGGAAGTTTGAAGCAAGAAGGTACCTCTAGGGAGGGTACGGGAGATTTGCGAACAAGTTTGAGTGATATATCCTTCCATAAAAGCTCCCATTTCCAAAGCATGAATCAGGATCGATGCTTTTGTAAGAGATCAATAAGATTTATATATTAAAGTGATTGACCGCTTGACCGCTTATTCCTGTCTTCCCGATTAATTGTTCGAGGACGCTGCCCTTAATAATGCCGATATCGCTTGCTTACGGAGTAGCAGGAGAAAGGGGACGAACCGGCGGGCACCGACCAAGTCTTTTGCGGGGCTTGACCAAGTGATCCGTGCACCTCCACTTCGAGATACAGTCAATTCAGGGTGCAAACGATACTGTAATGAGGAACGGATAAGTTTCATTTCTGAGTCATGACATTGCCATTCCTGAGAATTGGAGATTTTATTTGAGCACTCCGTACATCTATACGAAATGATGCAAATGAGTTGATAATGTCGGTACATGTCAGAGGCCGTCAGACAAGGGTTGAAGATGGCAATAATAAGCATGATGTCGAGAACCCTCTAATAATCAAGTGTCAAAGGGCGGTTCAGGAACATTATAATTACATAAGGGTTGAGAGATGATGAAACAGCACGTGACTTCTGAATTTGGATTGATAAGATCTCTTTTTTTTTCGGGTGGCGGTTGTGGCTGCACAACCAGAGTATGCTTACCAGGCTGATTGGTTAGAGGTACAATAATCATCATCATCATCATCAGGTATAGAACAAACTTTGTCATAGGAGATTTCTATTCATTTTGATTCGAAATCTTTCAGGGATCGTCAACGCTCCGTGACAGATTCCCTTGGCTTGTTTGAAGTGGGATGTCTTTGGGAATTACGTGGTATTCGGTCTGGATTCGCCAGACGGTCGTCTGCTGTGTAAGCCGAGTCTTGTTACAACTGGCCAGCCCACCCCTTTAGAAATCAGTCTCCACCCACTACCTCACATAACCTGGATCCCTCTAGAAGATAAGAACCGAGGGGTCAATCAACACTATTTTATCCGCATCAATTCTTCTGACATTTTCCACACATCATCAGCATTCACTTCGACATCCTCTGTCCCGCATTGATTATCATCGCAATCTCTTCCTGACAAGAGGATTTCACACCGTTCGAAAGTCCCAATCACGCCCATCATTGACGAATTTTCGGGCTTCTTTTTTACCAAGGACCCCTCCGACCTACAAACTGTTTTCTTCCGCTTTTCGACGCGCTCCATTTACTCTACGTTCAGCGGTCGGGCTACCTCTAGCAGCTGCCGCCTCATTCCAGCAAAAGACTCCCGTCTCTACGAATTCGATTCCTAACAACACCCGCAAAATGCATTCCAAGGTTGTCAGTAAGTACAAACCCGAGTCGAAAAGCTTTGCGTCGATATTGGCTTGAAATAATGGCTAACTGGGATGTTTTACAGTCATTGGGTGCGCAATAGTCTCTATCTTCCCTCAAATGTTTCCCTGCCACTGACAACTCACTCTTCTAGCTCTGGCCCTGCCGCCCACACTGCCGCCATTTACTTGTCGAGAGCGGAGTTGAAGCGTATGTTTATGCTAAAATGGTCATGTATGCGCCGAATTAGGAGCTGACAACGCCTCTAGCTGTCTTGTATGAAGGCATGCTTGCCAACGGCATTGCCGCAGGTGGTCAGTTGACCACCACTACCGATGTGGAGAACTTCCCCGGCTTCCCGGACGGTATCGGAGGCGCCGCGTTGATGGTCCGTCTATCTACCCTATAATACCTTTCATGTACCAGTGAATTAATATCGGTTGTAGGACAACATGCGGGCTCAGTCAGAGCGTTTCGGCACCGAAATTATCACCGAGACCATTTCCAAGGTCGATCTTTCCCAGCGTCCCTTCAAGTACTGGTTGGAGTACGCTGATGGCCCCAACGATGAGCCTAACACTGCTGATGCGATTATCATCGCTACTGGAGCTTCTGCCCGCAGACTTAACATTGCCGGCGAAGAGAAGTACTGGCAGAATGGTGTCAGCGCTTGCGCCGTTTGCGATGGTGCTGTGCCCATCTTCCGCCAGAAGCCTCTGTTTGTGATTGGCGGTGGAGACTCGGCCGCCGAGGAAGCCATGTTCCTGACAAAGTATGGCAGCAGTGTCACTGTCCTCGTTCGAAAGGACGTGCTGCGTGCATCTAAGACGATGGCCAACCGCTTGTTGAGCCACCCTAAAGTTGAAGTCAAGTTCAACACCGTTGCCACCGAGATCAAGGGAGGCGAGAACGGCTTGATGAACGCTCTCAGAATCAAAAACACAGTCACCGGCGAGGAGTCCGATGTTGAGGCTAATGGTCTTTTCTACGCTGTTGGCCACGACCCCGCGACAACCCTTGTCAAAGGCCAGGTCAACACTGACGCCGAGGGATACATTGTTACCCAACCCGGAACTGCCTCTACCAACATTCCTGGTGTCTTTGCTGCAGGTGACGTTCAAGACAAGCGATACAGACAAGCCATTACTAGTGCCGGTAAGTGAACATCAAGCAGTTTTTCGGAGAGTCATCTTTTCGATGCTGACTTTTTATCTAGGCTCTGGCTGCATGGCTGCACTTGAGGCTGAGCGCTTCATTTCCGAAGAGGATGCTGAGGTCGAGAATGGAGTCGAGGCCGAGTCCGAGGTGAAGAAGCCCGAGGCCAACGGCGTCGCTCCTGAATACAGACAGAACCCTCTTCTGTAAACGTTTCCTTTTTAATTCCCTTTGCTACCCTTCACACGAAGATACCACATAGACGGGTTTCGCATACTATGAAACATTTCCTTTAGAACTTTTTCAGCCGAAGCATTATTTGCGGCTTTGCAGAGCCCTTGCATATTCACGCATGCATTCTAGATGCGTTTCTTTTGCATCACAATTTTCATGAGATTCACTTCATTGTACCTATTGACTGCTCATTTCTTCCAATCTAGAAGGCTTAGTATATTGCGACGCAAATTTGAAGTAAATAGAATTAGAATTAGACTTTGAAATTTGTCAAGATATATTTTGATAAATGATTTCCAACAATCTCGAGCAGAAAGCTAGTGCAGTGGGTATAATCTCGTGACATCGAAGTGATACTAGTGACAATTTGTTCGTGGCAAGCAACAGCTCTTGGTCCATGCCTTTTGAATTACGACTTTGCCACCTATCAATCTCAATCGAGAGCAAGTCTGACCGCGGCGAAAAGACTCCCTATTACAGTTTGGGTAACAGGAACCAACGTTTAAATAGACTGGACATTATGAGTAGAATGGAGCGCTTCGGTGTAGGTAGGCGCAGCGGGATCGTCGGAATAGTAGTTAAGAATGCGACCTCGCGAAGATGATAAGCCGCATTGATGCTTGCAGGGTGGGACGTTGGGCTTCGATCTGTCCGGAAATGATTTCGACTCGGACTCTGCCATGGAAAAGTAAGTCATGCACTCAGACTATTGGCTCTCAGGCTAGCCCTCCGCAATGGATGGTCTTCCCTCGCCTCATGCTCCTCTTCGGTGAAGACCTTACTTCCTTCAATGACTGGGAACGGTGTCAGGATTCGACTAATGTCGCCCCACCAAGTGGTACCATACTTCCGATACCACTCCACTGTGATTCTTAAACCTTCGTCGAATGTTGTTTTTTGTTCCCAGCCCAAGTTGCGGAGCTTGCTTCCATCAATAGCATAGCGGCGGTCGTTAAACGGGCGGTCTTTTGTGTGCTGCACCCACGCATCGAATACCCTGGAATCGCCGCCATCAAGCCCAAAGAGCCCGAGTAACTTGGCGCAGAGGCCTAGATTCGATATCTCATCGCGAGAGGCGAGATTGTATGTATGGCCAATAGCCCCTCGGTGAAGTATAGTGTCCAACGCATCGGCGGCATCACCAGCGTAAAGGTATCTCCTCGTATGCCGTCCATCTCCATGCACTAGTAGTTTCCTCTTTTGTTGGAGGAGACATGAAAACTTGGGAATGATTTCTGCAAATGAGATGGTAAGTTTTTCAGAAAACCAAATCAGACTTTGAGTTTTCTCACTTTCTGGGAATTGATGAGGCCCGTAAACATTATTGCATCGAACAATTATCACGGGGAGGTCGAAGCTTTTCCAGTAAGCGTTGACAAGCATCTCCGCTGCGGCCTTGGAAGCCGCATATGGGTTTGACGGCGCCAAAATACTGCTCTCCAACAACTCGTCCTCATTCGATTTGACTTCGCCGTACACTTCATCCGTAGATATATGGACGAAGCGCCGTATGCCGCATGCCTTGGCACTTTCCAAGAGAACGTGGGTACCATAAACATTGGTGCTAGTGAACTGATAAGAGTTTCCGAAGCTCAAATCAACGTGAGATTGAGCTGCAAAATGAACAATAGTGTCGACTTCATGAGCCTGTAGGCAAGTAAGGACATCGTCAGGAGAAGTAATGTCGGCGCGAACAAAAGTAAAAGATGCCCAAGAATCAAGAGGTAGAATATTATTCAGAGAAGCACAATAATCTAAATTGTCGAAAGAAATTATCTTGTATGCGTTTGGATATGTTAGAACGAGATGACGGACCAGCCAACACGCGCTGTTCGGGCGCAAAGATTAGCCAATGATTCCGCCTTCAGCGATCGGAAGGACGGAGGGAAAGCTCACATGAAGCCAGCACCTCCGGTGACCAGTATATTTTTGATTGATGGGCTCGGCTCAAACACAGTTGATCCTCTATACATTGGGGCATCCCTCCATATCTCGCTCTTGTGGCCGTTTGGTTCCTGGCTAGACAGACCGTTGGAGTGTCTGGGCGTGGAAATGCTTGACAAGGGCGACATTGCATATACAGTAGCAATCGAATTCGCAATTTACCCTAGGCGATTTATATATGGGTTCAAAAGTTCGGACTATGTAGTGGAGCATCCAAACAAGCCTAGATGGGACCCCGATCGCTGCGTCGCCAGTGCTATGTCTAAGTAGCTTCGAGATTCGTATTGAGACATTGCAATACCGAAAGTCCAGCCGGACTCTCTTCCATAAATGTATATATATGTGTAGTTGCTCTGACCAATACGCCCAATGATTGATCATCACAGAGACCGAGGACGGTACGGAGGAAAGATAGGAGGGGTTGGGATAGTATCCTGCAGTGTGGGGTGATAGGATAATGAAGCTCGGGGAACATTATTGCGGAGGGACTTGGGTCATCGCTTGAAGCGAGTGACGCTGCCGTCACTGAAATGGTCCTAGCGCCCTAGCTCAACTTAGCGTTGGCTGAGACGCTCTACCTAATCAAGCAGCTGGGCTGAATTCATCAACCCGTTGAGATACTCGGATGCTCTCACCCAGCAACCTCCCAATCAATGCTGGTACTGTGGCTTGCCATGCGTATTACTAGGACATTGCATAATTAAGCAGTTTACGGGAGCCATTGAGCCAATAAGAAAAAAACCCCATATAATTACGCTTTTATTCCAATTCCACAATCGCCCGGATCAGGCTGTGCTAGAAATACAGTTTGTTGCATCGAATGTTGACGGGACGCTGAGATGAATTTGCATGGCCAGCAGAACACCACGAGGTAGCGAGGTTATTATTCAAGGTTTGGGTCTTTTAGAAATTTATCAGGAAAGGCCTCAAAGGGGCCATTTTACCAGGCATTGACGTCAAAGTTTTCCTATAAAAATGTTAGTGACATAGCCAGAATACATTCCAGAACTGACAACCTACTTCGGAGAAGAAAGTGGTCACGACTGTCCTATCCGCGAACTTTCTGCCTGCTAGAGCTTGAAGTGCTTTGCCGGCAGATGCTGGCGAATCGTATTTGATGAAGATCTTGCCGACGCCGGCGGATTGTCTGCTGCCTCCGCTAGGCCGAGGCACTTTCATTTCAAGGATTGTGCCGAACTTCGAACACTCTTCTTGAACATCTTCACAGATTTCTGTCCATATTTTATCAGCAAACGTTTGAAATGGCTAGCAAATTGATGCCTGTATTCCTCACCTTCATAGTCCTCATTGTCAATGAGCTCATCCGGGGTGACCATGTTAAGCAACTGGATAACGCGGCTTTCTTCAAGGTCATGGGATGTGGTCCCAGCGAGCATAGACATTGCATTGACGCCCATCTCTAATCCTGTGGCCTGCTGGACGCCTATACTAGCTCGCTGCACCTTCAAATGCTTGTCGCCGAGCTCCATACCATTCAAGCCCTCGACAGCGATGTCAGTGGCTGCAGGGTCCACATACTCGCAGAAAGCAACGCCCTAGGAGAATTAGCTCAAGTGGCAACGAGAACTGGAACAAGTCCCTTACCCGAGATTCTTCCGTTCCGCGGTCTTTGATGAGAATAAAGGCCTTAAGTTCTCCAAACGAGACCAATAATTCAGTTACTTGCTCGTCGGTAAGATAAAATGGAATGTTCGATACGCTGATTTTGTTTGGCGTATCGGGAACGATGCTTGAGACAACCCCCTCCTCGTAGACCGAATCATCAGTAATTGCTGGAACAATGTAATCCTTCGGTCGACGTATAGAGAGCCCAGATGCGGAGCCATTGGTAGCGCCACTGCCTCCATCATCCATTGTAATGCCATCGAAAGCCAACGCTAATGTAGCCTCCGAAGGGTTTTTGAACTCCAAGAGGGCGCGCTCATGGTCCTGGGATACCTGTGCAGAGATACATGGGTCTGCGGCCTCAATGACGTTCAAACCATTAAGCTGTAGATTGAAAAATTGGACGAGCGTATCCTCGGTGACGGAAGCCGGCAAATTTGACACAAAGAGACGTTTCGACTGTCGAGAAGTTGATGGTTTGAGGGAAGCGTTACTTGCTGTTCCGCCTGGCTGATTCATAAAGGCTTGAAGACGACTCGGATCCACTGGCTGCTGTCGAGGAGCACCGGGGAGTGGGAACATTCCTGCGAAGAAAACTGGTTAGCAAGTGTTAGCTCAAGGAAGAGCAATGTGCCATACCGGACAACTTTGCTTGCTCTGCGGTGACATTTTCGTAGCCAGGCGGCTTGATATCCCACTGAGTCAAGCGACGCTTGCGGTCTAAGACGGACACGACATCGGTCAGATCAGGGGTGGGCTCTTTCTTCTTCGCAGGCGGAGTAGCACTCCTTCTGCGCTCCCGCCCACCGCCAAAGCCATCCCGATCTGCTCTCCTGCTCCGGCCTCCGCGATCATCAAAAAGGTCCCTGTCTCTATCCCTTCGATAAGATCGGTCGCCGTCATCGTCTCGTCTTGCATCGCGCCTTGAACTGCCACGGTCTCTATCCCAGCCCCGGTCATCCCGCCTATCCCTCCCAGAGTATCTTTCCTCCCTTTCACGCTCCCGATAGTCGCGACTAGAGGAATACGTGTCTGCTTCATAATCGCGTCGACTTGATCGAGAGCCACGGTGGCCCGGTGATCTGGATCGACGCCGGTCGCTCCCTCGATCGCGCTCTCGTCGTTCCTCACGATCCGGTCTCGAAGACTGCGCAAAACAAAAAAAAAGTCAATATGCTTCCCACTGGTCAAATGCAGATAATGGCGTACGTAGTAATCGCGAGACGACGAGTGCCGTCCAGCATCTAATTAATTAAAGCGTCAGTCACGGGTCGGTATCCTCTAAGCAGGTGTGGGTATTACCTCTAGAAGAATAGCTGTCGCCGTTCATGATGAGAACGGATCGATAGCAACACTTTGAGCAAGAGATATGTTGATTTTTAGTAAGGTGCAATGGGATTGAGAAGAGACACTCGCAACACAGCGACGTGTTGTGCGCAATCTTCAATAATCCTGAGCGTTCCCAGCACTAGTGCAGACAGTGGACAGTGGCCAGTGGCTCGCGAAAAGTTGAGGCTCTCAGCCCAAACGATTAACCCGAAAAAGTCGCCTCAGCCACAGCGGCCAAGGAACGCCTCTCTGTAAGATACGTAAGGGTGAACGCCTCGCTTCCTACCTACCTACGCTCTTGACCTCACAACAAAAGCTTCGTATCTATAAGAATCGATTCACCAATGACTGGAGAGTGAAGGAATCCCTAATATGAGCACCCAATGCTGATACAGCAAAACAAAATCGACTCATATAACATAATGACCTCATAAATGTGCACCTTCAAGTCACGACAATACTATTTTTCGAGATATCCATCCACCTTCGTAGTCGCCCTCAAAAATGACGTCTGCCCGAGTCGGCGAATGGCGCAAGCTGCCTATTAATTTGGCCGAGCTATGTATCAATACAACTTTGCGATCTGGCCAGTCTTTCAGGTAGTGCTGACCCAGCCGGAGTTTGCTCATCAGCACTGATGATATTTTGTGAAGGTGGAGAAATTTCGGCGAAGACGAATGGTAATCCAGAACTGCCTGTGGGATCTTGCGAAGCCATGAATTAACATGTTCAAGGTCCTGCACTCTCCACGGCCGCATCATCTCGCTCCGGCAAGACGCGACGCATCTCCATTATCGATCGATTTTCCCTGCGTCCAAACAAGTCTCAACTAGAGAAAAGAACGATGGAGACGATGATACTCAAGCGTTGCTCCGTCATTATTTCAATCTTGACCCGAACCTGACGCAACTATATGAACAATGGTCCTCTGCAGATCCAAACTTCAAGAAGAAAGCCCCGAAATTTACTGGCATCCGTATATTGAAACAAGATGCTTGGGAAGCACTGGTGGGATTCATTTGCAGTTCGAACAACAACATTGCAAGAATCTCACAAATGGTAAGTTTTTCACTACCGAACTCTGGGAGATTATTGTTTGTGCTGAATGGCGTATGTAGGTAGAAAAGCTATGCATACACTACGGCCCCTTGATCGGCCACATTGGCTCACAACCCTTCCATGATTTCCCTTCTCCAGATGCGCTCACAAATAAGAAAGTCGAACAACATCTTCGAGAGCTCGGTTTTGGCTACCGTGCCAAATATCTGCATCAGACAGCTCTAATAGTTGCCAACGACCGCGACAAAGGCTGGTTAGATGGTCTGAGGAATCCGGAGAGTCCCGCATTTGGACTCAGCTCCAGTTCCGCAGGGCCGATGAAAGAACAAGGCAGAGATGGATACAGAGCCGCGCATGAGCAATTGCTAGCATTGCAGGGTGTTGGCCCAAAAGTCGCAGACTGCGTATGTCTGATGGGGCTCGGATGGGGAGAGGCCGTACCGGTTGATACACATGGTCAGTAATTACCTCGATGACGATTTTAAAACTTATTCAATTGACAAGCCCTCCAGTGTGGCAAATTGCTCAACGTGATTACAAATTTGGTCGCGGTCGACATCGAAGCCTTACAAAGGACACATACGATGCTATAGGTAATCATTTCAGGAAGTTGTGGGGCAAAGAAGCGGGCTGGGCACACTCCGTTCTTTTCACGGCTGATCTGAGAACTTTTGCGGAAAGGCTTACAACAAAGATCGAGGTGAAGGAAGAGGAGAAAGAAGTTGGAGGAGCCTTGACAGAGAGCGTTCAGACAGTTTCAAATATTGTACGGTTAAGACCAAAACGGGAACTAGAGAATGGAGCTGGAGAGTCACAAGAACTGGTAGCTGTCAAGAGGTCAAGAGTCCGTAGAAAGTCAAGACCAAATTAAAATCTCGACATCTTTATGGCCTAGCATTTCCCTATCCAAGAGCAATTCCGATTTGAACAGCTGCGAAATACTTCTAGCTTTAGAACTATGGTTTATATTGAACTAAAGTGTTCTCATTCTTTACTGGATCGCAAATATTATGCATATTTAAAACTGCTATTGATATTCGATCTCATCTGACCCAACCATTCAGCGAAACTTTTTACTCGAAACCGTACTACAGTAATAAAGAATTTCTAAGATTTTAGATCCAGTCGAGAGATGATGGCTAAGGTCTCGAACGCTGCTCTTGGGCGCGCACTCTCTTTCAAACTCAGCTGGCGAGGGTCTGTTCTCGCCATTGGCCAAGAGAGTACTTCATGACAGGGATGGTATTTATCTTCGCCCTGAGAAGCCAGCTACCATTCGTCGGCCATGATGCACCTGCACGGGGCGCGGCAAGTGAAATGCGAGTCTGAGGTTCCTCCATGTAAAGGGATTTACCCCTCTCAGCTAATCGACCGCACATTCTGGACTCTCTGCTATAGCCCTTCCCGCTGCAGATGCCGATGCATGCCATACAGCTGATGATGCCCCCCCTCCCCATCTCCCCTCGGAAACAACGATAAGCGCTCGGAGATGTGACGATGAGCCAAAACTAATCGCAGGCAGTCAGAGCGATATATAGGTCATTGATTTTATATTGAGTTGGAACGCCGTTTGTTTCTCATTTGGGCCACCGTTTGTATCAGCCACCAAACTATGTGTTATTGCTGTGAGGCTTTGCGAGTAAGATGCGGAATAAATATTGATTGACATCAAGAGTTTGAACGGATGCTGATATTGACAGAGGATGGACTATGAGCTTTCCATTGGCGTATACGGCCGTGGACTAGATCCGCAACATCGCTCTCATTGGGGCTTCCTCATATGCCGCCGTGGCAGCGAATTCGGCAGACTCATTCATGTGGCACTCATTGACGCCAACAGGTTAATCTACCAGCATGACGAGCGGGATCCGCAGTTGTTCAAAAGTCAAAGTTGCGAGGGCCGCCTAAATATAGGAACAATGTCGGCCTCAATTTGTGAACAGGTTAAGAACGTTATGCGCAACGAACCGGCACCTAGGAATGGGAAGGTGCGCAAATTTTTCTGGGCTGCTGATTGAAACCGAGACTAACTACTGCCATGACAGGACCGTTGCCAGGATTGGATACTAAGCTGTCTGATTTCACTTGAAGTTGAAGATCTTATTCCTACCGGCACGGCACATTGGGTCGAGCCTCTTATTGGCTGCCCCTCTAGAGAAGTAGCCGCTCGGGCTGGTCAGCGGTGGGAGACTGCAAGAAGACGGTAATTGGAAGCCAAATAATTGCTACAATACCTAGATTCCACTATATAGTCTCAATGCTTCGTTGAACTCATCATAGAATATATAGTCTTCACGCTTCATATGAGGCAGCGCTGCTTCTGCGATCTCAATCCATATCGGATGATTATCACGGGACGTTGCTTCGAATGCCTCCCTTTCTGGAATACTGAAACCCGATGCCCCCCAATCTATGATAGCAGTAATGGTAAAATTGTTGTCGACGAAAATATGGTCTGGATATAAATCGCCATGCGAAAAGGTTTTTTGCTCACCAACAAGAGATCTAATGCGGTCGGCAAGGGACTGCTCCTCTTCACCCCAGATCCCATCTGGCCTAGCATTTCTCAGTGCCTCTATCAGACCCTCATTGTACTCGCTCCGGGATGCATAAGGGCCGAAAGTTCGTTCTGATTTACCAATGGCTGGAAGGTGTTGAAAAAATACATCTCCGCATGGCCCAGAGCCTACGGATCCGTAATAGTCGGCAGACAAACGTCTCCAATCTTGGACATATGTAGAGAGCTGATCAATAAGGTATTGCTTTTTCCCTTCGTCTATGCTGTCCCACATCTTCCACAGCGGTTGTCCCTCAGCCATAGCCATAATGATATATCCCCTTCCATCCTTTTCAAATGAAGCATAGACCTGGGGTACCGGCACCCGTGTTTTTGAGGACAGGAGGCGCATGGCATCAGCTTCCGAGACCTTCACTTCCGGACCTTTCTTTAGAACTCGGTTGAATCTGGGATAATACCATATCTGATTTCCGATCTTCGAGGGGCAGATGTTGACTGTATTAGATTTGCTAGATGTATGATCGTTGAGGATGTCGGATGGAGGGCTATTGAGTCAAAAGATAGGTCGTTAGTATCGTATGAAGCTGAGTGAATTTCTGGATTTTACTTGGATGTATCTAGTTGCGTCATTCCCAATGCGGATCAAAGTTATCACAAGAGTCCTGATAATACACTGCCTTTGTTTCCCAGAGGATGAATAACTTAATGTCCGGTCAGTCAGGAAATAGAGTGTATTGTAAACGCGTCAATTGGGGGTTGGGGGTTTTCTGGGTTCGGGGCATTTGATGGTGCGAGGGACGGCGTGCTTGGTGAGGATTGTCGATCTTTATTTACCTAGAATTACCGCCGCTTATTTTTAGGGTACCGAGGTTTGCTGTAAAAAGGGTCTGGCTCGGGGTGGGAGCCGCCCTACTCCGCTAGACAATCCCGGCGCGGGGAACTGAGGTTGAGTAAAGTTCCCAATCCTTTTATTAAATAAATGGTGAGTAAAGTCAGGGATAGTCAGAGATGATCGACTGGATTGCCGAGTAATTCCAAGGACGGCTCTAGTATTGATTGGAGGTAAATGTATTACTCATTGCAACGACTTTTCTATTTTCCAAGCAACGATTTCATCGGACGAGATATTTGTGCGCCCCGGCTAGCATGACGAGCCATCGCATATCTGAACTCGATATGGCTCTAAGCTAAACCTTTAATTATTCACCCACGTGCAGCTCATGGATTCTTATTTGATAGGAGGACCTGAATCTAAATAAGTTCGGGCGATTTAGTCTTTACCACCTTCCTTGTCGTCCAAGCATATCTACAACATGAACATATATAGCCGAATGCTTTGGGCCTGGCGAACAGGCCCTGAACTCCGCGCCGTCTCTCTCCCTCTACATTTCTTTTCAAGTTCCTCGTGTCAGACTCTCAAGCGCCATAATCGCAGAAGCGCAGCCGCGTTCTCCACTGCACCCAAGTTACCATCGACATGGCGATTTCCCTTCTGGACCTGCCGATCTACATGGAAGCGAGCAGGAATCAACACCCTTCGCTGCCTTGTGGGCTGCACGATCGGCGATTTCTCCGCATTGTGGGTGCTCCAAACCCACTATCCTGAACTCGGGACCGGCGCTATCATGGTTGCGTCCAGTAAGTTTTCTTTCTCAGTTGGCTACAGGGAATAATTTGTCCCTAAAAATTCGGATACAGTGGTGTCTGGAATTACTACTTCGATCATAATTGAAACAATTTTCCTCCGGCGCGGAGTTGATCAACTCTCCTGGCCGATGGCGGCTCGTACTGCGATGGGGATGAGCATGGTATCGATGGTGGCAATGGAGGCGGCAGAAAATGTTGTTGACTATCATCTCACTGGCGGAATGGTGGCCGTGGGAGATCCGCAATTCTGGCTGGCAGCAGTCTTGTCGATGGCAGCTGGTTATCTGACTCCTTTGCCATATAACTACCTACGCTTAAAAATATATGGAAAATCCTGTCACTAAAATATCCATGCACAGGCGCAAAAAGGCAATCTCATTCGTCCGAGATTGAGCTGGGAATGAAACTTATTATTCAGTGTTTTTGTACGGAGGTAAGTTTGAGTGTATCCAGACCCTGTCTAGGGCTGGGTTCCGTCTAGGGTCTCCGTCGGTCCGGTCTGGGTTGGTCTTTGGTCCGGGTGATTCCTTCATTCCACCACCAACCAGGAGAGCAGCTTTGGGCCGGTGTTTTTGACTTGGTTTATTCAAATTTGCATCACTTAAAGCCTTTGGATTATTTTCGGTAGAATCCCTCCTTTATTATACTCAACATCAAAGGTGTTTTAAGTGCATTGTTAATAAGATTTAATAGTAGCGTATCAAAAGGATTTTGGGTTAAGTAAAAAGACCTATAGAAGGGCTGAAAAGTGCAATAGTTTTGAGTATTTCTGACATGAATGCATTACAAAATCACTCTGGCGGAAAGCCTAGTAAGCTACCATTTACTTGCTTTCAGAATCTCAACCACCAAGAGATCTCCGCGCCTTCTACCCTCCTCCTCTTCCTTGACTGGTCCACATATTGCTTGAGAGTATTCGACCACAAACCCACCTTCAACTTCAACAGTCCTGCCTGCAAAGTCAATGCAATCACAGTGACAAGTGCGACACGGAACTAACTTAACAAGTTCCATTATTTGGGTCATCCAGATACTCGAAATTGCCATGCTTCTGCCTGCTGCCACGCTTGCAGCCGTTCATCTCGATGGTCAAAGCAGCTTCACAGTCATCGTACGTCAGCGTTTGAGGAGTGCTAGCTGTGTTTGATGCCGAGAAATTGATCCGGGTGCCTGTGTCGGGGAAAGAGGCGCACAAGGATCGCGAGGCGCCCTGAGGATAGCTGCCGGCGAAGGAGTTGCATGCACTGCTTCGAGCAGAGGCAAGCTGGCTTGTGTCGCTCGTTACTTGGCCATATGTTTCCCCACTACCAAAGCAACCCAACGCGGCAACAGACTGTGCTGCCAGCAGGGCAGTGGCGATGAGCGAAAGCAAGGAGGTAGCAGGAGCCATGACGGTAGGATTAGAATCTCTTCTGTCACGCATAAGTGTGTGGGTCACGAATATGATGGGCTGAAGACAAACCGGCAGGATTCTTCAGGGGAGAAGCGGGTGCTCAAAGATTGGTGAGATGTTGAAAGAAAGCTTGGTTGGAAGTGCAAGGTTTGTGATGAGCGTTGAAAGCTGTTTCGGGATGAGATGGACGCCATATTTATAAGTGACCTGCAGTCGTCCACGTTGGCGGTGATTGAACGGTGGGTCTCCGGGTAGAGCAGCATTGCTCATGATCCACAATCACAAATGAAACGGCCTTTCCTTCTCTTTTCTTCCATCCTGGTAGTGGCGCTCCCAGCCTGGTTGCATATCTACGGATGCCATCATGCCCTTGTCAAAAAGCGGGCCCCGCTGATACGAGACGGGATCAAATGGAAACTGCAGTCTTTGGAATGCTTGTTTCCGGCCACAACATCAGATGGTGATAATAAAGTTAGAAGGCTGTCCTTGTTGGATTTTGACAGCTCAAACGCATAATCTGGTCACTCTCTGCCAGACTCCACCTGAGCTCCACAGCTGGTAGCCGCATCCGCATGTCCATCTCAAAAGAAGATGCATGTCGTCGTGAGAAGTAGTGGTATCTGACAAGAAACTCAAATCAGTACCCGTGCTCGACAACGAGAAATCGGAAATCCACAAAGTGGGTAATCGTTCAACTGGGGGTCCGAACCAATCAGTACTTTCAATCCAATAGGCGACCTGCGCGGGTGTTGGTAGTTGAGACTCGGCATTACTATGCTAAGCTTGAAGGTCGGCGACCTCGATGTTAAAGGTCGGCGACTTGACTTTAGAAGAATTTCCAACTCTCGCAATTGAGTGCCGAGGGAATCGGTAACCACAAAGGTAAGCTACTAACCTGAGGTTGGGTAGGTTCTTACATGGACCTGTTCATATTCCTGTCAAGATAAGCAGACGGATCGTGCCGTCAATCTCAGGCCATGCCAACATGGGTTAGATGGGCAAGGGGTTTCGGGAGGGGCTGCAGGTGGGGGCGGCGGGCTTCCCCTGGTTCACGGCTAACTGTTATTATTATTATCATTATAAAATCTGATTACTATTGTTCATCATCATCATTATCGTCATCATCTGTCATCGGTACATGCACTCTTCTTGGCCATGGCACAGATTGCTACTCTGTTCCTTAGAAAGGTTACATTGGGGGCGGAGGAAGATTCGGCCCTTGGAGATCAAATCCCTCGGGTAGTCAATTGGTGCACAAGGAAAGGTATAAACTACCTTAAGTAGACTATAACTATAACTGTAGGTAAGGTAGGGAAAGGCTTGGTATGAAATACTTATATTTCGGCTATCGGGCCAGTCCCTCGCCTGTGGAGAACGCTGGACATTGGCAACGGAACGAGGAAGGCATTTGCTCCATGGCTTTGGCCCTATCACGCCGTTCCTATCATATCATTCTGCCCCGCTGTTGATCCCTCTTTGCACATTGCCCGGGCTACCCTGTCTAGGGACCGACAATACGAACCACTCTACAAGTACTCCATGGGGCAAATAGTAAAATACTGGTAACTCACTCATCTGCAACACTGCTCCACAATCACGGAAATCACAAGAGCTGATGGAGAGTACTGCAATGTTCTCACGACAAAAAACCGGTGGAAAAGTTTCTTTTTATTTTATTTTATTTTAAAAAAGAGAACATTAAAAGATTATTGATTCAACCTGTTCAAAAAGTCATGGCGTTGAGACAGTGGGGGCCAAAGATGCATTGGGGAAATGGGGCCGAAAGCATTGCATAACCCCGAAATCAACAGAGGCTGCAAGCCGCGTACAACAGTGCACCCATGGCATGGGACTTCTCAGCCAAACATGTTGGAATAACGTCACTCCTTCTTGGCACCGCTTCGACATGAAGCATCCTACTGGTACGACATTCTGTTCTGGGAGATCCTTGTCCGGAAACATTTCCCCTTAGGAAATTTTCCAAATGGTAACGCCATGACGAAGACACACCTGTTTGGAAGCCCAGTCTCTCTTGCTTCAGCAGTACGTTGATGGACCGAAAGCCGTCCGCATTTGACGTATGATCAAAGGTTGGGTTTGTTTGCGCCGTTTGTCCTCGCGGCAGGGACCATAGCTCTCAAAGGTATAACGACAGATTGGTGAAGGTATCATGTAGGTTGTATCGGAGAAATGTCATATACATTCTAGTTTCTAAAACACAATAGCACCACCGTCAACAACAATGTCTGAACCATTAATGTATGACCCTGCACTGCTTGCAAGGAGAACAATGGCCCCTGTCAATTCGGATGGACTTCCCATCCTTCCACTAGGATTTCTCTCCGCCCAAATTTGACGATGGTGTGCAATGCCATCACCCTCATTCAATATTGTATCCATGTATCCAGGACTCACACTATTGGTGCGAATGCCATAACGAGCCCATTCTGCTGCCAGGCAGCTTTTAAGCATCAAAAGAGCCGCCTTGCTAACATTGTATGCCGCCTGCGGCTGGGGAAAATTGACTCGATGAGCTGAGATAGATGCCACAAAGGTAATGGAGCCTCCTTTTCCCTGCTTGACCATTTGCCGCGCCGCTGCCTGAGCACAGATGAATGTGCCAGTTGTATTTATATCGATTATCTTGCGCCATTGAGATGCCGGCATCTCGAGGCTTTCCATACAGCCCACCACGCCGACGAAGTTGACCAGGATATCGACGGACCCGAGCACACGGACGGTCTCCTCCATGGCCTCATTGACGGCTTCTTCAGCAGTGATATCGACCTTTAATGTAGATATATTGGTCTCGGGAAATTTTTCTCGCATTTGCACAATCTCTTTCTGGGAATTGGCCGGGTTGACATCGAAGATCATGAGCCCTTGGAGACCATGCTCGAGGAGTGCGTCACAGGCGTACAGGCCAAGGGATCCAGCGCCTCCGGTGACCACGGCGTTCCCCCGCACAGAGAACCTTTTCTGAGCCCCAACGTGCGGATCGGCCTGGATTATGGATGTTGGTGCCGCTGTCAACGACGAAGGGCTGCCATCGCTAAGGACCATCGAAGGGACGATGCGAGAAGTAAGCGCGTCGCGCCCAGGGAGCTCCGCTGAAGGCGCCATCTATGTTACAGCGGGACAGATAGTCCGTCAATGCTTCTATTCTGGTGAATGAAAGACGAGTACAAACATCTAGAAGTCGAAAATGGAATTCCGATGAGGGTCAGATATAGCCAAGTTGCATGCGACAGGAAGTGATTGTTGTAGTCATCTGGGCGTGTTGACTGCGTCTTGCCTCAGCCTCAACAAGGCACCGCGCATCCATCTTTCTTTGGTGAGCATCGGACAAATGTATTCCGAAGTATACGTGATGGAGTAGCAGTTGGTGGAGACGCCGATTATAGACTTTGGCTACCCGTTGGGAACACATGAGGAGGCGATAACCTTCGCAGATACTTTGATACCTGTTTCGGAGTAGAGAGCACCGGTGACGGCTTCTCAGGAAGCGTGGCCAATAGAAAGGAAGAGTTTCGTGGTAGTCGGAGCACATCTTGCCGACGAATGCTTCTGACCTGTTTCAGTTTAACTCTGCTTGACAGCTCGCTATCAACACGTCCAGCTTTTATTTATTTTATTTTATACTTTTTTTTCTCACAGAAATTCAAGTTAATTTATTTCTCTCTATAAATTTCATATCATTATTAGTATACTTCGATAACTGATTATTAAATTTAATTCATCAAGCTATTTTCTATAACACTAGAAAGTTTTCCCTTATAAAAAGTCGTGCTATTGTTTACCTAAGGCTTATAATGGTAGCATATTTCAAAGATACCATTGAGAAGATAACCCTGAAAAAGAATCAGAAAAATTGAAAGGACATAGACTCTTTGACTTAAAGCATTGTATTTCCTATCGATGTTGTCACTCCCAAAACATGATTTAGAATGGCATCGTCTCAGAGAGCTCGGGCTGCATCTACGACCCTAGGTCTATCAATAAACATATTCTACATCCATATGGAAGACATGTATTCATATAACTCAAATTACTTCATTGGCTTTGTAGAGAGGTAAATTGACACGTATGCTGACCCGTTAGACTAGTCTATCCATGCATCAAATTTGCTAACATCAATATCTATGGCAATCATCTATGATCTATAAAACCCTCTCAGTTACTTCACGGCAGAACATAGCCACCGTCGATAAGCACATCAGTCCCCGTCATATAGCTAGAGGCATCACTGGCCAGATAAAGGTACAAGCCCTTGATCTCCTTTACATGACCTTGCCTACCCAGCGACGACATACGATATGCCTCGTGCATGGCCAGTGGGCTAGCACCCATTTTGGTATCGAAGAAGCCGGGTGAGACAATGTTTACTCGAGCAAATTCCCGCCACTCACGTGCTAGTGACTTTCCAAAATGGGTGACAAATGCTTTGCTTGCGTTGTACACCGGCTGGTCGACAGGGACATTCACAGTGTGGCCACTCATACTCGAAGTGATGATAAGATTGCCAAAGCCTTGCCGTTTGAACACTTCTCCAGCGTACTTGGCGCAAAAGAGAACACCGTCAACTGTGTACGAATTAGTATAATTCTCAGTATCACAATTGAACTTGAGCACCAACCATTTACAGACATCTGTTTTCGGTATTCGTCAACAGTCTGCTCCAAGATGGGCTTTGAAATTGCCATTCCTTTGTCAAAAGTCAGCTCCACCCTCTATGGAAGCCTCTACTGCAGTAGCGTACCCGCGTTGGCAATGAAAACATCGATCTTTCCAAAATCTCGGACAACCGTTGCAATAGCTTCATACACCTGATTGTGATCCGAAACTAAATTTCTCCACTTAGTATTTGGTCATTAATCTCTTCTTCAATATTTGCTTACCCTCAACCTTGTAGGCCGCCGTCTTCACGTTATGAATTTTTGCTAAAGCTTGGGACCTTTCAACTGCAGCTTCGTTCCTGTTTAAAATCGTTGTTAAACAAATGTGCGTTGAGGCTTCAGAGAGTGATGCCATACGAATTGTACCACAGGGCAACGTTTGCATTGGCTTCAGCCATGGCCTCCGCCACAGCCAGACCAATGCCATCGGCAGCGCCGTTGACAACAACCACTTTCCCAGTCAAACGGAGTTGTTCCAGGACATTAGAAGGGGTGTTGGGGTAAGGACGTGGGAACCCCTCACGGGCCTGTGTACAATCTTCAACAGACATGGACATCTTGACGTGTCCCTTTTTAGAAGCGTTGATCTTGGTAGACAATATTTCCCGTTCATCTAGCCCTATTTATACAAAGGGAGTCGACTCTCTACGATCAATTTGGCATCGGTGCCCTGTCACCCGAAACAGTTGTTGGCAGCGTTTCCCAAGAGCGCTAGGCCAAAGCCTGACCAGGCTGTTCGTTGATGTCAACCCTATCTTGGCGCGGAAACGGATCGCCAAGAGGCATATTGTGTCGGGAATTGAGAGTTCTTGGGAAGCAGCAGTATTTAGAGCCGATCAAAATGATCTTGTTAACGGAGACGAAGTCCGCGCTCATTTACTCAAACCCAGTCTTATAGTCGAAAGTGTCGAAGAAAGCGATGAATTAAGGGATGGATCAACAACAATGGATACAGCGGTTTAAAATCAATAGTAATAGCTTGAGCACTGTATCTGTAGCATCCTTTATCTACCTGACGCATGTGGTCATGTCAATAGGAGTATTATGGTTATCATCATATCAACATTTTCCTTTCATATTTTGTCCGAGAGATCGGCAAGGATGTCACCCTTCTACAAAGCCTATCGGCCATATCTTCTCTTGCAAGTCCTGAGAGACTGAAAGAGCCCTGCATTCCTATAAAGTATCAAAGTCCACAATTCTACTCGGAACTATTGTCGGGGGAGTGAGCTTGTATAGTTATCACATGAAGTTAAATTGGAAAGCAGGAAAACAACAACAACAAAAAAAAATACATTATTATATTCTGTACTTATAAAAACGTTTAACTTCAAGTTGTATTCAATTCCTGGGTCCTTCAATCAATGTTTTGGTTCCTTCACCACGCTTTGCTGTTTCCCAGGCTTCGGTTGCCGACTCGAATGGGAATACTTTCGTAATTATCCCTGACAATATGATCTTTCCCTGACCTACAAGGCGAATTCCTAGGTCGAAATCTCCAGCACCGTATCGGAAGCTACCTCTTGCTGTTATCTCGTGTTCACACAATTCTGATATCGGGAATTCAATTTTCCGCTTTCCCATGCCTACTTGAACAAATGTTCCGCCCATTCGCAACGCAAAGATGGCTGTTTGAACTGATGCTTCTGCTCCGGATGCATCTATGGCAATGTCTGCTCCCTCTCCAAGCTGGTGCTCCTCCACCAGACGTTTCGCATTTTCCTCCGGGGTTAGGGAGGAATCTGGCATTGCAGTTCTCCCCACTGATGAACCGACAAACTTTTGTGCAAAGCGTAGCTTGTGCTCCAAAATGTCCACTGAGACGACGGTGCTTGCTCCAAATTCCCGGGCCACAGCAGCACAGAACAATCCAACCGTTGCGGCACCGAACACAATAACACGACTTCCGGGCTTTATGTCTGCGAGCCGAATTGCATGTACAGCAACTGCTAAAGGCTCCATCAAGGCGGCTTCAGACAAACTGATGCTTTCAGGCAGCTTGTAGCAAAAGCTGGCAGGCAACAGAAAATATTTCGAGAGGGTGCCATGAACCTTTGGAGGATCTGCCGCGAATTTCATTTCCGGGCAAAGATGGTAACGACCGGATTTGCAGCGTTCACAACGGCTACATGGATATCCCGGTTCAATGGCAACCTTGTCTCCCGGGACCAGCGAACTGACGGCAGAGCCCACTGCATGGATAGTTCCAGATGCTTCATGACCCATGGTCAATGGTCGGGCTTCAGAAACATAAGTACGAATTCCTCCATCCAGCCAGAAATGAACCTTTAATCAAAAGTAATAAAATGTTTAGCATGTCTTCTCGAGTAAATCTAGCAATGGTCGGGGGATCGCAGGTCTTATCAATAATAGCTGCAGAGTGAAGGTACTTACATCGCTTCCACAAACACCTGTATAAGCAATGCGGAGAATGACATCGTGTGGGTCGCTAAGTACAGGGACAGGTCGATCCTCAAATCGGGCGTCCAGCGGTCCATAGAGAAGACATGATGGATTTTTGGCATCTGAGTCCATGATATTTGGGTTGCAAATTGCAGGATCCTTATCCAGCTGGTCATAAAAAGAAACCTATTGCGCTCATCCTGCTGGCGGAAGGCGACTTCTTATATACTGAGTTTTGACTGCACAGTATGTTTAATATTTACCCAGGACATGCAAATTCCGATGTTGATCAATTTGTCGGCCGACTGTGGTCCGACAAGTACGTGGCTATCGACAACGGTAATGTAAATTCGAAAAGACAATAAATGCTAAACTTCATAAGCAGCCGGCTCATCCTGGTTGGATACATCATCTGCATGTAGGTAGCTACCAGTAAGGAAGGTAGGTAGTTATCTCAGTGAGCTCGGAGTTACTGGGTGTGACTAAAGATTAGCGAGTTTACTACCTAAAATAAGGCTTTCCAACTCTTGCTGTCAACCGCGAGTACTACTCCCGCCATTACATGTGCTGTATACATAGTCGATATTGAACTTCGCCACCCCGCAAAATTGCCACCACGCGGGGCACAATAGTCCGATAAATAGTCGATAACGGAATACAATGATTCAACTCTTATCTATCAAAACATAAATCCAAATCACTTCATTCGTTCATAGCTATGTGAGTTCTAAACTTAAGTCTCCAGGCATCGACCAACCCTGAGTATCATTGGTCGTCGAGGCATCTCCCAGAAAGTAATCAAATGATTGAGCCTCATCTGTACTAAGGAATCCTTGAAGATCTTCAAAGATGTCCATATTCGAGGAGTTACGTTCGAAAATTGTCTCGAGTGCAGGATCTATGGCAAATGCTGTTGTATAAGTGTCCTTGTTTGTGAGATCAGCCTCTAGCTGGACAGAGCCATTGTAATTATCCGGAGGGGGTTCCGTTAGTACTGTTGACGCAGACTCCGACGGCTGAGATATGTTCCTGATTTTATCAACTACTGCCAGGCATCGTGTTGCAGCCTTGCTTTTTTGACTCAATTGAGCGAGACAGTTGCGTGCTCTGGTTATGGAGAAATCCCAGAGATCCTGATTGGTTGCCGCGAGGCTAGTATTCGTTGTTTGGCATGGCCGGAGATGATGAATACAAAGCACAATTGATGCCTGAAATAAGAAGTATGTCACGTACCAGGTGAGACAAAGGTTGAGAGTATCAGGATAGTCTTGACAGAAAGTCGTGACGTTGTGAATAGTCTCGACTGCAGCATAGTAACACGTGTTCTGTACTTCTTCACCATCTGATAGTGAGTTGCAGTGGGCCTGGCTTCCCCACCAGAGCATCATACGCAAGTTTTGTTCCTTCCACCCGACTATCGCTCGTGGACCACGAAACCAATGCGGAACGTCTTGCGCTGTAAAGTAGACGGGGAGCGATAATTTCCAAGCCTTGAACTGATGGTCGAGCGAGCGCGATATTCTTAAGTCGTAAGGCGTCTTTTTGGGGGCGGAGAATATGTCATTGTAGACTTTATTTCCAATAGAAGCTAGTCGGGCGTGGGCAATGATGGCTGAATAGGTGGTTGGCCACTCCGTTGGTGCAGGAAGAAAGGAATTCAGAGTACACTCCTATATTCAAGTAATTAGCATCATAGTCTCTAAAGCAGGAAATGATTTCAATATACTGAATCGTTAATGTTTCGTGGAATTCGAGTTTCGACAAAACAGTCAGATGCCATAATAGGTCTCCCCGTGGTCAAGCTGAATCCACTGTCGAAGCAAAAGACAATCCACCAAATGACTCTTCTCCGTTCATTGAATAGTGTATCAGCCGTTGATTCCGCGGGTGGCTCGCGATGAAGCCCTAAACCAAGTGCCATTCTGTACGCAACTCCAATAAAATTGTACCCTGTATTAGGCCGATCTCGCTTTTGGAGATAATTGCCCTGCGTCTATATTAGTACAACAAAAACTTGGGAAGGGATCGTTTCTTTTTGTGGGTCTTGCCAGCAGGAGAAATGCTTGAATAGCGAGAAGAGATCCAGACTCTAACATACGCATTGACAGTTGTGATCGTGCGACCATGTAATATCTGGACTGCTCTATCTCTGATTCATCCCCCAGAATCCAGTCCCCAATTGCTAGAACAAGGTAGAAAATAAGATGCCAGCTCGAACGGGCTTGAATCTGCTGACGGTTCTGGTAACTTTCTCGAAAAGTACTCTCATGTAGGATCGGGTATGATGGATTATACCACATAAACTAGGCATCAATGAGACGATCTAAGACAGTAGTATTACTCAAATGCGCTGACAGCGAAGGACCTTCTGTTTGGCTGGCATGTGCAAACGAGGCTTGCTCGTGTTGAGGGGGCTGCAAGCCAGGAATCAAGTCCGAGATAGTTTTCAAAATGCTCGATCCCGAGCTATTTCCTGGGATTTTTTTAAAACCAATTGTCACAAAGCGCGGTTCCCCATTGCTTACCAAGATACCCGGATCCCGTGCTTTGACTTGGAAGTGATGCCATTCCATCCGGAGCTTCCTTTTGCACACGCCATGAGGAAGCTAACGAAGCTTCATCCCACTCAAGTCTGTCCGGCGATGAAGGACTTTCTCCACCAGAATCCCCGCTCTTCAGCCTCTCGAGAAGAACTTCTGTAGCCGGTACACCTGTCCCTGAGACTGTCTTCAATGCATCCTCGATATCGACCTCCGGATTCAGTTTACGGATAAGCGCTATCAAGTTTGTGCACCGGCGTTCTGCATCATCTAGATTTCTACCTTTTTTGAGAATGGCAGTTGACGTCGGAACGGGAATCAGCACTTACCTCCGGGTGAGTGGTGTGCGTGATGGAGGACGGTCGAACAAGCAAGGTTTTTTGCTTCGAGAACAGTACTGGCAGGGAGCGACTCCGGAGCACTATGTCGCAAATTAATAACCCATAGTATTGCAAGGAAGACTGGCTCATGCAACTTACTTTGCTCTTCAGTTTCTAGAGCGTGTCATGTGCATCATTAATAGGCAATCGTCAAGGACGTCATCGGTTTTCTTCTTACCCGGCACTCTGTACACTGTTACTCGTCAACTAGCCAACCAAGATACTACACAAATTGAAGGCTTACTGCTCGAAGTTCAATTGGTCCTGAGGCAGACTTTGAGGATTTCGGCATTTTAAGAGTTGGTCAACATCTCGCGCGAAAGCACAAGTATCAATGACGCTTCAAATCAACCCCTCGACTAAGGGACCTAATAACATACCTGACTACCGAGTTCCTACAGGTAGGTATTATAGCGAGACGAACCCCAACCAAGAGTGGCCGAGAATCAAATAATCTCAATGTACTATTTTCTATACAGGCATTTTTCTTGGACAAAATTCTTGAACATATCCAAGCTTATTCTCTACGTAATGACATTGCTATTGTAAACTAAATAGTACGATGAAAATATATAATTGGTGGAAATAAAACCATATCCATCACCCATACCCCAGCGAAGCAGGCATCCCGCCGTAGATATGAATTCTCGAGTTGAGGAATCTGGATTTCTATGATTAAAAGTGAACGGCTCGCGATTTTGTTTCGTGTCGTTCGTTGCTGTACTACGGTACGGAGTATAGTGGAAGCATTGAAGATGTTTCGCAGCAGCTGCTAATCAATGGTGTGCCATACGGCAATCTCGTAACGGTCCTGCAGTTCGTTCCGCTCATCCATACAGCCGACATTCTGAGTGACACCCGGTCCACTGGGCATGTCGCGAGGCCTAGATACTGGTGGCTTGCGAAAGAAGCATCGACGAAGGCGTTGTCCGCTGCACAGCTGGCCTGAGATTTGCTGCCGCAAGGCCCGAAATACTTGAAAACAGTTTTACGTCAGTCAGGGCAAGACGATTCTCCAGAGAAACCTGATCTTGTAATTTTTGTTTTTCATTATTCCCTCTCTTTTTCCTGCAGCGATTTCATATGAAAGGCGAATTGTTTACCGTGATCATTATTAATCACCTCGGTTGCAATATTCCCGGTGCTCTTTCATTACTATTTTGTGCTCGGGACGGAAACATTTATGTAGACCAGGGTCGTGAAGCCTAAATTCGCAACCAATTGAATTTCAACCCTGCTTGTTAATCAGGATATACTAGTTAGTTATCATTGTATTGTATGTTAATTTGATTTCGAAGCAATTTAACAATCGGTCAAGGTACATTGACAAATTCACTTAAATGTGTCTTTCAACATTGCATAAGCGTTTGTAATCTAGAAGGCATAAGTAAACCCTGTCATTTTCCGGCATTATCAGCGCTATTGAAGTTGGCACCTTGTATTTTCATTGAAAAATCCCATCTAGCCCGACTTCAAATGAGCTATGGAAAGAGAAGTACAAATTACTCTCTTGCATATGGTATCTTGTTCCGCTCCACAAAGTATCTCCGAATCCACCAACATATCACCGACCAATAAACTAGTAGAAATACACCAGAAACTATGACGGCTTCCACTATTGTTTTGATCACGGGTGTCAGCAGAGGCATGTCATCCCCCCGGTGCATTTTATGTCCTAGCTAACTGCTATTCCCTACAGGTATCGGAAAGACTCTCGCTGAGACCTACCTCTTGCGGCCCAATCATATCGTCATCGGTAGTGTCCGTGACAAGACAGCCTCGAACGCTCGGAGTCTTGCGATCCTACCCGCGGCCAAGGGTTCGCGCATGCATTTGATACAGATTGAAAGCACGTCTTCAACGGACCCTGCCAATGCCGTCAAGGAACTTGAAGCTGCTGGCATCGACCATATTGACGTGGTCATTGCAAATGCAGGTGGTGCTGGCGACAAGGGCATCATCCCATTGGATGTGGTGGATGTCAATGCCGTGACCGATCTCTTCAAGGTTAACACCATCGGTCCCCTCATGCTCTACCAGGCCGTTCGACCTCTGCTTGAGAAGTCTAGGGTGCCAAAGTGGGTGTCCGTCACGAGCGCTGCAGGGTCTATTGGCAACCTCGAGATCTTCAAGGCCCACGTTGCACCGGCCTATGGTATTGCTAAGGCCGGATTAAACTGGGTGACAGTGTATGTAGTTTGTTACTCTATCCTGCCTCCTACCAGCCTCGACTAAACTTTAGTATCGACAGAGCTGCACACAGCGCGAACAAGTGGTTGATTGCCTTTGCCGTACACCCGGGGTAAGCTTTCCTTACAAAATCAAAAATTAACCTTGCTGAATCCATCCAGTCTTGTACAAACCGATGGTGGAAACCGAGCCGCCCAGGCAATGGGGCTACAGCAGGCACCGCATACAATGCAGCAGAGTGCTACTGCTATCATTGGTCTGGTATGTCTTACATTCCAGGACACCATTAAAAAAACAAAACTAACATAGTACAGATAGATAATGCAACCCGTGAAAAGACATCGAGCAAGTTTTTTAATGTTATAGATGGTACTGAAATTCCCTGGTAAATATTTGTTGTACTATCAATTTGAGATTAGTTTTTAATACAATGTATTATTATTTTAATATTAAAATGTTCTAAAAACATAGAAATGAAGAGAATACAAGAGACTATATTATTAGTAATTGTTTAACAAACTATTTCTTCTTTATAAAACTATAGTTATATATTTATAAATTATAGAGGGTTTTTCTACTTTTTCCAAAGGGTTAGACTTAGGAATTTATATAGTAAGAATTTATCAAACCATAGTTTAATTTGTTACTGC